GGAATCATTGGTCCCATTGGTCGGGTCCAATCTTGTGGCATAGCATTTGTCTAATGAATGCATTGATTAGCAAATGCACATTTGTGTTTTTAACTTTGATTGAAAATGCTATGTTTCATAGCGTATACAATTGACAGTAATATTTACTCTGAAACTATTCAAGCAAGGTCCGATTAAAATGATCTGTTGGCATATTTTCACATAAAAGGGGTGGTCACAAAGCATAATGGGAACACAGCCTTCATAGCAATGTAAGAAGAAATGTTTTCTGGTAGCAAATTTATCATTAATCATCAAGAAAGGTTAATGAAATTGCTTCGTAATTTGCAAAGCGCTAATTTTGTCTTGATCAAGTCAAAATATTGATTGTAAATTTTCTATGTAGTTCAATTCAACTTGAGTCTTGAATACACAACAAAATGATGATGGAGAAATTATGTTATATATTGAGCATTATCGAATGGTTAAAGTGTATGCTTACTTTTCATCTAAAAACATATCATAATAAAATCCTTCTTCAATGGGAGGACCATAACACAGCAGACCACCATAATGGCGTTCCATCGCTTCACCCATTATATGAGCACTTGAATGCCAAAATACCTGTTGAGCTAGACAAGATGAAGCAATGTGAAAAATCAAATCTTTTGAACAAAAGCTTATAACTTCATGCAAAAACAATACCTTCTTTGTCATCAAATTTTAAAAGTTCCAGGTTGGAATCATTCTCTAATGGTCTATCTAGATCAAAAACCTCGCCATTCACCTAAAAAGCAAATAACATAAAGTTATGATGAATATGTAGTGTTTAGTACATGGCAATGATCAAAACTTATAAATACCTTAGCAATGACAGCATTGTCTCCCAAACCTTGAGTAAAGAGGATAGAAATGAATATTTTAATGTATAAAAAACCAGTTTACTTTAAAATGCAAGAATAAAGTAAATCTTTGACTTCCTTTAAACCTTATTGATAGAGCAACATCAAATGGTGTTGTCTTCCATGCAATGCCTTCGATTTCATTCCCATTTGGCAAGGTTATTTTTATTGTTTCGTTCAGAGAAGCCTTTGCTAAAATAATGGAACAAAAAGTGACGAAAACTTACACATTATACTCAAAACACATATTATCATAAACAACCGACGAAAAGATTTACAGTAAAACAATGCGTAACTATACATCAAACAAGGCTTTTGTTATTGAATTTATCAACATTTGAAGTTCGTTTTAAAACAATAAATCAAAATTTCACTAACCTTCCTTTCACTTTCGAGTCTTGAGGGCATCTACCGTTGTGTAAAGTGATTGACGTTTATTAAGATCATTTGGTTCCGATCGATTTCATTGGTTGATTTCAATGAGCTCTACAAATGTTATTGGATAAATTTTGAGTTCTTACATCTTTGATTGGCTACATTTCTACAATATGTTAAATATTGAAACTTATCCCAAATAAGTGAAAGGTAAATTAGGTAAGACACTTTTGATAACGTCTCTCTTTGAAATAAAATAACATTCAAAAAAAGTGTTTCTGCTTTCAAATATAATCATCCCTTAATTTTTCATATTTCTGACAAGACGACTAAAAAACATTGTAAACTGTAATCAACTTGCCTCCCTTTTCTGTTGGGAACAAACCCTGTTCAACTTCATTCCATGTAACCAGTTCATGAATTTCTCAGGTCGAGTTGATAGCTCAACATTGAACGTAAAACCAAAGATATCGTAAACAGAACGTAAGAAGTCAAGACAACTGTCTATTTCTGATGAAATCTACGCAAAATAAAGAAACATTACAACTCACTACAAAAATTTAGAAAACACGACGTATCGTCTAAGAGGTAGTAAAAATGACGCGATATGACAAAAAATATGGACGAGACACGTCATTTTACACCTTTCTACGATGTCTTAGACGATACGTCGTGTTTTCTGAAATGTTCTGCCGAAACTCTTAACGCTGAAATAATCGTGACATGTGAAAAAAGTTGTGAGTTGAAATCAAATATTTACTTGAAATGCTAAAAAGAATACGTGAATCTATTATTTACCTGTTACATTGTACAAAAAATGTGAGCATCATCCTGTTGAAATCTTCTTCTAACTCTCGTAAGTCCACTCAAAGCACCAGATAACTTGTTTCGATGTAACACGCCAAAATCAGCCCTACGCAATGGTAACTCACGCCAGGAGCGAGGGCGATGATCGAACATCAAACTGAAGATATAAAAAATTCACTTTAGTTGGCAGAAAGAACGCCAGCAAATGAGAATAGAAATCCCCAGAAGATCAGATTTTGATACACGCTAAAATGAAGACGTTTTCTTAATCCATGATGAACTTTGGAATCAGTTTCACGATAACCCCTTTCCACACACATCTTAACCACAAACTTCATTCACAAGAAAACTTACCAATGTCCAGGACAGTTCATTGGCTTAAGAGCATAAACTTCCTTTTCTATTTCAAACTTGAATAAATTCTCAGAATAATGTTGCCAATGACCTGACGTCATCCACAGTTTGGTGCTGTAGATATTTGGTGTAACAACTTCTTCAAACACACGCTTCCAATATCGATTTCAAATATATTTAATTTGATCTTAAAACGCTGAAGCAGTACTGTACACTTGATTTCAGTGTTGCAAACTTTCGATCACAAAACACGAAAGATATCAATGATAACCAAAATACACCAAGCTTTATTGAAAAAGAGTAGTGTACCAACCAAACTTGACACAAAAACAACAACAATAACACTTGAAATATTGAGCATGGACATAATTGGACATTTTAATGTTACTTTTTAATGCCTACTAGTTATTAAAATGGATATGTTCTTTCTTTCTTGCATTATGTTCATCAACTTTCTTGGTAATCTAAATGTTCCAATGCAAATATTTAGCTTAGTTTATCGTATTGTGACAAACTAACAGCGGTCATATTCAAAACATTGAGGTTAATAAAAGAGAGGATTTTAAAAATGTACAGAGAAAAACAAGACATCAAGAAAAATGATCATAATGCAGTTTACCACGGATGTACGTTCAAGAAGACTATAGTCTTTTGCGTAAAAGTGTGTAAAAATGCAAAGACAATAGTCTTTTGAGTAAAAGTGTGTAAAAATGCAAAGACTATAGTCTTTTGTGTAAAAGTGTGTAAAAATGCAAACACTATAGTGTTTTGCGTAAAAGTGTGTAAAAATGCAAAGACTATAGTCTTTGGGTAAAAGTGTGTAAAAACGCAAAGACTATAGTCTTTTGCGTAAAAGTGTGTAAAAATGCAAAGACTATAGTCTTTTGCATAAAAGTGTGTAAAAATGCAAAGACTATAGTCTTTGGTGTAAAAATGCAAAGACTATAGTCTTTGTTTAAAGGTAAAATGCAAAGACTAAAGTCTTTTGCGTAAAAGTAAAAATGCAAAGACTATAGTCTTTGGTGTAAAAGTAAAATGCAAAGACTATAGTCTTTTGTTTAAAGTGTAAAATGCAAAGACTATAGTCTTTGCGTAAAGTAAAAATGCACAGACTATGGTCTTTTGCAAAAGTGTGTAAAATGCAAAGACTATAGTTTTTGAAGGTAAAAAAGACTATAGTCATTCGGTGTAAAATGCAGACTATAGTCTTGCGTAAAAGTGTGTAAAAATGCAAAGACTATAGTCTTTTGCGTAAAAGTGTGTAAAAATGTAGTGTTTGCATTTTTACACATTTTTATGCCAGACTGTAGTCTTTGCATTTTTACACATTTTCATGCCAAAGACTATAGTTTATGTATTTTCACACATTTTCATGCCAAAGACTATAGTTCATGCATTTTCCCCTTATTTACCACCATTACATAAATGAAGAATTGTAGGAGAATTCTCCATGGTTGTAGGAGAATCAAGTTGTGTGCGATTTTGAATATTGTTTTCTTATTGAACAATGTGATTCTTCACGAAAGTGACACTTAGAAATTCATGGCAAAGGGGAGCCATAGATTTAAAGTACATAACTCCCAAAGGCCCTAGTTCATGCACCTATTCACTTGCTCTTTCACCTAACTCCCTAAGACTAAATTTCAGTGTATGCGCAGTACAAATTGCTCATATATTGCGCATGCACAGTAATGTACGAAATAAATTTCTGAAAGGATTGCGCATGCACTAAAACTTATATTATGAATAGATTGCACACATATTGCACGGTGGGACAAACCACTACCTCTGTGATATTAGCAGCGATCAATCATACTCCATATTCGCCTGAAAAAATACGCGGGCATACCAGGCATTTTCCTATGCAAGCCGTGCGTGAGCGTTGCTATGCTTCGCAATATATATTTCTAGAGGGGAAGGGGAGGGTTGGAGAAATAAACATTAAAACGTAGTATTACATATTATCTTGATGTCTGGATCATGACTATTTCATCATTACTTCATCTAATTCCAATATTAGTACAAGTTTAGTATAATTCATCTAATATAATTCATCTATAGTATAGTGTAATTCATCTAATTCCAATATTAGTATAATTTTATTACAATTGCTTACAACAAAACTATATACAAACCGTTTCTTTCTGAATGGCAAGGAACTTTCTCACCCACCAATAACTATTGTAGTCTTGTAGGATATCGGATTTAAAATTTATTTGCAACCAAACCACTTGCATTTCGTGTCACGATATTCTATGCCACTGGCAAAAAGTTTAACTAACTTGCGATGGACTCTAGATAAAAAATTAACATCAAAACATCAGTTCAAAACATATATCCAACAAATCCACAGCAAAGACATTGACTATGAAAATCAACTTCTTGATAATTCTTAAGATGTATTCATCATTGGAGTTCTAATCACAATTTCTGTCTCTATTTCATCAAAGTTTGGGCATTTCGTGCAGCAAGGAATAATTTTTTACTATAGCAGAAAACAGATTTGACGACAAAATGCACCTCCATTCGTAACACCCCACACCTCCATCTGTGACGTAGGATTTCTGGGAAATTCTAACACCCCTCATCCCCATTAATGACTTACAAAAATATTTCTGGGAAGGCGTAACATTCCACATCTCCATTTGTGACGTTTGAAGAATTCCAAAGTTTTTTAACACAACTACGGTAGTATAATTATACATTGGCAAGATTGGTTATTAGCAATACCTTATGTGAATCGCTGGTTCATCAATGATCTCCCCATCGACATTCCACACACTGTGTTGCATAGAGTTGGATTGTGCGATGTCACTCTCTATAGCCTTGTCACCAGCCATTACTGGTAGGGGACGAAACGAAAATTCCTTTACGCGATGTACTTCGACAAAATCAAAGTCCATCTAGAAAATGAAATGTGTAAAAATAATTCAAAACATAACACGTCTTTCATCAGTAGTAACAAGAAGGAAGCAACTTCACGTTGTTTGTACGTAGCTGCAAGCAAATACATTCACTCACGTGATCAGCTTTTCCGGCCAATCGCATCATATGTTGCAGGTAACGAACACGTGATGTACGACGTACAATAATAAGATCGATACATCCATCGGCCAGGTGAGCGCTGGGTGAAATTCCTTCTGGTGATTTCTTATTGGCACAACAGTTTGTAGCCCCCATGATGCTTATAAAATGGCCGGTAATGCTGTGCCAACCGTTGCTCTGGGCTACAAAAAGATTTATCAATTTAGAAATGCTACCCACCCCCCTCCCCCAAACCAAATTATACTAAAATACCTGTTAAAATATCCCCATGTGTAGTACTTGAGGATGGAAAACAAACAGTGCATCTTAAAAAAGGAATTGTATAAACGTATGTATACAAGTATATGATTAAGGATGAATTGAAAAGCGTTAGTTGTTCAAACTACCTTTCTCAGACAATATAACAATAAGAATATAATGTGACTTATTGTACAATGCTCGTTTACAAGTCAATTGTTCGTTAGAAGTTATTCATTACAATAATAAATTATTCCATCAAGTAGATCATTAGATAAGTAGCAAGCTTATTAAAAACTGTAGTACAATAATGTAAAATGACACAAACTCTCAATCCAAAATCAACTACAGTTATATGGCTTTGTCACATACTACATTTGAAAGATTGGTTTGGTTTGAACAACATACCCTTTCCTACATTTCATGTTATCACGGGGGTTGCCGACAGTATCCGAACTCGTCAAATAACACAACTCTCCTTCATAAGATCTACGAATATTCAAAATGAAACAAAACTATCAGAAAACGAAAAACTACTCTTATACATAAAAAAAACGGACAGGAAACAAAAATCTAAACGTTTTCCATAACGAGGAAAGTCAAGCGCCAAGGACAAACAACAAAAGATTTTAAACATCAATGTACCTATTTCTCATGAACATTTTCGCGCCAGAAATGTCATAACGTTTTACACCAACCCATCTTAAGCTCTCGCTGTCCTTTACAACATCACCAAAGAAACCATACCCAGCAAACGACATCGAGTAACGTAATAATTCACCTTTTGTGTTGTGTAGAGATGAAATATCCAATGGTTGACTTTCATCTGATTAAAAATAATATTCATCTCAATACAAACTCTTATATGCATCTAGCTGATAGTCAGATGAATGGATTCATTGATAGGACTATATTATCCCTATTATTGATTTACGCACATTACATTGAATATACAACAGAAAGGCTTCCTTTATATAAACATGGCTATATTTGCACGAAGCCAAAACTAATCACCTCCAAACATGCATATGGAGGGCCACCCCTCAGCTTTGTTCAGTCAAATTTGACACAAAAAATATGTCATTATTTAACACATGACAATTCTATACGCCCCCGCTTTACCTCATTTCACAAATAAACAAAATTTGAAATTCCTCCAGACTTAGTAAGCGCTTGTTGTGCTAAATCATTCTTTATGTAGAGATAAAAAAATAAAATTTTACTTGTAATTATTTGTAAAGTCGATGTGATTACATCAATTGTTCCAGTTGTGCAGAAGCAGACACAATCTGTGGATCCTAAAGGGGAAAAAAACTTTTCCAATTAAGTAATGAAACAGAAACTATAACAATCTAAATTTAAAGTTTATATTTTCTCCTGTACCAGCTGGTATAATCCCCAGCTTAATGGGGCTTTTCTTTGGCATAAAATGACTTGAAGGAAACACAGCCGGATTATGACGCATCAAAATACCATTTAAAATTTCACTAAACATTCCATCACCACCAATGGAAATGATCCTGTAAATACCAATCATTAAAACACTTAGAAATAAATTAGCAAACTCATGAAATTTGAACTAAATAAAAATAACTACTATGAACCAAAATATATCCTAAGTAATAAGCATCACTTCTTGTGAACATGATAGGTTAAAAAATCACTTTGAAATATTAGAAGATGCCAAGTTTTGTGTATGTATGTTTAACTGCAAGGCAACATTGGTAAAAGTAGAGAGCAATGGAGAAGTGACTTTAGAGAACATATATAATATCAAAGAATATATATAATATATTAATCCTTAGGATTAATATATTATATAGAGAAGTGAGGTGTTAGTTTATTTATACAACAAAATTCTCACCCGTCATATTGATTCAAATCTGTGTCTTCATTCATAATGTGATCTTTTGCATGGTTTGCTCTTTCTGTTTCTGAGATGCATGAAAGTAATTCAGTATACATACAAAACATTTAATTATATTAAAAGAACAAATATCTCTCTCAAAAAATCTTACCAATGAAATCATATTCTATTTCAGCTAAGTTGAACAATGGTCTGACTTTGTTTTGGAAAATTCTAGGTGCCTGTCGACGTCCTCCGTATGGATTGACAAAGACTAAAAGTTTTTTAGGTCTGTTGTACCCTATGAAATCAGATCTTGAATTGATAATTGTCTGCTAAGATACATATTAATACCCCAATTAATGACAAACCTTTACCTTTCAATAAATCTTCAATCCTCTTAAACCATTTAGTTCCTTCTACAGCAGAAGGGAAAGTAAACACAGCTTTTCGATGATGCCACTTCAGATTATCTTTCTTAGCAACAACATGCAAACAGAAAGAGGTTATTTTATTTTCTTCATTGAGGATATTCATTTCTATGTCTTTCTGTTGCGATTCGTACATTGATTCACATGGCTTGATTGTGATAACTCGCTTTATATTTAAGCTGTGACTTTGTTCTACGGTAAAAAAAAACATATGAAGAAATATAAGAATTTAATTGCTTGCCAATGCTTGGTTGGTGAAGGATTCTAAAGATTCTAACATTCATCACGAAATTCACACACTCAATCTTGGAAACAAATACAATGTCAAAGTAAGATTCAATTTTTCAAAAGCGACTATTTTCATTTCTTTAAAAAGGTAATTCAAACGTCACGCATTGCCTCACACAAACATACAAATTACGATCAACAACATTGTCAAATCATGTACAATTTCGGCTTGAAGACCCTTGAAAAGGGGAAAATAATACTAACCAGAGTTTATTCCATGTGTTCGACAGCGACACCAACTCAAAACATCGTTCTCTAGTTTGCCAAAATATTGCTTACGGTTAATGAAGACACGCGAATTAAGTGGTTCATGTTCATTTATGTCTGCCATGTTTTTACATTTTAATTAATTCCAAGCATGTACTTCATCTTAGCTATTAATATTTGCAGTCATTTCGCCGACAGCACCGTTTGGCGGACGCGCCTGGCAATGGTGCCTGGTCAGTGGTCTCCATTTGTGCTAACGTTTTATTGTTAAGAGGACTTCCTGTGAGTTTAGGAAATCCTGTTTTAAGGATAAAGGGTCAACTAATGCAGCAACCACCGAAATACGAACACCGAAAGACCGAACCACCTCACCACTGATAGACCGAACAACCGAAATGACTGAAAAACCGAAAGGATTATAAAAATTGCAAGTCATCTTTATGAACTACAGAGGCAGGTCACAAATGGTCAACTCTCAATTCCCACTTTTTCGTATTAAGCAAGTTACAGTGAAGCAAATAACTAGAAATAATAGAAATAGAAGCTATACATATTTTACACAACCGCGCATACTTCATTTCTTTTGCTGTTATAGAAAGCCAACGTTTCGAACAGCAACGAAATTTATCACTTTGTATAATCATCCTGACTTCGTGAAAATCCAGAGAAACTTTCAAATTATCCCAATTTATGATAATCTACAATCCTTTCGTGTCAAGACTGACCACCAGATTAAGTAATGGCGGACATTGCTTGTAAGGTGGTAATACCAGTTGCACCTGGAGCACGTCTACTGACTCCCAGGTCCCTCGTGGAACGAGCATAGAGCAGGCTTTTGAATGTGCGTGCAATTTCAGGATGACGTAATGCGTACACAAGGGGATTCAAAGCGCTGTTACAGAAGTGGAGGAACTTCAACGCCATACGAACATTAAAGTTGAACTCTTTGATTTTCCTAATTCTGACGACGGCGTTTGTGATGATGAATGGAAGGAAGCAAATACAAAGAACTGCAATTAACATGGCTACAGTCACCAAAACTTTTGTATCCTAAACACAAATGTTTATATTCTTCGTTTGTAGACGATAGAAGATAGGATTGGGGGGGGGGGGGGCAGGTTGACCCATTATTCGGGTAGAAAAATGATGTGGTAAAAAACTGAAATCTGGTTGAAATTGGGAGGCGATACCTAATTGCCGGGATGTATACGTACCTACGGAATTATGCAAAATCTCACCTCAGAAACATGAGAAAATGCTATTGGGGTACTCTAGATTAAAATTTTTTTCCGTGCAGCATGCCCCTAGACCCACAGAAAAGGATCAGGTATGATTACATCCTTCCTAAACCTAAAGTCTGACTGATCTGCCACTGATCACATCTTCATGACTTGTGATGTAAGAGACAATAAACAAAAAATAGCTTTATATTCCAACTTGCGCACAAATCATGTTCAAACTCTAACCTTTGTTTGTCGTGCTCGAGAACTCTTCGCGACACTTCTCAGAAGGATTATGTTTGCAATCGTAAGCAACACCAAAGCGACGCCGATGTTTGCTATCAACGTGAAATAAACAAAGCAATCTGCACAAGATTTTGGCAAGATCACTTTATGAAAAAGCGGAGGAATGGTGATAGAAATGCACCAAACTAGCAGACACATCAGAATAACTGTTCCTATAAAAATGTATATATCTATAGTGAGAAGGGATCGAAAGTAATCGAGCTTTTACTTTACCATAAACAATGTGGTTAAAAGGAAATAATTAGTTATAACATAACTTCACATTTTACAAAATAGTTTAACTGGAGTATTAGTAAATACTCGGATGACAATACTATTTCTGATTACACATCATATACACTACGAAAACTCATCTCAAAATTTAACTTGTCCAGACAACGTAATCAACAAAACAGTTTTCATAATTTCGTAAAAGCACTATTTCTAATGCGCATTTAATGTAGACCACAAATTTTTTGAAAATAGACATATTTCGACATCTCATGATGCCATCCTCAGTATGAGTGAAGAATTACATAAATAATACAAAGTTTATATAAAAGTAATATGATACAGTAACATAAATATATAAATGTGGATAAATTATAACAATAATAAGGAAATGAGATAAATAAATGGACATACATCGGACATTACTCAAGACACACACAGCGCAGACTTATGATTATTATGAAACGCTTCTGTACAGATATTGACATTCGACGAATTTTCACATCATTTAAAATCAAAAACTTCTTCTCATTCAAAGACTCAATCCCTAGCTGATTCAATCAAATCAATGATGGAATATGAATTCAATTGCATGAGATGTAATTCCAGTTATATTGGCGAAACTTCGCGCCATTTATCCAGAAACAGGGAACAAACCACAACAGGCAAAAACTCTAATATCTACCGACACCCTCTTAAATCTCATTCATGTAAAACCAACTATTCACCCTCTTGCTTCGAAATCATCCACACTGCCAACACCACATTCTCCCTTAAAATCAAAGAAGCACTCCACACTAACAAAACTAACCCTGACCTGAATGTTCAAGTTTTTAGATTCAACACAATATTTAGTTTGTAGGAGCTAACACGCTCCCCATCTATTTATCTCATTCCCTCATACTGAGGATGGCATAATGAGATGTTGGAACAAGTCAATTTTCCAAAAATTTTTGGTCCACATTAAAACAGTTTTTAAACATAAATACTACTCACTGTTGTTCATTTGGCGATGTTGCAAAGGCGACCATATGGAATAAGATCTCAGCCAATGAAGCAAAACTAGTTGGTAGACGGAATTAAAGCCCAAACCTTGATCGATATACTGGTAAGCTAAACTTAAGCGTGTCTGCCATATTTTGAAAGGTGGTCCGGCCATAAAATGATAATTACCAGTGTATAACCACAAGGGAATAACAATAGCACCAACGAGAAGATCTGCAACTGCCATGGAAACAATCACCATGTTCGTCGTGGTTCGTAGTCTACAGTTTTTGTAAAAGGCAAAGAGAGCTACGAAATTACTGAAGACAATAATCAATGCGAGGATGCTGTGTGTTCCAACAATCCCGAGAAACCAACCCAACTGTGTGAATCTCGGGTGGAAATTTGAGTAGGAGCCATTAACCAGTGATATGCAGTTCTGTGATGTGCAATTCAATGCTGAAAATGGAAAAGTTTCATCAAAACTTCAGAAAGTGAAACAAGCATAAAACAAAGTTCTACGACATACGAACGAAAGCAAGGCGACACAATTACATATTACGTAGATGTGACATCATTGAATGAACAGCAACAGAAAAAACATCACATGTCACAAAACTCACTTCAAAAATCTTACAAAAAACTTTGGATTATTAAAGTGGAACTTTTTGATACATTTTATTTATTATTTTGTAAGACATTTTTGTATTTTCTGGTTAACACATAAATTACATTGGAGTTCAAATAAAAACTGCTAGCTATTACTCATCACCTTTCTCCCAAAAAGTCACACATTTTTCTGAATAATTCGTTAGATCATTCGTTCGAATTTCACTTCATGTTACAATCACAAAATCAAATAAAAATCGCGTAAATGTGAATTCTATGAACAGCAAAAAATAAAAATATGCTCACTTGAATTTTCCATTATTGTGCTGCTGTAATCACATGTCGAGGAAGCGTATTCTAAATGATAACCAAAACGATCACACTGTTTTTATTTTCATATCTTTAAATATCCAACCAGCAAGCCAGCCAATCCACATTCATTAATTGCCTCAAATGGACAGTGGCCAGTCAACAGCATAAGCCAATCAGGATGTAAGAAAAAAATGACTCGTAAGATTTCTTTATGATTTGAATGTACTTGTAAACAGCTTCAATTATCCAATATTCTTCTCTTTTCAATCTTGTTTCATTTTTCTGAAAGATTCTTCACGGCATATGCAAACTTTTTAGACAAGAATCTTGCTAATTTTGCACCTTTTCTTTAAATTTTCCTGTCCGCTTTTATTTCCTACGAGGCAATCCGATCAATGACATCAAGTGCCAATCAACCAGATGTGCACAGTTATTCAAAGCGGTGAATTTAATTGTTCATCTGTATGGCAAATTTAAAATTTACTTTAAAAGTTAACACAATTTTTAAAGCATACACTCGACAAGGATTTATGAATGAATAAATTCATAAATGCATTCAACTTTAGTGATCAGTTTCCAAATTGGGAAAGCTCCACACATGTATAATTGCACGAACTTAAAAATAAATTGAATATTTAACAACGATAAAATACCCAAAATGTTCATTATTTCGATTGCAAACATGACGTTTGACTTGCAGGTGTCTCGTATTAAATCGCATGCAACTGCTTGCTTAGGGTAGAAAATGAACAAATATTTATTATTTGATCTTCTTGTGACAAATTTATAACAGAAAATAAGACTTGAAAGAATCATAAAAATTAAAATCAAAGGTCAAATGTTTCGCACTGTCTGCATAAACACACGTTATGTCAGCATGCATGGCTGAAAACTATGAATTTACGCAATTTAAATAAAATGTATCACAACGCAATTGAATAAGAAGAGCAAGTCGTCAAGTTGTCAGTCAAGAAAACAATGTAACTTATCAAATCTTTTATCAGTACAGGTAGCACACACGACCAATATATATTCATGCATTAATACGAAAGTTAATACATATTGATTAGGATACCTACAGTAACATTTGAAGCATTCTATCAATTCAAGAGAGGCATTTGAGTTGCGAGATAGTACATGCAAACCTGACAACTCTAATTTAGTACAGACTTATATGTTATTAATGGCATAGAATTATACAGCTCCTATTAGATTAGATTTATTTAAAATTTTTTAAGTGTATAGAGTCACATATCAGAAGTCGGTATCATATAATTTGTATTTCCCTACCTACTGATTTATGATGTGAATTTGTAATTCGGCCCACACGCTTCACTGTGATGAAAATGTAAAAAACAGCAATACAATTTGCGAAGCTAATTGATTCGAACTGCTCTCACTTATCGTGCTCGAAAATTTAATCTACATAGATAATTGTCGAAAATTTTAAGCATTTTTGCAGCTGTTGAGTGATGTGAGCACTCGGTCAAAAATATCCGTACGAGATGTTGAAGAATACTTTCGCGCAGTTTTTTTCCACTAATGAGAGAAACATCCGATATATGTACGACTTGCAGCATATATAGGAGAAACGATATCTCAATTGACGATAATATTTTCTGAAATATTCACTCATCTCAACTACACTTTAGGTTTTGGAAATACTGCAATGTCAGTGATCGATTGATTGTATACAACAAGCGAAATTAGGAAAAGTAAAAGTTGTAAAATTCTAGTACAAAACAGGGAAGTTCTCGCGCTTAAAGCGTACACCTCGCTCGCTGTACACGATAGTTGATAATTTCTTCCGATCAAGACTCTACTTTTAACTCGTTAGCACAAAAAACAACACACAGTTTAGCACATCAAATTTTCTTTTTAATAAGAATGCTAAAAGGAAATTTCATGTGCTTAACTACCTATAAGTAGCCAAGCGGAAAGATTTAAAATGCGCGTGGATTAAAATCAAGCACAGCATATTTGCCTCCACTTTAATTAAACTGACAGTTTTGTCTGATAACAAAAAACCCTTTCCCCGAATAAAATTGCTCACTTCAACACTCACTTCTTCCCGTCCAAGTGTTTAGACGCTTATCGTCTTGAAGATGTTAAAACCATCTTCTCCGGTGCTGATAACAACTCCAGGTAACTGTGAATGCCAGTGAATTTCTTTTATGTCTTTCTGCCCCTATATAGAAAATGCATCATTGAACAGATAACTAAGTAGTATAATAACTCAACGCTAAGATGTCAACAGCATACCATATGAATAAATAACAACTGCGGTGGTACATCAACACTATTTCCTTTTTCTTCGTCGTCTTTCTCGACAGCCAAATCCCAAATGCTGATCTGATTATCAGATCCCGAAGCAGCAAATACTGAATTATCCGTAGCTAGCCACTCGACAGAGGTTATAGCATCTGTATGATGCTTGAACACAGCGACAGCCTCGCCGCTAAAAGACAATGGTTTATGTGCACTTTATAACTAGTACATAATCACAATGGAAATGTCATTTCTGAAAACGTACGTTTTAAACCGTCTCAGATCCCAAATTTTGACAATACCATCGTCACCACCTGATACAAGTAAAGGTTCATTCCTAAAGAAACAAAATGAAGTTTTCGTGAAGTTGATTTTAAAAACACTACATCACAATCCACATTCATATGAACTCTACATACGCTTAGCGTTAGTCTACGTAACTCCATGAAGGCAATTTTTACCTATTCCAAGATATTACATTGACATCAGTAACATGCGCATTGGTAGTAAGCATACATGCTTTTGATGGAGCTGCTCTGATATCCCAAACTTTAATAGTTTTGTCCACGGAGCAAGAGGCAAATACCTAAGTAAGAATTTCAACGTAAAATATGTTCTTAGAAATGTCACCAATTGTCACCAACATATGTCATTGAAACTAATACAGAAACATACAGTTGGCTCATTTGGACTCCACTGAAGATCTTCAACAGAATTAGTGTGTGATGAAAATGGTCTCTGATCAATTTGCCAAGATCCATCGTCAGTTGGATTCCACAAATGAATATTTTTACGACAATCTCCAGTTAACAACCTTAAATAACAAAACCACAACGACAGATAAACAAATATATTCAATATAGTTTGTAGTGAGTTCTGAACTGAGGGAACTGTCTAAAGAACAAAAATTATGCAATATAAAATTTAAACATAGCATTTGTGTGGTCAAAAAGTGTCCCGTCCACACACTTAATAGCGACTTTGCAGTTGCACCAAATGTCGTAAATGACAATTTTTAAGAGCAAACATCTTTTGGTAAATTTTATGCCCTCTTCAGTGCAAAGTGAATAAGTATAGTTACAAAGATAAAAGATAATATATGTTTATCTTTATGCAATGAAAGCAAAAGTACAGAGATTAGTTTTGGTAGATACTGCTCATGACATTAAACGCAAAGAAGCCTTTTATATTAAAAAGTGTACACTTTGCAATGAAGATGGCATAAAGTATGCCGAAACATGTTTGCTCTTGAAAAAATTGTTTGTCATATGAAATGTCTGGTGGATTTTGTCGATATCTTTACCTTCCATGTGTTGTTCGAGACCAATCCATTGCAAAGCCTTCTGTCTAAACAAAAATTACCAAACGTTTTAATTTCTGAAGCAAGTTAAATCAAGCACAGAAAACAATGACCATTTTTAATCATGCCTGATGTCCCGTAAAAGTATACAAAGGCTTGTGATTGGTACTTGTCTCGGTCATCTTCTGGTTATCCTTATTATCTAATTGAATAAATTGATGAGAGATGTCCCAAATACAAACTTTCCCAGTATCAGACCAAGTTGACACTAATTCACGTCCTGGTATATGTGCGCACTAAAACAATGACCACAGATTTATAGAGCAGATGCTTCATGGTTTCAAAGAGCCTGGGACTTACCCTGATGCGGTTAACTACTCCATTATGTTTTATTTGTTCCATTATCAACTCAGGTTCTTCATCAATGATATCTTCATCATCACCTGAAAACATTCAGTTCAAACTAAAAATCAAAGTATGTTTACAAAAACAATTGTATGAGAATTTTCACATACAGGGCTTCAAAACTTTTCTCTTTACCCCACTCTCTATTCTTCTCACCCACACCACTCTCCGCAATCTTTCTCACCCACACCATCTCCCCGATCCTTCTTACCCCACCACACTCCAATATCCTTCTTACCCCAATCCTTTTCCTTCTCCCCAACCACTATCCTTCACCCTAATCTCTTCATCCCAACCACTCTCCCCATCCTTTTCACCCAACCACCTCCCTATCCACCCCAACCACTCTCCCCTATCCTTCACCTCACCTCAATCCTTACCCCACTCACCTATTCTTCTCACCCCACAACTCATCCTTCACCCCCACCAAACTCCCCACTGAACTTGATTTAAACATAGAAGGTAAAACAAAGAAAATTGATAAACATGCGTACTACGCTCTTCCTCCATTTCTTGTAACTCAGACATTTTCATCACATTCACAAAATTTTGCTTTCCATTAGCTGACTGCGTTCCAGCAACAAGATACATAGCCATAGGAAACTGAAAAAATATATCTGGGTCAATCTTAGCAATATTATGCTAAGGAAATTTTAAAAATCCTCTTACTTCTGTTCTATTTTCTCCAAGATTATCTGTAATAACATCAAAACTCAAGCATGGGGACCACAATGTACCTAAAACATTAGATATGATTTTTTATCAAAATATGTGCAATTGCAGGGAAAAATTTCATAAAATTTCATTGCCAGATAGGTCTGAGACTAAGGTATTCAAAGCTTTGTAAATACATCATAAACTTTTAATTTTGAAAACCAATTTGCAGATTCAACAATGAATTTTAGGCAATTTCAGGGAAAAGTTATATGAAAATAACAAAAATGACAAGTTTTGTCACAAAATGTAATAAGTCATACTTTGTGATACATTTTATATGCTGAAGTGTCAAATGTCAACTCTTCTCCTTCCTCTATTGGACCACCAGGAAGAAAAACCTGCAATATAATAATTCTAATTTAGATCTAATAAAAACATTGGAAATGCTAGGTCAAATTAGAGTACAATGATTTTTATAGAAATTACTCTTCATAAGTAACTTGTTGACATAAAAGCACAAAAGAGATTATTACTTGCTGCTCAGTTGATGGCTTTGATTCAGCCTCACTTATTTCACTACTTTCCATTGCATTTTCATCGGAATTCCCATTATTATTTGTTTTAAGAGCTTTCTTCTTCTTTTTCTCTTCTTTTTCTTGCGCACTTTCGAAGATACTACTTGAGTGGAGGATGTTGAAGGGACTAACAAAGTTTCCAAATATAATTATAAAGAAATGTCACATATGTAAAATAAATACATTTACACACTCAGAGAAGTTTAAAATGCTCTAAAGTCAAAAATACATAGTTCTACATAATCAGTTAATTGCCTAACACAAACACAATTTTAGGACTGCTTTCCAAAAATTAAATAAAAAAACCATAGAAATGCCCAAATAAACAAATATAAGAGCAAGTATTCTAATAACAACCAGAAGAAAACCATTACTCTTCAATTAAAATATAACTTTAAAATTCCAATCCACTTCATAAACATTTATTTTTTTATTAAATACTGTAAATGCATTCAGAGTTCAGAACACCACTCAAAAATGGTAGTAGAAAGTTTTGAGAACATGATAAAAATAGTAAAATGTTAGTTAATAATAGTCTAAGAAGAAGAGTTCTTTCGATCATGCTCATTGCTCACCATCTTCAATTTCATTATTCATCTCGCCATTTTCATTATACTCAACATCCATTTTATCTTTAAAGAAATTATAAAATTTTTCTCTTAAATAGAATATAATTCCTCGTTGTTCTTCATACTATAATCACAGAAGTCGGTTGTCAAAATACACTACCTTTTTCCTCCATTTTCACACACGTGGCCTTTAAAATCATTGTATCACCCCCCGTAACTTAAAATTACAATTATACAATAGAATATATTTTTGGAGATGTCAGGAGGTGGATCCAAACTGAAACCAGTTGCGATCAAAACAAACAGAATATTTAAATGGCGACGAAAGAAGGTAGTGCGAAAACTAACTTAAAGCCGGGAATTATCTATTTTAGCAGACTCCCGCCTTTCATGAAACCTGCCAAAGTTAGGTATATATTTGGTCAGTATGGAGAGATTGGAAGATTGTTTTTGCAACCAGAAGGTACGGAGAAAATTAGGATATATTTAGTCGTTCATTGTTGTAATTTTATTAATCAGTCAGAACGAACACTGAACTTCTGTTGCTATATTCAAATTCAATAAAACATAGTTTTAATTCAGACCAGATGGTCAGAAAAAGACGCAAGAAATACGGAGGGAATAAAGGCAAAAGTTTCACCGAGGGATGGTTGGAATACAAAGATAAAATGGTGGCAAAATCTGTGGCAACAACACTAAACAATACCATTGTAGGTTTGTACTCTATAAAATGAATATTGCTATGTCTTACCACCCCAAGGTAAGTAATTCTGTTCTTTGACACACACTATACATGCGCTGTAAGATAAAAATGTTAATCTTGCTCACATTGTCGAACATTTCCTGTAGGAGGCAAGAAAAGAAACTATTACCATGATGACATTTGGAATATAAAGTATTTACCTAAATTTAAGTGGTCCCACCTAAGTGAAAAAATTGGTAAAATTCATAAGCCAACTAATGAAGCTAGAGCATTGGATTTGTACAGAGAAATATGTTTTTGTATATTTTCAATAGCTTACCAGAAAGCAGTTCGGGAACAGCAAATGAGGACTGAAATTTCTCAGGCCAAACGAGAGGCCAACTATTACTTAGAAAATGTTGACAGAAATAAAGCTTTGAAAGCCATAGAAAAACGAAGGAAAAATAAAAACTTAGGAGACATAAATCCTTTGGTAAATAAACATTGAGTTTTAACATAATATCAATGTAAATACAAGGTACAAATTTACCGGTAACAAACATTTCACACAGTCAATTGTAATGCACCTCTTAAAAAGGTGTCATGTGGTATGTTTTATACATTTTGAAGTACTGTCACTGCCAAGCTCAAACCATTCATTTTATACTATATTTGTTTGTTGATACACATGCAACATGTGAGCAGATATAAATACAAATTGACCTGATAATATACATACAACGTAGCCATTCATGAAACTTGAAAATGAAAAGCATGGTTTGGAGTTGCCTATGTATATCCCAGGCACTTTTGTAAATTATGAAATTTTTTGACATTAATTTATATATGATAAATATGCCTTTTTCTTCAGCCTAACAAGAAACCACGCTTTGAAAGAACTATAGAAATGAAAACTAACATTGAAATTGGCAGCCGTAATTCTAAGTCTAAAATCAGCCAAAGTTTATTGAAAAAGGTTTGTTTTTCTTGGTTATAAAGTAAAAAACAAATGTTCATGCTGTAACAATATTAATTGTTCTTCTTTTTAGATATTCACTGGAGGAAATGCTTGAATAACATCATTTATATCAGAAAAAGAAGGGAAATTATCAGCAGACAGATAATATCCATGGTAGACACGGATAACTATTTGTAAATTGGTTGCAGTTGCATAAGAATTATCTTTTCGAGATGTAATTCTTGCAACCTTGACGTTGTAATTATATTATACAAATTCCTATTTATATCATCAGAGTTTAAGCATTGTATTCTACCATCATTTCTTCAACAGCAGCCTTTCTTTGTTTGTCCAGGTGGCTGTTCGTCCACAATTTCCACACCTCTTCTTTTTGTTGAAGCTCCACGTCCCCCTCTTGATTGTCCGTTGTTTTGAGTTGCATCTGCTGTGGCCACCATTGCTACATGTTTTTAAAGAAAAAGTTCTTATCAGGGTCATACTTTGCACGTCTGGTTGGCTATTTTAGACAGTCTCCATTTTTAATAATACCTAAAAATGGAGACTTTCAAGTATTGGAAGTAGATTGTAAATGAAATGTTAATATCAAAGCAAAAAATATCCTTCAATCTCAAAAACTTTGGCTAAATAAAAAAAAATTATAAATTATGATAACCAGTTGTAAATGACCAGGGTAATTTAGCTTAACAATTATATATTCCACAAAATGTTTGATGAAGTAAATGAAAAAGACAAAACCAATTCAGGTGGCATGGTGGAGGTAAAATCATTAAGAAATAAGTTACACAAGACATTCAATTGATATATTGAACTCTCAAAATACCAGATACAAGTCCAATGTTGATAATTATACATGTCACACAAAAATTGCACAATGAAAACATGAACAATATGTGTGCAAGAATAAGCCTTGATATTCATTCTTTAAAAAGTTGTATTACAAATGACATGAAACAATGTCCTTCCTACTCAGGTTAAAAAACTAAATCTTATTTAATCAGTGATTTACTATACCTTTAGAAAGATCAAGAAACAATTCATCTACTCCTTTGTTAAGTTTTGCTGAAGATAATAAATGTCTTGCTCCAACAGACTTTGCATACCTACAATAAATCTCATTAGCTTTGTTGATTGATTAAATGTTGAAGATTGGACTTACTCTTCAGCTTCTGTACCATCAACATGCCTGTCTTTTTCCAGATCAATTTTGTTGCCTAAAGAGAATGCATAAATTGTTGACAATTGAGGTATCCTTTTGATCTGATTTGCAAGAGGACCAATTCTGACCAATTTTATTTTTTTAATTATAGACAGTAGATGAGTAGCCTTATTTATGTTTGGCTGGCAAGCAGATCAATTCTAAAGGAAGTTAACCATAGTTGCTAGTGTTGCCTAAGCACTAGATTAAATCTGCCACGCAGACAAAACATAAACAACGCAAGTTGTCCATAAGCTTACCTACAATACACAAACATATGTCATCTCCAACAATTTTTCGAAGTTCTTTTACCCAATTTTTTACCTTTGTAAGATAACCATTTTATTATCATGGTAAATAAACGTAGCTTCATGCGCAAAACAGGCAAAATACATTTGACATTCGAGATGCTTACCTTTTGAAAAGAGTCTTCATCAGTTATATCATAAACTAATATTGCTCCATTACTAAATATGAAAAACATTGTTTGAAAGAAATACTAAGTGAGACAATGTGTAAGATTAGAAAATTACCTATCTCTGTAGTATATTGGACCTAATGCATGAAATCTCTCCTGGCCAGCAGTGTCCTACAGCAACAAATGAAAACAACGTGATCAAATACAAATTAATGCTAATTGAAATGAAAGTTGGACTGACCCAAATTGAGAGACCAACTCGTTTGCCATCGATATTGAGCTTCTTTGTTAAGTATGATGCCTGAAAAAATATATTATCATATGTACAATTTATAACCAAAGAAGTGACTAGACAGTTTGACAATGGGACTATTATTTATTATTCAGTGTTGCAATGTTTCAAAAAGGAATAATGGAACTCAGTTTATATCCTGTTATAAGTTGCAACATACTATTAAAGGTAATAATTGGGGAATTACTTTAATGCCTAAACAAATATGCATTTCTAAACAAAGTATGAAATAATATTTTATTGCCAAAGTTTAGCAACTCATAAAACGTAATAATCGAACATAACATGCTTGGATCAAGCAAACTTACCTGTAAAGTGGTCAAGTGTTTGTCATTAAACTTGTCTTGACAATAACGAAGTACAAGTGAAGTTTTGCCAACACAACCTTCTCCCAAAAGTACAACTTTAAATTGATATTTCCCATCAAGACCAGCCATTAGCACTTGTATTCTTGCTTACATAAACATGAAAATCAATAAAGTGAAGACGGTGCTGTGATGTAGAAGTTCGCATGAACGATATTCCACGAAAAGAGGAAGTTTTTGAAAATCTCTCAGATGCAGCTTGTAATCTATACCAAATAATGAACGAAATTAAGGGAAGTGATGTAGATGTGCCGGTGTGGTCCGTCATTTGTCGTAATGCTCCGTAGTCGCGACATTTTTGACGAGTAAATTGGAAAGGCGAGTAATTGGTGTTCGAGTAGCACATGTGCCATTATGTTCATACTTCAAATTGCCATCATTAATTGATATTGTGGGTATTGTATAAAACGAAAAACCAAGAAGATACGAATCTACTGAAATTATGGTAAGTAATATTACCTTGCTTCTGTTATTAAACTATTTCTGCGTCGTTTATGCGAGGTACAAAGCCATAAGTTTGTTGTTTATGTCTTTCATGTCAAGGTTTCCTTGAATCCCGTACAAATATTTAAAGCTGGAGCGGACGAAGAGAAAGCCGAGACTGCACGATTGGTAATCTCTCTCCTCTTTTAAGTTACACTTTTCAGCTCATTAAAAAGTTCAATTTTGACAACATCAACGTTATCTTTCTTGAAATGTAGTCATCCTTTGTTGGTGCTATCGCTATTGGTGATCTGGTCAAAAGCACCCTTGGTCCAAAAGGCATGGTAGGGGAAAACCCTCCTTTGTTGGATGTAATACCTTTATATAATAATACCTTTCCATGTCTTTATGTAGGATAAGATCTTGCAATCTCTTGGGAGAATTGTGATATTCAAGTGACTAATGATGGTGCCACAATCTTAAAATCCATCAATATTGACAACCCAGCTGCCAAAGTATTAGTTGGTATGTAAGTCTTAAATTATAAAATATGACCAAACTAAACATTTATATATTTTTATAAACATTTATATAAAATTTAGATATTTCCAAGGTGCAAGATGATGAAGTTGGTGATGGAACTACCAGTGTAGTTGTTTTGGCCAGTGAGCTTTTGAGGGTAAAGTTCTTTATACAATAATGAATCACTATTCCTGTTTGATATATGAAGCAATGATGAGAAAGTTCATGCCGAATCAACATCCTTGACCTGTGGCTAGTTCTACATGATCTGAGCTTCTTGGATATTTGAAACTTTTCATCCTATGCAATTCAGATTTCCCAAAATTGCAAGAATTTTCTCTATAGGAAGCAGAGAAGCTGATAGCTTCTAAGATTCATCCACAGACAATAATAATGGGTTGGCGTAAAGCTGTCAAGGTTGCTCAAGCAGCCTTGGAGTATTCAGCTGTGGATCATGGCCAAGATGATGCAAAGTTTCACGAAGATTTAATGAACATAGCAAAGACAACATTAAGCTCAAAAATTTTAGTCCATCAGAAAAATCATTTTGCAAAACTTGCTGTTGATGCTGTTCTAAGGCTGAAGGTTGTTCCTTTGCGTCTATATTCTACTCTTGAAAATTTCTCACAGCCAATGTGCAAATGTAGGTACAAATACCAAACAATAGAAACCATTTGCCTTAACAGGGAAGTGGAAAGTTAGAGGCTATACAAGTCATAAAGAAACTAGGTGGAAATCTTGCCGACTCTTACCTTGATGAAGGTTTTCTTTTGGATAAGAAAATTGGTGTTAATCAACCCAAGCGAAAAGAAAAAGTGAAGATATTAGTTGCCAACACTTCCATGGATGCTGATAAAATAAAGGTTACTTAAACATTATTGGCTTCTGTTACTAAATGACATTCATGAACGCACTTCTAAAACTTCTATTTCAAGGTTTTCGGTTCTAGAGTAAGGGTTGATTCCACTAAAATTGCTGAGTTAGAATTGGCAGAAAAGGTAGATATGTAGATAGTTTCATGCTGTATTTCAAATTTTTGTTACCTTAGTTTCCACTGGATCTTCTCTCATTTCTCCAGGAAAAAATGAAAGATAAAGTGGAGAGTATCTTAAAGCACAATATAGATTGTTTTATTAATAGGTTTGTTTTTGTTTGAGGGGGGTGGGGGGTTTAGTGGATAGAAATATTACAACTTAACACCATACAATCTGTTCTCCTTAGACAACTTATATACAACTATCCTGAGCAATTGTTTGCTGATGCTGGAGTGATGGCAATAGAGCATGCCGATTTTGAAGGTGTGGAAAGATTGGCACTTGTCTTAGGTGCCGAGATTGTGTCAACATTCAGTAAACCTGAACTTGTTAAACTTGGTCATTGTGACTTGATAGAAGAGGTCATGATTGGTGAAGACCAGGTTGGTAGGTTATAAATAAAGAGAATGTCTGTTGAAATGTAGAAACCCTCCCAACAACTCAACCCCTGAACTGTTGGTCTTGGTCCCTTCATTGGTGAAGACCAGGTTGGTAGGTTATAAATAAAGAGAATGTCTGTAAATGTAGGGAAACAATAGGTGAAGACTAGTAGTTGGTAGGTTATGAATACTAGGTCTGTTGAAATGAAGACTAGGTTGGTAGGTTATGAATACTGTTGAAATGTAGGGAAAACAAAGGTGAAGACTAGGTTGGTAGGTTATGAATAGAGGGAATGTCTGTTGAAATGTAGGGAAACAAAGGTGAAGACTAGGTTGGTAGGTTATGAATAGAGGGAATGTCTGTTGAAATGTAGGGAAAACAAAGGTGCCCTGACACTTATTTTCCTTTCATTTTATGGATACGATGATATCAACACTTACAGTTGATTCACTTTTCTGGATGCGCTCTAAACGAGGCTTGTACTATAATTATACGTGGTGCTACTCAACAAATATTAGAAGAAGCTGAACGTTCCCTTCATGATGCCTTGTGTGTACTCACACAGACCGTTAAAGAAACACGAACTGTCTTTGGTGGAGGTCTGGAATTGCTGCGTGCTCAATCCAACAGGATTGTTCGTACGCGAATTTCCCTTTCACTATTTGTATATTTTGTTGCAGGTGCATCTGAATTGCTTATGGCTAAAGCCGTTGGTCATTTGGCTTCAAAGACACCCGGTAAAGAATCAAGAGCCATCGAGAGTTTTGCAAATGCACTTCGACAAGTATTTATTTCTCTGTTATAATTCACGTTACAGTCACGTGTGGTAACTAACATTATTGGATGTTGTATTAGATTCCCACAATTATCGCTGATAACGCCGGATATGATAGTGCGCAACTCCTTTCTCAACTGAGGGCAAAACATAGCGATGGTGAAAGTCGTTATGGTTTAGGTAAAGATTAATCTACCGGATACAGACTGACTAAATCACGGCTTAATACACTAGAGCTAAATTTATGATGGATGCAGTATGGTAAGACACGACATTTCCCGTTACCTTTGGACTGTTTTCAGTTCTTCTTCAAACTTCAAGCGACCTCTTGTTATTACCACATCAGTAATGTCAGCTCGTTGCTCTATCCTGAAAACTCGATAGTTCGAAAATATTTTTAGAACCCGAAAATATGTTTAAAATTTGGGACGTTCAGAGAGTTTCTAAGCGAAAACTTTTTCATGCAGACATACCACTCTTCTCTCTATTACAATTACAACTCTTTTCTATAATAACTACCACCTACCTCTATAAGAATTACAACTGTTTTCTATAATAATTGCCACCTACCTCTATAACAATTACAACTCTTTTCTATGTTTGTAAATGTAGATCGTCCAGGTTGGTATAGTCCTGAGAAGGACTGTTGTTGTTGTTGACTGACGTTTCGACAACCTTAGCGGTAGTCATCTTCAGAGTCAAATGTAACGATACTCCCGGGTTCAAACCATTTACTTTATTACTCTTTTCTATAATAATTACCACCTACCTCTATAAGAATTATAACTCTTTTCTATAATAATTACCACCTACCTCAATAACAATTACCACTCTCCTCTCTATAACAAAACCGCGCCTCTCTAAAAAATAACTATGACCCTCCACATGCATACTCGTAATTCAATGAAGATCACAAAATAAACTGAGTTTATAAACTTTACTTCATTCAACAAGTTGTTTTTCTTTGTTTTACAGATATGCGAACTGGCGTCATTGGAAGCATGGTAGAGTTAGGTATTACAGAATCATTCAAAGTCAAACAACAAGTGTTATTATCAGCAGCTGAGGCAGCAGAAATGATATTACGTGTAGATGATATAATAAAGGCCGCTCCACGGTAATTTGTCACTGATCTATTTACGTTTTTAGAAATACCTGGAATAACAAATATTCTCTCATTTTTCTTGTAGACAACGAAATCCTCGTGAAGATTATTGCGGTTGAGTGGAGATGTCTGCTAATCAGACGTGGTTTGTTTACACAAACATATTTAATGGTATTGTAGTTTGGAGATGGTAAAAAATTGTGTTAAATTAAAAATTTTATTTCAAATTGTTTTTGATTCAGTTCATTATTATTATGTGGAGCTGCTTCCTTCGGCAATAATGGGTTAAAATTTTTTACAATTTTAACATGAAAAACATTTTATAACCTATTTTTAATAACGATAGCAATGTTTCACATTCAGATCATAAGTAATGCAAAACCGTTTTTCAACCATCCAATCAAAAACCTTTTCTTAATCATCCAATCAACTCCTGCGATTAATATAATCAATCGTTAAACACGCACGCATAAAATGGCTCAAAATGAATTGGAATACACACTGATTTGGCTCATAGAGGCAGTAGTACTGTTATACAATTAAGTAAATTATGCCGTCGCAAGTCTACAAGAATCGGTGTTCTGAAACCTCACTATCACTTCGTTTGGATTCTGAAAACAGACTTGAGAATCGATCGTAGTTGATAAAGGAAAGAAGAAGAAAAATGCTTTCGAAAGTGGCAAATCGACCTCATGTCTAGTCGTAATCCAATAGAAGTAGTAATGATCATCAACATGTGTAAAGAATGAATTAATTTTATGTTCGTATTGTCTTTGACTGACATCAAAGATCGAACGAACTTGGATCAAATCACTGATATATGAATAATATGATACATATCTCTAACTACTGGCCATTTTAACCGGAAGTATAACGGTCCTAGAAAATTACACAAAAAAATATTCCTAAATCAAACTAAATGACTAAATGAAACATTCATTTATTTCTTAACATTTACCTGAATGGTACTTATAACACCAGTTGCCATGGTACTTATCTGTAAAATAATATTTTCATGTTGTTGAAATCTTTTATAAACTAGTTAACGTAGACTGGGCAACAAATGATTTGTATTTTTGACCGTTAAATTATAAACTATTTGAAACAATCTTGTACATTTACATCTCATACGCTCTGCCTTCTCCGCCATCCCCTTTCTACCTTCTCAGTTATCCTTTCTACCTTCTCAGCCATCTCCTTTCTACCTTCTCAGTTATCCTTTCTACCTTCTCAGCCATCCTTTCTGCCTTCTCTTCCTTTCTCCTTTTCTATTTTCCTCAGTTATCCTTTTCTTTACCTTCTCTGATTTTCAGAGATCTCCATCCTTTTGGATTTTTTTCTCCTTTCTATCCTTTCTATCCTTTCTCATCCTTTCTGCCTTCTCAGTTTCTCTTTATCCTTCATTTTATCCCTTCAACCTTCTTCCTTCAACCTTCTCACAAGTAGATCATACCTTCTCAGTCATGCGACCAATTCCCTCGCGTATTTGATACATATCAGGCGATTGAAACGATGATCCTCCTCTCTGCCCTACATAAGACATACAGTAAATAAGTCTGCATGATTGACAAATATAAGTGGAATGTTACCTATAAAAAATATATACGTACCACTTCGTCGTTGGTCTCCAAAAAAGTCTGCGCTTGATATAGCGGAAGCACCTGACATACGATCAAGCTTTGCTTTATTTTCGTAAGATGCCTAAATGTCGAAATTGAATTTATATAAGTGAACATTGACCACAGTCTCTCAATGCGACGAACTCCTCAAAAATAAAACGGAACTTGAAACGAGCATTGCCCTCCCAAAACATGAGATTTAATAAATAAAAACAAACTTAATGTGACTAAGAATAAATCTATCTAAACTGTGAAAAACATTTCACTTAATACCTAATTTAGAATTTTACAAAAGTTGTTTAAACCGTCAGAGAAGTTCATATATTTTATGTGTATTTTAATTAATTTCACTGTATATATATAATTGCTATAGAGTAGTGTATGCGAGCAAACATTTATCTACGCAAGGTATTCTTCAACAGAAAAATATAACGCAATAAATATATATTTTATTTTTCTGTACACAAAATAAAGTCTGAGATAAGGATACTCACATCAAAGTTTTGACCGAAGAATTGATCTGATGAAATCGCCTTAGCATTCCCAAACTTCCTCTGCGCTTCATCTACAATATGAAGAATTTAAAGTGGATAAAACAATCATAACTACACCATGACTTCATCAATAGAATTTACCTCCATTTGCAGCAGAAGATGAGCTGTTATACTTTCTGTTATTACCGCTGAATCAATAAAAACACATAGGAGTTACAATTTACTAACAGCCACGATGAAATTCATACAGTTTGCTGTGAAAATGAATTTACCTTTTCGATCTTCCTTCTGACCGAGGATAACTGCTATTGGATGCTCTATAAAACGAAACCAGGACACAAAATGGATTTAGTAAATGGGTGGATACCATGTTCACAAGTGATCATATAATAACTTACGGCTCTTCCGTTTCAAGAAACTCGTCCAACGAATAACTAGAAACGAAAAGGAGATTTCCATTATATTTTTATAAGAGAATTCAATTTATAGGACTTTTTAAATGAACGAAATCAATATTAGTTCACCTTGGAGCAGAGTCATGAACACTATATCGATCTCTATCATAACCACTGAAATTTATAGAATTGGATGTTATTACTGCACCATTAAATGGTAGAAGAATCGTCACATCTTTCTAACCTATCAAAATATCCATCTTCATCTTCGGGAGATCTATTTGAATATCTATCAAACGCAGTCTTGTATCTAGAATTTGATATTGGGTCAACTTGTTCCACGGTAGATAAACCAGCAGATGCAGAATGTGAAAGATGAGAAGGTTGTTTTGCGTTTCCAAAACCCATACCAAGTCTCTGCAATTGCGCTGCCTTGTTTGGATCGGTATGACGCAGTTTTTCCTGTTCTTTATCCATATTCTTTGGTTTGTAAGCGAGGTTTCCTGATATTTTTCCAGTTTTTTCAAACTCCTTCACATCCTCCGTTTTCACAGCAAGTTTTTCAGCTTTGTTGACTTCACTTTCCAACGCATTAAAGTCAGTTTTTACCTGATTCACAGAAAAAGAATCATGAACACTTTTACTCATTGTCCTGTTTATGGTTTTGCAGTTTGGATGCACAGGCGAAAAAACAATTTCAAGGGGAGGAGGGGGGGGGGAGACGTTCTCACTTAAATTTGAGCTAGGTTCACGAAATACAAAATCCTAACAAAAGCAAGTAGATGCAGTTCACCCAGGTTATTAGAGTCCTGAGGACTGTTGGTGTGGTGTTGATTGATGTTTCGACAACCTTAGCAGTAGTCACCTTTAGGGTAACTCTGAAGATGACTACGACTGCTTGGAATAAAGTCAACATTCCTTCTCAGGACTATACATACTTGGACGACCTACGTACGTGCAAAAGGCGCTATTGCTTAAACTGATTATAAGATAAAATAAATTTTCAGCTTACCTTTGTAGCACCTAACTTCCCCTTTTTTCCAGCAGACTAGACGCAAAACAAAAGAGTCAAAATTTAAGTGAAAACAAACTATGGTAGTAAACGAAAATCAAAACCAGATGGCCTCTCAAGACAGCTGCCCGGCATTTAAATTCACCTTTCCGACGGTTAACACACGTGTCAAAAATACAAGATCAAATTACAATTCGGACAATCAAATGGTAGGACATAGTATTGTATATGTAAAATGGTGGCATAGAAAGATGCTCTTGGAGCATTTGTAAATCTTATTTTAGAAATCCAGAAAGACTAATTATAAAGGCAGAAAGCGTAAAACTGAATAAAAACCATTTTCAGTCAAATCATAGAAAGCTTGGATATGACATGCAATATGCAGATACAAGGTTATAGAAAAATAAAACATCTCTAACATTGTCACGAATATTACGAAAGCCATAACAAAGTGTTGATGAACTTGATATGCATTTATCAAAACAAGCGTAAGAAGACAAAGAGCATGCTAAAAATATATGATTGAAAACTTGCTCAGCGCATCTACAAGCACCAATTTCAGAGCTTGCTCTGTCACAAATGAATCGAGAACTAATCTCAGTATGCGTAGTCAACTCCACCAACTTTCCAAGTTCATGGTCTGTACTAGGAACGATTATGGGGTAAATAACTCCCTCGGTCACAAATTTTCAGATAAATAATTTGCGCATGCGCAGTCTGCTTGAGCTTGGCAGTCGACTTGACCAGCTGCCCATGTTCATGATCAAGGCAACGACCAACTGCAACCAATAGCACCGATTTTGAAGTAAATAGATTTAGTAACGATTTAATATAGAAGTCATCTGCGCATGCGCTTGGGCATGCGTAGTTCAATCGACTAATTGTTTATAGTCATTGCAACGACTAACTATATGTACTCGCACTTCATTTGCGGCAATTAACTCACCTGGTTGCAAATTATCAAAGAAATCATCTGGGCATGCGCAATAGTGACTTCAATAACACCACAACTTTCGTAAGCCTTTGAATTTATGTATATATATAAATCTAACACCTCATATGCAGTGGCTTAGGGGCCCACACTTCGGTGGCAACCGCACTCTCCCTGCGTACCCCGAGCAAAGCTTATCGCAGGTGATCTTGGGGTCTGATGGGCGGAAGCTTGCTATTGCATCTCCCAAGTAGGATAGCGTGGAGGGGCCGAAATCTCCTACCGAAACGTTAACATGCGGCGTTCTAGTGCCTTACGCTTAAGAAGGTATCGCCAAGCATGGACCGAAAACGGGGTTTTTTGCTTTCGAATTATATCTTTTCGTTTTATCTTATCTCAAAGATAAAATTACCCAAGCAATGTTTCAATTAACTTCTTCTGACACTTATAATTTAAGACAACTTTCAACATGTTTTATACAATTTTTATTGGTTTATATCTTTCTGATTTAACTCTCTCATGTATCACGAGCAAACCATCCAAGGGCTTCATGGCAAACAAGGATCTTGACAAGGATTATCTGGTTCCCTTAATTAACATGCAACGCTCTAGTGCTCAACTATCTCGGGGTATCGGGAGGGATGGACCGAAAACTGGATTTTTTGTTTTTAAAATTCGTTTTTTTTTACAAGTTCTGGATATTCTTAAGTCACGCCGTAAAGGCCCGTAACAATTCTTACAAAAAAGTCATTAATGCGACAACATGCCAGCATTCAAGCTTTCCTTCGATCGTTATGCTTTCTTTCTAACCCAAAATTGCTAATATTTACTGTTATGCCATCTGCCTTTACAAATAATTGTTCTGAATAACTAGAATCAGATTCACAAATGCCCCCATTTTATTGCCACTATTCTACATAAACAATACTATGGCTGACCATTTCATTGTCGGAATTTTGTAATTTCATCTTGTATTTTTGACACGCGTGTTTACCGTCGGAAAGGTGAATTAAGCTATGACTAGCGGCCAATTTATTAAAAGTTTTATTTATGGCCATCGTAAAAAAACAGAGTGCTAAAAAAAAGGTACGCACCTTCTTGCCAGTTTTTCTTCCTCCAATAGTAGATGAACGTGTTTCTATTGAAATCAGATATGTAAAAATAGTCAATGCACTCTGGTCAATGCACACATTAAACAAAAAGGTTAATGCTGGAATAATACGCGAAAATTAAAAACTAGATGTCGGATAAATATACACGGCGTTGAATGTATACCTTGATGTTTTGGAGGTGATACAACGTCTTCCTCAACTTTTCCTATGCTACCTACAAAACCATAACTTATTCTTAGAAAACTGTAAAAACATAACTTATTCTTAGAAAACTGTAAAACCATAACTTATTCTTAGAAAACTGTAAAACCATAACTTATTCTTAGAAAACTGTAAAACCATAACTTATTCTTAGAAAACTGTAAAACCATAACTTATTCTTAGAAAACTGTAAAACCATAACTTATTAGAAAACTGTAAAACCATAACTTATTCTTAGAAAACTGTAAAACCATAACTTATTCTTAGAAAACTGTAAAACCATAACTTATTTTTAATCATGAAATATATGTATAGATAAAGTATCATGACTTCAAAACCTGTCACATCCTGTTCTACAAGTGGTGCAGCAAATTCATTGGCTACTTTAGTGGTTCCATTGGCTACTTTAGTGGTTCCATTGGCTACTTCAGTAAGTCCATTGCCTGCTGTAGGTTCAGATGGTGTGACATCTGTTGATGAAGTTGTCATTTCATGAAAAAAATCAACATCTTTATTCTCTGGTGATTGAATACTATCGTGGGAAGATGAGTCAATGAGAACCTGAAAATATACAAAATAAAAAATAGTTACATAGTGCGTACATGTGGGTAGCATGAAGCGTACATGTGGGTAGCATGAAGCGTACATGTGGGTAGCATGAAGCATACATGTGGGTAGCATGAAGCGTACATGTGGGTAGCATGAATTGACAGTTGACACCCTTGCAAATGAACACAATAAAATAAAATGAAAGAATTGATGAAAATAGTTCATATAACATCAAATATATTAAATATAATAAGCATCCAAATATAAACCTAAAACTAAACCTAGAAAATATAATTTCAAGCGACCCTTTAGTTATATATTTACTTTGATTTTTTGAAACAGAGCTTTTCTTTTTGAAACAGGGAGTAAGGAGTTTTTCAAAAAAATTTCATTTAGTAATTGGGGAAGTCCATAGATCAACTGATAAATGTAAGGTAATGTGCTTCTCAAAATTTTTAGATATGCTTTTATGGCTTTGAAGGATGCTACCCACAAAAACCAATGATCAAAAACAAGTTATGACATCATCCAGATTTTTTGTCATTTGTTTGTACAACAATTATATACTAAGAAATATAAAGTATGATTAGTTGAAGCAAAGAACATTAAAATGAAAGAGTCTATCTACATCAAGTTACAACATCAAATCCCTTTTCTTATTTGTTATTTGTGCCATCATTTGAGGTCATAACCATACTGGTCAATGGTACAAGTTATAAAGCAAATGAAAAAAAAAATATCATATTTAAATTTCTACTATCAGTCTGTATAATAAAACATTTTGCTTTATCTCAAAAACATTCCTTAACATTTCACTTCAGGAGATGTTTTTGTAATCTAGTGAAAGATTTCCTATACTAATCTTTAAATATATTTATTCATTTACTGATATATATTGTTATAATACATATACCTGTGATCCATATTGCTGTAGTATGTATACCTGTGATCCATATTGTTATATAATATGTATACCTGTGATCCATATTGTTATATAATATGTATACCTGTGATCCATATTGTTATATAATATGTATACCTGTGATCCATATTGTTATATAATATGTATACCTGTGATCCATATTGTTATAAAATGTATACCTGTGATCCATATTGTTTGTGAGCTTTCTGAGCTAGAGATGATAACTTCTCGCGATACATGTTTGCCACTCGACTGCATAAATACACACACAATTTGAAATGAACTGTTGTTTCAGAGGAAGTATGAAAAAGTTTGTAAAAGCATATAAACCTGTTATATTTTGCTTTTGCATCATTTGTGTTTAAATTGTGCTGTCGGAAGAAAGCCTTCTAACAAAACAAATAACAAATATATAAATATAAGATTTTTTAAGGAACTAGATTACTCTGAGATAAATGGTTTGAAACTTACTGCCTTCGCATTTCCACCACATTGCATTTGCCTAAGTTGAATCCAAGTCCAATTTGTGTCCAACTGAGTTGAACTAGACAATGTAAATTTTATAGGATGTTTCACATACCAATACAAAAGTTTAAATTTTCAGTGATGAATGACACATTTTAGCAAAAATAATAATTTTATTTAAAATATAATTTCAATAATGATAAACATGGCAACATTTTGAAAAGAAAAGTTTGAAGCAACGATGAATAAAACTTCAAAGAATCAAAAGTTGCTGTGACTTTTTTGGGGCAATTTAAAGGCCCCAGCTTCGAGTTTCTGAAGCAGTTTCAGTGCCCCCCACATAAATCTGACAAATTTTATCAGCAGGCAATTAAAAGCAATTAAAAATTCTTGGTCATTTTAAATAGGAGCTTATCTAAAACCCGGGCCAATCCTTATTCAAGAATAACAGGTGTTGATCAGCTAAATGACCTAAATTATTATCTAAGTAAGTTAACCTTGTCTAATTTCTGTCAAATACATGTTAAAATGTTCTACTTCACGAAACATGAGGGAGAAATCATCCAGTCCTTCTAACTCATAATAAATCTCGAAATAATACACGCGGAAATCAAGCAATGACCATTTTTTTGTATGTTCATGAAGTCTTTAAACCGTTAACTCACCAAACAAAAGAAAGCATAATGAAATATAACAACAAAGTTTTTAAGCGGCAAACATCAGAAAATAGCATTTGCGGTAAGCATTGTGATCAAAACCATTTTAAAACTATAACAAACTAACCGAATTTAAATTATTCGATAATGATAATAAGTTGAAAACTACTTTACACAGTAAAAATCGACTTTTAATATCGTCAAGGTCCGTCCAGTCGTTTGTTCATTTAACTCGCTCAAATAAAACACAAAAACATAAGTCGAGAATCTCAAGTAAACTCCGAGAAAGATTATTTTATTTTTGATAACTTACCGTATAAAACTTAAATGAACGCCAAGAGATCGATGTACAGCAGAGCAATCAATACAAAGAAATACACCATAGGTCACACTTGCCCAAGTAGGGTTTTGATGACCACAATCAAAGCAGGTCTACAACGTTAAAACAGTTATGTTTTAAAAGATAAGCCAGAAAAATAAATTTTATATACCATAATTTCGCTTTCCGTTAAAAAAATCACTCACTCTGTTCGTTGCACAATGTTTTAATCGTTTAAAAACCAGTTGAATATCTTTTGCTGTTGGTTTATCGGCGGCCATCTTTAACTTGACGATTGTGCTACGTCATCACTCATTGAGAAATATTACTTCTCATCCTTTAGAATAATCTGGCGTTTTAGAGGGATGCGCGTTGTCTACGTGTTAATACTCCTTGACTCTTCGTTAAATAAAATTAAATAATGGAATGTGACGTGGATGAGGGTTTCATAAAATAGAATCAAATTAATTTCCGTTTCCATGTTTCGCACAAAAAACAGTGATATATATAATGCATTATTATCATTCTGTTTATTATAGTACTTCAATTTACAGCTTTATTAATTCTAATTTTCATTAAGTTTAAAGTGAATTCTAATTACAACTAATTGACAATCTACAACATTAAATGAATAGCCAGCAACTCATTAGTCCATTTCTTGACGTTTCTTTGAGCGCAAACCAAAGAGACAACCTCGTTTCAAACAATTTTTCATGCCGATCAACTCTTCAGCCAGCCTCCCTGCACAAAGTTAAGTCTAATTTACTAAACGTACATACGACGTAATGTTAAAAATATAACAGTTTTTGAAAGAGATGATAGTTGCTCAAGTTTTTGTTCAGGATTCTGTGTACCTTTGTTAAGAATACCTTTCTTCTGATTTTTTTCTAATTCGTCACGTCTACCCCATCTTAATGATTGCGAAACAGTTTGCTCTGCTACCAAGCATGTCATTACAACCACAGTTAAAAAAAACATCGAAATCTTTTTATAACTTGACATGATGAACCTGAAAAACAGATTTTCTATCAAACATGCGGGATTTGCAAAAAATGAAACTTTCATGATATCAATGCTTACCTCAAACTCTAACTCCAAATGTTCACAAATGTTCAAAAAGTCCTTACGGGAAAGAAAATTTTAATGATTTGAAATGATTAAATCGGCCGATATTTATAGTTTCGTCCGCTGTCAAGATAGTACACAAAACATTAGTGGGCAATTGTGTCTAATTAAATGCGGCCATATTGGGCCATATATACTACATTAAATTATCATTACAAACATTCACGCAGAAAATTTTCTTAATAATATTTCTTAATATGTAAAAGATTACTGTTATCAACACACGTCCAGCAACTATAGAGAAATATGTAAAACTAAAGTAAGAGGTACTAAAACTGTTATAGAATTGGGAAAATGCAAATAAGATAGAGAGTGTTTTTGTCGGTTTGCTTGTTAGAATAAAATTCGCAGCAGCTGCTCCCTGCTTTGAAAAGTAAACATGACCATTAAGAATGAGCATAATTGTGTCTATATTCATAATTAAATACGGCTGTGAAGTAATTCCGACAAAGCAATGCTGAAATGAAAAAGATGCTGCTAGAGTTGCGAGAAAACTGCTACTTGAAAAAGGTTGTGTTCTGTTGCAATGATGGTTGGAAGATATTATATAAATATATAATGTCAGCCTTTATGATATATCTTCGCAGAGAGAAAATGATATTTGATATAAATGTCGAGCGAGCAGTAAAAATTACAAATCTAGCCAACAGCAGAGTAGAAAGCAACGGCCGGTGGATCTAGAGTTAGTCACAAACGTTCAATAGTTAAAATTTTATTCTTTACAGGAATTCAAATCCAATAGCATTGTTATGAAGGTATGCTTATTTTAACAATGAGTAGCTGTAACATTTTAATGCTAGATCCGTCACTCATTGGTAGAAAACACGAACTTTCACGACCAATGATGTTTGTTCAAACAATGAATTTTGGTCTGCGAGAACACAAGTATTAATATGAATTTCTATTTACTATCACGAAAACTTGAATAATTTGATATATTTTCAATTTCATGTTTATAGAGTCCAAAAATGCTCATTTAAAAGTTGGAATACGTGAAACACAAAATCCAAAAGCATGATTCCCCAAAAATAATCTGACGCATTTGGGAAGAGAGCTATTGTGATTTTTCTCGCCATAAATTTCGCATGTGGAATCAGGGATTAACATGGATGAAGAAGTTATGGCGAACATGGTGTATCACCGCAAATCCTTTACCAAACTAATCCAAAAGGACGTTTGACTCGTTAATCGTTTGTTAATATCTTCTAGAGCGTCTTTAAAATTGAACCGTGGATTAAGATAACACAAATCTGGATTATCTTCTACCTTTGATTGTTCAGATAAACGCACGTTGTTGCCTTTGTATGTGCTGTAGTGTTTCGTTGGGGCAACCAAATGGTTGCTTGGCGACTTTCGTTTGTGGCGTCGTTTCATCTGTGGCTTATGTAAAGTAGTTCGAGTGACGTAATCCTTAGAAAAGAAATCCGTGTTCGATTTATAACATAAAATGAAAGATATCTCGATATTACGACTTTCTAAAAATAAATATATACCTGTTTGGCAGGAATTGTTTTCGCTTGTTTTAACCTCGGTCGACGAGGTTTAGCGTGATCTTGTAAAATTCTTTTGATTTCCAGTCGACTGTAGAGTTCTTCTCTGTACCCTGCATGCAACCATTACAAAAAACATCACTGATGGTTTTCTTACAAATCGAATCCCCATATCATCCTTAACATACCCGAATATCTCTTTCCTTCCAAAGACTTGATGTCGGACAAGACGTGACCACAGATGCACGATTCACTCGATATTGGCATCTATAAGCAAAGGTACGGCGAAAATTTATAAAACAGGCTTTACTATGGACAAAAAGAGTGTCATACCTCGCGATTACATGAAATACATTGTTTCGTCAAATTTTGTAAATCGGAATGATTCAATTTTGCATCAAGATCCATGGACATCTTCTTCTAAAACACAATTTCCCCTCTGAAAACGAAAACACAAACAGTAGGAATGTTATTTCGAAACAAATAAACTTCAAACAAAGACATTTTCATCGAAGACATTTTCCTCTAGTACAACGCCAATTCGACAGTTTCTTTTTCTACAATTAGACGGTTAAGATTACACTTTAAAAAGGAGCAATGAAATCTTGAACTTACCGAACGCACGTCAAAATACAATTGCTGCTACGATTACACTCATATATAGTCCGATTGAGTTGCGACAAGTTTATTGAACGACACGTCCACATGTAATTTAACGAACGAGCTACGTGACCCGATATTTATACTTGGTCATAACAATAACGAGTGGGATTATATTCGACTAATAGTTATGTCAGCTAAAACGCTTTAACAATGTAGGTGTTAAGGTTAAAAGATCGACTGGAATCTAGAATAATCGATGAAAATGTCGGCCATTTGTTGTACATCGCATTTTTAAAAGCATACGTCATGAGATTTTCATAAGACGTCATTGAGTTACTCTCCCACCGCGAGGCAAAGAAAGGGTAAACCATTCGTTACTTTTTACCAAAGGCATGACGATTTATGGAAGTTTTTAAGAATTTTAGAGTAATCATGTTTATCGAATTGATCAGTTGGGTTTTGTCATGCGTCAAAGCGTTGTTTAAAAGGCAAAAAATCAAATAGCTATATTTCTTGAAAAAAAACGCGAAAAAGTTCTTTATTAGCCAGAGTAAACAGCATGCTCCATAAAACCAAGCCAGAACTGTAATGTTCGACATGCATGTTTCTAATGTATGAAATTATAGACTACAAATGGTTAATCCCGCCTATGATTGATGTCATCAAGGAGATAAAAAGATGTAAAATCTCATAAAATACATTCATCAAAGAAATGATGTTATTATATATTTAAGGATTTACATATTTGAACATATCATTTAGAATGTTTGTTTGATAGCCTGTTTAACAAAAAAATACAACAAAACTCGATCAAAGCATGGCAAATATATCATATGAATATGGCTGCCTTTCGGAAGGAACAAATAAAGAAGAAATAATATGTTTTGTGCCTTACTAAAACTGAAACCGCTACATCGTTTACAGCTTACAGACTGTACCGTTCCTAATATGTATTAAAAATTTAAAAATTAATGCATTCGTAATTATTGCTAAAGATTATTTTCGCATGCAATTCTCGCGATGGGATGCTACTTTCATTTTTAGCTATAAACACAAAAAGGTGCGGCGAACAGCACGAGATTATTCATCCATCGTTTAAATCGATTTACAGGAACAACAGTAAAGATTATGTCAAGACATAAAAAACCTTAATCAGTCAAAAAACGTAGCTACGATACATTAAAGAAAAGCAAGAGTCATAAAATCGACAAAACGACTATTGTCTGGCAAAAAACCCGATTGCGCATGGGAGGGTCGTCAAACTAAACTAAATATTTCTAACAACATTCCAATTATAAATATATTTACACTTATAAAGACATGCTTATTCACAAACCTTTTAAGGTATGAAACCAGAATTTTCCAATTAAACCAAAACAGCTTTGTGAAATACAGGTTTAAACATGTATACAGATTGTTACAAAGAATACATAACTAAACTAAGATATACTGTAAGTGTAAATAATGAAACTGTAGGTTTACAATACGTACATAGTCGTTAAGTCAGTCTGAACATACACGTGCAACACCATATATGTCAAGTATCTAACTGGTGTTCTCGATGACCGATTAATGAATAAGCCACATGCACTACCAGTAAAAATATATTATAAATAACTCGCTTTTATGAACCTCAGGTAGTCATAATGAATGAAATGCAGTAAAACGCAACTTCATACACAAACATTCAAATATCAAGCACTTCACCATCAATTCACGGATCAACAGTGTAACTATGTATATAGGTCTACAGCTAAATGAGGTCAATTATAACAGACGTAAGAGTTCAACAGTTGAAAAATAAACTACCTTTAATATGTGCCTTTTGTCTCACTGTTCCCGACTTCCTACAAGCGAAAAGCGCTTCTCTAAAGTTAAATTCTCGTAGACACGTATTCAGACCTGTCCCCCCCTCACGATCGCACGCTGAGACATATAGAGAAGTGCACATTAGTGATTATGGCCTTCAGAGCGGATTTCCGTCGTAAAGACTTATTCAAAAGAAATTACATTCCTTATTTGCACTCAAAGAAAACCGTACGCCCTCCCTACACACCAAAGACTGTGTGCAAATGAAAACTTCTCATAATAAATACGATGAGTGAAATGTATAACAATATTTCATGATAAATCTATAGCAACCACACACACACTATATCCTAAATTTTCGATTCCATTCCCGAAATTTGCGAGGAGAATATATAATTATATACAGGCTAAGAGTGATGGAATCCTCATGCTTGTTGTTTTCAACTTGGTTTTCAATATCAACTTTAAAACTATACAAAAAGTGTGTATTTATAGGAAAAGGCAAAATCAACTTAATTATGTAGAGGCTCAAATTGAATCCAATTACGAAGCGGTTAAAGTTAAGTTCCCATGTTATAGATGTTGACATCCCAAAACATCCAAGTGGTAATAATGAAGCCCTAAAATAAATACCCAGTAGCAAAATAACATCCTCTAAACGATCCCTTATTTTATACATATCCTTAATGTATACATAACCACAGAAAATATGGCTAAGAGATAAGTTCATTGTCGTTGATAAAAATAGCTGTATTGCCAGTTCACGCGCTTCAAAACTAATTCACAATGAAATGAACAAAATAAATCGTAGCTATATGAACTATGAAAGTAAACTTGAAACATAAGAACAGGCAGTTTAGCTCGTTTTAATGCAAGAGAGTTCTTGTAAGTCAAAGAAACTGCTCGGTACTCAACTATACGAAAAAATGCAAATTGGAGTTTTCACGAAACAGTGTATGTTGTATAAAATATTGAATAAACGCTCCAGGAGAAATAGTATTTTCAGTTCTCAGCAGAAAAAAATACTCCCGTCGCCATACCAACATCAGACGTGAAGGGAGAGATTGCCAAGACGGGATAAATAGTTCATATATATCAGTGTTTATACACATATATAAGTAATCTTGTCATAATAATTTATTCTTGAACAATTTTGTTCAATTCATCGCATAATAAATTCACGGAAACATGGCTATGGATAGTGCAGAAGATAAAAAAAGATAACACAAAGCAACATGAAGTAATTTTTCTTAACTCCATTATAAATATTTTATATGCGTGACACGTACATATAAAGCAATATGGCAACAAAACATCTTCTTTATACTTCAAAACTTTGCAATTTGCATTGCATCCTTCCCGACCGTTATGTAAAACGAGGGCCAGCATTAGAACATATATTTTACAGTCAAACAAACTGTTTTTGTTTTGTCTACTCGCATTTCAAAACGACGCGATGAACAATCAAAAATTTTATAGAAATAATCAGTTTTCTGTCGCGTCGAAGACTATATAAGGCAGACCATTTTTACATTTGACAACGCAATCCTAAGTTGGCTATAAACCCACTCTTTACGCACGTCACAGGCAATGTGCTTGATTTGGTTGACGTGCAAATGGTGATTACAAAAAAAAAATCATTTCAATATTTGTGCGCCCAAAAAATTCTGAAGAATTGGGTCAAGAATTCGTTATGTCGTAAAGATCAACTTTTTATTTGGTATTTCTACAATGAGTAAGATTACATACCGCGTTACGTTTCAGGATTTGCCTCATTTCTTTTTCTAATGTCATTAAGCCCACACAACCCAACTATAACATTGGAATCATTACATTTTCAGAGAACTAAAGTCAGCCCGCAACGATGTGAACTTCCCGCTACATATAAACATCATCGCTCGTAAATATTCTTATATAGGGAAAACACATCGCCTTATTACTTACTTAACGCTTTTTTTCGTTGAGTTTCTATTAAAATACTTCCCAATGCTTAGCGATGATGACGTTGCCGAACGACCTAACCCATTTTATTTGTCTTTACACGTTCATGGCTGGTAAGTACGATTGATAATCTCCGAAATTTATTTCCCAGAGCACACAGTATAATTACTAAACGCTATTGCTGCAGTTTATAGAAAACACGACTACGCAGCTAATATATACATCTACAATGAGAAATTCGATCGCGTTTTTAGGAGTTCATTGAACAGTGAAAGAATCGCCTTCTAGCATTTTAATGGCTCCAATAACCTCTCTAAATGTCTATGACAACATCAAGCATAAAGATCTACGTTATATATTACTTACTGCGGGTATTTTTTTTCTATATATTCACAGGAAATTATCTTACTTTATCGATACTAAAGAACGTGCATATCTTGTCGAAATACTTATAATCTTACCAAGTCTGTCTCAGCAATACGCCTTGTATTCACGATCTAAACAATCTCTTGTGTTTGTGGTGTCGTCATGATTTTGTCTTTGAGCGCGGTACTTATATATCGAGAATACAGCGAACGTGGGCAAAAATCGTGGGCAGCGCGGGTTTAAAACGTTTCAAAGAGATAAAGAGGCGAGAAGACGCGGCGAGGAATATGTATGAGAACGATCATATGACATTTCTTGACCTTACGTGTTGCAATATTCTAGTATTTTTACGGCACATGGTTTATAAGATGCACTTAATTTCTACTTACATAATTGCAAACAGTCCTTCTATGAAGCAATACAGGTGGTGCGGGCAAATATTTGCTAGACACAGTTGAAACTCAAACATATACATAAAATTCAAATTCTACCTAAGCAAACGTGACAATTTGCTCACAAAATATACGTATTTGTAAAAGCACAAGAGGAACAAACAAATACTTGTAAAAATCAGACGACAGACACTGTTTGCAAGAAAAAACTCCCAACTTCTATCTTATCTTATACTACGGGCAAGTATAGATCGTTTTAAGTTTAACAAACAGTATAAACTAATATCTGCTATTTGGGCAATAATCACATCTTTTTTCACACAACAATCAAAGCACACATTCATAAGATAAAAATCCATTGTAGACAAATGCGTTTTTAGCTCAATAAAGCTTTTCTTTTCCTAGTTCCTTATTTCTGGATTATCATAAGTGTATACGTACCTAAGCATGGGAATAACCGAAGGATGACATCAAACTAAAGAAGATGTGATAAACTACGACAAGTCTGTGACGGTGATTAAAAAGAACACAAGGCGGTTTATCGTTCAAGACCAGTCAACTATATGCAAATTTTACATGACTTAGCAAAAATCTTTCAACAAAAATCTCATCATGTCGCATTCCGTTTGCTGTGCACGTGGCACGCGCCTGGTCAAGACCGGTTCTGGTGAAGACCGGTTCTGGTCAAGACCTGGTCCTGGTCAAGACCGGTTCTGGTCAAGACCTGGTTCTGGTGAAGACCGGTTCTGGTCAAGACCCGGTTCTGGTCAAGACCGGTTCTGGTCAAGGCCTGGTCTATCAGTTCGCAAAAGATAGGTCTTTTGATATTAAGTAACAAAAGGTTAACCATCAAGCGTTACATCAGAAAAGTTCCGATGAGATCCATCTCACGTAAGAAAATTTAACGAAACCGACTTCAAAAAAAAAATTGAAAGAAAACTATTTGAAAATAACCGGCAATGAAGTCAACCTCAATGACGTTTCGCGATTGCAAAGTGTCTTCAAGACTTTCGCCATAGCGCATTAATACTTGGGTTATTCAAAGAGATGTCGTCTTAAGTACAGTCGAGAATTCTCAAGTAAAAATCAACATGGAAATTGAAAAGAATGATTCGTGTCTGCGTGCCCAAACTCTACCTCAACTATTTCTTAACAACTGGAGATGGGAAGTTATAAGAAAAAGCATGCAAGCCAAAAAGTCTACAGGCTATAATATAGGAGATTGAGATAATATATCAAATCAAGTGCCATCAGCACTTGGTTTAAATACGAATTCTACTCAAAATAAAAGTGATTCTAACACTTTTGTTTAAAACACTTTGTAGAGAAAGAGCTTGCTCAGAAACTCAAGTTCATTGTAAATAATGAACGTCTGTGAAATGAGAAACCCCGATGCATTAATGCTGTTTCACCTTTCTTCAAAAATGGCAAAAGTTAATTTTCGATTTTAAGATTGTGACAAGGTCTTCCGAACGTCAAAATACTAGACAAACTTTTTTCTCATTTTTGTTGAAGCAAATTGAACGTGTTTTCCTTTGACTACGAAGCAAATGATATGCATACATCCGAAAATAATTACGAACGCATGGTAAATAAATCATTACGAAAAAACTCGTCCATTTGAGAGGTGCATCTTTATATTTCCTCATTTATTACACGCCTCGTTATTCAACCTTCAAATTATCACAGAATGTTTTTTCGACACAATTTTGTTCATCACTTCAAACTTTGTTTGTTAAGAGCGATATGTTCTAGATGAGATACGTCTACAGGCCCAAAAAAGTGTTCATTCAAAAATATGCAAATACATTGACCATACGTGGCAACAATGTGCAACAACACGATCATAGAAATCAGTAAAATTTTCTCCCAAGTGGGTATGCTAAGAGATTTTACACAATTAAAGTGCATAATTAAACCCTAACAAGTATAGGTCATTATTCCAAAGCCATCATCAGAGATTATACATAATATAAATCCTCATATTATGTATAGTATAGGTCATTATTGGACGTTATTTATGAAACTTTTATAATGCTTTCTTTGTTGGAATATATAAGAAAACAAAACCGAACTATCAGAGCTGTTGGGCTACTTGAACATCACAATCAAACATTGTATTCTTAGCCATTCAAAAGTGATTTTGACTAAGCCTTTCTTTGAGCTCTAATTGATCGAGATGTACCAAAGTAGGCAGGTTAAACGAGCTCATGATTACACTGAAGAAATTCGTATGATTAAAACATATCATTAAAAAAAACGCATCACACACAAATAATATAAAATACACACAATAAACTTACATGAACTTCACAATTGCTGCATTCTACTTCTCAACTTGAACGTGTATTTGAAATCGTCATATTTCACGTCCTACGCGGCTTGCCAAAACAGCTGTATATGACACTGGGCCACGGCTATTCACTGCTATAAGTTGGTTTGAGGAAGTTTGAGAACAAAAGATCATAGAATATATTAAGAAATTATACGCGGAAATTCTTCGCATGTATTTACACAAGCGTATTAAGGTCTCGACAATTGAGGACATACAACACATACGTAATAAGAACTCTACAATAAAGCGTTCTTTTTATAGAAGTCCAACACATCCTTCATAATTCAAACATCCTTTCTTTCAACAATGATTTTCTAAACATCTTAAAACAGCGTTCAACAAACACCAAGCTCTTATTTTGCAACAATATTACAAAACACGAGGTTCAAGAAATACACGACTTTTCAAATTGTTAGTAAAATTTCACAATTAAAAACAGTTTTCGATACAGCGGAATAAGAAGAGAGGACAGTACATAATAGCTGGGAAACGAAACTAAAAAATGCGAATTTAATATTCATATGACGAAGCTAACCGAATCGCTTTGTAAACGATCATTTTCTCTTACCTTTTTCTTGCGAATGTCAGAGTTAGGACGTCGATAGTAATAGTTAAAAAAGAATGACAAAAATCTGCGGCGGAAATACTTTAAGTAACGACGCAAACATCTCAAACAAAAGAAAAAATAAACAAAAAAAGGCTTGCTTAAACACATTCATCCAAGACTTTCTTCACAGTTTTATAATGTCAATATTCTAACGATAAATTCGTGTCAATGAAAATATTTCCTTGCAGTTTTTGGCATTGTTCGAAATTGCTACTCTGCATTCCAATTCAGAAGTGAGCCCTAGGCTTTACTCTGGCTCTAAAGTAATGCGCGCAAGCAACAGTACAGGGTTTCAGGTTATGGCGTTCAACTATTTTCACGATGGTTGGGCGAAACAGAGGGAGGAACCCATTTTGTTCGTACTATGTACCAAGATTACGAAGGGTAATGCATTTTAGTAAAGAGCAAAAATGTTTACAACATTGTAAGGTCAAATATATATTGAAGGAAACTGAAGTCAAAATTTTTCTCCGCTGTGAACACTTAAACATGGCTTTTTTAAGTAGAAAACAGCAAAAACGCAGAAAAATAATTATTAAAGCTACAAAACAAAAATATTCTTCTACCATTGCTTTTTAGTGAGTAAAACTGCTGGATGTCTCTTTTGATAAACAAAAACTCTTAGTTCACCTTTTGCAAATTCCTAACACTATCTTCTGACAATTGCATTCTTCAAATTGTTTTTTAATTTTAATTGACAATTTATAGACATTATACAGATAGTAATATTTAAAAATATGGCACATATAGACAGCTACTTTAATCCAATATAATGTGGTGCACACAGTACACAGTTGTAACATTAAAACACAATAATGTAGAGTATATAAATATTTTTGAAGTACATTATTGCACACAATGTAAGATTTCCTACAAAAATCTTTCTAACTTTTATAACATTCCAACTACACATACAAGGGGGGCGTTCATGGTTAATGCTTTCAATATGCAATGGCTACTCTTAAGGCGAATGTTAGTTAAGTTTAAGTCACTTTTTAGGTATAGCAAACACAGTATATTTGGTAACACAAAAAAAATTGTTCAACTTTTGCAGTATTATATATTATTTGACTTTTAAAAGGAATGAATTTGGCATAAAAATATTTGTCTTGCAAATTGATTGCAATGTATTTGTCTTGCGGATTGATTGCAATGTTGAAATTCAAAACAGGTATTGTAAGCAAACTATGTGATTGAAGAATTTAGGACTACATATTATAGATACTTGTGTAATCACAAAAGCTTCATAGTAATTATAGAATGGCGTTCCACATTCCAGATTATTGCTGACAATCTTGTTGTCACTGCGTTTTATAATTGTGCCGAATATTTGAAGTACCTGCAAGTCAGAGCCTAACTCTAACACTATTCCAAACAGTAACCTAGGCTGATTATTGTTGGCAGTCTTAATGGGAGGTATTCTATAACTGTGCCTATAAAGCAGCACAGAAGTAATGGGAATTTAGTCTTTTAATAACACAGAGTCCATCGCAAAATGACCATAGTAATCTCCATGTAAAATGAGAGAACACCTGTTTTGCCTACAGAAGGCTCGTTGGAAAGTCTTGCACAACGTAACTTTAAAAATCTCAGACAAATACTAAATGGAATTTCAAATGGGCATTATCATCACACCACCATAGTGATGATGCTTGAGCTCTTTAGTTTCAGAGTTTCGTTTAAAATAGTGTCGCTACAGAATATTCAACTGATTGAAGATAATGTTAGAAAAGAAGCCCCAAAGACGCTCCCAAAACGATTACATTTCCTTTACTGCAAGAAATCCGGTTGCTTCCCATTAGTTACACTGAAGAAGTGAATGCTAAAGTATAAAATTTACTCACCGATAAAGCTTTAAGTTCTCCTCCAGGTACGACAATGAAACAAAACTTTCAAAGACAACAACGTGACACAACAAGATGGCGCCTGGCCAAGAAACGCTAAATATAACGATAAAAGTGCGATAACTTTTCCAGGAATTTTTTCCCCGGAAAATGTTGATACTCTAGTGTACTCGAGAAATATACGTGATTTATTAAAAATAGTTTCAACAAAATTTGATCTAAATTTGTGAATATACATATTTAGTTTCTTAGCCTTGTTTTCATATCGAAGTCGCATTACAAGAACAAAATGTTTACGACCATATGGAAACGAAGCTTCATGAAAGTATAGGTTGTTCTTATGAGCTGGCCGTAATGTTCATCTACGAAGGCAAAGATAAATTGGGTAAAGTAAAAAAACAAAACAAATGAAGCTTTAGTAAATATGACATAGCCGACATTACAGACTTTGGTGAAGGTATCATTAGTTCTGTCCTTCCATTTAAATGTACATGTTTAGGGGCGGATCCAGAATTTCATCTTGGGAGGGCTAGAGTGAAATATTGAAAAACGAACTATCAAATTATTCAAGCTCAATGGGGATATATCTTACAGCTCCCCCCTGCATTTTCCCCTGACGAACTATATATCAGTGTTAGGCTGTCAGCAATCAACGTAAATTACATTCCTGTTTCAAAATCATTTTCTACAATTTTGAAGTACGAGTTTGTCCATAATGAATGCAGAAAAAAAGACTAGGTAGAACGTCTCCCATTACCTGGAAGAACTCGTTCACACAATCGAGCTTTTTAAACAATGGGTAAAAAAAGTCCAGGAGAAAACGACGACTCTTCGTACGAGGTGATAGAGCAAACTGTATTTCCAGTTCACGTCAATTTATGTCAATGTCACAAAAGTATTTCTTTTACAAGCCACGTGACCACAGAATAACGTACGTGCTCTTCGATGTGATTCATCACATCATTCGTTGTCTATTACTTTCGCCTTTTTGAAGTATCACAAAGTACTTGGAAAAACAATGGAAAGGCAGACGCCAATGATACTTATGAAGTTTTGCGAAGCATAAGAAATTTCAATCAGCGAAGAGCTTACAGAATCGTTTAACTCTCCACCAAGGAAGCACCAGCACAAACTTAGGCAACACAGTTTAACCAACCGTGGTTAACTTTGACTAAATTTTTTGCACAAACATCACAAACAGTGCGTTCTATTCTGCGGACATGTTGATGCAAATATAGACATATTTACCAACATTCATAAGTTGAACTGATATGGCACAATGGGCGTAACCACGAGGGAGTAAGGGGGGAAATTTCACATGACAAATTGACAGCCACAAGTTTCTTTTTTTTGTTTGGGGCGCCCAAAGTGATTTATCTACCATTTTCATAAATCCTGCCTGCGCTTCAGCGCGGAAATATGAGTAAGCGTTTACAATAATTCATTAAAGATGAGAAAAGGTCTTTAACTTTTTATCCTTGTTCTGTTTGACAATAAAGATAGTTTACGTAATGAAAATTACCATAAAACACGTGAACGTGATGCATTTCAAATTTATTCAGCATAAAAATGCAAATGACTCGAAACAGTTTTCAATATTAGTGTTCAAATTTCACATGACAAATTGACAGCCACAAGTTTCTTTTTTTGTTTGGCGCGCCCAAAGTGATTTATCTACCATTTTCATAAATCCTGCCTGCGCTTCAGCGCGGAAATATGGGTAAGCTTTTACAATAATTCATTAAAGATGAGAAAAGGTCTTTAACTTTTTATCCTTGTTCTGTTTGACAATAAAGATAGTTTACGTAATGAAAATTACCATAAAACACGTGAACGTGATGCATTTCAAATTTATTCAGCATAAAAATGCAAATGACTCGAAACAGTTTTCAATATTAGTGTTCAAACAATATCCTGTGACAAAGAACAGAGAATTAACGGTGTTCCATCCAAGCGTGTCGAGACCCAGTACGAAAAGCATTCAAAATAAAAGCGGCGTTTAATATGGGAAGGTGACAGCGTTGTACCAACAGAAATGACCAATCGTTATGTTTTTAGGAACCGTAGACTCAGATCTAGGGACGAATAAAGAAGGTAAAACTTTTGTTCGGACATTGGCGTGTTAAACACGTATTTGTTTGTTGAAGTTCGAATAAAGTGAACAAACTTTTAAGTGTTCGTCCATCATTTAGGTCGAAGTTATCATATATTTTATATAATAAATTTAGTGGGAAATGAAAGCAATGGTTGTTAGCAAGTGGCTTGCGTTGTTTCTATATGGACGCATCTCGCTAAATACAAGCGTTGAAACAAAATTCTCGATAATGAATCGTAAGTCTAATCCGTTAGACTTTGTAGTGTTGTTGATATAAATATGGTCGTGTCGTGTATTAAGTTGTTTACAGCTGTTTCAAATCGGAAATTTTTTGCGGAAAATAATATTGATCATATATCTTTTAAATATGATGTCATTACCATCCGGATAGGAACACAAGTAGGGTTCGTGGCTTGTATTTATCAAATCTATATTTTTATAAGCTGAAACATGAATCCTGAAGGTATTTTCAAAAGGTTTCTCATCACTTTCCAAACGCAAATACTCGATTTAAAGCATAAAGCCAGTAATGACTTGTGGAAAGAAGTAGATCCATGGTAGTTTTAAGGTTTCCGAACATTGACTTTGAGAACACAGCTTGATCGGTTTTAAGAAATTTTCCCAGAGATTTTGATTTTATACAAAACATACGCGCGAACGCTGATGGAATTTTGCTAGAGTTCAATTTAAAAAACTTGCTGATCAACTAACATGCAACGTTTGGAACATTTTTGATGTTGCTTAATAATATGAAAGTTGTCGTAAAACAATCTTAATGAGTCGAATTCACATTGAATATTTTTTATTTCCATTCAAGTCAAGTGAAACATGGATTGTGTGAAACTATTTCGACAAGACGAAAATGTACATTTATATATTTACACTGGCCAGTGTTTGGTATACGAATTCACAATTAACAAAGAAATTGAACTATTAATACCTAAATACTCTCCAATTAATCTTACGAGAATTACATTTGTAAGATTTAGCATTTTAAGGATTTGATTTCAGCTGTTGTATTTGTTTACACAAGTAACCTCAACATTCAGTGTTGGACAAAATCGTTTTTTACCCATATTTATGTACAATAACTTTCGCAGTATAAATCTACAAATTAAGTTTTAATTTATAAGGTATTTTCATCATTATTCTCGCCAGGGTAGCATAGAGTTCGAGTTCTTTGTTGACAATGTTGTCAAATTTCGTTTAAGTTTCTTTGATAACCTCTTTGTGTGATTTAATGAAGCATGATTAATTTGAATAATAACGATTTGGCCCGAAAAGTAATTCGTTTAATTTTTGCACTGTTTTGTTATCTGATTTAATAACGAAAAATATATTATTGCTTTACTCCAGTTAAGAGCCCAATAACGTTACTATGTCATAAAATCTCCTTGTACATTGATAAAGAACGGTAATTAAACATCTTCTTTAACTGCACATAATCGAAAATTTCACTCACAAAAATTAAAGGGAAAGGCACGAAGTTGTACTGCAACAGTTAACGTATATTTTATAATGAAACAGTACAGGACTGTAAGGAAATGAAAGGATTGATCTTTGTCTCGTCCTGAGGATAAAAATTACTTCCTCGTTAATTCGTTACCGTGGAAACGTTAAAATACGAATGGCATGCATTGTTTTCTCTCCGCCTGATGGTCACATGGAACGCATGTACGTTTAGAAATTTGTCTCCAAAAAACAATTCCTTCGTTTTAGGCAGTAGAATACTTGAAATAGAGCATTTAATCGTGCTATTGGCTAGCGCAGTGTCACTCGTCACTTTATTATCATTATGTGGATGGTGCAAGACACTTTTGGAGAAGGCAAAAGGAGACAACATCAATGCTAGGAATAACACAAGGCTGATCCTTGATCAACCAGCAATCTCACCAAAGAATAAAAGATCTTCGTTATTATCAAGCCCACTTTGTTCATCGTCCGAAGATAGTCTATCTAGGATATCATCCCCGGGCAACAAGCGAAGGACAATCCTTTTTCCAGCTCCCCCTGAAGTTGGAGTAGATGTGCTAGCAATACAACCTGACAAGAACTCCCCCCTTGACGTTATAATCCCACCTGAACCCGCTTTGCCAGATCCCACACGCAAGGAGTATTTAGGTCAGATATTTTTCTCGTTGAAATACGATGCACAGACTATGACTTTGGGCGTGAAAATTATGAAAGCGACAAAGTTACCGGCAAAAGATTTCAGCGGTACGAGCGATCCTTTCGTCAAGATCTTCTTGATGCCGGACAAGAAAAATAAATTGGAAACGAGAGTCAAAAGAAAGAATCTCAATCCAGTTTGGAACGAGTACTTTATGTTTGAAGGTTTTCCCTACAATAAATTAATGCAAAGGACATTGTGTTTGCAAGTGTTAGACTACGATCGTTTCTCCAGAAATGACCCTATAGGAAACGTGCAGGTCTCATTGGAGAATTTAAATTTAGGCCCGGAACCAATAATATTGAGTAAGGAGCTCCAACCTTCCTCTAAAACGGTAGGATGCGAAGAAAATGACCAGTTATGTACACGCCATGTGTAATAAAGGCTGACTTTTTTTTTACCTCCTTAGGAATATCTGGGAGATCTACTGTTATCAATGTGCTATCATCCAACAGCTGGTAGGATAAACGTGTTGGTGATGAAAGCAAGTCAACTGAAGGCAATGGACATTACTGGCAAGACAGGTAAGCCTGAAAGGAATCGTAAACGTGACCTTGACCATTAAAACACACTTCATCATTGTACCCAAACGCCATACATCACATTAAGAATCCTTAACCTAGTACTACCAACCGAACATTGCACTCGAGTGCTACAGGTTGTTGTCATTCTATACTATCAGCTGTTATCACCTAATTATCACCCGATATGATTTCAGATCCCTATGTGAAGATTTACTTTATGCAAGGAGGTCGTCGTTTAGAGAAGAAAAAAACGACGATAAAAAAACGGAACAGAGACCCGGTATGGAACGAGTCGTTCATCTTTAACGTAACAGTGGAGAAGTTACGAGAAACTAGCTTTAATTTCATCGTAATGGACTTTGATAGAATCACTCAGAACGAGGCAATTGGACAGGTGACATTAAGTTATAGGTCAACAGGAGCTTCGCTACATCATTGGACCGAAATGATGAACAACCCGCGTCGCCCGATTGCACAATGGCATAAAATTCAAGAACGCTGAAACGCGCTAAGTTCTTGCGAGGTCAAAAAAACAAAAAGTCAGATATGTAATTATGATATCAGAATTGACCAAAGTCGCCTACTTATTAAAGGTTATAAGACAAAATTAATTATTTGAATTTTAAAGTGTTAATGCTTTTTCTTGTCAAAGTGTTGTTCGAAGTCCAGAAACCCGTGCAAAGCTATGGAACATTCACAAAAATTTAAAAATTAAATATTTTGTTAAATATTTCAATTAGTCTGATCATTTTTCCACTTCGTGGTGCAAAAAAAATCAACCAACGGCACTTATACAGTATATCAATACATTACTTTTCGTGTAAGCCTGTACAATTTTAGTTTCAACAGTAATTCTTTAAGTGTATATATGAATTACTACAAATCCAACTGTTTAAATTTAATTATTAATTATTTAAGTTATTTTTTAACACCAATATAACATTTCAAAAGTTAAGAGCATTTCGAAAACAGTTCATCAAACTGTGATAAAAGACAATCAAATAAACGACAAATCTTTTAAACTCAAATGCGTTTTGATGTGTGTCAAAAACATTTGGATCCGAGGACTTGTCGTTCGTTTCTCTTGTTTTTTATCCGTCGTACCATGCAACTATCAAAATACTATAAATTTTCCTGACAATCATGAGTATTAAAAATAACTATGGCTATTTTCTACATTTTGATCAAATATTAAGCGCGTCGTGAGAGCAATTTCCGCTGCAATAAATCGTCAAGTTCTTACAGGCCTATCCAGTGTTTCCACAAATTATTTTATAAAATAAACACAATGAAAACGTGCGCTGATTGGTCTAGAACTGTGTTTGCATAAGCCTGTGCAAAACACATCTTAGCTCAACCAATTAAATCAATCATAACAATCAATCATCAGTCAAAGAGAATTTGCAAATCGATCATGAATACATTTTAGAGGAAATATTAAAATGTTCGTCTGTTTCGCATTATTAATTTATAAAGAGATAAAAGACGTTTACTGTGTTTGCACTTGCTTATGCTCTTGAGCAGGTGCAACCCTCGACCTTCGGTCTCTGCTCTCGAGTTTGCATAAGCCTGTGCAAACACAGTAAACATCTTTTATTTCTTAAGTGATAATTTCTTACACTAAAGATAAAATTTCCTGAGAAGTGTTTTACGTAAATTTCCTCTAATATTTCTGAGCTTTTTGACAGAGAAGAACTGATGAAATTTCTTTCTCCAAAAAAAAGTTTTCAGAAAAACTCATTATGTCAATTGATTGCAACACATGAATCAAAGTGGAAGGAGCGAGGCGCAGTCAGTCATGAACATTGACATGAAACACAAATATTCGATGAATTTTACAACTCAATGAAATTCGCAACAACTTATCAGGCCAATTTTTATCTCTTAATTTTCATTATTTATAAAACAAAGTATGACAAATATAATTTCTTCTTTTCCTGAACTTTCTTACGCTCTTCGTAAATTTCGTTCATGCTCAATTTTTCATTATTGTAAAATTCGCTACAATGTGGAAACACTGGGCCTACCTATCTGACATCTCAATTACTAACATTGTGACCCAGAATGACTACAGCCGTTCTATACAGTTTATTTAACCACAACATCCTCGTATTTTCCTGAATTATCAAAAAAATCGACGGGCCGACCTAACGACCCATACTTGCCTGTTCTAAGAAATGGAGGAAGCATAAGTTGCTTTGGTTGAACTACACTAGTATTGGTGCTCTCCGTTGATTGGACAAATTGCTCAGGATCGCTGGTGGTTGGACGAAATCGCGATCGGAAACCCTTTGCAAGGCAAAACAAGAATCACCGACTTTAAATCTTCGTTGGACGTAATATTACTGCGCATGCCTCACAATAAGTAATAAATTTGCACTTCAATGGCAAAAATCTAATATGCGTTCTTGACTAACAAGCTTGCCAACAAAGCCAGCCTTTGGACATAATTCAGCAATGTGGAAAATAATTGAGTACGAGAATAGTTTTTACTTCAATCAATAAATGTGCATTTTACGCCTGTGGCTTTAGCCGTGTACAGATTTGTGCTATAGCTATACATTATGTTTTTGGACAAGAAGCGAGACTCTTTTTTTGCCAACATTAAATTAAAATTGAAAACTTAAAACATACCGAGATAGAATGCGCTCCAACGTTGATAAGGGAAGTCAAAGATTCTTGGTAAAAAGTGTTATCTTCAATCGCAAACAACGCAGCCATTACCCAGATGGGCAGTAACCATCGAATAATCTATATTAATGATACAAAACAACAAATTACTTAAAGAGCAATACTTACAATTGTCATAATGTATTTGCTAAAAGTTGTGATTGATTTACAAGACGATCTTGTACTAACCTTAAATGCTATGTACACGGCTGTGAAACCAGAAGCAGATGTTGGCTAAAATAAAACAATTCCTCGCAATTACCGTTCAGAAAATATATTATTAAGACAAAGCTTAACTTTTCATACTTACCAGGATCCCGTGACATCCATCATCACCCACTACAGAGATAGCAATAAAAACAAATAAGACAGAATATCGACCACGAAATACGTAGTTCAAAGTGAAACAAGAAGGCAAACCATGGTTATGTACTACTAAGAGCAGGTACCGCACAATAGCCGTTGAAGGTGAGAGATATGGGGGGGGAGGTGAAAATAGGTGAGAGATGTGGGGAGGGAGGTGAAAATAGGTGAGAGATATGGGGGGGAGGTGAAAATAGGTGAGAGATGTGGGGGAGGGAGGGGGAGACCCACCAACAGCTTTGCGAAGTATGCACAAAAATTCTGTTCTTAAGCTGATAGAGGACAAAAATACCTGTCCGGCTAAAATTTTGTGCTTCTTTTTGAAATAAAGACTCTACAAAGTTCTAGATCGTACAGGCCCAAGTTTTTTCAGGGGAAGTGCACCTATCTCAAGTTTTTCATTAAAAACATAGAAAAAAGTAAAAAAAGAGGTTTGTGTCCAGTTGTAAAGTTGATTTAAATATAAAGACCATCAGGGTGATCGGAGATCGACGTTTGTATGGACAACCATAAGGAAAGCCATAATCAGAGAGAGCAATAATCGTCAGTCAAATGAATTCGCTCATTCGGGTCTTTCAATCGTAATAAATGCTTGCAATGAAACCATAACTTGCATGTTGCATGTTGTTGTAAAGTTAGTCATAAACACAACAAATGCTCGGTTAAGTCGCACTTTCCAATCGTAAAATACTCTTGTTTTAGTTTCATGAGAGCCATATAGCTTTGTGAAAAAAGATGAACAAACAAAGGAAGCACTTACGAGCTTTAAAGATCGCTTCGTGGAGGACGCTTGCAATCGCCGAGATTTGAAAAACTGTTATGTTCCTACAACGTATCATGACAATGTTTTGAAATATTTTATTGGAGACAAAAAGTAAAGGAAGAAAAAGAAACATTGGCGTGGACACTTACCCCCAGAGTTCGCGCTTTTTGGAATTACGCATGTCGTCCAATGTTCTAACATCATTTAATTTTCTATAGAAAAACAAAGCACATTACTTAAATTAGTTATTTTTTTAAGGGTAATGTTTATCAATTTGTAAAGACATATGTTAAATGAAATCATTATACTATGCAAGGCATTTATACAAGAACTTTGGGAAATCAAGCAATTTGATTGGTCGAGAACCATTGGCTATGGGAGTAAAAACGTTTAGAATGATGTCACATGAATTGACAAAAACATACGTATACATTAAAAAAATAGAAAAAATATTCAAAGTTTCGCCTTCAATATACGCTTTTACCGGGAAAATGACATGTATTTATTGTATCGTAATTGTCAGATCGTAGATAAGTAGATTACAGCAGATGTCGGTGGGCTACAGTAGATGATAGTAGATTACAGCAGATGTCGGTGGGCTAGAGTAGATGATAAAGGATACAGTAGGTGACGATCGATTTGCGATAGTTGACATATGACAATGGATACGAGTGGGATACAGTAGATGACGGTAGATAAAGTAACTGGCAGTAGGTTATAACAGATGACAGTAGGTCAGGTCACTGTAGTTTACAGCAGATGACGGTAGTTGACAGTAGATGACGGTAGTTTACAGTAGATGACGGTAGATAAAGTAGCTGGCAGTAGGTTATAACAGATGACAGTAGGTCAGGTCACTGTAGTTTACAGTAGATGACGGTAGTTTACAGTAGATGACGGTAGTTTACAGTAGATGACGGTAGATTACAGTAGATGACGGTAGATAAAGTAACTGGCAGTAGGTTATAACAGATGACAGTAGGTCAGGTCACTGTAGTTTACAGCAGATGACGGTAGTTGACAGTAGATGACGGTAGTTTACAGTAGATGACGGTAGATTACAGTAGATTACAGTAGTTGACAGTAGGTTGAAGATAGACCAGTTAAGTTGAAGTAGATAAAAGTGGATGACTAAAGAAACAGGTTAACTACACTAGTGGCAATAAAATGGCAGCTACATAATAAACTTCATAGATTTTTTTGCAGTTTCCAAAGATAGAAGATCACATGAAAAAATTTCGTACTTTGATACAAAATATCCTGCACCAAGGAAAAACTGGGCATTCACAAACTCAGCACTTGCCAACAAAATCCATTGTATGGCTAAAAATTTGAAAACTGGCTGTAAATGAGATACACAGAAGTTACTATTCAGCATAAGTAAAAAGCTATTTACCTAGACAGTCAAATCTGTCTCTTCGCATTGTTATCCAACCACTTATACACAATCCTAACACAGCAAGAACAAATACTATAGCAACAATGGGAATGTATCTTCTAAAACAAAAGAATATGAGTGAAAAAAGGAAAGATGTTATTCATCGTTTGCACAGGCTTAATCAAACAAAGAAGACCTTTGGGAGAACTTGAGAATAGATTGCACCTGCTTGAGTTCTCACACAAACGTCTCTGAGGTTTGCATAAGCCTGTGCAAGCACAAAAAATATCTTTTCTTTCTTTTATAAAAATAACAACAATGTGACACAGATAAATTTGAAATAAACATATTAATTTTTTTTCCTCTAACATGTATACATGATTTATTTGCAAATCCTCTTTGATTGATTTAATTAATTGGGCTCAGATCAGTGTGCACAGATTAACACAAACTCAGCTATAGACCAAATCAGCACATGCTTGCTTTGTCATTATTTTATAATACAAAATAAGCTCATGTAAACAAATGGGAGGGTATTTAAATTCTATTTCTAACCACAGCAGCACTAATAGGAAAATGAAGCATAAGACATTCAAATTTCATCATGCCCAAAAATTAGTGTTTGTGCTTTTTCCAGTAAATATTGTAAATACCTTGCAATTGTGTCTTTTCGATATATTTGGGCAGCCAATGAGCAATAAAATCTACAAACTATTACACACTAAAAAAATATAAATAATGTGGTGCTAACCCAATACTTTGCATGTGAATCAAAAATCAACATGCTCAATGTACCTGAAGGATTTTTAAAAACTCAATCACATAAATAACAGAATACTCCCAAAGATAAATCCAATTTATCACACTAAAGAAAAATAGAGACAGAAAAGCTCATCACCATAGTTTGATATTCCTTCATTTCTTTGTGAGTAAAAATAAAAAATGGATCCGACCAATCTCTGAGGTAAAAAGTGGAGAGATGGCTTACACAAGTCAGAGGTACGAAAGCCTTAAAATTATCCAAGCTATCTCTTCTCAATGTATGAGAAATCCCTTCAAAATGTTCGAAGGTATCCGAACAGAATGGATGGTCAACACTATCCCAAAGGCAAAACAACCCATTAAATTAAAACTTACCAAAGAATACACTGTATAAGTCCACATGAAAATATGACATACTGGTTTGGTAAAGAATGGTGATTTTTGTACAGATGATAAAGCTATACAAACAAATATACCACGGCAGTAATTTCAAATGAGTATCCACAAATCAGGATTTAAAAAAGAATTGAATCACAAAATACCTTTACTGCACAAGACAACGCAGTACCCAAAGCAAAAACGCTAACTACTGAATCCCTAAATAAATTGAAAAGACACAATATGTCGGTATCAAGTCTATATCTTGTTGGGAATAATGACTGAAAGCATGCATTTTAAGAAAAAGATCAAATTTTATGTACACAATCTGTACCTAACACATGATGTGGCATTGTAGTTACCAAAACAACCAGAATATGCAATGGAATCAGAAACATTCTTCTCGGGATAAGATTTTCCAAATGTTATCACATCCATCTTTTACATTGTGAACAATATCCTATGCATAAGATATTCATAATCAAGCAATGAATAACGCAAATTTTAGCAAGAAAATATTTTTAAGCAAGTGCCTGGATTGGTTAGGTTATGGTTGATTACAGGGTGAGATTAGCAGAGAAAATTTTATTAACAAGAAAACCTTTCTCCATACCACAAACATAATTACCTATTGTGTATATCAATAATTAATGTACAATAGTTCGATGCAATATATTTTATTTTATAAGTCATTCACAACCAACGCCATACAAAATGTCACACTGCACTAAATTCACATGATCATTGCATAACAAGAATTCCCTTTACTGGGTTGCAACAAAAATATTTTAAAATTTGTGAATATTTAAAACCAAAAACTTGACAACTACCGAGAATATACGAAACTCAATAAATAAAAAGAAAATTTCGTAGAAGCAAACTAAACAGTAAAATTCTTCTACGAAATGCTGTACTTACTCGTGTTAAAACAAATCTACTAGATTCTACAGCAACACAGTTTGATAAATATTAAACCAATCAAATTGATTAATAGAAATGAGTTATGGCCAGCCAATGGCATTTTTCGTTTTATAGGTGTCAATTAACAGCAAAAGTAAATATGGCTGACAAAACAATTCGTGAAATGGCTTTTTTGTTGTCATTTTTTATGTGAAAATGCTTTAAACGTACTTTAAACTTAAAAGCTAATGACGTTTCTTTCATAAACTGAACAAAATCAACGCTTCAGTGTCGCTAGTTATTTTTTGTATGGACAAAGTGATTTCAATAAACTTCAACCAGGATCAAAGTACGTTTCATTATTGTTACCGATATAATTCTTTTTAATGAATATTTTTATGCATGTGAACTCATTTAAACAATAACAGGTTGTTTTGCCAGTGCAATGCAAAATGGTTTCAAGATTTATAATGCAGTTCCTCTTACCGAAAAATTAAGCAAAGGTAAAACGATGTTATTCACCAACATGGCAACATGGAAGAAAATAGTCAATATATCATGACATTTCTCATCAAATTAGATGGTATCGGAGTTGTTTCCAAAGTGGAAATGCTGTACAGAAGTAATCTGATTGCAATAATAAAGAATGGAACGGAAACCTTTTCAAAAAATAAAGGTTAATGAGAGAGCATTAATGAATAAATTTTGTAAACAACGTTTCGTTACTAAAATTTCATAGTTTCATAATGGTTGTACATCGTCCAAACTTTTAGTGCTCATATGGGATGATAAACTCTGTAAATTTGTTTTGGAGTTCAAATTCAACACTCCTGTTTTGAGTGTGAGACTGCGAAAAGATATGTGAGTGAATGAACAATGGAACATTCATTTTGGCTCATGATAACTGCTCGAAATTTTTCACCATTTGATGTGTTTCGTCTTGTAGGATACTCTTTGTTTTACGAACAAGAATTTACGTTTGCTCATTTCCAAACAATCCAAAAGAAATCATGTATTTTGAAACCAGAGAAAACCCCAAAGGTACCTGTATTGAAATTATTTTCATCTTTTAACTCTTACTGGAAAGATATAATACGCGATGAAATGCATTGATTTAGGATTATGTGAGGTTTGTCCAAACGAAGAAAGCTCTTTGGTTGTTTTTCCTGCAAAGAAATGTGGTGCAATTGAAGTCAGTGTAGGTGTTTTTCATTAAAAAACTACCTTTTGTGTGGCTTGTGTGTGTAAAGAGTACCATACTTGTGTAGTTTATTTGAATATCTAAATTTTCTTGCTTTGTAAAGGATTTATCATCAGTTCAACCTGGTATTTCTTCATCACCAGTTACAATAACTGCCCACCAGGGAGAAATTGCATGTATTGCATTGAATCAGCTAGGAGAAATGGCAGCTACTGCTTCAGACAAGGTGACTCTTCATCTTTGTAGGTATTTGAGAGGAAGATGAGATGCTATTTTAAAAAACACCATCTTTCTAGGGCACATTAATACGAGTATTTAATCTGTCAAAGAAACAATTGGTAGTGGAACTTAGACGTGGAGCTGATCATGCTACTCTATACAGGTGCAAAAAAATTTCTTTCAATTCCATCAAATTTTATTATAATTTTGTGTGTTTAGAAAATTAACAATTTTTTCCCTCTAGCATCAACTTTAGTGACGATTCATCGTATCTTTGTGCCTCAAGTGATAAAGGAACTGTACATATTTTTGCATTAAAAGACACCTCTTTAAACAAACGATCAACGTAAGTGAAAATTTGTCGATGAAAATCCAGATGCATGGGGGAGCTTAGAACTTTACCCCTCTTGTTCGAAGATGATGTTTTGCCCACATTTGGAAGAAATGCTTTGTCACAAGTATTTTACTAAGAGAAACGCAGGGACCATGTAGGACGTTGATTATTTTACACAGGTTATCTTACTATCTCTTGAGTGGAAAGAAGAGCGTTTATTACCCAGTGGTGACTTTCGAATATACCTTCATTTTCTTTAAAGAACCCCTAGCGACAGCTTTAACCAGTCATAAAGTAAATGGTGCAAACCCGGAAGTATTGTTGCGTGTTGATGCTGAAGATGACTACCGCTAAGGTTGTCGAAAAACCAGTCAACATCAACACCAACAGTCCTTCTCAGGACTTTGCTAACCTGGACGATCTACATCTAGAAACATTTAACCAGTCATTATCAACACTGACTAACACTTGCGTTCTTCTTTCAAAAATCATCAAAAAATGACTTATCTAAGCAAAAAAATGGCTATTGTTTTTCTCGAGTTTTCAATTTCATAATTTTAGGTTGTCGAAAATGGCGTTTCTTGGTCAATACGTTGAATCACAATGGGCTTTGGCAAACTTCACCATTCCTTCAGAATGTCCTTGTATTTGTGCGTTTGGCCCTTTTCCAAATTCCGTGATTGCTATCTGCATTGATGGCACGTTTCATAAATACATATTTACACCCGATGGAAACTGCAGCAGAGAAGCTTTTGACATATTTTTAGAAGTAACGAGAGACGATTTCTAATTTGTCCTCTGACGCGTTTAATGTAAATTGTAAGATAAATAATTGTAATTGTAAATTATCAACGACTATTTTCTGTGTATTGCAATTTCTCGTGTTTCATTTGTTTCTTTTGTGTATAAGTGGCGGAGAGAGAGGGGGGGAAGAGAAGGTGTCGAATATGCGTTGTGTTTGGAGGTATAGGTATGGACCCTGACCGAACCAAAAGGTAAATCTTGTTATCGCCCACGATGAAAAGTTACATTCACAACGTATTTAGAGGCAACATAGCCAGTTTATTTTTGGCTACTTTTCAAGTAAAAAATAGATATAATGATGTTTCTGAAATATAGGTAGCACCATTATTTAATCGTTTCATCATCATCTCCAAGGTATCATTCCCATCACGCAACTCGGCCTCAGTTCGCCATTTTGGTTGACAAGATTTGTTTTTCCATCGAATCCATAAATATCATACACATTTTTACTATTCATAATGTTTTCTTGTCTTACTTCCGTGCTACCAAAAGGTAAGTTTTCGTTTATTTTGAAAAGTTTATCTATAAAATGATCTAACTTGACAAATGGTCATTTCACTTTAATACCGGTCCACCGAACTTAGAAAACTAACCATCTTTTCCAACGTTCAATTTCAAGGAGGACAAGCTCTTTCGACAGTAAAATGCCTTGCAAGACCTGGGTATGCAGTGGCTGTTTTATGCATCTTGAAAGCCAGCATAGTATTTCCATGATTTATTTTCAATAACACATCCTATTTATAGTTCAGTTTCATTGGCAAGATTTTTCTCCACAAGCGATTCACGTAGTCGCTTTGGTATAGATCCAACTGGTATGATTACAAATAAAGCAAAAAGACTTTCTTATGGCTAATTTCATTCATACGATATTTTTCTAGGTATCAAAGTAATGCCTACCAACTTCTTCTCTGATGTGAAAGCTGAACTTTTCAAAAAAACTGGGGAGTCTGGTCCTTTGTGTTTGGGAATTGGCTTTGCTGCTTATTTGTTGTCCAAAGAATACTTTATAATTCATGAAGAAGTACTATATTCTTTCAAATTCAAAAGTATTAGAATTATTGGTTGATATGATAATTTAAATTCTCCAGACACTGCTTGCAGTGGTTTCATTATTAACTATGACATGGGCTCTCAAGAAAGCTGGTCCTCCCATAACCCAAATGTTGGATGATTATGCTCAGGTACCTTCATTCAATGATTTTTGTTGCAACTGTAGTTGTGAGTCTTCACTATTGCATGTTTTGTATTCTTGTTAGGAAATATTAGATCAGTTGAACCAAGGCCGTGTAGCCAAGATTGCTCAGTTGGAAGAGGAAATAAAACTACAGGAAAGTGTTGAACCCATGCTTAAAGTTGGTAAAGATGTCTTTGAAATTCTGCAGGTTAGTACAATGTTTAGATGAAGCACTACCTTTCTACTCTTCCCTTAAAAGTTCACCTTGGAAACTAACAAGAGCATGAATTATTTCTTCTTATAACATTTCCAGGAAAATAATGTCATGGAAATGGAGACTGAATATAGAAGTCGCCTTCACCATGTTCACAATGAAGTCAAGAAACGTTTGGTAATGTCAATAGAAGATTCATTTATGACTAACTTAGCTTATTGGTTGAAAGTTATGCTTTTGTATGTCTTTAGGATTACCAAGTTGAACTGCAAGACTTGAAAAAACGTCTGGAGCAAGAGCATATAATAAACTGGGTTAAAGATGCAGTTGTGAAGAGTATTACTCCTATGCAGGTAACTAATGTGTAATTGTTACATTATGTAACAATTATGTAATATAATGTATGCAATGGTTCATTATGTATTTTAGGAAAAGCAAACAATCACTCAGTGTATTAAAGAACTTAAAAGCCTTGCTCCTGCCTAGATATACTTCCAATTTCTAACCTCTTGCTGACTACAACTGAAGTGCTTGTATTTTATAATTATATGTATATTAAAGAAAGCAAACTTAAAAGAATTGTTTAATTTGTTTTGCCTAGGAATTATATGATTGGAATTAGAAAATTTACTTTTACAAATTGTCTTTATAATTTTCATGATGTTGGTTTAATGACTTCTATAATTCTACTTTCGTATGAGTTTTCATTTCTCTCTCCATTTCCAATACTCAAGGATTTTTTCAAAGTTGACAATTGATTACTTGTTATTTCCTCATCATGATAAACCACACCCCAAACATCACCCTCATTAAGAGAAGCACCTTTGTGTGTTTTGAGAACTAGACTGACACCATGGTTAACAGAATCATCTGGATGTAACCTTCCAGCACCTAGTTCCAATAAGACATTGGCAATATCAAGTGCATTCAAGGAATGAACTATTCCACTGCTTTCAGCAATTAAATTAGTGCATTCTTTTGCCAATGGCAATAACTCCCAAAGATTTGCACCTGGTTCGCATAACTTTTCAGCAAGAGCTTTATCAACGTTTTGGGCAATCAGCATTTCTTTGAATTTTAATAAGGCTTTACCATTTTTCAGTGTCTGAAGAACCACATCATACCCATCTTTCAGATTAGCTACTTTTCCTTTGGCTAGCAATAAACTTCCACCTAGGAAACATAACATCTAAAATGCTATATAACTTGCTATTTAGTTTGTAAAACAAAGTAGAACTTTCTCCCCACCTTGGGTGCAAATTAATTCTTCTAAATCTTTGGGTGCATTTCCCTTTAAGCATTGAATAGATTCAATCACCTCGACAGAGTTGCCAATCATCATCCCAATGGGTTCATTCATCTTTGTCAATACAGCAACAGTTTTAATATCAAGAGCTTGAGCTGTATTCACCAACCATTTTGCTAATTTTTGTGCATCCTCTTCATTCTTCATGAAGGCAGCAATTCCACATTTTACATCAAAAACTAACGCTTTAGGATTTTCTACCAAGGTGAATAAAAATGAGATATCTAGTTAAGTTATGGTGGCATTTGCAAGAAAAGAAACCTACCAGCAGCTTTCTTGGCAATTATGGAGCCTACTATGAGAGAAATACAATTTATGGTGGCCGATACATCTCTTGCAGCATACATTGCTTTGTCAGCAGGAGCAATTTTTTCTGTCTGGCCCACAATGCAACAGCCAATCTTGTCAACAATGGTGCATATTTCTGAAGAGGTCAAGTTAATGTTAAATCCTGGAATGGATTCTAGTTTATCCAAGGTACCACCTAAAACCAAAGATCTGCATCAGCACTGAAGTTTATGTAAAGAGTTTTTCACATTAAATAATGATAACTATTGTAAGCAAACAGAGTGATCTATACTATTTTAGACAAAAGATCCAGTTAAAAAACACTTTTACATCACTATTTATATATATTGCTTCCTAGAAAACAAATAACACATAATTTGTGACAACTCACCTGTAAAACCAAGTCCTCTACCAGATATCATTGGAACTTTAAGACCAAGAGAGGCTAGAGCTGGTGCCAATGGTAGGCTGACCTTATCACCAACACCACCAGTAGAATGCTTATCAACTACTAAATCACTCCACTCTTCTGGCCATTTAAGTGTCTCACCATTCTTCACCATGGCTTTGGTCAAGCTAATGGTCTCATCTCTATTCATGCCTTTTAAAAACACAGCCATAAGAAAAGCCCCAAGTTGCACGGGATGAATTTTACGATCAGCAACATGCTCTACCAGTAAGTTGATTTGTGCATCAGATAAAATTTGACCATCTCTTTTTCTTGTAATTATACTAGGTATATCCATACTGGTGATTCAATTAAAATGATCGATTTTTCCAGCACGTCCGAACTTTATAGACAATAGCAGTCACTAACAATTGTTAAAGGTTAATCATGTTGACAATCCTTCATTTCCTAGAATTGTCCAGACTCGAAATATTAACAAAATTGTGAGTCTCGTGACAGTTGAATCGGAAATAAATGTACTTGAAGCAAAAGATACTTAGCTCACTCACGCAGATGATCAAATTTATCGTAAAACATTCAAAAACTTTGTAACCCAAGTTACAAATCAATATCAGAGCCCTCTATTAGTAAGAATTGGGACATCTATTGGACATCTAATACGATAACCGTTTACCTTACGTTGATTGGGCAATATTGATCACCTGATCAATTTCCGCCATTTTGGTTCCTAGTTTTGAAATTTGAGCTAGTGTTTATATAGCAATTGCTTCTAGTAATACAGTATTTTGAGATAATATTGCGTTTTTTTTTATGGATAAATGCCTTTACGTCGAACTTACGAAATTTGATTGCGTATGGTGATTGTTGTGCTGAACTGCTTTTGATATAAGGTTCAATTAACTGACTCAAGTAGAGAAACGTTTTTGGGCCAATTAACATTGCAAAGTTCGTGCTGATGCAGTTTCAATAGTTTTCTTACTTCCAAAGCTTGTTTTTTAATTGAAGATGACTTCTCATTATGTTCTGAAATTGGTCAATCTACAAACCTCTCAATTCTCAGCCACTTCCACACTATAACAAACAACTACACCAAATCACAGAAACTCTTATGATTTTCCATGTTGTATTTTGTATTTTTAGTTCATCATTTAAAAATGAAGTAATTATAATTAGGATATTCACTGAAACAGCTGAGTACAATATATTTTTGGTAATGAATTGTACAAATGTACCCTACTTCAGTAGCTCAAAGTAGAACATTACTTCTCTTCTAGACTTGTCAATGATATTTTAATTGTAGGTTTTGTTTATAAGATCACAGAGGCATATCTCCATAATTTCAGCTATTTGGGCTTTTAAATGTATATTACAACTGTTGCTGCCTTTCTCATATATATTAAAATATTGCTGGCTTTCTCATATATATTTAGGTGCTGCTAGCTTTTTGATATATATAATTCACTGGCAATACAAGGCATAGAATTTGAACAAATGGGGCTGAGCCCCCTCCAACACACCCCTGTTTGATCATTAAACACATACAGAAGTTTTGTCTTTCCTCAACCAATAAATTTAACTCTTTGCTAAATTAAAGATTGGATCAGACTCATATGCTGTATAAAAGACTACAAACAGTAGCACTTATAGCAAACAGACTGTTCTTCAACAACATAAATGTTTCATGTTATAGAAATAATATATTCATTTTAAAGCAATGCTTCACCAAAATTTTCAGCAGAATCCTTAACAAACTTTATTAGAAATAAACTTTAATACTTTATAAAGTGATAAAGGCGAAATAACTTCATATAAAGGAATAAAACGTTTAAGGTCAAATGCATCTTGGTCAAATCATTGCATATTTCAATAACTAAAAAGTAAAAAAGTCTGTCATTTTCTGCTGAGCAAGAAAATTTTGTGATCTTTCACAATAAAAAATGTCATGCTTGGATTAAATTGGAAGGTATAAACCACTCACTACCATTAAATTGTTACAAATCTTGAACACAGATCTCTCAGGACCAAAACTGCATGATTACTATGATTCGAAGTTTCGAACAAAGTCTTGTCCAAGTATTTGATAACAGTGATGCCAGAATAACATTGCCGCTTGCCACCAAGCTTAAAGATCTTGAAAACTTGTTACAGAGTCGGAACATAAGCCGAGAAAACACGTTCACGTACGAAAAATACTTCTTACAATGGGTAACGATCAATTTGAAGAACGAACTAGTAAACCGCAAACGAAGCTCAAACCAATGAAATTAAATCAGGTCTGCCGCAAATCGTTAAAAAAAACGCAAAGAGATTGCTATTATTCCTAATATATTTGATACTACCATGGAATAAGCTTAAATTGCCCTCTTTTGCATATAAACCCAATTTCCAATAGTATTATAGTTTCACTTTGCAAGTAGGAACCAAAATCGCTCGCCCCAGACCGTTTGTCCCAACTCTTACTAATAGAGGGCTCTGATCATTGAGCTCTATAAGACCTGGAGCATTGAGCTCTATAAGACCTGGAGGGGCAAAGGGGCCTGGGCCTCGTGGTCAAAAACATGGCGGTAATGGCGGATTTTGGTTGTCAAACTTCCACTTTGAGAAAATTTTTAACATTCGCTCCTCCCGAATCCGGATCTCTATTCCTGCTTATATTAATGACAACCAGCGAAAACAACCACGATACCGTAAGCATAAAATATTGAAAATAATGCTTCAGGTTTTGTGAAATAGACACACACATTTAAATGAGGTAAAATAACGTATATTTTGTCAAGTAATGCTTTAGCTATATTAGAAATAAATATCAAACGGCATTTTTACACTGTCAATGTGTTGTTAAGCTTTAATGCATAATCCATTAGCATTACTTGTGTTTTGACTGTTTGTTTACAGCTTGCAACTGTCTTCCTGAATAGATGGGTAAATCTTAGTTAAAACGTCCAAAAGGAGTTAGAAAAGTTAGCTTACCCTACGACTTAAGTCGACTGGAAATATATTATAAGTAGGTATGTAATTTTGAGTTTTTTGGTAGGATTGATTCTGGGTGTCTTATAAGGTATTATGATATTCTTATAAATCTACTGAGAACTTATGAAGAAAATATCTTGAACTAGGAGAGCAAAAGATTGAAATTCAGAAATTCTATAATCATGTTGCTGGTTCTGTTTTGAGCCAAGATATTAGAAACTGGATTGTCATTGACAACCATGGATCTACTACTGAACAGAACTACATTAATTTCCCATTGAAAATACAATTTCATAAATTAAAGTGCATTGGTTTCTCTGACATAACACTTTTCTTATTGCTGCATGAAGGCAAATCTGTTTAAATAATTATAATGTAGGTGAAGATATTTAGCATGTTGTATAATTGTTATTGTACAGTCATTATTTATAATATTATGGCCTTGTGTAATGTATGTCAAGAAGAACTTATTAATTCTCAAAAATGCTAACCTTCTTGCACTACTTTTCTTTGTGTCCTTACAAATTGCAGTTACCTGTACTAATTTTTCTAGGTTCAAACAACTTGACAAACTTTTGAATTTTACATTATGCCTTGAATTTTTGTTTTCGTCTTTTGATAAAAATATCAGTGAATGACTTAAAATCAAGTTTATCTAAAATAGTATTTTGTACAAAGAAATTATACATAATTTGAAAAGTCTCATGTTGAAGACAGATGTCGCTTCTTTTACTAGATTGCTACTCTTATTCTTTTTAAATGATATCGTAATTCTTCAAGACATAAAAGTTCTTTGGCATCAATTTTGCTCGCTCCACATTCAACTTCATTGCAACCGATGCATCTTATGTGAATTTTAATCACCTGGAATTGAAAATGTATGGATTTTGTCAGATGATGCAGTACTATATTTAATGTTTCATGCATGTCATCATAACCTTTTCTTGAGCAAATATTTTAAGGTAGGAGCAAAATTTGGCCCATTATTGCACAAAGTAGTTTTATCTTGATTTTGATGTACTAACCTGTTTACTATAACAAACAATTCATTTACAGAAACACCAGATGGAATTTATAAAACTTTTAGCATAAAACAAACCTTTACACACCATCATCAAAATTGTCCATAATCTGTCAAATTATCCAGGCTAGCTGTTTAATACAGGTATTTTTTATCGTACGACATGTACCAAAGAGCTCATTAATTAATCCTGCACTGCATTTGATTTCAATACAGCTCTGATCTTAATATTTGCTTCATATTTTCAGAAAAATATCATGAAAACACCCTCCATTTCTTGAAGGTAAACTCAGTTGAAACAAGGAGTTTTAAGATATGCATATCTCGATAAGAATTGGTTGCTTTGCCTCGTCTAGCAAGCGATTAAGTAAAGAAAAAATAAGACTGGATAAACATAACTTAAATTATAACTTAGGAGTAAAAACATTCACAAAATATATACCATCACACTTCAAGTATTGACTTAAAACAAAACACTGAACACTTTAAATAGTAAAGAATCTTACGTTGCTTACCGTAGTCATGAAATGTTTCCTTTTCTGACATTACTTCAGCATCCGTATACCAAACAAGTTTGCAGCATGTTTTAAAGATAAAATTTCTAAAAGTTTTTGTGCTTGGCATTGATATTTTTTATAATCGCAATTGTGGTTGTCAAATCCGGGTGGGCGAAAAAAATTTTATTTTATGAGCCCGCGTCTTTCCGCTGACTTTGACAACCAAAATCCGCCATGTTTTTGACCACGCGGCCGCGCGCTAATAATTTATAGTAATTTGGTTGACGTTTCCCCTCCAGGTCTTATAGAACTCAATGACCTGGAGGGGCAAAGGGGCCTGGGCCTCGTGGTCAAAAACATGGCGGTAATGGCGGATTTTGGTTGTCAAAACTTCCACTTTGAGAAAAATTTTTAACATTCGCTCCCTCCCGAATCCGGATCTCTATTCCTGCTTATATTAATGACAACCAGCGAAAACAACCACGATACCGTAAGCATAAAATATTGAAAATAATGCTTCAGGTTTTTGTGAAATAGACACACACATTTAAATGAGGTAAAATAACGTATATTTTGTCAAGTAATGCTTTAGCTATATTAGAAATAAATATCAAACGGCATTTTTACACTGTCAATGTGTTGTTAAGCTTTAATGCATAATCCATTAGCATTACTTGTGTTTTGACTGTTTGTTTACAGCTTGGTGCAACTGTCTTTCCTGAATAGATGGGTAAATCTTAGTTAAAACGTCCAAAAGGAGTTAGAAAAAGTTAGCTTACCCCTACGACTTAAGTCGACTGGAAATATATTATAAGTAGGTATGTAATTTTTTGAGTTTTTTTTGGTAGGATTGATTCTGGGTGTCTTATAAGGTATTATGATATTCTTATAAATCTACTGAGAACTTATGAAGAAAATATCTTGAACTAGGAGAGCAAAAGATTGAAATTCAGAAATTCTATAATCATGTTGCTGGTTCTGTTTTGAGCCAAGATATTAGAAACTGGATTGTCATTGACAACCATGGATCTACTACTGAACAGAACTACATTAATTTCCCATTGAAAATACAATTTCATAAATTAAAGTGCATTGGTTTCTCTGACATAACACTTTTCTTATTGCTGCATGAAGGCAAATCTGTTTAAATAATTATAATGTAGGTGAAGATATTTAGCATGTTGTATAATTGTTATTGTACAGTCATTATTTATAATATTATGGCCTTGTGTAATGTATGTCAAGAAGAACTTATTAATTCTCAAAAATGCTAACCTTCTTGCACTACTTTTCTCTTGTGTCCTTACAAATTGCAGTTACCTGTACTAATTTTTTCTAGGTTCAAACAACTTGACAAACTTTTGAATTTTACATTATGCCTTGAATTTTGTTTTGTCTTTTGATAAAAATATCAGTGAATGACTTAAAATCAAGTTTATCTAAAATAGTATTTTGTACAAAGAAATTATACATAATTTGAAAAGTCTCATGTTGAAGACAGATGTCGCTTTTACTAGATTGCTACTCTTATTCTTTTAAATGATATCGTAATTCTTCAAGACATAAAAAGTTCTTTGGCATCAATTTTGCTCTTCCACATTCAACTTCATTGCAACCAATGCATCTTATGTGAATTTTAATCACCTGGAATTGAAAAATGTATGGATTTTGTCAGATGATGCAGTACTATATTTAATGTTTCATGCATGTCATCATAACCTTTTCTTGAGCAAATATTTTAAGGTAGGAGCAAAATTTGGCCCATTATTGCACAAAGTAGTTTTTATCTTGATTTTGATGTACTAACCTGTTTACTATAACAAACAATTCATTTACAGAAACACCAGATGGAATTTATAAAACTTTTAGCATAAAACAAACCTTTACACACCATCATCAAAATTGTCCATAATCTGTCAAATTATCCAGGCTAGCTGTTTAATACAGGTATTTTTTATTATACATGTACCAAAGAGCTCATTAATTAATCCTGCACTGCATTTGATTTCAATACAGCTCTGATCTTAATATTTGCTTCATATTTTCAGAAAAATATCATGAAAACACCCTCCATTTCTTGAAGGTAAACTCAGTTGAAACAAGGAGTTTTAAGATATGCATATCTCGATAAGAATTGGTTGCTTTGCCTCGTCTAGCAAGCGATTAAGTAAAGAAAAAATAAGACTGGATAAGCATAACTTAAATTATAACTTAGGAGTAAAAACATTCACAAAATATATACCATCACACTTCAAGTATTGACTTAAAACAAAACACTGAACACTTTAAATAGTAAAGAATCTTACGTTGCTTACCGTAGTCATGAAATGTTTCCTTTTCTGACATTACTTCAGCATCCGTATACCAAACAAGTTTGCAGCATGTTTTAAAGATAAAATTTCTAAAAGTTTTTGTGCTTGGCATTGATATTTTATATAATCGCAATTGTGGTTGTCAAATCCGGGTGGGCGAAAAAAATTTTATTTTATGAGCCCGCGTCTTTCCGCTGACTTTGACAACCAAAATCCGCCATGTTTTTGACCACGCGGCCGCGCGCTAATAATTTATAGTAATTTGGTTGACGTTTCCCCTCCAGGTCTTATAGAACTCAATGGCTCTGATCAGTATACAATAAAAAAGAGCAACACTGACGCCATTTCCGGTGACTAATTATTATGGAAACATTTTGTCAATAAGTTGTAATGTTGTTAATAAATGAAACTTTCATTGTAGGTATTTTTTGGACGATATGAATTCGGAAATAAACAAGAAAACACCAGCATTCATTTGTAGGTTTTACCATTCATGTTTTTTCTCTTTTTTTCATGATAAATCTTTAGAAGAAATCGACAAAAAAAATTTTTTTAAAAAAGTTAAAATATATACAATTTACAGATGCTAAAGAGTTTAAACTGTCGAAAGTCTTGGGAAATTTACAGGTATAAGGTAACTTTGGTCATGAAAACAACAGTGGAATTGAAAACTTTGATGTTTCCTGATTGTTAAGCATTAGCAATATAAACTGTAAAAAATTCCACACCAGGCATACAAAGTAGCAGCTGGAAATGTGGTTGGCACAAATGAAGAAGCTTTGAGAAAGCGTGGTATTGTTGATCATTTACCATAAACTTTATGAAAATTTTTGCTAAGCAACTAATGAAAAACAACCATCTGAAATTTGCAAACAAAATCTCTCATATAGACCAAACAGATTCAACATCATTGAAAAGAAAAAGGAAACAGAAAGAAAAGAAATCAAAGAAGATAAAAGATAAGGAGACTAACTACCCAGTTCCTAATGTTTCATTACAAGATCTTACAGAGCCACTTCCCCTTCCACATTGTTTTATTGAAGGTACCTGAACTTGTCAGGGATAAGATAGAATGGGCACACAGAACTTTGCTCATTTAGATTCCTTTTTCCTTAAAAATTTCAGACAAGGCAAATAACTCTGAAGATGAGCAACGTTGTGAAGATTCAGAAAGCGAGACTTGCGATTATTTTGGCTTGGAAAGCAATTCAAATGTAGTTTGATATCTCATTTAAACCCACAGCTTTTTTATTTTTCATTTTAACCACACTTTATCTCTATAATCAGAGCTCTTCAGATGAAGAAAAATGCTCAGAAAGTTCAGTCAATCGGTATGCTTCATTGTCTAACAACACATACAGCAATGATAACATTTCATTCCGACCTTCTTGTGATGAAAAAAATTCCCAAGATTTCTTAACCACATATACATGGTAAGTTTCCTACAGTTCACATTTTAACATTATATATAAGAATTATGTCTCAAACCTGACAATTTTCAGCGGGAAATGCAACAGACGAGGCCATGTTACAGAGCATTGTACCTTGACATGTTCTGGTGTTGAAAACAGCTCGGTAAATATCTGCAAATAAATGAAGTATTTAGAAATATCTTGTTGAAGTTGAATTTAATTTGATATAGACACAAAACTCAATATCATCAAATGTCAGACAACTTTTTTCAGAGTAAGTTTCCTGACTATAGACACATATGACTTTGGTCTCAATGACCCACATCTAAAGGTATTGTATATCTCCATTGCATAGATGTCGAAAGTTGAGGAGTTCCCAAAACCATAGCTGTGTAGACTGTGGAAATGTCTCTAATTTAGCATTTTGCTTTGAGTGTAGGTAAGTTTTAGAACAACAGAATGGTTTTCAAAATATTTGTCTTTAAATCACATTTCCTTAAATGCATTTTAGCTTGTGGCTTTAACGTACATTTTGTATTTAATCACAGCTCTTATTCTGTTTTAAAATTTTCATTCAGGTTATCTCTATGTGATGGCAGGGGACATCTTATTGAGCATTTGCTCTGTAATCCAACACATAACAAACTATATTCATTCAAGCTTCAAAAACTAGTACGCAGGTTTTCATTAACTAAACCTGTGTTTGCCTTTCTTGGAAACACTTTTAATTTCACTTTTACTTTGATATTTCTAGTTAAAGTGCTCAAATTCCTCATGCAACACAGTGGACATTAGTCAACTTCTTGTCTGCCCACAATGTTTAAGTAAAATCTTTGATAAGCACTACTCCCTCGTCAATGCAACATGGTTTGTGTTATCCTTCAAGAGAATCTTCTTTTTTGGTATCATCCTTTTGTCTTTCTCCTACTTTATTATTTCTTATCTATCAATCAGGTCAAATAAAGCACTTCGAGCGATAACCAACAGTCTTTGTTGCGAAATTCATTTTCAATGGTAAGACATACGTCCGTAGATAAACATGGCATGAAAATTTCACACTAAAAATGGCCTACAACCGACAAAATTTTAACAAAGATATCAAATTGACATTAGTACCTACCCATTGTCGAGTACTGTCATCCTTTTGAGTAAGTTCAAACAGTAAAATTGGTAAACATAACTTCTCTTTTACTAGTTGTTTCTTGTACATCGATTTAAAATGCCATTTAAATTTTCCCGCTGCTGCTATACTTTGGCGGTACACCCTATTGGCATTTTTAGCATCGCCAAAAAAACGCGAAAAATTTCCAATTATAATGAAGCGATGACAAAATTTAAGTGTAATTGTCTTTCTCTTCTATTTAGGCATCGAATGAACTGTTATGCATCCTCAGAGGAATTAATGTTCAGCCGCGAGAATTTACTAAAACTAAAACATGAACAGAATGGTCTATTGAGCGAATTCTTTTTTTGAACTGGAATACCTCATTCGAGTTGAAATAATTTAACCTGCGAAATTTCATTTCATTTAACTTATTAAATAAATATTGTTTTTGTTAATTCGTGGCATTAGCGACTAAATACTTATGTAACATAGTATGTGCGTTGAAGTTTCTCCAATATAAGAAATTGTGTGGTTATAGGGAAAAATTCTTAGTACAAGAAGTTTGTATTGATGTGTTAAGGTTAAGATATAGACGTCATCAGATTATGAAAAATGTAAAAAATGTTGAAAGTTTTACTACTCCGATAAATTATCGGTAGCACTACCGTTGGATGGTTTAGCAGCGTCAAAGGCTTCCAATATTCTGGCAACTTCCGCACGCTTGGTTTGTGACATTTGTTGGGTAATATGAATTATGGAGTCCATTGCAACATCGCCATTCTCTTGAACCAACCTTTATGAGGGAAGTTTATCTCGGTCAATAATATGTTTGCTTTCGAGAGCTTTTGCTCGAGGCTTATGTAAAATCATGATGTGTTAATGACTGTTCTTTTCAGAAAAGCAATGCAAGCAAAGAAAAAAATGGATGTTTACTTAAAAACTTCAAAGAAAGAATAGGGGAATGTATGCACTGCTCCACAGCTCTGCTTGGCAGACATTGACACGAAATTTGAATAAAATTTTCTCCTGATTTACAAAAAATTTAAACTTACGATTTTATCTGTCTCAACACCGAATCACGTTTAATCCATTTAATATTCTCTGCAATAACAGATCCTTCTTCTTTTGCCATGTCACTTTCAAACCATTTTACGACGACTTCGTTGTCATTCCAAAGATATGACTGAAAAGACATAATTTTATGCAAGACAGTTCATCGAAAATCATTTACACAAAAAAAATGTAAAAACCTTAACAGTTCCGTGATCTTCAAGAAAAAGTCTCTCCAACATTGACGATAATTGACCATCGGAGAGATCTCTGCAGTGATATTCATGCTCAATTTTAATACATGGCCAAGAGCACAGAGAAAATGACTTTCAGATAACAATAGAATCATGTAATTGAGTAGTTACATGACAACTCATTAGCAGTGATGGCAAACATTTGAGGTAAATCAGAACAACTAACATCAATGTATTTGAAATCATTAAAAATGAATCAGAACAACAAATCAACACGAACTTGTTACATTGGCCAAGTTTTTCCTTCACGCTCTTTTCAAGCAATAAACGACGAAGTCTCCAGTAGAAAAACTTTCTCGAATGCTTCCACTTAAGTACTTCCTTTAATTAAAAAATTGTGAAAATTTTAACAGAAAAAAGGCGCGCACCACGAAAGAATGCAGTGAATGATATGAAAAGCTTTCGACTGACAACGTTTTCTTTCATATAAGTAAACAGAATAAACCAGCTCCAAAAAAACATACCGATATCACTCCTTTTTCGTGCATTCTGCCTGCTGTATCGTGAAGATCCGCGAAAGTTACCGCAACCTTGAGAAAGAAAACAACGATATATAATGACCGAAATTTCTGGAGTAACGTTGATCATTGAAAACCTGTTGATAAACTGGCATTAATAACTCTTCTCGTTCTTTTAACTTCTTTTCCAGAGCCTTCCTGTCATTAGCTGTTAAATCTAGGAGAACAGCAACATGATAGAACACAAAAATATAAAATGCAGTCCACATATTATATAAAGTCTTTTAGAATTAAATCTGGTGTGCATCCGAAAATATGTACTAGCAGATCAATGAACTCTTTTTAGTAGAATAACATTTATGTATAATGTGGTATTATAATCTGATATTCATATTATATTGTAACATAGGATATGAAATGTTATGATATAAACTAAACCAACACTTATAAACGACTTAAAGTAATCAAAAAAAGAGAGCAACATGCAAACCTGGCGCTGCCAGTTTCTGATTCAATTTGCTGTAAGTATCATCTAGACGCCTCATTGTTTTAACGAGATCCTTTCGTCGAAACTTGATCTCAACAGCGCCAGTAGGCTCCAATATTCCGCCCCTATGAAACAAGAAAAATAAGCTATAAATATAGGCCTCGATCAACGTTAAAATATTTCGGAGAAGATGATGTTCACACTTACCTTGACTCTTCGTCCGCATACATTTCCATCATTTGTGGATTGATAGTTGTATCCAGAACTACCCACGCTCCACCACGTAACTCAGCGTTACATGGGATATAAACAAAGACAGGTTGTAGATATTTGCGCAGAGCATCGACAATGAGCGAACCGTACTTTAACACCTCTTCATACATATCTGAAAATAACACAACGGACATTGGAGGACCTTTATGATACGAGGTATATGCATTGTTATTGTCCTTCTATAACGATTCTACATCGTTGATTTATCATCGATAAAAAGATAGATAATTTATTTCCTAAAAACGTGTAGCCCTAAGGCTGAATAACGTATATAGCATAATTTAAAAAAATTTAGAATTTGATTGATCACCATATTAAAGCATTATACAAAGTAAGAACTATACGATAAAAACATTAAAAGCACTGCATTAACCTTTAAGTCCTCCGGAAAATCCTCGCCAGTTAGCAAAGATGATCAATGGCAGTTGCTCTCGATTAAAGTCGTTAATGCATTGTGCCGTCTTAAACGCAGAATCTGGGTACCACACCTGGCCAGCTTGGGTAAAAACTTGAGCCTCCGAGCTTGGGTTACCAGGATCAGCGGGTATCGTCACTTCAACTGCGCGAGTTTCAACAGTAATAACACCCATTGGTATTCCACCTAACCTAGATTATAAGTTTAAAGAAAAGGATGGTTTTTCTTTGGGAAAAAAAGAACATGAATAATGAGTGATAAATTAACATCTACCTTGCTCTTCCACAAACCACCGTCTTAGCCCAACCGCCCAGAGTTTCAATGAAAGAATTTTTGTCGAAAAATCCACTCACCCATTTACCTATCATGCACATAAATAGAAAGAACGTCTATACAGTTGAAAAAATAAGTAAAAAACTAGTTCCAAGAACAAATGGGTTACCGTTCTCGGTTGTGCCAGCAACCATATGTCTGGGATCGCACACTCTCGTTGGAACGAAATCAACATCTCGTTCAACAGGATCCACGATCTTCGTGATCGGAAGGGGAGCATTTTTACACTGAAATAACAATAAATAATAAAGTAAATGATTTGAATCCGGGAGTATCGTTACATATGTAGATATTGTCCTGGGTTTAGACTGGACGATCTACATTTATTGTAATAAATAATATCATAATAACATAGAGGGTTAGGGTGAATTACAAGCAAAAGTTTAAAATAAATTTATATCTTTTATCGTGTTGAAGATGTCGAATAATAAAGCAAAACTCTTGCAATGGGTGAAAATAACTAACACGAGGAATGAAGGAAAGCCATTGAATGATAGTGAAGAGGCCACTTAGATCATCAGGGACCAACAGATGAGATGTACCTAAATTGATTGGATAAGAAATAACTTCACTAAAACTAGTAATATAACTGTCTATATATAATTATCAATATAACTGTCATCTGTCAGTTTGACTATTTCACTATAGCAGTTAAATCAAAAACAGCGCAAATGCGTCGCAAGTGCGCGGCAAATACAGCGCAAACGCAGTGTAAATGCGGCACAATAACGTCGCTAAAACGGCGTAAATACGGCGCAAATGCGGCAAAATACAGCGTAAAATAAAATGCTACAGTTACTAAGCAACGCCTGCATGACGTAAGAATGGCATAAACGGACATATCTCGTACCGTTGTTGTACATAACTGATGGTCCTCCTAATTGTAAATTTGATGTGTAAACTTGCCGTCCTAATAGCTAAGAAAACGACAAATTTTAACTAAGAAATGGACAATGGAATGTACGAGGAGAGTTCACCTTCAATAAACAAGAGTTACCTTATTCAACGCTTGGTAGCCAGTCAAAATAATATGCGAGTTTTCAACTTGAATAATTCGTTGACCAAGTCTTAGTAAGTAAGATCCGATACCAACAGCTCGGCAAGTTACCTTAAGCAAAATTTTATGTCATTATAAAGTTTTAATTGATTAAGAATACACCGAGAACACACCATGAATATTTCCATCCCTATACAATCCTACATTTAAATACACCGAGAACACACCATGACCATTTCCATCCCATACAATCCTACATTTAAATACACCGAGAATACACCATGACCATTTCCATCCCCATACAATCCTACATTTAAATACACCGAGAATACACCATGACCATTTCCATCCCCATACAATCCTACATTTAAATACACCGAGAACACACCATGACCATTTCCATCCCCATACAATCCTACATTTAAATACACCGAGAACACACCATGACCATTTCCATCCCCATACAATCCTACATTTAAATACACCGAGAACACACCATGACCATTTCCATCCCCATACAATCCTACATTTAAATACACCGAGAACACACCATGACCATTTCCATCCCTATACAATCCTACATTTAAATACACCGAGAACACACCATGACCATTTCCATCCCATACAATCCTACATTTAAATACACAGAGACACACCATGACCATTTCCACCCTATACAATCCTACATTTAAATACACCGAGAACACACCATGACCATTTCCATCCCTATACAATCCTACATTTAAATACACCGAGAACACACCATGACCATTTCATCCCCATACAATCCTACATTTAAATACACCGAGAACACACCATGACCATTTCCATCCCCATACAATCCTACATTTAAATACACAGAGAACACACCATGACCATTTCCATCCCATACAATCCTACATTTAAATACACCGAAAACACAATGACAATTTTATCCCCATACAATCCTACATTTAAATACACCGAGAACACACCATGACCATTTCCATCCCCATACAATCCTGCATTTAAATACACCGAGAATACACAATGACAATTTTTATCCCCATACAATCCTACATTTAAATACACCGAGAACACACCATGACCATTTCCATCCCCATACAATCCTACATTTAAATACACCGAGAATACACAATGACAATTTTTATCCCCATACAATCCTACATTTAAATACACCGACAACACACCATGACCATTTCCATCCCTATACAATCCTACATTTAAATACACCGAGAATACACAATGACAATTTTATCCCCATACAATCCTACATTTAAATACACCGAGAACACACCATGACCATTTCCATCCCCATACAATCCTACATTTAAATACACCGAGAACACACCATGACCATTTCCATCCCCATACAATCCTACATTTAAATACACCGAGAACACACCATGACCATTTCCATCCCCATACAATCCTACATTTAAATACACCGAGAATACACAATGACAATTTTTATCCCCATACAATCCTACATTTAAATACACCGAGAACACACCATGACCATTTCCATCCCCATACAATCCTACATTTAAATACACCGAGAACACACCATGACAATTTTATCCCCATACAATCCTACATTTAAATACACCGAGAACACACCATGACCATTTCCATCCCCATACAATCCTACATTTAAATACACCGAGAACACACCATGACCATTTCCATCCCCATACAATCCTACATTAAAATACACCGAGAAAACACACCATGACAATTTTTATCCCCATACAATCCTACATTAAAATACACCGAGAAAACACACCATGACAATTTTTATCCCCATACAATATCATATCCAAATATACTGACAATACAACTGGAGCATTTCCATCCATCTACAATCCAAAATTAATATAGTTTTCAGTTTATTTTTTCCATACCAAACTCATCGTGACTATTTTGTCGTAGGCTTTAGACATTCGACCAGCAATCATCCCAGAACCACGAAGATTCTCCACGCCAATTGGTTCTTCTCGACCTAATGACATAACAAAATACTAATTCAAACACATGACTAAAAACTAGTTGAAAGCCAGTGCCATTAAATATATTTACCAATAATGTCGGTGATTTTATATCTGGATTCTTCGTTCTCTTCCATCGCTTCAGCACGGACAGAATTTGAAGCACTAAACTAAAGTTACAAAAATAGTTACGTTTTAAAGGGCGATGTGTTCAACATAAGTGAAAGCTTCGCGATCTCTGTATTTTTAAATCATAACATGTACATATGTCAAGTGACCTTTTTGAAATCATTTGTTGTCAGATAAAGATACTTGAATCCTTTCTGAGGAGCATTTGAGTCTTCCCAAGCGACCTTGAACTGAAGTTTTAAATCCTCAGCAAGGCCAAGTCGAGCACCGCTATTCGCTGACACATAGATAAAAGGAATACCATCCTTTAGGGCCAACTGCAAGCCGCGCTATAATAAATAACATTCAATAATTAGGATTAGAAACATAGAAAGACTGAGCCAGTTACAAGTCAAGGTATATAAAAAACGTAACAGTCAATAATTGAGAGTACACACAAGAAAGGTTTGGGAAAGATCTTTTTAGATACATACTTCGAAAACATTATCTTCTTGAACGGCAAACGAACCAATGACGTGAGTGATGTCATTTGCAACAACTATTATCTGTAAGACAACATACGGTTATTTACGGGGTGGTAGGACTGGGACTGAGTACTTAGCCAAAGGAGGTATAATGATTGAACAAAGGATAATTTACCTCCCGTCCCTCAGGATATTCGGGTGTTATTAATGCCATACGCCAAGCAACAACACCTATCTAAAACAAAACAAAATGTTTGAAATGAGAAAAATGTTGTAGTTTGATTGATGGAAAACAGTCTACTTACATTGTTCTCTCCTGCCAATCGATTCACTTGATGAAGTTGACCATCTTCCTTTAAGACGTATTCACTAGCTTCCACCTCGAAAAAAGAAATTTCATTGCAACAATAAATTTCTCTTTGATATTGGAATTTGCTCCGTGTGGGATGTTTTCATAGCGACTGCGCATTTTGGTAATCATTCTCGCTTTGGAGAAATAGCTACCGTATTTCAAGGGGAAGAAAGTCCTTTGATTAGGCAAAAACAATAAAGTTTGCTCAAGACAGACATAGCTATTTGTCTAATTTATTTCTAAGGGAAGACAATCGTTTGATTATGAACAAACAATGGAGATCACTTGACAAAGACATAACTATTTGCCTCCAATGTATTTCTAAGGGAAGAAATGAATAGACCTAAAAACAATGAATAGAGAATCTTTGTTCATACCACATCTCGTTTTAAGTTGATGTCCTCTCGATGTTCTTTGGACCATTGTTTCCAATATTTTAAAACAGCCTACATAAAAACAACTTGGTATTTGCTTCGAACTTCGACATTGAGAAAGCATCAATGGAATGTTGCCAACCTGTTTAAATAACTCGGGAATGTCGTAGACGTACGTGGTTCCTTGATTTTGAGCAGTAAAACGCTTCAACTGTGGAATTTGTAAAAGCACAATTCAATAATGATGTTAAGTATCGAAAGTGATCCATCTAAGGACCTGCAACAAATTGTCTTACATGCAACAAATTGTCCTACATGCAACAAATTGTCTTACATGCAACAAATTGTCTTACATGCAACAAATTGTCTCGGTAAAGCGTGTTGTTTTACATAGCCGAATTAAGTTTTATAAAACAATTGTATGGGCGATATAACCCAGCATGGTTAGTGAATTTTTTGGGAGAGGAAATGAGTTTTACGCCATTTCGTGAATTTGAACCAAAAGAGCATGATCACACAATGAAAGCATGATCACACAAGAGACCATGATCTAGCAACGTAATCAACCATTAAAAAGATGCGAAGATTAATCTTCCATTTCTATAACCTGTAGCCTATCTTTCGTCACATAGGGTGAGTTCACTTGCAGACCGTGTAAAGGACCTTGTTTAATACCGTACGATTCCAAGATTATCTACAGCAATGAAATTTTATCATAAAGAGTAAGGACACACCAAGGGGCACCTCAGTGAATTAAGATTTGTAAAGCTACCTGCCCGCTGCGTTGATCTTCAACCTCTCTATAAATACTGACATCAAGATAATATCCCGATTCGTTAGACAAATAAACTCGAAGAGGAATTTTTTTACCATTCGGAGTTAATCTGTAACAAATACGAAAATAAAACAGCTAGCGTTTGAAAGACACTTAGGTCGGTGTATTTTGAATCAACTTGAAACATGTTCTACCCATTATCTACCTGATATTCATTTTCATTTCGGCCTGCAACACCCGTAATCGCCATAATCTTTTACCATAGCGAATAACGATGGATCGAATACTTTCTTCCATCTATATGTTGAGAGACATACGCAGATAGTTACCACACCATAAAGCATTTATACCATGATTACATGAAGTATTGTTTTATTACACTTACGCGATGCGGCTCTATCACAATACAAGGAACAAAATTGAGAAACAGATGATTGCAATCAGTCCGCTTAGGCTGAAAGAGAGTTCTTCGATTGTTCATGAAAACGTTCCTCGGTACATTATAAACTTAGTAAAAAAACATGATTACAAAGAGCGCTTTGCTTACGGATTGTTCAAAGGCAATTTCAAGTTGATCCAAAGTTTCCAGACATTGAATTTCACTCTCTTTCTCCAAGTATTCAAATGAAGCTTCCTGTGAAATAAAGAAGCATGTTCATTAAACATATGTATACTCACTAGACATATGACCAGCTAGGAGTGAGTGCGTCCACAAAATAACTGGGAGTGTTCGACAATCTGGGAACGATATAGTGTGTTTCTTTGATAGAAAAGACCACAATTATAGCCGGACCAACTTTATACGCAAAGACCATAAAAGCTGGGTGTCACCACAACCCCCTCCCCCACCTCTACACCCAACATATACCCAAACGTACACCCTTGTACATAGCAGCAACGTTAGCTTTTCCCAATTCATAATAAGTTCTCGTATTTAAAGATAAAAAACCCAGTTCTTTGGAAAAAATGTGTCGCTACGCTGGCCTTGCCGATATGTACAATCAATGGCAGAATGTAAACTTATCGAAAAATTTCACTACACAAAAAAATTTGGTTTCTTTTAATTTTTATGGGAGCTTGGGGTTATCAAAAGAAACAGGACAATTTAACAGAAATTTTCAAATCAAATAACAAAATAAACTACAGTTCAAACGATTTCTCATGCTTTCAACAATACACACGAACGTGCTTGAAAAAAAAAATAAAATAAAATACTTAGGCAGTGAAAATCTTAACTTTAAACCTCCTCGTATCTCCCAAAACTACTTAGTAAACATTTCATACAGTAACCTTGGTTACGAAGTCTGCATGTCTGACAATGGTTCGCACGAAAAATCGATGATCTGTGACTTCGGCATTAGCTGAAATCTAACGATAAAGACGAAATATTCCAGTATGAAAAAACCAGCGTCCATTGTAAAAAATTCTACTTTTAACAATTCCAACCTTTTTCGCCGAGGCAAAATACAAATGAATGCTGTGATTTGTAGTTGGAACAGATTCCAAATCGAAATTTCTCAAACGGTTCAGTTCCAGCTGAAAAGCCAACGCGGGCTCAAGATGACGGTAAATTGTATCTTCCATAAACTAATTAACAAGAGTAAAATGGAGACTAAAGTTCACATCAATGATAAATATGGATAATAGTGGATGTAAAACTCACGTTAGACGACGCACGATGAGTGAAATACCAAGGAGAGCTGCCCTAGATGTACAGTAAGATGAAAATACTTGGACAAATTGATTACATCATTGAATTTCCCGACCAATTATAACCTAGCATACCTTGCAATCAGTGACAAGAAATGTTATACGACGAATCCCTTTTTCTACAAATAAAGCTCTCTAAACGAATAGAATTGAACATAAACTGATGTAAATCGTGCAGTATTAGCAACGTCGATGTGCCACGAGAGTAAAGTAGGACATGTAAAATAAAACTCCTGTATAATGTGACGCACACCTTGCTTTCCAAGAACGTTTTTAATCTTGAACTACAATCTGTCACATTTATACCAACGCCAACCTTAGGCAAAGCTATATTAATGATGTGTGCGGGTTCTTCCTCTTTGTTTTTCTGTCAAAAAAAAACCACACATACACACAAAAAAAACGCAACATATGTAAGCTCTATGGTTGACAATGCCATCTTCTAGGATTACAATTCTACCTTCTGCTCATCAGGCTGTTCTTTAGTTTCACAAAGTGCTTGAAAAGATGAACCGCTGGAGGACGAACTCAGAGAGGAGTTACGTTTCACGTTTTTGCCTTTGTCGTTAGTGTTTTTATTATTACCAGGAAAACTGCTGCTGTTCTTCATTTTCTCACGACTTTCAAAACGAGACATCAGTTTGGAGAAGTTTCTTTGTGCATAAAAAAGCCAACATAAACCATTGGTTAATGCACGATTTTAGTGACGTAGCATGTAGGCCATACATACCTTTGGAAATCATCGAATGTGTTGAAGGCAGCCATCAAACCAGTTCTCTCACAAGGATCATGATTGCCTGAATATAATGCCAGTTCATGTAACTCTTCACTTAAACTGTACACCTACAAAAAAACAAGCAAATATTATCAATACATCAGAACAATCTCACTTCGTTTGCAGCGAGCGTAGAAACATTTGAGAGGGTATAAAAACATTTGAGAGGGTATAGAAACTCTGAAACATTGCGTCTTCATCTTATATACTATATATACTAGAAATAACTTTCCCTACCGTAAGAATAGAACAGAGTCAAGTGTATAATAAGAGATACCATCGTCATTTTTCACAGACGATCCTAACGTTGTAGCCCAATAAAGTTATTCTATACTTTTTGAATACATAACGAACTCGACCCAAGCCCAAACACCTCGGCTATCCCTTAACAATTCGAAATATTTATTGAAAACAAAAAATCTTATTGGTCACAACGTTCGGATCGGGTGTTTTTCAATACCTTTATGTACCTGTTTGATGAGATAGATTTCAAAGATACTTAAAGATACTTACTCTCGTCATGGATTGAAGACCTTTGATAGAATGACTGATGTGTGATTTATTTAGAGACGAGCTTCGAGAAAGTCTAAATAAATTATTTAACATCAATTTATTCATACAAGACAGAAAATACAGATTTTCACGTAATTACGAAAATATTCTCTTCTCTTTCTACGATGCCTAACTGCACACATTTTCAACAAATTTAAGAGGGAAAATTCGTGAAAATTAACAAATATGCTTTTCATCAACTATACTCATTGTAGTATAAAGGATACATACCTGTTTGGATGCGAAGCAGGCAAAATAAACTTGAACTGTGTAATTATGGTTTTATCGTCGAGCTAAGTGTATTCGAAATACTGTTATGATAAAAGATTAACAAAAAGGGCCTGTTTATATAGAGAGGCTGACTGATATTGAAGTTGCATATTTTAGACTATACATCCTTTGTTGAAACACGAGAAATCCCATTCTTCACATGGTAATTAACAAATTATCTTAAGACAAAGCAGTGCTGTGTTCATCTGGGATTCATTCACTTACAATTTATAACAATATATCTCGCGGTAAAATTTTTTGTGTTGTGTTTATTAACACAGACCAAAATTATCTAAATAAAATGAACCAAGGCCAAGATAGGGATTTTTCGTGGTGACAAATCTAAAAATTGTATTAAAAATACCAAACACCATGATGAATGATCAAAATAATAATGTAAAAGTTCTTAAAAGACTGTTTAAAAGCAAAGCACTAAACGAATAGTTCGAAAAGAATTGTTTTAAAGCTGAAAGGGCAGTCTGCCGAAATACATCGTATCTTTCAGCTATAAAACATTCCTTTTAGGACTATTCGGTTAGTGTTGTGGTTTTAAACAATTCTTTTAAGAACTATCACGCTGTTATTTTGACCATTCATTATGGTGTTTGGTATTTTTAAAACGATTTTTACGGCGAGTCATCCTTCACCATCCATGCAGCTCTCATATAAACAAACCTAAAGAGTGTAAAATCAAATTCTTCCCGGTTTCAATAAACAATGAACAAACTTACTAGTTCATGTTGTAAAGTGGTTAATTCGTAAGCTTCATAGCTTCGTCTAATGTAAACCTAAAACACAACAATGCCTATAAAGTCATGCAGCGTTTATACATGAAGTATAAACGGTTGAGAACATGCACCTCTAACGCAGCCATGCGGACATGTTGGATGCTGTGGTAAAAGAAGGACGGTAAAACATCAAATATGGCAGTCTCGGAGTTGATCAGTTTCTGTAAAGTAAAAAAATATTACTGAGAACTATCTAAGGTAGTGAACATACAGTTAATAGAATACACCGAATGACCACAGCAAGAATACAAATAATCGGTAGTTACTTTATCCAACCCTTCCCGAAGTGTATCAATATGTTGTTATAAAGGAACACACGTAATACCTTCCTACGCAATCTTAACCATAATTAGCCATACGTAGGACACCTTAACCATACTTTGCAATACGTAGGACACCTTAACCATACTTAGCTATACGTAGGACACCTTAACCATACTTAACCATACGTAGGACACCTTAACCATACTTAGCCATACGTAGGACACCTTAGCCATACTTAGCCATACGCAGGACACCTTAACCATACTTAGCTATACGTAGGACACCTTAACCATACTTAGCTATACGTAGGACACCTTAACCATACTTAGCCATACGTAGGACACCTTAGCCATACTTAGCCATACGTAGGACACCTTAGACATACTTAGCCATACGCAGGACACCTTAACCATACTTAGCCATACGTAGGACACCTTAACCATACTTAGCCATACGTAGGACACCTTAACCATACTTAGCCATACGCAGGACACCTTAACCATACTTAGCCATACGTAGGACACCTTAACCATACTTAGCCATACGTAGGACACCTTAGCCATACTTAGCCATACGTAGGACACCTTAGCCATACTTAGCTATACGTAGGACACCTTAACCATACTTAGCCATACGTAGGACACCTTAACCATACTTAGCCATACGTAGGACACCTTAGACATACTTAGCCATACGCAGGACACCTTAACCATACTTAGTCATACGTAGGACACTTTAACCATACTTAGCTATACGTAGGACACCTTAACCATACTTAACCATACGTAGGACACCTTAACCATACTTAGCCATACGTAGGACACCTTAGCCATACTTAGCCATACGCAGGACACCTTAACCATACTTAGCCATACGTAGGACACCTTAACCATACTTAGCCATACGTAGGACACCTTAGACATACTTAGCCATACGCAGGACACCTTAACCATACTTAGCCATACGTAGGACACCTTAACCATACTTAGCCATACGTAGGACACCTTAACCATACTTAGCCATACGTAGGACACCTTAACCATACTTAGCTATACGTAGGACACCTTAACCATACTTAACCATACGTAGGACACCTTAACCATACTTAGCCATACGCAGGACACCTTAGTCATACTTAGCCATACGTAGGACACCTTAACCATACTTAGCCATACGTAGGACACCTTAACCATACTTAGCCATACGTAGGACACCTTAACCATACTTAGCCATACGTAGGACACCTTAACCATACTTAGCTATACGTAGGACACCTTAACCATACTTAACCATACGTAGGACACCTTAACCATACTTAGCCATACGCAGGACACCTTAGTCATACTTAGCCATACGTAGGACACCTTAACCATACTTAGCCATACGTAGGACACCTTAACCATACTTAGCCATACGTAGGACACCTTAACCATACTTAGCTATACGTAGGACACCTTAACCATACTTACACTACCTACGTTGGATAGCTAAGGTTGTGTAAGGATAGCTAAAGTTGTGTAAGGATAGCTAAGTTAGTGTAAAGAGGACTAAGGCTAAATATGATTAAGGTTGCGAAGGAAGGTATTACGTGTGTTCCTTTATAACAACATGTTGATACACTTTAGGAATGGTCAGATAAAGTAACTACCAAATAATCATTTCTTTATATAAATACTGCTTTATATATTACCTGAAGAACATCTGGAGAAAATTGATTACCATAACTGATTGCAGAGAGAAACATGGACTCAAATTGATTGTGGCGTAATTCGTATGACGGTTGCTGGCTTTGGATTAGAACCTAAAAAAGTACAGTAAGGTATTCACAGGCAAAATATTCATATTTCGATGTAGCAATCAAACTAGATTTGCAGCAAGGTATTCACAAGCAAAACTCAAACACACAAAATAAAATACCTGTCTGGCTTTTAAAGCTACTTTTGCATGCTCTTGTCTCACTAAGGAGGTCAGTTCTTGAACGGTAGTCAATAAATCACCTTCAAGACTATGTTCCTTGCCAACAACATCCTGTTACAAAACCAGGATACTTCTGGTAAGTGCTACACAATACTAGCAAGTACTATAACAATACTAGGAAGTACTACACAATACTAGCAAGTACTATAACAATACTAGGAAATACTACGCAATACTAGCAAGTACTATAACAATACTAGGAAGTACTACGCAATACTAGCAAGTACTATTGCAATACTAGGAAGTACTACACAATACTGACAAGTACTATAACAATACTAGGAAGTACTACACAATACTAGCAAGTATTATAGCAACACTAGGAAGTACTACACAATACTGACAAGTACTATAGCAATACTAGGAAGTACTACACAATACTGACAAGTACTATAGCAATACTAGGAAGTACTACACAATACTAGCAAGTACTATAGCAATACTAGGAAGTACTACACAATACTAACAAGTACTATAGCAATACTAGGAAGTACTACACAATACTGACAAGTACTATAGCAATACTAGGAAGTACTACACAATACTGACAAGTACTATAGCAATACTAGGAAGTACTACACAATACTGACAAGTACTATAGCAATACTAGGAAGTACTACACAATACTGACAAGTACTATAGCAATACTAGGAAGTACTACACAATACTGACAAGTACTATAGCAATACTAGGAAGTACTACACAATACTGACAAGTACTATAGCAATACTAGAAAGTACTACACAATACTGACAGGTACTATATAATATTAGTATGCAAGCAAGTACGTATTACAAAATAATTTCATAATAAGATTTCCTACGACGCATATACACTTACAATGAGCTTGACAACCAGAACGTTTTTCTTGGCAACATTAGCATGAGAAAAAACGTTAGCTACAACAGACATGATGTCTTTTTCCTTGTTAAGTTCTCTTATGGCGAGAACACATTTATCAAAATTGCCTAGAAAAAAACTATAATCAATATGGAATTGCGTGAAGAGAATAATAGAGGAGAGTCGAGTTGAAAAGAGCAAGTAATATATATTTCCTAGTGTATGAAAAAAAGTCGGAATGGTTGTTGATTGAGTTTGAAATTGCGCTGAAATCACCCAAGTTTCGTAAATCATGTAGTTTTGTGAAAACAATTTTGTGAGAACTAAGTTGTGAGAACTAAGTTGTGAGAACTATGTTGTGAGAACTATGTTGTGAAAACATTGCTCTGAGAACTAAGTTGTGAGAACTAGGGAAAACATTGTTTTGAGAACCATGTTCTGAGAGCTATGTTGTGAGAACTAAGTTGTGAGAACTAGGGAAAACATTGTTTTGAGAACTATGTTGTGAGAACTAAGTTGTGAGAACTAAGTTGTGAGAACTAAGTTGTGAGAACTAAGTTGTGAGAACTAAGTTGTGAGAACTAGGGAAAACATTGTTTCAGAACCATGTTCTGAGAGCTATGTTGTGAGAACTAAGTTGTGAGAATCATTTTACGCTCTTAATTTTATTTTTGCCACCATCTCATTGCAATGTGAGCGGTAATCGAACCAAAATACAGAATGTATACAGGAAAAGTAAATATTATATGATATCATATTATACATATATTCCTCACCTTGAGAGAAGAGGCTTTCAACTTGAAGATATTGACGAAGTAGCGAAACTATGACGGACTTCATATGACCTCGACAACCATTTCGATATCTGAAAATGAATCACACAGCGAATGAAGATTACATCACAGAACTTTCAAATATAGCCAGTACAACCCATTTCAAGTTCATCCACTATAGACGCATTTCAAGTTCATCAACTATCATTACATCTTAAGTTGTAGAAACATTTCAAATTCAACCAATACAGACACATTTTACGTTAAAAAAAAACAGTTGCATCTTAAGTCATGCCAGTGTAAACTTATTTTTAATTTAATCAGTATAGACGCACTTCGAGTTAACACAGTATAGACTTATTTCGGGTTTAGCAAAGAAAGACTCATTTCAAATCAACACAATATAGATGCATCGTTATAAAAGCGTAGGCACATTTCAAATTAAGTCAGAAAAACTCATTTCAAGTTGTCCCAATACAGATGCATCTTACACACGTTATACACCTATAGACTTATTTTAAACAACCACAAAACCCAGAAAGCAATATGTGCCTACCGCTGTACAAGTTGAACAACGCTTTGAGTGCTCAGAAAAAATGCCTCTCGGTCAGCTCTCTTCGCCAGCGTTGCAGCATATGCGTCGACCACATTAGCAATCTGAAAAAAATCCAATGTTTAAGATACGTTAAGCAAGAAGATAGTATTCCAGGAAACGTGAAAAAGTCAAAGAATAATGATAAAAAACAACATGTCATGCCGTAGACGATGTCGGCTAACAGCTACGTGATAATGGCAGATCACAGTGGATGAGGTTGGTCTATTGATGATATTATATGATATATAATGAAGATAGGTGATAGTGGATAGCAGTAGATGACAAATGACGATGGATAACCATGGATAACAGGTAATAATGGTAATTTTAACAGCACAAAATTAACCAAGCAGGTGAGGTAAAACGACAAAAACGCTTGATAATGGTGAATGATGGTAGATAGCGAATGGATGACGGTGGATAACCATGGATAACAGGTAGTAATGATCATTTTAACAGCACAAAATTAACCAAGCAGGTGAGGTAAAACGACAAAAACGCTTGATAATGGTGAATGATGGTAGATAGCGAATGGATGACGGTGGATGACGGTAGATGACGGCAGATGACGGTCATGACGTATACATTGAAAATTAAAGTGAACGATGGAAACGGGAGATAGATTGAAGCAGCCAATATAAACCAAGCAGATACCTGCTGACTGGGAAACTGACAGAGTACAGATGTAATATTGCTGGCGTAGTTTGTCAATAAGCGATGAATCTCTTCTTCTACTTTCTCAGGTATTCGACCAGACAATGACGAAAGATGCTCCTAAAACGAGGAATATTACAAATTGACAGGATGGCAACATTATCAGTATGGTTCACTTCGAAGGATTGTGTTTAAATCATGGTTCGCTTCGAAGGATTATGTTTAAATCATGGTTCGCTTCGACGGATTATGTTTAAATCATGGTTCACTTCAAAGGATAATGATTAAATCGTTTTCATTAAAAGAATTTTTGTTGACAACTAATTTTTCTTGTTTGTTGAAGAAGAAGTGAGTCTTGCAATAACTGCATCCATTTGGATTGTCAAAATACCTTTAGTTCCATGAGAGGTAACCTAGGATCCTTTAGGGTCTTCATCAAAAGATCGACATTATTATTGAGAAACTTGGTGTAATGTGGTTCGTCAGCAGAATAACCTTTCATAATTTGTAGAAGATTGTCGCGAGCATTTTGAAAAACCTAGAATTTGTAGAAGATTTTCGCGAGCGTTTTGAAAAACCTGGAATACCAATGCACGAAAAGACAATGACAGGGACCGTACAGCGGGAAGATATTTGACATTCACACAGTCATAGTTTGATTTAACCTAACCATGCTGATTCAAGTTCATAATTACATATACAGATATATCATCGGGTTTATCCACACTTTATTTGCACAATTCAACTTACCTGGTGAATTTTTTCTCCTTTCACCGAAGGTCCTGTCATTACAGGAAACGGACTTTCGTAAACTTGAGCCTTCATGTTGAAAAATGGATTATTATAACACAAACAAAAAACGATTAGATTCGCTTAGATTATACTTGGAATATACAAGAGATATACTAGGGATGTAATGGGGATGCATAAGGAATATAGAAGAGATATACTAGGGTTATACAATGACTACGTGTTTATACCTGCGTAACTCTGTTTGGATCATCAAGCTCTAAACTCGCGACAACAGTACCAGGATCAAGAACGGCGTTAGGACACTTTATGAAATGAACACTAAAAGAAAATATATGAGAGTAGGAAAGGCATTCATTTTCTTATTATAGCACAACGTTTATTTTATTACCATCCACTTTCGGACACCGTCAACGGCATCACCATTTTCATCACCTCAACAAATGAAGAGAAAATATATATTCAAGATGAATGGATTCAATTAAATCCCTTCTCAATAAAATACCTCGATTTCGGCATAGGTTCCCCCCTGGAAAACATGTCCGCCATCTTCGATCGTGTAACAGATGAGTTTGCCGGCCGATGGCGACCGTAATTTTGAGGGATCGTTTTGTTTCTGAAACACGCAAGTTTTCCCTGTGATAGTCACTCGGTATCTGTAAAAAACAATCTTTATATTATCTATTATCACAAATTTCCAGTTGAATTACATCGACAAATGTCTTTGATTTTGAGTTAATGCATAGACAATACACTTGCCGAGCTTTTTTTGCAAATTACAAATATATTGGTGGAAAACCACGTGATCCATCAATATGGAAAGCAGTGGTAATGAATCAAGGAGTACATGACGTCATCTGTTTGAAAAACTCCATTTTACAGAAGTGCAAACCTGTCTATTTCTTCTTTCATATATGTCGTGTAACAATTACCATCAACACAGATCAATAAGCCACCATCGCTTAATCTGAAAAACACAAGTCCATTCTAAAAAATATATTATGGACTCAACAACACACATATATGACCTACGTATGATTTTTACAAATACTTACTTGTGAACGTCTACTTCGACAGTCGAGTCATTCATTTCAAGAAAATATACATTTTGACCAATTTTCGAAACCTGCGAATAAATGCGAAGATATAACGTCAGATCACGACACGTTACGATTCATAACGATGAAACTAAAATACATTAACGCTACCTTTCGGAAACGTATTAAAAATGAAAAAACAAGCTGAGATCAAAATCATAGTGGTAATGACGTGTGAAACCAGAAAAAGCAAGCTTCCTACTGAAACTAAAAACCTTAGATCCCGTGCATTCAGAAATTCACAAAATATAATCCGGAATCCGCAATCTGGGAGCTTTGATACTGTATGATGGTGATAAAGATAGGAATTTACAAAATGATGTCTGCAATCAAAGAGCTTAAAAGCTTTATATGGGATGTTTAAGAAGTCAGGGATTCATAAGATGGAACATAAAATCGACGAGCACGCATATGTTATGTTTGAGAAGTCTGGAATTCACAAGGTAGAACGATAGAATACACACTTCATTCGGCATTTCACTGTACCTTAACGCAATACTTTGTGTTCTCGTAAATCAACTCCACACATTCAGTATTCTTCAACATGTGAGCAGGTAAGATCTGACCCCTGTTGAAGATTTCTTTATTAAAATACACATCGCCTTCAAGTTAAACAGATCATAATACGATAAACGATGTAGGCCGTATACTAAACATACCGCTCTAAACCATTTTGAAAGCTTTGAAAACGTTTGCTAATGTGTGAGTCTGCAACATGAATTGAGCCACAGATAACAGCAAGTATGATGTCCGGTTTTTCTGCCTTGAAATGATCGTGACAAAGTATCAATAAAGTGGAACAAACATTGATTAAAAGACAATATGGACAAAGCATGATAAAAATATAAAAGATGTATAAATAAAATGTAAAAAATGAGAGCGCATAAACAAGATATTAAATCTAGTTATAAAATTTATAAACTTGTAGATTTCACGGTTAATGTTTGATGATTTATTATGACACATAAAGTGACGGAAAATTAAACGGAACAGATCCTTATTATAAGAAATTAAGCTCGTTTAATCACCACACTTTCTGACTTTGTAAAATCAATTCACTGTTTTTCTAAAATCGAGAATAAAATCCCCATGACAAAACAAAGATACCTGTACTTTCTCCGCAATTAAATGGTCAAGCCAAGTGGTATCGAATGTGTTTTCTTGAAATCTATCTTCCTCCAATAACTTAACAAGATATTCAACGGTTGTGCGAAAATCACCGCGGATGGATATTTCTTTCAAAGCCATAACCATGTTCCTAACAGGATAAAAAAAAAAAAACTCCGCAAAATTACACAGGATTTGGTTTCTCAGGTCTGTGCGAACCGTTTAACAAAAACTCTCGCAAAGTATTACAAGCCAACAATGAGAGTTTACAACTGGTTCCAGTCTTTTCGCGTAAGAACAGAAGCAAGCATATGAGTGACAAAATACTCCAGGAAGAAATTCATTTTATGCAAGTTCACATAAAAAAAAAGCAAGTGTATAGTTGTATAAACAGCGAAAAAGATGTTGGAGGTTAATTCAACAGAAATCGTATCAAAATACAGTCAATAACATGTCGCTGCATGCATGACAGTTATATTTGCAACGAAAAATATACCATACAGAAATACTCGTACTTTGTCATTTTCACGGTATTTATTATTTTTAAAACAATTTTTAGATCAGTCACCACCACAAAGTCTCTATTTTACTTTGTCATTTTCGTTCCCATTTCACTCACCTTCTCGCGCGATCTCTATCTTCGCCCCACGCAAAGCAATGTCCAAACTGAGAATCGGCATACTCGTGCAAGGCTCCTTCCGGCGCAACACTGAAATATCCCCACACGGACGAACTGCTTCGAAAGTTTAACTCTTGAACTGTGCCACTGTTTGGCTTAAATCCCTTGAAAAAAAGATTGCGAGAAATTCGTAAAGATAACATGAGTGGAAATGACTTTGCTCTTCGTGTGAAGTTAGATAGACATTACACAAGAAAGAGAAATTATTCAAGAAATAAAAGATGTTTGCTGTGTTTGCACAGGCTTATGCAAACCGAGAAGACCTTTGGGAGAACTCGACAGCTGATCAATGCAAAACCGATACCAAAAGTAGTGAGTTCTCCAAACAACTCCGAGGTTTGCATAAGCCACAGCGCAAACACGAAAAACATCTTTTATTTCTTTTACAAAATAACAGTAATGCGAAACACAAATTTAAAACAAATGTTTAATTCCGTTTTGAAATTGATATTTTAATTGTGTGCAATCGCCGCACGCGTTTTATTGTTTTTATTTTATAAATCAGATTCGTAAATATTGAGCGATGATCTTACCTCGTCAGGATTTTCTGCTGTGATTCTGGCGGCAATAACATGACCTTTGGGTTTGGGTTCAATCAAAGGTCTAAATCGTAAAAAAAAACCATAAAAAAAACAACACAATTCCACTCTTCACTTTCCTTTTAAACTCCTCTACAAGCAAGATTTAGTAGTTGCGTCAGTGACACACTTACTTGGCAAACTTTATAGGAGTTGTTTCATAATCTCTCTTTCCATACAGACTACGTATGTCTTTGATCTTATCCAATGAAATACCCATGGCAATCTGAGAGAACATCACTATGATGGGTCAGACATCTTTAGAGAGGTGTATGTAACATATATATGCACCATACCTGTAACTGAGCCGCCGGTAAATTGATGTCAGCGATCATTTCGGTACAAGGATGTTCAACCTTTAAAAAGAAGTTACACAAAGAACGAATTACTGCATGAGATCGGTGTTCGCATAAACAGAAGCAAACGAGAAGAGGGAAACCGTTCATAAAACCTGTAATCGTGGATTCAATTCAAGAAAATAATACTTCTTATCATCAGGTGTGTATAGATATTCCACAGTTCCAGCGCTAACATATTTCACGAGTTTTGCAAGCTTAACTGCATCCTAATGAAGGAAGACGATGACAGTTTAGATGATAGGTTTTCAAGACGTCAAATCGATCAAATAAAATCATCTTGCTTTATTTATACAGGCAAAACGTTGTACACTGAAACAGGTTTACCACAAAAAGAGGATGACAATAATGCAACACGAACCTTTTCCATTCTTCGTAAAATGTCAGGTGGACCAATAACAACAGGAGCTTCTTCGATGATCTTTTGATGTCGTCTTTGTACAGAACAATCTCGACCGAACAAGGAAATGGCTTCTCCTGAACGATCTGCCAATATTTGAACTTCCAAATGTCTTGCTCTGTAATCGTGAACAATAATATCTCATCTATCCACTGATCTCGTAAAACGTATAAATCAGGGGCCGGTTGCACTAAGCTTGGATAGCGTTATATATTGGATAGCAATTTTTTATAAACTTTTATTTATAAAACCTTTTCAAAAGCAAAAAATATTAAATTTATAATGAGCAATCACCGAAATAAAATATTGTTTCGAAGATTACGAAACTTTTTGCCGTATAAAAAATACGAACACCTTTTTCATAAGTTTGAAATTTTTTGCTATCCAATGGATAACGCTATCCAGGCTTCTTGCAACCGGCCCCAGTGATACAAATCATAAAATTTTACCTCGAAGCCACCTTCATTACAAATATTGGAGAACCGGGAACTTCCGTTTGAACCTGAAAACAAAATTGAAAACTATGATGTAAAATTCTAACAAGAAATAGACGAAGGTGGCAAGTTGTTGTTCTAGAAGAACAGAAACTCTGCAAAGAGCACCTTGATGAAATAAAGACGCATAGTAATTCAGACTTCATGTGGTCGCTGCTTCAATCTAACTTTTAAACTTCTGATAATTCTTACTCCACGGAAGTTTGTCACGACCAAAATGCTCATATGAAATCATTGAAAATTAGGAGTTAAATCAAAAATGATTACCTGTCGAAAGAAATTGCAAAATTCGTCATCGTTACGAGCCTTTCGTATTCCCTTCCCGCCGCCACCTTCGGAAGCCTTGATCATTACAGGGTACCCAATACGCTTTGCGATCTTTAAGCCAACACTGGCTTCTTTAACGCAGCACTTCTCGTACAGTTCTTCACTTACAAGATCTCCAGATTCCATATTATCTGCAGTCGCATTCAAGTCAATGGTAACACCTTGAAAAGAAAAAGATGTTTAAATTGTTAAAGCATGCCTCGTGCTAGGAGCGCTACATTTCTGCCATAAATTCATGCAAATTTTTTTTAACAGAACAGACAAATCTAGTCACCCGATCCGCTCCAGTCTAAAGTAGGTATATTAAGGGATTGAGCAACGATGGATGAGGCAATTTTATCTCCCAGAGCCCACATCGCTCCAGCCGGAGGTCCTGAAAAGAGACAAACACAAAGAGTTACTTCTTCTCCATACATAAAAATAGGTACGCATGCGTACATGTGAGTAGCCTAACCAGTACGTGGCCATCGAGTAAAAGTTTAGTTACAAAAGCAGGCAATTTTTGAGAACCCTCAAAGCGGCATTCTTCGTCATCGTCCGTACAACCGAAAATCTCCGAGGATTATGACTGACAGACGGACACTTTTTCAGAATAGCATAGCGCATGCGCAGCGGCCACCGGCAAAAATGAAAAGCCCCACGTTACATACCCATAAACATGATACCATTCTTTGACAACACATCAGGAAGAAGAGGATTTTCAGAAGCATGACCCCAACCAGCCCACACAGCCTTGAAAAGAAAACACGTGATTAAAACTTCGTTTGCTGACTATGCACGACTTTTGGTTGTCCAATTGCAAAAAATGATAGTCGGTAATGGGCAAAAAAATCAATTTTTTTCATTCATTTATTAGCATATTTCACACGTGTGTCTTTATTTTGCACTTCCCCTCAACGTGATCCATACCATTCCCAGTTTGTTTCTATTACAATATTCTTATTCCTGTTTTCTAAAACGTGCGGGCCACTCACTTTAACACTACTTGAATGCGACATAAAAATAACACTCTCTACTCAATGGCAAAATCATTTTTTCCAGCTTATGTTAAAATATTTCGAATCAAGCAAATCAATGGAGTGAAAATGCCGTCTTCAAATTATTACGAGTTTATTTTGACGCATCACTCTGAGAGTGCAAGTGAACTTTAAGAATTTCTTTAGAATAGAAATCCCAACCCCTCCCAGCACAACCAGCCGCACCCTTCTCCGTACAACCCCTCATCCCTCTTCGTACAACTCACCCCAACCCTCCCCGTAGAACCCTCCATCTATCCTCGTGTAATAACGTTGATAACTTGTTGATGTTTTTTAGACAATCAACGATTCATGTTTAGCTACGATTGCTCAGAGAAGGATCAAAATACCAACCTGTACGGGAATCCTCTTTGCTATGTCTAATATAACGTCAACATTAGCATAATTATTGTTGTTAGTGCCCCCAGGTACGTGGACATAATGATCGGCTAGCTTGATGTACTCTGCGTTGGCCTACGGGAAATAAGTTAATGATTGGTTTCACATACAAATTTTATTCAAGTTTTACAGCAAGGATTTCCTACGGTCATTCATTGGAGTGAATATAACTGGAATGCTAACTCAGGTCAAAATTCGAAGCAAACAATGAAATTAGTCCTAATTCTTCCACTCGCCACCGAAATTTTCATTATGATCATAAGGTAAACAGATCAAGAATTTTGTGACGTATACAGAGACCATTGTAGGTCGTAATGTAGTGACGTATTCCTCAAGCAGGATATTGTAATGGAATCTCCGACTTGAGAAAGCATTTTGGCAAACCTGGGTGTTCACACAATGAACTTAACTCCCGTGTGTTGATGTAAAAAAGTGAAAATAATGCAGGAAAAGTAATAACAATTCTCAACCCATCAAGCATAAGTTATTTGCAAGGAAAAGAACAAAAACAATTATTGGTCGAAAACCATTCAATTCTGTGTAGACTGTGTTGTGAAAGGCATCGCTTTCTAAACTCGGTAGAATTAACTGAACTTCTATAAAACCAACCTTAAGATCTTCTGGCGTGACCATAGCAACAAACCGTATGGCGTGTTCGTTGCCAAACAGGCCATAGCACCAGCGTCGTATGGAACGCATGCATTTGACAGCAGCGATACCATTGTTTGCGATCAATACCTGCATCAAATATAAACGTTCTAATGAACTGAGGAATAAATCAAAACGTTCTGATGAGCTCAGGAATGATTGAAAACGTTCTAAAGACGTGAGGAGCAAATCAAAACGTTCTAATGAACTAAGGTCTAAATGAAAACGTTCTAATGAACTGAGGAATATATCAAAACGTTCTAATGAAGTGAGGAAGAATTCATTGCAGAGCGGATCAGCTAATTTAAACAAATGTTGTTCTTGATCAAAAAACACGTACGACGATCACAAAAAATTACCTTTTCAATGACAGTGTCACCACCAAAACGTTTCACAAACTCCGCAGGTGAGGCGACCTTCAAAACATAATTGATAAACCAATTATTTGATACACTTGCGCACTTGCTGATGTATTTTTTTTAATGGTTTAGAAAAAACATTTTACAGTTACCAAAAATTGCAGCATACTGATTTCAACAAATCGTTGGTTATATTAAACATCCAAGTCTATGTGACTATACGTGCAAATTGTCGATCGGATGAGCTCAAACACCCCCCTGTTCTAAACTTTGAAAAAATCTGAAGCAGGTGGGAGAGTGCAAGTTCATCAGACCAAATCTAGTGAAAAACATGGTCACAAAACCTTCACGCAATGGGTCATCATGTCTATCCTCTTTTTAGTTAGCAGCTGGAGACCGGAATTACTTTGACCTTGAATCTCCTTGACTTCATATAAGTAATTTTTAACAATCGCATGAGTATCACTGCTATCTTCAATGTTCTCATCATCATATCATACACACGTGTACACACATGTACACACATGTACAATGGATGATAGGAATACAGAACGCACGTGTAAAGACGTTTTGTGCAGATAACACGAAACATGCTTTGATGTTTTTACAAACGATATCTCACTTACAGCGTAGTCACGTGATGTCGACGTTAGAAACAATGAGGCACATCATTGGCTCATGAACGGCGTTCAAAATCTTCGTGCAAGAAGCGTGCATATTCAAAGCTCAAAGAAGATTATTGAAACACCTGACCGTATAACATTATCAACAGCATGTGATTAATATGGCCTAAGTATAAGATGTAGATATGAAAAATAAAATAAACCTACGCTTTCTACAATCTTCTCATGTTTAGGTACGAAAACCTTTCATTTTCATGCAACAACAAAAAACTTAAAGCTAGGCTGCAGCAACGCATCAATACTAAGTGTTTATAATCAAGCAGTAAATCCAATGTTTAGCAAGAAAAAATCGCTTCCTGCTTTCAAAAAGAAAATGCAAATACTTCCTTTATAATAAAGAACGTTTTCAATGCAAATAAAGTGTTCTAACTCCTAGATATCGAGCATTTCGAACTATTATTTTTGTATAATACCTTCCGATGAGATATTTCGGCACCAGCAGCGTTTTAAATGTACATAATGTGTTCTAATTCATAAGCAATTGACACATCGAACAATTATTTGTGTATAATACCTTTGTATGTTTCATCTTTGCATATTTATACGGAGCGCGACGTTAAATGTGTACTTCTACGTTTTGCAAACAGTTGAACCTCGTATTTCCACAGGCAAGCATATATTTACACGAAAACGCGTGCAATGCAAAGTTATATCTGTCCGGAGGTCAAACAATGTCGAGGACAATGTTATGTCTCGACAGGATCTGTCACGTTACTTTTGGAGAAAAACGAATGTTTTTCGGAGTTTAAAGTCACATCTCACATGAATCGAAACGTGAACATGTTAATATCTTTACCAAACAACGTGTTTACATCACAAACAAAACATATCAAAATAGCGCAGGATTGGGTGACGACGTCGACAAATAATAAGATCAACACCTTCAATCTTATTCAATTGGACTAAATGTGTTCTAATTCTGTTCTAATTGTAATAATCAAACATCGTGGTGTAAAGTTACTTCTGCGCATGAACTGGTTGCCTTGAAGGGCATAATGTGTATCTGGACAGACTTAATGGTAAACATTTTTCGTCGAATTTGGTATTTTTTTAACTTCATATTCATAATTATTTATCTGTGTTGTTAGATAAGGTAAGGTTTCACATTATAGCAAGAACTTAATAATTCTAATAAATATAGAGTGAATATTCTTAAAAGCAATAAATTATTTTTCATGCCACTCAAATTTTGATGTTACTGTAATTTAGATTCTCCATGTACATTTTCCATTGCACCCCCAGAAACACTAATGACAATGGCTCACACACCCTCTTAAACAAAAATAACAACGGCTCACCACCCCCCTTAAACACTAATGACAACGAATTACCCCTCCTTTAAACACAAATGACAATGGCTCACCCCCCCCCTCAAACACAAATAACAAATAGCCCACCACCCTCCAACAAGACAAACATCAATGGGCAATACAAAGACAACCACCCACGATATGACAACATATCAACCTGTTTTCACTTAAGGATCTACTAAGCAATAAAGGAAACAGCCATGTTGGGAAAAACAAAAAAACTTAATTTAAATCCTTTTTAATTGGTACTGCATAATGTCGGCTATGACATCACCTAAAAACATTCTATCTGTGTTATAACAAACAATTTCTTTCTTAACACAAGTGCAACAAGATTTTATTAAACCTAAAAAACTAATAACCCCAAATCACTGCAAAATTGACCAATGCTGTTGAAATAAAACAAAGCAAGCAAACTAAGCCTAAAATACAACCAAGCCTCCAACAGACTAAGAATAGCTCAACACAGTTGAAATAACATTTTACCCAATCAAAAAATACACAACCTAACCCTAAACAACGTTAAAATTTACTGTCCAATTTATACACATCTTGTGTTGAAAACTCATAAATTATATTACCATGTTTATTGAAACATCAAATGCATCATAATCCATCAGATATTTTTACTAACAGGAAGAACAGCATCAAAGCATAAACTTGATAAGTCTGGTTATAAATCTGGATGAACTTACTCAGACAAAATAACTTTCATCTATATTTTGCTCAAACATGAAAACTTCACATGGTTTCACCTAGCCCATACCACACCCCCTGTCCACTTAGCATGATACTTAATATCAACAATCTGTTTTACGTCGTTTTACGTCGATGAACACACTAATAAATATGTAACAAGAACATTGGCATAAGAGCAACGCTTTTGCACAGCTCGCGAAAACGAATCTTAAGCATTAAAAGCGCTGCGTTCGTATTTTAATGCTTGCAGTTTCCAAACCGATGATTCAAAAACTAATGTTTCCGCGGTTCAAATCATGATAGCATGTGTGCTGGCTGAAAGATTCCAAAGTCCTCTTGCATGCAGTTCACATCATATATATTTTGATAACAATTGGACAGTAGTTACATAACGAAAGATAACATATGAATTGTGTTGTACATACGTTGGCATCTTTCGAGCCTTTGTCAATCTTCATTTCGATGAATTCGTCTTCTGTATCTGATGCAGAGCTCGTCATACTTGAATTTGATCTATCAACGATACTCTCTGTTAATACAACTCGAAGGTAAGAATACGGCCGATGTCACGTAGCAGTTAACAAATTTCTTCCAAATGTCATACAAAAATCACTCTTTAATGAAGAGAAATGACCACGAGAAAACCTTTTAGTATTTTGCACGAAATTTTGTAGATACTGCGTCTGTACATGAAGAATTTAACTCATCGTTACCGACATGACATCCATCAGACCAAAGGGCAATTTTCTTCAAATTTCAACAGTACCCGGGTTTCGAGAAGAGGGTGAGAAGTGCCGGTGTCACAGTGATTTTTGTTACCCAGGCCCAGGCCTCTGGTGTTACGGGTGTTACCCATTGAGGTCTTATAGAGCTCAATGGTGTTACCCGGTTAGCACTATTTTCCACCCAGCAAACCGCCCTTTACTTTACACAATCGGAAATAAATTAAAGATGGCGGCTAATGGGAAAGAACCAAAAGCTAAAAGGAAACCATGCATGCACTGGTGCTAGGTCGTTTTGAGATGGCGAGTAATTTATATTTTTATAATACAGTTTTTAATATCAACATATGAAAATATTTACAGATAAATGTTGCAGTATAAATTTTCATGCAACCACCTTAAGTTATAAACTTATAATCCAGGCTGGAAAATATGTCGTTTTTCGACGATTGTGTAAAATATTATAAAAAATATTAGATTGTGTAAAATATTATATTTCAGAGTAAAGGGCGGTTTGCTGGGTGGAAAATAGTGCTAACCGCGTTACCCATTGAGTTCTATAATAACTGGAGCGGCTATCTCAAGCGCGGCCTTAGATATCTGATGACGCCAAAAAATGGCGGATTTCGTCCGTTGCCGCTGAGATTTACCGAAATTGACCGCTTTTTCGAAAATTTCACAATTTCCCACTCCCTCCTGAGGAAAGAGTGAGGAAAATGTATGTTTGTATTTGGGATTCGGCAAGCAATTTTTTGATGAAATCTTTACTCCTTGGTCTTCCCTGCATGTTGTCAGCAAATAAAACAGAACAAGCTCTGCTCCAAATCATGGGTACTGTTGGGGCTGATCATTTCTTTTTGATACTAACTCACAGAGCAAAATATGTGCAGGGTCTTTTTTGCTTTAGGGAAACTATTTTGCAAATAGATGGGTAAATTTACGATTTCATGCATCAACAAATGACAGAGAAGTATGCAGAAAAGTATTTATAAACAATAACAGGAAAACATCAGTATATTTGGCGTTCAAGTCAGTCTTAAAAAATACGATCTTTATTATGTATTTTTATGGCTTTTCAAGTGCATGTATAATTGCTTTTCAATCGTTGACGGACTAACAAAACAAGCAACTATCTCACCTGTGAGAGGCGGTATGCTCCTTTTTGTGGAAACTACGACATCCAACAATTGAATGATATTGAAGTGTTGGCATTATAAAAACGCCAAAAAAGATATCGTCACAGAATATGGAACTAACGATATCCATATTCTGTGATATCGTGTTCGTTTTTGAAAAATTCTTTATAATTTACTACAGACACCAGGGGGAGGTCGAGAATATTATTTTTCTGCAAAGCGATAATTTCAGCGGAAATACGTCCGTTGGCCGCCATTTTTTTGGCGTCCTCGCCCAGTAAAGTTAGCCGCTCCAGATATTATAGAACTCAATGGTGTTACCCACATGGTGTTACCCCATGAAATCTGTTACCCTGTTTTACCTGGCTAACCCCCCCCCCGGAAAATGCACGAAAAGCCATACCTTTTACCTGCAACATGTCCCCAGTTCGTATGACCATTGAAAATTCGGTATGGTCGACTTTTTAAGAGTATGAATATTAATAAATATTTGTAAACAGTCTTTGAGTCTGTACGTCGTGTTGTACTACATAACTGCAATATTCATTCTGAACAAAAACTTTTGGGCGTATGAATTTGCTCAAATTCAAAGACATTTATTCCGGGGAAAAGATTTCGATTTCGCGTGGTTACATAAATCATTGTCATGCCCAATGATTTCATATAAAAATAAATAAAAACAGTCAGCTATACAGTAATTAAATCATTCGTACAGGATTAAGCTAAGAATTGCAGTTGTTTGTGTTTATGGGTGTTTCATGGCTGTAAAACATTTTAAAATATGTGTATGGTATTGATATTATCGAAATAGTTTTTGTTAAGGTATTTATAAATGTTTTCAAATCCTTTATTCATGCTTCGTTTTGGCAGGTAAACAATGGTACGACATGCCATCACGTTTAGATTGCTTGTTATGTCTTTTCAAGATAGTTCATCATAAACATGATAAGACAGCAAATTAATTCAACACGGAAACGTTCCGAAGCTCTCGAGCTGTCATGCTTCGGCACTTACAGTATTTTTTCACAACAATTTTTACAAGGGTTGCAGCACGTCATTTACACGTGACATGCGCTCGACCAATGAATACGAAGACTTTATTTAGACGACAAATAATATGTAGTTTATAGCTTTATTTTTTTTAACAAACGCAGACTTTTCAACGATAGCTTTGCAACGTTAAACATTGCATGAACTAAAAAGCCATCAAATACAAGATATATTACAGTACAGCGCAACTCAACATCGTATATTAACATAATCTTTACAATAATATACACAACGCAAGAAGAAATAGTAAAATACTATACAAATAACGAAGACGACTCGATGAACCCGAATTGTCAATAACGCTGAAGCAAATGCCTTTGGGGCAAACTTGCGCGCAATTTTTCCCCCGGCATTTAAAGTTACAGAAACCTGAGTAACAAGTCTGTTTACATGTGGTAACATTTTCACCACACTCAAAAGTACATCGTCCAAGATAACACAGTTGTTCGCATGTCTGAGCATTACATATCATCTTATTGCAATTACCAAGACATACTTGTGTACAATTTTCCGAGGTACATTGCATTTTTTCACAACTACCACCGGAGCATCGTTGATCGCAGTGTCTACTGTGACAATCCATATTTTTACACTGCCCACCAGGACAGTTCTGCAAGCAATGGTTTGCCGACATGCACTTCACATTCTTGCAAAAGCCACCGACACAATTTTGATTACATTTCCCCCCGTCCGTGCCAGTACATGTCAAATCCTTTTCACCATGTAGACAGTCCCTACAGGAGGGTTCACACTGACCGTTGTGTCTGTAATCACACTTTATGTCCAAATGCAATCCTGGCCGTTCACCGACGTCGTTAAAAATGCAAGTCCCAGATGGTTCGCAATCATTGATGCATATTTTAGCAGCACAGTTGAAAATACATCCACCTCCTTTGCAATATTGTTTGCAAACGTTCACACTACCACCGCAGGACAAGACGCACCCTGAGCCGGTGCACTCTTGACTGCAACTTTCAGCACTACATGTAAGCGAGCAGTTGGATCCGCAGTTTTGCCTGCATACTTTTGAATGACATGCAATGGAGAGACAAACTTTACCTTTACAAGCCTGTTTACAATGTGTGAAATGACTATCTCCCTTGCAGTAACATCCATATTTATTACAAGTTTGAGCACATTGATTTCGATCTCGGATGTCACAACGAGTCTGGATCTTTTTATTTGGGCCAGTCATATCACAAGATCCAGTAGGACAATATGCACGACATATTTTTGCCGCACATTTGATATGACAGTTACCTCCGGGGCAAATTTGTTCACAGTATTTTACATGGCGTCCACATTCCATATTACAGCCCCCAGTTCTGCAATGCTGAAAACAATGCTCGGAGTGACACAGCATCTTCTTACAGGAGCCGCCAGTGCAGTGCTGTTCACAGTTTCCGTGATTTCGAGAGCATATCATTTTCCTACAATATCCACTCACGCATTGCTGTACGCATTCCTTGGTGGCGGAACAATGAAACGAGCATTTTTTAGTGTTGTCATCCGAAGGATCGCACAATTGATTGCATAGTTTCACAACAGTTCCATTCTCGTGTTTACGGCACGTCAACGCACAGCTTTCTTTTCCATCCTTGGGATGCTTGTGACAATGTTGCGCGCATTCTCCGGTCGAGTAGAGATTGCAAGTCGTTATTTCTCGAGAGCAGCTTGTAAAAGGCGGCGTTGACAGAATGCAAGCAAAAAGTAGAATCCAAGCGTTCTTTCCAACTTCAGTCATTTAAGAATCTATAGTGGAAGAGGATAATAAGTAACAGTTATGGGGAGTACCGATCTTGTTGCGTGGGAGGGTGTGTTACCTTTATTTTGTTTTATGAAAAATGGTCGGTATGTTTTTACAAGATAGATAGTCGTATGTTATCATGACAAGTATTTCATCCATTAACTTTTTTGATTTTGCCTTCAGTCTTACGAATTTATGTGGTATGATTTCCAAAAATTGTAAAGAAGCTTGGTCTGTAAATTATTAACTTTGTTGGTAAAATAAATCAACGCACCCTTCCCCCCCCCTCCCCCACCCTATCGGCGAGTCTCTCGTAAAAGTTGTCTCTGAACATTGCCGCGTATTTTTGACTGTTGTCTCCGAAAGACGACAACGTCGTGGGCAAAATTTATTATCTGCTTTAAAGAAGTTAAAAAAAAAAACAAGTGTAGGATAAATGTCCACACAAAAAGGGTTCACTAGATTGATCATACATACGAATATCACATTTATGTTCTAAAAAATTAAAGAATGTGGTTCTAATATTCGAATTCTGACGACAAGACATTACAAGACTCATACATTACTTTAACATAAGATAAGAAACTATTGTTCGGACAAACTACCAAGCTGAAGTAATATCAAATTGAATTGTCGTAGATCCGTCGTAGCATCGTCGTGGCGTATCGTAACATAGACAAAACGTATTATAGAAAAAGATTATGAGTAGTTTTATCCCCACAACACAATTTGTTATAACCATGTTATTTATAGCAAAAAATTAGTTTGAGACGCGTTTCAACAAACTCGTCAGCAACTTTGACACAGCAAGACTATATGTAACTCAGTCAAGCTGGGAGCATAAAGGCTTTGTTTATTTCCATAGTCAAGCTGCTTGTGATAAGATATAAATGCTAATTTAGAAGAAAGAAACTTGGAAAAGTTGTAAATTTTGAATATTTGTTCTTTGTTTGCACGTATAGTAAAGCTCCATTCAACACATGACGGGCGCATAATAAACGAAAACTGCATAAACCAAACACTTGCAAGAAAATTTCCGAACTTAAAACTATTTTTAAAATAAAAATTTAGTTCTTTGATAAATATACAACTGTCTACAAACGAAGAATATATCGCTCAGTTTTCATCTCAGCTTCTTATTATATCCTACAAAATTTGAAAACTATAGAAAAGATTTCCTAGCCTTTATGTGATTATCAAAACTTTAAACTTTCTGATAAATTGTAAAGGTCCAAATCATGGGTACTGTTGGGGCTGATCATTTCTTTTTGATACTAACTCACAGAGCAAAATATGTGCAGGGTCTTTTTTGCTTTAGGGAAACTATTTTGCAAATAGATGGGTAAATTTACGATTTCATGCATTAACAAATGACAGAGAAGTACGCAGAAAAGTATTTATAAACAATAACAGGAAAACATCAGTATATTTGGCGTTCAAGTCAGTCTTAAAAAATACGATCTTTATTATGTATTTTTAAGGCTTTTCAAGTGCATGTATAATTGCTTTTCAATCGTTGACGGACTAACAAAACAAGCAACTATCTCACCTGTGAGAGGCGGTATGCTCCTTTTTGTGGAAACTACGACATCCAACAATTGAATGATATTGAAATGTTGGCATTATAAAAAAAACGCCAAAAAAGCTATCATCACAGAATATGGAACTAACGATATCCATATTCTGTGATATCGTGTTCGTTTTTGAAAAATTCTTTATAATTTACTATAGACACCAGGGGGAGGTCGAGAATATTATTTTTCTGCAAAGCGATCATTTCAGCGGAAATACGTCCGTTGGCCGCCATTTTTTTGGCGTCCTCGCCCAGTAAAGTTAGCCGCTCCAGTTATTATAGAACTCAATGGTGTTACCCACATGGTGTTACCCCATGAAATCTGTTACCCTGTTTTACCTGGCTAACCCCCCCCCCGGAAAATGCACGAAAAGCCATACCTTTTACCTGCAACATGTCCCCAGTTCGTATGACCATTGAAAATTCGGTATGGTCGACTTTTTAAGAGTATGAATATTAATAAAATATTTGTAAACAGTCTTTGAGTCTGTACGTCGTGTTGCACTACATAACTGCAATATTCATTCTGAACAAAAACTTTTGGGCGTATGAATTTGCTCAAATTCAAAGACATTTATTCCGGGGAAAAGATTTCGCGTGGTTACATAAATCATTGTCATGCCCAATGATTTCATATAAAAATATATAAAAACAGTCAGCTATACAGTAATTAAATCATTCGTACAGGATTAAGCTAAGAATTGCAGTTGTTAGTGTTTATGGGTGTTTCATGGCTGTAAAACATTTTAAAATATGTGTAATGGTATTGACATTATCGAAATAGTTTTTGTTAAGGTATTTATAAATGTTTTCAAATCCTTTATTCATGCTTCGTTTTGGCAGGTAAACAATGGTACGACATGCCATCACGTTTAGATTGCTTGTTATGTCTTTTCAAGATAGTTCATCATAAACATGATAAGACAGCAAATTAATTCAACACGGAAACGTTCCGAAGCTCTCCGAGCTGTCATGCTTCGGCACTTACAGTATTTTTTCACAACAATTTTTACAAGGGTTGCAGCACGTCATTTACACGTGACATGCGCTCGACCAATGAATACGAAGACTTTATTTAGACGACAGATAATATGTAGTTTATAGCTTTATTTTTTTTAACAAACGCAGACTTTTCAACGATAGCTTTGCAACGTTAAACATTGCATGAACTAAAAAGCCATCAAATACAAGATATATTACAGTACAGCGCAACTCAACATCGTATATTAACATAATCTTTACAATAATATACACAACGCAAGAAGAAATAGTAAAATACTATACAAATAACGAAGACGACTCGATGAACCCGAATTGTCAATAACGCTGAAGCAAATGCCTTTGGGGCAAACTTGCGCGCAATTTTTCCCCCGGCATTTAAAGTTACAGAAACCTGAGTAACAAGTCTGTTTACATGTGGTAACATTTTCACCACACTCAAAAGTACATCGTCCAAGATAACACAGTTGTTCGCATGTCTGAGCATTACATACCATCTTATTGCAATTACCAAGACATACTTGTGTACAATTTTCCGAGGTACATTGCATTTTTTTCACAACTACCACCGGAGCATCGTTGATCGCAGTGTCTACTGTGACAATCCATATTTTTACACTGCCCACCAGGACAGTTCTGCAAGCAATGGTTTGCCGACATGCACTTCACATTCTTGCAAAAGCCACCGACACAATTTTGATTACATTTCCCCCCCCGTCCGTGCCAGTACATGTCAAATCCTTTTCACCATGTAGACAGTCCCTACAGGAGGGTTCACACTGACCGTTGTGTCTGTAATCACACTTTATGTCCAAATGCAATCCTGGCCGTTCACCGACGTCGTTAAAAATGCAAGTCCCAGATGGTTCGCAATCATTGATGCATATTTTAGCAGCACAGTTGAAAATACATCCACCTCCTTTGCAATATTGTTTGCAAACGTTCACACTACCACCGCAGGACAAGACGCACCCTGAGCCGGTGCACTCTTGAGTGCAACTTTCAACACTACATGTAAGCGAGCAGTTGGATCCGCAGTTTTGCCTGCATACTTTTGAATGACATGCAATGGAGAGACAAACTTCACCTTTACAAGCCTGTTTACAATGTGTGAAATGACTATCTCCCTTGCAGTAACATCCATATTTATTACAAGTTTGAGCACATTGATTTCGATCTCGGATGTCACAACGAGTCTGGATCTTTTTATTTGGGCCAGTCATATCACAAGATCCAGTAGGACAATATGCACGACATATTTTTGCCGCACATTTGATATGACAGTTACCTCCGGGGCAAATTTGTTCACAGTATTTTACATGGCGTCCACATTCCATATTACAACCCCCAGTTCTGCAATGCTGAAAACAATGCTCGGAGTGACACAGCATCTTCTTACAGGAGCCGCCAGTGCAGTGCTGTTCACAGTTTCCGTGATTTCGAGAACATATCATTTTCCTACAATATCCACTCACGCATTGCTGAACGCATTCCTTGGTGGCGGAACAATGAAACGAGCATTTTTTAGTGTTGTCATCCGAAGGATCGCACAATTGATTGCATAGTTTCACAACAGTTCCATTCTCGTGTTTACGGCACGTCAACGCACAGCTTTCTTTTCCATCCTTGGAATGCTTGTGACAATGTTGCGCGCATTCTCCGGTCGAGTAGAGATTGCAAGTCGTTATTTCTCGAGAGCAGCTTGTAAAAGGCGGCGTTGACAGAATGCAAGCAAAAAGTAGAATCCAAGCGTTATTTCCAATTTCAGTCATTTAAGAATCTATAGTGGAAGAGGATAATAAGTAACAGTTATGGGGAGTACCGATCTTGTTGCGTGGGGGGGAGGGGTGTGTTACCTTTATTTTGTTTTATGAAAAATGGTCGGTATGTTTTTACAAGATAGATAGTCGTATGTTATCATGACAAGTATTTCATCCATTAACTTTTTTGATTTTGCATTCAGTCTTACGAATTTATGTGGTATGATTTCCAAAAATTGTAAAGAAGCTTGGTCTGTAAATTATTAACTTTGTTGGTAAAATAAATCAACGCACCCTTCCCCTATCGGTGAGTCTCTCGTAAAAGTTGTCTCTGAACATTGCCGCGTATTTTTGACTGTTGTCTCCGAAAGACGACAACGTCGTGGGCAAAATTTATTATCTGCTTTAAAGAAGTTAAAAAAAAAAACAAGTGTAGGATAAATGTCCACACAAAAAGGGTTCACTAGATTGATCATACATACGAATATCACATTTATGTTCTAAAAAATTAAAGAATGTGGTTCTAATATTCGAATTCTGACGACAAGACATTACAAGACTCATACATTACTTTAACATAAGATAAGAAACTATTGTTCGGACAAACTACCAAGCTGAAGTAATATCAAATTGAATTGTCGTAGATCCGTCGTAGCATCGTCGTGGCGTATCGTAACATAGACAAAACGTATTATAGAAAAAGATTATGAGTAGTTTTATCCCCACAACACAATTTGTTATAACCATGTTATTTATAGCAAAAAAAAAATTAGTTTGAGACGCGTTTTTCATTATTTTTGACAACAAACTCGTCAGCAACTTTGACACAGCAAGACTATATGTAACTCAGTCAAGCTGGGAGCATAAAGGCTTTGTTTATTTCCATAGTCAAGCTGCTTGTGATAAGATATAAATGCTAATTTAGAAGAAAGAAACTTGGAAAAGTTGTAAATTTTGAATATTTGTTCTTTGTTTGCACGTATAGTAAAGCTCCATTCAACACATGACGGGCGCATAATAAACGAAAACTGCATAAACCAAACACTTGCAAGAAAATTTCCGAACTTAAAACTATTTTTAAAATAAAAATTTAGTTCTTTGATAAATATACAACTGTCTACAAACGAAGAATATATCGCTCAGTTTTCATCTCAGCTTCTTATTATATCCTACAAAATTTGAAAACTATAGAAAAGATTTCCTAGCCTTTATGTGATTATCAAAATTTTAAACTTTCTGATAAATTGTAAAGGACAAAACAACTGAAATTTCAAGCATACATATAACATCGTTTTAATCCATTGGAGACATTGAAGACAATTATTCACAAGACCTGTGCAAATAATTTTGCTATACACACGCACATATGGGCACTTATATTTAAATAATAGAATTAAAAGCAACGCTGGCATGCACGAGATATGTTTAATAATAAAATTGCTAAGTATGTAAGCCCGTTGAAGCTAACTCACTGTTTTTTTTTTGGAAAGACTTTTCGATGAAGCGAAGTTCCTTTGTATTGGAAAATTGACAATTCCTAGAACGAAGGTCCTCATTTGCCTATTTTAGATCCAGCTACTGTTGTCGACATTATTTTATATCGGCATGGACTATTTTTTCCATTCTTCCAAGCCGCCCATAGAAAAAAATATTAAACCTTAGCATGAGTTGCGTGCAACAGACCCCCGCGTCATTCAACATGTGTAGATAATGGTGCCTCTTTGTCGGTAATGCATATTACACATATAATATTAAAATGATGGGATATTAATGGGCGAAATATAATGCCTTAATATGGTAAATTTAAAGGGGAACTCCACCCAAAAATAATGTTGGTCTTAAAACTTTGTCTGTCCCGTGAAAATAAATATGTGGCAATTTTTTTGTTTGTTTGATTCAATATTTTCACAAAAAATGAGTTGAAATGCTGCAGCTAGGGCATCCGGTGCGTGGGAGCAGAAATATGTCAGCGGCTTGTATTGACGTCATATCGTCAATTGCTCCTCAAAGCTTTATGTAAAGTCTTGCACAGTCATAATAAACTTGCGTTTTGCATTGCAAATAGGAAGACGTGTGCCGTAGGTTTCAAGCAAACTCAAACAAACTCATTCGCTATAAAAACATACACGTAATATAGCAATTTGTACATATTTACCTAGCTTTATTTGCATCCAAAAAATCTATTAAATGACATTCACTGCAACAACGCATTTAGCTAAGTGAAAAAAAAACGTATCTCTGATCTTTCGAAGAATCGGCAGAAACTGAGTAAATAGGTTTCTTCTAATAAGGATGATTCGTTTTAAGGCTGGCTAAATCTAATATTGATATATAACGAAGCTTGCTTATCGAAAGGATTAAAAATTTTGGACTTAGTTGAATACAGTAAAAGACATACCTGTTATCTCGACAATCAACTAAACTGCAACGTTTTGCATTTAACAAAACAAAATATTTAAATTTCACATAAGCTATAGATATTTCCTTATAGAAAAGTTTTTTCACTCCGCGATTATATAAACTTGCTTTTGTATACCATCAAGTCGTTTGATGTGAACCTGCGTATAATCAAAACGGGAGAGCGCTTAGTCTTTACACGTGTGCTTAAAAAAAAGATAAATATATAAACAGAAATGTGGCGAAGAGTGCGAGATAACTTTGTCTTGTGAACACATCTGTCATATATTATAAAGTAATTCACGATCTCAAGGACTTAAGTAGTTGAAAATTCTACCATTTTTCGAATACAGCTACACAATATAAACTAACAGTGGAAAAGTATAAGTCTTTTATATAATAATATAAGTCATATTATTACAGACATATAAACATGTATGATCACATTTAATCATCTTGATCAGTGTTTAAGGAAGCAGTTCTTGGTTATTTTGTTTAAACAAGAGAAAAAAAATTCAAAGTTCGTGTTACTACAAAATATTGATTTTGTACTAATAATATTGGAAAGGCGGTTTTTGCTATATTTGACACCGCATTCATAATTTATTTCCACCGATGGACAACTTCAAAGACCTATCGCTAATAAGCGACACAAAAACTGAACATCCTTTATTGTCAAATGCCGCCAAATACACGCCGAGTTGATTAACATTAGCTAAGTCGTTTAAAAGCACAACATAAGCGTAAAATTGCATTTCTATTTTTATAAGGATAATAACTCAAAATAACACCGACTTTCCCTCAAAAAACCTTTTCAACAAGAACATTGCACTAAATTCGGCAATTTACACATCGATAACAAAACCTTTTTCAACTTTTAGACAAGCAATACAAAAAAACTTATTAAAATCTCTTTCTCCAATGAACATATTCACAATAACGAAAAGTGATTGCAAAGAAATTTGAACTCAATTAAAGACAAAGAATATGTACAGCTGTAGGAGAAACGTCGGTTATACACTATACACGTATATTCTCTACAATGATGCAAATATCCAATCAAGAATAATGCATGTGAGCAATAGTGAAATGCTTAATAAACCGCATAATGTTGAAGCAGAGGATCGTGAAAAATTATTTCATCAAACGGACTACAATATTCATGATAAATCGCCAGTACAAGGAATGATTTCAATTACAACAACGTCTACTGTACACGGTGTTATAAACATTTTAAGGCAACGGGAAGGATTAACGTAAAAACAATAATTTCAAGAGATATTGGCCTATTTAATAAGGGATCATTCACACTTCTGTATCATCGCAAATGCGTTGACTGAAATCTGAAATAACGTTCGAACCATTTTCCTTTAAGGCTTTTCTATAATAAATGCAAGTTATACAACGCAAATATTGCAAGCGCTTTTAAATAAACTTACAACGATTGTCAGTACAAATTCAACTAATGCAAGTCGTAAAATATATTTGCAATTATAACATGTGTCATGAACTTGTAATGCTAAATCCATAACAATTATTACAATCTCCCCAAACAAAATCTATGAAAATGTGTGAGACCGATAGAGGTCGATGCAAACGCTAAACTTACGTTTTTTACCGTTGTCCTTCGTAATGCATCAGGAATATTTGGTTGGCACAAAACCTCAATGAGAATAACATGTGTTGTGTTTGATATTATTTGTCGCGCTTTACAAAAAAACAAACAACCCTTTCCTTAGATCACAGCTTGCGAAGAGGACGCGAATGCATTTCATACTACGGCGTGATAAGTATAAAAACACGTGGGGAAACTGGAACAAAACTCTATGAGAAAATTCATCTAAACGCCTTTGACTTACTGCTTCAAATGGAATTGGGTTACAAACGGAAACTAAGGGAATTGAAATCACAGATGTTCATGTTCTGCTATCATGGATTGTTTCGCCTATTCATAAATGTTGACAAATAGCTTTGCATTACCATGTATACAAGCATTAAATGCCCGACATTACATATTAATGTTGGCAAGTAGAAAAAGCGCCGTGTTATGAAATTGAGGGTTTGCAAACTGCGTTAGCGTGACAAGCACGCGCAACAGGAGATGAAATAAATTCCTTGATATAATTACAACGAATAAACGATACAAATCGATTAACCTCCCTACACAAGCGGAGAGGTTAAAACTACTTGACATTTGGATTTAAGAAACTCGAAGGAATGAAAGGTTGTTCATGCTTATCGCACACGCTTATCTGCGTGTAATCACATTATTACAACAAGCAGAACCACTTATTTGAGCCATTATGGAAATTGCAATTGATCGGAATTCGCATTTATGTTTATGAAACTAACACAAAATATACCTTCTTTGTAGATTTAAAGCCCAGAATAACGGCAGCAATGAGTTAGTCTTCACTCCGTGTATAGATTTGTTTACCATATGCCACAGAGATTCAACGGTCTAGCGTTGTTATAAAGACCATTTTCCGTTATTTCGGCTTACTTTACAAAGACATCGTTAGCGAAGACTGAGGAAGAACAAACACTTCGGTTTTCGGGCTTGTATGAGCGCCGTGTCTGTGGATATTAAATATGCAAAATAGCCGAATGTTTGTTAGTGTGTTGAAAGCGATTTCAATTAATTCCTTTTGTTTGGCAAGGCAAGAATTGTAAAGGAGAGAAGTGAAACATCGCTTGAACCATAATCCTCAACAAAAAGCCCTGACGCGCTACAGTTGTGACGATTCTATGAGTTTTTTCTTAAATTTATTTCAAACGTATTTCTTATTGTACGAAATGTTATCCACATTGGACCACATATGGAAACAATTTTATTTTTAAGATATCACACAATTAAAGTGCATGGATCTAATACAGTAATACCAAAGAGCTTAGGGATAAATAGCGAAATATAATGAACAGCACAAACGGCACACTGCACCTTTCAAACTAAAAAAATGCAATAATTAACTATATTGATTAATAGTGCAGAAACAAAATGCTATGCTAAAGAATGTGCTAATTTTGGAAGAAATATCGGGATTGACTAAATTTGACAAGAAAATAGTCACACAGTCATATTTTCATTATCTTCATTCAAAGAACCACCTTCCTCTTAGGTTATATCGCAACGAATTTAAGGTTCCAGTTCATAGTTCTGTGAAAGCCGAAGTTAGGTCATGCAAAAGCACAAATGCCATTTGGTATCTTTCATTGTAGAGACCTACAGTAGAGACCTACACGTTGCCTTTTACCATGTGTCGTCGAAAGGAAATAGTACTTAATGGCACAACATAGAATATAGCTTCAAAAGAACAACCAAACTCTTCCTTTACCATAAAAACAAAGCAAGACAACGAACTTCATTCCATTCAAATCGCCAAGTACACTGACATCAAAGATACTTAACTTCTCTTAGACGTCTTTAAGGAATTTACAGAGAGCTTTTTCATCACACTCCATAATCCCTTAATCACACAATCAACAGTACTTATCGAATTTCAAAGAAAAATTTGGTGAACAAGCTCTTTCTGATTAAATATCAGTAAAGAGCGTAAAGAGGTAAATTGCTGTAATCTGGGTGGAGCATCTTTCAGCGACGAGTGGTGCTTGCTGACAATCATAATTGTCAAAGTAGACGCGTATGTGTACTCAATGTAAGTGCTTTCTCAAGGACCAGATAGTCTCTTGGCTAGACAGGCTGGCAGTTTGACTAGCATGTCGGCTTTCAAACCCAGATAAACACATGGAAAAAAAACAGCATTTTATGCACTCAAGCGTATTTTACCATGTATATTTAAGAGTGAGAATTTACGTAAAGTAGATAGAACTCTAATGACACGTGGGGTAGTTTAAAAAAGTTCTCGCAAAGTGACTAAATATAGACTGCTTATTCAGCGCAACGACCGTTCCCTCTCTATTAGAGCTGCTTCAAGTCCTAACGCATTTTTGTGACACACAAACAAACACGATACTATCTACATGCATTAAATAAAGCTTCAACAGCAAATGAAGAATGCATCGCTTGTGTCCAACCTCAAGTGCGACATAATTTTACCCACCGACAGTTATGTATAATATGGAACTTCGTCAGTGTCGTAAACGTACACCCTGTTTTGAGATTATATCGCTGAGTAGAAAGCTTGAAACAAAGAAAGTATAGAAAGATTTCTTGCAAAAGGAGGTAACGAGCATCTTTCAAGCAACCACATAATCGACATTGTTTCACCGAACACACAACAAACAATGTTTTCGTGACAAAAGCCAGCAACAGACAAGTAATATTTTGATATCGAAATGCAAGCTTCTGAAACAGCAACTCACCTGAAATATGTCCAAGTTTTGATGGGTGTTAACGTGCTTGCTAGATATCGACGCAAAGTGTTGACAAGCTGGGTACCACCACATTTACTCAAACATAGGGATTAAGCCAAATGTATTAACGTTTCGCAAGCTTCGCGTTATATTCGCTCAACCGTGCTAACAAATCCAGTGTTTTTTAATTTTTGTCGTCAAAAGAAAGTTGTAAATAAGATCTCTCCCAAGGAGGTTATTTCAATTAAACCACACGTCGCACAAGGCTATTGTTAACTTCTGTTCAACTACAATAATATTTGCTGCGATCATCTCCTAATTAATTAACCCTGATAATTAACTTATTACTTAAATTATTGCGATACCGCATTCTGCCCCTTTGATATAGACCGCTACCTACTAAAGGCACCGCTGACTGTCGGACATGAAAAAAAGAAATTCGGGCAGGCAGGTTTCCGCAAAGATGATGCACTTCTTGTATGTGGTGGTGCCAGGATATTTAAACGCGAGATACTTTTGATCACCGCGTGTAGATAAAACTTTTTCAGGGTGGAAGTGGAGAGTTTTCATGAAGAAGAGAAAAAGCTCGATAATGCTTTTGAGTCTAAAATGGTTTATAATTTTTCTCGCTTATTTCATAACGCTATCATATTTCCGATTAATGAATAAAGAATATTCTATTGAGGGTAAAGTATAATTAATCATAGAGCTCCCAATCTTAAATTGAAAAAATCCCTTTGTAAAAATGTTATTGGTCATAAATTTACCAAAAATAAAATCTTACCAATCGATGGACTAATGTGACATATAATTTTGGCTAATGCTGAATCTGCATGGTCACATTGACAAGCAATTTCCTCAAATGCTATTTGCCAATTGTCATATCAACAAAATCGCTCTGACAGATCAATTAAAAGGAAAATAGATCACCTATATAGAAGTATTTCTTAAGTAATACGAAGCTTAACTAGTAGTGAACAATAATCATTCATTTTTGCTCTGCGTTAAGGCACAAATTGCCGTTTGAGTTTGAATTTCATTTTGAACTTCGCTTATTAAAATACTAATTCTGTTTCAACAAGCTTTAAATGCTAGCTTTTCAGTTTTCACAATGGACTCTGAAAAAGCATAATCACCGTTTAACTCAGTAAGATCATCGAAAGAAACAAAATATTTTTTGAGATTTTAACAATTGTACATTTTATCCTTTACTTTTTTAAGTATTCCCTAAAATGTTGTATGATTGTATACGAAAAAATATCTGTGAATTGCCCTTTAATAATAGTCGGGTCACCGGTCACCTCAATACATAAAAATACGAAAGCGTCGTGAGCAGGCGTAGATGCATCGAGATTGATGAATGGTATTGGCCAAATATTCGAAATTCTCATGATCGAAAACTATATTCTCCCCTTATGCTACATGAATCATAAATAGCTAAGGAGAATTAGAGTATCGCATATTGGCTTGATTAAAATCTACAAGCGTTGTTGGGTGGACTGGTAACTAACCGACCAATGACAAATTGAAATTTATGAAATCATTCAAAGACGATTGTGGACATAAAAAGATTCGCAACAAAAAGATAATTTCGGATTTGCTATGGTTAATTACCCACTGAGTGGTTTGAAAAAAAATAACACAAGAATACCGCCTAAATGAACTTTTCAATGTAATGTGTGTACGCAGCAAAAGCGTTGATACAAAACAGATATTATATACGTCAACGCATGAATAAGCGTTTATTAAAGAGATGTTCTCAACTCAAAAATCGTCAAAAAAGCAAGAAAAAAAAGGAAAATCGTCAAACATTTAAAAATAACAGAGAAGCTGCGAAGCTCATCATGCATCATTCCACAAATTCCACAATCAACCGTTTCCCAAGTGATCACCTTTTTGCCATAAATTTTTCGACATTTTTCTCAGCGACACTTATTTTGTAATTAGTCGCGTATTGGCTTTTTTCCTTTCATCCATTCGACGTGCGCATGTCAGCTATCTGCTTGATTGTTGGTCGTAAAAATCTTTGACATGTAAGAAGGTTGAGGTTCAAACTTGGCAATTTTACCACAAATTTACTGGGGAAACCTTATGCACGTGTACATGGTAAAGTTGCTCTTTTCTTGTACATACGTCCATAGGTAGGGAATGTATAAACACCCGAAACAGCGAAGGAGGAAAGTTATGTAGAAATTGATGTCATACGGTTTTCAACCGTGCTAGACAAAACAACTCGTTTGAATTCGCTCTATTAAGTGCTTAAAAAAAGAAACAGTTAAATGCATTTTTAAAAGCTGAAATAAAACACATTTGGTTTTCATTCATTCTTCTGCAACCAACAGAGAGATGATTTTAATTATCTCCGTACAAAGCTTTTTAAGTGAAAGGCAGAACATAGAGCCCCGTGAACTTGAAATATATCATTATAGAAACAGAGGCCATTCGTTTAAGACAAACTTTGCAGGATATCTATTTTGAATTATGTCTTATATAATAACCAGTTCATGAGATTGCGAATTTTAGATAATTTACTGAAACTTGATCGTTTTGAGTACTCCAACGACCAGCAACATGATAGCATTAGGCATTTGCAAAGTCATTAAATTTTCCAAGCGTCATGTTGAAAATCGATTAACCAACAATGAGTTAAGATGATGCATCGCTTAGATCATTTAAATGTCAGCGTAGAAAAGCCGACTTGATTATAAATCGATAAAAACAAATCATTTTATTACCATTGATGGTGATAGCCAATACCAATAGCAGGAGCCTTAATACCCCCAGAAATGTGATCATCATTGGAAAAACAAAATTATCACAAGAATAGAGCAATCAAAACAAACAAAATTTCCATTCCTTAAAAAGGAAACAAGATTTGACACAAAAGTTATCAAATCTGAAGTTGGAGAAGACACTTTACCTTAAAAATCATCTTAACTTTTGTGAGCAACAATTACAAAACGAACAATATCATATATTTGTTGTATTTTGCACACTACCATATAAAAATAAATAAATATTATATAAGCTATAGGTAATCCTTCTCTGCTCACTTTTTTCCAAATTAAGGCATGAAAAGATATTTCTGCTTCGCGAGAAATAGATTGGGCAAGCAGTTTGGCATATTCTAGACGAATATTTCCCACTTTTTAAGTTAGAAAAAGCTTATACTCCAAACGAGATATTTCAAAGACACATAATGTAAAGAATCAGTCATTTGCACAGTCAGATGTACGAGTCTCGAAAACAAAAGCTTTTCTGACCATAAACAGCGTGTTTAGGTTGCGATTAAAGACTAGCTGGCAACATACCTTATCTACGAGCACAGCAGAAAACAGACAAGAGATTCTACGTGAGATTTAAAAACGAACAACCCAAATTACTTTGATGTTCCCTGGTCGACGCGAGTGATATGCGTTGAACGTTTGAACACATAATGAGCTAAATGCAAGAAAGCATCATCCTTAAATTGATTTAATTCCGTGAGGAAACTCCTAGTACCGCCCTTTCGCTTGCCGTCTCACAACAGGTATCAATAATAATACACATTTTGCCGTCCTTTTACATATCGCCAATTAAGTCATTAACAAACATTAGTGTACCGCCAAGGTAATGATTACAAAAGTTTGGTGGACTTCATTAACAAATTCAAAGGCGCCCACTGTCCAACACATCGACATAATGTGGCATTCCAATTACAAATGTTGCTCACTGTGTTATAAGTCGGTGAAAACGAGCAGTCTCGGATATTGCAAAAAAGGAACGAACTTTCCATGATTTAGGGGGTGGGGGGTGGTGGTTGAGTGAGAAATGAGCTGGGAGTGCAGATCAGGTTAAAAATTAAGTTTGTGTTCTATGGGATTGCATTAAAACAGATGCAGAAAATACATATTAAACTGAGTGATCATTGAGTTTCATTTATTATTAATACCGAGTAATACTAAATTTTAAAATTTCGTGACTTATGCAAACACAGCACCGAACTTATTAAAGTCTCCACCTTTTTCATGCCAGTATCAGATGTCATACATTCAAGTTCTCGGCGGAGAGGTTCCCCACAAATTCTAAGTAACAATGACAAGCATTCTTGAATTTGTTCATACATTATATCTTTCACATCAGCATTAGCTTGACTGGACAGTGAGATATCGATGAGAAGTCTCATTAAAGCCCTTAATATATCACCAGCATGAAACGGAATTCGTGCCCAAGCGCAAACTATCACAGATTTCAAAACACCAAGAATGCAGATTCTCCATTCTTCAGTGTCACCATCTCCGATATCCAAATAACTATAAACAACTCGCATCAAACGCTTCAGATGCTTTGCAACATTCACACCTAGATAGTTGACAAACATTGCTAAATTACTGCAGTACGCTCTTCTCATGAGGATCTTATTTTCAAATTCCATGGCTGAAAGAATAATTTGAAAGTTTTCATCACATCGGGTCATTTGAAAATGGGTAACACTCGTTTTGGGTTGTTGCTCAATAACTTTTATAATATGAAGTAAACATGGCTGTAACACAGTCATCACTTGTGCTTCATTAGTATATAATCTATGATGTAATGCATCATATATGATACCAGCTCGCCCATACCAACAGAGTTCCCTTGCATTCATGTTTGATATTAAATGAGACAGAGTTTGAATTCCAATGATGGAATTAGGCACACGGTAATCATGAACCAACATCATCAAAGGTGGAAGAACCATTGAAATGTGCTCACTAAAAAAGGGATGTTTGACATTTTTAACAGTCCACACAAGAACATGTATTGCCACAGGATAATCAGGTAATTTGGCATTAGCCATGAAATCTTTCAAAGATTGTAGAATGCTACCAAAGATTCCTTTAGGGAATGCGCAATTATCATCAAGATCTTCACTTCCACAAAGGAAGCTTGAAATGTTTGAGCAAGAGCAATCCAACATCAACGATTTTAATACTTTGCGTGCAACTTTAGCGCAATCATCCTTAATCCAGAAACATTGTCCAGTTTGTTGAATACATGTCATTGCAATGTTGCATGCAATAGATTTAAGCAGACTTGTTCCAAAGTTCTTTATTGAAACATCATCAGAAATTTTGGATGTTCTTCTTAAGATCTTATGGCATAATTGTATTACACTTGGATATAGGAATAGCATCTGATTTTCATCATTTTTTATTTCATCAAAACTAACTGGCATTAAATCTACAAGCTTCAAGAGTGACTCCAGATACTCTTTCATTATTGTTTTTCGTTCTTCCGTTTGGTAATTTTGTAGGTCTTGAATATTTGCACCAATGAGCCACTCGAAAGGGCAACACTTTATAATTTCTGCTACAATCACACACACTCGTGAGGCTTTAGAAAATTTCCTAGCCTTCTTAAGCTCCTTTAAACAGCACAAAGATGTGTCTAAAAGAGCCTGAAGTTCTAATAGAGCTGGTATCTGTGAAGCAAGCTTGGATATCGCGAAACTTTTCGTGCAACACGTGTGAAACTTGTCATGATTTTGGTAAATATCCAAAGGCAAACCATCACACACAACATCAATTACACGTTTGAGAAAATTATGCGGGCTTAACTTAAGTTGACTTTCGTCTTTCAGCCTTTTTCGTATCTCTTCATCCAGCAATTCCGAAAGAATCACCGATGATTCTTTCATAAACTCTTCCGCCATATTGGAGAAGCAGCATGTGCAGTTTACACTTTGCCGAGTGGCCAGAGTAAAGATTTTTGTTTAAAAAATTATTTGCTCACCAGTATTATACATGACAGAGTCAAAAAGATGAAATTTTACCTGCACCGTATTTACACAAGCATCTTTCATATTTGTTGTTTAGAGTGGTTTAGAGGCATAAAAATGGGCATAAATGGTAATTACACAATGCACACTAACCCTCCCCTCCCAAAAGATGTGTTGCACTTCTTCTTCGACCGCAGCATAGGTCCAAAATAGCCACGTCACGAGTAGGCTAAAACGAAAAGCTTTTCAAAAATGAATGGCAAAAGACATTTCGAAAATACGGATGATGTACAGTCCAAAAAGGCAAAATCAACTGACAGCCGCTCAAAAAATCATATTTCTCTTGAATATAATCCAACACTGAACGACGAGTATAATTTTAATGACGCATCATCACATGGCGGGCCAACATTTCGCGCCATTGAAGAAGATGACGAATCTCTTTCATTTGACTACGGGATCGACTGTCTTGATGATTTTGACGATGCAAATCGTCAACCCGTAGCAGGTAGATTTCAATAGGTTTTCAAATTCTTTCAAAAACTGGATTGTTTTAATATTTATGTCGTATTTACGTTTCTAAGGCATCGCCATTTTGAATTACGATTGCTCATTATTTGTAATGAAGCGGATTTTTTTTGAATTTTTTGTACGTGAAAGTTTTTTATACCAAGTACATGGTTTGGTTGATATTTGCTCGAAATCTACCTGAAAAATGTTAAAAGGAAAAATTTTTGAATGCGAAAAATGCTTGGTATTTTTTAAAGTTCGCGAAACTGTTGAGCATACGAAGATTGGCACTAGCTATGAGAAACGAAATTCCACAATTAAAAAAACAAAAACTAACAAAAAATTTTTTTGAGCAATCCTAAAAATACATAACTTGCTAATATCACCGTTAATTTGGTAGGTTGCATGGACTGGATTCAACAACATATTTTTCTTGGTACAGATCCCAAACTCATTTTACAAAGTTTGCTACCATCCAGTGTTACGCTGGTAAGATGAATAGAATGTTGCAGCTTCTTAGAGCCATTCAAAATGTCATGCACGTGTCATCTCTATTGCAGCCAGAAAATATGGATGCGTTGATGATGTGGAAACTCATACTTGACATGCTTACTGATCCAAAACCTCGGGAAAAATTGCCCCACATAAATACCTTAGATCATGCCATACATCTTTTGGCAACTAGAAAAAACATCTTGGTTTTGACTGGTGCTGGGGTGAGACTAAGCCTGTGTTTCAAATCTAATCTAAGCTTGATTATGTACTGACAAAATCCTGTTGATGTACTGTAGGTGTCAGTGTCATGTGGCATTCCAGATTTCAGATCCCGTAATGGAATCTATGCAAGACTAAGTGAGGAATACCCAGATTTACCTGACCCTCAGGCCATGTTTGATATTAATTACTTTCGATGCAATACACATCCATTCTACAAGTTTGCTAGGGTAATGTTGAATGAGCAAACAAAAAGATTTCCATGATTTTCATCATCAAACAACTAAGAGAAAGTCATGTTTTGGTTCATAGGAAATATATCCGGGAAAATTCAAGCCATCATTAAGTCATAGATTTATCAAACAACTTGAAAGGAATGACATACTATTAAGAAACTACACACAAAATATTGACACGTTGGAAAGGGAGGCAGGAATATGTCGTGTCATCGAATGTCATGGTGAGTTAGACTTGCAAGCTTTTGCAACAAATCACGTCAACAACAATATAATTTATATCCTAACCCAACTCATTTCCCAGCAAAGTTGGATCGCAAATTACTTGCAATTTACATAGCATACAAAATGAATGTCAAATGAAGTATTTTCACCACAAACCATTTATAGGCTCCTTTTCAACAGCATCATGCACAAATTGTCATCACAAAGTTACATCTAATGACATTCGTGAGGATATATTAAACCAGGTATTGTGATTAAATAAAAATAATGAACAGAACTTGCTGTAAATAATAAAACTAAAAGCTCTGGTGGTGTATTTTTCCTATTGTTGAGCTTCCAAATAGCTCTGCATAATTTTTGCAAAAGTACTATAAGACAATCTGCAAACAAATGTTGTTGTGCTATTAATTTTTACTTCCACATGTGGCCTTTCAAGGTGACCCCTCTGTGTTCAAAATGTCCAGTTTTAGAAGATACTCTTTCTGTAATGAAGCCAGGTATGATTGGATCTTTCAACAAAGATATTGTAAAAAGATTTAAAGTGCCCAATACACTTAATTATTTAGATATTGTGTTTTTTGGTGAAAGTTTGCCCAAAGTGTTTCACGATCACGTAGAGAAAGATATAAAACAGGTTTTTAAAGATGATTTTATCATGCTCAATGTACAGATGAGATGATTCAATTGAATTATTGCCATCATATAGGTAGACTTACTTATTGTGATTGGCTCGTCACTCAAAGTCCGCCCTGTTAATTTGATACCAAGTAAGAGACAATTGAACTTGAACATAGGATTGCAAGCAATAGCTAATGTTAATGCACTTCATTAAACATTTGCAGATCAAATACCAGCTGAAGTACCTCAGATATTAATCAACCGCGAACCTTTGCCACACATGAACTTTGACATTGAACTCCTCGGTAACTGTGATGCAATTATTGCACACTTATGCAAAGAACTTGGTGGTGATTGGTGTGATGTGTTGGAAGGATTTGAAGTACCAACCCTTTCGCAAGATGTTTTATTGTCTTTCTCTTCAAAGTGTATAAAATCACAGCAAGATGCATTAAAATCAAAGAACAATGAACAGCAAAATGCAGGAAAATTAAAGAACAGTGAAAAGCAAGATGTAGGAAAATCAAAGAACAATGAACAGCAAGATGTAGGAAAATTAAAGAACATAGAACAGCAAAATGCAGGAAAATTAAAGAACAGCGAACAGCTAGATGTAGGAAAATTAAAGAACAGTGAACAGCTAGATGTAGGAAAATCAAAGAACAGAGAACAGCAAGTGGATGGTTCATTAAATTCTGAGATTGAAAGCAGTTCTCTATCAATTCCACATAAAAAGGAAAATAAAGGTTAATTTCATTATGCTGAAATTAAGTAAAATAGTTACTTAAGTAAACTGTTATGAAGTAATGACTTCCCAGAGTTGATTGTCAAGTCATTTTGGAAATTGAATGTTGATTGTATTTATTTAGAAATAACTTTCATCTTTCACCCTCCAAGTCGTTATATTTTCCATGGAGCTGATATTGGACAATGTCAATTATCAGATGACAATGATGAAGATCCTACTTCAACAGAAACATTAAGTCGGGACTATGAAAAATCTGACGGGAATTGCACGAAGGTCTTTGAGAAAGACAATGCAAGTGATGATAAAAATATCAACACACTTACTGCAATGCGGGGGTAGTTTCCAAATCTTCAAAATTGTTTTCAAACTTTTCTACTGATGAGTAATATAGCAGTGTGTTAGGAAATCCTCCAGGCATTGGACATCTTATGAAGTATCATGAATATTAAACAATGTGTGTTATCATTTAAAACAGATATTGTGCATAGCTGATGGCAAATTAGCAACAGTCTTAAGTTATGGAAATTCCTACTTGACCATGTAAATACTTAACATTTTCATGTTATCTTAACAATTTTGTACGAAAAGCATTTCCCAAACAAAATATTTTGTGCAATTAGAAGCACCATCAATGCATAATTTGTAGCACCATCATATTTAGACTTCTTATAAACAGTAAAGAAAGGTGATATGACAAAATTTATTGTACCTATATACTGCAGCAGCCACAATTTAAAGATTGACACTCAAATTCTTTAATAGCTTGAAAGGTAACCTCTGTAAAAATATAAAAATGCTATGGTAAAACATACAATAATCTCTAAAAGTTCCTTGATATATCATGCATCACTTACGGTAATTTCATTGTCATGAAAATTCTGCAGCAAACAAAAGCAACAATAACACAAATAAATCCAAGAGCAAGCAGTAGAAATCTGTTAAGCTTTGGCAAGCCTGGTGCATTTGATTTGTCCAAGATAATGAAACCGAGGCCACCAAGAGAATACATAAAACTGGCTGCCAAACCCTCCATAATATACTGTCCATTGACTCGATAAGGCATAAAAGCAACCTGCAGAATAAATTATGATTGATATCAGTTTTACAATGTAAGCAAACTACGAGTACATATGAAATATTAAAAACATATCATACCATCACACTTGTTATGAAGTTATGCCAGACTCACCGGTTTACTGTTTCCATGCTCATCAGTTGTACTTCCAATGCTTGGTGGTTCAACTATTACATCGTAAATTATTCCTAAAAAATTCACGCATGCATTCTGAAATGTCTTTCGAAGGCGAAGCGAAGTTAAAGTTTCTATTCACTTTAATGGGATTTTAAATTTTAATAGGGCAATGTGGAGCCGTTATTAAGCTTCCCTCGGTTTTAGACTTAAACAGCTTTCACTGAGAGTCAATCAAAAATTAAGTCAATACGAATAAAAGTGCTTGTTTTGGCTAGTTCAATGGAGTAAAATATTAGTTGTACAATCCACGACAGTACGTCAATAGTGGAATGTGGTTTGAAATGTTAATTCTACAATGATATAGCACTTACCACCAGTCACCAAGAAGTATGAAAGGACCACAAAAGCAAAAACTACCATGGCAGATGGCGTCTTGAGCCATCCTGGCTTTTTTATCTTGATATTTGGCAACTCAAGCACGTTGAAATAAAGCCCAAACAAGGCCTCCATCTTGTTGGCATGAAAAAGAACAAGAATATAACCTTCACGGAGATTGGTCAAAATCTAACCAATCGTCACCATTGATACGTTGATTTAAATACAGTATTTAAAAACTACACGTACACAAATTAGCCTTAAATTTTGATTGGTCGATACAAACTAGGGCAACTTTGATTGGACGCCGTTTATTCTACGCGATGCGCGACGTTCGAATTTTATATCGTTTCAAAAAAATTGAAACCTAAAGAAGAAAACATTCAAAGAATATAGGACGCACAATAATCTTCATCGGTAAGTAGGTAAGTCAGTTGTATTTTTTCTTATAAAAATATAGATGATAGTAAAATAGATCCACAATGCAACAATGCCTGTCAAGGTAGTAAAATCGATTAAAAGAGTGGTAGATAATAAGAACATGGCCGACTTTTAACAAAGGACTGTAACTGACAATTTACAGCGTTTGTACATGCTTAGCTTGAATAACAACTTAAACCACTTCATTATAGGTATTATTTTTAAGTTCTTCAGTGCGATGTCTAATTTCATAATGACAACAATGGAAGATTATGAAAAAATTGAAAAAATTGGCGAAGGTAAATTCTCTGCTTATCGCAAGCATAAATTTCCTGTGTATATGTATGTATGCTGGCCAAAAGCGTGCGTACCTATTTTAGCCATGAGTCTAAAACTTATGTATTTAAATAGGCACATATGGAATAGTATACAAAGCCAGGAATTTAAAAACTCGTGAACTAGTCGCGTTGAAAAAAATTCGACTTGATTGCGAAGACGAAGGCATGCCAAGTACATCGCTTCGAGAAATATCAGTTCTCAAGGAATTACAACACCCCAACATTGTGTGGTCAGTAATTATTGACAGTAAATATGTACAATGTCCGGTTGTTAATGTTAATTTGCAACAAAATCAGGTTGCAACATGTTGTCCACCAAGATATGAAACTGTACCTGGTGTTTGAGTATCTAACAATGGACCTCAAGAAGCATTTAGATACAACGAGTGGATTTCTTGACAAAATGCTTGTGAAGGTATCATAATCAAATAAATCTTGGTTAATTTACTGCCGGTAACATCAACTTTGTCATTTCAGAGCTACTTATACCAAATTTTGACTGGAATGTTGTTCTGTCACACAAGAAGAACATTGCACAGGGACTTAAAGCCACAAAATCTATTAATTAATGACAAAGGGGTGATAAAGCTGGCTGATTTTGGACTAGCAAGAGCATTTGGCTTGCCCATTCGTGCTTATACCCATGAGGTAAACTATGCTTTTCCAAGTCTTTTTCCAGCTTCTCAAATTTCTTAAATCTTTCCTTCATTAATTCATGTAGATTGTGACATTGTGGTATCGTCCACCTGAAGTCCTGTTGGGTTCCCCTCGTTATTCCACAGCTGTTGACCAATGGGGCATTGGATGCATCTTTGCGGAAATGGTCACCAAAAGACCACTATTTGCTGGAGATTCAGAGATTGACCAACTGTTTCGTATCTTTAGGTACATCTGATTATGTATAGCAAATTAACCTCCAAGTAACATTGCTAATGGCTGACAATATACGTTTTATTGCTTCAGAATTTTAGGTACTCCTACAGAGGAAAACTGGCCTGGTGTTTCCAAATTGCCGCAGTACAAGCCAACGTTTCCAAAATGGAACATATCCGAGAACCAAGGCTTAAAGAAAGTTGTTCCAACATTGTGTAGCAGTGGCTTGGACCTTCTAGAAAAGTTCTTCATCTACCAACCAAGCTTAAGAATCTCATGTAAAAAAGCTTTACAACATGCATACTTTTTGGACTTAAATACCAGCTTGCTACCTGCACAACCTCAACTATCGTGTCCTTAAAGTGATAGCGTACATAACAAATTAACTATCGATGTTTAATATTTAGGATTTGCCTTTACATTTGATTATTACATGTTACTAGTTCATTAATAAATTAGAAGTTATTCATAAAAGAGTTAAGTGTGTAAATATTCCACTGTGTCAACAATACTTGCTCTGGTAATGATACTTAAATATGTTTTCACTTTATTCAACAATATATAAAAACTGTACATTCCTTTCCTGTTGGGCAAAAATTATTGTCATGTCATAAATGACCCCATGAAAAGAAGGTAAAAAATTCCAATTTTTTTTATGAGCCCTGGTTAACTTTCACCAAAATGATGGATGGGTATTGTAGGTCAAGTTATAGAAAATTTCCAAAAACTTTAATAAGTGGGATAGCAAATAAGTCACTTGCAGGCTTATTCACAAACCAAAGAGGTTATTAGAGAGAAATTAAATCGATGTTATTGAAAGGTCTGCTTTTGATACACTCAATGACCAAACATTTATATAGTATATCAAAATTGACCACGTACGGTAAAATATGTCGTATTTCCGGTGGTCTAGAGCCATTGCAAAAGAAAGACAGGTAAAGTGTGGTAAATAAAATTGCAATGTAAGTGTTTATGTGGTTTCCATTCAATTTTCCAGTATACTATTGAAAAGTACTTAAGATTGTCTAAAATAGCTATCGGAATAAACAGTAATTATTCAAATTGACACGCACTTCCGCTTGTAAAAACTTCTCTTGGCATTTGGTAGCTTGAGAGAAGTAGTCGAAAAAGGGATATATTTAAAAAACAAATAAAACATGTTAAGAAAACTGTTAGAAAATGGATGTCGAGCACCTGCGTTACCAACTGCTGTGAGATCCAATGTTCTTCGTATTTTTCCTACAAGAAATGTCACTAGCGATGTGGCTCAGCAAGAAGACCCTAACTTTCATGAAATGACAGAATTTTTCATTGAGAATGCCAGATATTACGTCGAAGAAAGACTGGCAAATAGGGCAGACGGGCCAGGAAAAAGGCCAACTCCTCCAGAGCAAAAAAGACAGGCGGTGAAAGGTAGATATGCGTGACCGACTCCCTTTCCTTGACTTACGAGATACTATGTCTTTGTTTGTGTCACATTTTGTCGTTGTACGTTTTATTATAGAGTATATAAAATTAATGTACAAATTCCCTCAAATTACTGTGTTTCAAGATGACAGACACTAGTTCTTTGAAAGTACTCCACCAATTTTACATAATCTCCATTGTACAAAAATAGCATCTCCCGTTTAAAAACATCAACAAGGCCATAGAATATTAAAAACTTAACGGGAAATGATTTTTAGTGAGTGGAATAACATGCAGCCTCAATGAAAACATATAATTTATTTCTCAAAATTTCATGTCGTTGAACCATTTCAGTAGAATGAATTAGTCAATTCAATTTTATAGGATTGTTTTCCAAGCTTATATAGATATACTGCAATTAGAAAATTTAGTATAAAGAACGCCACGAAGTCAATGTCTTGTTGTCAAATTAGTTTACATGAGATAAGAACACCTTCAACACGCCTACATCTGGCCCTAATGGGTAACCACGCTTAAATTATTTATGCTGACACATACAAACAAGTTTTTGACATATGAAATGCAACTTTCCGATACATTTAGGAAAAATTCCTATTTTTAAATTGAAAAATAGGAATGGTCCGTTTAAAAGGTGACATTGTGTCCTTGCTAACCATGCCTATATACTCAATTTTCAGGTATCTTAGACATAGTCAAGCCTTGCAATGCTGTGTTGGCAGTGAATTTTCCAGTAAGAAAAGATAATGGTGCCATTGAAGTAATACATGCATATCGTGCCCAGCACAGTCATCACAGAGTCCCATGTAAGGGAGGTAGGTGGATGCATTTGTGGATAAAAAGGAGCACCTGTGAACATCCTGTTGATGATACTTTGTGCAATCATTTCATTTTTTACAGGAATTCGATACAGTGCTGATGTTAATATTGATGAGGTACAAGCTTTGGCAACGCTGATGACATTCAAATGTGCAGTGGTAGATGTGCCGTTTGGTGGGGCTAAGGGAGGCATTGCTATCAACCCACACCATTATTCTGTAAGCAAAACCCTTTAATCATCTTCACCAACATAAATACTACCAAAATAAGTTGGAAATTTTTATTTGAATCAGGATGGTGAATTAGAAAGAATCACAAGGCGGTTTACAGTTGAATTGGCAAAGAAAGGATTTATAGGCCCAGGTTTGGATGTTCCCGCTCCAGACATGGGTACTGGTGAAAAAGAAATGTCGTGGATGGTTGACACATATGATATGACTCTTGGTATGGTTGTGAATGTTTTGTTTACTATCATATGAGCTGTTTGAAGAAGAAATCATCATGATTCATATTTACAGGTCACGGTAATATCAATGCATATGCATGTGTCACAGGAAAGCCAATCAGCAGGGGTGGAATTCACGGACGTATTTCTGCAACTGGAAGGGTGCGGTTTTATGGAACCTTAAGTACATAATAATTTAAAGTTTTGACCTCGTATTTTTTTGATGTATTACCTTTGTCTAGGGTGTCTATCATGGCATTGAGAATTTTCTCAGATCAGGTTGGCCCTGTTGATAAGGTGCTAAATGTGAAAAATAACCAAAATGTTGATTTTAATGACTCTGCATTCACACAGAATCATACTGCAAGATCATTGGATTATCACCCGGTTTGAAAGACAAGACATTCATTGTGCAAGGTTTTGGTAATGTTGGTCTACATTCATGTCGCTATCTGAACAGATTTGGAGCAAAGTGTATAGGTGTGATAGAACGCGATGGCAGCATATTCAATCAAAATGGTATTGATCCAAAAAATCTAGAAGACTATAAACTGGTAAGAGGTTTACAGTTAAAAAGACCAAACCAACGAATGGAACAATAATGCCATCATCCATGTCTTTTTTAGCAACATGGGACAATTCTTGGCTTTCCTGGAGCACAGGTGATCAGCATTTAGTTAAATCATTTTGAAGGCACAGAAATCAAAATCTCAATACATTAAGTATTAACATCAGTAATCTTCTCTATTAGATGACAACTGAAGATTTGCTTGAAGCAGAATGTGATATTTTACTCCCAGCAGCGGGAGAAAAACAAATAACATCAAAAAATGCCCACAATATAAAAGCTAAGGTATTCAGATCTTTAAAAAAATTTAGTCAATACTTTCAAGACAGTCTAGCTCATTGCATTTATATTTGCAATATATTTGTTTAAAGATTATTGCAGAAGGTGCCAATGGACCAACAACTCCAGCTGCCGACAAGATATTAAAAAATAAAAATATTTTAGTAATACCGGTATGTGAAATTAATGTTTCAATATCAGCTCATGTGACCTTCAAATTGCAACAATCTACATTCGTTTCAATGTTGTTTTAAGGATTTATACTTGAATGCCGGTGGTGTGACTGTATCTTACTTCGAATGGTTAAAAAACTTAAACCATGTCAGCTACGGGAGACTTACATGGAAATATGAAAAGGAAAGCAATAGTCATTTACTAGGTTCGTTGTTTGTCTTTTATCGCAACGAAACGCAAAGTCTAATCCAATACACTTCAAAATGATCAGAAAAATGAACATCTCTCGTCAGTTTGAATGTAGCTTCATGCCAAAACTAAATTATATAGTATGTATTGTAGTAGCAGTTGCGCGCTCATTTGAAAGACATACTCACTTTTCTCGTATTCCACTCTTCTACTCCAGGAAGTGTTGCTGAAAGTTTAAAGCAGGGCTTTGGTAAAGATATCCCAGTTCAGCCTACGGAAGCATTTAAAGAAAGAATAGCGGTTAGCCTGTCTTATGTCAACTGAATCATATCTATTTATGTAGCGAAGAATTGGTGAGGTTAGACAGAAAGTCAAAGCTGCTTGCTTTCTTTTAGGGTGCATCAGAAAAAGACATCGTCCATTCAGGTTTAGAATATACCATGGAAAGATCTGCTAGGGTATAAACTTAAAACTCGTGTTTCTTAAATATTCTATGAAATAAATTGAACGCAAGGCAATATGGGATATTCCCTCTTTCGCACAATGTATGACCGTGCATTTTATACATTTCACAGCGTATTATGTCTGTCGCAAAGGAATATGATCTAGGCTTGGATCTCCGTACGGCTGCCTATATTGTTTCTGTTGAGAAAATATATGGAACTTATGTTGCAGCAGGACTGACATTTTAATAAGTATATTAACATTCCAGTTTTTTTTATCGGAATTTTTGAGAAGGTATTCACGAGTTTTGAAAAGGATAAGAAAAACTGAGGAGTTAGGAAGCATTTTAGCGAAGAATTGACATGGATTATTTGAAGGAAAACTTAAATAGACATTAGAATTCGGAGTAAAATTCCAGATAGACATTAAAAGTTGAAGGAAATTCCACTTATGTCCTCAATTAAAGTTGTGAAAATTTTACTACAACATCGATAGTAGATGCTGATGATGAAAATAGTCTCGATATTTAGCTGAGCCAGAAAAGATAAATTGTCGACAGGTAGTCGGACCATATAGCAAAAAGAACAGACAGCCATGGAGTATAGAAACTAAGCTTAAATCACACATTACTGAATCACCAACCAGCTACGACGTATGTAGCCTCGTAGTAAAATAAAATTCAAGCAGAGGAAACAGGTAGAAAAAGACCTTTCCACATAATCATTGTTTTAACTAATTTTCCTCTTTTATTAGCGTATCATTCAAGTTGCAAGCGACTATGATCTGGCTTTAGATTTGAGAACTGCTGCCTACATTCATGGCATAGAAAGATTATACAATACATATGCAGCAGCTGGATTGGTCACTTTCTAAAAGGAACATTTTTAGTTTTGAAGTTATTTTTAAAGAAACTGTGTTGGTGAACAACAAGGTTGTGTCAACTGATGCACGATATACACCAGTCTTTTTAACATGGTTAGCGATATGCTTTCCAAAAGATGTTGTCCAAACGAAAAGGACGAGAATTAATGACGATATAGAAATCCATTCTTACTTCTCCACCACCATATTTCTGGCGAAATTTTCTCATCATTTTCGTTAAAATCCTTATTACTTTCTGACGTATTTAGGTTTTCTATTTTTTCGTGAAATAAGCAATGAATCACAGCACATGGATTTCTATACGATTGCTAGTTCCAGGCCTTTTCTCTCGGTCACCAAAGCTTGGTTATAAACGCAGATTTGTCGTGATGCTATTGTTGTGTAGACTGTAGACCACTCAATATGTTGGTAGATTTACTGAAAGTTTTTTCTCACGAAGTAATTATTGTTCCTAGTTAAGAATATTTGATGATTATTTAAGTAAGTTCATTTAATAGAAAAAATACAACCTAATGTCCTAAGTTTATAAAAAAATGAGTCGAATTCAACTGCGTGAGTTATAAAAAATGTCTGCCTTTCTAAATGTCCGCATATTCTACGAAAGATATTTATCAAAAGCGTCTGGGAAAACATGGAACAGATATGATACAGATTGTAATACCAATAATTTGCCCATCCAGGCGAGAAAAATACTTAAGTGGCGTCTCCACAAAGTTATTTCACACGATTATCGATGAATCTAACAGAGCATGTCGTTGCAAATACATTTATTTGCATAGCATTTTTGGCTATAGCAAAATCACAAGACTTAATTGCAATCATTGAGTGGAAAAAAATGTGGATAAATTCACATGTGGTCCCCTCCGCAATTCGAAAACAACAACAAAAACGCTACGTTGATTAAATTTGGCATTGTGTACGACAGGTTTAATAAACCAAACCGAAACCTGGATTGCTAGAAGAAAGACGTTTTCTGAATGCGTTACATCGATTGACAATAACTAACATGTTTAAGCAACTTTTCTTTCGCCAATTTACTGGAAAGAAGCATTCCATTCCACTGGCGTCTTTTCGTTTTTGTGCATGGAGAAATGTCATCACAGATTCTACGCAGCAGGAAGACGTTAAGTTCACCGATATGGTCATGTCTAACATCGATAAAGCAAGCGCCTGCTTCGAACAAAAATTAAAAGATACACAAAAGAAACAAGATGTCAAAGGTATTTGTTTTTTGCGAGCGGAAATATTGACCTGCTGTGATGTGCGTACCTCTAGCTAGGGAATTGATGCAGAAAGTCCTGGTTAAGTCTAACTGTAATGTTCTCAAATGCTTCAAAATGTAAACTGTTCTACAAAGTGCCTATTTGCTACCATTTCATATGTATATTAGCAAAGAATAAGCCTGTAATTCGAATGAATTGAGACCGACAAAAATTGCCATTATAAAGTAATTTAAATTTGCTAAGTGCGTGTAAACCCACCGTGAACTCGTATCTCTATTTACTCGTGTTGAACAACTAAACCTAAAATGTGAACAGAAGAATGGGGGTTACAGAACTTATATATGGTTCAACATAATATCCGAGAAAAAGATACGGGATTTTCTATGATAATCTGCAAATTAACATTGACATTTTATAAAGCAATCAACACTCCAATTAACGCAAGTTTTGTTCAATAATCGTTTATAAAATAATGACAAAATAACGTATGCGCTGTGCAAGCCGATCTGAGTTCAATAAATTATTTCAATTAAAAACAATTTCCTAATCAATCATCAACACATGTTCACGGAAAAATTTTAAAAAAATTTTTTAAATTTATCTGTTTCGCATTATTGTCATTTTATAAAAGAAATCAAAGATGTCTTTCGTGCAAACGCACGGGCTTATGCAAAACTCCGAGAAGTTTGCGCGAAAACTCTCGGGCGGGTGTAAACCAATAAACATCTAGTAATTCAAAGATAGCCATTAAAATTCTATCTTTCTTGCAACATTTCATGTAGCACAATTTCGAGCCTAAATCAAGCTACGACTGTACAATTTATGTTTAAATCAAGCCACAAAAAATAGATCTCATGTTTTGCTAACAGCGAAATATTAAATACATGCTAAAGGAAACAAAAGTAGGTCCCTTTCTGCACGACATCTTTAATAATATATCAAACACTGCACAAACTAAGAGGGCCAGGGGGGGAGGGAGAAGCACACAACAATTTTTTCTTGCATCAATAAAAAATTCGAAAATGGCGAGCGTACAAGATTATTAAGATATTTTGAAACGCTGTAAAACTGTAGAACTTAATTAGACAAAACAAATTATAACTTCACAAGAAACAACAAATGCGAACTTAATTTGATACAGCTTAATTAGCCAAGGCAAATTTTGACATAAGTCTAATTAAAACAGAATTAGACAAAATAAATTATTATTTAAAAAGACGCAACCAGTAAGAACTTAATTAGATACGACCATTTATAACTTAATAAGACAAAACAAGTTTTAACTTAACCCTTTCTCCAGCAGCGTAGCAGATCTGCAAGAAACAACCTTGGAGAAAATTCGCCACCTAAAGTGTTAACATGACACAACCAACAAAAGCTTAATCAGACGCGGACCAATTAAAACTTGATTAAACACGTGACATAAAAACTTAACTGAACATAGCCTATACTATAAGATACCAATTATAATTTAATTCGACAGAATAACCTTTAACACGATTTACGTTTATTACAATCCAGGCATCTTAGACGTTGTCAAATCATGTAATGCAGTATTGAAGATTAATTTCCCGTTAAGAAAAAGAGATGGCAGCATCGAAGTGATAAACGCCTACAGAGTTCAGCACAGTCATCACAGAAGGCCATGCAAAGGGGGTAAAGTATAGGGAATAAACTTATGACTGATGGCTACATGTTCATTGCATGAAAATTTATTTTATCAACCATGATTTCATTTTATCCAGGAATTCGATACAGTGCTAATGTTAATCTTGACGAGATCAAGGCCTTGGCAGCACTGATGACATTCAAATGTGCTGTGGTAGATGTACCTTTTGGTGGGGCTAAGGGAGGCATTGCCATCAACCCAGGCGAATATACGGTAAGCAAATCCAATATATCATTTTTGACTCAGTACATAAATTTGAAATTTTCATCGATCCCAGGATGATGAATTAGAAAGAATCACAAGGCGGTATACAGTTGAGTTGGCAAAGAAAGGATTTATTGGTCCAGGTTTGGATGTTCCCGCTCCAGACATGGGTACTGGTGAAAAAGAAATGTCATGGATAGCTGATACATATGATATGACCTTAGGTAATACCTAACTACGCATGTCACCTAGGTCAACTTTATTCATTACAATCACCTTATTTAGGACATGACAACATCAACTCATACGCATGCGTGACCGGCAAACCAATTGTTGATGGTGGAGTTCTTGGAAGAGATAGTGCTACCGGAAGGGTAAGGGTCTTGATAATAGAATTTGGTGGCCCTTAAAGTTCAAGTATAACCGTAATAGCCTTCGCAACCTATGTACGATCCTAATATGTCTTAAAATATGTGTACGATTCAATTCTTCATGGCAATCCACATTACCATTGTCATGACCATTAAAATCCATATATAGTTGTAACAGTTCATTCAATTAATTTAAAGGGTGTTTATCATGGCATTGACAACTTCCTCAAATTAGGTAAGTAGTTCTTTCAACACCCTTATCTTCAGAGGGGAAGGGGAAACAATTATCTTTGGAGGAGAGGGGAAGGAGACACACTTATCCCTGGAGGCAAGGGAAATGGGACACACTTATCTTTGGAAGGGAGGGGACACACTTATCTCTGGAGGGGAGGAGAAGGGGACACACTTATCTTTGGAGAGAAGGTGACTAATATGTCTTCAGAGCGGAAGGCGACACAATTATCTTTGGAGGGGAGGAGACACACTTATCTTTGGAGGGGAGGGGAAGGAGACACACTTATCTCTGGAGGCGAGGGAAATGGGACACACTTATCTTTGGAAGGGAGGGACACACTTATCTCTGGAGGGGAGGAGAAGAGGACACACTTATCTTTGAAGGTGAAGATGAAGGGAAGGGGACACACCTATCTTTGGAGGGGAGGGAAATGGGACACACTTATCTCAGGGAGGGGAATGGGACACACATATCTGAAGTTGCTTAGTTTACACTCATCCAGAATCATACTGCAAGATGATTGGATTAACTCCCGGTTTAAAAGACAAGACGTTCATTGTACAAGGTTTTGGTAATGTTGGTCTACATTCAAGTAGATTTTTACACAAATTTGGAGCAAAGTGTATAGGTGTGATGGAACATAATGGCAGCATATTCAATCAAAATGGTATTAATCCAAAAAATCTAGAAGACTATAAACTGGTAAGAGGTTTGCAGTTAAAAAGACCAAACCAATGAATGGAATAATAATGCCATCATCCATGTCTTTTTTAGCAACATGGGACAATTCTTGGCTTTCCTGGAGCACAGGTGATCAGCATTTAGTTAAATCATTTTGAAGGCACAGAAATCAAAATCTCAATACATTAAGTATTAACATCAGTAATCTTCTCTATTAGATGACAACTGAAGATTTGCTTGAAGCAGAATGTGATATTTTACTCCCAGCAGCGGGAGAAAAACAAATAACATCAAAAAATGCCCACAATATTAAAGCTAAGGTATTCAGATCTTTAAAGAAATTTAGTCAATACTTTCAAGACAGTCTAGCTCATTGCATTTATATTTGCAATATATTTGTTTAAAGATTATTGCAGAAGGTGCCAATGGACCAACAACTCCAGCTGCCGACAAGATATTAAAAAATAAAAATATTTTAGTAATACCGGTATGTGAAATTAATGTTTCAATATCAGCTCATGTGACCTTCAAATTGCAACAATCTACATTCGTTTCAATGTTGTTTTAAGGATTTATACTTGAATGCCGGTGGTGTGACTGTATCTTACTTTGAATGGTTAAAAAACTTAAACCATGTTGGTCATGGGAGACTTATGTGGAAACATGAACAAGATAACATTAAATTATTACTAGGTTTGTTTCAGATTTTCAAAGTCATTTTGCAATCTCTTCCAAATTTATTTAACACTTGCCTTCATCATATCAGCCATAGCAACAGAAAATCATCCCTAAAGATTAATTTCACTTGCTAGATAGCGTAGCAAAGACCTTGACTCAACAATTTCAAAAAGAAATGTTGGTCCAACCTACAGAAGAGTTGAAGAAAAGAATGGAAGTGAGATTTCTACGTATCAACTAAGCCATGTTGAATTATGAAGCCGAATCATGAACTCAATATTCAAAAATATCACTTTCTTACAGGAGGCTTCAGAGAAACAAATTGTGCATTCAAGTTTAGAGAATACCTTTGAGAAATCGACAAAAGTAAGCACTAGGGTTTTATTGCACACAACCACAAAACTTTTGAGCACTATTTTCATATTTTTAAATGAAGTATCCAAAAACTCACTGACATTAACAATAGCTCTTCAATAAATATTTTCCAATGTGTTTGCAGGATATAATCAAAGTATTGAGGGAATATGATCTAGGTTTGGATCTACGTACAGCTGCATATATTGTTGCGCTTGAAAAAATATACAACACATACAATGTAGCTGGATTCACGTTTTAAAACTCATGCTGACCATAAACTGTTCAAGTTAAAATCTTCCCTATGGTATTTTTAACTTATGTTTCAATGTGAAGTTTTGCTAATCAAATTGCTCAATTTTTATGAAATTGAAAATTGAAAACAGTCCTTGCAGTGAACTTTAAATTAGATTGGAAATATATGTAAATAGCTATTCAACAAGGACTTAGAGTATACTAGAAATATGACAATATATAATGTGCCATGAAAATCATTCAAGTACAACTAGGCAAGAAACCGTGGCCATGTAATAGAAAAACATGGCAAAACATTTGATGAACCTCATATTAGATAAAACATACCAAAGATTACACTCCTGGAATTGATTATAATTTCATTTTTTCAGGCTATCATTCAAGTTGCATGACATTTAGAACCATGTAAATACTGCACCTAGAATAACTGATGTATGCACAAAATTAATTGTAGCATAGCATATACACTTATTACTTCATGCTAAAGAAAATAAATGTTCTGTTTTTTTAATTTACATATTTTCAAGTACCCTGACACAAGCAAATATAATTAAACTGACAATTTTTCGTTTCAGTTCTTAACTTGTAAAGATAAGTTGATTATATTTATGAAACAAAACAGGCAACTTATACACAAACTAATGCAGCTCTTAATCAGAGCATACTTTGATGCAATACATTGGCCACCAAATAACTGTTCAATGTATTAAGGAAGCTTAGTTTTAGGTAGCCTTTCTCTTGGCAACTCATTGAAAGATCTTTTCAATGCGCTTAGGTAGATTAGTTCGAAGTAGCCGCCTTCCATTTAATGAGTTGAAATAAAGTTTGAAGCCGCAATCTCGTAGAAAAATATTTAAAATTTTGACTATCTTATCAAGGCGTTTTATCATAGATACAATGTAATATCTCATCTCTCTATAAAATAATGCGTTCAATTTCAGGTCACTTACTCAATTTTCACTCTGGTGACCAGTGAGCAATGTCCACTACTTGACTTCGGGTCACTTTACTGTTCATGTCACTTGCCAGGTTGTTACATCTACATAACGACGCCTGTTCCAAGTAAAAAGGTGTCTTGACTCAAAGTACAAGGTTAAGCTGAACAACATACAATAGCTTTCATGGAACAGTAAGACGGCAAACTTCTAGTAAATAAGCTAACAATAGCTCTAAAGTTTCGCTTTTAACGTTTTCTACATTTACTTCACTTTGAGCAAAACGTTATGTAACACGAATGAATCAATTTCGGACACCTCTGACCAAATTACCATTAAGAGCAAGCAGTCATGACATCATGACAGCCCAGTGAACTTCAGGAAGGAAGGGTCAGTTAAAGTAACTACCATCCATTATACAAATTATTAGTGGAAATATCACGAAAGATTTCATTCATAGGTTACAACATTCGGATCGGCTGCAGATAAAGTAACTACCATGGTTACTTGAGATGCAAATTAAAATGGAAAAAAAGGCTTTCCTCCATCTTTCCTCCCTTTTTTTTCCATTGTCACTTCCACTCAGCGTTCCACTCGACGTCTTTCATTATTTCATCAGGAAAAAATATTTCGATATCAGTGAAATATTTCCTAAAACCCATTAGTAATTTTCCCATCGCTTGAAAAAGTCCTCAATTTTATCGATGGACTAAAAGATAAACTATTTAATTTATTCACCAGCAACTAAATAGCACTAGCGTATCTACAATACACATTATAAACTACATTTTTGGGAACAATTATCAATCTAAGTTTTAAAGCTCCCGTCAAGCAATAATGAATGGTGCAGATCAAAATCACTACTCTATAAACTAGTTGAACAAAAAGCCATCATGCTTTTCTTCAAACAGCTTCCCACCAAAATATGCTTGACGGCGAGCAAAAACATTTTATTTACTATATATATATATATTAAAATAGGTTAAATACCCTTTACCCATCCTAAAAATAACTTAAACTTTTTCTAAGGTAAAACTAAGGTATACTTTATAGCACGATAAGAAACCTTTCCCAGCTTGTGGGTGTAACTGTATAATAGTTCTTGCGACAACAAGAAAGTATTTACATAAATGTACGGCCTGAAATTACGTTCCTCGGACGCGCATAAAAAGCTCACAATATACACGTAATTGTGTTGTCATCGTAATTTGTGTTGAAATGTACATGATGTCAGGTGTGTCTGAAACTAGTCGCTTTAATTTTATAGTTATTACAGAACAGAAGCAAATTTCAGGTTATGGTTTAAGTATTGACTGCTTGTGAAAAGTGCCTCTCCACACAACACAGTCTTGGCTACCTACGATCCTTCACAAAGCGAAAAAAGTAAGAAAGTCTGTTACAATGGCTAGTATTTGTTTTGTTTGATGTTTGGAAGTTTAATTGGCTGTTGACGGAGCCAAATCAATCATAAAATTTCACCAAACATTCAGCCGCATAGTAAATGACTAATTTCGAATTTTGAGATAAGGAGAGGAGAGTATGTGAGAGTTTTCAACCCAATAATGACTTTGAACGTGTTGAAAAGCCATACCGCCGTCCAAACAATGAAGAACATTTTGGCTCAGCAAAGCAAGAAGAAATATTTCAGTCGGGTTTTGTCAAACGGGCTGATATAAAAATTCAATAAAACACACTTTGTTAAAAATATAACAAAGTAGAGAATACCATGACATTGCCATAATAAAAAGCTACATGATAAAGCTTTGACTGTCAAATTAATTTTCTGAGGTTGAAATTTGGTGTGGTCAAAGTTAACTGGGTTGCAAACTCCGATACAATCCATCCCATTATAAATTACTCGCATTTTGCGTTTACGTAGGCAAACTGTAATCTTCTGAACCGGATATTTGCTTCAAAATAAATTGGCCAGTATGAGCAAATAAAACTTTCTATACAAAACTTACATATTTATAAATATTTTAAAAAATGGGAAAAGGATACGTAATTCAGGCGTCATAAACGTGGACATACATTATATAGATATATAGATATATATATACTGTATGGCAATACCGTTGCGTCAATCGAACATTGAAAGAAGATCGTCACTGAGATCCGAAGTTTCCAAATACGGCAAGAAGTCAGAAGGATCTAGGTTACCGGGAAGTTCCTAAAACGAAAAATGCAACGTTCCATAACAATCTAATGTAACCGGAAACACCAAAAAACACCCCCCGTGCAATTAATATTATTGGCAAAAAATGGTTAGAAAATCGCATACGTCTTCATTTGGGTCTCCATTGACGTCTTGAGTTTGCCCAATTAGTGGGAACTCCTCAGAAGGAAGATCATCTGGTTTCTTGTTTCCATCGTTTAAGTGAGTACTTCCATCAATGCCAGTTCCAGGACTTGATACAGTTGGCGTAGGCGTATTGGGACCGGCAGAAACAGTTGACACTGGTGTGTTGGGATTAGTAGAGGTAGTATTGACTGTGGATATTACAGGTTGCGGCGTGTGCGGTGAGGATACCATAGGAATTGGGGTGGGTACTTGTCCTATATGAGCTGGGCTCATCACAGACTTGTCTCCTATCAAAAGAAAAACAAAACAATTATATCCAAACACATGGCGACCACTACCAATGTTGAACGAGCAGGGATTGACCACACCCAAGCTCGGCTTCGCAATTGTTATCCATATGGAGCCTTAAATAACACCCTTTAATTTATGAAAATGGTTAAACAACGTGGATACCTTGAGCACTAAGACTTCCCGTGCTGTTGCTTCTATCAAGCCTTGGGGTGTTAGGATTGGAAGTCTTCATTAGATCTGTTGTTGCAGATGGTATACCAGTAGGAGCCTGGAGTTGGGAAAACTGACCTCCAGCCCTGTTTATACTGTTTATAGTTGGGCTTTTTATCGGAGCAGTTCCATTTTCACATGTCTTTTGACGTTTGGCAGGGTTACCTTTGCACAAAGAAGACAACAGTAATGTTTTCAACAAACAAAAAAATAGCTCTTCACAAATAGTTACACTTGACGTATATTGTAAAGACGAAGGAGAAAGAAAACGTTGTAGTATAACTGCAGACGTTGAAGAGATGAAAATGTTTGGATTGTGACAGATTAATCTTGCAAGTTATAGACGACTTTTTATAATCCAAACCTTCTTCTTTCACTTCAATCTTCACAGGAACAGGATACCAATCGCTGTTTGGATTTATAGTAATTTCTTCAGTTGTTGAACTGCAAACGAGAAATAGAAATTTCATTCCTCCTAACTGTTACTGGGCTAGATGTTGCAAGGGGTTAGATGGGAGCAAATATAGGTATAACGGGCAACTACTCACATTTGTCCCGTTTGTCTTTCAGATCTATAATCATAATAATACGACCATAAATCTAGCCGAAAACAGGACGGTGGTCGTGAAATATGGTGTCTCTCGGCGTGTTATAGTTTCAGATAAGACGGGGTTTATTAAACTGTTCGATACAAAATAACAGTAGAAAAGTTGGGTAGCAAATTTGTTCATGTGGATGTGTTATATACATTGAGCTAAAATACATGGAACGCTACCTGAAGCAAATAATTGAAGCGAAATCTTACACCTATACACGCGAGATTTTACCCCAGACATGCGTGTCTAATGTCGAGATTCTCTCGCGGAGTAATAATTGATTGACTGCACACGCGTGTCTGGGGTAAAATCACGGCTTCGAAAAATTATTAGGTTTTGTATTGGAGGTAGCGTTCCACGTATTTTAGTTCAATGGTTGCATATCACACTATTTTTTGGAAAAGTCTGCAACTCAAATATTATGATTAAGTCTGTTGCACTAAACACAAATCACAATTGCTTTAAATCAATTGCTTGGTGTATCACACTGGGAGATTACCATCCCCTCTAACCAAAGCTACTCTCCAGGTAAATATACCTCTATTCTAGAAAAGTCATTCTGAGTAAATATTCAACTTGTGATATGAACGTATAAATTTCATCTACTGACACCACTGAACTGGTAAAAACTTCGGTAAAATCACAACCATTCTTTGACTAGTTTTTAGTTAGAAATTATCATAAGATGGCTATCGCTACGTCTATCAACTTACTTGATCAAACTGTTTAAGATTTTCCACATGAATTGATCAACTTCTAGTAACTCTAACACGGCCGTTTTGCTAAAAATCGATTAAGAACAAACATCGTAAGAGAAAATGATGCCGAGTGACATGAAAATGTTCACATGCCATGACATGACAGTGTTTACATTGCATAACATGATATTCGTAACCAACAATTATATTAAGCAATAACCAAATGACTTACTTGCATACGGGACATTTCCAACTACCTCGTTCTGCATTCAATTTGAGGTATGACTCCAGGTCGAAACACTGCGGTCAAAACAAATAAATATTATCGATAGGAAACTATGGACCACGGTTAGCATAAAACATACCGTGCATCGAGCTTTTTAATGTGAATAAGAAAAGTATCCGATGAAAACATTTTACATGAAGTACAAGTTCTGTTTCATTCCTATGTTGCTGCCCACTAACCTGGATGTGTCGACAATCATGTCCACGAGCTGGTAACGAAATTCGTCGTTGCGTTATTGGACATTTCAATGACACTTTAATGGCGGTCTGTTCCACACTGTCATCGTTCGCTCCAAGATTTTGTGGCGATGCAAAGTGTTGTTTTACTTAAGAGAAAAACAGTGGAATATAGAGACTTTACACGTTTGCATTTCTCACACATGCACAAACTATTGCACTAAATAGTCTGATAAACAAAGTCAAAAGAGCTGCTTCTGATAAGCAACTGCGTCAAAGTAATTGTAAATTAATTAATTTACGATGGGCTTGGTACTCAATTTAATTCATGCTAACTGGGTCCATATCTCCATGTATGATAAGGGTTTGTGATTGGTTAGAAATACAATACAGGAAGTACAGTCCGCTATAGAAATGATAAACAGTCGTTATTTCTGATTCATCCAATCAGAAAACCCATTCATAATAAGTGGGTAGTTGGTGCGTTTCATTGGCTTAAAACAAACAAGACAATGCAACAACAGTAGGTGAAGTGACATGAAAAAATGTATTAATAAGTACTTAATAACCGAGCGCGAGGTCTTTACGGAGAAATATCGAACCGAAGAGGTCCGATATTTGTCAGTAAAGATCGATAAAGCGAGGTCATTAAAATTTAATATATGGCATTATTTGACCTTAAACAAAGTTTTCTTTCTTTCTCGTCTTTGCTGTTTTTTACGGGTTGACTTTCACTTTTCTAGTTTTCGTCAGTAAAAAATAAATCGTTTCAAATTATATCGTCTGGATAGTTAAACTGTTTTCCAAGTGTTTTTCCTTTGACTCGCATTCGCAAATTGTTTTTTGCTTCGTTTTTTCGTTTTGCTGTTTGCTTTACGAAGTTTGTTTACATTTGACTGAAAAATTGCGCGTTTTGGACCGTGGTCGATTAAGGGAAAATAATGGACCGGCAAAAATGTTTCCGACCCAATCAAAAGCGCGCCATTTTGCCGGAAGTGACGCTGCCATATAATTAATAATTCATAAGAATATACACATCCTTACTTTTTGATACACAGTGTACTTCGGGAAGAAGTCGTTTCGTCAAAAGTCCATCAAGTATAGATTTAACAGATGGTCGATGTACAAGTTGCAAGACAAACAAGTGCGACTAAAAAAAGTTCAATAATCAACATGTAAGAATCTTACTGTGAAATATTTAACGCATTAACTTTCACGACCATTTAAAGTCAGATATCACAACACAACTTTGAAGCATTTTTACACTTACACAACAACAGGCTGTCACTGTTATCTGTATTGTGTTTCGGCCGGGACGGCAAACATTCTTCAAATGAAGAGGTCTATGTGAAGTTTTGTTTTCGCCCTAAACAACAGCGGGAAAGCACATCAACATATTACATGGAAGAGCGTTTTCACCGGCACACAGCGATACCCACCCTTTCGATGGTCAGCGGTGTTGCATTGACGCTCACGGAGACCGAAACTGGCCAATTGGTGTGCTGTTGTTTCTCTTCATGATGGTAACACTTGAACTGCAGTTCTAAATCCGGCCTACAATTAGAAGAGATGAATGCTGAATGTTAACAAAAGGATTCTAAATCGATACCTTGTGAAAATATAAAGTAATGATGATACCGTTACTGATAAAACAGTTAGAAGATAGCATTCCATGTGGGCGTAACCATTATATGATAACTACCTCTAGACTACAGTGCAAAACATAAAAGAAACAGGGGGGTGTACTATTACACCTACGTCCCGACTACTATGCAAAATATCAAACAACATTGAGGTGCATGCTATAGAATGACACCTACCTCCAGACTAACGTGCGATGCACAGACTCGCGTAAATGAAAGACGTGATTGCTAACGGAAAGATTGTGCTCAAGTCGAAAAGGCGGTAGCATTATACCATCACGGACTGGAAAGGTTAACCGAAGTTGGTCGTTGTCATCTGAAAAAGTAAGCAATAATCATCATTTTGATGATCTTAAAACGTGAAACAAACACAGTTCATCACATACTTTGTGCATGAATCCGAGGTTTGATATCTGGAACATCAAATGACGGCATTCCTCCGCACATATTATTCTGTGGCATTACTCCATGATTCATATCAAGTGGAGTAGCATTTGGAGACATCATACCGCTGACCGGTAATGTGTTGCTCGAAGGCGTAGAGTACCTCAAGTTGTTAGGATTCATGTTTTGCCGAACATTCATCTTATTCATGTCCGACTGGAATTGTGCTCCCATGTTCGAGCCAAAATTCGCATTATGTATGTTCCGAGTTTGGACGCTCGAATTCTGTGGATAACCAGGATTATAGTTAGGATAGCTTGGTGGAGGCTGAAAACATATAGAAATACATTAGCAACATTAGGTTTTATGAAAACACAAAACTTAATAACAAGAATTATCCAAAAAAAATTCATTGGGAAGAAAATGCAGGGAAACCAAACATACCTTTATATCTCTCATTTGATTTTTTTGCATTGCTTGAGCCTGCAATGATGAAAATATGCATTATACCATAACTTCGCGTTACTTAACTAATCGCCTCAGAAAAACGCACATCTGTAAAGCACGCTAATAGCTTACAAACTTTCTGCAACAAAACCTTTCCTAAAACGTTCCTCACCTGATTGTGAAAACCAGTTTTATTGTTATAGCCCGCGTTCATCATTCCTGCAAGATTTGCGTTCACATTGGGATTGCCCAGCGGTCTATTTTGCATAAAATGGTGCACCATTTGTTGTCGAGACATCATTGATGGCCTCATGCCCGGGTTCATTGTTGGATTTTGGTTGCCCTGATAGCCACCAGGATACTGAGGTTTGTTACCATACGCTTGGGGGTATGACTTTGAATAGGGTGGTGGAGGTTGTTGAGGGGTTTGTCCAGGTCCTTGATATTGATCATAGCCGAATGCCCCATCTAAAGATTGATGATATTTGCAAATTAAATGACTGTCATCATAATATACTTTAGTGTAAAAACCATACAAATAACATTCAACGAAAGTTGTGGAAATTGAGAAAAAGATACGCGACGAATGTACTTACCGACATCCGGGTCTTGCAAGGAGGCTGTTGCAGTGGCCGTCGCTGTGGCAGTAGCAGTGGCCGCTGCCGCAGCAACTGCAGCCGCAGCGGCGGCGGCGGCAGGTCCGCTACCCGCGTACTGATTGTTCTGAGGTTGGGTAGGTACTTGAGCAGCACCGGGTGGAAACGGCGTGGCATTGGGTGGACCAGAATGTGGATAATGAAATGGATTAGATTGACCAGCAGATTGAGGAGTACTTGGATTGGAAGGATACGTAGGGGCATTCCGTGAGTTATCTGCAGTCATTCTTCGTTGAAAGTTATTAACAGGAAAACCTGAACAGAGAAGCATTCGCGTAATCTTAATTTAAGATTATGTTGTCTAATGATAATATGTACATTACACTTGGACTAAATGAAAACTGGCATCTCTTGTTAAATCTAAAAACATTGTTTTGTTCAAGGTGATCACCATATTCCTCTTGTGTTTTAAGATTATTTATTCCGGAGCAAAAATATTACCAAATTGTCACAATTATTACAGAACTCGTGATCGTTACAATCCTCTCCAATCCATATAGGTATTAGGATATAAATAATCCTATGCAATCCATAAAGCTATAGAGTTTTACATAATTTATGATCATAGCAATCCTATCCTATCCGTAAAGCTATAGAGTTTCAAATAACTGTAGATCATTTGCAATCATATCCGATGTATATAACTCAAGAAATTATAACACTATCTACAGTAAAAATTAACCTGGTTGTTGATATGTCTTATTCCCAGGATTGGTCATTGCATGATTCCCATAAGGCTGTTGGTTCATCACTTGTGCTGTATTAGTTGTAGATGGCATCATATTATCTGTAGGTAACTGTGCCTGACTCGTAGTAGATGCAACACCCCAAACAGTGGTGACTACAGACACAGATGGTTGTGCTTGTTGCTGTGGTTGCATAGACCACATGAGACCATTAGGATCTCTGAAATCATACACATGTTACATGTAGCTTGAATCATGGCATATACTCAAAATATATAACGATGTTTCCGTTGCATCACAGAACACCACAATAAGATTACATTCAATTTTCAACTACGAAGTCTAGAGTATCACTCCAGGATCATAAACAGGTCATAATTTGACGTTCTAAAAACCAACAATGATGTTGAAACATGTTCAAGCTCGTCACAAGACGCGTCATAAGAATATCTTACAATGATATTGAAGCGTTTTAAAAAGTATTCGCAGCATACAGACGCAATGTACCTGACTATTTGCACGTTTCAACACATCAATACTCAGAATGACAAAACAAGCTTCGAAAACACAACAGGTACGTTGTGATTAATGAACTTTCAACGACACACGGCGAATGTTTTCGTATAGAACTCGTGCAAACAGAGCAGCCAAGTATAACATGTCATTACGTAAAGGAAAATGTGGGTGGTATTATGTATTCAAAATGCAATATAAGTTATTCTTGACGTGCCTCAACACAACATTTTGAACTTAGCGGAATTCGTGGAACAGAATGACTCGCACATTACAGAATAATGCTTTGCGCGCTTAGCCAGCAATAGATAACCATTATCTCCTGCCCCCCCCCACACACACATACACCAAAAAAATGACTGCATATTAGGTTGTTAGAAAATCTACTTCTACGACCAAGTTTTTGTAATAAACGGCAATGGCAAAGAAATGATAAAGAAGAAAAAACAAGAAGTCAATGAAAGAGATTATTTCAAACTTAGCAAGTCAGAAAATAATCGCTAAACTTTGTATAAGATATCGGAAGTTCAACACGGAGGTAAACAAAAGCACGCGACGAATTACTGCGAGAGCAATTCTTTATATCGCAACACAAATAATGCATGAGGGACTCCTCCTGAAATACGTATATTTCCATTAGCAAAAGCTGTCCTACCAGCCCCCCCCCGAAGTAACACTCTTTATTTCATGTTGTTTGACCGTTACTGTTTGCTCACTAAGTCTGAGAGAAGTAAATCAATGAACACCTACCCATTCACAGGTTCTCTTTTCGGATGCTTAAGAAGCAGGTAGCGACCCAACTGTTCGCTCCATGTCGATAATAAGCTCATAGACTTAGGTGAAAATTTCTCCTTGTGTGCTGAACAAACAGCGAGCAACCTGTAGCCTATGGGGAGCGAAAAAAGGGTATATTAATAATTTGAAAATAAAAAAAGAGAAGCCTTTAAAAACAATTTTATTCTGACAATCGCAGCAAAAATAGACCAACAGGTAGAAAAATTGTGTGATAAGAAAAATTGAGCAATTCATCTTTACGCCATCAAAACTGTTATTTTTCTTACCGAGGTTTAGATCAAAGCCAGGTTTCGTAGCCACGTGACTTACGGCCTAGAAAACAAGGTTAACTCTAACTGAATATAAAAGGAAAATAATTCTCAGAAAAAAAAATATGATGAAAGAACTCATATCTACTCAGTACGCGTTTTATACTTCGACTGGAAGTTCATCAAGGTTTTTATCGATCAAAACTCGGTTGACAAGAGTTTAATGTAAAGAACGCGTATCGAAGAAAATATATTTATCTACAAATGAAAAGTACCGTCAAACATGCCATCAAATTGCCTTCGAATGGAGCTTGGAATGCCCTTACGTCACTGCACCATTCCAAAAGTTCCCTGGCAGCATTTTGAAAACCTTGCGGGGAAGATAGATGTTGCTTTATACACATAAGTCGCTCGTTTGTCTGTTGAATATGTCGCTCCATACTCAATGGCAATTGAGAATCTAAAAGAAAAATTCATCGTTATTAATTGAAGCGCATTTATCAAAGTCAAAATTTACACTCATTAAAAAAATATCATGCAGTAATATTGGTAAATGGTCATTTTTCCAATGCTTATGAAAAAGCACCGTACAGTTGTCCAATTACAAATGCATCAAACAAAAAACGGAAGAAGAGGTAGAAATTCCCGTTTCCAAATTCTTGTTATATTGGCACATTTATAAGTACTTATAAACAAAATTTACCCACGCACACAATCATTACCACTTTACATGAGGGATGTAAAAAAATCCAAGATAATTTCACCAAAATATAAAGAAAATCAAGTTTATTAAAAATGCCACTTGAAACTTACTATGCTGTGATAATTGTGGCCCCATGTTCATGCTTGAAGGCACAGGTAAATTAGGTGCACCAAGGCTAGGACCACCCATACCATGACTCATACTGGGTCCCGGAGCAGACATGTGTCCACCATGACCGCCCATTGGACCACCAGGACCAGCCATTACCCCTCCAGGACCGGAAATTGGTCCACCAGGACCAGACATTGGTATACCTGGCCCAGACATTGGTACACCAGGACCTGACATAGGTCCACCAGGACCTGACATTGGTCCACCAGGACCTGACATTGGTCCACCAGGACCGGACATTGGACCACCATGACCAGACATAGGACCACCAGGACCTGACATCGGGCCACCTGGGCCAGACATAGGTCCTCCATACAAACTCATCGCATTTTCGGGATCCAGCTCGTTCTTGGGTAGGAAGTCATTCATAAGGTTGGGTTGTGCTCCATACTGATTCACAGTAGGATCAACCGGTAACATATCACTGAGCGATTTATGGCTTTGATCCCACATGATTATCCAAAATGCTCTAGCTATCTCATACCAAAAATCTACAAGACATGAAATAGACACGGATTAGACTAAAAGAAAACTGAATATACCAAAGTTATTACAAATCATTTCCGCTTAAGAGTTAGTCATAGTAATTGATAATGAGAGATGTAAGTAATGTAATGCTCTTCAGTTATGGTACGTGAAGTAACTTGTCGTTAACGCTTCATCAAATTCCTTATAAAATCGGCACAAATGGTCAAGCTACGACGAAATTACTTCGTCAAAGCGAAGAGAGATGACCCCTTCTTGTGATAATTCTAACATGCACATAACATGTTTACTTAACAATTAACTGTGAATTTATTATTGCTTTTCGAGTGTTCGAAAAACTAGTTATTAAGAATAAACTTGTTTAAATACATACTAAGTGTATAAACACATTGTACATAAGTGTTAATTGGAGTCAAATAACAGAAATATAGAAGGTATTAGCCCTAATTTCATCAACGTAAAAGAAATTATATTAAATTATATTATATTATATTATATTATATTTAATTATATTAAATTATTATATTATTATTATTATATTTAAGACGTTATAGTATAGTCATATAAACGAAATGTCATATTGTTTTAAAGAAACGCAACTCGGATATTATTAAAAAGCATTCTCGCCTGTAGACAGGATGGATACAACACAACGCATGTCGCGTGCAAGCGAAGAAAACGACTTACTGTTTCGCGGAAATTCCTGCACATTATTCTCGCTTTGACAACTTGCCAAACGTGAAAATTTCAACAAGTGTCAAGAATAGCTTTGCTCCCCCACTTCGACGTACACAGTTAAAATGTCTGTAACTTTTTAAAGTCAAAAAAACTATCCATAATCTCGTGTGATGTTCACAATAATTGAGGCCTTCGCTAAAGAGCATAAACGAAACAATGCGACCTGTCGAAAGCTGAAAGGCTTGACTAAAACCTGCTTCCATGCTACATAGAGATAACAGAACCTTCATGTAGCAAAGATTGCACTTGATTATGGAAAGCGCGCAACAATCTATGTGTGTCCGACAAATTGCTATGACAATAACTGTTATTTTTCTCATGTATGTTACAAATGAAATGGAATAGAAACAAAATCCAGGCAAATTTGTAAAATAACGTAAATGATCTAATAAACACCCCTCTCTCGAAGTGCTTGTTTCTCTAAGACAACTATTTCTAATGGACGTCCACCGTCACATTATCGTTATAACATTATGAAAATGGTCGTCGATTGGGCTCGGAAACGTTGTATTTAGTCTAAGAATCGAGTCTTAGAATTTGTTCACAGTAAGGTGATAGAAGCGATATTAACGCCTCACTCCATTAAAATGTCCCCGTAAATTGATAGGATTTATTTAACGCTCCGAGGGGTTTATTTGATCATTTACAGCAAGCTTAAAATCAATCTTTTAATTTAACAGACTTATAAAATCGCACGCTAAAAATAAAAGCATGAAGATTATTGCAAACGCGAATAAAATAATCTGATTCGTCAACATGATGATAATATAAAAATACAACATGAAAATATGCAATAAGAAAAAATTTAATTGAAAAATATAAATAACATCACACGTCGATGGCAGTAAGTTTAGTGAAACCTTTGAAATATCAAGTAAAAACTGTGAAGTCCAGTCCTGTCCAGCAATTCACAAACTCACTCAATTGGAAGTCATTGATGATTGGAAGTTCTATCAAACTCCCAGAGACAGCTCTGTTTATATAATATGGAATAATTAGAATAATTATTTATATACCTAAGAATAATTAAAACGTCTAGAACTTTTTTCATTCCCAGTCTTTGATGCTCGGAACGACTACCATGTCCTACGTGACTTAGATATAGCGGAAACAAAGTGTATATAAACAGCAAACAAGTGGAGGGAAAAAGAAAATGTCGCGTGAATAAGTTATAAAAGTACACCAGCAACTTTATAACTAACTAACCGCACCTGTCGCACGAACAAATGTTTGTCCTGTTTTTCATTTAAATGATGATGCTTACAGCCAAAAATACACCCATATAGCTACTTCAAGTGGATTTTCAACATGCTTCATAGCGTCAGTCGAGAACCACATATGTCGTGTCATCAATAAAACGCATCATAGAATACGGGTTAGCTATACACGTCTTTTGTATAAGGCAGTCTTACTGATTATCATATTCCAATCAAATGACAACAAACTTGTCAAAATAAAATGCAACTACGCATATTAAATTTTCAGAAATTTTCATCACTGCATACGTATTTACTTAAAAAATTCAGCCAGGTTGGATCAACGTCATAAAAATGCCCCTCCGTGTTCTTAAATTATGATGTGTGGGCCTACTGATTCTCAATTGATTACTGCACAAATTGGTTGTCCCACAGCACGCTATAATTAGGTATGAATCTACGATCATCTCGTCAATTAGTGAAAATTTTGTGACGAAAAAAAATATACACAATCTGTGAGAGAAACATTAAATGACGTCGACAATGATCAAAAGTTATATTTTACATGCCCACTGAAAGACACAATCTGTGAGAGAAACATTAAATGACGTCGACAATGATCAAAAGTTACATTTCACGTGCACACTGAAAGACACAATCTGTGAGAGAAACATTAAATGACGTCGACAATGATCAAAAGTTACATTTCACATGCACACTGAAAATACACAATCTGTGAGAGAAACATTAAATGACGTCGACAATGATCAAAAGTTATATTTTACATGCACACTGAAAGACACAAAAACAACGAGACTAGCTTAAATGACATTTTGTGCAAGCGATTTTCAGTTTCAACATGTGTGTTTTTACTTTTACAGATTCGAGCATAGCTATATCAAGGATCAAGTCAAACAATTCAAGAAAATGGTTATGAAAGAAAAGGTTAAATCATCACAAAAACATGCAAATCATTTCAATGTTTACGAATTCAAACTTATGTTTTGAAAAACGATTCGCTACAGACAGCTGTTAAATCTGATCGCACTTCATGTGTGATTGACAAGCAAAGTGAATCCACACCTGTCCTTGAAACGCATGACGTCATAGTCATTAAAATGATGAAACGAAATGGAACACGTGTGTTTTCAAAAAAATACCGTGACGCATCAGATCGGCAAGACTCACAAATTTCATGACTATAATCTTGCTTATGAACAATATCATCATTCTTACTGAAGAATATTCATCACTGCCCTTCACTGGAAAACAGAAGATTAATACGGGGTATCCAATCTACGATGTACGTAACGCGTACCATTTTTTCATACACACCGTTCAAAATCATTGATTTTACTATCCGAATATTTTTGCTGAATATTTTGATATTATACAAGTTTGTATGTAAACAACAACTTCGTTAGAAAAGAATGGTCTGACTTTGAGTCACTTTACAACCAAATACGACATTTTTGTATTGTAAGATTAACACTTTGTTTGTAAACTAACAATAAGTCGAATGATCATCAAAACCCTCGAATAAATTTTCCACTGTCGTTTCAAAATTCAAAGTAGTTTCTGAACGTTTCTAGTTTCACTACGAGTGCTTGTTGTTTGTCACGCTTCAAAAAAACTTCGCTCGTTTAATTATTGCCACTTAAAATTTTTATCTCTTATATCAAATTCAAAATACGAGCGAAGAGGGCAATGAAAACCCGCGGAAGACTTCAAATAATTACCTACGATGTAAGGATTTTAATACTTGAGTTTAAGTAAACAAATACCACAAATTGCGTTTGTCATAAAATGTGATTCTCAGATGATACGCTTCAAATCATATTTCCTGGAAGATGTTCCATGCAAAACTAACATCGGTGTGATTTCGAAATCACCTTCAGCGTTCAATGGTTACACCTCGTATTTCAAAGGTTAACCAAGAGTCACATTGAAACTAAGATTCTTGCTTTGAGATATTGAAGTCGATATACAAATACAATTACGATACTAAAGCCTAAAATGGCTGTCCAAGTGAATATTATCCACTAGTGCACTTGTTTTTAACCTTTTGTTTCACATGTAGCAATTTTGCATATGTGATGTCTGTCTGTATAATATTATGCACTTCGTTGCATAACCTCCGTGCTTAAAATAAGGAATTTCATTGGCTGACACGAAGCAATTTCAACGCTTCCTAATTCTAACAACACGAGCTTCTTAAATTCACTTTGAACAAGATATAATGTTGACTATTAAGAAATACATTTAAGAGTATACGAACGATGGTTTGCAGTTAATTTATCTTTGTTTTGAAAATTTACAATGATTGACACAAAGGCAAACGGATACATCTTGATTGTGAAGTGGATGGCACGCTAAGGTGAACTTCATTTTCATTGGTTGAAATGTGCCAGCTTGTCACCCAAACAGGATATTGCATAAAATATTTTTCATATTTTTGTATCCTCAAAAAATCGAATGACTTGCAAATCATACACACGATAAATTTTAGCCGTTTAAGCGCAAATTATGACATCTATAATCATCTAAAAGGAGATGCGCATTCGCATTTATACATCTGCAAAATAGGGTCAATAACTGCTGTATATTACGCACTAATAACTAACAACATATTGTAGAATGTACTGAATGTGACACACTAACTACATTACAATCACGTATTAATTTTTTAGTCCTCATATGCCTCAAAGAGCATTGGATCGACTATATTATGATTTTAAAGCATAGCGGGTGAAATCATGAGAGGTCGCTATTAACACAGCTGTCGTCGAAAAAATTACATCAAAATAAAGAAATTTATGAAATGTTGTTATTACGTGTTGGAAAATGTAACAGTTTGCGCAGTCGTTAGGAATCATGTGAAATCGACACGTTCTTGTGTTTCATTCAATGGCCCATGTTTACGTAAAACGCTGTAAAATACTTCATATCGATCTTCAACTTTGTAAAACGTGCAAAGCCATATAATATATTTATAATAATATATGATTAACAGGGTTGAAACCATTCACGCTTTGCTATACACGGGTCTTGTAAATTCACTAATAAATTTCTGCGTTTGAAATATGTTTACTGATAACGTTATATACAAAGAAAGTTTGGTTAATTTCGATGCATGTTGCATTCTACAATTTCGCTTAGTAACACTCGGCTTGTGCTGTATTCCGAAAAAAAAACACATTGTAATATGTTATCTATGTATATTATATTGTATATAGGACGAGGAATTTATATTATTCTAACTTTGAAAGCACCTACAATAAAATGCATGAATTATATGAAATACATCTTGTCATGAAGAAAGTCTAAAGCGACTATAATTCTTCGCTATGTCTACGATATTACGCAAAGCAATTGATTCGGACACATTTCAACCCTACGCTATAGATTGTGTAGCTCGAAAAACGGACCTAAATGTACTTGCGTCGAGTCTTAGTTAACTGACATTAACGCTTTGGAAACGAAGTGAAAGCACATTCAAATACAAATTATATTCACACTGAAACATAAACAACATGTAAACAAAATCGATTCGCTAAATTACACAAAAAAAGTTTGCCAATAAGCGAATAAAACCCTCGTATAACTCACTCGATAAAATACTTCGTTAATAATACTCTGAGAGTTTCATTCACTTGAATGAAAATGTTATCACTTGGCGTTAATTCACAAATAGTGGGCATTAAAACCTGTACATATTTTCGTCAAAATTTATAAACAAAACTTGGGGTAATCGCAGCGCGAGCGTCGCACCAATGTGTAGTATTACACTCTGACAATGTTCACAAACCTAAATATAAAAACAAAGCTAACCCTAAAATTATTAATGGCTACGGATAAATGATTCGCTACTACGGTAAAGTTTAGATCTTCCAATAATTCGCTTCAATGCTTACAATATCCGGAATATGGAAGCGTATTGGAAAATATTACGAAGCTGCTATTTAGCCGCTCAAAAAGAAAGCACAACAAAATGGTAATTTCACTGTATCACTTACAAATTTAATCCTTCAAAACGAGCAGCGTAAACTGTCGACGTATCACACAAGAAGGTAGCGTATTCGACAACAAAATCTCGTTTACAACATACAAAGCGATGAATTTGAACTCGTCTGAACTTGTTTCTCGAGTTGCAGGGCCGTTTCGCTCCTCCGGCCGGTATAGACGTGTAAAATTGAAAATTATACACTCAATAAATCTTCTTGTAGTATCCCATCTAATCCTTTTGATAGATTTCCAAATAAAAATCTCAGATAAAAGAAAGGTTCTGTCCGTGTCCAACATTCATTCAAATCCGACTCACACATGCAAACTCTATAATGATTGCCCCCTAGTAGCTTAGCCAATCAGAAGCTCGGAATTGAACTAGGGGCTGTTCGTGTCAATCAAAAGCATTACAAGACGAAAAGGCCGAATATGACCGCCTATCAAATTATAAACACTCTTTATAGACGATTTATTAAATTAATACGGAATTACAAGAGATAAAATACATAGCAGTTGAAATGTTTGTCTTTACGCTGCTGAAATAACCGAATGGTTCCATGTAAAATGACAATAAAATAGATGTAGGCGTTTATAAAAATATTAGTAGGCATAAACTCGCGTTGACACTTAACAAAGGGCCTTTTTGCCGTCTTTGTTATGCGAATATAATACTGCTTGCTGATTGGTTGAAATTAATTCTGACTTGCAAGTCATTGTGCATACACAAAGTAGACAGTGAAGTACTTTCACTAAATAAGCAGTTATTTTATCAAATTGTAAAATACAATGGCGTCTTGTCAGCGAATAAAGCGAAGAGCTAGACACCGCAAATCGTGCTGTGTAATAGTTAGTAATAGTGTGTATAAGTCGGAAATGTACGCGTGTTAGCGCCTAATTCAGGCGATTGCTGTTAAAATAAAGAAGTGTACTAATCTTTGTCATTCGACACTCTCATGACATTTAATACATCATCTTGTTTTTTTACGAGGCAGAAAGAAGCACATGACAACCGGAAGTGTACAACAATCATTCGTAAGACCTCCCGGACGTGCAGTTCTTGCTGTGATAACTTTAGTAAACCGGCTAGAATGGACGAGCGGACAAAAGGCAGAACAATAACAAACTAGAACTTTATTTCCCTAGACGTATCCCTATTTTATAATCTAAGGTTGTGCAGAGAAACTGCAAGTGTGCTTTCTGTTTTGTTACAATTTCGTATGGGAGTAATATTTGCTGACGTCACAGGCGTGACATGCAATTTGAGTGGCAATAAGGGTAATAAGCAATAAAAAAGAAACAGTCATTTTAAAAGAACATATTGTTAATAGCCATTGTAACGTTCAAGTCTCGTCTCTGTTCCCACAAACACACATTGTTCAATGTCAAATTCCTTTCTATTTGTTCGCAGATGGCTGGACGACGTCTGTCCGCGTGAGTGTCTTCAAATTTTCTTCTCACACGAAGGTCGGCGAGCTGGTCGACTAAACAGACAAAACTTTTCTGGGTTTGAGAATCAGTTGATTCGCTTCCTTTTGAATTATTTATTTGCTCAATAATATCTTCGTCATTCTCTCTCAGCAGCCACGAAGATTCCTTATCCATCGTACGGAGTAGTTCGTTGTTTGAGTGCGGTAAATTTTCAGCATTGTCTGTTTTTTCGTAACAATCAACCTCTTGCAATAAATCTGTGAAAATATCATCTTGCTTGCGATGTTTTGAATTACTCAAACTGCTTCTTTTACGCAGATTTTGATGCATGTGTACCTGGTTGTAAGTTTCTTTTTCACTCTTCCGTTCTGAAACACTTCTTTTCTTTTCCTCGAAGAAGTCTGGAAAATTGTTCGATGATCGGCAATTTTTTTTATCTTTTGATTGAAGTGTTCCGTCCCTGCTCAAGTCGAAATATTGATTATTATCAAATTCAAAATGTGAACTACATATTTCAAGACGACTCAGCCAATAATCTCCTTCTCCTGGGGTTTTGTGGATGTCTTTAGAAACGTTGCTCGCGCGAAAGATACAAGAATCTTCAATTTTTGGATCTTTCGCACTGTTAGAATAGATGTCAAAAGAAGGCATTGTTGAACACTTCGGTCTATTTTTTCTTCTCCCACTTTTCGGATACACAAAAGGCTGTATGGGAACGGAGAAAGAGTGTTTATTGTCTGAAATTGTGCACTCACTTAAAGTTTTCTCCAAATTTCGTAACGAGGAGGCGTTTGATGTTTGCTCAACAAAAACATCGATAGCACTAGAATCTACAAGATCAAATTCTCTTTCTTCGTTTGAATACTTCTTTGCACGTTTTGATCGGCGGTTGTTGGTTAGCATATCGACGGCTATTTCGTCAAACAAAGTTCACTTGAGCTTTTCAACTAACCATATCTGCCAGACAATTTTATTAATTCGTCAAGGGTTGTCCTCATGTACAACTCGAATTCGTTGAAGATTATTTACATAGATCCACCTGCTATCCACTCTTCATCGGGTTGTAAATTCACTCGATGTAATAACTAAAGCTGTATCCACTCAGTTGTTCAAAGTAGCTTGTGTGTCATGAAAGGCTTCGTCCCTAGAATACAGGCGCAAGCTTTGCTTTCCTATTCAAAGAATTGAATGAACGCTCATGCATAAAATACAACACATCAAAAATTAAGATTGGGGAGTATTGGCTGGCTGATATTTTTATCATTTTAAATGATGCATTTAGGACAAAAATGTGTCGGTGAAGTGTATTTCATTGTGAAAAACAATGCAAAAATTACACAAAACTATTTCTAGTGATTCTCTCGAACTGTCACCGTATCAGTTGTCAGCCAATGGCAAGTTGCTCTGTTAAAATTATAAATGAAAAACAAAATTAAAGGAGGGAACACATTACTATGAAAATGGAACATCATCAGTAATTAATCAAATACAATTCAAGTTGCATAGCGTAATTCTCAAAAGCTTTTGTAGTATCAACATGTTATTTTCGGCACATGGTTATTTTGAAAAATTCTCAACTATAACGTTCCTTTAAGAACACCTGCTCTTCACATATCAAAATTAGGCAGGTGTATATTGGAGGAGGATGGGGGGGGAGCGCATTCGCTAACGTCCTATGTATAGTTGGGTTGAAGGTTCAGCTACCCTTTATGATTCTTCAGATTCTATAGTTTCAATTTTTCTTTCGTCGAAACTAATAAGACACGACAATCGTTATGGAAAGTTTTATACAATACAAACAATAGACTTTCTGGATTTGAAGTGTTTCGTACAGTCATTTAAGTTTTGTGTTTTAAAATGTGGCATGCTGCAAAGTTCGACTTTCTTTTTGATCAATAAACTATGACAAGACTAATTAACTCAGCCAAGCCGACCACAGGCTATGCCACTTTCACTTTTGTTTTTGTTTCTAATTGAAGAGAGCTGCAACTAGTCAATTAAGTATTCTATTATGACGTCAAAAATATTCGCAAATTATGCAAAGAATATCAGATGACCACGATGTTGTGTTGTAAACGGAAAAAAGTCAAAGTGCGCAATCTTCAACCTTATGAATTCCGACTGCATTTGTTGGACATGTTTCAAAAATCAATTGAAGAACACCGATTGTCTGATGCAAAAGAAAATTGAATGAGGTTAGTCATGTGTAGTGTTTTGAGTGGTTATGAGTAAGCAAACACCTATTTTTTCGTTTTTCATCCACAAGGAGTAAAGTATCGTTTTTTCATTCAAGGTTATACATATTCACAACACGGGCATCAGTTGAAACTTCTAAAATCACAAATAAAAGTCAGTCATTGTGTAATTTCAGCTCAAAAGGTTGCTGGAAGTCGAATTATCATCAAGTGAACATTTTGTTTTTGAATTTCCCCACCACATGAAAAGCGATCGTTACATACTAGAACTTAGCACACACAAAGTAATGCACAGGTGATGACGCATGTTCCATTCAATTGAATACATCCAAAATACAAATCACAACAATACATTTATACACTAGCATCATAACTGATATGATCTTTTTTTCAGCATGGAAGAAGCGTTGATGGCAAAGAAATTCGAAGACATTAATCGCGATTGCTCTTTGCTGCAACACAATTGGTCCATTCCACGGATAACGACATATTGTCTCGTATAAGTTATGAGAACATGGTCACGTTAAAAATGGCCAAAAACTCAAATCGATCGCACATTAAACTCTATAATTACAACCTCCTGTCGCAAGATAATGTAAGAAGCTGTTATAGGATGTTGAGATTTTGCCAAGATCTGAAAAGGATTGATTTGGAATACTGTAAACTCGATGATAGGGCGTTGGGAATTCTTCTAAAACCTTTGGCTAAGCTGTCGAATTTGCTCCATTTAGGTTTGTTCAATTTTATAAACAGGAAGCTCTCTGATATATAAAACCACTGCTGGAGGGAGGTTCTGATATACGTAGGCTACAACTGCTGGGGGGATTCTGATATACCTTGCTACAACTGCTAGGGGGGTTCTGATATACCTTTGCTACTACTGCTGGAAGGTTCTGATACACCTTTGCTACAACTGCTGGTAGTTTCTTATATACCTTTGCTACAGCTGCTGGGGGTTCTGATATACGTACGCCACCACTGCTGCGGGTGTTCTGATATGCCTTTGCTACAACTGCAGGGAGGGGGGGTTGATATACCTGTGCTACAACTGCTGGGAGGGTTCTATGATAAATTTTACTATTAACAAGATTGACGAATAATTTTAACAAGGGGAGGGGGAGAGGGCTATAGACCAACTCCAATACACACAACTCCCTGCTCACACTCTGTAATTTATCACAAGCAACAAGAATTGAAGTACGTCATTCTTTTAGGTCTTAAAGGTAACAATCTTACACATGCCTCAGTTTTGCGTTTACAAGAAATTTTAAAAGAGAACAGAAGTTTCCCGTTGCTAATGTGGATAAACATGGAGGTAAACAACGGAGTCAATACGTTTCCAAGAAAATTGGTTCAATTATTGGTATCTCGTTGGCCAACATACCTAAGAGATGATCGACCAATGATGAGCTACAAGTGTTCTCCATTGGACATAATTCAACACCGTACACCAAGACCGTTTTGTGAAAGGCAAATATTTAAACAAAACGATGCGTTGAAAACGACCGGAAAATACAACAATCGCGATGGTTTAAGAAAAAGTTTGCACTAATAAGTTAGTAGTTATCATTAATACGTTTATAGAAAACCAATGAGTTAGTGGTTACCATTAATAAGTTAAGTGAACACTAATTTGTAAGTAGTTATCATTAATAAGTTAATAGAACACTAATGAGTTAGTAGTTATCATTAATAAGTTCGTAGAACACTAATGAGTCGGTAATAAACACTAATTTGAATAAGTGGTAACTGGTAACTAGTAACAAATAAAAACTCCCGCCATTGATATTATTCTTGAGTCATGGTCGATCATGTTTTGTTACAAGCAGGCATAAATGTAATAAATAAGTAACTTGTTGCAACGGTTTTTTGCATTTAGTATGACTCGCAACATTTCTATTAGCATTTCCTAACTTATTACTGCATGTTCAACAATAAAATATAGTTAAAAAAAATAACCAAAAGTTTGATTTCTACTTGTGCACACTAACAAAGGTATTTTTCGGAACAATTATTTAAAGCAGTTTTCAATGTCATAACATATAAAAGCTAATTCTTAACTTATTAAGGCTAAATTATTTAGTTGTTGGTGTTTAACAGCAAGCTTAGTAATGCCAACTAGTAACAACAAATAAAATATTGATTGCAACTAGCTCACCAGAGTTGCAAGTTTAACTAATTATTCTAACCACTTAGTAATGCCAACTAGTAACAACAAATAAAATATTGATTGCAACTAGCTCACCAGAGTTGCAAGTTTAACTAATTATTCTAACCACTAAGTAATGCCACTAGTAACAACAAATAAAATATTGATTGCAACTAGCTCACCAGAGTTGCAAGTTTAACTAATTATTCTAACCACTTAGTAATGCCAACTAGTAACAACAAATAAAATATTGATTGCAACTAGCTCACCAGAGTTGCAAGTTTAACTAATTATTCTAACCACTTAGTAATGCCACTAGTAACAACAAATAAAATATTGATAGCAACTAGCTCACCAGAGTTGCAAGTTAAACTAATCCTCTTTACTACATTAAACTTACCTATGCAAATCATGTAATTTATCTAAATGCTTATGTTTGAATTTTTAGTACTTAGTTCCCAAGTCAATACGAAAAAATGACATCATTTCCAAACAGAAATATTTTATTCAATATACAATAAAAAGTTCAAACTATGAAGTGATAGAAAAAAACTCAAAAGTTCAATAATTGATAAATTTGATATCAATGTTGACTAACAAAATGAAATGTGGCAAAATGTCTTAATAATATACACCTTATACATGTATTCACTTCATGTAATACACATATTTTGCTACTTCCATCAGTATGTAAACCATTTCTGAGATACAAGATTGTAATATTGCTAGTATGGATAAGTAAAAATAGTACATTATAACACACATAGAAAGAAAATTCACAAACCATATGAAAGATGAGTGAGCAATTGGACATAAGGATTAAAGGAATGCAGTTGCTTGTGATGGTCCTGCTGGCTTAGGAGGACGATTTCGCATCCCATCAACCTCATGCACTTTTTCAATTCTATCTTTGATGTCGTTTATAAAAAGATGGGTAACCACAATGCCAATTATCTAATAATAATGAAAGGATGAGCAAGGCAGTTGGATAATTTTATATTCCCACATTGATCATACTTGCTTACCTCAGGTAAAAGGAAAGCGATTGCAACAGCTCCAACAAGCACAAGATTGTCCTTGAAATAATTCTCCAAAACATTCAAACAGCCCCGCGTATATATGAACTTCTTGGCAGTCAATCTCTACAAAATATACAGGATCAGTTGTCACTTTGTCTCCCCTTACATGATTTAGTAATAGATCATTACAAATTAGTCATTACATGTCGTTCAGGTGAACGCATTTGATATCCGCATTGGTAATTTCTCCTTTCCTACAAAATTGAAAAAGTTAAATGTTATTTCGAACATATAGATGAAAGCGAAGATGACAGGAAGCGCAATGGTTGTCAAACCTGTTCCTTGATGTGGCAACAGGAAAATGGCACGCTGCAATGTTGAATGGGTTTTGGATCTCTCACATAACAACGGTAATAACGATTCAAATTCCAGTCGTGATAGTTTAAACTGCCACAACATTCCAACTACAATAGCAATCAGAGTTTGTTAATTCAAACGTTTCAACAATCTTTCACATACAGAATTAAAAACAAAGATATATTTTGTAACAAAACATACTCTCTCTTGCACTAAATCAATAGCATTCTTCAGATCCAAATCATAGGGGTATTTTGTTATCATTTTCTTCACTTGGGTATCCAAGCTTTCTTTTACCTACAATATGCAGTGAAAAGTTGTGTTGTAACAAAGATATTAAGGTTTTGCATTTCTTATTCATACTGTCAAACTTTGCATGAAAAAAAATTACCTCGGGCCAAAAGGCCAAACCAAGTATTCCACCAATGAATTGCAAGATAACCACCACAACAATAATCACTTCATACTAAAATGAAAAAATACGTTTCATATTTTAGTAGTCTACGGGTGAATGGAGTGAGTCTCAATTTACCATGTCTTTATACTTAAATTTTGAAACTTTTTCATTCGAAGCAAACATTCTATAGACATATTTATTCATTCTTTCAAGATGACAGACTTGGTAAAAAAAGGACTTGATAATGCTTTCGAAAGACTGGTGAGCAAATCGAAATAATCGGAGCAAACAATTTCTGTATCTCTCAGAACGCATTTGCATTATTTTTTAGAGTCCTAAATGAATTTTTTTGTATATAAAATGCAGAAGTTTGCCTCCGATATATTCTTGTACATAAAAATTTTGACAAATAGTACAAAACCTCAAAACATTCCATGCCACAGCATTAATTACCAAAACAAAGAAGTTAATCAATTGCTTACAACTCGTAATAAAGTGACGTTTTCACGAAGTGCACCAACGGTTCCAGCAAACGATACAAAGAAAATGACAAAACCCACAGCAACAATCACCGCTCCAGGATCTGTCGCTGTACTTGTAAATTCTGTGTAGTCATTCTTTTGTGTCACAGCATAGAAGCCAACTCCCATCATAAGACCACCAATGGTCTACATTAAAAAGTAAACTTTTTACATGGTGCAAAAATTATTTTACTTTGGAATGGAACTCTATAAAGTATGAACCACGGGGAAGGGAGACTTGGGATAGATAAACCTCTCCTCCCCCCCATAATACAAAAATGCTCATTGGTGAAGGATCTTCTATCAAGCTCTTGATAATAAAGTGAGATGAGTCAAGTCAAGACTTTGCAATTTAAGAAAATCTGCGATTTTTGTAAACTATGATATCGTGTACTCCAAGCAAAGAAAAAATCCCATAAAGTCACAACAAACAGCATGTACTTTAAAAGCTTGATACACCATTGTATAAAAGTATTTGTTTGTATCTACCAAATGTAGGTTATGCCCAATGTTATTTAAGCTTTTAACAAAGTTTAAATATTTGTAAATGTAGATCATCCAGGATGGTATATTCCTGAGAAGGACTGTTTTTGTTGTTGTTGACCAACCTGGACGATCTACATTTACAAACATGTAACGATACTCCCAGGTTCAAACCATTTACTTTAAAGTTTAAATGGCATCAAAAACTTTCGTAATTGAAATTAGTTTCAACAACTTTTTCGAAACAAAACCCAACAATCATACCATTTTGTGAACTCAAAAAATGTTATTATTGAAACAATTTTCAAACAGGTTTATATAAGATGTGTTTTGTATTGATCAATTGATTCTGATATATGTATTGTTCTGATATGTATTCATTCTGATAGTAAAAGATTTTTGTGAATAAAACTGACTAAAATTTCTCGGTAATAGTGGTCAAAATTTATCTCAATAAAAATGTACGATTTTTCCAGCGCTAGTTGAAAATAAAAACAATGGATGGTACGAATATTTCAAGTTTAAAGAAGATTACGACACAAGATTTTAAAGTTAGGTAAATACGAAACTTCGAAGAATAAATTTCGACGAAAAAAAAGAAAATGGAATACAGTAATTTACGACAAAGTTAACCTTAACTCCTACCATCACTCACCCAAAATATCACAGTGAAGACAAACAGCGACCACTTTAAAATTTGACTCTTGTCAGCCATAGTTGACAACAGACAAAAAAGTTAACAATTTGAGATAATTTTCGAACCAAAAGATGTAACTAGCAACCAAATTCAAGACAAAAAAGCAACTATTTTTATTTCACAATCTTCATGAAGAAATCCCTCCGTTTCTGTACCAATTTTAAAGAAAGTGGCAAGTTTATGCGTTGGTGAAATTATCAACACAAAAATGTGCAACATTCCTCACCCGATTCGACAAACATAATAAGGCGTTTAATGCACGATTGTTTTTGGACAAAAATGTCTAGGATGAAAAATAGATGACGTAATTATTCACCTCACTAATCGATGTTTGGTATTGGTAAACTTACAACTGAAATCAAAGCATATTCAAAGCTGAAAAGTTTTCCACTTACATATAATGCTTACTTATTCTGCACAATTGAACACCATGATCTAGGAGACTAAGGGGTGATGCGGGGGTGGGGTGGGGATGAGATTGCCTCATTGCAGGCACCACTGTTCGCTGAAATATACCAGTTATGCAACTAATGTCATGTTGGCAGTTTTTCAAACCCTTTATTCAAGTTGACTAAGTTATAATTGACAATCCACAGCTGGTAATGATCAACAGACAAAAAATTGTTAAAGTTAGTTCATATACATTCCAAAAGAGTTTCTTATTTGCCTTCAAATTCAACATCAAGGGACAAACCAATTCTGTGTCCACCTTGGTCTAAATTCTTTGCATCAACAAGCCCAGATAGACCAACCTTCACAGCTGAGCTTAGCTTGTGTGAATACGACAAACCAATATGGCTGCTATTGTTCACTTTTACCTGAAAAAAAACAAATTTCCATCTATACTGAAAATGCATTGAAAATGTGGTGCAAACATCTTTAAAAAGAAGTACAATAATACATTTTATATAATTAAACTAAATTCTAAAATGCATCCTTAATCCAAAAAATGTAAATAGTCACATGAAGATGTACATTGCAAGAATGTTATATGCAGTGCGGTGTTTGAAATTAAATGTAGATATGATCTTCGCACTTTGCAGGACAATTTAAGCAATTGTCTCAAGAACCTGAAAAATTCAGGTGACTCAACGGGATGAGTTGAGTCATGAGTTGAATCCTGTTGAGTCACCTGAATTTTTCAGGTTCTTGAGACAATTGCTTAAATTGTCCTGCAAAGTGCGAAGATCATATCTACATTTAAGATGTACATTGTCAACCACAATGTACATTAACAAAATATAATATAAACACATACAAACATTCAACAATACCTTGACTGATGAGATTGGATCAATGATATACTTCATGCCAACCTGAAAGTTTACACTTTCACTACCTGATGACCAGTTCATTAGAGCTGCTGCTTCAAGTTTGTTATTGATCTAGGGATTTCAAAAGCTAAGTTAAAATTTGAAACTTCTTCTCGCAGCCGCCCCTATTCACGGTCAATTTAACAAAACATTGACTATTGAATTTAGAGCATAAAAGATTTGCAGTCAATGGTTTATCAAAACTGGCAAACAGTTAATCATTGTTGTTGTACTTTGGTCTGATACCAATTGAAATATTCAAGCAACAATTGGAAATTGTAAGTAGTGTCATATTTCATGCCTAATATCCAACAAAATTTCATAAATTACTCTTTTACACCCATTTTGAGCTCGAACTTGATCAAAATAAAATTCTCATTAATATTTATCAAAAGTTTAGTATCTTGATTATAAGCAAACTTCATCACAAACATATTTGCCTTGTGGCCTACTACAAAACTATCAAATTATTAAACAACCTTGTGATGAACTGATCCCACAAACTTTGAAGCATCGGCTCTATAAACACAAATATGACATTCATTTAGTCATAAAATCCCAAAGTTGAACATCTGCAAATAGCAGACTTCGATCTTTTAAATCAATATAAAATTAAATCATACACAGATGAATGCAGAATAAAGTCTGAAGATCTGTAGCCAATAGCAATGTTGTTGCTGGTGAGATTTGACTTGGCTGTATCAAATGTGCCATTAACACCACATACCCATCCACTGTAACTGTAAAGCAACATGGAATGTTATAATGAAGTGAATGGAATTAAGAACATGATGCAATTACAGAAAGTGGTATTGTATTTAACCATGTTTGTCTGCACAATCTTACCCAAAAACAGATGATGCTGTGACTAAGGGTCCGGCAAAATCAAAATCAATCTCTGCAGTAGGGTGTACGTAATCCCTCTTGTAGTCTGCCTTGATCTTGGCTGCTTTCTTACTACAAGAACATAAAGAGGTTAGTGGTATGTTTCACAACATATAGCCAAAACACTATTCATCTGTTCAATACATAGATAATTTTTGTGAACAAAAAACATCCTAATTTCTTACCCACTTCCTGGAGAAAATGTGGTGTCAAATGACAGTTTCAATCCCTTAACAAGCTAAACAACAAAAACAGTTACATTTCATCAGTCAAATTCCCACATGGTAAAGAAAAAGAACAAAATATTTATCAACAGCGATGTCATTATATGAGCTACCTGGTCCTCAACTGTGATATTAGTGCTAAGCACATTGTCAGTTGTCCATTTTTCAGAGAGGGTCAAACCTTAAAGGGAATTTGGTCCAGCAATAAGGTATATGTAAAAAATATCAAACTTGAAAAGGAAAAAAAGGTTACCATGTTTAGGATTTTTGTATTTTGTTTCTAAATTTCCACTAACTTTACCACTCTCATTGCTAGAAGAAAGAGCAGCAGAAAAATCCTAAAAAATAGACAAAAATTTAAGATTGACTCAAATTCTACAAAAGCTTTGATGCTTTGTTGATTATTTGCTTCTTCAAAAAAAAAGGTGAAGAGCTTTGATAAAGTCAGATGATCTCTTAAGAAACAAAACTATCCACAATATGTAGATCTCTTCTTGGACACAAAGATCCTTTTCATAGCAAATTCAATACGTGAATATTTTAGTATTGCTAACCTAAATGCTGTAAATATTAGAAAGCAGATCAACATTTAATGAATGGATACAGCTACAATACTTCTGCTATGTATTGACAGGCTCTTCACCAATTTTTCATACTCATTTCTTGTACATGACACAAGCTTTTCAAAGTTTGTCAAACTTTTCATTGCAATAAAATCGAAAAATTAAAATCTTGAGGCCTAAGTTAATTACCCACAAGTCTCCCTTCCCCCCAAAGTCATGAGATCTATGCTGAGAACATTACTCACTACGCCTTTCTTTGAATATGATTTGGCATCAAGTTTAAAGAATCCATAACTATATTCTTTTCCAAGGACATCCCTTGCTTCTTTTCCCAGATCATCAAACTTAGGAGGAACTGTAACATTAAATATTGGTAGAAAAAATCTTATCTTTACTTAATCTGAGGTAAAAATTTATGTTTACAAATGGGGGAGATGTTTTGCATATCAATATTTGTGTTTATTCACCAGAAAAAAACATATATATGAACTTTTCTGAAGATTTTTACTGTATTGGCACTTTTGCCATAGAATTAGCATTACAGTACTGAAATCAGGGCAGTCTTTGCCACAAAAGATCCTCCCATGATTGCAAGTTATAATTCGGGAACACTGAAGAATTTCAAATATGAAGAACAAAAGCAACTGAAATAAAAGATTTTCGATTGTTTTATTCAACATTTGCTGAATAGCAGTACAAGAACGCGAAGATCGCAAAACACAAACCGGCAAATGCAGTGAAATTATATAAATGAACAAAAATTCACGAAATTGGTTTCTATTGCAAGATCAACAAGCAAAAATGCTTATCGAGGGCCACTCAGTAAAATACCCATTGAAAATTACATAGATGGGTGTTAAAAATAATTTATGCCAGCACGAAAACGCCGATGGATGATAATGGTCTTAACATAAAACGAAAATTCACGGAAGGCGTTGTTGAAATACTATACACGAAAAATATTTCGACAACATGAATTAGAGGTAAAGACGAGTGAAATATAAAATCTACTCTTGCGTAACAAAAGTTGCATTTAGAATTACAACTCAAAAATGCTGACACGAATTGCACATTACTGGTCAAATAACTCATCAAACCGAGCAAATAATCGCACATGATTTGTACAAAAACAATAATAAGCTTTTCAAAAGTAAAAAAAACTCGTTAATCTAATAAACAAAGCCCACAATAAAGTTCTAAATACGATTTAAAGACTTACTATTGCACGCCATATTTCCTGATGCTGTCGCTGGAACCACAAAGATCAACTATGCGTGGTTATCACGCGCGTTTTACCACGCGTGTTTCCATCGTGAAAATCTCATTTTCACTAACTGCATCAAGCTCATTGAGCTCTAAAAGACCTGGAGGGGCAAAGGGGCCTGGGCCTCGTGGTCAAAAACATGGCGGTAATGGCGGATTTTGGTTGTCAAAACTTCCACTTTGAGAAAAATTTTTAACATTCGCTCCCTCCCGAAACGGATCTCTATTACTGCTCATAGTAATGACAACCAGCGAAAACAACCACGATGCCGTAAGCATAAAATATTGAAAATAATGCTTAAGATTTTTGTGAAATAAACACACACATTTAAATGAGGTAAATCTACTGTAAAATAACGTATATTTTGTCAAGTAATGCTTTAGCTATATTAGAAATAAATATCAAACGGCAATCTTTACACTGTTAACGTGTTGTTAAGCTTTAATGCATAATCCCATGCGCATTACTTGTGTTTTTGACTGTTTGTGAACAGCTTGGTGCAACTGTCTTTCTTGAATAGATGGGTAAATCTTAGTTGAAATGTCGAAAAAGGAGTTAGAAAAAGTTAGCTTACCCCTACGACTTAAGTCGACTGGAAATATATTATAAGTAGGTATGTAATTGTTTTGAGTTTTTTTTGGTAGGATTGATTCTGGGTGTCTTATAAAGTATTATGATATTCTGATAAATCTACTGAGAACTTATGAGGAAAATATCTTGAACTAGGAGAGCAAAAGAACGAAATTCAGAAATTCTATAATCATGTTGCTGATTCTGTTTTAAGCCAAGATATTAGAAACTGGATTGTTATTGACAACCATGGATCTACTACTGAACAGAACTACATAAATTTCCCATTAAAAATACTATTTCTTAAATCGAAGTGCATTGGTTTCTCTGACATAACACTTTTCTTATTACTGCATGAAGGCAAACCTGTTTAAATAATTATAATGTAGGTGAAGATATTTAGCATGTTGTATAATTGTTATTATACAGACATTATTTATAATATTATGGCCTTGTGTAATGTATGTCAAGAACTTATTAATTCTCAAAAATGCTAACCTTCTTGCACTACTTTTCTTTTGTGTCCTTACAAATTACAGTTACCTATACTAATTTTTTCTAGGTTCAAACAACTTGACAAATTTTTGAATTTTACATTATGCCTTTGAATTTTTCTTTTTGTCTTTTGGTAAAAATATCAGTGAATGACTTAAAAATCAAGTTTATCTAAAATAGTATTTTGTACAAAGTAACTATACATAATTGGAAAAGTCTCATGTTGAAGACAGATGTGGCTTCTTTTACTAGATTGCTACTCTTATTCTTTTAAATGATATCGTAATTCTTCAAAAGACATAAAAAGTTCTTTGCCATCAATTTTGCTTCTTCCACATTCAACTTCATTGCAACCAATGCATCTTATGTGAATTTTAATCACCTGGAATTGAAAATGTATGGATTTTGTCAGATGATGCAGTACTGTATTTAATGTTTCATGCATGTCATGATAAGCTTTTCTTGAGCAAATATTTCAAGGTAGGAGCAAAATTTGGCACATTATTGAACAAAGTAGTTTTTATCTTGATTTTGATGTACTAACCTGTTTAGTACACTGTGTAACAAACAATTCATTTACAGAAACACCATATGGCATTTATAAAACTTTTAGCATAAAGCAAACCTTTACACACCATCATCATGCTTGTCCAAATCTGTCAAATTGTCCAGGCTAGCTGTTTAATACAGGTAATTTTATTGTACGACATGTACCAAAGAGCTCATTAATTAATCCTGCACTGCATTTGATTTCAATACAGCTCTGTCCTTAATATTTGCTTCATATTTTCAGAAAAATATCATGAAAAAATCCTCCATTTCAACTCAGTTGAAACAAGGAGTTTTAAGATATGCATATCTCGATAAGAACTGGTTTCAATGCCTCGTCTAGCAATCGATTAAGTAAAGAACAAATAAGACTGGATAAACATAACTTAAATTATAACTTAGGAGTAAAACATTCACAAAATATAAGCCATCACACTTCAAGTATTGACTTAAAACAAAACACTGAACACTTTAAATAGTAAACAATCTTACGTTGCTTACCGGTGTCATGAAATGTTTCCTTTCTGGCATTACTTCAGCATCCGTATACCAAACAAGTTTGCAGCATGTTTTAAAGATAAAATTTCTAAAAGTTTTGTGCTTGGCATTGATATTTTCTATAATCGCAATTGTGGTTGTCAAATCCGGGTGGGCGAAAAATTTTATTTTATGAGCCCGCGTCTTCCGCTGACTTTGACAACCAAAATCCGCCATGTTTTTGACCACGCGGCCGCGCGCTAATAATTTATACTAATTTTGTTGACGTTTCCCCTCCAGGTCGTATAGAACTCAATGATCAAGCTGAAGGTATGTTGCCCGGCAACAGTTGATGGTAAGTTGACAATCGTACAATTTTCTGACAATGGCTGCGGTTACTTATTCGGGGTTCCGCTGGAAACAATCACGCAAATCCCACAATCCATATATCGGAAAAGGAGCAGTTTTGTTTACAGGTAGTAATAACTAATTTTTTTCCATTTCGTGATTCCGGCGCCATTAGAATCTCGCGATGTGTCAATCATGTCTTCATTATGTACAGGACCGGATGCAATTGGTGATCATAAGACAAAGATTTTAGATGCTCAGGCAATAGGCGTTGGGACTATCTCACGAGAGGGTACAAGTGATTCAGAATACATCCTCAGGGCAGCTACGGTGCGTCATACCATTCACTGATTAACCTGAAACATAGAATTTTTGCAATATTGACATTTCATTTTAGGGCAGCCCTTATCCAAGACCAAAATCAGTTAAAGTAAGAACACATTATACCATACCACAGTATAGAGAACATACCGAAGAGCCACTCCATTGAATTTTTCGTGCCATGCATATCTTATTAAGCATGTGATTACCATATTTGCAGCCAGTAAATTGCATTGTGTGACCAATAGGATTGATTATATGGCAAACAGCTGCCAGTAAACTTATTAGATATACAGCAGCCAGTTGCACAGCGAAGTGGACCTACTGTATATTCCTATACTGTGACCATACTACGTTCAACCAACCGATGCAGTTTATGATAAAACCTAGCCAGGAATATATATTTCTAAGGAGAATTTTACAGGTTGGTGAAATTGGCTGGGATGTTGAATCAGTAAGAGAGGATCAAGTGAAGCTTTGGAAAAGTGGACATCAAATTAAAGTAAAAGTTTTCAGTGTTTCTAAGCATATCTGTTGCTCTTGACAATGACTAACCCAAGTGTACTTTTAGCTTGCTGAATTTCGTGAAGCATGTCAACTTCGACATACACATCTATATCAAAATCCATGGTAGGTGTTGTAATTGTGTTCTGACAATGTATGAGAATTCAAAATGAAAACATAATTTGTTTTAAACACAGGTGTCCGCCACCTCTTCGAAAGAATGAGCACTTAAAGTCATTAGATTTAAGAAAAGGTAATGATATGAAATTGCAAGAGCAGAAATTAATGTCCAAGTTAGTTATCATACAAAGCTGTGGTGTTCCTTTATTTAGTTAATAAATATCGGTGCAGATCTTCACCAGCTTATTACAGACAATCGCATGTGACAAGTCAAAGCATACAAAATATGGATATAAGTAGAACAAATTTTAAATGTAAACAGAGCAGACCCTCGGAGCTCAAGTTTGATAAGATTTAATTAAAAAAAAATGTATCATAATCTTAATAAGAAAGTCCAAACTTACACCAGATGTGCCATATTACCTTTATTTATTCTCAAATATGTTCATCTATGAATAATACAAAATATTTTCCTAGTTTACTATTCCGTGTTCTCTGCCTTGGGATTATATTTTGGGTAGCTTAGGAGCAATAACCAAAGGATTGCTTTGTTCGAGAAGTGTCCTGCCTTCAGTTTTATAGTCATAGTTGCAATTGTGTGTCTCTGCATAACGATGTGTTGCACAAAAGGAGTTCCCACAACTATAAACATATTTTAAATATTAGAATGCCATATCCCCTAGGAACAAAATGCAAACATGGAAAGGTTGAAAGAGCTGTTCATACAATCCAATTTTGTTCAATTCAACATTCAACTTCAATGGGTGTATTTGCTAATCAGAGCTTTATTTGTTGCTGCAATACACAGCAAATTGCTTTGACAAACTACCAAACACTTGCCAAATGTATAAACAGAACTTCATAAAAAAAAGCTTGCATGATTTTAAGGTTGTTACACCTATACACCTACCGGCAAACATAGGTTGTAGCTAAACCAATCTTCTTTCTGCAAAATGTACACCTTGTCTTCTTTGCAGAGACCAGCTGGGGAGGGGGAGGTGGTCGGTGCTTTTGTATTTCTGATGTTGGGTATGCTGTGACAAAAAATTTTGAATGAAAAATTGGTTTCATTCGTACCAACTATTGCATTTAAGAGCTAGCAAGAAACAGCTAAATTTTTTACTCACATGTGCCAGCACTACCCTGTTGTGTCCGGTGCATTCTGGACAACGAGTCCGTCTACGAACAAAATACTTTAGAAGTGAATTTTTCTTAACAATTGGCTAATGAACAATCCATAATTTACTTACCAAATGACCAGTTCTCATGCGTTCAACTGACATGTTCCTGTCTTTCAAAGTACGAATTCCTCTGTTTGTTGAATAACCATGCCCTTGTAAACTGCCTGATTTATTTTTTGATAGATTTACCATTTCAGGATCACATGCAGTAGTTTCTGCCAATGTCATATTTTCTGAGTGTTTTCTCACATTGGGTAATGGTTTGTGCTTTACATGACTTGACCTTAGTGACCTACTAAAGTTCATATTGTTGTGGCTAGTACCCAGGCCGTGGCTTGTACCCTGAGCACGACTAGCATTTGATCCTAAGCTTGCAGTAACTCTGTCATTAACCAAACTTGATCTTTCATCGTTCTCATGATTGAAATGTTTCAGAAGTATTCCACTCTCAAAGTGTGAATCATCAGGAGGATTTCGCACTAATTCAGAAATGTCTATGTTGTTTGATTTTTTTGTTTTATTTACGGGGGGAAGTCCCTTGCTCGAAGTATAGGGCTCTTTCTTACTTGAAGTACCAACCATTGATGTGTGTGGAGTTTCATGGTTGTCACCCAGTTGATGAATGCATGGTACATGTCCTGAGCTGCAAAGAAAACACTTTATATAATTTTTTTTCTTGTGTAAACATAAAGTATGTGTCATTAAGCTTCTCTGATAAACTTGTGTGAACTGAAATATTTTACATTGAAAAATATGCAGTTTAGTTTCTAGTGACACTTCAGAAATTTGAAATAAATATAAAAACGATGCACTTCACTTACAATCTTCGAGATGGTTTTTCACCAGTCGGTGGACGTGGTTGGTGCTTACAGTGTTTCTCTTTTGAAGGAGGACGAGGCTGGTAAACAATTCGTCCGGAAGGAGGTGGGGAATGTGGTTGAAATGACACTTGCTCCACTGATGTTCCTCCACCACGAGACTTTAATATTTAATGTAATTTCAATTAGTAATTTTGAGCACTTTTATTTTATCTATTCACATAGGTGTGGCAGAAGCAGAGGTAGAACAGTGTCATTGCTACCCCTAATCATTACAGCTAGGCATGCCACTTACATAACTGTTTCATATGGAGCTGTACAATTTATGGTTTATCTTGAAATGTTAAATGTTGAAAGCTTTTAACTAAATTTCCAAGTTGTTATAACTGCCCCAAAGGCAATCTATGTCATCAAACCAAGTAAATTATACACAGCACATGAAACAAAAAACCAACCTTTCTACTCATGTTGAGTGATTGCATTTTACTTTTCAATAACTTCATCTTGTTCATGGTAACATTATTTTCTAGAACTGTTTCTTGAGGAACGGTTATTGAATTCTCTTCATCATCTTCGTCGTATAAGTTATACAATGATGCACCACTGAGAAAGGAACAAGAATAAATTAGCCAAGACATGTATAGACATCACATATTCAACTTGAAATTCAAAAACACCATCTACCTTAGGGAATCTGACAGTGGTGTCAAAGTGCCATCTCCTCGATCAACTACTCTATATACATTATACTGTTCACCTTCCCTAAAAGGACATAAAAGTATACAAGACTTCAATTCCCAAGATGGCAAGCATGTAAGGTATATCTGGAACTAACATTTACATACCTGAACACTAAGAATGTCACTTGTCTGTTGTCTTTCGGTAACTTATCCCAAATTTCATCTCTAAACAAAGATGAAAAAACATAGTAGATCATCAAGTAAGGATGTTAATGCTTCTGTTATCATTTCATCACTCAAACCTGTTTGCCTCAACATATTCTGCCATTTCTCGTAGTGAATTATCTTCAACAGGAACTTTAAATGAAAATATTACAGATTTATTTATTTGTCTATTGCTCACACAACTTAAATATTGTAGTTTGGAAAGCTATAGAATGTTCCCATACATTGACTATGAATATTGCTTGCAAAGTTGAAAAAATTTAAACTGGACCTATGATGAAATCATCACATTTACACAAGATTTACTTTCTATTGAAAGCCCTAGCTGTTGCTCATTGGCATTTAATTATTCACAAATAATTAGATCTTCCACTACATAATGTAATGGTAATTCAAACGAAAATCTGATAGATGACCTCTTTTCATGTTTATTGGCCCTCCTCGCATAGCAAGAACCAATTGCAATGTTGCACCATCATTAATGCTGAAAAACACAAAGGTTTCATATAAAATCTGCTCATACAAGCAACAACATTAATCAAGTTAAAATCAAGTTAAAAGAAACAATCTGACAGTTCATTCAAGTTATACAGTCCATACTCATAATCTTGAAGGCAATAGTCATCTTCAAGCTCCACTGATCTCCATATTAAATGCTGCTGGGATATCGGAATTCCTTTAGAACAAAAACATTAGTTAGTAATTAACAGAAATAATGCATGAGTTGATCAAACACAACATTGACTAAGTATTACGTTTTTAAAACAAAGTTGCAACTCTAAAGAATGGATTAACAAAAATCAAGTTATCTTAATGAATAGATGTATTCTAAACAAAAGCATAATCCACACACTTTTTAAAATCATTCTCGCGTGCTTGAATATTCAATTCAGTAAATAAAGATTCGTTGAACAATAAATTGAAGATTTATTCACCGGTCTCACCCATTTAGCGCACACACGCACGTCAAGTTTCAAAACAAAATAGATTCGAGTAGGACTTAAAACAACCAAAACCTTTTTTTTTGAGTAATTTGTACATTTTGTAAATGACAAACTCACGAATGTCGTGAAATTGTGCGAGAAGATCCACACAAAAAAAGCCAAATAAACACATAATGCAAATTTTTCGTACAACAAATTTAATCAACACCTACCCTCAAGACGTTGTATTTTCGCTTTGACGTTCATTATAGTCTCGTATGGACTCACACGTAACTCAAACGCCGTTCCAGTGAGTGTTTCGATAAACAGGTCCATGAACGGACCAAAATTGCCTTTGTAGTTCAGCTATGCTAGTCGAATGTTTTCACCAGATAACAACACCGTTCGACACATTTCTCAAGTCCTGCCGTCGAATTCGTTTAATTTGGTCTTATTTTAAAAAAAGTAACATATGGCCATTTGCCAGTGTGATAAACAAAAGTTTTTTCGGTACGTCGTAGACTTTTGACAGGCTAAAATGATAAAAACATTTACACTTCCGATGTAACTTCGCAATATATTTTCGCCATAAGTTATGCAGCTCAACAGCTGTGACGTCATGTTGTTATGCCAACTAAGCCTCGAGAAGAAATCAGAGGCCGCCTTCGCGCGGGAAAACGTCATGAAACTTTCCAAAAACAAAGAAGTTTTTTTATTAAATTCGTCAAACATTAAAAAACAAGGCTATTTTCCACCTGAAGTTAGATAATAAGACCTTAGGCAAAATATTCCCTGGGAACATTTCGTAAAACAACCTGTCAAGTTGTTAGATTACTCCTTAAAAATACTGAACGAGCAAGGCGATCAAATATCACATGGAAGATCGCCAAGAATAAACATGGGGCGATACATATCATAATCATATACCATGTCGTTTTTTTTGAGCCAAGATCTTTTCGGCTGAAACTTGTTCAATACGACCTTTCACTGTTTCACATTGCCATTATTGAAGTTATCAAATTACGACAAAGAGAGCGGAAGACCTCACACACCCATTAATCACACCGTGGTCGAATAGAAGATGAAAGCATCAGTAAATGTAGAAAACAACCCAATACATTTGCCAGTTGTAGAAAATGTAGATGTCATCACTGTTAATGGAGAAGATCCTGCATTACGTCATGGTTTGACTGCTTTTACTGGCGCTCTTTTCATTGTCGGTGAAATGGCTGGAAGTGGTGTTTTGGCATTGCCAAATGCTGTAGCAAACACTGGATGGATTGGTATTATAGTCATGATCATCTTAGGTGTATTATCAGCAACCTGTGGCATAGTGTTGAGCAGCTCTTGGTTGATATTGAGAAGTAACTTTCGCGAATACCGTGAACATGTAAGAAATCCATATCCAACTCTAGGCTTTCATACTTATGGTAAATTGGGCAAACAAGTTGTACAAATTTGCATTTGTGCTACACTTATTGGTAAGTCGTGCCACTTCGTAAGGTTATTAACAAAAATTTGCACTGCCTTTAGTGCCTTCATTAAAATTGGTCCAATTTGTTCTTATCCTTTTTTTGTCAAATTTAATTAAAACTATGTCTACAAATAGGGGCATGCACTGTATTCTTATTGCTGGCGTCAGAAAATTTCAACAGTTTGATTGATCTGGGCATGTCATCAATATCGAAGAAAAATGAATATCGCATTTGGTTACTTATATGTGGTGCTGTTCTTTTACCACTGACTTGGCTTGGTACTCCCAAGCACTTCTGGCCAGTGGCACTTTTTGCTATCCTTGCTACATCGGCAGCCTGCCTGATCATTGTGGTAACCATTGGTAAAGATTTCGATGGTAGTGCACAAAATAGAGTTGTTACTAGTAGCACTTTCTTTTCAGGTACTTTGTTAATCAATAGTTAACCTTTGCTTTGCATGATATCATTTAAACATAGAAACTCAACTATGGGGTAGCCCATTTAGTATATTCTCTAAACTTTTCAAATTTTGAACATTCATCTCCCTAAGTGCAGTCATTTGACCAAAATGCTTAGTAGTTCCCTTCCTATTACACTCAATGGCATGCATTGATCACACATGCAGCCTTTGCTTTGAATAAATACTTCATGTGTTTCTTTTATCTCTTTTGTTTCAGCATTTGGAGCAATTGCATTCTCTTTTGGTGGAACTGCTGCATTTCCTACAATTCAATGTGACATGAAAAAGCCAAGTTTATTCAGTTCCTCTATTGTAATGGGTTACTTTGCAGTGCTTGCTATGTATTTACCTGTTTCCATTGTTGGCTTTCTTTCATTTCAAGATGATGTTAAAACTAACATTCTCATGAACTTGCCATCTAATTCTTTAGGAACTAAATGTGTCACCACACTTGTATCCGTACACCTTTTGTTCAGTTTTGTTATTGTTTTAAATCCAATTTCACAGCAACTAGAGGAATGGTTCAAATTACCTGTAGGTAGGTGACATCAATTTTCACTATCTGTTATCGCAGTTTATCACAATGCTTAATTAAATGTTTTTTTTGTAGGTAGAATCACCATTAAGACATGTCTTGTAAGGACATTCCTTGTGTCTATTATTCTTGCACTTGCTCAAGGAATTCCACACTTTGGTCTTTTCCTTAATCTAGTTGGTTCCTCCACTACTACACTGCTGACTTTTGTCTTTCCATGTGTATTCTTCTTAAAATTACAAAACAAAATTTCACTTCATTTTAAAGTAATTCTTTATGAAATCATTATTCTTGGTGTGTTAGCTGCAGTAACATCAACATACTTTGCTATCAAAGCAATTATTGACAATTAAAGTAGAAATCAAATGCAATGTAAAAAAATAATTTCAGACTTGAGGACATTCAATCAATTCTTTATATTACATGTGATAGTATTCTATCAATCCACTTACAATACAAGTCCAATTAGTAATAAATTGCACTGTGATATATTTCATAAACAATACAGTTCAAACTATGAATTATTATAATTAATAAAATCTTACCATCTGATGGATATCTGAATACACTACATTTAAATCTAGTTTTGAGTTCTTTGACATCATTTTCAATCTTATATGGTATGTACTCTACTGATTATATTATTAATAAAGATGAGAACAAACAAATATGTCAAAAAAACTATTTTCCATGGTTTTACTTTAACTCCTTACACTAATCCATTAATTCCTTAACAACTTCATTGTTCATTGTAAGAGTACAATGGTGTTTTAAGCACAACATATGCAACAAATTCAAATTGAAATCCTACTTACCAGCAATAACCTACTTACTGGCAATATCCTACTTACTGGCACTGACCTACTTACTGGCAATGAGAAGCAAAGTTGCCTATCCTCACGCGTTTATTGTGCTCTTACCTAATGAAAAATGAAGTTGTAAATAATATCCATCAAGAGAGCTTTAATTTATGTGAATAGTTAAACATATTTACATGTTTATTAGATGCGCATTAAAATAGTATGAGGAAGTGAAACATGCTTAAAACATTTATAATAATAGTTTGAAATTTAACAATTTACACTAAATTTCAAACTACAATTACTTGTTATGTTGTACGATAGTCACACAAATTAAAACTGTCTTGAAGTCAATTATGCAAATATAATATTACAACTATATTGATATAATACATGATAACACAAATGAGGAAGTGAAAGGAAGTGAGTCATAGATAGTTCCACCGTGTACACAAGGTCGGAGTCTCTCAATTTAATAAGAAAAAGCAACAACGAATTTGGCCATAAGAATTACCAATAAAAGTAGTAAGGCATTGCCTGGAATGGCAAAAGTTACTACACACTATACGGTATGAGCCTAAAAAAGCAAATTTATATTCAAGATATACAATCTAAAATAAAATTGCCCACATTCGCTATTACGTCAATGTACTACTTTGGAATATTCATAGTTAATATATACTTCATGTAAGTGTTTGTAATAACTACCGCACACAATGTCTACTAACTTGTGCACGGTGAAACATGTAGTTATGTACATCTTCGGCATCATCTCGTCAACCATTCCTGAAACATCAACAAGAAAATTTCAACAGCCATACGAGTATAACACCGAAGTAATTAACGATTAAATATCATAATGCATTTTTTTTAACAACCGAACAACTCTTAAGTCTAAAAAACTTTCCCAACAATCAACACTTAATTACCAACCACAAAATTTAGTAATAGTTATTTACGTACGACTGACACGAATCATCCGAAAAGGACTGGGGAGATGTTTCACTGCCACTGGCCTTCGACGACGACGACTTCTCCGAGCTCTCATACCCAGAATCCCTTGGACGCATGGACATAATATTTGCATGGATGCCATTGGTGTACATGGAAGGAAAGAATGCCGTTGGAACTCCGGCGGGCATCATACCTGGAACTGGTTGTCCAGACATGCTAGGATGCATTTGCAACGAGTTTTGAACAGCTGGGTTCAAAGATCCATTTTGTGACTGATCACTGTTCATCATTCCGAAATTGGGCATGAAATTCATTCCCATCACAGGTAGCTGAGGCATGGCCAAAGGTATGTACTGCGGCGGCTGCTGGTACTGATAACCGAAGGGCTGCGCAGGGGACGTTTGAAACCGAGGCATTGCGTTTGCGCCACCGCACGGCATCGTTGCGAACATCGGCATATTGGGGAAAACGAAAGGCATGAAATTACGCGAAGAAGAATTAGGTTCGATACTGGGCGAGTTCCCGGAGTTTGAAGTCGTGGGTGTACTGTCGGATGATCGACTTGCTTCGGCGTTGTTCGCTGATTGTTCTGTTTTCCCATGTCCTTCACCAGAAGTGCGAATTTTCTTACAAACCGTGCCCCCGTCCACATCTCCGTTTTCTCGCTTGGCTACATTTGATTCTAAATAGATACACTTCGATTCAACTAAATTTCATGAAATTATAAACATGTCGACCTCATTCTATTCTTTTTTTACATAAGCACTAATTTATGCATAAACCATTCATAAAATGATTACCGGAGGAAACGACACGATTGGTAGTTTCTATGACTTCATCTTTATCCCAGATAGCGACGCGCTCGCCGCAGACAGCATTAGCCAAATCCCTTTCTTTATTCTCGTATCGCGCGATTTGTTTTTTCAAGTGTTGTATAAGTCTATAGCATCGACCTTCTGAAACGTCCAACTCCTCAACATCGTGGAAAAACTTTGTCGCGTCAGCAATGCACTGCTTGAAGCCACGAAGAAAAACGAAAAGATCGTTTTTCGGATTTTTTTCGTTGTTTTCAACAATTTCTAGATAATACATTATACAAGGCATGAATCACTTTACTAGAAGGTATAACACGTTCAATAAGGCTTGTGAAAACGACGACCCAAATTTACTGTTGCGATGTTTTCGATCTGTCAAACCTGATTTTCAATAGTGCTAACAAACATTGACGAATAATACAGTTAAATGAATACAAACAGCAGACAAACAAGCGAGTGCAATGTCTTGCTAGAACAATGAAACGAAATTAACATCAACTTATAATCACCATCACACAACAGACAACAAAATGCTAAAGATCTTAAAATAGCTACAAATGGGATGTTCATGGATATGTATGTATATTGTATGTTGTATGTCATACATTATATGCTATGAAGTGTACCGATTTTAGCCTCACTGAAGTGTGAATCATACGTGGAGACACCCGAACACCAACGACATAAATGGCAAAAGTTCAAGTTACGACACAAAATGAAGCGCATCCATACTGAGGCCCAAATGATATCCAGGCGCTTGACTTCACCACAAATGCTACAACTACCTTGCTACGGTATATGCTGCAACATAACAAGACGTTACATTGTCAACACTAATAAAAATCTAAAGTCGATTGATCGAAAACATTGTGACAGCAAATTCAAGCTGCTGTGGAGTTTTCGACAATCCTTATCGCCTCGTTACAGATAGCGCTTGCGCCCAATATGTAATCAAGAATACGAATCGTGTTTCGCGGAGAGAAACAGTGGATAGTTCGAAGATCTTCAATAATATTTCCCAGAAATATTCAACGAAAGCGAGGTAAAGATGTTGAAAAAGTAACAACCACTTTGTTTTTAAAGAACTAATCAAAAATTCTTTGGAAGGTGATATTAATTACGCTCGAAAAGGACTCTGGGTATGCTCACTGAGGAAATGCTCAGGGCAGTCAGGCCAGGCACAATCTGTAACGCAAGTAAGAAAAACCAAAATATAAAAAATGTATTTTCATATCCTGATCGACTCCAACGCATGTGCACACTTCACTAAGCACTAATTCGCAGACTCATCCGATGATCGTCAATGGCGATGTTTTCACAAATTCAAGAGCTGAAAACACTTTCACGAAAATTACAATGTCAGTTTTAGAAAAAACTACTTATGAAATAATGAGCACAAAAAAAAACAGCTGTGACGAGCTGCCATATTTACGCTTACTTCGGTCATGGGTAAAGGAAGACTCCGTTGGTAATTCATACTCTTCCTTCTTCATTTGCTGCTGGGTGAGGTAATGTACTGTAACCTCTAGGATTTCGGCCTTCTCTAGTTTGCTAGAGTGCTTTTGTTTGAATTTTTCGATGGGAACCAATTTGCTTAACTGCATCAAACTGTTGTTGATCCTGTCGCGTCGTCTTTTTTCGATAACGCGATGTGAACAATCCATCTTCAAAATGGAACACGTCAGAATAATCATTTGTACTGTTTTCTCTACTTGCTACTAAATCTCGGCTCGTGTTCCTTTTTGTCATGAAATTTTCTCAAATATTAGAAATCGTTTTTGGTAATCTTCAAAGTCAAAAATAATTGCGATGCGCGAGCCCATACTTTAAATTAATATAGCTATTAAGTCAACCGAACATTAGTATTAAGTCAAAGAAACTTAAACAAACAAGCAAATTTCAGAGTGAAAGATTGGAATTTCGATTTTGAATTGCTCCCTGTTGCTAGTCGAGCTCAACTGATAAACAATTTTTTTACATCTTTCAAACGTTTTTTTTTTCAATCATAAGCAATTGACGTGACATGCCAGTAAAAACAACTGATAGCAAACACACCGATTCCATTTGGACAAGAAATTAAAACAAAAAAAAGCATGCGAAATCGCCATTATATGGACGGATTGAGACATTGGTTGCGATTACATAAGTGAAAATTTCACACGAAAAACATCTGCCTAACAAGTTTCTCATTAACACGCACGTAACACGACGTAATCACAAACAGAGCACATGACGTCTAAATGTCAAGTAACGTGATAAGGGTTCATAAAGAAATATCATATAACACCGAGAACATTCCTATTTAGGTGCAGTGTACTTGGAACTAATTTGATTTCGTTTGGCCACAATTCTCTCTACCAAAACGGCTTGTTTCCAACGAGAGAAAAAATCAAGGGATTTAACAGATCAAAGTTCCGACATGAAAATCAGCCTATAGCAAAATCGAAACAGCCTCGTTCCCGTTTTTTTATTTACAAACACTCAAACAACCTTTTAATACCTAACCAACTAGTCATGATTTGCAATGGAAACAAGGTGTAAACAAACCTAAGTTAAAATACATATGGTCACACATTTTTTGGTCTAAAACACTTCTTTGTCCGAATGTCATCAACTTAACCGCGTTTTTCGCTAACAAAAAGAAGATGGATAAATAAAGCTCTTCGAACAAAAAAGTTTGAACTACGTGACTAGCTGCACGTATATTTTTCTCTTCTTAAATCATTTCGTGAGTTCAACACTTATAAAACGTTCACTCGCATTTGCGCTCTGCACAAACGGTAAGTCTCAAATGTGCATTCGCTATGGTTTGTGTGGGTGGAAAAATGATATGTTTTTTAGCTATAGGGCATTCTTGTATAGCTGGTGATGACTTGAATGGGATAACTTAAATGATCTAAGGTGAACATTATTCTCTAGTTCAAAAACGATGAAGATAGTAATACAGAGATGGTCCTCCCTTTCCTACTAGTCACTACACAAACTGAAAAGAAAAAAATTTCATTGAAACAGAAAAGTGTACAAAATGAATGTAAGCAAGCAATCATGTCAGTGATCAGCTCTTTAAGAAGTTTTCACAAACATGTGATCACTCTGCATTTCTCTTGTTATTCCTACAAATCTATTTTAAGCAACCATTACACAAATCAGACACATTGTCTCCATAGCCAGCTGTAAATAGTTGATGGTGGGATTTTTCAATTATTCTTTAGAGGAACAATGTTTACAAAAATGTACTGCTCTGTGTAAATGTGTGAACCACACCATGTTTAGCCAAGCAGGGCTTTAGCTAACCACATCCCTCCCCTCATTCCATTTGATTTAAATGGTGGTGCAGAGTGAAGCAACAGAATCAAATTTCATATGGTGTTTTTGTAAATGTAATACACAAGTTTGCCTTTTCTTAAAACACTTTAAATAGAAGTACCATAACACCTAGACAATTATATAAAGGAAACCCCGGACCATCAAATGTTTTATTTTAAATACTATAACATATTTCCCATACATTTGGCTCCCTTTAGTTGAAAATCATCGTATCCCTTTGTAGTTTCATGATTAACCCTTAGTAGCTTGCTGGATTGTTAAGTTGGTTAAATAAGACTGATATAAAAACCCTATTTTTATTAAATTCAGTCACCAGTACACTGTTCACATTAAAACTCTGTTTCTTAACTTTCTTCAAAATATAATTTGTATCACAAGGTAGAAAATTCCGGTTGAAACGCAACGTACAGTATTCCATAAGGAGTAATAAAGAAAAGTGTTATGAAAATGAAATTAATAAAGTAAAAGGTAATGGAAAAACTATTGTCTGACCCTGATATAGGAATTAAACATTCTAGAGCGACACACACGAGAACTGATTATCTATTGCGAAACATAGCTTTCGTGTTCATAAAGAGGAAACTAACCTTCTCTTTTCTAGCTTTCTCTTCCGCTTCACCTCCATCCCCATCATCGTTGTCCAAGTGTACTTTGATAACACTGCTCTGTTCCATCATAATTTTCAGATCCGTAAATCCTTCTCAAAGTATCCACTAAAACGTTTCCAATTTAAAAATATTGCAACTTGCCCAGTGTCCGTTTCAACGCCAGATATAAAAGACTGACAAAGATTTAGACCGTTCATGGAAGCTTAGGTACTAATCCTGGTGTGATACTCTTCCTTGCGATATATCTCTGGCCGTTCGTAAATACTTAAACAAACATAAATTTAGTCGTTTTCTTCTTTGCAATTGTAGGCATCTTCTCATGCAAAACAGAAGACGTAGGCTATACATATTGCAATTTTCATGCACTAAATAGCGACCATCATACGCGTGTTGAGTACACGTGAATTTCAATCTAGAAAAAACGTGAAAGTTGATTTAGACAGTAAACAAACCCCAGTCACATGACTCAATATGAGCATGTCACTTTCCGGTAATCAGCGGCAGGTGGGCAATATGAGCATGACTTTTGGCAAAACCGAGGTCCGAGACGACGAATTTGCAATTACAAAGATGGCGATATACCGATAAGATCTGAGAATTCGCCATAAAAATTGTAGTATGGCCACAATTTGTACAAAGTCATCTATCGAATGATCAATTTCAGAGACAGAAAATTAACACAGTTGTACACTTTATATATAGTTCAATGGAGTTATATAAGTCAAACGTGCAGCGAAGACAGCACGCGAATACAAAGCTATCACAAATTTTTCAACAAGTGCAGATTATTGATGAAATGTACGCTATAGATTTACATGTTTGACGCGGTTTAATCGAAAGTTTAGTTTATGCATTACATGCTTTCGAAACGCGAAAATTTCCATTGCGCAATTTTTTTAACTTACCCACGTGAGAAACAAACAGACATTGCCTAAATCACGTGTGTTTTTCCATGGTATTTTCTAATTTTTTCAACATTCCACGCGATGACAGCATGGTAAATCCTCTGGGTACATGTGGTGACGTCAGCAAAGCAAAAATTAACACTGAAAATCCCAAAACATAAACAACAATTCTGAGGAAAGCATGAATTTATTAAACATGGTTTTTGTCAATATTTCATGTTCATACTTTATATTCATCATGAAGGCTAAAATACATGATTTTTTTGAGTTAAAACATTAGTTCAGCAGCTTTTAATCGAATTATTAACCACCTTTAGCATTAGAGATAGAAAAAGACTTTTCCAAAAGGTTCTTAGACATCTTAGACACTTTTCTCATCTTAAGACATCTTGGCATAATCATATCCACGTAAAAAAGTAATAAAGATAACCAAGAATGTGTTTAAAAGTCGCACAAGAACGTATTGGCATATAGTAATTGTTTGATTCTGACATATGCAATCAGATTCCTCGTTGAACAATGACAAACATGTAAGACTTGAACATACATTATGTGGCTGAAAGATATCAACGATGAGAATAAGCAGTAATATGTACATTAGAATGTTGAAATGCTTTGTAAATCAAACTTTTAACTTCATCCCAATCCAAACAGTCACATTGTGCCCCTAGTCTTGGAATGGCAATTCTTTGGATATCATTTTTAACACAATGCATTTGCATTGCAACCAGGCATTCCTCCATGGCCTTGTACGAGCCAGAATCCCACCATTTTCTTCGAGACAACTATTCAAGTGTCCATGAATAACAAGACGTTAAACTCATCTCGTGCACTTAATCATTAGGACACATATGGATATCAATGGATACCAACAACAACTCTTACCAAATAGTAAACAAATCTATCTCTTGTCTTTAAAACTCCTATTTTACCAACTTCATGAGCATCAGGAAATTCCAAGCCTATGAAATAAAGGTAAGAGATACATTTACACTGCCAGAGTTGCAGTGAGACAAACAGTTAATGATAAATTTACCTTTCTCTATTAGTTCATCAAAATAGCCATATTTTTTGGCAAACTGTCTTGCAATTCCTTTATCCATTTGAAAATCACAACTTACACAAGTTGCAATAGCTGTGTTGTGCGGTGATAAAAACAACTTCCATGGTCGGCCAGCCGTCTCTTCCAGACAAAAATTTGTACCCTTCAACTTCTGCTGGTATTATGAGAATTTAAAAATTGGCATGGAAAAATGGGTATAGAAGAAAAAAATCCTCAATGAAGCAAATTACTCCCTACCTCAGCTAGAGAATATGGGCTCTTTGACAGTTTTTGATAGAAAACTAAAAATATTCAAATGTTCATAACACGACCGTGAATTTCTTCACCATATATATTTCAATATTTCTTACTTATTAAAATGCTAAATCAAGATTAAAATCTACGTTATACAAACCTCGAGGATAAAAAGAGTTAAATGAAGCTTTCTGCATTTACTTAAGAATGAACGGGAATCTAAAATGCAGTCTGCTTCTTCAGGCTTTTCTCTCACACAAAGGTTGTGACAATTTTCTATTTCTATAATAATTCAAATTCAAATAATCGGAAACGTCATGTTATAATCATAAAAAGCCTCTGACCTAATAATACATCTCTAATAGCTGGAGTGAGCGATAACGAATGGAGTTGTTTGTTAGAGAACAGACTGAGAACACACACCAAGTGTGTTCTCAGTCTGTTCTCTAACAAACAACTTAACAAATTATACAATTGACTATGCAAGCAAGCATTTCCGTGCAATTGATGATATATGTCTTCAGTTGAACTATGCATTACAACAGGAAGGAGGATAATAGACAAAATGGATAGGCAAATACAAATCTTACTCGCGATTAAAGATTGTTTAATTACGACTTTCACAATTACACACTGTCAAAAACACGTAGCTTTTCTTCCATCATAAATGTAAATAGTATGCCTCGTGTACGCACGGAGTTTGTATGAAAAGGTAAAAGGGTTATCCATAGTAGGAGAGTTTTGGAACAAAAAAGTAATTCTAACATTCGTTCATTGAAGTGTTGATCATGGAAAAAACACAAAACGCAAACGAACATTTGCTCCAAACAAGAATGAAACAGTCAAATTCGATGAAAGCAGGTGGAATGGTAAAATATGGCGAAGTAGAGTGGAAAGAGTTTCAATAAAGCCAGAATTAAAAGATTGAATAAATTCATGCTTAGTTTGTCTTCAGGCGAAAAACTTCGTCCACGAAGACTCCAGTGTTCCTGTTTATCATGTCATTGAGAACTTCCATGTAAAATTGTAGATGTAATATTTTCATAAGATAACCTTACACTGTGTGTACATAAAATACATGCAAACGATGCAATGCGTCTACGAAAGATAATTTTGTTTATGTACATCGCATCATTGATCGATAACACTAAAAATAACTATTTTTTATTTTCCATAATCAACGACAATGTTGAATTACATCTCCACACACTAACAAAATCATCTCAGTGGATGCTTTGCACAAATATGAAATCAAGTCTTAAAAAAGTAATGTCTTTAAGTAATGACAAACACAGGACTCGACAAAGAATGCCACTTCATTATACCAATAATTCTGACCACAGAGCATATTTTTTTGATTTGGAGCTACCGACCGCCGAAATTCGGTGGATGTAAGAGAGGTAACCGTTTTATTTTTCTCATGTCACCTACAACATTCATCTTTTGTTCCTTAAGTAGGTATAAATAAACATCAATATGCTTTATAAATTGTACACGTTGGAGTTTCCCAAAGTGGACATTTTCCTGATTCAATATTTGCCCGATAATATTGACAACATGACGAACTCGTGTTGATGGAAAGCTCAGTGGTCCATTCTCGAACTTTTCCTAATATCGTTACAACTTTCAGCTAGCCCCTTTACGTGATGTCTGGTGTGAGTTTCGGGCGCATCTGAATCGCTCACCGAAATGAACAAAGGTTTGAGGTGTCAGCATGTTTCTACCCGATAACCAAGATTTTTCACCGATACTACAAACATTAAACAACATTCATCCTTCTTGAGAATTTTTTCCGATTGTTTCAAATAATTTTAAACATGTTCTCGATTTCATTACGTGAAATATGTGACTTTCGGTAAGCAAATGTTGCCAGCAGATTTTACTCATGGACTGACACTCAAAAAGCACTTTTTTTGACACCCGCCGCCCTCTTCTTTTACTTCACGCTATTTTTTGATGGCAAGTGTTGCATGAAGATGGCGCATTCTTCTCAAGGCTTGTAAAGTTACATACAATGATCTTTCGTAATCCCTTTTTGTCAAGAAATTAAGACAACCAACGTTGATCGAACTGAGACATTTCTCACGCTAGGTGTAAAGTCTAACACCGCAAAAACAACAACACGCCGTTGACTGTTTTACAAGATAAAGAGTACATGTATTGAATTTCACTGATATAGTAAATTTTGACATTTCTAGTCCCGTCAATTTAATTAACGAGCATCAATCAAGGCTTAACACTTGTTTGAATTTGACTTTATACTTGTCAAGATACAATCAACTCGAAATTATGTTTATTCTTGGATGTGGCAAGTTCCCCCAGAAATAAAGCCAAAACATTTGCCAATTATTATATTTTATCCAATCAAGTCGACAGATAAAAGAACAATGCATTTTTTGACACTTCGTTAAGGAATGAGACGAGATAATGAAGGATGTAGGCGAGACTAACGCCGATGGTAAAAAAAACACATACGTTTCATTTTAACTATTTCGATAATAAAATATGATATTACTTTTCCGAGCTCAACTGATAAGCTTTAGCTGTGATGTGATGACAATCGTTTCATTGCACATCATAATCGTCAGTAAAACATCGCGACCGCAAACGGACTAGAGGGCAATCTACAAAAGCAAGAGAAAAAAATCATAACAAATCGTGAATGAGTTTTAAAGGTTTCACAATCAGTTATATAAGTTTTGACGAAGAGCACCCAAATTAATAGTTTGAGAATGAAAAATTTCAACGACCATACCAAAAACTTTACGACCTCTATATTGCATTGTATGACGGATTGAGGATCAAAATAAACAGAAAATTCTTCTGCCTGAGATCCGTCATTACCGTATAACACGGGGGGTCACTTCTATAATTCTCATTCTTTGTTATCAATTTATTGCAGATGAATTGCAATAAAGAAAATAGATGTCGATAAAAGATCCACAACAGAGATTTATCTCATACGTAATTACTACGTCATCAGAGCAACTTATTAAACAGAGTTCTCTTGGTTTTTGATGTTTGACGACGTGAATAGCCTAAGGAGGACAAATTGTCGTGTAAGGTTCTTCTTGGCATTGTGTTTTGTGGTCATACATGTGTGTGGTCTTTTAAATTTCGCGTTCGGGCTAAAAGTTAACGTGTGCTTATCACGGGAAACATTTAAGAAATCATTTTCATAAGCAGGAACGTATTCTCACGTTAAATGAGGAAAAAAAATTTCTTCGCATTTTGGTTCATTAAATATTCTAAAATGAATACTCAAAACGCTAAGAAGCGAGCAAAATATGCTACAGCCCAAATCAACGGCAGCAGCGCGTGGGGAATCACAAATGTTTCGTTTCAAAACATAAGAACTAAGCCCCCTTAAAGATATGTTGACCTTGGCTCGGATCATATGAACGACAACCAATGTTTTGTTATAGATAAAAAAAAACGAAAAGAATGCCGGGAAGGTATGAAAACATTAAAATCCTTTTCGATCAGAAATATAAAAAGGGAAAAGCTAAAATTAATTATTACGTGTGGCATTGTTATGATTGTACACAAAAACAAGTTAGTCTTTTTATATTTAATCATAATCGCTTTCAGTACAAATGGATACAAGAAGGGTGGGGGGAGGGTTAAGTAGCAATGCTTTCATTGTACAAATGGGATCGCGTGGGGATAAAAAACTAGAGAAAGTATATATTTATGATGATTACTTAAAAAAAGCAGATCAAATATTGATAAACAGACCTACGTATAACTTCAAAATGAATAAATATCCTTATCATGCATATTTACATTACACACTAGAAACGTCGTCATTTCGAAAATATAAGTTGAGGAAATTGACCGTGAAATACTGATGTTCCGTTGTTAGACTGTTCGCTACTACAAAAGGTAAATTCCACTCCTTCGGCAATAACCACTTTTTCACCTCCTTGGCCGTAAAAGGATTGTGGACCGCTGAAACTTCCTGTCAAGGTGTATACCACATTAGCTTCAAGTCTCACGGGTTCTGGGAACATAATATCAAATCCAATAGGGTTATCGTCATTTTCGTCACCTTCTGACTTATATTCGCCAGCATTCGCAGACAACTCTCGATTCCCTTGTAACAGATTTACTTTTAGTCTATAAGTGCTTTTTTCGTCGTCACCAAATGCGCGAACACCGTGCATTTTTACCGATCTCGACGTTTTGAAGCACAGGGCGTCCAGAGTGTTGTTCATGTAACACCAGCCTTTCCCGGCACGCTTCGGGCGAATAATTTTTTGTGGGCTGAATCGGGTCGCGCGTAAATTACCCACGCAGTGTTTGCGTGGTTTACACGAAAACTTAGGAAGTCTTGTGTTCTTCGGCTGCTGTCCACTAAACTGCATGAAAATTTCTATAATGTCTTCCTGAAGTAGAATCTTTGACTCATGAACAACAGTGCTCGCAAATTCCTCCAAAGCCATGGTAGGAAAACGAACTAAGTTCAAAGCGCTCCCTAAAACTTCCCGATAATTTTCAACGCTCTCCTCGAGTTCTTTGCTTTCACATTGAAACTGTGCCCATTTTACAATGGCGGTAAACAAGTCCACTTCTTTTACATTCAATGTTTCCCGCGTTAGAAACTCGCATAGTAAAGCATGCTCGATCTTTAGAAAGGCCGGACTTTTAATGGCATTAGAGCAATCAACATCGATAACATTCCAACAGCTGGCCTCTAATCCGTCAGCACAGAAATGGATAGCCTGTGACAAAAGTTCAAACGCGCTCTCCGCAGTCACTTTTTTGCCAAGAAATTTCACGCACTTGTTCGTCAACGCGGGAACGATATACTTCGTGGCCAAATAAACAATACTCATGACGTTTTCCTCGGTGACGCTACAATCTTCAGTGTAAATAAAGCGTAAAAATTCACCAAACGCTTCAGGATCAGCGTCAGGGATGAACACCTAGCGAAAATATAAAGAAAGTACATATGATTTATTCAAACATAAAGGCAATTATGACTAGATGTTGTTACCTTTCGTTGAACAAGTGTATATGTACCTTTATTGACATACTATATGTGACATCATAATGCTGTCTTTTGTCAATACTACCGATCAAATCATTTAATCATCAAAAATTTCACATTAAAGCATAACTAAAGTACGCAATTCGAATTTAAAAAATTTCAATCAACTCGTTATAAAAAATATTAGCAAGCTACATAGTAAAACTGCAAGATCATCAAATTCTAACAAGCGCGAACCTTGAAATCAATATTTACATATATATGATATGTCACAAGTTTCATACCTTATCACCAGCTTCGGCCAAACTGCCATAAAACATCGCATGAAAGACGGCGCTGTTAATGCCAAGGATATACCTATGAGCTTTGAACGACTTCTGCTCACCCGATTGTCCAACATAAAACTCCACATCTGACATAAATCCAGTTAGAAAAGTATGCTTGATTCTACTGCGCAAATCTTGCGCACAGCAATGCTCATCGAAGAGTTCGTGTGTAGATATCCCAGAAGAGAACATACCACCGTAGATGATGTGAAAAACAAGATGAAGAATATGTTAACCGTCGGCCGTTAACGCTTGGTTTAGTCCAAAGTGCACAGGAGTCAAATTTGCCAACAGTTAATAAGGGAAATTTCACGAAGTATTTAATTCATATGTTAAGGAACATACGTCGTTCTTGTTGAACACATGGAAGCGCCAAAACTCCTCTTTATAACGTGAATTTCTACGCAACAGTATACAAAAACAATTGAAAGTCGAACGCGATATCCCCACCTTTGTTATGGTCGAGAGGTTAGTGCCAAATATATGACTAGAAAATACCACAGCAAGTAATATATTGCCTTTATCGGATGAGGGAAATTCCAAACAACGTCTGTCTTCCGGAGCACAGTTGTGAGTCAAACAATCAACGAGCGACAGCTAACTCTTACCTACCTCGTGTAGGATCAAAGCGATAACAGGATGACAACAGTATACGGCGTCATTACCACGTTCTTAAATTACGAAGGGATTGTGGGCGGTCATTTCCGGTCAGGTTTTACAGAACAAATATGACCTTACTACAAATGCTTTAAAATCCTGTGATCAAACCACGAAGAACATGGTAAAAAATGCAATTAATCACCGTGAGCAAAAGAGCTCTACTATATTTATTTCACATTGAAGGAATCGTAAAAATTGTTTTCGCTATTATCGTTTCGTAAGGCTATTTTGGAAGCAAATACCGCCGACCTGTATGACAACAAAAAGCAAAGTTCATTGAAATTTTATTTTTTGGAGAATTTCGCCTACCATGGTAAATTATATTTCAATTGTTTTTGAACTTACAAAAGGCGTTCCATTAATCTCGTAGTTTGTTAGTTTGAGGGCCACAAGTTTTTCACACTTGTTGTGTCACGTGTTACCCTCTTTTAATAAAGTTTAATCAATCAATCAATCATTATCTAAACATTGTTGTAACTAAAACAGTTTCTTTATCACAAAATCCCCCATGTTTCACTATTCAAAAATGACTTCAACGTATAACAAGTTTATTTCGGTACAACCACAACTAGTATACACATACAAGTGCACTTGATACAAATACGATACTGATAAGTCTAACACGGAAGCTATTAATGCACTATCTTAAATCTACAATCAAAATCATTGTATGACCTTGGTCATGCACCGAATCATCCCGATCAAATGAACAGGGCCGGCCAAAGTTTAAGATAAAAACACAATCCAAAAAAAGACTTTTTATCAACTCAAATCTGTCATATTCCGGTTTCTTTTCAATAGTGGTTTTCCCTTATGATGGTTTTGAGATAAAACCGAAATACAACACTTTAAATCGTCTTGTTTTTTAACTTAAATTTGAGTTTGCAATTTTTTTATACCATAATGAAATTGTCGTCTGGTCAAGAATGACAGCCAAAGTTTGAACTAGTATTGTGTAAAAAAGTGAAATTCGATAATGAAAATATCATCGAGTGGACAGCGATATTTAGAATGTCGAATACTGTGAATAAATTCAACTTGCTTGATTAAAAATGGGATGAATACGATGCATGGTCAAGTCCTAAGGGTGTCTCTAATTCAAGTAGTTATACAATACTACTATTAAAATAATTGTTAATAAGAAAAACTTATCTTAACCACTCAAAGCGGTATTTAAGAGATTATCTGCAAGTGGCTGTCATCATTCATCAAACAATGCTTTCATTTCCATTAAACTTTCGTGAATCAAATGGGAAAAATGGCTGGCACTCTGAAATAAATGAAGAAGAGGACAATGCTCAACGCAACCGTGAAAATGTATCATGCACATTTGGATAAGATTTAAAATGATTGAACATAGAATGACCTGAAACATCTGTTTAAAATAAAAACTATTCAAGTATAAAACACTTTCACTACAACAAGACTTTTCCACCCACCCACCCACCCCCGGCCGCCACATTAGTTTTGAAAGACTATAAATCTTGCAGCAAATACAACAAATCACACCTGTATAACATAACCATCATATTAAATGACTATTTGATGGAATTAGGAGCTGATTACATGGAGCAATTTCAGCCCGGGCATATTATAACATCCTATCAAAATAGCAAGCGCGATTACACGAGAACATTTCTAACCCGGACTGAAAAGTCTATCATGTAATCGTTTCAGCCCGGGTTGAAATCACAGCTGAAAATATTCACGCATGCGTAATTGCGTACCAATTGCTCAAGATGACGACAACAAAATGACAACAAATTAACGACAACTGGCGATCATGCCCCGGACAAGCTTCGTAAATTTCAGCCCTGTCTAAACACCAGGCTGATATTGACCATATAATCACACAAAATTTCAGACCGGCCTAAACACCGGGCTGATATTGACCATATAATCACACAAAATTTCAGACCGGCCTAAACACCGGGCTGATATTGACCATATAATCACACAAAATTTCAGACCGGCCTAAACACCGGGCTGATATTGACCATATAATCACACAAAATTTCAGACCGGCCTAAACACCGGGCTGATATTGACCATATAATCACACAAAATTTCAGACCGGCCTAAACACCATGCTGATATTGACCATATAATCACACAAAATTTCAGACCGGCCAACTCCATGTAATCGGCCCTTAATATATCATGAAGTGCCACCACTGACTTCGAAGTTTGTAACTAATAGCCATCATATCCTCATATATTATCCTTGGTATGTTGCAATTATCATTGCTAACACGATCTGCAACTTTCAAACCTTTACTCGTGCAGTTGTTTTGACAGCAGCCGGTATTCATTGTAAAATTCTAATCAAGTTCTAATGAATCAAAGTTAAATTTATAACATCATCATACCGTCAACGGTGAGGATTTCTTCGTGGTAATATGGACGATTATTGTATGCGCTGCGATTTGGTACGACAAACCATAACCGTCATCTGCGACCTAAAATAAATAAAATGTAAGAAAACTTAAAACCAAGACCAGCCGACAATTTGAAGAAATATAGTATAAAGCAAATTCCGAAAAAGCAAGACATCATGAGATTGCAAAATATGCATCAAAACAAGACGAGAAGTGAACTGTAAATTTTCGACTTTATTTCAAAGTCATCCTCAGACAAACCCCCCCCCAGTGCAACTTTCTACATGGCGTCCCTAGTGCATGGCCACCATGGGAACTGGACCATTATAGAGTGAATATACAATATTTACCGGTCCAAATCCACCACCGCCTGGAGTTTTTGATTTATCCTTGTTGTATGTGGCAATCTGCATTTGATCGGAAGCAGTCTGTCGAAGAGAATGAATGATTAAAAAAAGACATTGAAAGACCAAGATTTCGTGTAATAAAATTAATGCCCTTCATAAAGTTTTAATTTGAGCCATAGCAATAGACCAAAAATTGTAAAATTGAATTTATTGTAACGTTTCGTCTTTACTCAAGACATCTTCAGACAAATAATATATAGGATGTTAACGAAGATCAAGATGTGTTTTTAGCATTTCCCTACTGTTTTCTTTTATAATGTCTCGGGAAAATTAGATCTTAGCTAAGTATAAATTCTCACATTAAGAATGTCGATTCGAAATATAAACATCTTAAAATTAGAGCTCAAAAATGATTAAGAACTATCGAGAAGGATATCGAATGAAAGTTGCGAGTGTTTTCCCGCGATGTATATCTTAGTTCTTCGAAGTACTAGAAAGTGTTTTCAAATACCTGACTGGTTGATATGTGCCATGGCTCGCTCAGAATCTATAAATAATTGAACAATGCAAAGACCGTGAGATCACAGCCACGGAATGAGAGACAGCATCCTTCAGAATTATGAAGCTTAGACAAAAAAAGCACACAGAAAGACACGTGGGCACATTTCTGTCTTTGTCACAATGTGTTTAGCAAGTATGTCAGAGTGGCTTACTATAGGTGATTTTATCTATATACTAGGAAGCAGTGAGCCCGTCACTCTTTCGTCCATATTCTATGGGCTAAAATAAAAATATTACCTCGTTCAAAAATGGAGAGTCGACATTCAAGTACTTGGAAACGATGTAGAGACAAAAAAGATGACGGTCCACACCTGGAAATGCCATGATAAAGTAACTTGAGGAAGCCATGATAAAGTAACTTGAGAAAAGGAAAAACAACCCTAGATACTATGTAAAAGGTGAAAAGTAAAACGTAAAAACCTTCTCCTGCCATTGCTTTTCTAATGTTAAATGAATGAGCTTCGCATGCTTTCGTCAACAAATTCCTCTTCGTTTCTTTCTGTAACAAAACACAGCGATATATATTAGTAATCCCTACCTAATTTCACTTGATGCAGAGATCTAGTTCATTACATCAACAGCAATCACCATCTTCCTTTCACAAAGACTGCATACTTCAACGTACCGTTACATCTGGATTCACCATTGCCTTGACAAAAGCACAAGATTCAGCTGTGCAGGGGCGAACGGTCTCTGTACGGCCATCACTGAAAACAGCATTGACCAAAAAGCTCAATAAAGAGGTATAAATAATAATTATAGAATTAAAACAAGATCTACAACAAATTCCTTTCCGACGGTAACACACGTGTCAAAAAAACGAGACCAAATTACAAAATTCGGACAATGAAATGGTCGGACATAGTATTTTATATGTAGAATAGTGGCAATAAGATGGAAATCAAATCAAAGGAAAGCTTGCATATGACATGCAATATGCAGATACAACTTATAGAGAAAAATAAAAACATTTCCGACGTTGTCGCGGATATTACGAGTGCCATAAAAAGTGTCGATGAGTTTGATATGCATTTGTCAAACAAGCTTAATAAGACAAACAACATGCTAAAAATAATGATTGAAGATTTGCTCAGCGCATCTACAAGCACCAATTTCAGAGCTTGCTCTGTCACAAATTATTTGAGAATGAATCTGAGCATGCGTAGTCAACTGCACCAACTTTCCAAGTTCATGGTCATGGCACCGACCAACTGTATGTACTCGTACCAAGTATGGATAAATTAGCTCGCTCAGTCACAAATTTTTAGATAAATCATCTGCGCATACGCAGCCTTCTCGAGCCTGCGCAGTTGACTTGACCAGCTGCCCGAGTTCATGGTCATGGCAACCACCAACTGCATCTAACAGCACCGATTTTGAAGTAAATAGCATGCTTAGTAACAATTTAATAGAGAAATCATCTGCGTGGCGCTTGAGAATCTGTAGTTCACTCGACTAATTGTTTATAGTCATTGCAACGACTAGCTATATGTACTTGCACTTCATTTACGGAAATTAACTCACTTAGTCGCAAATTATCAAAGAAATCATCTGGGCATGCGCAATAGTGACTTCAATAATACCACAACTTTCGTAAGCCTTTGAACTTATGTATATATATATATAAATCTAACACTTTATATAGTTGATGTCAACTAGCGGTGGAAGCTGGGTGCGATATAGTATGCGGTGGCTTAGGGGTCCACACTTCGGTGGTGGCGACCGCACTCTCCCTGCGTACCCCAAGCAAAGCCTATCGCAGGTGATCTCATGGTCTGATGGGCGGAAGCTTGCTGTTGCATCTCCCAAGTAAGGATAGCGTGGAGAGGCCGAAATCTCCTACCGAAACGTTAACATGCGGCGTTCTAGTGCCTTACGCTTAAGAAGGTATCGCGAAGCACGGACCGAAAACGGGGTTTTTTGCTTTCGAATTTTATCTTTTTGTTTTATTTTATCTCTTCTCATTAATAAAATAAACCAAGCAATATTTCAATTAACTTCTTCTGACACTTATAATTTAAGACAACCTTAAACATGTTTTATACAATTTTTATTGGTTTACATCTTTCTGATTTAACACTCTCATTTACTGTTTGTCTTCTATCACGAGCAAACCGTCCAAGGGCTTCATGTCAAACAAGGATTATCTGTTTCCCTTAATTAACATGCGACGCTCTATTGCTCAACTATTTCGGGGTATCGGGAGGCATGGACCGAAAATGGATTTTTTGTTTTTAAAATTTGTCTTTTTTCTTTACAAGAATTCTTCTCATAAAAGAAACTAGAACATCCAAGGACACTGCAAAGGTTCAAACAACTTCTGCCTTTTTGATTTATAATTTAAACCAACTCTAAGCATGTTTATACGTTTTTTAGATGTTATCTTTTACAATGTAACTTTCTCATAAGTCTCTCGTGATGAACGAGAGCCTCCATATACAATATCTCTCTCTCATCATGAACGAAAGCATCCAGGGGCTTCATGGAAAAAGGGATTATCTACTTTTTTAATAATAGTTTTTACAAGATAACATTTAGTAAGCCAAGCCATTTGTATCGTCTAAATTGAGCCCTTATGTCATAAAATTTTAATTCATTTTGGACAGTTAATTTCTTTTTACCTTACAATATTTTCATGATTCAATCTAGAAAGTAACTTAACTCGCTTTTCTTAAGATTCTACGAACCTTCTTAAGATTCGCCAAAGGTAAGGTATAGTTTATAAATGTAGTATAAATATGACAAAAGGTTGAAAAAAAGTTGAATGAACACTCACCGATACAGTCGCGTCATTGAAGATTCATAAGTCAATTTGAAAGCTTTGCGCTCCTAATTCCAGAAAAAAAATTTGTAAAAAACTATTTTTGAAAAATAATTAAACAGGTGACACGATTGAACGTAACTCTGTTACGTCGTTCGCATTCAAAATAATTATTCTAGACGCTCACAAACCTTGAAGCTCGCTAACTGGTAACTCATTTGAACAAATGCATCCGGGCTGAAATGGTTATGAACGAAATGAAATATAACGATATAGTTAATGCAAGGAAATGTGTAAAAATCTTAAGCTTTCAATACATGTATGGTGAATAAGACTAGAATTTACCTCAATTTACGCATCTTGATGGTATCTTTACCTGAGGAAACCATTGTATACTAACTTTCAGCACGAGTGAAAAATAACTGGAAGTTTTCTCAGGCTGAGGGAGATATTATCTTTGAACTTACCAAAGTCTTCATGTACAAGAACATGTAGGTCTAGATCACTAATCAAAGCAAGATTATTCTTTTTTGCCGTTTCAATTCTTTCAACACACTGCAATGAAAAAACCAAACAAACGATGAAGAGGAAACGCCAATGTATGAAACAAAAACTTTGCTAGAAAAATTACGTTAGCATTAACCAAAATGAAAGTATACTTTCGACTATGCAAGTCTCTTTTCATTATTAAGATATAAAAGTTTTGTTGTTTCCAATTTATCTAACCACGTGACGTCATATTGCGTTCTGAGTTACCGCAATGTTTCAAATATTCTTCACTTTCCTGACTACTTAAGGTTGATACTAGTAAGTGTAGCATTTTATACCATTAACTCGTTACAATGAAAGGAACTCTGCTCAGTTGAAGTACCATATCAGCAAATATACTTAATGCTTCTCGTTCTCATTATGCAATGTGACGTCCCAAGCTACATAAATTTGACATAACAAAAACCTCCTTATCTCGAGAATGATAAGTGACACGCGTTAACTAGTAAAGAAAAGTCCATTGAATGAATGAATGAAAATCTTTATTTTGACACGCTGGCCTTGTCAACTGGGGTTGATTTCCACAAGGGGCGTGATTTTGTTCAAAAACAATTACAAAATTTACTAAGAAATAAATTATCTACAGAAGAGAAGTTTAAATATTTACAGAGTTTAGTTTATTCCATCAGTTACATTTAAAAATACCTGTTCAATTAAAATATAACTCAGATAGCAAAATTTTCGTTTCACAGACACTTTATAAAGCATAAAAACGTGATACGTCAAAGCTAACCTTTTCAGGAATATCCCACTTCAAACGTGCAGGAATATCCAAAGAATATTGTGTTTCGCCTAAACATTCACCTTGAGCATCATAGTCAAGCTTGTTGATGTCACAATCGATAACCCATTCAAAAAGCTGTGACATAATTGGCGCATCAGCCCTTAAGATCGAAAGAAATCTTCAATCATTGGTCAAAACAATGAAACCAAGGAAAATCAATGAGTATAATCAGATAAATGGATTATATATATGAAAAAAAAAACGTTAACTCACATTGCTTTTCAATGTATTTGGTGTGTTTTTATAAAAAATCTACGATGGGATTTTTTATCAAAAAATATTTTGTGCTTAAGAACGTCAACAATTGTAGAACATCTTCCTTTAATGTGAACTTACCATCCATGTTCAACGTTAATTCCATACTACAGGAAATATAATAAATGGCATATACAACAAGGAATTTTTAGAGGAACAATGAATAGTGTAAATGATGTACACGCTCAGGGGAAGACGGAACATCTACAATTTGCGGGGGGGGGGGCTAATATTTATACATTCATATGTTAAAGGTTATAATCTGTAATCACAATTGATTTTACTAGAAACTGATCAAAACCTCCCCCCTCTGATCATTGACCTTCAGTGGTCCCTGTATGCTACTGGACTATTTAGGTGATGCATGGTGTGTGTGATAGAGAATATTAGTTGTCCCTTGAGAGGGATATGCTAGGATATTTCATGATATACCTTGTCCCTTGAGAGGGATATGCTAGGATATTTCATGATATACCTTGTCCCTTGAGAGGGATATGCTAGGATATTTCATGATATACCTTGCCATTTTTGAAGATGATGATATTGAAGGACTTATCAAACCAAATATTATCTCCTTCACCATGTAATGCATACTTTGAAAAATCATTATACTTTGACGGATCATTCTGTGTGGAAGATAATGCAACAATTACTAGCTGGCAGCTGCCCAAACATGAAGAAACAACTTCAAATAAAACCTTGTCAAAACCTGTCTCTTCCTCAGACAAAACACACATGAATGCAGCCTAAATATTTGGAAAATATATGTTAATTAATCAGTGACAAACCCACAAGGGTGCCGTTTAGGTCCTTTGAAATTTTACAGAATATAATGGAACAGAATTGAGTAATATTCAAATATGATGCAACACAATGCAATGCTATGCAATACCAATACAATATCAGTAAAATATGATACAACACAATGCAATGCTATGCAATACCAATACAATATCAGTAAAATATGATACAACAGGATGCGATGTCATGTGATACAATACAATAAAATATAACACACATTGAAAACAAAGTTCACAGGATGCAGTCAACATCTTTTTTTGTTACTTACATGTTCTATAGTTTTTAATGATTCATGGTTAACTCCAGTATGGAAAAACTCCTCACGTGTTTCAGCCCACAATTTTCTGAATAAACATTAATTGATGTGTAGCTTTTAGATGATGAACAATATTGAGACGAACCAGTTTCAACTGACCTCTGTTCACCAGTGATGGCTGCAAGCGAGGCTTCACCAACGGATGGCAATGAAGTATCTTCAATTATTTTGTCCAACTGACTACAAGAAGAAATCATTGCCTGTTTTCATATGCTTTTCTGAAAAGCAACATTGTTTTGGTTTCGTGTGTGACCCTGATAAAAATAGCAGTTGAACATCTGGGTGTCTCTAAGTTTGAACTCTTCAATAAAAGCTTTCAACATGTACGTGGTATTGAAGATTTAGCATGTTTAGGTCTTTAAATTATTTGGGCAGTTATGTTTGTGACAACAAAAGATTGTGCAAATAAAATCTTGAAGTACATTTCTCTCACTATTTTTTGGATAAAAAATGAATCCTACTATATTTCCTTGAGATAAAGGAATAATCATGTCTGGGTATGCATAATCTTTTGAATGTACTAAAACAAGATACAATACTTTTGAATGTCTTTTGGTTTCAATAGGTTTCCTCGGTGGAATACATTTAGTTTGAAATATCTGCCTTTATGAAGAACAACGACATGATTCACAGAGGCATGTTGGATGAGTTCGTCTGGTTAAAAAAATGCAATGCAAAATGTGATGAGAATGAGCATTTCAATCGTGAAAAATATCATAAACATAACCGCTATTAATACCAAAATCCTTTCCAGGAATTCTGGTCTGATTAAACATTAATCTGTATTGCGTTGAACAAAGAGGAATCAGCTTGCTCAACATTAACTACAAATACAACAAAATGAATCAATGACATGTTATGCTTCAAATTCACCATTGACAATACTTTATCTATATGCATTTTGGAAACATAGATCGAAGAACTTTATTCAAACATGCTGGCTCTGACAATCCTTGGGTTGCAAGCTACATCAGTCGCCATGTTGGACAATTTTAACAAAGGATTTTCTTTATTTATAATGTAAATTTCATCCAACATGGCAAGCATTCCATTGTTCTCTTACTCCCAAAGGGATGGTTGTAACCCACCAACAGAAGCCAAATTCCAAGGAGGGTGTATAAAAAACACACAGAAAAAAAATTGAAAACTATTTGTAAATTTATGAGAGAACATAATAAAGTTCTTTATAAATTCAACTATTAATAAAATTATGAGAGAATACACAAATTGACTAATAACCTTATTTAGGTAATCAAATAACGGATAAAATGAAATTGATCTCAACTTACAGGTTTCAATCTTTCTTTCTCGACTAATTTCCGAAAAAGAAACAGAGAATGAATAAGATTTGCTGCCTTTGATGTTTGTTTAAACTTTCTAGTTAAAAAAGGTCCGTCCTACAAAAGACACAAATATAGTCCCAATAAAGATAATGGACTGCTATGTACTCAAAGAACAATTTTATCATACAACGCCATAAAAGTTGCTGTTGATCATCAAAGATCCCCGAGCTTTCATGTACACATACTTATTCCACCAGTCTGTCACCTAAGCAAATTAATATGACAACCAGTTCCCAATAAAACATAAAAACATATGACTATCAATTATATGAGGTGATTAATATATATAATTACTAACATAGTTGTTAGACCACCAAGATTTTAAGACTAAATAACGCTGAAGTTTCCGTCCAATACCATTCTGTAAAGTGAATCATCAACATTTTTGTAAATGGAAGATCCACTAGATGTATTTGAAAAATTGTGTGAAATTTACCCGAAATTCTTTGGTCAAATATTTGACTCTTTCATATTTATCATCAGAAAAAATTTCCTTCACACTAAGTAAATGCTAAAACAATCAGTTTAGTTTCAGATTTGGTTTTAATACATCTAAACAAATAGAAAAATTGTAATAAAACTTATACTTTATCAAGAGTTGCATCCAATGATGGTACTGGAAGCCTTGGTAAAGATTGCTGAAAACTGTACAAACCATAATTGCCCGATGTAAAGAGTTTGACAACACCCTAAAAATATTAACCTTTTTAGCTTGAAAAAAAAGACCCTGTAATACAAAAGGGAAAGACTTACAGCCCATATCTTGGTCTTTAAAGAAATTTTTCTACAAAAAAAAAATAATGAAATTATTGAAGGAAAGAAAATGACTATTAATAATGAAGACCAAGAACTACAATCAAGTAGGCACTTCAGCATCCCCTGCTAAAGTATTCCACAATGATTGATTTAAAATCACCTAACAGACAGATGAACAAACCACAATTAACAAATAAAGCATCCTGATACATCAGAATCATATCACTCCTCCTTTTCATTGATTCAATTCAATATCACCTTTCAAATAATACTGCACGATAAGTAAGCAAAGCACGAAGAATCAGCTGCAAAAAGAGACCCCAGAGCATCCACAACAAAGTGGCAAATATAGCAACTCCCAAGCATACTGCAATGTACGGGCTTGCTGTTATCAACCTGCAAACATAAGCACACAACAAAAAAAATTTATGCGAGGAAAACAGCAAGTATGAGTGCTGATTGGTCAATGGCTCAATGCCAAAGACTAATTACTGTCATCATCAGACATAATGAATAATTGTGCTCGAATTTTTGAAAACTTTCTTTCTGGAATGTTCACAGCATGTTAAGTGCAAGAATAAAGTAACTCTTGAAATGCAAAATGTTTTAGCTTTCTTGAAATTTCTTGAGTAGATAACGATTGAATAACGGGAATAAAATAATTCATCAGCGAAAGTGAATTGTTTCACAAAAAGTGAAATAATCAAAATGTAATGAAAATTATAATTTCCCAAATCCCATGTAATAAATAATTGCTAATCGCTAATCCGAGTTGATCAATATAAATTTTGAAGACGACTTTAGAATTTTGATTGCGAACAACATCCGAATAAATCCGAACAATTTCAACCCTTTTCCAGCAAGTGGTGCTAGGCACGAAAAGCAAATGTTTCCACGATGTTTAATAAATAATTGAGTTTTCACATAATACAAAACAGCCGCGATTCGTCACTAATAATTACACCTCCATAACCGCCTCCCGTTTACGCTTCATTATATACCGGTAATCGGGAAAAATACAAAGGCTCCCTTACCCTTTACCGTATGTAAATGAGGAGCTGGACAGTTGGTTATATCAAGTAAAATAAAATAACAGCTCTTTGGTAAAATTTCTACTAATAATCAGAAACATACCCCGGCAATGCCTGCTCCAAGCGGCCAAGAACTCCCAACGTCGGCTGATGTTCTCCAATTCGAGCGGCGGCAAGCGCAATGACAAAAAGTATCCACGCAAACGGAGTTGCAGGAAAATGCCATTTGAAAAAGTTGTGCTTTGCTGTCTTATATTTCCTCTTCACAGTCTTCCTTAGGGCACGAAAAACATGGTGAATTACATCCTTATCAAAATGTATGTTCAGTTGGCCATCATCCGTGACGGCAAACTGAAATGCAACAGCCAAACGAGCTTCAGCCATCTCTCAAAGCCAAATCATTCAAAACTGTTTAACAGTACGAATTTTCCTTAGTAAGCAAGTTATTACTGGAATGAAAACCTCGCAAAAATTTTACCGAACACCCCCAATCGAAAAATCGTGTGCATTTAAAGTATTAGCAATGAAGGATGTAGTTCAAAGTCCACACACCACGCGTTACGTAAAACATGCATAAAAAATATACCACTTATGATCTTATCATAAATTTCATGAAAATTGAAATGGTGCAGCGAATCAGGGTTATGCAAAAGAAGTATAAAGATTTAAGCTGTTCATTTTATGTTCAAAGTACCTTGATAACAATGCATACTTCAGATTTCTCTATTCTGTACTTCAATGAGAATCTCAATGAGAAGCTTCATGGTAGTGCAAGGAGTATTGTCATTTGTTTTCTTACCGTTTCTAGCTGAAAAAGATTCAAAGAAAGCTCTGGGGAAGCTTTCATAAGCATTCATCTTTAAACATAATAAATTAAATATGACATAAATTAATCTAAGAAAATTTTTATATTTCTTGAAATTTATGTATTATAATTATAATACTAAATACGACGTAGCGTTCCGAACAACTTGCGATGAATTCCGAAATTAGTTTGGTTTAGGCGGGAAAACAATAAAACCGATAAGACTTTTAAAGTTGAAGGTTTGCTTTTTCTTTCGTACTCTTTAAAATACAAGCTAAAAATAGTCGATTTTTATCAGACATGTTGATCCAGTTCTGAAAAAATGAAGAATAAAAAGGAAACGACAGATTAAAAACGAACTAATTGTGAGCAAAAAACTTGAATTTGGCTATCATTTCTTCAAACATCACAGCCTTTTTAAAAGATGGCCACCCAGCATCGTCAGCAACCTTTTTTTAAAACATCATCTTCCACCACATCTGGTTCCTACTTCTTAAATTTCAACTCCAGCAATAATGGAAATCAAGTAAACCAGCCCCAGCATAGTGCGTCAAATTGTCGTTCAAACTTAGCACCTTCCACCAACTTTTTTGCACCAAACAACACAGTCATGCGACAAAAGGATAAAGGTTTGAAAATATTGTAAGAATATTACTTTATACTATAGGACGTTTTTTAAGAAGGAATATAAAAACACATTTTAGAAGTGGAACGCGAAGCAAGTCAAACGACAGAAAGACTTTCCGCTCTTCACAACAAGTTGCATCAACAAGCTGAAAAAATTCGAAAATGGAAAACAAAAACAGACATGGATCTAAAAGATAAGGTGAAGACCAAACACTACAATGGTGACAATAGAAGACTGGTGAACTTTTATAACACAAATCTGTGTACTGCTAACCGTCGTTGTTATTTTAGACGAAGAAATTAATAGATGCAAACTTTACCATTGAAAGTCAGAGAAAATCTATTCTAGAGCTACAGGTGAGCATGCATATTGTTTGAAACTCCGTAAAACAAACCTTTCAAACAATATATTTTACCAAAAAACCTTATGTAACATTAATAATATTTCTCCTTCAGTTTCAAAATGAAAAACTTAGCACAAAATTACAAGAGGAGATTGCAGGACAAGTTGAGTTAGAGCACAAGTATGACCATGGTTCAAACTATGAGCGAAATATAAAATATTAATCATGGATAATGGTGGTGAAAAATTTAATCTTCGGATAAACAATGTATGCTTTTTCTGTGCGAATATCCTATGTAGGGCAACAGCAACAAGAGAATTGAGTAAAGTTCTTAAAGATCAAGTGCTCAGAATTGACGAGGCTGTGGTAGCAGGTCATTATAGATAATTCAATGTAAAAATAAATGGGGGCAAAATTTATTCAACTCTTTTTCTATTTCATTTATCTACGTCCCAAACAGGTGAACAAGATCGCGAAGAACTACGTTATTCGGAAAAGCAGCGATTAGAGCAATTCCAAGTACAACAACAAATTGCAGCAATTTCAAACAATAACTGCACAGTCGTGTGTTATTCATAATTGTTATGTTCTTATTTATAGGAATTAGTTGTGAAATTCCAGGAATTGGAAATACAACATTCAACAAAATACAACGAAATGAAGGATAAGTGTAAGGCATATGTTCGTCAAAAACATTGTGGCTATATGCCAAGGGTTCAAAGGCAATTCCAATATCAGTGAAAATCTTACAATATTTTTTAGCAATATTTTTAAAATGTACAAGATTTTGTACGTTATTTATATACTTATTTAGATTTTGTTAAATTTGGAAATATCTTAGTTAAATTTGGAAATATCTTAGTTAAATTTGGAAATATCTTAGTTAAATTTGGAATAAAGTTAGGCAATATTTAGTCCTAAGATATAGCTAAAATAAAGCAAAACGACTGACTCATGGTATACTGACATTCATTTTCTTAGTACAAAAACAACATGAGAAACACTCGGCTTATATGGTAGAGATTGTACAAGATATTCAGGATAAGGAGAAAGAGGTATATATATATATATATACAGAGAGAGATGGTATGAAACATGTACAATTGAAAACAAGGTAAAATGAACACTCTCAACCTTTTACGAACAAACATTTAGATCAAAGTTTTGAGCGAGGAAAAAGCAGAAAAGGACTTAAAAATATCAGAATTGGTGAAAGATCTTGGTGAAAATCGAGAACATTTGGAAGCTACAAAGGGCGAAGAAGGTTAATAAATTTATTATTCACTTTTCGTGTAAAACTGAGCTATATGAAATGACTGACTTACGTTTAAACAGCGGCACTAAAAGATAAGTTGAAGAAATCAGACAGTATCATCACATCACAAGACATTAATTTGAAAAGCGTCAACGAAATGTTGACATACGCTCAGGTAATAGAAATTCATTGCATGACAAAGGAAATAGTTTTGCTCCCAAATGTTCCTTCCTGCTACATACACACGCCATATCCTAGAGAAACTATTCTCTTTTGATTTTAGAACGAGAACAAGAATTTAATGTCTGATATTTTAAAAAAAGAAGAAATGTTCACGAAACTAGAAGAAGAAAACGTTAAGTTACAAAACGTTCTGCATGAGGAGGAAACCAAGCACAATCAAGCGTCTGAAGCATCTCAAGAAAGAATTGCGCAGCTCATTTGTGATATCGATGAGCAGAAATCTCGGTAATAACACTATCTAAATAAAAATACCATAAATTGGAGTAAAAAAAGTAAAACTGGTCATTTGACGTGTTGATTAGGATAAAGGAACAACAAGAGAAATTAGAGTCGTTAACAGATGAACTTAACCGTAGAAAAAAAGATTCAGGTAAAATTGGGCAAATTGATGCTCAGCTAATGGCAATATTAACATAGATTCAGAAACATGCTGGTCACATGTGTTTAGATGGTTTCAAAGCTGAAGAAGACAGATTAGTTAAAGAAATTGAAGACATCAAGGAATCAAATGTATGAATATATTTACAGCGACTAAATTAGTTTTATCAGTTGTTCCTTTATACCAAATGTCACAACTGTAATACTTCAAAGGCAAAGTTGACCCTTCATCAAGAAGACCTGATTAAATGTGTTCGCGAACTGGAAGATGAAAAGAATTCTTTACAACAAAAGAACACGAACTTGATAGAGAAAGACAATGAATTGAAGGTTACTCATCTTTTTCAGAATAATTGGGTTTTTTGTACTCCATAAAAGTCCCCTGAATATTTCATAACATTTTTAGAAGGAGCAAGAAACATCAAAACAACACATTGCAGAACTTAAACAAGAAGCAACTTGTTTGCAAAACATTATCGATAACAATGCACAGGCTTTACTGGAGAAGAAGGTAACTTTAAAGTGATTGATTAATAAAGAAATATGGAAAGCCAGACCACGTTTAATTCACCTAAATTGAATTTGCAACATAGAGTTTGATTGAAAATCTTGAAATAAGCCTAAAAGAAGCAAAGCAGAATGAAAAAACGATGAAAAATAAATTGAATGATATGGAACAGCTTCTTGAAGAAGAAGGGTAAAACGAAAAAAAAATTCGCTAATTATGTTTAATTTTACTATCGGTTAACGAGCAATTTTTGTTAGGACAAATCGAAATGATATCAGCAATAAATTAAAAGAAATGAAGGTCAGATTTATCTATGCTTATTTCCTAAGGTGATGTTACTTCATCACATGATTATTTATGCATGCATACAGAAAGAGAAAGACGAGCTGGAAGAAATGCTTGCAAACTCAAAAACAGAAATAAAAGAAACGGCAAAGCAGATAAAGGTATATATCAACAAGATATGAGGAATGCTAGTACAATGTTTTAAGGGCCTCCAAAGACTAGGTATTTTGTTGTCGACAACTAAACGTGTAAATTTGTAGTTGTCGATAACAAAGCGGTTTCCCTTTTTTGCCAGGGAAACCGTAATCACACAAAAGTGTTGCTTGTCGACTACAGAAAGTTATCGACGACAAAGTACCTAGTCTGTTGAGACCTAAGTAGTGTTTTAAATTACATGTTGGCGTTTAGAGCTTAAAGAAAAGCGAGGCAGATCTGAAGAAAGATCTGACAAAATCCTCCCAAGAACGAAAGAAATTAGAGTTTGTATTATTTGAACCATACTAGCAATCACGAAACGTTTACAACAACAGTACATTTTACATCTCGACTATAGAGTTCAATTATCACAACTGAAAGAAGAGCACAAGGAAAAGAAAAGCGAACTCGATCAATCACTGGACATGGAAGTAAACGCGGTAAATCACCAATCATTTGGAAGATCAAATGTTTCAGATTGACGATTGCAAAGGTAGTTCATTTCCACTGACAGGCAAAAGCTTTGAAAGAAGAACTAGAGAACAGAGAAAAACGACTCTTTAGAAAATAAGGTATGACCACAAAGACTCAATATATGTAAACACGTAAAACATGTCCAATAAATGCCAACTCTTCCAGAACAAGATATTGCAAAATCAGCTGGCGTCAAAAACAAAGACACAAAAAGACTTGCAGCAAGAGGTATGTGTAGGTGCGTTCATGAACAGTGACAATTACCATTCAAATGAACGATTAATTTCGTATATCTAAGATCAAAACTCTAAAGAATAACTCAACTATGCAAGGAAAGAAGATTAAAGCATTAGAGAAGAAGGTAAAATTTATTTTAATTGAAAATAATATATATATATTATTTTGAGTCAACTTTCAAAAACATATCGTGCATGCTTTTATTTAGATCGAAACCTTGGAAGCGGGCATTGAAAGAAAAAGTAATGAGAATTGTGAGTTGCAGGAAAAGGTACATTTGTATGTAGTGTGACGCCAAACAATCGGGCATCTCGCATTGCTTATCACTCCTCACATTTTCATAAATAGTACCAAAAATTGACGGAAGAAATGGCCATAGCTAAAGATGAACATACAAAGAAAATAGAAGATGTCAGTTTTGATTTTTGTGATTTTTGTTGGGGAAATAGGAGCTGACACTTTTTTTTATAAACTTAACTTGCATAAATTAGAATGTTCAAAGTCTACTGATTTTTCGTCAAATTACAGGTCGAGTCAGCTATGACGGAAAGCGTTGCATCGAAGACTACTTTAGAGAGCGAAATGAAGCAGTTGAAGCAGACTGCAGACAACGCAGTAAAAAATAAAGAAGAGGCGCAATGGAAATTCGACAAAGATCGAGCCGAGTTATGTGCTACATTAGAGAACTATAAGGTACATGACCATCGTTGTAAATGCCCAAAGTATTTGCAATTATTAAGCAATAAATGGATTACAGGCAGAGAATGAACTTATTATCGCACAAAAAGAAAAAGATTTGGAAAATTTCAAACAAACCAAAGAAAATGAGATGGAAAAACAAGCAAGTTTCTTTAGACAATCTCTATATAACTGTTATCTTCTTCCAAACATTTATACATACAACAATAATTACTATAGTTGAGAAAAATTAAGGATCTGGAACAGCAACTGGAGAAACTAAATAAACTTAAAATGGAAGAAGAGGTAATAGATTCATCTTGATAGTAAACTCAGTACTGGTAAGACAAGTGTAACACAAAAGAATTATCTTCTCCAGAAAGCTAAAAACAAGAAAATCATGGACAAGGACGCTGAGATCAATGTTCTGAAACAGCAACTGCTGGAGAAAAGTTTCAATGAAGTAGAGTCTTGATAGAGTTTGCTTTATTGCTTAAAAGATTTAATTTTTTAGAGCTAAGATTTTTTCTTTAATCTCGTGAGCAGCAAGAAGAAAAGACGGTAGACGACATAGAGTGCGTGGCAGAAACACCTTCACGTGGGATACCCTGCACACCACGAAGTATTCTGAAACACACAGTACAGCCCACGAAAAAACGAAGAGTGGCTTTCAACTCTGAGAGAATATCAAAAACGTACTCATCTGACGAGGATGAAAACGTCTTCAAAGTAGAAATATAAATAAGATGAATCTAATCGTTTCTTCTATTTCTTACACGTTTTTTACCTTCAAGGTAAAATCGTGTAAACAAAACAACGCAAGCACCCCAAACCTTCCAACAAAAATCGTGCGACCAAATGTTAGACATTCACCAGGACCTCCGAAAACAGATATGTTAAAGAAAAAATTGAACGATTCTGAAAGGTGTCAAAAAACCAAAAAGGTATAACAATTGAACATTAGAACTCCGATACTTAAAATGTTCACTGATCAGTTTTAAAGATTGCACTTTTTCAGAAATATCAAAATGATTTGAGCTCTCGAGACGAAGCAAGGCAAATTACAAAAGCTTTTCCTGGAACCAATAAAAGGCTGGAGGTGGCGTTAATCATTGCAATATAATGTGTGTGTTTCTACATCAAAAGTAATGGCATGTTTTACAATTTATAGAAGAAACGCCATTAAAAGGAAGAAAAAAAGAAATATCGCCAAGAGTAAAGCAAGCTGATATCGATTGGTTTGACAACGACGTATTTTCGGATTTCACGGTTAAGTACCCGCATATAGTTCCACATTATTCGAAAATATTTAATTGATTTGAACAGAAAACTTTTGAAAAAATGCAATTAATTTGAACAGAAATAGTTTCGGCATCGCAAATTTTAAAGGCCATACTTCGATTATTTTTCGAATCGCAATCCCCCTTTTAATCCACATTTATTGAATTTTGAAATTAATTACCATTATCCATTTATGTTAAAAGTTTCATTATTAAAATTTTCTAACACGGTTTAAAGATTTCGACTAAAAACATACTCTCGTCTTCCTCCTAAACTTGATAACAAGTAAAAACGTTGAAAATACGTTTAATTATTACGTCACAATGAAAAATTCATACCGATAACAAACGCCAGAACATGGACGTAACATATATAACTTTCGGTATCAAAAAGCAACGCTGTTTAACTATGGAGGAACGTGCCACGAAAAAAAAGATAGAGGAGTTGCTAAGACGACAGTGCGGCCCTGGACCTGCAAAATACACACTGCCTGGCACTATAGGTGCAACAAAAAAAGATCCCAGAATGAGACACAGTCCAGAATTTAGTTTCGGTCAACGCAATGAGATTCAGTACAAAAATTGCAGCCCAGGACCTAAGTACCTTATCAAGCCAAATTCAACACAACGAGGAGTAGAAACAGCACCTCAATTCTCCCTGTATAGCAGACCTACTGACTTAAAATCTCCGTTTGTTCCAGGTCCAGGTAAGTTACCATTACCACAATGATCTAACAGTGTGGATGATATTCAGCTATAACTAATACACAAATACTTCTTTCGAGGCCATTATCATCCAGAAAAACATTTTCCACCTCGTGAAACACGTGCACCAAGTTTTTCGTTTGGAAAACGCACAGAATATAAAAAACGTGATACAAAACCTGCACCGAATTCTTATACTATCCCCACGATCATTGGCCCAAATGCAATCTGTGTACGTTCGTCCCCAGCTTATTCGTTCAACGGCAAACCAGAGAGAGGAGTATTTAGGGAAGAGGTAATTCCGCACGATGTATACCGTTACGATTTGCCTAGCTACAAATCCTGATTTTACATACTTTCCACCTTTCAAGACACCTGGACCAGGTACATACAAAGTGGTATGTCCAAATACATACAGGACCAAGCAGCCCATATACTCACTTAAAGGACGAAAATTCTTACCCGGAGACAGAACAATGAAGCCGGGACCAGGAATTTATTCTCCAGAAAAGGTAAGCAATGTGATACAATAGTATCTTTACAGATTAATTCTTTGAAACTTCGTATTTATTCAAGGTGAAGATTGCCAACATATGTTCACCTGCGTTCTCATTTGGAATGAAACACGCTGCGCACGTAGTTCTACCACTTTAACAGGTAAAGGTGATTTTCACAAATGACATCTATTGGTCTAGTGCTGTGCAAACTTCGGGGGTTTTCACCATAAGCCGTGTGTATTCATGGGGCCAGTGTACCCACGTGTATTCATTCATGTGGCCAGTGTACCCACGTGTATTCATTCATGGGGCCAGTGTACCCACGCGTATCATGTATCCTGGTAAAATCATGTACCATAATCACACGCGATGACAGCGCTTGTCCAAGAAAAAATCAAATTTACTTTTCTTTTTAAATCAGATCTACTTTTCATTTGTGATGCATCGTGTATTATGAAATTAAAAATTATTTTACGAGAATTTTTATTCCAATTTTACTTTAACTTTCAATCAGCGTTTAGTTTGATTTAATTTACACTATTTTATTTTGGAAACTGAAAAAATGAAATGGCAGTGTTACGCCACATTAGACATCTATTTCGATAAATATTTTCAAAAATATGACTATCAGAGTTTTTATTTTGACCTCAACTCAGGCAACAGGATTTTAGTACATCAAAACTCTGGCTTGGGTGCACAGCACTGCACTGGTCAAAATAAGTATGCAAATACAATTTTGGATGATATATTACAATAATAATAGTGATCTTAATTGCGCTCCCAAACACCAAGTTTCTGGCTTTTATATCTCATCAGAGGAGTCTCCGCTACTATAAGTTCCAAGAAGATTCAATCCCATTTTATAATCCCTGCTATCATTGACAGCAACAATGTCCTTTGTTTTTCATCACTAGCTATTGTTTTCTTCTTTACTAATGAGCCAAGACTAACCTTAAGAGTACCCACGCTTTTTTCCCAAGCTTTTACTTTTTTTCTTTGTGGTTCAATTGATATTTCATCATCCTAAAAATGTAAATTTCCATTTCTAGCATAAAATCCTTCTAAAATACTTCTTTTTCTCTTAAAAACAGGGGCAGAAAACCACGTAAAAGGGGAAAATGTCAATTACATATTGAAACATGACAAAAACCTGCACAAGAACATCTGTTGCCTTGTTTTTGGAACAAGATTCGACATTGTGCTGTCGTTTCAAGTTACTCTTGTAACTTTCATCGTCACTCTCGGATGATTCTGATTCCAGTCGTTTTTCAAGTCTTTTTTTACCAAATACAGACCTTTGATAGAACAATGATATGTTTCCTCATTCAAAGAATGTCATTGCACAAACATTAATTTTAATTTACATCCTTAACTACAATTACTAACTGTACAAGTTCCTCATCTTCTTCAGCTTGTCTTTCTTCTATTTCTTTGGCATATTTCATATTTTGTTGAAGCAATAATTCATGATCAACTGTAAGGTAACACAACACAAACAATGAAAACAATGCCCAAAGACATGTACGATATTTTTTAGGTGAGTTTTTAAGACTTTCAAACGTGACTGATACCAACTATTGCATAAACACTGAAACAATAAGGTGTAGATTAGTACCAGAAGCATGTCTCGCATTCAAATCTCTTAATTCTTCCAACTTTTCCAAAATGTCCATTTCTTGTTTAGACTCTTTTGTTCTATTCTCCAAAGCCTGTAAGATATTTTTATAAATATCTGATTTCTTTATCAGGCACTAATAAGAAACATAGAGAAGTACCTTCATTGGATTGTTTAACTCTTCTTCTTCTCTTTCTTTCTTCAGTCTCTCCTCTTCATCCTCAGCACGTTTAATTGCTTGAAAATTTCTTGTCGCACCTTTCTCAGCAACATAATCAGTGTTTTCTGGATCTGTCTGTCAAAATGAACAGTTAACAGAGTTTACTAAATTTTATGAAAAATAAGCGAAAAAAAATTCCAGAATATATTAGTGAAAATCATGAAATGTGTAGGTTTGATTAGTACCTTGAAAGTTATTTCACTGATGCAACGTGGACATCTTATATAAAATCTATAGATTTCCAATCCTAAATATGTTTCATTTTGAACTGTCTCCTACAGCAAACAAATTTAAACATCAAGTTCAGGTAACTAAAATAAGACTATACACTAATCATTCTTACCTTACGTGCATTGAACTTCTTTCCTTTGTATATATATTCACCACATGTGTTGCATCTAGATTACACAAACATTTCTCTTTATATTCACACAACTAAACAAAGACATGCAGCAGAACAGCTGAAAGTGGCTATAAAATATATGTTTAGTGAGTTTATTGGAAACTTACCTCATGTTAAAGGGAGCCATAAGTCTGACAACATATTGTCTATACCTATCAAGCTTCAGTTTTGGAAGTTTAGCTGGATCAAAGTCCGGAGGGAAATATTTCTACAAATGGCAATAAAATATTGTGAAGCTACATAATTGTTGATAATTCCTCATATTAGGTATAAATATAATCAATTTCTTATAAACATATAACATGAACGTAGATTTTAATCAATTCAAAAGCAAGTTTGCAAACTTATAAAGCCACTTACATTCAACACCTTTCTTTCCGCCATCTTTACTCGAATATAACGCTGACACACTGATCTATGTAACGTCTCTGTGGCTATTAAAGCTGGTACGCAAGACGTACATGGATTTTCAAACAATATCATGTGGTTAGATATAGTTTCATCCTTCCGTTGCCTTAGTGATGATTGATTAGATCATGTAAACACGATGTATGAACTAATATTTCAGGCATAATATACTTAAATGCATTTAAAATGATTTCAATGATTATTTTAGCTAGTGCTCATTAGTTAGCTCGCAAGATAATGCATAATCCTAAATGGTAAACTTAGATTCAAGTTATCAAAACAAGACCATTAGAAGTGTAATATTTTGGTAATAAAACTATATTAATTATATAAATAAACTATATAATTTATATTTAATGAAATTTTCGTCTGGTCAAGGATTTAGCTCGTAAGATAAATCCATTACATACAAATTCGATTTTCCAGCTATGCAATTTCTTAGCAAAAGTTTCAGATTCTTAGCAAGCTTTTGGTGCAGTGTTCTGGGATTTGAGCCCAGAGGCCAAACAAATAAATTTATATAGAACAAATAGAAAGTCGGTGATGGCTCGAAAGCAGACGAATACGAACCCTTCATGCCTATCCTTTGGCCCCAAACAAGGACACTTTTTTTTACGGCGAAACAAAATGAAGGGAAAACCGGCGAATCCGGTAAAAAACCCTTCAAGAAAAAATTCTTCAAAAATGATTTTGAGAATTTTACAAAATTTTGATGTTCATGAAGTTTTAAACGCCTTCATAAATCCCAATGCTCTTTTTCATGCAGCATGCACTGCATAAAACATTTTTTCATATGAGTAAGCGTGTTAAATATGAACAAGCGTCACATCGTTAGTTCTGCAAAACCAATCCAATCATGCATTCCAAAATAATGAGTTCAGGCCTTTTGATCATTCCAGTATACACAGTAAAATGTACATGTGGATATAATTTAAATGGTTCAGTCAGTTATGTTAAAACTGTAAGAATCCATACCTGATCTGATAGAAAGCCTATTACTTCTACGTCGCCACTGAAATCGACAGCATTGCCAAAAATCTTATAAATTATTAAAAGAAACTTTAATTCCTTTCGGAAACTTGCTGTTCAAACCTTATGATTTTTATTTTTATTAGAGGTTGTGATATGCTAAAGTAGTTGCCGGAATATTTAGATTTGCCTATTTGCAGTGGTACACTCGTTAAAGACCAATGCTATTTCTTACATAAAAATTTAGGTCTTTAAACAAGTGTACTCTTCCATCTGACGTCTCACATCTTTTGTTCCAACGTGTCTTTTGATAATGCCGAACGCTTCAAATGATCACGGTTGTAGCTATGTACCAGAGATATTCGACAGGCCTTTACGTGAGAACTTTATCCAATTCATCTCATCTGGATATTTTTCTATTACCAGCAACAACACCGCTTTTTCCAAAAGTATCTAAAAAATATTCTAGAAAGAGTTAGTTTTCAAAGCTTATCTTGTAATGATTGTTCATGCAGCGTTTATTTTGTATCGTAATTGAAATTGTACCGTTCTATGTTGTACAATGATGTTCTATGATGTTCTATGATGTTGTATATTGTTGTATGTTGTTTTATGTTGGTGTATGTTTGTCTATGTTAGTCTATGCTGGTCTATGACATGAAAAATAGTCTAACTATTTTTCAGTGCGATGGAACACAGCTGTAACTGGAATGATCAGAAAAGACCCAAACATGTACACTTAAATGATCAGAAGCAAGTAAAACATAGAAAATCAGTGATTACTACTTCGTTGGATGCATTCAGCTAATAAATACACGCGCGTAGCATAGCCAACACACTTCTTCGTAATAATACACTTAAAAAGCGATGCAATATTTGAAATCACGACATGCAAATTAGACACATGTTAAAACACATGCACAACTAAAATTGTGTGACGTATTGAAAAAGACCATTGGGATTAACTTCACAACTTGCATCACACGCCTTCAGTGTGTGTGTGTGTGTGATTGCAACGAATGTGAAGCACGACCTATTTTAGCAGTACATTACTCCATTGTAAACCTGAATTTTTTCCATGTCATCCTCTTCTTCGATCTTTAACGTTCAACCACGTTGCCATTACTTTGTACTATGAATTACTGCCCTTCGAGTTCTCTGCAACTATCCGTCATCACTGATAAATTATCCGCAGTACTGAGTTTGGACAGCTAAAAAACTGTTCCTTTGACGTACGTTAAAGTAATAAGCTTATTCTGTATACCCAAAAATCCAATGGCAAAAGTACTGAAATAACGTCGTACTTTTCGAGCAAGAAATTTAGGAAGTTTTATCCCTAGAGACAAACATACCTCAGCACCTCAAATTTCCATTTCCAAAAATGTACAATAAATCCATGAAATCACGATACCATCGAATCCGAAGCTAGGCTCCTCCATCCATTATTGGTTAACGAGCAAACAAGTTCAAGAAAGCAAGCAGATACGGTACATTCCCACAACCAAACTAGCCGTGATTATAAAACAAGTTCATAAAAGGCAGCACAGCGTATATCGGGAACATGTCGACACTCTAGCTATATCACCGCTGTTGTGAATATCAGCTGATCAAATGTATAATGGTGGGGCCCTTCACCATTACATACATGGTCAACCGTATTCACACCGGGTGATCAACTAAAGTGATAGACATGGTTTGCGACTGGTCAATGGTTAGCGATAAACACACTCCAAATTTCACTCTAGCAATAGAAAAGAGAAGAAAATATATTTTATTTCAAAGAATCACACTGCAAAAAACAAACAAACAAGGGAATATCTAAATTCCGCAAAATTGCTATAAATGGAATAGAGCCATGAAAATATATTCACCAAAGCACGTACGCAACTAACCTCGATTCACCATCAAACCAGGTTTTCAAACAAATAACTTACCAGAACATTTTCCATTGCTGATGTCGCATGTCTTTGCCAGTCATTAGTTTGTCAACCAACGCTAGGAATCGAATGAATTCACTTGATAAAATGCTCAGTCACATTCAAGTGTAATGAGCACGCGACCGACTAACGGCAATTCACTGGCATTGTCGATGTTTTCGGCATAAGTAAGAGTTAAAACAAGACGAAATTCGATGTTCAAAGACCAAACAAGCCATACGATGCAACATATTGGCGGGTCAGATCCTCTCCAATATTCAAGAATAACATTTTTTCAAGACACAATTCCTATTCTTCGTCGTGAGATTTCAACAAACTGACGGACGACGCAGACAAGACGCAAGCATTTATTACTGTTCAAGCTACGTTTAATTATAATCACGTTACACAATCATCTGTTCTGATTGGACAATGGAGATACGTCAATTTATAAAGACAGTAACCATTTAGGCTATAGGGAGTTGCGGCAATAATAGAATAATAGAAATTCTGACAACACAACAGAGCGAGCAAATTAATGGTGCAACTCAGGATAAAGTCATGCATTCTCCACTTGATAACAGCATTGCATATGAAACGAGGCTTTCTTTTTTCTCTCGCTTAATCCCAAGTGGCAATTATATGACAAGCTATTGTAGTGACCATCAAAACTCGGACACAAATCACCACACCTTTATAAAGTCTAACGACAGTTATACCATTTCCTAAATATTGTGAATTTCAAGCTGAGTACAATATGCCATGAATGGAATTAAAAAGCAATTAATATCCATCAATTCAACCGTAACTAATTAAGTTTTCGTGGTTGTTTTGCACCATGTTTCCACCCCCCCCCAAAATTATACAAATGGCTATTATGAGTTCCAGCCAACTAGGGCTAACGCTATTGTTTTGTTAAATCCACTAGGCTACAAATCAAAAATATGGTTAACGTATAATTGCATGATGAATTATTTATAATGCTACCAGTGGCTAAGTTCAATTCACTTTAAGTATCAGTGTGGTCAATCTAATTGAAAATTTCCTTCATATGTTCATTTATCATAATTAATGGTGCCCTTTAATCATATCCTCAAGCTTCACAGAATCAGCTGCAAACTTTCTAATCCCCTCAGACAATTTCTCGGTAGCCATGGCATCCTCATTGAGCAACCACCTGAATGCTTTCTCGTCCAAGGTAATCTTTTTGATGTCCATAGCTGCAGCTGAAATAAAGCAGAAACAGAACTTCAATTTAATATTAATGTCAAAGATATGCTAAACCTATTCAATGAATGATATACATCACAATAACATGTTACAATTAAACTTTTCCTAATAGGCATATAAGTCTATTACAGTGAGTGCCTCCAGTCAACAATACATGAAAAACATTTTAATAATCAACCAACCAGCTTCAGGAGATAATTTCCTCTGAACATTATCTTTTGAAGAACTAAGTATGTCCAATAGTTTTGGGCTGAAAAAATAACAGGTATATCAAAGAATATCACAACAAATAGAGAATTCCTTAAGTTATATTATACATAAATACATACATACCTAATTGTCAAGAGATCACATCCTGCCAGTTCAGTAATTTGCCCAATGTTCCGAAATGAGGCCCCCATCACAACTGTTTTGTAGCCAAACTTCTTGTAGTAATTGTAGATACCAGTGACACTCTTTACACCTTGGATTGTAATCAAAGCATTTAATACATTGACCTTCTTCAAAAACACAAAAACACACCAACCTGGATCATCAGCCGGGGCATAAGTTTTTTGGTCAGTATTTTTAACATACCAATCAAATATACGTCCAACAAAAGGTGAAATCAAAGTGACTTGAGCCTCGGCACATGAAACTGCCTGTATTGCAACATAAGTGTAATGTTGAAACCTATTATATACATATATGAATTAAAGGTAAAACACAAAATACCTGTGCAAGGCTAAAGAGAAGAGTCATATTGCAATGAATTCCTTCCTTTTCCAAAATTCTACCAAAAAAACCCCACGAAATTAACATGAAATGTAATGTTATGAAATAAACAAGAAAAAAACACAACAGTCATATTTCTTGGATTATTGTGCAACTCACTCAGCAGCTTTAATACCCTCCCAAGTTGAGCTTAGTTTGATCAAAATTCTCTCTCTGTTGATTCCATCTTTTTCATAAAGGTTAATCAAGCGCCGAGCTTTCTTCAATTGTCCTTCAATGTCAAATGAAAGTCTACAAGTAAAGATGAAATTCTTGCTTATCTCACAATAACATTTAATGTAAAACTCTCACTCAAAGGTATAACCTTGCATCAACCTCGGTAGAAACACGACCAGGAACAATCTTTAGTATTTCTTTACCAAACAGCACATACTACACAAAAGATTTATAATGGTTTGAAACAAATATTTTCAAGCATAATCAACAAATAAACATATTTACCATACCAACATATCCATTGTCATTTCAACTTGCTCATTGTTGTCCCTAACCATGATAAAGTCAATTCATATTATTTCATACATATAATGAAATTGTTAGTTTGAGTAGAATCAGCAGACAGCAACACTTGACTTATGCTTGGTTAAAATGCTGGGCAAGTGATAAATATGTCACATTTTTGCGAGCAAAAAGCATTTTGCAACAATAATTGAGATGAACGTCAATCATTGAAATTACATAACATTAAAATGAGTCAATTTGCCATATTATATGAAAAAAATAACTTGCAATTAAACATAAAAACAAAACCATTTCATGTTAACACTAATCAACAAAGAATGGCACAATAATTTTTAACAAATGGAAAAAATCCTGCTTAATTTAACAAATTACAGCACTATACATTAATACGCCAAAAGAATCATCACTAACTTCCCATTTTCTTTGCCATATTTCACAGCTGTATCGAGTAAGTGTTTATACTCGGGCATCTTAGAAGCTGCCAATATTAATGATGGATTTGTGGTAGCATCTGTAGGCTTAAACTTGTCAATTGCTGTAAATCATTTAAACACCAGGAAATTGTCAAGTTCTGCTGCATGGATTTAATCGAAAATATAAACAGTATATCGTAAATACCTTTAAAATCACCAGTATCAGCAACAACTGTTGTGTATTGCTTTAGTTGTTCCAGTGATGATGCCATTGTAAATAAAGTAATGTTCAAAGATATGAAACAGATCGCTTCTGTACACTGCAATTGTTGATATGCAGTCGGCAGGAGAATGAAGTAATGCAGAGTTACCCCTGTCCAGTGACAACCTGTGACAACTCGAGCATAAAATTTTGGTCACGTGATTAAATATCTATGGTAATATCATGTTATTTGAGGGAAACGACAAGCTACACGTTTTCCAAATGTATTATAATAATTTTACAACGTCATATCACCTGTAGCGTATCCAGGGTTACTAAGAATACATCAATGCAATGAAAATTTTTACCATTTTAAAAGACTTCAGAGCGTATCCTATTGGGAGTACTTTGGTCATAATTAAAATACTCTTTTGAATTTTCTAACCAACAGCGCGTGTCATCACGGGTTCATATCATCGATGTAGGAAGCAATTGGGGAGTGGGTGGGTGTATTTTTGAGGACCCCCTGAATTTTCTATTTGGGGGGCTTAGCTTACCAAAAATATAAGTTAACATTGCCAAAAGCTATACATCCTTTTTCGCTGTAACTTTTCCAATGGACTAGAAGGATAACTATCAATGCTATCAGTTTTAGTGAAGACAGTAAACAAGCAGAACTTTTGCTAAGATGAAATCCTAATTGTGGATATAATTTGAATTAGCACGATTTGCAGGTCATTTCAATATACAGTAGATATGATTTATGATCATCAAATAAACGAGACTATGGTAGAATTTTCTTTTCGTCGTCGTTACAAATTATCCTATAGTATCCTAATTATCCTTTACGACAATCCTAGTTTGCAAAAATATGTCCCATTGGGATCCAAATGTTCTTGCATTCCACAGAGTGATATAGGAACTCATGACCCTGTCCTTGTTCACTGTTCAACCAGTCACGTGGTTCCCCATAATCAACCCATGTACGTTTTATGTTCTCAGCTGAAACTGCTTCGACAAACTTGGAACCTTCCGCTGAACCAAAGTACCACATTCCATGGACATTCTGATGTTCAGCTAAATATTTCGTCACGTGATCACGATCACCGGTTAAAATATTTACCACTCCCCCGGGTAGATCTGACGTGTCCAGTATCTACGTGATTAAAGTTATGTATTAAATATAAAATGGCAAACAACGTGGTGTTGTATAACAGTTTTATAACTTATAAACATTTCGATGTTCACTCGCTGTTAAACAATAAATTTCTCAATAAATAAATAATGCAAATGATCCAATATTTACATTGAACGACTAAACCTACAGGCTGGTTACGGGCAAATGTAACCTACCTGGTACAGATCAGCTCCTATAACAGGATGCTTCTCACTTGGAACAACAATCACAGTGTTTCCACGTGAAATTGCCGGTAAAACCAGAGAAACGAAAGCTAAAAGTGGAAATTCATCAGGGCATGCTATACCAACAATACCAACAGCTTCGTGTACTTTTATCGTTGTGCCGCTAAAGTTGGTTTCCTGGAGAAATAATTACATTTCAGTAGTTTCATACAATGATTTGGGGGAACAACACTTGAGTGTTTAAAACAGCGATAAGGGGATCACCCTTGTCCTTTGTGGTGTAACATGGTGATTTGGGGATTATATAAGTACTGAACATTGAACTAAAATACATGGAACGCTATCTGAAGCAATGAATTGAAGACAAATCTTACACCCAGACACGCGAAATTACACCCCGACACGCGTGTTTAATGTTTCGAGATTCTCTCGCGTAGTGAAAATTGATCGATTACACACGCATGTCTGGGTGTAAAATTTGGATTGAAAAAATTATTAGGCTTTTCTATTACAGGTACCGTTCCATGTATTTTTGTTCAATGGCACTGACACACATTGATTGGGGGATCACATAATGGTGTTACAGGATAATAATGGGAATATTATGGATCAGATAGTATAAATATTTTTTTTACATTACCTGAACAGTTCCACCGTATTTATCAGCATAAGCAGCCCAATAAAACACACGTTGCACAGCCATCTTTACTTCTTTCCTTGCTTCGTCGAAATCTTGGCCAGTCATTGCGCATATCCTTTGCGCAAATTCTTCTTGACGCAATTCAATATTCTCAGCGATGTAGTAAAGGACCTGGGCTCTACTGTGACTTGATTTCTTACACCAACTACATGATATGAAATGCAAACGAATTAAAAAAGTAGCAAACACAACTGTTCACAATCCTTTCATGCACAAATTGAGATATTTCATTAAATAACAAATCGAAATCCGTTTCTTACCCAGCCGAGGCTTTTGCAGCTGCTTCTACAGCATCTCTGACGTCTTTCCTGTTACTTTCAGCAACAACACCAATTACTTCTCCTTTACTATTCACAACTGGTCTGCCGTATTGTGCATCGGGTCTCTTTTGAGCACCACCAATGTAGTTCTTGTAGGTGTGATCGATGCTAAAAAAAAACCCTCCATAAATTAATTGTTGATTCTTCAACATATGGAAACAGATCTTTAATTGTGAGTTGGGGCCTTTCACTTGACTCGAGTACATATAAGACCCCCCACGAGAAAAGCTCTATTGTTGGTAAGTTATAAAAGTTATGCTCATCACGATTTGCATCGTCTGGTGTTCAATAGAGTAAATGTAGTATGCCGTAAACGACTTCGTGCGCACGCATAATAATATGCCAAATCATATCGTCAATACCATGGAATATCGTCGTCCACTGCACTATGAATAGCTGGATTGATACAAGGATTTTTTGGTCTGGGCGGTGAAGTTGAACCAAATTTCTTAATATCATAATTCGCTATTTTCGTTCGTACACGATTCTGCCATGAAGGTTTCACATACTCGTAGAGACCCTTAAGAATTGATCATGACGTCTTCAATGAGAAAATGAATTTGAATATTGTACCTCCCCCTACCTACGAGACTTGTACCTCTTTACCACCATCTCGTCCAAAACCACTTTGTTTCATGCCACCGAAGCCAGCACTCGCATCAAACATGTTATGTCCATTGATCCAAACACATCCAGCACGAATACAACGAGCAACTTCCATTGCAAGACCAATATTCTCCGTCCAAACACTAGATGCAAGACCGTACATGGTGTTGTTTGCAAGCGCAATGGCCTCCTTTGCTGTACGAAATGTTAGAACCACCAAAACTGGACCAAACACCTTCATGTTAAAGTGCACTTTTAATCGTAACATATCTTTGATGCAAATAAATTTCAAATGACATGAACATACCTCTTCTTGCACAATATGTGAAACAGGTTGAACGTTAGTTATTAAGGTTGGTGGATAAAAGTAACCTGATTCAGGCATTGATGCATAACACTGAAAAACATGAGCCCCACAACTTTTTGCATTTTGCACTAACTTATCAATTGACTTCCGCTGCGAAGGATCCACAATGGCTCCCATGTCTATAGATTTATCCAAAGAATGTCCAAGCCTTAGATGGGACATACGCTCTTTAATCTTTCTTAACAGTTTCTCTGAACAGCTATCTTGAACAATCAAACGAGATCCTGCACTACAAACCTCAAGAAACACATCTTCAAGTATTAGACTATCATTTCATTGATTCATATCTTCTTCTACTGACTCAAAAAAAGGCATTTGAAAAGTATCAATAACTACAAATAATTTTCTATAAGTATACCTGTCCTTGATTGAACCATATTGCATCGACAATTCCCTCAACAGCACTGTCTAAATCTGCTGAATCAAACACAATAAAAGGTGATTTACCACCTAACTCCAAAGATAACTTCTTCCCAGTGCCAGCAGTTAGACGTCTTAAAATTTGTCCAACCTAAAGCATTTTCATTCATGAGTTCAGGCAAAAAAAAAAAAAAAAATAATAAGAATTTGATTTGCCTGTGTAGAGCCAGTGAAAGCAATCTTATCAACATCATCATGGCACACCAATTGACTTCCGAAATCTGAGTTTCCCGTGACAACATTAAAAACACCAGCTGGAAGACCAGCCTCAGCACAAATTTCCGCAAAAAGTAAAGAGGAAAGCCGGGTGTAGCTTGCTGGTTTTAAAACAACTGTATTTCCCATAGCTAATGCAGGACAAACTTTCCAACAAGTTAGCATCAATGGAAAATTCCAAGGGACAATTGCACCAACAACACCAATAGGGGACCATCCTTAATATGACAAATTGAGCTATAACCTAACCCTTTAAGATTCTTCAATACTACATTTTGATCTTCCTACCCTTCATCTCTTCATTTACAAGCTCAGCCCATCCAGCATGGTGGTATAAATGTCTTACGACATTTGGAATATCACAATCTCTTGATTCTCGTATGGGTTTGCCATTGTCTAGACTTTCAACAACAGCAACAAGTCTCATATGTTTCTGTACATGACGAGCAATGCTATAGAGGTAGCGAGCTCTTGCATGTCCAGACAGTTTACTCCAGGATTTGAATGCTTTTCTAGCTGCTGCAACTGCCATGTCCAAATCTTCGTGTTCTCCTTGGATTGTGGAAGCAATTTTTTCACCTGGATTAAGGATAAGGATTAGGTCAAGCCAACAGACATAATTTGTGAATAGGTTGATGATTATGCTCAATAATGATGTTGAAACTGCACAAATTTATTGTGTAAACAAGTTTGAATGTAAGAGAACACTCCTTGCAAAACACCCTTCAATTCTCCACGGAAACAATTTCCACAATTTTAACACGTGATAATTATCAAGATATAAAGAATTGAAATATCACGAGGTACAACAGACCTGTACAGGGATTTCTAGTTTCGTAAATCTTCCTTCCTTCAGGTTTAATCCACTTGCCATCTATAAAATGTCCGAATGATCTTTCATGGTCATCCAACCAACCATCGGCTGGCATACTGGACTCAGGAGCAGGTCCGTAATCTAAACTTACAAATATGTCCGACACAGACGGTTTAGCTTTTCCAAACTTAATTGAATCCAAACGTTCGACTTTGTTTGCTACAGCAGAAGCGTTCGACATTTTGAAGCATTAGGAATGCGCTGAACTATTAAAAAAATATAAAATGTACGCTCTTCATCGCTGAAACCTGAGAGCTCCAACACTCCGTCAGGTAATTCTTGATTTCTTGATGTTTATACGGTACTTCCACTTCGTTAATCAACTTCAATGAACAGGGTATTGTTGCATGTTTGGACACAAATTAAAATGCAAAAATAATTTTATTGGATATTTAAGATGTTACAAAGTCCTAGGATAATGCGTATTTTCTCAAATTTAGTTGATTCTAATTGCACTTTATTCAATTTTCGAAAAACTATTATAACATTTGTAAGTGCTTATACAAAGTAATAATTGACTTTGGAAAATAATCTAATTCAGTATTTTCTGGAAAACTTCATTTTCATCACCCTCTTTCAAAACAGTTACAGGAATCAATGGGTGCTGCGTTTTCATCAAATAATTCTGATAAAGAAAAATAAACATTTAAAATAAAAATTTTCAAGCAAATGTACTTGGGACAACCTTCAATTATATAGATGACTTTTTTTGGATGGAGTTCATTATTTTGCAAAGTGTATTTGTGATCTTACTCGCATGTGCTGCATCTAAAGTGGATTGCAACCTTCGCCAGCAAACTGACTTATATACCTTCTTGCCCAGTGTTTAGGTTATGGGACTCAACATTTGATGAATTGGCAAATTTACGAACCACATAAACAACATTTTGTTTTACTACATTAACCCTTTGACAGATTATGAATAAATGAACAGTAAAAACTTACATGTGCATATGTCAAACCATTCTTTTTCTCGCCCTCACTGGCACCTCTGCCAACCCAAACAAAGAGTTCTTTGCCAGTATCAGCAATAAACACTGCAGCATTCAAATGAAAAATTTTTTAAACTCAGATTATGATAGAAAGAACAAAATGTCCTCACCATCTTCACTTCGCAATTGATCTTTAGGAATACTTCCTTCACTGACAAGGGTCATAGCCAATTTCCCATCTTCGTCACTTAATCTTCAAATATTATAAATTTTCAATAATTGAAAGATATTAAATCAAAATGCTTTGATGCCTCTAAATATGTTACGTATATTTTTTATTACAATAAATGGCTTTTCAACACAAAATATTGAGATTGTAGTCGTGAAGGTGCCCACATACAAAGATGAGGAAATTATTTAAGAGCATAGATGTACTCAATTAAGTCATAACGTCAGCTAAGTTTACCTTGTTACCATAAATAAGTAAGAAATTGATGTGCTCACCTGAGGAGTTTAGGACTGAAACTATCTGAATCATCCTCTTCATCATCCTTGAACAAATAATTAGTTTAAATCAATCTGTAAATCTAATTAACCTAATCTTAATCTTAATTAATCTTAATCTAATCTAATGTGAAATATAATGCTACCTCATCAGCGGGTGGTTCACCATCTTTCAACAGTTCCATTATACGTTCAGTCAGAGGGCCATCTATACCATAATAATTTTTAAGTTAGAAAGTATATTCCATTATCACAGAAATATTCATGTAGCTTCAAAACTAGCAAATGAAGTTCAAATACCAAAAGATTTAACTTTCGGTTTGCCAAAGCGATCACTCTGTAAAAAAATTACAATCAAAATGAAAAACTACAACTGCAAAAAAGTGGTTTATAAAGGCCATAAAAAAACCTTCAATGTTTGTAGGTATTGAACAGCTTTGAACTTTTCATCTTTATTGCAACCTTCTCCATTCCACTAAAAGTAAGAAAACATAAAATTTTTATCTTTATGAACAAAGGGCACAAGTCCCATTTAAATAAGTGTGTGTGTGGGGGGGAATGAATGGTTCAGGGTGCAGTAATAAATGGCCAGCTATCAGCATGAGAAGAGGTGTTAGAAGGGGGCTTGCCCATACCAGCCCCTTCCAGGATTTGCACCTTTGTTATAAATATAGATCCCGGCTCAAAATTAAATTATTTTAAATACCAGTTATGTATTACCTGAATAATTTCAAGTCCATTATCAATAATGAATACATCACCACTGGATTTTTCTAAGACACTTTTGTAAGGTGGCACTTCTTTAATGGTTACTTTTTTCTACATAGATTGCAAAATGAAAGAATTACAGTTAACCATAAAGACCCTGGAGTTTTTTCCTGATTCAATTTTATTTATGATACATTTGTCACAAGGGACATCAGAGGGTTAAGATTCAAGGTGATCCATCATTATCCTTGGGTAAACAACATTCAACATCTACTAACTTTGTCTCCTTTCACTTGAAGGAGTCGCAATTCATACTCCTCGGGCTTCACATGTCTAAAGCCACTCTGAAAACTGAAAAAAAAAACAAGAGAAGATTGAATTGATAAATGTATGTTATTTCAATACAGGAGCACACAATATTGGAATGATGTATGAGGGGAAGGTGTAACACAACCAGTTTTATTCAGCTGTGTATAAAAAATCTATCAACATGATTGATGATAAAAATATTAGTTTGGCTAAAACTGTGAGCTTATATCTATCATTGCAAAAGATAATCCCAGAAAGGAACCTTTTAACTTTTTATGGGAAGTACACCCTGGGTTGATTATTTGCACATATATATATAATCTGAAAAACCTACCCTCCTTTTAACAAAGTGATGTGCTCAAAGTATGATTTGAATAAGTCACTTTCATGATTCATCACTTCACGATGCTGGACAGGCTTGTCATCCAACTAAAGTTAAAAAAACACACACACACAAAAAAAGTAATGCTGATTTATTTCGTAGACAAACATTATTTTCTCCATGTATATTCATTTCATTTCTTACATATGTGTCGACCTCCACAGTCTTGTATGCAGCTGTTCCATACTCGTCTTGGGTTGAATATTGCCCAATCCAAAAATGAACATCATGAAATAATTCCTGTTATGATAAAAAAGAACTTATCAAACATTGAAGCTTGTTCAAACTGATATCTTGCAATGATCACATGAGACATATATGAAAATACTTTAATCATAAACATAACTTACTTCGCTCTCTGGTTTGCGATACGTGTTCAAAACTATGTAGGAATCCCCATTGTAAAATTTTCCATACTCTTCTTTTTGTTCATGAACGACCTACACAATTATTTATGCTCTTTCATGATACATTTTCATAAAAACGTAATTATTTTACTGGTCTTCAAGATGCAAATTTTATTAACATACATATTTTTACAATTTTGTAAGCTGTTCTGCAAGTTTATAAATGTTTATATTCATTCAGCACTTTCTACCATCTTAAAATACCGAAAAGAAACACAAAGATATGGGGAATAATCCTTTCTTTAATAATTGATAGAACAAAGCTCAAAATATTACGATTTTGTGAAAACAAATTTTCAACAATTTGACAGTTAACACTTAACACAAACAATCGGCCGTCGAAACGAGTATGTTTAGCTAGAATTAAAAATTCTTTTCATTTTACTCAATCAACATTATATGAGACTACTGAGTTTGTTTCGTTTCGTAAGTACAAAAATAACAAGAATTATCGACATTCAAGTATCATCTCTTGAACAACAACAAAATATCTAACCAAATAAGGTATCGTCTTCAAACTGACCAATTAAAACGCTGTATGAAGCAGACCAATTTTAGCATAATTACTAAACGGTATGGGGCACACCTACCTTGTATATAATATTAACTCAAAACAACTCAAGTTGGTGTCAGCTTTGACAAACTTATCATTTAAACTATAGAATTAGCGCACCTTAAATTTTCTTATTCTCCATATCTGAATGCCTGGTCGTTCGCCAGCGTTTTTCCAGGCAGGCTCTGTTTTTGCGGAGTCTTTTTTGACCTGAGAAACAAGAACCAGTTTAAACTTAACACCTTGTTGTGCAAAATAACACACAAATAATTTAAATAGGAATGGCAATTTTAATAACACTGTCAAAGAAAAATGTTGAACAATACTTGGAAATTTTAACAAGCGCAACACTGCTAAACCCACCAAATACAAAGTACAATTTACAATATCTAAATACCACGACACTATTATCTTTAATATCCAAGCAAAAATGTAGCAAACGACTTTAAGTTTTTAATTATGTAATATTGAACATCAGAAGCAGACAATCGGTCTAATTTCCAACGAACAGTAATATCATTGAATGAAATAATACAAAATTATCTACTTTTTTATGATGAATTTTGTTCTTTTATGTGGAAATAAGATGGACTGACCGCACACTGCGGCGCAACAGAAAAGTAAACATAAGGATATATTGAGGATGGCGTCTTTGGTGGAGCCATTTGACGAACTAATTGGCGGATACCTTTGATTTAAACTCAAAAGTAAATCAAGGTGAAATCACTAGCATTTGATGGAAAAGTAGAGGATTTTGGTTGTAGTGATCACCAAATCGTCGATTGAAATTCGATAATTATTCAGTAGATTTTCATGGCAATAAATCTCGGTATATCATACCTGTTTCTCTGTGTCTGAGCCAAATAAGGCTAAATTTGAGTCCTTCCAATCATACTTTTTGGCCTTCACGAGTCCTGACATATTCTTCGATGTATTTCCACAGATATTTCTCCAGAATTCTTCGTGACTTCGTTCAAGCTTCTCCGAAGGGCGCTGTCAGTCTGTCTGGACTACTGAACTATATAAAAGCCTGGAGTAAAGGCACACCCCACTAGACAATCACACTACCTACAAGCGTAAAAATAACAAAGTTACCAAGGCAAAGATAAATTTATTGTTTCCACACCTTTCCATAAACGTTCGCTTTAATGTATTGGCATTTTACTCCAAAGTTGAAATAAAAGGTCACTTTGTTTAAATCTACCGACAAATTAACCATAAATAGTTTCACTCTTATCCCTTTTCCCCACGTTAATTTCTAGGACAGAGGCGTTACTCGCATTTCGCGTAAACGACAAACATATTTTTGGTTTCGAATGACGTAAATTGATGACGTACATGATTGTTTAAAGAAATGTTCAACACTCAAAAGCTCCAAATATGCCGGGAAAACTACATTATAAAATATTTAGAAGACTAAGGGAATTTACTGAAGCATCGCATACGATCATATTAAAGCATTAAAATGAAGTAAAGCAATTTGAAAAATGATAATGTACATCAAGCAAAAAAAGCGTAAGGTTCAAGTGAATAGAACGGACATTTGTTGTTTAATTCAAGCTTCATAATGCATAAAATACACAAATTACGTAAATCTTAGGCCCTGATTTCCTAAAGCTATAACAAGTTAGAACAAGATGAGAATTTTCGTTAAATTACTTCGAATCATCAGACAATCAGAATGGGAATTAGAATTCACATTCTAATGAATTAGAATCCATATTCTTATGAATTAGAATCAATATTCTTATGAATTAGAATCAATATTCTTATGAATTAGAATCAATATTCTTATGAATTAGAATCAATATTCTTATGAATTAGAATCAATATTCTTATGAATTAGAATCCATATTCTTATGAATTAGAATCTATAATCGAAAGAATTCAAATTCGAATCATCCATCGCCTCTGTCGAGCAACAGAGTAATGAACAGAAATGGTAATTACATATTAATAAGCCACAAAGACATGAAGTGTTGGTTCCCCGAAAAAACGTTATCAGCTTGTGCATTGCATCGCAAAGTTTTCCTCGTTGCTATCAGGAACACTGACGTATGATAACCAAAAACAAAACCAAGATCTCAACAGCTTTTTGAATGCAGTACGAAACGTATCATTGAATAGCCAATAAATTACAGGGTTGATGGCCGAGTTTGCATGAGACATGAAGAAGCCAAGAAAAAACAAATGAGGAGAAACGCCACATTTTGGTTGAGCGACATACATAATAAATTGAGCAATGAACGATGGCAACCAGCACACGGCAAATGCCAAAACAATTAACACGAGCATTTTTATGACCTTAACGGCAACGGATCTATCTTTTTTCGACTTGGTCAAACAATCTCCAGGCGTCTTGTGTTGCCAAAGAAACCAACTTATGGCCGTATATAAAATTGCTATCACCAATAATGGAAGCATGTACATAAAAACGAAAAGGATGACGGTATATACCTTAGGAGACGACGCTGTGTCAAAGAGTGGACCCCACTCCTCCACGCAGAAGGTCTGGTTAGCCAGAGCACTAATCTTCATAGCATACAAAGTAGGTGACTGTAACAGAACAGCAAAGAGCCAGCATAAACCGATCATAATATTACAGCAACGTTGATCGATGTATTTTTTGTAGGGAAAAATAATGGCGGAGAAGCGGTCAATGGCGATGCAAGTCATCGTAAATATGGAACAAGATACCGATATACCTGCAATAAAACGACGAATTACTCAAAAGAAATTTTTTTAAAACAATACATTCCAAAGAAAATATTGGTGAGATAGATGCACGCAGTGTAACAATTGCACTTCACCCCTGTTGCACTTCCACTCCTTCACCTTCACTTGCACCCAACTCTTCTTCTCCACCTACACGGCACCCAACTCATTCTCCACCCACATTGCACTCCTCTCCACCTACACGGCTGCACTCCACTCTTATTCTCCACCTACACGGTTGCACTCTGGTTGCACCCAACTCTTATTCTCCACCTACACGGCTGCACCCAACTCTTATTCTCCACCTACCCAACTCTTATTCTCCACCTACACTTGCACTTATTCTCCACCTACACGGTTGCACCCAACTCTTATCCACCTACACGGTTGCACCCAACTCTTATTCTCTTCCTACACGGTTCCACCCACGGTTCCTTCCTTCCACCCTCCACCTTCACTTTCCTCCACTTCCATTTCCTTATTCCTCCACCTTCCTTTCTTTTCCCACGGCTGCACACTCACCCACTCCATTCCCCTTCCACCACCACTCTTTCTCCACCTACACGGTTGCACCCAACTCTTATTCTCCACCTACACGGTTGCACCCAACTCTTATTCTCCACCTACACGGTTGCACCCAACTCTTATTCTCCACCTACACGTTGCACCCAACTCTTATTCTCCACCTACACGGTTGCACCCAACTCTTACTCTCCACCTACACGGTTGCACCCAACTCTTATTCTCCACCTACACGGTTGCACCCAACTCTTATTCTCCACCTACACGGTTGCACCCAACTCTTATTCTCCACTTACACGGTTGTACGTAACTCCCCCCCACAAGCTAAAGTGGACAGTCAATATAATGAATTCAATAAGTTTTACTTTCGCGAAAAACTACAACGACATTTTTAGTCATATTTCCAGAAAGTCAACTGGCTCAGATACTGACATACCGTCCCCCTCCACCTTAAAGTGCTTTATTTTAATCTGCATGTATAATATAAGCCAAATGACGTACCTTGAAGAAAGACGAACATCTTACAAGCAACAACACCAAATGGCCATCGGTTTCCTTCATATATCTGATACACGGTAGCCGGCATTGCAGCAACAGTAATGAGAATGTCAGCGACAGACATGTTCACAATTTGAAAGTTCGTAATAGTTCTCAACTTTTTGTTCTTATACACGACAACAATAACCAACAAGTTGCCAAAAAATGCAATAAAGATAACGAAGACGTACGCTAGTGTCTTCACGATCTTCTCTCCATCAGTTGTTTTGTGTGGAGGGGAACAGGATGAATTGAGTATGTTGGACATTTGTGTTGCCGAGAAAAAAGATTGGTTTCTCGTAAAATACGACCCTAAAACAAAAGTGGATATGGTTATCTATACACTGGTAAACATGACTAAGTAGTAAAAAGTAATTTAATGTAAACAGTAAACTTTTCTTGCAAATGCTTTCCTTTCGAGGTTGATGACTTGATGTAAATGGACGAGAGCAACATATTCCAAAAGCTTAAACTGGTCAAACAGTTTTCAAATTTAAAATGTATATGAGATCGTCGTTAATTTACATGATCAACCTTGTCCTCCTTGTGTCATCAAAACCAAACTTTAATTTACACAAAAGCAAACACAAACACTTTATTTATGGCGTTCAATTCAATCGTTGGATAAAACAACAAACCAACTCAAAAACATATTCATCATTCGATAATTAATTTAAGATTTCCCACGATTTGATATCGACGCAGTAAATGATTTTATGATGTGAATAACGTATACTGACTTAATAACTACACACAACACACACTGCATACAACTATATATATAGTGAATGACATAAACACAGATCGCTAAAAAATATCAGGGATAATGCATAGATTTGCATACTGGATATAAGAGCCAAATATATCTACGCGAGTTATACGGATATGTGAATTAAGGCTGATTTCCATTCAGTGCAAATTGTCGCGCGATTGACTTTTTCCGATCACTTTCTTTTCAATTGTAAGCTCTCGACCGGAAGAGTTTTACACTGCTGCATACAATTCAAAAGAAAGTGATCGCAAAAAATCGATCGCGCGACAATTTGCCCTGAATGGAAATCATCCTTTATGTATGAAAAAATATGTCATGTCCTTCCACAGATTATGGGAAAAAATCACAGATGTTGAAAAAATTGAATCTTGTGGCAAAATGCTGAAAAGTAAAAACACGGCAATGGAAACCTACCAATATATATAGCACCTGGTTCATATGAAAATGTCGCATCTCACATTTGCAGAATACACATAAGCAACATTCTAGCCAAAACTATAGATGAACATTCAAAAACTAATGAGAATCGAAAGTTCCTCAAAAAAATATATCAAATACTTAGCAAAGTAGTTAAAACAAAACCTAACTAAATTAAAAATGGCAATGAGCTATACAAACTTGATGGATTTGATGATATTCAGATTGCTCAATTAAGTTAAATCAATCTGGCGAGATTCCACGGTAAAGTAAATTTTAGCCGTTACTTTGAAATTTGAAATACCTCTATAACAATGCCATTGGTTACGAATTTTCTGAAGAGTAAAATCTCACCAATCGTTGTACTGTTGTAAATTACTTTGCCCGACGCTTGTGGATCGACTATTGTTACGTAGTATTGTTAGGTCGACCAATCAGAAGTGGTGTATTAAACGAATATTTAGAAAGTTACGAATGTGTAATTATGTTAGCTAATGGAAAACCAAATTGTAAACAAAGATTTATCAAAGTGCGATCCAATTTATCACAAAAAAATACATAAATGATATCAAAATATGTGGGAGGGAAAACACTTCAATTCGCACTGAAAGTATTGGATTTTAAAGGTTAATCATTTAACTTTTTCACAAATAACTAAACAAAAATTTTAATTTCGCGCATTCTAGAGGTCTGGACACAAGATAATAACGCAATCTTCTGAAGATATTTGCTTATTTTCCAAGGCCATTAGGTTAACAAATCCTTTGGAATACATCTTTAGAGTCTCATTTCCGCGGCACTCACTTCAAAATTACATAAAACAAAGCATAATAATGCAATGATACTTATTATTATCACCAAGATAGCCTCGTTTAGAAACAAATATCGAAATGCAACAAATTCGCTAAAATACAGAAGAGAATAATCCGATAGAAGTTTCTCGTCAATCCTAACCGCATTCACACATATTCAACGCAAAATTTACTCATTCATATCAAGGCAAATTATTTTTTATGCATAACAGCTGAGCACCTGGTTATTCTAGGCCAATTAAATTATCTCATTTTAGGAGCTAAGTATTCAGAAAATTGTTTCCTATAAAATAGAAGTAAATATGAGTCAATTTGCTTCGGCGCTAGAACGTGTTTTGCGCCCTACTACGTCGTTCAATTCGTTTAAGTTGTTGCACTAATATCATCATACACAAATATAAAAAGACTATTGTCTAACGTAACTAACGTAAAATCAAAAAAAACCAAAATATTTTATCAAGAAATACATTTTTTGCACAGGACCGCTAACTACTTTGTGCATTTGTGGCATGAAAAAAGAAACATATTAACTGTTATAAAATTCCAAATAAATCTTTTTATCCATAGTTATTGAACTTTAGAGCAAATCTTTCTTTCCTTTCTCTAAAGCACCAACATGCAACGAAACTAAAGCTAAATTCAAGCAGAAGTAAAGACAGTCGACCAAAAGCTTTATGAACATCATTATTATGACTTGGTATCATGCACCATCAAGAACTACAATTTGTGTTTGTAGCTACATGCATGAACTCAAGCATATGAACTCAAGAAATATTTTACCCTTGTTCAAACAGAACGCAAACTACAACATACAGACACGCACTTTATAAAAACTTTACAAGAGTAGTTTCTACAAAGTTTGATAAAATAAATTCTTTTTCATGAACTTTCTACTTACCAGCACCTTGCATTTGAGAAAGAGTTCTTTAGGTCCTGTCGCCAGATCTTTTTACCTATTAATATAATGACCAATGTATAAATGATTTTTCCACTTTACACTAAACACTTTTTTTGCAGCCATTCTCCTTGAGGTTGATTTAATAATTAAAAGAATTATATTTCGGCGGTTCTTTGACACAATTGTTTCTGGAGATTGAACTCTGCGATACGGGCGCATTGCCTGTAATTATGGGAATCAATTTTAATAAGACATTCGTTTCATAATTGACGCGAAAAAACCAAGCAACAGCATGTTTCTACAAGCAAGAAATACGATGTCTATAGGGGCAGTTCTTTGCCGACAACAAGTAAAAAATTCGCAATTCTTTGTTTTACAATCAAAGGATGCACAAAATGCAAAAAAACGAAAATAACTTGATGTTGACAGGCGCTGCTAATAGGCTATACCTTTTTCTTGCTGAATGAAATGTATTCTTTTTGCATGCATACAAAACATAATTCATGCAAATGAAACATTTATTAGTCGCTGTAAGATGCGCGAATTGATTGATGCGGACAACATTACAATATGACAAAGTAGGATTAGAAGGATGAACTAGGAGTAGATTGACAGATTAAGGATGACATCGACAGATTTAGGTTTTCACGTCTGGTGCACAAGTGTATGCGGAAAAAAGAAAAATCCCACGGAACAACAAAGATGAGCGAGAGCAAGGTACAATGATGATGTTTGATGAAAAAATTGTTCCTCACTCGAGTCCTATTGTAATTGACTTTGATTATAATGGGCTTGTCATGAAATTGTAAAGCACTTTTTCAGGACTTTAGCATACGACACTATTATCTGAATTCGTAACAAAACAAGACGTGTGTGTATATATATAAAACAAAAAATCGTAGCACACCTCAACGAAGCAAGTGCGACAATCGTATGGCGACAATGCGACAAAATTGCGACGATGCGACAATGCAACGAAATTGCGACAATGCAATGCGACGATGCGACAAAATTGCGACAATGCAACGAAATTGCGACAATGCAATGAAATTGCGACGATGCAACAAAATTGCGACGATGCGACGAAATTGCGACGATGCAACGAAATGGCGACAATGCAATGAAATTGCGACGATGCGACGAAATTGCGACGATGCAACGAAATGGCGACAATGCAACGAAATGGCGACAATGCAACGAAATGGCGACAATGCAACGATGCGATAATCCAACGAAATTGCGACGAATTTGACAAACTTGTGATGCGACGAATATGGGATGCAACTGCAATTCCGGTATAATTTCGTTGACATGGCTGAACTGTTTCTTGGTGTTTTATGGCAAATTCCACGTTTTATCCCTCATTCCGTTCCGCTTCAAAATTCCAGATCCCCGTTTCGCTTTCGCGATTTATCTTAACCTCATATAATCCATAAAAAAGGTCAAAGAGCATGAAATGAAAATTCTTTTAGTCGCTCAACTATCTTCACTTGGGTTTGTATTTTGTCAAGAAAAAAACGAAAATCAGTGGAGTCAAAAGGACAATTAAAGAAGGTAAATGGCACTCCAAGTCGATATGTAAAAAGAAGAAATGTGTTGCAGCAACGGTGAAGAATTTTCACAGACGTTTATAAGTAAATCAGATGGGAAAACTGATTAGAAATGGCGTATCTTTAAAGGCACAAAGGTATTTCGCTCATTCTGGGAAATAAATCATAGTTCTAAAAGGCGTTATCAACTTAATCTCAATAACTAAAAACAAAACAACGAACTGAATGGATATAAGCCTGCTGTTCATTATAAATTGTTCTACCGTGCAAGTTTTTCAAAAGCATATCCAAATCGTAACTAATTACCGTTTGCGCAAAATATGCTAATGAAGTTCAAAAAATGCACGGCAACGCAACGAATAATTGTTGATTGTCTGTGTTCTGTGTTTGAGGTGAAATGGCAACTTTATACAGTACACACAAATCTGTGTAACAAAAATATGATTTTTGAATGGAATTGAAAGTACTTGTACCCCTCCCCCCCTTAAAAAATATGCAAGTTTCACATTATCAAAACCTTTGTTTCTACATTACAAACGTTGCAAAATAAAAACGTAGCTGTTGTGTTTCCATTGTAGCGAAAACGTCAACACGTGTTTCAATTTGTATCGTTATAAGGATTCAATAACATGAATTAACAACATGACACTAAATTCCCGTATATAGTCATTCATATACGTAACCAGGATTCGGGAAAATTAATCGGAGGTAAAGATAAAAAAAAACACATGTTCGTCTCGGCAATTTTTTCCGCTGAAAATATTTCAGCCAAATAAACTGCAGATAACATGACGACTACGGCCAAAAGTATCCAAACGAGTTGGCCTATAGCCTTGAAGATAAAAAGTATTTTGATAGTTACAAGAGTCGTTTAGATTGACAAAACCACCGAAAAGGAAACAACGCAGTCATGATTTTGCAAACACATGAATGTACTTTAGGTTTAAATGCATGACGGAGTAATTGCGTCGAAAGGTTTGCGAATATAATAGCAAAAAAGTGTGTCGACAGATTGTTCAATCAAAAAATTGCGGTGCCATTTGGCAATAAAATAACGCAAATTCACCAAACAACTTAATAAAAACCTCGTGTGCTGTAGCGTGAACGCCCGGGAGGTCGGGTTAAAACTTTAATTTCGGTAAAAGCTTAAAAGGGTCATAACACAACTATTCAAAGTCAAGTTAATGTTGATGACTGCTTTGTCGCATGGACGTGTTTGTCTCGGACTGCAAAATTTTTTGTAAACTCGAATCTTCAGAAATCTCATCGGAGTTGAACTACTTCAAACGTATCATCGGAGAATTGAATATTCATTTAAAACTAAGGTAATATTTCAATGCAGACTTTTTCACGGTGAAATATAGTTTATTTAGCGAGCAAAAAAACAGATTCAAACAACAAATACATGTTTATATATGCAGTGATCAAAGATAAACTACGATGACAAAGTCGACGATTTTACGCGTTTGATTAATTGTCACAATATGTCGCGCTGATAATCAGCTGTTTAAAATAATTTCTTCATTTTTGTTGGAAAATCGTCAAGCCATGGTAGGGAAACCGTTTATTATCATCAGTCAACTTGATCATTCTAAAACCACTTACAGTCCATTATAAAATAGCACATAAAGACATAATGTTTCAATAGAGCAATTAATCGCTTTTTGTTGTGCATTATGCACTTATAGTACAGAAAATTTATGCAACAGGGAAATTATAGCAAACAACCGTTTAGTAGGCGTTATCAGGCAAACACATCTCAAAAAGCTGTTACATTTATCTATTTTTTTCTTCAGCGGCTATACGTCAAATAGTATTAAACTAAAACTACATCGTGAAAACAACATGTTGTAAAGTAATTATGGGTGAGCAACCATAAACGATGAAAAAAAAACACAGAGAAAATCGATAAAAACTACAATCATAATCAACAGAACATACAAATACAACAGACGTCGCAACCGAAACTTCATTTCTCTACAAACCAGATAAGAATTTTTAAATCACATTTTTAATTCGAGGCAGATGAAAACATTAATTCAAATAAAATGCTGGAATCGATTTGCTTGGGTTATTATTTTTATTATCATTATTTGCCAACAGCTATACAAAGCGTGTGTTTAGATACTCGCAGTACTGAAAAAAATCCAACAGTATAGCCTAGCTGTTTATATTTTTTCGCGCATCGGCCCACATGATAAAGGTGAAATTTTAATCAAAAGGGCGTGTTTTAGAGAGAAATAACTGGATTTTAGTAAAAAGGCGTAATTTTATGGCAAAAAACTAGATTTTAGTGCAAAGGCGAGAATTTCGTGCTAAAGACGAGAGGATAGATTATCAATCTTTTTGTATTTCATTCGAAAAAAAATTAAGAAATTATGGAAAAAAAGCGTCAACTGTATTATCAAATGACGAAGCGATATAACATGAGTTCTAAAAGCATTTTTTATCCAGTATAAAATCATGCAGATTATCCAATTAAAAACTTTCATTAAATGTAATTCTTTCTACAGGAATTCGGTCTACGGCGGACCGTAATGTTTACAAATTTAATAAAATGCTTGTCTAATGGAAGGAACTATTCTACTCTTGTTGACTTCATTCAATCCTAATTTTGCAACAACATTATTTCCGGAAAACAAATTAAAAAAAAATTAATGCCCCTTTCACGCAAGCGAATCGCCAATCCGCGACGCGAATTCATTTGCAAAGCGATAAGAAATTATGTTCCTATTTATGCACGAAGTCAGACACATAATTACCAAAGTAAACGGATTGAGTCGTGAGCAAACACCTAAAAGATTAAAAGACTGACTTGCCGGTCTAAAGTTGCGTTCGTAAATTGTTGCCAATGAATTTGCGAGTCGTCAGAGTATAAAGTGATAAGAACTTGAAATACTTGAAAAAAGGTAAGCACTAAACAATGAATAAAGTGAGTGAAATTATGATGTACCATCATAGAAGAAAATGACAACGAGTGACATGAAAAAATAAAAAGGGCGAAATAATGACTCAGTAATATCGTAATGATGTTGATCGCTTGACGTAGCTTCATTGCTGTCATTAAACGTTTACAAAAATCTACACATCTCTATATAGTTGTCGAAAAATATTTGCAAAATTTACAACATGCTCGACAATTGTTTGTGACCAAAGAAGTTCTACATATCAAGATTTCTAATCATGTCGCTAGTATATAATTATTGTATTCTGAAGTAGGTCCGCACCGAGAGTAAATTCCTATGAGGTTACAAATTTTTTAAAAAATTTTTCGTATAACGTTTTACGCACATACAAAAAAATGAACCTTACCTCCTGAAGTGATACTAATTTCATAAAAACCACAGGGGGGCAAGATACACTCACTTGCTAAAATGGATTGAGATCTATTAAGTGATCTATTAAGTGAAATCTACCCTCCCCCCCCCCAACGACCACACCAGATAACGACAAGTTAAAATTCACAGAATTTTGAACAAATCTTGAACTCGCATGCCACCAATCACTTTCTTGCACATATATTCTTCGAAATATAGAGCGAAGAAGTCATAAAGTCTAATTGCCATGTATTATTCATTCTAATTCCGTTGCAACATCAATAGTGCGTCAAAAGTTACTGAATTATTAACGCAGTAAGCGAGCAACAAATTGAATGACAAACACTTACAAATAAACAATACACAGAATTGACAATACTTGTATGTTACAGTTCATAACGTATGCGCAGATGTGATGTTTTTTTTGCGTCGCACCATCCTGTAGTAATAGCAGCGGCGAATATATTATTGGTATTTTATTGATAAAAAGTTATTTCATCAAAGTAAACAACTCAACACATAAACGCAAACATTTAAATTCTCAATGGGATTTTTGTTAATCACATATTTCACAAAGACAGACCGAAACAAATCATTGAGAAGAAACAGTAGAGGAACCGGAGAGATGACAAGCATGTAGCTACAATGACTTCTTTTATGAACAAAATGAAGGGATGTCATGATACTGTTCCTTAACTTTGCCTGCTTTCATTAACTGATTTAAATCAAACATTTTTTTGATATATGGCCTGCCAAAAACGCCGATAAGATTATCTTGCAATTTGCTGCAGCTATGACAGACCGTTTGCAAACTAAAATCGGGGAAGTTCAAAATGCGCTTCGATTATCAGCAAATTTAATATGCTCTTTGCACCAAAATCGTTAATAAAAAATTTCTAAAAATAATAGAAAAGTAGCTTCTACTTACAATAACAAAGGAACCATTTTGTAATCCGTTGGCCGAAGAACAGACGAAACGATCTTCTACGACATCTTATAGTCGATGAAAACTTCATGTTGGATCTGGACAAATAGATAAGAAATCAATATTAACAAGTAAAATATTTGTGTTCAATATGAAAACAGTCATATCTTGCAATGCTTGGCCAGGACAACTATATTTGCAAGAATAACAACGGAAACCAATAGCGACAAAAGGAGTCTGTTCTATACATATACATACAGTGGCTAAAGAGAGGTGAAGACTGTTTGTATTTGGAAAAAGATTGATTGCATTTGGGAAAGCTATTTGTTTTAAAGAGCAAATAAAATTGATCGGAGTCGACACAAATCGACCGAGTCTCTAAAATAAGCGAAAAATCTAAAAAATACACAATGGTTCTTGCTGTGCTATGTATATAAATGGCAGCCTATAACGCGTTCTTCAAAAAGTACTAACTTAGAAAAAAACAAAACAAAGAATATACAAGAACAATTCGCTTCTAGATAAACTCCATATAGTTGTTTTTAAGGACGACTTGGTTGATCCACTGTAAGAATAGTCATAAGCCTTTGAGAACCACAAGCAAAAATCTGTTGTTGTTTTAAGAACTGTTACTTTAATCCTTCATAAGGCAGCCGAATAGCAGCACAATGCATTCAAAGATATAGCAACCACAGTGTAAAGTAGACAAGAAAATTCTTTTTGCAGCGACGCTAATTGCAAATAAACTTGAGCCAGCGCTCGCAGAAGCTTGAGACAAGCGATCGATCAAAGGGTTGTACTACCCTAGCATGCTATATCATCATTAACTCTCTACAAGTGGTAATGGTTGCCATAAGCTTCGTCAAACAAACAAGTAGGGGGTATAAAATCTTTATATAAACTAAACAAATGATAGTTTATCATGATCACAATACCATGTTTACATAAATTTCCGAAATATAATCCCCCCTACTCTCTGAAAGGTGACCACTCGAAGGGACACATAAATTGGAGTCATCGATAAAACGACATACATTAATCTATCGAGGGCAACCATTTATCACAGACGTACAGGCTTTATAGACGTACAGGCTTCGTATTTCCATCACTCTAGACGAGGTAGGAAAAAATTCGATCTTTGCATGTTCTATTTTATTATTAATTAAAACCAACGACAAGTCACTCTCGGCAGTAGTTCTAAAAAGTTTTGAAGATGCTTCAGTAGTACATTCAGAAGATTGGGAATAGTTCACAGATGATTCGATTTAAGCTAAAGATTTAACTGCACAATACATTATTACTATATGCATGGTACGACAGATCCGTGTAATCGTTTATCGTCAAACATCAGGCTACAAACGTAGACAGTTGTCGGGGAAATGAACTCAAAGTCATAAATCTATGGAGCAAGCAGAAGGGGAAAATTCGCTTCCTGCAAAAACAGAGATAAGGCAGAACAAGGCGTGCTGCATGCATAAAGAGATTATGAAATATGCATGTTTTTAGTTGTCATACACGCCGGCTGCCAAAATTGATTAAGCTGTCCTCATTCCTGTAAAGTACATGCTCCATCGTGTCCACGAGAATGCATTCGTTTCCTCAAATAGCCCGTGTTGGCTTTCACCGTTAATGTACGTGACGTGTTAACAGTTGATTGATATGGACTCGCTGCTTTACATTCATTGGCAAAAATGAACGACTTGAGGCGTGACTGTAAAGGAATTGGACAACACCATGATGACAACGTTTTCTTCACGTTTCTCATCGCAGTAGCCAGAAGTAGACGATAGCAAACGAGCAGCATGGCACAGCAGCAATTTCTCTGCTGTAAAACCTGACGACAGCACCTGCAAGTGATCATCACCAACTAATAATTCAAAAATATCGACATGATGAGATGCAACCTAATGACCTGATTCGCATATAAAGCAAACCTGAGCATTAACTGGGAGTACGACGAGTCTCGTTCGCTCGAAGATTCCTTCGCGAGTTTTACAAGAAAGCCCTTACGACCACCAGGATAGAGAGTGCGGTGGAATAAACTTACAGGAAAGTACATACACAAGTTGAAGCGTGATCAAGACACGGAGTTGCAGAAAGCAATCCATCCGCACGTGTATGTATACGAGAAATGATTACATTCTGAAAAGAATTGCTGTAAGAACAACCTTCAATAATGCTCTACATTAAATCACTCATCAATCATCTGGAACCAAGTTTTAAGAATTCAACTTCAAGTCATAACTCAAGGAAATATTGAACATACATTTGTCCTACCGATATATCCATATATGAATCTAAACAAATAAGAATCAAAACATGTATAGCATAATTTCCTGTGTTTATGTTATGTCCATGATTGCTATGACTTAATTAAATGTTTGTACAAATAGCAAACATTCCTATATTACCTATTTAAATCATTTCAATGGGTTAGCGTCAAATGAAGAAATATAGATTAATAAGTAAATATATACCTACGAGAACAGGCCTGTTAAACGCACAAAGAAAATATCGCTGCTTCATTTAAAGATTATCAAATATCATTTTACGTACACGTTAAGATTTTGTAATAAGTGAATATATATACAAATGATACGGGGGCATTCATTTCAGTTTGACATAGAGAGATCACAAACGATCGATGAAGATGTCATATGTGTTACTTCACGATCGTAGTCATTGCTGAGAAATTTACAAGTTTTAAAACAGTCTTCTTTTCTTCTTTCTTCTAGATGTAAAGATATCCGAAACGCAACTGTATACTTCATTAAGATTCACATCGACACTGAACTGAACAGAAGAAAACTACTTAATGGAAATCACTTCGATAATTCTACGAAAGGGACAGAAATAACGACTACCTGCCATAACAGGACACTATCGAAACAGAACAAAGCCTTTCAAGGTGAAGAGTGTAAGAGTTTTCTCTTCCAGAATAGAAGAAACGACACTACAAGTACAATTCCGCTAAGGTCTGTACGATAATGATGAACTTAACAAACATTACAAATTGTACTTCAAGTTGTACACAAACCGTGGAATCATCGACAGAGAAAATAATGCGTTACGTCATATGCGTATCATTGGTAATAATTATCGTTATTTCCCTCGTTGGTAATGCAATGGTATGTATAGCTTTCAAACTCAATGCCCATTTACGGACCATATCGAATTGGTTCATTTTGAGTTTAGCAATCAGTGATCTCCTGACGACTATATTGGTAATGCCTTGGGATTTGGACGCTATCTTAAAGAAAGGCCATTGGCCGTACGGGAAAACATTGTGTAAAATCTACACAACCGGTTACCTCATCTCAGCTCCGGCTTCCACTCTGAACCTCCTGGCGGTGAGTATAGACCGATTTAGGATGATACGCGATCCATTCACGTACAGAAGGCAGACTACACCATTTCGTGTATTTATTGTGATCATTTGTATATGGACGTATTCTATAATCATTGCTTTTCTACCAATCATGGGTTGGAACGATTCCGAACCTAGGCTCAAGGATAACTTATGTGAGTTTGACATAACATGGCGCTATTCCATTATGGTGTCTTTTTTTAATTTCGTCATTCCACCGTTGATAATGACCGTTACATATTTCAAAATTTACCGAATCGCCAAGGGTCATATACAAAGAATTCACAGACTGGAGAGCGTTACTTTGAACGGCAAAATAGACTTGAAGGAATCGATCAATTTGGATTGTCGAAAACATCAACTGCAGGATCATGTATCCAAGATAGTCTGATAACTGATCTCAAAGAAGAAACAGTCAACACAATGGAGACAAACGATGAATTGTTCATGCAGGATAAGATCGATACTAAATCCAACGCAAAAATGCTTTCCCCGGACAACGGTAAACATGGCAGCAACACGAACCCAGAAATTCGAAGTCGAAACAAGAAGAGAAAACGTAAATCTCGATCGTTTTCATTTATAAACGGCAACTCGTTGTTACGAAAAAACGTCAAGGCCGCAAAATCCCTCGCAATAATTGTTGGTGCGTTTTTTATATGTTGGTATCCTTTCACCATCATGAGTATGGTACTAAACGCTTGTCAACGCTCTAACGTAACGTGCGTTATGCCACCGATGTATGTGGAACAGTTGCTTCTTGCGTTTGGTTTCCTCAACAGCGCACTAAACCCGTTTCTTTACGCGTTTCATAATAAAGAGTTCAAAAAGACTTACAAACGCATGTTCAAGGTGCAATTTAGCCAAAGTGTTCAACAATGATGATATACCAGTCCCAGCATCAACATTTTGTAGCCGTTAAAAACATTCTTATATCAACAAAAGAACTTAGGATACCTTCTGTAAAACGACCGACAATATAAATCTCTACATGACGTACTACTTGCTTGAAAGAATCCGCATTATTTAACTGAACTAAAGAATCGTGAACTGCAAGCAAGCGCACTGTTTCACAAAAAAAACAATGATGGTTTATCCCTCGTGCAACCAGTTAATAACCACAGAGATTTCTGTTACATGCAAAATTGCCAAGTTGAAAATAGTCATAACACGACAATCCATATTTTAAACTGAAGATGATGCTCTTGTTTACACACTTTAAGTTTGAAAACCTAATTTTAGTTAGTTGTCCGTGGATAACCGTGGCACAGAATAATGATTATAATTCTTATTCTGTGACCGTGGTTGGACGATAAAAAAACAAGCAAATAAGCCATTAAAAAAAACAAGATGTTTCTAAATATTATTGATAGTAATAATAAATATTATGAAAGATTTTAAAGTTCCACAGTGGCATCATAGCGAAATGCTGATTGTGACCCAATGGTCACACAAGGCATTTGAGAATCATAACTATTTCTAATGAGACACTAAAACAAAATATCACACGTCATGATGACGAGTCAAACACTATTGACGTCATTAACTTTCATTTCATGCTTGAGTAAAATATTTATATAAGGAAGTATATATAACCCGGTTTTAACGAGTATTTTATTGTAAATATCATTGAACTATAAATAACAATTGTATGTTTACATTACGTGTGAAGCAGGCTAGATTATATCTATATTATACTATATCTTCAAAAGTGCGAGTTCTACTTATATGCATGCAATTATAATACTTAAGTTGTATTTTACTGAAATACTATGTAAAAAAACTTATTTAATCCCTTTTAGATCAAAAAAGCACCATTGAGAAAAGTAGCTCAAGTTGCGATAGAAGCTTTTGATAAAAAGCTTTCAAAACGACATAGCATACCATAACAAAGTAAATGGTTTGAACCCGGGAGTATCGTTACATGTTTGTAGATGTAGATCGTCCAGGTTGGTATAGTCCTGAGAAGGACTGTTTTTGTTGTTGTTGACTGACGTTTCGACAACCTTAGCGGTAGTCATCTTCAGAGTCAAAAATTTTATTCCATTTTGACTCTGAAGATGACTACCGCTAAGGTTGTCGAAACGTCAGTCAACAACAAAAACAACAGTCCTTCTCAGGACTACACTAACCTGGACGTTCTACATCTACAAACATGTATAGCATACCATGTAACTAGTAACTTACTGGTTCAGAGAGCCAATTATGATGGTAGATATTCGACATCAGTGATGAAGATGATTGCATCGACGTGAATGAAAGAAAACATACAACTCGATGTTCGCTATAGGTATAAATAGAAAAAATGGTGTCAATTTATAACAAGATGGGATAACTACACATATACAAGTAAATGATTCACGCTGCACTAAAAAAGCTGGACGAAAAATTAAACCTAAAATTTTAACAACACATCGGTAAAAGAAAACAACAAAATTCGCTGCGTGAAACAAGAAAAGGTTATTTGACACTAAAAAACCTTGAAATCCACATTTCGAAAGAAATACATAGTAATAAACCAAGTGTTCTGACAAAAAAATACACCATGGAATAATATGTATAAAAATTTTTCATGCCAGTCGAAAGTTCGGCATTTTCAAGGAGAAAAAAAATTTGAAACCCATAACCTTCAAACGTCGATTGACTGTGAGGTCATATCTTCATCTTGTAAGACCGGTACAGCAAGAAATATAACGAGCTTGTAAATCTTGCAGAGAGAATGTTGTACAATCAAAAACACCGGCACAAAGCAAAAGTTTATTGTGTGAAGACATTACAGCGAGACACTAAGGAGCGTTTAAAATACGTTGCAATTTTCGCCGTTCGCAAATGGCCAATTCAAAAGAAAAGATCTCGCCAGATTCGAAGCAAGCATGGTTAATGTTGGCCATCATAGCGTTCTCAGTATTCTCAAACAGCGGCTTACAACTGTCGTTCGGGACTATCTTGGGAGCTTTAGTAAATGAATTCGGCGAATCCAAAAGCAAGACAGGTAACTTGACTTGTCTATTTGGTACACACTAAGTAAATCTAAATAATCGAGCGCGTATTTGCGCTTTGTTTGAATCTCGTAAAGATTCGTAAGAACAAATCCAACGACGCATAGGAAGTAAAATTTCAACAAACCGATAATTTACGATTCATTGCAAGTGTATAAATCATTAGGCTAGAGATGGCGACTTTATATTTTGTAATTTCTACAAAGACGTCAGCAAACTCGGCAAAATAATGGGGTTCTTCAAGGGTGTAATTCTCAGATTACAATCTATCATTCTTTGCGTAGCTTAGTTAAGTAACGCGTACAATTTAAGGTGCGTGATATACTGCGCTTCGAAATGTGTACGAAAGTATGGGTATGTTATTCAAAATTTCATTAAAAAATAACGAGTTTCGGTGAAGCTATTTCTCTAACTAAAACCTTCGGGAACAAATGCTGAAAAAAACCATCTCGATTGATCAACCGCTGCTTAATGATATTGTGTTATATTGTAATCTTTGGAAATCAGCATAAAACCGCAGTAAACAGAGCACTTCAACCATAAATCCCCGTCATCTTAATTTAACACAAAAACACAAGTTTTTCACTTCAAATCCTCTTCGCAAAAATGACAAAGATAACATCTAACGCAATTGATTTTCGACAAAACAAACACGAAAGAGAAGCATTTCTCGTTTAACTGGTATTTGATTTAAAACACAGCAACAACAGCTGACGGGGTGGTAAAAACTTTATGAAATTTATTTTAAGCAAATTGTGCTCGAAAATCTCCTCTCAACAAAACGACTTTTTTAGAAAACATTATGAAAGACAACGAACTTTTTCATCGACACGTTTTCTAAATTGTATAAATGCCAAAAAACGTGTATCATCCTATAAAAACTAGACATTTTTTTGTAATCGTGATTCTTGAATTAAAACTGATCCAAGAATACGAACGTAAAACACGTCATAAAATAATTACGGTCCAACCCTTTCCGTACAAGTTTGTCACGGGATCTCGTTATGAGAAATACCTGTAACTCGCTTGATGGCAAAGAAAGCTAAACTTAAATTCAGGTTTAAAATAAGCAAAATGAACCGCGAAGAAATTGTATAAAAACACGGCCAGAAGCCCCACAGTAAAATTATTTCATCTTGAATTTACGTTGAAACAAAAAAATAGCGCAAAAAATAAATTCCATTGTCTGATGTAACAAAATCATGTAATATACAAAGCCGGCTAACATTTTCGCAAATTATGCAAATTTAAAGATACATAACTCTGACGTTATATCATCAATTTAACTAAACGCAGCGACAAATTCCTACGCAGAGCTTAGGAACGCATTATCCATTGTGTTGAAATGAGCAAGTGGCTTAACAGCACTAAGGTCAGGTTCAGATCACATCACGTAATATTTTTCAATTGTTTTATACTCAGCATGGGTGGGAACATTGGTGTCATTCTTCAGCATGGCCCTATCTCCCGTCACAATCCTTTTGGCCAATCGACATGGCATACATGTCACACAGTTTCTTGGTGGTGTATTCCTGACAGTTGGAGCAGTGACCACATCAATGATGAATACCATTAATTACATGTACTTAACTTATGGTGTTTTACTTGGTATCAGTGGGGCACTAATCTATGCACCAGCCTTTGCTACAATACCAGAACTGTTTACAAAATACGTCTCCATAGCAACAGGCCTAACCTCCGCAGGTTCTATGATTGGATTGATATTCTTCTCCTCGATACTTCCCATGCTCCTTGAGGAGTTTGGTTGGAACAAAGCATTGTGGTGCGTGGCAGGATTTGGACCATTGATAAGTGCCACTGCACTTATTCTTTCACGCAATATAATTACAACACGAGATGCTTGCGAAGAGAAAAAAGAGAAAGTAGACTTGGAAGTACAAGTGCCATGGTGGAAAAGTGTGAAGAAGAAAGCCTATGTTCTATTTACCATTTCTTCAGTGTTGTTTGCATTAGTTGAGCTAGTTCCTATTTTTATTATGGTAGGTAGACATGTTTTTTATTGCCTTAAGTCAAGCAAAAGTGACTCTTAAGATTTAATATCAAAAATTTCTTACTTTCTAGCCAATCTGTGCAACTGAATCAGGAATACCTTTGGCAAAAACAAACTGGCTAAATATAGCATATGGCTTTGGCAGTCTTATGGGACGTATCATCTCAGGACCAATAACTCAACCATTATTTCGACGTGACAAAAGCAAATACTTGTACCTTACTTGCCTGATCCTTTACAGTCTTTTCTCTTTTGTTGTATCCATGACTATCAAGTTTGAATACTTATTATCCTATATGATTGTTGTTGGTCTTATCAATGGGGTTATGGCGGGTCTTTTCTTCCTCGTGACACTTGAAGTAGTTGGCTTTCAGAGTTATGCCACGACTTGTGGACTGAATCTAGCAGTTTGTGGATTGGCATATACAATAGGTGCCCCACTAGCAGGTACGATAAATACATCCAATAGATTACAATACCAAATTGCATGACATGAACTTGATACATTTTTGAAACATTAAAGTTTGTGATAGCAGTTATCATATAAATTTTAGGTATTCTTTATGAAAGTTTCAATAGCATTCAGTGTTTGCTTTTGGCTGTTGCTGGAACAACATTGCTTTCTGGAATATTTGCCGCACTAACACCATATGTAACACCACATGGCACCTACAAACTTCATCAAAGTGACTATGATTTCTGGCGTGTGTATTGTAACAGCCCAAACATTAAAAAGAGAAGTCCAAGACAAGATAGAGCATTCACAATTGCCTCATTGGCAGATGAATTTCATGCCCAAGACAACCTCGCATATCAACCAGAAACATTATCAGAGTCTAAACATACTTCAAACTCAGTTTCAGTGCAATCAGCAGGGTGATGGTCTATTACAAATTGAAGAGCATCGTTGTATTAAACGCATACGACAGTTTCTACAAGACGTTCGTGGTTATGTATTTATATAAATGTACAGAGACTTTATGGAAGGCTTTATTTATTTTATAAATAACAAAGACGACGTTTTTAAGTCAAGCCATAAAAAAATAATAGAATTTTAAATTTCAACATTCATGCAAGGTGTGTTTATTGCTGACAACTTAGCCTTTTCAATCAACGAGCACAACGCATTAAAACATTCTTTATAAAAAAAAGGACAGGCTTGCTGGGCTTTGATATTTTTGAAAAGAAGTTTCCCGCCTGAAAAATCTACAATTGCGTAAGTATTGGAAATTGTAAGGACACTTACTAACACCATTTGAGGGTAGATAACTAACCTGAACTCGTAGCACAGATCCACATCTTCATCTCGACGAATTTCTTAGCAAACTTGCTTTTTTGCTCGTCGCCAAATAAGAAAACAAAACGACAACTCCACAGCTACACGCGAACATCTAAAATTAATCACGTACTCGACTTTTGTAGAGTACGCATGCGCTACTTCCAACATCAATAATCCACACCATTGATCCACCCCCCCCCCGTCCTGCTTATGAATTACCTGGAATTACCTCGACCAGTGAATAAAACTCGATCCTCTCCCCCATACTATGTAACTAAAATTTCCTAAAACACGTTTTGGTAAATCAGAATTGGGTTGGTCACAGCCAACTCTAAAAATCAAATATTGGAATTGGGATAGCTTGTTTTACAAAAACCATATTCCAAGTGGCAAAAGAAATAGGATTTTGTGATTCTGATTTCTCATTTACATCCATACTGACAGGAGCAAACACATAACATCATCAACTAGACGAACTGGCCTGAAAAATCAACACTTAACAAGTTGAACTGTGAAAAAGTTTATTTACATTTCACTACTTCTATTTCATGCTTATGGTGGCTAAATGCAGAGTTATTGAAAAACAATTGACATACAGCTCCTGAAAAAAAGAACATTGTATTAAAAAGAAATGCTGAAAAAAAATCAAAGTTACTACAAAAAACCAAAACACCTGGTATTTTACCACATTTGGTTGTAATGCTCGTTTCTAAAATCATCCCAATCCCAATAAAATTGGGTAACGTGTACAAATTTGCAGGTTTGAGTAACCTTGATGTTTGAACTCATTCAAAAATAATACAAGAGAATTATACAACACTGCATGGCCACAATTTAAATGTCATTTTTTTGTAAGTCTATGTTATTTTGAAGACAACTTCGATTGGGCAACACAATAGGATGCTGTCACATGGCATATTTTCTTGTCCATTCTGATGCCATCGAGTTGTATTTCTGTCTATCTGTTTTGTATTGTCTTGCAACCTCTGGTACGAGTGGGTCGTCAGGATTTGGATCATTTAACAAAGAGCAGATTGAAAGAAGAACTACAACCAAAAATTCAAGTTAAAGAAAAAATAATTGGGTCAGGAAGACATTGACATAACCTCAAAATATCCCCTTAGCAATGCCAATGTGCTAAATAAGAATTTCATACACAAACATGTTTAAGCAGTCTAATTCAATTTCCATAAATGTATAAGAATATGATGATCATATCTATCAGCATAGCAACTTCAAATGTTTGGTCAAGGAAATATGAATTTTAAAGTAGTATTTACACTGCAACCACATTCCAACAATTAATAACACTGGAAATTAACATAATATGGAAATTTGCAAATTATAAATAGTATTTAATAGTTAATAAAAATTAGTTATGATAATGTTGGCATAGGGCACATCTGCTAGGTGAAATATACACATTATTAATGTAAATTTATTATTATTATTCTTACATTATTGTTAAACAAATAAATATCTGTTTGTAATTGTAATTTATAAACAAAGACAGGAGGTAAAAATATCAAAACATAATTCAACTAACAATTTAAATATCTGTAAAACAAGCACAAAAACATGGATGCAAAAATAATATCTCAGAGCAAATACGTATGGCACTATCAATATTGGAGCATCGCTACACATATTTGACAAGCTTGTTTCATTAAGGCATACCTTTTGAAATAGTTAGTGCAGGACTCCATTGTGAACGCAATATATCCAGGCAAATACTACCATTACTATTTATATTAGGATGATAAATTTTTGTAGTAAAAGCAACCTAAAATGAAATAAGAAAAAATTGAGAATCTGGCTATAAGAATAAAATAGCCATAAAAGGTTACTCAGCAAATTGTTTTAAAAAGCATAATTAACAATTTCCAACAACCACACCTTCCAGCCAATTGCTTTTCATTTACACAACAACATTGGTCCAAACAACTATGCTAAGCAAGAGAGATGCTAAGCATTCCATATCTAATAGCTTCAGCTTAATTACATGTGTGTTTACTTGAATTGCTAAGGAAAATGCTCTAACATGGTCGAACATCTACCCAGTTACCCAAGTTAAGGATGTCTCAACAAGTCATTTTTAACCAATGGGTGACTCTTAAACGTAAAATACGAACTCAAATGATGCTTTTCCTACCTTTGGCGGTTTAAATGGATAATCTGTAGGGAAATGTATAGTCAAAAAGAAGACGCCACCCTGGAACGGTGTATCAGGCTATCGTTGCATAAAAAAGACAATTGTTTCAATATATGCCATGCAATAAAGAATTGTATAGTTTTAAATGCGTGAACAAAAATCGCGCTGACTTACCGGGCCCATTATTGTAGCCTGCCAGTGAAACACTAAAAGGAAAATGCAGTTTCGTGTATAGACATACGATACACATATGACATGCCGAAGTTTTCCATGACGGAAAATACGACATAGCTTCACACATAATGAAATGAGTTTATATGGCGTAATATTGATGTATTATAGAAAGAATGATTAAATATATCCTTATACAGATAATCGTTTAATGGCAGCTTATGTTCAGACACCGTTTGCGAGGAAGTTTTCCTTTCAAAATCAAACTTACAGTCATCGCCAACAGGGCCAGCCGAACATTGAGCTGGTGGATCTCGTCCAAGGTCTTGCAATTCCTAGTGACAACAATGGATGCCGTGAAAACATGAAACAAATAATGCCATAATATAATATGGTGCACGACTTAATAGTGAGAAAATTTTAATGTTCGCAATATACAAAATTTATCTGTCGTCCACATAAAATTGTAGACCTTCTCCAAGTCGGCGGAAGTACGAAGTAAACGTCTAAACCATAAATTTGATGTACCTTATTAATTCTTTTTAAAGCCATAAAACAACAGAGCAAAGGAACTACCCTCCAACTTGCCAACTAGAACAGAAATGAGAAGTTAAAAACACACTTCTCCGCAACTTTGTCGATTTAACTTTTCCTAAAGTGAAACGTGCCTCAAAAAATGAGCGGGGTGGTCGCAAAACCCAGACCCAACGCAGGGGCAGGACTTTGATGAAATATTTACCCGGTATACTAAACCCGGTCAAGTTACTCAGGTTACCGTAGTGTAACAATTCGTAATATTCATTTGTATTTAATTAATTTTATTCATGTCTCTAATTCTATCAAATTGCACTTTGATCAAGTTGCTCCGGTGACAGGTTTGCGCAACAATTATAGTTCTATAGACTATAGCAACTACAGTTATTTATTGGATTCACGAAAGATAATTATATTATTGTCAGAATGAGGTAAGAGCTTTACTGCTTTTCGTATTCATACCGACGTACATTCTGGAACTTATATTTGATATCCTAGTCCACTTACATTCCTTTGGACATTGATATTATATTTATTTATTGGAAAGTTAATAAAAATAGAGCTTGCTTTGCGTAGTGTTAAATTAAATTTTGAAATGGCGTTTTTAGTTCATGCGCAAGCAGCCTAGAAATTTACTCGATCACGATTTTGTGCATTACTTTTCCCACCAAAATGCCTATTTTGAGGAACCGTAAAGAAGGTCAAAGGTCATGGGACTAGGTTATGATTGTAATTCAATGATATTTTCTATCTTAATATAACAGTATCAAGGAAGGAATTCTTTTGGGTATGGGCAATCCCCTCTTGGACATCAGCGCAGTGGTCGATGCTGATTTTTTGGCAAAGTAAGTATATTTGTTCTGTGTTACTGTTGAAACTTGACTGTTCTCAGCAAGGAAATTTTAATCATTTTCATTTAAGGTATGGGCTAAAAGCTAATGATGCTATTCTAGCTGAAGACAAGCATAAGCCAATGTAAGATCTAATTACTTCTAAAACGTTGAAAAAAATTGGTTTCATACAACTATGCTATAATTTACTCTATCACAGGTACCAAGAAATGGCAAAGATGGATAATGTGGAATACTTGGCTGGCGGTGCCACTCAGAATTCCATTCGCATTGCTCAGTGGTTAATGCAAGTGCCAAAGGCTTGTGCTTATATAGGATGTGTTGGTACGTTATCTGTATTGGATATGTTTTGATGATAAATTTCAACTCATTTTACACGAAAATTTTCATTATGAATATTTTTTTGGTTGCAGGAAAAGATCGTTTTGGCGAAATCCTGAAGGAAAAAGCAGAGAAGGCAGGAGTAGATGTGAAATATTATTATATAGATAATCCAGAAACAGGAACATGCGCTGTGTGCATTACCAATAACAACACTGCAAGGTAATTGAAGTTTAACATTCAATGCAATAATAGTTTCACTTCATAAAATTGTATGTTGAACTATTTCACCCAATCTGATGTGGCATCTTCATTAAATCACATTGACTATATTTTAATTTGTAGGTCCCTAGTGGCAAACCTCGCTGCTGCCAATCATTATAAAAAAGAGCACTTGGAAGAAAACTGGAAAACTGTGGAAAAAGCTGATATATTTTACATATCAGTATGTTATAGTAATGATGTCACAGGCCAGATTTGGACACATTTAAAAATCGAGCTTCTAAATTTTAGGGTTTTTTCTTAACTGTCTCACCAGATTCCATTATGATGGTTGCTAGACATGCAACAGAGAAAAAAAAAGTAAGCCAATGAAATGTCAATTTCATCATAGAATTGACTTAAAGACATCGTTCATTGCATTATTTTTCTTGTCAGATTTTTGCAATGAACTTGTCTGCACCCTTCATAACTGAATTCTTCAAAGAACCTTTAATGGAAGCCATGCCACACATCGACCTTCTATTTGGAAACGAATCTGCAAGTTTCTATTTACATTGAATTTTGTGTTATGATGTGACTGCAAAGTTTATGGCTTGTTCTTAACAAGAACATTGAAACCTATCCATTTTAGGAAGCCCTTACATTTTCAAGAGTACAAGGATTTAATGTAAGCATTACCTTTATCAACATGCTCATCTTTGCTTCACAGATCCTATCTTCCATACATCTTTTGTATCATGCAGACTGAAGACATGAAAGAAATAGCCATAAAGATTGCAAATCTTCCACGAGCTGGTGAAAAAAAATCACGTGTTGTTGTTATTACTCAAGGAAAAGATCCTACTTTGGTTGCGAAAGGTAAGACATGTTTAAGATGTTTTTTTTTGTGATTTGGCAGTAGAGTTACGCAAATTGGAAATTAGCAATTTTACAATTGATGTTCCAGATGGCAATATCACTGAGTATCCTGTAGCTTTAATAAAGCAAGAAGAAATTGTCGACACAAATGGTGCTGGAGATGCTTTTGTTGGAGGTAATGTGAATTTCTTTGTCATCCAAATTAAAATTTCCATTATTGCCAAGTTGAGATTTTTGTTTTTCTCATACTTCAGGATTTCTTGTGCAATATTTACAAGGAAAACCAATGGAAGAATGTATCAAGTGTGCCCATTACTCAGCTCGACTAATTCTTAAAGTCTCTGGAGTTACTCTTGATGGCAAACCTGATTTCTAGACTAGAAACCTCCAAAAATCTATGAACAAAGTCTAGTTTAAAAAATTATGATATAAGAGAAAGTTATTTGGAAAATAATAATTGAACCCAAAGCTTTTATTATGAAGTAAAGTATGATATTGTATCCGTTTTTCAACAAGTTTCTGAACAGAATTTTTGCCCACTTACATGCACAGAATACTAAGTGTCTTTAGAAATAATTGGTAGAATTATCTTTATCAATGGATTCACAACGTTTCCTTCTTTAGTACTAATGGACCAACATTGTCACCAGTACATTGGTTATGTTTTACATGACTTCCATCACAGAATGGCCACTATGACAATAAAAAACATGGTTACAGGTTACAGTCATAAGAATATGTAATTAAACAAGCCATAATCAGGATAATGCTCAGGACTAAGATATTGCAATAACAGTTTCAAGCTTCAAGATTTTATGCAAAGTTACAAATCGAACTTGACAATGTGTAGCTCTTTGAAGAAAATAGCTTTAAAGTTCAACACCATGTTGCTTGCAAGTGTATTGTTTTAAAGTTTCTGTTGCTATGAAGCATAAAAATCACATAAAAGTTTTGGGCCATTTTGAGGTGGTCTTATGAAGTTTAAATTCAAATAATATATTGTTATAACTCACAACTTTGTTATTGGCTTATTGCATTATAACACACAAATTATTTAGCTGCTGCATTTAAAGTTCACGAAACCCCGAAAAGTAATAATTTCAAAGTAGAAATTTGTTAATTTCTTCTTCAAAAGTAATAAATAATTACTTTTTAGTTTTGAAAGAAATGCTTTTGGTCATTTTCACATCATTGTTAATTATTAGTAATATGATTGCTATGAATATGAATTAAGGATAGATTACCATCACTAATTCTCTGACCCGTTGCCTAGAATCTTCGTTATTAAAATCAAACTTACCAAGGCAGTTGCTTACATCGAGATTACGTTTAAACAAAACAATTTCCAAAATGCATACAACACAACATACCGTTTTAGTGCGCCAACATCTACAATACACAGTTTTTTTGTCAATATCCTCAATATCAATAACATTGACGACTTTTGGCTGGTCCTTCTGTATTGATTTATTCACCCATTCACAACGCTGATCTTTTCTAACCAGTTTATAAATAACGTAAGCACCGAGCAATGCTGTGCTAAACCAAGGCAGATAATGCGTTAACTGATGTTCCCAAGAAGCTGCGGTCATTTTACTTGACTTGATCCTTGCTGAAATGACTTATTAAAAAAGTCAAAATTGGGAAAGAATTATGATGGTCGGACCAATGGCTGCCAATGGATTGGATTGAAATCGAACCAGCAGTGGATTGGAGGACGATTGGGCGAACACAACAGAATCGGGTAAATCATCAGGCGTGTAGGCTGTACAGCACAGTTCAGTTAGATACACACGGAGAGAAAGTTCTATTATGTATCATATTAATTATTTTATACTATTTTCCATTGTTCTCTAATCAATAACAATTTACCGTCTATTTTCATTTACTCTTAAATTTCTATGACAGTTCATTAATTAATGACAGGTTGCCAATGGATACGGATGACACAACGGAATTGCCTAATTGTTGTATAAAGAAGGTCAGAAATTGGAATCTACCTCCTCACATTGGAAGATGGACTACCCGCATTGTCGTTGCATTTTTAATATGGGCTGCACTTTGGTCCATTGTTGGCAAAGATGCCTTACCCGGTGGGAACCTTTACTCGTTATCTGTTTTACTAGGATTATCTGCCTTGGCTGGATTTATGGTTCGAATCATCCCAAAGTTGAAATTGCCAAGCTTGTTGGGAATGTTGATCACTGGTTTCATGTTGAAAAATGTCAAAGGCATTGATGTGGCCAAGGATATAGACAATAACTGGTCTTTAACACTTCGAAATGTTGCTCTAGTTGTTATATTGCTTAGGTCTGGTCTTGGTCTTGATCAGAAGGCACTCAAAAGGGCAAAGTGGACAATAAGTAGACTTGCTTTGCTTCCCTGTACAGCTGAAGCAATCACAGTAGCCATCATGGGTTACTTGCTACTTGACATGGGTTTTAAATGGAGTTTTCAACTTGGGTTTGTAATTCTATGTATCCTCTGGGAATGATATAATCCCACAGGGTAGCTGCTATACGTCTTTCCCTCTGGTGAGAGCAATTTTCTAAATTTTAGATTTTTGATTGCTGCTGTATCACCAGCTGTTGTGGTTCCATCACTCTTGGAATTGCAAGAAAAAGGCTTTGGTATTGATCAAGGAATTCCCACTTTGGGCATTGCTGCAGCATCTCTTGAAAATGTTTTCTCCATTAGTTTGGTTGGCGTTTTTTTGGGCATTGCTTTCTCTGAAGGTACGTGTCTACATGAGGAGTTGAAAATCAACTTTTCTCACAAAACCTTGCGCAATTGTTTAGTATTATTCTTACCTTGTAATACTTCTTCAATTTGAAGGTAACCTTGCATACAATATATTTCGTGGTCCCATTGAAATCATCATTGGCATTTCCATTGGTGTTTTTGTTGGTCCTGTACTCTGGATTATACCATGTAATGAGAAGGTGACCTTCATGATGCTATCTTCTACTTTGCAAACTTAAAGTGCAATGTGCGTGTGACAATCTCATTCTTGTTACTACAGGGAAGTGCTCCACAAAAGAACAGATTTGTACTCCTGTGTAGTTTGGGTCTCCTCTCTTTATTTGGCTTGAGAAGAGCTCATTTTTCTGGGGCCGGTGCCCTTGGTTCTTTAGCTTTGTCATTTGTTGCTAGCCTTCAATGGTCTAAAAGAGACAAGGTGCTCAATAGACAGTTGAGAATACATTGTACTTATTTTTAAATGAAATTTAATAACATGTGCTCTATATTAACTTTTAAGCAACAAATCGGTGCTGCCTTATCAATAGTTTGGGATTTCTTTATGCCACTTTTATTCAGCTTAATTGGTGCTGAAGTGAATGTGGAATACATGGAAAGCCAGCTTATTGGTAGGGAAATATAAGATACCTTATTGCTGAAAATTGACATCAATACAATAATAGATTTTTGATTTTACTATATATATATATATATGTTGATGAGAAGAAGAAATATTTACGCTCTGCTCTTAAGCATCGAGCACTGTACTTACAGAGATTCAAATAAGCAAAACTTCCTATATATATATATAGCCTCCTGCTTCATTATAGTTTTTTACTTTGCAGGCCGTGGTATAGGAATTTTGATTGTTGGGTTGATACCTAGACTGTCTGTGGTCTATCTTGTTCTTTTAAGAAACAACCTCTCGCGCAAAGAGAAGATATTTGTTGTGTTATCATGGATTCCAAAAGCAACTGTGCAGGTACCGCAGGCATACATTGTACACAACTACACTGTTATCTTTCACATAAGGAAAATCCTGACCATGCATTACTATAAATATACATCATAAAACTATTTTCAGGCAGCCATTGGTTCTATTACATTAGACGCTGCTCGTGATAAAGGTTTACATGGAAAGTATCAAGAAAAACATGGCATACAGGTTGCTTAATTTTTCCTAGCAAATATCTACATGTATATAGCTTCTTGTTGTTTTGATCAGAAATAACAATTTTTTTTCTAATTATTCTAGATTCTTACCTTGTCAGTTCTGTCAATTCTTATTACAGCACCAATAGGAGCAATAGCAATGACTACAACTGGTCAGAAACTCTTAAAAAAGTCTGAAATGATATCTCAAAGCAATACTGAACAAATTGAAAAAATAGAACTGACCAATGACATTGGTTATGTTTAAACTTCTATAAGTCACATATGTTGTAAATTTGTAATACATAGATACCAAAATAACAACAAATGTAATTAACTTATTGCAATCAACATTCATTAAGAACAACTACATTACATATATTGTACTCCAATATTTCTGAAAAAGATTTGACTAAGATTTTCAGTGCATGTCTTATAATATAAGTGTCTACTGTAATGCTCAATCTTGATATGTAATTAATGCACTTTTCCTGAAGGATTATTTGGTGGAGCATATGGTGGTGCTGCATATGGTGGTGCTGCGTATGGTGGTGCTGCATATGGTGGTGCTGCATATGGTGGTGCTGTTGGATCATTCCCCTTATAACCAGCAGGATATCCACCATCATGGGGAGGAATAGTACCATAACTTGGTGCATACACTGTTCCCGAAGTTAGAACCTACATGAAGTATTTTTTTAGTTTGTGATAAGGACAATAATTGGTGATAAGTAAAAATTGCAAATTTTCGCAAGAAAACTATTTGAGAAACCTGACTTCCATGTTGAGTTATGACTGTATTTGGTACATATTGCTCTCGTCTCACCACTACATAACCAACTCTATTCAAACGTCGACGGCATAAAACAATGATGAAAATGGCAAAGAAAACAGTGACCATTACCAGCACAAACCAAAACCCTGGCAAGGGTTGAAAAAAACATGGTTACATTAACATAGGATAAATATGTGGCACATATTTCAACAGCAATACATACACCATGTTGCTATGACATCAACTTCATAACAGCATTCTGAGTCACAACAATATGCAGTCTGGTATGAAGCAGGGTAGCATACATAAGTTCCACAATCTACAAACTCAGCATCCTTCAATAAGGTAAAAAATACAAAAGAATACAATAACCATAATTTCTAATTAGCAGCAATTTTAAAAAACACTTGAGAAAAACGATTTTTTTGAGAGCAAACATGTTTCGACATTATCAGAATGCCATCTTCATTATCATAATGTCGAAACATGTTTGCTCTCAAAAAAATCGTCGTTTTTCTCAAGTGTTTTTTAAAATACAATAACCATAAATATATCGCTTTAAAACAGCAACCGCGTGTATATCCTTTTGAAAACGTTGTATTCAAAACATTTATGTTATGTAGTATCAAAGTACACAAAAAAAGTATCGTTTAGATTATAAACTTTACAAAACTTGCAAGTATAAAACATTTATCACGTAAATACGTATGTATGAGTGTAAAGATGTTGTCATGTTGTTTCTTGTTTTGTTAACCTAAATAGGTATTTAATAAGACAATTTTTTACTCTAGTTATTACTAAATCAACTTACCGTTAGTGCTAATGAGGCAGAGAAAAATATAGCCAGTAAATTAAACGAAGACATCACGAAAAATTGCGTTGAAAAAAATTAGTAGTCTTCTTGCTAAGTTGCTCTTCTGTTCTACTCCAACTCTCCGGCCGGAAAGTCTCTCCCGAGGGAAAATCCCGTATTATCGGAGATGAGTACCCATGTATTGTTTGTAAATATGGTAAGAATGAGCAGTGCGCAGTGTGATGCCACTCGCACCTATAAGAAATCAACGCCAACTTTTCGTAAAAATTTCTTTCGATAGCACAAATGTTCACTTCCTGGCTTGCTTTAAATTCTAAAATGTAATTTTTATCCCATACAAGGGCCCAAGGCCTAAATTCAACAATACTTTTTCTTAGAGAGAGAGAAAGTGAAAATTTGAGATCAGTAACCTGATCTGAAAAGGAGACCTGTTCATTACGAGCTTTCGTGGTCAACAAAATTTGTATGTCGAAAACTCCAAGGAAGGTTGAAAATAGCTTAATAAGACGCTGCAGCCAAAATATTAGAAATTATATTTAGTGAGATGACTGCCCTTAGTGAAGTCCAGTAATTCAGGACCAATTTATCTTCTAAACTCTTTGATTTTTTTGTGTGAAGTTCATTCACTAAGTGAAATTGCAGGTTTCGAATCGTGTTAATCGACAAAAAAATCGCACAACATATTGGAATAATCATGCTCCGAACTGATAGTTGTCTTTAATCATTTTATCTCATGAACAATGAAAGTAGCAAATGAAATAATGCATCTGCATTGTTCTTGCCTTACAGTATCAAAAATGCCACATCAACAACGCTTACATAACTTCCAGAGAACGTGATGAGGAAGACGTTTGCGAATTTGATATGAATGGGGACGCTCGACCTAAAAATAACAAAGTTTTAATACGTTAGAACACAAGTGTTTGTGCAAATTTCTACGATAATCTTGGCTTGGAAACATGACAACATTCATTTTCAAAAATCACTGCATGAAATCACGAAAAATGGCCAGGTTGACGACAGGCGTTTCCTGTCCATGACGTCATAACTTCAATCAACCTAAAGAGATCATGGAGTGAAGACCACTCACTTCTCCACTAGTGGCTGCGAAAAATCGTTAAATCGTGGGTAAGCATTGAGCCGAGGTTTTTGTATGACAGCGGCAGGCATGCAGCGTTGGAACACAATGGTATGTTTTATGAAAGAATGGAACACAATGGTATGTTTTATGAAAGAATGGAACACAATGGTATGTTTTATGAAAGAATTTTCAGTCTGCGAATACATTCCAGTTCTTACGATTACAGCACACATCTGGTCCAAAGACCCAAATCAAGAAGTTGACGTTAGGAAATGGTGACGATATGTAATGTCACATTATTGTACTCCAATGCTTTCCTTCGGGAGTAATAGTTCACGAACGAATACACTTTATTTACTGCAAGCTTTACGCTTGAGATGAGTACGGTAGTTGTAAACAATGATAAACGCATGTGTCATCATAAGTCTAGGAAATATGTCAGGACTCTCTTCAAACAAACCACTGCGTAGGTTCTGAAAAAATTCGAGTACCTGTAAATTAAAATTGACACATATCTTGCAAATGACAGTATGACACCGACTCTCTCTCACACACACACAGAGAGAGAATATAAACATGAAACACATGTACATTCAACAAAGGCATGTTTGCCATCATGATTATCGTCATGTCATGTTAAATTCATTAAAAAATTCGCATGTTCGATAACGACTGCACGTAACGATAGATGTATTCATGTCGAGTGTTTTTAACTGTGTCAAAAGCAAGATAGCAGAATCTAAACAATCTTGAAATCGAAGTAATTTACTACAAACTTCGCGATTGTTTTTGGAAAATGTTGCTCAACCAGCGAAAGAACATCGAACCACCTTAGCTAAGAACACATTCTAAGTTTGCAAGCTCCGAACCTCTCAATTCAAAACAGGTTCTAATTTGATAAAAAAAACTCCTCCATCATCAAATCACGACACAAAGCAACTACGATACGCTATTGTTTTAAAAGTTGTTTGCATATATAAAGTCCGTTGTTTCACGGCAAATGTCACGAAAATAAATAACTCGCCGAATGAATGGAATGATTGAGGCTGATGAAGATAGGAGAATACGGCGACAGCGAGTCTCGATGAAACCAACATATGACGTCATTATAAAATCCAAATCTACATTGGATGATAATTGCTTCATTCGTTGATAAAGACTTCAATCTCCAATTTAGCATAATTCATGCATATATAATACCACTGGACAATCCAATTAATTAACAGGGGAAAAAATTTAATACCTGGGCACGGAGTGGCGAAATAGAAAAACGATTCGCGATTATAACTTTAAGCCCTGTCAAAACGGTAAATGTTTCGCCGTAAAACATGTTTTAACATGTTTTGCGGCGAAACATTTACCGTTTAGATAGGGCTTAATAAAGGAAGCTGTGCATCTCGATTAGTGGAAGGATTTGCACTGATATAAATTTCAAATGAACTCCTACGCACAAATATATATCGCAGATTAATCACCAGAAAATAAAATGTGTGCGATAAAGACCAGCGAAGGCGTTGATGTTTGTCAAACGAATGAAATATCTTAAAAATATTGAAATCTCGTTGCAAACTTAGAAACATTGTTCGCTAAAAAATTTGCGGTTAAGCTATTCGCCCCCCGTCGAGATGCAAATGTAAGTGAAACACAGGTGCGCTATATATAAAGGTGTAAAACACTCGAGGGCAAGGAAAAACATTACAATGCTAACCAATTCAACAGTTCAGCTGAATCAGATTCAAAATACTTCATCTTAGAAAGCATCAACAACTGCACATAGAGCACACTTTTCACGGATATAGGGGAAACATTTCGTGGACATATTGCGCTTAGGGGTAAAAAACGAAAACAAAGACAACATCTCACATCGTCTTCGTTCGTCAAACTGTAATGAGCGTTTTTGACATGGACAACGATAAAAAGAAATTCAAGTTTAGGCTAGTGATTGTCACGATGGTAGTTTGTATAGCAGTTAGTTTTTCCATCGGTCTTTTGATCGGCTATCTATCAAACAAGAGCAAGGAGAGCAAAGATAGAAGTTATCACAGCGAAAGTTCCTCACTCGAAAATCTTTTACAAATCTTCAGTGCAAAGGAGTTGCGCACCACGACAAGGTACGGACACTTTCGGTCTTCATTACTTCATTTTAAACATTTTGAACAATTCAGTTCTGTGAAGGTAAAAAGAAATTGTAGAATTACAAAATCGTATACTTTGCAAGAAGTTCAGTGTTAACATCCCAATTCGCAAGCTAATATGACATAGAAAATACGGATAGAACTCGCATTAGGTTATGGTGGGGTACGCTTGCAAGTGATCATTTGGAATCAAATACAGTTACATTCGTCCAAAATATCGCATCTGTTATCCATTATAGCTTTTCGTGACAAAGCCGTGTTCCCCAATGAAAATCTTTTAGCTACGTATGTATTCAGAAACAACACAATTTTAAAACAGATTACGAAAATCATTAGTATTTCATACGAACAGCATTTATTACTGAGTATTTCAAACAAATCACGTTTAAAAAATAGACAAGGTGCAGCGGCTAAAACACTTCACAGAGTCGAATATTCAAGACAGCCCACTGCGCACTTTATTAGAAATTCACTCGTTAGATGAAGACGATACCGCTGTAGACTTTCGATTAAGGAACCCAAGAGAGGGATGATAAAACGAGGAAATGAATGTACAAGGACGGAGAATAATCTAGAAACGCCAAACACTTCGCATTAAAGTTGAATTTTTTTCAAGAGACGTTTTGAATAGTAGAAATGCATATGAAAAAATGTTTACGCGTGAAATAACTTTTTACAGCAAACACGCCAGGATTGTGCTAGGCACATATACCATGCCAAAATTTAATTACGTCATTAACATCATGCCATTGTACAATTATTGATCTCTTTGATAGCATGTTTGTGAAAATAATACATTAAACTGATCAAGATGCAAATAAGAAGTGACATCTGTCGTTGACAAAACTAAAACTATCATTAATGCTTTAAACTCTTATACATTTTTTATCCATAATTAATTCCCGCTGGCCACAAACAAACAACGTCGACAAACAACTTTTCACACTCGTCTACGCTATCGCCTTACTTTATCATCGCGAGGTATGCTTCTCAAAAATTTTATATCAAGAGGGCGAACATTCCTCAATAAAAGCTGTCAAAGTTCAACATGCGGCGATTTGTTCGCACTTATTGATGTGTGTGTGGCTAAAATTAACAAATCAAATTCTCGCACGTTCATCAACTGATGTCATTGGATAAGTGCATTGCATTAACTCACAAAGCAACACACTAGGGTGCACCTGGGGTAAACGTCTTTGAAATATTTTTCATTTAACACAGGAGAAAAGCATTCTTTTAAAGAAGTTGTTATCTCAACAACAAAATAGGATCATGCAGTGGTAATCCCCACTCTGTCAGGGCAGAAAACTAAAGCTTAACCTTAACTAACCCCGAAACGGTTGTTTAAATCTTAATCAACCATTTTGAATGGACAGAGGGAGGGAGAGAGGGGGAGGAGGTTGTCTGTGTTCTGTGCACTGGCTGAGTTCCATATCAAACAACGCTTGCACAAAAATCGATAGCAACAAGCCAACAGCAGCATGTTATTGTTTTAACTTAAAACTCTGCTGGACATACCTCATGTAGTTACATTGTTACATCATTTAAATTGACTAAGGCTCCTAAATAATTTTAAGAAGTGAATTTTTTTCGAAATAGAAATAAAGAAAAATATCATAATCGATCGAAATCAAACACATTTCGTTTACAATTACACGATGTGAAAAGAGATAAGTTCATTTTACGTGATCCCTGTATCAGATAGCTGACACCATAAACTTTCACTATCTCGTTTCACAGTCATTGTTTAAAGCTGGGCGCGTGAGTATGATCTTATTATTAGAGAACCTACATAATGCAGCTAATGTTTTTCCTTCTCAAATCTATACTTGAATGGAGGGTCTATCTATTATTCGCTCTACTTCACAAAGATATGTCTTTTTAGAACCATTAATATCTTCATTGCAAAACTTCATACGTCATTCGGTGAAAAAACTATCGATGTTAAAATTGTGTTGATATACAAGCAAAATACACCCATATGTTCATTAAATCCTGAAATTACATATTTTTCGGTATTTATCCTTGGTCCTTGGCGTCAGTGAGTTCTGAGTTTATAAAATAGGATATCAAGTTATTAGCAGTTTATAGTTTACTGTAAACAGTATACTGTAAGTATAGTGGTAAGTAAGCGAACAGTTTACTGTAAGTATAGTGGTAAGTAAGTAAACAGTTTACTGTAAGCATAATGGTAAGTAATTAAACAGTTTACTGTAAGTATAGTGGTAAGTAAGTAAACAGTTTACTGTAAGTATAGTGGTAAGTAAGTAAACAGTTTACTGTAAGTATAGTGGTAAGTAAGTAAACAGTTTACTGTAAGTATAGTGGTAAGTAAGTAAACAGTTTACTGTAAGTATAGTGGTAAGTAAACAGTTTACTGTAAGTATAGTGGTAAGTAAGTAAACAGTTTACTGTAAGTATAGTGGTAAGTAAGTAAACAGTTTACTGTAAGTATAGTGGTAAGTAAGCGAACAGTTTACTGTAAGTATAGTGGTAAGTAAGTAAACAGTTTACTGTAAGTATAGTGGTAAGTAAGTAAACAGTTTACTGTAAGTATAGTGGTAAGTAAGTAAACAGTTTACTGTAAGTATAGTGGTAAGTAAGTAAACAGTTTACTGTAAGTATAGTGGTAAGTAAGTAAACAGTTTACTGTAAGTATAGTGGTAAGTAAGTAAACAGTTTACTGTAAGTATAGTGGTAAGTAAGTAAACAGTTTACTGTAAGTATAGTGGTAAGTAAGTAAACAGTTTACTGTAAGTATAATTTACTGTAAACAGCTTACTGTACAAACAGACGTAGCTACCTAAATCACAAGTTTGTCATGAAACATAGCCAAATTACTGTGACAGTTGCAAAATCGTGATGTGATCAGATGGAGTTTAAATACATCAATGGCACACGGCACACGCGAAGAAGGAAATATACTGAAATTTTGGCCTTTTTTCCACAGCTTAAGAAAATTCATTAAAAACGATTGATAATGACACGATTATTATAGGATTATAATTGCAGCTAGCTGTTTTAATGGATATTTTGGCAAACAAATTTATCAAACATTATCAAATCCATCATATACAGTGAAAACAATACATGCAAAGTCTCGATTGCGACACAGGAAATACATTCAATGCGGTTGATTAAGAGATGATAAAGTTAATGAAATGCCCAAATACGAAGTGAATAAAATGAAATAAGAATGAATCGATTATAATAACAAGCAGCTAATTAGCACTTAATTGATGATTACGTAAAAAACCAAATTAAAATGAGTTTGTAGTGAGTGCAAAAACTTCCAGCCCAAACCAAATCGTCGTTAATTCATCTTATCAATTGCCTCGGAATCGATCACTTGTTAGCAAGTTATGTTGATTTACTTTGCACAAAGACTGAACTCTTGATCGGGTGAGCAACAGAAGCAAGCTATAACGTAGGGCATTTCACAAGTCGCCATGTCGCCACCTAAGGGAAGAATTCATAAGGATTACATGCTCGGTAGAGCGTCGGTGCTTTGAAGTATAACCACCTACATGGCCACTTTGTCCCATGAAAACAATCCACAAAGAAAATCTCGTTTAAAAAAACCCCATGAACTAACGACATTCCAAGTTTAAACACGAAACACTTAAATCGCCAGTTAACCCAAATTACGATGTATAGAAGAGAAAGAGAGAAGACACACTTGAAACATTCACTGAAGCTAAACGAAAGAACAACATTTAAAGAAGCGACTTTCTGGACACCAAATATTGATTACAGCGGTTGAAGACTGCATTCTGGGAAATTCCCACAGCACTAAAATCTCTGGGGTTCTGATGATAACAGTCAGTCCATTATGGAAAAAGATGGCGATCAGAGAAATTCACGTGTAAAGCACGAGCAAGAACAAGCGGTTTATAGCCACAATAAGATCATGTTTCAGATTATATTTCTATGCAGGCAGATTTACATACTTATATGAACTTTTGGAAGAAATGAAAACTCGATACAATAATTCCGCTTCATGACGTACGCATAGCAAGACTTAAAAAATCAGAGCTGCTCTTCACAATGATATTAAATACCTGAAACAATTAAAACAAGTGTGAATGAATTCGCAGAAGCGATCAATGACAAGTCTAAAATGATCCCACAAACTAACCATTAAGTTAATTGAATGTCCGCCGTCATCCTAGACGCTATCGTAAACTGATAGACGTTTAAATCCAGATTAAAATACCTACTCAATGCAAAACCTCGCATGATCGCTTGTGCAGACAACAGGCACCCAACGTGAAGGTAATAACAAAAAAAGCCGGCTCCTATCACATGCATCATGTTTACAAGAATGGGATGAAACGAAAAGGCAACAACACCCATCAAATCTTCATGAAGAGGCGATAAAGGGTCATTCCGCTTGTAATTGAGCGCGGTTTTCAAACCATTAAAAGCATTATAGGAGGTCAAGTCTTAAAGGATCACGAAGGATAATAAAGGAACACAGACTTATATTTATTCCAACCAGTAGAACAAAAGCAACAACACGTAAATAGCATTCGCTTTTGGTGGGATGAATCATAGAAGGCGGCATTCAGAAAGCGAAATTAACTTATCCTCCGAGGAAAGCAATTTATCGACAACAGTGAACGATGATGAAGGATGTAAAGTGATCTTGATTCCGATAAAAAAACTACGATTCGTAATGATGATTACCGCAGTTGTTGTTCTGGTCTTCATAACCGGTCTTGTCATCGGTTTTTTCGCAAACCTTCAATCGTGTGCAGACATTCAACAACATGAAACAACTAAAAACGAGAACGCTCTATCATCCCTGCTACATGTTCTCAATAAAAAAGAGATAAGGGAAAACAACAGGTAAGCTTGGATTGCGCGGATAAAATCTCCTTCTTATCTTCATATTGAAATATTTATGGAGCAATACAATGCAAGAAATGATTGGCTATGATCAAACAAACACGTATGTTGCTTGAACACGGAATGACAAGAATGTTCCCGAAGTCTATCTTGTTAAAGCATTATAACTACAACAAACTGACCACAGGTCAGAACAAAGTTTTGACTTCAAACTAGCTTTTAAAAGACCTTGCATAACATTCAAACGAACCAAACACATACTACAGCACATGTATAAGCACGTTGTCACGCAGCGGCACTTGTTGACAACGGAAGGCAAGTTATTGTCAAAACGGGCATCAATAACAACCACAGTTTTCTCCTGCTGACCCTCACGTTGAAGGTATAGAGTGACAAGGCGGGTCAAATTTTTTAGTGCTGATGGAAAAATATCACAATAACAATAATGCAAGCAAAATTATATCACAAGTCATGAAATTGCCCAGCAAAGTTTATAGATCCTATAGAGATGTACAGGTCTTGATAATTAAGATTTTTGGTACGGCTTCAGTCACGGTACGATAAGCAACCAAACAAGCTATGTAGACATGCTTCCACTATAGAAAAGCTTACCAATTTATGTCGTTTGAAGACTATATCTTGTGGTTAGTAATTGCGCGTACATTTAAAGAAAAGCGCATGCACCCCGCGAACATGGGAGGAGAAAATCTCAAGTGCTTCAGCTCTTTTTGAAGACAGCCCTATGAATCAATTCGTCTCACTTGAAGTTCAAGCAATTCATTATCATTTGTGTTTCTATTTCTCGCCATCTGATAACACAGATTATAAAATATGACGGTACTTAAAGCGTATTTGTTAAACAAACACCTTGTCACATTACACGGTGTATTTTTTTAACCTTTACGATCAATCAAACACGAGAATGTGCTTTTAATTGCAAGCATTTATGTTTGTCTCGATGCAAAGTAAACATAAATTACTTTTAATTACCATTTATTAAAAGAGCGCGCGATAATAATTTCGAAATCATCAAGCTCAAAAACACGCTATCTGCGAAGATAAGCTAAAAAGGTCTTCGCAGTTTTAAAATTATCCTTTTTGTCATTATTGGATTGCTCACTAATTTACCAATGGTCAAAGGTGAACTTTTATCTCCGCTCGGAAATTGTTTGGCTTCATGTTCCAAAATTTAATTTCATATTATCCAAACCACACACATTGCTATCCCTTTGCCGGTGGATTAAACTGGTCGATACGGGGAGCTCGACCATGGCGTGCCATCATTCCACCCGAAGGTTAAAGAAAAAATGAAATATTGCCATGTTCAAAGACATTCGAATTGTAAACAAACAAAAATCTATTCTTCAAAATCAACCAACATGGCGGCCATGATACACATCGACAACTTTATAGCCAATGTGCTAATTTTCAAGCACAATTTTAAAAAATTAACGTGCAAGAACAGAGCAATGTTTTCATAGCAAACCACTGATTTCACCACGCAGGAGCACAAAAATGGAAAAACAAAAAGTACAATTGCGATGCCTTTTTCAACTTGTTTTACGTGTATGGTGGTGGGCTGTATAAAACTATACAGTTGTTTTTCAATAAGTTAAAATAGCAAAATACTCGAAATCCTTTGCAAAATCTAACTATATATCATGTGTTCATTTTTATGACCTGGGGCAAATGCATACCTATGAAAACACAACGACGCACAACATTCTTAAGCGCATGCTATGCAAAAGCAATAAATCCACTGTAAAAAATGATTGCTTAAAATAACCACATGATTGGTAAAAGTAACCATAAAAATATTGGTTAAAAAGGTGAAATGCATCTGAGGTAAACAATTTTTATGGTTATTTTAACCAATGAGTTTTTACAGCGTTTCCAATGTTCTTTCGCGTGGGCGCAAAATCTACATAACCGAGTGATTGCCAGGCCCCGTAATTCAGAAAATAAACCCTTTGTTCACGACGTATGCAGCTGCATCATTTTAAGGCTTTTCCGAGATTTTTTTTAAAAAAACACCCACTTATACAACTTAATTGGGCCACTCATAAAATAAAAAATTAAAAAGACGCGACGTCTTGTTGGCTTCTTAGCCACGCAATTAATCCGCTGGAGAGGGTTCGTCATATTTTCAGTCACGAAATATTTCTCATACTACATACTTTGAATGACAAATGTTTCTAATTTCATCATAGATGTACACCGTCAACCGATTGAATAATTGGTATTGCGTTTAAGTTTCCCCCCTGGAGGGCTCAATTAAACCTGGTTCTCATATAGTCGTCTGCATTGATTAAAATGAGTTTTTTCAGTCGTGTTGATAGAGCTCTGTCCAATCAGCTTGCGTTCTAAAAATGCCTGAGTGGACAAGACTGAAACGATTCGGATGGTTATTTATTAAAGAACCAGTCTCTAGATAGATGCTATAGTTAACAGCCAACTCGATTTCTCAATAAGTTGTTTAACACGATAGCTTATTTTTCAGTTAGATATAGTCCCTTAAAATCAACGCTGTTTTCCTCAAGATAAAATTTTTGCAAAACATTTGCACAACAATCTGTTCTCGACAACTAAACAAACGCGCATCTCTTGCGCTCGGCAAAATAATGAACAGGAAAACCCGCTCAATCTTTTTCAACATACATTGCAGATATTTTTCGAGCGAGCCCCATTTCGCTGGAACTCAAAGATCGAAGGATCTTGCCGACGAAATAAAAAAAAGATGGAAAAGTTACGGGTTCCATGTGGAAACATTAGCCTATAAAGTGTTGTTGCCTCGAGCAAAGGATGGCAGACCAGATTTTATGGAGATCAGAGATCAAAAAGGAAATATCGTCCTGAAACATGCTTTTGCCGCAGTGGTAAGTTTAAAGCCTGGTTCTCATCAAGTCACTCCGAGTCATCCGAGTCGTTCCGAGTCGTTCCGAGTTGTTTCGCTGTTTTTCAAAAAGACTGGGACGACTCAAGCTATGGAATTCTCATATACTCATACTGGCGCTACCGAGAAACTGCTTGATTGATTTCTGCGCAAAAAATTGAAAATGGCAGCTGTTGCTTTTCAGAGACAAAGTCTTTTGACTAGTTATTTGCTTCTTAAAATCGTTTTGCGTCATAAAAAGGTCGCTTGCATTTCTGAAAGGTCATTTCGGTCGTCCGCATAGAGCAAAGTTCTATCCAAGCGACCCTGGTCGTTTCAGTCGTGTGAGCCATTTGAGGTCATCTCTGTCACCTTTGAAATGTTCTCGTACAGTCGCACGGGTCGTCTGTGAAATTTTGGCAAGACTGAAACGACTCGGACGACTACATGAGAACCAGGCTTAAGCGCGTATTGAAGTTACTCAAGGAATATAGCATTTACAAAGCCTTTGTTTCAAGTTATATGGCATGTAAAGTCATAAAATGCAAGCAAGTATTAGTGAAATACAAGTACGCACCCCCCCAAGGACAGACGCCAGCAAAGCCAACAACATAACGTGAACATTTTATGCTTTGACACACCTGCAATGCCGTTTCCTTTTCCTGTAGGGGAAAGCAGATCCGACGAGCGAAACTGTTTGGACCGTACCTCGTTTCTTCTTCTACGGTGCATCGGGCCAGGTCCAAGGGGGATTAATTTACGCCAATGAAGGAGAGAAAGACGATTTTAACAATCTAAAAAATATAAACATAACATCCTGTACTGGTTCCGTCGTACTCATAAAATCGGTTAACTTTGAAATTTTAAATAAGGTAAAACTCAAATGCATATTATTGAACTATACATCACGCAATTTAACATCTATTATTCTATGAACCATTGAAGATCCAAAATGCGTATGAATGCAATGCAACAGGCGTCTTATTATATAAACCACTTTATAAACCGTCAGAGAGCGGTCCAGTTTATCCGAACGGAACAACATTACCGGAAGAAAAACTGATGGCAATAAGTCTCAGGAAGACGTGGGACTTTGGTGACCCGCTAACGCCAGACTTGCCTGCGACAGATGGCATTTACAGATTAGAAAATCCGAATTTGCCAGTCAAGATTCCTGTTCAACTAGTTGAAAATTCAATCGCCATGAAGTTATTACAACAATTAGAAGGCAAGAGCTCTCTGTGCGTAGTGATTTTTTAACAATCTATTCTATTTTCATAATCTATATATAGTCCATTTATAAAACAATAAGTCGAATGCTCAATTTACAACAATACTCGTCCTACTTTAGGTGAGTCAATGCCAGAGGAATGGAAACCAGATAACAAGAGTAATTATCGAGTAGGGCCATTATTGAAGAACAATGCAACCCTCTACCTTGCTGTGAACTCACAATCACAAATGACGACAATCTATGACGTCATTGGCACCGTGTACGGCAAAGAAGAGCCAGATTCCTGGGTACTAATCGGTAACCATAGGGACGCCATAGCATTCGGCGCCATAGACTCTGGGAGCGGTACGTCGGGCATGCTGGAATTGTCACGTGGCATTGGCGAAATCTTAAAGACAGGTAAATGAGATCTAATGACATTCCGACCATGAAAGTAAAGATAGCTCGACTATAATGAATTTAAGTGACCAATGGGGGATCAAGTCCATAAGGCACGCCTGATTTATCAAATCGTTAAGCGAAGCATATGCCTGCCATGATCTATGTGAACTTTTAACAGATTCACCCAACTTGTAATAGGTTGGAAACCGAGAAGAACATTAAAGTTTTGTAGTTGGGGAGCAGAGGAAGTGGGGCTGCTTGGTTCAATAGAATATGTCGATGACAATAGGAAATTACTTCAACAAAGAGCAGTAGCTTATATCAATATGGACATGCTCGTACATGGCAACGACAGTTTGAAAGTCAGCGGTAATCCAATGATGGCAAACTTGGTGTATTCACAAGCGAAATTGGTGAGTGATCCACACGGACCTGACGAGACGCTCTATTCAACGTGGAAAAAAGGACGGCCCGACAAGATAAACGCAGAGAAGCCCCAATATTACACATTAGGACTTGGATCCGACTATATTGCTTTCTATGAAATAGCAGGTATGGAAAAAAAGAACTATCTGTGTGTGTGTAGGAAGGGGTTCACAATGCTTGCGCAAATCACAACGTTATTCAAAAATAGCCCAACGCATCTCAAGGTGGATGGGGGATCTACAATGATATAATAGGATATTCTTTTGTAAAATATCAAAGATAACATGGGCTTCCGAACACACGCGGAATCCATTATACGTCTTCCATCTTTTCTCTGTGTTTTTAAACTAGGATTTAGTGCAAACATCAAAAATAAAAATTTCCCAAAGAGATTATAAATGATACATGCATCATTAATTATTTATGATCTCTATAAATTTCACACTATAATTCGTCATATCGCTTGCACACTTTAATGCATCAAAGCCATCAATAAAAAGAAACAACGACAACAAATTGCAAATAACGTTTGTATTCCAGGAATACCGACTGTCGATCTTCAGTATGGTAAAGTACCCTTTCGTCTACCGCGAGCCTACCATACCATCTACGATACGTATCACATGTCCTCTCTTTATGACCCGAATTTCGAGATTCACCTGGCGCAAACAAAGTACGCAGGAAGAATTTTGTATGGACTCTCCAATGCTGTCATTGTACCTTTTCAACTCAGCTCGTTCGCATCGACATTGAGAGGAATTATAAACAGAACACGAACAATGTATGAAAAAGAACTTAAAGCACAAAACATAACCTTGAATGGAATCACAAACGAAATGAACGCGTTGCAAAATGCCGTGAAAAGCTTTGAATCCGGGATTAAATCCGACTTGAATTCGTCGCAAATCACTTTGCTAAACAGCCGTTTGATTTCTTTTAACAAGTTCTTTATGTCACCAGAACCAATTCCGAGCCGATTCCGTTGCAGAAATTTAGTTTTTGGTATACCTCAGTCGCTGCAGTATCCTAACATCACCCTTGCCGGTGTAACAGATACAATTTTGATTGCAAATCGTACAAACGACTGGGAAATGGTAAAAAGACAAATATCACTAACACAACACGCAATTAGACAAGCAAGAAAGTCATTGGAGATGCCGTGAGCAACAACACTATGAAAAATGAATATTGTTCAGGAAAGCCATTTTGAAAATATGAGGTGTGACATAATTCAAAAGATTTCCATGTGAAAACTGTCTTAGTGTATTTCATAATGTATTTCCCACCGAACTTATATCAACGAACAATCACAATAACCAAAACTCATCCGGTGATATTTATGCTTATGAATGAAAATAATTCAGTAAAAGTTTCATTAGCTTAGTCGTAAGTTATAATAGATAATTTTTTTTCAAATTAATTCGACAGACTTGCGTGCATTTCAATTTCTTCGCGGTTTTCTGCATAGTCGAAAGTAAATCTTTGTTTTACACATCCATCGTAATATGGACCAGTGACCTAACTAGCGTAAATAATTACTACAACAGACCATCGAACTAAAACACACGGAACCCTACCTGCAATAGAAAAGTCTAATAAGTTCTTGAAGCCAAATTCTATACCCAGACACGCGAGATTACAGCCAGACACGCGAGATTACACCCTGACACACGTATGTAGTCAATGAATTTTCAGAACTCGAAACACTAAACACGCGTGTCTGGGTGTAATCTCGCGTGTCTGGGTGTAATCTCACGCGTCTGGGTGTAAGATTTGGCTTCAATAATTTGCTTCAGATAGCGTTCCATGTATTTTAGTTCAATGCAACAGACTTATAAATTAGTTTTGACTAATTGTAAAAATAAACAGATTAAGAAAAATGACAAAATGCTAGTAAGGCTGCAGGCCTGCACTGCTGACGACAATTTTTACATATGAAATATTTAGGCCACACCAACTCAGGCTTGAGTTTAGCCACCTACATCCATTAGTACAAGCTGTGTGATTCCGTTCACTACAGTTAAGACTTATTTAACCGAACACCCTTGCAACCACAACCTGGTGGCCCCTGCGACCACAACCTGGTGGCCCTTGCGACCACAACCTGGTGGCCCTTGCGACCACAACCTAGTGGCCCTTGTGACCACAACCTGGTGGCCCTTGTGACCACAACCTGGTGGCCCTTTTTCCCATTGGGAAAGTTCACAATGATTTTTTCAGTAAAGCATGAAATTTTATAACAAACGTCACAATAGACTAACATTATTTTGGTAATAATGGTATTAAGGCTGCGATTTGCTTAAAATTGGCCACTCGCACCAGTGGCAGATCTAGGGTACCTCAAAATAAATTATAGCTGCTCAGTTTTATATTGAAAGTTCTTTCAGAAAAACACTATTGGTTTGGAATTTCTAAAGGTAAAATTTTACCAATGAATTTATCTCTAACGTGCTTAGAAATGTAAATATACTTCAAACTGCGCTGCAGTAATTTTGAGGTAGCCTAAATCAGCCACTTGCTCGCACGCATTCAACATCGAAATGTCAAGGCGAGAAAATAACGTCTGCGGTCTGTCTGGTTTAAGTTTGTGTGCATAAATAAACCTTACCTTTCAAGAAGTTACAGAAACTTTATCTAGTCGTTATTAAGCATCCACCAATTTGATGAAAGTGCAGGACAGCTCAAACATTTTCCCTAAAGATGTTTAGTAGAAAGATAACTAATAAATTCATAAATTCCGTGCTACACGTGTATTATTAAATTGCACTTAAATTCGGTCATTTAAAGTAAATTTACTGAAATGATTACAAGAATCTTTATACGAGATACAGTACCTTCGTTATGGATCATGAACAATAAGAATTGTACGGTATAAGTTTTGGTAAGCTGAATTCTGACAAGCGACTCAAGTCAAGAATTGCACATTGGCTGCCATATTAAATTTGGTCTGCGAACGAACTGGAACGAGTAAATCAAACGCATATGCGCATATGTTAAACGCAATATATTCAGGAAAATATTTTCAGTCTTTATGAACCCTGGTTACTAATATGTGAAGGATGAAATTTGTGAAATTTGTTATCAATACCTTTTTGTTTTCAAGAAAATGCTTTCCATCACTCAGTCGTTGAATACGTGGCGCAGTTAAATTGACGGAGAAAATGTTGGTTATAAGTAAAAAATGCATCACAAAAAGCAGTTATCTAAGTTTGGAAACCTTTGCCAATCTATTGTAACAATTGATGAGCTGGAAGCTGAGTTGAATTCTGGGTTTGCGATTTAAAAGGTTGATGAATCAATTTTGTAAACTAACATTCAACCCTCTCTCCTCCATCCTTTTCAAAAACACAAAAATTATGAGATTACATTGCCCTTTTTTTTGTTTTAAACTTAGTAATAATATTAACATCATAGCAATCACTCGCTTCTAGCTTTAACCTTAGAAATAATGCAGGTGTCTCTTAGTTGTTTTTGTGGCGTTTGTAGGGGAAAAAGTATACCTAATTTTCTTGTTTTCCAGCTCGAACTCTTTTGAAGTAATATCACGTTGTTAGGAAAGTAGGACAGTTCCATCGTTTCGCTGTTGTTTTAGCTTTAAACAAATCACTGGCTTTTGAACATGGCTTGAATAGTAAGAATGATTACATCTCCATTTGAAATTAACGTATTAGTTTGTTGTTGTGAATAGTGAATTTGATTAAATTGTTTTCATTGATCGACACTGAACTTGGGATTTTATGGCTCTCGGCGCAGGACCGGCCTCATAATACGCGCAGCTTGCTGTGTGTTTAGCGTCACTAAAGAAACCTGATATTTTACTTCCGTACACCTTGAACTATTTCGTTGACACTTATCTAACGCCTCCGTGATGCCGGGAAACCTGGCACTAGCGTAGATATTAGATAAGCTAGGAGCAAAAACAAGATGTTTGAACTGTTCTCTACCAGGAAGACCACCGGGGTGTAGAAAGGATTTTTCAACTTGCATCATTTGATCGTTTAAAATGCGAACTTTTCGATAGGCCTCCTCGCCTTCGTAGGAAGCCAAATGCGCTTCAAATGCTTTGGCATACTTCGTGAAACTTCGCACTGCGTTTCCAAGATGCTCCAGTGAGATATTCCTGTTTTGCAACACAGTGATAAACGTTTTTTCAATATACTCGAGCGAATCATTGAGAACCTTTGCATAATCTAAGACACTGCTCATAGGCAGCAAAGGTTTGTCGCTTAAACGCAATAGAAGTTTAGCAGTGAGCTTCGCGATTGTTAAATGAAGTTCATAATCAGGATCGAGGTGCTGTTTGATCCAGTCGTATGTGTCAGCCAACGCATGATAAACTGGATAAGGAAATGCCAGTTTTTTCTCGTCAATAAATAGATACCCATAATCAATAGCAGGAATTCCAAGGTATTGATAAAATGGAGCATAGTCGCTGAATGCCCCGAGAGTTCGTATATTTGGTTTAGTACTCCCGGAGGATGAATCCCGCTCGACCATGACGTCATAGAGAGTTCTGCTGCGGTCATAAGGATCAGTAACATCGCCTACCACATTTCTAATAAGATCATTAAGCATTGGACTGGAATATGCTCGTATGGTATAGTTACCACATACAGCCAAGTCTAAGTTCAGATAGACCACAGCGCGATCTGAAAGTACCTTGAAGTTTTCTTCGACATACTCTGTTGAGCCAATCAAAGCATATTCTTCCGCTGACCAGCTACAAAACTTAATAGTCCTGCGAGGACGCCAACCCGATCTCAGCATCATGCCTAGAGCACGTGATAGTTCCATCATTATAGAGGTTCCGCCTACCGAATCTACAGCACCTTTAACCCAGGAATCGCGATGAGAACCAATGAGAACAACACGATCTGGTTCCACGCTGCCTTTTATGGTGCCAATGACATTCGAAACATTCTTAAGGGTATTTTCAGTGTGAACTTCCAAATTGATAATATCTCCTGGGGTCTGAAAGCCGGGGCCAAAGCGATATGTTATATTGAAAGCACCTGTCCAAGTAGGAGGCACTTCAGGACCTAAGTGATAAATAACCTCTTAAAAACAACATTGGGAAAAGTTTGAAAAACAATCATCTTTAAAAATATGTAAATTTGTTAAATAAGAGATCCTCCATGTTGATGTTACGTTGTGTCTTGTCCAAGTGTACTCTGAGTTTTCATGTGATTTAGTAGAAATCTACCATCAAGTGATGATGTTAACGGTTTAAAACATTCATTTTATAGAGACCATGATTTTGAGACACAAAATTGCACGTTCACATCCAGGCCTAATGATTGTGATGAACAAACGTTTATATGATGGAAAAACTCAGAATACCATGCTTATGTAGAAAACCATGATTTTGAGACACAAAATTGCATGTTCACATCCAGGCCTAATGATTGTGATGAACAAACGTTTATATGATGGAAAAACTCAGAATACCATGCTTATGTAGAAAACCATGATTTTGAGGCACAAAATTGCAAGTTCACATCCAGGCCTATTGATTGTAATAAACAACGTTTATATGATGGAAAAACTCAGAATACCATGCATATGTAGAAAGACGTTTATCATAAACAAAAGAAGATTTTTCGCATTTCATGCAAAATTACTGTGGAAGAGCTATTGAACAGATTATTTTTATTGGGGAAGGGTGGGTGGGTGGTGGAGGGCTAATCATTAATGAAGTATGGTTTTGATATAAAACAAAAACTGTGCTGCTCATCTTAATGTAAAATCTAAGAAAACGTTAATAATGGCGAAACCTTTCATTCGTTTCAATAACACTTCAGCTTCTTCAGAGGTGATCACGTGAACTGGTATCTTCGGCAAGTTCACAGACCAATTACGATACATTCCTAAGGTCGAGGGTAAACCATGAGTAAGAGGATCACCAAAGATAGGTCCGGGATTTACCGAGCCTCTTTGAACAGCATTTGGTGGCAGCGACCATGAGCCACTCCCATATGCAGAATAATCAGCTGGGTCGGAATACAAGATAACGCCTACAGCTCCATTTTCGGCAGCCAACGAAACCTGTTTGGATTCAAGAATAAAGTACATGTGTTAGAGAAGTGACTTTAAGGTGGAAAAGACCGGGAATGATTCGCTTGAACGACAAAAAAAGGTCACCAATGAATTCCTTATGAAAAAATGGATCCATAGATTATAGGGTGTCTGCATGTGACGTCAAGCGGCCAAGTTGGAGGTCTACATCAAAGTGCCGATGCTCAACAAACCATGAAATTAACATTAATTCCGTTCACTATATGGGATTTTCCTCCAACAAGGCGAGCGATGCAAACACCCTATGGACATAGATACTCATTTTCAATTGAAAACAAAATGAGTTAAACACCAAGGTTACATAGTCAAAAGATATCTATAGAAACTAGTCACGAGGCTTTACATGTTTGTAGATGTAGATGTAGATGTAGATTTACTTTATCACGAAGTTTTCTTATCGAGAGAAGTTTCATTGACATCCTTCAATATCTATCGGCTTATATACCTTAATTCCTCGAAAGATCTTTCCATATCGAATCAATGCAATGGAACCGTTTAACGACACCCCATAATCACGAAGCTTGTTAAAATCTTGCTGCATTCCATAGTTTACATAGACAAGATTTCCTGACACATTTCCTGCTGAAGAATAACCAAGGAACGACGGCACACCGTCGACATCAAGGATATCTGCAGTCTAATAAAAAAGCTGATCATAAAAAAAAAACAAGCAAGTTGTTCCACTGGGAGTTTGCTCAAAGCTCGTTTAACATGGATTTTGACGGTATTTTCAACTGCACCGAAGTCTTTCAACAATGTTTTCTTTGAACTTCTCCACGTGTTAAGCAGTTCTTTATGCGAATGTTTAATCTGATGACACGAATGAGGTAGTCATCACCAAAAGTCGACTGCTTTGAGCAAACTCGTGAATGAACTGTGATCATTTTGGTAAGCACTTGAGAAATAAAACTACATTCATCTACGCTAAATGCCGTTTTAAAACTTGATTTCATATGGTGACTGTAAAAGACGATATTTTTCAACCAAAACAATTTAAACGTAAAGTAATCACAAATCATTCAAATCAAGACATTCATGAATGAAAGATGAGCCATTATATAAAAATATGTCAGGAAGAATTCTGACCTCAAATATCGTGAAGCCATGTCCATCAACGATTTTCACTTTGTTGCTGAGATTTTTCTTTGGAAAAGACAAAAGCACTTCATATGTAGGTAGCTCGACATAAAATCCATACTTTTTCCAAGAACTTTCTATCATTCCGGCCAGTTCCACATCCCGTCGAGACGCTGCCAGATGCGGTTTTCTCGAAAATTCCCTACGTTTATCGAAAGATATATCATATGAGTTTTTTTTTCATCCGATGAAAACGAAGGTCGTTTAGTAAAACACCAATATTCATTGAATCCTTATTGGTGAAACGCCCATTTGGGTCTGACCCGTTCCCACACGCTTCCCGGCAAACATCTTTTCACAACAAGATTTTATCTTGTCCAACCTAATTGTTTTTCCACCATATCAAAGCACAGCAGTTCGCAATGCCATCGAACTGGTAAAAAACATCAAAAGAGACAGTAGGATACTTCAGATTGTATAATTAAGTACAGATAAAAATGCTATGACGACTACAGATGTTTATCGAACCCTTTAAAAAAACACAAACGTAATTTACATAAACTGCAAATTTATGCGCATGTCGACTTTGTCGATTGTTTTCAGTACTTCATGAAGAAATGAATGATTGTGACAATTATCAAAAAAATGACGATGGATAATGGAGTCAGAGAGCACTGCTCACTCGGAGCTCATGAGATGATCGTGGAAGAAAAAAAGGCATTGTGTACAATCGTTCAAGGTTACTTACAGATCAACGTGGTTCATTACGACTAGAATATTCGAAACTCCTAAGTTCTACGTATGTAATGGCAATTTCATCGATGACAGTTTTTTTTTTCAATCGAAAAGATGTTCTCCAGCAGACGCAGTAAGTCGCTTCGATAAATCAAGGGACTAACTTCACTTGTTTAATGAAGATTATGAAATGGTGTGCTTTTTACGTGTCAATAGACAGACAAATCAGCGTTGGTGGTCAAAATAACCTTAATAACCCAAGACAATGTCACCTTGATGGACACATTGACAAGATTCCACGACGTTTCATGGCAAATATAAATCACCTACAATGACACATTGTGTGATCCCACTCCAACCTCTAGACACCCGGGTATGTTCTCGAATGTGGCACCATTAACATGAAACAACAAAAAACAATGTTTGTACAAGATACACCGGTCTTTCATCGCCAAACTACAACATGTTCAATACAGTTATGGCGCTAGTATGTTCAAGTCATATCAATTTCGTTCACATGCTTCTTCGCGCAAAATGAAAGGAATTCAAAATGTTTTGCAGCATTGAGCCCTACGGTATGAATGAATGGTTTAGTTCATAACTGGAACTCAACTTACTTGCGCAACTGCATCCACATTACAGCAGTGTTTATAAAATATATGCCCTGTTCTTTTCACGCATTTTATTGTAAATAACTCTTCATTAATTAAATCCTGTCTTGATCAGTAAAAAGTACATTTAGGCATTTAAAACGTTTTAAAACGAATACACAAAATATAAAAAGATATAAACTGAAATCAAACATCTACCCAACTCTTTAAGAGATAATCATACATACAAGAAAGACTCTGACTTGGGAAATTTGTATGAATTGCAGTACGCCGTGCGGTATATTTGAGTTAGGTAAATTCTTTTGAAAACAAACTTCAGGCCCCCTTTGTCAAACGCATCATGTGGCGGAACTTTGTTAAGGTTAAACGTGACTTTGGTCATGGAAAATTAGTCAATGATTTTCTACTAAAGAGACTTTTCGATTTGGAATTCGATTGCGAAAAAGTTAAGTTTGCATAATCCTATTTCAGATCGGATTTCCGAACTGTTGTCGTCAACAGTCCAATCGTAGAACAATAGGATTTGCAAGCAAGTATGCCATTTTTAAATAACTTGGAATGAACGTTCGAGGGTACTTCTTCGTCTCCTTTACTATATATATGTTAATAAATGACTTTTCCAAACTCCACATTTCGTCCGGCAAAAAATAACGTTCGTCTTTTACCCCGAAGTGCGATAAGATTGTACCTAAGATAACGTGGATACAATTTTCCCCGGGGATAAAAACCTCTAACGTCGAGATCACCACAAATGGTTAAAAGACGTCCATATAAAATACGCTACATTCCACGTCAATCTTATACTAAATGATGCAACGTGATTGTAATTGAAAGAATATTTATGGAATTCATCCGTTAAGCGTTGTGCACACACGTACAACACACGTGTCTATGAAGTGCCTTTTGGATTAAAATTTGTCGAAGATTTGCCAAGGAAGACTTAGAGTTTCGTGATATCCGTGTGTCGAACGACGATCGAGCAGAACAAACGCAGGACAAATCATTACAAATCGAAATTCAAAATCCAAGCAGCGTTGATGTGAATATGTTCATGTCATTTTAAGATAATTACGTAAAAAGTAATCTATCAACTGCATAGCAAAAGGGATTACATATCCGAATAAAACGTGTTTCATAATCATTCGATAATTCGCTTACCATTTACAAACATTGAACATAAATTTACGAATCGTAAAATGAAAAGATGATATGTATGTACCTTGACGTGTTTTCGATCTTTTTCTTGTTCAACATACTAAGAAGCTGTACTTCTCGACTTTTGTCATAACCATGGGAGCAATCTTCTGTCATTTTATCCATGCAACCGTCATCCTTCTTTGAAAGAAAATGCCCAAGCAAAAACCCCAGTAGAACCGCCAAAAGGATGGCTGCAATGAAAAGTATAAGAAAATGCCTCTGTTTTAGCGTCATTTCGCACGACCGTGTCCCCACCACTGTACCCAGTAGCTGTATGTGAGGAGATATGATCATAAAGTTCGTATTTAAGGATGCTTGATTGGAAAAGTTGCCAGCAGCGATATGCTAGAAAAAGTTCACAGTTAGATTGTGAGCCTCCAGGTGTGTCTAATTGCGCGTTCACAACAGGTGAGGTGAGCATTCAAAACCTTTAATCGTCGAGCAAAAATCACTTGACGACTATTTGATAGCAAGCAATTGAGCCAGCGTCCAGCTACCTTATAAATGAGAATATCTTAATCGCGACTAATGTCAACAGGATTGCCCAACACAATCATACTTGCTTATGTCGCTATATTTAGAACCAAATCCTTCGCAGTTCAGACATGTACTTTAGCGTGCATGTGACGGCTAAAGATAGTGTTGCCCGTGTGGACAGGCAAAAGCGAGGCGCGCTTCATTTTATGGAAAACAAAAGATAAAATTGACGGCAAATTATTGATGGAATTATTGGAATTTCTAATAGCTAACGATGAAAGAACGCATTGCTTGAATATACACTCGCTTCAATCAAAGCAGGGATGAATTCATCGCGACACAAGCAAAGATAATTTTTTGAAAAAATGTTGTTAAAGTCAAACTTAAGGTTAATTCATATACGAGACTTGTAATGGACGCAATTTAGAAACATACACAAACACGACATTTGTTTCTCTATGCAAAACATTTGACACGTCTTAATTTACAAACGGATAAAGTTCGTTGTTTTGACGAAATCTCGACGGCTTTTCCATCAGAATTTGTAGCTAGTCAAAACGATTTTCCAAATAACGTGAATTCATTTCAAAACTCGTAACAGATTTTTCGCAATCAAACAGCGATTGAGGCAGCCGAAAATCCAAATTTGAGGCTACGTTTGAGGAATTCGGTGAGAAAGTGGAACATATTAACCCCCCACAATTTTTGATGTGGGGAGCTACAGCATCACCCACCCTCCCCACCAGAGCTTCCTGTTTTTTCTTTTACGTCAAGAATTGAACATCCCAGCAATTCCTGCTGTTCATATGTTGAAGAATCAAACAAATGCCGCCAAGTCAAAAGAAATCCTTTAAAATTGTTACTATCGTTTTTATTAAGTATAAATATAAGCGAAAGACAGAGCAACTTTACTGTTGGCACAAAATCACTTCTTGTTTTGGTTGTCGTACTAGTTGCAGTAACCGACTCGCTAAATTCGCCACGAGCAAGTTATTACATGAATCAAAAACGCCCTCCGCTCCTCCTTCTCTTGCTCGCTGGGGGTTGGAAATGGAACATGTGTTGTAATGCGCAAGTATAAAATAGTATTCGCGTATCTTTATGTACAAAAAAAATCGTTTCAATTCAAAAGAACCGAGGATCGATTGATTCATGCGATATCTTCAGTACCCATGTTCCGTACGATGGCCCAGGGGATTGCGTGGCTTACTAATATCCATGTAAATTGATATAGAATTATCTAGACCGTTCTATACATCTATAATAATACATGATTGCATTACATTATGAAATATCTCACCAACTTAAATGCAATATCCGAACATAATTTAGATGAATAACTTTACCTATGAAAACAGGAAGAAGACGCCTGAAATAACCAGAAAAGCATCCAAAAGAGCAGCAAAATGCGTGCTGAACTCTTTGTTCATATTGTAATAGTTGCATGGTTACAGCCATTCAATAACTTGTCTACGAATGAGATAAAAAAAGTAAAAGAAAGGACCAAGCATAAAAAACCCTGAAATATTACACTTCAGAATTCGTCAACAAGTCCACCCATGTTTACTCTTCCAACATTTGGATGGCAGAAAGGATGACTAGCTACTTGTTTAAACAAGTCTTCGATGTCATCTGTTGCATAACAAGTGATTCAATTCATACCTTTTGATTCGACGGTGTTCAAAAACATACCTTTTGACTTCCAGGTTGAAGCTACACCATGTACGACCAACCTACGACTGAGCAACACATGCAGTTAACGATAAGTTAATCCGTGAATGGCTTCTACGGGGGAATGCACGAAATTATTACGCCACCAACCTCCAGCTATCAGATTCTCGGCTAGCCACAGCGTACGGTCAACAAAACTGTCCAACACATTAAGACAAGACATAAATGTATTAATAACGAGAAAAAAAAGATAACTTTAGTGAACGCAAACTTTATCTAAGAACAAAAACTTTAAAACTGAGAACCTTTGGTTGAAAAGGTTTTCAATTGTGCATTAGAGATCGTCATTCACAGGGGAGAAATTATAAAAGTTTGTTTATTATCCCGCGCGTCAGTTGAATTTCGATGTATTTTTACTTTCGTAAAACATAGCGGTATGCCACAATTAACTGCATTTTCGAGCCAAACTGTGAAATATGACACACCACATGCGAAAAAAAGTACATTAATGACATATCCTTCCATCGCTTTCTAGAAAAATTCTCAAATCTAATTTTCGTTATGACGTTGCGATGGTCAAATGGAAATAATCAACAGCAATATCCTGAAATGTAAATGACAAAACATGCGGCGTAGCTGTACAATAGCAAAGTAAATTCACCAACAGTATGAAATTCATTCACCAGAGCTGGAGGGGTGATCGATTGCGCAAAAAACACTTCAAATTTCCTGTCGGTCAAGGTGTATCATAGTGGACTATTGTGTACCGATTTTCAATTTGCAATTGGATTAAAGTTGGAAAATTCCACCTAAGACCAACACGTGATCAATACAACACTATATGCATTAGCTAAACTATCAAATATTATCGCGTTTTCATGAAGCAAAGAAAAAGAAATGTTTTTAAGATGAAAACCTTCGGGCAAAGCACATGTGGAAACAGTTATAGCATGTCAATGGTGAGCTGTTACAGTATTCGATTGTTCGAAAAATGAATAAAGTTGTGCTATTTTTCAAGCTAAAGCCAAATCGTGTCACATAAACGTAGCAAGGTAAAATCGCCAGCAGTCGCACGACAACGTTGAAAAATTTTTAAATTCCAAAATACTTCAGCTTCATAAAATATTTAAGTTGCGAGAAACATTTTGAAGGCCATTGTCTTATTAAAAGAACACACACACCCAGTAATCAAACAAAAAAGTTCTTGCGGCCTAAATCAATCAACAACCAGAGTCAGTCATTCAAGGTTAGAATCAGATCTCCACCCATGTCAAATAACTTATGTACCGCAATGTTTAATGCACGCTTGAAGGTCAGAGAAAGGAGATGTCTTGGAACAAAATAATACTAACATGGAGAATGTCATCTCCATTGATTTTTACATAACAATGGCGTCATGCATGCCAACCCTTTAACTGCACCCAAAGGCGGTAAAGGGGTTGTGAGCCATAACCTTGAATGTCATGCATCAACTGAGCTTCTAATTTTAGCATTCTGTGGTGAAACCAAACTCTATTCATAAAAACATTTTGTTAAAGCTATATTTTCCAGCCAAGATGCACGTAGTTCAAATTTCCACTTACTTCTCTGATATTTATCCATTGTATATGTTAATGGTAAGTTTTAGGATTTTAAATAAACTGTTCATGAAAGATAGCGAAAATAGCCAAAGTTCTGCATATTGCATGAATGCGGCGGATCAAGAGATAGCAAGAAAAAATTATCTCGTACTGCAGTATTTTTAACTCTTGTGGCTGACAGAAATGATCAAAACTTGCTATAAATAAAACGAAATGACGCATTTGCCGTACTTAAAGTAAAACATCCACGAAGAATGGCCATTGTTTATATTTTAAAGAAAAAAAACGCCGCATACTGCTATATTAAATTGTAACATTGTGACTTGCATTTTCGAATTGAATAACAATACATATTATACGGACAATAATTCACTTTCAGATTGAAATTCCCGAATTTTACATTCCCCATCAAACAAAAGGTGGTCTGAAGACGAGTTTAGGTAGTATTTAAGACGTATAACTATCGAACTGAATATAAACGGAAGGCTAAACCTTGCAAAATTTGAGACAATCAATTAAATTTGTCTCAATCTATCTATGCACCCCTGAAAGAAAGTTTCTTTCAAAACAAGCTAAATGCAGACTCAATCTGCAGACATGCGCATTTGGAGGTAATATTTGCTTCATGTTAGTATCGATATGTTATCATTCCAGTAGTCTTCCAGTTATATACTTCATTTCAATGTGTAACACTGATATGCACTGTCAGCTATAGAGCTATATTATACTTAGTAACCTAAAGTGAGTGGTTGAAGATGAAAATAGGTATTGTTAAGACACAGTGACAAAAATGATAAAATATATAATGAAATTGATCAAGTCATTACAAACTAATTAAATAAAATTCAGTATAACGCGCTGACTTCGTATCAACGCTGTGACTCGGGGTGTATGACCATTAAAATCGTATTTTATTTGCTTTGCGTGTAGCTCAGAAACCAGGCATTCAAAGCCCTGTAGGTCTAAAAATCTTCTTCGTATAAGTTTTGACGTTGTGGATATTGTGACATTTTTTACATAAAATCGTTTGCAAGAGAAAAATTTGTTGGACACCAGGGATGTAAAAACAGAGAAAATTCAAGGGTAAACAGAACGCGCGTGTGTCATGAGTCGTTACCAGTTCCCTTCAATTTATGAATAGAACGTGCGTCATGAGTCGTTACCAGTTCCCTTCAATCCATGAATAGAACGTGCGTCATGAATCGTTTCCAGTTTCCTTCGATCCGTTCACGGTAGTCGCAAATTTATCATCTTCGAGGTCTAAATCATCCATAGCCTGAAATGAAAGGCTTAAAAAATTATTGCTGAGAACTCACAAGCCATGACAAGGACTTGAAAGAACAAGTCTGAGAATTCACAAGCCGAGATAAGATTAAGCAGTAATTAAACGAGCAAGTCTGAGAATTCACAAGCCTAGATAAGGTTAAGCAGCAATTAAACGAGCAAGTCTGAGAATTCACAAGCCGAGATAAGGTTAAGCAGTAATTAAACGAGCAAGTCTGAGAATTCACAAGCCTAGATAAGGTTAAGCAGCAATTAAACGAGCAAGCCTGAGAATTCACAAGCCTAGATAAGGTTAAGCAGCAATTAAACGAGCAAGCCTGAGAATTCACAAGCCGAGATAAGGTTAAGCAGCAATTAAACGAGCAAGCCTGAGAATTCACAAGCCTAGATAAGGTTAAGCAGCAATTAAAGCAAGTCTGAGAATTCACAAGCCTAGATAAGGTTAAGCAGCAATTAAACGAGCAAGTCTGAGAATTCACAAGCCGAGATAAGGTTAAGCAGCAATTAAACGAGCAAGCTTGAGAATTCACAAGCCTAGATAAGGTTAAGCAGCAATTAAACGAGCAAGTCTGAGAATTCACAAGCCGAGATAAGGTTAAGCAGCAATTAAACGAGCAAGTCTGAGAATTCACAAGCCTAGATAAGGTTAAGCAGCAATTAAACGAGCAAGTCTGAGAATTCACAAGCCTAGACAAAGTTAAGTAGCTCTTAAACGAGCAAGTTTTTTTTCTTCCTTGCTTACATTGTTAATCTCATCTGACAGGAGAGAGGTATAGATTTTCATAGGCGGTGCATCAGTTGGCTGACAAAGGTTATAATAAAGTTACACTCTTGTGACTCAACGGGATGCCGGTGCAGTGCTCTGACCAACTGAGCTATGAAGTCACACAGTGGTGAGCAGGTCAATTTTGTTGATTAAGCAATTGTCTCATGAACCTGAAAAATTCAGGTGACTATACTTCATGAGACAATTGCTTAAATTGTCCAGCAAAGTGCGAAGATCATATCTACATTTAATTTCAAACACCGCACTGCATAAAACAATCTTTCATATGACATTCCTTTCACGAGAAAACATGAGCCCAACAAAATTGACCTGCTCACCACTGTGTGACTTCATAGCTCAGTTGGTCAGAGCACTGCAAAGTTACACTCTTGTTATGTCTTACTGTGTACAATTTTCTCGCTTATGATTGCATCATAGTAAAAGCCAGAGTTCCATAGCAACTCGTTGGGTGTCTACCTTGTATGTAAAGAGTTGATGATTGGGTCAAAAAACACGTCAAATGAAAAGTAGCAACGAACCTCGAGTTCTTTCATGACAACGTCAATGAAGTCAGTGGAATTTTCTTTATATCTGTAGGCAAGCTTAATTGCTTCACGAAACAACTGATGCACAAAAAAACGCAACAAATATTGTCATTTAAAACTCAATAAGCAATTACAAAGTGACGATGTTCTTGCACAACAACACACGAGCATTATACCTTGACAACGTTTGTTCCGTCTGCCGCAGAAACAAAATAAAAAGGCAAGCCGTATTTCTTGGGAAAATTAAAACTCTTCTCTGTGACTTTAAAATCAACTATAGGCAGGTTAAGGCGTTAGAACAAACATCGCTATAATCAGTGGTGTCAGCAACGAGGGAACTGGCGAAGGGAAAAGGAAAGTGTCTCACTCAGTTCTCCTCAATGATACTTCTGAGATACCCGGGAATCCACCGTTTGTGGTGACGTCACCATGACGTCATTACCAACACAATTACATAGCCACAAATTATACCTGTCATTCTTATCAATTCAATACCAGTGGTAGATTTAGGGTACCACAAAATAAATTACTGCAGCGCAATTTGCATTATATTTACATTTCTAAGCCCCTCAGAGACAAGTTCATTGGTAAAATTATATTCTTTAGAAATTCAAAACCAATGGTGTTTTTCTGAATGTACTTTGAATTTGAAATTGAGCAGCTATAACTTATTTTGACGAACGCTGGATCAGCCACTGTTCAATAGTGCCAATTTAACTGCCAACAAGTGATAAAGCTGAATAGGTTGACATAACCAGCCTATTGATTTGTCCTACAATGAGATTTTTTCTGTACTACATATTAATAATTGAGATTCCCATTGAAAAGGTCAATCCTCATAAGCACAAGCACTAAAAAACATTTGATGAAAATGAAATTACTAATAAGGGTTATAGTAAGTTATAAAGGATACTGTCAATCTTGTTCGCAACAAGAATACACGGAATGTCTGCTCTATATTCTCGTAGCTCTTTGTACCATTTTGTAAGATTCTTGTAAGTAGCTTTTCTTGTGATATCAAATGCCTAAAGAGTGCATTAGATCATAAGAAAATTTCAATAATAAGGAAGAACCTTTTCGCAACAAGGGGCAACTTACCAAAATACAAGCATGTGATTGATGATAATATGAAGGATGCATGTTATTGAATCTTTCTTGTCCAGCTGTATCCCATATATCTTAAATGAATAGACATTGGCTACAAGTTGGCAACACTAACTTAAATCCAAGTTAAATCCAACTTAAATCCAAGTTAAAACCAAAGTAAATCCAAGCCAAAACATCAAAGTCTTACCAACTCGAACATCTTTATCATTAACTTTTGTTCTATACTGGAATAGCGTTAATGCATATGTTGATAACTGCTGAGGCTGGCTGACATAAGGGGTCAAGGAAATATTATGTTTTGAAATAATCTTGAATGAAATAATTGAATGAATAATTTGAATGAATAACTTGAATGAAATTAGAGTAATATAAATGCTAGTTTACAACAGCATCTTTCCAGTTAAAGTATTCTTTGGCTAGCTTCATTGACTTGTTTACATAATGTATAATTACAAATGAACAAGGCAATAGCCACAAGAGGCCTTTTTGTTAAAGTAAAAAGAATGTTTTTGTTTTTTATTAAACATGGCAGTATAGAGTTAATAAACAAAATATGACAAAATTAAACTGCAAATGGGAATTCAAACTTTGAGAACAAGCCGAACACTTTAGGCTTATAAGTTATAATTTTTTGTTTCAAATAAACTATTTTAAGGTTTTAGGAATATATGAATAGTAATAATCGGCGCTCGTGGTTCCTAGCAACGGCGTTCATTAAAAGCTTCGCAACAGTATAAGATTACTTTGGTCATTCATTACACAAAAACATTTCAAATATAAAATTTACTGCTAAAAATACTCGCTGTGTGTTATTAAATTAAAAGAACAGCAGTAGAGGATACTATCCATCCATTAGAAATCGTTCAACCAGCCTGTATATGTTGAGAAACAAAAAATTAATTAACAGCATAAGAACGGCCTTGTCAAAACGCACAAACGAAATACACGGCAAACTAACTTGGATTTTCCAACAGCACTATCTCCTAGACATATTATTTTTACAAAATTTTCTTTATCGTCGCCTTTAGCCGAGTCAGGAACGTGGAACTTCGCCGAAGTTTCACCACCCGAAGAAGACGCCATTTCTTTAGATGCGCGTCGGACACTCTCGGTCATTAACCGGAAATGAATCGTGCAAACATACAAAATCGTTAAAACGACCGTTGATCTCGGGGAAAAATCGTCAGGCAACTTTTTTACATACGAGTTTCAATTTAAGTAACTAGAATCAAATGATTATTCACAATACTTCTAGAAAAGCCAAAAGGGTTAACAGCTTTTCTTTAATAACATTTTGATCAAAAATATAACAATTAACGAGATGCGCATGGCAGAAACAATTCATGTCCAACGAATAAGCAGCTGGTTGAATCATTGTATTTACACAACAATTTGTTAAAGAAGTACAAGTGGTAAAATTTCAATAATATTTGCAACAAAACAGTTTCTTCTCGCCCCAAATCTAACACATGCTACAACTCTTATCAAGCTCTAACTCAGTTGACAACGTTTCCCAAATCTACATGGAGTTAAATTTTTTGTGACATGGAGAAGTGAAACGTTTTGATTGCATTATTTTTTTACTCTGACCGCAAAGCCACATTGTTCAAACCTCATGGAAACACACGCAAACATGTCAAGACATTTCACTTCTTTTTACCGAGGTAGGAAGAGACCTTTCTATCTAGCGACATGGTGAAGGTCGAACGTATACCTTCCAATTTACTCGTAAAATTTTGCGCTATGTCCGCCAAAGTTTCTTGTATGCTTCCACTATCCGGCTTTTCAATTGATGTGCTGGCATCACAAGGAGAGCTCTGCTTTTCAACAGCGTCACTTTCTTCTTCGCATGAACTAATATTTTCATTTGAAGAGCAAATCGTTTTCGCGGGACTATTACTTGGCGAAACAATTACTTCGTCACCAGGCTCTCGCTCCCCTTTTTGAAGATTATCATCTTCTACAAAATCATCTGTAGCGTGACTGCCTGTGTCCAGCTCGTCGTCGTAATGCTCAATTCTGATCGTTGGTATTTGAAATTTTCGCTTTGTGTCGTCAGAAATGTCCACGTCTATCACATTACCAGCGTTCTCATCGTCTTTATCTGGAGGAATACAGAAACTACTTACTAAAAAAACATCCAGATTTAATTATTTAATCATACGTTCTCATATCCAAAATAGAAGTCATTTCGCAGCCACATATGATTAGCAAGAGAAACCGTAGCGATCACTAACTAGTTTTTTCCACTAATACATATTTGCTACCGTTATATACTCCTGGTCTAATATTTCCTTATCTTAGAAAACATAGAAATTACTGAAATCCAAACCGTTGTCTGTTCTTCTAAATATCATGATTTTCTTAAGCGAATGTGAAGGTCTCTTGCAAGTTTTAATTTCTCACCATGTGAGATTGTTGCATCATCATCAACCAACTCCATTCTTGTCTCGTTTTCATTCTTGGTTTCTGTTTCACATGCATCCGAATCACTCTTTTTATCGTCTTCCTTTTTTCCTAACGATTCGACAGGCGAGGTATCGTATGATCTGCGGGAACTTATGGGATTACTTAGAAAATATGAGAACGGATCGTAGTGAGGTATTCTGGGACTGAAGACGCCGTCAATAGTGTGATACAACGTTTCGCCACTTTGCACAATATTGGGAAAACTTGAAGCTCGTTTTAGAAACGGTGAAAACGGGGAGTAGATTCCCCCGGGGGAATATGCCGGGTACATAGGCGACAAGTAGCCGGGGGATATGGGGGAAAGATAGGACCTTCCATGGAAAAACTCTTGGTAGCCTAGAAGAGGACTTGTGTAGGGATTGGGATAGAGCCAGTTCGGAGTTCCCGGATGAAACATGTTGTGATAAGGACTGAGATCAAACGCTGACGATGTTGTAACTGGATTGCCAAAAACAGGCGCAGATAAACGACGATTTCTAATTTTTTCACTTTCTTCGTTTACTTTATCAGCAGCAAGTCGAAATGAAACTTTCCTTCGAGATGCCAAACTGTCTATTGAACTTTCGGAGCAAGTGTTCTCGTCGTTTGTCGACGAATCATCGGCAATCCCGGATGAGCTGGAGTGTCGGCGCTTGTGATCTGGCCGCAGACCGTTCTCTACGCCACATGAAAAACTTGGGGAAGAAAACCCATCGTCATTACTTCCAGTAGATGTCGGGATAGTAGGTGTCATTGGGGGTACATGTAGACGATGACGTGAGTCCATAAAAGACTTGTAATGAGACGGTAGAGGATAACTTTCCTGACGTTAAGGTTTTGATCACTGCTGAGCAATAATTAAGAAAAATTTATTTCTGAGCACTTGTTAAGAAACAACAAGGTCAGGCATGCGCATACGGTTATGTTGACGATTCATGATCATCGTATACTTACAGATGATATCTTCGCTGTGATGCAAAAATAGCTTCTGTATGAACAATATCCATCGAAGAAGAGGAAGTACTTATCGCGCTCAGCGGCGAAACAACGGCGAACAACCCATACTCCATGTTATCCACATCACGTTTCTTTATGTGAATCTCTCTCATATGGCCACGGCATTGAAACATCTTGACAAAAAATACATGACATTAAGATAAACATAAAAGCGTTGAAATACACAAGGAAAATCAAAAGAATCATTATTTGCTGTTATTACACGAGATTCCTTCCAACTCTTACCCCTTGATGAATTTACAATATATAAACGTAGATGTGTAGATGTAGATATTGATGTAGATGTATTGATGTAATGTAGATTTAGATGAAGTTGTAGATGCTGGTGTAAACGTTATATGTACAAATAGATGAAAATGTATAGATGGTAGATGTAGTTAGAGATGTAGATGTACATGTAGATGTAGATAGAGATGTAGATGTACATGTAGATATAGATGTAGATGTAGATTGTAGATGTAGATGTAGATAGAGATGTAGATGTAGATGTACATATAGATGTAGATAGAGATGTAGATGTACATGTAGATAGAGATGTAGATGTAGATGTACATGTAGATGTAGATAGAGATGTAGATGTACATGTACATGTACAGTACCGCTCGCGTATTTGTTAACATACGCTACGCGTATGATACGCGTATCATAAGAAAAACATACGCGTATGATACGAGAACGATACGCGTATGATACGAGAACGATACGCGTATGATACGAGAACGATACGCATATGATACGAAAAGGATACGCGTATGATACGAGAATGATACATGTATGATACGAAAAGGATACGCGTATGATGAGCGTATAATGCGTGAACGATAAGCGTACGTATGATGAGCGTATAATGCGTGAACGATAAGCGTACGTATGATACGAGGATGAAACGCTGTGATACTTGATAGAACTTTGTTCATCGTAATGAGCGGCACTATGGTGACATATAGATGTCATCAATATACACTTAAGAAATTTTCACCATGAAGGAGTTAAAAGGAACAATAAAGCAACTGGGTTTTTATAAATGATACCATTCAAGTTCATGTATGTTATGCATCCATAAATTTTGGGTTGCTTTAGTTTCAATGAAATGTGCTTATCTCACGTCGTATCTAAGTATACATATGACTCATCAATGACGTATATAGTTTGTGACACATCCTATGAAAACGGAAAGTCATTGTGATTAGTTTGTTTTGAGATTTATTCTAAGTTGTGTGTGCTATAAACATAAGAAACGACACACTAACAATTGCTTTGTAGCACAATAATGACATAAAAAAAGTGTCGGTATACTCTTAAGATATTTTATTCACGAAACAGTTTAAAGGCACGATATAGCAAAAGAATTTTTAAATAGATGCTCTTATATATACATGTATATGTTAAGCATTAATAATTTTGAGTTGCTTTTGCAATGAGCTGCGATTGTCTCACGTCGTATCTAAGTATACATATGACACATCAATGACATAGCTGAATAGTTTGTGACACATTCTTATATAAAAACGGAAACTAATTGTGATAACATAAGTCATGGTTTTTTGAAAAACTATATTGAAGAAAAACTTCAGCATCTTAAAGGGTTAAGTTTAGGAAACGGAAGCAACAACCTATCACAAATCGAAACCAAACTATATTAAAACCATATACGAGATGTAGATAGAGATGTATATAGATGTAGATAGAGATGTAGATGTAGATAGAGATGTAGATGTACATGTAGATATAGATAGAGATGTAGATGTACATGTAGATATAGATGTAGATGTAGATAGAGATGTAGATGTACATGTAGATATAGATAGAGATGTAGATGTACATGTAGATATAGATGTAGATGTAGATGTAGATAGAGATGTAGATGTAGATAGAGATGTAGATGTAGATGTAGATGTAGATAGAGATGTAGATGTAGATAGAGATGTACATGTAGATGTAGATAGAGATAGAGATGTAGATGTACATGTAGATGTAGATAGAGATGTAGATAGAGATGTAGATGTACATGTAGATGTAGATGTACATGTAGATGTAGATGTACATGTACATGTAGATGTAGATAGAGATGTAGATATACATGTAGATGTAGATGATAGTCATTGTAGATGTAGATGTAAAAATGTACATAAATCTGTGTTTTAACTCACCTTAAAGAATCCTCCACCTTGACTTATGGTGCATTTTATACGACATGCAAAATTTTTTTGACGTTTTGCCGAAGTGAAAGCATCATCAACTGCAAGAAAGTAATAAACGTAACTTATGCAAGTAACGGAAAATAGTATATATGATTTGAACTTGATGAAGTAAACTTACATTGTTCTTTAGTCGCACTTGGTTCATCCTAAAGAGAAAGTAAAATATTTCATTACTAAATATTCAAAAGTTTTATATTTCTACATTACGTTTACAGCCAAAATTTGGAATGCATCTTTTATAATAACTTAGTTCAGGGTTCCTTACAAATGGGCAAGTTTCATGTCTCACGAATTTTGAAGAGCGTTCAGTTGGAAATCACAATTTTTAATCCTGCTATGTAAATTTGAGATCATTATCATCATGCATTTCCTTGGAGATCCATTGTTTTTAAAGTGAGTCAGTGAACATGTTAGAATTTTCACAATAAAGGCGTACAGGATGCTGATACTTGCACTGAAACGATAATGACCAATCACACAATGTGTTTCAAAGCCAATGACCTAAAACTTAATCTACTTGATATCTGACTTTTTGCCATCTTGAAAGGTGGCAAAACTGACGATATTTAGGACTAATATATGCTTTTCCTGAGTTGATACAGAGTTGCAAAGTTGATAGTCTAGGTTTGATTTTTAAAATGTTTGATAGGATTTGTATTTAAAATTTCTTAACTTAATTTCGATTTGGAGTTTTGCTTTTTGCTACCATTCAAGATGGCGTCCTTGCCTCAACTTTCCACGAAATATATGTCAGTCATCTAAGGGATTATATACTAAATCATTGTTTTAAGCACACTTGAACGTAATGATAGTGGCGTGTGGGTTGCGAGTGTGAAACTTGCCCATTCACCAGAAACGCCAGACAACAGTAAAATGATGACGTACTTCCTTCCCTCAGTGAAATCACGTGGTTCGTTCCATGCAAGGTTTTCTCGCACGGTTTTATGATCGTCAATATGAAGGAACTTGAATAAGCTTTGATGAATCAGGGTTGCCTTAATATGCAATAAAAGTCGAACAAATAAAATAAAACATCAGCATGGAATAAATAAAGTCTAGCATGTTCAGTATTATGAACGAGAATTGAAGTCAAAACGTACGTCATGATACGTTACATGCATGGGGTAGCGAGAAAATGTACGGTTGAATGTGTATGGTACCTGTGAATAGCCAAGAAAATCTTTGACGGATTCTGACACATAGAACAACTGACCGTCTGTGGTAATTATCATGATAAAGCCATCTAAAGCCTGATAAAACAAAACCCACACGTAAGGAAGATTTACTTAATTTGATTTACAATGATGGATCCATCCAAAAATATTTAGCATCGTGGACAGAGATTTGACAGCGGAAAACGAATTTTCAATAACAATGCGACAGCGCACCATGTGATTTTTGAACGACTAAAGACAAAAAAATACTAATTGCTTATTTTTACAAACATTCATTAAGCATTTTCCCGCTTTGAGCATTAACTACTGACATTAAATCATGCCACGATGCCGACTTCTATGCATGGGGGCGTACAGGATGAATATTGTTCAGGTGGGCGGTCAACAAAATTACCAGACTGCTAAGGAAGTCTTCCTAAGTGCACGACAACAATTTCATCGAAAGTTTCCTTGTTCTTCCTAACAGTTTAACGAGGTAAACACGGGGAGGGATAAGCCGACATGATGATGAAGTACATTCATGACATACTCGGCATCTCGTGGGATATCATGGGATATAACTGATGGATATGGTTGCCCATTAAAAACAGCACTTGCAATGGTGTTAAATATGTATTTACACAAGTTTGACAAATGGTTGAGCAATTCCATTGTTTAACTGTCACATTTTATACGATTCGATTGCACATTACGATAATCAAATCCAAATCTAAGATTTCAATTCCGAAATAAAAAATTCACGCTGGGTCATGCTAATGCAAAACGGAACGACAGACATTTGAAGAATAGACAAGTGACGTCATGGCCGCGTTAAGGAAATTAACAAAAATGTCATCATCATTTTTTCGCTTTCAACACGCAAATCTCTCATTTTACAGATTATCATACCATATTTATTAGTTATCGAGAGTCGTACACGACATTAATTTTTTGGAGGCAAACCGTCGCACGAAAAGAGTTTGGCACGTCACAAACAAGTTTACAACACAAATAGATTTTAGTAACTATTGGATTAATGGTATTGATCTTCTATAGAAGTGCACAAATTGTTTTCTACCGCCCATTTTCATGAATTCATTACAGATATATGCAGTCAAATAACATATTCACATAAGCGATTTTGTCCAAGTGCTATTGAGAAGTGTTTTACCTCGAGTAAAAGTTGAGAAAAAACACCATTTTCTTCAAATTCTCGAGATACATCATCATGGTCGACGCCATGATTTCCTTGCTTTGTTGCACAAACTGAAACATAAATAAATGTCCGACATTTCAATCAAAACATCTAAGCTTTAAAAGTCGTTCTTCTGCAACTACACAATGTTAACTAAGCCCTTCCAACTAATACCAGGAGTTAATACCGTGACTAATACCAGGAGTTATGGCGTTTAGCGTGGTTTTGGGATAAGAACATGCATGTAAAAGAGAAAACTCAGTGTATACGCTGCAGTCAAAATAAGTACAGTCTTTGAACCCGACCGTGACAAAATTGCCTTAGACATCGAACGTGAGAATACTTGTTCAAAAAAAGTGTGACCTAATGACGTCAAATATTTCGCTGCACAAGCAATGCAACAAAGCAAAAGGGTCGTTTAGAGATACGTGTAGAATTAAGAGCAGACAAACTACCATAACGAGACAAATTGCAACTCCTTCGTAGGCCATAAATCAATATAATTCGCATATGGGACCACAAATATTTGCTTACGATGGCAACGCGGTGATTTAATTACGTCGCCACCTTACGAATTGAAACTTTAAGAACAATTTGTCTGGCAACTTGCACGAACATGTAATGCGAAAAAGAAAACATTCGAACATAAAGGAACACACGAGGAAAGAGCATGTGGAGTAAATTCGACGCACTTGTGGGTATAATGAGGCGGAATTAGCTCGAAATCTAGCCGGAAAACATCATTTTGAGTTGGCTCGTTTTCGATAAATAGAATAATGAAACAGACGTATGGAATAAATTACGAGGCATTAATATCGTAATGAGTTTATTTTTGTCGCGCTCTAAAATTCAAAACATTGCACCCAGAAACTATACAAAAACTTTAGAAAATCACCATGTTCAATGGATAATATATATTCACAGTTGAAAGTAGATAAGAAAAACAAAAATTGTTTCATCCTGATGTTATCGGCCGAGCATATGATAAGATACGCCCGAGGCTATTGACAGAAGCAATTAATCCTGTCTGAAGTTTTAAACATTGGCATTAACCGAAATCCAGGTTCATAATTCACAAAAAAGCAATTTTGTCTGCGGAGGAATATTCAATTGCGCGCAGCCTTCAAATATAATGTTTGAAATCGCCATATGCAATACAAAGTGTATAAAGTTAGAATCTTATATTACACAAATTTAGTGCTCATTCGATAACGAAATGAAAATCGACTCGAGACCTTCCTTGTGCATTCCAAAATCTAAATTTACTTTCAAAATGCCGGCAATATAGCGTATAGATTAACTAACGAGAATGTGTGCCAGGTGCGTATCGCCAATGAAAAAAGTCTAACAACACACGCCCCCAATATAAAAAGCCATGCTTGCAGGGTAGAAAGAGCGCATTCGTGTTTCGCGTATGCGTTCACGAAAATGTTAAACTTTTATGAATAAAATTTTATTCCATGATCTTTGGTAAATCATATTAAATTCGATTGCTTATGTATGCTACGTATGCAAATGTCTCATCGCTGTAACACGACATAATACACGCGAAAAATGTCGGAACAATATTGTTTTCAATTTTGTGGTCTATTCCATTTTCAAACTAGTTTCCCACTGCACTGTTTCATAATCTAGCCGGCATTAGATCAAATTGCGAAACTTGTGCAGTGTTGTTGATTTAGATATTTTGCGAACGTCACGCCCGTCTGCCAACTCGACTGAAATTCACCGAGGGTGCAATTGACAAAGTAAACCAAGAAAAACTCGACACATACCAGTTGAAGCCACTTTAATGGCAAGAACTGATGCAAACGATAAAATACATGGATCTACAAACCTTGAAAGTAACTCTTTGCTTTGAGATAGCTCACAGTCAACCGAAGTATAGATATCTTATCCAATTTCGATATAGTTTCTTCGGGAAAGGGAAGCAGTTTAGCTAAGTTGTCCAGCTCTGTATTCAACCGATCTCGATGTCGTTTTGATGGATTTCCACTAGAACGAATTGTAATTCACATAAGATGCGTGCCGCTACGAGCACAGATTTATCAACCAAAGAATCACATTTGCCTTTTCTTTGAGTGCTAGTTACACATGTATTAATAAAGGGAAAGCAGAAACACAAAACATAAAACAGTATACGAAACACAAGCGATATTTACAAGCAAAGGAAAATCTTCAACCAAATTTTGCCCTACAAGATACTCAGCAATACAATTCATCCGAACACGAAAAAAACGTAAATCTTTGTACGAGGGTTTAATATAATGTAAACGAACGAATCTACATATTAGAAATGGTATATATACGCTCTTATGGCTTAAGCTTTGGTTTTATTAGTTATCTATATACGATGCTGCACTTCTGATGGAGCTATGTTCATCGACGAGAGCAATAAAACGCTGTTCGCTAGTGAAACTTAAGAACTGAAACCCGAAGGAAACCCAAAGGACCGACAAAAATTTGAGCGTGTGTCGGGCAAGACGCTCACAAAGCAAAGTTGTTGCAAAGTACAATTTGATAACGCGAGCACCTATAAATGCACACACATCCTTTTCAATAAAATTTTAATACCCGCTCCGAGCCCCCCATTTCAACCATGAAATGTTACATTAGGATTAGCCAAAGCGATTAATAATAAAGCTTTAAGAGTCCCCCGAGGTCCTCAACCTGCTTGTCCGCAATAAATTTATTCTGAGAGCGTTTACTCGGCTAACGTATAATAAATCACGAGAACACGACAAGTTTGCTAACCCTTGAATTTTCTTTTTCCTCTTTCCTTTCGCGGCAAGCGATAAATCTTCTAACGTCGCCAGTTTGATATCTTTCCGAAACGTATACGACCTCTGGACTTTGAATAAACACAATCCAGGAGAGATGTGTGGCCTTCTCCTTGCCAAGCAACCGGTGTTCAGACGAACAACAAACGCCTTTTGTGACCTAAACTGATGCGCTTCGTAAGTAGAGAACACGTTACACGACAAATGCGGGAAACTATGTCTTTTTTAATGTGATTTATGAAAATCTTTCGGTAGCGTTTCGAATTTGATGCCCCGGGCATCAGACATCGTTCAGACGGCAGACAACAACTGCGCTCACACAAAGCAAATTTAAAGCAAATACCAAACACGATATCGTAAAATCTTGATTGACGTTTTCATTAATGCTATTGTGTTACTGTCTCATGCAACGAAGCGTTATCGCGTGAGCTGATTGGCTACAAGAACACGATATAAACGCTGATAGGCTCATTTTGCAGACATTACCGTGCAATTTACAACAGAATCTTTTGTCAAGGCAATAAACTCGACATGCTTTCTCACATGAAGTGGAAGCGAGGAAACAAAGAAAAATACAACGCTGTGAAAATTCTTAACTTTTTTACTAAAAAAATCTACACCTCAGAAAATTCAAGCGATGATGATGGAGTGTACTGTCAAATGCTCTACTGTGAATTATATCATGAATATCGGCGAACATTGTCCTCTCAATTGGGTTTAGAACATTCCATACAAAGACGTTAGGCGTATGATACACATACGTGACGTCACACATCAATAAACTGACGCCATACGGTGAAAAAATGTGTCAAATCACGCCTTGATTGCCGATTGTTTGAATTGGCCAATAGCGCCAATCGGACACTTCATGAAACGTATGTAAATTTTAAAACGACCGTTGGAATTGAAAGTAGTTTTTAGGGCGCTCACTTCTCAAGAAACTACGCGTTGAACTAAGAATTTTTTTCTAAATTCCTTGTTCAAATTTGAACTAAAAAATTCTTGAAAAGACGGAATGGTGCTGGTGTAGCACTGTCTAATACATGCGTCGTGAATATAACGAAATACCAAAAGAATTGCTTGAACATTTTACACACAAATAAAACGGTGGTGCACAAAACAAGACCTTTTGAAATGAAATATTGCAAGAACGCTGTGCTAAGCGCATTGGGGATTAAAACACAATTACATTAGCATTAAGCACGAGTTTAGCATTGTTTTCTAAATCCATTACAATAAGAACAGGTTGATTACTAAAGATCGACATATTTTATCAACGTATATCTCATTTCACGTGATTTGCCGGTGGGGTTCGGTGAAGTTGAAAAATTTTTGTGAATCTTGCCCGTCGCCCAGGCAATATTCCTTTTGACTATGTCGAATAGATGCAACAACTCAAGCCTTTGAATAACGAACTTTTATTCCCTGGCAATGTTTATCTCATACATATATTGCTCACTCACTCAGACTCTCTCTTCAACCCCTTTACAACAAAACATCAATCAAAATTTTTTTAAGCCTATTGGTTAACGAAATTATAACAACTAAGGAGAATTCGTCTCTCTGTCAGTAGGACATTCAAATAACATAACTTATTCCCAACAAAATAATGCTCAGCTTCACTTTCTAGAGAACGGTTTGAAAGCCTGCTTTGATAGACGTTGTTGATCCGTAAATAAATGTTTAACAGTTAACGGGTTCATATTCATTTATTCATACGTTATAATCAGTAAAAACAAATGATTTCGATCGAAACTAATAAAGTAAAACTGCATGCACGAGTATTACCCTCCCTCCCCAATTATCGATGTTCCGCGGCACCTGGTTCAGTAATGACCGAAACCATAGTACCACACACAAAAAACATAAATGCCATACGTGGTGAGATGATCCTGGCACTATTGCATGAATGAAATTAGTACTTGAAACTTTCATCAACAGTGTGTTTCTTATTTTGATAATTGAATAAATGACGACACAAGAGACTGGCATACGAGATTGTGATGAGGAGATCGGCAAATACTCAGAGTAGTGTAACACAAAATTTTGACTCACTCGAACCACATCATCGTCAACCATTATGCCAGCGCTCAAAGCTCAAATTTGTACAAAATGAAAATGAGGTCGTCAACTATACAATTAGCCATTATCCACCCAAACATTGCAAAAAAATACTGTAAAATAAATTTCCGTTTGATCTCAAAAGCGCTAGACTGACTAGGCATTTAAAATAAAGGAAAAATTTTTAAATGCCCAAATAAAGTAAATTGCATAAAATACGAAAAAATGCACAGAAGTAAAAAAAATCGTACGTGATTTCAGCTTCTTCTTATTCCCACTCGTCAGGACTTATTTGTTGAAAATCCCGAAGAAATCTTGACTTTCGTTTCACATGACATTGAAAGACGATAAAGCCAATGATGGCAATGAATATGAGTATGCAGATGATGAGAATAGCAGTAAGAACATCTGTTGAATAAACACAATATTTCTAACGCAATTTCTAATCCTCTCTTTCGGGTTATAACGGAATGGCAGCAGCTGTTCGTTAGATTTTAAAATTTTTACCAGAAACGGGGAATACGCAATGATTTATAATTCGAGAAACTCATGCAAAGTGTCGTGAAACTGGAAGCGCACATGTCTTTCAGGCTTCACTCACTGACGCCATACGGTGAAAAATGTGTCAAATCACGCCTTGATTGCCGATTGTTTGAATTGGCCAATAGCGCCAATCGGACACTTCATGAAACGTATGTAAATTTTAAAACGACCGTTGGAATTGAAAGTAGTTTTTAGGGCGCTCACTTCTCAAGAAACTACGCGTTGAACTAAGAATTTTTTTCTAAATTCCTTGTTCAAATTTGAACTAAAAAATTCTTGAAAAGACGGAATGGTGCTGGTGTAGCACTGTCTAATACATGCGTCGTGAATATAACGAAATACCAAAAGAATTGCTTGAACATTTTACACACAAATAAAACGGTGGTGCACAAAACAAGACCTTTTGAAATGAAATATTGCAAGAACGCTGTGCTAAGCGCATTGGGGATTAAAACACAATTACATTAGCATTAAGCACGAGTTTAGCATTGTTTTCTAAATCCATTACAATAAGAACAGGTTGATTACTAAAGATCGACATATTTTATCAACGTATATCTCATTTCACGTGATTTGCCGGTGGGGTTCGGTGAAGTTGAAAAATTTTTGTGAATCTTGCCCGTCGCCCAGGCAATATTCCTTTTGACTATGTCGAATAGATGCAACAACTCAAGCCTTTGAATAACGAACTTTTATTCCCTGGCAATGTTTATCTCATACATATGTTGCTCACTCACTCAGACTCTCTCTTCAACCCCTTTACAACAAAACATCAATCAAAATTCTTTTAAGCCTATTCGTTAACGAAATTATAACAACTAAGGAGAATTCGTCTCTCTGTCAGTAGGACATTCAAATAACACAACTTATTCCCAACAAAATAATGCTCAGCTTCACTTTCTAGAGAACGGTTTGAAAGCCTGCTTTGATAGACGTTGTTGATCCGTAAATAAATGTTTAACAGTTAACGGGTTCATATTCATTTATTCATACGTTATAATCAGTAAAAACAAATGATTTCGATCGAAACTAATAAAGTAAAACTGCATGCACGAGTATTACCCTCCCCTCCCTCCCCCAATTATCGATGTTCCGCGGCACCTGGTTCAGTAATGACCGAAACCATAGTACCACACACAAAAAACATAAATGCCATACGTGGTGAGATGATCCTGGCACTATTGCATGAATGAAATTAGTACTTGAAACTTTCATCAACAGTGTGTTTCTTATTTTGATAATTGAATAAATGACGACACAAGAGACTGGCATACGAGATTGTGATGAGGAGATCGGCAAATACTCATATTAGTATAACACAAAATTTCGACTCACTCGAACCACATCATCGTCAACCATTATGCCAGCGCTCAAAGCTCAAATTTGTACAAAATGAAAATGAGGTCGTCAACTATACAATTAGCCATTATCCACCCAAACATTGCAAAAATACTGTAAAATAAATTTCCGTTTGATCTCAAAAGCGCTAGACTGACTAGGCATTTAAAATAAAGGAAAAATTTTTAAATGCCCAAATAAAGTAAATTGCATAAAATACGAAAAAATGCACAGAAGTAAAAAAATCGTACGTGATTTCAGCTTCTTCTTATTCCCACTCGTCAGGACTTATTTGTTGAAAATCCCGAAGAAATCTTGACTTTCGTTTCACATGACATTGAAAGACGATAAAGCCAATGATGGCAATGAATATGAGTATGCAGATGATGAGAATAGCAGTAAGAACATCTGTTGAATAAACACAATATTTCTAACGCAATTTCTAATCCTCTCTTTCGGGTTATAACGGAATGGCAGCAGCTGTTCGTTAGATTTGAAAATTTTTACCAGAAACGGGGAATACGCAATGATTTATAATTCCCTGAATTTCTCAGAAACGAAGAGCATGCAGTGATTTACTACGTGTCACAAAAGTCCAAAGTCCTCTACTGCACATCACATCGTCACAACAGTATTCAGGCCCTTCCACTACACGTCACTACAGAGCCCAGGACTTCCACTACACATCACAACAGCGCCCAAGCCCTTTACTGCACATCACATCGTCACAACAGTATTCAGGCCCTTCCCTACACGTCACTACAGAGCCCAGGACTTCCACTACACATCACAACAGTGCCCAAGCCCTTAACTGCACATCACATCGTCACAACAGTATTCGGGCCCTTCACTACACCTCACAACAGAGCCCCAGGCCCTATAATACACATAAAAAATTCCCTAACCCTTTACTACACGTCACAAAAGTCCCAAAGCCCTTTACCACAAATTCCCACACGTCCCCCAGGCCCTTTACTACACATCACAAGGCTTTTTACCACACATTCCTACCAATCCCCACACGTCCCAGGACCCTTTACCGCATATACAAGTAATACTGTAAAAACAAGGTGGATTATAACGTACCCACAGAGGATTCAGTTCTGCAATCTTCTTTCTTCAAATCTTCGGAAAGATTTTGCTTTTGTTTGCTGTGACATTCAGCTTTGAGATCATTAGGGACAGCAGAGGATGTGAGCCTGGTGAAGAGGACAAATTTCAGTCACATCCAAGGATACCAATACAGCCAGAACAAAATGATGGAAATCATACTTACGTAAGAAACGTATCATAGTCGCATGCGTTTGAGGAACAATTCGGTATTGACAACTGATACGCGTAATTTGGCTGTGAAGTATCATTTCGGTAAAACATTTTGATGGAATATTTGGAAGTAATCCTGAATAAAAAAATAGCAGTAAGCAAGTCAATAGGTATCCCCAAGTGAAGAGGATACCTAAAATCAGAAAACTTGTTTAATTCGTATACAACGTACAACAAAATTGTTTTGCTTTTGTCAATAAAATAACATGTATGAAAAAAGCCAAATTTTTCATGAAAATAGACAGCGTGAACCATTTCCAGAAATTATCAAACGTTAATAAACAGTTCCTAAATCAATGTTTAAGTTCCTTTGCTCCCTCCCAATATTTCTTTCGTAAAACGTTTGTGGTGTGTCACCTCTCCCCAGCCTTCCGAACAGCCGCACCCTAGCCCGACGACCAACCCCACCACGTTCTCCATACAAACAACTAATAAAAGACGATTGTGATTTTTATACTAATCCATTAGTTTTCATAAGGGTTTCTGCTTGAAAAATCTCTTCATCGCACAATCGGTCAAAATTAACTATTGTTTCGCCAGAACTTATCAATAATAGCCTCGGACTTCAAATACGCGCCTCACCTGCTGTAGTAGAGTTCCATGATGAAAGCTGTAGAATATGGAGGCGGTATACCGTTATATATGTTTAACGCACTTAACAATCCAATGACAGTCGTGTCGTGCTAAATAAAGATGATGAAATCCTAAGGAAAAAATCTTCTACTTATAGAAATTGAATTCCTCTTCTTTTAGGTACATAGATAAAGAGATGGAGAAAATAGCTAAAGTAGAAACAAAACCACTTCAGATCACGAGATCTTCTTTTTGACTTCAGGGGACCGATTGCACAAAGGCCGAATAGCGTTCTTCACCACATAGCAATATTTTAGAACGCTTCAAAAAATCAACGGTTTCAAGGGAAAATCAACGGAAAATCGACGATTCGAACGGTATAAAATATTGGTTCAAGAATTACAAAGTTTTATCGTCGAATGAAAATATAACTACTCTTTTCACAAAATTGAAACATTTTCTATCCAAGAATAACGCTATCCAGGCTTAGTGCAACTGGCCCCAGGCCCTTTAGTATACGCCACCGTCAGCTCTTGAAATGCCGTCTAACTTTCTATACTCCAATTGAAAGAATGATTTCCACCCCCCCTTTAGTTAATCAGTTGTATATTACTGGGTCATCTGACAACTTATTAACTGCACACTACAAATCTAAATTTTACTCGAAAAAAAGAGAAAATCACGAATCACGGTAGCTACATACTGCAGAATACACGAAGAGTTTCTTTGTTTTACTGGGATCGCTTCTAAACTTGTTCATATTACCAATTATCTCTTTTAGCAAGACACCTTGAATGAAGAAAAACGCGGTCTCATTCACTTTGAACAAAATGAAATGACGCGGAAATAAGATAATCAACTGCCATACCACCAGTTAGTCGTGCTCTCTCTGGTGATGCAAACAGCCAGGAAATAGTAAAGTATTGCAGCCGTTCAAACTCGCGAAAAACATCTGGAGTAAGCCAATCGGGCCATGACAGATGATGAGCTTTCTGAAAAAGACAAACAACAGATCAATTTGTATTTATCCTAATCTGACAGTACATAAATTTGGTTTTTGTTCTAGAATCTAGACACTATCTTAAATAATAAAGACAATTTCCACAAAGGTTGAAACTTCACAACTAAAACGCCGGGGAAGGGAAAAGGGTTGCACAAATACATCTCCCCTTCAGATAATGAAGATTTTATCGAAGGTCGAAACTATTCCAACACGTTACCTGGCAGAAAAATGTATCATATGCTTTGTATATTGTCTGTAAAGTCAACGGTTTGGAATAACCCATCTTTTGCTGACTTCAGCAATAAAATCCTAAAGATAAAACAAATTTACAAGTGCCATACTTGTTCAAAGTACTATGATGACTTGTCAAAGTGTGCCACTTTAATTAAAAAAATATAAAAAAGTTGTCAAATGACTGCTGAAATGAATCTCAATAGCCTGAATTCAAAGAGTTACAATTTGATCATAGCCCAATCACAGAACAATCAACAACAGATCGGTTGATTTTTGCTTCGTCAATTGTTGCTGTGTGATAATATTGAGCACATTATGCAACTGACAAAATATAGAAACAAATAATGCAATGAATATGAGCACAAACCTTGCTCTTGTTTTCCATGGCAACATACTTTGAATCACTGTATGATTTTTTGAGTAATGCCAACAGTTTCGGACAATCATAGTAATCATAGGGTCGAAGAAGCTAGATGAAACAAACATATCATCTGAAAAACAATTACATGAACAGAGATTTTGTGCAGGAAGGTCAATTCAACCAGTTCATGATCTCATTAAGATTTAGAAATTGGCAACAACTACTTGTCATGATCTTTGGGAACAGTATGGATTGGAATCAAGATTTAGAATTTGGCAATACCTTACTGATCATGATCTTTGGGAACAGTATGAATTGGAATCAAGATTTAGAATTTGGCAATACTAACCTGATCATGATCTTTGGGAACAGTATGGATTGGAATCAGCTGCCAAAATTGCCATTCTTTGTCAGTAGGTTTTGATGTCTATAGACACAAATACATTAAAGGATTGTTAATCTGGTTGAAAAAAAAACTTTCAATAATGCATACTATGGAGCATCCTATGGCGTAGAAAAGTTCATGGACTGGTCAACCCCCCTGGCGGGGATTAATACTGGCCGGTATACAAATGTTGTTTGTTTGTTTGTTGTTGTTTTAGAGCATCCTACAAGTGCATAAAATATCAAATTCTTTAACTATCAGTTCAACTATCTCAATAGTACCATGTTTAAAGGTGGATAAAGACCAGCCATTTGCGCCTCAGCACTCATCAAGCATCTATCTTTGTCTGAACTACGACAGTATACCTGAGGTAAAATATCGAGAACTTTGTTAGTAAATTATATTGTTTCAAAATAAAGTAATGATATAAAATTTAAAAGCCAAAATTTAACAAATAAATGAATAACTTTGTTCTAACATGATGACCCAGTTTGCAAATTAACGGTGTGCAATGTGCAATTTGCACATCTTTTGGCTAAATCGAAAACAATTGCACATCACTTTTTCAAAGATGTGCAAAAATCAGTGGTTTTAACAAAAAACACTGTCGTAAATCGTATGAATTTGTTCATGTTTAAAAATATTAATTTAGCAATTAGCTATATAGTAATTAACAACGTAATATCAATTTGATTATGCCTCTAAAGAAACACTTTTGTCAAAAAAATTGCACATCCTTTTTCCTGAACTAATTCGCATACTGTGCTGACCCCATATGTAGAGGCAAATTTAGACATAATATTGTATATTATATTGATATGAATTGTTACTAGATATATGTGAATCACAAAAAGCTGCCAAAATACCTGATTTCGAAGGTAGGATTGATTTAAAAGATGCTGATCAATATATCTTTCCTTCAAAAACTTCCCCATCGTAAACTCCTGCTTCATCCCAATCTAAAATGATCAGGAAAAGATCCCGTATTATAAGAAGACTAATAACCAGGACAAGCAGACAATTTCAAATATGGATGGTTTCCCTCTTACAGTCCGGAAATTCTTGATTCACAAACTCAAAACCAAAATCATAGCTAAAAATAACCCCTCTAAACAAAATAATGAGAATGACTTTCGTAAAATTTTCATTAAAATACCATATCTAGGCAAACAGGGTGAACGTTTGGTTTTCAATCTTCTTTGTAAAATTCGCCGTAGCTTAAAAATTCCCATTAAACCTATAGTTATATATGAAACAAAAAAGACATCAATTTTCTGTCCCAAAAAGGACAAAATTCCGGAACTCTCTAAAGCCAATGTAATATATGAATTTAAATGTCCAGGCTGTGGTCATACATACATTGGCAAAACTGAACGAAACCTACACACAAGACTAACCCAACATGCTACTAATTACAATAATTCTAGTGCCATCTCACAACATTTACTCATTTGTCCAGACGCCAACTACATCTCACACCTTTTCTCACTTCCTGACGCTGATTCCGACCTCGATCTCACACACGTGCCACTCAATCCTTGTAACTTGATTCCTAGTAACACCAAAATATTATATCACTGTAAAAATAATAATCCTAATCAACTTCTCATCTTAGAAGCACTTTTGATAAAACGCGATATGCCACAACTTAATAGTGGTCTTAAAGCTTGTAAGAAACTATCTCTATTTTAATGTTAGTATATTGTTTAGTCTTATAGTTCTCTAATTACATAACTGCCATTTCCGCTTGTAAATATATAAAAGTTTCGCAGCCTGCATTGTAAACCATAAGTCTGATGATGCCTTTGGAATAAAGACGAAATATTACACATTATTTTGTTTCAAACTCTTGTAATATCTTGAATATCAAGAAAACAAGATGTCCCTCTTCGGAATTTGCTTTATTTTGTATTATAAGAAGACTATGGTTTGGAATAAGTGCATATTGGTCTTTGCTAGCTCTTTTGCAGGTATTGGACGATTAGTTATACGCATTACATCCTAGGTTGAGAAGATCTTATAAGATCTTTCCTAAGCCTTGGCAAGAACTTGTCTTGACAAAATCTTGAATTGATGTCATGATTGTAGCATGATCTTGCCAAAATACGTATGGACAAGATCATGGACAAAAATCTTACATGACTTGCAATATTTCTAACATTTTTATTTGTTAACAGTATAAGAATGTTAGGAAAAGATTGATGTTCAGCTAATACCTCTGTCAGTTGCCCAAAACCTTGTTTCCAATAGTCTTTGTGAATATTGTTAGGATATGTGGCAACTGGTGATCTATCTCCATGACGATACACCTAAAGTAATAAAATAATAACACATAGATGCTTGCATGGCAAATGTGGCAACTGGTGATCTATCTTCATAACTCAAGTTATTCCAATTGGTGCATATTGACTATAAACAGTTAAATTTCTACGGTCAATTTAAAAATTTAAATGTTTTGAAATCATTGACAGGAAGGGTGAAGATTGGGGGGTGATGGAAAAACAAGTTTCGAGCAAAACAAGCTCCATGACCAATAAAATTTGGATAATTGGCAAATTTGTGGAAATCTTATCTGAATATGATTGAATATTAGTGAATATCTCTTATAAAAGGAATATGAATGTTTATAACATACTTGGTTAGAAAAACATACTAACTTTACTTTTGAAAACAGTACGTTTATCTAAACCTACGAACAGAAACTTGCTAATGTTGAAAGTCAGCATAAATGAGCTTTGAAAAATGTGCACAAAAAACCGCACATCAAGTCAACATAAATGTCCTTTTCCAGCCGATAATTTCAAAAAATAAAAGAAAAAACACACTCCAAAACACATCACCTTGTTAACTTAAGATTCGAATTATTGCTTTTATAGCTCGAATCTTGAGTTCAAAAGATGATGTTTTTTGCAGAGTATTTTTCAACATAAACGTGCTTTAAAAACTTCAAGCAAAGCAACACACTTACAACGTTGGCCATTTGAAGCTCCCAATCCTCATCAGCAGGATGACCTTCCGATGAGATGCAGCACAACAACAACAGGCTCCAAAACAATTTAAAAAACATTTTGCTTGTTTTGTTATGGTCAGTTTTTATGGCACGAAGAAAATCCACGAATTAGTATATTGAGCCAGCACAATTAGCGTACAATACATACAGCATTTTACTTCGTGTAATTTAAATATTAACAAATTACCTGACAAAATTTTAGTGTGGTGTTAAGTGGGGGAGGGGCACATTGGGGTAATTACGTGTTCTATAAATACCCAACTAACCCACAATCTTACATAAAAATGGTACTAGCCTATAGCCAAAATATTGCTTGGAGATTGGATTAGAAATCTGGGGCTGGTTGCATGAAACCTAGGTAGCATTATCCATTGGATAACAAAATTTTCAAACTTGTAGAAAAGGTATTAATATTTTTCTTATGACAAAGAACTTTTGTAATGCTCAAAACAATACTTTATTTCAGTGATTTCTCAGTTCGAATCTTATATTTTTTGCTTTTTAAAAGGTTTTATAAAAGTTTAAAAAAATTGCTATCCAATGGATAACACTATCCAAGCTTTGTGCAGCCGGCCCTGTTTTGCATATCATTAAATGTGTAATCATTACCAACATGGAAACAAAACAACAACTGTTTGTTTAATACACACAAAACTATTTACAGTATACAAGATGTATGTTGAATCTCAGGTGGTAGTATCTTTGGGCAATGTTTTATGACTACCAGTCTTTCTCATATTAAGGAATGTCTTATCTGGTTTGACACCTTTGTAACCTTTACCTAAAAATAAAATTACCATTCTGGAGTGAGAACTGCTTGCTTTCATGACACAATGACACATTTTGACACACCTGTAGGAGATGACATCTTGGATACAAGCCATGTTAATGATTCTTTCAATGCATGTCTATCCCCAACACATATTTCATATAACTTCGCTAAAGGAGATGCAAGACAATGCAACATGAAATGATCATTAGTGATTTCTCATGAGATTAGGCTTAGACATACCTTTCTCATTTTCTGCCCATTTTAATGCAGATTTGTAATCACATTCTCGTTCCTCCAACATGTCTGTCTTGGTACCCAATACAATCATAGGACACTGAGCAGTAAGGCATAAAAAACTATTTTCATACACTGGAGCATGACATTAAAATATACATGATTATTTTTTACCACTTCTTTTCCTTTTTTGTCAATTTCTTTTTTAATATTTTGAACGATATCCAAAGAGTTCATCGAGGTTACACTATAGACTAATACAAAACCCTAGGCACAGACAATATATATTTTTAATATGACAAAGGTGCATCAATATAGATCAATGAAATCTGTTTACAAATTGCCTTTTCACTTACATCAGCTATGGAGGCATACTTGCTGAGATCCGAGTTGCTTGTCTCCTAAACATATAATAACAATTCATTCTTGTCTAGGATTTTCCTACTTGTGTGTTTTAATGCAATAAGCTGCTATCTATAAAATGAGCTTATTAAAATATATTTTGCATATCAATGATGCCGGACAAGTATAAACAAAAGAATATCATTGTTTTGGGCAAACGTGAAGCATACCATAAACGAAGGACCGTACTTTATTTGGTGCTACGATGTACTTACAAGTCCAGCAGTATCCAATATTCTCACTTTCTCCTTTATACCTTGGTCGTTTTCAATCAAAACATCGTAAATATCTTCAATGGTCGGATGTAGGTCCTCAATCAGAAAGAGTAGCGAGATGATTTTGCGAGCAGACGAAGAGCACAAATAAAATGTTGTGAATAATATATTCACATACCGATCCAATAATATGATGGCCGTGGATTAGTTGTTCAATAATGGCTGTTTTCCCAACTTTTTTCGAACCTAAAACAACAATTTTATTACATTTTGGCATTGTGCAAGTGGACGATCGCTTTTCCTTTGACCGAGCGATGGATTGGGGGCCAACTAGTGCGACGCAAATTCTTTCTATTTCTTCCCAATCCTGGAAAACTTTACTAATTTTGGAAAGTGTTTGAAGTGGTAAACCGAAAGAAATTTGTACTTTGCTGCAGATGTCAGACCCACAGCCAGTCAGATAGATTACAAAGCTGTTTTTAAAATATTCTTGTAAAATGATTTAGAACACAATCAAGTGAGCAATTTTGAGCCTTGACATTTCCATGAACTAAAAGCTAAAAATTCCAGAATTCCAACTGTTTTATTAAAATATTTTTCGTACAACTATATAAACGAGAAGTAAAAGTTTTAATGCATCATTTTAGCAATAAAAAAATTTCAATGTTACAAAACCTCATTCACTACTGAAAATAGAAATGCGAGTCTCTCTGGTTATTTTATCTACAACACAAATCATTTCGCTGAAATTTTGAATTGCTTCACAATAATACCATCAAAATACGGGCTGCATGCATCTTAAATCTACACGAATATTTTTAAAGTTTATCAATAAGTTTTATGAGGTCAATGTTGCATTGACGTCAAATGTTATTGACTTATTATTATTTTAATCCACAGTTATTTTAAGACGCGCTAGATAAATCATTCATCATTTTTTGAAAAAATTGTGATTTGAAAAGGCGGCATGCAATCAGTTCATGCATACCATGGTATAACGTGTTGAAATGTTCTAGCTTGTTTACTCTTAAAACAGATAATATGATGACTTTATAATTTTCAATCTTCTTTCTGAACAGTGGCATCTAAAGAGGGCGACATCCAAGCCGCATGAGACGAAACGTTATTTATAACCTTGATTTACATAATTTGCGCCATTCTTGCCATATTTGGTCTAAAACTGTTCGTATTCTAAGCCGACGAATTCCGATCATACCGTCCTTGCCCTGGGATCATTAGCTAAACGGATTGAAGCTTGTCTAATACCTAATTTACAAACTGCAGGCCTATTAATACACATTTTGGACAGTTATGAAGTTCTGGTTTCCTAATCTTGAGCTTTAGGAAAGCACAAAACAATATGTGCAACAGGCATTGATGTATGTTTCGACATACAAAGATCCTTGTTTGAAAGTGGAATTTGTGTTTGGCGCGCAAAATTCTTAAAAGCAGAAAAGTCTTTAACTGAAGCCCAGATTCACAAGTTTACGGAGGTAAGAATTGCAAACACGATTATCTATTCAACGAGCCTTAATTATATCATGCAAAAATTTTATCATGTCCGAAAGATTCCGTGCAGTTATATAATCTCTAAATACGAAAGGTAATTAAAAAAGATAAGTCTTGTTGTATTGTAGGTAAGTATTGCATGCCAAGAGGCAATGGCACAGCAAATACCTTAATAATCAATCTAAATCACTCACCTGGGACACGAATGATAATTCTAATTATTTTATGACGTCTCTGAAAAAGATTAACGTTTTTATCACGTGAGTATGTGAATATTGCGCCAAAATAATGGGAAATTATTTAAGGGAGTGTTTGAAATTGCAAGATGTTTGAAACGCGTGTCGTGCTTCAAAAATTGAAAAATTGTTTTGATTTCAAAAAGCGTTCCGAGAAATATTTTTTGTACCATACTTGTGAGATAATTAGTTGGAAAATTTCAACAATCCTATATTCGAGCAATTCTTACAAAATATTTCACATGGACACATATGTTCTAAGTAAACACACAAATTTGTTGCATATAATTCGCCAATTTTCCTTTTTCTATGGATAACAAGGGGTTCATAACATTACACAATATAAGACAATTTATTTTTTAAGATCTCTTTGAGTTTGCTCACATTCCGATGGTCTAGTTTAATTTCCATTAAGATAAGTAAAAACATTACATAACAAATATGCAAGCATCGCACTAGACTTTCGATCGTCTAATTTTGGTTTGTTTACGATAAAGCAATAGTTGAAGAGCGTGCAATGAAAGTAAAACATTACACCACGACAGTTGACAGAGGTCGAAACGTCAAAAAATAAATACGAAGCTGCTTGATTTCCCTTGACCATATTTGGTCATATGACGTACATTAGGAATGTTTTAACATCGAGCTCCTCTTCGCAACATGTTGTGAGAATATCAATGTCGCAAATTAATAATATTCGATTTAAAATTAACACAAACATTCTCTAAAGAATAATAAAGTATAATACCTCGTTAATTGTTTCATTTCCATTTCGGAAATGGTAAAACAGTAATCGGACAATCGATATTTGTGCTTCAAATAATGAATTATTTCGAGACACGGGCATAAATTCTCCCGAAAGCCTTTCTAAAACAATCGCTAATAGCCACCCCTATTGCACGGGCTAACTTGCAGTTTACTGAGAGGCAAGCCGTGCATTCTTTCTACTCATTCCGAACATAACTAGTTTATCCACAATCAAAGTTAACTGCTCATATTAGTACCATATTCTATTAAAGAGGGATAAATTCAGGTAGGCAAGCGTGACATTGCGTATTCGTAATCCAAAATTTTGAGCATAATGGCGGAGGAATTTTAAGATTTTCGCTACTCATTCAGGCGCGTATTGAATTAAGTAGCCGCGTACATGGCCAGTAAACTTTCAGGTTCTAAATCTAATATGAATGATTCACATTTTTCTCATTTTTGTAGACTTCGCTTCCGGATCGTGGCGCTACAGTGTTGCAAATTATTGTACATAAACAAAAGTGTTAAATTCGGTAAAAATTCGAAAAATAGGCAACGGATTCGAGCCGATTTTCCTTATGAACTCGGACGGTTTAGACATGTCTGGTACGGAAGATAAAGCAAAATCTCCAGAGGATATGGCTTCTGATGCTGAAGGTGTTTGGTCGCCAGACATTGAACAAAGTTTTCAAGAAGCTTTGGCCATTTATCCGCCATGTGGCAGGAGAAAAATTATACTTTCTGACGAAGGGAAGATGTACGGTAGGTAGAATTTCAATTTCCACTAATTGTGTCTTCGACTGTGAGAATAATTCGAAGTTTCGTTTGACGTTAATATGACCCTCTTATAAGTATCCAAACTGAACGGAATGACGACTTCACCCACCAGCTGTAAGTTATTTAGATATTATGGCTATCAGGTTAAGACGTTACTGCTCGGTTAGAAATAACTTATCTTTGTCTCCAATCACAGTTGTTCGTTGTTCTTTAGATCAAACTCGTCGTTCTTTAGATCTCATATTCGTCGTTAACGTCGCTTGTTTCATCGTGTACAAGTCTCTGTTTCATAAACGATGAGTTGAAGTACACATTATGAAGCCTTTTCGAGTGGAAACTCACAGCGTTTAAAAACAACACCTTGAATAAATCTCGAGCTGTTGTCTTGTCATTTTTTCATGTTCAGCTTGATTGAGGCGAAGCGACTTGTTCATTTACTGCTTTTGTCTTGGCCATACTTCCCAATGCCATCTCATACCGCTTTGGATGACGACTGGACAAAAAAAAGTGTAGGAAAAATAGGGAAAAAGTTCTTGATTCTTCGATATGCGTTTCGGCGCAAATAACTGGCCACTTGAGGGTTGACCAAGTTTACATTTAAATGTATAATAGAATTAATCAATTATACATTTCTTTAAACTTAAATGTCAGAATTGAGATCACATGAACGACAAACAAGTTGTAGGCAGCGAAGCCAACGTTTCACAATGGCCGCTTCGATGTGTTATGACGGAAGTGGTTCTAATGTTTAGATTTTTTAACTAGTTTAAAACACGTTGAATGCATCGCATACATTCCAAAACACAGAAATATTTGGAATTTCAATGTGCTTCACATTTCTTGATTGCCATTGCCAAGTGTTTGGGTATGAGTAAAACGTTCTTTCCACAGAAAGGACAGCCATTAAAGCGCAGTTGATTTTGCCATTGTTTGCCTCTTGTTGTTGTTGTGGTGTTCGTGTCTGTCGCATGGATTACAAATTGGTCGTGAAAACTAGACCATATTTGCTTTAATAGATGTCGCTTTCGTCACGATTAAGTTTCCGAAAACATTTAGAACTAACAAAGGGCGAAAACTGATTCTATTTGCCAATATTTTGTACCATATTATAGTCCCTAGGGATGGTTGACAGTAGTCAAATGGAAAAAATTTTTGACATATATAAATATGCAAATGTTGAGAACATTGCCATTAAACAATTTCCCAAAGGCACCGAATTATTTGTACACGAATGTGTACTTTTTTACAGCCGTAATTTGAAAATATCAGTAAGGAAAATTCGTTTGAAAATCGGCAACCTTCTTGATAAATTTTAAGTGATTCCTAATGATACTTCAAACATCTAACCCAAGTGTTGGTTTATTGAACGAACCGGAAAGCTTTCAATTTTCTTGATTGTTCATAAAATAAAACGCTGCTACAGATGTTGGCAAAGAAAAATCGAGATTTATCGCAGTTTTTCTTTAAGAATAATAACGTCAACCGCAAATTAATCTCGCATCAGATTTCAAATATCATACTATCCCGTCGATTGTTTACACTCAAATTAAACTCTACGGTATGAGGCGAATTGACCGCAAATATGTTTGACTTTTCACCTGAACGTAGCTGATTAATCCCATAAGAAAAAACTGCAACTAGCTTTTTTCTGTAATTTTTGGTGAATTGTTACATTAACAAAATTAGAAATGTGTTCTTTTTAAATCCCGAGTAAAGCTGTTATATAATTAATTTTGTCGTATATTATTCATACCAGCTTCCACGGTCTCGTTAGATTCTGTACAGAAACCGTTTCGTGTACTTTTTTTTATACATTTTTGAATATTTCAGGACGCAACGAACTGATTGCTCGATATATTAAATTACGGACGGGCAAAACGAGGACCAGAAAACAGGTGTTTGAATTTTTTGATTAAACAAGTTTAATCCTCGACAAATCATGTAAAACACTTATCTCATGAGCGATATCATTATCAAAGCAATACACCTTCACGAATAATCGTTTGTTTAGGTATCTAGTCATATTCAAGTTTTGGCTAGAAAAAAAGCAAGGGAAATACAATCGAAATTGAAGGTAGTAAGTATTCCTAGCTGCGTAAGTCCAATCATACACTTGTGTTTACAGATAAATTTTACGAAAAATTCCCCTTTGTGTGATAACTTTTTTCGTGTCATCATCTTTAATAGGATCAAGCTGCAAGAGACAAGGCATTGCAGACTATGGCATCCATGTCCTCGGCACAAATTGTCTCCGCGTCTGTGTTACATAACAAGAACGCTCCTCCATCGAATAACTACAACGACCATTATAGCAGTAGTCACACTGCACATTCCTTACCAGCATTACCGAGCACACCGGTACATTCCTCATTACTTTTCAAGTTTTCTTCCGTATGACATAAAATGCTGTAGAAGAAAGTAGCGAGTGATTTATTTTAGCTGTTTTTCCACAACGCAGTGAGATTTTTATTTCTACGTTCTTAGTATTGGAGCGGCCAAGGTTCGCAGGCAGGTAGCACCCCAACCTCGTATGGTGGTCTACCGACAACCCACACAAGACAACTGTTTGGTGGAAGTCCCGGACCATCGTCCTCAGCATTGGTGCCCAGTAATAGCGTCAGCTCAAGTAGTGACGAAATGGTTAGCTCTTTATGACATTAGAGTTGGTTCGTCAAATGTTTTACATTACATCCTTCATGTTTAGCGATCTCCATATGCTGCTGGCAGTCAACTAACAATGAGCGGAAGTTCAAACTGGTCAAGTAGAAATATGGTAGGGGTAACCAATAACACCTGGTAACGATTAAAACTCATACACATACATACGAAATATGTTCCTGGAACCAAGTTTTAATTGGTTTGTTATGAATAACAATGTCAATGTTTTGTTTTAGCCCTTGCGTTTAATTGATTTCCAAGCGTTTGTTGAACAAACTGGAATGAAAGCAGATTCGGTGAGAGATGCATCTCCATGTTAGAAATGCTACCGATACGGAAATGTTTTTGTTTATGTGTTTTGTGTTTCCAAACAGTACCACAAGCATCTGTTTGTTCATCTCGGTCCCAATGTGAACTTTCAAGACTCCATCCTCGAGGCTGTGGATATTCGACAGATCTACGACAAATTCCCCGATAAAAAAGGTGGTTTACGTGAACTATACGAAAAAGGACCACAGTCTGTTTTCTTTCTTGTGAAATTTTGGGTAAGTCGTGCAAAAGGAATAATTTCCAAGCATTTTCGACCATTACAAAACAATTGTTTTCGATTATTAGGCCGATCTAAACACCAACGTGAAGGATGAATCCGGATCTTTTTACGGCGTTTCCAGCACGTGAGTGTATATTACGTTTCACCATATTTTTTTTCTTTGAAGATGTTGGGAAAATTTTTCTTATTGCCTTTGAACAACAATAGTATGTGACTAAATATAGTATATGTTGGTATTACGTTATAACAAAGCCAGCACATTTATTAAAACCTAATTCACATGACATAAACTAACCTGGGTTCAACCTGGTCTAAATTAACCCACGGTATTTCTTTGCGTGTAAACACTACTAACCCTGGTTTAACCTGATTTTAATTAACCCACTTCTTCAGATGGGTTGAGTTAAACACAGTTTAAACCTGGGTTTCTTGTGTTTACACGCAAAAAAGTTAACCTGGGTTTATTTGAACCTGGTTGAACACAGCTTAGTTCATGTCGTGTGAAGTGAGCATTAGTACCGCCAATGTAAATTTTGAACACAGCTTAGTTCATGTCGTGTGAAGTGAACATTAGTACCGCCAATGTAAATTTTGAACACAGCTTAGTTCATGTCGTGTGAAGTGAACATTAGTACCGCCAATGTAAATTTTGAACACAGCTTAGTTCATGTCGTGTGAACTGAACATTAGTACCGCCAATGTAAATTTTGAACACAGCTTAGTTCATGTCGTGTGAAGTGAACATTAGTACCGCCAATGTAAATTTTGAACACAGCTTAGTTCATGTCATGTGAAGTGAACATTAGTACCGCCAATGTAAATTTTGAACACAGCTTAGTTCATGTCGTGTGAAGTGAACATTAGTCCGCCAATGTAAATTTTGAACACAGCTTAGTTCATGTCATGTGAAGTGAACATTAGTACCGCCAATGTAATTTTGAACACAGCTTAGTTCATGTCGTGTGAAGTGAACATTAGTCCGCCAATGTAAATTTTGAACACAGCTTAGTTCATGTCATGTGAAGTGAACATTAGTCCGCCAATGTAATTTTTGAACACAGCTTAGTTCATGTCGTGTGAAGTGAACATTAGTACCGCCAATGTAATTTTGAACACAGCTTAGTTCATGTCGTGTGAAGTGAACATTAGTCCGCCAATGTAAATTTTGAACACAGCTTAGTTCATGTCATGTGAAGTGAACATTAGTACCGCCAATGTAAATTTTGAACACAGCTTAGTTCATGTCGTGTGAAGTGAACATTAGTACCGCCAATGTAAATTTTGAACACAGCTTAGTTCATGTCGTGTGAACTGAGCATTAGTACCGCCAATGTAAATTTTGAACACAGCTTAGTTCATGTTGTGTGAAGTGAGCATTAGTCCGACAATGTAAATTTTCCTGTGTTCTCACTCACTGCAAAAATAGATTTCAAAGGAATTATGTAATGTCTCAGTGCTCTCACATACATATAGCAGAAATAAAACTCTAAGGCCAGAACAACGCGAGTGGTTAAAAATATGTTGCTTATAATAAAAGGCAGAGTTTTATTGAAGTAATGCAGGAAATGGCAAAGTCAATCATATATAATTCTTTTTTATTTTACAGATACGAGTCCAGTGAAAACATGACTATAACGTGCTCGACTAAAGTGTGTTCCTTTGGGAAACAAGTCGTCGAGAAAGTCGAAGTATGTAGCACATCCGAGTTTAAACGTGGTTTCCCCCCTGTAACGAAACTTCCCCCCCATTTTTTTGCAGACGGAATATGCGCATTTTGAAAATGGTCGCTTCGTCTACAGAATAATCAGATCGCCAATGTGCGAATACATGATCAACTTTATACACAAACTTAAACAACTTCCAGAGAAATACATGATGAACAGTGTGTTGGAGAACTTCACTATTTTACAGGTTAGTCATATTACTACAACATAATTGCTACATTACTTACGTGATGGTCACGTGATAACGACGTTTAAAGGATGACAGCCATTTGATATGTATACCTAAAATTAAGCATGACAACTTAGGCAGTAGGCAGTTTGTGTTGGTAGATACATTTAGCAGAAAAAATACATTATAAAAGTTCAATTTTCGGTGAAAAATATTTTCATGAAAATGATATAAGTTATGAATGAAATTTTTCAGTTGAAGGTGTTTTGAGATCTAAGTATGTTAAAAAATAATAATTTAGGATCGGTTGCACGAAGCCTGGATAGCGTTATCCATTGGATAGCAAAAATTTTCAAACTTGTAAAAAAGATTTTAATATTTTTCATACTACAAAGAAATTTCGTAATCTTCGAAACAGCATTTTATCTCAGTGACTGCTCAGTTCGAATCTTATATTTTTTGCTTTTCAAAAGGTTCTTTAAAAGTTTTAAAAAGTTGCTATCCAATGGATGACTCTATCCAGGCTTCATGCAATCGCCCCATGCAATTTTTCATGCATTTTTGGAGGTGAAACATTTACTTTACATTATCCATTCCTTTTTGTTAAACAATGGAAGTTGAACTCTGATTGACGCGTTCACTTCTGCTGATAAATTTATGATGAAACTCCTCACCTCGGATTGTCGATGTCGTCTTTTTCTTTCATCCATTATTCATACAGAACGTCATATTTATTGTGTATAGATCATGACAAACATGGATACTCAGGACAGTCTTTCAAGTTGTTTTCAACTAATGGGTTATTCATCTATATCTTCATAGTTATTGTGTATAGATCATGACAAACATGGATACTCAGGACAGTCTTTTAAGTTGTTTTCAACTAATGAGTCATTCATCTATATCTTCATACTTATTGTGTATAGATCATGACAAACATGGATACTCAGGACAGTCTTTTAAGTTGTTTTCAACTAATGAGTCCTTCATCTATATCTTCATACTTATTGTGTATAGATCATGACAAACATGGATACTCAGGACACTCTGTGAAGTAGTTTTCAACTAATGAGTCATTCATCTATATCTTCATACTTATTGTGTGTAGACCATGGCAAACAGGGATACTCAGGACACTCTGTGAAGTAGTTTTCAACTAATGAGTCATTCATCTATATCTTCATACTTTTTGTGTGTAGACGGTGACAAACAGGGATACTCAGGACACTTTGTTAAGCAGTTTTCAACTAATGAGTCATTCATCTATATCGTCATACTTTTTGTGTATAGACGGTGACAAACAGGGATACTCAGGACAATTTGTTAAGCAGTTTTCAACTAATGAGTCATTCATCTATATCTTCATACTTCTTGTGTGTAGACGGTGACAAACAGGGATACTCAGGACACTCTATTATGTCTTTCGTACGTTTTCGAAGTATCGACAAGTGAGCACGGAGCTCAGCATCATTTGTATCGACTGGTCAAAGACTAAACTGCTGTCCACATGGTAAAAAGAACATTGTCGACACGCAAAAGCCAATCCCATCAAGGTAGCGAAACTTCGGTTGATGACGTCAACGTCACGTAACCTTGGAGATGAGCTGTTTTTCATATAAGAACGATGAGCACAAGCACATGTAGACCTACACAAGAATAAGGATAAATCAAATGCGTATAAAATTTCGTACTATTTACATAACATTCCGTCGACATAACAAAAAGACGACAAAATTTTTATATACAACCGACGTAACTCATATTTTTTTGCTATAAGTGAAACATTTACTGCACTTTTTCGTTGTTTAGAAGATTTCTTCGGTATTTACTCAGTAAAAGTGAAAACGTCAGTGTCTTAATCTTCACTGTCGCGTTTTTTTTCACGCACCTGTATGTTTGCTTAAAACAAAATGCCCTGCAGTATTTACCAGTATCAATAAAAACACTAACACTGCGAGAATGTTCTATAACATCCTTAGCCTGCCCCCCACCCACACCACACCACCCCTTCAGTCGATGGGTGTTTTAGAGAAAATTTCAGGCAAGCGTGTCAAAAAACGACTGTGGCATTCAAACACTGTCGTATTTTCCGAGACTAGATCTCCTATACATTTTACAGTAGGTTATATATTTTTTACCTCACATCTGTGGGATTGCAATAGAATAATTTAGGAGATAAGTCTCTGACAGACGGTGTCTTAAATTAAGTTTGTGCCATTTTACGTAGGCAATCTCTAGTGTATATATCGATTTCATATCATTTTATTGTTAAACTTGCGTAACAAAGACGCAACGCATTTTTTTTACAATGGATGTTTATATATTATATACATATATATATATGTATTCAAGAAAGAACTCTGTGCGATGTACGTACAATTTTAATCATTTTTGTTTCGTATTTTTAAAATATAAAACATTGAATAAGACGGACGACGTTATTTCGTGTAAATGGAGTTAAATTTTTTCAACTTGTTTTTCGTTGTTTCCTATCATCTCGGGGCGGATTAATGAGATGGGTTGTTTGTCTTTGAATTTCTTATTAGTAAAATTTAAGAAATAAAAGATGTTTACTGTGTTTGCACAGGCTTATGCAAACACAGCTCTAGACCAAACAGCGCACGCGTTTCATTGTGTTTATTTTATAATTTTAATTAATATTATGTGTTGCAACAAGCGGTGGAAAAGAAGACACAAAATAACACGAAATGGAGAAGATCGCACAACCACCTAGGTAGAACCAATATTTCAACTTACAATTCAAGATGTTCCCGCGAAACTTTCCTAAATCCTTTTGCTTTGAACCGAACGAAGGTTCTCGTTTACTGCAGTTCTGATTGAATGAGGAAGATGAGCAAATTACTTAAATTAAAACACAGAGATCAAACCGATAGGATGAGAAAGGCCGCTGACGTGGGAAGCAAAAAACCTATTAAGATCTTATCCTCGGCTTTGTGTACTATCTTGAGAAAGATAAAATTAATTGAATAGACGTTAATATAAAAAAGATGGTAAATTGGTAATTTTCACTAACTTTGGTTTTCATCGGCAAGATTCATTCATTGCAATATGCGTTCGATCTTGGTGTTCACAATTTTCCTGGGCACACTGCTTTTCGCTACACAAGAGATATATGGATTAGCTGTGGTCATCGATCCTAGAAATGGAAAAAGAGAACTTAAAATCGCTCGCCAGCCACCAATTCATCATGACTTGAAGACATACTTGAAGCTATATCAGAAGGTAAGTGAATTACGTCGATTTTACGGTTTTCAAGATTATCTTGTGTCCAAGTTTATCTTCAACTTGAAGCGCTGGTATAATTTTGCATACTTTATGCAGTAAAATTTCGTACTTCTCAGTTTCAGAAAATGAAAAAGCACATCTCTGGTAGTGGGAATGATCAGATAAAGAGCACCAAATGAAGAGATAACTTAGTGCTATATGTTAAAAATAACTATGTTAAAAATAACAGCTTGAAAATGAATAATAAATCATTTAATTAGCTTCTAGTTGATTAATAATAAATTACTTCTAACTACTACGCATGCGTTCAAAATGCAACATGGCGAACAAATTGTCGTCTTCCAAACTTCAGTCTAGTTTGTAATGTTCGAAAAGTTTCGTAAACTATCGAAAGTGTATCTGAGATGGAATCCGCAACTTGCAATAAAGATGACGGTAAATTTAGTTTAGACAAGGTCACGGATAGCATGATCGAAGCTGAAACGACGACTTCATCCAAGTCCAACGAGAATCAAAGTGTGTTAACTTATAATTGCACGAATAGACATTTTACCACGGAAATATTTAAGATCGAGATTGGCAACCTTCCTAAATGCTATTCAATTAACGTAAGTGCGTGTTTTCAGCGTGAAGCATCGCTGAAAATAGCACGAACTTAAAATCGGTCGTGTTTCTTTTCCATTCTCGAAGAATCTAAAGAAATTTCTCGTGAAACTTAATCTTCAACCGAAGAAAATCAAAATGGTACCCAAGCGAAATTTCGCTTTCGTAACATTCAAGTTAGTATACCAAGAAATGCGTTGTGGTTGTGCTTCCATATCTGTGAAAAACAAAATTTTCATAATCGCTGAAAATTATGCATCTCTTTTTCAGATGCGAAGAAGATAGACAGGTATAAAGTGTATAATGAATTGACGAAAATGAAAGCATAAAAGAGATTTTTATCGATTGTTTTTTTAAGAATGCATTGAAAACCATAGAAAACTTTGAATGGAAAAAGAAAATTTTAACAGCTAAGGTTTACAAGATTATCTAAACCCATTAGGTAGTTTAATAATATTAAGCTATTTTATATGAAATGCTGTTAGGTCGCGAAAGCAAAGGATGATCCATATGAACAGAAAAAATCGCAAGGTTCAGTTAGATTCATTGATCTTTTTCAAATAAAGTTAGATCATTAATACTTATTTCTCAAAGGCATGGATGAAATCATGCAACCCTTGGACACTGAAAAAGATCCCCAAATATCAAATGTCAATCCATTGGAAAGGTTCACTTGTTTGATACAATAATATGAAGCACTTGATAGTTTAAAATGCTGTGTAAAATGTGCAATTATTTCAGAATACGGGATGTTGTTACTCCATTGTGGAATATGTCTTATGAAGAGGAACAGAGTGTGAGACACTTCCTCATGAAATCGTCTTTATTCTCCATTCTTCTGGGAATCATAACTCTATTTTTTGTTGTTATCACCACTTAGTTGAAATGTGAACTAATGGCAGAGGTTTTAAAGAAGCTTGGTAAAGAACTTCGATCTGTTGATGCAGTAAGTGTTCAGGAGATATACTAAGTATATATAAATATGCAAAATTGAAAAATCTTTTGATGTTTTTTTCAGGCGAAATGGGTTAGGAAAAATAGGTACAAACATACAACTCTGCATTACTGAAGGTCGACCTTGCATTCTTTGTGCATCAATTGTAATTTAGATGTGAACATTCTGGCATGTGCTGTCCTTTGGAAAAGTTGTGTCCTTCGGTAAAACTTTTGAAATTTCTATGTTTGGTCAGAGAAAGATGATTACCGTGATGTTCATTGATTGTATGATTTTAAAACCTTAGCCTATCTATGAGTCGTATCGAAACAAATGTGAGTTTACAATTGGTCCTGGAGTGAATGCTATTGGTAGGTTTGTCGCATGTAAAATAATAAAATTCATGTCAAATGTTCTTATGAACAATATGCACATTGTCTTTAAGATAAAAAAATTGGATTCAGACTAGCGGCTTACAAAGGTATTTCTTACTGTTTTTATTTGGAACTATTCCCCACAGTTTAATAAAGCAAATACATAATGCTTTTCCAGATGGAAATTTTGCTGTCGTTGAACCATGGCTGTGTTCACATATACCTCAGACAATGAAGGATGCGGTGAATGTGAGCTTAACTTGCATTTTGCAAAATCTCAACGATTTCATTCACATCCTACTCTTGTTTCAGCAGCTACAATGGCATAAATATTTCTATGTTCTAGCTATTTCAAAGATATATCAGTGAATCACCGTTGAACGTTTTTGATCCCGGCACAAACGAAGGGTACCGTACAACATTAGACGTTCAATATGAAAAAAATTTGCGCAATGCTTGTAACTTTGCTGTCATATGCGTTTAGATTTTGGAGACAACTTACAGTGAGAGTGAATAGAAACGACAATATTATGTGCATTGTGCAGTTTTCGCCACAGCAAGATATGTGTGAGGTAGATGGAACTAGTATATTTCTTTCTTCCTAAACATCGCTCGCTGTTACTTCATTGACAAGAAAGGAATACTAACGTACCTTTCGAAATAATCCTTAGAGCTTTTTGAGCGCCTCTGCACTTGGAACGTGTCTTCACTCCTTTCTAAATTTACAAAAACAAACCCAATAACATATTACTTTAAAGGCCTTGGGACATGATGCGATTGATGTTGATCACATGTATCTTTGGATTGATTTTACTTTGATAATTACTTATGAAATTCGGAATTAACGTAAACGACTAGTTTTTTAAAAATAGACATGTTTCGACATCTCATGATCTGAAAGACGTCTATTTTCAAAAAACTAGTCGTTTGCGTTAAATGCGCGTTAGCGATAGTGCTTTTACGAAATTATGGTGACTTATGAAACTCATTGAAAGCGTCTTTTAGAGTACGGTTGAATCTGAAATTGAGAAACTGAGGAATTATTTGAAGGAGCAAAATAAACTGGAATTGACGTGTGTTTATGTTGAAATTACCTGTGCCAGGTGTGACGTTCTTTTTTGGTTTATTTTCGTCGACACCATAAAGTAGACAAATTCCTAAAATACCGCCATGATTACATGGTCGTTTTTAGTATGACTAAAGAAAAAGTTATGTTTGTTCATGAAAACCATTTAGTTTGTCGTAACTCAAACGCATTCTACACAATGAACAGTACATTTTAGGAAAGTACAATCTTGTCATTATCATTTTCGTTGTATAGAAAGGTTGACGACGAAAGTAAAAATGTTTTGAGGCATATTTTAGGAGATAAGGTGCGTGCGCAACAATAAAGAAACGCTTGTAAAAAACAGTTCATGCACTTTATTGATAATTTCACGCAGGCCTTCTTTCGACGCTATATCAAAATGTAACTTTTCTAGCATATATTTGAGGATCTGGGTGATTTGAAATTCCGCATATCTCCTCAGGCATTTTTTCAAGGTAAAGCCAAAAACAAATAAAATATTTTCTACTTGCACGTAGTTCAATGAGCTATAAGCGTTCTTCCAACCTACCTAGCATTGGATAGATGAAGTGCAAGACGGGTGCTAATATCCCATACAAATACTATTATATCACACAATTAAGCAAAAGCAATTGTGATTTATGTTTAATGGAGCACACTTCCCATACTCTCCCAATCGTAATCAAAAGAAAAGAGGAATTCAACAAAACAAGTTTGACATGCTATGGTACTAAGCAACCATCGAAATCTAATCCAAACAAGAGCGACCCCCCCCCCACACAAAACAATCATAGATCTGTCTCTGTTCAACTTTCAACAGCTTTTTCAACGAAATCTTGTAAAAGACGGTAGCTCACAGAAATATGAGTGAAATGACAAAACCCTGTTTTTATTGGTTAGATCTTGTTTATGTTTTACGCTCATCCGCACTGAACATTTTAGTCAACACAAGATGTGCCGAGATTTTATACGACCTTATTCGGGAATGGAGCGAAATAACATCAAACACGGTCATATTAGGTATGATAATAGACGTTCAAGCTCATGTGAAATTAGTGTATCAAATTTGGTAAGATTTTTCTCATAGTTCGACTCCAGAACAGTATTATATATAGTTTAGGGGTTTTGTTATGCTACAGGTTGCGATATGTAATGACAGATTATAAAAATTCAGACCTTTAATGGTGCTTCAACAGTTGTAAATCGGCTTGACGAAAATATCGACTAAAGCCTTAATAATGTCCATGTTACTTTTGCCAATTCTTTCCTGAATTTTTCAGATGTATGCTGTGGTACAGGAACTATTGGTTTAACTATTGCGAAGGTAAAAGACAAAAGATGTGTTGATTACAATCTTTACTATCTCATTTCAAATAACGCTCACGAGTTGTTGTATTGAATATAGAACGCAAAACGAGTGATAGGCATTGAGTTATGTGAGGAAGCAATTGCAGATGCAAAGTTCAATGCTGAACTGAACGGTATGCGGTTTGATAACCGTTCCCTCACAGAATACAACATACCGCGAATGGCTGTTTCCCCATTTTCTCTAGGTATAAGTAACGTCGAATACCAATGTGGCAAAGCCGAGGATGTTCTGGTGAAAACAACGTCTACTCTGGAAGCTCAAGAATCACAGGTCGTCGCCATTTTAGATCCACCAAGGCCAGGATGCCGTAAGTCTTAATTCTTTATAGTGCAATACCTTTCACCGAAAATAGAATTATTTTTAAGTATGATTGGAAAGTATTATTATGCCCCGTACTATACTAACCCCACAAAACCTTGTTAACCTTATCCAAAAATGTACATTTAATGGATTGTTATCGGTATCGCGATCAATAATCAAATCATAATAAAATTCACCTTATGGAATCGTTGATATTTACAGATGCCAAAGTATTACAAGCTGTGCGACGATGTTCAAGAATCAACAAGTTGATCTATGTTTCTTGCAGTCCGAATTCTGTGAGAAAAGATTTCATAGCGTGAGTAAAACAGCTAAGGGTAGACGCCGCGCTCTACAGCAGGCGTTAAGTACCCAACTTATTTTTTAACCACGAAATTCTTACCTCTTCCTGTGATTTAAACATGGGAATTTTCATACGTGTGTTTATTTGAAAATCTTTCACCTGGAAGATGTTCAAATTAAACAAGTAAGTTTTTCTCAAGTCAGCTTTGCCTTTCTCCTAAAACCACTAGATAAAATCACCCAGAAGTATACGTAATACATAAAAACAAACTGCGCATGCTTCCCTGTAGGATGCGAAAACCTGGCGATGTTCATTCCACCACTAACGAATTACTAACGTTTTTTATCAAGGTTGTGTCGTCCAACGTCAAAGCGTGTGAAAGGCGATCCATTTCAGATCGTGAAAGCTCAACCAATCGATCTCTTTCCTCAAACTCGTTGCTGTGAACTTGTTGTTCTTCTTGAACGCCAAATCACGTCTTGAATGTCGGTTTTATATTCATCTGTAAAACTTGTAAAGAACACAGAAAAAAAAAGGCAGAAATTTTCCCAGGGAAAAGGTTGAGTAACAAATGGTTGTCGTAGCTATATCTGTGCTGATAATTCTTGTGCGTTTATAAATTTATTCATCAAAAAAGAATTGTTTTTGTTGGTTGAAGAATTTTCATGAGGGACTTATATGACGGCTTCAATTTCTAAACATGCGTTGAGATACTGCATAAAGTATTTCATTCTAAGATAAACAATTCATTACAAGCGTACTCATATATAACTAGCCTATCGTTCGTATAAACAAGTCAATACCAGTGGTTAATATCTCCGTACAGCTGTGCTATCAGGTAAATTTCTCATTGGTTAGGATTGAGCAAATTAACCTTAAAACAACTCGTCATTAATGGGTGTACGAGCTTGTGTACATCACTTTCTGAAAAATCCTTCACGATAAGTTTTTCACAAAATTTTAAAACAGCAAAGATGACTTGAAGCCGAACGCGGAATTTGAAATAAACACTATTTACAGAATAAATTATAGTCGCAAGCAGACGATACACATATAAGATAAGTAAAATTTATATAACTAATCTAAGAGCTCACGATGAAGACCGACAGTCACAGGGATGATGGACATTGTGAAGATGTGATGGTAATTAATGTACATCAATAATCGTCTTCACTGGGTATGTTGACCTGAACTTCAAACCTTCTGGATAGCTCCCGAAGTTGTCTTTCATATAACACGTTGCGTTCGATTGACTTCTGAAAGTTATACTTTAAGTCTTCAATTTCCTCGAAGAAGGCTGGGTCGAATGCTTCCAATTCTTTACGTAACTACAGGAAGTCAAACAAAAGAAAATCAAAATTTGCCAGAGATGCATTCATAGTCAAAAAAATTAGTTCATAAATAAATGTTGCAGATGTAGATCGCCGAGGTTTGGGCAGTCCATAGGACTGTTCGTGTTAGTATTAACTGACGTCATGGCATATTTAGCGGTAATCATAAGGATGCCATGAAAAATAATTGAAAGTCTCGTCCCGACAAATTTTCTTCACGAACAGCCTCGTGATGTATGAACCACACAACGAATACGGCAAACCTGACATTTACTTTTGAGATTTGACTATGAAGATGACCACCAGTTAAGAGTCGACATGTAAGTTAATAAAAACACAAAAAATCTTTCTTCAGACTGCACCACCAACCTGGACGATCTACATCTACAAACATGTGCAACTTACATCGATGAATGCAAGCTGTTATACATCACTGAATGAAAGATATATACAAAGCAGTGACACAAATATAAAATTGAAAGATTAAAAGAAACTCTATCTAGTAAAACTTGACACGATAAATACAACACAAGATAAATACAAACTCTAGTTATAATAAATTATAATAATGGTAATAAATAATACTAATTTATTATAATTATTTAATACAATGTTACATATATTTTACCTTAATAGTTTCTGAGCGTAATCGATCTCTCTCTAATTCCACAGTCTTCAAATTGATCTCTAGTTCAGTGTTCATTTTTAATATTCGATCGTAATCCGCTAGTCTACGCAAAACATCTTCTTGGTCCTCAATGAGAGAAGGCGAAAATCATATGTCGTTAGTTGTTGAATAATTCACAAGGTCTAATGAAGATATACCATGTCCGAAGGTAGTTGACCAGCTTCACTTAATTCTTTCATCCGTTTAAGAAGAGAATGGAGTTCATTCTTTTCAGCTTCGACGCTAGCCAAACGCAGTCTGGGTGAAAAAATAAAGAGATTCAAAAAGAATTTGCACAAAATGTAGCCTAGTCACAGTACAGAAAATATACAGTAGGGCCACTCATTCAATTTTTTGCGAGATAAAAATGTTTTTACCATAATGGCAGCTCGACAAAACATTGCATTTTCTGACCAATAGGAACGCGGACTTGGCTAACTGCTAACAGCCAGTAATATAATCAAATGTATAGAAACGGGTTGCACGTCGGTGTGGACCTACTGTTTATTCTTTTCTCTGTGCTTTGGCTATAATATGAAAAAATTATTCAAAGCAATTGAAGTAATTACTCATCTCACCTCATATTTTGCATTTCTTTAACAAGATTGCTGTCAAGTTGAATATCGGTAGGAAACCTTTCAAGAATTGCGATCTGCTCAGAATAATAGACAGAAACATGATCATTTTTTCGTTCCCGTATGAACATCGTGCATCATTAAAATTTGTCACGTGGTACACCTGACGATTGAGAATTCTTTCATGGCGCAAAGTTGGCCTATTTTGTCCAACCGTTGTAGGTGAAAGATGACAAAGGATTGATAGTTAAAAGCAAATCACGGGAAGTATATCATAGAGTAACAAATACAAATGAAGATTACGACAATGAAATGATGTGAAAGATAAATACAGGATAACATCATAGAGTAACAAATACAAATGAAGATTACGACAATAAAATGATGTGAAAGATAAATACAGGATAACATAGACTGACAGTAAATACAAATGAAGATTACAATGATGTGACGTCATAGGTAAATAAAAAGTATATCATAGACTGACAGTAAATACAAATGGAGATTACGACAGCAATGTGATGTGAAAGGTAAATAAAGAATTATATCATAGACTGACAGTAAATACATACGAAGTGATGTGAAAAATAAATGAAAGAGCACATCAGAGATTGACAGTTAACAAAGAACGGTTGAATATGAAACTAACTTCAAGAGATACGCAAACACGGCAGAGATACCTTTTCTTCCAACTCTGATTGTTTCTTTAAGAAAACCTCTTCTTTGTCGACGGAGCCTCGTAAATGTTTCTTGATGTCATTCAACATATTTGTCTAAAAAAAAGAGAAAAATGTATGGCGCGACATATCAACAGAAATGGTTAAAACAATTTCAAAATTCACCTTCTTCTCCAATTCGCCTTCCAAAGACTTCACCTTCTGCTCAAACATGCGAGTCGCGACAGCAGATTTCCACTGCTTAGAGTCCAGTCCTTCAAGATTAGGAACGCGACTTTCAGCCTCGCGCAGTCTTCCTTCTAACCGCCTTATTTCATCGTTTTTATCTTTTAGGTCATTCTCCAAAGCTGCTATCTTCACTTTCAACATTTTACTCGTTTCGATCTCTTTACCGTAATCTTTTCTCAATTTTTCATGTTCGCCTACCAACTTGCTCGAGATTTTTTCAATTCCTTTTCTTTGCGGTGGAGCTTCGTGGCTTTGTTTTAACTTATGCAACTCTTGCTGAAACACGAATGTATGAAATATAACCATAAAACGTCAACAAAAATGTGTCATAAAATAATCACAGATGGTTAGCTGGCATACAATCGAAAGATTATCCTTTGTATAATAATCACAAATGGTTAGCTGGCATGCAATCGGAAGATTATCCTTTGTATAATAATCACAAATGGTTAGCTGGCATGCAATCGGAAGATTATCCTTTGTATAATAATGAAAATCACGAGAGCTTTAGTTCCTACACATCTTACGTTTTATTAAAAATTCATAAGATTATACTACACTTTATCTGACAACATATTGAGTATGATTTGAGTACCATACTAAGCCCCAATTAGTTAACATATTGAGTGGCATATTGAATACCATTTTAAACACCATCAAATTAGGATAGCACTATAGCATACTGACCATATTACGTGGCATTCAATTAAAATATTGAACCCCATAAGTAACATACTCAGTAGCATATTATGGGATATTTGAGTACCACAGGTAGCAAATTAAGTGGCATATTGAGTATGATTTGAGTACAATTTAAGTGGCATATTGAGTATGATTTGAGTACAATTTAAGTGGCATATTGAGTATGATTTGATTACAATTTAAGTGGCATATTGAGTATGATTTGAGTACAATTTAAGTGGCATATTGAGTATGATTTGAGTACAATATGAGTGGCAGTTGATTATGATTTGAGTACAATTTGAGTGGCATATTCAGTATGACTTGAAAACAGTTTGAGTAGAATATTGAGTAAAATTTACCTTAAGTTTTTTATTTTCTTTGGTAAGATCGTTATGTTGGGAGTTACCATCGACTGGATGCTTCTTTAAATTATCATTCTCAGTTTGTAGTCTTTCAACAACCCTTCTCATGGCGGCGATAACTCGTTCCATATCTTCAACACTTTGACCAGCAATTCCAGTACCCAGAGCTTTCTAAAGTAAACAAACATTTTTGTCCTCAAGGTTCATAGGACCAACATAGATCGCTATGTTGAAAAACAAATATAAAAATGTACAACTCAAAGCACTTGATACTTCAAGACGTGTATTTCATTCACTGACACAGTGAAATATTGGAAAGTTTGAATAGCAAACATTAATGTTTACACTTGCATATATATATATGAACGTAGCAGTTCATAAACAATTTAATGGCTTTCACCTTTCGAGATTTTTCTCGCTTCTTGCTCGCCTCCACCTCCGACTTTAATATTTCTGTGTATTCCTGAAGATCTGCGACGCGAGCCTATGGCAGCAAAAAACCAATCAATATCTTTGATGTAAGAGTAGTTGATGATGACAATATAAGAGACGTTGATGATGACAATATAAGAGGAGTTGATGATGACAATATAAGAGAAGTTGATGATGACAATATAAGAGAAGTTGATGATGACAATATAAGAGAAGTTGATGATGAAAGAAGTTATGATGACAATATAAGAGAAGTGTGATGACAATATAAGAGAAGTTGATGATGACAATATAAAGAAGTTGATGATAACAATATAAGAAAGTTGATGATGACAATATAAGAAGTTGATGATGACAATATAAGAGAGTTGATGATAATAATATAAGAAGTTGTGATGACAATATAAGAAGTTGATGATGACAATAAAGAGGTTGAATGACAATATAAGAGGTTGATGATGACAATATAAGAGAAGTTGATGATGACAATATAAGAGAAGTTGATGATGACAATATAAGAGAAGTTGATGATGACAATATAAGAGAAGTTGATGATGACAATATAAGAGAAGTTAATGATGACAATATAAGAGAAGTTGATGATGACAATATAAGAGAAGTTGATGATGACAATATAAGAGAAGTTGATGATGACAATATAAGAGTTGATGATGACAATATAAGAGAAGTTGATGATGACAATATAAGAGAGTTGATGATGACAATATAAGAGAAGTTCGTAAACAATACAGCGCTATATAAAGAGTTTACAAACAAAACAACATAAATTGATAAACGATACCTTTAATCGAGGATTCTCTTTCTTGGCTTCCTCAAGACTGAACTGCATCTCCATGTTTTCCTGAAAAAAAGTTTCCATGGCGGAAACAGAGTAAGAGGAAAGGACTGGTAACTAAAGCTACTCAATGGTTGATGTATATTCGTTGGCACATCCTTTCCAACCTTTCTAATTTCCAGCAATTGATTTTGTAAAGATCTGTTTCTTTTTACAAGATCTTCGTACAGCAGAGCATCGACGGCATCGTTATCCTCCTATTTCAAAAGATGATCGAGAAAACGCACGCTTGGCATCACAAATGAATCATATATCAAAATATATAATCTCTGATAATTTCACTTTTCCCACAAACCTTTTCGGGTGGAGTATGTCGTAGTTGCAACTCAAGTAAACTTAATCTTTCCTTTAAATCTTTATTTTGAAGTTCCAGCTCCTAAGAATGAAAGTGAGTTTTGCAATTTATAAGTTCATTTGTCACATTGTTATGATGAATGGATGACCAAACGTACAGTTGATACGTGCATCAATAATAAAACATCTGCAATCAAGATTATCTCACTACGAATGAAAGCGCAATTTAACCAATCGAATACCGACCTGCAATCGTACATCTTTTTCGAGACGCAGCCTTCGTTGGAGTTCTTCATTCTAAATCATGAAATTCGACATAGAAAATTTCCGACAATCTAAGATCCCAATATTGGAGTTGAAAAAGTCTTAGACGACTAAAACCATAAAATGTAAAACACAAATACCTCACTTTCCACTTCAAAAACTTTCTGCTTCAACTCATGTATTACGTCATCACGCTGCACCAATGACGCATCAACAGAGGAGCGCGAATAGGTACTAAATCGTAAGAGACGATCGCATTGCTCGTTTCATTGTTTCATAAACTACACGCGGTCATTAAGCGAAGAAAAAATTAACCAACCAAAGTGCGAATGTAAATGCGTACCCGAGTTGGACAAAAAATGGATATACCTTTTAAGTTTGTTTTGTGAAGAAGCTTTTGTCCTATCTCCTCTATTTAAGGCATCTCGACACAAACGCAGAGATTTTTCGGCCTTTTCCAATTCCTTCGTCTTTTCTGCAAGTTTCACCTTTAAGTTTTCCACTTTGTGTTGCCACTTTTTCCCCTCTTCCCATCTTAGAACTTCCTCAGAGACTTTCTGCATCTTTATAAAACAAACATAGAGTATTCTAGCATTTGACACGATGCGATAATAAACACAACCCCCCCCTCCCCTCGAGATATATTGTTTTGAATTCTAGATCAACGAGTCCCAGATAATTAAACACAGCACTATTTTGCTGTACGGTAAGCGGGTAGTCTGCCAATTGTCATGTGAAGATCGACATCACTCATGCTTTAAAGAAGGAGATATCGCCTCTTAACTACAAAAATACCCAATTTCAAAATTAGCATTAAAAGTAATGTAATCGGTTTAACTCATTTTGTCTCATTAATCAAGAACATCATTCGTCGGTAACCGTCATCATTCGTCGGTAACCGTCATCATTCGTCGGTAGCCGTCATCATTCGTCGGTAACCGTCATCGTGCGTAAAGCAGTTTAAGGATTGTCCACATTATCGTATAATGTATTTCTGTTATTTTGGAACTCAAAGCCATGTATAAACCTAGCATATTTTGTGGGAATATGATTTTGATGGATACTATGATTATTTTTTCGTATTAAGTGGGACCTTCCAATATGGCGGCTCTGGCTTCACAGAAATAGCGCAGTGCGTTATCCAGTATATTTTCAGATCAGTGTTTCAAAGATGGCAGCAATGTTATAGTTCCAGTTGATACTACAAATCGCTGGGCTACAGTTCACAACTTATGTCAAATCAATATACAGATTTGATGAAAAAAAGAATAGCAAACCTTTTGTTTCTCCTCCGTTTTACTATCATCAGTTTCTTCACGTTCCTTTTCATCATTTTTATCATTTAATATTTTCAACTTTGTTTCCATTTCAATCAATCTTTGCTCGTATTCCTGTCTCTTTCTTTTTTCATTTCTCAAACTTTGTTCGCATTTATCGAGGTTGTGATCCTTTACCTCGTTCATTTGAGACAAAGACGAATTCTTCTTCTCGATATCCTGTAAATTGTCCATGATCAAAATGATCAGTCGAGTAAAGATTTCTAGCGTAAAAACAACGACATAAGCAAAATTGTAAAATTGTGCTTATTTTATCATACCTTTTTCAATTTATTATTTTCTTCGGTTAACTTTTCTTCCTTTTCTTTGTATTTCTTCAATTCAGTTTTCATTTTTTCGTGTTTACTTTCCAATCCCTTGACACTTTCACGCAGTTCAGAAGTTTCCCGCGCAACAATCAATTGAACGTTGACCTCTTCGCCCGCAAGTTGGGTGTTCGCACGTAGGTTTTCTTCAGCAGCGTTTACCATATCCGCCCGCAACTGCCTAAGTGCCTTACTCAGCGTCTTTTGTTCCTTGTCTTTGATCAAGAGTTGATTACGGAGACGCTCAAGCAAGATTTCATAGCTCGCGTTGGAGCGCGATCATTTGCCTCTCGAGCAGCCTCGAGTTCTTCCGTCAACGCTTCGTTCTCTTTCGTACGATCACGTAAATGTTGCTCACGCAAGCTCAACTCGTTTTCAAGCTCTGTGATTTTTGTTGTGAATTTCTCCTTCGTGACTTCTGCCTTATTCGTAATGTCTTGTATTTTGTCTTCGTACTGAACCTTTAACTTTCCAATGTCGTTCCTGGACCTCTGGTAGCGCTCTGCTGCAGAAGCTAAAGCATTCTCCTGCTCTAGTGTTAACTCCTCGAGCTCGGAAAGACGTCTCAGTTCTCTGTTGCCGGGTCTAGATCCCACGTGACTGTTTATTACATCATTTTGTTGAGCTTTGAATTTTCGCAATGCTTCGTCAGCTTCGAGTTGCAGGCGATCTTGAAGAAGCTTGACCTCGGCCTTATGCTGCTGGGTTTGAGCTTGCATTTCGTCACGTGACTCCTTAAGATAAGTAAAGTTCAATGAAGGTACATGCAATAATAAAGATGGATGGTTCGGGATGAACGAGTAAAAGTCAATGAAGAGATATGCAATGACATAATGGATGGTTCAGGATGAAACTGGGCTATGATCGAGAATAATAACAATCTATGCCATGGTTCATGGAAAAGCAAGCTATATGTTGTTTTGATATTGTTGTTAACAAAAGAGACCCGACTACATTTACTACAGAAAAAATCAATATGAAATATAATCAGCTATTTCAATGGTGATTTCGTGAATAAATCACCTTCAATAATTCTTGATATTTCAGAATGGATTCTTCCTTTTTGCTTATCATCTTTTGTAAACTCGCGATTGTTGACTGAGCGACCTGGAAAGCTTTCTTTGCTTCATAATCTGGGGATTTAGTTACCATGTTCTCAACCTGCTGGGCCACGAGTTGCCTTTCTGTCACAGGTAACCTTAGTCGCAGTTCGTTGATGATCTTTGCGTTTTGTGTGTTTTTCGTTTCGTGTTCGTCTAGAGCGCGTTTCAGTTCACCCACTTGCGTTTTCAATGTTCTATTCTCATGCCGGCAACCCACAATAATCTTCACGTGATCTTTGATACGTCTGGTTGCTTCCTCCAGTTGGTTGGCAATGGGAAGATTTGGGTCTGGGACCGAACCCGTAGCCTCTTCAAAACGCAAAGCAGCCTGGGCCATTTCAGCCTGTTGATGCTCCAATCTTGAGATGGTTCTCTCAAGCTCAACTTCACGTTGATCCCACATTAGTGTACGTTCTTCGTGTTGCTAGAAATAAAAATGCGAAGACATAACATGCAATATTCGACAAAGGTAAATTCATTGTTCTAAAACAACACATTGACTCCCACCTTCGTTATTTTCGCGTTTTCTTCTTCAAGTCTGACGATAGAATGCTCCTGAGTTCTATTGAGATTCTCCAAGAACTTAATTTGTTCATTCTGTTTGCCTGTATTTCGATTAAGTTTTAGATTCTCCAGTCTTATATCTTCTATCCTCTTCTGCCATTCCATGACCTTCGCAGCACCCTTGCCATCCCTCAATGTAGCCAACAATTCCTCGAGATTTTTATGCTTCATTTGAAGTTCGGCTAGTTTCAGAGAAGCTTGCTCTCGTTCGTCATGAGCCTGAAAATCAAATCTCTTTAGCAATCTGCTAATTATCTCAGGTTGCCATTCTCTCTTTTTCCATTCTTAAAATCAATATAATTGAATCCAATGAATTTAATCAAACATGTTCCACTCACTTTATCCTACAATATACTCATACATCTTACCATCTGATTTGGCCAGTCTTACTTTTGAGTCCAATATAAACAATAAAAATTGAATAATCCAAGCTCAACTTCCTCTATCCCATCATATCCTCTTCACAATACAACCGACCATCTAATTTGGCCAATCTTACTTTTGAGTCCAATATAAACAATAAAAATTGAATAATCCAAGCTCAACTTCCTCTGTCCCATCATATCGTCTTCACAATACAACCTACCCTCTCATTTTCCCAATCTCACTTTTTAATGTCATTCATAAACAACGAAACTAAATCATTGACACTCGAATAAAATCACTCTCTTTCAACTTATTCTATCATGCCATATCATCAATAAACGCAGCAACATTCCCTTGCAAATTCAAGATGTTTACTGCTTCTATACAAAGCTCATGCAAACCGGAGAGACCTTTTAAAGAACTCGAAAGCAGGACTCGCACCTTCTCAAGAGTTCTCAAAAACTTGTCCAGTGCAAACACAAAAACATCTTTTATTTTTTTTATAAAATAACAAGAATGCAAAAAAGACAAACGTTTAAATTTTTCCTGTAAAATGTATTCATGATCGATTTGCAAATTCTCTTTGACTGATTGATTCTTTTGATTTGTTGAGTTCAGATCTGTTTTTCACTGGCTAATGCAAGCATGGCTATAGAGCAAGCACCGCACGCGTTTTATTGTTGGTTTTTTTATAATACATTATCATACCTTATCAAGATCTTGTTGTAATGCCATTTTACTTTCCTGTAGATTTCTCATTGCATCAGCAAACCTCTCTTGCTTCAGAAGAGGTAGGCAGCCACTGAACTGTCGACGTAAATCCTGGATGGTTTGTTTCAGGTATCTGGCCTTATTCCGCGTCTCGAGTTTCGCATGATAAAAATCCTGATCCTTCTCGTCCAATTTTTTTTCCAGACGTAAAATATGCGCGTCAAGTTTGGACACCTAAAAAAAATTTTCGTTCGAACACACAGTTCTCACAGGGCAAAGGTATACAAAATCAAAAAGTAAATTCGATTTAAATTTTTGACCTTCGACTGGGCTGTTTCCAACTTTTTGATCGCCATTCCTTCGCTGACTTGCAATGCAACGATGTGATGATGAAGTTTACCTGAAACATACGAACAATTGTTTGTTTCCGAAGTAAAAAACGATCAAAATTAAGCAACCTTAACACAGACACCTACCTATGACAGTTTTATCGTCATTTTCCATTTGAATATCGTATAGTTGCCTACGCAGGGACATGAGCTCCTTGTCACGTGACTCCTGTTGGGATTGGACAGCTTCCGCTTGGTGCGAAGCAACTTCCGAAATCTCTTTTAATCGCATCACTTCCACCTTAAGCTTGGATTCCGATTCCTCGAGATTACGTAATCGATTGACCATGGCATCATGAAGATCCTTGGTAACGACACCTTCAAGTTCAGATCGCAATTCCCGTTCAATCCTCTGACCTTCCATGTTCAATTTTGTCAACTAGTAACATCAGATAAAATGGGCTATAGTTAGTTTGTATCCCAAACCACCCAATTCACAAAAATACATACTTATGATGCTCGGTCACGTCTATCCCTCTCTATGATTACTTTAAAATAATAGTGACCAGGCAAGTGGGTTTAACGAAAACGTGAATTGGGTGGCAACATATGCAGACACGTGTCAACTGATTTTGTCCAATCAGGTTCCGTGCAATACTAAAATAATGAAATTCAAGCACTTTCAAGGACTTAGCAGACACGTATCAACTGATTTTGTCCAATCAGGTTCCGTGCAATACTAAAATAATGAAATTCAAGCACTTTTCAAGGACTTAGCAGACACGTGTCAACTGATTTTGTCCAATCAGGGTTCGTGCAATACTACAATAATGAAATTCAAGCACTTTTCAAGGACTTAGCAGACACGTGTCAACTGATTTTGTCCAATCAGGTTCCGTACAATAATACTATAATAATTCCGTACGAAATTCCGTACGAAATTCAAGCACTTTTAAAGGACTTAAAGACCTTGAATTGCACACACGCACAGCTCAGGTAAGAAATCATTACAAACATTGCAAAAATAAACACAAAAGAACTTTTTCTAGTGAATCAAAAAGAAATGGTGTGTTTATATGACTTGAAAGCCGCCATGTTGATATAGGTTACTTCAAATTTGTGACATTAATCCTTTAGCACGGGAGTTTGAATTCGAAAACGTTCACAAGCACATCTTAATCAAGTCAAACACTCTAAAGGCCTTGAATTTTTCAATTTAAATTCAAAGAACGATCAAATTTTGTATGAGCCCCGAGTCCATGAAGAAACACAATCTGCAATACATCAAAAAGTCCATATTTCATTAGCCATGCTATTCCCTACCTCCTCCACTTTATTCTCCAATTCCCCATTGCGTTCCTCGATGTTCTGTAACATCCCTAGTACTTGTTCATATCGCTTTGTCGCATGGCTTGCTCGTTGTCGTTCGTTTAACTCCTACGTCAAAAATGAACATCCAATTGAAAAGAAGTATTTTGTGACATGAACAATTGTGATTGGTTGTGCAACCAAGTAAATCTCTCAGTAATATGAACAATTGTGATTGGTTGTGCAACCAAGTAAATCTCTCAGTAATTGAATCGATAAGGATGTATAAGTTTAATATATTCGAAACCGAGTTCGTTGTATATGGATAATAAAATGGAAAAGAAAATCTCTACATCAAACTGGCCAAAAATTCATCAAACTTAATATAACCGGAATGCTACCTCCAGCTAAAATTTGAAGACAAAAATTCAACCGAAAATCAAGGGCAACTTCAACTTTACCTTTATCTCAAGAGTCGCAATTTTTCTTGATATACTGTTAATTTCCTCCGCTCTTACGTCACTAGTACCAGTCTTCCCACCTTTACCAAGAAGATCAGCGAGTGTTTGCTCCAGCGTGTGACTTTTCTGTTTTTCGGTCTCAAGCTCCTTCATCAGCTTCTCGCGCTCCATTTGTAGATGGCTAACGTCAGATTGTAAGCTTTCAAGCCTGAAAAAAGAAACAGGGACAAACATATCGTAAAGGCTGATACTGATGCAAACGAATTGAACAAGCTTAACAGTAAAAACATTCATAGCAAGCAGCAACATCTTCTTGTTTGATTAATTTATGAAGAACATGAATGAATGTGATAGGTAAATAAAAAATCGGTCACGCAAGATGTAACTCCTGTTATATAGGTGAAACCACCCGACATTTGGCCACTAGAGTTAAAAAAACATACCACCTCCGATAAAAACTCACACATTCACAAACTCCTACAAAATCCTGAATGCAAATCTAAATACAATTCTTGAAATACGTCATGATTTTGTAATGAATTCGAAATATTACTGTATAAAAAACTGCCTTGTTTGTTTCTTAAATAATTGAGTTAAACATGGACCTTTTACTCGGAGTTTCTTATCATATTTCATGAAATTGTCGGCTGGTCATGGATTTTAATACATTTTATCTTGCCTCGCTATAATTGACACTACTAACTCTCCATTTACCCTAACACTGTACATACACAAACACAAACCTAACCTGAACAAACAAGTCCAGCATTTTAACACTTCATTCAAACTTTAACTTCCTAATTTTGTTCTTACTGCGCACTTCATGTCACTAATGCCTAAGCATTTCTCAATAATTTATTTATTTAGTATAACCTCAACTATTGTATATTTCTATGTTATGTATCTCACATGGTAAATAATTAATGCATTCATTGAGTATAACCTCAATTATAGTATATTTCTGTATTATATATCTTACATTTTAAATAATTAAGTATCATCATTGAATCTTACTTGGTCGATCTCTCCACTAACAAGTTTTCCCTTTGAAGAAGATCCCGATACTTCGCGGTCAATTCATTGTAATCTCTGTTCACCGTCTCTAGCTCCCTCGTGGGACAGCTCTCGTCCAGGCTTTTCTGTAAAACAGCCATTTTGTAGCCAGCGGTTTCCCTAAACCTCTCAAGATATCCTAATCTAGTCATAACAGATCCCTCCATATCCACAATATCCTTCTTTAGTTTCTCGTTCTCGCGACGAAGAGAGCTTTCCACCTCTTGCATTGCCGTGTATCGTCTCGCGAGGGACTTCTCGTTCACACGTAGCACAGTGATTTTGCGCGTCTGCTCGCCCAAGCGTTTTTTCAGCGTGTCTGAATCCGTGGTGAGATTCTCCAACAAACGATCGTATTCGAGAAGTCGTACGCCGTCGTGTTCACGTTGTTGTTTCAACTCGGAGGTTTCGTCTTCCCGCTTTTTTAGGTCCACCTCCCAACACGTCTTCTCTTTTAGATATTCTTCATAGAGCAGACCTTTCTGATGAATGATCACGGCAAATTTTCGCTTGAAGTTTTCGAGTTCGTCTTCTAGTTTCTGTAGCATGGTTTCTTTCAATGAACATTCCTAAAGTATTACATTGCAGATTGTTCGTGGTGACGAATCTAAATATTGCCTTGAAAAGCGTATTTGCAATGGTGGCTAGCAACTGTATGGTGGCTAGCAACTACAGTCTACAAGTGGTTCTATCGAAAACTGTTGATGAACAAAATTATGATAAATTACGTGACAAAAATTTAAGATTCCTTAAATATAGAATTTAATGATAAGCAATTTAAGGACTCAAAGATGTCAGAGTAGAAGAGGAGAGGAGACGCAGAGAGAGGAGGGGTGGGGGAGAGGAAGGGTGGGGACAGGAAAGGAGAGAGAACGAGGGGTGAAAAGAGGATGAAGGAGAAAGAAGAGAGAGAAGGAGAAGAGATGGACGAAAGTCCTTGCACAATTGTTGGTCAGTTTCAAGATAAACATAAATTCCATGTTCTTACGTGTATGGATTGTGTAAGATACTCATTCAAACAGCCGATGACTTCTATAGATGATGGTGTCATTCCTTTGGGTAAAACTAAAGGTTGGATCTTCATAAAACCATCACCTGCGTGGCGTAAATCTGATATTTCTTTTTCCAATTTTGTAATCTATAAAATACAACAGAAAGGACGATTTTGTGATCTCATGGTTCATGGGCATCTAACGATGAAATTCTCTAATAAAAACACCACAAAGACCACAAAAAACAGATGAAATCAAAAACTGCAAAGCATTTGTACCTTACTGTCTTTCTTATCTAAGACCACCGCAAGGCTAGTGTTCTCGTCACGTGCTTTCTGCAACTCCTGGCGTATTTCTTCGTTTCTACCCGCCATGTGCTCGAGGTTTGCTCGTAGCTCGACGTGAACGTCGTACTGTCCCGTGGCGCTGCGACATTCGAACATTGCAATAAGTTTCTCTAGAGCAGGAACGCGCAGTAGAACCTGATGAACATTTGATACGTTAAATAAGACATAACCTGTCCATGCAAAAATATAGAAAGAAACACAGAGAACAAAGAGTTATGTCACAAAAAAAGTATATCTTTTGAAAAAAGAAAACGAAAAAGTGGAAAACTTTCCATGAAATCTTTGCACTAAAAAGCATCACAATTAATTTAAAATAATTTTCATGAATTGAATACCTGGCCGCCGTCTGATTGGAAAACTGGACTCTCACGTAGCTGACCGAGTAATTCTCGTAAACCGACTTCCAGCTGATGGTTTTCATCTTTAAGTTCCTTGTTCTCGGTCTTGAGGGCTTTTAGCCTCATCTTAATGCTGTTCACTTCCACTTCCTGTTTTTCCGCTTCATTCTTGAGTCGTTTGTTGTTCGCAGAAAGTTGATCGTTGTCCACTTTCAGAGGTGAAAGAGCTACGAAACAAATGAGACCATTTTTTTACTCAGCAACCTGGTCAGCCGTACATGACGTATCAAACAAATTACTCACGTGATTACGAGTAGGTGAAAAACCAATCATAGTACCTGGTTCAGATTTAGTTTTTACGATACGACGCTCCTCCCCCCCATCGTCACTCAACTCGGCCAAGGCCAGATCTTCAGCTGTCAAACCCAACTCGACAGCCCGCTGACCACGATGCAATGCTTGTTTTCTCAATTTTCGTTTTAGTTCCAGTCTCTCCTCTTCAAGACGTTCAATCTATGATATCAGAGAAAACAGGTGGGTAGTTTCCAGAGTACCGTCTGTTGCCAGAATGATTTTCTGCCAACCGAGAAACATTGCATGTTGGAGAAACAGGAACCATCATCAAGTTAAGGGAAAACATCGACAATAAGATAACACGTGCGATGGATTTGTTTGGCAAAAAACTTTCTTCCTTGAGCCTTCATTTTACTTTTAGTATATTTCACATTCAGTTTATTATAATGTTATGTCTATATTACTTATATATTTCAACTCTAAATATTTAATAAGCATTTCATATATTTGTTTTATTGTAAACATTGGCCAAAACAATTCTCTTTTAGTTCGTCTTTATGTAAACGCACCTTCTGTAAACCAGCCGTAGGCTAAGAACTAGTGCGATTAAATAATCTTGATCATCGTCATCATCGTTCCCAATGTTCCAGGAAATCAATGTTGCCGTGATACAACCCCATATTGAGGCAAATTTCAAGGGTAGGGCGGAAGTGTCCGACCCAGGTTAGGGCGGAAGTGTCCGACCCAGGGTAGGGCGGAAGTGTCCGACAATACCAGAGCAAAAATATAATATCGTTCATGCAAAGCAGAAAAGGCAAAACACACAACGATTGAACGGTTATTAAATCCCATTTCAATTCCTTATTTTGTAAAAAGGCAAAGTTTGTTATGCTAGCATGACGGCCTTAAAAAAAAGACATTTAATCAACCAAAATTACTTAACACATACCTCTTTACTCAAGACACGATTGAGGGCCGCCTGTTGCTCAGTTTTGATCAATTTCTTTTCTTTGACTGCCTCGATATCAAGTGGCTCCCTGGGATCCATTCCCAGTCTGTCGCGCAACTCCTCGTTCTCAGCTTCCACATCGTTGACGGCAATACCAACCTTGTTTATTTGTGACGTCAAATCTATGATTTTTTCGTCTCGAATTCTCAGGTTAGCCTTCAAATCTTTGATCTCCTGTACGGCCTGCGAGAGACCATATTCGCCTAAAAGGAATGCCACATCTCGTTTGACCACTAATTGTATTATTTGATTAAGATCGTCTCCTTTAATCGCGGATTATCTCATTCTATTATGGATCATATCACAAAAATTTGGATGATCTCATTTAATCACGGATCGTCTCATTTGATCGGGGATGATCTTATTTAATCACGGATGATCTTATTTGATAAAAGATAGTCTTGTTTTATCACCTATCACTCGAAGAAGAAGCAATGAAAATCACAGCTAATAAAAGATGATGATTTTGCAACTTCAAAGCAAGCGTTTGTTTGACAACATGAGCTCAAGACAATTTTCTTCATAGCTTTTTGCCTTTTTCTGAAACCTAGCTGCTTAGCCACTAACCTCGTTCATAGCGCATCAGCCTCGTCACCAGTTCATTCAGCTCTTTATCCTTCTCCGCCACGGCTTTCTCCGTCAACTTGATGCGATTGCGCTCAAGGGTCGCGGCCATCTTCTCGCGGTCCAACGTTGAGTGAAGCTCGTTGATCTGTTTCTGCTGGTAGGCCGAAGGTAAACCTACGGTTTGAACAGGATCAAATAGGATTAATCAAAACAAACTAACAAACGCATGCACCGTCCAATGATCCACGATAATGTCTGCTTATTTCATATCGGTAATGGATGAAAGAAGAAGATTGAAGTGGAATTTCAATTTACAAACGTTCACTTATATGAACTCAAAATATTTAAGGTAGTGTAAGTGTGTCTAACGTGGTCTAAGTATAGCTAAGTATAGCTAAGGTGTCCTACGTATAACTGAGGTGGTCTAAGTATAGCTAAGGTTGACTAAAGAGGACTAGGTATGTCTAACGTGGTCTAAGTATAGCTAAGTATAGCTAAGGTGTCCTACGTATAACTGAGCTGGTCTAAGTATAGCTAAGGTTGTCTAAAGAGGACTAGGTATGTCTAACGTGGTCTAAGTATAGCTAAGTATGGCTAAGGTGTCATACGTATAACTGAGGTGGTCTAAGTATAGCTAAGGTTGTCTAAAGAGAACTAGGTATGCCTAACGTGGTCAAAGTATAGCTAAGTATGGCTAAGGTGTCATACGTATAACTGAGGTGGTCTAAGTATAGCTAAGGCTGACTAAAGAGGACTAGGTATGTCTAACGTGGTCAAAGTATAGCTAAGTATGGCTAAGGTGTCATACGTATAACTGAGGTGGTCTAAGTATAGCTAATGTTGCCTAAAGAGGACTAGGTATGTAGTCATAGTATAGCTAAGTATAGCTAAGGTGTCATACGTATAACTGAGGTGGTCTAAGTATAGCTAAGGTTGTCTAAAGAGGACTAGGTATGTGTAACGTGGTCAAAGTATAGCTAAGTATGGCTAAGGTGTCATACGTATAACTGAGGTGGTCTAAGTATAGCTAAGGTTGTCTAAAGAGGACTAGGTATGTCTAACGTGGTCAAAGTATAGCTAAGTATGGCTAAGGTGTCCTACGTATAACTGAGGTGGTCTAAGTATAGCTAAGGTTGTCTAAAGAGGACTAGGTATGTGTAACGTGATCTAAGTATAGCTAAGTATGGCTAAGGTGTCCCACGTATGACTAAGTATGGCCAAGATTGCGTAGGGAAGGTATTACGTGTGTTCCTTTATAACAACATATTGATACACTTCGGGAATGTTCAGATAAAGTAACTACCATAAAGGAGTGAACAGATAGCTGACCAACCTTTATCAGCTTGTTGTTTTATGTTTTCAATTTGATCGGTTATTTCTTTCATTTCACTGGAGACATCTTGCAGTTTTTGCTCAAGAGAATCCACATGCTCGTTCTTTTCGGCAAGTTCACGGCGTAAAGCAGCAATTGTTTGCTTGTCGGTATCTATCTGAGAAATTGACGCCTGCCTGCGAAGATCTTCAATTGTTCGACGACAATTGGCGATTTCCTCATCTTTACTAGCGATCACCATCTGCAACGTGTGTATTTAGGATTATAAAACATCGTGATTAAAACAAAGATACATTAACTAGAGTTGGGTGCATAGTCTTGACTAGAGACTTGTGCATAGTCTTGACCAGAGGGTGGTGCATAGTCTTGACTAGAGGGTGGTGCACAGTCTTGACTAGAGGGTGGTACTTAGTCTTGACTAGAGGGTGGTGCTTAGTCTTGACCACAGGATTGTACATAGTCTTGACTAGAGGGTGGTGCATAGTCTTGACTATAGGGTAGTGCATAGTCTTGACCACAGGATTGTACATAGTCTTGACTAGAGGGTGGTGCTTAGTCTTGACCACAGGATTGTACATAGTCTTGACTAGAGGGTGGTGCACAGTCTTGACTATAGGGTAGTGCATAGTCTTGACTAGAGGGTGGTGCTTAGTCTTGACCACAGGATTGTACATAGTCTTGACTACAGGGTGGTGCATAGTCTTGACTAGAGAGTTGTTCATAGTCTTGACTAGAGGGTAGTGCATAGTCTTGACTAGAGGGTAGTGCATAGTCTTGACTAGAAGGTGGTGCATAGTCTTGACTAGAGGGTGGTGCTTAGTCTTGACCACAGGATTGTACATAGTCTTGACTAGAAGATGGTGCATAGTCTTGACTACAAGGTAGTGCATAGTCTTGACTACAGGGTAGTGCATGGTCTTGACTAGAAGGTGGTGAATAGTCTCGACTACAGGGTAGTGCATAGTCTTGACTAGAGGGTGGTGCATAATCTTGACTACAGGGTAGTGCATAGTCTTGACAAGAGGGTGGTGCATAATCTTGACTACAGGGTAGTGCATAGTCTTGACTAGAGGGTGGTGCACAGTCCTGACTACCGGGTGGTGCATGGTCTTGACTAGAGGGAGTACAGAAGCGGTGTCATTTTCCCAACGCTATATCAATGCACCAAGCAATTGGAATGGGTACACTTTCAAAAACATCACTAATCTTGTTATAAAAGTTTAACAAGACAATCTAACACGGCACGCCAATATTCACAAAGTAGCCACTGAAATTTACTTACAGCACTCTGTCCCTACAAAAAAATCCAAGATACATCCCTGGATAATAACCCCACCTTCCATTCTTCAACTTTGGAGTTCACAGCGGAAAGAATGGCTTCATCGTTGTCCGTTTTTGATGCCACTTGATCGCGTAAATCTTGCACCTAAGTCATTCAAATTTGAAACTAAAATGAAACTACGTATCATTGCAAGAAAATATTGATGGCGGTTCATCAAACCTGTGCTCTTGAAACGTCTCTCTCTTTACGCATCTCTTCGAGAATCTGATCGGTCTGCTGCAGAACCGTCTTCAATTTCGTATACTCTTCAGTCATTTTGTCCATCTCAATCGCCGACTCCTTCAGGTCTGTACCCACATCTTCCAATTTCTCTTCCAATTCTGCATTGGCCTCTGACAACGACTAAATTTGAGTGTCAATTAATGAAGTGATTCCTGTTGTGGTTGATTTATACAGGGTGTCACCACCCAAAAAAATGGAGCCTGCATAATTTAATTATGTATTCGCTGAAATTAATATTCACAATAATGTAATTAGCATTCACACAGTTTAACGAACTTGACAGTTGCCAGTTCTGCGCTTCTGGGATTTCAAGGAGCTTGTACTATGTTAGTTAAAGCAAAACAAATGTTTTTATATACTGATTTCTATCTCAAATCTATTACGCAAAAGCTTTGTAAAATGAAAAATGACATTAACTGAGTCATAACAGCCACAAAAACATAATCACATTTTCCATAAGCGGCAACAAACATGGACAGTTACACTAAGTAACTAAGTTAATAAGTGGCAACAAACATGGACAGTTACACTAGCGTGTAATTAAGTTAATAAGCGGCAACAAGCATGGACAGTTACACTAGCGTGTAACTAAGTTAATAAGCGGCAACAAGCATGGACAGTTACACTAGCGTGTAACTAAGTTAATAAGCGGCAACAAACATGGACAGTTACACTAGCGTGTAATTAAGTTAATAAGCGGCAACAAGCATGGACAGTTACACTAGCGTGTAACTAAGTTAATAAGCGGCAACTAACATGGACAGTTACACTAGCGTGTAACTAAGTTAATAAGCGGCAACTAACATGGACAGTTACACTAGCGTGTAACTAAGTTAATAAGCGGCAACAAACATGGACAGTTACACCGTGTAATTATTAATCAACAGCATGGACAGTTACACCAGCGTTAACTTTAATAAGTGGCAACAAACATGGACAGTTACACTAGCGTAATTGTTAATAAGCGGCAACAAGCATGGACAGTTACACTAGCGTGTAACTAAGTTAATAAGTGGCAACAAACATGGACAGTTACACTAGCGTGTAATTAAGTTAATAAGCGGCAACAAGCATGGACAGTTACACTAGCGTGTAACTAAGTTAATAAGCGGCAACTAACATGGACAGTTACACTAGCGTGTAACTAAGTTAATAAGCGGCAACTAACATGGACAGTTACACTAGCGTGTAACTAAGTTAATAAGCGGCAGCTAACATGGACAGTTACACTAGCGTGTAACTAAGTTAATAAGCGACAACAAACAGCTATTGCAGACTTAATTATTTTATGTAGATTTAATTTTAATGCATACATAATTATTTGTATGGGTGTCACGTTTTGTTTTTGGGCTACCCTGTAAGTATGAGCTCGTTTACCCTTATTTCATCAAGATATTTATTGAGATCCCGATTCTTTTCACCAAGTTTCGATTGAAGCGCAGCATCTCCTCCATGTTGAGTGACCACGTTTTGACGTTGTTGCTCTATCTGACGTTGGTAATCATAAATACTGGTCTTGCAACTCTCAACCTAAGCAATGAAAAACAAGGCTGTTCACAAAATTCTTGAATATTTTAGTTGGGCGATTCTCCCATCACATGCATAACATTTACATTGTAATTTTGTTGTCATTCCTTGCGTCTTAGGGTAACTTAATATGGAAACATATGCTATTAAAGGTCTTCACAGTATTTCTCAGAGATAAAAGGAAAATGTGCTGCATCACATGTGTGTGACCCACAAAAATTGACGGTTGCTTCTTGACTAGTGCCATGCTTGGTGAATATTGATATGGCAAAGTAATGAAAAATACATAAAATACTACATCTAGTAGTCCCAATTTAATCTAAAATAGACATATCAACATAATACAACGCACCATATAAATAGTTTTGAAATATTTCCACGCAGGTTCAGTTTGAGAGAATTGACCCCTATAGAGTATTCTTTCCCAGCATACCTCTTGTTTATAATCCTTGTTCAACTTCTCCAATTCTTTGATCTTGATTGACATTTGTTTGTTGTTCTTTCTCTCCTCTTCGAGTTCCCTCTCATTATTAACAACTGCCTTTTCCAAATCGTGGTTGCGATCTTCCAGAAGTTGTATTTCTCGAATAAAAGATTGCTCGCCACCTCCAGCATGTTTGTGTAAGTGGTGAATTTCTGACTCCAGACGATCAACTCGACCTTTGCATGGAACATATATATGTCATATTTAAGAATAAAAGATGTTTACTATGTTTGCACAGGTTTATGCAAATGGGAGACCTTTAGGAGAACTTGTGAGCAGATCAGTACAAGGAAGGTCAAGGGCTGCACCTGCTCAAGAGTTCTCACAAATGTCTCCAAGGTTAGCATAAGCCAGTGCAAACACGAAAAACATCTTTATTTCTTTTATAAAATAAAATAACGCAAAAAAGACAAACTTTTTCCTATAATATGTATTCATGATTGTTTGCAAATCCTCTTTGATTGATTGATTGTTTTGATTGATTTGATTGGTTGAGCACAGGCTAATGCAAACACAGCTCTAGACCAATCAGCGCACGCGTTTTATTGTTTTTATTTTATAATTCTTATATGAAACATACATTGGAGAATACAAGGTTGGTGAAAGAATATGAACTACAAAACATACTGTAGAATGTAATATACTTCTCACATCAGTAAAGAAAAGTAGGTTTTTCCAGTCTTACCCTGAAAACGTTTTTTCAAACTTTCAATTTCTTCGCCAGCGACTTCCGCCTCTGTGGCCTTCACTCTCATTATCATTTTTGAAAGGTCAAATAATTTTTCCATCTTGCGGACATCTTGGGCGGCATCCGGATCAAAGTTCCCCTAGGCAAAATTATGTTCATTTGTAAACCACCAAAAGTGTTCAATTTTACCTCATTAGCGATGTTTAAAATATAGTATTGGCGAAGAAACCTCAAGAAAATAAAATGTTGTACCTCCGTTAGAATATTATATATAATTTCAAACTCCTCTTCATTTTGCTCTAAGCTGTCCAAATTCACCCTCATTATTCTTTTCCAGTTTAGGGGAGGCATTTTTTACGCTTAAACTAGGAAAGAAACAACAATTTAACATGAATTTAATAAGCTTGTTTGGGTTGTCAAGAAGAAAGCCAAATTCCCCGCCATATTTGACTGGAGTGCGCTGTGGACTGGAGACTAGCGAATAAACTGGACCGGAAACAGCATAAATGACAAATAAATTATGTTTGTTCCGTTGAAAACGTAAGATACATAGCCTGACATCATAGAAAAACAAACTGAAATGGCCACGAGTCCTCCTATACAGAGTCCGAAAACTGGTTCACCTAGTCCCAATGACAGTCTTAAAAGAGATGCGGCGAAAAAAGGATGGATGGGGACATTGACTCGGCGGAAGAAAACAGACGAAGGTATTTGAGGGAGGGTTATCTAAGTAGCCACAACACAGCCCTGACGTAGAGTTTATCTTCTGACAGTAAAAACACTGTTGTTGGTATTGATGATATTGCTTATACTGCATTGAAGAATGTCGCTCAGTAAAAATGACAACAGCTTGATTTGTTGCTTTTCAGTTGTTTTATGTATTGTGTTAGAAAGTTGTGTTTGTTAGATTACTAATTTTTATGGTATATCACATAAACAGGTTTCCAACCTTCTCTCGAAGTCATCTCGTAACGGCGTGTAATTTGAAATGACTGTACGGAATACCTTGATAAAACTAAAAACAAGACTGATTCCAACAATCTTTCTCAAAATTTCTAGAATAATTTCATGCTGCATAAAAGACTTTTGTACTCTGTGACACAATAATAATTGGTCTTCTAATTTTTCTTCTAATTTCTGTGGATCATTAATCAAAGTGTTCATCTTTTCTAGTGAATGCATTGGAAACAGAAGGGAAAAATGCTATTGACACCCCACTGTCACCTTCTGTTATTGTACCCAACAGCTTTAAACTGGGTATAACTATGAATATTTTTTTAAACAATTGATGCTGTAGAATTTTTTGACATGAAAAAAAATTTGTAGAGGAGACCGAAGAGAGGTCAATGGTTGAACCAGCATCATTAGAAGATCCAAAAGTTCATGAATTGATGGATGTAAGTTAGTGTTTAGTACCAGTAAACACAATCTTTGTGGCCTTGTTAACATATCTCTCCATTGCAAAAATCAAAATCTTCTGTGTTCCTATATGCAATTGATATTCAAGAGAATTGATATTCATAGAATCTGGTGGAATGGATGAACATCATATTGGCCGACAAAAGAATAGTTATTAAAGAGTTGGAGGAGGACTTGTATGATGGTCAGGTTCTATCAATATTAATGGGTAAGAAAGGTATCAAACATTTTATGCTTTCTAGGATAGCTTACTCGAAGACACCTATTCTTTATAATTTCAGAAAAATTGGCAAAAATAAAGTTTGAGTTCTCCGAAGTAACTCAGTCAGTTGGGGGACAGGTTGGTACATAGGACGTTATCTAAAGTGGGATGGGAATGTGGAATAAAATATTGATGAAGTTCACATGAATTTTCAGATTGAAAAATTGGAGATCATTTTAAATAAAGTTGATCAACTGCTGGGAATCAATAAGAATGAAGCAAAATGGAGTGCTAAAAGTACTATGTGATAACATTAACACAACTACCGTAGATGCTCGCTTAAAGTGCCCAGGCACTTGTTTTATTTTTGCAATTCTATTTTTGCGTTTAAGTGGAGCTGCGCTTATTACGTGATTTTCACACCAAATGTTTTTATTGCCCCCAAAAAAATATCTATCAAATTTATTTACATGACATAATATAACACAACATAACTTAGTAACTCTCTATTTCTTCCAATTAAGCAACGCACTAAAGTTACTCAGATAGCGGCGCTAATAAATAACTTTTATGCATTCTGAGTACGGTGTTTAACTGAGAGCGGCGCTTAACTGAGAGCGGCGCTATAGCGAGCATTTACGCTACCTATTTGACAGTTCACCTTTTGATGTACCCTTGTAATCTTTAATCGTGCACTAAATGTATTTCACAGAGATACACAAAAAGGATATTGTCGCCATTCTCCATTTGTTGGTTAGTTTAAAAGAACACTTCTCTCCAAACGATCCAATCCCACCCGGAGTTTACATGAAAGTCGTCGTTGTGCAGGTGAGTATGTTTACATCGAACATTCCGTACATGTTGAGGTGCTATGGAAAATATTCAAACAAAGGCGTATGTTGATCTACTTTCCAGAAACAAGATGGTCTCTTGAACAGTAGAAGAATTAATGTACAAATCACCAAAGATACAGAGGAAATTGAGTATGTTCAGTTCAAATCCCATCGTGTTATCTTCTTGCAACCTAAATTTTCACTGGAATAATTTATTTAGATTAGAAAAACAGCGACGTCGAGGTGAGAAAATTGGTTTTACCATTCATTTGTGCACGTATTAAAGCTGTGAAATCAATTTTTTCACCGTTAATCTTGAGATTTTTTTCTCTGATTTACATAGAAAGAGATGCTTTCGACGCTCTTTTTGAGAATGCGCCAGAAAAACTGAATGTCGTTAAAAAGGTTCGCGCATCTATTAGGGAGAAATATTTCCTTCTTTGCTTAATTTATAAGTAATTTTTTTCGCCGCAACAGTCGTTACAAAATTTTGTGAATCGCCACCTTACGAAACTCAACCTCGAAGTTAACGACATCGACACGCAGGTTTTTATGTTTGAACGAGAGTTCCTTACGAACGATATCGTTGCATGTGTGTTTTTATTTCGGTTTTGTTTTAGTTCCATGACGGCGTTCATCTTATCTTTTGATCGGTTTATTGGAAGGATATTTTGTTCCTTTGTATAAATTCAAAGTGACGCCATCAGGATTTGAGGAAAAAGTACGTAAAATTCTCTTCTCTACTGTATGTTTTGCGTCGGTTTTTTCGAAAAATGGCTTTGAATTTCATTAATAAAGTAAATGGTTTGAACCCGGGAGTATCGTTATATGTTTGTAAATGATGATCGTCCATCTTCAGAGTTTAAGATGACTACCGCTAAGGTTGTCGAAACGTCAGTCAACAACAACAAAAACAGTCCTTCTCAGGACTTTATTAACCTGGACGATCATCATTTACAAACATATAATTTCATTAATCATAATTTTTATTTCATCAGGTTAAAAACGTTTCGTTTGCATTCGAGCTAATGGATCTTTCGTCTGTTCCGTATCCCAGATGCTCTCCGGAAGGTAGGCGTTCCTTATTTCTACCAGTTTTTCTTTAATCTAGATTTAATTTATCTTTTCGTTCTTCGAGTATCGTAAACTTTCTGTGCAAATCCTTTTCAGATATCGTAACCAAAGACCTGAAATCGACCCTGAGAATTCTTTACGCTTTATTTCAAAAATACAAAAATACTAAATGAATCCGACCATTTATAAATATAAATTAGTTATAATTATGGTTAATGCGCTTGAATTAGTTTTTTACGCTGACTCGAATCGTAAGTTGAAAAATAAAATCATATATATTTGTCAATAGTTTATACAAGTTTGTGTCGCACACACGCACGCGTATTGTATGTTCCCATGAAAAAAGCACATGCCTTTTATGAGAAAACTTACTTTAAATATCTACTATGAACAGCTTTCATTCCAATAAATAAGTACCTGGTGATCCCAGTCAGTCCAGGAAAGCACCCAAAAACACGTTGTAAGTTATCCTACCGCTAACATTTTTATCGTAATACGCAGCCAACTGAAAGAACTCTTCTTCACTCAGTTCGATATTGTACTTTCTGAGGACGTGACGAAAGGCGAGACCACTGCATGTTCCGTTTCCCTGTTGGTCTAATGCCTGCAAAACAATTCCAAGCAATTTCAACACCTTGAGATGTACTAGCAACTAGAAGTCTGGAGTAATCTTCCTCGGATCTCACTGAAAGCGTTGCGAAGAAACTTTTTCTGTGGTTTGCGCGATCAAAATAAAAATGATCTTTGTTCAATCATGCCCTGCGTTCGAAACAGCATGTTTTAATAATTCAATATTTTGAAGTCATCAAGAAGTAAACTTTGTCTTTTTTTTCTACTTGCGTTTTTATCAATTTTTTGCTCATAAACGAGGTTGGTAACACTTACCCTGAACGATCGACGCATGCCGTTCCAATCATGACGTACTTGCTTATAGAGCTTTGCAATGACAGCGAGAAGATGATCGTTTACTTTACCAGGACTATTCTAATGAAAATATGACATTCCATTTACTTATATTAGCACCACATATTATAAAGTAAATGTTTTGAACCCGGGAGTATCGTTACATGTTTGTAAATGTAGATCTTCCAGGTTGGTATAGTCCTGAGAAGGACTGTTTTTGTTGTTGTTGACTGACCTTTCGACAACCTTAGCGGTAGTCATCTTCAGAGTCAAAAAAACAAACAGTCAACAACAACAAAAAGTCCTTCTCAGGACTATACCAACCTGGACGATCTACATTTACAAGCATGTAACCACATATTTTTTTGAAAAAAAAGCACGATTTTATAAGGGATGTATCGCTCCATGATAGCTACACATTTGTTGCTTGCACTTACCGGTAAACGAGTCGGGTGTATTTTGGAGCGGTATAAAGACTTGTCAACAGGTTGCTGGACTTGTTCCTCGAGAAAGCCACGTAAGAAGTCCATGTACGATATACTGAAAAAAAGAGTGCACAATCGGGAATTTCGGTCGAAATACGTGTTTCGTGTCAATGCAGAAAATAAACATCCAAACTGAAAAGTGGAAGCACAGAGGCACGTAACCAAACTTAGCCATACGTAGGACACCATAGCCAAACCTAGCTATACTTAGACCACCTTAGCCATCCTACGTAGGTAGTGTTAGTATAGTTAAGGTGTTCTACGTATGACTAAGTATGATTAAGATTGCGTAGGAAGATATTACGTGTGCTCCTTTATAGCAACATGTCGATACACTTTAGGAAGGGTCAGATAAAGTGACTACACATAAATCAGGGGAAAACTTTGTCCTTCACATATCAAAATCGAAGAACTCGTAAGATCCGCACTCGGCTGACTATTAGACGTGGGTATGTTTAATGGACCTTAGAGGGAAGGAGTAAATGACAAAAAGCGAGAAGACACGATGAACCATGAATAATAAGCATTTATCAGTAAACTACAAGTACAATGTTTTTGTTCAAAGTAACTTTACCTTCCATCACTACCAATGTCATATTTTCTAGTGTTTTTGTTCAAAGTAACTTTACCTTCCAGCACTACCAATTTCATATTTTCTAGTGTTTTTGTTCAAAGTAACTTTACCTTCCAGCACTACCAATTTCATATTTTCTAGCCATAATTCGAATGTCTTCAGGATTCAATGGAATGTTGTAGTCAAACAAAACATCTAAAACAAAAAAATAATTAGAAATTTCCACGAAAAAAGTGTCGTACGTAACGCAACTTTAAAAAAACCCACCTTAATGGAAAACGCATTCATTACCTTTAAATGACTCCAAGGACACAAGTCCTGAATTTAAAATATCGTGTTCAATAAAACTGTTCTCTAATTCACGCCATCTCTCGCAAATCTAAATAAAATGTTAATGAGGAATGAATTTGAGCCAAAACAGAGGGAAAAGCCCTTTTTCTAAAGTTATTTCGCCAACAGTAAAAATGACGATTTATTTGAGACAAGTTTTTAGTTGAAACGCATAAAAAAATTAGGTCGTTTTGAAAAACAAAAGTTTGCATTGCTTGCCCCTCGTTATTTTGGCCTTGACTAAACCGATGTTTTCAATATAAATATTAGAGCCCAACAAATAATTTTAAACATAGTCATAAACAATTTGATTTTATGAAATTTATGAAAGAGTGACGTTTCGTCTTTGCTCAAGACATCTTCAGACTAATTAGGAAGTTAACAAGAATATAGACTAATTAGTCTGAAGATGTCATGAGTAAAGACGAAACGTCACTCTTTTAATAAATTTCATAAAATCAAATTGTTTATGACTATGTTTAAAATTATTTGTTGGGCTCTAATATTTATATTGAGAATCTATTTCCCGCCTGGCACCTCATTGGCAACAATATGGATAAACCGATGTTTTCAAATGAAAGACAACGACCTCTTACCTTGTCTTTAACGCGTTTTTCGATATCATTAACATAACCAGGGGGTGTGGAGATTTTAAACGCCGACTTTGGTGGCGTAGCGATGATCGACTTTCCACAGGATAGATTTCCTTCGTTGGGGGGACTGGGTACTGATATGACGCGAGAAGTTGATTTTCTCAAAGGCGCACTGCGCACCCTGTTATGGAACTAGAAAATGTGTATGTCATTTGAATTGGTAGACCACCATCTATATAGTTCAGACGTCCAATACAGAAATACTCGCTTCCACTGTTTACACGAATACTCGTTTACACTACCTTATTAACTCCTCTAGAAATAGAGTTTCTTGAGCTTTCCTTTCGCGATGATGGCGTCTCCTTTCCGTTTGTATAGAACGATAAGAAGTTTTTGTATTGCATCGTTCCATCATCATTCAAAGGCAAGTTATTCCACACTTGGTTCATTTGTTGATGCGTGAGCTGCAAGCCATTTGCGTGGATGATTTTGTGCAAAACGCTGCGAGTCACAGTACCATTACGCATGGCGTCTGCTTCAACCAGAGCCTAATAATCGAAAATAATCGAGTCAAAATTCGACACCAAATGTAGCTACCAAATCATTTCAACAGTCAAATCACACCTTGACAAATATATAAAATCTTTCCAAAATGATTTCTCGCAATTTCTTATCGACATCTGTCGTTAAAGGTCGTTGAACATTCGCATCGCCTTCCTTCAACATTTTCGATTTTTCATTTTCTTGGTACTACACGGTAACAAAAATATCATTACTTGTGATGTACAAGATAAAGATTTCCCAGAGTGCATCATTGCAGCTGTTTTTTTCTACCCGTGACTACCCGTGACTTGTGAAAAATACAATGGCATGTAAAGTCAGCCATTCTACCAAGAATGATTCAAGTGGCTTCGAAGCCTTGAAAGCAATATTGGATAAACTCATTTAAAATTTCTTAACGATGACATCATGCAGTCTGTTCCTATTGGGTTATATGTCTGACATGTTAAATGTTGTACTTCCGTTGTTAAATTTTTGCTATTGCATAAAAACTACTATCACTTTTATTAGACTCAAGTGCATCTTGAGTCAACATTAAGCTCTCGAACGAAATGTAATTAAAATTAACACAGGTTCTCGTCGTGGATGTACCCATTGAAAGAAAATTTATCTGATTGGTCTTCAGATTTGCTGGCAATAAAACATACTCGTAAAAATAAAAAAGCCGAATCACATGCCGAGTCTTTAAAATCAGGCATGATTGAATCATAACTTACCTCAATAATTCTTTTACTGTGCCCATCCGTATCTCCGGCGGCAAACTCCAAACCAAGCTTGGCAATGAACTCCTTATGGTCCACATAACCATTGCGGTCAGTATCGTAGCTACAGTGAAGCACAACGATACTAAAGCCTTATTCACACGACATAAACTATCCCGGGTTCAATCCAGGATAAAATTAATCCGGATTTAACCCAGGTTAATTTTTTTGGGTGTAAACACAACCCAGGTTTAATCTGAGTTGAACTCAACCCATCTCAAGAGGTAGGTGTGTAAGATGGAGAGATCAACCATATTTTGATCATCTATCCTTATGCCTAATACTACTGTCTTAATACTACAAAAAGATACATATCGTTCTACACGTGTGAATGAAGTTTCACTTAAAAAAAAAACATAAATAAGAAGGATTATAGAGATGAAAGCAACCTGTTCCAAAGCTTGTCGAATTCCTCTTCATTCATATACAATTGGTATCGGTGTAGCATGTTTTTCAATTCTTTCTTCGTGACAATACCGTTACCATCGTTGTCAAAAGTACGAAATGCCCTCGTGATATCATCCCACTGCTGCGTCGCTTTTATCTTGAGAATCTCGTCGGCTTGTTCCGCAGTGACGCGACCAACATCGCAAGTAGTTTTAGGTCTACACATCAACATGACAAGAGGATAATGAAGAACGGAGAAAAACACGATAAAAGAGAAAAGAAAACAATGTGAAGAAGGAACTCAATTGAGAGGTAGGTAACGGGGGGGGGGGAGAGGTTATCTCAAATGTTTCATTGATGCATGTTATATACATAATAAATGCATTTTAGATTTATCATGACGACAACATGTCTATACCGTAAACCACTGTATATAAGTCCTTTTTCATGGACTTATACAGGGGGGAGGGGAAGGGTTGTATACGGTGAGCAATTACTATTACTAAACTATAAATGTATATATATATATATATATATATATATATACATAGGCTTATATAAGGGGTAGGCTTTTCTGTAAAATAAGTAGAGTGTCACAATCGTGGTGGACTTATTCACGGGAAGCTTATGCATAAAGGTGGGGCGGGGCGGAGCAGGGGGGGCGTTGGGAGGTTTAAAGCATAGGATTTAGAAGATAAAACAACTTTATTAAATGTAAAACTTCAACGCATCACCTTAGTGTCTGATCTTAAACTTAGCTATACCTGTGTTTTCTCATAAGCCAACCGTGGCTTTCAATTTTCTCCTGTTTTTCAAATCTCTTTAGGAACTCTTTATAATCTAATGTTGCGTCGTGGGATACACGAAGTTTGTTCATTAGACGATCGAACTCGTGATCAGTCATTGTGATCATATAGAGCTTAAGGAGGCGACGAAACTCTACTCTAGTTATCACGCCATCGTGATCGTCATCAAATTTATGAAACGCTTCTCGAAGTCCCTTTAATAAAGGATTGAAGTGATGACTTAACGAAACAATACCACAAACATACCAGTCTTCGACACAAAGTAAATGTTTTTCCCGCGAAATGAATGTTTTTTTCGGTGAATAAAAATTGAGTCCTAGACACCATATTGTAATAAATATAACTGTTTGTGGAGTAAACGTCAGGTTAGCCGTATTTGTTATCTGGTTCTTACGTCATTGTATCTGGTTCTTACGTCATTTTTTGACTCTGAAGATGACTACCGCTAAGGTTGTCTATGACCATGACTACTGTTAAGGTTGACTCTGAAGATGACAACCGCTAAGGTTGTCTATGACCATGACTACTGTTAAGGTTGTCTATGACCATGACTACTGTTAAGGTTGTCGAAACGTCAGTCAACAACAACAAAAACAGTCCTTCTCAGGACTATACCAACCTGGACGATCTACATTTACAAACATGTAACGATACTCCTGGGCTCAAACCATTTACTTTATAACTGTTTGTTTCATTCAGAAGCCATTTCTTTCGCACTTACCGAAAAATGCTGCTGAACTTTTGATTTTATGGTTGCCTCGGCCTCTTCGGCGGTAAACAAGACATCGGATGCTTCATCAACCCACCGGAAATACCTTTGAAACAAAAAGTAACGTGCAAAGCTACTCTACGAAGTACATAATTGTTTTAAGACTTGAAGATTTGGTCCAATCATCTATTGCTGAAGTTTATACGTTGGCAGTGTTTGTCAAAGTACAGTTCAGTAAATTTAGTATTGACAATCCAATACACACAATGTGCAAAAATTCATGGCAAAACGACACGAACCTTCGCCAGTCAACAATGCTGCTCTGAGATAGTAGATCTCCTCCGAAATTCTTCAAAAAATTGTTGTATGATAGTGTGCCGTTGGAAAAACCCATCCTGTAAAAAACAATGAAAAGACGTTATAGTTCAAGCATGCGCAGTAAAAATCTGGCTAGATGATGCAACAGCACAATATTGTTACCGAAAACAAAGGATATCAAATTGGCCGTCCAAAAGACACAACCCAAGCGATTCTAAAACCTTTAAGAAAGCTTGTTTTTAGTATGAAATACCTTGAACAGTGAAAAGTAGACAGCTATGAAGTCTTACACATGATACAATCATCGCAAGGATCTAAAAGAACGCACCTTCAGGAATTCACCGCGAGATATTTCGCCATCTTTATTGGAGTCGAACTTTACAAATATTTTTCTTATATCACTTGATCTTTGAAAGATGTAATTCTAATAAAAAAATGTCAAAAAAGTACAACAAGATGATTAATGAGGACGGTGACCGTCATCAAACATCGGATGACTCATGTATTCGTTACCCTGATTACTCCTAATGCCTGGTCAGCGGTCACCTCGGCTAAATCGTGATCTCTTCGAACGTGCTGATCGCGTTTCACGAAGTTTTCCCTCGCTTCACTTTCGTCTGAGATCTTCGTACTCAACCCATGAGTATCGGAAGAAATGATGTCGACACCCTTCAAGAGAAAACATTGAATGAAGTAAGGAAAATGGGAGGAGGGGTGGGTAAATTGGACGTGAACGTATCCAAACAATGGGGGGACGGGGGGTAAATTGGACGTGAACGTAACCAAACAATGAGGGGGTAAACTGGACGTGAACGTATCCAAATCTTCTTCATGTTTGGTGATTTAAAAGGCAGCAATTAATTCAGTCAGTTGCTTATATGCAGGTATATACTCTGTAATACTGGAAATTATTTTTGTGTGGTGATTCCAGTTATTGTAACAGTTTGTCATGACAAATCTATCAAGTAAATAAGATATCAAAAAGTTACGCAACCACCACGGCTAAACAAGCCCCATAAGCAACTTTCTTTAGTGTGAAGAATACGTTTCTTACGAGTTGCTTAAGAAATTCTGAGAAAGCAATTTTTCCATCCTTATTCTCGTCACATAAGCTCCATAATCTGAAAAACAAATAAGAAAACATCGTAGCCTGACCTTAGTTTTGGTACATCACCGTTTTAAGCAAAAATTCATAATCACCCTACCAAAGTGAAACAACTAAACATTTAGCTGCCCAAATCATGAAGATATTAGCATCAATATGTCAAAAATAAAACAACATTTTGAATTTGTTGAAATCGTATGATACTTACATTTCAAAATGTTCATTGGTCAGCGATAAAGAAAATTTCGCGAGCAAGTTTCGAAGTTCGTCACGAGATAGATAACCATCTCTGTTAGCATCAACGGTCATGAAGGCAGATGAGACAGACTGCCAATTTTCCTTGATTTTATTACGAAGTATGTCTACAACCTGAAAAAGAAATTCGACCATAGTTTGTCAAAAAGTTATACTATCAGAGTAAAGCTTTGGAATTGAAAAAGTGATTAAAACAAGAAGCAACAAACGTGGCGAAGGTTCATTCATACACTCCATGCTTGCATTTTATAAAATAGTCATGTACAAATGAAAACATCATGCACATCATAAAACAGTCATGTACAAATGAAAACATCATGCACATCATAAAACAGTCATGCACAAAACAAAACATTATGTACATCATAAAACAGTCATGTACAAAACAAAACATTATGTACATCATAAAACAGTCATGTACAAAACAAAACATTATGTACATCATAAAACAGTCATGTACAAAACAAAACATTATGTACATCATAAAACAGTCATGTACAAAACAAAACATTATGTACATCATTGTTCATAAGTTTATCATCACGCAGATTTGTGTGAAGATAAAAACTGCAAAAAAACTTTCGTCATTAATGTCTAGGATACAAATACTGTTACGTTTTTAGTTAGATAAATGAGATATTTCTTTAATTTTCATTGCACCTTCGTAAAGAACACCCCCAGAAATAACAGACTAAAAATCTGCAATTGAAACACGCACTAAGAATCTGCACTTTCGCACACAAATCAAAGAGGCGACGGCTGAAGACAAGTCTCATACGAGCAACGTAGGCTACAAGTATCCAGGCAGTGAAATAGTTGATGAAATAATATTTTACTTACGGTTTCCCAAGTACTTCTTGCTTGAGGGGACATTGGCACGGATGCAGGACGTTTATTCAAACGCAAATGGTTTTCCTGTAGAGATGCAAAAAATTAAAATGGAGGTCATATTTCACTGGGCTTTGATTAAGTTTCATATGCTTTCATCAGGATGATGTCAGCAAAGGTAAAAAGGGATAATTATGGATAATGTGTATGTCATTTATAGTTTAGTACCACTTATATGTACATACGCACCAACCTGTCTATAGAACGTTAATTGAGGGAAGGAGAGAGGGGTGTTTATTCGTAAATTAAGTTGTACCCGACTGATTTCTTTCAAAAGCAATTTACTTGAAAAATTCAAAAGAAATCAGTCAGGCACAATTGAAAATATGAATACCCCCAAACAACGAAAATTAATATTCTAGGGACGGCCCTGTACATATATATACGCTTTATTTGGCTTCATTTTTTGGCAAGAAAGTTCATTGAAGCGAGTTTTTCATGTTGTATATAAAGTTGAGTAATCGCAAAACAAAATCTTGCTTGTGATTACAAACTTAAAAATCAATCTGATCCGAACAATGTTTCAACTCAATTGTCATTCACCATGACAACTAAGCTGTTCACAACAATATTTAAGTTCAGTAATGGTACCTTGGGTTTATTTTCAAAGAGCTCAAGGAATCTATGATATGAGATGTATCCCTTGTGTTCTGGATCGACACGTGACATGAACTGTGCATAATCTTCTTCGGACAAACGAAACGAGAATTTCTCCACAATACGACGTAACTCACTGCGACTGATTTTACCATCCTTGTTCTGGAGAGAGAAAAAAACCATTTGGTGTACGATGAGAGGATCGATGGAGTGATACAAGGACAATGAGGTGTACGATGAAAGGATCGATGGAGAGATACAAGGACAATGAGGTGTACGATGAAAGGATCGATGGAGAGATACAAGGACAATGAGGTGTACGATGAAAGGATCGATGGAGATACAAGGACAATGAGGTGTACGATGAAGGGATCTATGGAGAGACACAAGGACAATGAGGTGTACGATGAAAGGATCGATGGAGAGATACAAGGACAATGAGGTGTACGATGAAAGGATCGATGGAGATACAAGGACAATGGGTGTACGATGAAAGGATCGATGGAGATACAAGGACAATGAGGTGTACGATGAAGGATCGATGGAGACAATGGAGGTGTACGATGAAGGATCGATGGAGATACAGGACAATGAGGTGTACGATTAAAGGATCGATGGAGATACAAGGACAATGAGGTGTACGATGAAAGGATCGATGGAGATACAAGGACAATGAGGTGTACGATGAAAGGATCGATGGAGATACAGGACAATGAGGTGTGAAAGGATCGATGGAGATACAAGGACAATGAGGTGTACGATGAAGGATCGATGGAGATACAGGACAATGAGGTGTACGATGAAGGATCGATGGAGATAAAGGACAATGAGGTGTACGATGGAGATGGATACAAGAACAATGAGGTGTACAATGAAAGGATCGATGGAGAGATACAAGGACAATGAGGTGTACGATGAAGGGATCGATGGAGAGATACAAGGACAATGAGGTGTACGATGAAGGGATCGATGGAGAGATAAAAGGACAATGGACAAACGAAAAGAAGAAAAGATGAATGGATGCACTGATGAGCACACAGACAAATTGATGGACAAGTAAAAAGATCCACGACAAATTCCTCGTATGGAGCATAGTAACATACACTATTTTATACTTCAAAAAATTGTAAATGTGTGAGTTTGGATAAGACATTATAACATGTCCAAAGGCCTGGGACTAGAGTAATTATTACTCCTCTTTTTTTTGAAAGAGCTTGATAATTGATACCTAACTAGAGCTCGCGAGGGGAAAGACTACTTTGGTTGAGTCATGTTAAATAATTACTGAGACGTGCTAAGTAATAATGCCGTAAGTATTGCCCAAACTTACACATTTAGAATATTTCGATTGATTAAACAATATAATTTTTACATTTAAGTTTATGCTTCCATAAGCGATTGGTGAAAAAGATCGCGATTATAATCTCTGTTACTATGAAGCCATTTGCAATAGCTATGAATTTACTGATGTTCATTCTTGGAGACGGGAGGATGGGAGTTCTTATCAAAGTTGGCATATCGCCGTATAAAAGTTTGCATATCGCCGTATAAAAGTAAATATTGTCTTTCTTAGACATAAGTATCGCAAACAACCTTGTAACCGGGAAATTGTCGCGATTAATACACCACCCGTTTCTTGGCATATTAAAATGCTCCTTGACTAAATGACTTACGAAATCGAACTCCAAAAAGGCATCTTTTATACTGGTGAAACTCGAGTTAATATGAGATTGAAGAGCACTGAAAACATCTTCTTGCATCGTCGTCGACTCGGGTTGCCACAAAATATTCGTCCTGAAACATACAAAGTGAGTGATTCTGAGAAGTTGAAACTTCCGAACGACATAAATGTATTTCTTTTCATTCTACGAAAAGAGATACGTCTTAAAAAAAGGCAATCCCAATCATACCTGGCCTTGCCGTAGTAATCCATGAAACGCTCGTAATTCACACGATGACTGGCCTTAATACCACAACTAAAATATATCAAATACTATTCACATACAACTGACAGTGAGCACAGTCGTATTCCTAGCATTCAAATAATATACCACTCCGACACTTCTGGCCAATCAACAAATCTATCCAGACATTCAACATCTATGCAGACATTCAACATCTATCCTTAATCCCGTGTATTCCTGGGCATAATTTTCCGCAAAGAACAAAACATTCGAGGCAGTGACGTAACACAACCACCTGGGGCCTCCATCAATTAGGCATTGCTGCCCCCCCCCCCCTTGCTCTACTAGAAGAGGCTAAAAGATCGTATTCCTCGTGCTTAAATAAAGCAGTATTCAGATGTTAGACATTTGACTAGAAAATAATATAAACGCAACACAAAAAGAAAATTCCCCTCTAAATAATTTTTTCATGTGCTAAATCAACGAATCTCAGCCAGCCTCTTAATAAGACAATTGCGATTGCTCTGCTTCAATACGATAAACTGGGCATTCTTCAAACTGCTTATAAATACGTTTCAATTGTCGAAAAAAATTTCACGGTACTTTTTGCCAGGGGTTCCTAAATCTCGGGGGGGGCTCTGTCACTTGAAATCCCGATACCACCCTCAGTCATGCCACTGATTTTGCCAGGGGTCCCTAAATCTCAGGGGGGGGCGTCTGTCACTTGAAATCCTGATACCACCCTCAGTCACGCCACTGATTTTGCCAGGGGTCCTAAATCTCAGGGGGGGCGTCTGTCACTTGAGATCCTGACGCCACCCTCCGTCACGCCACTGATTTGAGGTTGCAAATTTATTCAATAGATAGCTGAATTTACGAGGAAAACAACAACAAAGCTTTCGAGTATCATTACATCCATGCACAAGAGCCATACGTTCGGCATACGTTTTCATACCTTCGTAGTAGAGTATGAAACATACTGTCGGACATTGACAACGTGTATTTTTCCACCAGCTTTTTGAGTTCTTTGAGAGAGACATAGCCACAGTCACGATGATCAAGTCTTCTCACAGCTCGATATATATTCTCGTAATTTACAAGGAACTGGTAAAGCATTAAGATGCAACATTATACATCACATCAAATTTAGCGGGGAACGAAAATATCGACCATCTCTTTCCACCTTACCCTTTTTTTGAAAATTTGTTCTGTGTAGTTTCCCGATTTCTGTGATGGTTGCGGAGTTCTGGGTCTTTCTTCAACGACGTGTTCTAGTTGTTTTAAAAATTGAAATGTAGAAAAGTTTGTTTGAAATCATCCATTCAGCAATGTGACAAATAAATTCAACTTACGCCTTGATTTCATCATACGTTGTTCGTTGTTAAAATTTTCAATGCTGAAGCTGTCAAGAAAATCTACATATCTAAGAGTGCTTCCTCTTGTAAGCCAATGATACTTTGCCCATAGTCTAAAATGATTGATAATAACCAGTTTAAAAGTTTATGGTTAACGATGGATGTTAGGGAGGAATGTAGAGGAGTGCACAACCCCTTTTAGTCTTTGTTACAGGGGATGCAGGAGGATTGAGTGCCAATATCTCCACAAAATACTAATATAACGTGGATGGCGAATACTGAAGGAAGTGGAGTCACCCCCAAAACATCAGAGTTTACCCTGTGAAATAAATTGTTCACTCCCTCAAAAAAGCATTTTAGACCACCCCCCTAATTTTTAGCAAAACAAATCAGTTGTACATTTGAACTGAGTTTTTCAGGGCAAAATTCCAACTATGACTCTGAAGATGACTACCGCTAAGGTTGTCGAAACGTCAGTCAACAACAACAAAAACAGTCCTTCTCAGGACTATACCAACCTAGGCGATCTACATTTACTTTTACAAGTATTTGTAGGCGAGCAAAATACTTAAATCCACAAAAACAAAGTGTGCAAAGGCCTCAAGATATTTGTGTATGTGATCACCTTTCAAACTGCAAGTCAGTCATTTTGACGCAAAAAGTTTCCAAAATTCTTCTCAGATCCTGTTTCTGGATAAAACCGTCCCTTGCATAATCGAAGAGCTGCATAGTCTTCAATATGTTGGCATACTGGACTTGCAACTACACAAATGTTTATAAGAAATATTCTTCAATTTTGTAAATGCTTGCATGCATAAATATGAATAAATAAAAACAAGAATTAGAAAAGAAGGCCAAAGTGGACTGTATAAATGATAAACAGCCAGGACAACACCACCCTTCACCTGAATCAAAAATTTCAATGATTTTTTTTTAAATTCCTCTGAAATATACCTGCCTATTATTTTATGTATAATATGTACATATACAAATGTACAAACTGAAATTAAAAATTACAAATATATCCTCTACTACCTTTGCTTTTAGTTCACTATCTAAGTCTTCTTTGCACTCGTCTTTGCATTCAGTTTTGTTGGAGTTAACACCTCTAACAATACAATAAAGTCATACATATATTGATGAAGTTCACAAGGCATCAACAAAATCAAAGCAGTCACCTGTCTACATTCTCATTTCCAAAATAACTTGTAATGAACTTTACATATGAAACAGAACCATCCTTTTTCACACCAAGCTGAATCAGGAGTACAATTTACTCTCAGTGAAAGCACAAAATATTTGTTCATACTGACGGCGCAAATATTTTAATGCAAAAATAAAAGACACCAACTTAGAGCAGCATTGTAATTCGAAATTTACCTTGTGAAAAAATCTTGAAAAATGGCTTTGTGGTAATATAAGGTTGCAATAGCTTTGTAATACTCGAGCAAATTCAGCCTGACTTACGGTTCCTGTTCTAAACACGTCCAGAGTCTTAAAAACCTAGAAGTAGAACATAACCGGCATACATAAAACAGATTGTACTATTTAGTATTTGTTGCCAAGTCACGACTTTTTCTTCTCGTTTTTAGGTTGATGAAATCAGTGGTTCTTCTTTCAAAAGAGCACTTGATGGTGGCTGCCGTTGTAAATAAAGTATATGCTTTTCACCTTCTTCAAATCCAGTAAACACTCTTTTGCACGCTCGACAATCATGCTCTCTACTTCACGTTCACTTAACCGAAGGGAATCTATACGAAAGACGATAGCTATCAGAACCATTCATTCAAAACTGGCAAACTAACATTTAATACGTACCTAGGGCTGAATTCGGTGCTGTTTTGAGTCTAATTCTCGCTCGAGGTTCACACGAACGCGACCTTTCTTGCAAGCTGGATGCTCTTCTGTTGTAAGTCAAACTCCTGATGGATGGACGTAGGCAGTTGAAGTCAGGAGAAATTTGTTTTACAGCAATACTCGCCATTTCGAGCTACTTGATCTCACAACAGGAAACTTTTCCTCTTTGACTTTGTTGCTAAGGTAATGGCGTTTATTTGTTGCTAAGTAAATTATCTAAATAAATTGCTTGCGGAAGATACAATTGTTATTCAAATATGCGATGTTCTTTATTAACGTATAATGCTACAAAACTATTTTACGATCTTGTTAGGTTTCTTGTAAAAAGAATGAATGTAATGTAATGTTACAACGTTATTTCATTCCTTGTTGGGCAAACCGTTAAAGAAAAAGTTGTCATTTTGAATGACTGCCTGTAAGTTTTACTGACATGCACCGGTTTCTAAGTCCTAACAAATGAAAAATGTATGTATGTTTATTTTGACAAACTAATTAAAAATTATAAATACGTTATTTAAAGGCTACAGTTGTACCAGATTGATTCATCAATAAGTTCTAACAACATTAAAAATAGATTTTAATTGTAACATGATTAATATGCTTCAAGTCAGACACAACTGTAAAGTTGCTTCATAAATTTTACCAATATAACCACATATATCTCTAATAAAATGCAACTTATTTGTTTTACTGTTGCATGTTTTAACAATATAAAAGATCAACCGTAAATTAATTGTGCATGTTGTAATTCTTATATACAAAACACTCCTTGAACAATAAGAATGTATCATGAGATGCTCCATTGCTTCTGGCACAGATTTTGAGGGCAGCACTAACTTTCCCATTTGGCCTTCTGTGCCTTAACATCGCTGATCAAACTTTGAGAACAAGATATGCCCATGATCTAAACATTATACAAAAGAAAGAAATGCAAACTCATAGCCACTGCAAGAGTTTTCTAAACAAGTTTGACCTGTACTAATGCAATTCCCAGTGCAATAGCTCCAATCAAGATGATGTTTCTCTCAACCCAAGCAAGAAAGCCTTCCACACAGCCACGATCAAAAATTTTTTTGTCAATGCTGTCTTCATTTTCCTTAAATACATCATAATGTATCATAATTTTAAATGCATATGATATTACAATACAACACAACAATTTAATTCAGCTCTCTCATGGGGATTTTTAGAACCAAAGACAAGATTAACAATATGGATGAATATCCAATTTACTATATGATCATCTATGACTATTAATTAAGAATTTCTGACATGAAAGTTTAAAAAAATGAAATTAACAAGAGAAATAAATTGATCTCACCTTTTCTCTCACTCCATAACCACACTGTTTATTTTCTTTGTCGATACGACAGCACGAAGCTGGAACGCCACATGCTTCTTGAGTTTTTTGAGAACAATTGAAATAAAGATTACTATTCCAGTCATTATAATTATCAACGCCACAGCATTTAAACTAAATAATCAAAAATAAGTTCATGATATAATACAAAGGAAAGAAGAACATTGACACAAAACAATACATCTACTTCATTTTATAGTCATACATCAGCTTGTACTTTGTCAATGAGATTTTTCAAATCTGGGTTGTCACGATAATTCTCAACTGTATCGCGAAGTTTGTCTTTCACAATTTCTTCAAACTAAAACAGAATATTCATTTGAACTTCAATGTGGAAAATGCACATCTGTTGCAAAAGGAAAATCAGCTTTACCTTTCCTTTAAAAACAAAGACAAGTATGCCAAGAAGAATTTGAAGGAAGAATATCACTCCAAGTGAAATTGAAAACTGAAAAGAATTAATTTTGTTGAAACCGCTAGCCTTCGCTAATAACACTAAATAATAGTCTTTAAAAGTACAATTACTAAGGATAAGTTCCTTGCTATTAAAATGAGCAAGTCTAAAGCTTTTTGTTTAAATGCCATTACCACTTTCTAAAAACACAGGGAAATTGAATTTTGTGTGAAGACTATAAAACAGGAGGTAGAATATACATGCATTGTGAATTGTTGGTTGGCAACATGAACTGCTTGGATAAACATCAATAGAATTGTGTCCACTTACTAGCACAAGCATACAAAGGGAAAACAGTTTAGTGTTTGAAGTAGGTTGTGTTTCATTCTACTGTGCAGCAATACAAGCAAGTTGATACTTTATACTACTTACAAACTTAAGCAAGCAAATATTCTCTCTCAGCGCTCCAATACAACCGGTAAAGCCCAAGACAAACATAATCCCCCCGACAATAATGAAGAAAAACGCAGGATCACTCCAAGCATTGCCAAAGAAGCCAGAATAGGAAGCATTCTCGAAGCGCGCATAGATCCCAATGCTAAGACATGCACCTCCTAATAACTAAAGAAAGGCCAATGAATCAACTTGTTATTTTAGTAAAGTTTGGAAATCGATAGAGATAAATTATATTGGGGACTTGACTGACAGCAGCCTAACATGACATCATAAACACGCATGAAAAATACATATTATCGTTCATGCTGAAAGTGTTTTCCCATATTGAATAATAATACCGCCATAAGAAATTTATGCGTTAAAGCATAAAATTCTTCTAGCAATTGTAAACATTAGTGAAAGCCAATGGCTTAAACACTTATAACAAATTATAGGTAGTTGAAACTGTATAATTATATACAACACAAAAGAGTTTAGGAAAAAAAACTTACCCAGAATAAAACGTTGAAAAAGAACAACATGTACTTTACAGTTTTGCTCACTTCGGAGCGATCTTTATGCCTACCGTGCAGCATTATGTGAGTGCTATATTTGTCTATATAATCAAAGAACGATTCGACTTCTTTTCACTTCCATATGTTTTATAATGATCGCCAATGTAAACAAGACATCCCATCACCCGATTCGGTGTTTTTCCCTTGGTTCCCCGAGTCCCTATAACCATAGCAAACAACATCGACCCCCTCATTGCTTCCTGCCAAAATATTGAAATTTACATCTTACAAGATACAACCATTTAATAACGATAAAAAGACTACATACCCTTAATCCAATATACACCGACCGTTTTATGATCAATAATCATCTTCGTCTAAAAATATGAAGCGTGCCTTTTCCGGCGTTTTCGCTGCAGTGAACGTCTTTTATAAAGTTGCCGTCGTTGCGCCTCTAAGGGCGTTCATAATATGGTTCATATACGGAGCGTAGGCGGACTCGAAAGGATTGTTCAAGAATGAGGATGTATCGTGAGTCAAGCGTCTCGTTTAAAGGCCAAGAGGAGAAATGTTGTTTCTAACGTAAACGACTTTTGGTGAAATTTACAATGAATAAACTTGTGCAATTTTGAACAAAAATTTTCGCCTGGCAAATTTCGCCAGTGGAATGAGATGGTTGTGAGTTGTGACGTAGGTGAAACAATGGGTGAAATCATTCTCGGTTTTTTCTGCAAAATGTTCATTATTATATAATTTCGTTTGTTTTTTTTTTTGTCTCTCGTTACTCGACGTATTTTTACTTGATCGCGAGCAGTTCATTTTATTGCGACAGAAAATATTTCCAAGGGCAGTACGCCTTTGCCGAATATGAAAGCCAGATATACAGATTGTATCAAAAAAGCCGAACATTTATTTTATAGAACAATATACATTTTAGTCGCCTTTTTGATACACCCTGTATAAACAGTAATCCCAAGCCAACAGGTATTCTCATTGGACCGTTAAGACATGGTTGATCACATAATTATGCTCCTCATTGCCAAAATGGGTTATTCATATCAACTTATTCTTATTTATATAATTGGTTCGTCTTTATTAAAAAATACAATAAATGCAAAAGGTAAGCATTATTTACGTATTTTACTTCTCAAATCGTTCTCAGATTTGATAAAATTATGATGAGATTTAAATGTACTGCTCGCCACCTACTCTAATACTAATCTAATACGTTCATCGTTCGCTACGATTTTTTATGGCCTCTTTCTTAATTTCAAAGCTGGTAATTATTAGATTATCGACCTTCCGCTGATCGAGATAGAGATGGTGGTGTGAAAAAAGTGCATGGGAGATCACTTGGAGAACTACACAGACGACAAACTGAAACAACAAACGAGAAAGGTGAAAATTTCTTTGGACTAACAAACAACAAGCATGATTTGACTTTAGAACTCACTTACAGATAGGAACAATCTTATACTGGCCGCGCTGTATGGTGGCTTGGGGCAAGGTATTTCCACAACAACGTTCGACTACGCAAATGGTTTGAACCCTGATATAGAAAAAGTCGGCGGATATGGGATACCACCTGGTATCTACTCGTACGCATTTGACCCAAAGACTGGACTACCGTTTGTATGTGACCCTACCAAAACCCCAACAGGAGGTTCCCCCCAAATGACAGAAGGAGGAGGAGCAGTTAGCAATCCAACAGTAACAAAAGCTGTGGCCGACTCTAAAATGAATGATCTACAATCCAAGAATAGAGCATCGAATGGTACTTCCACTGCAATGAATGCAAATAAAGAAGACGTACAGAGGACATCGAAGCAACGTGTCTCCGTTATGATACCTATTTCGATGATCGAAAACACGACCAAAAATCATCGGAATTCAATGGTGGACGATAAAGCTATACGATCCTCTTTAAATGACGGCCACTACTTGACTTCATTATATAATAAACTCACTTCAACATCAAGGCAAAAGTCAGTGTTTTTCGAAAGAGGACCTACTTCACATGAGTCTACACTTTTGCACTTCTTCAAAAAACCTCTCTTCGTGAAATTATTTTCAAACCAGCCGAAGGAAGACAAACAGCAGACCCGAGTGAAACTTCATAAGCACATGGATGAGAGTACAAAGAAAACGACAGTAAAATCCACATCCCTGCATTTTCACAAACTTTCCAAAAGAACTTACGCCCTACAAAGATCAACTCGAAAACATACAGACAAAAAGATAATGTCGACCAAACCATACACAAAATACGATGGCATTATACTAAACGATCGCTACAGAACGAATACTCCAGATTTAGAATCCGGCGAAGAGATCGAAGAACCAGGAGATCAAAATCGAACGCCTTTAACAGAAAACTTCTACGTTCAATCGAAGAAAAAAAGTGGAGATATGAAGAAAATTAAACCCATGAAAGATTTTCGAAAGAACATTCGGAGTTCAACTTGGTCGAGAAAAAATGGTATTACCATTAAACTGCCTGATATTCCAGCCTGTCCCGATATGAAGAACTATCATTGGCCTTGGAATTGTTTAGGTGAATATAATATACTGTATCAGTTGAACAACAGAGATACCTACAGCCTACAGGACTGAATGCACGTAGTCACTTCTAATATTAATGCATACATACGTCACCATATGCAATTGGACAGAGAAGTTACTTTCGAATGACTAAATTCTCGCTTTTAAGAGCAATTTCTTATAGCAATTTGACCTATAACGTACAAGAGCTAAATGTAACTTTTTTTCATCTAGAAAAAGACGGTACAGCCGGCAAGAAAAACTGTATACTCAAGACATTACGTACGCAAGGGAAGCACAATAAGAGGAACTGAATTTATTTATGTATGTTGACTAAAACAAAAGATAAAATATAGTAGATCTTACATAAAACACGAATATATTTATGCATGTTGACTAAACAAAAGATAAAATATAGTAGATCTTACATAAAACACAAATATATTTATGTATGTTGACTAAACAAAAGATAAAATATAGTAGATCTTACATAAAACACAAATATATTTATGTATGTTGACTAAAACAAAAGATGAAATATAGTAGATCTTACATAAAACACGAATATATTTATGTATGTTGACTAAACAAAAGATAAAATATAGTAGATCTTACATAAAACACAAATATATTTATGTATGTTGACTAAAACAAAAGATAAAATATAGTAGATCTTACATAAAACACGAATATATTTATGTATGTTGACTAAACAAAAGATAAAATATAGTAGATCTTACATAAAACATAGACATGAATTTGTCTACGACAAGGTTACAAAAGTGAAAAAATAAAATCCAAGTGTGGTATACAAGTGCAACTTGAATGCGAATCAACGATTTTTTGTAAAGTTGCAGTAAAATTTTACAATTCAGATACATCTGTATATTTTGGCATCAAATTTGCCGTGGCATAGTTTGACGATATTTTTCTCCAACACAGCAAGATATCAACGTGCTGAAAAACGGTCTTTCTCGGAAAAGCAAATGCTGAAATGTTAAAATAATCAAGGCCACAAAGCCAAGTTTATGTGCAAATCCAGTTAAGACTGGATAATAGACAATATGGTGAAACATTAGCGACACATGAATTTACATCAAATGCAGATTCTCTCTTTTGCCTATTCTATATAATGATTATCCTTGTGAGGAATTAAATGCAATCATATAAAAGTGGACTGAAAAGTTTACAAGTTAATTGGAAACGTTCATGATGAGAACATTTTCAAAGTGTTCCAAATTAGTATTACACCTTCACAATCAAAAATTTAGATGTAAACTTTGTAAAAGCTCAGCAGAGCGTAAAAATCAACGGCAGACAAAGGCAACAGGTATTCACTTGTTATAAATTACTTAAAATTAAGCAAAGAAGACAGTGGAGTGTTTTTATTGACGTGCTCGCTCTTTAAATTTTGCTTCATCATGTTCAAAGTGACCGTTCTATTTGCTTTGCTCATTGCGGTATATGGAGAAGATGTCAAAGGTAGGCAAAAATAGAAAAGTGTACTTTTACGTCTTTTCAGCGCTCGTCGCAATAATAAACGGTAACAATGAAAAAAATTACATTGTAACTATCGATGTTACGGTTAAGTATCGATAGTTACCGATGGTAAATTATTTACCTAAGCTAATAATGCTTGCTGTAAGCTGATGGCACATACATACAGAAACATGGACGGACCTTTCTAAGGTTGAAATAAAAGTAAGTGTTCGCAAATGGTACCTGTTGAACGGAACCCGACAACGTTCTTCAGATCAAACGACTTGAGGTGATCTACAGAGATAATAATAAGAAAGACTTATAAAATAAAGTTAAAAATTATTTTAGAAATCATTAACACAAAGGGTTGCACGGAGGAATACTATTAGAAAAGCATGCATCCAAGCAAATGGCATACGCCACTGAAATGTTTCACAATAAAGATTTCGAGCATTTTATTTCGTACACAGGCAGTGCGTTTTACCGACATTTTATGGAGAAGAGAGCAGCCTCTGTACAGGGATCTGACTCGGTAGAAGCTAATAAGCCTTCTGGCAATGGTAGGTGCAGCGGGCAAATTATCTAAACAATCTAGGCAGTACTAAGTGACTGTAGTTCGAACTACCAGTTAAGCTTAGGTTTACGCGTAGATGACATGTTTCATTCTTCATTCAAGTAAATGGTTTGAAGCCGGGAGTATCGTTACATGTTTGTAAATGTAGATCGTCCAGGTTGGTATAGTCCTAAGAAGGACTGTTTTTGTTGTTGTTGACTGATGTGTCTGACGTTGACTGACGTGTCTGACGTTGACTGACTTGTCTGACGTGACTAACGTCTGATTTGACTCTGAAGATGACTACCGCTAAGGATGTCGAAACGTCAGTCAACAACAACAAAAACAGTCCTTCTCAGGACTATACCAACCTGGACGATCTACATTTACAAACATGTAATGTTTCATTCTATACAAGCAGAAAATTCCAGAATAATTTTTCTATAGCAAATTTACCTAGTTATTTAAAGGTAATCATTCCTACATGCATATTGCTTCTGTGTGTACCTAATGTTTATCTAAGTAAGACTATGGCAAACGGATTTCTTTTAGATAAAAAGGGTTTCGTGTTTCAGTCTCCAGGAACACTGGTCAATGGTCAGGGTAGTTATGGTGGTTTTAATGGTTATGGTGGTTATGGTAGTTATGGTGGTTTTGGTGGTCTTGGATGGGCTTTTGGACATGGTTATGGAAATTATGGTCGCCTTCACCCAGTTCCCGTTGCCGGGGTAAAAGCCTTGTCTGTAGCTTATGACGAGGTGTCAGGTGTACCATACGTATGCGACCCAAATAAGACAGGAGGTAATTCCACGCAAAATGACACATCGGAAAATGAAACAGAGAAAAGAAGCAAGATCCTAAAAGACAAGCTAGAAAAGAAAAAGAGGGAAAATGACAAGCTACAGAAAGATGAGACGAACGTGGAAAAAGACGCAGATGACGTGGAAGAGACTGAAGAAGAGAAAAAAGACGAAATCAAGATAAAAATTCCAGACTACCCACCGTGTCCTGATCCCAAGAAAAGCTTTCCATGGAGTTGTATAAGTAAGTTGTTAACACATAGACGACCTCGTTGTCGTATAGAAGATGAAGTTTGCATATAGAGACTTAAAAATAACTAAAGCGTAAAAACGAACATAATAACACATCATCTCAACACATTTAGTGGGCAGTAAAAGCGAAAAACGTAGCGAATGTGCCACAGCCAAAAAGGCCATCAGGGACGCATCGGGGGGCATGTACCGACCTTTGGGGGGCATGTACCGACCTTTCTTTGGCAACAGACTTGGAATCCCCGGAGGCTACAATATGGGTCTCGTTGGAGGCTATGGACTCCCTATTGGATTACCTTATGGATATGGTAATTTTTTGCTTGGTTAAAGCTTCGAGGTAAAAATAGAAGCAATATGCTTTGGGTTTTTTTCAAAAATAAAATATCTCATACAAAACAAGTACAATACTGTACTTTTGTTTTGTGCATTGTATACATACAAAAATTTTAAATTATACTTTTAAAAATTCCATGACCGTGAAAGGCCCCACGACTGAGGTTAGTGCAGCATTGCCTTACAAAATTGCCTGTCTATCACATTGCCTTTCTGAAATTTCGTTTTTCAACAATACTGTCCTTCAACAACACGGTCTTTCCATACAACATTGATTTTCCATCACTACGTCTTTCTCAGACATTCTCAGTTTTTCAATCTTTGAAAAAGATTTCAAATATTTCTCAAATGCAACAACAAATTGGAAGATCTTTAAATAAATCAATACGAATACTCGATCGCTTGTCAAATTTGATGTTTACTTAGATACAAGAGGCATGAACGAGATACGAATTGAATAATCTGCAAACCATTAAATTAGTGTGCTTGTGTTTCAATGGCTCTTGTAAAGATTTAAACAGATGTTTCAAGTTTGAACATAGAAAGTTCTTCCTTTGATTCTTTATAACCCTCTCTGGAAATAGAAGTGATTAAATTATAAGGTCAATTGACGAGTTACATGGTGAATGATCTTACAGTGACAAGCCCACGTGACAAACACAAATCTCATGTCATTTTCTGATTTTCTTTTTCATCCCAGATGAATCTTGATCGAAGGAGACGGCGCAACGGCAAAACGCTTGTCGCGAATGTAGCAAACAGAGATATCGTACATCTTGTAGTCTTGTATTTCAATGTGTAGTTTATGAATCAATGTATTTAATTGTATTGTGGATTTAATAAATATTTCTTTTCCCACGTCAATTGGTACATGTGTTCACTAAGGTATGAAACTATAGGTTAATACAGTGCTGGAGTAATGAAATTCAAACACTTTTCAGGCTCTTTCAAAGAAATACTTTAAGGTAGAGTATAATCTTTTACTAAATAACGCAGGAGAATATCAAACACAATGGCAAAATTGAAATGAAGAGAAAACGAATTGTGTGCTTCCACGTTACGAGAAACCGTCGTTTTGAAATGAAGAGAAAACGAATTGTGTGCTTCCACGTTACGAGAAACCGCCGTTTTCGTATAGGTTACCTCGAAGTTCTGACAATTCAAGCACATCCATATAATTAAATTAAACGAGAATATACAAGTGTTCTATGAATCCTTCAAACACATCTTTAACATTAATAATGTTGATGAAACACAGACAATGAAGCTAAATCACAAATGCTATACTAAGAACAAGTTACGCCTCATTTATGATCATGGTGGATTTTATTATTTTTGAACTAGAACCAAATGCATTCAAGCAAAAAGTTACGAACACGATACCCGCTATCCCCTCTTGTTAAAAACATTCACACCGAGGGAACAATGCGCGCTATTATAAAGCCACCCGCATTTGTCAAAACTCGAACAAAAATATATATACAAGAAGAAGACAAAAAGTTTAAAAATATAAAGTCTCGAAAGAACTTTGTAACGTCGGCATTTTGAACGAAAGTTGAAAGACTTCGATGGAATGACAGCGAGAGATACACACACGATATGGAGACGTTCTAAAATGCAGTAAAAGATTGTAAACAGTAAAAAAAACGACTCCTTTTGTTCGAGAGCTATCTTGCGCTAAGTAAAAATGCTTCACCCGTTGATGGCTCTGGCCTTCTTCGTCGTGATAAAACATTCAAAGACCCTACCAGCAGGCGAGAAACCTGTTAAAATAAAAATGTCTGGCAAACCAACGCATTTTGAAGTAGGCGATACGGCGAAAAAACTTCAAATCGATGCAAAAGTTACGGAAGTGAAAATGAATAACAAACCAGCTTCGCTGCAGGTGTTGTCCAAGCGTGGTACGCCATCATTGGCGATACCTTATCCACCAATGTATGCAACACCTGAACTGTACCATATGGCACCATATGGTACAACACCAACCCACTTTCACGATTCTTACCATTTCACATCACCTCCTCTATTGAAAGCAACTGATTCAAGCCATGAACATAAATCTCGAAAACGTCTTCATCATGACTTTGACACATCGGACAACGCTGGAAATTTAAATTCAAAAAAAAAGGAAATACCAAAAAGACGTACATTTACAAAATTCAACATGCCCGACAAACCAACAAACATGAAAACAACACCGCACATTCAGCACCTTCGAAAGCGTCAATGGATACAATCAGCACCAACTTTTGTTCAAGTTGCACCATACAATGTTCTGCCGATACAAATTAATCCTTCTGTAGAGCGGTATGCTGAAGCACGAGCGGCAGCAATGCGAAATACAATTCCGGGACCCTTTACGATGATATCTCCACAATTACTTTCTCCACAGTTGTTTTCTCCATGGAATGAGCGATATTTACTCACCAATCCTACCCTTAGTTATACAAATGGTGCACAAAGAAGCTCTATTGGCAAAGCAATATTCACACCAGGCTTATCAACGTATGGAAACCTGCAAAGGGTTCCACCTTTGGTGATGCCAACGACACCGGTATCTGTATCAAGTCCATTAATGTTCCAAAATTCTTTATTGGACTTTGGTGCTTACTACAAACCGATATTAGCCCAAAATTTTATCCCAGACTACAGATATCAAAGTTACCCAAAAGTCCAAGCTCCAATCTCTCGGACAATAATACCCACTGGGATAACCCGTGGGCTAATTTATCCCAGTTACACATCTATGGGTATGTATACTCAAAGTAGGATCAATTTGTAAATCTTGCACGCCCCAAAATAATCCTATCATTTGACCGTATTTTGACCCCCCTAATTTTAACCAACGATTGTTATATTTGATAAGGAGACAAGTTAACTTGACAACTAAACAATATTTAAAATTGGTTGTAACAAACAACACGATTTCTGAGTACTTTTACAAAGTCCCAAAGGCAACCGAATGCTGAATAAACGGCCTACCGAACTGACGTTTGCTTAATAATGTAAAATCGAACAAAACATAGGTTCGACAAGACAGACATAAAAAAGTTAATGAAGTTTTAACTTTCTGTGTTTAGCACAGCTTCCTATTTTGAGCAAGAGACTGAAAATTCCTCATGGAAAACATGACAAGACGGAAAGCTCCCAATCACAAAAAAGGTCTTTGCAAACGCCGACGAAGAGGCTCAAGCGAACCACACAAAAATTTCATGTTAAGAACATGGAAATATTTGGCAAAAATAAGTGGGAGTCGGATGAGAAATCCAAGACGGAGAGAGAATCGATACCACACCCCCCTGTTCCAAATGCACATAAAGATACCAAAAGACAATTCATCTTAACACAACCCATGATCGAACCTAGACAGCAGCCTATCGTAGCATACGTTCCAATTCTCCCAAGTACCCAGACAGACACTTCTCCATTGACAGTCCCCCAAAATCTTGTTCTAACCATGCCGGAGATGGCGCAGAAAAGATACCTGATGTATGTCCCCAAAAGTCCCCAAATGTACATTCCTCGCGAGGAGAATTACGGAGAATTGTCTCGTTTTAAGCAATATGGCGCCCAGCCGGACCTTTTGGCAGGTATTTTTGGCATGGCAAATACAAGATCTGGAATAATACCAAGACGCACAGTAGAAAACGAAGGAAGAGTGATAACATTAGGTGATTTATCAGGGATAATGGGTACACCAATAGTACGCGGAGGACCTCCATTCACCATGTCATACAATCACGAACTACCATCGATGATTGAAGATGAATTATTCCAGGATAGGTATATGCATCCTTCGCCAATTACACCCGATGTAAGAAGCTACATACGTGAAAATGACCTAGATACACGATTTGCAGATGACTATGGCGACTATCGACGCAACGTTCTAGATATGCCAGAGTCCTATGTAAGCCCCGTAAGATTTACACGTATACAAGATAAAGGTTCCTACACGGAGAGGCTGCTGCCCGACGATCGAATAATTTTCCGTAAAAATAAAGTGGCTTCTGGACCAATCACTGTCGAAGCAAAAACCGCTGAGATTCCAGCAGCAGCGACAAGTGACAATACCGCTTTTGACATGAACTTGGATTCCGATAAACGGAAACAAATAGCCCGACCAGAGAACGTGCGTATCTTGGATAGACGCATAAAAGTTCCAAGGCCTTGAACCATGGAAAAGACAGGCATCTGTTATCTATCAATCTGTCACAGACAGTTACCTTTCTAAGGCAGTGCTAAACACCATGCCAAACTTGCTGAACGACTTTAGCAAAAATACAAACGCTTGAATACAATACTAAATCATCGTTTATTATAATCATTATTGATAAAAACACAAAGCAATTGTCACTTCATAAACAGTAAATACTTTTCGTCTAGACGCTTCATAAAAGTGTGCATGTCATCGTCAGAAGAATATGAATATAATTATGCCTACACATACTGAATGAATAAGAGTATGAAAATAACTTATTTTTTATGGAATATGGATTGCTTTCTGTTTTATTAATATAGCAATTGGCAGATGTAATCATTGTAATTAAACAATAGTAACACTAATAACTAATTAATATGTAATTGATGATAGTAAATACTTAAATGCGTATATTTTTCTAGAGGAGGCAAAAGAGATGTAGATATGAAGCGATCGACTGCAATGTGTTTGTGGTACACGTAATTACATCTACATGTAACATGACGCTGGAATCAGCCATTAACATTGCCTTTAAACTTCGCAACGATATTGTAACTAAAAGCGACCATTTAGGACGGCATCTCCAAAATTCTTCTGCAAATTTATGTATTAATGATTGCAGCCATCGAGGAATTGGACGACATGCGTATCGCTGACAAGCAAATACAAGGGCATCGTACCCACGAAAAAGTCATTTTAAATTTCATTATGCTTTCAGACTTCTTTCCTTGACGGACACTTTGTAAACCTCGCAGTGAAAAATGAAACGCACGATGATTAGCTATCGATATACGTTCGAAGAACAAAGTGATATATCATTTGCAATTTTATGGATGGACGAGTCAGAAGCCATATCCTTCCTCCACTAGTCCATATTGGCTTTAACTTGATCACCAAGCACAGTGAACACAGTAGGATCTTTCTTTTCAAGATCTTGGAAGATTGTACTCATGTAAGATCTTGCAAGATATTAAGCAAGATCTCAAAAAAATGTTATAAGATCTTGACAAGATTTGAATTTACTTATATCGTGTACTTCATTTGCAAAAAAGACCAGTTTGAACAGTATTAACTTCTTCTAAACAATGAAAATGACGATAGCGATAAATAGCGAAGTTTGAACTTGGGGAGTATTCTTACATGTTTGTAGATGTAGATCGTCCAGGTTAGCTTCGTCCGGAGAAAGACTGTTGTTTTGGTTGACAGACATTTCAACATTTAACTGGTCTCATTAACCACTTGCCACTAAGTATGTCGAAAAAGTCAGTCAATACTGAGAACAACAGATCTTTTCATGACTGCATTAACATGGAATATATACATGCACAAACATGTAAAGATGAATAGTGTATAGTATATTTCAATAATGTATTCAATAAAGATGCTTCCCATTTTGACGTCATCTAACAACGTAAAAATTACGATTTTCCCATTTTGACGTCTTCTAACAACGTAAAAATTGCGATTTTCCCATTTTGCTTCCCAGAGTCGCAGAGCGTAGTCTCTAAATATCATAGTTGTCAAGAAAGGTTTCTCTTTTAGCAAATGGCTTTTTGATATTCTAACGCAAAGCTACTTTGGTCAGATTGCTTCTTTTAAAAGTAAAAAGTCACTTAAATTTTATGACAAGGCTATTTTTGAACTTTCCTTACTTTCATAATCCGACAAATTACTTCCTGAGAATCTTATTCCCAAGAGTTGAAACAGCGGAGAGAGGACACCTGGTCAAAATCGCAACGAAACAAAACAAAACAAGAAAGAAATCCGAGTTCCTTTACATTATACGAAAGGAAGAGACTTTACATCCGCTCACTTAGATCTGAATTTCACATCAACTCTAAATGAAATTATTTCTTCAGACATACATATATGTTCAAATATTGGCAATAACAAGTGATATTAATTGTGAGCATCACACTGTAGTCTATCGTATCGACAGCTATTGTGACGTAGTATTCCATAGGAAAAGACTTATGAAACTGCTATAGTCCACGATGCATTATGTCCAATCTATACAAAGTCTGAAAAACTTCATGTACATTTCTTATATTGCAAACTCGACTATTTCTGATTTTACTTTTACTATTTAAGCTCCAGGAACGGGAATGATGTTCTTTTTTACAATTTCCTTTCGTTCTCCTTTGTCTAATTTCAATTTACTCACATCAATTTTATTGTGTTGCCTGGGTTTCTCTACTTTAGATCTCATACCAAATCCTCCACTCATACCTCCTAAGCCACTCATACCACCTCCACCTCCGAGTCCACCTAATCCCCCACCACCTAGCATTGCACCTAATCCTCCAACTATACTCCCACCGGCTCCCATTGGACCAGCACCAGCAAGAGGACTACCACCAAGTAATCCTCCTGGTGGACCTTCTGGACTACCACCCAAGCCTGGTAAACCACTCATAGGCCCATCATTCATTGGGCCAGCGCCTCCAGCTCCCAAGGGATCACCAAGTCCACCAGGTCCTCCAAAAGCACCAGGTCCTCCAAGTCCACCAGGTCCACCAGGTCCTCCAAGTCCTCCAAGTCCACCAGGTCCTCCGAGTTGTCCGCCGTCACTTAATCCAGCTAGTCCAGCAACACCGGGAGGCATTTTCTCACCGGTTCCCAGACCTCCAAGCGATCCAGGTGTATCGCCTAAACCACCAAACCTAGCCATTGCTTCACCTGCAGAGCTGCCGATGCCAGCATCTTGTAATTCACCTAACAAAAAATAAAAAAAGCGTCAGTATAGTAACAGTTGACTTCATTGTTGATTTCATTGACAAATAACTTTATTGTTCATAGAAAATATTCTTGATACAGATACCTTGTCCACCAGCCATAAAAGGAAGTCCAAACGGAGCCATGCTCCTATCCGCCGACCCTCCTAAGCTGGGTCCTCCTAAACCACCACCCATATCTCTGAACGCGCCAGGACCATTCTTGAGATTCTCAAGTTCTGGATTAGAATTTCCATCCATGGAACGACTTCCGGCTGACCCGAATTCAGGATCAGTGGAAGGCTTACTGGTATGGCCGTTTGGATGAACAAATATCACGCTGTCGCTGTTTGGGGCTTGACGTCGACTTCGAACCGAGTTGAGTAACGTGCGTAGAGAAAATCTATCTATGGTAATGACAGTAACAGTATGTGATTAAAAATAGGTACTATTTAAATTTCAGCGCAACATCGTGTTTAGCCACGCATGCGCCACGGTGTTCTACGAAAAACCAACGCTTTGCATAAGATAAAAGTGAAGGTATTTGCAAAGACTTACTTGTAGATGGTCTTGTCACTTGTGTTCTCTTCACAAATGATGGACTAAATGGAAGAGGACCTGGCAACGCACCAGCTCCAGCTAAAGGAACTGGTCCAGGCAGAGGAGCACGTGCCATTAAGGGACTGGGGCCAAGTAATGGACCAGTTGCTGAAAACGGAACTGGACCAACAGAGCTTGCGAAAGGTAATGCTGGAGATGGACCAGCGATAACAGGCGGTGGTTCAGCAGATAATGCAGCCGGATGAGGTACACCAGCAAATGGCGCAGATTCTGCAGGTGGCGGAATGCCGTAAGGTCCTGAATGTTGAAATAATTAAAAATGAGGTACATATGTAAGACACATCAATGAATTAAATACGTCAACGGGTGTGAGTTTAAAAATGAGGTACATATGTAAGACACACCAATGAATTAAATACGTCAACGGGTGTGAGTTTAAAAATGAGGTACATATGTAAGACACATCAATAAATTAAATACGTCAACGGGTGTGAGTTTAAAAATGAGGTACATATGTAAGACACACCAATGAATTAAATACGTCAACGGGTGTGAGTTTAAAAATGAGGTACATATGTAAGACACACCAATGAATTAAATACGTCAACGGGTGTGAGTTTAAAAATGAGGTACATATGTAAGACACATCAATGAATTAAATACGTCAACGGGTGTGAGTTTAAAAATGAGGTACATATGTAAGACACATCAATGAATTAAATACGTCAACGGGTGTGAGTTTAAAAATGAGGTACATATGTAAGACACACCAATGAATTAAATACGTCAACGGGTGTGAGTTTAAAAATGAGGTACATATGTAAGACACATCAATGAATTAAATACGTCAACGGGTGTGAGTTTAAAAATGAGGTACATATGTAAGACAAAGCAATGAATTAAATACGTCAACGGCTGTAATTGAACATTTTATACCTTCGTGAACAATATGTGGTTGATGTACAACAATAGGTGGTCGGTGATAGATTGTAGGAGGTGACGTAACATGGACAGCTGGGAAATGATTACCAGCATTAACAATAGGCACGGGTGGACCCAAATGAACAGCTGGGACACGCGGTCGGACGTGTATCGCTGGTACATGAGATGGTACGTTGATAACAGGTATATGGGGTCCAATATGAACAGAGGGGACATGTGGTCCGATGTGTACAGGTGGATAATGTGGTCCAACATGAATAGGTGGTGTATGTGGTCCAACATTTACGACATGTGAATATGGATGCCAAGCTCCAAATTGACGTTTCTCCCGTTTGCTGCTCGCGCTTCGCTTTTCCTTGTTGGTTTTAGTGTTTTTTTCTTCTCTGTTATCAACATTTTTACGATGATCATCTTCTTGGATCACGTCTTTGTTGTCATCGTCGCTTTTTACCTTGTCGTTTTGCACGTTATCTTCCGTATCAGCATTCTCCTCTACATCGTCATCGTCATCATCGTCATCGTCATCATCGTCATCATCGTCGCTTTCAGAGAAAGGTGAAGCCAACGTAATCATGGGGATTAGAGACCGCCCAAATGCAACAACACCACCTCCGACATCAGAGTAACCTGGAACACCAAAACCAGACCCATAGCCACCAAAACCAGACCCATAGCCACCCAAACCAGCATATGGCATTACGTGAGGGTGATGATAGACAACAGGGGATTGATGATAGACGGTTGACGGGGACATCACATGCACTGGATGACCGGGTGAGTAGGCATTAACAATAGGTACTGGTGGGGCCATATGAACGAAATGTGTATGTGGATGTACATGTAGTAAGGGAGCATGAGTACCAACATGAATGGTTGGGATTCGAGGACCAAGATGGACGGCGGGTACATGTGGAGGAATATGGACTGGCGGGGAATGAGGTCCGATATTTATAGGAGGGGTATGTGGGCCTATTTCGGCAGTGTGGTCCCCAAGCTGTCCCCAGTAATGTGTGTGGTGTAGGCCAAAATGCTCTGATCCACCATAACCAAAATCAGAGTGATCGCCAAATCCCGGAATAAGTTGATGTTTTGAAGATTTCACTGCATTCTCGCTGTTACCGTGATTTTTCTGCTTCCGATCTTTGATCTCTGTCGATTTCACAGCGAGCACGCTCGTCAAAAATATATGTAACACAAACGAGAGCAATATTGTCATTCTCATACACTCTCGGCGCTTCGCCATAGAAAGAATGGATGCAAAAAAACGGTCTTCCAAATGCTACGATAAATTTATTGTCTCCTAATAATTTTCATTCGATCGTTATTTTGTTAATACAAATTAAAAAAAAGCAAACGGTCAGTGACATCATTTCTCAGTGATTTCCAAAATATGTTTGTTAATGTTCACACAGAAAGGCTTTGACGCCACCATGACATCAACTGTGATTGGCTTACTCGGTACAAACATCGCAGCAAAACCGGCGGTGTTTTGAGCAGGTCCTTTCTCAAGCTTCGTTGCGCTGGAGCAAATAGCTTTGTTACGTCACCCCGACTGTTTGACTCAGCTTCTAGTGGTTCATAAGATTGGTTAGGACTGCCAATGTCAATAAATTTCTGGTTTTATTTCTGACATTTAATACCCGATCAAGATTCGGTGGCAACCTTCAAAAACCTCTCGAAGATCATGCTCCGTGCTCAAAGAAAAAGAGATGACCTTTTCGATGGTTCATTTAAGGAACATTAAGAAAAAAAATATCTTGATTCTTTTTTTTTTCATTTCAGAAAGCGACAACGAATGAGTCGAAAGGACAACTCTTACAGCGCGAAAAAATATAAATTTTCACAACAAAATATCAATTTTGTTGTTGACGAGGAACAAAAACGGGTTCTTTATGATAAGATGACGAATATAGAGAAAAAAAACGACACAGATCACTTCATGGTTGGATAGCGCGCAGACGGCATCAAAAGCGAACAAGTGGACCTGAACGGTGAACATGTTTAACGCGTAAATAGAAATCCCATATTCATCCGTTCCCAAGTTAAGTCATCAACAGAACCAGCTTCGAGTGAATATGCACCGAACGTACATATCTTTGCAAGATCATTAATTTATCTAAAACATCGTTTATCCGGTGCACGCTTCAATGATTTTTTAGACATCATCTTTCATTACAAGCGTAGTTTTTCCGAAAGAATTGGCAGAATTTACACTGTTCTTGGTGTTGGTGCAACAATAAATAGTTCAACACTAACAAAAATACGTAGATATTGTAGCCGATTGCTTAGGTTTTCGCCCAGGGTGCAAATGGTGAAAAGATAATGAAACATTGAGCACCAGAAGCAGAATAAATACAACAAAATACAAGTTATATCACACGTGGCTACAAAATCGTTTCAACTCCCGTCTTTTGTTGGGCTCCCGAAAGTTTCATGTAACTGACAAGTAGAGCAAAGATTTATATCGTTCATATTTAATGGACTCGTACATTATTGAACAATCTATGCATGTAATTGGGAAAAAAAAGAAAACGATTTTTCGAAATGACCGTTTTGCCTCAGTCTCTCATCCAATTTTTCCATTAATGTGTACGGTTTGGTTCAGAACAAATGACGAGCGGAGACCTAAATTGACATCTTAATATGTTCGTAGATGTCGATCGTACAGGTTAGTGGAGTCTTGAGAAGGACAGTTGCCTGTTAGTGTAGGTGTTGACTTAATGTTTCGACGTCATTAGTGATCTTGATTCTGAAAATGACGACAGCTTAGTACGATGAAAGTTCGTAGCGTGAGTCAACATCAACACAAGCAGTCATTCTCGGAACTCGACCAACCAGGACGATCTACATCTACAAACATGTAACGATACTCCCGGGCTCAAACTATTCACTTTCAAATTGACATCTCTTAAAATTTCTTATCAATAAAATATTCTAAAAAACTAGCATACCAAAACACGTTGTCAGCACTTTATCTTTTGATATCAACACTAGCGAGGCAACCATAAACAAATTCGAGTACGTGCAAGAAATCGTAGAAAACAGCTTCATCTGAAATCGAAGAAAACGATTAACTTCAATAATGAATTCTTTTCATCGAATTGTGCAAATGGCGTAGCTCACACAAAACTAGGTCGTATCTCAGATGATATGTCAGAGAGAACGTACTCACGCACAACTACTGCGTTGAGACGCAGTGATGTGTCAGAGAGAACGTTCTCACGCACAACCACTGCGTTTACACGTAGTGATGCGCCAGAGAGAACGTACTCACGCGCAACTACTGACATTGACAAGTAGTGATGCGTAAGAGAAAACGTTCTCACGCACAACTGCTGCGTTGAGACGTAGTGATGTGTCAGAGAGAACGTTCTCACGCACAACTACTGACATTGACAAGTAGTGATGCGTCAGAGAGAACGTTCTCACGCACAACTGCGGCGTTGACATGTAATGATGGGCCAGAGAGAACGTACTCACGCACAACTACTGACATTGACAAGTAGTGATGCGTCAGAGAGAACGTTCTCACGCACAACTGCTGCGTTGAGACGTAGTGATGTGTCAGAGAGAACGTACTCACGCACAACTGCTGCGTTGACAAGTAGTGATTACCCAGAACGCCACACTGAAAGGTGGCGAAAAAACCAACCCTATGAAACATTTTAAACACGAAACCTTGACTGTTCGTTCTTCCTCTGCAAATATATATCAATGTAGAAGAAGCTTTTAGTCGTAGCTACATATCGATTTTAGTCCTAGCTACATATAAACTTTGAGAAGTTTAAAAATTTTACAGCTAGATAAAAACTACTTGCCCTCTTTGAAAAGCAGACGTGAACTAGCAACTACCCAAGAGATCAAAAGGATTATAGAGGAACCTGATCATCCATGCAAATTTTTACTACCTTATCCCAAAGAAAATTCGCACGAGTTGCGTAAAAATAAAACTTATAGTATTTTATCCCGGACCAAACGTCATAAACAATCTTTTATTGCTAGATATTGTAAATATATATATAATAAAGTTAACATGTAATTCTTAGTATAGTATGATAAATATATAGAAAATCAATGTAAATTCATCGTACTTTTTAATCTGAAGATGAATAACAATAAAAAAAAACCCTTTCAATCATATCGTTAGTTGTGCTATACCTTTCAAGATGGCGGCTTGCCTCAATCAAAAACTAAAATTTTTTGGCGAGGTCGGGTATCTAGTACTTAGGTATCTTTTAACCTTCCACCTCATTGGTATGGAGAAGAACATTGAATGTTAACGAAAACCAACGACTTTCAGACGTCTTTGTGAATAGAGTTGGTTTGAGCAAAAATGACTTTAACAAGAAATGCAAGACAAAAACGAATTAAATGAATTGAAATATTGTCGCTGGAGATGTGAAATGATGGCAAGATGAATAAATTTCTGCTTTGTCTGCTGAGATGCAATATTATCCTTATAGAATACGGATATACGATATATACATATTAATTATTATCAATTATATATCTCAATCCATTGAGCTACCTTAATTTGGACTATAGATCAGAGTCCATCATACATAAGTTAATGGTGCAAATTAATAGCATTCGAATATCACTATATTTAAACATGTGTTCTCGTATTTACAAGAAATGCTTAACATCCTATAGTTGAGAACGTTCTTCTAAACGTCTACCAAGGCAGATAAAGTTTCCTCGTCTACAAAAAAGCGCAAGATGTGAAGTAAATTACGAAAATATATTAAGAATATCAATGCTTTATGGCAGTATTTACCAAACTTATGTCTTTATCTTATGTTTTTGTTCCTTTTCATCTGACTTCTTTTTAAGCTTTGGTATTCTAGATTTTGATGTTTGAACTTGTATATTTACGGAAGGTCTGTCGATATTCTGCTGCGGACGGATTGACCTTACATAAGGTGATTCTGGATTTAATCCCATTCGAGGGATCACCATTGGTGCCATTTGAAAGAACGGAAAGGGTAAGCCAGACATGGGAAACTGGGGTCCATAACCCAAAGGTACATTTAGCGGGCTCACATCAGCGAATGAATTTTTCTTACCGGCTGGAGAATCGGTTGTCTGACCTGGGAACTCAAAAGCCTTAGATTGAAGTGTTTGAATCAATGGTAGAGGCTGAATGATTGGAGCTAATGGGTTTTGTAATTCGGATTCAGGTTTACCTTGAACAAAAGCCGGAACGATTTCTGTTGGAGTCTGGGAAATTAGTTGAGCGGGTATTTGCTGTTGATCGCTGGTCGGTAACAATTGCGGTAGACCAGAAAACGAAGCAAGAGACGGTTGGGGAAGAAACGACACTCCCTCGGCGCCTTGAGGTGCGGGAACGAATTCTTGTGGGTCAGCTTGCGCAGGTAAAGAAGGTAAGGCAGTAAAGCTGTCTTGCTTGGGTTCCACGTTCAGGAACGGGGAAGACTGCTGACCGGAGCTGAAGACCTTGAAGGCATTCGCTTCATGACGTTGCATCTTTGCGAAGTCATTAAAATTCTGAGAGACGTCGTTCTTAAGCAGCTTGTCAGATGAAGGCAATACTAAATCAGAACCCCTCGTCTCTACAGGTTGTTCTTCTGTTTTTGGTCCCAAACCTCTCGCGATTAGAACGTTGGAATTCGGATATCTAAAGATTTAGGATTATATTTCAGGGTATTCAGTTGAAGTATTTGAAACGATTTGCAATTGCAATGTTAATTAATTGATTTCGTATTAAGAAGAGTATCTTTTTTTAATTGGGAACGGTTCCATACAAAAATCGTTTTTGAAGCATTTGAAACGATTTGCAGTTGCAATGATTATTAATTGATTTCATATTAAGAAGAGTATCTTTTTTTAATTGGGAACGGTTCCATACAAAAATCGTTTTTGAAGCATTTGAAACGATTTGCAGTTGCAATGATTATTAATTGATTTCATATTAAGAAGAGTATCTTTTTTTAATTGGGAACGGTTCCATACAAAAATCGTTTTTGAAGCATTTGAAATGAGTTGCAATTGCAATGATTATTAATTGATTTCATATCAAGAAGAGTATCTTTTTTTTACCTGGGAACGGTTCCATATAAAAATCGTTTGGCAAGCAAATTACCATCCGGTATAACGTTTTGAAGAAATTTACCATCCAATGGGAACATCATTGTAGCCTGTCTCTTATCTCGCCGCGCACTTCCTACTCCCTTTGCTTGATCCAGTTTCACTTTTGCTTTGATGATGTTGTAAAGAACGGGAAATTCCCTTTTAAAGCGTGGGGTAATAATCCGTTTTGATGAGTATGGGATATTCGACTTTGCTGTCTGCACATTTATGTTCACTTTTGGTCTTTGAATGGCCTTCCATGGATTGATAGGGTAGCCTGTATACTGTGAGGGAGAAGGAGCTACACGTAATGGATTAGCAAACATTTTCTCACCAGGGAAAGTTGAAAACTGAGATCCAATAGCAGGTTGTATTACGTCATTACGAGCCGGGAACAGGGTGTCCGGAACGGGAATCACGGTGTACCCACTCGATTTACTTTCCGTGTTCACGCGGCTCCGTAAACTAGGAAGAGCCAGAGCAAGAGGCGAGCTTCGTAATATTTGCTGACGTTTATGAACAGGATTGTTAGTATTCTGTTCGCGTGTACCTGGAACGAAGCCCTTCGAGGTTTTGCCATTACCCGTATTAGAGTTCGGTCGAGGTTTATCGGGTAAATTATTTGAAGAGAAAACGTCATGTTTCTTATAAGTTTCAATATTCACGTTGACATTTGGCCGAGCCATTTGAGGTCTGGTCTCCTGTTGAATGTCACGAAGTTTATGCCCATTCTGTTCCTCTTGATTAACGAATCGTATTTCGGAGACATCGGTGTTTGCCGATCGGCCCAACATGCTCTGATCGCCTACATACACTGGTCGATCAGCAAAAGTGTATTTTCGGAAAGCATCTGGAACCCACCACTTCTTCTCTGCGTTCACATCCCTCCACGATGCCTTGGGTAACAACGATTTCTTTCGTTTCTTTAAATCGAAATTTCCACGAGAACCAATTCCCAGAGCATTCCCTCCGTAGTTGGCAAGGTTTTCATTACCATCGTATGTCCGTTGAATGTTCATGGTGGAGAAGACAGAATTTGGGCTCTCGGTGGGATCGTTCAAATGAACCATGTTGACTCGAACACCGTCTCTAAGCAACGGTGGCTCGATTGTCGTTACCTCGGGCATAGTATTGAAAGCATCGACGTTATTCTGATTCAGCGAATTCTCGAAAATACCAGATTTCTTGGAAGCTGGAATTTTAGATCTAGCAGATTGAACAAGAATGTTTACTTTAGGACGAGCGTGAGTACCCCCCGGGTAGATGGCTCCTAGCAAATCTCTGTAGACTCCTATTTGCTCATTAAAGCGTTTAGATGATAGTGGTGTACCATCATAGGGTTGCGCATTCGGAGAATATGCATGAAATGGTGCGATCTGTTGACTATTCACAAGGGGTAAACTTGCTAAAATTTGTCGTCTGCTTCGAGGAACAGAATGTGAAGGCAGAACTTGAGAAGAATGTACGGCAGATTGCGAGGAACTTGATGTTGGCTGCCTGCGTTCACGGTTATTTGGTTTGGAAAGCTTAGACCTGATAGTTTCGATGTTCACATCAACACGAGGACGTTGGAAAAGTTTAGGGTGATAAAGTGATGAGGAAAAATGACGAGGGACAATCGTAGCTTCACCAAGATTTCTGTAAGGATCTTCTACAACAGATCGCATTGACCTGACGGGGTATCTCCCCCAGGGAAACGAATTGTAGGTAAGCGAGTGAGGATAAAGAGAAGGGTACGGTATAGTTGAACGTGGTGATTCTAACGACAACTGACGATCACGGACGAAATTGAATGGAGTCACGGGTGAGATGTGTCGCTCAATTATGGCCCTACGCTGTATAGAATGCACATCCATGGGTGCGGCTCTTGAAATGGTGGGCATCGTAAAATGATGTAACATTTCACTAGGTGCGCCCACGTAATGTCCCACCTCATGCATATTGCTACCCACTGGCGTGTATTTTAGTTGTGGATGAACATTGAACGTGTCAATTGAATGATAAATAGGTTGGTGTACGGTTGGAGGAGGTTGATGGAATACGACCGCTGGCTGATGATACACAACCGCAGGCCTGTGTACAATCACCGGTGCTTGATGATACACAAGTGGCGCACGCCGAATCACGATTGGTGCACGATGGACTATAATGTCTGGACGATGATAAACCTCTGGTGGTGGATGGTAAATTATCGGTGGACGTCGAACAACGATATCGTTTTTCTTCGTTCCACGTTCCGTCTTCTCTTTCTGTGCGCGAGGAAGTTGAACTCGTCGAGTTTTTGCCTTAATCACGTCGCGTTTGTTGTATTCGCGAGGTTCATACTTAACTTTTTTTCGTTTGGATCGATCGTGATGGTGTTTCTCTTTATTGTAGACAGTTTTCGATTGTTTCCCTCCTTTCGCAATCTTTGACTTCCCAAAAACAGGATGAGTGTTGACGTCACCAGAAATACTGCTCAAATCTCCATGGAAATCAAGAGTGTTATCATAACCATAACTGGGATGGGAGAGAGAGGAATCACCGGACTCTAGTTGACCACCGACATACGTCAACATGGGATGAGAAACATATGCATCATGGGAATGATAAAATGGTTGATTGACCATGGGTGAAGGTTCATGAAACACAACCGGTGGTTGATGGTACGCAACCGCTGGCTTGTGAAAGACCACTGCTGGCGGCTGAACAACGATACTCGGCCGATGAATAACGACGTCCGGATGGTGCATCACGACAACGGGACGATGGTATATCGCTGGGGAAGGGTGATATATCATAGGTGGACGATGCACAATTAGATTATGCCTTTTGTGTTCGTTTCTATTACGATCTTTCCTCTTCCTGCGATGACCTTTTCTCTTTTTATAGTGACTGGAAACTTTGTTTTTGCCACTACGTACCTTCTGCTCATCTCGTATAGTTTTCTCGTGCATTTTGCGGCCATTTTCTTTGCTTTGCAAGTAATCGTCGTGATGGTGAACCTGGGCATTTTCAATTTTAGATTTTGTAAATGCATTTGACATTCCGTAATTAAGACTGGAAGGAACATCTTGAAAAACATGTCCGTGATATAAAGTTGAACCAACATGCTCATACACAGATGTCGGTGCATACTCGTCCCTTGAGTAATAGATAGGTTTGCTGATCATAGGTGAAGGTTGATGAAACACGACATCAGGTTCGTGATAGACAACAGCAGGACGATGCAGGACTACGGATGGTTGACCATACACGAAAGATGGACGGTGCACCAAGATGTCTGGTCGATGTACCACAACGTCTGGTCTATGATAGATCTCAGGAGGAGGATGGTATATAATGGGTGGACGATGGATTACAATATTGTTTTTTCTGGCCGGAGAGGTCTCTTTATTCTCTTGTCGGTTTTTTGACCTCATACGTGAGTTTTTCGTATCCAGTTCCACATTCTTATCGGAGTACTTCTCTACCTTAGAATGCTTTTTCTTTGAGAGCTTGTGCTTTGGAACGCTCGACTTTCCATATGCAAAAGGATTAATCCCGTTAAAATCAGTTCCAAGAGGATAGGTATTTTGAGCAAATAATGGAGGCGATTCGTGATATATAACGGGCTGTTGCTGGTAAGCAACGGGCGGACGATGAACAACGACTGGTGATTGATGATAAACAGTTGGTGGTCTATGTACGACTATATCCGGTTGGTGATAAACGTATGCAGGTCGATGGTAAACTTCCGGTGGAGGATGAAAGAGAATTGGAGGTCTTTGTACCATAACAGAATTCTTACGATCTGCTTTCTCACTCCTAGTGTACGAATCTTTCACTTTCTTTGTGTGTTTCTTATGATGTTTTGACTTGGTTTTATGACGTTTTTTATAAGCAGCTCGTTTTGGATTCTCAATCGTCGATCGCCCAAATCCATGGGCAAATGGACCATTGAAATCTTCAAAACCACCATTAAATCCTCCACTTTCACCGAATGGAACGCCAGTGTAAGTTCCGCCATGTAGAATTTTTGAACCGTAAAGACTGAGCATGCTGTGCGGAGCATACGTATCATGAGAATGATAAACTGGTAGACTCATCATCGGAGCTGGTTGATGAAAGACCAGAGGAGGCTGATGGTAAACAACCGGTGGCCTATGAAGAACTACGGGACTTTGATGAAACACGATAGGCGGACGATGGATGAGAACATCCGGACGATGGACAACAACTCGGGGTCTGTGATAGATTTCAGGAGCTGGATGATATATAAACGGTGGTCTGTGTACAACGATAGCGTTTTTTCGTTCCGCACTTCGACTTTTCAAACTTCTCCTTGAAGCGTCCCGGTATTTTTTATCGATATTTTTCTTATCACGTGAATCCTCTTTTATGCTTCGTCGCTTTCTACCAAACGTTGGTCCGTAGGGCATCATACCAAGGCCAGGACCAATACCAAAGGCAGGACTGTTAACGCCACCGAAAGGGCTTGCCGGACCACCGTATCCGGGTAATAAGCCCGGATAGTTTAAAATAGGACCTTTTGGAATGCCCAGAACGTGGCCCAAACTTTGCAACATTGTACCAGCATGACTGGCAATCATTTCAGGATGAAGTATAAAGTTATCATGCGAGTATAGGACCGGTTGATTAACTGTTGGCAATGGCTGATGAAACACAACGGGTCTTTGATGGTATACGACTGGTGGCCGGTGAACGATGACTGCTGGTTGATGGTAAACAATAGGCGGGCGATGTATTAAAACAGGTGCACGATGGACCACAATCTGGGGACGATGATACACCTCAGGAGGTGGATGATAGATTATCGGAGGTCGGTTAACCACAACATCTTTTTTCTTGTTTTTTGGTGTGTTTGACTTCTTCGCAACTGTTTTGGTTGAAATTTCTTTTTCTTTACTATGGTGTGGTATGGTGGATCGATACGAAACACGATGAGTAATGGGAAAACTACAAGATGGGGATGAACATGGAACAGGCAATGGTACTCCCACAGCTTTGTGTATCGGAACAGGCAATGGTACTCTCACAACTTTCTGTATCGGAACAGGCAATGGTACTCCCACAGCTTTCTGTATCGGAACAGGAAATGGTACTCCCACAGCTTTGGGTATTGGAACAGGATAAGGTTTTGGAGGCAAAACATGATAATGATGCCAGTTATCGTAAATATGTTCGGTATGATGATGATGTACGGGATACGGTTGGATATGATGGTACACAATGGGTTTAATATGTTCATAAGATTGATACACTGGATACGGATGATAATGATGTTTATGATAGACTTCAGTAGGATGAATATGATCATGGTAGATGGCTACGGGATGATAACATGTTGGACTGTTAGGTACACATGGTGCATACGAACGTTTATATGATTTGTAAAGAGGTTCGCCGATCGTCTCTTTTTCAACGTTATTGTCATTTCCTTTGATTTCAGTGTTCTTGAAGTCGGTGTCACGTCGGCCATGGTGGTGTTGCGCAGGCCAGTGATAATCGTGGAAATGAGTTTGTGCAAGTTGATGTTCTTGTTGCTCGTCTACAAACACATGATGTGGTTTGTGATGTTGATGATGAATGATAGAAATACAATGTGGAGAACAAACTGAAGGACAATTTTGTGCTCGGCAGTTAGTGCATACATCAGGACAGTCCGCATGACGTGTGACGTATCCGTGATGTAAAACCGCATGACTATTTCCTTGTTGTCGTACCACGTGACTATGAGAAGGTACACCGAAATCATGCACGTGAACAGTGTCTTTGACCTCAACTGTACCTGGAACCATTGAATTATGAAGAGGGTTGCCAGAGTGTGCGCCACGATAAGGTAATGTAATCAAAACATGAGAACGATCGAAATATGATGCTAAATCTGCTGGATTTAAAAGAAAAAGTGAAGGTCGTCGAAGTTCTAGAGAAGATCGAGGTGATATCTGTGATTGCTTTCTCGAATGATTAGTTCCATCAGTATTTTTGCCTTTCTTCGAGGAAAGAATAAGCTTCCGCAATTGAGAATGACCATGAGAGGATGTAATCTCGTGCTTGTCGTCATTGACTGTAGAGGTAGGTTTCTTTTTTCCCATCATTTTGGAGTCCTTTGGAATCTTATTACGGTTTATACCTACAACAAAAGATTGTGTAGAGTACAAACAACGAACACAACAGAAAATATTTTTGATGAAGTGCATGTGTAGACATAATAATATAAATAAAATAAATGTTCTCTGCTTTTGACTTTCTTTGTTAATAATTCACCAAGCAACACAATGTATGCAAACACGTGCAACTCTTCCCAACAAGTCGCTCACAAGACTAGAAATGAACCCGATCATTACCTTCAACATTTTTCGGGACTGCACCTTTCCTTGTGGCGTAGGGACCAGGAGGTGACCCCTGGAATACGCCAAAATTGTGCAGAGTACTCCCGCCAAGAGCCAATGTATTGTGGGGTGTATAAATGTCATGAGACATGTACATAGGTTGATTGACCATGGGCAAAGGCTGGTGAAAAACGACCATTGGTTGATGATACACAATCGCAGGTCTGTGCACAATGACAGGCGCTTGATGATACACGAGTGGTGAACGATGAATGACGATCGGTGCACGATGCACTACGATGTCTGGTCGATGATACACCTCTGGCGGGGGATGATAAATAATTGGAGGGCGTTTTACAACAATCGCGTTTTTCTTTTTAGCATTCGATGTCTTTTTCTTGAGGCCTTTCTTTTTCATTTTATCATTTTGTGTGGAGTGTTTTGCTTCGTCGTCAGTTTCACCCATCGCCTTATCCGCAGATGTACCTTCGTGCCTCTTCACATAAAGGACGCCCGAATGCCTTATATCCTCACCGGGTGTATCGAGATAAGTTTCTTTACTAACCACATCGCTAGCAATGCAACAACCACACAAAATTAATAACGTCATCTTCATCATAAATATAAAAAATATCCAAAAATTCCACGAGTGATGATTTATGAATATATTCTCATTTGAATGAAATTTTCATTTGTGATAAACGATGAAATGAACCTGAAAAATCTTGAAATGTGTTTGAATGTTTGGGACATTATAATACGATGAATGCCATTGTAGCTACTTTACACAAAAACAGTGTTAAATTCCACATGGTAAAATTGGTCTCTAACGAAAAACCTTTACAATATAATGCTGGTTGTTTGTTACCTTTCAGTAAATACAGGACTTTCGTGAGGTTCATTGTGTGAACCTGATGGTATGTGGTGGCGCGTCGACCGTCTACGTCTTCCTATTGGTGAAAGCGGTGAAATGGGAGCAACACCCAACCTAGGAGGGGTCTGGAATGGGAATCCCATTCCACCCGGTGCAGAGACTGTATTCGGGATACCCAGAACTTGTCCCGCATCGCTCACAAATGATCCGCTGTGCGTCGCAGAAAACGACGGATGAACAATAAAATTGTCGTGTGAGTAAAGTACCGGTTGATTGACCGTGGGCGCAGGTTGATGGAATATTAGAGGAGGCTGGTGATAAACCACCGGAGGCCTATGCACGATAACTGCAGGCTGGTGATAGATTATTGGCGGGCGCCGAATAAGAAGTGGCGCACGGTGAACGACGATCTCTGGCCGATGATAAATTTCCGGTGGGGGATGATAAATAATGGGTGGTCGATTAACGACCACATCTTTCTTTTTCTTCTGTGAAACCTAAATAAATACAAAGCTCCAAAAACAAAACAGACAATACTATGATAAAAACCACGTGGACTGACATATCTAGGGCACGTTAATACAAAAAAGAAAACGACGACAAAAACAACCTTATTTTTCTTATCGACTTTTCCCTTCGTCTTCTGCTTCGAGCGAGGAACTTTATTGCGCCTCTCTATATTCTTTGAGCCCGCTGTCTTATTCTCTTTCGCTTTCTTTGGTTTGCGTGGTACGGCACCTTTCTTATAACCTCTCGTGGGCCACGGATAGCCAAGATAGTTGTGAGCATGCGTGTAACTAGAGCCAATATGAGTTAAGGCTGGATGCGTGAAGAAGTTATCCCAGGCTCTATATATTGGCTGGCTTACCAAAGGCAGAGGTCGGTGAAATATAACAGGTGATTGCCTATAGACGACCGGAGGTCTGTGGACAATGACCGGTGCTTGGTGATACACGATGGGTGGTCTATGGAAGAGCACTGGAGGCCGATGAAGCACAATGTCCGGTCGGTGATATACCTCGGGTGGAGGATGATATATGATTGGAGGACGATGAACAGAGATGTCCTCCTTTTTGGATCCTCTAATATCTTTCGTTTTTTGATTCTTCGAAGAGCGCTTGCTGCTGTGATTTTCATTTAGTGATCTGTTAACGAAAGAGGTGCGTTTATCTAATGAATGCTTCAAATGCGACGACATCGTTTAGAAATATAACATAAAGTGACACGGCCAATGCAGATATGAAGTTCACGTGAAAGAACAAATCACAACTATAAAAAAATGTTCACTTACCGTCTTTCATTATCGTGAATCATACGAGGTGACTTACGAATACGGTGTTCACGATGTAATTCGGACTCTTCGCTAAAAGCAACATGTTTTCCTTCTGCAATTAAGCTTCTAACGTTCTTTGCGATTCCTTGATCAAACTTTCCGGCCGAGTTATGGCCAACACTGCCACTGGCTTTGTTGTTACCGCTTGCAGACAAGTCACTTGTCTTGTTGTTGGCTTTCTTGTACTCATCAGTTTTGTTGATTTTATCTTTCTTGAAAAACCCACCTCGTCTCATGCCCATCATGTTGGATAATTCATTTGACATTCCACGAAACATGGCGCTACTTGTGCCACTATATGGACCCATTGAGCCATCACCTCTCATGTCACTTGCTTCGAAGCTACGGCCACCCAAATCCGAGCTCATTCTATCGAAAGGGCTCATCCCATAGGACGAAAAATCACCAAGTCCTTCCTTGTATCGATTTAAACCGAGGATTTTTTGAACGTTTTCCCCTCTGGCTAGGGCTTGCAATTGATCCTGGTTTGGCATGCCCCAGAACTCCAAAACGTTTTTGCGACGCATGGCACCTTGATCGAACGGTGTTCTTAGTGGCATGCCCATCATTGATTCCATTTGTGTCAGTCTATTCATGGGAGGTATATTTCCCATGGAAGCCATTCCTCCCATAAAGGGCATTTGTCCGCCAACATTGTTCATGCCAGGCATCCCAAACATTGATCCCATTCGCCCTAGGGTGGACATCCCCCCTATTGGCGACATACCTCCAAAAGGAGACAATGCCCGAGGGGCCATTTCATTCATGGAATTATCTGGAATGGCAAATCGATTTGCAGAATTTGCTTCCATGGTTGGTGATCGTTGAAGAAATTGTTGTATATTGGGTGTAGTCATGGCTCCTTCGCGTGCCATGAAAGCCATAGCAGATGCTTCAGGCATCATAGGTGTTGGAGCATTCATCATAGGAGGCAATGGTTGCGAGAAAGAGAAGGGCGGGCTTCCAAAGCCACTTTCCACTCCTGGCATGGTATTGAAACGCATGCGCTCAAAAATATCTGGATACATGATATGCTGGCGATGTCGTAACCACGGTAACATATGACGACGATGAAAGTGGTGGCGTCTGATCAATGGCGAGTGCATAAAGGATAGAGGTCGCATTCGGTGGAAATGACGACGATGGGGGCGCACCATACTGGGAAGAACAGGAGTAAATGTTCGGCGTTCGGCAACAACATCTTGGGGATTAGACACAACCTGCAGGGAAGCAGGCTTCGCCTTTACTCGCACACCAGTGGAGTCAGCATGGATTTCGAGGTCGGCAGACTTCTCTTTATCTTGAAAATCTTCATCTGAAGGATCGATCAAGGAATTGCTCAGAATATCGGGTACAACATCACGTCGACGACTAGCAATTTGATTGACTGCATTTGTCTTAGAAGACCCTTCCTTTTTTGTGTGTTTAGGTCCGTTATGATCACTTTCGTACGAATATAAATTGCCATCTTGACTGAATGTTGAAGCCTCCTTGCCCTTATGAAGCCTGTTTACTTCCTTTTCTTTTGGGATAGTATTCCTTTTCGCAACTTTCTCTATTCGTTCTACGTTGATTTTTGACGTGAGGGGAACCTCAAGGGAGACGTCATTATCAATATTATACACAGCCTTGCTGCCAATCAATTTGTGTCGCATGCTGTCCAGAACAGGGTCCTCGGCTGTAGGAATGTTTGATTTTCGGTACATATCCGTCTCAATCTTGTCAGAGGTCTGTTCTAGATTATGAATGGCTATCTCTGGGTACATGGCGTTTGCGGGAACAAAATCATCTGGAAAAAATGTATGAATATTTATTGTTCGTTACGGCATGTAGTTGTATGATTCTGGCATTGAATTGTGGAATAGTGCGTCTGATGCATTACCATAAGTTATGCCGGTCGGGAGGGGAAATCATCAAAGTTGAACAATATGTTTCTCTCCTACACTCTTTACTCATTAATTCCACAATGTTATTCGCTGTCGTGAAATAATATTCCCCTTTATCACACTTCTAACAAAAAGACGATTTTATGTGTCAAGTTTTGACTCTGGGGAATCGTCATAGTATTTCTTAAACTATTCATCGACAAGATTTTTTGCACATCTCCAATATTCCTCGTGGAATCGAAATGAAAACAGTAGAAAACCTAGGGTGACGAGGAGACAATTAAGCAATCACTTTCCCTAAACTTTTACTTCAAGAAATAGGGTTTAATAATGTTTTATGTAAAAGAAAAACCAAAAGCCGAGCTCGATCATGATCAATGAAGTGACATATAATTACAAAGCGACAGACAATCTGCGTTGATCTTAAATCTACTAGATGACACACCGACAGATAATCAGTGTTGATCTTAAATCTACTAGATGACACACCGACAGATAATCAGCGTTGATCTTAAATCTACTAAAGCCAGTTAGTTTACAAGTTATACACGTTTAATTTTATTTCTGTTTTAAAGTCAATTCAAAATTTCAAAATTTTTTTGAATCATGTCCGACCTATATATACCTATGTTGTAAGTGTTGAAAAGATCTTACGATACCACAATAAATAGCTCTGATATTAAAGTGGATAAGTATGAGGAAACATGAATGTACAAAACATAAAAGAGAAAATGATATTAAAGTGAATATGCATAAGGGAAACATGATTGTACAAAACATAAAAGAGAAAATGATATTAAAGTGAATATGCATAAGGGAAACATGAATGTACAAACATAATAAAAGAAAAAATACAACCAACCTTTTTTTGAGCTTTTTGTGTCGTCTTCATTATCCAAGGATCGTTTAACTCGATCACTACTTTCTACATTTCCACCAGATTTCGCGAATTCTTGCGATAGTCGAGAAAAGTGCAAGCCACCCGTCCGTTTCGCGACACAACTTGTCAAAGAAAACCAAAGCAAAAATAACGAAGCTTTGGGCGCCGTACGCCTTTTCATGATAAATCTCAGCAACTCATTGACGTTGCTCTACACTGTGTAACACAAGCCCTCGAATATTTCAGGAAAATCGAGGAGATTTTCATTAACTAAACACGAAATGGCGCTCGCGGTTTCTTCCTCGTTTACCTACAGATATGATATCACGAGGATGGAATTTTATAGAGGACGAGTTAAAAGGACCGTTAGATTGTGTGCGCCATCCACCTGTTTAAAATCATGAGCGGCGACATCTGATTGGACGATGAGCAATAAATTTTAAGAACATTCATTGAACTGCGCTGTTTGTAACAAACTATAGTGTTGATCTTACACGTATAAATTGCATATTGAATGAAACAAACGTAATCTTTATAAAAACTTGTTAGCTATCACGCATTACTATGGGGTTCATAAATTGTTGCGCCAAAAGGTGTATCATGGGATACATAACAATACGCTTCCATGAGTCGAGTACAAGAATTTGCGCGTGCAACAACGCTGAATGCATTTGTAACTCGCGGACCTCAGCCTTCATATCATATACTTGTATATGAAGTACTGTCAATTATCATATTCATAGTCATTGACTGGGGGAAGATATTCAAATTCCTGGATGAAACTAACCTCTACCTTCATATTATACACTTGTATATGAAGTACTGTCAATTATCATATTCATAGTCATTGACTGGGGGAAGATATTCAAATTCCTGGATGAAACTAACCTCTACCTTCATATCATATACTTGCATATGGCGTACTGTATATTAACATATTCATAGTCATTGACAGGGGGAAGATATTCAAATTCCTGGATGAAACTAACCTCTACCTTCATATCATATACTTGTATATGAAGTATTGTCAATTATCATATTCATAGTCATTGACTGGGGGAAGATATTCAAAGTCCTGGATGAAACTAAAAGGGGAAATGCCTAACTGATGTAGAGTTCTTTAATTTTTGAGCTCTTGTGTAAAGCAACAAAATGGCGAGTACTTTTTCATAGATGTAAAACAGCTTGTTTTACATAAAAATAAGCAATCACAAAACAGATGAATCCGGGAAGATTTTTTTCAATTCTGCAAATCTTTTGATTGGAGATATTTTTTAGAATTGTGCTCAATTGAACACAAACAAATCACAATTGCTTTTGTCTTTTAACGGTTTGATATATTATTAATTCGAAAAGAAATTTATTCCGCTTTCACACCCCTGAACAAATCCACCGGACCATCTTTTCGGAATAAAAAAGTATGTTTGATTCACAGTTACTGTCACGAATAGCATCTTTTCAAAAACGTATACGCAAAAAATTTCAATTTGCCATTCATCTAAAGTCGAACTTCATAATTTGAATCAGATTCCGATACCAACGTTGCCAAACACAAAAAGATGAGCATTTAATGAAAACGACAAATAGACGACGTTTTAACACCTCATGATGCCATCTTCAGTATTAGAGAGTATATTTAGTGACGCACCGATATCGGTATCGGCTTTAAAATAGAATCAGCTATCAATATCCGTATTTTTCTTGCTCAAAATACCAATATTTAGACATAACATTGAAATAGAAGTACAATTGAAACGAATCATGGTTTAGCAACACTAAATGTATTACCTTAACAATTTACGTCGAATTAATACTACTTAAAATTTTTCAGTTCCACATGACATTAATTTTCATTGACAATTATGCTGTGAAATATAGCTGCAGTGTAAATAAACACTTGAATATTATATTTTTTTTTGTAAAATGAACAGTCCCTGGTGAGCACAAAGTGGCATACTTTATGATGTTTAAGTTTCGTTGAATTGCATTTTAATATCAGTTAATCGGTACATCTGTTACATTCATCACTGAGTATATTACTGATCATAAGCTTTTTAAACTGCCAAAAGTCAGATAGGAAAACCTTTCAATAGTAATTGTGTGCAAGGTAAACAATGTTGTAAGAAAAACTTACATGTGAATGGCATCATCCTGTTTTTTTCCTGCTATTCAGGAATTTACTGTCACAGTGATAACTAAAAAAGCGAAAAGCAACGTGTTAAGTTGAAAATATTTTCGTAAACAATAAAGGAAAATTTTATTACTATTATGTGACTGCATCCTAAAATTTTCAATATATTTTGGAAGCAACATTTATAGAAATGGGAACGAACAATGTAATCTGGTGATTCCACAAAACAATACTTATTTAACAACTTGCAACCACACAACTCGCAATAACAATACATCGTGTTAAAATGCATTCTGACACAAGTCAAAATGCATCCTGTATCAAAATGAACAATACATCCTGTAACCACACATATCACAAGATTCACTTATTCGAGAATTTGGGAACAAAGTTGCCTAATAACTGCCCTGCTCCACACTTTGCCTCTGATGTTAAAGAGTTCACATTTCATTGCAAACATTTTTTTACGCATGTTGAGCTGCTGAATTTCATCTTAAAAACTGAACATGCTTTGCCGCATAGAAATTATATTGCTGCTAAGCTGTTGTAAGCGATCTTATGCAAACATTTAAGAAAATTCTGCAATATGCCATGTTTGGCTCGGGAAAATTTTATTAATGTCCGTTATATCGAACAGCGCACTGGATGTATACACACGACCCGCATGTATTAAGTGAAAAGAGGCAATTTATAAACATAAGGCAATTTACGAATACACGAAGGAAGGATTAACGCGGTCGCGTTGTAATTCTATAAAATACACGAGAGGATTTATATAATTGCGTTGTATCATTTGTAAAAAACAGCTCGCGATGTTGTTTGTCTAGAAGTTCAGGTGAGCCAGGTATCACTACTATATGGAACAGGATTGTTTTTGGCAAAAGAATTTAGAGTTATTGTAGCGAAACAAAGCTACCGGCTATCGTCAAAATCGTTGCACTGGTGGCAAAAATATCAAAGAACGCAAAGTGATTCGATGAAGAACCGACTTCGTTTATTGTGAAAGTACTATAAACACAAGGCTTCTTCTTCCTGAAAGGTAAAACGATCCATAGTCCTATGATAGGAGGTTTTGTGTACGAAATATCAATTTTCATCGACAAAAATTTCTGTTTTTGATGAAAAGTTGAACGCGATGATGTTATGTTGTTATGAAATTATCGTGTGGATATGAATCTTTCATGCATTCAAGACTTATTTTATAAATAAACAGAGCTAGAAAATCAATATAATTGTGTAGACGATGCGTATTTCCACTAATCTTGATATCGGGAAACCAGTACAGCACTTTTCGTGCCCTCATTTCGTGCCCGTTAATAAGGGCGTAATTCGGGCCTCAAGATTGGGGAGGGGAGAAGGGACTTAATTTAATTGAAATTTCAACGATCTCAAACATACGTACAAGAGTCTTTCCCAAAGAGTATACTATCAGCTGATATAATGCAGCCAAAAATTTAGGAAAAAGTTCACTTTTTAGGGCCAAATCAACATCCGCGGGAAGCTTTCTAAGCAGCAAACAGTCTCTTTAAATCATCCCAACATCTTTCAGTAGCCATTCAAATCGTATTTTTAGACAGATACTGGGGAAAAGTCATAAAACAATGCAGCGTTTCTTTGTCGCGCTCGTTCTGTGTCTCGCTGTTATGACACTTGTACGCGGTGCTGCCCTGAATCGAGAAAGACGCAGCTTCGACGAAGACATCGAAGACAGGGCAACAGTCACGCGAACAACTAAAAAAACAACTGACGAATCAGAAGTGAGGACGATTTGGCCTACTAAAAACGAATCAAGGAGCTCTGATTCCAATGATCAGTCGACTTCTTCCGAAAATCCACCAAACACGCAGGAAAGTGGCAAAGACACCACTACCAATAAGAAGGGAGAGTCGACAAACAACGAAGATAAGTCGAACACACACGAAGAAAGTAATGAAGATGTAGCAGATACCAAAGACGCAAAAAATACACCAAGTGAATCTTCAGCAGCTTTTGAAAAGGACAATTTGGAAACTTCCGACAAGCTTACGATAAAAAACAAAAAGAAAACAAAAAAGAGATGGTTCGGTTGGAATCCCAGTTTTAGTTATCCAGGATTTGCCCATGGGTTTCCACTTGGTTTTGGTGTCTATGGTCCAGGGTTAGGATTAGGGCCAGCAGGATTAGCCAACACCTGGAATTATGGCTTATATCCGTACGGTTATGGAGGTCTGTTATATCGTCACAAAGTGCCAAAGGGTAAAAAGGGGACAAAACGAAATTTCCTGTTTGGTGCATACCCTGGGTATGGGAGGCTAACACGTGGAGCTTTACCATTCGGAAACACACCATGGAAATCGGGTTTGGGAGCGGAAATCTCAGAACGGTTTTACCGCAACAAAGTGCAAATCCCAGATAGCTCCAAAAAATGGTATATTCCCGTAGGTGTAGGATACGGTAATGCGTTTGGTGTAGCATTCCCCGATAAGCCCATGAGTAATCCATCACAGGGTTTGGACTTAGGAAGTTCATATCAGGATAACATGATGTCATTATCTGATCAGCAGATAGGGAACTCTCCTTTAAAACGGGACGATATAAACAAAAGATTCCTAGGTCAAGGATTAGGCTGTAATGGTTTAGGTTGCCAGTATCCGGGACCTTTAGGCGTTGGTCTTGGTTATGGTATGGGCCCATGCTGGCATGGCAGTTGTGGAAGCCCATTTGGACCTTTGAGTCTTGGCAACTTGCCCGGTATGTTAAATTGCGGGGGTTGCACATGGGCATACAAGAACAACATAGATAAAAATGGTAAGATGAAGCGCGATCTGGATTTTGTATGTAAGAAAGATAAAAATGGTAACAAAGCAAAGAGGTGTCTAAGCGCATGGCCAGTTTTTGGTGGATGGGGAGGTTATAGTGGTTTCGGAGGTATTGGAGGCTGGGGGTATGGCTTACATCCGGGATATGGTTTGTTAGCTGATGGGTTATATGGTTCAGGATATGGATTAGGTCTAGGTTGTGGAGGATGTGGATTTGCGTACAAGTCTAAAATAGGCAAAGATGGAAAGGCAAAACGCGAATTAGTTTATGCTTGTGATAAAAATAAAGCTAAATGCAAACGATTCTTTGGCGGCTTGAATGGATATGGTTTAGGTTATCCTTTAGGATGGGGAGGATTAGGATTTGGAGGGTACGGATTGGGATTAGGAGGATACGGATTAGGAGGACTGGGTGGGTTATACGGTCCAGGATACAGTGGGTTATATGGTTCAGGATATGGATTAGGTCTGGGTTGTGGAGGATGTGGATTTGCGTACAAGTCTAAAATAGGCAAAGATGGAAAGGAAAAACGCGAATTAGTTTATGCTTGTGATAAAAATAAAGCTAAATCCAAACGATGCTTTGGCAGCTTGAATGGATATGGTTTAGGTTATCCATTAGGATGGGGAGGATTAGGATTTGGAGGATACGGATTGGGATTAGGAGGGTACGGATTAGGAGGACTGGGCGGGTTGTACGGTCCAGGATACAGTGGGTTATACGGTTCAGGATATGGATTAGGTCTGGGTTGTGGAGGATGTGGATTTGCATATAAGTCAAAAATAGGCAAAGATGGAAAGGCAAAACGCGAATTAGTTTATGCTTGTGATAAAAATAAAGCAAAATCCAAACGATGCTTTGGCAGCTTGAATGGATATGGTTTAGGTTATCCATTCGGATGGGGAGGATTAGGATTTGGAGGATACGGATTGGGATTAGGAGGGTACGGATTAGGAGGACTGGGCGGGTTGTACGGTCCAGGATACAGTGGGTTATATGGTTTAGGATATGGATTAGGTCTGGGTTGTGGAGGATGTGGATTTGCATACAAGTCAAAAATAGGCAAAGATGGAAAGGCAAAACGCGAATTAGTTCATGCTTGTGATAAAAATAAAGCTAAATGCAAACGATTCTTTGGCGGCTTGAATGGATATGGTTTAGGTTATCCTTTAGGATGGGGAGGATTAGGATTTGGAGGGTACGGATTGGGATTAGGAGGATACGGATTAGGAGGACTGGGTGGGTTATATGGTCCAGGATACAGTGGGTTATACGGTTCAGGATATGGATTAGGTCTGGGTTGCGGAGGATGTGGATTTGCATACAAGTCAAAAATAGGCAAAGATGGAAAGGCAAAACGCGAATTAGTTTATGGTTGTGATAAAAATAAAGCTAAATGCAAACGATTCTTTGGGGGCTTGAATGGAATTGGTATAGGTTATCCTTTAGGATGGGGAGGATTAGGATATGGAGGGTACGGATTGGGATTTGGAGGTGCAGTTAGGAGGACTGGGTGGGTTATACGGTCCAGGATACAGTGGGTTATACGGTTCAGGATATGGATTAGGTCTGGGTTGCGGAGGATGCGGATTTGCGTACAAGTCTAAAATAGGCAAAGATGGAAAGGAAAAACGCGAATTAGTTCATGCTTGTGATAAAAATAAAGCTAAATGCAAACGATTCTTTGGCAGCTTGAATGGAATTGGTATAGGTTATCCTTTAGGATGGGGAGGATTAGGATTTGGAGGGTACGGATTGGGATTTGGAGGGTACGGATTAGGAGGACTGGGTGGGTTATACGGTCCAGGATACAGTGGGTTATACGGTTCAGGATATGGATTAGGTCTGGGTTGCGGAGGATGCGGATTTGCGTACAAGTCTAAAATAGGCAAAGATGGAAAGGAAAAACGCGAATTAGTTCATGCTTGTGATAAAAATAAAGCTAAATGCAAACGATTCTTTGGCAGCTTGAATGGAATTGGTATAGGTTATCCTTTAGGATGGGGAGGATTAGGATATGGAGGGTACGGATTGGGATTAGGAGGATACGGATTGGGATTAGGCGGGTACGGATTAGGAGGACTGGGTGGGTTGTACGGTTCAGGATATGGATTAGGTCTAGGATGTGGAGGATGTGGATTTGCATACAAGTCTAAAATAGGCAAAGATGGAAAGGAAAAACGCGAATTAGTTTATGCTTGTGATAAAAATAAAGCTAAATGCAAACGATTCTTTGGCAGCTTGAATGGAATTGGTATAGGTTATCCTTTAGGATGGGGAGGATTAGGATATGGAGGGTACAGTTGGGATTAGGAGGATACGGATTGGGATTAGGCGGGTACGGATTAGGAGGACTGGGTGGGTTGTACGGTTCAGGATATGGATTAGGTCTAGGATGTGGAGGATGTGGATTTGCATACAAGTCTAAAATAGGCAAAGATGGAAAGGAAAAACGCGAATTAGTTCATGCTTGTGATAAAAATAAAGCTAAATCCAAACGATGCTTTGGCAGCTTGAATGGATATGGTTTAGGTTATCCATTAGGATGGGGAGGATTAGGATTTGGAGGATACGGATTGGGATTAGGAGGACTGGGCGGGTTGTACGGTCCAGGATACAGTGGGTTATACGGTTCAGGATATGGATTAGGTCTGGGTTGTGGAGGATGTGGATTTGCATATAAGTCAAAAATAGGCAAAGATGGAAAGGCAAAACGCGAATTAGTTTATGCTTGTGATAAAAATAAAGCTAAATCCAAACGATGCTTTGGCAGCTTGAATGGATATGGTTTAGGTTATCCATTAGGATGGGGAGGATTAGGATTTGGAGGATACGGATTGGGATTAGGAGGGTACGGATTAGGAGGACTGGGCGGGTTGTACGGTCCAGGATACGGCTTTGGTCTAGGCTTTGGTGGATGTGGCACATTCTATCGTTCAAAAGTCGATAAAAACGGGAAAACTAGCAGACGCCATCTTTGTGACAGCCCCATTGCACATGCTCCATTTGCTTCTCTGAGAAACAGATTTAATGCCGGCTTTGGGCCATATGCTCGGGCACCCTGGTGGGGAGGTTATGCTTTGGGGGTATATCCAGGGTTAGGTCCATACAGTTTTGGTGTTGTGAGTAAATCAAAGATTGGTAAAAGTAAAACTTTAAAGAAATGTGGTATAGCTGGGTGTATGGGAGGATTAGGTTTAGGGTTGGACAGTTATCAAGGACCATCAACAGTAGGCTTGGGTTCTCCAGGATCTGGGTTTGGCACATATCCTACCCGCTTTCCATGGATGAAAACGTTTCCTTCGGTACGCTCTGCTGTTAGTTCAAGCAAAAAAGGGCAAAAGCGTGGGTACATCCCTTCCAAGAAACAGACCATTCATTTAGGATACGGTTATGCCAGTGGTGACAACTACAGGTTAGGCTATGGTCTTGGAGGCATGGGTGCATTAGATCCTTTGCAATCACACAATGGAATAGCACCAGTCGTACCAAATGTACCACATGTACCACATGTGTTTGGTAGATCCAAAGTGCCTCGGCAAATGATTGGATTGCCAAGTCATGATACTGGTGACATTGGTACTCCTTTTGGTTATTCTGCCAACCCTGGACAAGTAGGACACCCCGTTTTACATCCAGGATACTCAACAATGGCATATCCTGGTCATGCAATTGCAACTGCTGATGTGAAAAAGGTAATTTCGTTTTACATTGTAAAACTTGCATTGTAAGACCAGCTATTTGCAAGTACTGTATTAGCAGCTAGCCTCACCATGTAAGTACAGTATCACAGGATTTCCACTGAGAAGAAACTTTAACTCATACCTCATAGCACAGTTGTCAAAAGAAGAGAAGTGTAGTGTGTCAGAGAAAAGTAGCTAAAGTTGTTTGTTGTAAATAGCACTCAAAGTCTGAAGGAAAACAATTGTTTAATTGCTGCTGGCATAAAACCATACTAACACCTTGTTGTAGGGAAAAGTTCCAGCTGACTCAACTTCAAAGAGACAAGTACTAGTCCGTCCGGGACATACGGGACTAGCACTTGGACATGGTCCAATTGGACCAGTAGCGGGACCAGGTAGTTTTCCTACACATCTTATCACACATCCTGGTTTCTCAACATTAGGATTTCCTGGTCATGCCATGGCATCATTAGACATTAAGGTAATTTATTTTATCTCTAACGAGGCAATTAAAATCACAAATTTATCAATGTCATCGTGTGCACAAGCTGGCATGAGAGTAACATCATTTTCTAAAACCAAACAACCTGAAAATTTCTTAATTTAAAATGAGCTTGTAATGACTGTATTGCACATCCTGAATGACATTTGCTTCATCAAACAACAAAGCAGTTAAAGTTACAGTTTCAGCATAATAAAAATCAAACAGAAAATATTTTAGTTGAGTGATGCTTTGGCACTTTAAGTGATAGATATTTTTATTGGTACTTTTGTTAATTTTTAAAAGAGAAAAGCAAAACCCATTTCCACTTTACACACACCTGTTCAATTATACAACATTACTTTGTGAAAACACATCGCATGGCTGTGTGCAAACTGCATGTTAAAGTATTACATACACCTGTGCAATTATACAACATTGCTTTGTGAAAACACATCGCATGGCTGTGTGCAAACTGCATGTTAAAGTATTACATACACCTGTGCAATTATACAACATTACTTTGTGAAAACACATCACATGGCTGTGTGCAAACTGCATGTTAAAGTATTACATACACCTGTGCAATTATACAACATTGCTTTGTGAAAACACATCACATGGCTGTGTGCAAACTGCATGTTAAAGTATTACATACACCTGTGCAATTATACAACATTGCTTTGTGAAAACACATCACATGGCTGTGTGCAAACTGCATGTTAAAGTATTACATACACCTGTGCAATTATACAACATTGCTTTGTGAAAACACATCACATGGCTGTGTGCAAACTGCATGTTAAAGTATTACATACACCTGTGCAATTATACAACATGGCTTGGTGCAAACACGTCACATGGCTGTGTGCAAACTGCATGTTAAAGTATTACATACACCTGTGCAATTATACAGCATGGCTTGGTGCAAACACGTCACATGGCTGTGTGAAAACAGTAGCACCAGACATTGCTCATTCCATACAAGTCAACAGTACACAACCACAGAAGTTTCATTAAAACTCTGCTATTTACACTGAATACTTTGAATATCATTGTCGGCCAGAGTTCTAATAGAAAGTTTTAAATTAATAGTAATTTTAATAGAAGTGCTGCAGTGGACTTTCTTTAAGATGCCTGCTACTTTCAAAATATTGAAACACCAGAATCATGAGGAGTGTAGAATCCCCTCCCTACCCCCCCGCAGTTCCCAATATCACCACCACCAATACCCCCAAGCTTGAAAGTTGAAACTGATGACAGACCCAATCTCAAATACATCCCAATGAATTATTGTCATGCTAGAAAAGTAATGTCAAGTTAAATACCTTACACAGCACAAGATTCCAGAAAAGAAAAGCCGTTCAAAACGTCAAGCAATATTAGCTAGTCCTGTTGGCCGTTTAATGGCTGGCTTCCCGGGAATGGTAACACATCCTTCTCTTGTACCAAACTTTGCCTCATCTTCCATTGCATCAGCTCCTGTGGCAATGCGGAGCCCACTTATGTATTTGACTTCACCATCCGTTGCCCGCAGGTCAATGTCAGTTGGTAGTCAACTAATGCGTAAGTATTTGAAATTACTCGTCGGCTTCGAAGGAGAAAGCCACAATAAATTCTTGAATACTTGTCCATAATATTCTTCAGTAGACGGGTAGGTATAGACTATTCTGCCTTATGCAGGTTGTCGAACTTGAAAACTAAAGAGTTTAAGGCAAACACCATTTCACACTATCGGATGAAAAAAATAGGAAATTTAATGACAAAGAGCGCGCTTTACTGCAAAGCAACTTCAAATTTTTAAAGTTTGAAAAAGCCCGCGAGGCTTACGTAGCTTAGCAACCAAGTCACACCAGTCTCACATACATAGGTATTCCCTAAAGTACGTGATGTACCTTATTGAACATCTCTCGATCCACTGCTTGATCCTCTTTTTCCGCCATTGACATTGATCAACCTTGGTTAACCATCATTTTTGATACGTATTGAAGTGAAAATTGGTGCAGATGAGCATCAATTGCTATCTCTACGAGGTATTTATTAAAAAAGGAAAAATACACCAATTTACTTCCATTTTTGTAGCATCGCAAAGTCTGACAAATCCTTTCCAACGCCTAACACCTGGCCTTGCACCTGCAATGGAAGCACCAATTTTTCCAATGGGAAAGTAAAAAATGGCACGCACGGCAAACTGTATGCAGATACATACATGACAAGTATCCAAAGAAATGGCAAGAGGTCTTAAGCAGTACATATTTAAACATGATGCAATTAGTTCGAAAATTCTAACATTTATAAGGTTGCATTAACAACCATGTAGTGGATAAGATGTTAAATAAGTTTATTAGACAGAAAAGCAATTTGAGTATTACGTTGTTAGTCGCTCGGATTTGTTTGTCTCGATCGCTTCCTTAAACAAATTGTACAAAATATATGGTTCTCTTCAAAAAGGAATTTCCCTCGAATCAAGACGTTAAAATCCATAAAAAAAGTCACATACCTCGCATACCTCGCATACCATAAGTCACATACCTCGCTGTTGGGAGCAATGCAGTCTAAACTCGAGTAAAGCCGGATTAAGCTTAATCAACAACCAACTTCTCAAAGCAAAATACTCCGTCTCATGTAGTCTATCTTCTCAGTAATCTTTTGCTATAAAAGTTACACAGCGCCATTGCTCATCATTATTCTCAGTTACTGTTTTCGTTTAAACTTTTGCCTTCTCTTTTCATTCGTCTAAGGTTTTGAAATTTAGAATTGAAAAAACTCGGCTAGTTTGTAATTTTCTCAAACGTGACTCGATAGTGCTTAGAGAATAACAAATATTTTCAATTGCAAAGCACAAATCGTGGAGTAGACCGTCTCTTTGGGATTGTCGATGTTAGAACGAACATGCTGTTATCTCTGTTATTTTCGAGGCCCATGGTGGAAATACACAGTGGAAATACTTAAAGCTTGTTTTTACAAATCTCGTCTTCTGCTTCTTCTCATATACTCTGGATGTCTTCATCACCTACTTTAGACTCAATTATCATGGTGCTAAACCTTGACATACAAAAATATATGAACATCGATGAATAGTGCATCGATGAATTGTGTAGAAAATCATCTACAACACACATTTTAGATACAGCTGGAAAGCTAAAGGATCATCGTTATTCGCGTTGAATCCATAATTCAGTTTAGTTTGTAAAAACACACTAATTCGATAACGCCACAAACTCGTTAAAAAATGGTAACTTTTCAACAAATTCATCAAACAAACCGTTTAGAGCAATTAAACTAATTGAAACTAAAAGCATTCGTAAGGTATAAATCGAAATCGGTTTATTGATGACAAGATAATACCAATGGTATCATACGCAAGCAGTCAAAAACAACAGCTAAGTCAGGCTTTTGACTAGTAATGCTCTATAGCGATGATAAACATCCACTACTAAAGTTGGTATACTTTACATACAGCATGTCTGATCGATGCAAAGCTGTAACTAAAGCAGGAGAAAGATTCGCCAGTCGTTAAATACATTATCATTTTTCTGTAGTGTAACTTACATATAATGTTTTGCCACTTGTTCATATGAAAATTTTTTTCGCCGAGCAATTTGACTGCCTGTATATCATACGAGGGATAGAAGTTACACATTCGAAATATAAAACGATCAACGGCAGAAAAAGCTGCTTGTGCATCATACGGTAGCATTCTCATCAAACTTTTCATATAATTCACAAATTCTCTTCTTCTTTACACAAAATATAGACATCGACAAAAAATTTAAAATGTTGCATTAAAATTTTCCTTAAAATTGTTTCTCTAGCATTCAAGCAGACACTTACCCATATTCATAAAGCCTTTCACATGCATGTCCTCATAGTCAACCTGTAACTAACTTGATCCGTTATTCCATCGCACCAAAACCTCGAGCTAGGTATTGCGCGATCTGCACCTCATAGATCCATCATTTCAACAGACGCTGCTTATCCAATGTGGTTTATTCGTATAGTCTGGAAAACGCTCGGGCTGACCTTGCCACAAACTTGCATGCATCGGCACTAAATATTATAAGTACAATCATACTGGTATTCTATTGCAAACGATTTAAGTTGATTGGTAGCTCTACTCGTTATTCAACTAATAATTAGATTAATACCAAGCAAGTTTTGTCATAAATTTCAGCTTTTTGTTGACGCAGCATTTGTACGTAACTTCAAAAGACACTGCGCAATATTCCCACTCGGTAAACAAAACATTAAAAAACCACGACTTAATTCAATCCTACCCCACCCCACCCCCCTTTTGTCCTCAACACTTTGGTATGATTACCTTGTGACCTCTTGATGAAAGTCAAAAATCTGTTGTTTCGTGATTATAGTTGCCCCGCTGACGGCTTGTGTGGGTAGCATCTCCAATGCTTTTACTAGCCAGATACTCGCTTGCTGATACACACGAAAAGAACATAACCAAGAACATTAAACATGCTGTAAACGTTACGTAATCAAAGAAGGACAAATTAAAATAGTATAGTAAGGGACATCATGCATGCTTTAACAAATCGTCATTCACCCAAAGAAGGCTAAAATAGGATAATAAAGGACATGTAACGAATGGTCTTTTTCTTCATGAATATAGCTACAAACCTCTTTATTCCATTGGAACATTTCCCAAACCACTTCCCCGACACCAGGAACCATATACGAAGGGATTTTTCCAGCACACGCTTGAACCAAACCTGTATTACAATAAAGAGTAACTATTTACATACGACCAAGATCCGCGTGGGCAAATAATGTGGCTCTTTCTTAATCGAGTCGATCATAAAAAACTAAGGATCCAAGGATTGTGCTAAGGTTCAAACAACTTCTGCATCTTTGGCATATACTTTAGGAAAACCTTTAACATGTTCATATATTTTTCACTTGTGGATATCTTTTACAATACAACTGTCCCATTTACTGTTTTATGCATCATGAACAAAAGAATTGATGGACTTCATGACAAACAAGAATTGCCTGCTTTCCTTGTCTCGTTTAATGTTGAAATAAAGCATTGAAGTGGACTTTAAAGCTTTCACAATGATAACATTAAATAAGAGAAGCACTTTTGTATCGTCTAGATCAGGGGTCTCCAAACTACGGCCTGCGGGCCAGATGCGGCCCGTTGGGCCTCTCAATCCGGCCCGCAGAGACAATTAAGAAAGCCAATTTCACCACTCACATTGAGAAAACTGAACAGACTAATTGTGATTTTGTTATGATATTACACTTGGTTGAAATTTAACCTTTAAATTTTGAATAAATATTTTCTTAACTAAAGAAGCTTGTGTTATGTACTTCGTTTTATTAAAATATTCGCTCTTTGACCAGCGGTATACGATTCGTCGGCCCTCAACAAGCTGGATGAAAGTTCATGTGGCCCTCTGGCTGTAAAGTTTGGAGACCCCTGGTCTAAAGAGAGCCCCATTTTCATTTGAAAAAAAAACTGTCTAGGTATCTGCACATGCGTACCTATCATAATTTCTTGTCCGTGTTTGGCAAGTACTTGCGTGATTAGATTTCTCAAAATGGAAGAATCAAATCCTGTATCACTGGGACCACGAATGAGATCGCGGAAAAACGTCATCACGGACGCGTTTGCCTCTCGATGTGATAACGTAGACGTTGCCACGCCATATTTGATTAGATTGTCAGCAGCCAGACTGCCTAAAAACTCCACCGGACACGTTTGAACGCATCTTAAATGGCAAAAAAAGCAACATACGGATCTTTCACACAAAAAAAAACCGAGTGATGTCTTATTTGCAAATAACGTACAACTACAAATTACGACAAACCTTGTACAAAGTCGAAAAAGATCATCTATGGTATCTGGATGCTGTACAAATGATTCGGTACTCGATAAAAGCGCAAAAGTCGGTGGACAAAACGCCTAAAATAATATTTCACGTGAGCGACAGGAGGCTTCTGGCAAACGTCCTATTTGCGATGTTACATGACGTTTTGGGATGATACAAGTTCCCACATCCAATACCTCAAGCATTTGTATAAGACCAGGAACGCATTGTTTATTTGTTCCAAACTCGTCGACTAAAACACTTCCCAAGTACAAGAAACATGAATGATGTGTAGTTGTATACACCTCGACCATCTGACTGACCAAATCACCAAGGAGAGGAATGAAATGCTTACCAAGACAACGTATCACAAAACGAACACATCTAAGTAAGGTACAACGACGATGAGCGACCGTAAACAGCGCTACAAACCGCCACATTGCTCATATACTTTAACTAGCAATCATGACCAGCCGACAATTTAGAGGAATATAGTATAAAACAAATTCCGAAGAAGCAAAACATCTTGAGATTGCAAAATATGCATCAAAACAAGACGAGAAGTGAACTGACGACAAGACGAAATAAAGTCGAAAATTTACAGTTCACTTCTCGTCTTGTTTTGATGCATATTTTGCAATCTCAAGATGTCTTGCTTCTTCGGAATTTGTTTTAACCAAAAATATGTTTCTCGAATATCGTACCTGCAACAGCGTTCCATCGTTGGCACGTCGGTTTGACATTTTTTGAAGGTCATGGATAGAACTGGCCAAACCTTTTGTGTTGGAGAAAATCAAGAATTATAGAAACAATTCAAAGCATTACCCGAAACGTAAATGATTGTGTTTCTTTGTTTTAAGCTTTCTCGGTTCTACAACTGTGCTAACTATCATTTATTCTTAGAATAAAGTTGGTAAAAAATGTTACCTCTTGGACGATACTGAAACAGGGATGACTTTCACCATCTTTTGTTTTCACCTCAGTATATCTGTCATGAAAATAAAAGATGATTAATTTCGAAGTACGCGGTAGGAGCTAAATACATTATTTTGAGTCTAATGCCGACTAGTCAATCGACTAATCGGTTGATCATCGATCACATTGATCAATCGATCATCAGTCACATTAATCGCTTGGTACACCATCTAGTGTATTCGCTGTCATATTTTTATATTATTCATCTCAAGTTAACAAAAGGATTCTGTATGACACTTCCCTATATCTCATCTAGTTGAAAAATTTTCGCGAGAGCAAGCTCCTAGTGAGCACGTGAACACGTTCCCAAGCACGAAGTGCTTACCGAAATATTGTCGCTATTCTGTCGAGAGCAAGCTCCTAGTGAGCACGTGAACACGTTGCAAGGCACGAAGTGCTTACCGAAATATTGTCGCTGTTCTGTCGAGAGCAAGCTCCTAGTGAGCACGTGTACACGTTCAAAGGCACGAAGTGCTTACCTAAATATTGTCGCTATTCTGTCTAGATACAAAATCGGTTTAGAATGACTTCCGTTTTGTCCCCCAAGCAACTGAGCGAGAAGTTGAACCTGCTGAACACATAATTGCTTAACTCCTTCTTTGATTTCCTGTGGCGGCAATCGGGAGAGAACTCGGGCAACTCCTAAACAACAAATGGCACACATTTATTTGTGCAGTAAAGATAAAACTTTTCATGTAAACATACGTACATCCAACAATACTCCCAGGATCAAACCATTCATTTTGAAGAAAACATTAATACCTTGAAAGAATTCGAGTACGGCTCCATTGGAAATTGATAACGAATCGATCACTTGAACTATTTCTAATAAAATGTTAAAATGTTGGGCCATCTTTTGGTCACACGACGAACACACTTTATGCAGTGCCAACGCGGATATGGTTGAAAGATTCTTAGTCTTAAGGCCAGTGTATAAAGTTTGCAGCACCAAGTCTACAGGAAAGTCACAAAATATGACGCACGTAAAGCACAAATAAACTGAAGAGTGAAGGGAATATCCTCAAAAAGTGGAATATATACATATATATCGAATTCCTTTAGCAGGATTGTACTATATCATGATTACAGATTCACTTCATAGACGTGAAGAACAATCGAACAATCCATAAAGAGAAAAGAGTTTTACCTAATACACGTGGATTTTTATCAATCCACGCCGCCAGCTCTCCTATTAACCTTATCGCTGTATACTTGACAACAACGTGAGAGGGTATATCGGGTTTATTGAAGATAAGATTGATAAGAGTTGCAACCGTGTCCAGATTGTTCCTGAGAAAAGTAAGTGAATAAAGTCGGTATTTGAGATTTACATTCAAGTTCGATTTGCGCAGTTGATGATGACAAAAAATGGCGGCATTTCACCTAATTCCTTAAACATATATATATCATCAATACCTAAAGCCATAATATACATCACAAAGTGCGTTGAAAGTTCCCAAATTGTGCGATAAAAATAACGGCTGTTCAGGCAGGAGAGATTGACATGCCGCCATCGACATGACAGAATGTGCATGCATGGTCGTTTTTTAACATGTATAACAAAGAATTTTGCTGACGTAAAAACTTACGATCGAACATTAGGAGAGACGGCAGCCATTATGAACAACTTTGCTTCGACATCCTGCCAAGGAACCTTTCCGTATTCTCGTATAACAGTCTCACAGAGCTAAACAATAGTAATTATACGAATAATATTATAATAATATAAATACATCTTTAAACAGGACATCTTCTCCATGAAAAAGACCCGTACCTAAAACAAATACAATTATTCAAAATATTCATTTCATGACGGAAGCAATCAAAATCAAAACGAGGACAATTGGGTCTATCACAGTGGGGGGGTGGGGTGAGGGGGTGAAAACATCTGTCAAAAGACGACTGTTACAAAATATCGTCACCTTGCTAACTTTTTCGACTAATTCATATTTTCTCAATTTTGGGGTTTTTCCTAAAACTCCTATTTTGCCCACTGATGTGTTCTGCATTTATTGCCGAAGTCAATTAACCAATGAAAAAGCAGCACGAAAAATGTTCAATAAATTATGTTAAATAAAAACTTCGACTGTTTTTAAACTTATACAATTTTTCTCTCTTTTCCTCAAACCTCCCAAAAATTACATAGGCATAAAAGTTAGAACGTAACGATACGAGAAAAATATTTTGTACATAATATTTTGGATATCGACAAAAAAAGGCAAAGATTTAGAGATTTAAATCCAGCAATAACAATACCGATTAAGACAGACGAGAGAGAGAGAAAAATTAAACAAGCCAATTTCTATGTACAAATTCATAGACATTTACCTGAAAAAACAGAGTGTCAGAGCCAATTAGAAAAGCAGAATCCTTCACAAGCTCTACAACTCTTTCACGAAACGCGGTGAAGTCGTCGTTTTCGTTTGGTATGCAAACCTAAAGACCATTTAAGTCAAAATTGTTCGTTTTCTTTATGTTGAAGCAAAAGAATAACAAACACACATGTCAAGATGACGAAAACCACACAAAAATATATCACAACGATACAATAATACTATATCTTTATCATAATACATTAAACCTAACACGGTTTTTAATATGCACATGAAAAACATGTGACTTGGACGAGATTTGAACTCGCACCTTCGGGATACTAGTCCGCCGCTCTACCTGTTGAGCTACCAAGCCCACAGGGATTGGAGACGAGTCAAATCTCTTTTAAAATGCGTATGGACGAGAGATTCTCGCCACTATAGCAGTTTACTGGATGGCACCGTGTTTCGACTTTATTCCAAAGCCATCATCAGAGTATATATATAATATATTAATCCTAACACGGTACAAGATACAAAAGATAACAATAGACAGAACAAATGATTACTTGAAGAACCAATGGTCTATTAAACATTCATCCACCGAGCAAACGAAAGCGATATATGTTGAAACGTTTAATGAACAAAATACAAAAGTAAAATACATGTGCTTCTACATCTATAAATCAACAATGCCAATGTGCTTATATCACCTCTAAATAATTAACATAATTAAATTACATGATCACCCAATCAACGACCTGTTAGTAAACTTTACGCGGGAAAGTTATCACTCGTTAACATGGTCATCCCCTTGTTGAATTGCACCAATTAAAAAAAATATGCAAGGTTGACTATTTACTCAACATACCGTGTCGTTATCGAGCTTGCACCGAAGGCAAAGCTGTTGAAATAGTTCCCTGTAATATGGCTCAAAATTGTTCTTTTCCGGCGGCAGATTCTCTCTATAGATCGCTTCGGACAAGCTGTACCAGAAATTGAAAGTTACCTCGGCCACCTAGGTGAGAAAAGAAAAGCCCACATAACTACATGGCTTGATAAAAATTCGTCTTCATGTGACAGTTGTCACCAGGCCTTATCTCGGTGCCCCTCCCCGAAGAAAAATATAACATAAAGTATAGAGTACCTCATATTCGCGATGTTGAAGTCCGTTGACCATAACTTGCACAATCTGTAAATCTAACGTATGCTACAAAGAAATAAATACATCTCATAATTTTCACTACAATGCATATCAAGCGCACAGCAAAAGAAAGAGAGACAGAGGGGTCATTTTGCATGTCCCCCTTTAGGGTGGGAGGGAGCTGCAACAGAGAGCGCTCAAAGTCAAGCATTTTTTTCACAAAAATGTTAAAGTCAATGAAAGAGGCATTTTGTGAAAATGTTGACGTGGTAAAATGACGTCACAGGAGCCCTGGAAACAATGCACAGATCCCCCCAATTTCTCTAGACCCTCGATGAAAAAATGATCTTCGTTAAGACACACTTACTAAGCGAGGACTTACTAAGCTATTTCTTGCAATGACAGCATCCAAAGTGAATTCGGCAAGTTCCGTGAAGATACGACAAAAATTTAAACACCTACAAAAAGGCGTTCAGCAATAAATGATTTGACGAAGGCACCAAAATGTGAATAAAACGAACGAAACCTGTCATCGTCTCCGTTATTTTTTGCCTTTTCGTACATGGGCACAAGCTTTAACACTTCGGATGAAAGTGCTCGCGCCATCGGAGACTCTGGATCTATATCCTAACAATAATCAAAGAAAATCAGCTCAACACTGCAGACTAAGATGACAATAAGGTGCATGCGACTTGCATTGAGAACAAGTTTTGCCGGTGGCACAATTAAGATCTTGACATTGATCTCATAAACAGATATCTGGATGATGGGAAAAGGGACCTGTGTGGAATGGCTACACGAGCTACTATCAAAAACATTGCGAAACTTTAAGAGAAAAACTTTGAGCTTTCTTCAGAATTCTGAAATTTAAAAACTTTCAAAAGTCTCAGAGTATTTTTTACGGAGTTCTGGAGAAGTTTCCAAACCGTACACTCGCTTTCGGGAAAAAGGCATCCAATATAAGGTATGGAGGGGTTATGTAGTATATTTCACATCTACAGAAGAAGTAAGCCAGAGGGTTTTAATCATGTGGTATACGGAAGAATGAGTAGACCACTTGGCTGAGCAAGTGGTCGATAAACTAAGTGAAGTGAACGCTGTATTATAAGTTACCTAAGCGTTCAACCTGGGGCCGGTTGCACGAAGCCTGGATAGCGTTATCCATTGGATAGCAAAAATTTTCAAACTTGTAAAAAAGGTGTTTATATTTTTCATACGACAAAGCAGTTTCGTAATCTTCGAAACAATATTCTATTTCAGCGATTGTTCTGTTCGAATCTTATATTTTTTGCTTTTTAAAAGGTTTTATAAAAGTTTAAAAAAACTTGCTATCGAATGGATAACGCTATCCAGGCTTCGTGCAACCGGCTCCTGGTGAGTAAATTGACTGCATGCCACTATGTTAATCACATGCACTAGAAGAACTCTTCTCTTTGTTCCTTTTTCTTGGATGATGGCTAAATCAATAAAAGATATATTTACGTACGCACCCCAACAGAATAGACAGCATTGCATATGACATCAGCAGCTACTTCCTGCAGGTTATCACTTGCCTTTTCGTCCACCTAAGGAGGACGGTCAAAACAACAAAGCTAACTTGCAGACTTATATTTCGACAACGCGCAACGTGAGCAGAAAGGACGGGTTACTTCATGTAAGTTACAGGTAACTTCATAGGTCGGGAAGTTAGAGGAGAATTGTTTACAAAACCAATATACTGTAAAACAATTACATCTGGACTACATGTATCATAGCAGTTACTTTGCTCGTGTTAAAATAAGTAAACTAACCAGAGTTTCAAACAAAACAGGCAGAAGACGGCTTTTCATAATTTCGTTCGGAGGATAAGCTCCGAGTAAAAGCCAACCGCCAAAACAAGAAAATATCTACAGGAAAAGATGAAACGATATTACGATAATGATTCAATAACAAAAACCATTCAAATGTAATAAAATATGCACAAACGCGTACAAATGTATACGTCAAAAAGAAAACTCACCTTCATACGTATTTGTTCTTTATTAGAACATTGCTCAATGCACGCGTTCTGAAGAAAAGCAACAATGTATTAGGCAATGAGCTTAAAGCTTTAGGAAAATGAAAATAACATCAACAAACGTTTAATAACATGTTTGTAAATGTAGATCGTCCAGGTCGGTATAGTCCTGAGAAGGACTGTTTTTGTTGTTGTTGATTACCGCTAAGGTTGTCATCTTCAGAGACAGACTACCGCTAAGGTTGTCCTTTTGACTCTGAAGATGACTACCGCTAAGGTTGTCGAAAGGTCAGTCAACAACAACAAAAACAGTCCTTCTCAGGACTATACAAACCTGGACGATCTACATTTACAAACATGTAACGATACTCCATTTACTTTAAAACGTTTAGTAAGGTGGTAAATAATACCAACCAATAACTGAATAACGACAATAGAGGACTGGCGAAGTTGATTACCAACTTCCTCACGTCTGTTTGCTCCGATACGCAGATGTTCGCTCTTCACCTGTTCAATTCAATAAATAAATACACATGTATATTCAACAAATGCATGTATATTCAAAAACATTCAAAGGGTTATGTTTTCACCTCTTCTGCTAAGTATTGCAGCAATTCTAACAGAGCAGGAATCATTTCCATTGTTTTGCTGAATCTGCAATGTAGAGATGAGTTAGCATGCCAGCAAATGTCCTGTTTAGAGTCATATAAAAAATGTTGCATGGCTCTACACAGAAAAATATCGAAGTTTACCTCTCTACAAGATCCTTTACTGGACTTGGCCACTGCGGCATTTGAATGGCAAGATCAGCGATGGCCAGACAAAGCTTAAAAATATAAAATGCCAAGTGCATATATAAGTGCAAACATAAAAATAAAGAGCCATTACTATTTAAATGCAAAACGGACCAACTCATTTTACATATTCTATCAAAACAAGAGATACCTGAGTCAAAATTGCTTGCGTTGAATTATGAAGCTGTGTCACATGGTCCAAAAGCGAGTTCTTTAAGCTCTGAATTAAAAATTTGACTTCAAAGTATTTACACTATTTTCCATACCATAAAAAACATACAAGTAATGTATGTTGATAAATTTGCACAGTACATAATTTTTGCTACATATATTTAAACCATTCTCATCTGACACTTGTTCACATACCTCATACTGAACTGGTTGAAGTTCATGGAAGAAATATTGAATCTAGACATAAATTATCATGATTTAACTATGAATACCACAAAAAAGTGTATGTTAAGCAATGCGCTTAGGAAAAGTCGCCCACCTTGGTTCTCATGGTTTGAGCACCAATGAAGCAGCTTGTTTCACTTTGTTTTGTAGTCAGTAATTGGTCAGCGATTTCCCAAGCAAAAATCTTAATACAAAAAAAACATAAATTGAAGTTTAAAGATTGTTAATAGAAATTTGAAATGGTGTTGTAATACAGTAATCAAAGCATGAGTTCTCATAATGATGTTCATATAATACGAGTTGTAGTCTGTAGGCATAGGAGCAATGGAATCAAAAGAGTTTGTGATCAAAGAAAGTGTGGTAGATTACCCCTCTATGTTGAAAACATTGTAATAAGTTCATACACAAAATTTTGGCTATGCTATGGCTTCAAGTTAACAAAATTTCACAAAACTTTATAACACAATAAACTATAAAACCATAACACAGAAACTATTACTCTAAACCTGCATGATTGATTTGACTAACAAGTTCATTATTGTGCACTCAGGAAATACAAATATACTCTACAGTGTATAAAAAATAAATAAACATTGATAATATTTCTTTTTTGGCATTGAATTTTATGTTTTCACAACTTTTGAAAGACAAAATGTGATCAGAATTCACCTATGGCCGTACTGGTAATGCAATTGTAAAATTTGCATTCCTCATTAAATTCCTCGTAAAATTGCTTTGACTTGAAACTTTATAATAGTACCATTGCTTGTAAAATTGTGTTCATATAGGCAAAAATATCGCCATCACGAAACATACCGAATTCTGAAGATTTTCCAGCCATTTTGATGCAGCTTTTGAGCCTTCTGAATTTTGCCCACTGTATAGTGCTTCGATAGCGCGGAAAACCTCCTCGAGACGCGGTTTTCCATTGGTAGTCTACCTCAACCGTCGTTTTATTAAGATAAACAGTTAAAAACGTGATGAAAAGTTTATAAAATTTAAAGATAAAGTGTTCAAATCGATTTTCGAACGTCAAATATGGCGCCACACACTGCTTCCCAGACTTCCTGCAATCCAGGATAACAAGCACTCCAAGTACACGAATGAGGTCAGTTTTTGGGTTGAGTACGCTAATAAACATTCACCAAAATAAGGCCCTTCTCGTGGAACCTTGGTTCTTATGATTTACACTGTGTCAACTGTCAACTGTCCATCTTTTATATAATACTCCGCAAAAAACGTTTAAGAATATGAATGATGTAGTCACAATGTAGTCGACTATATACAGTAGCGAGCCAGAGTAATTTTGAAAATATTACTTTAATCCGTAAATTTATTTCAAATTCAAAATACTTTTATACGTACAGTACAGCAACACTTGCTTTTGGTAAAAGTTACTTCTACTTTGTGCCTACTTTTTGTGCAAGCTTTTTGTCCACCTTTGTGTCTACCTACCTGTCTACCGAAAAACAACATCAAAGAAAATGTTATCATTTCATAAGAGAAAACTTTTGAAAAAGTCGTTATTGATTCTAACAGTTTCCGAGAGCACCTCCTTTTGATGGATGAATGTTTACTTTCTAGAAAAAAATGACATAAGCGATACATTATTCCTTCATCATTATAAGAAATGTCAGTTTGCAAATCTTTCAATAACAGCGCAAGAATTGTCTAATTAGAGCTGAAAACGTTTATTAGTTCAAGCTTAAATCCGGACTAAAGACTTGAAATGCGTGAACAAAGAACTTACGGATACGATAACTTGGACAAACGAACAACCAACTGTTTTTGTCGAAACTGGAATGTAATCGCAAATGTCGTTGGTTTTATGCACAATCGGTAATATAAATGTAAAGCTTCTTTTTTATCACAGCATGGTCATCGGTTAAGAAAGCAGTTGAGAAAGCTACGTATTTCACCTTACTTTGTGTTTCGCCACGTCAACAAAATTCAGTCAGTCATTGCAAATTTTATTACTATCTAATCAGTTTCTTTCTGTTTTCCCATAAATTTTCATTGCTAATTTTCTATTTTTGTAATATCAAGATACAATTATTTTTATGGCAAGACGACATGACAGGGATGTATTTTGTCCAGGTGTTTGCCTTCTGTCTTTACAATTAGCTGACTTAGCTTAAGTAAAGTGAGCTTGTCGCTTTCATAGGGTTGAACCCAGGAAAAACTTTGCTGACTCATAGAATACCCCTGGGCACCTCCCACACACACATGCACACTTAGGAATGCATAGAGAAGCTGCATACAACAATTAACATGGTTTTATCATATAGGAATTTGGGGTTTGGGTCTCACTATCATTAATAACCATGAGGACATTGGAGTTTATTTGATGTAAGTCTGTGCTCAGAAATCTGTTCTCATACAATACACCTCCAATAAATTTGTTCAACTTTTGTTTACATAGATTATGTGCTGTTGCAATGACGATTCTTGAAATGAGCCTCATTATACAAAAATTGCTTTCTACATGCTTAAGGTATATTATGAAACAATGCAACACTTTGGTTATCATTTTCAATAACATATATGATTTTCCTCGATCTCTAGCGAAGAATCTCTAATCCAACAATGTTGGACCTTTGTTGTGGCTACAGATACTTGGAAACGTGCCCTGTTGTACATTGGTTTGTCTGTAGTGTGTTTCATCTATGTTAAGAAAGGTTGGCAAATTCCTTTGGCAGGAGCTCTTATGGACCTTTCAGGTCTATTTTATTTTGTGAAAACATACAATGGAAAACAAAAGATTAAACCATACAGATATAAACAATTATCAGTAACATAAATTGTCAAACCACATTCAGCGACAAAAGAACATTTATACTTACTCTCATGCAATACATGTCTCTCGTTAATTATGCAAACCAGCAATATTTATTATTTCACTTAAAATAAAATGGTGAATGTTAATTATAAAGTATGAATAGTGTTTGGGCAAGAAATACCCACCTAACTATAATTGTCTTGCACGTATAACAACACTAACTATAATTGTATAAAATGAGTACAGTATCTACAAATTCATTGATAAATATGTGTTTTACCACACAGATGTAAGTCTAGAAGACCATGATAGTGATCAACACGGTGTCTTTATTTTGTGACTCTCCAATAAGTGCAAGTAAAGTGATGCAATAGTTTCGCTTGTGTCACCCTATGAAGAAATGCACATAGCCGTGACCTTTTAAATATTCAAACATGGTAAACACGACTGTAATAAAGAATTATTTTTATACAAACTCATGCATATGCAGCAAGTACCTTTATAAAACTTGCACATGCATATGCAGCAAGTACCTTTATAAAACTTGCACATGCATATGCAGCAAGTACCTTTATAAAACTTGCACATGCATATGCAGCAAGTACCTTTATAAAACTTGAACATGCATATGCACCAAGTACCTTTATAAAACTTGCCAAACTCTTTCGGTAATGTCTTTCGAACTCTTGTTTGATATCCAACATGTCAACCTCACACCTGGTGACAACCACTCTTATTAAGGTGGAGTCGTCGGTGCCCAGTCCTTTCATACTTTTATACAATTTCATAGCAAAATAGGCTGGCATGTTTCGTACACATCGCACTGAAAAAAAGGTATAGTGCCAACAAAAAGTTCTGGTTGATTTCAAATTCACCAATAAACACTGTGATTAAATGCCACCTTACCCAATGTCACCATAGAATTTTTCAAATCACCAGACATTTCTCTCTCAATTGACTTTTCTATATCGTACTTCGAGATCTAAAAAACAGTTATTTCAAACTCTGATGGAGTGATTCCTTGATGCCTGCATGCAACTATCAAAATTAAATTTCCTTTTGTCTTGATTGACCAATCAATGAATTGTTTTTCTAGTTGGTCATTTTGATTGGTTGATATTTCTAGCTCCATCAGAGCAATCTGAGAAGTTTCAGAATCGACTGAAAGATATGATTCAATATTTACATGATTTAAAACTTCCCATACTGCTTTTCAAGTCAACGCATATCTTTCTAAACTTATAGAGATGCTTCTTCTGATATGAGCTTGACATATTGTATACCATCTTCATTCTTCTGACTTATTGTTAGTAATAGTGGGCCATAAGTTTATCACATTTGTGGTGTGAGTCTTACTGTCTTCAACAAATGTATTCAAACATTCTTAATACGTCACACATTTACGTAGAGGTTGTTCGTCATACCTTTGCGTATTCGTTAAATGTTGCTCTCAGCTGTGGAAAACTTCGTGACGCCAAGATCGCGTTAAACCTACGTCAAAATTACGGCTGAATTATTTTTATGGTTTGAAGACATTACAGCTGGACAATGGTCTGTCTCGTACGCAGTAACACCACTAGAGCTCGATTATTAGAGAAGGGAGACAAATATTCATGTGTGTAAGTTATAATTCCTAAAAACCAACGATTTCAAAGGAACATCATACGGCAAAACGCGGATTTATGAATACTATACACCCCTACCCCCAATTAACAAGCTGGTGTCACCACTGCTTGAAGAACGAAATACTCAGGGATAGTGTATTGACGACCACATAAAACTTGCTGAAAAGTTGCAACGACTAAATCATTACAGAAAGCAAACAGCCAAAGTAGATTACGCGATAAAGTACTTTCATCGTGGACAGTCAGGCAAGCTGTAAACCGAACAGCTACCTGAGTCCTGGAAACTGGTTGCTCACTTAGTGTAAGGGATTCCTTTCAGTGAGGATAGTGCAAGGGATTCCTTTCAGTAAGGATAGTGCAAGGGATTCCTTTCAGTGAGGATAGTGCAAGGGATTCCTTTCAGAGAGGATAGTGCAAGGGATTCCTTTCAGAGAGGATAGTACAAGAGATTCCTTTCAGATAGGATAGTGCAAGGGATTCCTTTCAGTGAGGATAGTGCAAGGGATTCCTTTCCGAGAGCATAGTGCAAGGATTCCTTTCAGTGAGGATAGTGCAAGGGATTTCGTTCAGTGAGGATAGTGTAAGGGATTCGTTTCAGTGAGGATAGTGCAAGGGATTCCTTTCAGAGAGGATAGTGCAAGGATTCCTTTCAGTGAGGATAGTGCAAGGGATTTCTTTCCGAGAGGATAGTGCAAGGGATTCCTTTCAGTGAGGATAGTGCAAGGGATTTCTTTCCGAGAGGATAGTGCAAGGATTCCTTTCCGTGAGGATAGTGTAAGGGATTCCTTTCAGTAAGGATTAATCGGATTTGTGATTCACAAGGTGAAAAGTTCGGCCAAAATTGAACTGTCGTGTTATTTGATAATCAATGTCGACTGCGCAATAACCACGCAAGGTTTTTGTTATGATCAAATGAAGAGCCAAAATATATCCGGGTATTTGATGGTCACTTACATAATGAATACAAGCCATACGATGAAAGGAAAAGATTGATCTTGAAATAATTAACATTACCTTGCTTCATCTGTTCCCCATCTCTTCTCTCCTGCTGTATAAAGTGCATGGGCGTCAGCTCTCGCTCTGTCGTAATCCACATTCATTGATTCGTCTCTGTTTGCCTATAAACGAAAACACAAAATCAATTGTGAGTTTGCTTGGTCATGATGCAAAGATGTGTTGGAAAATCTCCTCAATAAATTGCTGACGTCTTTAATGCTAGACAAGTAAACAATTAAAAAATTAACAATGGGGGCATTCTCTAAGTACTTCAGCGTCCCCACCCCACCCCATACTCGGGTGGCGTACTATACCTGCAGAAGTGACACAAGGAATTTCTTGAAATGGCCTGACGTTTCGGAGATCACGTCTTTCTCAAGATCTCGACCGTGCACTGCAAACAAAATATTTGACAAGATTATATTATTTCGTGGGCAGTCCCAGACTCCCACGGGTAAAACATACGCCATACATCTAATCTATCCACCCATCCATGTACAAGTAACTACTCATGATTGATTTAAATAATATACGCATTAAAAAACAACATACAATTTTTATAAGTCTTTTTAATCCCATCAATTTCAGTATTTGTTCGCGAACATAAGATCTCTATAAGAACGCTTTCATCCGTACCAGCGCCCTAGAATTCAAGAAATTCAAATGATTCCACAAACACAGCTAATAGATGCAGTCCTCGCCCATACTTTCATTGCTTTCCTAAGTTCCACTGCGTCACTTTCTAAAGGTGAGCGCATCATGGCCAAGAGTAGATTTTCCAAGTTTCCACTTACGGCGTATTTCAGATCCGTATTCAAATCCTATGATAGACAAAGAAAGTAAAATGAATGATTTAAACTCACTACATGTATACAGATGTAGATCGTCCAGGTAAGTGGAGTCCCGACAAAGACTGTTGGTAAGTAAATGGTTTTGAACCCGGGAGTATCGTTACATGTTTGTAAATGTAGATCGTCCAGGTTGGTATAGTCCTGAGAAGGACTGTTTTTGTTGCTGTTGACTGACGTTTCGACAACCTTAGCGGTAGTCATCTTCAGAGTCGAGTGACTACCGCTCAGTAAAATACATGTAACGCTACCTGTCAGTGCCTGGAGCAAATAATTGAAGCCAAATCTTACACCCTAACACGCATGTGTAGTATATCTTCAGAGACAGACTACCGCTAAGGTTGTCCTTTTGACTCTGAAGATGACTACCGCTAAGGTTGTCGAAACGTCAGTCAACAACAACAAAAACAGTCCTTCTCAGGACTATACCAATCTGGACGATCGACATCTACAAACATGTAAAGACTGTTGGTGTTAGTATGTTGACTGATGTTTTAACAATCTTTCAAAATCTACAAACACGGAGATACATGGCGTTAAATATGGCGTAAAATGGCGGAGATAAATACCCCCACCCTCCGTCCACAAAATTGCTAGCTAATAACGTGAAAGATAGAAAGTGCGCCTGAAAATTAAGTGAGTTCAGACTTTACTTAAATAATGTGAGTAGCAAGGACAGAACATACATCCATACCCTGCCAAACTGTGTTTTATACTCTAAGGCGATCTTCCTTCGTTGTTGGTTATTTCGAGTTGACAGAATACTGACTATGGCTTTCACATTTGTACCTACAGGCAATAAATGTTAACTTAGTCGAATAGCTATCTGCCATGAAAAACATGTGAACACGAACAAAGTATACAAAAAACACTCACCAACCCCTCCCACAGCCTTTCTTATCACCTCTGCATCTGCTTGAGGATTGAATGAAGCGCAAGGCTTCACTGTTCCTCTGTTGGCTTTCTACAATTATAAACAATATGCATTCATTAATTCATTTTAACCCATGCAGTCACCCTTCCATTTGTTATTTAGATGGATTAATAAAAGCCAAATGTGGATAAGACTTGACTTAAAATGATTTGAAGGCATTGTAAACAGTGTAGTACTGTATAGTATATATACTATATATATACTATATATACTGTATAGTAAGTTTGAAAATTGGTTATCCAGGCATTTAATACATAAAAAATGAAAGTTTCTCCAGATTGTTTTAAAAATTATTTTATATACTATATAGTATATATACTATATATATACTAGATCTATAATACCGCTGTTGAGCGATGACTTATAAGTGGCTCATATATGATTGCTTTTTTCATGAAAAACGGTATTAAATTACATCAGTGGTAAATGAAACAGTCTTTTATGAACTTCAAATTGTATTCATCTTCTATTACTTGACAAAATCAGTCGTATTTGCTAAAGTACAAGAATTTCCAATGCTCAAACTTTCAGCTACACTGGAATGTTGTTTTTCAAGTTTTGTATCACAAAGGGCATGCTCAAATTTCAAGTGCACTATGCCTTCAAATACACTTTTGGACAATCACAGATGGCATTAAGCTCGCTGAAGTCTTTATGTTAGCTACCCCCCATATTGGTTTCCTTTCCTGGGAAAACTAGACCGACAAATTCTTCATGTACAATACAGAAAAGATGAGATGCATTACAATTTTATAGCATAAACACAAGAAAGTATCAGAGCATAACTGAATACATACAACAGAAGGTTGCTGAGTTGGTCTTGATGGGGTAGAATGTGTCGTAGAAGGCTTTGATGGGGTTCCATGGTATGACTGTGGCTGATGATGAGCAAAAGGAGCAGAAGGAGCAGATGAAATACCATGAAAAGAGTTTCCTTTTGTTTGAACAACATGTTGTTGTGCATATTGCATTGAAGTGGATGCACCCATGGATGGTGGTCCAGAAGGATAGGGAGGGTTGGTAATAGGATAAGACTAAAAACAATCACATTCTTAGATAAATTACCTGTTAATTTATTTACATCATAGAAAGATGCACGAGTAAATTTGAATGCTTACAGTTGGCATTGGTCTTACAGGTGCTTGAAATGCTGTAGCCGCATGAGCAACATTGGCAGCAGTCTAAATACAACAAAATTGATGATTGCAGAAATAAATTTCTTGTTTTACGGTTCCATGCTTCAAAATATTAATTATCACAACATATTACCCCGAAATTTATGCCACTTGGCATTGGAAATTGACTAGCACCATGGGTTGTTTCAGGATAAATAGGGCCATATGATGCTTTTAAAGTAGATGTTAATATTGATCAGTGACAAGTTTGAGACTGAGTGATGAAAATCATTTCAAAAGAATTTCATACCAGGTGGAGCTTCATAACCAGAAAATGGTACTGGTCCAGTGGGGTACGGCACTGTAGGCTAAAAATATGATCATTAACAAAGTAATTAGCAAATTCATAAATAGCACTACACTATAGAGTATGATTGGTTGCCCTATTGAACATAAGGAGAAATTTTCGCAATCATTTTTAGAAAAGCAATGGAAATTATATGAAAAATATAAGTACTTATATCGCACGTTTTCATCATTTCATCAATAAATAATCATTCAAACAAGCTGCAAATCAATCTGCCAGCATTAACTAAAATTCTTCATGGATAATAGTCAAGTAAACAACCATGTTCTTGGCACAGATACGTATGGAAGTCTCGAATGGCGAGACTTCATACATCAAATACAATCTTTGATACAACCTGTGGAGGATACGATGGCCCAATCATTAACTTCTCAAAGCCAATTCCCTCCACATCATTACGAGGCGGATACGCAGGGCCAGATTGAGGAGTTTGGGGTATAGGGGGATATCCAGGATAGCCAGGTGGGTAACTCATAAATTATCTGAAAAAAACGTCTAGATCTATTAAACTTTCATCTTTAACTAAAATCTGACGATATTTTAACTAAGTCAACACACTGTGTGTTCTAGAAATCTGACTTCTGAAACAGAACAGAATAGCCTGGTAATTATGACGCACTTTAAAAGACAGCCACCAGATAAAATACAGCCACCAGAAAAAATACTAGGTTTAGACAAAAGTTTACAAAACAAAACACAAACCTCTTTTGATTATCGAGAGAAAAATATGACAGCATTCATTTAAATCAAAGCAGCTTACGGTTTAACTCCGTTGTAAAACGGTTTAACTCTGTTTTTAATTTCCTTTCTTTTCTTCTACAATTCCGTTAATTCCAGTTTCCCGGATAGAAAACAATTACGTCATTGAAAATTTGCCATACTAAACATAAGCATAGGTACACCCATGAGTACGCCACAAGGCGCCTTCAAGTTTCTTTCTCAACATAGCTCTTGATCAGTGGATAAAACTTTCTGTCGCAGCAAAGGAAAAATTCCAACGACATGATACATTGAGCTGATAATAATCCAAGGTTGCGGCTGTCTTCTGCCGCAAAAATTTAAACACAGCAAATTTAATGATGGCAATATATTTTTAAGATAAAAAGCGTGTAAGATTATGACAAGATATTCAATTGAAGAAATTCTAGGAAAGCTATATGATCTAACATAGCCCCACCTAAACGTCGCTCTCAAATACTACGTGCACATGAATTAATATAAGTTAGAAATCGCTGGTCGCTTATTGGTATAGATTCAACCATGTATCAACAAGTTAAATCAGTCGATGTAGAGATGGTTTTATGTACAGAGCTAGTTTTATATATAATTAATAAACTTATACTGGTTTTATATACAGAGCTTGTTTGATATATACTTAATATATTTATATACATTAGGGAAATTTTAGGTTTTTTCCTATGGCTTTTCTACACCAATAAATTTCCATCGAATTTCTGTATGCGATTTCAAAAACTGCACACTTTCAAAAATAAATGAATGCCGATAAATTATAATGAGCGAAATAAAAACTAAGTTCAAAATGTATTTACGAATACTACGAGCCCGCTTCGTCATTCAAAAAAAAATCAATTTGTAATCTATGCTGATGATATGGGCCGAAGAGTGTTTCTATCGAGACGAAAGAAAGTTCAAGTCTAGGTTTGGTGATATCGTTCAGGGAAATCAAGATTAAAGAAAATTGAATTGGTTTGAATTTGTGCATATGATTCAATGTATATTGGAAGTGCATAATTCTTAGGTTTTTCGGTACAATGGTCGGGCAATACTTAATGCAAGCGAAATAAAAGCAAATGCAAGAAAAACTAAAGGCGCTGATCATAGAACTAAGCACATCTCGATAAAAACACTTCTTACATCGTTATCTGGTTCTATATTAATTTACAGAAGAAAAAAAAAACAAACTAGAAACCTACAAAGTACCCGATAAGGAAATTTTCTATATACCTATTGCTGTTCTACAAAGTAAAATGATAAAAAATAGCCGGCAAAAGCTCATTCGTTAGTCGTCAACAAAATGCAACATAGCAAAAAAAATCAGCTAGCCCTAAAATTCAACAGGACATGCTGAGTGCATGCCAGTCACGTGACTCACGTGATTATTTTAAACATATGTAAGAGATGGCTAGCAATCGTCATTCGCTGAATATGCCATGTGGCCATAAAAAAGAAAAATTTCTTCCGTAGGAAAGATGCAATTATCTGTTAACTAGATGTCGACGAAAAAAGCAACTCTCGTATGGGAATGTGCTGCCTACCGTTGTTGCATCCACTGAGGATTGGCATAGTCACCATTTTGGTTGATCGTTTTGTCCACAAATTCAAATTCAACCAGAAGCGATTGATGGTCAGATGGAAAATGAGGATGCGGCCAGCCAATCAATTTATTCCGCTTAAGATATTCCTGATCGACAGATGCGAGCTCGGCTATTGGCATGAGAGCATTGTAGCTGTAGTACACCCAGTCGATGACACCGCGAAAGTGGAACGTGTAATTACTGTACTCGAGGGATTCGTAAGTTCGTTTCAGTTGGAAAGCGTGCGTGAGCTCCGCGCACATCTCACCTTTGCGAGTGATGCTTAATCGCGACAGGAAACCACCATAATCGAGGGACTGGAAATCCTCGTGATCTGTGGATATGCGACCCTTGTCGAGAAACTCCACCGGTCCGGAGTCTGGGAGCGAATTGAGATCTCCACACATGACGAGTGGGATGGACCTCCCGAGCGTGCCATTCTTACCTGGAAACAGATAAAACTATGAAAATTGGAATATTTGTCTTCACGTTTGAATAACGTGTCGTGAAGTTACTTTTTATTGGTACAATGATATAAACACTACACAAAAGAAAGCCACCCCGCCACCCCCACCGAGATATATTGGTATAAATTCTACATGAATGAATCCCGGATAATGAAACACAACACTACTTAGACTTATGACAATTTACTAATTGCCATATGAAGAACAAGGTCACTCGTGCTTTAAGCAAACAGGTGTCGTCTCTTGAACTCAAAAATACCAAATTTAAAATTATCATTAAAAGTAGTAGTGTTACCAGTTTCACTCACGATTCAACCACATTGTTTGTTGGTAACCTTCATCGTCCAAGTCACCTGTTTTTCATGTGCATATTAAAACCTTGTTAGGATTAATATATTATATATATATACTCTGATGATGGCTTTGGAATAAAGTCGAAACACGGTGCCATCCAATAAACTGCTATAGTGGCGAGAATATCTCGTCCATACGCAGTTTAAAAGAGATTTGACTCGTCTCCAATCCCTGTGGGCTTGGTAGCTCAACAGGTAGAGCGGCGGACTAGTATCTCCAAGGTGCGAGTTCAAATCTCGTCCAAGTCCCATGCTTTTCATGTGCATAGTAAAAACCGTGTTAGGATTAATATATTATATATGTTCATCGTTTAAAGTAGTGTAAAGATTGCCCACATAATCGTATTAAAATAGGACAATCGAAATTGGCCTTTTAGAAACCGACTGGGATTCATTCATTTAGCACTCTTATTAATCTAACTAGTGGTGAACCTTCGTTGTTTTCTTTGTGTGTGTGGTTTATTTCGAGCAGGGGATGATAGAATAAAAAACGCTGTCAACTTTAACTATAGTTTGCGCTCACTACCGTTCACTACGGTAGCTGCTTGACATTGATTTCGTGAGGTGCGTTTAAACTACGAAACCGCACTTTCTCACCTGGCAATATAGAGATATTGTCAACCTCCTCTCGAAACTTCTGCAAAAACTGCATCAATAGAACGGTTTGAATCAACTTGACATCCGAATATTCGGGCTCCCAAGCCATGTGAACATTTGAGACCATAAGCAGACGCTTCGTTCGATCAGAATTTTGACCAAAGCCGAAGTCATCGTTGGTTTCTAACAATGCGACAATACCAATATTGTCTTTCGTCATCACCCGGTTCAACATGTCGGATGCGTCTTTGGAGTTGGCAGCCGCCAGCTGGTTAAACTCCATCATATCGTGTTTCTTTAAAGTGAATCTAGGAAGAAGAGAGTGTATATTTTATAAACCAACAGTCATTGCCACCACGTGCATCACCTGCTGAACCAACAGTCATCACCACCACGTGCACCACCTGTTAAACCAACAGTGATTGCCACCACGTGCACCACCTGCTAAGCCAACAGTCATTGCCACCACGTGCACCACCTGCTAAGCCAACAGTCATTGCCACCACGTGCACCACCTGTTAAACCAAGTCATCACCACTGCAAATACTACCCGTCCTTACCACATACACCACCACATGCACTACAGGTCGGCCACCTGTCATCACCATGTATACTACAAATCCCACCACAAATAACAATCACTATGAGGTGACCACCATATGAATCACCAGTCATCATCATGTATACCAACAACCACACCATGTGACCACATGGTGAATCACCTGTCATCACCACATATACTACCTAAACCCACCAAATTCTAAGCATCGGATACACAATGTATACCACAACACAATTCACAGCAAAAATGTAAACATCTTTTCGTCCGTATTAATGTCTTGGCTTTTTTAGAAAATGTCTAGTGGCATTAGCTGTATAAGACTAATTAGAAATCAGCGGTAGGCACAGTTCCTATGGTAACCATAGCATGTCATGACATACCTCGTAGTTTTAAAAAATATGGCACAGCCATCCACCTTCTTGCTTTCGTCCTCACTCATAGTCCTTGCTCTTGATTTAGCACTAAAGATACCCTCGTAGCCATGCTTTTGTAGCTCTGGTAAGAAGAAATTGTAGAATTGTTCTGTCTCCACTTCCTAAAAAGAAATTTTACCATCTTTGAAAAAAAATCAATCTCTCAAAATTCACATCAACAAATCTGTCATTGAATGCAAGCAATTTTGTCATTTTCCATTCCTACATGAGAATCTGTCTGCCATTTTCAAATAGAAAGTTTTAATTTGTTTTAATTTTTCTACTTAAATTACATTTTGGTTTCTAAGACAGTTTATGCACATCTCCTTTCATCCTCACAATATTGAGGTCCTTGTAATGTATAACTTGCACAAAAAGTGATAAGATATCATGTATAATTGCTTTTATGTTACTTCAACTGGGGAAAGTTCCCATCATTTCTTTTAACGGTATTAATGGTATGAAATGCTTCATAATCATTTTAATCAGATGTTGCCAAGAAATTGAAGGAAATTCAAGGCTTCGCATCAATTCATAATGCAAAAGAATGTCTCTAGTCTATGAAACAATAATTGCAAAGACTTCAATATTTTGAGAATGAAAAGAGACATGCAAATTGCTTTAAAAGAAAGTAAACAGTCGTTATCAAAGTTACGCTGAATTAAACTATTATTTGAATGACAAAACTTTTATTTCATAAACAAACAATACGATGAAAGTTATTAACAGCTTAGGAAAGTTTAAAATGTAAAGCAAATATTTGTGCTACCTGTAGACTGAGTATATCTCCTTGATGTTGCAAAATTTCATTCATTATCAACTTTTTCCTGTACTCCCATTCTAGAGCCCAAGATGGACAGTAGCCATAGACAGATTTAGTGCAATACTTGTCACATAAGACATTATAGCACATGACAATAAATGAATCTAAAAAGAAGCACCACTCATGAAGCACTAGTTTTATACTGACTAGGGGAGGCTAAGGTACGGTTTACCCACTGAACATAAAATAACATGAAGACTACTTCACACGACAATTTGAAGGCAAAAAAATCGCAAACCAAACCAAATGTTTTCAGTAAGCTAAAATGCATGAATTTACCACTAAAAACACGAGCCTTGACCACTAAAAACACATGCAAGAACAGGTATGTTTATCTAAAGATAACCTTCCAATTAATGGGTTTTCTAAAAATTGTGTTGTTAATTCGTGCTCTGAAGAAAATGGTCCTTACTCTCAGCTGTACGTCTTTTATCAGGGACCAATAGCTGCCAATGTCGTTCCTCGGGTCTTTCACAAACTGAAAGTATAATAGATCTTATCAAAGAGATTTGTCTATCTTCTTTGCTTTGTCTTTATTCAAAAGAAATCAAAAAAATTCAACACATGTTATGAATTCACTTAAAGTCATTAGAGCAGGTCGTTTCGTAATACATCTTGGCAAAATAAGTTTTATACAACAACATATGCCAAAACTGTCATATTTCTGTGCTGTTCTGTTGAAAAGGTTTGTTAAAAGAATACAGCATAAAAATAAGCAGATTGTATTACTATGCTTGAAAGGGTAGTCAAAGGGCATTCAATGTGTAGTGAACATACTATTAATCATGGTAAATTTAACATATGGAGTCACTTGAGGCAATTACATGCGAGCAATCAGCCCCCCCAAGTAGTATTGTATTAAAATAATATATAGACCAGCTGAAATATAAAAATGTGGGCAAGATCTGACATGCTATCACAGATTATCATTTGTGAAAAACAATGAATTTCCACATCGAACTATCACATGCACTCAGTCCCCTTGCGAAGAACTGATGACTTTTTATAAAGTTGGAAGCTCTCTGGCATTGCTAATACTCATAAAATCCAATTACTGTTGAAATGATTTTTCAAAGGCGGATTTTTCATGAATGTTCAAGCAGATTAAAAATGTCCCCACTGAAAATCGCAATACGGAATGCTCACGTCACGTAGGAACTCGAAACCTTCAAAAAGGCATTCTTCCTAAGAGGCAAAATATTGCCCATACGATTAATTTTGATTGAGATGACTGTGCTCGCGGTCGATTTCACAAGTGAAGAGCTATTTTCTTAGCAAGTCAATAAGGTGAAATCTCGAAAGAAAAATTCTCCATTCACATACTTTGCCTCCCATCTATGAATGAAGGGATTTTACGCCACACATGTGCCCTTGTTTTAAAAGAACAGAATTGTTCCATAACAGAAGGAATGCAACCAAGTATAATGAGATATTGGTTATTGCAAACAACTTGAATTTACTCACCGGACGAACGGTCCAACAAACACGATATTAGCTGAGCGCTACCATTTTTCTTGGCGTTCCACGAGAGCACCTCTTGTGACAATGGATTACCATCCAATCCAAGAATTTGTATCTGAAATAACCGTCCCAATTCGTGCGGTAGACTGTGCAAACTATTGTTATTTAGGTATAGTTCGATGAGATTGATAAGGTCCCCGATTTCAGTTGGTAAACTTCGTAGTTTGTTCGAGGATAAATCAAGTTTCTGTAAAGACGTGAGCTTGCCAATTTCGGCTGGAACTCTTGTCAAGTTTATATCGTTCAATTTCAGAGTGGTAAGGAAGTTTAAACTCCACAGTTTCGGGCTTAAATTTTTGATATTATTGAAAAACTCCAAGCCAGTCCATTTCGAATTCGCAAGATCTTTCTCGTTGGATTTAAGATTTGAATTTTTCGTTCGGTGGTTTCTGTATTCGTTATTTTCATTCTGCATTATTGACTCAAATTCATGATAAAAACAAGTGTACTATTATCAAAGGTCTTCGCGAACGCATATCTTCGTAGAGCGACTAAATCGTAAGTATTAAAAACATATCAACGTAAAATTTATTACAAACAAAAAGCCTTTGCAATACAGTATGACGTCACAAAAATACACGGACACGTGACCTTCAATATTTCAATGGTAGAAGCTCGCGGTTTTTATGCAAATGTTTACTCAAGACACAACGGGGAGTGCGTTGGACAAAAAAAATTCCGAAACATTTTCGGTCGTTTCATTATAAATGTTTGAATTCAACATTGACGCCCAATATTACCAACAAAACTTAAAATTCAGTGGATTCTTGTACTTTCCAGCCGCGGTAAAAAGTTTAAACTTTACATAAACTATCGAAATGAAACAAGAAAAAAAATCTGCAGAGGCGTGTTGCAACCACAAATTCATTTCAAACTCAGTCACTACAATCACTAGCTATAATTGACGACCGTCCTCATGATCGTATTACATATATATTAATATCTTCTGCCTTTACCCGCATCAAAACATCACATTTTTAATTTCTTATGTACTCTTAGTTCGAGAAAAGCAGCTTTTGGAAAAATATAAGTCATATCTAGCTCGACCTTGTCAAGCAACGATTATCGAACTGTAGGATTTCGCGACCAGTACACCTACTTTCGCTCTCTAAGGAATTATTCGGCATGGAGTTACGGTCTTTCGGAAATAGGACACCAGGAGCTTTGTCAATTCCAGGAAGCTTTTGCAACTTGTTTGTGAAATGTGGCTTCAGACCAAAATTGTAGGGATTAGTTACCAAATTGTGATTTTTTATTGGCTTCAAGAGTTTCGTCAACGCCACAGGTTTGATGGGCGCTCCAGGGTCTTCTCTTTGTTCACACACAGTTTCTTTTTCTGCGCTAGGGTTCATCATTGAACATCTGTGGGTACACTGTGTATCATCATTACCCCCTGAGGTCCACATTGCTTCGAGAATTCCATAGCGACTTAGACCTTCATTATGGCATCCTACAAAACAAAAGTGAAAAATTATTGGTTTTCTTATCTCCTGTATCCTAAGTACATGTAAAATTGGAACATGAATAAATTAACATGAAATATCTGTGAGGACTTATGTCGCTCTGTTCCAGCTTCCCATCTCACATGTCTGAGTAATATGAAATGACACTGACTGCAAGCAATATCGAGATCATCAATCACATATATTCATAATTAAATAGATTTGTTTTTTCATAATTAGCTAAATAGATTTGATGGAAATAGCTTAAGAGATACCAAATTGATTAAATTACCAGTATCGATCGTCAGTTTTGGATTCACTGGTAAAACTCTCAAAGTTTCGCCCTCCATCTTTCTATTACCAAGGTTTTTCTTGTCGACCACAGACACACTTTGTAATAACCGCTCACCAATCACGTCATCGTTTCGCGTAAAAATCGCATTTGATGGAGAAGGAAACGTGTAATATTTAAGCGCAGTGCCTTTGGGGGGTAAATTAGTTTAAAATCTTTATCCATTGTGATCATCCGGGGTTCCTCAAGTACGGATGTTAGCGCTTGTGAATGGCTTGCGCATAGTCTATCATTGATTGATATCGACGTAGCTTCTTCAGACGTATCTGAAGATACTTCGTCAAATGTCTTGTCTCTGCGCCATGCATCGCCCAACTTGGCTCTTTTGCGCTCGCTAGTACCAACACGCTTTGTACAACGAATTTTTATCTTCGGTATCAATCGGAATTCAGCTGTTTTATCACGCGAGAGTGATGACGCCGTTGAGACCAGGAAACGTTCTGGGGTTTCTTGAAGATTTTCGAGAAGTAATTGTCTTTCGATACGACGCTGCTGTAATCCTCGAAGTAAGGATTTCCGTCTTTCGTTGTTGAGTGTAGCTTCAAAATGATGCCGGGCATTCTGGGAAGATCGATCGTCGATGCCTGTCCAAGTGAAACGCAAAATACTTATTGAGCTTAATATCATAAGAAATTTGTATTATTTGTGCAATGTTTGCGGTACATTAAGCAGTAAAGTTTTTCGTTCAAAAGCGCAATTTTAAAGATTTAGAAAAGTTTGTTCGATCTTTGAGCAGTATTTTGTTATTATCTAGAACTATTCAAAGGTATCAATCAGTAAACAGTTTACTAACCACGCTGTCAAACAAAACCAAGTTGCAGTTGTCCTTGTCGGCTAAATTACACATATCTAGTGCTCATACGATTAATCAAAACATAAACAGAATCGTGTATAGTTTAGTCGATCACATTTTAAATTATGAATAGTGCATAAAATTTAAATGACGAGTTTACCTTTTACTTTTGAGTCATATTTCATAAACTTATGAACTTTTCCTCTGGATGTAGACCTCCAATGTACAGATCGTTGTTCTATGTCTAAAGCATTAGAAAACAACATTTTTGAATACCATATTTAAGGTGACCTTATAAAAAGGCTATATTCAAACGGCGGCTTCTAGTTTAGGAGCTCTGAGTTAAACACACGATTTTTCTACCTTCCCAAATGAAAGTTCAAATGAAAAAGCAGAGAATTCAGAATGGTCATAAAATTAAAAGTTTGTAGATGCATGTAGTAGGTTAGTGCGGTCTTCACAAGGACTATTGGTGCTGGTGTTGACTGACGTGTCGAAAACCGTAATGGTTCAAATTCAAATGACTACCGCTAAGGATTTCACAACGTCAGTAAATATACCAAAGCATGCAGTCTTTCTATGGACTCCACTAACCTGGACGAACTACATCTATCAACGTGAACTTTAGTGTGAGTGCTCAGTGCTGTACTTCATTGATTCGCCACAGAGTTAGTGGAAGAAACAGAGGCAGCCTCCCTCCCAAGACACATACAAAATGACATGCAGAGGATCATAAGAAAATCCTGTCCATGGAGATAATTGTCTTTATTTCTCGCACTGAATGATTGGCGAAATCAACGGCAAGCACTTACACAAAACCATACAAGTTGACCTCGATATGTTTGAGTTTTGTGATGTGAAAGATCATGAATACATCACCAGGTAATTTCAATACATCTTGAGTTTTTTCATCTTTCACTCGATCATGACTCTTTTGCTTAACAGCAATGCGCGTTGTGCTGCTTATACTTGTCTTCACTCCGTCGATAATTCTTGGGAGAACGACTTTCTCTTGGTTTGTTTGGTTTCGTTTTGACGTATTCCCATCAGCTGGGACAAAAGAATGAATACTTCAGAACATAACTCGGCAATAAATCATAAAATTCGATATTTTTAATTTGGTTGATCAAGTCAATGCTTTTGAATGCACTTTGCCAGACAAAACAACAATCAAGACACCTGCTGAGGTATTCATACCACGTGGAGAGGTATTCATACCACGTGGAGAGGTATTCATACCACGTGGAGAGATGTTCATGCCACGTGCGGATGTTTACACAGCAAGATTGAGACAATGAACTCTGGTCGTGTCAACTTTTGAAATCGACGAATATTAAAAATCCTCGAGTCATTGTAAAATCACACTGGCCCATCAGCGCGTGTGGAGAAATAAAGCACAAGAATGGATTTAAAGGCGTGCAAGGGAGACAAGGGGCTAGAGGGGGTACAGGAGTAGTAGTGGCAATTCTCCTATAGAACACGTATATACGTATATAATGGAGCACACTTCCAAAAATCTCCCAGTCACAATAAAAAGATAACCTAATTAAACATAAAAGTCTGACATACAACGCGAACGAGTAGTTACCGAGCACGCTCCCCCATACCCCCCCCCCTGACTACCGTGGATCCATTCATGATAAAGATTTTTACCTTGTCTCATTGATTTTAACGTTTTACTCTGACCAACTTGCTCACTTTCGTCTTGATCGTCACTTACGGCAATCTTTACAAAAGAGGATCCCTGGTAAAAATAAAGTGTGATTTCCATTTAATCGTTTCGTTCATGATAAACTAAATAAAATTGTTTTTGGTGAAAAGGTGACTGACGATTTACCCTTAACACAAACGAGGGCCTTTCTTCGGCTCTCGAGCCCATTCTCGTCGCGCGCATGTCATAGACATCTAAAGCATCGAATCCAAGCCTTGATAACAAGTTGCAGCCGCTCATTCTGCTCGGGGGTCTGTATTTTAGTTTATCATCAAGGCGAGGTAACATATCCCCTCCTCGAAGATCATGCAAAGACGATATAGAGTGTGTGGAGGATTTGTGAAGCGTCAAATTAACTACCGATACACGTGTTTGAGACTAAATGTGAAGAAAGAATTTGCATTAGTAAATACCCTAGTGGGTACATGTTGGTAAAGTGGGTACATGTGGGTAAATTGGGTAAATGTTGGTAAATTGGGTACATGTGGGTAAAGTGGGTACATATTATTTATGTTATTATATTTTATCATTTTTCTTCTAGAGACACGAAATTTCATTGCCCATTATAAGAAATGATGTTTATTCGAGAAATTAAACCATAGATGAACAGTTCTGAGCAAACTACAATTTGGTGCCAAACTCTTTATTTCGCCATGTTTGTATGATTTGATCGTTTATTATTTACTAGTTGCTTGCTAATTATATTTAGTAGATGTTAAGTATAGTCGCAAACTGTCTGATCTATGCTATGTCGAATGATATTGAGGCACGTGTAGAAACTGACGAAGACACTGTAAATAAAATGCCGATTATACTTTATTTTTCCAACCGCTAGATGTGATGTGCCACTGAATTGAAATACGTAACTTGAGCACGCCGTTAACGCAAGCAAGCATCGAAAGTTCCAAACGCCGTTCTTCAAATGAGTTGCTTGCATCTCGCCGGAAACATTGAACAAAGTCCCAATTTCTGTTTTTACCTGAATTGGATTCAAATTTCTAAAACTTGAAATGCGGCTTTCTCGTTGAAGAGATTGGCTGTCGTCGCCATTGATGTCATCTAGACTGGTAGACAACCATTTTTTTATATAATTACTTTTCTCCAGCTTTTCCTTGGAAATTTTCAGTTTGGAAGATAACATGTCTTCTCTTGAAATTAACTGTATTCCACGCAAAACGGGCATTTTCGACTCCGGAGTTGGAGATGGTGAAAGGATGTTCATTTTCACAAACAAATTTTTAAGACCTTTTTTGTCTTTTACACCTACAAACGTACACAAGAAAATACAACTGAACGGGTAGAAAGCGATACAACTATTTGTTACCATCATAACTAAAGACACTATTCTCAGGTGGAAGGGCGCTATTTATATACCTAAAGATACTATTATCATACCCAAGGATTTTACTGTCATTCCCAGGATCAACACTGTTTGACAATTTGACTGCACTGTACATTCGTAACTAAAGCTACTGATGTCAAACCTATGGATACTATTGTTATATACCTAAGAATGCTAATGACATATCTAAGGATACTGTTGCCATATACCTAAGAATGCTAATGACATACCTAAGGATACTATTGTCATATACCTAAGAATGCTAATGACATACCGAAGGATACTGTTGCCATACCTAATGTCAAACCTATGGATACTATTGTCATATACCTAAGAATGCGAATGTCAAACCTATGGATACTATTGTCATATACTTAAGAACGCTAATGCATACCTAAGGATACTATTGCCATATACCTAAGAATGCTAATGACATACCAAAGGATACTGTTGCCATACCAAATGCCAAACCTATGGATACTATTGTCATATACCTAAGAATACTAATAACATACCTAAGGATACTATTGTCATATCTAAGGATATTTCTGTCATATACCTAAGGATACGATAGTCATACCTATCAAGTTAGACAAAGCATCAAGGGCATCTTGCTGTAATTCCTCAGAACCGTTTGCCAAGCACATCACGAGTCCTTCGATAGCTTTCTCTGTCAGTATATTCAATTGTTGCACAGCTTCAATACTGATACGTCGTATTGCCATGTCTGGATGTTGCAAATTATCCACCACAATCTTCAACATTTTTGACTTTTGTTGATCAGAAATGGCGGCAGATCTATCAAGAAATGGAATCACAGGTAATTAAACGTTGATAATTTGAATTTGGAAATTTGCAGTTATGATCATATTCTGAAAATCAGAAAATTGATCTTGGCCAGCAAACCACAGAAGAATAAGTTTAAGAAATCCCCAATAAAATCATTCATAAAATAACAATAATATAACGCGTGCGCTGATTGGGACAAAGCTTTGTTAATATAATCCTGTGCAAACCGATCATAGCTCAATCAATTAAATCGATAAAGAGAATTGGCAAATCATTTTACGTTCATCCGTTTCGCATTATTGTCATTTTATAAAAGAAATAAAGGCGTTTTTCGTGATTTCAATGGCTTATGCAAACTTCTGAAACGTTTGTGAGAGCTCTCGAGCGGAAGAACGGTCTCGGGTTTGCATTGATCTGCTCTCAAGTTCTCCCAAAAGTCTCCTCCGTTTGAATAAGTTTGTGCAAACACAGTACACATTCATTTATTTCACAGACTAATTCTAAAATATTTTACACGAGATGAGAAAACGACGAAAAGAAGAATGGTAAAATCGGACAAAAACTCGTTTTATAGAACACTTACGATACCAAAGCCAACAGGTCATCGCAAATCTTCCCATAAGTCGTCGGGGCGCAGGACGACATAATGGCAATTATTTCATCAAAGATATTTTCCGCCGTGAATCCGTCAACCAAAGATGCTTTGGGAAACCACGGTTGGCCAACAATGTGTTGTAGAATATCAGGTAATTGCAACGTCGGATCATCGGCCGCTGCATCATGGGATACTGCATCAGAGACTGATTCATCAAGCATAATTGCTTCTCGGTTAGTTGCATCTTGGATTGCTGTATCCGGGACTTTGCTTTTGGCTTCATCGTCACATTCCACATCATGGCCGTCTGGCTTGACGTCATCATCGTCTTCGGCTTCCTATTATCATATAAATTCGTGATGCTTTCACTTGAGATTGACAAAATATGATGTTGAATATGCACTAGTTTTGCAGTGAATTGAGATTATGAACTAAGATGGGCTTAAAACAATTAAAGCTGAATAGAACGTAATTCACGGATACTATAGTGGTTTTGCGCGAAAGTAAAAGATGAGCTGGCTATGGTAGTGGAAATTATAATGAATTACTCAAAATCGATTACCCCCAGAGCGCTGATTATCGGCATGTCCGGCTGCTTGCTGACCCTTCTACGTCCGCGAGCGGACTGACGAGCTCGAACGCTCGACAACATCTGATTCCTTAAAACAACCACAAATTATGAGTGATGTTCAACTTGCTTGTTGTCAACTTAACAAATACGGTAGATGTTATGTACTAGAAAAACGATAAATTCGTGTGACGTCAATCTGTGCTTTTGCATTCCTGTGCAACATGGTCTTGGACCAATCGAATTGCTTGATTATCTAAAGCTGTTACATAAAGCCTGGTCGTCACTTGCAACATAAGCAGAAACATGAGCATAGCAGAAATTGATAATCTTGTGCTTATGCCGCTTGTATCACAAGTAATCACCAGGTCTCGATCAGTCTTTATCATTTACTTATTCATCGTTGTTTTCACTGGGGCTTTCCATTTCTTGGTCATATCTTCTTTCTTCTCCCTTGCGTTGTCATCGCACTCGTCAATAAAATCGGGCAACGGTTGATCAATGACATCATGCAACGCTGCATCGTATCCATCAAAAATTGATAGGTAACCAATGTCGTAAAGATCCTCAAGGGTCAATGGAAGACAGTCCACGTCGGATAATTCTAATAAAGACATATTGTGTTTTGATCACAGCTGGAGAGCGATCGTGAATAGCCCAAAGACGTAACTAACCGATGGATAGTAATTCTCAACCTTCTTAAAAAAGATGCTTTTACTTTCCTCATAAAAATGCAATTTGTCGTTTTGAAAATATGTTTTCTTCCACATATTGTACAAATGAAACTTTTTGCTTTTGAAGAGACTTTTCAAACTATTGAAAATTTACCATCCAATGGTTGAATAGCGCCAGACAAACTTTGTCCATTCTCCTATATAGCTTATTAAGTGGAACGGTTAGCTAACAAAGACTGAATGTGCAGAGATTTTTTCCGTGTTTTCAATTTTTTTATGAAAGAACAATTTTTTATGAAAAAAAAACGAACGACTTTCACCTTATAACTAAAATCTTGTTAAAAACTATAATTATCTTCACACACTAATATTTTTCTGTTTATCATTTTCTTGCTCACAATTGAAGATGCCCGAAAGTTAAAGACGAAACGTTAGCTACAGTTGATTTTACTTGAAGACATTTCATTTTAGAGGCTGTTTTACGGATCAATTGTTGGGCAATTAATACTCATTCAAAATGGGATCTTCGTACGTGGAATACATCAAAACTGTACTCGATCATAACCCAAAGGCTGCACACAAGATGCGGCACAGTATGGTGTAGTCTATCACCATTGAACTAAAATACATGGAACGCATCTGAAGCAAATAATTTTAGCCAAATCTTACATCAGACACGCGAGATTTTACCCCAGACTCGCGTGTATAGTGTTTCGAGATTCTCTCGTGGAGTAATATTTGAATGACTACACATGCGTGTCCGGGGTGAAATCTCGCGTGTCTAGGGTAAAATCACGGCTTCAAAATATTATTAGGGTTTTGTATTACAGGTAGCATTCAATGTATTTTAGTTCAATGTCTATCACACACTTCAAACTTTTGTCTCCCCCCCTTACCTTTGCGTCCTTTTACAGCTTTCCTCTTTCTGGTTTTTGCTATCCATTCTACCGCCTTTAATCCTCTGAGAAGCTTTGGTATGAGATACTCAGGAAGATCTCTTGGTGGAACTCGTTCTCTTACGACTGAATTTGGGATAAATCCATCAGGAGCACAAGGCCAGTAATCATCCGGGATTTTTCGTACATATCGCCGTAAAAGAGTCGACGGAGTTGCTCGACAAGATCACAGGACGATTCCTCTCCTTGTGTTGTTGTCTATAAGACGAAAAATAATTGATATAGATGATAGAGATTACGTAGTTAATAATAAAATACAAAAATATAATGCCGAGAGTCACATTTAGATCAAAAAATCGAAGGGTACCCCAGGACTAAATGTTCATAATAACACATCGGTTATCCATTTGCTTAGTCAGAGTGATTAAGAATTTTACTACACCGTCACTGTGAGAGATGTGATGGTTAAAATGCCACAATCGACAGGTGTAGCGGGTTTTGTAAAGAGAAGGAAAAACCTTTATCATCCTGGAATTTTGGACAGTGCAGTTGAAACCTCCCCCATCTAGGTAAATCTGCATTTGTTATTTTGTATAAAGTAAATGGTTTGAACCCGGGAGTATCGTTATATGTTTGTAGATGAAGATCGTCCAGGTTAGTAGAGTCCTGAGAAGGAATGTTCTTGATGATGTTGACTAACGTTTCCACAACCTTAGCGTCATTTGACTCTGAAGATGACTACCGCTAAAGTTGTCGAAACATCAGTCAACATCAACAACAACAATCCTTCTCAGGACTCTACTAGCCTGGACGATCTACATCTGCAAACATGTTATTTTGTATAGCAAGTTAGGGAAATACTTGTGAACAAGATAAAAAAAAACAACATAGCAAGTTTTAAACATCAATGAAGATTTCAACTTACATGCTCTGACCTATGGCTCCTTCTTCGAAAAATGTCAAACGGTGTTCCCTCGAGTGAAGATGTTTGAGCAAGTGAGCCTCGCTGGCTCATCACGGAGCGTCGAAATTTGCTCAAGCGCTCGTCAAGCTCACTTTGTTCAAGTGCGGTCGAAAATCGCCTGACGGGATAATTTGTTAGCTCTTCAACGTCTTCGTTCTCGGAAAATTCTTCTCGAATGGCAAGATTAACGCTGAATGCATCTTCAAAGTTGGCTAGGAAAAGAATTATACACAAGAACCATTATGCGGTTCAAAAGTATGAGAAGATGAGCTTTCAAATGACTTTTGATCAAGCTTCGGACATTATCACGAAATTCTGAAGTGAAAAAAAAATTTTCTGATCCTAAGCAATGATTAATCTTCCACATAGTGGTGGTTTGATTTAATGTTAGATCATCTCCGGATTTATCAAATGAAACTCTAGATTCAACTCAACAGATTCCATCGAATTCAGACGTCCAATTATAAAATGAAGTATATGATGAACAGAAATTTGGATTGTAGTTCCTTAAAAAGTGTTACTTTCATCAAAATGCTAATGCTTAGCAATCACGTGGCAAATGTAAGTTAATTATAAGCAATCACGTGGCAAATGTAAGTTAATTAGAAGCAATCACGTAGCAAATGTAAGTTAATTAGAGTTCAATTTTTATTCTTCAAGGAGTTTGACTTTTAAATCGCACTATTTTACATAAACGGATTCCAAATCAGGACTCAAAGAAGATCGGATTCCCGATTTCATCGTTGATCAAATTCTTATGACATCTCACCTACCTTTGGATCATGCTGTTCCGCTTGAAGGATGAGTCTTCGCTGTTCAAGATCCAGCGGTAAAGAAGGAGTGTGTGACGGATTGAATGAGAATCGAAGCATGCCATCGAAGGGTACGTGGTGTTCAAAAACATCATCGGGAAACTCCATTTCTGACAACATCTCTAGCATATTTAACGGTAGATAGTTCTTCAGAGGTACGTGACTGATGTGGGACTGGAAACCAACTAACAAATCACCACGCGTGTTGGCAAAGCACACGCCACGCAAGGACTCGTCGAAGTAGATTTCTTTGAGAAGTTTAGCGTTGGTGTTCCAGATTTTTACGCTCCAATCATCACTGGAGGTCGCAAATATACCAAGCGTGTGACAAGCAGAGAGCTACAACAAGAGCAAATCATATAGATAGAGCAAAATTCAATCACAACAATTTGCAAATACTCGAAAACATCTTTATTTGAACGGGTAGTCACTATATTAACTCGATCCATTGACTAAACCTACCCCAGTTATAGCTTTTGAATGTGTTTCCTCCGAAGAAGAGGTATAACAATCAATTTCGCAGAAATTGTCTTCCGTCATAAAATCCTTTTGATTATGTCTTATTTCTGTTGCAGTTTCCAACTCGATATTCATCCTAGAACATTTCGTCAGAAAAACAAGTCAGCAAACGGAATTGATAGTTGAGATCAATTTGGGCTGTTAAACGAAAAGCGAATTCACATATCCTCAAGCGGATGAATTCATTCTGAAAGAAAACAAACTCGCCAATAAAGTAGCAGTTCAGTAGCCTAGACTGCTGAAATTTAACAAAACAAACATGCTCTAACTTAATGACAACAAGAAAATCCGCAGTCAAACGAGCAGGGATTAAATATATCATCAAACGGATGAACAAAGTTTGAAAGGAAACAAGTTCCTAAACGCAGTAACACAACAATTCAGGAGTCTAGACTGTAAACGATGATAAAGACCGACAAATAAAAGAAGCTCTGAACAAAACGAAAGTTTCAAACTTTACAGTTCAAAATCTGTCTCTCTGTCAACAACAACGCATATATATATAAGCTCAGGAAAGTGAAACACTCGCGGGACGCCCGCACAACTAACCAGGCAGCTCCACGTACCTACACGTCATCATTATATTGCCCTCCATAACCAATCCAATCGCGGATCCAATAATCTCCATGTCACGTGGGACGCTCGTCAACTTCACGCATGTCAGCAGCTGAAGCAAAACGATCTTCGTAGGCTCGTTGGAAACCTTCCAAATTTTGAGTTCACAATCCGAACCACACGATACCAAAATGGGGAAGTGAAAAGGATGAGAATCGTCTTTGCTATCATCGATCTTGGACGCACACAGCAATGCTATTGTTCCATAGTGAGCTTCGACTGTCTCGTACATACTAAGCTCTGATAATGTTAAAAGAAAAGCAGACGAAGTTGAGAAAATCATCAGCAAATGACAAAGTAGACTACGAGAAATTATACTATCCCGTGGTCTTATACAAAAGCAAAAAGTCACGTACGAAAATTTATAATTTTGACAGTGTCTATCAATTCCAAGTTTTGCTACGAGTCTACATATATACTTCTCGAACACTATTGTGCACTTTGAAAGTGCTCTTAAAAACAATTTTTTTAAGATGATAAGTGTTAAAAGTATAATAGGATCTTAGTCACACATTTGTATAAATTTATATTTCATGTAAGTCTATTGATTGATGATTTGATGTTAGATACAGGAACCTTACAGTGATAGCAGCATTCGATTATACTGATTCATCCCGCATAAACATTGCTCAACCATAACAACAATTCTGAAAATTATCTTCGCAAAATATGCTCACCATTGCTGTAAATCAATGAAATACGTCCATTGTTTAAACCAGCAAACAACAATGTATAAATGGAACGGTCTTCTTTGTTGTCATGTGATTGATCATTCTCTGCAATCTCCATCATCGCCAGACAGTTAACGCCATACGATTGAGCATTACATCTGGAGTTTCCATTGTCGCTATCGTTTTCGTCGCATCTCCAATACTGGTAAGCACTGAAAAATATACAATTTGACTTGTTTTAAGAGGTAAGACGACCTCATCAAACGCCTAGGGTGGAAAAACAAAGTATCAAGGATTAGGCAAAATAAATTGTAGTTGCTAATTTTAGATTCCAAACACTTTTATGACAATATCATTTGTTGTAAATATCGAAGGAATGAAATGAAAGACGATGATTAAAATAACGCTTGTACATGCCACTAACCGTTCAGCTCATTAGAATAGTGTAAGTTATATAGTAATAGAAGCTAAAAAAGGAAGCAGATGTTTCAAAAGTATGGGTAATGTCCAACGAGCCTCAATGTCGAAATTAACTGACTTTTCAACCAAGCTTCTCGACCAAAACAACTGGAATTAATAACTTATAACAGCGAAAGTAACAGATTCATTAATACTCGAGGACAGCAAGTTCCCATGTCAAACCACATCATCTGTTTTGCAGCAAATAACTCATGTAAACAAAATCTTCCCACTTACCTGCAAGGGTTCGTTCTGGTATCGAAAACCAAAATCGCACCCGAGGAAAGAACAACGTAAAGTCTTTCCTCGCGTGGATTGTACGCATAATCCACGATACAATGAGGGATGGTTTCGAGGGGAAACATAGTGGTAATGGTGACACCATCAGTTGGACATACAATTCTTATAGCACCGTCTTTACCATGCAGTAACAGGCGAGTAGGAAGACCTTCGGACACGACACGTCGAAACGTCGCGATCTCGAACCCCAGCATCGTAAATAAGCTATGAAAGTGGTTCATGTTCCAAACGCGAATGTGCTTATGGGATCGATAAAAAAGTCTTTGTGACGTCATCAGTTCCATATAGTGAACTTCCTCGCCAGTTTCCAAGACGTACGTTTGTGCGAACGTCTCTAAACTCCATAGACGGATTGTTTTGTCGATGGAACTGGAAATGACTAGATGACGAGCTTTATCAACTTCCAACGCGGTTATTGCTTTGCAATGGCCTGGAAACGAACAAAAGAACTAACATATTACCAATGTATGTACACTGTGTGTATACGCAACATAACCGAGTTTCATTCAAGTATTATCTTTTGGATGTTAACTTAAGCTTGGATCATTTAATCTTAAAAGATTTACACGGAGTTCATGCGAGGTGCACCTGCGCGAGAGTTCACACAAACGTCTCAGAGGTTTGAATTTCAAACATGAAAAACATCTTTTACAAAAGAGCGATGAGAAACAGATTAAATATTGAAAAAAACGTTTCATCTTTCCTCAAACAAGTATTTATGATTGGTTTGCAAATTCTCTTTGGTTAACTTAATTGATTCAACTCGGTTTGTACACTCAGCTATAGACCAATCAGCACACGCGTTTCGTTGTTTTTTAAGAAATAAAAGATTTTTACTGTGTTTACGCAGGCTTAAGAAAACTCAGCTATAGACCAATCAGCAAACGTGCTTCATTGTTTTAATTTTACAAGCATAAACGAGAGGTTAATGATAAACAGCGTAACTTTACTATGACCACCAAAACATTCCTATCCCGTATGTTTGTCTACAATAACAAAACGTTTTCTTTGAGTATTGAACACCAAGAGTACTCATTACGATAAACCAAGAAATTGGTAATTTCACTTTATACCACTTGCTAATACATAAACTTTAGCAAACGAATAAATCATAGATATATTAAAATAGAGACTTTGAAATGTTTTAAAAAGAGTAATTACCATGGCGAATGGTCAAAACGATAACGTATAATGTAATAGTATAAGGCAATAGTTCTCGTAGTTTTTTGCACAGTTCTTTTAAGAAATATTACGTTATTATTTTGACCATTCACCATAGATATATATAAAGAATATACCATTAAAACAGGTAACCAGAGGACACTGGTTGAGACTTCTGTTCCAAACCTTGATGGAATGATCCTTGGAACCTAAACAAAACATACAATCGAGCGGATGAATATAACCTGAAGATTTGGGAAAGTCCGTCGTCATATCCATTCACCAGTGATAAAATAACAGCTTGGATGGTAAAACGCGCAAGTGGTGAAAGGCAACTGGTGACGGAAATCAATATCGAAAACAAATTTCACTTCGTAGCTCTGTTCGTCCAACATGACTATAGCTTCTTCACAGTTCAGCAGAAGAAGCCTCGAGGATTTATCCAATCGGATCCAAATGACCCAGAACTCGGGATGGATCGCGGGACATTGGATTTTGTGAGAGGGATATAGTGGGTCGTTTTGCGCATGAGGTATCTTCCATATCATCACAAAACCTTGAATGAAAAAAGTGAAACATCATCCTGAGCAAAGTTTACGAATGTACGTAGGTATTTTTTTACATCATTTCAAACAGAATGAACGCATAGGGGAACATGGTAATATTCAAAACATCCCAATGACCCATTTTGCATTGTGTATACAAAAACACAAGTGTTCTTATCACACTATTTCCTCATACATCGCTTTTATGACATCAACATATCCAGTTAACACATTTCTAAAATGAATGACAACAATGAACTGAAATTTCAGCACCAGTACTAAATCTTGAGGGCTGACTACCCCACGTAGTTACATTCGCAATTTGCCTAGCAATCACCTCAAAGAGCCAACATTAGTCATTCACACCCGCACGGCATTGTGGTAATAAAGTAAAACAAGTACGCGTCATCAAGTGGGCACTTAAACACTAAAACTACAAGAAATTTCCCCCAAGACTATTAAGATACATAACTGTTTCGTTGATTTTTTCGATTTTATTTTTTTTATTTTTTTTTTTTTTTATTTTTATTTTTTTTTTTTTTTTTTTTTTAGAATCTTTCACTCTTTCACAAACAAACCGCGTTCATGAAAGTCTGATGGCGAATAAAAATCGTAAAAACAATATCTCACCTAAACAGCCAGCAAGCACTTCGTCACGACATGCGTTGTAGTAAAGACAGAGAACAGAATGATTTGTTTCAGTTCGTGAGGTTTCCTTGAAGTTCATCGTGGTATACGCATGAAGACTGAGATCGGTCGCGAATGCAACGAAACAACGATGCTTCGGAACGTGAACGATGTGTTTCAGTTGATAGTTAAGTTCCATTGACGCCAGCTTTTTTTCTGCCCTTGAATCTTTCTGATTTACGGTCCATAAATTGAGAACGTAACTTCGTGCTTTACCGTAATGCGTTAGGAATGTGTCGTAGTCATTCATGTGTGGATGAAGCAAGACTCTGATTGGTTCAGGATGGGTGATGTCATACAATCCTAGAACGACGTAAGCAAAAATGACCGATGCTTTTACAACGCATGCAAAACTCTCAGTGGAGAAAAATGAATCATATAATACAACAAGTAGCAAAGCTAGCCCCATTATTTACTCTTGCAATGCAATTTTTCAACAAAATCATTTTTCGTTTCTTAAGAAAATTCATTCATTCATCATTCGTCAATAAAAATATTTGCATCGAAGAAGTGGAAAAAACGGGCTGGCTTGGTCATTGAATACAAGCAGGTTCGAATTTATCAGGCAGTTCAATCTTCAGTCAACCAGTGAATTCGTACAGCTTTTGTCATAAATATCCGGGGCAGAAAGCCTGATAGAACACTGTGCAGGAGTGGGGCACAAGCACCTTTCTTACTTTTCACAAAAGCGCCATTTTTTTCAGCTAAGAATAACCAAAATGGCTTTTTGTATTATTCGTATTGTACTCACACTAGTTCAAACTGCGGCCTTCACTCTCACAGACCATTTGGTAAGAGAAAAGATGCTGCACATTATTGCTTCGTAAAATTGAAACACTGAAAACATAGAGAAAAACAAAAAAGCTGAAAAAACCTTGCATTCCATACGGTAGACACAAAGCGTTCGTGCGCTCTGGATTATTCTCAAGAATTTCTTTTATTTGCTTTTTTACTGTGTCCCAGCAAGCGAGTTTTCGACTTCGCGATAATTTAGTCATTTTTTCAACCGTTTGCAATTATATAAACCAGTTCGCTTCTCTTCTTTCTACATCTTTTGTTTTTTTCCAAGACTCGAATTAGCTACTGGAAACGAAATTCATTTGTGACGTCATAATAGTTCAACATTCTAAAGCGCATGCGCAAGAGTTGTTCTGTATGCAACCAGTGAACTGTAATATAAACCCGAAACGATAACTCCTATAGTTTTGTCCCGTGATTGGTTGAAGCCAAACATGCACCTAAATTTTAATGAGCTCCCCCTGAAATAATGCCTGTTTTGATTGTTTTCTTCGCGACTGACGTTTGTTTTGGCTTCTTGGCAGTAAAAAACGTGAAAAATTAAATATTGTGGTATTTTGACAGATTTTGTGCTGTAAAATTTTGGTCGTTTGAGCGTTTGGCTATGCCTGAAACTTTCAAAACTCAGAAAAGCAATAAAAATCGCGCGGACATTTCCTGATTTTGGACTTTGCTTTCAAACTTTTCAGCAATACTATGACTTTTGGCTAATTTTTTCGACAATCTGTAAATTTGACTAATATTCTTCAAATTTAATAGTATTTAGAAAAAGTAACGCGAAGTTTACTTTTAAAACTTTATAAATATAAAAATTCCATTTAGTTTACAAAAGGACTGGAGCGACCTGCATGGCTGCCATCATCTGGCTTCCATTCCCCCATGACTTATCGTTCCAGTAGTTTATAGTTCACTGTATGCAACACATAGGAACACATCACTTACAACATACTTAGTAAAAAATGATTGAGAAGACAATGCTCATAAATCTATTTATAAATTGCTATAAATACACACCATGAATAAATATTTATAAAGAACAAGAGAATTTTCCAAAGCAATAAAATTCAATCTGATAATATAAGATAAACTGCACGACGTCATTACCATGACGCCTATCGCCATAGCAACGTAAAGCACCGCCATTGCGGTTTAAATTCGATCAGTTAAACGTTAATCATTGTTTCCACTCATTTTATCTGGGAAAATGCTTGACGAACAAAAGCCAACTTTGATAGCAGATATTTCGATTCGCCTCGGAAGAACACTAGCCATAATAAAGCCTGATGCTATAGACCGCAGCGATGAAATCGAAGAAATAATTCAACAACATGGATTCACTATCTTACAGGTCGCACGAACAATTGCCGACAATTATTTGATAACGAAAGAGCGTACTTTGCTTCCGACTTTATTTGTCCTAACCTGAGAAAATCGATTTCACCATGCCTAGTGTCTTAATAACGAAACGGCCTCAAACGTATATTTGTTCCTTTATAGAAACGACAAGTTTATCTCACTCCGGAGCAGACGAGTGATTTTTATGCAGAACATTATGGGAAAATGTTCTTTCCCAGTTTGGTGGCGTATATAAGCAGGTTAACGATGTTCAATATCTCGAAGTGTACAATATATATATATAATTTAACCAAATTTTACGGGATTAATTTTTTTCTGATGTAGTGGTCCCATACTTGCTCTCACACTCGAGAGAGGATGCGGTTTCATATTGGAGGCAGTTAATAGGACCAACGAACACTCTTAAAGCCAGGGATCAAGCTCCAGAAAGGTAATGTACCAGATATATTTTATCAAAAATTCTATCAGGCCCAAATTTGATATTTATGCATCATTGAGTTTTTCACCATAATTCGAAAACATACTCCAAAAAACGTCATCCTGTAAACTCAAGATTCGAGATATATTAACAAAAGATAGCATTTTCACAAGTAATACATCAACTTCATTCATTTCATGGTCATTCTCAAAAGTGACTTTTCTCCAGCTGGTATGATGTTAAGCAGTTATTACAGAGAAATGGCGTTAACATAACTCGAATCTTGATGTTTTTTCGGACTGTATTTTCTCAAATGTACATTTTAATTATCGACTGCAAAAGGTTCTTGGACGTTCGCCATCCTCAATCATTTTCAACGTCACACTTGTTCATGTAACAATGATTACATTTTAATGAAGCAATAATGATGCAAGAAGCTTACAAAGTGACTATGACTAAGTATGATTAGTTTATAAAAATCTAAATACAGTCGCCCCCTGCATTGTTACGTTTATTAGTACAAAGTTGTATAATGTAGTCGGAAACGGAACGTTTCGAGTTTTTTTTTCATTTTTATCTAATCAACGAATCAAATATCACACCATACGCACGCACATTAATGAACGTATAATTGGAACTCGTCCTTAAAAAAACCCCTTTGCCACTCGTTATGTGACAATACTCAACAAGTTTCGTCAGTGTCGACAGCTTTCAGCTCGTCTCCGTCATCTTTTCTCGAAAGACATTTGAACGCGGGGAGAAGTTTACTAAACGTCTCCGTGAAGACCGCTCTAAACTCGGCGTTATGAAATGTGTATATGTAAGGATTTAGACACGAGTTTAAATAGGGTAGAGTATAGAGAAACAGCAAACCAAGGATCTCCTGTGTTTTCTTTGGCAGAGTATCAACATAACTGTTGGCATACTGTTGCATAACCATTATAACGACAATCGGTAGCCAGCAGATCAGAAATGCTCCCACAACGATTATTAAAGTTTTCGTGGCTTTGAGCTCGCGAATTGTAAAGCGCCTAGTCTTTGCTTCGGATCTCGACCCTTTCGTTTCGACTGTGGCTATAAGCGGTTTGCTGTGATTTTGAATTATCTTGCGTTGTTGTTTCACGGCGATTTTAAACACCAAGCAGTACAAGACAATTAGTATTACCATGGGCACAAGAATGCCTGATATAAGAGAAAAAGCGTAAAAAAGTTTGTCCTGTTTCGCACACTGAGGATGCGATACAAAGTTTCCGTCCGAAGACCACGTGAAGAACGACAAGACTGCAATCGTGAATGCGTACAACCAAACTGCCAGGATTGCTTTGCAACAACGCGAGAAAGTCACGATCGTAGCATAACGTAAAGTCCGCGACAACGCGAGGTAACGATCGGCGGAGATGAGGGACAGGTTGATGATTGATGCCGTGTTACACAATAGATCTATAAATATCCAAAATTTGCAAGTGTGTTCCCCGAGATCCCAATTGACGTTGAACGCAAAGTAAACACGAAACGGCGCGGAGAATATCACAACTAAAATATCGGACACGGCCAAGGATATAAGAAAAAGTTTGAGATCTTTGCAATCGTCGTACCCAGTAAACAGCCATGCATACGAAGCCGTTACCAAATAACGCAGCTGCAATCACGATAATCAAGAACGAAGCTTGAAACCTTTCCGAGAACTTTGAGTACTCAACCATAGGGAGCGTTGTTTTAGTACTTACAGCCATCTCCCTTGACCTGGACGGTGCGATTTCCAAATTGTTTTTCCTAGAACTCCGAACAAGCTTTTCAAATTTGACAGGTGAAAGTTTTTTCCTCGCAATTTGAAGTGAACGAACCCGGGAAGTGATGACGACGCCTTCTTTTTCTTCGTTAACTTTATCGACTTTTGCGGTAAATTCGTCTCTCGTGATGTCTTCCCAACTAAATATTTTTACAATGATCGAGACAGCCCCCACATTAAGTCTGGTAGCTTTTCCAAATGCACACCTGCGAGTGCCTGAGTCACATAGCGCAACTTCTCGTTCCGACCAAAAACAATACCTGTGAAAACTTTACACGCCGCTTTCAAACTCAACGGGTAATCCTTTCAGAGAACGCCGCTTATTTCACAAACGATAAAACGCTGGATGAAGGAAGAAATAAATTGTTTTGTCATCATTAATGAATTTCAATCTATTTTTACATCGTATGTGAATGCAATAAGTCTATTGCAAAGATCAGATCATATATAAATAATTAGTCACGAAGTCGTGTAGGTAGTTTGTCGCCCGATTGTCAAGCGACAGGACTTGATTAATGCTTTCGTAGACAATATCATGAATATATATGGCATTATCATATATTTACATAAATATGATGTCTTAAAAACAGCTAATACTCGTTTTTCCATTTTAAATATTGTTTGTTTTCGTTAACAAAGCAATTTTCTTCAGCTATGCGATCTGCACATGCGATTTTCATCCGCGCTAATAGGAACCAATTCTACATTCTCTTTCGCACAAAGTGCAAAAAAACCTCGTAAATGCGCTTTTTACCAAAGGAAACACGGGACAGATTCAAGTGATTAAAGCAATACTCCATAACGCGTTTCTTTCAATTAACATTTAATTATAGTTGCTATAGCTGCATACGCTTTGCGTTCATGTACAATTAATAGGATTTTCTTCTCAAAGCAAGCGTGCATCCAATACATAATCGACTTACAAAAATCTGTTTAATGATGCTCGCTGTCGGCTTCTAGTCTCGTCTACGGCGTCGTTGCTTCCACGTCCCGTTAAATGAAATAAAATAGCAATGTCCTTCGCGTTTCAATGATGGCACGATGAAGCGAGATCGTAAACGGAAAAACAAGACTGATCTTAATTAATTAGTATCTGAAAACAAGGCGTTAAAATATAAATGACAATACGCGAGACTAAACACTGTCGGCGTTTTCAGTTCAGGACATTAAATTCAGGCATGAGGCCATTTACTCGTAACTTTAACTAATATAGTTTCCCCTTTCATGTGAAAACTGCAACACGTCAAAGATTGTTCAAATGGGAAAATGAATGAGGCATCCCGGCCACAGAACTTAAGCGATCGTTCATGCATGATTTTTATGATTTTTCTAGTATTTATTTTACAATAATCATCCACGCAAAAACACCCAAAGTTCTCATGGATAGGAAGAAAATTTTCCAAACCCAACTGATCCCAGTTGTGAGAATTTCTTTACTACATTATACGCAAATTGCCAAATATACTGTTCATTAATTAAAAAATGAATTGTTTCGACGCTTTATTCTCTAATAAAATAGACATAACAATATTTCAACATATTAAGGTATTAAGTCGCCAATATATTGCTTATTTTATACGGCATGGCATGTGGAGCAAAACGTTGGCATGAATGAAAAAATGAAAGGATGATTTAAGGCTCGCAAGATTAAATAAAACTTTATCATTGGCTATTTAATCGAGTTTCGCGCGATGACAATGTAATTTTTTCTCATTGCAACGTAAATGCTTTTCTGATTGTGTAAACGAAATGGATGATTTGTCAAAATTATTATTAAATGTGCTTGTTAACAAAGTGATCTTTCCCAGATGTGCTTCGTTCGTTTCATTAGGAAAGGCCAACAAAACAATACAACAAATTTGGATATACATGCATAAACACAATTGCCTTACTTAAATACACGCTGAGACTCAAAATGATTATGGCATACTTACATTTCGTTATTTTACACATCATACAAAAGCTTCGGTGCTGGTGTTAGTTGGTTCTAAATGCGTCAACGCAAAAATAGACTAGTCGCACTTATTACGTATTTAAACATTCCTTCAGAAGGGCCCGCTGTCTACATCGTGTAAATATTTTGCTTCGTGGTTTACATTTTAAGTTTCAGAAATTTTGTTTATTGATTGAAATGGGCGACAAAAATCATGTATATCTACCTGATATCGACAACAGATAACAAGAACCAATAGGAATTCGTAATTCTCATCAAAAATTGATGACCTTTCTGTTTCGGAAACTCGTTATACACCTAAAGTCTTTGTAGCTAAGAAGTCGTTTTTCACGATCGAAAGTAGTTCCGTGTGTCGACGTTTTCGATTAGTTTACGGCCGCTCGGCGCTGTTCATTCACGTATGATGGGTAAGGCTAGTCTTATAATGTCTTGGGTTCTATTTTAATATCTTCTCAAACGTCCCCAATCTCGTGAAAACGAATTCATTCAACATTCACGAACTGATTGTTTCGAGCAGACCAATTTTTTATGATTCCACCGTTTTTTTTTTGCCACGTCGCTCGCTTCCCCCTTTCATCTAAATCATCACGATCCTGTCCTAATCCTTTGTGTACACCAATTGCAACGCAAAGGCTCATTGGAAGCAAGTTGATTAGAAAGTCTTAGCAACAAATATTTGTACACATTAATGACAAAGCATTGAGCCGACTTTCAGGCATGCATGCATGACGTGAAATTATCGTACACAAACATTTGTCTAGCAAAATCCGAGAAACAACGACTACATGTCTCATTGCTAACGAATTGAAAATCGTGAAAAAATCGTGTGGCGATACGAATAATACATTTCTATGTCAAACTGCGCGAATCAACATGTTCGTCCTGTTTGAACTATCGCTAAATAGCATTGAACGGACGCATATTTCAATAGCAACAAAACACAAAAAACGCGGTGTGCAAAAGCGCCAGTCTGAATATGCATGGAATTAAAGAAACTACGGATGAGCACAGTCTCCATGATAGATGTCATAGCATCAGAAAAACTATATATAATTACGACCAGATGGAAACCAAACCTTCTCACCATGGCATGTTGGCGCATCTGTAACGACAATTTCCACTAAAATATATAACTGGTTGAAGTTCTTTCGACGTATTTCACCTTACGAGTCTAAAATTGCCATCTCGTGTGAACGAACGCTATTTTAGTTCGTATGTCAAAAGCAAACGCCGATTTTGAGCCAGAGGCTAACTCCAAAGTATGACAACATGCGAGTTGCGCAAATATGTGGGTAATTCTTGTGGCATCAGAAACGCTTTAACAATGAAACATTCGACTGAGCAAAATAATTCCCTTAACAATGCTTGATCATATTGGAATGCTTTGAGTTGAGCACAATCAGCTTGATTAGCGGCCATAATTTTTTCGACTGAATGCATCGAGAAAATGTTCGGTGTCTCATTCACTTGTGTAATCAACACATAAATGTAAATTCATTAGCACGAAATCCATCCTCGGCCCTATTTTGTTTGCGAAAGTCATTAATGTCCTGTCAGAACATCCAACATGTGTCGTACCAACGTTTTTGCGACGATCTGGGAATAATGTCGGACCGTACAGAAGAGCAGACGTACAAACTTGTGACATGGCATGTGGAATGGAAAGAAACGGATAGACACTGCTCATAAAACTAGCGATGTGTTAGAAGCAGCAAAAAAGGCGAATGAAAAGCTGATATAGAAGTTTGCCATGAAGCAGACGTATAACAGGTGATTTATTGCGAGCACTTGACATGGATGATTGTCAACAAAGAAGCAGGCAATTAGGAAACGCAGTGAAGGGTCAAGGATAGTTCTTACAGAAGGTTACGTCAATCTAACTGAAAAACGAATAATCACGAAGCTGAAACAGAATGACTAAAGCCTGAAGGTGTATCCAAATCTAATTAAACTGTGTTGATATTAACGGGTGAGAATGCCGATACTTGAAGAAGAATCGATCGAAGGATACTGTTGAGAATAAAGATGAACATGCTGCGAAAGTCCTCGAGGGTGACACAGCAAGATCGGTTAAGAAACGTAGAAGTTAGAGAGAACCACAGTGATAGTGATTGACAAGCACAGTGTGAACAGCGAAGAGAAAACCTCCTCCAGTTTGGCCACGTTGTCTGTGTAAGCAACGATATTGTAAAGCATAGGAAGAAGCTGTGGGAGAAGAAGCGGCGGAGAAGGAGCGGTAAGGAAAAAATTGGTAAGGAAAGAAGGAGGGGAGAAGGGGAAGAAGGAAGGGAGAAATCAGGAAGGAATGAGGAGGAAGAAGAATGGGAAGAAATGTGAGGGGAGAAGAATGGAGAAAGGTGGGGAAGAAGCATGAGGGAGAACATGGGGAAGAAAAAGGGAGGAAAGGTGGAAGGAGGAAATGGAAAAGAATGAGGGGGAATGGAAAGAATGGAGAACAGGAAGAATGAAGGAAGGATGGAGTGGAAGAATGGAAGAAAAGTGGGGAGGAAAGGAATGAAGAAAGAAGAGGAAGGAGAAGAATGGAATGGAGGAAATGGAGGAATGGTGGAGAAGAAGGATGGGGAATGGAAGGGAGATGGAAGAAGCATGGATATAAAAGAAATAGAATGGAGCAGAAACATTCGACTTCAAACATTAGGAAGGATGGTTTAAGGCAATGACGATTTTAAGCTATGTAAGCACAATTAAAAATCCACACGAATCTCTATTTGTTGCTCTTCCCAAAAAAAAGACCATCACCGAAAACATTACATGGGTAAATGATCGATGTTAGAAAACAGTGCTTTTCGCTCGGCTTGCCTTAACGTTACATAGCTAAACCAACACTGACAAGATAAAAAAAATCCCATCAATCCAGTAACATAGTTATAAAAAATAGCAATTATTCCGATGGGTTGAACAAGTCGAGAAGTTCGACTGCCGGTTCTTGTGCAATGCGTTGACAAAAGCAACTCTTTGCATTTTTGGTAACTTTTACAATGACGAGTATATTCCATATCAAGCTTAATTTAAAACTAATATACTTTTTGAAGTAAAAATTGCTCATATTCGTGAGCAAACTCAATTGCAGTAAAATTCCAATTCCACTGCGAGTCAAGGGGAATCTCTCCATATAGGTCACGTGACTTATGTAGTTAACGTCAATACCAGTCCACCACCGGAAACTCTCTATTTTCGTTGAAATATAGTTTACGGGCGATTTACGGCACGGACAGCCAGAGAAATGCACTCCATGGAAGCGACAGTGGAACGAGTGCCGAAAGAGAAATTCACTTCTTCTTTCCGAACAGTAAGTGAGAAAGTATTTTCAAATTGTCATTTTATGAAAGATATCAACGATTCTATTGAGGATTGCCGTGGTAAATGTCTGGCGCAAACAACGTAGAGTGACTGCCTGAAAAAAATTCACCTTTCTTCGGAGGGATATTGCTTTTACTCTGCCGAGAAAAAACTGCATTTCAAATTTCTCGTTGTGGCATCAGGTAGAGCTCGGAAAGCGGTGAAACTAGTTTAGCTATTAAACCTGAAAAACCCTCTAATTGTTATTAGGTTGCCCACAAAGGGGGCATTCTTCCCAGAGCCCCAGAACCTTTATGGACCCCAATGTTTGGGAGAGGACCTAAACTTTTCAAAATTCCTTCAAACAATTTGGGGACGGTATAAGGAGCTTTTGCATTTGAAAGAATTTTCGAGGTTGCTGCAAAGCTGTTTCAAAGTTTGTTCTACATGCGATCGCAGATTTTCTAACACACGACTGATGTAGCAATCATGACGTAACGAATGACTTCATCATCATAACGTAATGAATGACTTTATCATCATAACGTAATGAATGACTTCAACATCATAACTTAACAAATGACTTTATCATCATAACGTAACGAATGACTTTATCATAACGTAATGAATGACTTTATCATCATAACGTAACGAATGACTTCATCATCATAACGTAACGAATGACTTTATCATCATAACGTAACGAATGACTTTATCATCATAACGTAACGAATGACTTTATCATCATAGCGTAACGAATGACTTTATCATCATAACGTAACGAATGACTTCATCATCATAACGTAACGAATGACTTTATCATCATAACGTAATGAATGACTTCATCATCATAACGTAATGACTGACTTTATCATCATAACGTAATGAATGACTTCATCATCATAACGTAATGAATGACTTCATCATCATAACGTAATGAATGACTTTATCATACCCAAGGTATCGTACAACCAGTATCGTATGGTCAGCGAGCCAAAGACTATCTTAGTCGAGCCGTCAACAGCACTCTTGTAAAAGGATTAACTGAACTATGCAAGAAAACCCGAGGATCCAATAGTGAGTGAGAATTACATGTGTATGTATGTATATTGCGCTTACTATAGAATACATAGCATTGATTACGACACATTGCGATCAGCAAAATGGCTGTTTGAACAACTATGACGTTTACACAGTGAGATATTGAACCGAGAAGAATAATAAAACAGAGAATAAAAGAGGCAAGGCCATAAAATAGCTATTTTAAATCTATAACAAACCAGATAAGCTACAGTCAGTCAGTCAGTTAATTATATGGTAAGAATGAACCTTTGAACTATCGTTGTTGTCAATGCACAACGTTTCCACAATGTGAACAATTGAAGATATCAAACAACTCATAAACCCAATAATCAGCCAATAATCCTAATCCACGACTACACAAAGCAACATATGGTTGACATGCAAGATATCAACCCACTAATCAACCAATCATAATCCATGACTCCACGAAGCAACATATGGTTGACATGCAAGATATCAACCCACTAATCAACCAATCATAATCTACGACTACACAAAGCAACATATGGTTGACATACAAGATATCAACCCACTAATCAACCAATCATAATCTACGACTACACAAAGCAACATGGTTGACATGCAAGATATCAACCCACTAATCAACCAATCATAATCTACGACTACAAAGCAACATGGTTGACATGCAAGATATCAACCCACTAATCAACCAATCATAATCCACGACTACACAAAGCAACATATAGTTGACATGCAAGATATCAACCCACTAATCAACCAATCATAATCCACGACTACTCAAAGCAACATATGGTTGACATGCAAGATATCAACTCATTTATTAACCAATCATAATCCACGACTACACAAAGCAACATATAGTTGACATGCAAGATATCAACCCACTAATCAACCAATCATAATCCACGACTACACAAAGCAACATATAGTTGACATGCAAGATATCAACCCACTAATCAACCAATCATAATCCACGACTACTCAAAGCAACATATGGTTGACATGCAAGATATCAACTCATTTATTAACCAATCATAATCCACGACTACACAAAGCAACATATGGTTGACATGGAATATATCAGACGACAAATCAAACAATGATAATCTATGACTCCAGATAGCAACATTATGATAATTTTTTCTGTATTTCTATAGTTATGGCTATCAGACTGGCTAATCGAGAACAATCCAAACAAGCCAAAAATCAAACAACCCGATTATGAAGTAGAAGAACCCGAGGATATATAAACTGCTTACGATGAAAATTGATCCTAACTTAATAATAGTGAACAAATATTTCGGCATTGAAATAGCAGGGAAATAATATGCATAGAATATATTCCATTTTGTAAATAAAATGCAAACGAAATTCAAACATGCCTCCGTATATTTGGGGTTTTTTTGCTGCTAGTCAAAAAAGGCAGTTTGCCCTGCGCGTCTAAAGTCGTGGTGAAAACTAGCTGCGTTCTTCCTTTATTCTTATTCATCCAAACCCAATTGCTTAAAAGTTCTGGTTGGTAAGTATTGCAAAATGTTATGGAAAAAATTTCAATTTTTAATTTTATAACATAAGCTGTTTTGACCACGATTTGCAGTTAGTTTCAGGCACTTGCAGTTAGCATCTGGGAACTTACAGTTAGCATCTGGGAACTTACAGTTAGCATCAGGCACTTTCAGGCAGCTTCAGGCACTTACAGGTACCTTTAAGCACTTGCAGTTAGTTTCAGGCACTTGCAGGCAGCTTTAAGCATTTGCAGGTAGCTTTAGCCACTTGCAGGTAGCTTTAAGCACTTGCAGGTAGTTATGGGCTCTTGCAGGTAGCTTTAAGTACTTGCAGGTAGCTATGGGCTCTTTCAGGTAGCTTTAAGCACTTGCAGGTAGTTATGGGCTCTTGCAGGTAGCTTTAAGCACTTGCAGGTAGCTATGGGCTCTTTCAGGTAGCTTTAGGTACTTGCAGGTAGCGAAGCTACCTGTGATTATAAAATCTGAAAGTGACACTCTTCAATTAAAATGGTACGTACGGTCGTTCCAATCGTACGACAACATTCCAGTATTGAATTAGAGATCAGTAGTTGACGCAGTTTATTATTATGGCGTCATAAGCAGAATACTAATTGCCAAGCACCTTCCACGACCAATCAACAACGCATCGCAACAGGCAACACCATCGCCGAATACTTCTCAGAAAACTCAAGTCATAAAATGAAAAATTTTAAAAGTGAACCTTCTCGCAAAGACTTAACCAATGCGTGGATTCCAAATAAACTCAGTTCTCGAGTGGCACAGAGCGAGCGCCAAGAAAGTCGTGGTAGTTTGTACAGTCGACATTTAAATCATCAACGCCAAAAGGATAAGCCCGTAGACTTGGAAAAGCAACAAAATACTCTGTCGAAGATACCAGAAAATGTGGACAAAAAATGGAAACGTAATTTGATTGCGCCCTTCTCGTCGTCAGGTAAAGCAACCTGTGGCTATTTCTTCTCCAGAAACACTGACCATCGCAAGCGAAAAATTGGCATACCACCATCAAACTTGGTTCAATGGAGATCACATTTATCTTAATGGATCTTCACACAGGACCCTCGCCAGGCAGTGACGTGACTTTTGCATTTTGAATACCAAGAAATGGAAAGGCTTTTTTGGAAAAACATTCTTTGAGAAATAAAATTGTTGCCAACCGTGTACTTTATAAAAACAGGGCCTCTGTCTGTGGTAATTGGCAAACCGTAGCAATGGCAACTTTACCGTCACGTGATGATGACGACGCACTTCAATTTGCTTAATGTTACATTTGTCTTTCTTAAAAAGCCATTTTGCTTTTGAATGCGGAAGCATTGATTTGCTTGGCCTTCGCTACTCGAATGTTTAATAACAGTCTCACACATGCAAGCACAATTACTTTTTGCTCAGGTAAAATGTAGCTTAGCGAATATCACAACGCGTTTATTATATCATAACATCGCATCTTACGTAGGTACGTAAGAAACGAAATCGGCGTGTTCATTTTTGCTCATTAAAGACATAAGCAGCGATCACTTTAAATGCGTCACGTCTATACCGAACTAAAATTTTCAATAATAAATTTTCATGTTGTAATGTCGATCGTCCAGGTTGGTAGTCCTGAGAAGGACTGCTTTTGTTGTTGACTGACGTTTCGACTTAGCGGTAGTCATCTTCAGAGTCAAAATGTAAAAATCTCTTTTGACTCTGAAGATGACTACAGCTAAGGTTGTCGAAACGTCAGTCAACATCAACAAAACAGTCCTTCAGGACTCTACTAACCTGGACGATCGACAATTACAAACATGTAACGATACTCCCGGGTTCAAACCATTTACTTTAATAAATTTTCAATTAGCTATGACCGTAAATCAACTTCGGCTGAAAGGACGGTAGCTACCTTTATTGAAAAGATATTCGTCCTTTTTGAGAGAAAATTCGCCTGTGTGCAATTCATTTTACCATGTATTAGACACAGCAAATATTCATTGATCTGTTGCATTGAATCTAGATAAGGAATCGAATTCATAGAAACCTAAAAGAAAATAAAACAAATTCCGAAAACGGACATCTCGTTTTCTAGATATTCAAGATAATACAAGAGTTTTAAAACAAAAGATGGTGTATTATTTCGTCTTTATTCAATTATTCTTTTCGGAATTTGTTTTATTTTGTTTTACTTAAAATTGTCTGCTTGTCCTGGTTATTAGAAACCTAAACGCGACGATTTAAATTTCACGAGCAACAAGAATTCAACGCTTATTCACAAATGAGCAAATTCTCGTTAACTCAAAAAGTCCAGGTTTTTATGTAAGTTTCAAAAAATCACTAACGAATGGGATAACCCAAGCAGGTCCGCGCCTACAAAGGTGGCGACAGGTTTGATACTTGCATACCTTTTGGAAACTTGAAAGACTCCTAAAGCTTTATGATCGAGATTCGGACATTCAGTAAAGATAGTTATCAACAAAAACTTTAAAAAATTGAAAAATTCATCATGGCAGAGCATCAACAATGTGGCTTTCCCCATAGAGGAAAAGAAGATAACCAAAGATACACTTTGACTGTTATTAACACACGCACCAAAGTTTGCTAGTACATCTCGCTCAGAAAATATGATTTTTACGAGCAGTTTATCGAAATCGAAATGCAAGCAAAGAGACGCATGTTCAATTCAATTTTAGTCAAAAAATGACTAAAGATCTTTACTAATGACGAGCTTTTTGACCACACGCACGAACAGTGAGATGGCTAACTAGTACGTTCAACTGTCATACCTCTCAGCTGTCCTTGAGATAAGTTGATTGGAAAAGAATAAAATACAAATAATAATATACAAATGGTTCATCCACCAGAGAGCTATTGAGCTGTTGTCGCCGAAACACTCATAATAAGTGTTATATTGTCTCCCTTTAACAATATGCGTCCTAAAACACAGTAATCTACAGTAAATGTGTTGAATAAATGAGGGTGAGGGGAACAATTATATTTCCTATGAAATAGAATGGGTGGCTTGCAAATATCCCCTAGGAGTAAGAGAATAATGGAATGCTCGCCATGTTGGATGAAATTTGCGTTGTAAATAAGGAAGATCCTTTGTTAAATTCATCCAACATGGCGGCTATGACCTAGCTTGCACGCCATAAATGTTCAATGATTCTGAGTTTGTTGTATGTCGTCATCACACTATACGCCTTCATTAGTGCTGAGTTTTCAATCCAAAAGATGATGTGGAATGCTTACATTAAAACTAGTAAACTATACTCTTGCAAAAACTAGCTGAAATATAGCACAACTAAAGATGTTAAAAATCTTCTCATTCAATCTATTAGTATTTTTATTTAATCCAAAAGTACTCCAGTCTAAACTATCACTATTTTCTTGTTATTTAAATATGAACTGTAAGTACTAAGCTACAAGATAAAACATACTTCAAAAACATCATGTTGTAAACTCAACATTCAAGGTATATTAACCCGAGACAAGATGTACAAGCAACATTTTGACTTTATTTGAAAGTCATTATCAAGCCAAACGACTGTGAAATGAAGTCAAGACTTTGCTTCTAAATCTTGTCTCCAGCTAGTATATCTTGAATATTTCTACTTTACACGATGTTCGTTTGGAGTATGTTTGTATGTTATATTTCTTTAAATTCTAGGATGGAAGGTAATTAACTACCATACTGGGGCCAGCTGCACGAAGCCTGGATAATGTTATCCATTTGATAGCAAATTTTTTTTAAACGGTTAAAAAACTTCTTAAAAAGGAAAAATATAAGGTTTGAACTGAGCAATAACCGAGATAGAATATTTCTTCGACGATTACAAAATTTCTTTGTCATAACAAAAATACAAACACCTTTTCTACAACTTTAAAAAATTTACTATCAAATGGATAACGCTATCTGAGCTTCGTGTAACCGGCCGGTGAAATTCAACATTTACACTTCCTTCCTCCAATGAAAACACAATACAAACCTAATGGCTTTCTCGATTTCCTCTTTATGTGAACTTCTTCAGCTTCATCCAAAACAAGATTCATGTACTCATCAAAACCCTAAAATTTGAGTCAATTTTATTTTATTTCAAGATTTGTTCAAAAACAGAAGTTAAGTTAATGCAATAAAATACATAAGTAGTTTGAACACCATCAAAATACAAAACTTTTCAATACTGACAATGATATGTCCCTCAATTCTCATGTTTGTCTGTTCATAAAGCCACACTTGGATTCTTGATCTCTATTAATATAAAGCAAAATTCTAATAACTTGTCTGATACAATCAACCAGAGGTGGAGCCAGGATGATTTGTGTTAGATTTTGGTAGCTACTTTGTTAATGTTGCTGTGCCATTTCAGACATTTTTTTTGTTAAATTCTTGTTACTCTTATACCATGATTGAGAAATATTTTTTGGAAGGTTGCTCCATTAAGTGCAAATCATAATTGCTTTTTTTGATTTAATGCTTGATATTTTAATACTTTGTATGGACATTGGCACCCTTCTGTCCCCCTTCTAGTAATGCCAAGAAGGTGTGCACCTTTCCAAACCCACCCACCCCACCCCCCAACCCCCACCCAGTGAGTCCTCCCCTGACGATGATATCATCATAACTCAGCTGTGCTTTCATATTCATAGCAAGATATATTTCATGCTTGCTAATTTGCGGGTCAATATTCTATCATCATAGCATACTTAGTATGGAAAAAAGTGCATGTGGCTCTCAAATGCCAATGCTAAAAATACTCACGTTTTGAAGATACCTGAATATAAGATTCTATTTGGCAATAATAGTTAAGGAAGTTCCTTGATCATTCAAATGGAAGACGTTTTAAAGTTTTCACTTTGACAGGTATTAAAGTATGTGTTTCATCTAGTAGAAATCGTCCTCATGAATAAAGGGCATAAAGTGACTACTATATTCACATGACTAATTTTCCAAGCCAAGCAGTCAATCCTGCAAGAGTACCTTCTCCATTATTTTTGCACGTGTTCACATGTTTTATATAATTGTTAACACTACCGCTAAAGATATTCGCACTTTTGACCGTTCACAAAACGAAAGGATACAATTGGCTGGACCATAACTTTCTGTACTTTCTGCGCTTTGTAAGCCATAATGTGAAGAAGAATAATGTTAAAGCAACTCCGAAATATAAACTTTATCAATTCCACTTTTCGAATTTCGACGACCCCGAAACGTTTCCGTAAAGCACACGGGTAACACTGGTTGTGCGCATGCGTGGCAATCTCGTGATAATAATAATAATAATAGCTAATCTTTATTGAGGATGCCAACATCACTAAAAGTGGTTTACAGAAGGGTCCTCTAAAATCCGCAATAAGCGGATTCAAACTGTTTTGAAATTTTAACTCATTTTGAATTAACAAATTCTTTGTTTTGGGGAAAATTTTTGATACTCTATGAGTGATGAGATGGCAGTATAGCATACACTTCCCTAAAGATAGACAGAAAGGAAGACATAAAGGTATCATACATAAAGACTGACATTATCATTGACAAGCTTTTGAAACATTCGAGCTCATGGGCATTGCCACTGATCTGTATTGCCCATTGCCAGTATTTCTCCGTCCACTGCGAGCACGCCTTGTTCTTGACCAATAGTCTCAACATTTATCAGACAACCTTGGTTTGAGGCTCCTATTCAAGGCATTGTGTACTTTACGGTTAAAACTGAGCAGTGTTCAAAGATTTGGCTGATAGAAATAAGAAATTGATTTTGGCTGAAAGAAATAAGTATCTGATTTTGGCAGATGGTAATCAATAGGGTAATCAATGAATATAAACATGGCGAACTGTTGTGATTCAGACGAAATTGATTTCAAAAAAGAAGCAGAATCTATCATTTCCGATATTAGATTTGCTGTTCGTAGTATAGACATATCCAAAAAATTAATCAGCACAAAGCAGTGCGTATTTATAAATATAGTTACTCGGGAAGATTCGGTGTTCTGCGTACAGCTAAGTACAAACGGTTTAAAAGTATGTTTCAAATATATTTTAGCACCAATGAGAACGATCATTATAACATTTGCAAATTGAGACCTTAACGGAAAGTTTGTACCGTTTTAAAACGACCTTTTATTTTCTCTAGGTTGTTGGACGTGAAGTGGACAAGGATACGGAACATTCGGGTCGAAGCTACGAGTCAATTTATGCCCTTCTGGATTCGTTGAGTCCCGCTTATGTTGAGGCGTTTGGAGCAGAAATTGCGCGTAAACTTTCCGAATTGCAGTAAAACTTAAACAATTTTCAACTGTATGGATTAGTTGCAATTTTTTAATCGTAATTAGAACGATAATTGTGACATTATCGCCAAAGTACTTTGTATTGCGACATCGCAATAGTATTGATATTTTACCAAATAAAATAATGCACTAAGTGCAACTTAAATACATATGTAATGTATAAATGACTTGCCTTGTTTATGTTTTGCTTATTGCTGGCAGATTTTGTAGAGTGCTTTTGGACTACACTATCAACAATGCTTTGCCTTAGTTAGTATTACTCTGCCTGTCAGCAAAATGTAAACAAGGCAAGACATCTATTAATGTTTTCCCTGCCACCTGCATGTCTTTGGTCGGGAAAAGTTTGATATGTGAATGCTTTTATTGACTAGATTACTTTTGACAACATATCATGCTATAGCTTAAAGACAAAAAAGACCTTGACTATACACTTACCTGTTTTTAAAGTGTCAAAGTACATTAGAATGTTAAATGGTTATGTTGTGTATGTTAAAACACACATATTTCAGTCAATTAGAAAAAATAACTGTGAGAGAAAAATTTGCATAAGATGTGCAAAGCAAAAAGTTTTAATTGGAAATAAAATATATTGAAAATGCGCAAGAAAAATGTTTAATTTATTAAAATGTTTGAGCTTTTATGCACTTCAGGCAACATCGCGCCTTCTACTAGGAAGTGTGTCAACCTTCAGCTGCATTTCAAGCTTAAGCAATAAGGTAAACCAAGAGGTTTCTTTGCTGTTCTAAATCTTTCCATGATTTTCTTTGGGTGAGCAGAGTTTTGGAGTATTCTTAGGTTGGGCTGTATCCTCGTTTCCAGATGTAGGTGTTTTTCCATTGGAAGCAACATCAGCTTCAACTTGTTCTTTTCTCTTAAATGCTTGCATGTGACCTGATGGTGATGGAATTTCCGCCATGTTGGTGGAAATTGAGCGTCGAGCTTTAGGCTTTATGGTTTGTGTTTCCATATTTTTGACCAGTTTGTTGGTACAAGGAGTTGGCATCATAGAGCACAGTTGAGAAATACCGGGGCTTTTCATTTGCTTAGGGTCAAATGGTATGGGTGAAGACTTGATCGATGGCGGGCAAGAATTGCTCTGGTATACAGGTTGGCTTACTACACCATACATATGACTAGCTTGGGATATTGGCCCACTGTTCATAGATGGTTGATGTGGAGATGGTGGGAAGAAATACCTTGTGCCTTGAGTCAATGGGAGCATTGGAGAGGATCTGCAACTTGCAGATGTGGGATAAGGAGAGGTTACCCGTCGTGAATATTGTTGTGTGTATTGACTTTGAAATGGTCCTATGTTGTTTTCGTAGGGTAATTCGGGGGTTGAGGGTGGCACAGGTGGAGTGGGAATAGGAGAGGTTAGTTGTGGCTTCCATGGTGATTGAACATTTCTGTTCACATACACTAGCGGTTTTAGCGGACTGATATTCTCAATTAAACTAGTTTGTATGGCTATGGAGGCATGTGGTACAAGCTTACAGGGTGGAATAGGCGATGATGCTTCATCCACAAAACGAACAATAGGACTATGATGGCCATTATGAGGTGTAAAACGCCCGTCTATTGGTTGCCATTGACAATTGCTTTTAGGCTTGTGCTCAAGGTTTGATCTGTCAGACAAGTCACACGGCAAGTTGACTGGAACAAATTTTGAGAGATGACTTCGTGGTAATTCGTTGACGCTAGACATGACTTTGAAAGAAGGGTTCACGGAATAGATAGGTTTCTTTTCAATTTCTGTATTTCTGCCGCTACTTACGGCGATGATGTTCTCTTTATTGGTCAACACAAGAGCACCTCGGTGCACATCTATCGAAAGTTTTAACGCAAAATTAACACTAGCAAATGCTCTCCGATGCTTTTTGCTCGTCAATATCTTTCCCTTATTTTTGTACTCTACTTGTTACAAACCACAGTCAGTTTAGAAATTTTTGTCAAGAAAAGGGGTGTCACCCAAAAGCCCTTCCGCGACATGCTCTTTCCCGCCCTTCATCACACTCTTCTCGTCCTCCCCCCCCCTTACATTTGACTCCACCAGTTTGGATTTCCTGGGTCTACCTAATCCCTGTTATGTATAGGTTTTGTGTATGCCCAAATGCATTCCTGCCCAGTTACCTTCTCCCTTAGCTCCTCTACATCCTTCTTCTTTATCATTCCTTGGAAATGAGTTGAAGTTTCCGTCAGAATTCGTTCGCAAACGTTTGACGTTTGATTGCGTGCAACTTTCAGCGTCCGATTTGCTCTTGTTGAAAAGCTTTCTTCTACTTGACTTGTTGATATTGCTGCTTAAATTAGCTGGCCTGAACTGTGGCTGAACATGTGCCAGCAGTTGGGACATGCTTAATGACGGTTAAGGAGAACATTGTTAAATGATTCAGAATTTGTCTGTCAGAATATGAACGATTTTAGCTTCGCAGAGCAAGTTTTAAGCTATTCGTGAAGCAAACAGTGTATTTGAAGGGTTGTAAAGAAGTTAGAAGCCTCTTTCATGAATCACTGGTTATCGACAATCAGTGATGTCATCGATAATCAGTGATATCATCGATACCCTATCGTATCATCGATAACCTGTCGTATCATCGATAACCAGTAATATCATCGATAACCCGTGATATCATCGATAACCCGTGATATCATCGATAACCCGTGATATCATCGATAACCCGTGATATCATCGATAACCCGTGATATCATCGATAACCCGTGATATCATCGATAACCCGTGATATCATCGATAACCCGTGATATCGATAAACAGTGATATCATCGATAACCCGTGATATCATCGATAACCACCAGTGATATCATCGATAACCGCCAGTGATATCATCGATAACCGCCAGTGATATCATCGATAACCGCCAGTGATATCATCGTTAATCAGTGATATCTTCGATAATCAGTGACATCATCGATAATCAGTGATATCATCATAACCAGCGATATCATCGATAATCAGTCATATCAACAGTGGAAGCATCGTTTATGAATCAATGACATTACTCTACTTTACAAAAGGATATGTTCTGGGTGTTTCTCTAACATTTTTTCCAAGTCTTCATGGAATGTTCTTTCTGTGGGGCTACAGAAATCCATGTCACGACCTGTTCGACGAAAAAAAAGATTCAATTTATTCTCTCAAACCCGTTCACGTTGACGGTTAGCAGTGATTTCAGATATGACCGCGCTGTTTGGTTGTTTTTAACAGAATCTGAATTTGGTCATTCCTCATTGGGATCAAATTATTAAGGAGTTGCATTTCCTCGCCACAAGTTTTAAGTGCAAAATCAGCAATTTCTCCACTGTCCGATTAAATTATGAATTGATTTTGATCCTACTTAACAAACCGACAAATTTTCACAGTGATAGAAAATGAATGCTCTTCAACAATGCAAGACCTCGAGTGGTAGCACCTCGAGTAAGTAAGCATTATTGTTATTGTTAAAGTGAATGGTTTGAACCCTGGAGTAATCGTTACGTGTTTCTAGATGTAGATTGTCCGGGTTAGTGCAGATATGGGGAAGGACTGGGTTCGGTAGACATCATTTGTGTCGGAAGATGACTAGCAAGAAAGTTGTGGAAATATCAGTCAACACCATTGAACTAAAATACATGGAACGCTACCTGCAATAGAAAAGCCTAATAATTTTTTGAAGACAAAGCTTACACCCAGATACGTGTGTGTAGTCAATTAATTTTCACTCCGCGGGAGAATCTGAAAACACTAAACACGCGTGTCTGGGTGTTTTCTCACGTGTCTTAGTGTAAGATTTGCCATCAATTATTTGCTTCAGGTAGCGTTCCATGTATTTCAGTTCAACGGTCAACACCGACACTTCATCTCAGGACTGCATGATATGGACGATCTACATCCACAAACACGCATTATTATTTTTCTCTCCTTTCACTTATCGTGTTCTTGAATGATTCGCCTTAAAAATGTATAATTATTTGTTTCGTTTTGTGCGATTGGAAACATTTCAAATATTTACACGCCGGCTCTATTTACCAGAAGATTCAAACTCGTGAACTTCGAAGCCATCTTTTTCAGCTGCTCCTTTCGATCCTCCTTCGTCTTTCTCCAAGTCGTTTTGGGAACTTGAATGTCGCACGAGCGATGCTCCAAACGACGCTGACTTCCTCCATCGTGACCTGGGAGCAAACGTTGCTGGGCAAGGAAGACTGGGTTCTTGCAATAATGGCGGTCGTCCAATTTTGACTTGCCTGTTTTGATTTGTATCTGGTAGAAGGGAATGCTTTGTTTTGTAGGTCACAACGTCTTTACTGGCCACTGAGTAAAGAGAAGAAACAATAGAAGTTTTGGTCGCAATGGAAAAAGATCTATTCTGAGCATGAGCTGTTCCAAAGGCTTAAGTCTAATGTTGGGTCACTACTATTCAACGCAAGGTGGCAAATCTCAAAGTTTTATAAAATGACGAAGTATTCTTCGATTCAGCATATTTCATGGAGCTGATGGAAGTAGACATCGGTGAAAAAGTACCATGCGCTCCCCCCCCCCCTAGAAATCCCTTCCACTTACTTGTGCTATCTGATAAACTCTCGATATCCTTGCCGATCCACTTAAATCCTGGTTTCTTTCCAGTTACCCCTCGTATGTGAACTTTCTCTATGAGCTTTAGACTTTGCAAGATATTGGCAATATCGTAGAGGCGGCGCACTTTGGCTGGAAAGAATGACGAAACAAACATTCTCTTAGAGTTCTTTGCATTCAACGGTGAGGTTTGTGTGTATTTTTTGAACGAGCAGTCACATCTCCGCAACGTAGACATGTTGAGAGAGACAGTGCTATACATGCTAACAACGATGGTAAAGCGGGAAAATATTTCTATTTGTCAGATTTTCAGATCATTCTTGGACTAGGAATATATGAGTAAATAACTTACACATAAACATCGTCATTTTGCTCAAGGAATATCGTCATATGTTTGTAGTAAATTGAGATCGTTCTGGTTCTCGGCGTTCTGAGAAGGAATGTTGATGCTGAGTGACATTTCAAACTTTCGACCACCTTAGCAGTAGTCATCTTCAGAGTCAAGTGACTACCGCTCAGTAAAATACATGTAACGCTACCTGTCAGTGCCTGGAGCAAATAATTGAAGCCAAATCTTACACCCTAACACGCATGTGTAGTGCTTCGAGATTCTCTCGCGGAGTGAAAATTGATTGATTACACACGCGTGTTCTGGGTGTAAAATTTGGCTTCAAAAAATTATTAGGCTTTTCTATTACAGGTAGCGTTCCATGTATTTTAGTTCAATGCTATCGCTAAGGTTTTCGAAACGTCAGTCGACATCAACACCAACAGTCTTCTCAGGATTCCAATAACCAAGACGATCTACACCGGTGGGTTATAATGAGTTATTTCCCAAGGATTCGATGCGTGTTTAATCCCCTGTTATTTATCTTGCAAATTTCTTTGCAGAGTTGAGAAAATGTTTTGCATTTGCTTTGCCGTTTTGAAGGGTTTCTTCTGAGCGCACTCTTTTTGAGAAAAATGCCGTTTGTAACAGCCCTAAATTTGCACTCTTACTTCTATACTTGACATTCGTCTCGTCGTGTTGATCAAGAAGAACTGTCGCAGCATCTTCTAAGGTCACCACACCACCCTGCAGTGGAAGATTTGCAGACGGGTAAATAATAAGCTACGCATGCGCGCAGTCAGCCACAACTTCAGGTCGGGCTATATAAATATTTTGGCGTTCGCTCACTGTAAGAACAATGAATTCAAAAAGAGAGACTTTGTCGTGGTGACAAATTCGAACATTGCCTGGAAAATTATGGTGAATGGCCAAAAATTATGCACTTCTCAAGAGCTGTAAAAACCGAGAAAGAGACTGTTTTATAATGATAACATCGTCAAGAAAGGAGTGTTTTACCGATCCATAGGCCTGTTGTGTCGTGTAATAAGGAGGAAATGTATCGTCAACAAACCGTTTGTGCAACCCAAATGGTACAAGCGGTTTGTTGATGACACTTTTTCCCTTTTTTTACACGACACATCTAGCCAATGTATTTTTCAAGCAGGTCTTTTCAGAACCCATGGATTTCTCTTGTTTTCGCTTAGGTTTCTTTTAGTTTTCAGAACTCTTGGGAACTCCATAATGTTTGACCATTCGCCATGGCAATTGCGCACTACAGGGCAAAAATAAATTTCCCAAAGAAGTAGCTAATGTTTTAAATTTACAAAGCAGGACCAAACTTGCAGGCCGGCTACGACACTACTCGTGCGAATGCATTTGAAAGTACGATAACATGAAAAACTATATCGTACTGCAAGTTAGATTGTGAAAACCTACCGTTGAGAGTAGGAACATGATCAGAAATTTCTGACTTAAAACGCCCAGTGATTTGTCCTATCTGCAGTTGTCCATCATGTACTATATTGTACTGCAAGTTAGATTGTGAAAACCTACCGTTGAGAGTAGGAACATGATCAGAAATTTCTGACTTAAAACGCCCAGTGATTTGTCCTTTCTGCAGTTTTCCATCATGTCGATTGCAGCTTCAAAGAAAACGGCGTGGTTTAACGGTAAAATAGTCACTTTGCCCTGGTCGTTTCGTAACGTATAGATAAGCTTGCGAGGTATCGAATTTTGAATTATACTCTTCAAAGTGATTCGCGTGTCAAGTTAAAGCACTTGGGGGGTGGGGTGCAGTCTCGGTGGACAGTAGGGGTGCCAATTTTCCAGGGAGGGGGCATTGTCATCTTATGGGGCCTCGGGATGTTGTGGATATTTAGGATTACAGATGATTTAAGCTTGGGCAATGACAGTGTAATCACCTTTTTAAAAATTTTTTTTGTTTTTTGTTGATAAATGCGCGGTTAGCAATTTACTTCAATTTTAATGTTTCGATGAACACGCGCATGGTGTAAAACTCTATTGCAAATGGTGGTTGTATAAAATATGTAATTGCCTTTGAAATGAGAAGTTCTACTTTTACTTAGTCAGACTGTACAATTGAATAGCCTCTAATACTGTTAAATTAATCGTCTAGTGTACGTAACACCATTTCATAATTTGTCGGGAGGGTGGGGGGTGCTAGAGAATTTTAAGGGGGGCGCACCCTACTGTACCCTCCCAGAAAATTTACCCCCCTGAAAAAACTTCCTCGCCAATCGACTTTTGCTTTACAAGGGATGTAAACCAGTTTGAAACCAGTTCGGATACATTTCAGTGTGTTAAGCTTGAATTGAAAAAACAGATCAAACATCTAACGGTTATTAGGAATTCTGATAATGCGCTATCTGTTAAATGGTGGTGACCAGGGCTAAACCAGGCGGGAAGCAAATTCTTATAATACATATCAAAGGCCAGCGAAGTGCTTTCAAAAGAGCAACGTCACACAAGGCTATATGTATAAAAAAAGGAATGTTTATTAAAAAGCGTAACGTTCCGTTATTACTTTCAAGACATTGCGTATTTTTCACGGAGAATCCTCGCGCAAAAACTTCCTATGTATGTATATGTATAATAGGAACATTTACAAAAAATTAAATTACATAGTGGGAAGAAAAATGTGACAGTACGGATGGGATGAGTTGGTATAAAGTGGGACATGAGGATTACATGAAGGATACGAAAAACACACACAATCACGACTGAACGGCAATGGAGTTTCCTTGGACGTTAAGAGAGGGTTTTATTGTGTTAATTAAGAAACTTTCGCATATTTGTATTTGATGGCTATTTTGAAAGCACTCAGTTGGGTTTTGATATTTATTATAGCTCAACATAAGTACCAAGCGAATGGATACATGGGGTAAAATAGGTATATCAATGAGATATGTGGGTGTATGATTGACAAGACTACGTCATACATAGCTACATGTACCTTTGATCATTGCACGTTCTTCCTCTTGAGATAAAGCGGGCTCATTGAATTGTCTACTTGGACTTGGTTCGTCCCCAAAACTGTAAAATCGTTTCATCTGAAGGAAATAGAAAAGACAAATGGCTGATATTTTTTTCCATCTTAATTATGGATCTTCCATATCGATGAAGAAACCGTGGATGGGTTCTTTGATGCGTGGGAAATTTGAGGAACTATAATGAAGTTAGCTCAGTAAAATGCAAGGCCAAATTGTGCAAAAAAAGAGGCATTATATTTTACAGTACAGGACCTAGAGAAAGCGTGAGATCGATAAGCTGTTTTAGAACAACATCGGGGATGACCAGCTTCATACGTAAATATATGAATGCATTTTACGTGGTCGTAAGTCGACCAATGATAATGCAGGAAAGAATAAGACTGTACAACCACAGAAAACAAACATACATAAGGCAGTGGTGTAGACAGCCCGCAAGTTTGTACGTAAGTATATGAATGCATTTTACGTGATGGTAAGTCGACCAATGATAATGCAGGAAAGAATAAGACTGTACAACCACAGAAAACAAACATACATAAGGCAGTGGTGAAGACAGCCCGCAAGTTTGTTCGTAAATATATGAATGCGTTTTACGTGATGGTAAGTTGACCAATGATAATGCAGGAAAAGGATAAGACTGTACAACCACAGAAAACAAACATAAATAAGGCAGTGGTGTAGACAACCGCAAGTTTGTTCGTAAGTATATGAATGCATTTTACGTGATGGTAAGTTGACCAATGATAATGCAGGAAAAGAATAAGACTGTACAACCACAGAAAACAAACATAAATAAGGCAGTGGTGTAGACAGCCCGCAAGTTTGTACGTAAGCATATGAATGCATTTTACGTGGTCGTAAGTTGACCAATGATAATGCAGGAAAGAATAAGACTGTACAACCACAGAATACAAACATGCATCAGGCAGTTCTGTAGACAGCCCGCCAAATTGTTTGGGCTATATAAATTTTTCCAAGTTTACTGACTGTAGTAACAATAGATTTGTAAAGAAATGCACATGCTGACGACGTGAAATTTACATAGCACGACCAAACTTGAAGGCTGGTCGTGCTACAGAAAGAAGGTCACAGATTCCTCCATTTTGTGGAAGTAACCTCCTTCCCGCGGATACATTGAAAATGATATTCAGAAGACTTGTGCAAAATCTATTAGGGGAGTATGTCAGTATTTGGTGATGAAAGAATAGTTTAGGATGAATGACTAGAAGAGGTGTTTTCCTTAGATGCTCGTTGAAAATAGTAATCGTGCCGTGCACCTTTTGTTTTCCAGGTGTTTCCACTATACTTTGTAGGTTTTCCTTTTGGCGCTCTTGTATCGTCTGATGTAGACTTTTCCTCGAGAGGAACTAGAAACATATCGAAAATTCACAGTAGGTAAATGGAAGTCGTAAAAAAAGGTACGCATCGAAAGTCGCTTTCCATTTTTAATGATACAATTTAACGAACTGGACTCAAAAAAAATCGATGTAAACCTTTAACTTTCCAAGAGTTTGCGTTATTTTTGATTTCCCGTGCCAAAGATAACGATTCTTGGCCAAGCGACTTAACACATCGACACTTTCAAGTACGTTAACTATATCGTAAACTCGACGTCTTTCCACACCTAGGAATAAAAAGAGACGGATGCAACCCGCGTATAAATCGTCTCGAGATTAATTATCAAATGAAAAGTTCCAAGTTTGGCAAAAACCAAAATAAATTACATCAGGGATTGATTTCTGGGAGGGAAGCGCCCCAGTGACAAATTACTAATTACGACGAAATTGTGACAAAATTGTGGGCCTTTAAGCGATACCTATTCCTCCACTGAGTTCCATTTTCCTTTACTTTTGCATTTTGTGTTTGTAACCCACAGGGCCAAAAATGGGGAAATGTTCATTTTAAAGATCAAACGAAATTTCGAAAATCATTGACATGGTCAGGGAAATGGCAATACTTCATGAGTTCTGAGTATTATCCATTTGAACAGTAGATGGTACGAAAGCCATTTTTCTCTACATTCAATTGCTTGTTAGGTTTTCAACAGCATAAATAAATCAAACTTGAGCACATTGGACATTTGACTGGCAAAAACGTCTAAATCCTAATTATGTCTAGATGCAATGGGCCTCTCGAAAGCTTGGGCCTGTAGGCTTAAGCCTACTTAGCCTACTGGATAATCTGCCAGTGCGCACCACCAATAGCCACAGGGGTTGGGAGGAGTGGATATCTCACAACAAATCCTAATATACGAAGCAAAACCATCTTTGATCAGTGTTTAATGGACGTTTTAATGGAAAAGCAGGAAGGATTTAGGGGAGGGGTGTGGGGGTGCAGGGGGGGGAGGGTAGTGCATGCACCACTTCTCACCATTTTTAGCTTTGGCTAGAAGGGGTGCAGTGGGGTGCAAATTCCCTCACGAAATATTTACATACCAAAAAATTAAGCAAAAACAACTGCGGGACTACACATTTCCCAGGGTCTTAAGTCAAACCTATAAAAAGTCTGACATGTGAATGATAAAACGTCATCCACAAAGAAGCCACAGAAATCTAATCAAAACTAAACTGAACAAACGACAACTTATAAGAACTAGACTACCCCCCTCATACAAAATCATCCTGGATCCATCCTTGATAAAAAGGTAGCAAAATCATCCTGGATCCATCCTTGATAAAAAGGTAGCTCACAGAAGTAAACAAAAAAAAGTATGACATGGTCAAAGTATAGGGAATATACAGTAGGTCCACTTAGCTGTGCAACTGCCTGCTGTATATCTAATTTGATTACTGGCAACTTTTGCAATGTCAGCACTCTTATTGATTAGGAATTGCAATTGACTGGCTGCCACTATGGTAGTCACATGTGCAATGAGATATGCATGGCACAAAAAAATTTGATGGCGTGGCTCTACTGTATGTTCTCTGCACTGTGACATGGCACAGCAACAAGTAGGCCCCAAAATCGAAACCCAATATTATATGGAGCGACTTTGAATGTTACAGCTAATCACGTACATATGGTCTGGTCGAGCAACATAAAATGGTAACACTTACGTAGATCTTTGGCAACTTCATCTAATGATACTTCAACAGACCCATCAGGGTTCTCGGGGAACAAGGCTAAAAACCTGTTTCGAAAATCACAATGTGGTAAACTAATGTATTGCATCCAAAAGCAGAAAAGAACATGTAATGAAAATGAACTGGAAGTAAAAATTTTTAAATCTATAATTTCTCATTGTTAAATCCCACCTTTGACACAAAAGTCCCAGTGACCTATCTTTTCGACTGTAGATAGGTTTTTCATCTATGACTTCTGCCTTGAAAGTGCGATTGACAAACAGATCTTTCTTCTTTTCATCTCTGTCTCGTATTGCTGGGCTTACAACGCTCATCAACATTTTGAGGTTGGCAGTTGGGGTCAGAGGATCATCACAAGTTGTTTTCTCGACCGAGGCAATTTTAGTCGGAGTAGAATGAACTTCCATTTGAGCAGCAACATGGTTTGCGGGGAAAATATCTTGTTCTTGTCTACTTTTATCTATACAGGTTATCAAGGTTTCCTGACTTTGCGAGTTCTCCCACTTTTCAATGAGTTCTTTTTCATTCATGGCAATGGTGGTAAGCTCGGCCATTGAGCCATGTCTGGAGAGCAACTGACTAGCTTCATGTGACTGTTGTTCATTAACATTGCATTCTTTGGTCAAATGCTCAAGTGTGGCTTGTGTGAGTGTGATATCTAATTTACTATCCTTAGATTGTTTTACTGTTTCATCATACATTTCTTATATTTCATTAGAAAGCTATAATCTGATGTTCAAGACGGTTTTCTGCTTCTAGGCATCAGATTTCATATGTTTGTTACGATCCATTGGGTTCGCCTTCAAAGGCAATTTGAAAAGGCACCTAGAAATCATTGTTTACGTCAATGTATCGTGGGTTGTGTTATACGATTGCGATAGATATTAACAGTGAGTGAAGTCTGCTACAGGGTATGCATAACACATGCTTTTAATGCATTTCGAAAGAAGCAAAATTTAACGACAGTTCACAGCTTGAAAATTGAAAGGCAACAAAGCTGGGTAAATAAAATGTTGATGCTGACGATGCCTTTAAGATATCGCGTGTGCAATTACGCAGACAAATTTTATATTTGCTTATCACCTACGCATCGAATCTCTTGAGAGCATTTCAATGACACTTTAGAAACTATAATACTTCAGACAATGCAATTTTCATATGCGAGGGTGGCAGCCGAAGTCCCAAAGAGCAAATTTATGTTTGAATTTGTACGAGCACTGACAATAAATATGGCACTCACCTTGATGCATTCTAAATCCTCCAGAGTCCTAGTGTTTTTATTCTTAGAGCTTTAGAGTCAGAATATTCAAGTATAAATTCATAAATATCAGTGTTGGTATGCATTTCTTCTTGTGTGACTTGAATTTCAGTTGATTTTGGCGCGTTATTTCCGCGGCATTATTCAGTTGGTCTTTTCTGAGAGAACGTGACCAATTGAAAGCAGCAAGAGATTGGCCAATCACGAATAGCCATCTTGACTCAGGTCAACCAATGAAATAAGTCCCTTTCCGTTCACTTGAAATTCAAATATTCAAATTTTGAAATTGAGCCAACAGCCAAAAGCTTCTTCGGTCGAATGGAAATACTTTACGTTGCGAAAATATTGCATTCATTCTTCCGTTTGGATTTTCTTTTTTTTTAATGAAATGGATTTCATATGTGATATCCACTTTAGGTATAATATTTTGTGTTAGCTTACGCCGAAAAGTGAAATAAAAATAAAAAAATTTTTTATCGTCATAAAAGACAACCGATTCAAAGCAAAGACTCATTAAAGATCCTTAACGGTGCTTAATTACCGACGGACGCTTTACTATTGTGAAGGTGTCACAAGATTCATGAATTAAGACTCACTGATTCAATACAACTCCCATATAACAAAGACTTTTTGAAATGGCCTAATTTGACTACAAGACGATATTTGAAATGCCTTTTGCTTATGTGAGTTGTGTCGTCTCCTAAGTTTTTGTCTGTTAGAGAACGATCCCGTATCTTTTATAGGATTTAGAATCCAAAGCATTAGATGCGCCCAAGTGAGTTTTTAAATCCCATAGGTAGGACAAATATGGCGCGCCAAGATGGACAATATTACCAAAATTGAAAATATTTATAACGAAACACATTATCGAATGTCGAAAATAATATACTGGCAACTTTTTCAATATTTGTAAAACGAAACGCAAAATATAAAAAGAAAACAAAATTCGTTTACCATAATTTATATATACACAACGAAATTTATTTTCAAGTTATGAAAGTTATTTTATAAAACGAAACTCATTTATATAAAACGAAATTGACATTCATAAAACGACATTTTCTTCGAACAAACGACATTTTTTACCGCTTTTTTGCGGCCATTATTTTGTAGCCTGCAAAGAGCCATCCACTACAAAATTTTGAGGATGTCTTCGCGAAGGAACTTACATAACTTGACAAACCTTGTTGCAACAATCACCAGCTCTGAAAGTGATTGTCCAACAATTGTGAAAGAACTTTTGAAGGAGATAACGATGCTAACGCTAGCAATATTGAAAGTACGATACGCACTCTGTTCCCTTCTGCAAATGGTCGTTCATCCACAACCACAACAGTCGGAGGAGCAGCGACTACAGCAGCTATTAAATACTTCAATGCACCACACGTCTCCACTGTTCAACCCAAGTGTAAATTATGGAGGAGGAAAAAAGTCAAAACGCCGTTTTTTCTTTGATGTCAGTGGCAGGGCGCGGTAAAAAATGTCGTTTGTTCGAAGAAAATGTCGTTTTATGAATGTCAATTTCGTTTTATATAAATGAGTTTCGTTTTATAAAAATAATTTCCATAACTTGAAAAATAAATTTCGTTGTGTATATATAAATTATGGTAAACGAATTTTTGTTTTCTTTTATATTTTTGCGTTTCGTTTTACAAATATTGAAAAAGTTGCCAGTATATTATTTTCGACATACGATAATGTGTTTCGTTATAAATATTTTCGATTTTGGTAATATTGTCCATCTTGGCGCGCCATAGACAAAAGTGATCATGCTCTAACCCTCTCAGAACGTGGCCAACGGTGGCTTAAAGTCATATTGGACGTGTCTCGTTTGGTATTCATTCACTGCTTTAGTTTCAACAAAAAGATCTATGAGATAGACAGGAATTATAGACTGTTTTTTAATTGATACATTTGGGTGCATGTCTTACGTAGATTCGCCTGCTCGTTGGTTTCAGAAACCGTCTATTTTTGCACTTATATAAGAGGCTATTAATCTCCAAACTATATCGACAAGTAGGGAATGTAATTATGTAATCGATCCAATAAATGACAACACCCAGAGCGCAGAGCCCAAGCCTGTTTTTATTGTAAAAAAAACAACACATAAGATCTAGCAAAAAGAGACCGGTTATATGATTTTTGAATATATGTATTATACAAACAGCATATCTTATTTGAATTATAATCAATTATCAATACGCTGCACGGGAGTGCCTTTGAGATCTTTCTTGACTGCCTTTTAGACGTGGAAGTTGCTCTTTTGATAACCTCAAACTCAGAAAGTTTTCATTCATTTTACTATTCAGTCCATCCTCTGTGTGTTCAAAAGATATGACTTGAACTTTGAAGGAGCTAAGAGGTGAAAGTATACAGAAAAGCAAACAACGAGGTAATCATAGAAATAAACATTCATTAACAATGACTTTGATAGGAGCTTGCGAGCATTAAATGATTTTTAAATTCACGATGTGAAACGAAAATCACTACACATATTCCTATGAATGAGATGTCGTTGAAAACACCTGGGTTTGAGGAAGGAAGACGCCCTGCAAACATTTAAAATGTTGTTCAAGAAGAAAGACAGTAAGGAGATACATCAGAAACATCAGCTCAAACGTAGTTGTCTGCTCAGTGGCTTCAGCAGCAGTCTACAAGTGCATTTAGAAACTTGGATAAATCAATTTTTTTTGAAAGATGTCTTTGTTCACTTTCAGTTAAAGTAACTTAGACGAGCGACCTACAAACAATTGGTGAGTAAATGAGGATTGAGTTAGTAAGTGAGGATTAAGTTAGTAAATGAGGATTGAGTTAGTAAATGAGGATTGAGTTAGTAAATGAGGAATGAGGATATTTTGAAATATCGATTCCAACTATGAATGGCGGCTATTTAAAATGAGGACTCCTGTTAAATGATGACATTTTGCCAAAAGAGCTCACGTAAAGTTTTATAGATACTTCAGCCCAACTGTGCTTCACATCAGATTCTCGAATTATATAAAACATTTTCCCCGTTTGAACTAATTGTCCCTGTCGACATACATGGTATCTTTCCCCATAAGGACATAATATACAGGGTGCATAAGGCAACAATTAATATTCTAAAGCTCCTATTTTTCTTCAGAACAATCAATTTTAGGCCTCTGGGAACTTAAATTGACTTCTATACGCAAACTGAAGGTATTCAGCATTGCCGAAGCTTTTCAGTTTTCCCAAAGGCCAAACATGTTTTACTGTAAACAAAATACTCATGAATATAAAGTTTTTAATACACCCTATACTATAAATCAGACCTAGCATTAAATGACTGGTTTTATACGATTTGAATAATGACCAAGAAAAATAAGTAGCAATAAGCAGCATCTAGCGTTTAAGCCATAACATCACTTCAGATAAACTTGACGCTGAGAAATTAAGATCAAGGGAGAAATCAAAATGCCTGTGATGATGGAGATGAGTCTCCTGATTTGATACCTATTTGTTTCGGCCACGCTGCAAGAAATTCAAGAGAGTTGGGAATGAATTTGAGGTGTTGCAAATGTTTTGAGAAAGGAGAGTAGATAAGGTGCAGCTTTGTCACACTTTTGTCAAAGAGCTCTTACCCGTGCCAGTTAGTTTCCAGTCCCCTGAAGTTGATCGGTGTGCGCGCATGTCAACCGGAAATAGGGGTTAATAAACATGGCATGGCATTGGATGGCGTGAAAATCGGAAATACGACAAAGCTGGAAGTTGCATGCTATTGACAAAGTAACATTAGATCCGCCTTATGTTTTATTGGTTAATAAACCGGATCTATGTCATTGTGTATTCATTCTTCAAACTATATAGTCGAACTATCGTCTTAAAAAATGTTATTTGCGTTGTTTATTTTTGCATTGCTTTTGGACGTTTTGAAAAAAAAAACAAAAAATATGGCACACATGTTTAATCAGATATATGCAGACACTGTTGAGTTTGAAGAAGTTAGTCACAGCGATCTTATCAATTTGATTTTCGTCGATTTTATAAGTAAAAAGATTCAAGAGCTACGAAGAGCTGAAAAGGATTAAAGTAAAGCAGACCCTTGGGTAGAGTATCAAAACGTTTTAGAAATGATGACTGAGGAAGATCGTTGGTTCAATTTTGCAGCTCGAGCAGTCGAAACAATTAATCGCGAACATGTCTGGAATGGAATATGTGAAGCCTTTAAGTTTCTAAAGAACTGTGGACCTTCGAACTCTCACAAGACATATTTTGACAAACTGTTTAGTGTTACTTGGGTAGAACTAATGTTAATGTACACGGAGACAAAACGTCCTCCTTTTTATCAAAATCTCTTTGACTATGCTGATTGTAGTTGTAAACTGAAATACAGATCAACTATGTAATTGCTTTGACAAAAAAAATAAAATATAAATTTCAATGTTATTGCATTTTGACTTCAGTTGTTGTATGACCATGTCATAGTGAAAATGGGAATCGGTAGCAGCAAACGTGAAAATAGAAATGCAAAAAGGGATAAAAATCACAATCGTAAGAAAATGTTTCGCTTGGGTATAAGTTTCGGACGCAACAATCTCAATCTTGAGGGTCATTTGCAAGCAGGATACACAAGTAAAACTGTTAAAAATTATGGACCCGCCGCAATTAAAATTCCAACAGATAATGCGATAGAAGAAACACTGCCTGTAACTGAAAACATTGAACCCATCGATAATGAGTAGTTAAAAGAAATTGACATCTAATTGCAAAATTATTATCAAGAGAACATTGTCATGAGTAACGTTGACCAGTACTTAGCCGGTGTATACTTCAATCCAAAACGTCCTGGAAGCTTATAAAAAGAACCCATTCAATTTCCAACATTTCATCGTTAGGCATTTCAATAAATGGTGAATCTGTACCATTTAAACCAATCAATTTGTCCTTTGGTGCGAATCCAAGATTTATAGAAGCATTTCTATCGCAGTTTTCTGGCACTGGGAAAATGTATTATGACACAGGCAATGGCATTACGCGTGAAGATTTCCCAAACGGTTTTGCCCTGTTCGGCGCGGACTTTACCCCCGATATGTGCAGTGCATCCGAACATTTTAACACGGTGCAAAAAGGAAACCTGGCCATTGACTTACAATTCTCGACACCGCCAACTCATGCAGTTAGCCTTGTCTGCTATGGAGAGTTTGAAAATATAATACAAATCGATGGAGAGAGAAATGTCGTTTATGACTACATTGGATAAATGAACACCTCACAAATATGGACCGCTTTGAAATCTGATCCGGTAACAGGAAAAAAATTTCTCGGTGTTTTTCCAGCCGACCGTTTGCCTAAAGAAATCGAAAGCTACCCAAAAGGATTTATCGCAAACACGGATGTAAGCGGAAAACCGGGGACCCATTGGGTTGCCTTTTACTTTCCTTCAGAAGAAAAAGCCGAATTCTTCGATAGCTATGGACAACCACCAGGGCGATTTCATAAGTTCTTTAGAGATTATTTGAAACATTATGATTGGGGGTTTAATAAACGTCAATTGCAAAGTATCTGGACGGATGTATGTGGACAATATTGTACATTTTACCTCAGCCATAGAGTGCGAGGATGTAGCTTGAATAAGATTGTAAACATGTTTGATGGTAATACTGTTGAGAACGATAACAAGGTATCAAGTTTCGTTAGCAGACATTTTCATATAGAAACTAGTGTAACCCTAAACGATAGCATTCAGTCAAGTATAAAATTTGTTGTAAAAGCTTGAGCCCTTTATTATCAATAAAATTTTCTTTGTGTAAACTAATTGCCTCTGTTTCTATTTGCATAATCTAATGATAACAGTCAGGAAATTGATATCAACTGCTCTATTTATTTAAACAAAACAAATCTTTACATGTCAAATTTTAATAGTCTATCCAACGTAAACGAGTTTTCTTTAGTGTAGAGGATAGTTTAGGCGTTGTCATTTTCGTTCTTGAGCCTCTGTGGTGGGCTATTCCGTCTTCTTCATCGGGCGAAGTTTCCATTTGAGCTTCTTCCCATCTTACATCGTTCCGAACCAAATCACGAGGAATGTTTATTTTTGATAAAACGCGAAAGAATTCTCTAGAACCTGTAGGATTGAAATTCTTTCTCCCTCTTACGGCGTCGCTAATGAGGTCTGATATATTTGATTGAGGGATAATAACACCGTCAAGTTTGACTTGTCCTGAATCATCCCAAGTTATTATATCCGGTTATGTTTTAAGACGCTGCAGTATTGCCATAGAATAGAGAATACTCTGGCCAGTAAAGTGTACAACATTTACTATGAAAATATATGGAGTGGAAGCCGTAAAGTGGGTTAAAATGTAGATTTTTTGAGCTGTTGGCTGTTTTTGGCATCTTTTTGAAAGAAATTGAAATAAAAAGGCAAGTATTTTGTATATATCATGTAACAAATGCATTTATTTAATATATTTATAGCGAAATTCAGTCGGAAAGCTTGAACAGGTTCTGAGGTTCACAAGTCCTGAGGACTTAAATGAACTTGGATGTATTACATGTTAAATATATTATTGTGATATAAAAGCTTTTGTTTTCAATTTAGTTTTATAAAGGACAAAAATTATATGCACAAAGCCCTCAAAGGTGTGTGACTTTAATGTACTTTCTGTCTTTCTTTTTAGTTGTTGCGAATATGCGGTTCGCAAATTTTATGGCGTAATAAATGCGCATTCTTACAAAAAGTTTCTGCAAGAACTCAAATGGGAATTCCGTACAGCAATCAAATTCCTTTGGTATGGACTTGACGGTGTCTAATATACTTCGACCAACTCCTTCGCTCTTTGTGTAGACAAAAAACGTCTTAATAAATGTGTCTTCAAGTTTGATGATGTATTCCAGATAAGGAGATGGTGATTGTAGTCCTCCTAAATCAGATTTCTTTTCATCGAATGCTTGAAAGTGGCAGAATAACTTTCTGCTATCATCCAGTTCTGTAGATGAAAGAGCATTGGTGCATTTCAGACAAGAGTGGAGTTTGAAACTCTTCATTAGAAGAAAACCAGACACATATGCAATGGCATTTTCCCTCATTATGTTAATAACATTTGGCTCCTTGTAGTCAGTAGGACCAATTGCTAAAATTTGTGGTTGCGGAGGTAGAAAGACTTGAACCGTTTTCTTCTGGCTGACTTTATTCTTTGCAACATTTTTGGAATACTCAACCAGCATAGAATCAAGGTCGTTGTCACAATTTCCAGATGAACAGGTTAGAAGGGAACTGAAGAAAAGCTTTCTAAGTGCTTGCATAAATTGGGTTGGAGTGGGGTTATCACTATTGCCTCCCTGGCGACGAATAGTACCAAAAATGGAAAATGTACAACTTTATAATCTCGAATCAAAAAGTTGCAGTAGAGACGCACACGTGAGAAAGATCCACAGCAAACCCAATATACAATGCTTTGGGCGATTTGAGAATTGAATAACATTGGAAAGTTATTTTGATAAAGACATTTCTGAGTGAAAAATATGTACAAAATAACAGCAATATAATAAATATTATATTTTCTTAATTGTTAAAAGGCTAAAAACATGTCTTTGCCATTAAAGATTTACATGGTGCACAAAAATCTTTAACACAAAACAATTTAAATTTAGAATGTGTGCATTTCATGCAATAGAATATACAGAATAAAATACAGCAATTCAGTACACATATTTACATTTAAAAAATTTAATGACAACTTTATTCAGAGATGGATATAAGAGAGGGGTGTGCAGCCCTCCTGGCTTGAGCTAGATGGGGGTGCAGAAGAAATGCTAATTTCTCTATAAATATTGGTATACTAAACAATTAAGCTGAAGAAATTGTGATCAATGTTTAATAGAGCACCCTTACAAAAACCACCCAATCATAATAAAAACGTAATAGAATTTAATAAACAAAGTTTAACATGCTACTGCAACAAGTAGCCACTAAAATCTAATCCAACCTACTAAAACTACATAACATAAGACACTTGCAACATAATCCTCACTTGAGAACTGAATGCCAAAATAACAACTAGAAAAAAATATCAGAAAATCAATCATAACTATTGGTAATAAATTTAATAGAGCACAAATCACAGCAAGGCAAAATTTATAAATAAGGCAAACAGAGTGTATACCTCACTAAAACTACATTTGGTATTAAAAATGCCCAACTATTATTATAGAACTCAATGACCAAAATCCGCCATTACCGCCATGTTTTTGACCACGGGGTCCAGGCCCCTTTTCCCCTCCAGGTCTTATAGAGCTCAATGATTCCGAGCATATTCATGGCGTATTCGGCAAGATTCGAGACGCTTTCGGTGATTTTACAATTCAGAGTTTAACTGGATGATAATACTATTTTAACAAGACGTTTAATTTGAAGTTTTTGTTCTGTTAACACAAATTTTTGACAAAAAATTACAAAATTCATTCAATTTTTGCTTTTGATCGAATTTTGCTGTATTTGAGCAAAATTTTTAATCATGAAAAAGTCAACCCTGGAAAAACTTAAGTGGCAGAATTCTGACCGTGGCTCAAGCCACTTTCGCCATGGCCTAGATCCGCCCCTGCCTTACATTTGATCCACCAGTTTGGATTTCCTGGGTCTACCTAACCCCGGTTATGTCAGGATTTGTGTATGCCCAAATGCATTCCTGCCCAGTTATCTTCTTCCTTAGCTCCTCTACATCCTTCCTCTTCATTATTCCTTCGAAATGAGTTGAAGTTTCCGTCAGAATTCGTTCGCAAACGTTTCACGTTTGATTGCGTGCAACTTTCAGCGTCCGATTTGCTCTTGTTGAAAAGCTTTCTTTTACTTAACATGTTGATGCTGCTTAAATTAGCTGGCCTGAACTGTGGCTGAACATTTGCCAGCAGTTGCGACATGCTTAATGACGGTTAAGGAGAACATTGTTAAATGATTCAGAATTTGTCTGTCAGAATATAAACGATTTTAGTTTCGCAGAGCAAGTTTTTAAGCTATTCGTGAAGCAAACAGTGTATTTGAAGGGTTGTAAAGAAGTGAGAAGCCTCTTTCGTGAATCAGTTGTATCGATAATCAGTGATGTCATCGACAATCGGTGATATCATCGATAACCAGTGATATCATCGATAACCCGTGATACCATCGATAAACCGTGATATCATCGATAACCACCAGTGATATCATCGATAATCAGTGACATCATCGATAACCAGTGATATCATCGATAACCCGTGATATCATCGATAACCCGTGATATCATCGATAATCTTTCATATCAAGAGTGGAAGCATCGTTTATGAATCAGTGACATTACTCTACTTTACGAAAGGATATGTTTTGGGTATTTCTCAAACATTTTCCCCAATTCTTCGTGGAATGTTCTATCTGTGGGGCTACATAAATCCATGTCACGACCTGTTCGACAAAAAAACGATTCAATTTATTCTCTCAAACCCGTTCACGTTGACGGTTAGCAGTGATTTTAGATATGACCGTGCTGTTTGGTTGTTTTTTCTTAACAGAATCTGAATTTGGTCATTCCTCATTGGGATCAAATTATTAAGGAGTTGCATTTCCTCACCACAAGTTTTAAGTGCAAAAATCAGCAATTTCCCCACTGTCCGATTATATTATGAATTGGTTTTGATCTTACTTAACAAACCGACAAATTTTCACTGTGATAGAAAATGAATGCTCTTCAACAATGCAAGAGGACCTCGAGTAAGTAAGCGTTATTGTTATTGTTAAAGTGAATGGTTTGAGCCCTGGAGTAATCGTTACATGTTTGTACATGTAGATCGTCCGTGTTAGTGCAGTTATGGGGAAGGACTGGGTTGGGTAGACATCACTTGAGTCGGAAGATGACAAGCAAGAAAGTTGTGGAAATATCAGTCAACACCATTGAACTAAAATACATGGAACGCTACCTGCAATAGAAAAGCCTAATAATTTTTTGAAGCCAAATCTTACACCCAGATACGCGTGTGTAGTCAATCAATTTTCACTCCGCGGGAGAATTTGAAAACACTAAACACGCGTGTCTGGGTGTTTTCTCACGTGTCTTAGTGTAAGATTTGCCATCAATTATTTGCTTCAGGTAGCGTTCCATGTATTTCAGTTCAACGGTCAACACCGACACTTCATCTCAGGACTGCATGATATGGACGATCTACATCCACAAACACGCATTATTATTTTTCTCTCCTTTCATTTATCCTGTTCTTGAATGATTCGCCTTAAAAATTTATAATTATTTGTTTCGTTTAGCGCGATTGGAAACATTTCAAATATTTACACGCCGGCTCTATTTACCAGAAGATTCAAACTCGTGAACTTCGAAGCCATCCTTTTCAGCTGCTCCTTTCGATCCTCCTTCGTCTTTCTCCAAGTCGTTTTGGGAACTTGAATGTCGCACGAGCGATGCTCCAAACGACGCACACTTCCTCCATCGTGACCTGGGAGCAAACGTTGCTGGGTAAGGAAGACTGGGTTTTGGCAACAATAGCCGTCGTCCAATTTTGACTTGCCTGTTTTGATTTGTATCTGGTAGAAGGGAATGCTTTGTTTTGTAGGTCACAACGTCTTTACTGGCCACTGAGTAAGGAGAAGAAACAATAGAAGTTTTGGTCGCAATGGAAAAAGATCTATTCTGAGCATGAGCTGTTCCCAAGGCTTAAGTCTAATGCTGGGTTACTACTATTCAACGCAAGGTGGCAAATCTCAGAGTTTTATAAAATGACGAAGTATTCTTTTATTCAGCATATTTCATGGAGCTGATGGAAGTAGACATCGGTGAAAAGTACCATGCGCCCCAAGAAATCCCTTCCACTTACTTGTGCTATCTGATAAATTCTCGATATCTATGCCGATCCACTTAAATCCTGGTTTCTTTCCAGTTACCCCTCGTATGTGAAATTTCTCTATGAGCTTTAGACTTTGCAAGATATTGGCAACATCGTAGAGGCGGCGCTCTTTGTATGGAAAAAGTGACGAAACAAACATTCTCTTAGAGTTCTCTGCATTCTATGGTGAGGTTTGTGTGTATTTTTTCAACGAGCAGTCACATCTCCGCAACTTAGACATGTTGAGAGAGACAGTGCTATACATGCTAACAACGATGGCAAAGCAGGGAAATATTTCTATTTGTCAGATTGTCAGATCATTCTTGGACTAGGAATATAAAATAACTTACACATAAACATCGTCATTTCGCTCACGGAATATCGTCATATGTTTGTAGTAAATGGAGATTGGAGATCGTTCTGGTTAACGGCGTTTTGAGAAGGAATGTTGATGCTCACTGACGTTTCAAACTTTCGACAACCTTAGCAGTAGTCATCTTCAGAGTCAAGTGACTACCGCTCAGTAAAATACATGTAACGCTACCTGTCAGTGCCTGGAGCAAACAATTGAAGCCACAATCTTACACCCTAACACGCATGTGTAGTGTTTCGAGATTCTCTCGCGGAGTGAGAATTGATTGATTACACAATGTCTAGGTGTAAAATTTGGCTTCAAAAAATTATAAGGCTTTTCTATTACAGATAGCGTTCCAGATGTATTTTAGTTCGATGCTATCGCTAAGGTTTTCGAAACGTCAGTCGACATCAACACCAACAGTCTTCTCAGGATTCCAATAACCAAGACGATCTACACCGGTGGGTTATAATCATTGAGTTCTATAATAACTGGAGCGGCTATCTCAAGCGCGGCCTTAGATATCTGATGACGCCAAAAAAATGGCGGATTTCGTCCGTTGCCGCTGAGATTTACCGAAATTGACCGCTTTTCCGAAAATTTCACAATTTCCCACCCTCCTGAGGAAAGAGGAGGAAAATGTACGTGTATTTGGGATTGGCAAGCAATTTTTGATGAAAATCACGTTAAAACCTACAATTCGTAACAGCGAGTCAACCTAGCTTCCAGTTATCGGCCCTACGAGGATGTATCTATAACTATCGACGAAAGAGCTATATGTCGGCTACACATCTATGAATGCAGATATGCGTCGTTTTACCAGCGTCAAACTTGTTTGATCGATTAAACTCTTTAGTCTATACAAAAAAGTATATCATAGTTCATCTCCACGGTTCACGAGAGAGAAGTTAGCTTATTTGTTATCATTGCTATTTTTCTTCTTTTCATGCAATGGGCAATGGCTTTTTTCGCCACAATTGTAGGATTTTTACTTGTTTCTTTAAAAAAGTACATATAAAATCTCTGGATATTTACGGATTTTCTGTAATTGAGTTTCACATGAAATTTCAAAAAGACTCAAGTCTGCATAGGTTTGGTAAATGAAAACAAACAATATTGTATAGAAATTACTTTAAGTAACCTTTTTGTGATGTTCTGAAGTGCAACTGCATCAAATACTTGTAAAGTTGTACATTTTGATTTTGTTGTATTGATATATAAATTGGGCAAAATGCAAATAATCATCAAAACACTTATGCTTCCAATGGTGTTTATAATTCATTTTTAGTTTTAATACTTCTACCCCTTTTTTTCACTTTGTTTTTTTTTTTCCTATATTTTCAATATAAGTGCACAATTTGAATTATTAACACAGTTTTCACTTCAATAATAAAGTTCATAAGCAGTTGGTAGTGCATTTTGTTCTCTGAGTATCCACATTTGGTGTTTTCTTCATACATGAATGATGAAATGCTTATGGATGTGTCATAACAAGGCAATAAAACCAAATGAATTAAATACCTATAGTGTACTTTTATGCTAGAAGCTTAAAAGCTTTCTAGAAATTATAAAGTTATTGGATTATATTACCTCTATATCATCAATCTCATGAAAAGAAATAAGAAGCAAAATATTTGTAGAAAAGCTTTGAAAAGTGAAAAACATTTATTTAAAAAGCAGCAATGATGCATATGATAACCCCATTCTGTACTCTAATAGGTAAATAAGCTCAAACTGTTTCTTAAAGAAATATAAGAAATATATAAGAAATATACAGTACAGTAATTTTAAAGGTTTCATCACTGAATCTTTAATGCTTTAGTATAGTGCATTAGATATTAGTAACATTTAAACAACACTCAACTAAAATATTTTGATAAAGATATGACATGATTTAAACATTATGTTATATAAAACCCAATGGCTTATTCAGTTTAATGCTTCATCTGCATCAAGTCATCATCAATCTCAGTACAAATGTTTACATAGACACAAACTTTATGGCCTTTCCATTTTTATATGTTGTGAATTGACATTTAATTAAGCATCAAAAAACAAACAACCTTCTTGCCATCTTTTTTGTTCATGAACTTTACTTCAAAGCATTCAAGGCATCATTAGTGAATCCATTGTCTCCATCCATAGAATTTGACCATGATCAAATTAAATAACTCTGGATAAGGCAGACAATAAATCAATTATCTTTACAGCATTATCATTTTTAAGACTCTGCCTGGTCAATAACATCTTCCAGTCATCTTTACTTGGTCTTCCCTGCATGTTGTCAGCAAATAGAACATAACAAGCTCTGCTCCAAATCATGGGTACCTTGGGGCTGATCATTTCTTCTTGATACTTTTCACAGAGCAAAATGTGTGCAGGGTCTTTTTTGCTTTAGGGAAACTATTTTGCAAATAGATAGGTAAATTTTACGATTTCATGCATTAACAAATGACAGAAAAGTATGCAGAATTTTATATAGACAAAACAGGAAAAACATCAGTATATTTTATGTTCAAGTCAGTCTTAAAATTACGATCTATGGAATGATGATAAATTATGATCAAAAATTATGTATTTTATGGCTTTTCAAGTGCATGTATAATTGCTTTTCAATCGTTGACGGACTAACAAAACAAACAACTACCTCACCTGTGAGAAGCGATATGTTCCTTTTTGTGGAAACTACGACATCCAACAATTGAACGATTGAAGTGTTGGCATTATAAAAGAAATGCCAAAAAAGATATCGTCACAGAATATGGAACTAACGATATCCATATTCTGTGATATCGTGTTTGTTTTTGAAAAATTCTTTATAATTTACTATAGACACCAGGGGGAGGTCGAGAATATTATTTTTCTGCAAAGCGATCATTTCAGCGGAAATACGTCCGTTGGCCGCCATTTTTTTGGCGACCTCGCCCCAGTAAAGATAGCCGCTCCAGTTATTATAGAACTCAATGGTTATAATGAGTTAATTCCCAAGGATTCGATGAGTGTTTAGTCCCCTGTTATTTATCTTGCAAATTTTTTTGCAGGGTTGAGAAAAATGTTTTGCATTTGCTTTGCCGTTTTGAAGGATTTCTCCTGAGCGCACTCTTTTTGAGCAAAATGCCGTTTGTAAAAGCCCTAAATTTGCACTCTTACTTCTGTCCTTGACATTCGTCTCGTCGTGTTGATCAAAAAGAGCTGTCGCAGCATCTTCTAAGGTCACCACACCACCCTGCAATGGAAGATTTGCAGACATGTAAATAATAAGCTATTGCGCATGCGCGCAGTCAGCCCCAACTACAGGTAGTGCTATAAAAATATTTTGGCGTTCGCTCACTGTAAGAACAATACATTCAAAAAGAGAGACTTTGTCGTGTGACAAATTCGAACATCGCCTTGAAAACTGCAATTGCCATGTTGAATGGCCAAAAATTATGCACTTCTCAAGAGCTGTAAAAACTAACAGAAACCCAAGAAAGAGACTGTTTTATAACGATAACATCGTCAGGAAAGTTCTGAAAAGAAGTGCTTTACCGATCCATTGGCTTGTTGTGTCGTGTAATAAGGGAGAAATGTATCGTCCGCAAACCGTTTGTGCAACCCAAAAGGTACAAGCGGTTTGTTGATGACACTTTTTCCCTTTTTTTACACGACACATCTAGCCAATGTATTTTTTAAGCAGGTCTTTTCAAAACCCATGGATTTCTCTTGTTTTCGCTTAGGTTTCTTTTAGTTTTCAGAACTCTTGGGAACTCCATAATTTTTGACCATTCGCCATGCCAATTGCACATTACAAGGCAAAAATAAATTTCCCAAAAAGATAGCTGATGTTTTAAATTTACAAAGCAGGACCAAACTTGCAGGCTGGCTACGACACTACTCGTGCGAATGCATTTGAAAGTACGATGACATGAAAAACTATATCGTACTGCAAGTTAGATTGTGAAAACCTACCGTTGAGAGTAGGAACATGATCAGAAATTTCTGACTTAAAACGCCCAGTGATTTGTCCTATCTGCAGTTGTCCATCATGTACTATATCGTACTGCAAGTTAGATTGTGATAACCTACCGTTGAGAGGAGGATTTTGATCAGAAATTTCTGACTTAAAACGCCCAGTGAATTTTCCTTTCTGCAGTTGCCCATCATGTCGATTACAGCTTCAAAGAAAACGGCGTGGTTTAACGGTAAAATATTCATTTTGCCCTGGTCGTTTCGTAACGTATAGATAAGCTTGCTAGGTATCGATTAAACGTTCTTCAAAGTGATTCGCGTGTCAAGTTAAAGCACACGGGGGGTGCGGGGGTAGTGTCATTGGACGATAGGGGTGCCAATTTTCCAGGGAGGGGGGAATTGTCATCCTTTGGGGCCTCGGGATGTTTTGGATTTTTTAGGATTACAGATGATTTAACCTTGGGCAATGACAGTGTATTTACCTTTTCAAAAAGTTTTTTTGTTTTTTGTAAATATATGCGCGGTTAGCAATTTATTTCAATATTAATGTTTCGATGAACACGCGCATGGTAATACTCTATTGCAAATGGTGGTTATATAAAATATGTAATTGCCTTTGAAATGAGAAGTTCTACTTTTACTTAGTCTTACTGTACAATTTCATAGCCTCTAATACTGTTAAATTAATCATCTACTGTGCGTAATACCATGTTATAAGTTGTCGGGAGGGTGGGGGGTGCTAGAGAATTTTAAGGGGGGAGGCGCGCCCTATTGCACCCTCCCAGAAAATTTACCCCTGAAAAAACTTCCACGCCAATCGACTTTTGCTTTACAAGGGATGTAAAAAAAACTGGCTAATGCAATATATTCTTATTTTGAAACTAGTTCGGATACATTTCGGTATGTTAAGCTTGAATTGAAAAAACAGATCAAACATCTAACGGTTATTAGGAATTATGATAATGCGCTATCTGATAAATGGTGGTGACCAGGGCTAAAACAGGCGGAAGCAAATTCTTATAATACATATCAAAAGCCAGCGAAGTGCTTTCAAAAGAGAAACGTCATACAAGGCTATATGTATAAAAAAGGAATGTTTATTAAAAAGCGTAACGTTCCGTTATTACTTTCAAAGCATTGTGTATTTTTCACGGAGAATCATCACACAAAAACTTCCTATGTATGTATATGTATAATATGAGTACTTACAAAAAATTAAATTACATAGTGGGAAGAAAGATGTGACGGTACGGATGGGATAAGTTAGTATGAAGTGGGACATGAGGATTACATGAAGGATACGAAAAACACACACAATCACAACTGAACGGCAATGGAGTGTCCTTGGACGTTAAGAGACGGTTTCATTTTGTTAATTAAGAAACTTTCGCATATTTGTATTTGATGGCTGTTTTGAAAGCACTCTGTTGGGTTTTGATATTTATTATAGCTCAACATAAGTACCAAACGAATGGATACATGGGGTAAAATAGGTATATGAATGAGATATGTGGGTGTATGATTGACAAGACTACGTCATACATAGCTACATGTACCTTTGATCATTGCACGTTCTTCCTCTTGAGAGCAGGAAGCAGGTTCATTGAATTGTCTACTTGGACTTGGTTCGTTCCCAAAACTGTAAAATCGTTTCATCTGAAGGAAATAGAAAAGACAAATGGCTGATATTTTTTTCCATTTTAATTATGGATCGCCTATATCGATGAAGAAACCGTGGATGGGTTCTTTGATGTGTGGGAAATTTGAAGAACTATAATGAAGTTAGCTCAGTAAAATGCAAGGCCAAATTGTGCAAAAAAAGAGGCATTATATTTTACAGTACAGGACCTAGAGAAAGCGTGAGATCGATAAGCTGTTTTAGAAAAACATCGGTGATGACCATCTTCATACGTAAATATATGAATGTGTTTTACGTGGTCGTAAGTCGACCAACGATAATGCAGGAAAAGAATAAGACTGTACAGTCACAGATACAAACATACATAAGGCAGTGGTGTAGACAACCCGCAAGTTTGTTCGTAAGTATATGAATGCATTTTACGTGGTCTTAAGTCGACCAATGATAATGTAGGAAAGAATAAGACTGTACAACCACAAAATACAAACATGCATCGGGCAGTTCTGTAGACAGCCCGCAAGTTTGTACGTAAGTATATGAATGCACTTCACGTTAAGTTGACCAATGATAATGTAGGAAAGAATAAGACTGTACAACCACAGAATACAAACATGCATCGGGCAGTTCTGTAGACAGCCCGCCAAGTTGTTTGGGCTATAAAAATTTTTCCAAGTTTACTGACTGTAATAACAATACATTTGTAAAGAAATGGACATGCTGACGACGTGTAACTTACATAGCACGACCAAACTTGAAGGCTGGTCGCGCTACTGAAAGAAGGTCACAGATTCCTCCATTGTGAGGAAGTAACCTCCTTCCCGCGGATACATTGAAAATAATATTCAGAAGACTTGTGCAAAATTTATTAGAAGAGAATGTCAGTATTTGGTGATGAAAGAATAGTTTAGGATGAATGACTAGAAGAGGTGTTTTCCTTAGATGCTCGTTGAAAATAGCAATCGTGCCGTGTACCTTTTGTTTTCCAGGTGTTTCCACTATGCTTTGTAGGTTTTCCTTTTCGCGCTCTTGTATCGTCTGATGTAGACTTTTCCTCGAGAGGAACTAGAAACATGTCGAAAATTCACACTAGGTAAATGAAATTCGTAAAAAAAGGTACGCATCGAAAGTCGCTTTCCATTTTTAATGATACAATTTAACGAACTGGACGCAAAAAAATCGATGTAAACCTTTAAATTTGCAAGAGTTTGAGTTATTTTTGATTTCCCGTGCCAAAGATAACGATTCTTGGCCAAGCGACTTAACACATCGACACTTTCAAGTACGTTAACTATATCGTAAACTCGACGTCTTTCCACACCTAGGAAAAAAAGTGACGGATGCAACCCGCGTAGAAATCGTCTTGAGATTAATTATCAAATGAGAAGTTCGAAGTTTGGCAAAAACCCAAATAAATTACGTCATGGATGGATTTCTGGGAGGGAAGCGCCTGTAGGCTAAGACAAAATTGTAGGCCTTTAAGCGATACCTATTCCTCACACTAAGTTCCATTTTCCTTTACTTTTGCATTTTGTGTTTGTAACCCACAGGGCCAAAAATGGGGAAATGTTCATTTTAAAGATCAAACGAAATTTCGAAAATCATTGACATGGTCAGGGAAATGGCAATACTTCATGATTTCTGAGTATTGTTCATTTGAACAGTAGATGGTACGAAAACCATTTTTCTCCACATTCAATTGCTTGTAAGGTTTTCAACAGCATAAATAAATCAAACTTAAGCACATTGGACATTTGACTGGCAAAAACGTCTAAATCCTAATTATGTCTAGATGCAATGGGCCTCTCGAAAGCCTGGGCCAGTAGGCTTAAGCCTACTTAGGCTACTGGATAATCTGCCAGTGCGCACCACCAATAGCCACAGGGGTTGGGGAGGAGTAGATATCTCCCAACAAATCCTAATATACAAAGCAAAACCATCTTTGATCAGTGTTTAATGGACGTTTTAATGGAAAAGCAGGAAGGATTTAGGGGAGGGGTGCAGGGGGGGAGGGTAGTGCATGCACCACTTTTCACCATTTCCAGCTTTGGCTAGAAGGGGTGCAGTGGGGTGCAGATTCCCCTACGAAATATTCACATACCAAAAAATTAAGCAAAAACAACTGTGGGACTACACATTTCCCAGGGTCTCAAGTCAAACCTATAAAAAGTCTGACATGTGAATGATAAAACGACATCCACAAAGAAGCCACAGAAATCTAATCAAAACTAAACTGAACAAACGACAACTTATAAGAACTAGACCACCCCCTCATACAAAATCATCCTGGATCCATCCTTGATAAAAAGGTAGCTCACAGAAGTAAACAAAAAAAGTATGACGTGGTCAAAGTATAGGGAATATACAGTAGGTCCACTTAGCTGTGCAACTGCCTGCTGTATATCTAATTTGATTACTGGCAACTTTTGCAATGTCAGCACTCTTATTGGTTAGAAATTGCAATTGACTGACTGCCACTATGGTAGTCACATGTTCAATGAGATATGCGTGGCACAAAAAAATTTGATGGAGTGGCTCTACTGTATGTTCTCTGCACTGTGACATGGCACAGCAACAAGTAGGCCCCAAAATCGAAACCCAATATTATATGGAGCGACTTTGAATGTTACAGCTAATCACGTACATATGGTCTGGTCGAGCAACATAAAATGGTAACACTTACGTAGATCTTTGGCAACTTCATCTAATGATACTTCAACAGTCCCATCCGGGTTCTCGGGGAACAAAGCTAAAAACCTATTTTGAAAATCACAATGTGGTAAACTAATGTATTGCATCCAAAAGCAGAAAAGAACATGTAATGAAAATGAACTGGAAGTAGAAATTTTTAAATCTATAATTTCTCATTGTTAAATCCCACCTTTGACACAAAAGTCCCAGTGACCTATCTTTTCGACTGTAGATAGGTTTTTCATCTATGACTTCTGCCTTGAAAGTGCGATTGACAAACAGATCTTTCTTCTTTTCATCTCTGTCTCGTATATCCTGGCTTACGACGCTCAGGTTGGCAGTCGGGGTCAGAGGATCATCATAATTTGTTTGCTCGACCGAGGCAATTTTAGTCGGAGTAGAATGAACTTTCATTCTAGCAGCAACATGGTTTGCAGGGAAAATATCTTGTTCCTGTGTACTTTTATCTATACAGGTTATCAAGGTCTCCTGACTTTGCGAGCTCTCCCACTTTTCAATCCTTTCTTTTTCAATCATGGCAATATTGATAAGCTCGGCCATTGAGCCATGTCTTGAGAGCAACTGACTAGCTTCATGTGACTGTTGTTCATTAACATTGCATTCTTTGGTCAAATGCTCAAGTCTGGCTTGTGTGAGTGTGATATCTAATTTACTATCCTTAGATTGTTTTATGTTTTCATCATTCATTTCTTATATTTCATTAGAAAGCTATAATTTGATGTTTAAGACGGTGTCATAGAATAGAGAATATATTCTCTATTCTATGACGGTGTTCTGCTTCTAGGCATCAGAGAGAACGTGACTAATTGAAAGCAGCCAGAGATTGGCCAATCACGAATAACCCTTGACTCAGGTCAACCAATGAAATAAGTCCTTTCCGTTCACTTGAAATTCAAATATTCAAATTTTGAAATTGAGCCAACAGCCAAAAGCGTCTTCGGTCGAATGGAAATACTTTACGTTGCGAAAATATTGCATTCATTCTTCCGTTTGGATTTTCTTTTTTTTTAATGAAATGGATTTCATATGTGATATCCACTTTAGGTATATTATTTTGTGCTGGCTTACGCCGAAAAGTGAAATAAAAATAAAAAATTTTTTATCGTCATAAAGACAACCGGTTCAAAGCAAATTTTTTATGAGTAAATAAGTGGTCATTAAGTGCTTAATTACTGACGGACGATTTACTATTGTGAAGGTGTCACAGGATTCATGCATTAAGATTCACTGATTCAATACAACTCCCATATAACAAAGACTTTTTGAAATGGCCTAATTTGACTACACGACGATAATTGAAATGCCTTTTGCTTATGTGAGTTGTGTCGTCTTCCAAGTTTTTGTCTGTTAGAGAATGATCTCGTGTCTTTTATAGGATTTAGAATGCAAAGCATTAGACGCGCCCAAGCGAGTTTTTAAATCCCATAGGTAGGACAAAAGTGATCATGCTCTAACCCTCTCAGAACGTTGCCAACGGTGGCTTAAAGTCATATTGGACGTGTCTCGTTTGATATTCATCCACTGCTTTAGTTTCAACAAAAAGATCTATGAGATAGACAGGAATTATAGACTTTTTTTTAATTGATACATTTTGGTGAATGTCTTACGTAGATTCGCCTGCTCGTTGGTTTCAGCAACCGTCTATTTGTGCACCTATATAAGACGCTATTAATCTCCAAACTATATCGACAAGTAGGGAATGTAATTATGTAATCGATCAATAAATGACAACACCCAGAGCGCAGAGCCCAAGCCTGTTTTTATTGTAAAAAAAACAACACATAAGATCTAGCAAAAAGAGACCGGTTATATGATTTTTGAATATATATATTATACAAACAGCATATTTTATTCTATATATAATCAATTATCAATACGATGGACGGGAGTGCCTTTGAGATCTTTCTTTACTGCCTTTTAAACCTGGAAGTTGCTCTTTTGATAACGTCAAACTCAGAAAGTTTTCATTCATTATACTGTCCAGTCCATCCTCTGTGTGTTCAAAGGATATGACTTGAACTTTGAAGAAGCTAAGAGGTGAAAGTATACAGAAAAGCAAACAACGAGGTAATCATAGAAATAAACATTCGTTAACAATGACTTTGATAGGAGTTTGCGAGCATTAAAAGATTTTTAAAGTCACGATGTGAAACGAAAATCACTACACATATTCCTATGAATGAGATATCGTTGAAAACACCTGGGTTTGAGGAAGGAAGACGCCCTGCAAACATTTAAAATGTTGTTCAAGAAGAAAGACAGTAAGGAGATACATCAGAAACATCAGCTCAAACGTAGTTGTCTGCTCAGTGGCTTCAGCAGCAGTCTACAAGTGCATTTAGAAACTTGGATAAATCAATTTTTTTTGAAAAATGTCTTTGTTCACTTTCAGTTAAAGTAACTTAGACGAGCGACCTACAAACAATTGGTGAGTAAATGAGGATTGAGTTAGTAAATGAGGATTAAGTTAGTAAATGAGGATTGAGTTAGTAAATGAGGATTAAGTTAGTAAATGAGGATTGAGTTAGTAAATGAGGATTGAGTTAGTAAATGAGGAATTAAGATATTTTGAAATATCGATTCCAACTATGAATGGCGGCTATTTAAAATGAGGACTCCTGTTAAATGATGACATTTTGCCAAAGAGCTCACGTAAAGTTTTATAGATTCTTCAGCCCAACTGTGCTTCACATCAGATTCTCGAATTATATAAAACATTTTTTCCCGTTTGAACTAATTGTCCCTGTCGACATACATGGTATCTTTCCCCAAAAGGACATAATATACAGGGTGCATAAGGCAACAATTAATATTCTAAAGCTCCTATTTTTCTTCAGAACAATCAATTTTAGGCCTCTGGAACTAAATTGACTTCTATACGCAAACTGAAGGTATTCAGCATTGCCGAAGCTTTTCAGTTTTCCCAAAGGCCAAACATGTTTTACTCAAAACAAAATACTATGAATATAAAGTTTTTAATACACCCTATACTATAAATCAGACCTAGCATTAAATGACTGGTTTTATACGATTTGAATAATGACCAAGAAAAATAAGTAGCAATAAGCAGCATCTAGCGTTTAAGCCATAACATCACTTCAGATAAACTTGACGCTGAGAAATTAAGATCAAGGGAGAAATCAAAATGCCTGTGATGATGGAGATGAGTCTCCTGATTTGATACCTATTTGTTTCGGCCACGCTGCAAGAAATTCAAGAGAGTTGGGAATGAATTTGAGGTGTTGCAAATGTTTCGAGAAAGGAGAGTAGATAAGGTGCAGCTTTGTCACACTTTGGTCACAGAGCTCTAACCTGTGACAGTTAGTTTCCAGTCCCCTGAAGTTGATCGGTGCGCGCGCATGTCAACCGGAAATAGGGGTTAATAAACATGGCATGGCATTGGATGGCGTGAAAATCGGAAATACGACAAAGCTGGAAGTTGCATACTATTGACAAAGCAACATTAGATCCGCCTTATGTTTTATTGGTTAATAAACCGGATCTATGTCATTGTGTATTCATTCTTCAAACTATATAGTCGAACTATCGTCTTAAAAAATGTTATTTGCGTTGTTTATTTTGCATTGCTTTTGGACGTTTTGAAAAAAGACAAAAAATATGGTACACATGTTTAATCAGATATATGCAGACACTGTTGAGTTTGAAAAAGTTAGTCACAGCGATCTTATCAATTTGATTTTCGTCGATTTTATAAGTAAAAAGATTCAAGAGCTACGAAGAGCTGAAAAGGATGAAAGTAAAGCAGACCCTCGGGTAGAGTATCGAAACGTTTTAGAAATGATGACTGAGGAAGATCGTTGGTTCAATTTTGCAGCTCGAGCAGTCGAAACAATTAATCGCGAACATGTCTGGAATGGAATATGTGAAGCCTTTAAGTTTCTAAAGAACTGTGGACCTTCGAACTCTCACAAGACATATTTTGACAAACTGTTTAGTGTTACTTGGGTAGAACTAATGTTAATGTACACGGAGACAAAACGTCCTTTTATCAACATCTCTTTGACTATGCTGATTGTAGTTGTAAACTGAAATACAGATCAACTATGTAATTGCTTTGACAAAAATAAAATATAAATTTCAATGTTATTGCATTTTGACTTCAGTTGTTTTATGACCATGTCATTGTGAAAATGGGAATCGGTAGCAGCAAACGTGAAAATAGAAATGCAAAAAGGGATAAAAATCATAATCGTCAGAAAATGTTTCGCTTGGGTATAAGTTTCGGACGCAACGATCTCAATCTTGAGGGTCATTTGCAAGCAGGATACACAAGTAAAACTGTTAAAAATTATGGACCCGCCGCAATTAAACTTCCAACAGATAATGCGATAGAAGAAACACTGCCTGTAACTGAAAACATTGAACCCATCGATAATGAGTAGTTAAAAGAAATTGACATCTAATTGCAAAATTATTATCACGAGAACATTGTCATGAGTAACGTTGACCAGTACTTAGCCGGTGTATACTTCAATCCAAAACGTCCTGGAAGCTACGGAGGTGTTGAACGTTTGTACCGCGATGTAAAGGCAGAAGGAATATATGACATTAGTCGTGAAAGAATTAAAGAATGGCTCATGCAACAAGACGCATACTCTTTGCATAAACCTATTCGAAGAAAGTTTGAAAGAAATCGTGTCGTAGTGAGTGGTATTGACGACCAGTGGCAATTGGATCTTGCAGACATGCAATCTTTGCAAAAGTATAATGATGGTTATCGCTATCTTCTTATCTGTATTGATGTTTTTTTCCAAATATGCATGGGCTGTTCCATTAAAAAAGAAAACAGGATCGTCGTTGGTAGAAGCTTTTAAAAAGATTTTGTCATCAGGACGTAAACCGACACACATTCAAACGGATCAAGGCTCGGAGTTTTTTAATCGAGACTTTAAGAAACTTTTGGCAGAAGAAAACGTTACCTTGTTTAATACATTTAACGAGACGAAGGCATCCATCGTTGAACGTTTGATACGTACACTGAAAACTAAAATGTGGCGCTACTTCACAGCAAACAAAACCATGAGATACATTGACATGCTTCCCGATCTACTGTATTCTTATAATCATAGCATGCATCGCAGCATTAAGGAAAAACCGATCAACGTTACAAATGAAAATGAAGATAGAATTCGGCAAAATTTATATGGTGATAGCAAATTAAATAAACCTACGCATGTAAAATATAAGTTTGATATAGGTGACCAAGTACGAATAAGTAAAATAAAACGAAGGTGTGAGAAGGGGTATTTACCGAATTTTTCAAAAGAAATTTTCACTGTAAGTCAAAAAATACCGCGCAATCCTCCTGTATACAGACTGAAAGATCATGAAGGGGACGAACTTCAAGGAACATTTTATGAAAAGAACTTCAAAAAGTCATCAAGAAAGACGATGTTTATGAGATTGAAAAATACTTAAGAAACTTAGTAGGGGCAATGTACAATATTTTGTAAAGTGGTCTGGCTACCCCTAACAAATTTAATTCATGGGTACCAGCATCGGAAATACATATATAAAACGTAACCGTTTTCATGATTTTTCATTTCACATTATACCTTAAAGATGAGCGGGACACACTTCTATCTGACATTACCTAGTAATGCATCTCTCTGTATTTCCTGAGAATAAGATTTCAGGTTATCGCAAAACTACCTTACGTTGTGAATTTAAATGGTAATTGGGAAGTAGGATTGTATTCAATTACATATCCTCATACATGGTACACGTTGAAAAAAGGTTTGGACATATATATGTAACTCACAAAACAGGTCTACCTACTCCGATATTTGTCGACTATGGCTCAGTTAACGAGACTTTTGACAAAGAAGTAAAAGACAATATCAAATTGAGCTTTGACCCCCGAACAGAAACAATCAAAGTGCATGTAAGACAGGGTTACAAAATATCATTTAATCAACGAATGTCGGTCTTACTCGGTTTTGGTGGAAAAGACGTAGAGATTTTAAAAACAACCGAAAGCCCTTATGCTTATGATTTGCATGGATCCGTCATGATATATGTATATTGCAACATTGTACAACCGCAAGTTGTTGGAGACGTCAATGTAAAATTACTAAAGGCAGTTACTATTCAAGGAAAATAAGGAGACATTGTTTCAAGAACATTCACTAATATCCAATACATACCCGTGCAAACAAAATCTTTTGAGGACATCGAAATTCTCTTAAGGGAGGAGATAGGAAATCCCATCTCATTTGAACGAGGGAAGTCGATAGTGACACTTTATTTCAGAAAAAAATCTTCCTCTTCTTTTACATAAGAAATATGACTTTAACAAATCGCTATGTTCAATATTATCTCAACCAACAACGAGGATACGGTTCATCACCAGTGTTTAAAGGAGCACCTTGGCAAAGAGGATATGGTCAAGTGGGTTATGGTCTTGGTGGCTTGTTTCGCAGTTTGACTAGAGCTGTAATACCTCTGGCAAAAAGCGGTGCAAAAGCTCTGGGTAAAATTGCTCTTAACACAGGAGCAAACGTTTTAGGTGATGTTATCTCCGGGAAAAGTGTGAAAGAGTCTGCAAAATCGTGAGTAAATCAGGCTGCTAAAGATGTGGGGGAAATGGCTGTAAACAGAATGCAGCAGTTTGCTCAAACAGGAAGAGGAAAGTCTTCAGAGAAACGGTCAAGAAAACCAGCTAAAAAGAGAAAGGCGACGACTTCCATTGCCATTCACAGTTCAGCCAAGAGACGCAAGCAAAAGAAGCAGAGGACATTTTCGGCTAAATATGGATTTCGTTCATCCAAAATCTGTAGAATGTACCAAAACCGAACTTGATTTATTTGTCAACATATTATTTTGATTTAATGACTGAAGATGATTCAAGATATTGGTAGCTAGAGCAAAAGTAACAAAGCCGATGGTGGGGATATCGATGATGACACTAAAGTTGGACCTGTAAACAATTTCTTGCACAGTTTGTTCAAGCAAGTTGACGTGTTTCTAAAGGAAAGTTAGTTACACAAGCAACAGGAACATATCCATATCGTGCATATCTCGGAACACTTTTAAATTATGGTCCGTCAGCCAAACAATCCCAGCTCACCGCTGCGTTATTTTACAAAGATACTGCAGGTCAGATGGATAATGCAGATCCTGCTCACGCAAGTCCAAACAGGGGTTTGAAGACAAGAAATAAGTTTATCATGGAAGTAAAATTGTTGATATGGCAGGTCCTATCTTTTGCGATGTTTTCTTTGGTGAACGTTACTTACTTAGCTATGTTGATTTGAAAGTGGTCATGAACCGTACCAGTGACGAATTTGTCTTAATGTCATCGGTGGACGGTGCAGCCTTTAGAGTGAAACTGATAGATGCATACCTTAAAGTTCGTAAAGTCAAAGTGAATCCTAGTATATCTCTGGCTCACGAAGTTGCCCTGAAAAAAGGTCCAGCTATTTACCCTGTAAGACGTGTGGACTGTAAAGTTTTATTATTCCTTCTGGAAACCCTTCACTGCAAAAGATAACCTTTTCAATGGTTTAGTGCCTAAATCGTTTGTTTTCGGTCTTGTTGAAAGTGCGTCATTCAACGGAGCTTATAAAAGAACCCATTCAATTTCCAACATTTCAACATTTCGTCGTTAGGCATTTCAATAAATGGTGAATCTGTACCATTTAAACCAATCAATTTGTCCTTTGGTGCGAATCCAAGATTTATAGAAGCATTTCTATCGCAGTTTTCTGGCACTGGGAATATGTATTACGACACAGGCAATGGCATTACGCGTGAAGACTTCCCAAACGGTTTTGCCCTGTTCGGCGCGGACTTTACCCCCGATATGTGCAGTGCATCCGAATATTTTAACGCGGTGCAAAAAGGAAACCTGGCCATTGACTTACAATTCTCGACACCGCCAACTCATGCAGTTAGCCTTGTCTGCTATGGAGAGTTTGAAAATATAATACAAATCGATGGAGAGAGAAATGTCGTTTATGACTACATTGCATGGATAAATGAACACCTCACAAATATGGACCGCTTTGAAATCTGATCCGGTAACAGGAAAAAATTTCTCGGTGTTTTTCCAGCCGACCGTCTGCCTAAAGAAATCGAAAGCTACCCAAAAGGATTTATCGCAAACACGGATGTAAGCGGAAAACCGGGGACCCATTGGGTTGCCTTTTACTTTCCTTCAGAAGAAAAAGCCAAATTCTTCGATAGCTATGGACAACCACCAGGGCGATTTCATAAGTTCTTTAGAGATTATTTGAAACATTATGATTGGGGGTTTAATAAACGTCAATTGCAAAGTATCTGGACGGATGTATGTGGACAATATTGTATATTTTACCTCAGCCATAGAGTGCGAGGATATAGCATGAATAAGATTGTAAACATGTTTGATGGTAATACTGTTGAGAACGATAACAAGGTATCAAGTTTCGTTAGCAGACATTTTCATATAGAAACTAGTGTAACCCTAAACGATAGCATTCAGTCATGTATAAAATTTGTTGTAAAAGCTTGAGCCGTTTATTATCAATAAAATTTTCTTTGTGTAAACTAATTGCCTGTGTTTTCTATTTGCATATTCTAATGATAACAGTCAGGAAATTGATATCAACTGCTCTATTTATTTAAACAAAACAAATCTTTACATGTCAAATTTTAATAGTCTATCCAACGTAAACGAGTCTTCTTTAGTGTAGGGGTGGCTTTAGGTGTTGTCATTTTCGTTCTTCAGCCTCTGTGGTAGGCTATTCCGTCTTCTTCCTCGGGCGAAGTTTCCATTTGAGCTTCTTCCCATCTTACATCGTTCCGAACCAAATCACGAGGAATGTTTATTTTTGATAAAACGCGAAAGAATTCTCTAGAACCTGTAGGATTGAAATTCTTTCTCCCTCTTACGGCGTCGCTAATGAGGTCTGATATATTTGATTGAGGGATAATAACACCGTCAAGTTTGACTTGTCCTGAATCATCCCAAGTTATTATATCTGGATATGTTTTGAGACGCTGCAGTATTGCTGTTGCGCGTTCACGCATCGTCTTCGGCACACTTTGTACAATGACGGAGTCAGCTAATGTACGCACTTCGTTGTTTATTACCGAGTTTCTTTCTTTCCCGTCGGTTGTATCCATCACGCGTACTGTGGGTATCTGAATATCTTTTTGTTTCTTCAAATTAAGGAATTGCTCAAAGTTTGTGTTGAAAAGTTTTTGCCTTTGATCGTCACTTAAACCGTCTTGGTGAAGGATGTACGAGAGTTGAGTATCTTTTTGCATCATGTTCATCGTAATCGGCGAAACTTCAAATTTTTGCTTTTGTTCATATTTATTATAAACGTCTTCAGGTACTAAAATCATTCGCTTGGCATGCTTCATTATTTCAGCAAACTCCCTAGTACGTTCAAAACCGGCGGTAGGAAGGCGCTCAGTAGATTGCCTCCTTTTTGATTTAAAAGTTTTTTCTTTTTAGCTCTTGAAATTCTCTTGTTCGCTAAGGCTCTGAGATGTTTCTTATACCTCAACAAGCGTCGTTTTTGACTCGCAGATATCGGTACAGTTCCTTTTAACACATTAACTGCGCATTCACAAATGCACAACATGACATCAGATGGTCCATGTTCGATGATAACCTTTCGAATTTTCGGCTTAGATTTTGCAAGTACTTGCAGGTACGGAAGATTGCTTCTAATTCGTTTAGACATGATGCTTAAATGATTGTTGATGTCGATGCTTATCACTTATGTACATAGACAATCTGCTTTTCACCGGGCAAGATATTTGTTCGGACACGCATATTGTCAGATGTGAGTTAATGCAAATAGAGCAAAAGATAACCGTAAGGGCGGCATATGGCGTCTTGAAATGACTCCAAAAGGTAATTCGTTTTCTTGGGGTACATTTGCCGTGCCAATGTTGCGATACCTAGCGAATCTCTGGGGTTTTTAAAAATGATCATGTAGTGGGAATTTAAGCTGATTGTTCGGGATTGTTTACCAGGCGGAAATAAATTTTGTGTTAGATACATGACAGATACACCACGGTGATGTGACCCGCGGGTAAATAAATCGGACATTCGTTGATCGCTAGAACATTCTGACATCAAATCGTCAACGACCACTAAAGAGTTTTGACAACCTTCCAGAATATCAAATAAGTTGTCAGGGAATCCTTCGACGAAGCAAATGTTTGGAATTTTTGATTCCATTTCACCAAATTCACTTTGCCGTTCGCCATAACAGTAAATAATCTTATTCGGAACGGGATAAAAAAGTTCGTTTAAGTTATAAAGCATCGACTTAACCAAATAGCTTTTGCCCGACTGCTTTGACCACACATAAAAGTTGGCAGGTGTTCTAAAACGTACGTCCATTGTCTCGCAAATAAAAGCAAACATGCTCTGCTTTCACTTTTATAACCACTCGCTAGTAAACATTTTGACATATTCAAAGAAAAAAGGATTGATTCGACTGGCAGCTTGAATGGGGAGGTATTTGTAAAATAGTGAACAAAGTGCACACATTAAGAATACATTGGACAATGAACAATTTTATTAAATATTTTCTAATTATCTACATCAATCAAACAACAAAAATCTCTTTTGATTACATATGAACACATCATACTTTAGCAGATATTTATGACAGAAAATTTTAAAAGCACTTGAGGGTTTACTTTAAAATCCTCACAAGCATAGGCATGTCTTTAATCGTTCATTCATTTTGTAACTACATTCATAGTTCGCAACATTCATAGTTCAAGAGTTGTTTGTAACTTTTCCAATTTTCCATAATGAATTCCTTGCTGTCTGTATGTTTTTCCTTATGGCTGCGTAAACCCATGGTGAAAATGTGGTTATGTGAAGCGATATCGTATGTTAGATTGTTCTAACATGAATCTGAAGCATGTTCCTGTCGGAACGGTAAAAGATGCACGAATACGGATCTTGTCGTTGAGACGAAACAACATTAAAGCTGTGAATGAACTGGATGTTATTCGTGCATACCCAAGACTTATGTACATTGATTTACGTGAAAACCTCTTGTCCTGTCCTGTCAATTTCGATGTTAAATGTGTTTTTGATCCGTGTCCAGCCCGAAAGAAAGATTTATATTTGTTGTCTGTGAACTCATTTTCGTCTGTGACACCACTTTTTCCGTATACGTCAACCACAAGGAATCGTTTACCTCAGTCATCCGTCAGTTTTTCTCTTCTACCATCGTCGTTGATTACGTCCACCCCGTGTAAATCATCTCACGTTCCGTTGTCCCACCAAAAGTTTTATGTTCGCCCCTCACAGATTTTTTTTTTTAACATGTCAACCTCCATTTCAACCTCATCACCGTCGCTGTTATTATCGTCTACATCTTTGCTGTTGTCGCCGTCAACGCCGTCAATACCTCCACATTCAACGATATCATTCTCAACTTCAAAGTCATCACCTCTGTTGCCGTTATTACCACTGTTACCCACACTATCATCATCAGCAACACCACCGTTTCATTCGCAGCTGTCGTCTTCGTCTTTATCGTTATCACCGTCACTGTCAGAATCAATGGTATCGTCTTCATCGTTCATGTATTTAGTTCCACCAGCGAAAGAAAAAACTGTCAACTTTTATGTGTTGGTTCCTTCTACGACAGTTTCCATATTTGTCTGTATAATGTTGATGTATTGCATGGTTCACAATTGTCGTCGCTGTTTCCCGTCTGTACATACCGATCACATAGAAATGACTGCGTATCGTGTTCAATTATCGTTAGCCTTGTCCAGTGTAGAAATGTATCAAACAACCTCAGTCTAAAAATATGTATATTTGTTTGTTAGTTTACATGTCATTGATTCGAAACTGTTTAACTATTCAACGCTGTTTGATTATATGCATGTCACTTTATTAATTTACCGGTCTCGACTGTATACTTGATTATCAATCTGTCTGTAAAACGAAAGTTCACTGTCGGAGTGATCAATGTCGTTAAGAAACTCCACATCGGATTGTCTTTCGGAAAAGCTTTCTTCGTCTTCAGAGTCGGTTTCCATTAAATCAATCGACTCGCTACATTCACCTTGACCTGTCATACATTCCTTGTAATTTTCTAGTGCGGCTGGATGCACGGATGTGAATAAAATATCATTAGCCACGGCTTCGCGTGCGATCTGACTCATCTGAGGTAAACTGTTGGAAACCAATTATAGCCGTTGGGAATGGTATCGGCACCTCCGTCTATTATTATACGTTTGTCAAAGACAACTTGATATTTCTTAATTTGATTTCTATTTACAAGTTTATGCGACCATTTCTCCCTGACTATTTTACATTCTTCTATTTGTACAGTTGACGGTTTTTCTACATAATTATAAATCATATCTTTTAACGTGTCGAAGTTTAAAAGCAAGCTATTTTTAAAATTCAATGTAAGGCCTCTTATTTTACAGTGTTGCATGCCATTACTAACTGTATAAGCATAATTCTTAGGACCCCCACAGACAAATTCAGTAATGTGTTCGCCTTCACCAATTTCATCGGTCAAATCTCCTAAATAGACTCCTAAAGGAGGCTTTGGAGAATCAGGCTTTGCAACATACACACAACTGTCCGTGTCTACATAAATCGAGCTAGGTCCTAGTAAATCTAACAGACTGTAGAGCTCCAAACGTGCCCATGCAGTTGTAAAAATACCAATAAAAATATTTGTTTTATTTTCTTTTTGAAACTCCCAATCACGCTTGTATACAACATCGACTAAATCGTCATTCAGTAATTGCATGTCGTGAATTTCAGTGTCTGCACTATTTAGTCGTTTGTAAAATACAAGCGGATCGTGAATAAACTCCGTAATTAACATATCATTACGTTGTGCAAATTTACCCCAAAGCGAGTTTAAACAAAGTTTTGCTAGCGCTCTTAACCCTGGATTTTTCACAATTTTTTCCTTACGCAATAGAATCCCTCATGCTTTAGATAGTCGTCGATATATTTTGCCCGGTCTGCGTCTGAGTTTACCCAATCCGGAAAGCCCGAAGCTTCTTGTTTCAACCGCAAAAAGAAATTTACATATTCACTAAATAAACTGTCCGATGTTTCTTCAAAATGCCAAATTTCATGCACCTCCAAAATTTTGTAGCTACAGTTGGTCGTTGTCTACAGTTGGTCGTTGTCATGACCATGAACTGTCATGACCAACAATGTCTACATTCAATTCCAAAATGTAAACCTTTCGATAAAGTATAAGCTATAAAATGCAATCACCTCGTTTTCTACCGCTTTTACCTTCGATTGTGAAAGGGAAACGGATCTAATGTTACTTTGTCAATAACATGCAACTTCCAGCTTTGTCGTATTTCCGATTTTCACGCCATCGAATGCCATGCCATGTTTATTAACCCCTATTTCCGGTTGACATGCGCGCGCACCGATCAACTTCAGGGAACTGGAAACTAACTGGCACGGGTAAGAGCCATTGAGTTCTATAAGACCTGGAGGGGAAACGTCAACCAAATTACTATAAATTATTAGCGCGCGGCCGCGTGGTCAAAAACATGGCGGATTTTGGTTGTCAAAGTCAGCGGAAAGACGCGGGCTCATAAAATGAAATTTTTTTCGCCCACCCGGATTTGACAACCACAATTGCGATTATATAAAATATCAATGCCAAGCACAAAAACTTTACAAATTTTATCTTTAAAACATGCTGCACACTTGTTTGGTATACGGATGCTGAAGAAATGCTAGAAAAGGAAACATTTCATGACACCGGTAAGCAACGTAAAATTGTTTACTATTTAAAGTGTTCAGTGTTTTGTTGTAAGTCAATACTTGAAGTGTGATGGTATATATTTTGTGAATGTTATTCCTAAGTTATAATTTAAGTTATGTTTATCCAGTCTTATTTGTTCTTTACTTAATCGCTTGCTAGACGAGGCAAAGCAACCAGTTCTTATCGAGATATGCATATCTTAAAACTCCTTGTTTCAACTGAGTTGAAATGGAGGATTTTTTCATGATAGAGCTGTATTGAAATCAAATGCAGAGCAGGATTAATTAATGAGCTCTATGGTACATGTCTTACAATAAAAAATACCTGTATTAAACAGCTAGCCTGAACAATTTGAAGGATTATGGACAATCATGATGATGGTGTGTAAAGGTTTGCTTTATGCTAACAGTTTTAAATGCCATCTGGTGTCTCTGTAAATGAATTGCTTGTTATAGAAAACAGGTTAGTACATCAAAACCAAGATAAAAACTACTTTGTTCAATAGTGTGCCAAATTATGCTCCTTTCTTGAAATTTTTGCTCAAGAAAAGCTTATAATGAAATGCATGAAACATTAAGTATAGTACTGCATCATCTGACAAAATCCATACGTTTTTCAATTCCAGGTGATTAAAAATTCACATAAGATGCATTGGTTGCAATGAAGTTGAATGTGGAAGAAGCAAAAATTGATGGCAAAGAACTTTTTATGTCTTTTGAAGAATTACGATATCATTTAAAAGAATAAGAGTAGCAATCTAGTAAAAAAAGCCACATCTGCCTTCAACATGAGACTTTTCCAATTATGTATAGTTACTTTGTACAAAATACTATTTTAGATAAACTTGATTTTTAAGTCATTTACTGATATTTTTACCAAAAGACAAAAAGAAAAATTCAAAGGCATAATGTAAAATTCAAAAATTTGTCAAGTTGTTTGAACCTAGAAAAAATTAGTACAGGTAACTATAATTTGTAAGGACACAGGAGAAAAGTAGTGCAAGAAGGTTAGTATTTTTGAGAATTAATACGTTCTTCTTGACATACATTACACAAGGCCATAATATTATAAATAATGACTGTACATTAACAATTATACAACCTGCTAAATATCTTCATCTACATTAAAATTATTTAAACAGGTTTGCCTTCATGCAGCAATAAGAAAAGTGTTATGTCAGAGAAACCAATGCACTTTAATTTAAGAAATCATATTTTCAATGGTAAATTAATGTAGTTCTGTTCAGTAGTAGATCCATGGTTGTCAATGACAATCCAGTTTCTTATATCTTGGCTCAAAACAGAACCAGCAACATGATTATAGAATTTCTGAATTTCGATCTTTTGCTCTCCTAGTTCAAGATATTTTCTTCATAAGTTCTCAGTAGTTTTATCAGAATATCATCATACCTTATAAGACACCCAGAATCAATCCTACCAAAAAAAAACTCAAAAAAATTACATACCTACTTATAATATATTTCCAGTCGACTTAAGTCGTAGGGGTAAGCTAACTTTTTCTAACTCCTTTTTGGACATTTTAACTAAGATTTACCCATCTATTCAAGAAAGACAGTTGCACGAAGCTGTTAAAAAATAGTCAAAAGCACAAGTATTCCGATTATGCATTAAAGCTTAACGACACATTGACAGTGTAAAGAATGTCGTTTGATATTTATTTTCAACATAGCTAAAGCATTACTTGACAAAATATACGTTATTTTACAGTAGATTTACCTCATTTAAATGTGTGTGTCTATTTCACAAAAACCTGAAGCATTATTTTCAATATTTTATGCTTACGGTATCGTGGTTGTTTTTGCTGGTTGTCATTGATATAAGCAGTAATAGAGTTCCGGATTCGGGAGGGAGCGAATGTTAAAAATTTTCCTCAAAGTGGAAGTTTTGACAACCAAAATCCGCCATTACCGCCATGTTTTTGACCACGGGGTCCAGGCCCCTTTGCCCCTCCAGGTCTTTTAGAACTCAATGGTAAGAGCTCTGTGACAAAAGTGTGACAAGGCTGCACCTTATCTACTAAGGAGGGCTTGCTTCAGTTGTGAAGGTAACTTTTTATTACATACATCGTTTAAATAGACGGTAATTTGGTCATGTGAAAGAAATTTTGCGCGTGATTTGGAAATGCTTTATATACGCTTAGGTACATAATAAATTGACGGCTGTCTCTATGCGATCAAAAGAATTTATTTGAATCTGAAAAGTGCTATCTTAAAACGCAAAATTGGTCGAGAAGAGAAGTTCCTTTCTAGATTGAATCATGATAATATTGTAAGATAAAAAGAAAATTTCTATCCAAAATGAATCAAAATTTTATAACATAAGGGTTGAAAGCGAGAATCAATTTAGACGATACAAATTGCATGGCTTGTTAAATGTTATCTTTGTAGAAACTATTATAAAAACGTAGATAATCCCTTTTTATCATGAAGCCCATGGATACTTTTGCTCATGATGATAGATTTATATTGTATAAGGATGCTCTCGTTCGTCACGAGAGACTTATGAGAAAGCTACATAGTAAAAGGTAACATGTAAAAAACTTATAAGCATGTTTAGAGTTGGTTGAATTATAAGTCAAAGAGGTAGAAGTATTTCGATTCTTTGCAGTATCCTTGGATGTTCTAGTTTCTTATATAAAGATAAACAAAAAGATAAAATTCAAAAGCAAAAAACCCCGTTCGTTAGAGCATGCGCAGCTGATTTCTCTATTAAGTTGTTCATAAGCATGCTATTTACTTCAAAATCAGTGCTAGTAGATGCAGTTGGTCGTTGTCATGACCATGAACTTGTGCAGCTAACCAATTCGACAGCGCATGCTCAAGGAGACTGCGCGTGCGCAGATGATTTTTCTGAAAATTTGTGACTGTGCAAGCTAACTACTCTATATAATAGGCATTTGTTTTTAGCATGCTAGTTGTCTTCTTAAACTTGTTTTCATTTTTCTCCGTAATTTTGTATCTGCATGTTTTGTGCTTAGACGATGCTCTATTCATGAGAGATGTTATAATTCGTTGATTGATGTAGAAGAAATAATTGAAAATGAAACTTCCAACAGTGAAACAAAATCAAGCATGACAGAGGAGAAAAAATGACGCCAGATTGAAGATGACGTGATGAAATTGAACGTAGTTGAAGCACCTAGCGTACCCTCGAGAGTTTTGGATGAGGGCTCGTGGACCAATGGAAACATGAATGATTCCAAACATGTTGACGACGATAAAAGCTCTAGCGAGGACGAGGCTCCAATACAAAAACAATCTATTAATAACACCGAGTCTTCTGAAGATATGTTCAAACGAAATATCGCTGCATCACATATACAGTTTGGAAGCTCTTTGGCTCACGTAGTATATAGTAGTGGGAACTCTTCATGATGTTGCTGAAGATACGTAAAATTAGTTACCAGCGTCTTTACTTTAGGACAAGGCATCTGATTTGAAAGGGAAGAGGAAGCACTCGCCACAAAGGTTTGCCAGAAGATTGAAAGTTTACTTTGCAAACCCTTGTTATATACAGATGAAGTATTGTGTGAAGAGAACTCTAAGAAATGTTATTGACAAGGGATAGTACAAGGACCAACAGAGAATGTAGCGACTTCTCCGCGAGATTGTAGAAGAATAAGTTCACGTTCATTCACAGGTAGATACTTTCGATTATTTTATGTGTTAACTGTATGTATGTGTAACTAAACATGAAAAAAATGTGAACAATTATCGTTTAGCTCAATAAATATATATGAAGACTTATTAATTGCTGTTTTTCTCTCATTTTTGCCAATAAAACAGGGTATGATTCTTCACATTTTTTAGGTGTTTTCTTCAAAATGTCAACTAATGTCAAGAAAAAAGAGGTTGATGACTTCAGCAGCAGTCTACTCAAGCATACAGATTTGTTCTTTGAGCAGGTTTTTCAATTGTTGCAAACCTTACAGGAGTAACATCCTAACCATGTTAAAGGAAGTGGGTAAATTAGCAATATCGTTACCAATTTCACATTTAGGCGTAGCATTTACACGTATTAAAAACTGGAGAATTTATTTGGCTTCATCACCGATATCAAGCAGCACCGGGGGCTTAAGCTGCAAAATTTCATCAAGGTTATCTCGAAAATAACAACTGCTTGATATTCATTAATATCTGGGTTTTATTATACGCAGTTTCCAGGATAGAGAAGCTTGCATTATTTCTAATATTTTTTCAGCATATTTCACAGAATAGATATCTTAACAGAAGGTCCACTCGTGTCGAATCCTTTGATGTTCGTGTCCCCCAATTTTCTGAAGCAAATTCTAAAGCAGACATACCTTCCAGCAAGATACTTCCGCTAGATCGCAATAGAAAATATAGTTTTTTTTACAAATATATCGTTTTACAAAACAACAGCTTGGAACTTTATCTCCTTCCACAGATGATAACTATTTGTAAAAATTTCGGCAAACTTTTCCTTCCAACGTGAATTATTAGTAAAATATCATTCTCGTGGAATACTATTCCATATTGATTTTGTGAAAGTATCTTGCTGGGAAGTCGCGCATGCGTAATGAAAAAATGCGCCACGATTTTAGCCGAGTGGGCCTTCTGTTAGATGTCTATTCTGTGATAGTAGTTCAAAATGTTCGATTAGAAGCCACTGTTTTAATTTTTCAAAGTCATTAACGCTTTTCAAAACTTTTATAGTTTGTGCGCAACCTTTCCCCGGGGAGTGAGAGAACAATAGAACGCTCGACATGTTGGATGACATTTGCATTGTAAATAAGGAAACTCCTTTGTTAAAATCCTCCGATATCGCGGCCATGACGTAGCTTGCACCCCAATAATTACTTTTTTCACTACGCCCTGTATTCTTGACTTGACATTCAGGCATGTTAAAGTTTGAAAAATCTCAAGAGCAAGGTTGCAAGAAGTCTTATGCAGAAGGAATCTCTGAACAATTATAACTTCCCAATCGACCAAAAATCACGGTGAAAAATATGACATCGTGACAAATATATTTTAATAGAAAGTATATTATGTCAACACTCTGTGTATATCTGCAAGTATTCTTTTATTTTGAATGTGCTGCTAAAGGTACAGAAAGCTGATTTTTTTACCAAATACCCAGATAACAGGTTAATTTTGTGGTCCATTAAGGTTTGTAAGAGTCATAAATTTCCTTGCTTTATTGATACACGCTGTACAACAAACTATACTCGCGCACAATACATGAACACAAAAACAGCATACAGGCACATCAGCGCACCATTTGTCATGAGTCGTGACCACAAAGTATAGATGATGTATGAGCAAAAAACTACAACATGAATACAAATTATACGGCCTATTTTTATTTATAGTTATATACTTACACCATATATCATCTACAGATTTATACATCTCTTGAACACTGGGACATTCAGATTGCAAAAATATTACGATGAGGAAAATATTGCATCGTGGAATCAGTATCAGCAGATACAACATGATGACGCTCTCCCCATCTTTGTACAAAATGTTTAAAGTAAAAAAACAAGAGAGCAACATATTCAACTGACTTCGATTTTGTCATCAAGACGACAATGAGCATTTGTTGATGCGTTACAGACCCAGGACATTCTTTTACCTTTGTTTTTACTATGAGTTCATCGTTTCTATGTCTTTTGGAGATAGCTAAAAAGTGATGCATGTATGAATCAGAACATTTCTTCGTCAAACGCAAAGTTGAGAGAACGTATTGCACGCAAAGTACGCGCCATAGATAATTTAACTTCAAAAACTATATGGTCGCATGTCTAACTGATCGAAAAGAATTTGCAAAATGCAGGCAGAATGTTGCAAAATCTTTCAATTTAGTGCTATGTTACGTCATTTTCATTGCCATGCACTGGCCTATAACCACGAGTTGTGCTAAATTACTTTACGTTTTATATTTTATCCTATAAAACATGTGGTCTAATGATGGAGCACACTGGTATAACATTGAGGGATGTTTTATCAGAGTGTTCAAATTATTTTAAGAGCTCTAGGTGTTCAATTTTCTACAATAGTTTGAATAAATGGTTATCGCCAGTACATGCGCCTGTAACATACCATTACATGTTGCAGAAACGTATAATATAGACATTTCCAAAGTTGCCATTGGCTAGTATTCTGGTTGTTGCATGGTAATGCATGCAGCAGCATGGATGTTTTTTCAAATCATCAAAGTTTACCAGAACATCAAATTATACCACTAACCTCACAACTTTCTTAGATTTTTCAATTAACACATCACGTGCAAACACTGGTTTAGCATGAAGTGAGGGATGAATTTAAACTGAAGCTAGTGGACAATTTCTTGTAATTGTTGGGATAAATTTTCAGTCAACAATTTTTAAACATATTTACAGAGTGGTGCTGCTGAAAAGGTGTCCAAAACGTGTGAGGTATTTTTCTCTTTTCGTTTTTCCGCAAAAACGGTATGTTGTCTTCTATTTTCATTCATTTTTCAGACAAACCGACAAAAGCACCGATAGCAAGGAGCAAGTTACTAACCTTTATTTTTTTTTCTTCAGTTGGCAAGATGACTGCGAAAAAAGAGCGAAGTTACTCATATCCTTGCTCCATTTTTTCTTCAATGATCTTTTGTTCGCGTTTTCAGTATAGATTCCAAAAAGATAGCGATACAGAAGGACCAGATATCTTAAGAAAGATAGAAACACCAAAGGACCCGATATCTTAAGTAAGTGTCTTTGAGTACTTTTTTATCGTAATACCTTCTTTGATTTATGATTTGAGTCTCTGACTTCGGCTTGCCAGTGTTTGCAGATGAGCCTTAGGAACTGTTGTGTTATAGATTGGAAAATGAACGTTCAAATATAATACTGATAAAAATGGGACATGATGGAAGCATGTTTACATTTGCAGTATGTTTATTATGACTTAACTACGGAATTTTCTTCATCTTCTAATTTGAAAAAAACTTATTCAAAAACGAGCGCTTCTTCCTTTAAAGTCAGCACACAATAAGTAGGCTGGGACTAAACAACAATTATTATATTAGCAAAGCTTAAATTACTATTTGTCAAGGTTTATTTTAAGCAAGACTTTTATTGAACTCAATATAAGACTCGACGACATTTTAGATTAAAGATGCAAGATCTCATTTTATGGTATCGAAAATTGCTTTTGATCGTTAAAAGTTCGAAACTAAGAATGGAGCTTGGATGTGTGCTTGTGGCTTGCATTTCCAATTAAATTAGAGAGTTCCCTCGCTCTCTGATTTGAAAGAAAATATCAACCATTTGTAAAGACATTCCAAAGTAGACTTCTGCCACCTATTTTGGATTGTCAAAAACGAGATTTCAAATAAATGATGTTTCCAAAGCTTTTTCGATACCATCAAATTAGATCATGCAAATACCGAATTCCAAGCATGATTAACCATTGAAAGTGAAAGTCTAGGTTGGTGGGAAATGGACATAAAAGCCCACGGTTTGTGTCAAAATAAAGCCTCGTTTGCATACTCAAAAGTCTTTATCATTCTAAACATCCATGTGAAGTAGTTAATTATAAGTTACACCGAATGATTATTATTGAACTGTCATGTAAAACGTCGACATCCCGTGACATCCTGTAAATGATAGTCAATATGTATTATAAGTTGATGTTCTATGTCCGTCAAAGCTTCTGTCTTTTGTCCACTTTGATAAAGTTGAAGTCTAGCTTTGTCTGTCACCAATCTGGTAATACTCAGATATGAACTAGCTTAAACTGAAATTGAAACAAATGTATTATAATCATAAAAACAGCTGTATATAAATAAAATAAAAAAGTATGTAAATTGTGTAATTAATCATTTTCTTTTAGAAATGCGAGGGAAAAAATACTTTAAATTCTCGCTTAAACACGTTTAATTTGAATTTCGTTCTAGTATGAGCAGTGTTTCATGTATCTTTATTCATATTTTCTTGGTTAACTCAAATCATCAGAAAAACATATCCATGCATGTTGCTGTAGAAACACACTACACCATATTTCATTTTGTAGTAAAAACTACTTGATGGCGGGTCAGGGGATTTGATCACCACGCAAAAAGAAGCTGGAACATGCTGAAATTCTTACACAATTTTGTCTTCGGGGTCGCAGCCGGCCAGCCTTGCAAGTTTATAGTCGTGCTATGTAAATTTCAGATCATTAGCGTATTTATTACTTTAGAAATTAACCTATTGTTTTTGCAGGGAATAGACTAAAAATATTTCCATCGCACGACAATACTTGCAGGCTTGTCATCACAATGCTGTTTGACTGCAAGTGTTTTTTACGAGATTGTGGGGCTTTTTCTTCCCTGTGGGGCTTTTTCTTCCGAGGTCTCTCCCGGTTCTACCTTGTGTTAAGAGAGTTGCAAACAACTACAATTTGTGATCGTGAAAATGAAAATACAGAGTGATTTATCTTCCCACCATATTGATATATGAAAGCAAACAGCGAGAACAACTTATGTTGATTTCATGCTCTGTTAATTGTTAAAGTGATGACCTACCAAATACCAAGATGGCTGCTTTGACGTCACCCAAGTAACACCGTCAAGTCCGACAAATGACATTGAATATAGCACACACATATGACACAGTACACTATTTATTAGAAAGAACTTTAAACTTCTGATTGGATAATAAGCATACGTAAAAAGTTCAGGTCATGAGATATGACTTCATGCAAATTTTGCGACCATTGCGACTGATAAATAGTCGTATCCCATGTTATGACGTCACAATAGCTATGACGACACAATATGGCTTCTTCAAATAAACTAGATATTGATGTTAATTCAATTAACGATTAATTCCTATTTTTACATATTGCAAGACGCCATCGTACATTTTTAACAAGGTTTGTCAACACCATAATTTCATAATGTTCACCAATGGCCTGATTTCTGGTGAAGGCAGTAGAAAATTTTTATTGACTGTTGGGACGAATCCTGTGCTACATACACAGAAGTTCATAACAATTTCATGGAGAATTTCGAAATATTCGAAATGTGGAGGAACGAAGTGGAAGCATTGTCTGTAAAATAACAGTAAATAAGCAGTTTTTCTTTCACATGGCGAATAAAGAAGGTAAAGGATAACTGTATTTTTTTTTTGTTTGATTTCGTCGATCGTTGCTGGGCTTTTGTGAAAATGTCATCTTATTTATCTTTAGGGTCGTGGCGATCCTACAAGCTGCTGTTGTCCGTGGTTGAGTCCGCTATAGTACAAAAAAGACCCGAAGCTTATTACGACCTTGATGGGATTTTGAAAAGATTTAAATCGGAACTTCTGTCCCCTCTGAGAAATCCGGTGAAAATTTTATTGGCATAAATATAGTGTAGTCATTTAGGAGGTTCTTGCCTGCCTGGTTTACTAATGCAGTGTGCATCATTGAATGTAACAATGCGACGTTTCATTCAAAACTTATAACTGTAAAATCTCATGTTTTTGTCAGGTCAAAAATGCTTCTCATCGTGCACAAGTACAACAGGCAGCAACAGTTGGTATTTCAATTGGCAATAATGGGGAGCAACAGAAGTTTCCTTCGAAGTTTGTCGATGAGGCATTGTTGCTCAGTGACATTTTAAATCTGAACGAGCTCGTTGCTGTAGAATTACTCTTAGTAAGTGAGCAACAAAAAGCCAATTTTCCTGGTCAGAGCAGAGGTGAGTATGATGTTCTCTGCTGCGTCAAGTTCGTATTTCGTACAATGCCATGGTTGAAACAAATTAAAGTTTTTTGCATTGTTAAGATGACTTCCATTGAGTTGATTAGTTTCATCTTTACAGGCTTAGTGGCTGTATTGCTTTACCATGATGGAAGGCGCTGTCTTTTGTCTGCCATTCGCACACTCCTTCAAGCTCGTGAAGGTTTAACTTGGACTTTGGAATTGGATGTTGAAATATCTGATCTGATAAGATCAATCACGAAGCAAATGCTTGATGAAGGTATTAAACTCTTAGTAAGAACCAGGAGTTAATGATATTGTATGTCAAAGTTTTAGACTCTTTTGAGCCTATAGTAAATTAGTAATTGCTTTTAAAGTGAATTGTTTCAATCTGAGAGTATATTGCAGATGTAGATTGTCCTTGTGAGTAGAGTTCCCAGAAGGACCATAGATGTTGATGTGACGGATGTTTTGACTACTTTAGTGCAAATCATCTTCAGATTCAAGGCAAATATGAATATAGTAAAGGTTTAAGTGGATTATCGAAACATCAGTCAACATCAACAGCAACAACCATGACCAGCAGACAATTTAAAGAAATATAGTATAAAGCAAATTCCGAAGAAGCAAGCCATCTTGAGATTGCATTCTGTCTGAGTATGACTTTGAAATAAAGTGAAAAATTTACAGTTCACTTCTTGTCTTGTTTTGATGCATATTTTGCAATCTCAAGATGTCTTGCTTTTTTTGAATTTGCTTTATACGATATCAACATCAACAGTCCTGGAGGATCTATATTTACAAACATGTAGTAATTGGTATTTTGTTCGAGTCACTGGTTACGGGACCATGCTTGTTGTTGTTCTTTTGATAAACCTTTTTCAATTTGCTCAATATTTCATTGTAGAACTTGTCACAAAATTACTGGATCAACTTGCCAAACTCAATCTTCGAAGTGAGCTGAAAAAACTCCAAGAAGGTCAAGCTATTGGCAACGAGAAGCATCAACGACAGTTGATCGATCTTTTGACAGAACAACGCCTGCTTCTTGCTGAGTCAATATTTTGTATTGCATGTCAATCACCACTCAATAAAGCTGATACTGTAAAGATCCTTAAATATTTGCAAACTGTCCGTCCTGATGAAGAGACAGGAGAGATGGATCAAGCTGACGTCATTTTGTTTTTTGCTCTGATCTACGCCCTCAATGTGAGCAGTTTGGAAAGTCAATTAGAGCTTCCTGCAGATCATGGTAAATTTTACGCACAATTTTGAAATCTTAGTTACGTTTTATGTGAAGTGGCAATTGTAGCTGGCAAATCACTTGTGAATTTGTGGAGTATCTTTGAAATGTAGCCAATTTCATTAGGTTTTCTGATATTAAACTGGAGAAAACTGCCTACCTTTTAGTAGCGGCCGATACCTTTTAAGCCCGATCCGCACTTTCGACGTAAGCATAAGCACAATATTATGAAAACTTTCCGTTCTTTTCATGTTTATGCTTATGCAAAGTACACTTCTGATCCTTTTTTATATATGTTTATGTTGCAAGTGAAGAACAGGCTTTACTTAAATGGTTGCGTGAAAGGTCTGGGACCAAACGCAGATACTTTAGACACCAAGTGGTGGTATTTTAAAATTGATATGAAAGATTAGTACAATGTTAGTATGCCCGATTGCTCGATTTTCATTTCGAGATAAGCCTTAGCCTCGTTCTGATGTTCAAGAAATAATGGGAAGATTTCCGAATCTTGTGATATTTCTACCTCTTAGATTCTTACTGTTTATTGACTTTCGTTGTTTTCATTAGTTGCAGATAATCTGCTGCCAATCTTACAAGATGCCGAGTTTCTTCCCGCCATCCACCAGGAAGTGTCGGATTCCGAGAAATGGTCGTGGATTCAACTTTGTTCTGCTGTCCAGTTTGCTTGGGGGCTCACTTTGCGGCTGTGCGGTCAGTATGCCGGCGAGTTGGTGGTCGAGGTGGACATTTTGGCCGAAGACGATGGCATCGTTACAACGGCGATTTTGAACGATGCTTTTGAGTTTTTCAAGAAGTTTATCGTTGGCTCCAGAGGTTTCTACGAAGAGGTTAGAACATTTCCGATATTTTCGAAATAAATTATACCTGCACAATTTTAAATTCAAAATATGTACCAAAAAATGTAGCTACTATTGGTTATGAATTCTGTTTAAATAAAATTTTGCCAATGGATATGGCTTTAAGGTATTTGGAAATGTAAATAAATCTAGAAATGAGCTGCAGTTATTTTGACGTACCCTAGATCCGCTACAGGAACATTTAGTACTCTTTATATGCACGCTGCAGTTTCCATTCTTACGAGAAAATAATTTTGTGGATAAACTAAACCTTTCTACTTTTCTCCCGTTTTTTTCCTTCTTTTTAGGAATATTTTGTGAGGAGGCTTCATCTACTAATTACAGATTTCATTGTCAACATGCCATTAAAGGTGACACGTCTTAAGAAAGAGTTTAACGCCCGTATTCTAAAAGCTCGCTCGCACTCACCAAGTGCGTTAGGAAAATTGCTTTTTCACTAATCAATGAAAAAGCCATTTCTCCATTAAGGGCAAGATTCTTGCTTAACTGTTCTAAAGCAAGCGATCAATTGTGTGGAAATCTCGTCTTCGAATAATTATAGTAAATAATTAAATAATTATAATAATTATAGTGAGCTTCAAGATTACGGATTTTGGTGTTTAAGTTAAGGGATATTGCTAATTGCGACGAAGCTCTAACCTTGAATCATAAATTACCATGATTAAACATTCAAATTCAACTAGTTGAAAAGACGAGATTTATCTTCGAAATAATACGCTTTTAATCCACTAGTCATCTACTTTGTAGTAAACTATTTTCGTTTTCTCCAACTCGTAAAAACTATAGGTGAAAGAATTGCGTACCCTTGGAGACGAGGCTGCCCGCATATTGCATGCCTGTGCTCAAGAGGGTGTCGCACCACCGGTTGGTCAGCGGCAGGACTTTGAAAATTTCATGAACTTGGTACAAGGACTTTCATTTGTTTGGCTTTCAGGCAGAATTTTGCTGCGTTGCAAAACATAATGTATCTGATTTTTTTTCAAAGATAAGTGATCTGTACAAGAACGATCCCCTTGGTCTGGAGCTCGCTGAAGATTTTTGGATACCGCTTGATAGCGAGGGATATTCATCAGCATTAGGAGATAGACATCAAAACGCAATGCCCAAACAGGTATGGTTTTAACGCTGTTAACAGATTTTTTTCGTTTAACAGAAATTTCAATATCCCACACAACATTTGTCAAAATAAAACACAGCATTTTATGTACATAATGTTTATTGCATCTGCAACTTACCAACGCCATCGGCTCTCGTAGCTCCTTATCAGAATTGACTAGTCTAGTGGATGGATGGTAGCAAATTTTTGGTCATAAAAAACTTATCTGTTTTCTGGAACGACTGATTTCATTTCTAAACTGTCCATAATGAAATTCACTGCATCAAGGGTGTTTTAGTATTGTTTATATTGCTTCAAACACCCTTGATGCATTGAATTTCATGTTTACATTCATATAAAATCAGTCGACATTTCTTTGAAATGCTTCAAAGTTTCATGTTAACGCTGAGTCGAGTAGCACTTTTAACAAGTAACGATGAAACGTTTTTCTTTAGTTGTCTTATTTGCTGTACATGTTTTCAGATTGTTTTGTGTAACTTCATTCGTGTCGCCGGTGACTTACTTCCCGCGAATCTGTTCGTCCCCTATCTTGGCATGTTAACTGGCCTCGCCGGTAGTAAACATTCGGCGCGTCGATGCTTCTTCTTACTCAAAACAAACGGCTTGAATGCCGCTGGCACAGTTAACGCCGTCTCATGGGACCATTTTTTCGACTCACTCAAACGATATTACATTGATCTGCGGCAAGAGAATATAGGTGAGGAGGTGTTGATTTTTGTAATCGTCATATCGCATCTTTCTCGTCTGTGGTTATCGGTAAAAGTTTTGTTTGGCAAAAACTATAAAAAACATTGTTTAGGAAAATTTGAGAGTTGGATTCTTATTGTAATATATGTTCTCAGTTTTATTAAATCAGTTTGTCTTTAGTTTTCGAGTCAAGAATTTTTAGTACCGATTGCCAGTCTTTCTTATAAACACGCACTAGGAGTTCTTTAATTGAGAGAAATAATAAGATGCTGAAATCTAGTGTTGTCTATCTTTCAAGGCTTACATCCAGGAAATTATCAAGTCCAGTTTTCGCCAATGAGCATAACTGCTGAAGAACAAATTGGACTGGAGGCTGTTTTACGATTAACGGCAACCGTCGCTAAAATGGTGTGTTATTTTCTGTCACGTGATTATGGACTTGTTTACACAATTTTCGAATGTATATTATAATTCCTACTGCGCATGTGTCGCTGGTCGGTGGCGATGCACTTTAAGTGCAGCGCATTTATTCCAAATGAAATCCCAAAGTCGACGTCCAAACACTGTCTTTTAACATTCTCCAACATACTGTTTGCCTCCGTCTCCGCCATTCCATCTCCTTCAGTTTTTTTTGAGTGAGCAATCAATACATGTTGTTCTTCAGGATGAAACTGCACGAATTGCATTATGCGAAAATCCATCATGGGTGCCTCTCACCTCGATGTTCGGCTTACTGGGGTGCTCAATTCCCACGTCTTTGAAAGCGTGTATTCTGGAAACTCTTGCTGCGTTCGCTATGTCTCAGGAAACTACAGCGTCAATGTGGCAGTCGTTGGAAACCTCACAGGTCAACAGTCTTTTCCGAAAATATCTCTGGCACATTTGTTTCAAACTGTATAAAAAATGTAAAATGTTAAGTTGATTGATGTTTCTTGAAAAAATTTCATCAATTGAACATCATTTAGATCTAATTTGTCGATTGAAACTGCTGTTGTTGTAGTATGAAATATCAATTTTATTTTCAGATTCTACAAACCGTCAAACCTGCTGGACAGGCTTTACAGGAAAGTGGACTGTTGGTATGTGTCGAATGAATGTCTTTTTGGCCTTTAGTGAGTAACCGTAGGAAACCAGGTCGAGAATTTCGACAGTGTCAGAGTTCCGGCATACATCTGTATTCTCGAAAAATTCCATTGCGTAATTTCCTCCAACATTTTCATTGCTTTCAGGCTGAGTTGGAGGAGATCGAATCGCGTAATGAAACTTACCCAGAGACGCGAGCTTTTATGACACTACTTGCAAATTTGACCGCATACCCGGTCCCTGCAAACCTCGGCGCAGGGTATCGAGTTCCGGGCTTTGAGCCTTATCTTGAGTTTTTGCGCGACTCCGTGTTGTTGAAATTTAAGGCGAGAGCGTACCTGGATCCCAACGAGAAGGTAGATAAGTTATATATATTTGTGAAAATAGGGTTCATGTTAGATTTTTGTTAAAACATCAAAAATTATCTTCACGTTATTTAATCTGGCTGCACGATATCATACCTGCAAATATCAGAAATTGTTACACAATGAAGGTGCAATTTCGATTGTGATTGACTAGCAGCCAACAGATAATTCTTAACGTTTTGCCACCTACAAAACATTGAAAATCATATGTAGGTGTTTTATTGTGACAATTGACGACATAAAAAGCATCATGTCGGCATCTTTCTCGTGATTATTAAGCGTTTTACAAACTGTTTTCGCTCGAATTATTGAGAATAAAGACTTATAAAAACACGGAACGGTCAAGAGAGTTTTCAACTACTATATTTACGGAAAAGACGAAGTCAAACGGTTTAAACTGTCAGTCAAGAGAGTTTTCAACAACTATATTTACGGAAAAAGACGAAGTCAAACGGTTTAAAGTGTCAGTCAAGAGAGTTTTCAACAACTATATTTACGGAAAAAGACGAAGTCAAACGGTTTAGACTGTCAGTCAAGAGAGTTTTCAACAACTATATTTACGGAAAAAGACGAAGTCAAACGGTTTAAAGTGTCAGTCAAGAGAGTTTTCAACAACTATATTTACGGAAAAAGACGAAGTCAAACGGTTTAGACTGTCAGTCAAGAGAGTTTTCAACAACTATATTTACGGGAAAAAGACGAAGTCAAACGGTTTAAACTGTCAGTCAAGAAAGTTTTCAACAACTATATTTACGGAAAAAGACGAAGTCAAACGGTTTAAAGTGTCAGTCAAGAGAGTTTTCAACAACTATATTTACGGAAAAAGACGAAGTCAAACGGTTTAAAGTGTCAGTCAAGAGAGTTTTCAACTACTATATTTACGGAAAAAGACGAAGTCAAATCGCTAAAATTAATTATATGTCGAAGCGCGGAATATTTATGTCTTCCTTTCAAAATAATTTGAAAGCTTCTGCATTTTTTACTGTAAGATAAAACAATCAAAGGGTGAGGTTGAGCATGATATCAACAATTTTTCAGACCGAGGTCAAGCATTGCCTCGGCAGATGACGTTCAACATTAACCTCGCTCTGAATAATCGTTGATATCATACTCAGCTTCATCAAACAATTGTTGATTTTTGAATGTTTCAGTGGCAAGTAGCAAGTGGCGTTTTACAAATCTTCGTCAAATTGCTTGAGCAGTTCGAACCCAGTGCGGAGAGCATGTCCGAGGAGCTTATAGAGATCAGTAGCCGCGAACGAATAACGACTGCAAAGACAGCTGGGTACACCTTAATGGTCCATATGTTAAATGAGACCCCGATGCTTAAAATGGTATGATTTTGTTTGCATTGTTTGGATGCGAGGTAAAGCTTGAAAGAGATTTTGGTCTTTTCTGTTTTCGCAGACCTAAAAGCAACGGATTTTTTCTGAAAAGAGATAATTTGTTTTAGTAAACGACAAAGCTTCTACAAATTTCATTTATTTGAAATGGTCCGAAAAAATTTGTAATAAAAGGAAAATGCCTAAGAAACTAATAATTTCATATGTAACATCTAGCTTCTCGATTCCACCGCGCGAATTCAGCTTTCATGCGCAAGGAACCCTTGACAAAGCTTAGCTGCTTTTGTAGGTTCTTTCTATTGTAAACGAGGCTTCTGAACTACTGGAACAGATAACTGCATTTAAAGGTATGCTGTCATGTGTATTCTTTCATCCACGACAAGACATTGGTAGCTTTTGTCTATTTAACTCAATTGTGTTATGATGAAAAACGTTCTTACTTTCCCAAGTAATGTTTTTGTTGTTTTATAAATTTATAAAATAACAATGATAAAACGCGTACGCTCATTGGTCTGTAGCTGAGTTCGCATTATCCTGTGCAAGCCGATCTGAGCTCAACCAATCAAATCAATCAAAGAGAATTAGCAAATCAATCATGTTAGGGGGGAAATTAAAGCATCTGTTTCGCATTAATGTTATTTTGTAAAAGAAATAAAAGATGCTTTTCGTGCTTGCAATTACTCATGCAAGCCTCAGAGCCGTTTGTGAGAACTCTCTAGCAGCTGCAATCTGCTCTCGAGTTTTCCCAAAGGTCTCCTCGGTTTGCATAAGACTGTGCAAACACAGTAAACATCTTTTATTTCTTATATGATATTAATCTTTGTTGCCCTTATCGTTTATGCGGACTTCGTTTGCATGGCTTTCACCGGGACTTTCATCTAATCATTGTACCTTGCGTAGAACGTGTGCGGTCATGAAGCCTACATCATTTGGAAACTTCGTAAAGTTTGATTTTTATCTCATAATATTCCTACTAAAGAACCTCTATGACCATTACTGAGTGCCTCAGTCTGTTATACGTTCCAAATCTATATAGTTACTTTTTCTTTAACTAGGCAAAAAAGAAGACATTGAGATGAGCGCTCTGCTTTCCTTGAAATTGGTGGAAATTACAATGGAAAAGCAACAAGAGTTCACTAACTGCCTACGTCAACAGAATTCTTCTGTACTCGTGACGTCATTGGATCAATTATTGCTTGGCGTCGGTGTTCGTCCCCATGCCACCGACTGTGTTTCCCAAATTGCTCGGTAATTAACGATCCGCTTTCAGTTGTCTTTCATGTCTCGCATTACATGAAGACTAAAATCGTTTCAATTTGTTTAGATTCATAACACATACACATACGACGCCTGAACTGGCTTTGGTAGCTATCAAGATCCTGTATTTAGTCTGTCAAACTTCTGCCCTGCAGCTGGAGATTTATAACAGACTTACGGCAGATAAGGTGCAGTTATGATGAGGATTTTGTGCTGTTGTGTATGTAAATGCTAACCTCTGGTACAATTGGCTTTTGTATCAATTAGTTCGATACAAATTACATTTTTTTGTTGTTTTGCTTTGTAGAAAGCAAAAATTATTTACAAACGGTGTAGCGTTGCTCTTTTTCATTCATGTTTTGCGAACATTAGTGTGTAACAATAACCAGGACAAGCAGAAAATTTTAAATAAAACAAAATAAAACAAATTCCGAAAACGAACATCTCGTTTTCTTGATATTCAAGATAATACACCATGTATTGTTTTAAAACTCTTGTATTATGTTGAATATCAAGAAAACGAGATGTCCGTTTTCGAAATTTGTTTTATTTTGTTTTAGTGTGTAACTGTTAAAATGAAAATGTTCAAAATCATTTTTCGCAGAAGATTACGAGACAGGTTTTTGAAGAAACTTTTCCCAACTTATTTTTCGAAAGAGATTAAACTTTTTAACAAACGTTTCAACGTTGGAAATTTCAATTAAATGCGAATATGTTGTGGACTTATCGAAAGCAGTACTGAATGATTATTTTACTGCAACATCTTTGAAAAGGCTGCAGCAATGTTTCTTCAATGCATCGTAATTGTATTTTAATTCTTTTTCAAACTATATCTTGAAATACAGGAACGTGCAGAAGAACTCCTTGTTGGTTTTGTTGATCATCTAGATACTGTTCAGGCTGAAGATGACAACTCGCGGAGGCTATATGAAAGCACAGGTCAGTTGAATGATCGACTGTGTATATGCAAGCGTGGTCGAGTAAAGTAACTTTGTGCATACAGTAAAATGGTCGAGTAAAGTAACTTTGTGCATACAGTAGAATGGTCGACTAAAGTAACTTTGTGCATACAGTAGAATGGTCTAGTAAAGTAACTTTGTGCATGCAGTAAAATGGTCTAGTAAAGTAACTTTGTGCATACAGTAGAATGGTCGAGTAAAGTAACTTTGTGCATACAGTAGAATGGTCTAGTAAAGTAACTTTGTGCATACAGTAGAATGGTCTAGTAATGTAACTTTGTGCATACAGTGGAATGGTCGAGTAAAGTAACTTTGTGCATACAGTAGAATGGTCTATTAAAGTAACGTTGTGCATACAGTAGAATGGTCGAGTAAAGTAACTTTGTGCATACAGTGGAATGGTCGAGTAAAGTAACTTTGTGCATACAGTAGAATGGTCTAGTAAAGTAACTTTGTGCATACAGTAGAATGGTCTAGTAATGTAACTTTGTGCATACAGGGGAATGGTGGAGTAAAGTAACTTTGTGCATACAGTAGAATGGTCTAGTAAAGTAACTTTGTGCATGCAGTAGAATGGTCTAGTAAAGTAACTTTGTGCATACAGTGGAATGGTCGAGTAAAGTAACTTTGTGCATACAGTAGAATGGTCTAGTAAAGTAACTTTGTGCATACAGTAGAATGGTCCATTTAAGTAACTTTGTGCATACAGTAGAATGGTTGAGTAAAGTAACTTTGTGCATACAGTAAAATGGTCTAGTAAAGTAACTTTGTGCATGCAGTAGAATGGTCTAGTAAAGTAACTTTGTGCATACAGTAGAATGGTCTAGTAATGTAACTTTGTGCATACAGTAAACTGGTCTAGTTAAGTAACTTTGTGCATGCAGTAGAATGGTCTAGTAAAGTAACTTTGTGCATACAGTAGAATGGTCTAGTAATGTAACTTTGTGCATACAGTGGAATGGTCGAGTAAAGTAACTTTGTGCATACAGTAGAATGGTCTATTAAAGTAACTTTGTGCATACAGTAGAATGGTCGAGTAAAGTAACTTTGTGCATACAGTGGAATGGTCGAGTAAAGCAACTTTGTGCATACAGTAGAATGGTCTAGTAAAGTAACTTTGTGCATACAGTAGAATGGTCTAGTAATGTAACTTGTGCATACAGGGAATGGTGGAGTAAAGTAACTTTGTGCATACAGTAGAATGGTCTAGTAAAGTAACTTTGTGCATACAGCAGAATGGTCTAGTAATGTAACTTTGTGCATACAGTAGAATGGTCGAGTAAAGTAACTTTGTGCATACAGTAGAATGGTCTAGTTAAGTAACTTTGTGCATACAGTAGAATGGTCCATTTAAGTAACTTTGTGCATACAGTAGAATGGTCGAGTAAAGTAACTTTGTGCATACAGTAGAATGGTCTAGTAAAGTAACTTTGTGCATACAGTAAACTGGTCTAGTAAAGTAACTTTGTGCATACAGTAGAATGGTCTAGTAAAGTAACTTTGTGCATACAGTAGAATGGTCTAGTAATGTAACTTTGTGCATACAGTGGAATGGTCGAGTAAAGTAACTTTGTATACAGTAGAATGGTCTAGTAAAGTAACTTTGTGCATACAGAATGGTCCATTAAAGTAACTTTGTGCATACAGTAGAATGGTCGAGTAAAGTAACTTTGTGCATACAGTAGAATGGTCTAGTAAAGTAACTTTGTGCATACAGTAGAATGGTCGAGTAAAGTAACTTTGTGCATACAGTAGAATGGTCTAGTAAAGTAACTTTGTGCATACAGTAGAATGGTCTAGTAAAGTAACTTTGTGCATACAGTAGAATGGTCTAGTAAAGTAACTTTGTGCATACAGTAGAATGGTCTAGTAAATGTAACTTTGTGCATACAGTATAAACTGGTCTAGTTAAAGTAACTTTGTGCATGCAGTAGAATGGTCTAGTAAAGTAACTTTGTGCATGGTGAAGGTCAAAGTAAATAACTTTGTGCATGCAGTAGAATGGTCGAGCAAAGTAACTTTGTGCATACAGTAAAAAATGGTCGAGTAAAGTAACTTTGTGCATACAGTAAAATGGTCGAGTAAAGTAACTTTGTGCATGCAGTAGAATGGTCGAGCAAAGTAACTTTGTGCATACAGTAAAATGGTTGAGTAAAGTAACTTTGTGCATACAGTAAAATGGTCGAGTAAAGTCACTTTGTGCATACAGTAGAATGGTCTAGTAAAGTAACTTTGTGCATACAGTAGAATGGTCTAGTAAAGTAACTTTGTGCATGCAGTAGAGTGATCAAGTAAAAAACTTTGTGCATACAGTAAAATGGTCTAGTAAAGTAACTTTGTGCATACAGTAAAATGGTCGAATAAAGTAACTTTGTGCATACAGTAGAATGATCAAGTAAAAAAACTTTGTACGTACAGTAGAGTGGTCGAATTGAAAGTAAATTCTAGTTCAAAGCTATCCTTGAAATCAAGGGCGAAATCTGTTTTTGTCTCACTGCCCTGCAGTTTTCTCCTAGAAGTAGAGTTGAATCTTTTCCGATCGTCTTGAGTTTACGAGTGAAGTATCTATATAGTTTCCATGCTGATGATTCCGTCACTTTGTTTTTGTTAAGGTCTTATCGAGGAGATTGCCATTGTCAGTCAAATTCGAGCTGGAATCCGTCAGAATATTGTCAGATTTCTTCTTTTTTGTCTAAAGTTGCGTTCTCCAAATCTCGCACGCAACAGCTTCGATCGTCGAGCAAACCTTACAGGACCCAGGTGAGTGGTTACTTCTGTTGTCTGTTGATCACGATTTTTCTGACATTGCCGTTAATGCCTCATTTATCCCCAGGTGTCCTCGGTACTCCTCGCACTTGCCTGCATTCCGTATTGGATATCCTTGGTGAAGGTCTTGATACACCGCATGGTCCTGCTGCAGTTGAAAACACCCCCCATCTTGCCGAGCTTTGTTTCAAACTTGTTTATGCATTGTGCCAGAACTTGGAAACAAGCGACGCTTGTATACGCTACCTCCGGACCAGTCATAACTTTTTCCAATCTCATCTCGTTCATCTACCCTTTGTATTACCCGAGAAATCCACAAATGAAGTCATGGAAAACAATTTATGCAAAATGAATCAACAATCGTGGCTTTTGAAAACAATTGCGACCGAACTAAGAATGACGGCCCAAACGCGACAGCGTTCTCACGTGCAACAGTTACTTTCACTTTTGCTCGTAGAGCCTTCGGACACATATTCTCAGCGGTTTTCTGGTGGGACGTTGAGCTCTTTTGAAGATAACGGCATGTCGCGCAGTGTTCTAGGAAGCAAAGGTCGAAAGATAATGGAATTTCTCGACTCCATCGACTTCACCCATGCAGTCCCTGCTCCTTCACAGTGTTTGAACTATTTTGAGCCGGCGATCACCGAAGCTGTAATTACTTCATGTGATGAAAGCAGCGAGGACTCGCCCTTCCTGTATACGAATCTACGTAGACTGTACAAACGTTTAATGAACGAACTGGAAGTTGTTCAGGGACCCGCTACAGAGGCGCAAAAAAATATGTTGGTTCAGGTTTGTATGCTTAAGTTTCCAAGCTTTCTGCTTCGAGTTCTTCTTGCTTCAGGCTTTTATCTTGTGAATGGTAAATACCTATTCACGTAGCTAATGGCAGGCTGTAACTAAGTTTTTACCTACTGATACTTGCCTTTCATTCGCATTTATAAAATAACCACAATGAAACGCGTGTGCTGATTGGTCTAGAGCTGTGTTTGCATTATCCTGTGCAAAACGCATCCGAGCTCAACCAATCAAATCAATTAAAACAATCAACCAGTCAAAGAGAATTTGTTTTATTTCTTAAATGTGCATGCCTAGAGGAGTTCGTGTCCTTGGCAGTGTCAGAATTAAAGTTTTGTCCCTTTCGATATTTCACATTGACAATAATTAAAAATATATACTTTAATTTATATTTTAATTTATAATTTTTAAAGTTCGTAATGTTTAAAGTTTATAATTTTTAATAAAGTTTGTATTTTAGTTTTTATTTTAATTTATATTTTAAAATGTTTTAGAGAGAGGTAGCGGGAACTTTCGCAACATGAACTGACGTCGTCGAACCATTTCGTCGACGACCGGATTTTGGGTAGCAGTTCATTAACTTGAAGTTTCAATTTAATCTTTAATCTTTACCCTTAATCATTCTAATTCAACATTTAATAGTATGTAATGATAAATGTACTAATTTACAATGGGAATTGCATTTAATTACTATAAATTAAGAATAAAGTAAATGGTTTGAACCCGGGAGTATCGTTACATGTTTGTAAATGTAGATCGTCCAGGTTGGTATAGTCCTGAGAAGGACTGTTTTTGTTGTTGTTGACTGCGTTTCGACAACCTTAGTGGTAGTCATCTTCAGAGTCAAAATGGAATCAAATTTTTGACTCTGAAGATGACTACCGCTAAGGTTGTCGAAACGTCAGTCAACAACAGCAAAAACAGTCCTTCTCAGGACTATACCAACCTGGACGATCTACATTTACAAACATATAAATTAAGAATATAGTCTTCAAGAATACAGTTTCACTGCCTCGACTTATGTTTTTCCACCTTTAAGCTAATATGTAAAATTTGAGACTACAATTTAACTACCTAAGATTGCGTAATAAAAACATAGTGTTAAAATCATATTTACAATAAAATTCCCTTCAACTGTTTGAATTTATCTTTTCACCCTGTAGGAAGTCAAACGAATCATGAATTATACGCTGGAACGCAATCGCTATCGCGAGGGTTTGTACTACAAACAGCAGGCATTTGAGTCTTGGCGACAGTTGGTCGAAGTAATTTTGGCAAGTTGTCCGCCGGAGATATTGAATCGCGAGGTCAAACAGACCATGATCTTTGATTTGACGAGAGAGCTTCTCTACAAGGTCAGGTCGATTCAGACTGAAAGTTACAATACTTCATCCTACTGCTATTGTTTTGTCTGAAACGAATCGTGTATTTTAAAAAGTAGGGGTTTCACATTTGAAAATCTTGACGAACAGCTTACGCTTATATTTAGATGTCAGATGAGAATTCTGCTTCGGAATTAGTCGCCCCAGTCTCTGGAGTTGTGCTCACGTTCATGGCTCATCTACGTCAATCGACTTTGCCTTCTGGTGATGCTTTGCATGCCGGGCCTTCCCATAGTGCAGTGGTATCAGGCTGGCACGAGGATGGTAAAGCTGATTTGATGAAATGTTGAAGTATTTGGCGAATTTGAAAAAAAATTTGACCACACGCTTGCAAAGGAATTTTTTGCCATGTTTTTTCTCATCTGTCTGATTGTACATATCTTGTGCAAACGGTGTTTGTGCTTTTTTGCAAGCTGTGTGTGTTGATGTTGTGGTAATTTTTTATTGTATTTCAGGTGTGACGGAAGAGTTGGCTATACCAACAGAACCTCTTCTTGGCATATTTCAAAGTTTAATTCAAGTTCTGATTCAGACAAGTGGAAGCCACCAGCGGGTGAGGGCAAATCTTTATGGAAGTCTGTTGTATTATCTTCAGATTGGTCAAAGAAATGACAATCGAAGGGAAAGCATCGGTAAGAGAACTGTGGTCGGTAACTCTCATTATATTTTTTGTCAAGTACAATTTTCTGTAAACACTGATCCACGCTTATAACATTTGTTTTTAACTTCAACGCCCTTCGTGAGGTTTAGCGTCAACATAGTTTGAAGACATGCATTTTACTTTCATTTGTTTTTATAAGGCAGTTCACAAAGTTCGATGTTACTTAAGTTTTAGGTTTAAGGCAATATGTAAAGCTCAATGCACACGGTTCAGTTTTAAGGTAATACATAAACTTCAATGTACAAGCTTTAGGTTTAAGACTACGTAAATTTGAATGTACAAGCTTGAGGTTTAAGACAATACGTAAAGTTGAATGTACAAGCTTGAGGTTTAAGACAATACGTAAAGTTGAATGTACAAGTTTGATGTTTAAAACAATACGTAAAGTTGAATGTACAAGTTTGATGTTTAAGACAATACGTAAATTTCAATGTACAAGTTTCAAATTAAATGCACTCTGTGAGATTGTGATTAAATGCAATTTGAAGATGTGCATTTTACTTTCATTTAATTAATCATCTCATCACTGAGGGATATAGAAGAAATATTTTTCAATAGATATGTTGCTGCTGAAGAAGAATTACGAAATCATTTCCAACTTTGGCGAGGCCTTAATGGAGATTGTATGCCGGGACTGCTGTGATGGTCACGACGTTACGAGGGTGTGTAAATAAGAGATGAATTACTTAGTTAGTCAAATGAAGTTTGAGCCATTTAGAATCAAAGAGGACAACGTTGTCAAGAATTGTATTTCACGCGCGACAGTCAATGATTTCAGTGCTGTGCTCGTTTCGATTTGCGCTTCAAGAGAAAATTTTACTCTTCTGTAGATGTTATCATGCGCTGTTGTCGATTCAATTACATCTATCGACTGGCGGAATCGTTGGCTCATCTTCCTGAATACAAAAGGATATTTAAGGCATTTGGTCGAAAGTCTACTCTTGGAAGATGAGAATCTACAGTCGGCATTGAATCCTAGCCCTGAACCTCTTAAATCTCTCTACGTATACGAATCAAGAATGGTGAGTTTTTCCTTCATTTTAAACTACGATTACATAGAGTATAAGGTTATTGAGTTGGAATTTTTTTGCAGGCTCTATTGACAAGACTAGCACAGTCGCCTGAAGGTGCCAAAGTGCTGCTAAATACAGGTGTAATGTCTCGCCTTTCTGAGTGTCGCTTTATCGACATGCGACCCTCCGGATCCACAAGTACATTTTCTGATCATCGCCTACCTAGTTATTCCGCTGACCGGATGATATCTGCGATGACAGCCTACCAAGATTCGTTTGTTCCCTCCATCATGGAACGTTATTTACAGCTATTGATACCAGCTTTGCGCATGTCTCTTTCCCTTTTGACGTCACTTGGTCAAGATCACCGCGAAGCTTCGATTCAGGTGAGCAGTTCGCGGTCATTAGAAATGAATTGAAACGGTATAAAAAAGTCGGCTTCTTCAGGGTTTTCCTCTCTGTCTGATTAGGTCCAATTATCAATGTCGGGTATCCTGGCTCATTGATTCCTTAAGTTGTTGTTTTTTCTTCGGGAAGTGACGGAAATTGTTATAAATTTCCCCCCGTGTAATCAGGTCTTAATGTTCTCACATCAAAAAACAAACCAGGAAAACTGTTTTAAGATATTTTCCCGGCGTATCAAGGCCGGGTAATGTGTTCCTAAAAGATGGAATTGTTGCTCTTTCTCTCTGTGTAGATTTTGCATTTCATCGTATCCCACGCAGAGGTCTTCGCTGATATTTTGCAAGAGCATACGGACAGAATAACTGTGTCCTCGTTACACGAATTGTATCTAGTCAGCGGTATCGTGTGCAAGGCGGGCGTGACCGAAAATGCTATATTGGCAGAAGAGACTAGGTTTGAAGATATGATGAAATTGAAGGCACCGCTGTCCAGAATACAAAGGCTCATGCTGGCGTTGCTTCCAAAGTATAGCGTGCGGGAAAACTGGGATCGAGTGAGTTTTTTTGAAGTTTTCAGGTCTGAAGTAGGCAAAGTTCTAGAGTTAAACATGCAAGTGTAAGGTTTTGTGTCGACAGTGTATATTTACTCTGACTATAGATTTTGAAATTGTACGTTTGAAATATTCAGTGTTATTTCTTATTGTTGCGACGTGTCAAGGAGCTCAAGTCTTACATAGACATAAAATGCATAACGCGTATTTCACATGAGTGTAGAATTTGTTTTGTACTCATCTGAGGCTGTAAATGCCAGACTAACGTTTCAAAGTTTGAACCAGGCAAAAAGTACAAATATAAGTACATTGACAAGATAAACGGAACCAAAAGCAAATGAAAATGTGCTTTCACCGAAACGTTATTTACGTTTTGTCTCCTGTTCATCTTAGGAAACTGTTTTTAAAAGTCCGAAAATATCATAGACCCCCTCAGTGTAGCGTTTTGTAAACTCCCACGTGGTGTATTAAAATTTGTATTGAGGCTGAAAAAAGTATCTCTATTATTTTGACTATGACATACATGGAATGACGTGTTGTAGATTGTTCGGGAAGTGCTCAATTTGGACGTCGACGAAAGAGAAGCAGCGTTCAAAGCTCTCCAATATAACGTTAGTGCGTTGGAGGCCTATCAAACCCTCCAACAGATCTACGGAAACTTGATCACTTATTGCAAGAATGTTGTTGTTTCTGGGGGTAAGTAACGGTCCTTTGAGGATCACTTATTGTAGGAATGTTTTTGTTTCTAGGGGGTAAGTAACGGTCCTTTGAGGATCACTTATTGTAGGAATGTTGTTGTTTCTAGGGGTAAGTAACGGTCCTTTGAGGATCACTTATTGTAGGAATGTTGTTGTTTCTGGGGGTAAGTAACGGTCCTTTCAGGATCACTTATTGTAGGAATGTTGTTGTTTCTAGGGGGTAAGTAACGGTCCTTTGAGGATCACTTATTGTAGGAATGTTTTTGTTTCTAGGGGTAAGTAACGGTCCTTTGAGGATCACTTATTGTAGGAATGTTTTTGTTTCTGGGGGTAAGTAACGGTCCTTAAGGATCACTTATTGTAGGAATGTTGTTGTTTCTGGGGTAAGTAACGGTCCTTTGAGGATCACTTATTGTAGGAATGTTGTTGTTTCTGGGGATAAGTAACGGTCCTTTGAGGATCACTTATTGTAGAAATGTTTTTGTTTCTGGGGATAAGTAACGGTCCTTTGAGGATCACTTATTGTAGGAATGTTTTTGTTTCTGGGGATAAGTAACGGTCCTTTGAGGATCACTTATTGTAGGAATGTTTTTGTTTCTGGGGGATAAGTAACGGTCCTTTGAGGATCACTTATTGTAGGAATGTTGTTGTTTCTGGGGGTAAGTAACGGTCCTTTGAGGATCACTTATTGTAGAAATGTTTTGTTTCTGGGGATAAGTAACGGTCCTTTGAGGATCACTTATTGTAGGAATGTTGTTGTTTCTGGGGTAAGTAACGGTCCTTTGAGGATCACTTATTGTAGGAATGTTTTTGTTTCTAGGGGGTAAGTAACGGTCCTTTGAGGATCACTTATTGTAGAAATGTTGTTGTTTCTGGGTGGTAAGTAACGGTCCTTTGAGGATCACTTATTGTAGGAATGTTGTTGTTTCTAGGGGTAAGTAACGGTCCTTTGAGGATCACTTATTGTAGGAATGTTGTTGTTTGGGGGGATGACGGTCCTTTCATGATCACTTGCTGTAGTTCGTCTCTTTTGTTTCATCTTTTCATTCAAAACTTGTTCATCTTATGTCTACTATATTTTATCTATTTCAACAATGTATTACTGACAAGTTACCTAGTTTTCCGTGTTTCTTCCGTCCTTTTTTTTTGTACTGTTTATAAATTTAATTCTACTTCGCGTCTTCCTTTTATTTGCACCTGCTTTTCGGGTCTTCTTTTCCTTTGCACCTTGTTCAGGTCATGTCTAACATTTTTCTACTTTGCCAACCACTTTACCAACGCGTTACCTCAAACATGCATCGTTTTCTGTGTTTTTATTTTTCTCTTTTTCTCCTCGCTTTTATAATTTTATTTTCTAAATGTGTTTAGGTTTGAGTGACTGTCAAGTTATATTCGCACCCCTGTTGGACGATGTTTACACGAGAGATATATATGCAGAAAAAGGTACGTCATAGTTTCAATTCAGTTTGGTATTTGATTGGCTGAAGATTACAATTTATAGCCAATCATTGCTGAAGAATTATTCGTCACATGGGTTTCAGTTTGGTATTTGATTGGCTGAAGATTACAATGTATAGTCAATCATTGCTGAAGAATTATTCGTCACGTGGGTTTGCGTGCTTTTCATAGGTTCCTTAGGTTCGATAACTGTCAATCAACAAAGACTTTCTATTATTGTCCGTAATCTAAAGATTTGTTGTGAAAAAGTTGCCAATTGCGTTGAATCATACAAGCAAGCAAGTCACAAGCTCAATAATATCGACGACCTCAGCATGGACGAGTTAAAAGAGGTATAAAGGATCAACGCGAATGGCATTTATTTTCGAAACTCCAATATGTGGAGGGGGAAAATTCGCGTTGCATGTTTAGATGGTTAACACCATGGCTACCACCACATTATCATACTACTAGCCATGATGTTACCACTTGTTTTCGTCAAATTTCAGCTTGGCTCTCAATACTCCTCGTCCGTTGACCGAATGTCAACTCAGCAGAAACAACAGCTGGCTTTCAAATGCCTTCGCGAGGTTGTCAAGTACCGCTCAGACGAACTCGATATGTACCTATGTATCCTTTCGTTACTCGATATGTACCTGTGAATGTATATACAGCATACCGTGTGTTCGTGTAGCCCTTCATAACGCAGAAATGTGGAAACACTCCGCGAAGCCTTGCTCCGTTCGTGGGTGCAGCGTGCAGCTTGTTTGATTCTAACTTTGTTTGTTTTCTTTCTCGAGCATTGCTTAAAATTTCACATGAAAAACAGTAGATGTTCGTGGCACAAGTTATCGTGTATTGTGTTGGAGACAAGTCCGTTTCAAACACAATCAGGCTGCGTTTACACTATACCGGATTTGCTCATCACGACATCCTCATTTACTTTAAAGGGTTAACTGTTCGGAGTTAAAGGTTATTAAGCTGATAGATTTAGTCTATTTGATTGTGTTTCTGATGTTGAAAAATTTCATTGCCTTTTAATATAAAGCATATTCAACCTGCTACGATAGCAATCTGGTATAGTGTAAACGGGGCCTTAAATTTACGGAGGAGCGGTGGCGCAGCCAGCCCGCTTGAAATACATTTTTAAAGAAATGGATAACGATGGGAAATCTACATAGCAGGACTAAAATTCTCTGCTCCTCTGACAACGCTGACTGTTTTGTTGTGCCACTCGTGCTAGAGTGCTTTCATTATTTATGTAATCTGTGTAACCGTCTTAACGAATCGACTCAGATATCATTGAAAACTCCTTGTTTATCCTGTGCAAACACCTCGAGTACTATTATGTGTATTGTATACCCTCCGATCGCGAAGTCTCGACCCTTCATAGCTCGTTGACTGGTAGAACTAGACCAAGGCGACTACAAGGTATTTTTTGTTCCTCAGCTTTGCTCCAGCCGTAATTTTTTTCCAAGAAAACACTGTTTGCTCAAAACGTCTATAAACTTCAACAGAGGATTTTATAATGATTCTGTAGGGCATACTTTTAATCACGTGACACCATTATTATTGATTTCTGCTGTAAATAAATACCGAGGCCGTGCGATATACACGTGAAGTAGAGCGAACAGTATAAACACAAAAGCAAAATTGCTTAGTTGCCATAATTGTTAATTGTTCAGTTAGTACTTTGAGTTGCGCAGTCTCGGGCTTAAATTGTGCACATCTGCGCTGTTTTATTTCCTGTTGAGACTGTGTAGTAATACAGGATAAATGTCAAATGGGATTTGAAAAAGTTTTTCCTTCATGTGTTTCTATATTTGCTCTCCTATGACATACTTTTTATAGATTATAGACCTTATGAAGAACTAGAGTCAACTTACGGTGATTCATTCAAAACAAAATTTCAATCTCGTACATCGAGGGCTGACATCGAAAAGGTAGTGTATCTGGTTTTCTGTCTTTTTTCTGTCTAGTTTTGTCCCAGCTTTCAATTTTGCATATACGTTTGATTCGTGTATTCTTTTGTTTCTTCTTTTGTATTTATTTCTTCTTTTACATCTTGTTTAACATATGTTTACTATCGTGTATAATGTACCAAAAAGTTTTTGACGAGCTTCCTCGAGCTACCTACTTTTGTGGGTTTATGTCTAGTTATAGCACATCCCTTTGTGTCTACTTTTGTTTCTTTTTATGTTTCTCATTTTTTATGCACACTTTGTATAAAATAAGTATTTAAAATATGACATCGAAAAGATAAAATTATCATGTTTTACGATCGTGAACTCCACGGAACTTGTTTCAGCTTAAATCTGATGCTTCCACTTGTCTGACGGACGCATTTCTAAGGAAATTACGGGACATTGAAAAGGTATAACAAACAAACGCCATGTATGCTTTGAAGGCCTCTCTATTTTGCACACTTGTGCGCATGCCCTATGTGATTCACGTGACATGCTCCTTTTGTCTTATAGAATCATAGACAAGGGCCGTCTCGTGCAGGTTTCGTCGATGCTTTAACAAGACGGATTAAGCGATTACTTGTTCTTCATGGCCCGCAAACAGTGGAAACTTATTAACACCGATGACTCAAGTGAAATTCAAGAGAAGTAGGAGGAATTTTTAACTTGCGATGGTTTAGTGTGTCATACATGTAAATATATGTACTTATATTTGCTCGCAGAAAAGAGAAGCCCTTTTTATACTAGGGCTTCTCTTTTAGACATACAGAAACGTGTCAAAACTGACTTAGCATTATAAAACTGAGCAAGTGGTCAGTGCTTCTTTAGAACGCCATTAAGTCGGCAGGAACTTCTTCCGGACACGCTAATAACCTGTTAGTGCGATTCTAAAATACAGTATGTACTAGTACGATACGAGTAAAATGGGAAAGGGCGTTTGACTTGAAAACTGTGGAGACTCCCTTTATGATATACATTGTAAGATCTGTAGTGTATGAATGTTGAAGAAGGACATTCCAAGGAAATTTGTTCTAACTATGCCGAAATACAATTGTCCTCAAATTATAATCAGAACTTGTTTTCAACAAGTTTAACTGTTAATGTTGATGTATCATACGTCATTGTGGCGAAAATTTGTTCTAACTATGCCGAAATACAATTGTCCTCAAATTATAATCAGAACTTGTTTTCATCAAGTTTAACTGCTAATGTTGATGAATCATATCTCATTGTGGCGAATTGCCGAATTCGACACATGTCACCTTCTTTACTTTTTTTCTTCTTTCAACAACTTTAATTTCTCTTGCATACTACACAAGCTCTTGAAGGGGTCCGTAATTCGCTTTGCAATTTCAATTTTACATTTTGGCCATGTTTCTTTATGTCAGAGTTATGTTTTTCCTCATAAAAATCCACGCAAAAACAATGGGTGGCGTGAGTAGTGACGTCAGAAATGAATTTTCGTCTCTCAATTTTGCTTGATGGACTCGCCCGCACATGGGCTGGAAGAAAGTCATTATAAAGAGAAGCACTGTAGGCTGAAGTACTTAGGTCACCGCTTCGAACCGAACCATAACAATTATTTCTTCGCTGAATTTGCGAGCATGAACTGTCTACAAATAGAGATAGAATATCATAAGAACCTTTATTCTTATGTGACGTTTTATACTCTAAATATCTCGTGCATAATTTGTCGTATTTGCTTTTGACTATCCGCAAATAAACCAGTTTCAATCCACCCAAAACCAATCACACCGCAAGTTTGACGAAGGTGTGATCCGCCAAACGTAGCCGACGGATGCATGATGTGACTTTTCCGCTCTCGAAGTTTATTCTGTCTTTAATTGAACCATTTCGTACCAAAAACGTATTTTTTTTCTTTCATTTACTTTATTTGCGACTTTTATCTAGCTGAATTCGTCTTCCTCATAATAAAGTTTTGCCTTTTTAGGCGCGTTTTCTGTATTTGTTTCCAGAAATGTTTAAAAGTTTAAAATGTGATAAAGCCCTCACTATGTGCAATTGATGTCGTTCAAGGTACTCTGTTTGAAATCATTTCAAAGCTGAATTGTGTGGTTTGAAAATGGAATTCTTAGTGCTTTTTTTAAAATATTTGTGTTTGAGTGGAAGAGTTTGTTAAAAGATCTTTTCATGTATACAATGATTCTAGATTCAATTTAGCATCTAGAGAGAGACTATCTTTATCTTCAGGACAATTAAAGATAACATGTTTCTAAGAGCTATTACTCTTCGAATTTTTGAATGCCTTTATCGATAATTATTGCTTCTGGAAGGGATTATAATTTCGAGGTTTGCGGTAAAGCGCTTGAGTTTGACGGGAGTCTGAGGAAACTTTTTGTCAGCCCGCAAAAGAAGATCCGCCCGGTGATTACGAAGGCCGAAAGGGTGTAACAGGTGTGTTTTGTCACGTGATCTCACCAATTTATTCTTCTAAACACTTATGTTGCTGATAACTCGTTCTAATCATGGCTTCCAAGTTTAGGAGCGATAGGAAGTTTCACGAAAGTTTTGAGCTCAAGGAGGAGCTTGGAAAGTATGTAATAATTTTGTGGATATTCAAATAGGAGAGATTAGTTATTAAAGATGATCTTGCGCATATTTTGATTTTCTTGTTATCAAGAATGTAAACGTTATTCACGTTCAAATTTAGAGGGCCTTCAGCACCGTTAGAAGATGCATTCATAAAGAAAGTAAACTAGAGTATGCAGCAAAGATCATCAATGCTGGGAAACTATCAGCTCGAGGTACTTTTGTAAACACTATCATCTCCGAAATTGGTGAATTTGAGCGATTTGCCTTATTTTATAACTGTTGAATTCTCAACCATATTCATGAATTGTTTGAACGGATGTGTACGTCTTCTGGCTGGTATTGTTTCGCCGGCGTATAGATTTCTTTTTTTCTAAAGTCTTTCATTTCTTAGTGTTTGGTCTGTTAAGCAATTCGATGTGTTTAGGAAGCTTGTCCTTGTAGGTCAATTTCATTCCGAGCGTCAGTTCGAAATATGTTAGCATATTTTACCAAAGTATACCCCCTATTTATTCATTGAAATAATTCAACTTTGACTCCTAATAATAGCTGTGAAAATACTCTAATTCATTGTATGTTTGGTTTCGGCGGTAATCGTCGAGTTTATGCTTTTTTTCTCGCTTGACCTTGTGGTCTGGTACTTTTATCGTATGGACACTTGGCGTCTTTGACGTTTTCAATAACAGACAGCTGTTATTTTCAATAAAATGTTGGGTTTGTATTTTAAACATCATCGTTGTCTAGCGCTTGATTTACGACTTAGTATTTTCAATAAATACGTATCTACCTTATGGAATTCCCCCCTTACAGACAAAAGAAGGCTTTCGCTGAATATCAACAAATTATTTCTGAGACAATATTTTTATGTATTTTGTATTTCTTATCCTTTTTTAGACTTGCAAAAGCTCGAAAGAGAAGCACGTATTTGTAGACGGTTGAAACATCCTAATATTGGTATTTCTCATTTATTTCTATTGAATGTAATAATTGTGGCCCTCAGCTTGGCTTTTAAGTGGAAAATATGTGCTGCTTCGTGACAACAATCACAGTTTGAAATTTTATTTTCGATATGAATAATTGACGTTGACAGGAAAAGTGGACATCTTTCACGAAAAGCGTTTACTACTCGTACGATTCTCTGATTTTAGAACTCTGTGTTGGACGAGGACTGTTAAAGGCAGTTGACATTTATGTGTTGCATTCGTGTATTAAAATATTATTGGAACTGTATCGTTGCAATTTCATAAATACGAAAAAAAAAAGTTGCGATAACTTGGCCACTTTTAAAAAATGCGAAAAACCTAAACGGCCATTTGATTGAAATTGACCGCTGTTGCATAAGACTTGTATGTTTAGCCTGAAAGAGTTTGGTGAACTGTCTATTTTTTTACACAATAATTGTTAAAGTCGGAATTATTTTTTGCAGGCAATTGGCTACGTGCAAGCTATTAGAAGAATTTGTTAATTGGAGTTTGCTACTAAGATATTTTAACACAGAATTTGCTACTTAGTTCGTTCTTATCGAAAAAGCGAAATTAACGGACCATGTGCTTAGTTCGCTTGCTTTAGTACCTGGCGAATTAGGTATTGTGAACTATTTCCCATTATGGATATTTCCAGAACAAAACCGAAGCTGTGAGAAGAAAATGAATGTGCGATAATAATAATGATATGCGTGTTTTTAACAATTGCTGATTGCTTGAAGAAAATTTTCGTCACTACGAAATTACCATCACAATCGAAATCATCACGTTTGGGCAATTGCTATGAATTTTTTGGCTGTATAGAATTACCATTACAATGAAAATCGTTGAACCATGTTTCAAGAATATTCGAACGTATTTTTTAGTTCAACTACATGCAAGTATGGCTCAAGACAATGTCCACTATTTGGTCTTTGATTTGTAAGTAAAGACTATTTATGCATATGTACCAGAGAACATAATTTATTTAAATGTACTTTAATTTCTTAGAGTTACAGGTGGTGAATTGTTTGAAGATATTGTGGCTAGGGAATATTACAGTGAGGCTGATGCCAGGTATGCAAAGCTTTGTGTATTAAAATTACCAGGTTTTGTATAGACTGAAAAGTGATGTTAGAACCTGTTCTAAAGTGTGTGGAGGGGAGGGGGTTGGAGTAGCACAATAACATACATTATATGTTGAATTTCCCCCCAATAAATTGCTTGTCCATTGGAAAAGCTGGGTTGTGCCCCCTCCTGCTTTTCACTCCATGATAGAATTTTTGTCCAACTTCTTAGAAATGTATTTTTTTATTTTCAGCCATTGTATTCAACAAATATTAGAGAGCGTTCAACATTGTCATAATTTAGGTGTTGTACATAGGGATTTAAAGGTCAGTCTGTCATTATATGTTTCACATGAACTTGTGTTTTCCTATTTTCCTTTTTTAGCACTTAATGCTGTAAGCCAAATTCTAGGGAAATGATATCACCAAAGAAGTGCACATGTTTTTGTGTTGCATGCTAAATTATGCTAAATTATTTTTGCATATTAATTATGTTTTATATTTAATTTATGTTACCATGAAATTTCTTCAGCCAGAAAATTTGCTTTTGGAATCAAAGGAAAAGAATGCCATCGTCAAACTGGCTGACTTTGGCCTTGCAATTGAAGTGGACACAAACAAATTTGGCTGGTATGGTAAGTGATGAGGATGTTTTACCAAAACCGCAATCATGCTTGCATAACTTGAGAAAATTGTGATAATTCAATTGTATATGAGTGATTGTCTATGTGTAATGAAGTTATGTGGCATTGTGAGGTGTACGCTGGGGTATATACTAGACAGGATGAAAGGGGGAAGCTTTTGCCCACCAATATTTTTTTGAATGTATCTCATATTGAGTTATTTAAATAAATTACACTTTGACCATCTGTCTTTAAATTGAAAATTATGATTTGACTCATATTGCCGCTTGCTAATCCCCCACCCCCATACTTCATCAAGTATCCATCCCTAGGTGTACAATCTTCTATGAAGGTACAATAAAAAATCCGGCAAGTTAGCAAAAGTATTGAATGATTTCGTTTATTTTTTAAGGGTTTGCAGGAACTCCTGGTTATTTGTCTCCAGAAGTTTTAAAAAAGGATAACTATGGCACTGCCGTGGATGTCTGGGCTTGTGGTAATATTTGTGTAATTTTTTTTGATTTTATTTTTACTCTATTATTTTTGATTATTTCAACAGAATCTTTCGTTGGCAAAATTCACCAATAAATACAAAGTTACTTTAATGTTAATAAGAACATACTTTTAACTGTAACTATTTTATGGACAACAGTTGTTCTTGGAATTCAGTAGTTTGAGACATTTTGTCTTTTTGAGGTCGAGCTTTCTTGCTCTTATGATACCATAGCAAGTATCTAAGTTCAGCACATTCTTGACCTTATGGATAACAATGTATGTCTAGGTATACTACATTCTTGTTCATATGGATAACAATGTATGTCTAGGTGCACCACATTCTTGTTCATATGGATACCAGTGTAAGTCTAGGTACACTACATTCTTGTTCATATGGATACCAATGTAAGTCTAGGTACACTACGTTCTTGTTCATATGGATAACAATGTATGTCTAGGTGCACCACATTCTTGTTCATATGGATACCAATGTAAGTCTAGTTTAGGTACACTACATTCAGGCTCGAGTTTACCAACCCATGTCAAGTAACTCAGCATTCTTGACCTCATATATACCAAAAAAGACATAAGCCATGAAAATGAAGCAAATTTATATGTTTCTATAACGAAATAAGAGTTAAAATGGCAAATTGTAACTTTGAAAAAGACGTTTCCCAGTGTTAACACTCATTTTTGATAAATTTAATAAGGTCATATACCACTGCCATTCCTTCTCAATTAAGAAATGATGTTTGCACAGGCTTATGCAAACCAAGGAGACCTTTGGGAGAACTTGAGAGCAGATCGGTGCATGCCCTGATAGAGGGTTGCATCTGTTGTTTTGCACAGGCTAATTCAAACACTGCTATTGACCAATCGGCGCACGTGTTTTATTTCGTGTTTATTTTATAATCCCCCATAGTGACGTAATCATCAATTAAGAGTACGTAATTGAGGAGCCATGTTGTATGGTTAGATATGACAACATATATATAGGTATGAATGATGATTTATTTTTAGGGGTGATATTGTACATTTTGCTCGTTGGCTATCCCCCGTTTTGGGACGAAGATCAGCATAAATTATACAATCAAATCAAATCTGGCGTTTACGATGTAAGAGCAATGGTTTTATGAAACCTTTCATGTATTATAGCATTTATGGAACATACAACAGTGCTGCCTCATATGCCTCTATGCTTAAGGCGTATGTATTGCTTACACCGCTGGCTCAACCTTCGACTAAGTGGTCCTTGATAATGCGAACGTATTTAATGTGTAGCACTACGTTGGGTGTACCCTTTTCTTAGCGAGAAAGGTGGGTGTAGCCCTCAGTCTAAGGAATTACCGGTGCGATACTTGGTCAGAAGTTTTCTTGTATCCCTAAGTGTACATTGCCATTTTTTAGAAACCTCGCGAGATTTTGCGAACGGCAGTCTTATACAAACTAGCATAAATGCGCCCGCGAAAGGCTTTTTGCCGTACCATGCATGCTGTTTTACCATGTAAGGAAAATGTGAGGGATGATTTTTGCGCGACGGCATGCCGTGATCTTTTCTATCGTCCCGTCCCGACTCCGCTTCGTATTGGTAGTAGTAATGATTAACGAAATGTTCTTCTTTAGTACCCGTCGCCCGAATGGGACACGGTCACTACCGAAGCTAAGGTAAGAGATGATTTTGGTCTACGTTATGCTGTTAAAAAAATTTATTTTTGGCTACACACAATGCGATGACGTATGTTTTGGTTCTCGTCGATGACGTGTTGTGTTTTTCCACACTAGACGTTGATTGATAAAATGTTGACAGTCAATCCAGAAAAACGAATTACTGCCAGCGAAGCCTTAAAAGATCCGTGGATTGTGGTGAGAATCTTAAGTTTGTTTGGTTTGTTGTCAAAACTACGCCAATAAATAAGAAACCATCTTATTTGTTAATCCAATAACAAATTGAATAAGAAAACAGTTTGACAGTGGGACTTTATGTGCGCATGTCTCTGGTTTTGATTTGTCTGATTTTTCTTGACGATTACGGTTTTCGCTTTTGTTGGGGAAAATTTGATGTTGATGTCGAACATAGATATCTTACGTTCCATTACGTCAAACATTACGTCAAACATTACGTCACAAGTTAGAACCTGACTACGCTCTCTTGATCATTTTTCATTTTATTTTGTGTTTTTCTAATGCTCGTAGAATCGCGATGGAGTTGCTTCGAAGGTTCATCGGCAAGGAACAATTGATGGACTTAGGAAATTTAATGCCCGACGAAAGTTGAAGGTGTGTGGGAAATTGGTCTCATTTGGTGTGCGTCAACAGGTGTCAGATGGAGTGATGTTTACGTGTTCTTGAGCAAATGTGTAGGACGTGACATGCAGAATACCGCTAATATTTCTCGGACGCCATCACCCTTTACGCACCTGTTTTACTGTCCTAAATCGCAATAAGTTTGTATTTGTATTAGCAGCCTGTGGTCTGATCTGTGGTTAGCTGAACTGTTTGGTTTGTTTGAGATTAACATTAACTGTTGTTTTATAATTGTTTCTGGAGTTGCTTCATCTTTTTCTCCAGTTAAATGTGAATGTCATTCTTAACCAGGACGTAGGTAGTTGTTCTGCCCTTCTATAACAGATCATTCTGTCGGTTTAGTATTCTACCTCACGTTTTGTGCATTATTTATTGAATAGATATCTGTTGGGAGGGTAGGGTGGGGGCATGGTACGATCTTATTCTTTAGCTCTTACGTCCGAGGTTACGTCATTCAATTCCGGTCGATGTAAACTGGCCCTCAATTGTTCTTTGTGGTTGTCTAGGGAGCAATTTTAACTACAATGATTGCAAAGAGTAACTTTCATGCAGGTATTAAATAGTAAGAAGAACGAAGGATCGGCGTTCTGGTGACGTAATCATGATGACGTAGCATGTTGCACGGCCGGCTTGTTACAATGTCGTGACCGGTTGAAATACTGGTTGGGTGGTGTGGCTTCAAGCAAAGACCTGTTTTTTTGTGTGTTTGCCGCTTGTAGACTAGGTTCTACTCACTTCGTATTCATGGTTACGTCATAGGAATCGCTATCCGTTATGTTTGCATTTATGAATCCATTCTTGTCACTTTTAGGGAGCTATACTAACAACCATAGTGGCTCGTAGGTTCTCGTCTAATTCAGGTGACTAATCCTCTTTAAACAATTAAAGATATGTTATCATATTGATCACGAATGTTAAACACTACCCCTAAACTTTTTATTGTTGCTAAACTCATAAACACATTCTTAAAAAGTACACCTAATTACTAAAATGTAGTTGCTAAGCAGGAATTGCTTGGAATATACTTTGCATTGAGATGATAATCGTCCCATTCCCCCAAATGCTTCAAAATGAATTGTGTACCATCTTCGAGGTGTTGGTATATTCGTTTTGAAAGTAAAAAGTCGGCATTTGTTGTAATTTCTTTGTACGACACCTTAAAATTTGGCTTTTGTCGCCTTCAACTGGTGATCAAAAGACCAACACATACATTCTGTTAATTTTACAACTAAATTGTAATTTAAATTTCCTGTTTGGGTTTAGTGAACATCATAAATTTAAGAACCTTAACGAATCATAAACTACAGTCTATATGTCTACTGTTTTATTCGGTTTAGCTTTACACGGTTACCGCGTTGTGTTTGAACTGAGCAGACTTATGAGAATGAAATGCTGTGTACAGCAAACTAAAAGTCATTTAGAATTAATTGTAAATTTCTATTGATTGTAATGGATTGGCTCTGCGTGGCTTTGTGCTTTTTACATATTGCTCGAGGCTTCGCTTGTTTAAACGTTGTGTTGTAAGCTAAAAAGTTCAAAAAGCGTTTTACCTGAAAGCCCTTGCAGCATGCGTCAGAAATTGTTAAAAATTGATACAACATGCGTATTTAAAAGATGCTCCCTCCCCGTGAAGTGCATGTTATATAATCTCTGCGTACTGAAACTATCATGTCGGTTGCGCGAAGCCTTGATATTGCTGTCTGTGTCTAAAGTTACTTTTTCTAGTGCGTGATAAATGTGGTTTGCATTCTTTGAATTGACGTTTCATTCTGTATATTTCCTATTGAACGTCCAGTTGAAATTACTGCTTTTCGTCTTCTAAAAGTTTTTTATACGACCAAAAATGTTACTATCTGTAGTGGACAGAGCTATGCAGGCTTCGTACAACACGCCCTAATCATAATCTTGTCTTAGTCACACTTGCTTGTTTTTTCTTTTCAGTTCGCGGGCATTCGACTTCGTCAAAGAAAAAAGTAAGTTTCGCGAATTTTCGAACTGTCCTAGTAGATTTTGTCTTCACTCTTGGGAGAGAGGGGTACAGGGTACAGTGTACACAATCAACCATCAGTTCTCCTTATCCCATTACTTTCGGTACTTTTGTATTGGTTCAACGTCATCTAAACTATATTTGTTTATTCGATAGAGTTCCGACGAGGAACAAACTGTAATAGAAGAAACGGATGCGTCGAAAGGTGACGTTGAACAGGAAATCATCAAATTAACGCAAAAAATGTTGACAAGTACGACAACTGGCGATTTCGAGACATATAGGTAAGATCGACGATTTCGTTCCTAGCTCAACATTTTTTACGTGAAGTTAAGTTAATGTGAATCCAGCATTTCAATATCATAACCGGGTTTTCCCAACCCAGCTTTGTGTCCTGAGGCTTTTCTCGAACGCGGAGGCGCTTGATTTTTATGAAAGATAATGTGGGAATTAAGATTATTACAACACCAATTTCCTGTATAATTTTTCTCCATTCTTTGTGGAGTTTCTATAGGGTCTTAAAGGCACAAACAAGCTTTCTCGTTTATGCATTTTTGTGTTTAATGGAGTCATACCTTTAGTTCAATGATTGAGTAATCAAATAAATGATGATGTTAATATGAGTCTTTTTCTCTAGCAAATTGTGTGACTTCTCGATGACATGCTTTGAGCCCGAGACAAAAGGAAATTTGGTGCAAGGTCTGGAATTCCATAAATTTTATTTAGAAAATGGTGAGTTGTTTGTTTTTTTGCTTTTTAACGGAGAGGATGGTTAGTTGGTGATGATGAAGTTTTTGAGAGTATTGTGAAAGTATTGAAGAGAAATTCAAGTTGATTTAAGGGTATTTACTACTTGAACTTTTGGAGTCTGGAAAGGACTGTTTACTTCAATCAGACTTCATAAAAGCAGTCATTATGCCGTTTCCATGGTAAATCAGGTCTTTAGATTAAGTTACCTCCTAAAGAAACGTTGAGGGTGAATTCAATATCTGATAAGTTGTTGGTGATTTAGTTATTGTACCGGTAATAATGGTATGAATCGGGTCATTGAGGAACAATGTGGGTAATTGAGAAATGACAATAGTAATGGAGTGATGGATTGGGTAATTGAGGAATAATGTGGGTAATAAAGGGATGTATTTGGTAATTGAGAACCGATAACAGTATTGGTGTGATGGATCGGGTAATTGAGGAACAATGTGGGTAATAGAGAGATGTATTGGGTAATTGAGAAGTAATAATGGTAATGGAGTGATGCATCGGGTAATTTAGGAGTGCTGTGGATAATAAGGAGAAGGTGCAGATTGATATTAGGTAGTACAAGATCAGATGGATATTTGGCAAAGGATAACTACAATGAATACTTTAACTATAGTATTCCTATCGAGGAAGTCTCCAATAAAGCTTTATTGCAAAATACATATGATTTTGAAAATCTTGAGACATTTTCCCGTTAATTTAGTGCAATCAAAGCGAACGACACCCATCAACACTACTCTGTTAACACCCTTCGTTCACGTATTGAGCGATGAATCTGCAGTGATATGTTACATTAGGCTAACACAGTATCTGGACAGGTAAAACGGTTTATATTTGTTACAAGTTGTATTGCGCACGTTGCAAAAATTTAGTATATTGCCAGTTTTCCTGCAACAATCGTTATCTTGTTGTTTGCACTTGCTGGCTACAATCTACAAGGAATTGCCGAATTTATCTTTCTGTATAAGAGTCGATTAAGAAAATCTAAATTTTGCGCGTGAAATATCCTCTGGGAATTTGCATGGATTACATGCTTCGCGCGTGTTTATTTATAAAATAAGCGCGTGCAAAACTTATTGAAACTTATCAAGTAACATGAGTCGTCGTTGCTGTTGACCAGAGTTTGCTAAATTTGCTGATATCATGGTGCATGGTTGTTTGTGTCTGTGATATCATGGCGCATGGTTGTTTGTGTCTGTGATATCATGGCGCATGGTTGTTTGTGTCTGTGATATCATGGCGCATGGTTGTTTGTGTCTGTGATATCATGGCGCATGGTTGTTTGTGTCTGTGATATTGAGCACACCTGCGTAATTTACGAACAGTGCTGAACTGTCTTCGCATTATTGGTCGTAAAGTCTGATAACAATAATGTGATGAAACGTGTTCAAACTTCAGTGTATAGCATTGAACAAATAAGTGCAAACGTGGTAATCCACATCATGTCTCGATGGAAGGTTTATTTGATGAAAAATAAACAACGTTGACGTATGATTTGAAAATAGCGGCGAATGGAACATGGCGGCTGTCACTTATTGGTTTTTGAAAGATGTTTTACGAACGATTCAATGTTTTGTTTTGTGTTCCCGAGAGTCTCCGCATGTGAAATTTTTGATTTAATGTCCGATGTATCTTCTTCGAAAACAAGGTGAGATTTCACAGCATTTTATGTTAAACTTTTTCCAGCTCTGGCCATCCACATACGACACAATCTGAAGAGACGCGCGTCTGGCAAAAGAAGTCTGGACACTGGGTATGCGTGCATTTTCATCGCTCGTCCCAGGATCCGTAAGTTGACATCACCCGGTTCCCTCGTAACTATGGTTTTGACGTGGTGCCGTCAGATTTGAATTAACTCGTGAAATATGAAGAAGATGTGTTTGTCAAGTCTTTCATTTTTTCGTTGTAGTAATTTATGTATAACTTGAATGAGCATTTTAAAATCACCCGAATTCGCAGGAATTTTTTATTGCAATTGAATCGAAATGCGTTACCTCTACATGAATTTAGTTGCCAGCATATATTTGTCCTTAAGTTGACAATATCGCAGGCGGGTACTTTGCGTAGGATAGAATTACAAATATACGGGTGTTTTGTGGATAATTTTTCAAATGTCATCTGTAAGGAACAGATGGTTAGGTAGGCAAAATGCACCATTTTTAGGAATAATATTCGCTAACTGTTCTAAAATTTTAAAAATGTACACTTCGAATATAAATGAATGAGCTTGCCTTTGTGAATTACTTCGCATCGCCAAATTATTTGTGTCTGGTTGTGAAACTTAATCAAATAATTGACGCGAGGAACAAGTTCATTTGTTTATCATAACTTTATTGGTTGAAGCTAGAACATGTCGTGTTTAGTAGGTTGCCTTGTACGACTGTGGAAATTGAGCCAGTATGTTCTCTGAGTTAAGTTTATTTATTTCATTTCTATTTATGCTTGATGTAAATCATAAATAAATGACTGCCGACATTCTTGTAATGATTTATGCGTAAAATAAAAATCCTACTGGTTTTCGCGATTCGTGTTTTTGAATTGCTCACTCGACTGGTCGGATTGTCTTTCCCGCTGCTTGCATCTTTTTCTTTAGCATCCTGTATTCTTTTGCCGTCAGCTGCTTTTTCCCTTTTTCCTATATCGTGGGAAAAAAAACGTTCAGGAAAAACGTTGGAATGGTCTCAATTTGAGTTAGTGTTAAGGTTAGGCTAACAACAGACAGCAACGGAAAACACAATAAGAGAATCCGAAAAGGGACATCTCGTTTTCTTTATATTCAAGGTAATAAAAGAGTGTTAAGACGGCCTTTGTAATGCTCGGGCAGTGAAAAAGAAGTGCTCGTTGACATAAAAATTGTTTAGCAAACAAGCAGTAGGAGAAAGTGGCCAAAACGATGAATATAAGTTAAAAAAAGTGATTATAGTATATTTAATAACTAGTGGGTGTTCCTCTTGCCTTAGTTACAGCTTTGCATCGGTTAGAATGCTGTATATAAAGTATGCCAACCTTGAAGGTGGATGATAATCATCACTATCGAACATTACTATTTAAAAGCCCCCACTGAGCAGTTGTTTTTAACGGCCTGTGTATTTTGTCTTTATTCCAAAGACATCATCAGACCAATGAACATTAAGAAAAGGAGATGTTAATTCTCGGAATTTAGTGTTTTGTACCATCTTTAATTCATGCACAGCGTTAATCCCTATCCTTATTCCTGATCCCCTATATGATTCAGATGGAAACCACCATTTGATATTTTGCATTATATCTGTAAATAACTTATATTGGTTTCGGTCAATTCGTGTACTACATTCCTTGCTTCACTAATTAATTTCCATCCGCCGATGATCAGAGAAGGCAGAGTTCAGTGTGGTGTTTTCAACTCGAAAAACTAACCCACGAAAGCTATTCGAAACGTCAAATACATTCAACCTCGAATTCACTTTCCACTCAAAACCCATTTTTTAAAAAGCCTGAACTCTACCGTGCCAATTCTCAGCAATATGAGGGGCTCATTCTACCTGTGAGTGACCTTCTTTCCTTCCTTTTGTTTCTGCTAACGTTGATCTAAAAGTTAACATGTCACGAAAGTGATCAGATTGCTGTAATCGTTGTTCATCAAAATGCACTCGTTGTAAACATACCTCGGGGCTTCCCCAACTTCCTTCTGCATTCCCTCGGTTTTCGTCTTTGCTTCGGCATGATTATCACCGCCCGTTCCGATTTCTATGGCCACGTTGCCCGTTTTCTTTATGGCTGTTGCTAATGAGCCTGCTTTCATGTTGGATTGTGCAAGCGTTGCACCTCCTAATTTCGTTGTCGTCTTTAAAACCTTGAGCAACTTTAAAGTCCGCATGTTGGACGCGACGTCGACATTGTCTTTGTTGGGCACTGGTTTCTTGTTAGCATTGCACGCTATGTTATACAGTTCTTTATACTGTGGAACTACCATAAATCAGAAAGAAGGGGGTTGACATTTTCAACGATTAAGTCGCGTTTAATAATGAACTCAGTGCACATTCAGTCTTCGTGAGGAGTCTATCACACTCAACTTTGCCTGCTCGTTACAAAGTCTTTCACCAATCTTCGTCAGACCGACTTTGAATGGGTTTTCGATTTGGGTTAATCAGACAATAGTGAGAAAAAGTTATTATTCACTCTAAGTTTCTAGTTTCTTTACCGTTTTTTCACTGTACTTTAATCATAAATCGTGATCATGTTGATTGATGACAACTCACCTTGATGGCATCTTTCTGCTCTGCCAGCCAGTTTACACATCACCAATCTATGAATATATTCTGAGAGGCCATTATCACGTTTTGTCGTGACACGTTGCAAATCCGCGAGCTCCATATCCATCACCAAGATCTCCGAATTTGCTATGGCGCTTATGTGATGCCGGGACTGATCCAGTACAAATTCTATGTCACCTTTTAATATGGAAATTTGTTTCGTATTTAGTCGAATGTGGGTTAATTGTGTACGTCGTTGTTTCTCTCACTAGTCTGACCCATGCTATGAATGTTATTCACCTTAGAAAATACGCTTAATGATCTACCTAGCCTATGGTTGTATGGTTGCCATTCACCATAAAAAATATGCTTGCAGGACCACCTAGGCTATGGTTGTCATTCATCATGAAAAATACGCTTACGGAACCACCTAGGCTATGGTTGTCATTCACAATAGAAAATATCCTTACAAAACCACCTAGGCTATGGTTGTCATTCACCATGAAAAATAGGCTCTTGTAACAGCTATTAGAATCATTAAACTCGACTTCTGTATGTACCTTTGAGAAAGGTGTGTTTTTTATTTCATCGGTATTTTGAGATTAGCGAGGAACATAAATTACCTTGGCGCTCACAAATCGTTATCCTAAGTGTTGAATAGTTGAAATGAACGGATGTTCTGCATATATTTTAGTCGTTACCTAAAATTTCTCCCACTCCAATAGTCGCCACTGTCACATTGTTTCTTTTTATTATCTCCTCTCCAGCAACGTAGCCACCTTTCGCTATCTCTCGTCTCCTTTCGATTACCGTGAGCGGCTTCTCTAGAGCGTCCAGTTTATACTGCAGGCTCAATTTTTTCGGGTTGATCTTGAGTAATGCTTCACCGCGGCAGATTATCGTGATACTCTTTACCAGGTCTCCTTGGCGCACAATCGCGCTGCCGTGATTCAATTTTCTCGTTTGCATTTTTTCCATCAAAGTCACTTTGTAATCGCTGGAAAAACCTGAGAAGATGGAAATTGATTGAAGAGTTCGTGAATTGACTACCGTGGCTCATGCCAGTGTTTATATTCGTAGAAGACCTTCATCTCTCAATTCAAGTATCCGAGCGACCGTCTGGTACCTTTACCTAATCTAGGGTTTCTATTTGATGGATTTCAAACTTTAGTTGCCTTCAACAGCGCAGGGCTCGAACTAAAGTTTGTTAAACTCGCTAACCTTCAAAAAACTGCGACTTTTCCATTAAGTTCAACTGATCTTTAGTGTTGTTGTACACATCGGCAAGCGTGGACTCGTACATCTTGCGATGCACCAGGATCGCGTCTATGCTTTCGTCGGCAATTACCGTGGCGTTCCGTTCGCTGTTCGACTTGTGAAAGCACAAGTGGCCAAACTTGTCGCCACTCCGTAGAAAGGCAATCTCTGCGCCAAATTTTAAACGTTCCTTGTGACTTTTGACCATAGTTAATCGAACCCCCCCTGATTCCTCGACGCCCGTAGGATGATCTGCGTCCTCGTTCCTCCTACCATAAACCGTAGCACTTCCACGAAGAATGATGTAGCAACTAAGGGAAATTATACTAATCACCGAAAATGAAGCTTTTAATTAATGTTAGTTATCAATGCATTGATCCATTTTCAAAGAAGTCGACCAATTTACTTGATTTGTCTTGAAATAGAAAATAATTCGTATGCTTGTATTAACTTTTATACTGAAGAATGTTCTGGCCATTCTGGTGCTGCTAAAATTGGAAGAATCGAGCGCAAAAGCGTCATTTTCAAAGGCATGTGGGAGACTTAAAAGATTACTAAAAATTCTATGTCGCGAAGAAAATATAAACAACTTTTTTACAAGTTTGAAAATTTTGCCATACAATGGATAACGCTATGTGCAGTCTTCGTGAAACTGCCTCCTGCTGTTGCATGAAATTATAATCATTTTGATTTCATGCGACATATTACAGGAACAATATTTGGTTTGCTGAGGCACACTTTAAGACAATATCTGTGTTAAAATTTTCTCAACTAAGTGCCTTCATCTTGTGTTGTTGGTTAAAAGTGGCGGCAGAAATTTGTCTCCAGGGTAACGGACTATTAACTTGTAGTTACGTATACGTCATAAAAAACTCACCAATCACCGGCCTCTCCTTGCCTCATGATCACGTGGTCTTTTTTGATTGGCACATAGTCGCACTCCCTGATAATTTCCTTCACAGCTTCTATGTGATATGAAAACGGAAAAGGCAGGTCAATAAGACGTCGTTCTTTCACTGTGCAAACATTAAAGCTACCTTTGTGAACTTCCTTGAAACACTTAACATTCTCGTAAAACCAAGGTAGGTAACTTTCAATTTCTTCATCGCTCTTTTTCAAATGACAGAGCATGTTTTGCACATCCTTCCATTGTATCCCTTTGGATTTACTCATCCTCGTTCTTTTCAAGGTTAAAGTTTCGAAATTCGATGTTGACGAGCACCTCTCACGTGGTTCGCTCTCGGTTAATTGATGTGACGTCATACAAGCACTATTGCGCATGAGCTCTGATACGGTTTCAAACGATGAGTGGAAGGGCAACACTTGCTCTAAGGAAATGGAAAATAATCTTGTCGGCTGTTTTTTTGTATAGAGTAGTTGCTATGTGTTGCTACAAGTGAGAATATGTCGTAAGATGCCCTACAAATTATTAAATTTTTCATAGCGTCTTCCTAAGTACGTATTCGGTTTTAATTAAATTTTTTTGAAAGAGTTTACTTAGTCGTTGCTTTGTTAAAATGCTGAAGTCTTTGTTCTTGCAATGTTTGTTGATCCAATGATGACTGCACGGCGTTGTTCAACATGGCGACTGTTGAACCCATTCTAGACACTGGGGGGAGAGAGGGTATACGAATACTTATACACTTGTCTTAACCCTACTATCGTGTATTATTACGACTCAAGTCAGTGACGGTTACCAAGTAGGCTAAGTATCGGCTCCCTATATGCCAGGGCTTTCGTGATGCCCGTCGTTGCTATTCTAGACTAGCTAAATGTGCCTATTTTAGACCATTTAATGCTGCTGAAAACTGCACGAGCAATTAAATAACCGCCATTGAGAGGGTAATCTGCCTGCTAGAAAAACGCAAACAAGGCAAGTCATCTTTAATGATAAGTGTATGCCTTCGTGAGCTACACTGAAGCAATTTTGATATAGACCGAGAGCATAGCTTCGTGAGCTACACTGAAGCAATTTTGATATAGACCGAGAGCATACGATTCGTGAGCTACACGGAAGCAATTTTGATATAGACCGAGAGCATACGATAGCCTGGCCTGTCACATAGATTTGGCCCAGTGGACGAATTTGGTTTTCGTGATATGAAAACATCTGTCACTTTTGTGTGCAAAAGATTATGTTATCTCTCATGAAAGTTTTTATTGGCTAACTAGTTGTGGAAAGTTCCTCCATAGAACAGATTGATTTATTCGAATCATTCCTGACTACATAATTCGAAACATCAACATCAGTTTCAATTTTTTGAAAGGTCTCTTTATACTGCGACGTGGGGATCATTTTGTCCAAGGGTGAAATTTACGCGTGTGGTTGTTGACGAGCACCGGACACGTCAATCATTGTGCCATTCCCCCTTGAAACGGTTAAAATACATCCGAGACACGTGGTTCACTCGAAATGACGTCATTGGAGTAAAGCAACGTTGCGCACGTGAAAGGCTTCCCGCGATGCGTGTCCGTTTCCACTTAAAACGTATAAAGTGTCATTAATATAATTGCCATGGGCAATTCAGTCACGCTGTTGTCTAAACAGCGTGGTGCTTACGGGGGCATGCAATGGGGTTATAGTTTTCCCTAGGGATTACTAATTGTTGCATTATTGTAATTATGTCCTTGAGAAGGATGCAAGGCATATGGTCCGGGAGACCACCTTGGTTCGCATTTTAGATACTTTTATCGTCCTCTATTTTCTTTTGAGTAACCTGCGATCTTATGCTGCATGTTGTGAAGTTTCTCTTGTTTCATTTCGATTGAAAGAAACTCGATGCGTGTGCCGTGTGCTTGTGCAAAAAGTTTGTAAATAATAGTCGAATGCTGCGTCCTCGTGCACTTGTCGAGTATTGTGGGCTTAAAAATTACTTTTGCAATCGGGGGGGTAAGATGCCATCTCAACGTCGCACGAAATAAGACTTTGAAATGAGAATCTGAATCTGACGTTCACCTTTTCAAACATTGATTCTCTCGCATGTAAAACTCACTGTAGCTATTTAAATACACCGATGAGATCAAAATGCTAATGGCTTTTCATTTTCTTCTTCAGCATAATGCAGGCGGTGAACTTCAAAGCGGTGGTTTTCATTCAAAGCCATTTAAGTGAATATTTGTGATTGATTTTTAGTTTTTGCGTTACGTCCAATATACCGTACTACTTTCTCTTCATCGCTCGATTTAATTGTTTCTCAAGGTGTAAATTAAGTAGTGCATATTTAAATGAGGCTTGATATATCAGGACAACACGCACGCATCGCTCTCATTAACGCTACTGACCGCCAATCGGCAGAGAACCAATGGAAACGAGAACGCACAATGGACGCGTGTACGTCACATTTTGAATAAGAGGTATGTACTTTAATTGCATATCGCAATACGTTTTCCCGTTGGATAGACTCAGCTACGACAAATGAGTTTCGATTCGAGTGGAGCGCTTCGACCGATTCCACGACTCGAACGAAGTATGGAATTGATGCGCCCGCGCCAGAACGTGCAATCCACCTGTACCTCTTCCGACGTCTCGTCGAAGGCGATCCAGCTCGACACGAAGTTCTGTGAAGGCAAAAGAGCCTGAGGTTGTCGAAAATGCGAAGGAAAGACGTCGTGTCAAACTAGTTAATGATGGTTTTCTTCGCTTGAGAAAACATGTTCCCACCGATCCGAAAAACAAAAAGTTAAGCAAAGTAAAAACACTTAGGAGTGCCATTGACTATATTCGTCACCTGCAACAATTACTAAATCAGGCAAGCAAAAACTCTACTCTTCAGTTGCCCGACTTCTCGAAGTTGGACGTTCTACATAGTTCTGCCGTTAATGCAAATGCTTCCTGGTTTTCTAACTTGGACTTGGTATGTATAGGCTTATTGCAGAAATCCATGTTTCTTTTGTGCGTTTTCAAATTATTTGTGCTCGTTCTTGTGAAACTCGCACATGCATGGAGCAATTCGCATTAAACTATCCTGCTGATTTTGCCACTCTTCGAAAGCATTGTCAACGTATTATAAAATCTAAATATCAAGTAATTTTGCAAATCTTTTATCGATTTGATTAGAATGAATAATATATTTTTTAAACTTGATAAATGATTTGATTGATCACTTGATATTTGTACAAATAGGTTTATTTTGCATGTGTTGATAAACACCTACGTGATATCTAATTATGAGGATCGTGTTTACCAACGTATTTTCGTAAAGCTGTTCTTCTATATGGTTTTACTCGCCGTAGAATGTTTTCTTCGTTGAAACACACAAGTCAAATTACGACAATGTGTTCATAAAGTAAGCGATAAATAATGAATAAACTTTTATTATGCGCAAGCGAATACTTTGAATAAAATGCTCAGAATGAAGGACCAAAAAATACGCATCGATTTTCTCCTGAAAATTCTTACAATTCTGACCTGTTTCTGACTTGCCAAATGCATTACAAGATAATTGAAAAAATTTCGGTTTGGTCGGAGCATGTCAAATTTACTGCTTTTCTTTCTGAGTTTTGTTTGGCGTGTTTTTGTTTGTTTCGATTTTAGCGATGTACACAAGTCTGATATATCTACGTAACTCTCGATGAGACATTTATGATTTGATTACAACGGATCGTTCTTAAAACTTTTCAATTGATGGAACAAAGGCAAATTTCGACGCGTGGCTCACCAGTTGAGTAAATAAAATACAAAATGCTAATTCCTCTCTATTTGATGAACACAATTTACCTTATCAGGCTGGCTATTCATTATCAGTTTTATCGGCTACATGTTTCATTATGGCATAAATGCATTACGAACAAAGGAACGAAGTGGTTATTCGATAAATGGCTGATAGCCGATGATTTCTGCAATCCGCCTATGAATAGAATTTCAATATATATTAGAGAACATCTGTCGTTTCTCATAAATTTAAGAGGAAACATCGGGAATTAAGTACTTTGATTGAAGTTAATATCGTTCCATGGCTTCTATACTTTGGACACACAGTGATGCTCTGTAAGGGTTCTTTGCCATTCAATAGACACTAAATATTTTTGCTTTTGATACTGCGAACTGGAGGTGTTAATGACATACAAGAAATGGGGTGCATTAGCTTTTCATTCTGTCAAATGTGACCCCAAAGGGACAAACGTGTGCATCGTGCTCCGCTGTGTGTTCAGGCAGTATAGCCATGTCAATTTTTTGTAGTCATCGACAGTTTTTGGGAAGATATTCGTTAATACTGAGACAAAATAAAACGAGAGTCATGATCTCAGTTTTTTGAAAGTACCCAAATTGTATGACGGTATAAACGTTGTAATATATAACGAACAAATGTTCGGCTATCATTTTTTATAATGTAGCTAAAGTGCTTGTTTTCACTTTGAAAAAAAAAATGAAATCGGTATATAGCGGAGTTTCTATAGCTATGAAGATATTTGTTAGCAGTTTCACATCTTGTGAATTCTTATATCGCACTGAGGAAATAATGCTTTAATTTAAGGCGATTTCATAAAAACTCAAACATAGCAGCTCAAATAGAAATCTGCCATGCAACTAGATACAAACCGACATTGTGAAACACTCCTTCTGAAGGAATTGTTAACATCATGTTCACTCTTCTTTACGGCTTTAGACAAAGAAGGAAAACCAAGCACAAGACTTCAAGGACTTTGAAGACTCTCTAATTTTCGCACCGTCTAGAATTCTGCCACGACCCACGCTGCAATTATAATGGCGACGATAAAAGATGCGTCGATTTTTTACACCCATCCACTTTCCCGTCTAAATTAAGTATGAAAATATATAACAAGCCAAGGAAATCATCTATCGACTACGAAAAGAGGTGTTGGTTAAAACTTGGCTGAGATACTAGCCTTTGACATAATTTCATCTCATTTTGAAAGTAAATGTCTGAAAGCATTAGTTTATTCACACACGAAGCAAAGAAAGAAATTAAAGCAGACCACTTTAATTCTCAATTAGACTATATCTCTATAGAAAAAGGCAGTTTTGCCATTCTATACTATTACTGTATATAGCGAATGTTTAGAAAATAATTCTTTCACCCACAACGTATACATATAATGACGAATTCCTTTTAAAAACTACAATTTTTTCCTTTACTCAAATTTTGTAAATATGCGTTGAAGAAAAGACAATGCGTTGTGAAAAATAACAAAAAGAAAAACGGAGTCCTATAAATCCCTGAACAAAGGTTATTCTTGATTTTTAACAAAGAAAAGCTCTTGAAGATGACATACTCACATAAAATCTTCCTGTTAATCATATTATGAATCGATGATTTGAACCAACCAAACACGTTTGTCGTATGGAAATTTTGTAAAACGTGGGCAAGTCTCATCAATCATTCATAGTTATTGGGCCTTCTCGTCTCATGTTTAAACACGATGCGAAAAAGATGATTGTAAACGAACGCAGGTGCAGTTTTTGAGGACGTGAAGTGTCTAAAACGCATTCAGTAATTGTATAACTGACTGCTTTAATTCTCTTGAGGCTTTTTATACTCGAAAACATCTAAAGCCATTACACAACTCAATTCCTGAGGTCATAATAGATCGTTAACGAGAAGTGACAAGATTGTTTATACAAAGATAAGCTGATTCAACTAACAATCCTTCAAAGCGATTTCACTTTTGATGTATATGGCGGCAACTTGACATTGTCAAATGGGAAGATGGAATTTGCATCTTCCTTTGATATTAATTGGAAACTCATAAAATATTTTTTCTCTCTCATTGTAAAATTAAGTAGATTACATGTGAAAATAGAAATTATGTTGCATAGCAGTCGAATAGCTATACATGAATTATGAATAACCTTCTTGCATAAGTTATGGTTTGACTTAGATTTTTGTTAAGAAAAGTCACACAAAATGTCTTCCCGTATTGTGGATGTCCATGCTCACGTGCTCACAGTTTTTGAGGAATACGAAAATATTACTCCTTTGTCAATTTAGCCAGCTTATATTTGTCGTCTTTCTTTTATGACTATTCGATTTTCTTTCGGTTTTTAGAATATGATAGGATTTAATGATACCATGAAAATCCCTCGGCGGTCGTCTAATGTTTAGCTTTGAATGAAGGAAAGGATATGTATAGCTTGGATTGCGTGTAATTTATTCAAAACAAGAAGACAGGGAATTTATGATATGGAACAGAACCAAATAGAAACTCAATGCTTAAAGAAGTAGAATACCGATCGAAATGATGCAATTAAGACTGCGAAGACACTACGTATAATGTAAAGATCATAAAAAGACCTATTGACTTATTTTATATTGTGGTGAAATGTGTTAAAATTTGGGTACGTATTTAAAACAAACTAAAGTATTTTCACGTTTGTGACGTTGTTATCAAATTTTTGGTCTTCCCTGACTGTGCTTCCTGTACTAATTGTAAAAGCAAAGATTAAAAGAGACTGGCGTTTAAAAGAGTTGAATGAGGACATTTACAAAGCGCTGAAGGAACGCATTAAAGCAATATTTCTCAATTTCAATAATCTTATAAAGTTTTCGAGTGGTCAAATTTGTTTATAATCTTCGAGTGGACAAACACAAGTAATAAGTAATTCGCCATTGACCAGTGAATGACGAGTTTAAGGACAGGTCTAAACACGTACACTTGCTTGCTTCAGAATAACGTCGAACTCACTCCAACAAGAATGACAATCTTCACCAATAGTTACCCTAAACTATTGCTTGTTTTATTCATTCTTTAAGTGACCACAGTCTGAATTCTAAATGCTTTTGGGAACTTTCTCTTAAAATTTTTTACCAAAACAAAGAAACAAATTAGGAATGCTGAATGAGAACACACGGAAATGAAAGTTTTGGGAATGAAAACATTTTTAACGGTAATTGCAATTCTTCACAGTGCTGAAGTTTCATCCCTAAGAGTGTTGGATCGAACAACGATCGTGTTTTACTTCATCAAACAAAGGAGGCAAACCTGCATTGTTTTTCAATACTAAAACCTTTGAGACAGTTTAGAATACCACACCACAAATTTTCAAAAGCATGCGGATAATTACATAAATTGTACAACAGTATGGTTAGGTAGGTTAGGGTAAGTTGGGAGTTGGGTGAGGTTAGGGTATAAGGGGATGCATGCAATGGTTGTGTGTTCGGCTTAGCTATCACATTTATTGCAGGCTTGTAGCTTGTGTAAGCATGTGGCACTGTATTCTTTAACAGCTTCGAATTGTCTTCTCTGTGTTCTTTCTAAAGATCGAATCTTCGATTCGCTACAATAGCGCTTCCTCGACCATCCCCAGGGTTCCATTTTACGTGCAAGAAACTATATCCGGCAATGCAAAACTTCGACTGACGATACTTTACCTTGGCACGTGTCATGTATGATAACGATCGCCATCGACAATAGCCCCATAGTTAAATGTCATTGTTCTTACAGGCTGTTTATTGTCCAAGAGAATTGATTATAATCGATCGCACGGTTAAGATAGTTTGCCAAGACACGATTATAAACACAAGTACGACACGCGTCTCGTAATGCACACTTATTTTCTCGGTAAACAAACGGTAGCTTGTTTGACAGATGTTTCGAGTTTATTGCTAATTGAAAAGAAGGCTTTCTAATTGCGAGATATTCGGTTCACGTGTCCATATCGTGTATAAACGGGAACACTTGGTGCGGATAATGAGGAATGTTTAATGAGTGATTTGATAATAGCGCATGACATTGAGAGATTTTCTTTGAATAGTTATCGTAGAGAGTGTTTGTTTTTCATTTTTATTTAAACTATCTTATAATGGAGCAAACGAACAACATTATAACAGAGTTTTGATTCTATTATCATCAGGGAGTTTGCTCGCAATTTTCTTCACTATATTAACAATTCTGGTACTTGATCTTCAACCATGTACGACGTAGTTTTGGTCTTGTCACACCATTCGGAAAGGCGGTCTTTCATATTAGAGATCTATGTCGACAAAAAGTCAGATGAATTAGGGCAGTGTATGTACAAAAATTGAACACGAAGGGCTCGGGTAGATTTACCACGCTAATTCGAGTTTATAGAAAGAAACAAAAGTTTACAAAAAAAAAGAATGTAATTTTACGTAAAATCAGAAACGGAAAGATTAATAAACCCGTCTCCGTTCCAGGTTTCCATTCATGCTTTTCGTTGATTGTTTCTTTTCAGACTTGATAAAAAAAACAACCCGTCAATGCATGCTAGCTACGTACCTGTTTTTTATCAAGGACACGAGGTTGCACCCAAGATACGTGGACAACTTTGTTTACTTCATTTATAGACCCTGAAGAAACAATTAACGATCGTGTTAGAATCTCTGACTCTCCGGCAAACAGGAGTCGATTATTTCATGGTTGAATCAATACCGAAGAAAAAAACTTAAGAAAGAAAAAAATAGGGAAAAATCTAAGTCTTCCAACGATTCATATTGGAGTGATTCCCTCCGCTATATATACGGCTGAACAGAAGGTATGTTGAAGGTTTCGTGTGTGGTCAATTTTCAAGAAGGTGCTTTTGCAGTTTGAATTCAAACCTGTCTTGTAGTTTGAATTTATACAAACAATCATGTCGCAGTCTGCAAAGATCATACGATCATTTTCTGATCGTTTGAATTCAACACTGAGCTGGAGTTCAGAAAAAAACATGATCGTGAGACAATTGTCTTATGCTGCATTATCATTACCATGATGCTTAGCGAACTTTTGCCAATTCGAAAGATATGATTACGACCTGTTAACTTTATATACGACCTAAATTGGATTTCCTAATTCTTGTGTGCCCGCTAGCAAGTGTACAGCTATAAAGACTTTTAATCCTTTGAGCTGGTCTGGTTTTTTAAATAAAAGCACATGCCAAAACGATAGACAATTTAGTACGCTCGTCCTTTAAAACTACTTCAAATATTTGATCAAGCTGTAAAACGGTGTGAAAACTGTAAAATCTTTTCAACCTTTTATCAATCCAATCGATAATGCTTTCATGACGAGAAGTTCGACCTGCAACAAGAAGAGACAGCCTGTGTCATTAGATAAGCTTTTAAATGACCAAAATGCCTGCAATACTTTATGTAACCTCGTTTAACTGAATTTGAGCATGCGTGGCAATTTCTTGAAATTGTAGTGAGCGATCATTTGGCGGTCGATTGAAAGCCATCTAAAAGACAACCAAAGACGCAATGTGCTTTTACTCGGTTATTTTTTTGCGTTGTAAATGTTCTAAAAGTTTTCAACAAACCTCCATTAGGCACAGTAATGTTATCTTCTGTCGCAAAAGCAATTCGTTACTTGCAAGATCTGGCTACAAAATTGATATTAAAAAAAATTATGTGAGATGTGATGAAAAGGCCTTTATATATAAACCGGGAAATTTTGTTTTAACGAAAACAGGTTGCACGAACGATTCTTGGCATTTTCCAAGCCCTTACAAACAAAGAACAACAATTCAGGATTATAACAGACGATGTCTTCGCTAAATCAAGAAAAATATGCTATCATCATCCGCAAGCAAAGCATATTCTTTGTCGGGTATCGGACTTCAGCCATTTACCGAAATCAATTTTTTGGCAGAAAATATAGACGAAGTACAACCGCATGCAGATATAACGATGGAATAAAGTTCTCGGGTTTTAAATTCTATTAATTCCTCACCACGTATCCGTTGAAGGCTACAGTTTCGTAGCCGAAAACTTGTAAAAAATGAATAAAATTTAAAAGCAGAGAATTTTTATCATTTTAAGCTATAGTCCATTTTGCATTCGACAATTCTCTTTCAGACGTAGAACAGACATCAAGAACGGTGGAAAATATTGAAATGGTGAATTGACATTGTTTCGCGATATTTTCTTTCCTTCAAAAAGTTACATTCGAGAGAATTACTTGTTTTGTCCACGTTGGCTTCAGTTTTTCGAATCTGAGAATATCTCCTGAAGAAGAAAAAGAAGAATGAGAAAAATAAGGAACGCTACATGAATAACGTTACGAGGATAAGCGAATATATTAATATTTTTATCCTGTCAGTTGACATCAGGCTTGAGTGTGACTGTGAACCATCATTAGGTATAATTGACTGGATAACGTATCAACGGACGAACATTGTTCGTACAAAAATTGAAGCCGGAAGCTGGCTTATATGATGACGACATATACTCCGGCAAATGAGCCAATTAGCAGCTAGCGTTATAACCCAACCAATTGTGGCAAAGAAGCTTACTTCAAACGTATTGCATGTATGGTAAACAAAATGAAAATCCTACCACTGTTAAACGCGTATAGTAAATTGACAATCCATTCATCTTTCGAATCTTTTATAGAATCAAGCACTGGATGAGCCAACTAAAAAAAACAGCAAATGAAGCAGTGAAGTGTTTAAAACTAAAAAATAGCATCAACACCTTTAGACTCGGTACTTCTTTCAACTGAAATAAAGCCTTAATAAGACTTAATGTTGCGCTTTATAGCTTTCACTTGAGGCACAATGCGTAAGGCATTTTGAAGAGAACTACGTTTTTGAGATATGGAGGAAATTTTACATAAAACCTACCAGTTCACCGAAATTATAAATGTCACTTCCAAGTAAAGCTGCCAATGCTAAATTGAAAGCTCGCTCTTCCTGTTCTCTTTCTGAAAACGAAATTTTCACACTTCTTTTTTCCACCATATCACGTAGAGATGAAAATTTGCTCTCACAAACCTGAAAGGTCTGCTATGTCTAAACAGCCCAAGAACCTGAGTGCATTTCTGTAGTAGTCGTTGAAAGAACCGGCCAACTAGTAGGTAATTAAAAATAGTAAGACTGATGATTGAAAGACCAAGACTAGATTAGAGAAAATTCTTTTGACTGAAATAAGTCTGAAGCGAATGAGTTTCATGTGCTAACATTACAAACATGAAACAACCTTATCGTAACCAGAGGAGAGATCATAAAACTGTGCATGAACAGTAGTTATGCCTTCGATGTTCTCAAGAAGTGTGTTGACTTCTTCAATTATATCCTGCAAACAAATGCATTAATTGTAACAGTACAGTGCAATCAGAATTTATCATCCCCCAACAAGTAAACAATTTTGTCTTGCAGTTTTTCTCTAATAAACCAGAATTATAAGTCTGTCGCCCATTGTTTGAACATAAACTTGTTACAAGTACCTTTTCCTTTTGCTTTTTAAGAAACGCAATAGCCTTTTCTGGATCTTTACAAAAATGAGAAAAATATTGAGTGGTAAGAACGTCAAAATTCATTTTATAAAAGTAATGTTTCGATGATAGAAAAAAATGTCATAAAAATGTTAGGCCTTATGAGTAAAAGGTATCTTGGCAAGCGTGTCTTATTTAATTAATGTTTGCTCATGTAAAAGACTAAAATTGCTAAAAGCTCTCTGTTGTGATAATTGTAATCAAAATTTCTCAAGAAATGACTTTATTCTCTAGTTACAGGAGCTCATAAACCTTGGTGAGAACGGCTTTGCCATAGAATCTTTGAGAAAATTGCACTTCATGATACATGTAAAAAATATATATGTATTTATATCAGTTTAAACTTTCAAGGCTGATAATACCTTGAATTTCCTTGACAACTGACATTAAGATCTCCATTAAAGATAGATGATTGATTCTGTAGCATGATAATATTCATCAAAATAGTCATCAACGACATTCAAATCAACTGAACGAATTTGGAAACAAATAAAACGTGTATTGAACAACAAACGCTTACCTGTTTTCAAAGTCGGAAAGGAAATTTTCGTATAACTAGGCAAAGTAAGAGAGAATTTCAACTTACGTGGTCTTTATACATTATTACAACAAAATTATCTCCAAAATATGTGGGTTTTAAACTTGTAAACCTCAAGCAGTCCTCCATTCGTTGAAAAATGCTCGTTCTTGACAAACTCCAACAGTTTTAAAGTCAACTGATGCCACAATCTGAAATGTGCCGGTAGAAATAATGAAAAATTGTACCGATGATCATAAAATTTACCCTGTGGGTGCCATAATACCATAGATATTACAGTGATCGCTGATGAGGAGAAAGAGGACAGAAATTTCAGAAATCAAGAGAGAGTGAGGGTCTTCGCCAATAGTACCTTTTATCGTATAATTCTGCCATAACAGACCAATCACTACATAGTGGTTGATTTGCACTTTGTTTCTGCGCCAGATAATCCTTTACGTCCATCATTTTCTTCTAGATTTATGTCCGACTCTACTTATTTACGAACGATAAGTTGTGTTTCGATTTAAAAATGGCAGACATTATGAGCCTATATGTACTTATGTCCAGCGAACTATTAATCTAGTGCCAGTCGAAAATAGTGCGGGATTCTTCCCGCCAAAATTTAAAACTCCAAATCCAAAACAAAACATGAACTTGAAATGGTCAGTAGGGTAAAAATCGATTTTTCATCCTTCACTTTGACCGTTGCTTTCAGTATTGATAGGTTTTTATAGGTAAGAGGTCTTGGTAAAGTGTTTAAAGTTGAGGTGGTAACCGCTGTCTTTATCAGTGAAAATATGTTTAAATAAATGTCAATGTTTATTTTCATGTTTGTATAGATTTAGATTATAGTCCAGATTAGAGCAATGTCATTGCATTTTTTAACTTCGCTCCACCGTTCTTGTTGCAGGAGACGACAACTATCAAAAACATGTCACAAGGCACAACTCAGTTTGGTCGTCAGCCAGGTATGAAACTACAGGATCAATCGCCAATAATTTTTGCGATTTTCTAATATGAAAACATAGAGTTTAAAATACTTTGTGAATATTTCCAGCTCATTTCCTTATTGTTGATCTGTCCAAACCTATGAATCACGATGCTTTATTGAATATCTTCCAAAGTCTTGGTGACTTCTTTTCCCTTGTGTCTCAAATATCTGGGCCATCACAAGTCCCTCTATTTGGGCTTAACACCATTGGACAATTTGCTGAGGTATGAAATTTCCTGCAAGAAGTAAATCATATAGATCAAACTTTTGCCATTTGTGTGGCATTTTTCTTAGGCATCTTCTTAGCTATCCCTCTTCATCCTATGAAAGGCAACTTTGCCTCCTCTATTCAGTAATTCAGAAAGAAATCAGCCATGGACAGTTCTATGCCATTTTTGAACCAGGCAATTCAAACAAGATAGTAGTCGATTTTCCTATCTTGTATAGAAGATACACTTTCCACATTGAACAGCTCTACTGAATGATAGCATTCTACTTAAAAGAATACATGTAGAAATGTGACCTTTCAGTTTAACTGTTGGACATTGGATTTTAGAATCTATTAGTCAGGGACTGAAAGATGTTCTCACTCAGTATGAAAGACAGCAACAAACATTTAGACAGGTATTACAGATTTTGGAGAAGTGACATTATTCATGATTAGCCAACTTTGAAGCCGTATTTATTCTTGAGCATTTGTTCATTAGGTACGTGCATTAGCTAGCTACTTTAGTTTGTCCAATGTACTAGTTGGTGGTAAGCATTCGCAATGCACTAGTTGCAAGCAGTTTTAGTTTGTTTTAGTCATATATTTTATTATTGCAGGAATTAGTTTGTTTTTGCAAAGCAGTCACTCATTGAATGCAGTTAGAGCTCAGAAGCTTATCTATAAACGGTTCGAGGGGCTTGCACTGCAACCCTTCAGAGGATTGGACTTTTTGATAGCTCGTTATTGAAAATTTAATGGCATTACTATATTTTCAATTAATACACGCGTCTCCCTGAATGGAATCCTGGATCCCTTTTTCAGGCCATAACTCCACTGTATTGCTTTTTTATCCATTATCACTTATATATTACATTGTATTCTAGATCACGAATTTGCCATGTCAACTGGAAATCACCATAGTAACTTGCCAACATTCTGACATCATTAGTGCGCATGTACGAAAGGTTTCACGCACATTGAATTTGGATTGCTTGAAGGTAAATGCATGTTGAATAATTAATGTGAGTACGACATCTTCATGAGTCAGAAGAGCTGTTATATGTGCGTCGAGTTGCTTGAATATCTGCGCATATATTTGTCCGCGTCTTTTTGTGGAAAAACGGTGATGTGTGATTTTGCCGAGGACATCAATGACTGACTTTTAGAAACTAGAAAGCTCCTGAACGGGAGAAATTTATTATCCGTTTGAAGAGATATAGAGGCTTCGGATGGAGTTTTAGGAGTGGAGTTCTCTCTGAACTGACTGTCCGTAGGTGACAAAGAAGATGGTCGTCAAATAATGTGCACGTTTGCTAGTTTGCTATGCACTTTAAATCTACTTTCTTCTCTTTAGAAGGTACAAGTTGTGAGGGTGAAGTCTCAAGAAGCTCTCCAAAATGAAATGAATAGTCCATCATCAGGCATGTCATAGATGTGTGCACAATGTGATTAATGTAAACCATGAGTCACTTAAAGACGAATTCGACTGAGAACAGACTCCGCGGTGGGCTGAGCCGTTGTGAGATGAAAATTGTAGTTATGATACCGACTCTTTTAGACTGCCGCACTTCTATTTCCTTATGTTTTGAGTGTAAATGTAGGCTTAAATGTCTTAATCAACTACCGATCTGAAAAATTATTAAAGATAAATTGTAAGAAAGACAGACTGCACAAGAATCGTTCGATTTTTTTTGAATATACAAATTGGATGTTTCTAAAATTTCTAATAAAAATGCAATTCGACAAGAAGTTTAGAAATAGGGAAGGAAGGGGAAAGTGGATTAGTTGCCTCCATTCTCTATGGGACTTTTGCTTGTATTCTGTGTTGACAACTCCATATTCTTCTTTAGTTGAATGCTGTTCTGATGACTCAATGGAAGCAATTTCGGACATCGTTGACGTACTTTCTATAGAAAATGGCAAGTTGCTGATTATGTTTATTAAGCCCTTAATAACCGAGCGCGAGGTCATTACAGAGTAATAACAGACCGAGCCCGTAGGGCGAGGTTTGTACAAAAAGACAGAGGTCCGATATTTCTCAGTAAAGACCGAGAAAGTGAGGTTATTAAAAGGATTATTATATGGCATTATTTGACCTGAAACGAAGCTTGCTTTCTTTCTCGTCCTTGCTGTTTTTACGGGTTGATTTTCACTTTTCTAGTTTTCGTCCATAAAAAATAAACTCGCTTCAAATTGTATCGTCTAGATAGTTTAACTGTTTTCCAAGTGTTTTTCCTTCGAATCACATTCGCAAATGGTTTTTTGTTTCGTTCATTTTGCGTTTTGCTGTTTGCATTACGAAATTTGTTTACATTTGACAGTAAAATTACGCGTTTTTGGATCGTGGTCGATTACGGGAAAATAATGGATCGGCAAAAATGTTTCTGAGCCAATCAAAGCGCATCATTTAGCCGGAAGTGACACTTGCCATATAATAATTCTATGTATTCCACTGTTCTTTGAGGAAGTTATCAAGCTTCTCAATCATGTAGAAGTTGGCCACCACACGCTTATGGAATTTAATGATTTTGTTGTTGCTTAATGTCATTGCTTTGTTGTCAGTTGGAAAAATCTAATAATCGTTTTTTCTACGCTCGTCATTGTGTTGCATATGTTTTTCTATAGATGCTCTCTGTATGATGAATTTCTTCAAAGTGTGGTTGAAAGACTGTAGCTCTGACACTGAAAGTCTTCATATCGTTTTGCCTACTTTAACGAGCTCGTCTTCAGGTATTTATACTGGGCTTGTTATATCTAATAATAATAGCTAATCTTTATTGAGGATGCCAACATCACTAAAAAGTGGTTTACAGAGGGGTCCTCTAAAAGTAACTAAATATAATATAACTACTTAAAAATAAAAAGAAAAAGAATACAAATCGAAAAATATGAAGATAAAACTACATCATTTAAAAATTAATATGCTAAAAACGAAACTAATTAAAATAGTGCTTTCTTGATACCACGCTTAAATTGGCTTAAGGTGGGCACATCTCTTAGGGAAAGGGGTAAGGCATTCCAAACGTCCGCTGCAAAATTTATTGTTATCCAGTGCCCCCATCTTCTGTGTGCGAATGATTTGCGGATATTTCGCTTTGATCGTGTATTATAGTTATGATAGTTACTGTTAAAATATTTCATTCTGCACGTGGATTAAAGGTGGTTTCCAGTCGGTATCCGCTATATAAATGGTATTTTTTTCAAATACTTCAAAAATCTCCGGGCCCTCTACTTGGCAAATTTTTTCAATAGTTTGTTCTCGTTTCGTTTGGTGATTGCTGCAGACAAGCTACCCTGCCGAGTAAAGGGTTGAAAGACCATAGCTGCAATTTACACTGGATTATATAAAAGCGCAAGTTTAATGACTGCCTAGGTTCATTTTTGTGAAGAATATGTCACATTGACTCTGAAGATGACTACCGCTGAGGTTGTCGAAACGTCAGTCTACATCAACACCAACAATCCTTCTCAGTACTCTACTAACCTGGACAATCTTCATCCACAAACATGTTGATATGTCACATTCATATTGCATAGACATATATATAGACATATTATTTTAAAGAATTCCTTCTCTCCTGTTGGTTCTTTCGCTACACGACAGTCCACAAGCCCTTACTGTCAGAGGCGTAACTAGAACGTTACTTGGGGTGGAGTGGGGTGGGGGTGTATATTCATATATTCCGATATGTCCTACTGATTTCTTTTGAAATTCAAATCACTTTCAAAAGAAATCAGTAGGGCCCAACAGAATATATGAATATGCACTCCCTCCCCAGTTAACGTTCTATTTACGACTCTGCTTACTGTATCATAATGTCTGTACTGGCCATAACATTGATTGTATTATGTATATGCATCCCTAGATATTATGGTAGATGACAGCTCATCTGGCTGCGAAATGGTGTTAAAATGTGATCTACACGAAGTCTTGATTGATCCTCTTGCACTGCTAAATTGCGGAGAATACTTTGTAAGTTCATGCATTAAGGCAACTGCACGTGGCTCCGTCTTTGCTGTTTTGTTATACGGTCTCTTAAAAGAACATACACAACGCTTGAGATCATTGTAATCATATTGTATGTTCTTCGGTTTTACTGAACGGTCACAAAGTACACATGCTATAAGAAACGATATGCATTAATGTATACATTAATATCTTTCCATCAAGTTTAACCATCGAATGGTTGGAAGTTTTTTTGCACTTCAGTTTCGTTTCACGTAACGATTGTTGCGCATGAGCAGCAACAGCGATCCCTACTCACCAGAATCCACTGGTAAAATTCTTGTCGCCGTAAAATGCTATGTTTTACATATATTATATTGTTTAAATGACAGTTGTACCCCCCTCCTCCCCCTTTCCTTTTGACCGCCCTCCTCCCTTTGACAGAAAATTCTGGCTACGCACTGCTCTGTGATAAAAGTTAAGCCAACGTTTTTTCTTTCATTATCTGCTTAATCCTTTATTTGAAAGCATCATTATCTCCATTTATCTGAAAGCATCCGTATTTCTTCTTCTTCATGGAAAACTGATGCTCGCTCATATAATAAACTTAATTATATTTTTTGTAGAATTTGAAAGGCGACTACACCTTTCCCAAGAGTTATTCTCAAACGAACAGACCGGGGGGCGCATCGCAATTCACTAAGAAAGTCTCCAGATTAAGAGCTCTGTCTCTTGTGAGGACGAACGGAGTCTGTGAATCTGTGGTATGATGTGTAAAAGTGTAAAACATTTCGTTGAAATTACCAGGCTTCGTGAAAAAAGGAGTGCTTTTTTAAAGTACCTAAATTTAATATTATTAACTCTTTATATCTTCCATCCGTTCTGATCCTTTTGATTGGTAACATCGTGTACGCAGCTGTACGGATTGGTAAGCCCATCATAAATCAACTTCATTTTTATTCTTGGATATAGTGCTGTATATGCATGGAATCAATTTGGAAGTTTTGCAACAAAAAATAAAGTATTAAATTTGAAGTATACATATAGCTATGTTTGAATTGTCTACAGCCCATGTATGCAAGGCCAACGTGCTGCTGGAAATTGGACTGGGATGAACTGGAGTCGAATCAACAAAATTTCAACTCCCTGTGCAACCTGTTGAGCGAGAAGGTGAAAGTTCAGACCGCTAAAGCAAAATAAATTTAAGTTAACTTAGTGGTTGGCAAAATAAATTTAATTTAACTTAGTGGTTGGCAAAATAAATTTAAGTTAACTTAGTGGTTGATGAAGGGTGCATTTTTACCGATGAAGCTTTGTTCGTGAGCTTGTTGTCAGTTTAATTCACATTCACGTTGAGTTATTTAGTAAAGTACTTCGTTCGCAACCCACATGTAGTTTTAGTATGATTCAATAATTAATGTGATCAGCGCTAACCGTGTTATAATGACGTTTGTATGTAAATTTTTCGTTGTTGCATATCTTAGGAGTTATCTTTGATACTGAAGTCTGAATTCGGGCACCAAGAGAAAGAGCAATCCCTTCCACAATCGTACTTTATGGTAATGGCATCTTCCAACTCTGCCAGCATGATCATCAAATCTGTGGCAATGGAGGAGTTGATGTTGCCCATGGATTTCCCCTCTCTTTCTCAGAAAACATCTCAGCAGTCGGTGGAATTTATCGAGGAGAGCTTGCATAAGGTGAGCTTTTCCTACCCTAAATATTGTAGTTGTAGCTTCAAATTAAAAAACAAAGAACAATGTCTGCATTTTTGAGAGGAATTGCTGGGAACATCGCCGCGATTATCACGATGTTTCGTTTGTTTACTTTGGGCTATAGTTCCATTTCAATGTTTCAGCTGCCCTTGTTAGATGTTTATAATCCATTCTTCATGAAGTCGAATCTCTTCAAGTTCATTGTTTCGAAGACGATCAAAAACAGTTCATCATCAAGAGGCAACAAAAGAAAATTTCAAGCTCCTCAGGTCATTCAAACATGTTTTTACATCCTGTTCTATATTTACTGTTACACAACGTATTACACTTTTAGAGGCTTAACGAAGCCTGTTTTGGATGAGAAGGCCAAAATTCTCCCAAAAGCTGCGAGAAGACTCCTAGATCCATGCCCAACGGTTTTAAAGGGAGGGTGCTCAAGTTTAGATTAGATTTCGGTGGCCACTTCGGCAAGAGTGATCTAGAGTAATCTAATCTAAATAAAAATTTAACTGACAGACTTTTTGTCAGTTAAATTTTTATTTGAAGTGTGCTCCATTAAACACTAATCACAATTCTTTTGCTTAATTTTGTATTTTGCGAGGGATATTGGCAACCCTCCGCACACCTCCCCTAAAATCAATCCTGGAAGACTCTCAAGATGTATACGTAAGATCTCTTACGAGGTTGACGCACGTTTTTTATTAGTTGCTTTTATTATCGGATGAAATGTATCTTTTGAATGTGTTACGTAAGTATGTGTATTCAAAGAATATCATACATTTTATCATTGCTGTTGGATATTTCACACAAGTGTAATGAGGATCCCATTTTATTGGGACCAAGAAATACCAATGAATATCAGTTATATAATCTATGCGTGACGACTTTTAAACAGTTGTAAAAGTACTTAAATGTAGATATGATCTTCGCACTTTGTTGGACAATTTAAGCAATTGTCTCATAAACCTTAAATTGTCCAACAAAGTGCGAAGATCATATCTACATTTAATTTCAAACACCGCACTGCATAAAAAAAACACATTCTTTTGTATAAGTACTGTGAGTGAATTGATGTACCCTATATGCTTATATATATATATATATATCATTTCTGTATTTCACAGAAGATGCAAAACACACAAAACAGGTCATTCTCTTCTAATAACAGTTGTCGTGGTGGAAAACAGACCGCAACAGGTCGTAAAAAAGTTAGTTTTCAATCCCCAGATACTCATCGATATCCTACTGCTGCCAGCTCACGAAGTGTACAAACGCCGAAAAGATCGCGAATGTTATCGAAAGTTTCGGTGATTGGCGGAAATACGTCATGATCTGTTGATCATTCAAGGTACCAATACGAAATTATGTGAGGTCGATTTGAGTGACACGTTCTCATGGTTTCAATGCGAGGTTCATATGCATGCAACTCGAGTTATTTATTTTTATGAAACAAAGACGTGGTTGTGGTTTCAAACCGCCTATTATTGCTCTGAACAGCGTATTTGTAATGGCGAAGGACAATTGAGTAGATGAAGAGCTGTTGAAAACCGCAATAAAGACTGGTATAAAATTAAATGACACGATGTCTTTAGGCCAGATTTCTCATGCGTGACACCTGGTGAGAAGTCTCCGGAAATGTATCGTGTCATTTAATTTTGTAGCTCTTTTAATTTTGGTTTTCATTTTTAAGAACCACTCAATTGTAATTCTCCGTGACAAATACGCTGTTCAGAACAATATTTATTTCTTTTTCCTTGTACCTGTCCTCTATGTGCACAATATCCCGGTGATTTAGTGAGAACGACCCTTCGACACTCCTCTTACTTGCCTTGTGTCATGTGACACCCAATAATAGTTTCGACACCCCATGTGACACCCAATAATAATTTTGACACCCCATGTGACACACAATAATAGTTTTGGGATGAAATTTGGAAATCGCCTGGTACACTGTTTCATGTTAAAAAGCGTATTTGACGTGGATGTCGAAAAACCTAGTGATTTCTTAGAATAGAAACTTGAAGTCACCCGGTGTACTGTTTCATGTTGAAAAGCGTATTCGACGTGGATGTCGAACAACCTTGAGATTTCTTAGAATAGAAACTCGAAGTCACAACGTGTGTTTAGCGTATGTGTGTATCTTGTAATAGTCCTGTATTCGACGGTTGATCGTGATGATAGAAAGATGTCGAAAACCTAGAGATTTTGAATAGAAACTTGAAGTCACCTTGTGTACTGTTTCATGTTGAAAAGCGTATTCGACGTGGATGTCGAACAACCTAGAGATTTCTTAGAATAGAAACTCGAAGGCACTTGGTGTACTGTTTCATGTTGAAAAGCGTATTCGACGTGGATTTTGAACAAGAATAGAAACTCGACTACATGATTTTGCATTCCTAGGAGACGGCCCCGCGTTTACAAAAAGAATGGTACCTTTTTAAACCAATATGCGCTGTACGCTTGAAACACCTTTGAGCGATTTTGCAAACACTCTTGTAGAGGAGAGAACAAAGAATGTTCGCACATGAGACAATATTGTTGGTTTTGCAAGTCTTTCGGTTTCTTGTTGGTATTCAAATTCGCTCGTATCGTCATGTGCGAAACTAGTGGGTTTGGAAAGGGTGTCTGCAAACGTTTTATGAATACACGCCACAACCTGACGAGCTGGTTTTGTATATTCATTCTTTTTCAGAAGTATATACGGGCACTTTACCTTTATCATCTACATGCATAACCCACGTATAAACGCGAGACTTGAAATACCGTCTCAGACTCGGTTTCACTTCATGTCTTTAAGTGCAATGCTGACCCTAGGCCAGTGTCAAGGCTCTAAGTCCTTAATAGTCGCATCCACCCCCTGATTTAATGTCAAAATGTACTATTTTCGGACCGGTAAAATAGTGCATCTTTTATCGTTTGCAACTACTTAACAATATTTAGTGAACAAAGGTGAAAGGATGTACTACTATCTATGCCTCACGATATAAAAACTCTTAATTGTTTCTTTCAAAAAATCTTAAGAAGCCTATTGAACGAGGAAGCTCAAAAATTCCGTGGGAACAAGCCTTTTTGTATTTATGTAGTATATCATATGCATGTATATGTTACATGCAGGTGGTCGCGTCTGTATATGAAAGGAGTTGTCAAATTGCTTCACTTGTGCTGTGAGAACTTGGTTTTCAAAAACACTTCGGTTTTATGCTCATATTGTTTGGTTTTTAGCTTTCCATAAATATTGTATTTGTGCAATATCGTTATCTCGGCAGAAAAGTGGAACACACGCCCAAGTGATTATCTTTTCAACGTGTTATAACTACGTATGCGAAGTTCACTTGGTAAAAACAATTATTTGGACGCCTGTTGTTCAACTTGTGGCATCATCGTTCGCTCGTCAGTTTCGTTTTTAATCGACCAATTATCCGCCATTATTTTGTTTCCTTTTTCTTTGACGTTGAAATATCAGCCGCCGTCGTTCGCTTGAAGACAGTGTTTCCTGAAGAGTGAAAAAAGAGAGACGAAAGAGGAAAGCTTGGCTATACGGTGGAGAAAACTGCTAATCAATCTACAGTAACCAAAAATTCATTTTAAATTCACCATTTCCGAAATATTTCCTAAATATTTCTCTAATTTCACTCAAATCTTCTTCACTCTTTCTTCATTGAGTAGTCGTTAATTATTAACACAGTGGTGCTGAACACTCGTTAATTTAAACAGTCGTAGTTTGAACTTTATTCCAAAACCGAGGTACCTTCTGATCGAGCGTATAATTCGTCGTGTGTTTCATTTGAAGTATGTGGAAATTAGTCAAGCAATATTTGACTGTCGGACGAATTATTACATACGTTGTTCAAACGGATATGAAGAGACTCGTCAAGTACATTCGCGTTAAAATTGGAATAAAAAATTCTCGTTTCAGCTAATTTTTCCTTGACAGTTTCGTTGTATGTTGCTCGTAAACTTTCTATGGTAAAATAAAATTTGCTTACTTAGCTTATTTTGTGTGTTTTCATTGTCTTATGTTGTGTGTACTTTTGAACTTCTATGTCTACTCTGTGTTTTCTTGTTTCTTCTTTTCATTTGCATCTTCTTTTTGCGTCTTCTCTTCATTTGCACCTTCTTTTTGTGTCTTCTTTTTCTTTGCATTTTCACCTTGTTGAAGCTAAGATATGCCAATGTTATTGTATCTAATTACTAACCAATTACTGACGAGTTAACAACGCGAGTCACTCGAACTTACATAGATTTCTTTGACTTCTTTCGTCCTTTTTTGACTCTTTTTAATTTAAATTTTATGCGTAATTCGTGTCTATTTTATGTGTTTACTTTACGTTCACACCTTTTATAACATGTCTATCATTGTCTCTACTTTTCTAAGAATTGGTGACGAATTAGAAATGAGTTACTCTGACTAAACTAGTTTTGTGTTTTCTTTTGTTCTATTTTGTGACTGTTTTACATTTACATTGGTGTTTACTTATCTTTATTCTCATTTTCTTCTTATTGTGTGCATCTTGTATAAAGTAAGTTTTCTATTGTATATATAGTGCTATTATACCAACGAATTACTGGCGCTGACCTGTTCCTTTATTTCCTCTTCACTTGCATTCCCTGCCACGTTGCAACAAGAGTAACATGAAGTTTTGTCTTCAATGAGCAATTAACTATAGATGTACCTGGAAGTACCATGTCTTGATTGTCTTGGACCGAAATTTCATAATTATCTGCCAGTAACATTGAATATAGAGAAAATATGAGCATTTCTGTTACCGTTCGTCTTGCTTTGGCTTTTATTATTCCTTTATTAATAACGAGCCGTGGATATAAGAAGAAATCTCTGAATTTCAGTGGAGCCTTATCGTCTCTGATCGTTGGCTTTCTGTTGACTTTTACGAATTTTTGCTTTTTTTCTGCACTTTTTGCGTTCTTTGCATCTGCATCCTTCGTGACCAAACTAAAGGCTGACGTGAAAAGGAAAATAGAGCACGATTTTAAGGAAGGTTTGTGCGAAGTACACGAGTAACACTACAAAAAACTTGCAATCCAACTTATTCGAATTACACGTATCATAATTAAATTGTTACATTACAATGTAACACCTCTCGCAATTATTATAATGGCATGCCGCACAAATTGCTCTGAATTTAAAATTGTGTACATATGTTTCATAGCTGTTAGATTGCAATTTAAATTAGGTAATCTCTGTGTAGGTGGTCAAAGGGACTGGCTGCAAGTTGTATGCAATGGAGGTGTAGCTGTTGTTGCATGTATTTTGTATCTGATCGAGGTAGGCTCGAGAACAACCAATTGATTTCGCCAAAGATATAATCGCCTTTGTTCTCCATTGCCTTGCTGGGATCGTTAGCTTGTTGTAATGGTGACACCTGGGCTTCTGAAATTGGATCAGTGTATGGTAGTTACCCACGATTGGTCACCACCTTACAATTGGTACCTGTTGGCACTAATGGTGGTATCACTTTGATTGGTACTGTGGCCAGTTTGGTTGGAGGCACCATTGTAGGTGTGGTATACTATGCAACCATTCAGGCGATGATGACATTTGATATGACACTTGCAAATTATCCACGCTAATGGCCAATTATTTTGATCGGATCGCTCAGTGGATTGATAGGCTCTTTGATTGATTCCATACTTGGTGCAAAACTACAATATTCGGTTATTGTCATGTCCAAAAGAATTGTTCACTCACCCTCATCAACAACCAAGGACATTAGTGGACGGACATTTTAAGCAATCACGGTGTGAATTTTTTCATCATTAATGACAGCATCCATAATGCCAGTTATTGCATAATGGATTGTGGAAATATATGTAACTGGATTCAACAATAGCATGTGACCAATTCAACCTGATCAAAATAACACACCATGAAGCTTCAACATGTCTGCAAATTTATTTGAAACCTCATACAATATTTATAAAATTAAATACAAAACCTGCAGTTTAAAACATTTGTCCATGGTAAAGCAAGCTAAGATTAACTGTAATTTTGAATTACGTTTGTGAATTATAACTACAAAAGGTAACAACAGAAAACACTTCTAAATTCTAATTATCGAAATTACTTACAGAAAAAATATAGCACAGCAAGCATATAAGCTTATACTTTGAAAGTTATAATTAAAATGATACACATTGTTTTGTTAAAAGTAATTAAATACTAATTTATTTCGTGCCACTATTAATATGGTGTTCCAGGTAGTTTTTAGTGACTCATTAACAAGGTGCTTGTTTCAGTGAAGTCATTGCTTTTTGTTTTGCTAAGAATTTTTTTCATTTTCGATCAGTGTGAAGCACCCATAAAACACATAAAATCCCAGAGACAAGGACGGTGGCCACAGTTGACCAACTTGGTTCATTAAGTTGGAAATTCTCGAGAAATCCATGCTAGAGAAGAAAATGAACACAATTTGAAGTAATAGCTCTGCAAAATATGATATCTTTCAATGAGAGAGAGAGACAAGAAGTGCTATTTCCGGAGTGTACTTAATGGAATCAAGTTTCAATTGGTAATACACATTGCACACTACACATTTGCGGTGTCTTTATCATACATATCAAAATATTGAATGCAACTGGAGTGTTGGGGGATTCCCACCAAAAGGTAAAATAGAGTTAGGACATAACAACTGGCACAATTACACACTGACTTGCCTTGTTTACATTTTACTGACTGGCAGATTTTGTCAAGTGCTTTTGGACAACACAAGCAACAAGTAGCCTCTCTTGGGATTTAACTGCCAGCCAGCAAAATGTATTAACACAAGGCAGGTCATCTGTTCAATATGCTGCCATATAGAACTGCCAGCAACAATCAAAGTAAGTTAGGATTTCGCCTCTAGGTTGTACTAGTATGAGGCAAGATATTCAATAATTACTCCTAGCAACTTTTTGACCTATGAATTTCTAGAGAGAACACTGCTAGGACATAGGCCATTGGGAAACCGATCCAAAAGCAATTTGGGAAAAGTTTGACGTACTGACCCAACCACCATTATGGTCAATCCAATTTGCAATTCCTCCGTTTACAATAAAATCGACTATTGAATGAAATAATTTTCTCATGTACGAGCCAGCAAGTCCGTTTCTTAATACGTGTTTCGTAATCTCGTAGCCGAAACATAATAAGGCCACGATTCGAGGCCAAGTAATGCCATTTTGAAAAGTCTTCCTGCCACTTCAGCGAAACCTTCGTACGCACTGGCTGGATTTGTCAGATTTAGCTGATTGATCATGATTTGAAAATCGTCATGGTATTTATTTTGAATCTCATCTCCTATATTCCGAAGCCTTCGACTCACTCGTACGGCCATCGAGTCAGGGTCGTTTTCTTGGCGAACACTTCGCAGCTCTTCTAAAGCGTCCGGTCGAGCTGTCGCAACAACCGGGATCTCATCTTGATGCGATAAGTTTGATACTTCGTTTTCTTCCTCAAAACGATCATAAACGAACTGTCTTACAATGTTTGCCGTCTCTGTTTTAAACATTTCGTTTGAATCGGGCTCAAAATGACTGATATCAGACCCGTTTTCGTCAAAATTACTTGTATGCCCGCCGGCAGAATTAGCCATGCCGAAATTTAACTTAATGGATAATATGGGTGACGTTTGTTCCGTAAAAGGATCTACATGGATTACAATGTATCTCGAGCTACATCTTCATTTTTCCATAAACCTCACAAGTTTTCATTTCACTTTTGAGAAAGACTGGTGTATACTTGAATTGTGTGCTTGAAATCATGACCGAAAACTTCCTCCTCAAACACAATGAACATGAAAAAACATATAAAGAAATGAATATAAATTAAAAAACAATATTTTTTACTTTTATCTGTGCGTTCACCAACGTGTGCCAGCATATTGTCAGTGGTTGCGACAAATAAAACATGCGTGCTCTGACTTTTGCCACGTTTGTTGTGCCCATTCCTCCTCTCTAATTTCCTCTTTGTTACTGACTTTGTAGTCTATTTATGAATAAGATTATTGGAAGGATTGAAAGTAGCGTTCCTCGAATTGGATATATTTATTTTTTCTTCTGTGACCAAAACATTTCAATTAGCTTTGGAAATTATAGGTGAGAAAAAAATTTCACTCTTTCCTTCATGCTTTTCCTTGTTTGCCTTTCGTTAGTGTGTTGTATGTAAAGTTTCATGCTCATAAAACCTTATAATGAATATGTATATGAATATATAATTGTATCGTTTTCCTGTATTTGATACGATTGGATTTGTTATGGTTTAGCGGTCCGTGTATTTACTTGTTTCTTATACCTATGTATTTGTAGCTATGTGTTTTTATTGCTATGTAATGTTGAATTTAAATCATCTTCTTTGACTACACCTTATCCTTTACAGGATTGGTGGTCATAATCCCTCATCCCTACTTCAGCCCATTCAGGGAATCTTGTTCTGTTAGCCCCCCCCCTTTCATTTTAGATAGAATTTTGTCTGGATAATTCCATGACTTTTTACATATTTTTACCTTAACAAGATTTGGATATTAGTGTTCAATGCAGTGTGACCATATGTACAAATTTTTTTACCTGATACAGTCAGATGATGTTAAACACTCCTCCCTGTTCTGAAATTTCATCTATGCGAGTGGAGTCTATAATTTCATTAGACCAATAACAATAACAAATTGCATGCATGGTCATATTGATTCCAGCAAGTGTTAGTCCTGCTATGTAATTTCAGATCATCATCATTATGCATTTCTTTAGAAGTCAGTTGTTTTTCCGGTGAGTGAACACATAAAAATATACAAAGCAGGACTAAATTATTTCGCTGGATTCCCCATTGACTGATTCGATTATTAAGATTTATATTGCCATAGCTATGACTTTATGATATGATAGTTCAGCGACTTTTGTTTCTTTATTGAACATTTTATCACATTTATCAAGACGCAATGAAGGTTAAAGAAATCACAAGAACAGCTAACATCTCTTGGAGTCCTGCTTCACTTCATCCAATTTATATGGCTGCGGGAACTGCAGCACAACAACTTGATGCAACGTTTAGGTGAGTTGCTTGATTAGTGCGACTTTTGTTGTATGTGCAAATATTAGCAATTATAAAAATAAACACAATGAAACATGTGCGCTGATTGATCTAGAGCCGTGTTTGCATTAGCCTGTGCAAAACACATCTGAGCTCAACCAATCAAATCAATCATAACAATCAATCAGTCAAAGAGAATTTGCAAATCGATGAAGAATACATTTTGGAGGAAAAATTAAAACGTTTACTTTAAATTTGTCTGTTTTGCATTATTGTTATATCTCAAGCATGTGTAACTCTTGATCTTCGGTCTCGGCTTGCACTGATCTGCTCTCAAGTTCTTACAAAGGTCTCCTCAGTTTGCATAATCCTGTGCAAACACAGTAAACATCTTTTATTTCTTAATTCAGTCACAGTTGTCTTACTCCTCTCTGACTAGTTTTCATTCATCCTAGCACTAATGCTGCCCTGGAAATATTTGCTGTTGATCTGACAAGCAGTGACAAAAAATGCCTTTGAGAGGGAAAATTGAGTCGGAACACAGGTAAACATTTCTTTTTTGCAGCTTTAGTTAGTGTGATCTAAAAAGAAGAGAGGAAAAAGATATAAGTTTTAAAATGTTTTTACTTGGAACTTTTTCCATATTAATGAATGAAAATTCTCGTGAATGATGTCAATGCTTCATTCATCTTTAAATTCCGCCACTTTGCACCACTCAACTCAATATAAATAAAAGGCAATTTTTGCCAAAATTTGAAGCCAATAATTTAACTTGTCCTGTGTTATCTTTCCACACATGGCCAGAAGAAAGTTCATTGACGGCAATAAGCTAAAATGTGTGACTTAAACTGACTGTACTTCCAGACATGCATGTCTGGGAGTGAAATTTGGCTTTATTCAAGTACAGGCTAGTTTATCTAAAGGTAGCCTTCCAGTTATGTATTTGGTTCTGTTGTTTGCAATGACTTTGACGAAATGTTAAAGTTCTATAGCCTGTTTTTTCCATTGTAATTATTGAATGTTGGAAATTATTTCTTGTGTGTACTCTTTTGTCGAGATGATGCCATGCTAGCAAATTTGTTGTAATAAGTCTCCTGTTTCGACAGATTCAATAAAGTTGTTTGGGGGTCATTTGGTATGGATAAGAAAGAAACTCCATTGGGAATTCTTGTCGGTGGAACAGATAGCGGCAGTGTTGTGTTGTGGAATCCATTAAAAATAATAAATGGAGAAACTGATGATGCAGTTCTTGTTGAGAATAAAAAACATACTGGTTTGTTTCATTAATGCGATCAACCTCTATTTTGTCTGTCCACATTATTTTTGAATGATTTTATGCTGGATTCATCAAACGTCAATTTTATTTAACAGGACCAGTACAAGCATTGGATTTAAATCCATTTCAGTCAAATCTTTTGGCCTCCGGTGCTTCTGACTCTGAAATTTATGTGTGGGATCTAAATAGTCCGGACAATCCTCTCACTCCCGGTGCTAAATCACTCCCCCCTGATAATATCAGCTGCTTGGGATGGAACAGGCAGGTGCAACACATACTTGCATCTACATCGCCCTGTGGTCGTTGTGTTGTATGGGACTTAAGAAAGAACGAACCAATCATAAAAGTCAGTGATCAAGGATCAATGGTAATGTTTTGTAAGCCTTTAATGTAATTTTTAGACGTTAAAATGAATCCTTCTTCCAGCAAAGATAAGACAGTTTTGGATGTTGATGAAATCCCTATGCATTTTTTCAATGGTAGCACGGTATTTTTATTATAGAAACCATAATTTTATTGTTATTTCAGGCTCGTTGCAAGGCGATTGAATGGCATCCCGAGGTGGCAACACAGATGGTTCTTGCATCGGAAGATGACAGATGTCCTGTAATTCAGGTACCATCATATTTTACCACATTTCTTATCCATAAATTGAAATTGATCTCAATAAGTTGTAGTCCACCAATTTGCGAAAAGCACTTTAAAAATTGCAAACATTGAAGCATAACTCAAATGTTTCCAGCAAAAGTGATCTCATGATGCAAAAAACGTATTGCCCTATCGAAATATATTGTCTTTGTTGCATTGATAATCGGTTATGGGATTCCCCTATTGTGACTTTCCTTTTTTAGATGTGGGATCTGCGATATGCCACGTCACCAATGAAAGTTCTCGAGAAACATCAAAGGTTCGTTATGTCACTGCCTATTTCTTATATGTCCTCAATTGAAGACCATCTTGGCTTTAGTTTTTTTTCTGGGTTTTGATGCTTTGAATTATCTTCTGATCTTGATGTTGCAATTTCTTGTATAGAGGTGTTCTAGCTATTGCCTGGTGTCCACAGGATCCTGAATTGCTCATGAGCTGTGGAAAGGTATGGCGGTGACACCACCCTGGTTCAACATCTCAGTAAGATCATGAATCACCAAGATTACATGTTTGTAAATGTAGATCGTCCAGGTTGGTATAGTCCTGAGAAGGACTGTTTTTGTTGTTTTGACTGACGTTTCGACAACCTTTAGTCATCTTCAGAATCAAATGTAACGTCTTTGACTCTGAAGATGACTACCGCTAAGGTTGTCGAAACGTCAGTCAACAACAACAAAAAAAGTCCTTCTCAGGACTATACCAACCTGGATGATCTTCATTTACAAATATGTAACGATACTCCCGGGTTCAAACCATTTACTTTAATCACCAAGATCTTAACCATGATCTTTCAAAGAGATCCTATAAAGACCTTTCCCAAAACAAGTTCTTGCCTAGGCTGAGCGAGGCAAGATCTTATTGGATTTTAATAGATCTTACAAAGGACTCTTGTGAAGATTCCCAACCTGTGCACTGATTTACTATATACGTATGCATTGTCATTTTCACATTTCTTTTAGGATAGCAGAGTACTTTGCTGGAATCCAAGCAGCAATGATCCTAGGGGAGAGGTATGTACAAATTTTATTACGAAGAGCAGCAGATAGTTTTCTCAAGTAGAATATCATGAACGTTAACGATGGACTGAGCTTTAGGCACTTCGCTATATTGAAATGACTGAGTTTGTAAGGCGAAGAAAGAGAAATATGGGGCAGATTGTGTTTGTAAGAAATAACGAAGTTTTTAGAGAAATCTGTTTGTTAGAAAGAAGATTTTCATAAAAAGGAAAACTTTATTTACCGCAAACTCTGTTAGTAAAAGGCTAGGGATTGTTTTCTATGAATTTTGAAAGAAAAATCAAAGTGAGAATGGACTGTGATTGTGAGAATTTCTATGAATTTTGAAAAAAAATCAAAGTGAAAATGGACTGTGATTAAGAGAGTTTCTATGAATTGTGAAAAAAAACCGAAGTAAGAATGGACTGTGATTGAGAGAAATAATAGAAGGTGCTTTGAAGTAGAATTTAGCAAGAAACACGCGGCATTTACCGTAGATTCCGGTAACAGACTTAAAGGTTTCTTTCTTTATTGTAGGTAGTCTATGAGCTACCGTGTCCTGCGCAGTGGAGTTTTGACGTAAAATGGTGTCCTCGTAACCCAAACATGATCTGTACACCATCCTTTGATGGTCACGTCAGTGTATACTCTCTCATGGGAGGTGGGGTCGCTGATCACGGTGGGGTTGATCAGAAGGTAACGTCTGTGTTTACTTTTAATGGGAGGTGGGGTCGCTGATCACAGTGGGGTCGATCAGAAGGTAACTTCAGTGTTTACTTTTTAATGGGAGGTGGGGTCGCTGATCACGGTAAGGTTGATCAAAAGGTAACGCTGTGGCATTTTTAATGGGAGGGGTAGCTGATCACGGTGGGTCGACAGAAGGTAACGTCAGTGTTTACTTTGTAATGGGAGGTGAGGTCGCTGATCACTGTGGGGTCGATCAGAAGGTAACGTCTGTGTTTACTCTTTAATGGGAGGTGGGGTAGCTGATCACAGTGGGGTCGAACAGAAGGTAACGTCTGTGTTTACTTTTTAATGGGAGGTGGGGTAGCTGATCACGGTGGGGTCGAACAGAAGGTAACGTCTGTGTTTACTCTTAATGGGAGGTGGGGTCGCTGATCACAGTGGGGTCGAACATAAGGTAACGTCTGTGCCTCTTTAATGGGAGGTGGGGTCGCTGATCACGGTGGGGTCGAACAGAAGATAACGTCTGTGTTTACTCTTTAATGGGAGGTGGGGTCGCTGATCACGGTGGGGTCGAACAGAAGGTAACGTCTGTGTTTCATGGGAGGTGGGGTCGCTGATCACGGTGGGGTCGAACAGAAGGTAACGTCTGTGTTACTCAATGGGAGGTGGGGTATTGATCACGGTGGGGTCGAACAGAAGGTAACGTCTGTGTTTACTCTTTAATGGGAGGTGGGGTCGCTGATCACGGTGGTCGAACAGAAGGAACGTCTGTGTTTACTTTTAATGGGAGGGGTCGCTGATCACGGTGGGGTCGAACAGAAGGTTGTTTACTCTTTAATGGGAGGTGGGGCGCTGATCACAGTGGGTCGAACAGAAGGTAACGTCACTTTAATGGGGAGGGTAGCTGATGGGGTCGAACAGAAGGTAACGTCTGTGCTTTAATGGGAGGTGGGGTCGCTACGGTGGGGTCGAACAGAAGGTAACGTCTGTGTTTACTCTTAATGGGAGGTGGGGTCGCTGATCACGGTGGGGTCGAACAGAAGGTAACGTCTGTGTTTACTCTTTAATGGGAGGTGGGGTCACTGATCACGGTGGGTTCGAACAGAAGGTAACGTCTGTGTTTACTCTTTAATGGGAGGTGGGGTCGCTGATCACGGTGGGGTCGAACAGAAGGTAACGTCTGTGTTTACTCTTTAATGGGAGGTGGGGTAGCTGATCACAGTGGGGTCGATCAGAAGGTAACGTCTGTGTTTACTCTTAATGGGAGGTGGGGTAGCTGATCACGGTGGGGTCGAACAGAAGGTAACGTCTGTGTTTACTTTTTAATGGGAGGTGATCACGGTGGGGTCGAACAGAAGGTAACGTCTGTGCTTTAATGGGAGGTGGGGTAGCTGATCACAGTGGGTCGATCAGAAGGCCCTGTGTTTACTTTTAATGGGAGGGGTCACTGATCACGGTGGGTTCGAACAGAAGGTAACGTCTGTGTTTACTCTTTAATGGGAGGTGGGTCGCTGATCACGGGGTGAACAGAAGGTAACGTCTGTGTTTACTCTTTAATGGGAGGGGTAGCTGATCACAGTGGTCGATCAGAAGGTAACGTCTGTGTTTACTCTTAATGGAGGTGGGGTAGCTGATCACGGTGGGGTCGAACAGAAGGTAACGTCTGTGTTTACTCTTTAATGGGAGGTGGGGTCGCTGATCACGGTGGGGTCGAACAGAAGGTAACGTCTGTGTTTACTCTTTAATGGGAGGTGGGGTAGCTGATCACGGTGGGGTCGAACATAAGGTAACGTCTGTGTTTACTTTTTAATGGGAGGTGATCACGGTGGTTTAATTGTCAAACCCCTTACGATATGGTGTTTGCAATCACAAAAGAACGAGAGGTACTGCTTTTTTCAGCTAATGTTCTTGACTGATGCGTGAAGTATTGATTTATTCTAGTGGCTTTCTTCATCTTCTATTATGCTGACTTATTTCATTTCAATGCACGGAATACCAGGCTTCATATGAGTGCAATATTCGCGTGCATTACCATCTCTGAAAATGAATCCCAACTTTTTTTGTGATGATACCAATAATCTTTGATTGCGTGGGAGATAGTGTTTGATAACATTGGACATGGTGTTTGATAGCAGGGTACATGGTGTTTGATAACATGGTACATTGTTAAATGTTATTTTTAGATGGTAAATGATGCATTCAATATCAACGATCCATTCGCGACTACGGTTCAACATCAAACTCCTGCTCATACACCCGTGGCTGCCACGCTAAAGAAACCACCGAAATGGCTTCGACGTCCTTGTGGGGCTACTTTTGGGGTGAGTAAGGATGCTTTAATGATCGCGATGCTTGTATGGATAAAGGTTTGAAGAAGAACTACAGGAAATGATCATGTTCCCTTGCAGTCAACAAGTGCGAATAATCATGTTTATTTGCCTTGTGAAAACAGTTTTCTTGTTAATAAGTAATAACTTTCCGCGCTACTCCATGCATCAGAACACTGATTGGCCAGTATTAGAAGTTAATTAATGCGCGTGAATGAACTCGATGCAAAGTGATTGTATTTTCTTTATGTCCATATATTTTCTTTCATACTAAGTTTGTTCGCTCGGTGTGTCAATATTTTAGCATTTCTTTGAAGAAGTCTTTCATTTGTACTTGATCATTTTATGAACAAGCCGTGTCATGTCAAGCGATGTCTGCTCGGATTGAAGTCCAGTTTTGTCAAAATTAATCGGTCTTCAGGCATCTGACATATTTTTGAAATGTGGCGAGAGGCTCCCTCCCTTACTATTCTTTATTTATGCATGTCGCTGTTTTCGTTTAACAGTGAAATACGAAATTACAAGTATGCATTTTTGCAGTTTGGTGGAAAGTTGATCTCTTTTGGAAGAACACCCGAAGTCCCGATATCAAAGGTAACAGGAGTCCTCTTCATTAACACTTTCTGTGCTGAAGTTCTGACATCTATCGACAATTTTTTGTTAATAGATAAACATCAGTCAAGTCGTGACCGAGGAGGATCTCGTGAACAGGTCGGGGCTTCTCGAAGGTGCCCTCAAATCCGGAAGCTTTGCTGAATTCTGTCGCGCGAAGACCGATAATGTTGATGATACACTGGATTCGACGTTATGGAGCTTCCTCAAGGTTCGTTGCTATGGTTGCAACGGATCAACTCTGTGTTTCTATGGAAACTAACCCGGCGCATATTTTGGTCTTTGCTGCAGGTCAACTTTGAAGAGGAACCGAGAAAACAGTTTTTGACTTTACTGGGTTATGATCCGAGTAAACTGGCGAAAAAAGTACGAGATTTCGTCGTGAATTGTACTACAATACAACGTTGACTGTGATGTATACAATTTTTTCGTTCAATACAGATTGCCTCAAAGATTGGAGAAAAGCCGCCATCGAGTCTTGGTGTTAATTCCGCTGAACTTGCTGAAAAAATCGAGGATTTAACTTTAACGGTATGCAGTTCATGGGGCATTTTCTTGAAAAGCGTATTTGCCTTGGTGAATAACTTGTTTATACTTCTATTCATGGGGCATGTTCTTGAAAAGCGTATTTGCCTTGGTGAATAACTTGTTTATACTTCTATTCATGGGGCATGTTCTTGGAAAGCGTTTTGCCTTGGTGAATAACTTGTTTATACTTCTATTCATGGGGCGTTTTCTTGAAAAGCGTTTTGCCTTGGTGAATAACTTGTTTATACTTCTATTCATGGGGCATGTTCTTGGAAAGCGTTTTTGCCTTGGTGAATAACTTGTTTATACTTCTATTCATGGGGCATTTTTGAAAAGCGTTTTTGCCTTGATAAATAACTTGTTTATACTTCTATTCATGGGGCGTTTTCTTGAAAAGCGTTTTTTTTGCCTTATGAATAACTTGTTTATACTTCTATTCATGGGGCATGTTCTTGGAAAGCGTTTTTGCCTTGGTGAATAACTTGTTTATACTTCTATTCATGGGGCATTTTCTTGAAAAGCGTATTTGCCTTGGAGAATAACTTGTTTATACTTCTATTCATGGGGCATTTTCTTGAAAAGCGTTTTTGCCTTGGAGAATAACTTGTTTATACTTCTATTCATGGGGCGTTTTCTTGAAAGCGTTTTGCCTTGGAGAATAACTTGTTTATACTTCTATTCATGGGGCATTTTCTTAAGCGTTTTGCCTTGGAGAATAACTTGTTTATACTTCTATTCATGGGGCGTTTTCTTGAAAAGCGTTTTTGCCTTGGTGAATAACTTGTTTATACTTCTATTCATGGGGCGTTTTCTTGAAAGCGTTTTGCCTTAAGTGAATAACTTGTTTATACTTCTATTCATGGGGCGTTTTCTTGAAAGCGTTTTGCCTTGGTGAATAACTTGTTTATACTTCTATTCATGGGGCATTTTCTTGAAAGCGTTTTGCCTTGGTGAATAACTTGTTTATACTTCTATTCATGGGCGTTTTCTTGAAAAGCGTTTTGCCTTGATAAATAACTTGTTTATACTTCTATTCATGGGGCGTTTTCTTGAAAGCGTTTTGCCTTGGTGAATAACTTGTTTATACTTCTATTCATGGGGCGTTTTCTTGCGCGTTTTGCCTCGGTGAATAACTTGTTTATACTTCTATTCATGCGTTTTCTTGAAAAGCGTTTTGCCTTGGTGAATAACTTGTTTATACTTCTATTCATGGGGCGTTTTCTTGAAAGCGTTTTTGCCTTTGAATAACTTGTTTATACTTCTATTCATGGGCGTTTTCTTGAAAAGCGTTTTTGCCTTTGGTGAATAACTTGTTTATACTTCTATTCATGGGGCGTTTTCTTGAAAGCGTTTTGCCTTGGTGAATAACTTGTTTATACTTCTATTCATGGGCGTTTTCTTGAAAAGCGTTTTGCCTTGGAGAATAACTTGTTTATACTTCTATTCATAGTTTTCTTGAAAGCGTTTTGCCTTTGGTGAATAACTTGTTTATACTTCTATTCATGGGGCGTTTTCTTGAAAGCGTTTTGCCTTGGTGAATAACTTGTTTATACTTCTATTCATGGGGCGTTTTCTTGAAAAGCGTTTTTGCCTTGATAAAAACTTGTTATACTTCTATTCATGGGCGTTTTCTTGAAAGCGTTTTGCCTTGGTGAATAACTTGTTTATACTTCTATTCATGGGGCATGTTCTTGAAAGCGTTTTGCCTTGGTGAATAACTTGTTTATACTTCTATTCATGGGGCGTTTTCTTGAAAGCGTTTTGCCTTGGTGAATAACTTGTTTATACTTCTATTCATGGGGCGTTTTCTTGAAAGGCGTTTTGCCTTGTGAATAACTTGTTTATACTTCTATTCATGGGGCGTTTTCTTGAAAAGCGTTTTTGCTTTGATAAAAAACTTGTTTATACTTCTATTCATGGGGCATTTTCTTGAAAAGCGTTTTGCCTTGGTGAATAACTTGTTTATACTTCTATTCATGGGCGTTTTCTTGAAAAGCGTTTTTGCCTTGGTGAATAACTTGTTTATACTTCTATTCATGGGGCATTTTCTTGAAAAGCGTTTTGCCTTGGTGAATAACTTGTTTATACTTCTATTCATGGGGCGTTTTCTTGAAAAGCGTTTTTGCCTTGATAAATAACTTGTTTATACTTCTATTCATGGGGCGTTTTCTTGAAAAGCGTTTTTGCCTTGGTGAATAACTTGTTTATACTTCTATTCATGGGCGTTTTCTTGAAAAGCGTTTTTGCCTCGGTGAATAACTTGTTTATACTTCTATTCATGGGGCGTTTTCTTGAAAAGCGTTTTTGCCTTGGTGAATAACTTGTTTATACTTCTACACGTAGCTCATGGAGTGTTGGTTGAGCACACAGTTTTTGGCAGAAATGCCTAGGCCATAGTTGTTATTCACCATGGTAAATTATTTAGATTTGTCACCGAACAATAAATAGGATAATGTTTTTCCGCATTTTGTTCACGTATATGCTTTATTTTAACGTCAGGGCAATGGGGTTGTTGAAGGAGATGATATATTCTCCGGTGGGGCAAACACACCCCCCGTACCCGAGGATTCTGGAAAGGTAAATAGATCATTGCATTTTGGCTGAGCATCTTACTCTCCACGTACTCAATGATCGTTTGATTTACCATTGCCGTGATTTAGACTGCGAACTCCGAGGGCATAGATCCGAGTCTTGTTTTTGATGCTATCTCCACTGGGACATTGGATATATCTGGTGAGATAACGTTTTATCACATTGTGTCGTGTTATCCTATAATTAGAAATAAAAGATGTTTACTGTGTTTCCACAGGCTTATGCAAACCGAGGAGACCTTTGGGAGAACTCGAGAGCAGATCAGTGCAATCCCTAGACCGAAGTTTGAGGGTTGCACATGCTCGAGAGCTCACAAACGTCTCCAAGGCTGGCATAGGCCAGTGCAAATACGAAAAACATCTTTTATTTCTTTTATAAAATTACAATAATGCGAAAAAGAAAAAACATTTCAATTTTTCCTCTAAAATGTATTCATGATCGATTTGATTGTTTTAGTTGATTTATTTGGTTGAGCTCAGATGTGTTTTGCACATGCTAATGCAAACACAGCTCTAGACAAATCAGCGCATGCGTTTCATTGTGTTTATTTTGTAATGGGCGATGGTTGCTTTTATTTTGTTCATGTCCTCGTTAAGGCGACGGCGAAATGCAAATTACGAAGCCATTTGTCATTCCTACTGATAACGGTAAGTTGAAGAATATTGTGCCTTTGTTTTAATGATATCTGCAAGAAATCGATCTATGAAAAGATTATTAATTTGGTGTTGCCCTCGATTATCAATTTGGTGTTGCCCTCGAGGCAGAATGAAGCGTGAGGAATTGGTTTTGTTTAAACGATAAAAATGCCGTGAAAGAGTTACGAAAGCTATCAACAATGGCTTACCCTAAACAATCCTGCAAATAAATGAAACAACAAAGCCACTTACCCTAAACAATCCTGCAAACAAATGAAACAACAAATCCACTCACCCTAAACAATCCTGCAAACAAATGAAACAACAAAGCCACTTACCCTAAACAATCCTGCAAACAAATGAAACAACAAAGCCACTCACCCTAAACAATCCTGCAAACAAATGAAACAACAAAGCCACTTACCCTAAACAATCCTGCAAACAAATGAAACAACAAAGCCATGTGTGCTTTCAACATGACTAGCAACTATGCTTTAATTGCCAGTTATAGTGTATTTAAGTTGCTTCTCTGCCGTCTATTTTGACGCTTATTAATTGTTCCTCTTTGCTTCCCATAGAAAGCGACGGCTTGATAAGTCAGGCTCTGTTGACTGGAAATTTCGAGGCGGCTGTTGACGTGTGTTTCCATGGTGACAGGATGGTAAGTCAATGCTGACGAGACTTGTATCCTCTCCCCCCCTGATTACATTATGAAATTGTATGGTGTCAATGAGATATCTATCTTCGGCAAGCCAGCTTTCATTGCTATTTCAGTTTATTGGTCTATATTTTTAGGCTGACGCATTTTGTTGGCGATTGCCGGAGGTAAAGATCTTTCGCCAAAACTCAAATGATGTACTTCAAGAAGAAGCAGAGCAACCTTAAACGGGTAACATTTCGATCAGACCTACTCACAAACGTGTTAAAAAGAGAGCTTTTGAAAAGTTTCCAAAATTTTGTCATCACTCACTTCCAGCTGATGTCCGTCGTTGTGAATCGCGATTGGTCAGATGTGGTGAAAAGTTGCGAATTGGAGAACTGGCGCGAGGCGCTCGCCATCTTAGTGACGTATGCCAAACCCGAGGAGTTTGCACCTCTCTGCGATCTACTTGGTCAGAGGTTGGAGGCGCAACAAGGCGAGAGCTACGCAAATGCAATGGTGTGCTACATTTGTGCTGGAAATGTAGAGAAGTTTGTTTCGTGTTGGTAAGAGATTTTCATGTGTGATTCTTACGCGAGAATTCGAAAATGATAACGCTTGGTGTGTTTGTAAATTTAAGTCTTGAAAACAAGTCTAGATGAAAGTCTAGATTTAGCATTGCGGTTGTAGGGATTGAGGAGTGTTTTGTGATAAACCACGTTGGGTTTTTCGTTGTAGTCTACTTTTCCTGTAATTTTTCATTTCATGAGCTTGGAGCAGAAATGCTGCTGCTTGCGGGCTTGCCATTTTTGTTGTTTTTTTTGGATATGCTTTATACTTCAAAGTATTTCTTCAAAGAAAGACGGATACACGATCGTTTTTAATGTTTCATTCTAACACTAGGTCCAAGACGATGCCATCTGAACCGTCTCCACTGGAACTTCAGGTATGCTCTCACGGAATTTGCCAATTCATTGTGTCTTTTGTCCATACCATGATTTGGTGAAGCATGTTAGAGACTCGCCCAGGGTTCGTGCTAGTGTTAAAAGCTCATGAAAACTTCTCAAATTGAAAAATCAATTGTAAGGACAGTCGAAACGTCAATTCAAACACAAGCAGAAGCAGCAAGGTTGTCTAGATATATCTAAACGCAGCAACTATCCCTAAATGCGACTAAAAAATTTTTTGACAGATCACAGCTTAATGATATTTTGACAGACCACAGCACAGTAAATTTAAAGTTGTGAATCTTCCTTGATATTTTCATTGATATTCTTAAAAAATCCTTAGTCTTCTTATTTTTTATTTGAGTGCCGCGTGAACCCTGCCGTCATTCTACATAATGTTCAATCGAACATACAAAGTAGAAAAATTTTACTGCAGTTTTTTTCAAGTTTGTGCAATGACAATCCCAAACAGGAGACCCATAGGACACCCTTGATACAATAGGAGACCCTTGATATAATAGGAGACCCTTGATACAATAGGAGACCCTTGATATAATAGGAGACCCTTGATATAATAGGAGACCCTTGATATAATAGGAGACCCTTGATATAATAGGAGACCCTTGATATAATAGGAGACCCTTGATATAGGGCTAACCTCTGGGTTTCCTTTTTCTAAATAATTATGTATTTACATGTTGTTCTGAAATAAAGTATTGTGAAAACAATCCCATTCCTGAATTATGAATTATCGTCGAGATCTGTCCCAACTTTCTTTCTACCATCAGAATTTGATCGAGAAAGTTATGATTTTGAAGAAGGCTGTCGAGAAAGATCGTCATCAAGTCACGAATGCGAACAACTCGCGTGTTTCAGACATGCTGTGGTATGAAACTGTGCATGTGTTTTCTAAGTCTCTGCATTTTAAACAAGAGTTTTTGCCAACTCTCGCGTGTTTCAGACATGCTGTGGTATGAAACTGTGCATGTGTTTTCTAAGTCTCTGCATTTTAAACAAGAGTTTTTGCCAACTCTCGCGTGTTTCAGACATGCTGTGGTATGAAACTGTGCATGTGTTTTCTAAGTCTCTGCATTTTAAACCAGAGTTTTTGCTCTTTGGTAAAGTGTTTCAACGAAACAAACATTCAATTTGATCGATGATACTCAATTTGACGTTTTTTGTTTTCATGCAGCAAATACGCTGGTTTGCTTGCCTCCCAAGGAAGCGTTGAAATCGCAATGGATTATTTGTTGTCGGCTAACGATCAGGTATTGAGAAAATTTTTTATTTCTTGTGGACAGGTCACGATACAATGTCAGTCTTCATTCTCATATTCATCATCATCATATCATTTGTTACTCTAGGAAGATGTGGCTGTGCTTCGAGATAGATTGTACCATGCTCAGTTCCCTAGTCAAGTGACGTCCTCCATTGCTCCTCCATCATTTCCCTTTACTAGAGTCGACGTCAAAGCTGCACCGGAAGTTCAGCCCCAGGTACTCATCTCTGACTGTGGGCTGGAGGGGAGTGTTTTTGGTTTTTCGAATATTGATTTGATCTTTTATTTACAGCTAATCCACGCATGCTCAGCAGGATATTACCTCGCAAATGAAGTCAAATGTAAGTTGAGTGGCGTTTTATTTGATGTCATTTATATCTGAGTGTTTCAAACGTTGCAATGTTTAAGGTTGACTTAAATTATATGTGAAAAAGTCCGAAGTTGTTTGAAACTTTGCAGTCACAAAAAGAAATTGTTTGCATTCGAACCGCTGACTGCAAGACAACAAGTGGTTATTTAGACCATTGAACTAAAATACATCTGGAATGCTACCTGTAATAGAAAAGCCTAGTAATTTTTTGAAGCAAAATTTTGCACCCAGACACGCGAGATTACATCCAGACACGTTTGTGTAGTTTAATCAATTTTCACTCCGCGAGAGAATCTCGAAACACTAAACACGCGTGTCTGGGTGTAATCTCGCGTGTCTGGGTGTAATCTCTCGTGTCTGGATGTAAGAATTGGCTTCATTTATTTGCTTCAGATGGCGTTCCATGTATTTTAGTTCAATGTTTAGACCATACCTTTTGATAGGTTTTATTAAAAAATCTTATTATTTGCCATGAAATCAAATGGATGTTCAACTCACCATTCACCATGCATGAATCAAAATGAAAAAGGAGTTCATAGAGAAATGAATTATACGTACGAATCATCATAATTTAGTCAGAAGGCAGTGTTTTTTCCTTAAAGTTTGCACTATCCTTGAATCTCTAGTTTTCATTTTTATGTGTAATTGATATATGATGATTTGTCATCACAGAACTCAGTTGATCATTTTAATTTAATTTTTCAAATGGCACATTCACTTTTTGTTCGACTAAAACTCGTAAGAAACTCGTGTTATTGTTTTAGATTGGTATGCAACAACATTCGCAAACTTCAAATGTTTTTAACCCCGGCTCACATACGCCGTTCCAGGCTCCTCTATCGCACGCGCCAACACCAACCTCGTCGTATTATTCCGGTAATCAGCCACATTCGCTTCCATCCGTAGGATATCAGGCTCAAGGGAACTATGGAGGTATCGCTTCTGAGATTATAGATCGTTGCCTTGTGGTATTTGTAATTGGAGAAGGCATTTTTATATCGATGCAATTTTGCATGTTGTTTTTATTTGTTTAATGTGATTTATGTTGCTAAGTAGTGGAAAAGAGAAAAATGTTAGCTTGCGAAGTTTTGTGCAAATGACTGGTCATAATATGCCCCCAAAACAGTCGCCAACTTTTTCGACAAGGATATCGCTGCTTCATGCGTTTTACAAATATGAGCGAAATTCAAATTGCTATATTATTCATGATTTCGAATCTGTATTTTGCTATACCACTTTTTTAACATTTCAGGTACGGGGTAGTTATCGTTTGTGAATCGTGCTTGCATTGTGTTTATATAGCGGTGTTATTTCATTATCATTTTACTGTTTTTCGTTGAAGGTAATTTTTCTTCACCTTCAATGGTTAATCAACCTCCACCAACGATGGTTAATCAACCTCCACCAACAATGGTTAATCAACCTCCACGTTCAATGGTTAATCAACCTCCACCAACAATGGTTAATCAACCTCCACCAACAATGGTGAATCAGCCTCCACCTTCTATGGTGAATCAACCTCCACCTTCAATGGTGAATCAACCACCACGTTCTATGGTTAATCAACCTCCATCTTCTCAATTCAATCCTCAACAATCATTCCCATCATACCAAGGGCCCCCACCTCCTACAGGTGCACCTAGTCAGATGCATTCAGGTTGGATATGCCATCAAAGTGATTAAGTGTTTGTACTTTGACATGAAGTATTTTTCATTGCGAGTCTTTCTCTTCCGCTTTATAGAGCCTCCACCACTGACGTCATCTTGGTCAGCGGATGGCAGTCATGTCATGGCAAAGAGGCATCAGGTGCGGTTCATTGGTCATGTTGTTAATGAAAATTTTGTTTCACTTGAACTTTGTAATATGATTCATCATTTGCACGGCTTAGATAAAAATATGACGGTAAAAGCGCATGCGCTTTGCGTAGTTACGTTAGTATAATTTATTGCCTGGCCAAGTGTTGATGGCAGTTCATAACCATTCAGAAGTGGTTTGCAGCCTATTTGAGTCAGGGAATGCGATGTGTGCAAGTGGAATTGAAAATAGGCTGGCGTTTTGAGTTAGGTTTAGTTGGTGGGTGGTTCAATCTTTATGTAGATCTGATATGGCGAGAGATATGCGTTGACTTTTGTTTAGTTGGTGGGTGGTTCAATCTCCATTTAGATCTGGTATGGCGAGAGATATGCGTTGGCTTTGGTTTAGTTGGTGGGTGGTTCAATTTCCATCTAGATCTAGTATGGCGAGAGATATGCGTTGACTTTGTTTAGTTGGTGGGTGGTTCAACCTCCATGTAGATCTGGTATGGCGAGAGATATGCGTTGACTTTTGGTTAGTTGGTGGGTGGTTCAATCTCCATGTAGATCTGGTATGGCGAGAGATATGCGTTGACTTTTGGTTAGTTGGTGGGTGGTTCAACCTCCATGTAGGTCTGGTATGGCGAGAGATATGCGTTGACTTTGTTTAGTTGGTGGGTGGTTCAATCTCCATGTAGATCTGGTATGGCGAGAGATATGCGTTGACTTTTGTTTAGTTGGTGGGTGGTTCAACCTCCATGTAGATCTAGTATGGCGAGAGATATGCGTTGACTTTGTTTAGTTGGTGGGTGGTTCATTCTCCATGTAGGTCTGGTATGGCGAGAGATATGCGTTGACTTTTGTTTAGTTGGTGGGTGGTTCAACCTCCATGTAGATCTAGTATGGCGAGAGATATGCGTTGACTTTTGTTTAGTTGGTGGGTGGTTCAACCTCCATGTAGATCTAGTATGGCGAGAGATATGCGTTGACTTTTGTTTAGTTGGTGGGTGGTTCAATCTCCATGTAGGTCTGGTATGGCGAGAGATATGCGTTGACTTTTGTTTAGTTGGTGGGTGGTTCAACCTCCATGTAGGTCTGGTATGGCGAGATATGCGTTGACTTTTGTTTAGTTGGTGGGTGGTTCAACCTCCATGTAGATCTAGTATGGCGAGAGATATGCGTTGACTTTTGTTTAGTTGGTGGGTGTTTCAATCTCCATGTAGGTCTGGTATGGCGAGAGATATGCGTTGACTTTTGTTTAGTTGGTGGGTGGTTCAACTTCCATGTAGATCTACTATGGCGAGAGATATGCGTTGACTTTTGTTTAGTTGGTGGGCGTTTCAATCTCCATGTAGGTCTAGTATGGCGAGAGATATGCGTTGACTTTTGTTTAGTTGGTGGGTGGTTCAACCTCCATGTAGATCTAGTATGGCGAGAGATATGCGTTGACTTTTGGTTAGTTGGTGGGTGGTTCAACCTCCATGTAGATCTAGTATGGCGAGAGATATGCGTTGACTTTTGTTTAGTTGGTGGGTGGTTCAATCTCCATGTAGGTCTAGTATGGCGAGAGATATGCGTTGACTTTGTTTAGTTGGTGGGTGGTTCAACCTCCATGTAGATCTACTATGGCGAGAGATATGCGTTGACTTTTGTTTAGTTGGTGGGTGGTTCAATCTCCATGTAGGTCTGGTATGGCGAGAGATATGCGTTGGCTTTGGTTTAGTTGGTGGGTGGTTCAATTTCCATCTAGATCTAGTATGGCGAGAGACATGCGTTGGCCTTTAATGTTAAGACAGAGACACTGCACAAAAAGGCAGTTTCAGAAAATGGGGCATTACGATTATGTAATGAATGCGAACTATTTATGGATGATTCCTTCACTGTATGACCTGCTGTGTATGATTTTAATCCCATAAAATTCCATCTTATTCTTTATTGTCCTTCTTGCGAATGAACCATTTACAAATACTTGCTCATTTAGCCCGCCAACTTCACACCGCCTGCGCCTATAACAATGCCAATATTTAACGCTCCCGGAGAACAAAAGCCCGCACAAACAGGTGAATGACGTAATCGCTTTTATTAGTCTGTTCACTTATACCAAATGCTACATTTTCGTGTATCCTTTTTTTAGGTAACTCGTCGTTGCCATCTGTCGTCCCTGGTGGTGGGGTACCTCCCGGTGCTCCTCAAGGTCCTGTTCAACCACCACCTGTTGATAGCAAGGTATAGCATTAATCACACTACCAATACTCTCTCCTAACAACAATGTTTTTCACCGTTCACGTGTATAATTTGACGTTGTGATGCCAGTACTAGTAATATCGGTTAGAAATCGTTTATGATTAACGAGAGATTTAGTTTTGTGTTTGTGTGAAGAAGTTTTCTGTTACACATTATGCTTTCTTTGTCGCTGTTGACTGCGGTACCCATTATAATTTCCTTAATAGAAAGCGGCTTGTTTAAGCTTGATATTTCTCTGTTTCTAGGATTACATTGTACACGCTGCTCCATTAACTCAATAAATGTAGAGTAGAAAACTTTACAAGGCGTGTTGTGAACTATAACATACTATCATACCAAACCATTTGCTCTATTCCCTACTCTCACTGTCCTTGACTTGGTGTAGTTATTATGTGAGCATGAGCCCAACAAATTGACCTGTAGTTACTATGTTACTCAGTTTAGTATTTCATACGCCTTGAGGAGTTTGTTAAGTACTTTAAATTTATTGGTCTGTTTCTGTTTGAAATTTCCACCCACATTTTTATGCCAAGTGTCGTTATTTTACATTGCATGTGTGTACCCGAATCGTACCGTATCGTACCGTACCGTGGCTTTTTGTTTTGCATTAATGTTTTGCCGCTGATTTCAGCCTGAAATGTCGCGAGAAGTTCCAAAAGGACCGATACCCGCTGAACATATTCCACTTCAGGAATCCTTTGATGGTCTTGTTGCCAAGTGCCGGGGTACAGCCATGAACCAGGTAAACATTGATTTCACGATGTATCTCGCTCTTCCACATATTCTTTTTTGCTGAAAGCTTTATTCTGGGAAAATCTATACTATAAAATTTCTTTCCATATATTCTTTTTACTGAAAGGTAATATTTCGAATTTACAAACCCGAAAAGTAATATTTCGAATTTGTTACGAATTCATCATCAGATTATATTTCCCGCACTTCCGTTGAAATGATGTGGCAGTTGTTTTGTATATTGCAATTGTTGTTAACCTTTCCATCTTGATTGAACCATCTTGGTTGCATCATTTTGATTGAACCATCATGGTGGCACCATTTTGATTGAACCATCTTGGTTGCACCATTTTGATTGAACCATCTTGGTTGCACCATTTTGATTGAACCATCATGGCTGCACCATTTTGATTGAACCATCATGGTTGCACCATTTTGATTGAACCATCTTGGTTGCATCATTTTGATTGAACCATCATGGTTGCACCATTTTGATTGAACCATCTTGGTTGCATCATTTTGATTGAACCATCTTGGCTGCACCATTTTGATTGAACCATCATGGTTGCATCATTTTGATAGAACCATCTTGGTTGCACCATTTTTACTGCTATAAAGAACGTTGTGAAATTAATTATCTCTGACTTGTTTTTTATAGCAAACGAAAAGGAAACTGGATGACGTGACAAAGAAACTTGGTGCTCTTTATGATAAACTACGAGAACAAAAGGTTTGGCAATCCCAAAATACAACTTCAAAATGCAAGTGTTTTTTCGTCCTAGGAGATTAGCACCTTTGTGTTTTTTAAAATTAAATAGCCACTTAACCCACTGGTGTGAAGCTGCTAAGTCAGCTTTAATCCGAACTTTATTCTTACATACATTATGGAGATAGTCTTGTGCGCAAGTATGTCGTTGTTGACATGATTGTAGGGTTTTGACCTCGGTCACAGTATAGAAACAAACAGTAGTCCCACTTTATTGAATTATTTGTGTAGCGCATATCTTATTACGCATGTGATGAGCATAATGGCAGCCGGTCAATTGCTTTTTTTGGCCAATAGGAGGGCAAAGATGGCTAGCCGCAGCCAGTAATCTAATTAAATATACAGCACCAAGTCGCACAATGGAGTGAGACTACTGTATGTTGTATACTGTGCCACGGTCTTTAAACACAAACAAATTCTATAATAGGGCATAAAATAAAAATACACCATCAAAAATGAGATGCAGAAGGCAATATGTATGTTGTTTATGGTATGAATATTTTACTAACTACATGATCCATTTATTTGCAGCTGTCGCCTTCTATTTTGACGGGTTTGCACAACATAGCTCAAGGTATGCTGTTCGCCCATTAATGAAAATTACCTGAGTCAGTCGGTGCATGTGTGTCAGTGGTGAACTTGCCTGATGGTAGTTACTTTATCCGACCCTTCCTGAAGTGTATCAATATGTTGTTATAAAGAAGAAACACACGTAATACCTTCCTACTTGGTCTAAGTATAGCTAAGTATGGTTAAGGTGTCTTACGTATGACTAAGTATGGTTAGGATTGCGTAGGAAGATGTTACGTGTGTTCCTTTATAACAACATGTTGATGCACTTCTGGAAGAGTCAAATACAGTAACTACCTGCTTGATGATAATTAAATCGAAGTCGTTACTCTGTCAGTGAAGAACACTGTTTCGCCATCTTCCAATCGCCCGAGTCTAAATGTTTTCTTCTGTATTTTGACTTTTTGATAACTTTTTTTCGTATGTTCCTCAAATTTCAGCATGCCAAGCGGCGGACTACGCCAGTGGTTATCAGGCATACACGAGCCTTATCTCGAGTGGAAGCTTTTCAGAGATAAGCTCTTTCATGCCAGGAATTAAATCGTTGATGCAAATAGCAACTCAATTACGCGTCTAAGAGTTTCATGGAAGTCGGAATCTATATTTACGGAAGTTTGGTTGAATTAATTTCGTTCCATTTTTGGGAAAGCTTCAAGTCAGCATCTCTTGATGCAATATTCGATTCGTGGAAAAGAGTTAATGTATATTTGATGTTTTTTCCCAATCAAAACAGACTTGAGAAAGAAATTCTTCCATTTTCCAAACATCATATGCCATTCCACTTTGGCTTCAACAAAATACAGCAGTCTGCGATCAATTTGAAATTAATTAAATTTAGATATATTCTCAGAGTAAATGTTTTCAGCGAATAATCGTTCATCGCTCCTATTTTTGTGGTACAAATTTCTGAAAAGTGGCGTAGCCAACCAGCAAGTTTGCTCTGTAAACATTTCGTCTTCAGTTCACTCACTGTAAAAACTATAGATTTCTGAAGTAGCGAAAAATCATAACGAGCTTAATTTTATATAACAGGTCCAAACTTGCTTGCAGGCTAAGCCACCGAGTTGTTGTAATCCGGGTTGGTAGGCTTTTGCGTATGCCCATAGATAAATGACTGTTCAAAGAAAAGGCCTGGAAAGAGCCGAATCATACCAACTTTTCAACGCGTTATATTCAAACAACCTCATGCCCTAGGTATTGAAATGATCAAATGGGGGAAAAATTAAATGTTTTTGATTGTATTGTATGTCAACCGAACTTTTAAAATCGCATGTTTTCCCATTTATGGAGGCGTCCACACAGCATTATACGTCATCATCATTTGTTAACTATGTTTAGCAACAAACATTACAATCATTGTCCGTCAAAATGAAAAAAAGGAAAATTCAGCTAAAAGGCAAAGTTAATATATCGAGGCTAAAAGAAAAAGCCAAAACCGAGTTTTTGGCTGTAAAAAAGCCAAGATACCAACCCTATAACAGCGTAACCAGCGTAACTTAATTTTAATCATGGATTCTATTGAAGTGACGTCACAACTCGTTCCCAGACCTATTACGTTCCCGCGCGGCGCATTAAATATTCTTGCATCATATTACGCATTGTAAACATACGAGAAATTCGAAGTTGTTTTCTCAAAGTTGGTAAAATAATTTGTAGAAAATGACCATATATTACAGTCTCATTGCCAGAGATACGACTGTGCTTGTTGATCATTCTGAGAACACCGGGAACTTTCAACAAATTGCACAAACGATCCTGGCCAAAGCTCCTCGGCAAGACACAAAATGCACATATATATCAGGAAGGTACGTGTTCGTTTCGTCTTCTTGTATTCTCATCGTGAATGTGGATATCTTCTTCTTTATGCTTTTGAAATATTTTAGTTTCTAGTTGTTTAGAGGTTTTAAGTCGGGTCGTATTTCCTGATTGTGCGTTGAAAATGTCAGAGTTCATTATGCATCTATTTGAAGTGTATTTATCTTGTCACAAGGAGTATAGCGCTAATATAACTACTGTTCTTACAGGAAATGGCGACAAAGTTTTCTATTTGGGGCGCTATATCACCCCTTCTACCCTGTACCAGTTACCACAATAGGGTTTTTATTGTGTCACGTAGCTTGAATCAAGAGGTCTTCCTTAAACTCCTGTATAGTACTGATAGAAAAACTACCATCCCTAACGTTTGCACTCAATAAATATTTGCCCTTAATGAACATCAAGGCACAAAGTGTAAATGTTTTTCGAACTATTGTTTATAACTTTATGTTTTGTTCAGCTATCATTTTCACGTAATGGTACAAGAAAATCTCATCTACATATGTATGACAGATGAAGAAATGGGAAAGAGATTACCATACATGTTTCTGGAAGAGGTATTGAATTTTGCAGCTTCATGGATCATCAGTTTCATTTATTAGCAATATCTTGAAGAAATGTAGTTCCTCTTACTAGATCAAGCGGCGCTTTTGTGTAGGAAGTCTAAAGCAAAGAGCAAGAACGGCTTTGTCGTATGAGCTGAAACGAGATTTTCAACAAGTTCTCTCATCACAAATGGTAGGTTTTATGCTCTAAATTAATTGTGTATTCATTTGAAAAATTTTGTTTGAAGATTTGAATGACTTTAAATTATTGTTCCTTAAGTTGTTGCATCTGTTGGATGATGATTTGTGAAACAACTTTGATCACTAAAATATTCGCACGAGGCTCTTGATTTCAATGATCGAATTTCAGTTTTAAATGCATGTATATTTAACGAGAATCAAATTGATGACTAAAGGCTGCTTACATGGACTGTAGGAAGCCTTTAATTCAAGAAGAGAGGGTGGTGCTTCATCTGACCAATTAAGCAGAGTCCGACAAGATGTTGAAGATGTCAAAGGAGTTATGACCCAAAACATTGGTATGGAAATTGTCATCGAATTACTAAATTTTGTGAATTGCAAGTTTTCAAATCATGAATCATAAATAAATAGGGGGTCCTGAAATAAAACTCTGGAAAGATTTTATTTTATGGAGTTAACTTTCGTAGTTGTTCAATACTCAATGTCGTATGAGATTAAGGCTTTAGACATTATGGCTAAGGATTTTAAAGATCATATTTCAATTGCATCACTTTATCCAGCAGCCCTTTCCTCACCACAACATCCCAAGTTAACTTCTCGCTTATTGTAATTCGTACTCTATTTTTCTTTCCATTGAAACTATGTCAAACCATCCTCTTAAATTTCCTACAAGTTACCTTTCTGTTGATACTATTGAAGACATAAGTCAAAATTCCTCCTTTGCATCATCTCAATCTATTCTTTGGCCTTTCCTATGCTTCTAACAACATTCCAAGTCCATAATGATTCTCGATCTTACACTCCTTTCCTCTTCTCTATCTTCCTGCAGATGTATCTTCCTCATCCTCTCCTTTTTCAACTAGTCATAAACCTTCACCGGTAACCCTTTGTAATTGGCTTCCACAGGGGGGGTGGGCTTATAGTCTGAGGGGTAACACATGGATTGTATTTAACTGCAGCAATCTGTGTATATTACGCAGTTAAATTTATGGGCTTGTATAGGAGTTGGCTTAAACGCGGGTGCCGGATGAGCTTTTTCCTGGAATTAGTCCGGTGTCACAATGGTGGTGGTGTTATCACGTGAGGGTTGCATGAAGGGGTGGGGGGTGCTATAGGTTGAGGTTTACAGTATTTGCATGTAATTTACGTAGATAAATCATGAATGTGACGATCAATAACTTACAGCGAAATTTTCTTGTTTTTTATGCATTTCAAAGCTTGTTTTGCCAAACGTTGTTTGTTGGTTTTTGTCTATTTATGTCGCGATCTCCATTATTTATTTCGATGGTAACATAAACATTTTTATTTTCATCAGAGAAAGTTCTTGAACGTGGTGAGAGAATTGACACTTTACTGGATAAAACAGAAGAACTTGACTCCAGCGTAAGTTATTTTTTAAACATGCGTTACATGCATTGTTAATTTACGATGCCACGCGAAAGAATCCAAGTGATGTTGCTACTCAACGACAACAAAAACTATTTTATTCGTTTTCTTCATCGTTTTCGTTCTCATTGTTTTCGACTTTTATGTCGTTTCAAGTCCTTCGTATAAAAAGACCAAGATAAACCTTTCTTGTGATGTGTGTAAGCAATAGAACACAAATTAACCACACCGTGTGATTGCATATAGTGGATGGAGGGTGGTAGCGGGTTTTGGTAGTGGTCGTTGAAAAAAACAGATTCCTCCGCTTCATATGGAAGACAATTAACTGAACTTCAAGCAAAAAGGGCCATCAACACGAAAATTTTGTATTATGCTTTCATTGAAGAAAACTCATAAAAGGACACTGGTCTTTCTAACAGTTTAGTCATATCCTTTTTCATTCTCAAAATGTTAAAGATTTGTAATGTCTCATTTACGCAACCAATGACGTCACATTCCGTGATGAGAAATCGGATCGTCAGAAAAATTTGCTGATGTGTCTATTTAACTGGACTGAGTTGCTATCGCTGTAAATGAAATGTTACTGGTACGAAGTTCAGCATAAATATTTCATCCAAAAGTTGTCAGGAAACTGATGGATATTTATACAACTGGAGCGACTCTTTTTGCAATGTGACGTCACTGGTTGCGTGAATCAGACTTTACAAAAACTTCAACGTCAACGGAAAGAGTTATAAATAAACTGTTTTCGAAAGTCCGCTGTTATTTTCAGAGCACCCTTCGATGAAAATATAAATTGAGTAGCAAAATTTTCGTTTTAATGACTCTTTAAAATATTGCATCCTGTTCACAAAACTCGAGGAGAGGACATAAATTTCTACTAAAATTTCACGTTCATCTCTCTTGTTATTCAGGCGAGCACGTTTCGAACGAACGCGGTGCGAGTTCGTCGAAAAATGTGGTGGCAGAACACGAAGATGTGTCTGATTTTGATCGCTGTCATTTTGATTATATTGACAGTTATCGTCCTTGTCATTCTTGGCGAAACTGGACATTTAAAGTAGATAAATTGACAAAATATGACGTCATGGTCGAGGAAGTATTAATTTCAAAATATTTAAGACGTTACAAGCGTTGGCATGCTCAATCATTACCATTAATCATAAAATGCTGGAAATTTTAGAGCGTTTTACACAGTAACTATTTAAGGTATTTTTGATTCTTCACTTTCGCTTATCTGAAATTTTTACGAAGCGTTTTTCCTCCGTAAAAAACGAATTCCCTGAATTTAGTGTTTGGTCAACTTGTCGCGTATTTACGTTTAGCCTCGAAGTGGCGCGAAACTAGTTTTCTTCATTATTGCATCGTTGGCCTTTCCTATGCTTCTAACAACATTCCAAGTCCATAATCATTCTCGATCTTACACTCCTTTCCTCTTCTCTATCTTCCTGCGGATGTATCTTCCTCTTCCTCTCCTTTTTCAACTAGTCATAAACCTCCACCTGTAACCCATTGTAATCGGTTTATACAGGGGGGTGAGCTTATATACAGAGGGGCTAATACGTGGATTGTATTAAACTGCAGCAACTGACTTTTTTACGAAAATTTTTACGAAGCGTTTTTCCTCCGTAAAAAAACGAATTCCCTGAATTTAGTGTTTGGTCTACCTTGTCGAGTACTACGTTTAACCTCGAAGTGGCGCGAAACTAGTTTTCTTCATTATTGCATCGTGGATCGTACATACATCTGGGACATACATCAGTTGATTATAAACTCAAACTGAACTTCGTGTGTTTTTTTTTGACGTTCAATATTCGCAGAACCCCTAACAAGAGCTTTCTTTACATTTGCGAAAAACTGGTAGACTTTATGAAAGACATATATTTTGAAATAACTTCTGTATCGACATGATTATAAAATTATCCTTTCCGGGGAGTTTAATTCTTCATATTTCCTGGCGCGTGTATTTTAGATGTTAAATACCATTTTTGTCTGCTAAGATTATCCTTCACGGCTTGACACTTTGTCATTCTCACCCTCGTCATTTGAAAACTGTTGAGCAAAGAGCATTATGCAACCAATTAGTACTAGTCAAGCTGACGTTCTTGTCGATGTACATTTTCTCCTCAATTTACACTACCTTGGCAGATAGGGAACACAAAACTCTATCCATCACCGCAGATTTATTCTCTCACAATAGCACTTGACTGTTCTTTAGATCCCTTATACCTGTAGGGGCAAATACGAACATATTATAACTTCTTAGTTTTTCAATTCCTGTTTTATTTGTCACATTGACGTGACCTTTGAGTACATGATGAAAGAAATTTGCCAGGATAATGTTGCATAATGAAGCCAGCGAGCGAGCCTTAGCAATATTTTAGGCCGTGAAAGTTAAGCAGTTCTTCTCATTCTTAGAGAAAACTCTCATAATCCAAACTTTACTTCATAACAACGACTGATGCAACTTGTAGCTTTTCCAAGGCGTGTTATTTCCGTTGTTGTCTTGTGCATGTTTGTTTTTCCTGTCTTTAAATGATTCAGTGTCTCCTGGGGTGCGCTTGTATTCATTGGAAATTTTTATTTAACATATATGACGTAAGTTTGTTACGTCATAGTAGGCTCAAACATTGAACTAAAATACATGGAACGCCACCTCAAGCAAATAATTGAAGCCATATATCTTACGACAGATACGCGAGATTTTACCCCAGACACGCGTGTTTAGTGTTTCGAGATTCTCTCGCGAAGTAATAATTGTTGACTATACACACTCGTGTCTGGGGTAAAATCACGGCTTCAAAAAATTGTTAGGGTTTTGTATTACAGGTAGCGTTCCATGCATTTTAGTTCAATAGACTCAAACGACAATCCCATATTTAGCGTTTGCGAAATGCAAGTCAATGACATATGAATGTGCACCGAAGTGCAAGTCAATGAAAACGAAAATGAAAATGCAAGTCAATGACGTATGAATGATGACACTGTTTTTAATGAAATTTCAACATTAGTAATTTCATTATTACATAAAAAAATAAGCAACGAAGACAATTATATTTTTGGACGATCATTGCGATTGTTCAAGATTGTTCTACTCATATAGTTGACAAATATTAAGTACCCTCCGTAATTGTTTTTCGTTTTTATAAGATAAAGGGGGTTCCTAGAAACGTTTGAAAGTCTGAGCACTGCGAGAGGTCCACGCGCAACTCGAAGACCTTCGCGTTTTTTGTTTACTCGCTGCGCTCGCACAAAGTGTTCAATTGGTCAATATATCTTCACTGTTTTGACAACAATGCTTTTTCTAAGAATGTAAATATCTAATACTTTCGATGAGATTGTCAGAGAAATGATTATGTTATAATGACAGTTAACAGAGAAACGGAGACTCTTTTATCCTGTAAAAATCCTTTTGATAATGTGATATTTTTTTGTGTCAACAATGGCTAGTTGACTTCAGTATTGTATTATTTTTTGGCAAATACATGGCTGAAAGCGACGATTTTGTCAGCGGCACGCTAAATGAAGAAAACCCCGAAGCTTTATTCGACGCTTTTATTGCAGCTTCGGAATTCCTACCAACGTTAGAAGCGTTTTCTCGACTTTGTAAAAGCTTGAATATCGACACAAGCGGTTATGAACACGTTTTCCGACTGCTGAAGGAACGATTGAACAGTTGGAAGTGTCAAGCGTTGTGGTATAAACTTGACAGAAGAGCGGAGCTTCATACGTACAAGACGAAAGATAAAAAAAAACCATGTGCCAAGAACAATGTCTTAATCATAGGCTGTGGGCCTTGTGGATTGCGCGCTGCCATCGAAGCCTCTCTACTCGGAGCGAAGGTTGTCGTTTTAGAAAAGCGAAATAGCTTCTCTCGAAACAACGTGCTACATCTATGGCCATTTCTTATTGTTGATCTTAAGAACTTGGGGGCAAAAAAATTCTTCGGTCGATTTGCTTCTGGTAGTCTAGATCATATCAGTAAGTACGGACTTATTACTCATTTATTAATTGCGCTTGCGATATTTCTACGTATTATCTCAAATAATCCAGGTGTTTTGTTGAAGTTGACCACGCATAAAATAATGAAAAAAAATAAAGACTCATTGTTTCCTTCGTAGTTGATTTGGTTCGGGAAATTTCCGTCGAAGACAAAGTAAACACCATAAATGTGCTACTGTCAAGTGTCAACTGAATAAATTTCATTGACAATTTTTGACTTACAGTTATGATTCAAACATCGAGTATCACGAACGTTTAGGGATTCATGATCAATTTTTATTTGAAATTGGATATCATTCAAATAGTTAAGCTTCTTTTTCGTCTGCATATTTAACTCATATCTCAAATATTTGGATGTGGTCGACGTATTTTTGCCCTATAGTCATTTGGTTCTAATGTGGTGTTAATTTTTTTGTGAAATTTGATCAGAAAACTTTTGAAATAATGCATTATTCTTATGATGCCCTTGAATTTCTGTTGTATTGCTTGCATTCCTGAAGATTAAAGTTACCTTTCTAGTTGTTTCTATGTTATTGTTGCCATCTGAATTTATATTTCCTATAAAGGAGTGAACAAAGTCCTGGGGATGCTGGTTGACAGCCCACCCACCCCCTCCCCCCCCCAAAAAATTATTGAGCAATAAACCAAGTTGGCAAAGTGTTTTTCATTTGTCAGCATTTTGGCAAACCATGCCAAGTATTAACTATTCTATCTTCCTTTCATCTGCAAATATTTTTACTTAACCAGGCATTCGTCGTCTTCAACTAATTCTCCTCAAAGTTGCATTGATTTTTGGTGTTCAAGTGTATTCAGAATGCATGTTTGTGAAACTACGAGAGCCTTCTGAAGGTTAGTGTTATTGCAATAGTATAAACTATCTCATATTATAAAAAAATTTGAGTGTTTTTGTTATACAATTTACTCTAGAAACTAGGAGTGCCAGCAGGTTTTTAGTTTGGATTTCTTAAAAACTCTTGGAATCTCAAATCAATCAGCTTATTTTAGGCGGTGGCGCAGCCAGTCCACAAATTTGGTCATGCTATGTAAATTTTTCATCATCGTCACTATTTATTTCTTCGGAAATTTTTTTTTAAATTGAGGAAACACCGAAAAATTTACAAAGCATGAACAAACTTCCGGGCTTGCCGTACCACTGATTTTAGGGTTGCAAAATTATGATATTTGAAAAGCGGCAAATGAATTGTCATCCATGAATTAGTCATTCATACTTACCTACACAGCTACCATGTCATGTTTCAGGTCGAGGATGGACGGCAGTTGTAAAGCCAGAAAATCATGTTGTTAAAAAGTTCCAGTTTGACGTCATCATTGGCACTGATGGCCGCCGGCACACGCTCAAAGGCTTCAAAAGGAAAGAATTCCGCGGAAAGCTTGCCATTGCAATCACCATGAATTTCATTAACCGCAACACGAAAGCGGAGGCAAGGGTGGAGGAAATAAGCGGTGTGGCGTTTATATTCAATCAGGACTTTTTTCAAGAACTCAAGGATGAAACTGGCATCGATTTGGAAAATATTGTTTATTATAAAGACGAAACTCACTACTTTGTCATGACGGCAAAGAAGAAGAGTCTCTTGTGTAAAGGTGTTCTGAAAAAGGTGCTCATTTGACGCCATATTGCGTTTATAAAAAATCCGCATTGTATCTGAAGTTATGATCCCGTGATGATGTTACCTTGATTTTCCAGCTTTGTGTGTGTGTGTGTGGGGACGGGGACAAGCTATGAGACAAATTTTTCTTGGAAGTACTGCAAAATTTGTACGACATTGATCGAGAACAAAATTGAAGTACATGCGACTGAATTTCAACTAAAGTTTTTTTCAATTCAATTGGTTGGAGGTGGTTACTTCTTTGGGCATGGAATATTATTCGGTGGCGGGGGCGCACAAGCCTTTAATTATTACAACGCTGACACACTATCTTAGCGCATGCCTTCTTTGACAACTGATAGCTTTGAACCCCAAATTCTGACATTCGCGTATTTATAGTCTCTAAACTGTAGAATTTCGTTCAGGATTTGGCAGATCCGCAGGATCTTCTTCACCAGCGGAATGTCAATCGTGATAAACTTTTGAGCTACGCTAGGGAGGCCGCAGATTTCTGTACATCGAAGCAGCTGCCTCACCTGGACTTTGCATTGAACTCTCACAACTCCGAAGACATCGCCATGTTTGATTTTACTTCCATGTACGCCGCGGAAAACGCCGCCATGATCTTCGACATGAAAGGACATCGTTTGTTGACTTGTCTTGCCGGCGACAGTTTAATGGAGGTTCGTTTCTTGCCTTGTTTGTGTGTCCTTTTGGTTCTTCTGACTTGCGCCGTTTGCTTAGTTTTAACAGTCTTGGGATTACCTTAATTCAGTGCGATTATGGTTAGATGCATCCGTTTGCTTTAGTTTTGACAGTCTTGGGATTACCTTAATTCAGTGCGATTATGGTTAGATGCATCCGTTTGCTTTAGTTTTAACAGTCTTGGGATTACCTTAATTCAGTGCGATTATGGTTAGATGCATCCGTTTGCTTTAGTTTTAACAGTCTTGGGATTACCTTAATTCAGTGCGATTATGGTTAGATGCATCCGTTTGCTTTAGTTTTGACAGTCTTGGAAATACCTTAATTCAGTGCGATTATGGTTAGATGCATCCGTTTGCTTTAGTTTTAACAGTCTTGGAATTACCTTAATTCAATGCGATTATGGTTAGATGCATCTGTTTGCTTTAGTTTTAACAGTCTTGGATTACCTTAATTCAATGCGATTATGGTTAGATGCATCTGTTTGCTTTAGTTCTAACAGTCTTGGATTACCTTAATTCAGTGCGATTATGGTTAGATTCATCTGTTTGCTTTAGTTTTAACAGTATTGGGATTACCTTAATTCAGTGAAATTATGATTAGATGCATCCCGGCAAATCGTTCATTTACGTATAGATTTATTTACGATAACTCTACCTTTAGCCAAACCGTAAGCATACCCAATAATATCTTTCACAGGCGACGGACACAATTCATTATATTAGTTTCATGGTGAACGTCGTCGTATTAACCTTTAAAAAGTTTTTTTGCCAATTCGTTTTTATTTGGTTTCCGGATTGGGCCACATTTCTTGATTAACGCGGCATTAGAGGGTTCGTGTTCAAAGTCCATTAACGCAGTCTTTTTTATTTCAGCCATTTTGGCCGACAGGTTCCGGTTGCGCCAGGGGTTTTCTTTCCGTTTTTGATGCCGCTTGGATGATAAGAGGCTGGGGTCTAGGTCATCGTCCTATCGACCTGATCATGGAACGCGAGGGCGTCTACAAACTCCTGGCTCAAACGACTGCCGAGAACGTGTCGAGGAATTACGACGAATACACGATCGACCCAAAATCGCGTTACCCACCAGCCAGCGTGAGGAAGGCGCTCAAGGATTCTGTGAAGCATCTGTATAAGGTTGTACAGAATTCCTTGGAGGAAAGTTTGGCTGAGGAGGCTGTATCCCCGAATGTGGACATTGATCGGCCAGCCATTATGCGGAACAAAGGTTTGTAAAGGAGTTTCAAAGGCTCGTTTTCTTGTCACTTCTTTTAAAGTCTCAAGTTTTGCTCGAACCACTTTGCATCTTACAAGTCCTCCCTCCCATTCCTTCCTTCCACCATTCCACCCCTCCTTCCTCTCCCTTTCCCCTTAGAACATTCCACCCTCCTCCCATTCCATTCCACCCCTCCTTCCAGAACCATTCCACCCCTCCTTCCTTTCCACCTCTCCTCCCTCTTTTCCCCTTCCTTCCCATTCCACCCTTCCTCCCTTGCTCAGAACCCATTCCACCCCTCCTCCCTTGCTTAGAACCCATTCCACCCCTTCTCCCTTGCTTTGAGCACACTCTACCCCTCCTCCTCCCTTGCTTAAAGCCCATTCCACTCCACCCCCTTTGCTTTGTGCCAACTCTGTTTTATTTGACAAAGTTTTTAAACTGTCCTAAGAGAACGAATTAGGTTGATTTGTCGATAAGTGCTTTGTCAACAATTTTCGAACATCTTTTCTCCTTTTCATTTGTGTTATCATCTGTCTCATATTTTTACTTATTACAATCTTTAAATCTTTGCCAAACAATAGCGAGTTATTGGGGGGAGGGCGGCGTACGGACGTGCCTTTTCAATGAATAGTGCTATGTAACGTTTGTGTGGATGAGATGAAGAAAGGAAAACTTAATGTATCTTATCTAGGCTCTTGCAATAGTATTAATCTTAAAGTCTGACCGTTTTCCATTGTCCAAAAATTCGTTTTTTCCCCAGTGATTGAACGCAAAACTACTTGCATTGTCGAAGTAAGAACAGGCTGGCGTATAACAATGTGTAACGTTTATATTGACTTTAATTTTAGTTAGCCCCGATCTGTTGTTGTCTTGGTGTCAGAAACATACGAAAGGCTACAAGAACGTCGACATCAGAGACATGTCGTTTTCTTGGAAAAACGGTTTAGGATTTTGCGCCCTCATTCATAACTTTCGGCCCGATCTTATGTAAGTCATCGAGAAGAAGTGGTTTACTGTGGGTGGAATGCGATGTGACCATACGTTCAATTTGTTTTACCAGATCCGGTTGGTGAGCTTAAACACCTCTCCTGTTCTGAATTTTGCAACCATATAAAGCAGATGAGAGAGTCTAAGCTTATCTGACCAAGTCTTGTAAAACATTTTGCCTGTATGTCCACAATGGTTGAATGTGGAATGTTTCAAAAATGCTCTATATGTTTCAGTGATTTTGAACGACTTAACGAAGATGATGTTGAGAAAAATAACGAGACGGTAAAGCCATAATTTTTTTATCCCAAACCACAAATACTGCCATACATTTCCAGTAATTTCCACTTAACTCGGTGAACTGCCTCCCCTCCAAAATAGATTTTTGCTCGAATCATCTTCCCACGTTTTCATTTTACTCACGTGGTCACTTCGTGAATTACTGAAAGTTAAGGCGAAAGTTCTTTGATGATTGCGAAGTAATCCGCGTGACGTTAATCCTCATATATATATATATATGCTCTTGTTAACAGTGCTTTCATTTCAATTTAAAGCACCGTTTGCCTGCAGATTTAGTACTTCTTTGTAAATTTACCATTATTCATTTCTTTGGATATTAGTTATTTTTCCAGTGAGTGTTTAAGTCGAACTAGCTAAGCTGCCGACGCTGTATGTAATAGCTTGATGACTTTTGGTGTCTTTGTAGTACAGTTTTGTTTCGTGTTCAACTGACGTATGGAGCGTTTCGTCATGTTTGGCTTTAACCAATCATAAGACGTAACCTGATTGGTTATCATTCCCTGACGTCATGTTGCTAACCAATCATAAGACGTAACCTGAGTGGTTATCATTCCCTGACGTCATGTTGTTAACCAATCATAAGACGTAACCTGAGTGGTTATCATTCCCGAACTAATTTATCTCATTGGACCCACCTTAATGTTGTGAATGCCGTTTTCAGGCTTTCAACATCGCAGAAAATGAGTTAGGCATTCCGCCCCAGATCTCCGCTTTCGAGATGGCCAATAATGCAAAGCCGGATTTGCTCAGCATAGTGACTTATCTCGCTCAATATTACGAAGCTTTTAAAGATCAGAAACGAGGTGAGTATTTACGATCTGACTTCTGATCTTATAATATTGGAAGATTGACTGCAAGATCTAAAACGAGATTTATGTTTTCTCAGTCCAACCAAACAACACGTCCAGCGGTAAAGTGTCGTCACAGGAGGCGAAGCACAAGTCACCGCGATCCAAAGTTTCTGCTATTTCCAAAATAAGCATGAAAAATAAGGTCAGTTGTAGTGTGAACGAGTCATCTTGTTTTGTTCTAAAAGCAAGATTAGGATGAAGGTAGCATGTTGAGAATGAAGTGGTAGGTGAGGATAGAGGTGGCAGGTGAGGATAGAGATGTCAGATGAGGTGGAGGTAGCCGGGAGAATAAAGGTAAAAGATTAGAATAGAGATGACAAGTTGGAATAGAGGTAGAAAGGAAAGGATAGAATGGATAGAGGGGGAAGGAAGGAGGAAGGGAAAGGATAGAGGTGGAATAAGAGGATAGAGGAAGGTAGGAAGATAGTGGAAGGAAGGATAGAGGGAAAGGTGGAAATAGGGTGGAAGGATAGAGGGGAATGGAAGGGGGAAGGAAGGAAGGAAGGTGGAAGGAAGGAGGAAGGAAGGGAAAGGAAGGATAGAGGAAGGTAGGAAGGAAGGAATGGAATGTTTGTAGGGATGGATGGATTAGTGCGATGTAGCTTTATGAGCCCCGAGCGTCCCTTGGTAGGAAAGTCTCGCGTTCAGAACATAATAAGAAAATTTAACGAGAAAGAGATGCGTGAACGGGCGTACAGCGCGAATGACTTAACAGAGAGAGGATTGCGTTTAGCGCATGCGCAGAGAGATGTGGGGAACAAGAGATACAATTTGAGAAAGCGTGATGACAAGACTGTTAATTATCGAACTACTACAGAGACGACTGTTGAAACATACCGACCATTACGGACAATACTTCATGTTACGACAAAATTTGTAGCGCGGTCGTTACTTATCGGTTTTTGGTGGCTGCTGTTGTTTATCTGGTGGATAGTAGCACTATTTCCACGCTGTTTATGTTTCATTTTCATCAAGGGTAAACGTAGAAACAAGGACGAGGTCGAGAGATCTAGCAAGAAGTCGAAAGCGACAGAAAAGAATCAGGTACGCCAATGTTTTTAGTGGTTAGTGTAACTTTCAATTTTATTTTGCTCATGTAACAACTTGCGCTTCCCATTTCACAGAATCGCTTTTATCTCTTTATCACTTAGCATTTTGACAAAAAGAATGTAAAGCGGCATTAATTTTTGTTCCAATTTTCATTCCCCCCAACCACAACTTTTCCAAAATGGCTTTAAAGTAAATGGTTTGAACCCGGGAGTATCGTTACATGTTTGTAAATGATGATCGTCCAGGTTAATAAAGTCCTGAGAAGGACTGTTTTTGTTGTTGTTGACTGACGTTTCGACAACCTTAGCGGTAGTCATCTTCAGAGTCAAATGAGGAGTAAACGTCAGGTTAGCCGTTTTTGTTATCTGGTTCTTACGTCATTGTATTGTATTGTATTGTATTGTATTGTGTACAGGAAATGTGTATATACATCATTTACAAACATGCAAAATGGCTTTGTTAAATCAGTCGCTTGAAAACGAAAAGAAATACATGACACAATAAACATCCTATACTTTGTTATCTACGCTTGAAGCCATTAATAACAACTTTGTAATGTCACACTCTTTACGGGACGATTGCCATATAGTGAATGCATAAAATTTTTATTTTATGTATTTTGTATAGATTTCTTCGAAGACGACCAATGGTGTTGCTTCGGCGTATATAAAAACAAATGATTTTGATGAAGATAATTTACAGATCTCTGAAAATGGTTACGTGAAACCCAGCAGCCGAATAAATGCGTTAGCCGAACAAGTTTTTGGCGTTACAGCGGATCCAAAACAGCAGAGAAAGGCAACATCCGACTTACCTGTAAGTTAACCGTTCGTTTATATTCAATAGGGTTTTTTTGAGAACATTGTGCACGCTGACCAGTGAGAAATAAAATAGACTTTTTCCAGCGAGCATAAGTAGTCAGTAGTCAGGCCGTTTATGCAAGTTTTGTCACTTTTATGCATACATTACATTTTTAAATCATGCCTTTTTGCGCTCCTGTTTTCATTTGACATTTCTCCATCTTGTTTCATTTTCAAGACACGATATCAACAACAATCGTTTAGTGATAGTGAACATTGTCATTTCTGCAACGAGAGAGTGTTCGTTCTTGAAAGATTGTCGGCCGAAGGATTTTTCTTCCATCGCAAATGCTTTAAATGCGAAGTATGCGAAGAGACGTTGAGGTTGGGTAACTATGGTTACATACCATCCGAAGACAACAAGCCCGGGAAATTTTACTGCAAGGCACATTACCGCAAGATTATGTACAAAACACCTACGGGCTCACAAAGCAATAGGAAAAGTCTAGGTAAGAGATCGAATTGAATGGAAAATAGTTTTCCACCTTGAGTAGGTAATGAAATAAAAAAAATAATTGTTTGTCGTCAAAAGGTAACTGCGTCATCTACCAATGGAAACTTACTTCCGTGTTTATATGGACAGATTGCTGCACTTTAAAAAGCATTATCTCTTTTGCTTGTACTGTTTTTAAAGAAGTTTCCTTTACTTTTAAGACGTGACCACGGTTTCTACTCCGGCTCGTCGATCGCATTCCCTGGGGAATATCGACGTGGGCTTGCGCAAGACGGCGGAGAAACCGATTGACTTTGAGACCGCGTCTGAGGAGTCGCCACCGAAGAAAGTGCTCAAAGTACCCAATAATCTTCGCGAGGAAATAAACAGTCTCAGTCCCCCACGTACTAGCACGCCGTCTAGTGACCACGATGCATCCTTATTGGCCTCCTATGACATCATCAATACGAGTAGTGTGGAAAAATCCATGCAGGAGAAGTCAAACCAGGTACTCTTTTATATTTGTTACGTCACATGATGCATTTACGAAAGCAATTATTTCACGAATTGGTAGAAAGAGAACCCAGCAATTGAACTAGTTCCAATCCTTTCGCGCACGGCCAAAAAGGAAGTTCAATACGACAGTAAGCTAAAATGCGGCGCTTTACCTCTGTACACGTATGTCAGTAGAGAAAATTTTGCTTCATGCTAGTACGGGCATGTTAACGTATTGCTAATCTTCCTGTTTTATATTTAGTTCAATGTGTTCAATACTTTAATTGAATGTTCATCAATTTGTTGAAACGTTTAACAACGTTGTTTCCACGGTGAAACAAACCTTCTTATGTTTTAACAACGTTGTTTGCACGGTGAAACGAACCTTCTTATGTTTTGATAACGTTGTTTGCACGGTGAAACGAACCTTCTTATGTTTTAACAACGTTGTTTGCACGGTGAAACGAACCTTCTTATGTTTTAACAACGTTGTTTGCACGGTGAAACGAACCTTCTTATGTTTTAACAACGTTGTTTGCACGGTGAAACGAACCTTCTTATGTTTTAACAACGTTGTTTGCACGGTGAAACGAACCTTCTTATGTTTTAACAACGTTGTTTGCACGGTGAAACGAACCTTCTTATGTTTTGATATTTTGGCTATATTTGTTATATTTCACATTGTTAACATGATACAATATAACATAAAGTATGTAATTTTTTAAAGTTAATGTTAATTCAGTTCATTAGATACAGATCAGTGGACACGTGACAATCGTACGATCTTACATACTTCCTGTGCATGTACATATATATATTGTTGTTGTAAAATCATTTTTTTTTCTTCTTTGAATAAAGTTCATAATCTAACACACATTGTAAATAATTGTTGCGACAATCGTCTTTGTAGGAAATTGGAGCAAGATTGTATTCCTTCGTTTTCACTTTCCATTTATAATACCCTGGTCACTTGTTTAGAAAAATTACTTGTCCGCTTTAGGTTGGAGGTGAATCGAGTCACGAAGGGAAGGCTGGAACGCCATTAGGTCGAGCGGGTGCCAGCCGTAAGGCGGTCAACAAATACGTCAAACTAGAAGCCAGGCCTCTTCGACGGTCCAGTATAAGTGCAGCGCGAAAATCCGATAAAGGAACGCGTAGATTGTTTCTTCACAAGAAGTCTCCCGCGGAAGGAAAGGTAAAGAAGAAAAAAGCTGCTAGTGAAAATGTGCTCTCTCCTGAATTGCCTGCTAGTCCACCACCTGTACCACCTCCTAAACCACCGCGGGCTCATCAAGTTAAGAATATTGCCGAGCAGCCACAGTCTCCTGAACAAACAGGAAAGAGCGGGAAAGGTTTGCTTGATATTTTCAATACTTCTTCATTAGATCTCGTAAAATCGTGGAAATAGTTCTCAAATTGCTAATCTTTTCCATATTCTCCCGTAATCTTAATCTAGCTACCAAAATCTGAATTTAGAAAATTTCTTCACTTAAATTCTTTCATTTCTCATAGGAAAGCGTCGAAGGAACTCTAAACGGGCAAGATACCCCGAATCCATGGCTTTCTCAGATACATTTTTAATAACTAAGGTTTCGAGTATTTCTATTGATGATGACGTCAATCCCAGTGAGCGTGGGGATACTACAGAGGATCTACGGGCGTGTTTGGGAGAGACCACTCCGAGGCGTGTCGGCTTGCAATCTTCGCTCACAAGAAAGCGACGCAGTGCTGATCCAAAGAAACATTGGTCAGCTTATTACAGGGCGGCGATGAATTCAGATGATTCAGCTGGTGAAGGTAGAGGATTTTACTTTACCTGAAAATTCATTAAGAATGCGAGTTGAGGGGATTGTTAAAATTTTATAATTTATCAATTTTTTTATGCAGAATCTAAAAGGCCACTATCTCAACCGGAACCATTAAAGGAATCCGAGCTTCCTCCTAGTGAACCTCCTGCCGATTCTCAGAATGGTCTACCTACCCTCTACGAAGATCGTGAGCTTTCACCGACGTCTCCTAACAAAAAACCAAAATGGCAAATCTTTGCCGTCCATCACAAGAAGGACAAAAAGAGCAGGGAGGAAAAGAAACGGCTAAAGGAGGAACAAAAACGAGAAAAGAAGGAAAAGAAACGATTGAAGAAAGAGAAGAAATCAAAAGGAAAGGAGTATAGGGATGGCGCAGAATCACCTGAAGTTATACTCTGTGAAACAGGTAAAGACTATCCATCGTCACTTTACTAACTTTTTTCCTAAGTCATATTTTTTCAATTTCGGGATTTTGCCTTAAACTACTATGTTCCCCACTGATGTGTTCTGTATTTTCTGCCAAAGTCAATTGACAAACAGAATATTAACTTAGAGAATTGACTATCGAAATCAAATCTTCCCAAAGGTTTATTGTTGTTGTGTGCTCAGGAAACGAGTGGATGATTTTTAATCTGTTTGAAATGAAGATATGATATAAATGTGCGCAGATTTGTGAATATTACATCAAAACCATGTCAAAAGTTTTGGTTCTTTCGGGTTCTCAAAACATAATTTGATTTTCTCTCTGAAATTTTCATTAAATTGTTCACCATTACTGTAGATGAGACCAAATCACCAGACGTTTCTGATGCTGGAAAACAAGACAACTTTTACGAATCGAGTGAAGACGAAGACTGTCCTGAGTGGCAGCGTTTGGCAAGAAACAGAGAGAAACGATTCCAGGTTTGAAATATTGTACACGATGTAGCTTCCAATCTGAGAAATATCGTATACGATATAGCTCTCTATAGGTTGTATACCGTATACGATATAGCTCCCTATCAATGATATACTGTATACGATATAGCTCCCTATCAGTGAAATGCTGTATACGACATAGCTCCATATCTGTGAAATGCCGTATACGACATATCTCCCTATCAGTAAAATACCGTATACGACATAGCTCCCTATCAGTGACATACTGTATTCGACAGATACACCCTCTCCTATGGTACTCCTTGTTGGTTTAATGTTTCTTGCCCTAGAGTTTTTTACACTCTTCAGTCCGAAAAATTTTGAAACTTACCATATCAATCAATTCCAAAAACCGACATCATTTCTCTTTCTTCCTTTGCACGGTTAAAAGCTCGCTGAGAATGAACGAGAAGCGCGGCGTCAGAAGAAAAACCAGCAGTTCTATATTAAACTCGAGATGCGAGAGAGAGAACGCAAGCGGTTGAGAATTGCTCAATCCATACAACGAGAGCTCGTTGAATGCGAGGTTAGGCAACAAGAGCTCGAAACTCGTGCCGTTGTTGTGGAGAAGAAGATGGCATCGGTGGAAGCCGGTAAGCGATCGGTATCAATTGCCTCGGGATTCTTTTTTTCGATCTCCAGGCAACACATGAATGTATATTGATATTTTGTAGGCAACCCGAACGTGGAACAAAAATTAATGTTGGAGTGGTTTGACTTGGTTAATAGGAAGAACACTTTAGTCCGTTATGAGTCGGAGCTCGTCATTAGGTATGTAATATACTATATACTGTCCAATTATGGAATAGTTTAGAAATGTATAGGCTAGTTCCTAAGGACAGGTGTCGCTTGTCCCTCCCCCACCCGTGGTATATTTCCTAGGAAAATTGTCCCCTCTTCGGAAATTTACCATACTTACAAACTTTTACCTTAAAAAACGGTGAAACTTTTTGTTTTAAGACAAGATCGCAGGTGATTTATGATATTACAATCTGTTTAGATCTATAAATCTATTCAAATTTTATCAAACCGGTATAAAGAACAATTTCACTTGAGCGATGACATCTTTCATTGGCGAAAATGTTAATATTCACGTGTCCACAAAGAATTTTTTTATTGGGACGTATTTCCTCTGAATGGCGTTATTTTCGATGTATGTCGTTTTTCGATTGTTAAAAATATTTCTCTGAATGGCGTTATTTTCGATGGATGTCGTTTTTCGATTGTTAAAAATATTTCCTCTGAATGGCGTTATTTTCGATGGATGTCGTTTTTCGATTGTTAAAAATATTTCTCTGAATGGCGTTATTTTCGATGGATGTCGTTTTTCGATTGTTAAAAATATTTCCTCTGAATGGCGTTATTTTCGATGGATGTCGTTTTTCGATTGTTAAAAATATTTCTAAAATGAGGCGACAAAAATTTCGAACCCATGAATCCGAAAATGTAAACGCATGCAAAAGCCAACTCATAAATATATCAACGCAAAATACATCACACTCATACCCACCCTACAGAGATTCAAAGTTATTCACATTCTAAAACTATAACCATATAAATGAACAAAAAAATTAACAAATTTGAGCCAACCCGTTAAAGTGGACGATGGCCGAGTGAACTATGAATGGATTGCCGTTTTCTTTTGGAACTTCATTTTCAAACCAGCTGTCTTTATATGAGAATTACCACAAAGTTCAAAGAAGGAACGATGTTTTGCTTGGCAATGTGGCAATAAGTGGAATGCCAACACGAACTTTTACGAAACATTTGGGAACAGATTGCCGAGAATTTGAAATTGCATCAACAATCAAGAGCTTCAACTCTTCTCACTGTATCGTGCTGCGCTATGAAGACAAGCAAAAGTTGATGACTGTAATGTTTTATGGAGGATATAGAAAGAAGATCTGGAGGCGAGGTTGAATCATTGTTTGCAGTAAAAAGAGAAAACAAAATCATCGTTTCAACTGCGGAAAAAAAGACCATGAGATGTGAAGGTGGGCATCTTCAATTTATCGTCGTAGACTGCTAAATTTATTTGCGCTTAGCGAGATTACACGAATAATTGCAAGATGGTAAATGTTATTGACAATGTTGAATTAGAAATAATCAACCTGTTTTATGTTTTATTTTAGAGTTCAGCAGTTTTTACTGCAACTTAGGGAGGGAGAAACTTTAAAATAGAAAGAGGAGCTCCAATTGATATTTAAAATCAGCTTTCGTTGTAAAGAATTGTGGTTTTTAGAAAAAGCTTGGCCACAAAAAAAAATCTCGGATGTAGTGAATATATTCTCTCTTGGATAGCCTTGCACCGTTTCCTGTTGCGGTTGACAACGAAAACAAAGAAATGTTTTTCTTATGCAAATAAGTTGACGTCAGTGTTTTATTAGTGTGTAGCCATCACGCTGATGATCTTTCTTTGTCTTCCTGTCTTCTTGACGACGGATACAGAAGGTGTATAGCAGTAGTCATTGTTCGATTTCAGTCATTGTCAACCTGTCGAAACCTCAATAAGAACTTTCCTAGTCGTCAAAGAAGCATTCCTACGTGTCATTCGAGCTTGAAAAGATCAAGAAATGGAAGAATCAACGCGTTATTTTTTCTATATTGTCATAGTATCCTTCGCGTCCGTGTTAATCGTCGACGCATCATGCGCGTCTGATTCGGACTGCTATGGACAATCATGCTGTGTTAATGGCCACTGTTCTTATGACTGCGGGTCTGGCACAATTACGACAATAATTATTGTAGCCTTCGTTCTCCTTTTCTTAGCAACTTTATTCTGTGTTGTTTATTGTTACTGTCGATCTTGTCACGGAGAGCGAAATCGCGTCGTATTTCGAAGGCTCGTGAATGTATCCTCGTCGACGTTGGTCGTTAATGCGTCTCAACAACAGTATAGCTACACACGACCTACACGTGGTTACCAACATATTCATTCCCACAATACAGTTGAAGCTCCTCTAGTGTTGGTGAATGCAGACGCTGTCAATCCCCAGTGATTTTAACAACAAGAGGCAAGCCATTTTAGATAGTTTGGCAGGTTTAATTTTTACTGATCTGAACATTTTTTGATCACTTTATGGTGTTTTGTTGCTTGATACATCAACTCCCCTAATGATGTCTGGCAGATGAGATCAAATGGTTAATTTTGTTATTTGCTGTTGTTCTTCTTGTTGCACTGGTGGTTCATACTGCATAGTAGGGCATTACGGCCCCCGAGATCAAATTCAAAGAAAACATTGCCGCCCTTATATGATTATAAGTGAGTTACATCTGCCCTTGCAGCCATTCCAAGTCTAAACACCACACTTCATTTCCAAAAGTTTACAATAAAAAGTTCTCTAAAATCTGATTCTGCCACCGTACTATGCAGTCTGGCTGGTGGAAACGGTTTTGCACATTAAGTCAATGGTATAAAAACCTGCTGGTTTCTGTGGTCATTGGTGTTAATTTTTGAAAATGTTAATCTACTCTCTTCACTTGTTCTCACATCTTAAATTATTTCATTTATCATAATTAAACTATTAAATCATTGACAATCATTACGTCATTCACAGTCGCACAAAGATTTTCCGCCATTCTCGACGTTAGTTACAAAATTATGGATTGTGGGGACCTAGGTTTGTTTGAATATTTCATCTTGTTAGGCCAACGAAGATGTGCTTGTCAGATGAAAAGAACATTGCATTAATATTTATTGTAATACTTGGATTAAATTTTTTCATTATTTGCATTTACTTGCATTAATGTTGCCATTTATTTATATTAATCACACATTAATATCAACCTTGCGTTGATGTTTTACATGCAGTCAATTAGTTTTTTCTGTTGCTTCAAATTACTCAAGATATTGTACCTATAAAGGTTCAATTCCTGCTAAATCTTTAATTTGCGCTTACGTAAACCACAGCAATGCACATCATCGTTCTTTCCGTATTATGGATAAACAAATATCGCCGCTTTTATTGTCGCTGCTGTTCACATTGTTTGTATCCAGACGGACCAGACGTCCTATTGTTTCTGTTTTGTTGACGGTTGAATAATTATCATCTTGATGATTGTTGATTTGATGGATCCATTCTTGATTGTTAATTGCCCCATCACGTCTGATATCATCTTCGCTAGCTTGAGAATAAGAGTTGACTTCGCTTTCGGTAAACGATTGATAATGAAGCAAGGATCTTCTACTGCCTCTGTTCCAACACAAACAGCAAAATGTCGTCCAAAATAGCGCAATTCCCAATAAAATGGCTGCGACTAACGCGATAATCAATCCCGTATGTACGCTGTTGTTAGTTCCTGAACAGGATTCTTGACATTTCCTCGTCTTAAGGCAACACAGTAGGTTAAAATGACATTGACTAGAGCTCTCGCATGAGCTGATTTTTTCTACTTGAATTTCTGACACAAGAATACATAAGAGCAGTTTTGAAATAAAAAGCCTTGATTGAAGCATACTGTAATCACGAGATGGAATCTACAAGCGTCTTATAACTGATGAAAAGTAGTGTGATTTTGTTTTTGCTTCCCAGAACGTTTTACCAAACAAACTGCACGGACGTTTTCTCATTATTTTTTTTTGTAAGATAACGTCTCCTTTCATTGCACTGCGGCATTTTCGCGTAGCTAGAACAGTCTAGAACTTCCGTCCACCGTTTGCCAATGGAAACTGCCAGTTCCAGCTGATCTTCGAAGCAATATTGGAAAATGTCCTAGCTAATCATTTAACTGCCAATCAATGGAATTAAAACACTTTCGAAGTTCGAAATTAATATTTTTATCTCGACATTTCGGAAGCAGGTGTGATTAGACAACGTCCTCAGATGCGCTCCAAAAGATAAACTGTTCCCCCCTTGTTTTCCGATTTACAAAAAGTCAATATCTTCTTATTAATTATTCCCATCGAATGAGTTTATACGTCTTTCGCAATTGTATGTTTCTTTCTTACTTTCCAGCCTCGTCCTAATTCGTTTTTCCATCTTTTTTTTTCTTCCATTTTTAGCGCCCTTCAACATTTTTAGACCTCGATTAGTTTGTTTTAATTATGTTTGCAATTATACCCAATGCCAATCAATTATATTCATATAATTTCGTTCTCTTTTTAAGATCGACTTCAATTGAACTTGAAGATAAACAGCAACATCTTGAACTGCAGATCAGAGAACTCATGATGAAAGATGGTAAGTCTCCGCAAATGTGTTTGATGAATCATGTGCTGTTCTTCTCGTTCATAAATGTTCTTGGCAGTATACTACAGCATTTAGATTTTGCTGAGTTTGATAAAACTGTTTTCCTAGTATCTACTGAAGAAGATCAAACCATGATCGGCTTGTTGACGCGAGAGTTAGTTGATATCGTAGACCAAAGAAATTCTTTGGTGGAACTGTTAGATAACGATAGAAAACGGTAACTATACATCTTCTCTTCATTTTTTTTTATTAATTTTTATTCATCGTAAAATTGACGGGCCAATCATGGGCCTATTGCAATTTTTTCAAGTTTGATTATGTTTTTCATGCACCGGACTTTTAGAAGGATTGTGATTCTCGTAATTCATGTGCATTCCTAAATCTTGAAGTATGAATTCCATGTTTAGTCTCACGTTTCCCTTTAATACTTTGGCGAACTTTGTCGTTATGTACAACATGGCAAAAGCACAATACATACGTCCCTAGAAAGTTATTTGGGGGCTTTTTTATTCATACATTCAGTTGTGTACGACTCGTTTCTTTTGAAAGCCATTCACTTCAGGAACTAAGCAATTTACTTTAAGAAAATCAGTCTGACACAACTGAATATATAAATTAACACACCCTACCCCACCCCCTCCTTCTCAATTAACGTTTTAGGACGCCTCTGAACACCAACTAAACTTTTTCACTTTTACATCTTAAACAGTGAAATCGAGGAAGACATGCAGTTTGAAACAATGATGGCATCAAAAGGTGTGTGATGACATTAAGTCCAAGTAAAACCCAACTGTATTTTTCATTTGACATTCTGCCTATAGGTATTCATCACATTACACAATTCGAAGTCTTTTTAAATCCATTAATTTATTCCTATGTATTTTCTAGGTTTAGTACTGCCATCATGATCATACTCACCTCTGGTTGGTTTTCGTTTTACGAAAATGAAATTACTTATGGCATCACTGATCTATCCATCTCCGACAACGATATACAATATTTGTTTAGTTTATTGTAAAGAACATTGTGGTCACATGACCTTATAGATATATATTACAAATTATACCGAACAATTTATTCAAAGTTGGACTTAATTTACAGCAGTGGCATTGCTACTACGGAGGAAACTGAGTTAAAAGTTTTAAATAGTCTAGTTGACAAATTCATAGTAGCTAACAATAGAAGCTTGTAATTTTTCAAAGGGGTAGACCCCAGACTTCCCTCACTATTGACATTAACAGCATCCCCAAAGTTGAAACATCCCGTCCGATGTGAATTACATTACTTTATAGACTAGTGATGTAACAACTAAACATATATTTTTTGTTTTACTCTGTGTTTTCAAAATGATGTTTTGTCGACAGCATTTGTTCCTGAATGTTCGATATTCACATGAAGCATAGAACATATCTAGAAGGGTGAAAACTGAAAAATAAATCCAGGATATCTAGTTGAAACTCCTATCCAAAAAACTGTTACTTAGTTGAATGTGATAATATAACAGACCTGTTTAAACTTTGCCCTAATAGTATGCAACTCCGGCATTATATCTCTGGTTGTGTCACTCCAGTCTTGTTTAAGAAGATTAGACAATGCATTCAGCTTCATGTTTATCTTTTTATTTTTGTCTTTCTGGCAGATACCTTGCCATATTTCTATGAATCCTTCGTAGAATCCGATCTAGTTTATGATTAAGAACAGTAATTGGATGCAGGGCAAAGCTTGAATGCAAATTGGGGGGGAGGGTGAATATTCATATATTTAACTCTACCTGACTAACTTCTTTCGAAATTAACATTACTTTCAAAACAAATAAATTGGGCAGACTTGTATAAACAAATATTCACCCTCCTCTTACTGTTCTAACTTTGCCTCCAGGTTGGACATTTTTTTTTTTTATAAAGTTCATCAATAGCCTGTATGTTTTACATTACCTCGTTGCCAACCAGCTTTCCTTGCTGTAAACCACTTTCATAACCTTCCATCCACCCTCTCAACTTGCCTTCTTTATACCCCTCATGATAACCAAGCTTTTCGCTACTGTGAAATAAAGTGGAAGCATCAAAAGTCCGTTCCTTACTTCAATGAAGAAATGAGAGCACATTGGAAGAACATCTTATGGTGAATCACAAATTTTCAACTTTGACTGTAAGGAGAAATGAAGTTTCTGTACAAGCCTTGTGATTAGGCATTTCATGGTAAAGAAGTATATTGGTTGTTAAACATGCTCCTGGGCTCACCCGATGTTCCCCACCCCTCCCCCCCTCTCCTTAAGAAAACGTGATATCATTCTAATTAACTGGGCAGTGACGCAGTGTTAATCATTTGTCAAATTATCTTACTTTTCTTCGAGGAAAACAATTTGATCAAACATGTCATCTTGACGAGAACTCATCGGATAGTACGCATCTGTTGAAACAGCATACCCGGTGGCCGAAAAGATCTGTTTTGTTTCGTTTGAAGCTACAGAAGATAGGTTTTTGTTAATTCCTCTTTAGTTCTTCCCCCATCCATTCGGTTGAAAATGTCAGCTGAGCAGCGCAGGCTCATGCTGTAAAAACGTTGCTCACTGTAGTAGGCCCTGGGCACGAGAGTTTGAACTTTAAAGTTTGTTTGGTTTCATTTTGAAAGTACCATCTGAGAAGCCAAAAAAGTCATCTTTTTGAAGTCTTTAAATTTATTTACTGCTATAAAATGGACAGTGACGGGTTGCCCATCATGGGTCCCGCCATTGATTTGACGAAGGTGAATAGTTTGGCTCTTTTTCGTTGAATATTTTGCTGTTTTTATTAGCAAAATGTTTTCAATTCAGTGTTGAGTGTTCAGGACTGACATCTTGAAACTTCTCTTGCAGGTTGGATCAATTCAACAAAAGAGAATTGTGGCATTCATCAATCATTTTGTTGCCCATACTGTAAATTTTCTTAATAGATTTTCGTGTGTCTGTGAAGAGGTATGAGAAAGTGCTTTGAAATATTCTAATTTATATCAAAGTCACCGAGTTTAGTTTGTCCAACGAATGTTTCTTGAACTTAGAAATTGTCTGATTTATCAAACCGACTTCAGAGAGTTGATGTAACTATGAGCATTTTGGAGGCAAAGGTAGATATTTTATGATAATCATTGTTGTATGTCAGTGTTTCATTTTTTTGCCATGTTCAAGTAATAAGTTGATGTTTTTTTTATTGTCTTACACACAGCTATCCTCAATCCCTGGACTTGAAAATGTAACAGCTCCAGAATCATCAACTCCAACTGCTGATGACACATCTGAACATGTTGTGCCAGAGTCAACTGCCTCACCAGCTCAACCTACTGCCTCACCAGCTCAACCTACAGCCTCAGACTCTAATAATACACCTTCGGTAAAAGTTTTCTTCTATATGTAAGACATACACCACTATTTGTGTCATAAAAACTGTCTTGTATGATTTATCTGTAAGGGCATTGATTTCCCACTTAGCCAGGGCTAAACACTGAGGCAATCACCCCCTGGATTATGTTCAAAATTTTCGACCAAAGATTTTGAAAAAATCCATCCAGGGGGGATGCCATTGTTAGAAGCCTGTAAACAATTGTAAACAAGCCTTTGGCTTGATAGTTGTAAATATTTTTATTGTTTTAAAATGTTTTTGAACATTTTTTTGGTTAAAATTACAATCATAAATTATTTTATCACCCACAAAATTATTTTATTACCTACATAAATTATTTTGTTACCGACATAAATTATTTTATTACCTACTTAAATTATTTTATTACCTACATAAACTATTTTATTACCTACTTAAATTATTTTATTACCTACATAAACTATTTTATTACCTACTTAAATTATTTTGTTACCTACATTAATTATTTTATTACCTACATAAATTATTTCATTACCCACATAGATTATTTCATTACCTACATAAATTATTTTATTACCTACATAAATTATTTTATTTGATTGACTAGGTCAGCGAGGAGTTGTCACCTCCAGTTGAAGAAGAACCAGCACAACCAGGTACCATTTTGTACAGCTATTTTAATATCTTCTTTGCCTTTATCTTCCATTCTTTTCCAAAGAAATCTCATTAAATTGTATTGGACTTTCTTTCTTTGTTATGGATTTTCTTTTCTTTTTTTTTCTTTTCTTGGTTTGCAATCTTAAAATCTTTAAATTTATGCAAAATGGTATTGCTCACAAGCATTAATATAATTCCGCAAAATGTTCTCATTTCATCATTTAGTTATGACTGTTTCGAAGGATCCACGCTATGCAAAATTCTTTCAAATGTTGAAAGTGGTATGTGATTTTGCCAGAATTATTTAACAACTCACATTTTTCAGTATTATCATGTTAGACTAAAGTGATTTCTACAATTTGTGGTGAATATTTCGTTTGAATTTGTGGAGTTGCACCAGAATTATTTCCATTTTGTAACTTATTGATGTGCAAACATGCATTATTATTTTTTATATTATTATTATTTGCTTAATTATTATCATTATTATTATTATTCTTTATATTATTATTATTTGCTTAATTATTATCATTAGTCAGTCAGTCAGTCATTTTCTTTCAAAAAAAGTTAACATAATCTTGGCTTCTGTTGTAGGGTGTGCCTTTGGCAGCTTTGAGACCCAAGATATTATCTGAAGGATTGGATCCTGATCTTCTTCAGTAAGTGCTCATTAAATCATTGATCATATATATGTGTAATTAAACTATATCAACTGTTCTAAGAAAATCGTATGTGTATTGTGACTTTGTTTCAATTGCAATGCTAGGTCTGGTGATGATATTTCCAGTTTTTAAAACATCACTGGGGAAGGATATTTCCGGACCCACTGCCACATGGCTCATACTTCTCAGGACTATTTGAAGTTAATCGCCTACCGGTGTAAAATCCCTAAAATATTCCTTGACATTGAAGTAAAATATGCTACATATAGTGTCCTTTGCTTTTCTCTGATTGACCCATTATGCCAGCTATTAATGTTTAGCAGGCACTTATGCATGAGTCAATTCCAAGAGTTACCATCCCCCCCCAGGAATATGGCCGGGCATTTGATTTTTTTCGTTTTAATAGTTCAATTTCCCCGCTGCCGGGGAAAGGCAAGAAGGCAAATACTCAGCCCCCGGGCAAGCTGCCAATGGCAAATACCCCGCTCCGGGACCAAGTAATTTTAAATTACGAAAATTAGGAACACTTTTTAATACTTTATTAAGCAAGATATATGAGAGATCCTATAAAAAATAAATGTAGTAAAAGAAATTCGTTCCTGAGTTACTTTCCCTTGCTCCGCTTTTCTCTTGTTGCTTTTGCTTTTCCAGTTCACAGAAATTTGCGTCAAGTATTGAAGCCACAATTTAACATCCTTGGTTGACAGCAAACATTTCTTGGCAAGCATGCTTATGTCAGTATCCTCTACACATCCACCACTGTGATTCTTGTGAAAGTCTGCCAGTATTTCAGACGGCGGCGGGCTCCAACTGCATATAAATTTAGCAGCTCTGACACATCGGTGACATAATGCCCATAGCAAACTCCCGTGCATGTTTCGCAATCCTCCCCTCCCCAAGCTCTCTTTACATCAGCAACTGGGTAAGGAAAAAAAGTACACGATGGTCCGTCTGGATACCAGATGGGAATCGGTACTTAATGTCGCGATTAATAGAAATCAATAGTCGCGACTCGCGTACTCAAATGGTATCAATTCCCCGGGGGTATTGACTCATGCATTACTAAATATGCAATTATTTTCATTTTTCTACCAGGACCCCAGATGCACCTGCACCAGGTGGGCAGATATCCACAAATACCGATGATGATGATGATGACAGCTCTAGCGCATCGTCCTTCAGCGATGATTGACTTGAATGAATGAATTGAAGATAAAAGGTAAGTTCCAAGTATCAGCACATTGTCACTGATGATAAATAGTGCGACCACGGAGAAAAAATTGCCATATGTTTTTATATTGCAATACGTACTACCGAGCAAATTTCATAAGTGGTGAATTATTAACAAATTTCTAGCCACATGATTGGAAGGACTTATTTCCAATGAACCAATGGCAGGTGCATATTCCATTACGTAGCAATAACCAGTTCGATTGCGAATGGTTCAATTAACCAACAGCAAAAACGAGTAGTTTATGCGCTGTATTATTAAGCGTGAACGCAATGATTAAGCTTTCACAAACTTACGAAATGCAGGTCCCTAGCGCGACATTCTTTTATAAACAGATTTATATAAATTATAGATGTAAGTTGATTTTAAAGGGTCGCAATTTTTTTAATACACCCTGTCTGTAGACTTGTCAACTGGCAAATAACGTGGGGAACGAAGTGAAATAGCTGTTATGACAAGATGGCAATCTTGCAGCTGTTGTAATTGAACCATTTGTGTACATAATTCTAAATTAAACGTAAAAAAGACCCTTTTCTCTCTTTCTCGATACGGAGAAAACGATCTCAGTAAACCTGGTCTCTAAATTATTCGTTGTCAAAACTGGAATTCACTCGCTCACTAATTTTGCCCGAATTTTGTCGCATCATCTTAGTAATTTTGATCTATTCTCGATGAATTCACGACACAACTCCAATCATCCACTGTAAAGAATACTTCGTTTTATACAATAAACCATTTTTTTTTACATGTGCAACGTTTTGTCTACGATGAATAGCGTGTTTGCCCATTCGTGTGTAATGTCATATACACAAACTTAATCAAACCAAAATTTTAATGTTATAAATGCGCATAGGGTATCGAAGGTTGGATGCTCACACGAAAACTTAACTCTGTTTGTTCAAATAAAATGCATCCAAGGCTAATTGATTAATTAGCTTTTGTATAAACTACGTACTTCAGGGCAAATGCTTGCTCAATAAATAATAATCAATTGGGATTGGGCATAAAGCTTTCTAACCATCTAAAACTCAAGGCCTTTTCTCCTTCTCTCAACATATGACGTCACCTCATGTAGACTATACGAACAATAATTATATTACCCATGACACAGACATATCATTCATTTAAAAGCAACTTCCTTCTTTTCGTTTCGTGACCTTACATCGCTTCAAGACATTTCGTTCGCAGGAGTGTCTTGTGTCGTTTCTACGCCTTTGTGACTTTTCTCGTCCGTTGTTTCGCTCTCGGAAATACCATTGTTGATCAATTCCTCGCTCAGTTCTTCAATATCGTCGTCTGAATCGTGGGTTTGGTGTTGTGCGTCGGCACCGTCGTTTGAACTGCTCACCAACACTGGTTTTCCTATTACAAAGTAAACTTCCGTTAGTGTTTGTGGGGTGAGAGTTGCAACTAACTCAGAAATTTCACTTGAAGGCTAACGAAATCCTTTACTGTAATTCAGAGTTTATTAGACTTTATGTAATCGACAGCACGTGACGTGTGACGTATAGTCTTTGCTCTCTTCCCGTCTTACCACGATATTGGCCGTATCATGTGAGACGCTTACCTGGGAAGTGTCGTTTTTGGCTTCTTTCCACTGGCTTTCCCATCAAGATCTCTGTTATATCGTCCGGAAGATTTCGCGTATCTCTCAACTGAAGGCACAGTTTTTCTGCTTTAACTAACATCGCTTCGAGGTCGATTTTCATCGCTAATTCATTCACGTGCTGCACATGAAATGAAACAGATAATAGAAAATGGTTGCTTCATTGCCCTGACTCGGGTTCAAACGTTTATAATGTCATTTTATGATATATTTTGCTTTTCTATCAACCCTAATGCTTCAGTGTTTCCCAACACGAAAGCAAAAGCAAAAGTTGCTTTCTATATCGCCATGTTGTCTTTTTCTATACTGCCATATTGGCTTTTTTCCGATGACGTGAGTACTATTAAACCATTCACAGTGATCGCTAAACACTGGCCGTGAATCAAAGCTAATATCATAAAATATACTCCTCCAACCTTTAAGATTTCGTTAAAGCCATATTGCTTTTCAATGATGCGATCCTCTTCCGTTTTCAAAATTGCCAGGCAAATAAAAAGATGAAAATTCGGTGACAAATTTTGCGTCCACAACGTCTGAAAGCAAAGATAACAAAACAAAACAGTTAGTCACAGAAAATTCGGCGACAAATTTTGCGTCCACAACGACTGAAAGCAAAGATAACAAAACAAAACAGTTAGTCACAGAAATTGGTAGTCTGACATCTAGTGTTGTTTTTGAATGTGCAAGATAACTTGGTCCATTTCACGCAGTATTTTGTAAGACTCACAGAAAAAATCTCAAATTCTGACGTTTTAAGTGACTCCCGCGGGGCGCGGGCAGCCACGGAGAATGTAGGTCATCTTGCATGGATATTGACCAATTAAAATCCGCGTTTTATCATTGTTACAATATCAAAAAGCGTATCATTTAAGCTATTTTGTACCTCCCACAGTTTCATGATGTCTTCGAAAACAAACTCTCTTTTGAAGAGGATCAAGAGCCATCGAAAGCAGAAGTACAAATTCCCAGATTCGTTTTTGTCTAAGAAAATGAATCTCGGATGAAATCATCTGAGAAATGAGTGTTTCGTTTTTTCGCGTAAAAATTTCTCGAAATGTCCTACCAAAATGATGGTATAATCTTGGATAAACGTATTGCAGAAGGGCCTTCAAATTGTCCAATTGCCTGTGAATTGCGATGGCGTTCATTTCAAAGTTATCTGCCTGCAATGAAAAATAATGGGTGTGTAGATATTGAACATTATAAATAACCGGTAACAATGAACTAATCTTGATGTAACAACCAGCATGCTTTTCGAGCGAGCAATTTTGTAGTAGATACGTATATATTTTTAAAGAGTTCACAAGGACTGGTTATTGCTAAATAGTTGATTGCGAGATTCGATAACTTGTTTGCGTATGAACACAAAAATTGCGTATACAAAAGTAATACATACAACCATTTCCATAAAACCCACGAAACACCAAAAAGCGTCTGATTCGTCGTTCATTATGAAGAGAATCGGTGATAATAGATCACTCATACCTTGAACATAACCTACATGATGTAGACATATGAGTTAACATGCGACTATCAAGACTGTTGTTTGTTTATGTCAGTATAGAGACTGTAGTTTTATGCCAGAATACAGTTTTATCATGCCAGATGTTGACAGTGTAGTTTTATCATGTCAGTATAGAGAATGTAGTTTTGTTATATCAGTATAGTGACTATAGTTTTATCATGTCAGTATAGAGAATACAGTATTATCATGTCAGTATAGAGAATGCAGTTTTATCATGTCAGTATAGAGAATGTAGTTTTATCATGTCAGTATAGAGAATGTAGTTTTATCATGTCAGTATAGAGAACACAGTTTTATCATGTCTGTATAGAGAATGTAGTTTTATCATGTCAGTATAGAGAATACAGTTTTATCATGTCTGTATAGAGAATGTAGTTTTATCATGTCACTATAGAGAATGCAGTTTTATCATGTGACTATAGAGAATGCAGTTTTATCATGTCAGTATAGAGAATGCAGTTTTATCATGTCAGTATAGAGAATGCAGTTTTATCATGTCAGTATAGAGAATGTAGTTTTATCATGTCAGTATAGAGAATGTAGTTTATCATGTCAGTATAGAGAATATACTTTTATCATGTCAGTATAGAGAATGTAGTTTTATCATGTCAGTATAGAGAATGTAGTTTTATCATGTCAGTATAGAGAATGTAGTTTTATCATGTCAGTATAGAGAATGTAGTTTTATCATGTCAGTATAGAGAATGTAGTTTTATCATGTCAGTATAGAGAATGTAGTTTTATCATGTCAGTATAGAGAATGTAGTTTTATCATGTCAGTATAGAGAATGTAGTTTTATCATGTCAGTATAGAGAATGTAGTTTTATCATGTCAGTATAGAGAATGTAGTTTTATCATGTCAGTATAGAGAATGTAGTTTTATCATGTCAGTATAGAATGTAGTTTTATCATGTCAGTATAGAGAATGTAGTTTTATCATGTCAGTATAGAGAACATAGTTTTATCATGTCAGCAATATATCATGTCAGCATAGAGAATATACTTTTATCATGTCAGTATAGAGAATGTAGTTTTATCATGTTAGTATAGAGAATGTAGTTTTATCATGTCAGTATAGAGAATATAGTTTTATCATGTCAGAATAGAGAATGTAGTTTATCATGTCAGTATAGAGAATATACTTTTATCATGTTAGTATAGAGAATGCAGTTTTATCATGTCAGAATAGAGAATGTAGTTTTATCATGTCTGTATAGAGAATAAAGTTTTATCATGTCAGTATAGAGAGTGTAGTTTTATCATGCCATGCATGTGCTTCAACATGCAACAAGGGCAGGCAAATTCCTTTTATATATGATAGTCGAAGCAAAAAATAACGTGAAATCGATCGTGATTCACCTAAATCAAAGTTATACATGCAATATGTCATAAGAATATCGTAAAGCTTCTGCGTGTTGATGTTGCCGGATCTTCTTTGTAAAAAGAATGCGTACGATCTGTTCTGATCACATCTTTGTCTGCAGAAAAAAAACAAAACACGATTTTGACGACATTCATTCCTATTGGATTGCTTATATATTTAGAGAATGGAAGAATGCGATGTTGAAAATGGAGGCGATGTATATGTTCCAGTGTAATCGCCTATAGATCCATCTTCAATATTTCTATGACAGTAGAGCCTACCGACAAGATGTTTTCTCTCACGCAACAACGTGAATCGCTTTTCTTGCTCCGGCGTGATTGACTGCCATTGTTGTTTCATAGTGATGTACTCGTTCCTGTATGGAGAGAAAATCTCGTTATATTACCATGAATTTTATGTACAGGTACTCTAGTCGAGTTGAATGTACAACTCATGTAGCTTTTCAATTATTGCTGTTTCCACTTTGATTTTCTACCATTTTCGCTTCCTTTTTTGTATGCGTTCTTTATATGTTTCCTCGTAATCGTAAAACCCAAAAGGAATTTCCATACGTCTTTTCTAATGCTGTGCTCAATGCCCTGAAAATAAATCAAACTGCAACTGTTGGCTATCGGCTGTTAATTAGTCTTCGTTATTCAACAACATGTCTCTACCATCTACTTTCAACAATAACATGTCTCTACCATCTCCTTTCAACAATAACATGTCTCTACTATCTACTTTCAACAATAACATGTCTCTACCATCTACTTTCAACAATAACATGTCTCTACCATCTACTTTCAACAATAATGTCTCTACCATCTACTTTCAACAATAACATGTCTCTACCATCTACTTTCAACAATAACATGTCTCTACCATCTACTTTCAACAATAACATGTCTCTACCATCTACTTTCAACAATAAAATGTCTCTACCATCTACTTTCAACAATAACATGTCTCTACCATCTCCTTTCAACAATATGTCTCTACCATCTACTTTCAACAATAACATGTCTCTACCATCTCCTTTCAACAATAACATGTCTCTACCATCTACTTTCAACAATAACATGTCTCTACCATCTCCTTTCAACAATAACATGTCTCTACCATCTCCTTTCAACAATAACATGTCTCTACCATCTACTTTCAACAATAACATGTCTCTACCATCTACTTTCAACAATAATGTCTCTACCATCTCCTTTCAACAATAATGTCTCTACCATCTACTTTCAACAATAACATGTCTCTACCATCTCCTTTCAACAATAACATGTCTCTACCATCTACTTTCAACAATATGTCTCTACCATCTACTTTCAACAATAACATGTCTCTACCATCTACTTTCAACAATAACATGTCTCTACCATCTACTTTCAACAATAACATGTCTACCATCTACTTTCAACAATAACATGTCTCTACCATCTACTTTCAACAATAACATGTCTCTACCATCTACTTTCAACAATAACATGTCTCTACCATCTCCTTTCAACAATAACATCTCTACCCATCTACTTTCAACAATAACATGTCTCTACCATCTACTTTCAACAATCATGTCTCTGTATCTACTTTCAACAATAACATGTCTCTACCATCTACTTTCAACAATAACATGTCTCTACCATCTCCTTTCAACAATAACATGTCTCTACCATCTCTTTCAACAATAACATGTCTCTACCATCTACTTTCAACAATAACATGTCTCTACCATCTACTTTCAACAATACATGTCTCTACCATCTACTTTCAACAATAACATGTCTCTACCATCTACTTTCAACAATAACATGTCTCTACCATCTACTTTCAACAATAACATGTCTCTACCATCTACTTTCAACAATAACATGTCTCTACCATCTCCTTTCAACAATAACATGTCTCTACCATCTCCTTTCAACAATAACATGTCTCTACCATCTCCTTTCAACAATAACATGTCTCTACCATCTACTTTCAACAATATCATGTCTCTACCATCTACTTTCAACAATAACATGTCTCTACCATCTACTTTCAACAATAACATGTCTCTACCATCTCCTTTCAACAATATGTCTCTACCATCTACTTTCAACAATAACATGTCTCTCATCTACTTTCATCTCTCTCTTCAACAATAACATGTCTCTACCATCTACTTTCAACAATAACATGTCTCTAACATCTACTTTCAACAATATCATGTCTCTAACATCTACTTTCAACAATATCATGTCTCTAACATCTACTTTCAACAATAACATGTCTCTACCATCTACTTTCAACAATAACATGTCTCTACCATCTACTTTCAACAATAACATGTCTCTAAGATTATAAGTTTCACACTAGTTTAACCAACAAAGAAACATATATACCAAGTACCTACCCCTTGACATATGAGCATTTTTAACTTTTCAACTTTACAAATTTTCCCTTCGCTGTCCGTGAAACTCATCCATTCGTTCAAACTGATCGGGTCTCCGCGTACAACGTCCGTCGCTGGGCCTAGATCTGGCTGCAAACGCATTTAAAAAACGCATTTGAATCATAACCAACCGTGGAAAAAATTAACGGATCAATCTCTGTCTGTAGGATAATTGTGTTTAAATATCTTAGTGATTTTTGAGTGTAAACGAAGTGAAAAAAAGACGTAAGAGTAAAGTGAAGAGTGACATTGAAGAAGACTAAGGATGCCGAAACGTCATTGAACACAAACATTCCTCTCCAGGACTGCACTAACCTCGACAATCTACATCAACAAACATAAACATTCGCATTCTTAGTCACACATCTTTCTAGACGTGTAACTGGACACATTGTTTGACGATTTCTACGAATTGCTTCTTTAAAATACGCTATATACGTGTACGAATATCCTATATGCTGGCACTCCTCGATTTTTTACGTTGTACCTGGACATCAGGAAGAAGAGTTTCAAATCCATTTTCCAACGATTGTAGACTGTCGTAGTTTTGATCGGTCTTGGGTAGAAATGGCTCCTCGGGTTTCGTCGGTTTGTGAGATTCGTGAGCGGGTCCATTGGTCCAGGCATCCCGTACCATTTTTGTGACTTTGGAAAACGCGCCCAAACCTTCGACGTATGCATTACCTAGGAAACGCTGTGAGACGGAACATCGTCAATTGCCAGGAGTAAATATTCGGACGACGTACACGAAAATACCTACGGTGAACATGTCCGTTGTGTCCGAGCCAAACAAGTCAAGGTGGTTCAATGACTTCTGTAGCGCGTGGTTATGCTCGTTACAAACTATGAATAACCTGGGATTGTTTGACGACCTGGGGACAAAGTTTCCAATGTTATGTTTAAGAGAGGAAGACTGACATGGAACAGTGCGGTACGATTGGGGTCTTTGTGGTACATGATTTGAGTTAGACCACCTTACTATTTCTCAACTTACTTTGTAAGCCAGACGTATCTGTGCAGATGTTGAATAAACTTAGCTGTGCCGCCACTGTGAAAATGCAACGCTGGTAGAGTTGTGCCGTCCTTCAAGACGAACACCAAGAAATGCCAATGAAATTTGGAGTCAGAACGACGTATTGAATGCAGGTCGGTCGTTGCAAAAGATAACGTGTATTTTTTGATGACATTTTGAGCATGTTGATTCTCTGGTTGCTGCGTATTACCTGGTGAAGAAAGAAAGCGACTATGATATGGGGGAAAATATTCCGTTAGTATGAAAATATAACACGGTTTTAATATATACATTTTTATACACTTAATTTTTCATAATTATAAAGAAAAGAAAGATTGCCACTATACGCAAGAAAACAATCAACTTCAAACAGGGTGTTGAGGAGTTTTATTCACATGAAATCAACCCTGGTGTAGGCTAAATATATATACATGAACCTCAAACTTGGCATCTGGTCAATAAAATGCCAAGTGCCCACTGACTGTATCACTGAAGCTCAGTTATACAGCTGTGTGGGATGAGATGGGAATTATACCTACTATCAGCATCTGTCGTAGAACGGGAGACGACACTCCATTCAGCATCGTTGTTTATATGATAGTCATCAAACACAGCTTCAGGGGAAACTGGTAGCCAATTCACATGACTTGAATCGTCCTCAATGGATGAAAGAAAAGTCGTGCTGCAAATATGACTGGTAAGGTACTGTTAATAAGTAACTTGGAACGCAAAATATCATGGTTGTAGGAAATGTTCTGTGGATGATGCTAACCGTAAGGAATTCAATTGTGCAAACGTTGATTTTGGTTGTTGTGAAATGAGGCCTTTTAGGCCGACGTTCTTCGTAAAGAGACTTGAACATGTGACAAAAATGCTTATAGACAAGTAGAGTATTGCGTAGAGATGAGGCGTATAAAAGAGTCTTTCAAAATTATTAAAATTTTTGCAGTCGCGTGACGTGTGGTTAGAAAATTAAAACAAAACTATTATTATACACCCAATTCATATAATAAGATGGATTAGGAACAACCTAGTTAATTTTCGTACGTGGCACCGTATGATTAACCGTGTCTGCCCTAAAGCGACAAATATTTAGTACCTTTTCGACTATTGAGATCTGACCACGGATGATATTGGCTGAATAGCTGCTTGTAACAGAGGTATGTACAAACACGTCATCTTGTACGTATACAGTCTGGTCAATGATCAAAAAGATGGCATAGCTGTGAAATTATTCCTTTGTAAGACTTTTTAAACAAAATTTAAAGAACACACCTTGCTAGAAGCAGATTTGGACGAGCCGGGAACGTTTTCGATTTTAGTTTTGCGTTCTTCGGCCATCTTATTTGTTTATGTTATGCTCCATCCGAGGAAATAGCTCGGGAGACTGGGCCCGACATAGTAACAAAAAGCTGATTCAGACTACGCAATTGCATATTTCGAGGAAACCACGCAATCACTTTGTGAATCGCTCTAAATGTTTAGTATGTGGTGTGAATCTCAAAGCATTGTGTGACATCTTAAGTTTTGTAAGTATTATTTCTTCATTCATACCTGTATTGTAAATTTTTCTCCATAACGGAGTATCGATCCGGGTTCTTATACCGATCTTTTGTACTAGTAACATTCCCACTTATCCCTTTTTACCCCATTCGAATTAAACAACAATGTACAAGTCAACGATCGACATGTCGAACATGAGAATTTGACGTTTTTTTGAAGGGATAACGAGTTAAATGCTTGGTTTTTTTAAATTATAGCTTCTATATGGAACACTTTGATGCATTTTTGCGCACAAAGTTCAAGAGCAATGGGGTATGTGACCCGCTAATTTGATCGAGATGTTTTTAAAAACTCTATATGTGATATGGTTTAACTGGTTTTATTTATGTGTTAAAACTTCTATAGTATCCTAACACCAGTCAAGCCATTCCAGATGTGAAAGCTGCTTTAGAAAATTACAAAACATTGAGACCAAATGCGAAAATTTTCGGTGAGTTTCTCGTTGTGGTCTGAGACTCAGACAAGTCACATGAATCGAAACCAGACGGTTGTTCATAGTTATCATAATTTGATTCTTTATTAGCAAATAAAGAACTTGTGTGTCTTGAAGGAACAATTCCAGTTGTATATAGAGGTATGAGCAGCAATGAAGGGCATTAAATTTAATCTGCAGGTGGTTTGTGTAACAAAGTGAAGGCAAGGGCAAGCAAGTATACAAAGCAACGTGCAGTGCAGGGCTGTTAAAGTTTTTTTTGTTTGGAATTTGAGCTTGTTCAAGTTTTTGTAACAAGCCTGAAAATTGGAACTGTTTGTAATAAGTTATATTTACTTATTACAAAGTTACTGCATAGGTTTTGTCTATTTTTCAATCATGGCACTTTGCCTTGATAAGTTAATGAAATATTAAATAATCATTCAATGAGATTGAGCATGATATTCAGAATCATCTAGGCCAAGGTTGACATTGTCATTTGAAGCGGTATGCTGTATTTTATTACTCCACTTAGCTAACAGAAATAGAAATAAAACATTTTGATGTAAAAGAATTTCAAAGCTTCAGTGACAATTACTTTCTTACCTGCATGGAGTTCTTTTTGTACCATGCAAAACTCCTTCTGTGTAAAATTTCTTTCCATTGCTATAGACTCATATGCATTTTTAGGTTCAACTTACAACATCCCAATTTGTATATGGCTTCAAAAAAGCCATCCCTATATACCCCCCATTGTCTTTGTTGTCCCTACACCAGAGATGGAGATAAAGGTTGGACGTCATGTTGATACAGAAGGAAGGGTGTACCTCCCCTTTTTAAGTGAATGGAAACATGTAAGTCTTGTCGTTTATAGAATAACGAGTATAGTTTTATGGTGGAAATTTTTGATATATAACAATTTCATTTGACTTCAAAGGATGCACATGTTCAAACAAGAATATATAGTTTAGCCAATTGATATGAAAGGATGATTTTAATTTCACAATATTTTTCGAATGAACTCATAACTTAAAATAACATTTGGTAGAATTGTTTTTTTGGGGGGCTTTCATCCGTCCATTAATGTTTGTTTTGAAAGTCTATTTAGGTGTTTCCTCATGATAGTCAACCAATGTTATTGTATAATTTTTTATGTGTTCAATGTGTTTATTTTTTATTATGTTTTAATTGTCTGCTTGGATTATATTTTTGTCACTGATGAAGTGCCACATGTTTTTTAGTTGATAATAATTTGTGATTGCTATTTTTTTATAGCCTGGGTCGGACCTTTATCAGTTGATTCAGTTGTTATGTATGATCTTTGCTGAAACACCACCTGTGTTTGCCCGCACAAAACCTGCTTCACATGCAAACTACCAACATGCAGGTTTTCAACCCTACCCGCCTAGACCAAATAATCCTTTACCCCAGGGCTTTTATCAAACTGGACCATCTCGAATGCCAATGCCCGGAAATGCTGGTATACTACTAGGTTTTTCCATGTTAAAAGTGAATGTAGTTGCCCAGTTTGTTATATTTTTGTATGTTTTTTTGCCATGCCTTTTATCTTACCAGAATTTTTTTATAATAGCTATAAGGCCTACCCATCCAAATATCCCCCCTTATCCTGCCTCAACATCTGGTGCCATGCCTCAACCTAATAGACCAACACCTCCATCCAGACCACTACCCCCACCCATACCACCACCTTCATCTAGACCACTACCTTCATCCAGACCAACACCCCCATCCAGACCACCTCCCCCATCTAATCAACCCTATCCGTCTCATGGGGGTTTTCCACTACCTGGTGTTCCACAAAGTGAAACAAATCAACCCCCTTACCCTGTTTCCCAAACTTACCTTTCTACTCAAAACAATCCCCCTGCAACAACTGCTACAGCAACAGGATTGTCTCGCAGCACCCAGAGTAGTTTCAGAATATCCTCTGACATGATGAAGGCCAGTATTAAAAGTGGGGTTGAAGATAAATTGAGAAGACAGCTGAATGAAGTATTTCTTCAAGCTCAGGTGATTTATAACTTAATGTTACACTTATTCAATGCTTTCCTTGGCTTTCTTATTGATGGAAGCTATATTGGACGGGTCACAAGGGCGGATCCAGGAGATTATGAAAGAGGGCGCTAAACACTTTAAATTAGTTTGAAAACTGAAACTGTACTGTCATTTTTTACTATTATTCAATATGTTGTTTTTTTTTCTAGCAAAAGGAGGGGCTGCAGCGGCTTCACCCCTCCCCCCCTAAATCTGCCCTTGGGTCAAGTCAACATCACTTTATGTGGCAATCTGTTTTATAGCAAATTTTGTGTTTGTTGCATGAAATTGATATTTGTGAATGAATTTTGTGGGTACCCATGTGTTTGACTTTATGATGTTTGAGTCAATTAAATTTGCCCAGCTGTATTCACTTGATGGTGGTTTTAGACCGAAATGGATACCCTTAAACAGACTGAATACAAGCTGAATGAAGGAAGGAGCAAATTAGAAAACATGATACAACAGATAGAGACAGAGGAGGTATGTGTGATTAATGATTATGCTTTGGTTCATGCATCAGTTTTTGTCACTAAATATGAAGGTTGGCAGGGGATACAGCATTTTAACCCCTTTAGTTTGGTTCTGTGAAAGAAAGAATCTGCCATATGCTAAATTATGCCAAAGAAGTTCTAGATTTCAACAAGTGTCATAAACATCCAAAGCTCTTTGATGATATTGTTTCACAACCTGTTTAGGCCTCTAGTAAATTTTGCTGCAAGGTCATTTTCTCAAACCATATCTTTTTGTCTTGTTTAAGTAATTATGTTTCTTTTGTCAACTTACTTTAGTCTGATGTGTCTAAAGATATTGAAACACTGAAGCAAAAAAATACCGAAATCGAAGATGCAGTCAAAACATTACAACAGCAATCAGATAAAGTGAATATTGATGATGCTGTAGTTCCAACAACACCTTTATATAGCCAGTAAGTTATTAATCTTTGCATTACTTAAGAAGTGAAAGATGTTTACTGTGTTTGCACATGCTTATGCAAGAGCAGATCAGTGTAAGCCTAAAGGAAAAGGTTGAGGGTTTGCACCTGCTCAAGAGTTATCACAATGGTCTCCAAAGTTCTCAAAAACATGCATCTCCATTTCTCCTTTAACCAGTGCAAACATAAAAAACACTTTTATACAATGAAAATAGTGCAAAAAAGATTTCAAAATTACCTCCAACATGTGTCAATGATTGATTTGCAAGTTCTCTTCAATTGATTTAATTGATTGAGGTCATGGATAATGCAAACCCAGCTATCAGCAAATGTGTTGTATTATATTTATTTTATAAATTCATTTGTTTATTGTTAGTACGTTATCCAAGTAAATTGTTGGATATAAGCTTTATCACGAAAATCTTTTCCACAGATGATTGGATTGAATTGATGATTTTAATATACATCAAAAATACAATAGACAAAAATACAATAGTGAATGTATTCATTTATGTTATTTTCAGTATTGTTTAGCAAATCATTCATTTTGTTCGAATAAGCACAGCATATTTCTTGTTTTAGGATTTTGAATTTGTATGCTGAAGAGAATGCATTAGATGACACAATGTATTATCTTAGTGAAGCTTTAAGGCGGGAAAAAATTGAGTTGGATGTCTTTCTAAAGGTATATAGTAAAGTAGGATAGAGTATGTGAAATTTTCAATCCTGTGTATGTTGTGAACATAGTTTTATGGCATTTTTTGTTTCTTAGCATGTTCGTTCCCTCTCTCGGAAGCAGTTTATGTCTCGTGCCTTGCTGCAAAAGGCAAGAAAAAGAGCTGGTCTTAGTGAACTGTAAATGTATGAGCACAGTCATTAAGAAGGTAGGCGATGACTATAATCTGTGGCACAAATTACTCTCCACAAAATTTAACATAAAAGTTTGACACTTGTGTAAAATGCAAGCAATTGATAGTATTCCAGTCTTTATGGTTCACAACTTAGTGCCTAAAATAATTGTTATAAAAATTTCTCATACAAGTGAGGAAAATTATAGAACTAATGTGCAAAATCATTTATTCTAATGGTATTTCAATTCCATCCTCTTAGTTTGACTTATTGCCCAGTTGCTTTCTTAGTCAGTTTTCATTGTGTAGAGCTACCACCTGTTGATATTTATTAAAAACTAAATTCAATGTAAAAGCCTCATCAATGGATGAAGTTTGGTGAAATGTTATTTGATATTGAATACTGAATGATTCTCTTTTGATGCTATATGCAAAAAGAAATGTTTGTTCCTTGTTTTTATAGAAAATATTCAAAAGTGTTATTGCAGTATTGAAACATATTTCTCAGCAATGTTACAACAACATGGTATATTTAATTGTTGATAAGCACATTGATGGCAATGTCTTGAGAATGCAAGTATTTGTTCAGGGTTTGTTTACCGTTGCATGCCATGAAGATCTTCAGTAAATATGCCTATGAAATATTCAATTCCTACTTTAACACACCTAGTCACTGTTTGAAAAATAATGTATTGCACACACTTATAAAAAATGGACAAAGCGATTCATAAGAATAGTGTATTTGAATCCCTGTTCTAATATATTACACATCATATATTAAAATAAGTTCATATTTTATGTATATGTATAATGAGTTTCCATATGTACAATAAAAATACTCTTACAGTGTAAAACATGAAGCAACAAACATAAATACTCAAATATGTGTGCAACCAATTATCAATCTCATATTAAACTATCCTCAAGTGAAAATGTATAATATGCAATGCATGCAAAATATTCAATATCTTTATACAAACAGTATGCATGAACATGCAGTTGAATTTTTTGTGCAACATTGAAAACATATTACAATGGGTTATTTTTTTGTTCTAAGCATGTGAACATTGTGTATTTTAAAAACTTCTTTTTGAAAATTTTTCCCACTCTAGCAATCATGACCCATCAAAAGTGCATATATATAATACATCTACATTCATAATGATTTCAATATGTTAGCACATTAGTTCCTGCTAACTTTTTGACATATCAAGGCTTGTGAACTGGATATGTTGTGTGAATAAGATCCAACTTTTGCACAAGGGGCATGAGTTCAATTTAGAAGCACACTCGTTGCAACAGTACATATGACCACAAGGAGAGAACACTGCATTCAGTTCATTATCCATGCAAATCTGACATAGCAGCTCGTCCGAACAACCATCTGTTGCAATGTATGTCTTCAGCATGTTGGCAACTGGAGAATCGCAAACTCCACAAGTAACTTTGTCATTTGCACATGATATGCAACACTCGACATGTCCACATGGACTATAGGCAACCATGTTATCTGAACCATTGCAAATTGTACAAACTGGCATCACAAAACTTGCATCCATTTTATCACAAACCTCATCTTCCAAAGATGCATCCTCAAAGTGGTCATGGTAGCAAAGAGATTTTTCTTTCTGTGAAGTAATCGCATTGTAATGTTCATTATACGCTTGCCGTCTTGTACAACAAACATCAAGGTGGTATAATTCTGGGGCTGTGTAACGTGTAAGCCACTTGGATGGATAAGCCCAACACGGATATGCTAGCATGTAGTGATTGCGAACAGAGTCCAAAATCTGAGGTTCAAAATAGAACAGCTTTTTTTCCAAAACACACTTGTGCATAACTTTTGCCGACTCACAGCTGGTGTGGAAAAAGTGCAGAAACCTGAATGTGGAACCGGCTCGCTTGATTACCAATATCATACGTTCCTCAAATAGACTGATTTTGTTATATCCAGGTACGATACACTAAAATGATGAAGAACATGTTTTAGCATGTACACAAACATTCAAGTTGCCCATAAATTCCCATTTCATGTATAGCATGCTGCGAAGAATATACAAAAATGGGCAATTATTGTTGATACAAAGTATTTTTAGCTTATGGTCATTAATGTTTTAAAGTTTCTTTGGTCTGATTATGGGTAAATTTGAGGTGTGTTGACTTGATCCAGGGTGGTTTGCAATTTAATTAAAAAAAACAAACTAATAGTACTATTGATCATAAATATCTTAGAGTATTTCATACCACAAACATGATGGATTTGTTTTTTACACATATTCATCAATAACCTACTGTTGATTTACCACTATTATGATTAAGAGGATTTTAATGCTCCACAAAAAAGGAAACATTTCAGGCATTATCAATAATGCATATTTTGTTGGCTAATGATCATACAAATTGAATTACTATGATTTTTAAAACCCTGATATTTTTCAAGCAAGTTGTACTCAAGTGTGGACAACCATATTTGTAGATTTCCAATATCCTGTGGTTAACAATTTTCAATAATAGATTTCCAATAGACCACATGATGGTTTGATGGTTAACAATTAACCAAAATATGGCAGGCGACAATGGCACATTCATTCTGTACGTGGTGATGCCACTGGCACAACCTTTCTCCAAAATAATTGTGCGTGCTTAATAGATTTTTTCAAATTCTAAGATGAGTCAAAATATAAAGACGTACTATTGTCAATACAATAGAAAATTAGAAATTGATCGGAAACAACTGCTGATTCGGGAAATTTGCAAATCAAGACAAACCAGTTTCTATCTCGATCTTTTCAAAATGGCTATCTATTATATGTATTAAATGCAAACTTCTAGTATTTACTTTATACTTGAAACAAGTGCATACGTTCGCTTTTAAAAACCCTTAGAACCATTTAGCATTGCAGAAACTAGTACTTACAATTCTTTGAATGCCTGAGGGCAACGACGATTTATCAGAGTAAGACCTTGCTCACCGACGGCTGCAAATAGTTTCTCGCCGGCGACTTTAACTTTAAACCAATCGCAAAAGTAGAATTCGGTTTCAGCCAAAGTCGAGATGAACTTCAGTTTGGCTACACTTGGGGATAAGCCCTTCAAGCTTTCGTGCTCTCGTCTCACGTTTAATTCCCAAGCATTGTAAACGGTTTCAGTTGGGTTGTCGCGCAGTTGTATTTTGGAGTCTCCCTCTTCGACTTGTCTGATCAAAGCGTGCAGTTTAGTGAGTTGATTTTCACTTAAAATGAACTTTTCTTCGGCCAAATTTCTTCTCAATGCATGATAAAAGAAATGCCTGTGACGTGGAAAAAATCTGGTTTCGCAAAGGCGTAATGTAGTTTAAAATGACGACAAACCAGCTATTAAGAAGCGCTTGGTAAAAAACAGTCAAACAATTGCGCATTTGAAAATATTAACCACCTACCTTGTTTTCTCGTGTTGAATTTCTTGCGGCAAAACATAAAATTTCACGTCCAAGCGAAGTCGGTGAGGTTTTCCAGTGATGTGAGGACGAAGTTGTGTCATGAGAGGGTTCCTTAGATTCAGCCATGCTTTTACTTCTTGACCCATCGAACGAGTAAGACCAAAATAATGTTTTTCAACGATTCCTAGCTTCTCACATAACTGAAAATAACGATGGAAATTAGGTTTGGTGGAATCTTACGGCAAACTAAATATAATGCATAGCACGAAAGAATTCCTAGTAAAATCTTGATTTATATTTTTGTTTACCCTTTCATGGCATACTAGCCCCGCAGCATTCTTGGGCACTATAATTTCGTGCAAGTTTCCATTCGGTTCTTCGACAAGATACTTCATCTTTGCTGTAGAGCTGAAAGACTAACAAAAATCGACAAAAGCGAGCTCTTTATACTTATAACAAGCCAGGAACATCGAAGGATGTGGAAAGTTGACTTTCATCGTCGAGAATAAGTCGATCTGGTTGAATGTCAGGGAAAACTTTTAGGATTCTTGTTTACATGCGAAATGTCGATTTCCACCAATAAGGTTGCGAGTTGAACATTCGATGGTCTCCTATTGGTGCCCTATTTGCTGTTCAAGTCGAACCGGATAAACCGGGCTATAGCTGTAAACGTATAACGTAATTAGGTTTCAACTTTCAAGTTAATCAAGCTTGAATGCAAGAATATATGCTATGCAAGTTTACAAGAGGAGAAAACAGGCTGTACATGGTTTGCCTTTGATCTTACGTTTTTTTTACACATGCCAATTATTGTTAATCACGTTTAGGAACGCTTTTTTTAGATAAAAACGTGACAAGTCTTTAATTTGCAACATTATGCGTGAATTAAGACGCTACAACAACACGTTAGTCATTGGAATGTACCGATTTCTTAAGGAGTTCTTTTATTTAAACTTTAGAGTCTCGTCCGACTTAAAATGTAACGTACAATTAAATATTAGCACACAAGCAGTTTTTAATGCAATTCTTCATAGCAACCATAAGGTTTGTTGGTTAGAAGATCATTCAGCGACATTGTCTGGATGGTGACAAAATGGTTATTGTTCACTAAACGCAACATTTACAAAAATGCACTGAATTGAATAAAGCGCAAAATAACTGAGCCAGCAAACTTCATTCACATGAAAAAAACACTCTTTGTGCATATGTTATTTGACAACGACAAATGGGGCACTCCCTGCACAAGGTTGAGCACTTTGTGCAGCAAACTACATGTCCACAAGGGCAGAATGCAGTTGTGACCTCCTCATCCATGCACACCTGGCAAATACGAGAATCCTCTAGGTTCCGAACAATCCTTTTCAACTCTTCATTGGACAGGTCATTCAAGTTGTCATGAGCAGTAAACCTTGAATGTGAGCTTTTGGACAAGTCAATTACAACATCATCATTTTCTCCAGAACGACGATTTGCTAAGGGTGATTGTACTGGACGAAATGATTTGGAATCTTCAGGTTGTGATTGCTTTCGCCTTCTGTTAATGTTTAGTTCTTCATTAAGAACACTCCAGGCATGGGTGTAGGTCTGTCTTCTCGTGCGGAGGATGTCAAACAAATGCCTTTCACCAACAGTTGAGCTTGGATAAAAGATGGTGAGAAACTTCCCAAATGTTGTTCGTGATTTTTGATCAATGACAGCCTTTTTGACCATGTTGCAGTTAAAGAAAGTGTGGAATTCTGTAAAGGAGCGAAATATGGAGATGGACATAAGCTCGTGTTTTAGTTTAAATACAATACGGTTGGCATTGTGCACACTTGAACCATGAACAACAGTGAAGTTATGGCCACTGTAGGAAACCGTCGCAACATCCTCATAGTGAATTCTGAAACATAAAATTAATGCACACTGATGAAATGAATGACATGTGAAATATTAGGAATGGTGGATGTGTAGTAAAAGAGTAGCAGAAATTGGCCAAACTCTGAAGTGCAAAGAAAGAAGTGCATACTGGCAATAAGTTAATGCTATTGCTAGCTAAGCTATTTTCTCTCAACGTGGCAAAAAATACAAGAATTAGAGGTATGAAGTTTTACCTTCTATCCAAAACACTCCTGACAACTTCTTTTGTCAATTTTACATCGTACTCGCGAATGACGCTGTAAACTCTCAAACCTTCCAAGTCAACGAGAATCTTCAACTTTCTTCCATAACTGTCGTCTCTATAGCGGCCTGTGAACGTCTCTACGCCATACCCTTGCAAAACTGACATCTGATGAAGGAAATTTACCTCGGCCATTTGCGGTGGCTGACCTGTCAATTTGTTATGCTCAAATGACACCTCTTTCTTCATGTCACAAGATTTAGCAAACATTGACCATACCCACAAAGGCAAATACGAAGAATAATCCGCAATATTGTCTGGATTAAAATCGCCTGTTTCTGCCTGAGCCAGATTAGCGCAAATTTCTGCCACTGTTCTGGTAGGAAGCGTACTCAAGTCAAATCGATTCCGCCTCAAATGCAACTTCAACGTCAAAAAATATTGATGTCTAAACAGAAAAAATACCTTAAATCTAGAGTACTAATACAAATGAAACCACTAAGCCGAAAGTCTATCAAGTGATTTCATTTTATTATTGTTCAAACGAAACTACTTCATACTGTCGTGTTCTTTAATATTTAAATTACTTGAAAGCGCACAGATTACATTGTAATATTAATGAAAACTCAACACTCGTTTGAGTTGTTAAACGCAGTCACTTATGAGGTTTCATTTGGTAATTTACCTGGTGATTTCTTGCTGCAACTCTTGGGGTTTGACAAAATATTTTACAAGAAACCAAAGGCGATACGGCGGTTTTCCATGTAATTGTGCGGAAAGACGATTTCTTAAATTCAACCATGTCTCGAAACCCTTACGTCCTTTGTATCTTAAACCGAAATAATCACCTTCATATAGCTTCAACCGTTCACAAATCTAAAGAAAACATAGTTTCACTTAAATGTCTAAGTTTGACAGGTGAATTCATATTATACAGTCGATTTGTTGTGAACGCTATTTCTTTGTTGGGTTTCCCCTGGCCGCCTTTAAATGACGAATTACATACTTTGGCATGACAATCTTGTCCTTTTGCGTCTTTTTTCAAGTAAAATTCGTGAATTACACCATTCGGTTCGTAAATAAGACACCAGAGCATTTTTATTAGCGCTTATACATCGTTAAAAGGCCCACCAAAAAGCATAAACAAAAAAATGTCATTTAAGAGGTATCACAATAACAATTTATCTCGCCAGCTTTTACTGTATAATTCCAGCTTTCTTCAGCCAATCACTGCGCTCGTACCATTTGCAACGCTGTTTGATTGGTTACTACTTATTGTACAATATGACATCTAAACAAAAGATACTACATCTATTTAAAATGTGTCAAAAATTTTTCCTTTTCACCTTTCAATTCCATTCATTTTGAATGGAGTTCCCTACGTAAAGGAAAAAGGATCTCAGCCAAAATGCCCAAAGACAGGTACCAGTTGAACTTGAATGTAATGAACGACGCATGATTAAGAATAATTAAAAAGAAAACAGAATGATTACATATACGTTGCTTTTTTTTATTCAAATAGCTTGCAGTCGTAGGATACAGCATCTTGAATTTTGTTGACTGTCGAATCAGTTGCCTTTTGCCTTTGACATTAGTCACTTTACAATATAAAACGAAGCAATTCTTATCTCATTTGAAATTTGACAAAACAGTGACCTAAAAAGCAAAATAACAAAAAATCTTCACTTTATGATTGTTTTTCGGATTTCGGTTCATTCTTTATAAATTCATTGTCTTCAGGAAAAGGAACATGACGTGCATAAGTGCTTCCTACATGTTTTTGTTTGAAGTTAGGTATATTGACGTCATTAATTGACAATTACAAATACTCCTTGTCCAATACTCGACCCACTCGTCCCAGGCATTCAGCTTCGACTTCGATATAATTTGTCTTAATTTGTAATATACCCACAGAGACGTAGCCACGAATGTAGTCCTAGTTTCAGAAAATGAGCTTTTTTTCCACTGTTTACTGACAACTTTCCAGAAATAACTTTTTGCGTTTATACCGTAGTTTAAGAGACCCTTGACAACGCCACCTTTTTTCTGACACTTTCTCATTTTACATACGATTCAGGGCTCTCAGGTATTTTCATGTCAATATCACAATATAGGAATATACAGTAGGGCCACTTTGCTGTGCAACAAGCTGCTGGCCACTGGCTATTTGGTTTACTGGCTGCCGTTTGCCATATCGTCAATCCTATTGGTCATACAATGCAATTTAGTGGCTGCAAATATGGTAATCACATGCGCAATAAGATATGCGTTGCACGAAAAAATTCAATGGAGTGGCCCAACTGTATGTTTTCTATACTGTGTCAATATCAAACGTGACCAGAAAAGTGAAAAATGGATACAGTGAGATCACTTAAGCAGTAAACCTTATGCTGTTGCAGCCAGAGCTACTGTTGTGGTGCCTGAATTGGCTATGGCTATGGCCTGAACCACAAGGGCACGTCGCCTTCTTTTTTGCAGGCAATTCAGGCTGTTTAAATGGCGATATGAATTATGAAATAGTCAAGAAAGAAAATGTCTGGTCGGATTCCTATTCGGATTAATATTTCCCCTTGGAAACTACGCCTTTAGTGTTTTGGCTTGTGAATTTTACATACAAATGATTTACGTGGAAGTTGTATCTGATGTGGTTGTTGTATTTGGATGAAATTCAATATGTTCTGGTGTAATTCTATGATTCCTTTCCTCGTTTTGCTCACATTGTGCATAAACATTTCGGGCATGAAGAACGAAAAGTGCGTTATGACGGAAAAAAACGGGTTTTACTACAGCTCTAAACTTTCCAATTTGTCTGCAAAGCTTGTGAAGACCTACGAGATTGATAGCAGGGAAGAATGTCGAGATGCCTGCTGTGATTTACAAGAATGTAATTTTATGATGTTTACAACCATGTTAAAGATGGCAAAAGATCGTTATTATGCCTCAAATGTGACATGCTTTCTCTTCAATTGTCCTGATATTTTGAAATGTATTACAGTGAAGGTGCCCAATGACACAGGTGTATCAATCATTGAAGTAAAACGAGGTATTTATTATAAGATTGCCCAAGAATATTATTTTTAAGCATGAGACAATATGTTGTACGTTAGTGGACTTTCGGCCACGTTAAGAAATGAACTTTTTGTTTCTTTAATAGAAAATTTTTTATTTGACGATCAGAGCACAAATGAGGTAAGTTGTTAAGTTGTTAAGTGATTTCAATTTAAAGCCTTTCAATCATTCATGTTGTTTGTGTCAAGTTTTTGGAACTGCCTTTCCAAAGTCTTTCTGCCTTGAAATCGGCTGAAAGTTATTCATACAAAACTTGTGTGTATAATCAAAATCATAAAACATATAAACATTTACGTGTATTTTAGCATAAACATATCACCTCATTTCATCCATCAAAATCTGGATCATTTTCGTACATCTCATCTCCAAATCACGGAGATAAAGAAACGAACCATTTCCCCATTCTCATGCTGCATACAAGTACAGGAGCATCCCAGTATGAAACACCCTCATCTAAAAATTTCAATCCCATAGCTTCCTTTCACGAAGTCTTTCGTAGTATCTTTTCACCACACAATTCACTTGTGTCCTCCTCAGTCCTTAATAATGTCACAGTCAGTGCAATACTATCCACCAGCACTTCATCACTCCCTGCTGGAACTGTCAGCAATTATACAATTTCAACATTCGTAAATACTTTTCTCACCACTCATATGACACCTTCAACCATTGTTGTGCCTACGCAAGGACATCAATTGGTGTGGAATAGTTTGTCGTCAAATCATGTTGGTCAGTTATCAGGATCATCAACACCCTTGGTTTGTAAATGCTAATGAAATAGTAATGTGCAATCTCCGTATGTTTCACCTTTAGCTCTGGCTAAATAGTCTAGCTCCTTCTGAAAATATATTTTTCTTTATTTTTTGTTTGATTTCTGAATTAAATTTCACTACAGGAGTTGATTTTTTTTAGTTCAAATTCATTAGAACTTCTGCTTCCTGTGCACAGGAGTGGATTAAAATTCAGGCCGTTATTTTGTGACTTACATTGCAGTACATTGTGTTGCAAGCTGCTCTTGGTTGTCGAAATATTCATCGTTTCTACAAATTGTTGTTTCTATTGCATTTTGAAGATTGTCTTGTAATATTTAAGAACATGGCTTTATTAGAAAGCTGAATAACCTGTAATTAGGATTGAATGAAAATTTTGTGTATAATCTGACATTGCCAATTGATAATTTATTTTGTTTTTATTTGAAAAAATGCAACGTTAAAATTGCCTTGAATGACTAGGGCTGAGTTGTCTATAACTTATTGATGGAAAATTTTTGTTTTGCGGTTGTAAAATTCAAAGCATTTTATTCTCCCGGCCATGTCAATAGGTATATTATAGGCCCATTGATGATGGAATAATTGTGGCAATTTGCAATCAAATTTACACATCTATCAAATAATTGTGTAAATTTACAATCGAATTTACACATGATTGTGTATATTACACCGTTTTCAATGACAACATTGTTAACATGATTAATCAATCATATCGTAGACTTGTTTTGTAAGCACATTTTCTACCCATATCTATTCTGCTCATTTTGTATTTATTAGACTTTGAACACAAATAGATCCAGTATCCAAAGCACCACTCCAGGTCAATTTGCCACAAAGAGTACGAACTTGCCAGAATTACGCTCATCAAGTGTTTTGAAAAGTACAACAGGTGTGTAATGTGTATGCAATGCTAAGTTAATGTTAAGGAACGTTCTTTTGTCCCATAGTTTGGTTATGTTAAGGAACGTTCTTTTGTCCCATAGTTTGGTTATGTTAAGGAACGTTCTTTTGTCCCATAGTTTGGTTATGTTAAGGAACGTTCTTTTTCCCATAGTTTGGTTATGTTAAGGAACGTTCTTTTGTCCCATAGTTTGGTTATGTTAAGGAACGTTCTTTTGTCCCATAGTTTGGTTATGTTAAGGAACGTTCTTTTGTCGGTTATGTTAGTTTGTCCCATAGTTTGTTATGTTAAGGAACGTTCTTTTGTCCCATAGTTTGGTTATGTTAAGGAACGTTCTTTTTCCCATAGTTTGGTTATGTTAAGGAACGTTCTTTGTCGCATAGTTTGTTATGTTAAGGAACGTTCTTTTGTCCCATAGTTTGGTTATGTTAAGGAACGTTCTTTGTCGCATAGTTTGGTTATGTTAAGGAACGTTCTTTGTCCCATAGTTTGGTTATGTTAAGGAACGTTCTTTGTCCATAGTTTGTTTGCGTTATAGTTTGAACGTTCTTTTGTCCCATAGTTTGGTTATGTTAAGGAACGTTCTTTTGTCCATAGTTTGGTTATGTTAAGGAACGTTCTTTTGTCGCATAGTTTGGTTATGTTAAGGAACGTTCTTTTGTCCCATAGTTTGGTTATGTTAAGGAACGTTCTCTTTGTCGTTCATAGTTTGGTTATGTTAAGGAACGTTCTTTTGTCCCATAGTTTGTTATGTTATGTTAACGTTCTTTTGTCCCATAGTTTGGTTATGTTAAGGAACGTTCTTTGTCGCATAGTTTGGTTATGTTAAGGAACGTTCTTTGTCCCATAGTTTGGTTATGTTAAGGAACGTTCTTTTGTCCCATAGTTTGGTTATGTTAAGGAACGTTCTTTGTCGCATAGTTTGGTTATGTTAAGGAACGTTCTTTTTATAGTTTGGTTATGTTAAGGAACGTTCTTTGTCGCATAGTTTGGTTATGTTAAGGAACGTTCTTTTGTCGCATAGTTTGGTTATGTTAAGGAACGTTCTTTTGTCCCATAGTTTGGTTATGTTAAGGAACGTTCTTTGTCGCATAGTTTGGTTATGTTAAGGAACGTTCTTTTGTCCCATAGTTTGGTTATGTTAAGGAACGTTCTTTTGTCTCATAGTTTGGTTATGTTAAGGAACGTTCTTTTGTCTCATAGTTTGGTTATGTTAAGGAACGTTCTTTTGTCCCATAGTTTGGTTATGTTAAGGAACGTTTTTCTGTCTCTTAATTTTCTCCAAGGTTAATTTTCTAAAGTAAATGGTTTGAACCCGGGAGTATCGATCTACATTTACAAACATGTTAATTTTCTCATAAGGATTTATCTCCTGGTCGAGTTTCTTCAGAATCCGCCAAGTTATGCAATGAGACCACCGTCGTTCAACAGATCCATAATTTCTGAAGCCCTGAAGCTCATTTTTTCTTTCTTGCTGTAGATTCAAACACTTTTTTACATGGATCTCACGGTGTGCACAACATCAAAAGTCCGTTTTCGGAGAAACGAAGTCATACAACACATGTGTCGTTGATCATATCTCTTTTCATCGGGATCGTTTTTTTCGTAGCCGTTGTTGTTATGATAGGCCGACGATGGAGCGAGCGGTTCTCCAGACGTGCATATAATCGCGTTGACTTTCTGCTCAATGATTATGATTGATCGAGGTTCACGTGATATTCTCTAGTAAAGGTATTATGTAGTTTGCTTTAGTGACGTTACCACGCATACAGAGGCAGTGCCGCATTAACCACTGTGCCCGTTCCTAGGGGTCAAAAAAATTTTTGAGCTCCAGAACTGGCGTACAACAGTTATATGGGGACTCACTAAGTGCCCAGGGGTCCAAAAATCTTAATGCGGCCTGTGGGGAAATGTTTTGTGATCACGTCACGTGAATACGCAATATTTTTTGCTAGAGCTGGATATCTGCTTTCTTGAAGTGTAATATCAGCAGAAGGTGCATGTACATAATTTATTGAATCTTTGAATGTGATTTTGCAGTGTTGAATAACAACGCTACAAAATGAGGTATTAAGCTGGAGAATTTGAATCATTTCATTCATTTATCTTGTTAAGAAATCCTACTAAATTTACCGTGAGAGAAATGCTACCCATGTTTCATAAGTAACTAGTTACCGTAACCGTTGCAGTCATTGAAAACAGTAACGATTACATGTAGCTGGTTAGTCGCAACGAAGTTGTTATTTTCAGCACTGCTTTTATTTTCAAATTTGAAAACAAACAGTAACGATTACATGTAGCAAGTTAGTCGCAACGAAGTTGTTATTTTCAGCACTGCTTTTATTATCAAATTTTTACAAGAAACCTTGGCGGATCTAGGAAACGGGAATGTGAACAAAACTTCTGCAACTTATGCCGGAGTACTCAGCAGTAGGTAGGAGTTATATTTACATTCTATATCACTTTGAAAATTTGAAAGTAATTTGATCGTATGTAAGGTATGGGGCAATTTGTTTGATTTAATGGATGGGGTCGTTAGTCAACTGAATCCTACCTCGACCCCTCTTGGCCACTGCCTCACCCTAGATCCGTCACTGTGTACATACTCTGATTGTTGTATGTTATAGATTGTATAAGGTTAGTGTTTTGATTTAATGGATGGGGGTCGTTAGTCAACTGAATCCTACCTCGACCCCTCTTGGCCACTGCCTCACCCTAGATCCGTCACTGTGTACATACTCTGATTGTTTTATGTTATAGATTGTATAAGGTTAGTGTTTTGATTTAATGGATGGGGGTCGTTAGTCAACTGAATCCTACCTCGACCCCTCTTGGCCACTGCCTCGCCCTAGATCCGTCACTGTGTACATACTCTGATTGTTTTATGTAATAGATTGAAAAAGATTAGTGTTTTCATTATAGTTATAATTGTAGTAAAGTACTCAATTAAGGAGATACGATGACAAAAAAGCGAGATATCGCAACTTATACGAGTTCATAAGCACGTGCGATCAAAGACTTAACTTTTTGTGATACTCAAGATCGGCTATTCGCGAGAACTCGCTTCATGTAATCATGGCCGTGCCTGGAATGCTCGTTGCGAGAGTGCGTATTCATATATTCACTTGTGCCCGACTGAGTTCTTTTGATAGTGTATGTATTTTTGATAGTGTAGGCATACCAACGGGTCAACCCGTCTCCCAATAAATTCCTATTAGCGTTTACACGATAGCCGGGTCAATTTACCAATCTGGGGCACCCTTCTCAAGACTCTGGTCGACCTTGGTTAGCGTTGAATTTAGCTCATTTCTTCATGTAAACCCGGGTTGCCTTGTCTTTTACTTTATTTTCGAGCCAGCCCGGGCTGAGAATTGCTGACCCGGATTGAAAAATCAGTTCTAACCCTGGTTCGTGTAAACATAACCACCTATCGCAGTTTGACCCGAGTTAAATATCAACCCTTGGCTCGTGTAAACCGGGCCATACTCTGCCCATGACCCCATAATTTAATAATTAATTCTAAGTTGTAATTTATGCTTCTGTGGCATAAATTTATCATTCAATTAAATTATTCGAAGAAAGTCTTTGCAATTTTGTGATTATCTACATCACACTTTATTAAATCAACCAGCTTTTAAGAGACTGAATTCCACAATGACGTCACGGTGACATTGCGGCTTTGGAAGTTTCCTTGGAAATGACTAGTCGGTCTAGTTCTAATCGAGTTTTTCTTTTACGCCTTTCTGTCGTTTGGAGGTTACGGTGACGTCGACACATTCTCGTGTCAGCGGATTTGCTATCGGAAAGGAAAGCAGTAAAGTCCATTCAGGTGTGTTTGCTTCAACGTTCTGAAATTTATCACCTCAGGTATTCCAGTCGTCAAATTTAATTAGATTTTTGGGCTTCAACCCAAAAATTCATTTGTTACGTCATTTACAATCGGAAGTCAATATTCATGACAACCGTCTTGACGTTCAAATTATTTTCGGTGTAAATTTCTGTTGAATAAGTGTTAATCATTGTGCTTTGTTGAATTATCAAACACTATGACGTAAGATGGTTAAAGAACATGCGCAGTGTGAGCTTTCCAAAAACCTACGAAGTATTTCAAACTTATTTTTTTCATGGTATTTTGGATGCACGAAGCAGTATCAGCTGTAAGAGTTTTGTTTACTTTGTTGCAAGTGCGATCTTGACGAATATCTAACGATACGTTAAAGATATTGATATAGAATGCAGTTATAAAGTACGCAATTCTCCAGTCATGTGTGAGATGCTTTATTTAGGCAATGAAAACCGTTTCACGGCTTCTGTAGCCTAATTGTAACTTGCAAAATATCAGCTCTTCGTGCCGCCGTAAACAAACCTTTTGTCTTGCAAATAATGTCGCAGCTGTCGCACAATTATTGATAAGGTTCTAATTATCAGTGATGGGCGAACATGCCGAACAGAAAAAATCGCTTGTTTTATTTCCGCACAGCATTTGGCACAATGCAATGCTATTGAACAACAGTTAATTGCAAGATGCTAACCAGATGTTCGTCTCAGTGAGAATTTTTTTTTTAATTTTATGAGTAAAGATTTCCGAAGCAAACCAATCAACGCGAAGTGGTCGAACGTGTCACGCAGTGGCGATTATAGTGATTATGTTTAAACAAACAACAAATTTTTCTTTTTAACAAAAATGTAAACGATGTTGAATTTATAAATTTGCGGGTACCAACAAAACCTCGAGTATTGTGTGTCAACAATCAGGAAATGACGTGCTACTATTAAGATATTTATATTGAGTGTAACCGACCAAGTCTCATTGAGTCTGCCGTCGACTGTGAGCGTGGCTGGGAGTCGAATACCAATACATTTGTCCTAATCAGTATTAAGTTTGATATTTCTAGCTTGGAGAATGTCGGGCGTTCAAGGTTACTATGTGGGATTGGTGAATTTTCAAAACAAGTATTTGACGGCCGAATCTTTCGGCTTTCAGGTAAACGCGAGCGGTGCGCATTTGAAGAAGAAACAAATGTGGCTTGTCGAACAGGACGCAAGTGACATTTATTTGAAAAGTCATCTTGGACGCTACTTGACGGCAGATAAAAATGGAAAACTTTCATGTGAGGCAGAAGAACGCGAAGATGACGCGAAGTTCTCTGTTACATATCAGGCGGATGGGAAGCTCGCGTTGAAAAGCAAACACGACAGATATCTCGGTGGTGAAAGCGATCAAATCGACGCATTCGCATTGTCAATCGGGAGATCCGAATCATGGACCCTTCAACTGGCCATTCATCCTCAGGTGAATTTAATGCACGTTGTACGAAAACGGTATGCGCACCTTGAATCGAACGAGATCCAAGTTTCCGAAGATATTCCGTGGGGTGGCGACGCTTTGATCACCCTGGAATTTAAGAATGGCCGATACTCGGTGCTTACGAGTGACTCGCGTTATCTCAATGCAGACGGTTCCTTGGAGGAGAAGCTCACGGAGAAGGGACAGTACGTTATCGAGTTTCACGAAGGTAGAGTTGCATTCCGCACGCACGAGGGCAAGTTTCTCACATGCGTCGGTAATAAAGGCAAGATTCAGTCGAGTAAGAAAAATGTAGCCGGAAGAGATGAGCATTTTGTACTTGTCGACAATCACCCGCAGTGTATGCTGACGGCTCAAAATGAGCGCATGGTGTCCATCAGGCAAGGTAAGCTTACAAGCTAAAATAGAAGTTGTGTGGGCACTTAAAATGAGTTTGTCACGCCCTTATACGATGACGCTTTGTGATACGATGCTTTTCCGCTACAGTGAAATGTATGTATGAACTGAATTTTGCAACCTGCAGACTTCGCATTCAAAAGGTGTTTTCGGTTTTCATTTGGGAAATTTTGTGCTCGTTCGATTGGCAAAAGAAAAGTTGAAAGACATGAAATATTGTTTCTTTGTTTCGATATTTAAATGAAGATGAACCCTCTTTCAGGAAGGAAACCACTTGACATACTTAGACAATGACACGGTCGACGTGCTATTTTCTTGCATTTTATGCGAAGGGAAATGTGTGGACTTTCTATATATTTATAAACACCAACCCAGGTTGTCTGTAGAAACAAAACAGACCGTGGTGTTATAGAACGTATGGCGTTTCACTACATGATATCGAGTGTGTTTCTTTAAAACATTCTTGGATATTAAAGCTCATTATGATACTTGACGGGTAAAATGTTGCTGGCACTTTTTATTTGTGGCTTTGGCTACAATAACAGCATTCATTCCAACAAATGCCAATTGTAAAATCATCAGACGTTTTCCACACTTAGAGAGAAGGATCCTACGTAAACCTTACGAATTCCACTTTCAATGTAGCGTTTAATATTTCTTCATTGATAATGCCTAGATTATTTTCAATAATATTTACACACGTTAAAACTTTCTTTCTTTGAATACAGTCCAAATCCGCTAATTGATTTTTTGATTGACTCCACGGCTTAGTCTTGAGCGGAAGGGTAAAAGTCAGATCAAATGGGGAGTGTGATCTTAGATGTAGAAAATCTTTGACAATCTTTCGATCGCCTTCGCTTTATAAGTCACATACAACACTTTCACATGACATAATTTAAAATGCGCTGTTCTTAGTTATTAGTATTTTCGCTTTTGTTCAGTTTGTACTGATAAGCTATTTGACGTTTACAATGAAAATAGTTTCGTGCTCGGACGAAACTGAAATTCAATAGTTATTACAACTCCATATTTGGTAATAGATTAAATATATATTATCATTAAAAAGTCTCTGTGTAAGCTGTTGGTCGTAAAGCCAACAAAACAGTTTGTGTTTGTCGTTATTCATGGGTCCCCAAAACTGACGTTTCATTTTCTAGTTTTGTGTAAAATGTGAACGTCCTGTCCACTCCTTCGTGTGTGAAGCACATTTTCAAGGGTCATTGCATAGGACTTAGTGTGTATGATTTTCTCATTGGTTCGTTCAGACAATGCTGATTAGCACTAATGAGTCACTTTCTGAATTTATCTTAACGTATTGTACGTCATCGCAAACCTGAACGTGCAGACATAGTTTTTTGTTTTTTCCTATTTTCATGCTTAGTTCAAGTTTAATCATATTTTTCTTGCTATATTGTGGTCACTGAAGCAAAATGCTATTCGTGAGCTAGGAGGAAAATACAAAAAGATGATTTTTTTACTGAGTTTCTTTTGTTTTACTTTGCGCAAATGTGGAATGATGTACTTGTCTTCGTCTTTATCTCAAAGTGTTAAGTGCGAGACTAAGTTTTTTGTTTCGTTGTTTTTTCTTCGCTTAATTCAAAAGGGAAAAATATCTTTGTAGGAAACGAAGTTACAGCAAATCAAAGATTCGATACAACTGACAAGGAAATTTTCCAAATGGAATTTGACCCAAAAAGACCTGGCAAAGTTTGCATGCTTGCTAACACGCGAGAGTATTGGGTGGCTAACGGCGATGTGAAGGCCAGCTCTTCCAAACGTGTAGATGCTGCGTTTTTTGGAATCGATTGGCATGGTAGTCACGTGAGTTTCCAAGCAGCCAGTGGCAGCTACGTCACCATTAAACCCAATGGAAAACTTGCTCCAAGCGCGGACTCTATTGGAGAAAAAGAGAAGTTTCTCTTGCAACTCGTCAACAGGTCATTGCTGATTCTTCGTGGTGAGCATGGTTTTGTTGGCATGCGAGGTCCGACCACGGCACGTCTCGAATGCAACCGAAGCTCGTACGAAGTATTCAAACTACATTTTGAAGATGGGAAATACAAACTTGAGGGTAGAAACGGCAAGTTTGCTAAAATCGACGGCGAGTTGAATGTGAATTTAAGTGGTAGCTCCGACGATTGCACGACCTTCTATTTGGAGTTCCGGGAACATACGAAGATGTGCATTAAGGCAGACAACGGCATGTATTTAAAAGGTGAAAGCAATGGAGCGTTTACGGCAAATGGCGAGTCACCGGATAAAAGTACCTTGTGGGAGTACTAAGAAAGTCGTAAAATTGAAGTTCTTCGGCGTGCCATCCAATTAAATACATTTTGCTCCGTAAATTTTAATGAACTGCCAGTAAAATTTTAAGAAAATTTTGCTGGAACGCTGAATATAATATTCTTGCAAGTTGAAAAATAATTTTGCAATTCTCGAAGCCTGTTTTCAAAAAAATTTTGACTGATCATAAACGAGAATTAAGTTAAGAATTATAAAAGCACTAATTGAAGATGTGACTTTTCGTAGGAAAGCCTGATTATTTACTGTAATATTTAGATTAAGTGTATAATTTCTCGTTAAAAAAATTTTTAAAAATCAAAATAAACTGATTAAAGTTTTAGGTGTCTCATTTGCATAAATCGCGGCAAAGCTATGACTTATGCAACGTCATGATAAGCAAAGGAGGGTGTGTTTAAATTTTCGCAGTCGATGGAATCATGGCGGTCGTCTATGAAATGGCAAAATGAAAAGAATATCGCTATTATTTTGGCTTTAATACAACATTCGTATTACGAAAAACAGGGTAAAGCACAGCAACACAGTGGTTGTTATTTTCAGGTTGGGTCAGTGTGCAAATACTTGTTTAAAGATTCTGTTTTCGTTGAAAGTTTTTATCCAAGCTCGTGTGATTTGTGTTATGTTTAACATTTAGAAATGCATATTTGCTGTGTAATTTCTGAAAGTTGGAAGATACATCATCCAGCTTTGAGTAAATAAAAACGAACACGGGAAGACAGGCTAAACTCAAGGTGAGAATCTTTTAAACAGTTCGTATGTTGACTGCTGTAACCGTAATAAGTGCTGCTATTTGAAATGTGTCGTGAAGTCCTAAGTGCTTTCTCGTAAATTTGATGAAAACGGACGGCTAGCAAGTTTTTCAACAAAACTATAAGTCCAGATAGTTCTCGAATAGTAATTTCGGCTGGGTGGGATGAAAACAAATTCTTCTCAACTTTAGTTATCGCAGAGAAATGTCCAATTTTTTTTCAAAAAGTCGCTACACCTCTCGTCTCTTCTGCAACATATATAGCCATCGTTTCGTTATAGTTAATTATTCTCTTATTTGTACATAAGTTAAAATCCTTATAATACAACTTCAATACTTAGTAATAAAAATAGTCTTTTGTCATATTTACACTGCATTGAACTTATTGTAATCCATTGATTTCCTATCTCTTATAATTAATTAGTTCACATATCTTCTTTAATCTTTTCATAATCTAAATTCGGGCAGCGTGCATCCTTAACTATCTAATCTTGTGTTTGCCTTGTGACAATAAATAAAGCAAAGAATTTGTAGAAGACTATCTCTGATCTAGTTGACATAGATGACATCAAATGCCGATTACTTGTTCAATTTCGTTGGTCTCTGTGTGCAATGTCCTCGTTGCTTTTACAGCAATATAAAATATCCATTCTTGGTTGTCTCTTCCTATTGATGCAAGCTACATGAGATAAAGCGGTGCGTTGTTTAGGAAGAGCAAAGTTTCAACCACTCACAAATGAAATGAGGTGCGTTAAAGTCAAATCATTTCACAAAACCGAAATCAACGCACGATGATTTCATGCGTTATATTGTTGATGGAATCAATGGTACAACAAGGACGTAATTGGAGTAAAAATGGATGAAGTACGATGTGTTAGCCAGACAATTCATTCCACTAAACCGAAATCAACGCGCGATGATTTCATACCTTATATTTGTGATGGAATCAATGGTACAACTATCGGACTGCGGTCTGGTAAAGGTATCACAAAATGAGACGCTCGCCGACCAAAACAATATTTCCAATTTATATACTGTGGTTTTTCACAGTTACAAAAATAACAAAATCCACTGTTAAAATTGCTAAACAAGTAAATGGTTTAACCCAGAGTATCGTTACATGAGGAGTAACATGTTGACTCTGAAAATGACCATGGCAAAGAATGTTGAAAGGTCTTCGAAAACCAACACCAACAGTCTATTTCACGACTGCACTAAAGTGGACAATCTACATGTGCAAACTTAGAACAAGTTTCGGTGTAAATTTTCACCAGTTTCGTACCAGTCAAAAGCTACTAACGAGTGGCCGAAAACAAAAACGTAGTAGTAATTGATTTTTTTTGTCCATCATATCGTAAAAAATTTTTATCCTCTCACCCCCCCCCCATTTTATCAAGTATTGACCATATTTTACCTTCATTGTCTTTTTTAAAAGTCGCGATCCCATCCTGTCATATCATCGATAGGAACGTCGTCATCGGGGGGATAGTCGTCGAAATTTGACGCATCTGTTGCAGATTTTACCTGCAGTTTGCAAAGATTAGTTTAGTTGAGTTCTGGCTTATTTGCTCAATATAAATACGTCTAGTGTCTTTCATTCGAACTTGTCAAGCACAGCTATCTTTTGAATAACTAGGCCTAATCAATGTACCAGTCAAAGGTTTCACTTGCAAACATTAGTTGTCAATCGCTCTCGTGTTTCGTATATATAGGCCTTGTCCACACGTATCCGGAGATTTTTTTCTCCCTGTTTGAAAAAAACTGCGTCCGCACGTGTCGTTTTCAAATCGTATTTACCTTCCATATGAATACGCTAAATCGCCAAAATATGCCTGAAAGAGCACCAACCATTAGAGTTTGTGGCCTGGATCCTAGTTCTGATGCTATCGTATTCGAAAATCTCCGTTTTGAGCTGTCCACACGTATTCGACTTGCCTGCGTTTTCAAAAATATACAGTCTGAAGAGCGTATTCAAAAACTTCCGTATTTGTCAATGAAAACGCCGGATACGTGTGAACAGAAGGCCATAACGGAGAAAAAACCTTCGTTTTTGAAAATACCCGGCTACGTGTGGAAAAGGCCATAGTTTTCTCCACTATCTCACACGTCTGTTAATGGTATTGCATCTTTGATATCTATAACTACTTACCTTTGGTATTATCGGTGGTGTGAGCTTTCCCTGTCTTAATCCTTCCCAGTTAAAACCATCAAACCATCTGTGCTTCATTATATCTTTCAGACCTCCTTTCTGGTAGCCTAACCTCTCGGCAGGGTTGTCCCTTTCGTAAATCACACAAAAAATGACTGATTAAGTCATTGCCTTACAGTCGAAACCCGTGTGGCTTCAATAAGAGATTGTGTCACAGTTCGTAGGAAGATTAAGCGGTTAACCAAAGGTTGTGTTCTTTTTCCTTTCTTAAGTTAAAAGCTGGTCATCGAGTATGTTATTTTCTTGCAACTAAGAGCTGGTCATTGAGTATGTTATTTTCTTGCAACTAAGAGCAGGTCATTGAGTATGTTATTTTCTTGCAACTAAGAGCTGGTCATTGAGTATTATATTTTCTTGCAACTAAGAGCTGGTCATTGAGTATGTTATTTTCTTGCAACTAAGAGCAGGTCATTGAGTACGTTATTTTCTTGCAACTAAGAGCTGGTCATTGAGTATGTTATTTTCTTGCAACTAAGAGCTGGTCATTGAGTATGTTATTTTCTTGCAACTAAGAGCTGGTCATTGAGTATGTTATTTTCTTGCAACTAAGAGCTGGTCATTGAGTATGTTATTTTCTTGCAACTAAGAGCAGGTCATTGAGTACGTTATTTTCTTGCAACTAAGAGCAGGTCATTGAGTATGTTATTTTCTTGCAACTAAGAGCTGGTCATTGAGTATGTTATTTTCTTGCAACTAAGAGCAGGTCATTGAGTATGTTATTTTCTTGCAACTAAGAGCTGGTCATTGAGTATGTTATTTTCTTGCAACTAAGAGCTGGTCATTGAGTATGTTATTTTCTTGCAACTAAGAGCTGGTCATTGAGTATGTTATTTTCTTGCAACTAAGAGCTGGTCATTGAGTAGTTATTTTCTTGCAACTAAGAGCAGGTCATTGAGTACGTTATTTTCTTGCAACTAAGAGCAGGTCATTGAGTATGTTATTTTCTTGCAACTAAGAGCAGGTCATTGAGTATGTTATTTCCTTGCAACTAAGAGCCAGTCATTGAGTATGTTACTTTCTTGCAACTAAGAGCTGGTCAGGCTAGACTTCCGTTAACAGGATCATATCTTCTTGCAATACTTGTCGCTGATTTAATGTCATCTTCCTGCAAGTGAGAGCTGGTCATGGTTGACAATTGTTAACGGTGACTTACCTTCATGTAACTAAAAGATAGTCAAGCAATACTTTTGTGGAATGGTGTCTAATCCTGAAGTAAGTCGCTAGTTAAAGCTAGACTGTCGTTAACAATATCTTATCTTCTCGCAACTAAAAACTAGTCAAGCTATTTTTTTGTGGATTAATATCCGTCATCCTGGACTAAACAGCTAGTGAAGCTGGCGTATATATTTATGTTAGCTTGACAAGATCGATCCGTCCACGAATATTAATTAAAAAATACCTGCAGAGCTTCTTGATAAGCACGTGAGCGTTTCTCGTAATCTTTCGTGGAAACTCGATCATATCCATTCCACGTAAGATGATGTTGTAAGTCTTCATGGGATCCGCTCCACAAAACGGTGGACTAAATGAAACAAGCAAAATTTCCTGGTAACAATACGACTTGCTATTGACATCGTGCAATTGTAGCTACCTTCCGGTCAAGAGCTCGTACATGAGTATACCAAGTGACCAGTAGTCGGCTGACAAATCGTGGCCCTTCATGTAAAGGAAAGCATATAACTATAAGTTACCAGGCGTGTAGGCTTGGACGTTCTCACGTCTATTATTCTGGTTTCTAGTGAACTGGAGTGACTAAAAGTAGTAAACTGTCACCTTATTCAAGATGATCTCGGGTGCAACATATTCCGGTGTGCCACAAAACGTCCATGTTTTACGACCGAAGCCAATCTTCTTTGCGAAACCAAAGTCAACCTTGACATCGTTGAACATGAGAATATGTTACATTTAGTTCAGTTGCATCACAGACCAAAACTAAAACTGTCACTCGCTTTAAACTTTTGCAGAAAAAAAAGAAAACACCCACCAATTTACAATAACCTTTGTTATCGAGAAGAAGATTTTCCGGCTACAAACGAGACGTAGGAAGCGACGTAAGGTTAAAGTGATAAAGTTAAAGTGCATATGAAATGAAACATTAAACCATCATCCAAGTGTTCGTCACGACGTCATGTTTACCTTCAGATCCCTGTAAACAATTCCGTTGGAATGAAGATAGCTGAATGCTTCCAACACACAGGCAACATAAAACCTGCATGTGCTGTCATCAAACGACGATCTGCAATGCATGAAAATAATGAAGTTTAAATGTTGCTCTTTTCTTCTACATACATCCAACGTGTACAATACTAATTTTACAAGAAGGTCAAAACAGAAAAAAAATGACATCCCCCCTCCCGTCTACGGCTATAAACATGGATTTAAACTGGAGTCGAATTGACGTAATGATGGAAATCAATGACTGTTTTTCTTACATATTCCGAAGCACAGTCCATAATTCACCGCCTAAACAGGTTTCTAACAGCATGTACAAATACTTGTTATCCTTAAATGACATCCCCCCTCCCGTCTACGGCTATAAACATGGATTTAAACTGGAGTCGCATTGGCGTAATGATGGAAATCAATGACTGTTTTTCTTACATATCCCGAAGCACAGTCCATAATTCACCGCCTAAACAGGTTTCTAACAGCATGTACAAATACTTGTTATCCTTAAATGACATCCCCCCCTCCCGTCTACGGCTATAAACATGGATTTAAACTGGAGTCGCATTGACGTAATGGTGGAAATCAATGACTGTTTTTCTTACATATCCCGAAGCACAGTCCATAATTCACCGCCTAAACAGGTTTCTAACAGCATGTACAAATACTTGTTATCCTTAAATGACATCCCCCCTCCCGTCTACGGCTATAAACATGGATTTAAACTGGAGTCGCATTGACATAATGGTGGAAATCAATGACTGTTTTTCTTACTTATCCCGAAGCACAGTCCATAATTCACCGCCTAAACAGGTTTCTAACAGCATGTACAAATACTTGTTATCCTTAAATGTCTTGTACAGCCTAAAGAGAAGCAAAGAAATGGAAAGTTCTGTTAATTGTAGATTATTCATGGCCAGCCTTTTGGATGGTTAGCACAATCTTGTAGAATCTTCATGAAATTCATAATTTATCGTGTAGCATGGTTCTTTTCTGACTACCGGTCACCATGAAGAAATCACGTATCCTAAAATCTTGGATTTTACACTTCCCTCGCCAAACTACAAACGGAGAACCCACCTTACTATAAACGGAGATTGTGCTTCAAACATGATCCTTTTCTCCGACATGATGTGGTCTTGTTGTCGTGTTTCCACTATGTGATGCTTTTTCAGTTGTTTTAACGCGAACGTCCTTTTGTCTTTGGTTGATTTCACCTGGAAAAAAAAGTCTTATTTTGAGATCAGTGGTCAGTGGCTATTTCAAAAGCTGGCATGTAAAATATACCAGCTCAACTCTTCCAAATCCTCCAACGCCGAGTGTTTTTATCACTGTTAAATCTTCCAGATGAATGTGGGCGTACTCGCTCTCTTGTTCTCGGAGTTTTCTATGAAAACAACACAGGTGATTTCTCCAAATATTTACAAGGATGATGATCATTTGTGAAGATAATTTTTCATTGTCAAATGTATGTGATGTTATAAAATAGAATCACCATGCTATCTCTAATCACACCATAGATTGTTTTAATTAAAACATGGAATGCTCTAATTTAACAATTGATTATTCTAAATGAATCCTACATTCGTGATCTAATTATCGCTTCATCTAATCGAAATATCAGTTGTTCTAATTTTACGGAGAATTGTTCTAATTTGTCCACAAACTGTTCAAATGTAACAACCATTTGTTCTAATCTAACTCAAAATTGTCTTAATTGAACGACTGATTGTTCTGTGTATGCCAATTGTTGATCATCAATATAAATATTACTCACTCTAATTTAACTGAGGCTGGTGTTTCAGTTTTGTCGTCGTATTCCTTGAATTGTAGACCATTGATAAACTGACTGTACGCCCTTTGAAAAAAGTTCATTTTACGTTAGATATAAAATGTTGTTATTGCAATGTAAGAAGATTATATAAGTCATTACTCTCTATCCAAAACCAAACAATGCGTTCCCCCTTTTCCAGCGATACAATTGGCGGTACGAAAATCATCACTAAAATAAGAAAAGAAAAACTAGATTATTTCAAATACGAATAAAATCCCACAGCCTTTGAGCTACTATGATAGAATGACAACGGAACCTTAAATGGAACTTTCATTGAATTAAAAGCAAAGGACCCTTAAGTGACCAACGACGAAACCACCAGTCAAGAAATCAGTTAATATTAATTGGTAATATGTAAAATGGAACTTTCATTGAATTAAAAGCAAAGGATCCTTAAGTAACCAATGACGAAACCACCAGTCAAGAAATCAGTTAATATTAATTGGTAATATGTAAAATGGAACTTTCATTGAATTAAAAGCAAAGGACCCTTAAGTGACCAACGACAAAACCACCAATCCAAAAATCAGTTAATATTAACAGATAATATATATTTGTTTTTCTATTGTTACCCTTTGAGAGCTTTCTCTCCGAAGTATTCACCCGACGTCATCTCTCTTATCATTGTCGGCTCATCATGGACATTCTGACGCATCGTGACTATGATCTATGAAGGTAATAAGAAAAATATCATTAACCATAACCTATGATATACCTCTACAAACACTCCACATCCACAAATAACATATGGTGATCCTGTTATTCCCTCTTCCCGGAAATGGATTTGAAAATTATCTATCAGTGCTGGATTTCTCATATCATAATCGAGTTGTCCACGCTATCAAATTACACCTATTACCCATTTCAACCCTGTTGTGTACTCACCGTTCCCTTTTTGATGATAAAGAATGTTTCGCCGCGGGCACCTTGTCGAATAACGTATTCACCTTCATCATAATGCTGTTCGTCTATTACGTCGGCGATTTTGTGCAATGCATCTTCCCCGAGCTCTTTCAACAGTGGAACACTGCAACGACCAGCAGACAATGAAGACCTTCCATTCGAATCGAATGCGCATGCTCACATATTCATGCGCAACGTAAGAAAACTGACCTCTTTAAGAATTCCATATGTTCCGCTTGACGCATGAGTCCAGTCTTCATCATGATTGTTTGAAATGTCTGACGATTTATCACCCATAGTGACGCATTAATAGTGGCTAGTAGGAAAGGAGAAGTATTCGTTTCGTTGAGTATGTTTAAACCTCTCCTACATAAGTCATCGGACTTGTAAGATTTCTTTTTGAAAAAAGCGATGCTTTATGCAGGCTACGGTACCTTTAACCGTGGCAGTTCTTGTACAGTTATATAAAATCGCCAACTCTCCAAAGGCCTTTCCCGGCCCCATGTTTCCAAGCAACTGTCCTTCTTTCGACACAACACATTTCCCATCTAAATTCGACCGAATTCAAAAAAAAAGCATTGATTGGATAATTTCTTAGAGAAAAGCAACTATTTAGCAGGAAACTTTATATAATGAGGGGGGGGGGGCATCGTACAAATGCACGTAAAATGATAATGTTCTATTAATGCATGTTGGGGGGGAGGCGTTGCCTCTCGTTTTAAAAAATTGTGAGAGAGTCCATTTGCCTTCTTCCTCCCCTTCCCACGACCTTGGTTGGTACGGGGGAAGGGTGACTTTAAACGACGCTCACTATATACGACAATACCTTCTAATACGTAAAGATGTGATCCAGTGTCACCCTCCTGTATTATAACTTCATCTTTCTTGAACGTTTTCTCGTACATGCACTCAACAACTTCACGAATTTGCGATGCCTCGAGATTTTTGAGAAAGTCATTGTCGAGAATCGCTTCTTTAATCAATTCTTTCGACCTAAATAACAAGTGCAAATCTGGAACTTAAGTTCATAAGATACGATTTGAGATCAATGGACAAATACAAGTATTATGCGTGAAACAAATTGAGTTATACACTCGAGTTATACAACTTTTTAAATTCATGTGAATTGAACAATTTCAATATACGAGTTGGTTTTGTTGCAATTTTGCTACGCATGTATGTATGCATAATCAATTTATATCTACCATTAATTTGACACAAAAAACAATTTCGAAATTCTAATTGAAAATTTCGATAGCGTATACACTCGATTAAAAAGCTATATCTTTGAGACATCAACAAACAATGGCTTTGTCAAGATGTCAATTTTTTTAACATTTTTATTTAGGAGATCAAGCTGTGACCGAGTGTGATAAATCCTTGTAATGTCATTTAAGTGAGAGCTCCTACTGCAAAACATACACTCGAACGTGTGAGATGAATTTTCAAGCTGTGTCTAAGAGGACTGCGAGGGTGGGTAGACAAAAGACTTTTCCATCCGTATAATAAGTTTAAAAAAACGAAAATTCCTTGTTACATTTCGTAAAAAATATCCGTGAGTATGTTATTATAATTTAATGTAACGAACGAGGCTGTTTGTCATTTTGCGGTGCGCGCTTCATAGTAACAATGTGCAGAATTCTCGACTACATTGCATGCCTTGCATGCAATTTTAGACAAATCTTGCACGCTCAGAGAATTGTCTTGTCATTGATGTGTGAATGACTAAAAAGCCTGCAAAAGTTTCCTTGTGTAAGCAATGCGTGTTTGGGACTGCACAGTCGATTTCTCACATGTTGTTAAACATAGTGGTTTATTATCCTTTTATGTGGGCAATAATGAAAGTAACAAGCAGGCTTTGGTTCACCTATGTTTTGTGGTTAACGATGGACGAGCAAAGAAATTAAAATAATTTGTTACATGTTCATCTTGTTCACAAAGCAGCGACTTTCGTACCATCATGATTTATAATACTAGGAAACAATAATTTTCCAGTGAGAAATATGTTTCGCTCGAATAGTGGTCTTTCTATTTCGTACTCAAACACGAAGCTATTACGCAAAAAGGCTTATACTTTTGTATCAGACAAATTCGGTGGTGTTGAAAGATAAATCTGACAAAAAACGCTTAACTTCTAAATACCATAAAACTGACACGAGAAACTTCGGTGTCTGCAATATTGCACAGACATTTTAATGGTCTATTTTTGAGAACAACATACTTGTAAAGCATGCAAAGGCAAGGTCTCGATTTTATTTTTTTTTGCCCACTTTATCTTGCCACAAGGGACAGGTGTTTATTTACGTACGATAGACCGAGGTAGTTCCTTTTATAAATTGCACGTAAATCGCCCTACCGTGCGTTTTATTAAATTGTGCATTTTGTTGGCCGGATTTTGCGTGCAGATGATTTTTGCTCGATACTACTCGAACAATTAAGTACAACAACAATGACTTGTCAACCGAGCTCCGTTTCAGCATTCTCGCAAATAAAACCAGCAAATCTCGAATGTTTTCGAGCGAAATGCATAGGTAACATTGGGGTCTGTATTTATTTCGTCCTTAAACTGCATAGTGACATAAAAAAGACATAATTGAATGTTCACTGTGTAAGGCAGGAAAAGCCGACAAATTCTCTTTGAAATATTTAATGACTCAGCATTGTGAGGATGCTATTGTTTCATTGAAATCAAATCCCTTCATAATACTTGTATACGATAATATTGTGTGCTATAATTGCTACAAACAAATCCAGAAACACGAATAATAATAATGCAGTGTTGGTCTTCAGAGATCGATATGCTGGGAGATCGAAGTCAAGGATAGTCTTGTTATGGGATTTTCATTCGAAATATAAAACGCATGGACTTCTAAAATTTATCTTATTTCTTAATGTACATTCACAAAATCGAACAATGAAAAATTATGGGCTCATTAATTGCCTGCCATGAAGTTTGAACCCATCACGCTTAACTAAAAATGAAAGCTCTGGTTTCATACTACATGCCAATGCAGTGAACGAGACCGATCTTTTGTTTAATTGAACGATTTGCAAGCCCATCCAAATGAACGCAAGTTAACACATGTAGCGCTAGTGTAGCTTTGCGTATAAGTTTCTATGTTGTTGGTATATTCAAAGAAACATTGCAATTTATACAACGCCGTGCATGTAGACAATTGTGGAAAATGTACTCCGATCACTTTTGTACATGTTCACGGTAAATTCCAAATATTTTAATTATGCAGAGTAAGATATTGAACGTTAATGATAAATGGCAATTCATATATAACGATCGTCGCATGAAATGCTGCTGCTTTAGCCCCCTATAAGCACACAATCAAAATATTAAAGTTAAAGCTGTTATGAGTTTGCATTTCATATAATACAAGTAAGATTTGATGCTAAATACGGATGAACACAACTCGTGAATGCCTATCGAGTGACTTTCGCCTCAACATCTTGCACATTTTGCCCTGATTAAACGGAGAAAGATGCTGTGCGCCCGTGTACATTTTCCGAGCTTGCTAAACAAAAGTTCACGTTATCTGGACAGGATTAGTTTCAGTCAATACATAACCCGTGTGGCTTTCTTAATTTGCCAATTCCGATTAGAATATATTATCTAGTTTCGGTTATAAAGGTTTCTTTCGTGTCTCAAATGGCCGTCATTTAATCGAAGCCGTTTCATTATCTACGGCGACGGCGACGACGCTTTTCTACATAAACACGTAGGCCGGACATCGTCGTGATGTTTTGAAATCTTTACGTATGTTTAAATATAATAGCTTGCCTGAGAGACTTGTCATGATGGTCTAATGATGCTGTTCGCTTTGATATCCTTTCTTCGATGTGTTTGGCGAACGTCGGCTCCGCTGATATTCCAAGCCTTGGCAACCGGGATTTAGGAACATTCGTGGTCGTTGGTTTAAGAACGGAACGGTATTTATCCAATTCCGATTCGATCTTACGGATCTGCTCGTCCTTACGTTTCAACTCGGATTCCAACACTTGAATGCGGTTTTCCTTTATTTGCAATTCCTTATCCCTTTCACTTAGCGCCGCCTGCAGGTCACGGACGTTCGCCATCTTTGTGTGATCTTTACTGCGGGCGAACATGTTTCTATTATGGCGTTTATATGCCTAGAATGGTCAATTTTCATCGGCTCATATGTACTTACTTACATTGAAGGCAGATTATCCGCCGTCGCATCGCGATGCACTATGGGCCAAGTGAACCGGCGCATTAAAACCATTGATTAAAACACCAAGACGCTATCATGAGGATATGAAAGACTGAAGCTGCTTACGCCACTGTTGATTACCAAAAATCGTTGTGCACTTGTTGTACGACTTTGCTTGTCACGTGGATGATTGGGTACAATATTATTTTCGTTGGTAAAAATCGCGATGTACACGCACCGTGACAAACCGGACAATGAGGGTTGTGAAAGGATTCCATCTAGAAATGTCGTTTTTTGTCGACAACGAGTTTTGTAAAATTGTTAAAATTGTTAAAAGATTATATGAAAACGTCGAATGCATTTTCAAACATCATGTACATTCGATATAAATGTTGTCGTTGGTTGGCTGTGCAACAGCTCGCTGATATTTTGCACAAAGATCGATGCGAGACTCCAATATCAAGCCCGAACGTATGTTCGTACGATAAAGCCGTAAGTTTTCACACCTCCACCTGATGTTTACACACGTCAATGCAGTGCGAACTTTTTCAGTTCTACTTTCCTGTCTGCGAATGAAAAAATACGGCAATTTCCACTATAGACATTAGGTGGCAAACAAACGTAGGTTATGTTAACAAATGCTCCTTAAAATTGCTCAGGTGTTGTAAGAATGTATATATATAACATTAGGAAATGTTTATTCGCCACCAATTGCACCGCCTTCGCTTTCCCACGTCGGCCGTTGGCGTATCAAACTGCCTCTCAATGTTTAAGTACATTGAGAGAGGCATAGATCAAGTACGTAAACAGGTGACATTGCTATAAATAGTTTCTTAATATTAATAAACCGTGACGATATCACATACGATTATTGTGGCGAAGGTAACGTTCAGTACGAAGTGGTAACAGACATTTTTTCGTCCACGCTGCAAGAAATTCAAGAGTTCGGAATGAATTTGAGGTGTTGCAAATGCTTGAAAAAAGGAGGGTTTGCTTCAGTTGTCAAGGGGACTTTTTATTACATACATCGTTTAAATAGACGGTAATTTGGTCATGTGAAAGAAATTTTGTACGTCATTTGGAAATGCTTTATATACGCTTAGGTACATATTAAATTGGACGATTGTCTCTATGCGATCAAAAGAAATCATTTGAATCCGAAAAGTATACTGTTTAATCGCAAAATTACTCGAGAAGAGAAGTTCCTTTCTGGATTGAATCATGGTAATATTGTAAGGTAAAAAGAAATTTACTACCCAAAATGAATCAAAATTTTATAACACAAGGGTTGAAAGCGAGGTTCAATTTAGACGATACAAATTGCTTGGCTTGTTAAATGTTATCTTTATAAAGACTATTATAAAAACGTAGATAATACCTTCTTTCCATGAAGCCCATGGATGATTTTGTTCATGATGAGAGAATTATATTGTATAAGGAGGCTTTCGTTCGTCACGAGAGAGTTATGAGAAAGCTACATAGTAAAAGGTAACATGTAAAAAACTTATAAGCATGTTTAGAGTTGGTTTAAATTATAAGTCAAAGAGGCAGAAGTATTTTGATTCTTTGCAGAATCCTTCGATGTTCTAGTTTCTTTTATAAAGATAAACAAAAAGATAAAATTCAAAAGCAAAAAACCCCGTTTTCGGTTCATGCTTCCCGATACCTTGTTAAGCGCGAGGCACTAGAACGCCGCATGTTGCCGTTTCGGTAGGAGATTTCGGCCCCTCCACGCTATCCTACTTGAGAGATGCCAATAGCAAGTTTCCGCCCATCAGACACCGAGATCACCTGCGATAGGCTTTGCTCGGGGTACGCAGGGAGAGTGCGGTCGCGATCGAAGTCTGGGCCCCTAAGCCACTGCATACCTAATCGCACACAGCTTCCACTGCTGGTTGACATGTACTATATGAATTTTTAGATTTATGTATATATATATATACATAAATTCAAAGGCTTACGAAAGTTGTGGTATTATAATTATATTAGTTGTGGTATTATATTATATTAGTTGTGGTATTATAATTATATTGAGACTAAGTGAGCTAATTACCACAAATGTAGAGCAAATACATATAGTTAGTCGTTTCCATGACTATGAACAACTAGTCGAGGGGACTGCGCTTGCGCAGCTAATTTCTCTATTAAATTGTTAATAAGCACGCTATTTCAAAATCGGTGCTAGTAGATGAAGTTGGTCGTTGTAATGACCATGAACCATGACCATGACCATAAACTTGTGCAGCTAACCAATTCGACTGTGCGTGCGCAGATTATTTAGCTGAAAATTTGTGACTGAGCTAGCTAATTGCTCTATATAATGGGCATTTGTTTTTGGCATGCTGTTTGTCTTCTTAAGCTTCTTTTGACAAATGCATATCAAACTCACCAACACTTTGTTACGCCACTCGTAGTATCCGTGCCAATGTTAGAGTTATTTCTATTTTTCTCCGTAATTTTGTATCTGCATGTTTTGTGCTTAGACGATGCTCTATTCATGAGAGATGTTATAATTCGTGGATTGATGTGGAAGAAATAACTGAAAATGAAACTTCCAACAGTGAAACAAAATCAAGCATGACAGAGGAGAAAAAACGACGCAAGATTGAAGATGACGTCATGAAATTGAACGTAGTTGAAGCACCTAGCGTACCCTCGAGAGTTTTGGATGAGGGCTCGTGGACCAATGGAAACACGAATGATTCCAAACATGTTGACGACGATAAAAGCTCTAGCGAGGACGAGGCTCCAATACAAAAACAACCATTAATAACACCGAGTCTTCTGAAGATATGCTCAAAAGAAATATCGCTGTATCACATATACAGTTTAGAAGCTCTTTGGCTCACATAGTATATAGTAGTGGGAACTCTTCATGATGTTGCTGAAGATATGTAAAAATAATTACCAGCGTCTTTCCTTTAAGACGAGGCATCTGATTTGAAAGCGAAGAGGAAGCACTCGCCACAAGAGTTTGACAGAAGATTCAAAGTGTACTTTGCAAACCCTTGTTATATACAGATGAAGTATTGTGAGAAGAGAACTCTATAAAATGTTATTGACAAGGGATATTGCAAAGACCAACAGAGAAAATGTGGCGACTTCTCCGCGAGATTGTAGAAGGATTAGTTCACGTTCATTCACAGGTAGATACTTTCGATTATTTTATGTGTTAACTGTATGTATGTGTAACTAAACATGAAAAAAATGTGAACAATTTTCGTTTAGTTCAATAAATATATATGAAGACTTATTATTTGCTATCTTTCTCTCATTTTTGCCAATAAATCAGGGTATGATTCAAGTAAACGCGTTTCGACATTTTTTGTTTTCTATTGTTATATCTTTTAGGGGTTTTCTTCAAAATGTCAACTAATGTCAAGGAAAAAAAGGTTGGTCTTTGGATGAATTAAAAAGCTCTTTTTGGATATCTAAGTTCCTTTTCATTGAATGGCAGTGTTATGAAGAAAGTTATCCTTCTCGGAATATGTGCTTATCAATTGTAATACGAAAGAATGTTTTATGCAGTGCGGTGTTTGAAATTAAATGAAGATATGATCTTCGCACTTTGTTGGACAATTTAAGCAATTGTCTCATGAACCTGAAAAATTCAGGTGACTCAACGGGATCCCGTTGAAAAACAAGCATGAAAGCGACGAAGAATTTATGGCTACTGTCTTTTAATGTCATATACTTTGTACAGATGTCTGTTTCCGGAGAACAGTAACCAATGCTTATCACAGCAGCTTCTTGGCTGTCTCTATGCGATCAAAAGAATTTATTTGAATCCGAAAAATGTTCTCTTAAAACGTAAAATTGCTCGAGAAGAGAAGTTCCTTTCTAGATTGAATCATCAAAATATTGTAAGGTAAAAAGAAATTTACTATCCAAAATGAATCAAAATTTTATAACATAAGGGTTGAAAGCGAGAATCAATTTAGCCAATACAAATTGCTTGGCTTATTAAATGTTATCTTTGTAGAAACTATTTTAAAAACGTAGATATTCCCTTTTTTCCATAAAGCCCATGGATGCTTTCGTTCGAGATTAAAGAGTTAAATTGTTTAAGCGAGCTAATTACTCCATAATCTGTACCAGTACATACAGTTGGTCGTTGCCATGACCTTGAACTTGGACAGTTAGTGGAGTTTATTACACATGCTCAGATTAATTCTTAATAAACCGAGCAAGCTCTGAAATTGGTGGGGATAGCTTCAAGATTTGTTTACCACAAATGTGGAGTTGCTTGTTCCAGTTTATTCCAAAGCCATCATCAGAGAATTTATATTGTTCCAGTTTTATTTCGAGATCAGTGGTTGCGCTTTCTAATATTATTACGTCCAGGTAATTACTATACAGGTCAGTGGCAGTGGCAGTGATAAATTTCTAAAGCACAACCGTGTGCATTTCCTAAATCCCCTTTTCCATTTCAGTACTGTTTTATCTAGGTTTATAATGACACGACAGCTTTCATTGACTTGTAGTGGACACACAAGACCTGTCGTTCATCTCTCGTTCTCAGACAACACATCGTACGGCTACTTTCTTATAAGTGCTTGTAAAGGTGAGTGGCGGACTAAAAACACTTTTACAGCTTCTACTCGTGTCAATATAAATATTGCGATTCGTCGGATGTCAACCTTTCTTTTTTCATACATAAAGGAACGTGTACATTTGCCGTAGATTAAAGAAATTACTGTCTTAAAACAACGTGAATATATCTGTCAATTTTTTTAGTTTTGTGTGCCGAATAAATCTTCATTTTCAAGATAGTGGTTTAAAAAATAGTCAACAACATATAAACACGAGTCGACCACATATTAAAGTATTCAAAATTCCATGAAAAATGTACACGAGAGGTTAATACCATGTTTTCCCTAATGTCTGTAACCATTACCTATTGGATTAGTACTTTATTAATTAGTAGGATAAATTTGTGAAAGACAATGGCTGGTTGTATACAGAATGGAGTGTAGCAGTAATCATGCAGCTTGTGCTTTGTGAATGAATATGTTTTATATATTTTGCATATTTCCATTGCACATCTTATATTTTTAATATGAATTCATATACATAATGTATTTGCAATTGTTTTACAGATGGAAAACCTATGTTACGTCAAGGTGAAACAGGTGACTGGATTGGTACATTTGAGGGGCACAAAGGTGCAGTTTGGGAAGCCACTTTGAACAATGACGCAAGTAAAGCTGCTACTGCTGGAGCTGATTTTACTGCGTAAGGATTAAATCTCTATATATTGAAGTATATGCAGTGCACGAATTAACAGTGTGCAATGTGTAATTTGCACATCATTTTAGATAAAATGAAAACAATTGCACATCACTTTTTTAAACGATGTGGAAAAATAAGTGGTTTTAACGAAAAACACTGTCGTAAATCATATGAATTTGTTCACATTTAAAAATATTAATTTTGCATTTAGCGCTATATAATAATTAACGTAATATCGATTTGATTATGCCTCTAAAGAAACACTTTTGTCAAAAAAATTGCACATCGTTTTTTCTGAACTAATTTGCACACTGATATGATAGGTTCTCTACATATTCTTAATATATCTCTTTTTTTGCATTAGTATGAGTCTTTGATATATGATTGATGTAATAAACTATTATGTTTTACTATCAGCAATATGGTTGTTTTGAGGAATCAATTCCTGATTTTTAGCCTTTATAGAAATGTAAAGTTTGTGAATGTATATTCAAATGATCCTTTTGCTTCGTACTTTGGGATGTTTATTACGAACCTTGGTTGAAACTAGTGTAGTTCTTTTTCATAATTTCTTTCAAATGCAGGAAAGTATGGAATGCAATTAGTGGAGAGGAATTAGTGACTCTTCAACACAAACACATAGTGAAAACTGTGGATTTCTCTGAGGTTTGTTAAGGCTAGAATTTTAAAAGTCTTGATCCCAATACGGTGATAATCTCTTACACGTTATAATTCTATGTTTTTTAACATCATCATCTAGGATTCTACACAGCTTTTAACTGGAAGCAATGAAAAGGTCTTGAGACTTTTTGACCTCAATAATACAAATTCAGGTATGAATGCTTTTTCATCATGAATTTTGGTCTTGACAGGGGAATGAAGGAATCAGGAGGCACTACAAGGCTAAATGTTTGATACTGTTGATCATCAGGAGAAATATGTTGTCTCAATTGCTATTTTGTATCATTGACATAAAAATCTTCAAAATTGTTCAACGCTGATCATAGTTCAATATGTTAAGCAAAGGGAGTTAAAAATGATGAACATATGCTGGGTCGAAACTAGAACGTTAATTGGGGGAGGGTGAATATTCATATATTCAGCATTGCCTGACTGATTTTGTTTGTTGGCGATTTTAATTTCAAAAAGGAATCAGTCAGGCAGAGCTGAATATATGAATATTGACCCTCCCCCCCTAATCAACGTTCTACTTTTAGCCCTGGACATTTGATTTGTATGCATAAAGATTATTAATGGAGTCCCTTGTGCAACCTTTTTGCCATTTGCATTGACAGAATTGGCTTTGAGTGCTTAATAGGCTGCCACATTCTTCATCGATTTTCATATTATAAGAAAGTATTATGTACAAACTTTTGAATTTCTAACAGATCCAGATTTTTTACATGGTCACAAAGGAAACATAAAATCGGCCGTATTACATTCTAGCGAGCAAAAAATATTTAGTGGAGGTGATGATAAAATAATGAGGTTGGTACACATGTTCAATGGTTAAACTACATGTCAGTCTTAGAAAGTCTTATTTATGCATTGATTGATGTTTTTTTGTGACTAGGTTTTGGGATGTGCGGACGATGAAGGAGTTCAAGACCTTAGAAACTGGACATAGTGTGTCAAGTATGGAGATCAGTAGAGATGGTAGTATTTTAGTGGTGACCTATGGCAACGAAGTGTCCTTTTGGAACACTAGCAGGTACATGCTCTATGTTATATGTAGTGGTCACTTATGGATTTTGTGGTACTTTTATTGTTTTGTTTGAATGATGCAAAGATGTTTGCAACCTTAAAAACCACGCGGAGAATTGCTGAGCTGAGTCATGGTTTCATTGATGGATCTAAAAGAAAGCATTCTTCACCTGGACTGTCAGCCAAAGTCTATGATTTTACTGGTGGTTGTAAGCTGCTGTGTGACCAGTCGGCATATTTACTCCTGCTTTGTAAATCCTGAAGGATTATTATTCATTCTTCATTTCTTTAAGAAGTTTATTGTTTTCTTGAGAACACAAAAATATTAGCAAATTCGGGCTTGGTACGCTATTGTTTGTAAGAGGGAACGTTCTGCCTCCTGACTACCTGTCAAAGTCGATAGTTTTTACCTAAGTATGTCAGAGTGAACGGTTTCCTTCTAGCATCAATCAAATTCAATGTTTCTATCACTGGTTATGAGAGAAATAAATGGTTTGAAAACCAGAGTATCTTTAGATGTCATTTGTAGATGTAGATTGTCCAGGTTAGTAGAGTCCTGAGAAAGACTTTGGTGTTAATGTTGATTGACGTTTCGACAACGTTAGCGGTAGTCATCTTTTGAGTCAAGGGCATTACCACCGCTAAGGTTGTCGAAACGTCAGTCAACATCAATACCAACAGTCCTTCTCAGGACTCTACTAACTGGGGCGATCTACACCTGCATAGATCTACTGGTTATAAGAGAAGTTGATTTGAGCTATAACACCACAGACTTTGACTGCTGGTTAATGTAACTCTCATGTTCTTAACAACACATTCATTTGCACATAAAATTTCACATTAATTTGAATTTTCAGGTTGAAATAAGTCTATCGTTACTTGTTTTTACAAACCGATGTCATAAAAAATTGGAAGTGTCATTGAATCTCAATGTTTAGAGAAACGTCCGTGTCACAACCGGAGTATCCGTGTGTTTTATTCGACTTTATACATTTGGTAAATCATGGATGTTGTTCTTACTGATGTCTTTATATTTTTTCCAGTTGCGAGAAAATAAAGTCATTCGAATGTCCATGTGATATGTACTCTGCATCTCTTCATCCGGACAAATCGTGTTTTGTAGCAGGAGGAGAAGACTTTAGGCTGTTTAAGTTTGATTACGAAACTGGTAAAGAGTTAGGTAAGTTTGACCTTGCTCGTTTATAGTGTCTTAGCATGTCTTTCGAAGGACTTTTGATGAATTCTGTCTGAATCGGGTGCGGGTTTTATGGGGCGTGAGCACCCTACGAGAAAAAGTTGAAAATGGCATTACGTAAGGTACAGCTGTAAACTAGTATTTATAATTTACATACATAATTTGTTTTCAACTTTAAACTTCTATTCGTTGATGAAAAAGATATAAAAAATTGTATTAAATGCACAACAGCTGGAGACGCTAGGCAACTTTAGCTAGGACACCGATGCACCCCCGTTGGAAAATCTGCACCCCTCCTGTCAAATGAGCATTGATTGCCCCATTAGCTATACTTACCCTACCTTAGCTCTACTTAGACCACCTTAGCTATACTTACACTACCTTAGCTATACTTACACAACCTTAGCTCTACTTAGACCACCTTAGCTATACTTACACTACCTTAGCTATACTTAGACCACCTTAGCTATACTTACACTACCTTAGCTATACTTACACAACCTTAGCTCTACTTAGACCACCTTAGCTATACTTACACTACCTTAGCTATACTTAGACCACCTTAGCTATACTTAGACCACCTTAGCTATACTTACACTACCTTAGCTATACTTACACTACCTAAGCCAAGCTAAAATAGTGTAAGTAGAGTTAAAGTTGTGTATAGCTAAGGTGGTCGAAGTATTGCTGAGGTAGTGTAAGTATAGCTAAGGTGGTCTAAGTATGATTAAGGTTGCGTAGGAAGGTATTACGTGTGTTCTTTTATAACAACAAATTGATACACTTTAGGAATGGTCACATAAAGTAACTACCGAACATTGATATGGCAAAGTAATGCACCATACACAATCCTAATTTAAGCTGAAATAGACACATTAACATGTTATTAGTAGTTTTAAAATGTTTCCATGCAGGCTTAATTTCAGAGAAATCCACACTAAATGAAAATAAAATATTTTTAGAATCATACAAAGGTCATTTTGGTCCAGTCCACTGCGTTCGTTTCTCGCCAGACGGAGAGCTGTATGCCTCGGGTTCTGAGGACGGAACACTAAGACTGTGGCAAAACACTGTGGGGAAAACATACGGTTTGTGGAAATCTTTAAATGCAGAAGAGCGTAATGGGAACGAGAACGGAAAAGTATGATCATAGTGTGTTGTCCATATATGGTAATGTTTGTGAAGGTCAGTCAGCCGCAGGCGGAACTAAGAATGGTTCAACTGTAAAATTGGTTCCATTTTTACATGTCATCGGTGACTTTTAAACCTGTGATCTATGGGACGAATTTTAGGCTCGACTGATGCCTAAATTTCGCACGTCTTTTTTTAAACCTCGGACGTTTTATTTTTTACTGGAGTGTAATGCAGAAAATGTTTGTCGAACAGGTTGAAATATTTTCAACTACAAAGCATGTCTAGATTTTCAACTACAAAGCATGTATAGTCACATCTCGTCTCATACAGTAGCGAAAACAATTGAAAGGACGAAGCATTCGTAGTTGCGCCATTCTATAATTAAGGCGACCTTACATCGCGTAGTAGTTGAGCAAATTAATTATCGATAATTTTGAAAGTTGAATTTTATTAAAATCTACTACATGATATATATATATATACATACAAGTATTAATGGTTAAAATTTTCGAAGTCACTATCGTGTGTCGCGTTTTAATAAGTAAGAACAAACGTCAGTTTGCTAAAAAAAATAAGAAATGCGATCAAAGCATTTCGTATTGACTCGTGTAAAAAAAACTCGTAATGCTTCTTGCTTCGTAAGAAAATAAAACTTGCAAGAACATTTTTGCAGGTGAAAAGCGTAGTTAACGGGTGAAATTCTTTAATCTCTAAATCTGAGGTGCAGGTTGCCCAAAGCCTACATAGTGCTTTTCACAGTGTTAAATACCCCCTCCCTGTAAAAATCCTTTACAAGGCAAAAAGTTATGAGTTATACGGGGAATCATTGGAATAAATTGTTTGTTCAAAGAGAGCAAAGTTTCGTTATTTTATAAGCATCTAAATATAACTATCTTTTTTTTAAATATACTTTACAAATTCACTATTCATGGCTAGTTCTCTATGGGCTATGTGCAACCGGCCCCTGGTAGCAATATTAATTGCAGAAGTTTATTTATTTAGCGAAGAGGCAATGACTTGATCAATATTAACCCCTTGATTATCAGGAAGAACGTATAATCTCGAGCCATCAGCCAATATTGAGCAGATCTAACGTGCGCATGCGTTAAAACTCACCGTTGCGACTATTAGCCGTGTGTATAATCTTGAGCAAGCAATTCCCGAACTCCTCTAGAACCAACTTTTGAATGTCTGTCCGTGACATACTTTTCTGTCAAAAAAGGTAAAAAACCGTACATGAGGCCTTTTGCCAGTAAGATGAATGTCGAAAGTACTAAATTTAAGAACTAGGTGAATGTCGAAAGTACTAAATTTAAGAACTAGATGAATGTCGAAAGTACTAAATTTAAGAACTAACTTTTTCGGCCGCCGAAGCTTGCACAAGTAGACATCGACAAGTTGCTTCGACAACGTCACGTGTAACGAACGAAAATGGAAGTCTATACAATCACAAATATCACTTTTAGTTGATTGCATTATATGACATTTTTTATATTGTGGCCTTGCCTTTCACCAGCATGCGCAAGTATAGGCGCCCTGCTCGGAAGATCCTCCATTTGTGATTCCAGTTTTGTTTTTGCCGCGTTCTGCTGCTGTACGCGTACTTCTGTGTGGATAAAGGGAGAAAAGTCAAACAGTACACCGTGTAAAACAGTTGTAGACACATATAGGACGCCTGGAGACACACTTAAAACACCTGGGGATACATGTAGGACATGAAGATCAATTGTAAAACATCGCAAGCTTACCTGCTGCGTCAGCTAAATGCATCAATGTTTTCCGTTCAGGGCTTTCCTCGAAGTTTTTGCATCCAGTACATTTGCATATGCTTGTACACAATATTTTAGCCTAACAGACATGGGTAAATGTGAAATTCAAGGACAAATATATGTAGAGCGTTGTCATTTGTTCCCCAGGAATCCACATGACAATGAAGGAAGCGGTCATATTGGTTTTGACAAACAAAAGAATTTCATTAAAACTTTTTTCATTTGGTACACCAATATGGCGGCTATGACGTCAAGTGAAAACGCTCTTTAGAAATATAGAGTTCTCCACAGTGTTTGATAAAATATGAATGAATTCATTCATATTTGCATGAATAAACATATTATCATTGCAACGCTTCCTGTAGCTATGCAGAAAGTCCTACGTGATTGAACGTAAAACAAAACAACTTTGATTTCATTATACTTACTTCGTAACATTCGCAGTAATTTTTCAAACATCCCGATCGCTTGCAGTGACAACCTAAATATCCGCTCATGTTTATACCCCCGAATGTATGTGTTTCTATATACCCTATTGTATTTATTTATATTCTATATGGCATGTATTTATACTCCCTAATGTATGTATTTATACCCCCTAATGTATGTATTTATATCCCCTAATGTATGTATTCATACCCCCTAATGTATGTATTTATACCTCCTAATGTATGTATTTATACCCCTTAATGTATGTATTTATATCCCCTAATGTATGTATTTACACCCCCTAATGTATGTATTTATACCCCCTAATGTATGTATTTATATCCCTAATGTATGTATTTATATCCCCTAATGTATGTATTTATATCCCTAATGTATGTATTTATATCCCCTAATGTATGTATTGTTACCGCCAACTTTATTGCATATACATAAAATCACTGTCAATGATTTCTCGCCTTTATTGTGTCTTCGTTCGGTTTCTCCCTGAAGAAAAAAAGTTCATTTTCTGAATAGTTATGCGATTGATCTACAGTATGCAGAGCTCTGTTAAAAATTTTAAAAACATATACCTTTCCTTTACCAATCTTCGGGTGAAAAGCGTAAGGATTTCGTTCTAAACAAGCCTTTGTAAAATGGAAACGTTTGTAAAACTCGAGGATACTGAAATATAGAAGGCCACCTCAAGTAATTTTTGTGTTTAATGCTTTAAGGCAGTGCGGGAAACAAATAATATCCCCCCAACCAGATAGTTTAATGTTCTTTTGTTTAAATAATGAAACAGAGACTTTGTCGTGGTAACAAACTTAAAGATGGATTTCAAAATAGCAAATATTCATCTTTAAGTTCTTTTGTTTGTTGAATCTACTATTTCCAATTGAAAGCACCCGGAAGTGGGGAAGGGGGAGTTACATGAACCATTACTATTAATTTCTTTTAAGCCAGATCAAACCTTGATTGCTTTACTTCTTTCTTGTTCGTGTTCCATGTTGTTGGAGCAATTGTTGCAATTACAGTGGTTGCAAAATTCGCCATTTGCAAAGCAGTCGCAATATCTGTGGGAAAACCGGCGCACATTAGTCACGTGGCTAGCTTGTGGATAAGCATATTTTTTTCAATTTGTACGTGTCTCTGCTGTTTACAGTGATATTCACAATACTATTCCCTGCAGGTTGCAAATTTCGTTCAAAAATTCATTTGTCATGTTATCGTCACTTATGTCGTTCTTCCATTCTGACTTTCCTATGTGATTGGACGATACACGAACAACGTGGAACAAATGAATTTTGGAATAAACCCCGCAACATTAGATGGGAAGAAAAGCCACGTGAAATTGACCACTTACAATTTTAAACATTGAGATTTGGTGCAATTGCAAGGCTTTCTCTGTCGCGTAGGTGACGGAGAATTGGGTTTCCTGAAAAACAAAATGTTAGAATGAAACTTTGATGAAGTTTGTGCTTCATCGAACTTTCATTTTGAGAAAATTCTGGCGTTGATCTTTCCACCTACCCGTTTACAGGCTGAGAAACATTGCTGACTGAAGTTTGTGTAACTGAAACGCTAGAAGATTGAACTGCGCTTGTCACCGCGGTCCCTGATTGCATTGTCTGCAGATCAAATATATAGTATGTTACAACAAATTTTTGGTGAGCGCACATAGAAATTCCCGCAGAACCTTAGATATTTTTATTCGTGTGTTTTTGTGCTTTTGCCATTTACACAACCCGAAACCAAGGGGGGGGGGAAGGCTTTACGTCAAGTACGGTCATAGATCGTGAATAACTTACCTGTGGTAAGTACACAACATTATCTTTAATTATGGTTCCAGGGGGGAACTGTATCGTTGAACCCGGGGGTATGCCCAAATTTGGAGCAATAGCCCGTAGTTGACCCGTATTAGAGACAGTTTGTGCTTGTAACAGAACACGTTGTTGCATGACACCAGTGGCTGTCGAACTTGTATTGGTTGCAACCTGCAAGGACAATGGGTTGTTACATATGATCTTAACCATAAACACAAGCTCTTATTACTTTCTTATTTCAAAGAGTAAACATAGAAAGTAGAAAGATTTGAATGAAAGTTAATGAAAGTTGATCAAAACTATCAAATGTTACTATAAGTCAATTCATTTTCTAAATCATGAAAGTACAGCAGTTTCTTGAGTTGCTAATGATACACAAACCTGTTTCCCTGCTCTTGATGTCGCCGGTTTCACTTTCACCTGATTCATTGGTGGTCTGGTTGGGTTGATACTTGTAGCCAATCGAGGAGCTATGTGTCTCAAAGTGTTCTGTTGTGTCAACCTGGCCTGGGGCACCAAGATACGTTGTACGTTCCCCATACCACGAACAAATTTAGAGACACTTCCACCAGCTATTGGTATCAGCTTTGATGGCGAGGAAGAAGTTTTGAAGAACATCTGAAAATCAAATGGCAACAACAACACTGTGGTTAATAATTTGGTCGCCTGGATATTTACAATGCAAGGAAATGTAATCATGTTGGAGAGAAAAACTGATAATCATTGTAGATATTGAGAAGATATTAGCTGACCAATGCAACCTTGGTTCTCATCTTCATCTTACTAACCTTACCACCAGGTATTGTACCAGATGTTGTTTTTTTGCTTTTCGTTGCAAATGAATGTGCAACAATGCGCTGCTGAGGTTGACTTGTCAATGGCAAGGCCATCCCTGAAGATTGAACTGCTGTTATTTGAAGAGGACCTAAATGAAATCACACTAAGGCAGGGGACTAATTTTGAGACCAATGAGTAAATTACTCAAGCTACTGTCACATGACAATACTAAGATTTAATAATTGCTTATATCACCTATATTTTGCAATGAGTTTGACACTGTTGACCCTGTTTGTGTAACTACAGCCAGTGACGATGCACCTACTGGCTGCTTTAACGTTGCTTGGTGTGAAACTCTCTCACATGGACCTGTTGCAATTGGTTGTGAGGTTGTCATTGTTGTGGTCATGGTTTGAGCAACAGGGTTAGATTTTCCCAGCAACTGAGGTACATTTACTTGCAATGATGGGCTAAATGACTGAGTTCCCAATACTGGCTGTGGCATGCCATGGTCAGGTTGTGCAGTGGATTGTGTAGCATTGGCTGACTTCATTTGCATAACTCCAGCCTGCGTAACACCTGAAGCTTGAACAGATTGAGCAGTTATAGTTTGGCAGACTGATGAAATAGTGACAATTGTAGAATCATCTTCCTCCATGGGTTCTGTAGTGCTGGTAAATTCCATTGGTACTGAGATAGTGCTATCCATCCATTGGAACAAATGCTTCACCCAAAAATTGACTTGGCTACCCTTTTCTCTAAACAAACAAAATTTTATACTATGTTGCACTTTCAAATATACATTAGACTGTTTTTTACTTCGTCAGTTTGTATTGTATTGCACTTCATATTGTCGTTAGTAATTAGCTCTGCATTTGCATTGACACCAAACTATAACAGCTCTTTTTTTACTAATTTTTAACGCAAAGAATGCCCATTTCTGACCATTTCTTTTGCTCAGTATTTGTACAGCTCAGGTTGTATACAAAAGAATACATGGCAATGAGCATCATTAATAACAACAAATTTGCCATTAAATAACTTACGACGATTCAAAAGCAATATACGATCTCATATCATGGTAATCTTCAACTTCGACTACGCCTGTAGGATTGCTATTGTTCACTGAATTTAAGACAACGAAGAACGGAATCGCTCTAATATTCACTGACTTTCTTTAAAGACCTTAGCGATAAGGTCTAAGAGCTTTATCAACCTTACGTCAATTCCTCTCAAAGTAGACCAAGACAATGCCGATATTCCCATCACTTTACAATCACTATGAATTTATCAATTTATGGGCGTTTTCAAAGAACCTTGTTTTATATAAAATTTAGAAAATAAACTGTTTCAAAATACTACGTATACACTTCCGATATTCGCCGTTTAATTTAATATAACAAACAGAATTTATTGCAAAAATTCAATACATTTTTCTATCAAAACAATAACAATTAACAAGACGCAAAATCAAAATATATTATCACACATACCAAAACGATTTTCAGAGACGCTACTCCATAAACTGCGCAGCAACAATGACAAAAAACCCAAAGGGATATGCTTTTGTTTTCACAATACTCGTCACCCCCGAATAGCCATTTTGTTTAAAATCACGCGCTTTTAGACACGAAGCACCAATGTATCCCGTCGTGCACAGTACGCAGTAACTGTATTTTTATTGGCTTTTCTAGCTACCAACTTTCTAACGAGCTCGCTGATTGGTTATAATGGAGAATGGTAAAAGCAAAATTTTCGAGAGTTCAAGGCAGTGGTTCAAGGTGGATTTTCTTTCACCCTAAATTTTTAACCAATGCATATCTTATCTTGTGCACAACAGTTAGCATAATGGCATTCAAAATTTTTCACAGCACATAATCTTGATGTCTATTGCTTGAGACTTTACTGGCTGTCACTGTGCGTGGAACATAGAAATGATTCAACTGATTCGAAATTATGAACAGGAAGTTTGGACTAGTAAGGGCATGCCTCGCCATGGTATTTCAAACATTTTTCCCTGATTGTGAACCACGAAAAGGAATTTGAGCTCGAGTAAAAAAGATGACTTTTTGTCTAGCTCTTAGTACTGGATGATTATTGTAAAGTTTTGTCTTCTTAGAGGCCTTGCAGTGTGGATTACAGGAAGATTATTTTCCACAAATAACTTCTTCGATGACAAACTGTCAAAGTTAGTTCACAGAGGAAGTTGATCGTGATACGTGATTAAAAACCATGACCAGCCGACAATTTAAAGATATAAAGAAAGACAAAGATTCAGAGAACAAGACGAGTAACTTCGACTTTATTTAAAACCATACATACACTTATTACACACATCATGCGTTGTAAATATATATGTGTATGTATGGTTTTAAATATCATTCTGTCTGAGGATGACTTTGAAATAAAGTCGAAAATTTACAGTTTACTTCTCGTCTTGTTTTGATTCATATTTTGCAATCTCAAGATGTCTTCCTTCTTCGGAATTTGTTTTATATTATATGTGATTAGTTTTATTAATATGAAATGTGAAATTGAAACATTATCAACTCGTGACAGTCACATGCACACATTGTGATAAAATAGCACGTCGTTCGGTGTTGGATAACAGAACGTCTGTATCAGGTGTATCCTGCGCATCTCTATCATACAGAACGAAAGGAAATTTGTGAATAGAAAAGATGAAACTTCTCATTTTTGTCTGCTTTATTGCGCTCGGTGAGTACAGTAGTGTTCATATGTTTCTGAAAAAAGAACTGAGACAAATTTTGAAAGTCTAATGAGAAAACTCAGACGTCTTACGATGGATTTAAAAAATACCGCTTCATGCGTAGATCAATATGGTGCTAATTAAACTCCTTGAGTTCCAAATTTCATTGAAATTTTTTGCTACTACATTACGCTGCTATTTTTCATTGGGATGTAAGAAAGGACTAGATGAAAATTATGGAAATTAGGTTGTCGAAAATCCATATATTATCTTGCCATTGAGTCATTGACACGCGCTAGGTGTTATTCTTGCTAGCAGTTATTCTTGCTAGCAATTGATGCCTGCGGAAGGCTGTTGATGCATACGGAAGTAGAAATGAAAATAAACTTTCATTTTCCGAACTTTCTGAAAGTGAGCATTTTGAAACTCGTGCGATGCATGTGTCGCATCCATTTTCGTCGTTTGCATCATGTGAAGATGATAATTAAATTAAAGGATATCGTATGTTTTTGAACATCATACCTGTATCGTATGACAACTATGATGTAGAATTTCAAAGGTTGTGTAACACGTTGCGCTTCCCTCTTTCAAATTTTGCTTGTTTCACTTTCCCACTAAAATTGCTTTTTATTCAATCATTGGCGTCACTTGTTCTTTGCATACGAGCCAAAGTAACTTTCGTATCCTCTTTCTTTTCCAGCCAGTGCCCATCCTTATAGGCTTGGTCTTAGCAAATGCACTTACGGTCCTGCATATTGGTGTGCAAGCTATGCTCAAGCTGTTGAATGTCAGGCCATTTCACATTGCAAAAACTATGTGTGGAAGAAGAAGGGTGTAAGTATTAAAAGCATGGGCATCCAATATTATGATATATATCCATTGATTCCAAGGTTCAAATTTTCTCAGCATGAGATCACCCATACCCCAGAATGTTTAAGAGGGTAAAAGTCTAAAAGGGCATACCCCCCCTAGAAATTTTGAAATTTGTGTTTCTGAAATGGCATTTCTAGCATTCTTGAAACCTATTTTACCATTGAATTATGGTTCCTAGAGTCACCAAGAGCCATGAAAATCTTGTCCACTAAAGGGAGTGATAAAATTTTAAAGTCGTCTTCAAACTCTTATGCCATCTTTTGATGGCATTCAGGCTTGATGTGACATTTTATGTATAAGTAGACTTATTATGTGCAATTAGAACAGAAAAAACTCAATTAAATTGTATATTAATGTGGTTTATAATTTTCTAATGAGCATGTGAGGTTATGCATGTGAGCATGTGACTTAATGCTGAGGTGTTATACTTGGCATGCATGTATCAGGGAGGGGGTTGTTCAAAACAAGGCCAGAACCTAGTATTTCGTTCAGGTTATGGCTCAATCCACATTTTACTCTTCGTTTTGAATTGTGCTCAATTTCATACTATATGCAGATTAAACTGGATATTATTGGGAACTAATCATTCAAGCAATTTTAGAAAATCAGTAAGGCAAGCCCAAATCATTATCAGAGTTGTTGTCTAAAAAATGGCACCCATAAATGTTGGTGCATTGGGCAATTTGTTGTTCATTTAAGTTGAATCTCCATAGGCTGATGATTGTGATGAATGCAAAGCTGCTATTGAGCAAGTGCATACTTTATTTGCGAACAATGGATCAAAGCTTCTCGAAGTTATGAAGAATGTTTGTACTGGTCTTAATGTGGGTGCATTAGAGGTAAATTCAATGCTTACATTTGAATTTGTTGATTTCAGTTAAAATGGTTTTAGTTACCCTAGCTGTTTCTGGTCTTTTTATTGATCAGTGCAAGATAGCTGTCGATGCATATGGAAGTCAGATTATCACTTCACTTGAACAAATGACGGTAAGTTGTGTCAATTAGGCCATTAACTTGTAAATTGCTATGTTCTGTTTACATGGATGTAGGTTTTTGCATATTTCTGTCTGCTTATAGTATGGTGGCGAGAAACTTTGCCAAGAAATGAGAATTTGCTCGTCCATTGAGCATGTGAAGATCACCAAGAAAATTATGTTGGCCAACTTCAAATCTCATGCCAACATTCCCTCCTTGAAATCTCCCAGTGTAAGTTATGAAAAAGTTTTACTCCTCGATGAATTGTGCTACGTATTTCAACAAACGACTTGTCATTATTGTGTTTTTGCCTACAGGCAGATGATTGCATTAGTTGCAAGCTTGTCTTTGCGGAAGTAAAAGATCTTTTACAAAGTCCAGACATACAAAAACAAATTATTTCTGAAGTGGAATCCCTTTGTGCAGAATTAGGAGCATTCGCTAGTCAAGTATATGTCGTTCATTTAATCATTTTTTTTTGTAATTTTCGTATGATCTTCATTGGTACAATGTCTTCTCATTGTCATTCTAAAAAAATTGAAACTTTTTCTTGCTAGTGTAAGTCTTATGTTGACGAAATTCTCCCATTGGTTTTCACCGAAATTGCTTCAAAGATCGTAAGTATATGATAGAAGGTTGACTCAAGTGTTGTGCCAAATTAAACAAATAATATTATTTCTCACACACAACTGGGGGCTTCTGCTGCCAATCTGCCGCAAGTTTCACATTTTGTGTTCATCAGAACAACTAATACAGATACCCATTACATCGCCCAAATGACCTTGCTACCTGGAGTTGCTTAAACTAAACAGTCTTAAATACCAATTTGCATACATATGTGTATGATATTCTAGGATGCTGTGTAATATTCTATTCTTGTTGCAAATCTGCCGCAAGCTTGACATTTATTACTCATCACAACAACCACGAACGTAATGTAGGTACCATTACATCACCCAAATGGCCTTGCTACCTAGCCTAAACTAAACAGTCTTGAATACCAATTTGGAAATGTGTATAATCTTCTATCCGGATGGGCAGCTGGTACTCTTGTCAAGCTGTGCGGATGCAGCAACAAAATGTCTTTGTCACACCGTACACCTGTCACACCGGCTCCCAGGAGTGCGAGAAAACATTTTGGACTTTTTCGTTTCTCAGTTGGTAGAAAATGATTGTTACAACTTGAAAAAATGTGGCAAGCTTTATTGTATTATGAATAGTTCCGTCTGCCCTCAACTGCCCATCGCACAAAACTGTTTTCTCGTCGGTCTTTAATGCTATACATCAAGAGATCGCACGTTGTTTTCTCTAACACAACGGCAAAACTGTTTTCTCGTCGGTCTTTAATGCTATACATCAAGAGATCGCACGTTGTTTTCTCTCACACAACGGCAAAACTGTTTTCTCGTCGGTCTTTAATGCTATACATCAAGAGATCGCACGTTGTTTTCTCTCACACAACGGCAAAACTGTTTTCTCGTCGGTCTTTAATGCTATACATCAAGAGATCGCACGTTGTTTTCTCTCACACAACGGCAAAACTGTTTTCTCGTCGGTCTTTAATGCTATACATCAAGAGATCGCACGTTGTTTTCTCTCACACAACGGCAAAACTGTTTTCTCGTCGGTCTTTAATGCTATACATCAAGAGATCGAACGTTGTTTTCTCTCACACAACGGAGCTGCTGCAGCCCATCTGCCACAAGCGCGACATAAGCTTAAACTTACTCGTTTAAAGAACTTATACCGTTACCATTACATCGTCTAAAAAATGGCATGCAGCTTTTGGTGGCCTAAACTGAACAATCTTGAATACCAGTAAATTACATATGTTTATAGCGTTCCATCTTGGTTGACGGATGATAATACAAAATGTGTTTCTTACAAAATTTGTTACAACACCTAACACCTCTCGCAACACCAATTCACAATCGGGCTCCCAAGAAGACTTTTTTTATTCAGTCGGTGAAAAACAATGCTATATCTTTAATCATGTAGATATGATGAAAATGATATAATAATGATATTTACGCACAAGATCTTTTCCTATTCCTTAGGTTCCTGCCGAGTTGTGTATTGAGCTGGGTTTCTGTCATAATTCGACAATAAAAGCACCAAACGTTGTAAAAGCCTTGAAACTGCTACAGCCTCAAGTAAAGGAATTGCAGATTCCCATGATTCCTGCAGAAGTGGCGTTTACTGATTCTTATGCTCACAAATCAATTGAACCATTGGATGAGGTACGACGACGAAACCTGATTTTCTGCGAAGATTATATAAATTAGGGAGAGAGACTTTGGTTATTCAAGCAACTATTAATGCGTTCTACTGGCTAGTTAACTAGGCTGTTGTGGTATTAAGAAAAAACTAATATCAATATATCGAAAAAATATCGATATTTTTTCGGATATTTTTTTCGTTATTTATAGTGTTGCTCGCGATGACTCATAGATAGATCAAATTGAAACTTAGCCAACAGTTATTCACAATACAAACAAACGATCAACTAAAAACATTACACTTCACACTAATTCACAATGACAATACACAATTGACACCGACACGTTACAACTAAAAACATCACACCTAAATCACACTTCACAACTAAAAATATTTCACATCACACTAATTCACAATGACAATACACATTTCCTGTACACACAATACAATGACGTAAGAACCAGATAACAAATACGGCTAACCTGACGTTTACTCCTCATTTGACTCTGAAGATGACTACCGCTAAGGTTGTCGAAACGTCAGTCAACAACAACAAAAACAGTCCTTCTGATGACTATACCAACCTGAACGATCTACATTTACAAACATGTAACGATACTCAAGGGTTCAAACCATTTACTTTATTAGCCAACAATTGCCGCGCATGTGTGATAGGGTCAAGATGCTAGATGCTTGATCCAGTCTTATTTCGAGATCAGTGGCGTGAATGCGTCCTTGTCTCTTGCAAAGTGTCACTTGAGGAGAGTATATTGTCCCTTTTTGACTGCCGTCCCGGCTTGAAGTAAGGCACGTGACTTTAAAAAACTGAATCAATGCGGTAGCACTTCATTCATGGCGACAACTGAAAACGATTGAGTGTAGACTTCTTAATATAGTCCTGAAGGGTCATGTTGACTTCTTCTTTTGAAAATACGTAATTATTACAATGTTGAAATTAGAAATGGTTGTGCTTATCACTGGTATTATATTTTGTCTATGACTCGCTTGTTGAAACCTTTTTTCTTTGGTATGAAGGGAAAATGCGAGCAATGCAAGATGATGGCTAAAAAACTTGAATTGGCTTTAACTCAGAGGGAAGATGCGTTCATTGATGTCTTGAGGAAATCATGTCCATCTCTCGGTCCCCCGTTGAATGGGCTGGTACATATATGTATACATAATATGTTATATTTTCACGTTTGTGCTCAAACTTATTGTTGGCTTATTTGTACGTAACGCTTATCATTTGCTCTTTTCTTGTAGTGCTCAGGGGCTGCGAAAATAATCGTTGATATGCTCAAAAAATCTTTGGTATGATGTAGATAAACAAGTTGTAACAAACCATTCGGCATTCAAACACTTTCCAAAATTTGCTGAAGTGCCCACAAAGCTTGAGTGGAGACGGTCATTGCCTATATTATGCACATTCTGGCTTTCATCGCTATCGGTTTTGTTTTTGAGTCTGCATTTTGTCTCAAAATTTGCTGAAGTGCCCACAAAGTTCAAGTGGAGACGGTCATTGCCTATATAATGCACATTCTGGCTTTCATCGCTATCGGTTTTGTTTTTGAGTCTGCATTTTGTCTCAGCGAAGCAAATTTGGAAAGTGTTTTTTTTACAAGAATGATTTATTCGTTATTGACTCAGCTTATCTTGTTCAAGAATGCTAGTGCAAGAAGTTAGAAAATTTCTATATGATTTTCATAACAAAAAAATTTTTGTTTTCACGCCAGGGCAATCCTGCAGGTTTTTGTCAGATGATTGGGATGTGTCCCTCCACTGATGACGAAGTCGAAACATTTGAGACGTTGCTCTTGAACATCTTAAAAAGTCATCCCAAGATCGTTGCTCTTGCCTCGTTCGAGGTATAAGATGTGTGATAAGAACAGGTTCCATTGAGACTGCAGTGGCGCGTATTCGGTCCTGCTATGTAAATCTTTCTGTCTTCATTTACTGCAAAAACAATGAGTTTTCAAAGAAATGTACAATGATAATGCTCTGAAATTTACAAAGCAGGATCAAAACTTACTTTGTTGTTGGCGTGGCCAAGTGTTCTCGACGTTAATTTCATTTTAATGAAGGAATGCATTTTTAAATGTCATTTTTATGTTCAGGGAAAGTATTGCAACTACTGCAGGTCGGCTGTTGGTGAACTCGAAACCATCTTGAGTGATAAATCTGTACAGGTGTTCTCTCGTTAAACTTATTCATGTGCATTTGCGAAAAACTTATTTCTTTCATGCCATTAATATCTGGGTTGTTTTTTCATCAACAGCAAGATGTGATTAATTTGGTTGATACTCTGTGCATCGAACTTGGAAGCTTCGCCCCCGTAGTAAGTGTAGACATCTTGTGTAAAACTGATGGGAAGCGAATGATGTATCTCTCTAATTTACCTGCATATATTTTTCTTTCTTGAACAGTGTAAATACTTTGTTGATGCGTACTTACCTTTGTTTTTGGAAAAGCTGGATTCCTTCATGGTATGTTGAACCTTTTTGCGTACTTGTCTTGTTTTGTGTACCGGCTACTCGATGTGTTCTTGAACGTTTTGTTTTCAGAAATCTGCAATGCTATGCTCCAAACTTGGTATTTGCAGCGTTAGTAAAATCGAAGGATGATCCAAGCGAGTCGCGGCGTGCCTGCCAAAAAGCATGCTGTTGGTAAGACCATACACGCTCTTCCACTCGTTCCAAGTAAGCCTAGAGCTGAAATGAATGTTGAAAAAGATGAAGAAGTTCACGCTCTTCCACTCAGTCCAGCGAAGGCCGAAGCTGAAATAAGTGTCAAGGAATATGTCGAAGGTCTAACCATTCCTGCCATTCCAGGTACTCCAGCGAAAACTGAGGATGAAATAAATGTCAAGGAATATGTCGAAGGTCTAACGATTCCTGCCATTCCAGGTACTCCAGCGAAAACTGAGGGTGAAATAAGTGTCAGGGAATATATCGATGGTCTAACCATTCCTGCCATTCCAGGTACTCCAGCGAAAACTGAGGCTGAAATAAGTGTCAAGGAATATGTCGAAGGTCTAACCATTCCTGCCATTCCAGGTACTCCAGCGAAAACTGAGAATGAAATAAATGCCAACGAAAATGAAGTAGTACGGACCATACGCGCTGTTCCTTTAATTGCTGAAATGGATGTACCGGAATATGTAGAAGGTAAAACCTATCCCGCCATTCCAGGCACTCCAGCGATGACTGATTCTGAAAAGAGTGTGAAAATTGGCGAATCGGGTGGCGAATGTATCCTGTGTGAGTTAGTGATGAGAGAGTTGGACGGTCTTCTTGAAGACAATGCAACCGAGGTGCGTGCTGTTTTCGCTCAGTTGTATTTCCTTGCCCTAATATCTACTGATTTATATTACTTGTTATCAATTGTGTGTTAAACTTTCACTGGAAATCGAAGTGTTTGACCCAAGTCAACTTTTAAGAATGGGCTAAAGAAAGTCTTTAGCGAACGTAAGACAAACAATTTGATTTTTTTATCAATCGAATCATAAAAACCGTTTTTGGTAGCTCGTTTGAAAAATTCTCTTGAATCCACGAATTAAATTCGACAGTGAACAGAACAAAATAGTATTTACAAAGTTTTGTTTTCGCCACTATCGTTTTGATAGCAAAAGATAACGATGTCCAATTTTCGTCGAGTTTGCTATTTTTCGACCAAACTTTGAATTATTCGTTTGAAAGAAAGCTAGCTAGCTCGTTTTGCAGAGTGAAATAAAGGTTGCTTTGGATAAAGTATGCTCACACCTATCCTCGACCATTTCATTGCGCTTTTAATGATTTATTGTTCATTCAGAGTGAAATAAAGGCTGCTTTGGATAAAGTATGCTCACTTCTACCCTCGTCCTTTTCATCTGAGGTGAGTGTTTTTATTTCTTGTAATTTAATTTGTTTCAAATATCTTATTATGCGTTATGTAATATTTTCTATTCGTGATTATTATCTGACTATGCGAGGCTAGAATTTCTAATGTCACAGTTGACAAGTAATTTGACAATCCTCTCATTGTTCAATGTTTGTAACCAACCAATCAGTTGCTTTTGTGGCTCATGAAACGTTTGCTCTACCGTCAATTTTCTATTTCTCATGTTTGTAACCAACCAATCAGTTGCTTTTGTGGCTCATGAAACGTATGCTCTACCGTCAATTTTCTATTTCTCATGTTTGTAACCAACCAATCAGTTGCTTTTGTGGCTCATGAAACGTATGCTCTACCGTCAATTTTCTATTTCTCATGTTTGTAACCAACCAATCAGTTGCTTTTGTGGCTCATGAAACGTATGCTCTACCGTCAATTTTCTATTTCTCATGTTTGTAACCAACCAATCAGTTGCTTTTGTGGCTCATGAAACGTATGCTCTACCGTCAACTTTCTATTTCTCATGTTTGTAACCAACCAATCAGCTGCTTTTGTGGCTCATGAAACGTATGCTCTACCGTCAATTTTCTATTTTTCATGTTTGTAACCAACCAATCAGTTGCTTTTGTGGCTCATAAAACGTATGGTCTGCCGTCAATTTTCTATTTTTCATGTTTGTAACCAACCAATTAGCTGCTTTTGTGGCTCATGAAACGTATGCTCTACCGTCAATTTTCTATTTTTCATGTTTGTAACCAACCAATTAGTTGCTTTTGTGGCTCATGAAACGTATGCTCTACCGTCAATTTTCTATTTTTCATGTTTGTAACCAACCAATCAGTTGCTTTTGTGGCTCATGAAACGTATGCTCTACCATCAATTTTCTATTTTTCATGTTTGTAACCAACCAGTTGCTTTTGTGGCTCATGAAACGTATGCTCTACCGTCAATTTTCTATTTTTCATGTTTGTAACCAACCAGTTGCTTTTGTGGCTAGTGAAATGTCTGCTGTAGCATTTTTTGGAAATATATTTAGTAATTATACAATCAATGAAAGTATGACAAACATATCTATATCCTAACCATATGTGATACAGATTTTTAGTTTCGACCATAATCTTCATTCTTTTCTTCACAATGATGTTTTGATCTCATCTCATTGTTTACAGTGCGACAAATTTGTGGAGGATTACACTACCAAAATCATCGACTTTTTACGGAAGGAAATTTCACCTATGGAAATCTGCTCTTTGATCCAATTGTGCACCACAGAAAGCAAGTCAAATAAAGGTAGGGTCACTAAATTTATCTAAGAAATATGGGTAACAAGCTCGTATTTAGGGTAACAAACTCGTATTTAAGCCCCTTTCATCGTTTTCAAATTTTTTGCGGCAGCGTCTCTGTAGATTTTGTGTCTTTTTTTAATTCTAGTGTCACCAAGGAAGCCAGCTTTTATATTTTGCATGATTTGCAAGAAAATCGTCGAGAATGTAGACAGCCTAATTCAGTCCGGGATGTCTTCGGTACAAAAACCCGTTCACATTTTCTCTTCCGGTTAACTTTATGTGACATGAGAAGTACACTGACCTCTTGAATATGTGTGTTTGTAGAGCGAAGTTCAAGAAGCGATTCAACATGTCTGTGACATGTATCCTCCATTCATCAAATCTCAGGTAAGAAATGTTATCTCCTTTAGGGAGCGTGCGATCTTTTTATTTGAAGGAAAGGAGGCATCATATGATTTTCTGATCGATGAAAAGATGTGACGCAGTATAATCTAGACTTTTTTACACTAGTTAAGTCTTTTTTTTGCTTAATTTGCACATTTGTACATGTGATAACAAATCTCTACAAAGGATGCTCTTTCCAGCTTATAATGACTCAGGTTTAGTTTTAGGTTGCAAACTTGTACTATTCTTTGAGATGTTTGCTTTAATCACGTACCATTTATGGCTAAAACAGTGTTGGGTGTTAGGCCCTGTTTACATGAGATCGGAACGGAGTCAAACCGGAATGAAAATCAACATTTGTTGCATGTTTACATGGGACAGGCACTAAATCAGGAAAAATCCTTTTTCGCGTAATGCGTCCTTTGCAGGCTAGTTTTACACTTGCTGTCCATTTTGATTTTATAATTCGCTATTGTGCACATGCTTTGCTGCCATTTCAGACCGGTCTTAACGTTAATTTGAGTTTACATTGTTGGCGGTTTTAATTCACACCGCTCTGAACTCAATCGGATCGGTTCAACACTTTGAGTTATTTTTTTAACGGTCGCATGTACACATCTTCTATAAATTGGTACTATAACCGACACAAGCTGGTATAATTCCACATCAAGCGCAGTTTGCCCAATTACCAGCAAGTCGGAATTTCCTAATTTAGGTCTACGTGAAAACAGCTACAAGAAAAATATTCACTCTGATAATTGATAATTGCTTTCACCCTTTCGTCGGTGCGTTACCAAGATATGTTTGTAACCAAACGTAAAACTTTTCCTCAAATGTGGAAAATGGCGCTTCAAACACCACCACAGCCGTTTGCCAAAAACGTTTCCCGATTTCAGGCTAAAATATATATTTTCTAATATTAGATAAACGCTGTTATTTTTACCTCTGCGAACACCCTGAACATTTAACAAACCATTTAACAAACTCTCGTCCCCTTAGGGAAATTCTGTCGAAAATAGTATGCATGCAAACACACAAAAGTAGGATGGTGGCCTTGCAAACCTCAAGGACGGTGAAGCAACACAAACTAACTTCTATTTTTAGTTTTCCCACATCAGAAAAATATGAATAATTTTTATAGCCGTGACAGCGCTGCTGCGCGCATATGCTGTGTTAATGATACATTACTTGGGAATGGGAGCTCTTGGCCGGCCTGTCATATCGTTGTTTGGTAGAATTAGATGGCAGATTGATGGAACCTTTCTATGGGGTTCACTGTACAACACCCTTGGACACATTTATCTTCAGTGCAATTTTGGGTTACGTCAAACTTGTATTACTCGGATCATTTATTTTCCCCGTGATATCTTCCTTTAGTTCTTTTGCCATCTTTTCTCCAAAAACACTTTGTGATCCAGATTCCTGGGATCTTCATCTTACAGCAAATGACAAGATAGAATACGGGAGGCCTTGCCAATATACTTTGCACATGTTTAAATATAATATATTAATCCTCAGAGTATATACATGAAGTATATACATAGGATTAATATATTATGTATATACATGTTTAAATCACTTAGTATATTTTTCTAACTCATAAAACGTTATTGTAAATTCCAACAAATTATTCGCAAGGCATAGATTTTTCACGGCCCCAGTGTAGATCATGATAAATGATGTACTTTGCAGACTTGAATATTGATTAATAGTTTTTCTCGTCCTGATCTTTAGATTTCGACTCTTTCTCTTTTTCTAATTCTTTCCATAACAATGTTATATTAACCTGATCCTTTTGTTTACAGTGCAAACAATTTGTGTCTCAATTTACTTCACAAATCATCCAGATGATAACTAGTCAAGTTTCACCAGACCGAATCTGCGGCTTGCTCCATATTTGTTCCAAGGAAAACGAGTCAAATAAAAGTAGGGCGTTAGTGATGTCTTTGAAATGTCATTATCTCGTACTCATTACCCCGTCTCCCTTTCGGCATGTGATTTGTCTTTTTTCTACTAGTGTCATTAAGGAAGCCATCTTTTGGGACATGCGACTTGTGCAAGTTTGCCGTTCAGTATGTAGATAACGAACTCAAAACCCGTGGAGTTGAGGTATGCATTAACGTTTTCTCTTCTTGGCGACTTTGTGTCGCTGTGTGTGTGTGTGAACTCGACTCATCCAGATTGACGCCTTTGTAGGACGAGATCGAAGAAGCATTGGAAGAAATCTGCGACGCGCTTCCTTCATCATTGAAAACTGAGGTGACATGTTTTATCATTTCTAGTTACTTTTCCATGCTTGACAATACCAAAATACCTATCAAACAGCTTAGGTATTGAAATTTTTTTTGAACCATGTATTTCGGGTGTTTTCAAGAACGTCAGTAAACTCGCTTACTATATTGCGTGGCTATTTTCTGAGATTCCACCATATGCCGTGTGTAAGGTGCGTTTCGTTCAACCGATTCTCGTTATTTTCTTTGCAGTGCAATGCTTTGGTGAAGAAGTATGGTGATTTGCTTTTGAATATAATCATTGGCAAAATGACTCCGGATGAAGTTTGCGCGGTTCGTCTTGTTGTTTTCGTTTAAAGGCGTACATTTTTGTGCTTTTTCTAACTACAGAAACTAACGCGACATGTTTCTGTTCGAATGAATCTGATAATTTTTATGTTTCGTATTTACAGGAGCTCAAGCTGTGTCCCGCAGCCTCAGGGATATCGATTGTGAAGCACAAGTGTATTTTGGGCGAAACATTCTGGTGCAAGAGTTACGAAAACGCGAAACTGTGCAACGTAAGTGAAGCAATTATAGTTGGGATTGGTTTACCTGTGGGCGATAAACTTAAAAGGAAGTCTGACGAAGTGATACTCACCAAGAAGCCTCCCCCCCTCCCCGATTGAAATCATCTCTCAATATACATAGCGGCTTGATTAAATGTGAAGAGGGAATCTGAGGGATTTCTGCATGCACAGAGCACATGCATTTTGACATTCATCATTGTCATGTTATGTGTTGTATATCTGCTTGGATAGCTTCCGTAATACCATCTCAATTTGTGTAGTATTTAAGATGCGTGACCCGCACTTGATCGTCTAGACTGCCCTCAATCCAAACTTGATCGTCTAGATTACCCTTCATCCACCTTTATAGTCTAGATTACCCTTCATCCACCATCGATAGTCTAAATCGCTCTGTCCTCTTTAAAGCATATTTTCGTGTAAATAGGTCATTGGCTGGCTTATTAACAAGTGCTATTTACTGCATTATTTCGATTGTTTCACATGTCTCTAAAAGATACAAAACAAAGCTTTGTCCTAGACAATGAAAAAAAGGAAAGAAAAAACATCCCGTGAATAGCACTTTACGGCCTTATTGAAACCTGTCCCCACAAATTTATAGAATGGATCCCGATTGTGGCCGTCGGCAAGCTTTATTGCTAGATTCGGATTTTTAATTATCTATTACTTCCACGATAATAAAACAACTAAGAAATGTCGATCACTGTCTATGTATATTATTCCTTTCAATTTCTTTTAGGCACTGGAATATTGCAACTTCAAATGATTATTATGAACGGGCGCTGTGGAGCACGATTGAATTTTGTTTTGTTACCTAAATTTTGTCTGCACTTGATTTTCATATAGTCAATACTATTGAGCTATAATAATACATGGAACTATATCGAACATTTATGGTCTAGAGGATTTTGTATAACACGAATGGAAATTATTAATTAAATACATAATATAACTGTGGTGTTTATAAATGCGCACGTCTTCATATGTGAATTTAGATCGATAGCTATGATGTTTTTAAAGTTCCTTTTCTGCAAGCCTTATGATAGGAAGTAATCATGATTTGATTATTCGCTAATTAACTGTTTCCTATTTCGTAGCCCTTGCAGCGTGTAAAAAACACTTCTTCGGCGCGGGAGTTTTGAATTCCGTGGAAAGATTGAGTTGTAGTCATTTGATCTTATCGCAAAGTTCTTTCATAACTTTGTTTAGTCTTCAAAAAATTCAAATTGAAAACAGTAGGATAGGTTTAGTTGACGCTTGCTCTTACTTATGTTAATGTATCATTTGTTTCAGTTTATTTTTATGTGTGATTTTGGTGAAAATGTTGAAAAAGCCACACAATAATGCGGACTGTTTCCTCACGAGTACTTTGGAACATTCGTCGTTGAATGCTGCAGCATTTAGGTTAAAAAGTGCGATTAAATATGTGTGTGATCTAACTGTGTTTAATATTCGATTTTTAATTTCAAACTATTGTGATGCAATTCTGTGTTTAAAACAAAAAATTCTTAGCAGGTCCGGGAGGAGAGAAATGATTATCTGTTATTTATCTACATTGCTAATGTAAACTTGAAGAATGAGAAGATTACTTTTAATCAGTGACTTTACGATACTAGTATTTACCGTTTGATAAATGCAGTATTTAGAACGTCAACTAATCAAAATTAATTATTTGTCTTTCAAAATTTATTGAAAATGAACAAACGAATCAAAGAAGACAAGTCTATATCATTCTTCTTCCGAAGATGTTTTTAGTGATGCTGATTAAGTCTTGAATTCTCCTTACGTTCTTACAACGCATTGAAACGAGGTCTCGTATTCTCGTGTTCAACTCTCTGTTTCGCATCACCAGAGTCGGAACGCTTTTGAAATCAATCGTGAGACTTGGAGCGCATTTTGTGGGTTAATTTCAACTATAAATCATTATCAAGTTAATCATTTTGCTGCCCGTGAACAAGTTTAATATTTCGTCGGAGAAAAACGTGGGAATCTGGCGCTGTTTCTTCACAACATGCGGTTCAGTTGAAACTAGTGTGGAGTTGGTTTGATTATCATTTCTACTTTATTATTGTCCACGAATTTTGAATATTTTGGTTACATTTTTCTCGCCACCGGAACCCATCCGTCCCCCCGCTCTTGGGATCAGAAGTCACACTGCTTATTCCTTGCACCTTAAGTTCGCTGTCATATTTATTTCGGTGTGATTAACAGACTTGTGTAGCTCTCGTTTATTGTCTTAATGTTGAGAAAACTGTCATAGTGTAAAGTACAAATTTTCGTTGCAAATTGGAGGAGTTTTTGAACAGCAGAGAAGCTCATCCGTGTTTTTGGTAATTCTACTTGAAGATGTAGTAATTCCAGTGTGGTTATGGTATACGATGGGTCTTGAGTCAAATATATTTGAGATACTATTGGCTAATATATGAGGGATCAAAATTTCAATCTCTCGCGCCTTTCATAAACATTTCATGAAATCAAATTGAATTCATCATCGGACGGATTTTCAAATGGCAGAGGGAACGAGAAAGAATCCCTTGGAGTACCAACGCGAGTACAACGAGTTCATGCATAAGCTGAAAAGATATTTAGCTTCAAAAGAGTGAGTTAATGTTGATCAGTAACTAAAATTCCATGCTTAAAAAATGATGTGATTTTTTCTGTTTACCAATTAACTTAGTATGCCAATGAAGAAATTACCTCAATTTGGTGGACAGGACATTGATTTGTATCTTTTGTATAAAACAGTGACAAATTTTGGTGGTTGTCTAAAGGTATTGTCTGTTTTCCTTTTGGTTTATATGGGCTTTTTTCATTTTTGTTTCTCTATTTAACATCACTTTGTAGGTGACTGACGATTGTAAATGGCATGAAGTTGCAAAGAACTTTAACCTTCCTCAAAGCTGCCTTAACTCGGCATTTGCATTAAGGCAGTTGTATGTTCGGTAAGTTGCAGCCAAATATATGCTTTTCTACTCTCGATTTCAACTTTTTTAAGAACTACTTTATATACACATTTAAGTCATCAAATATTTAAATGAGTATTCAAATATTTCATTTATTCAATATTGACCTTCAAACTTGCCTCTGATTGGTTGTCTAAATATATTAACCAATATGAACATTGTAGTGAACTATGTGATTGAAATCGTAGTCGATACTCAATAGTAAATTTCCAAATGAAAACTGAAATTGAAAGTTAATGTCTTCAAAATCATGTTTTGTTGCTTTTTTCAAGCAGTGAAGTAGTGTTACTCAAATATGGAACATTCCTCACGAAATAATAAGAAGCAATGTAATCACATTTGCTTTTTTCTTATTCATAGCAAACATAGACGTCAATCCTGCAATAATTCATATTCATATATTCAGTTATGCCAGGCTGATTTCTTTTGAAAGTGAAATTGTTTTGAAAAGAAATTAGCCAGGCATAGCAGAATATATGAATATGATCCCCCAATTAAGACAGGATTTTCGCCAATGATAGCAAATGTTATTCAAAAATGCTGGTATTCATTAGGTTTTGTTATCTCTCATTCATTTCTCAATTTGTCGAACATTTTTAGAGATATATAATTCTCTGGTTGCCATTGTAGATCTTTTTACAGAATTTACATGTTTTTTTTACAGACAACTTGAAAACATAATAGACTGTACTTTTTGCTTTCAAAAAAGATGTACAATTGGGGATGCTACTCCCCCAATCAATGAACAAACTAATTTCATTTGTGATAACATAAGTACTTACTGAGCTTTGAAACTGTCATTCAGGTCCATCATTATCGATAGCTTTGCTGTTATTGGACTTTGCTTCAACCTATTTACTGCATGACCAAAGACTTATAAATAAAATGATGATTACTTCTTTTGCTTTAAGTTATCTTCAAAGTTTCGAAAAGCTATATTTTCTGGGAGAGGATGGCGAAGATACTTCATTACCACGACCTAACTTATGGAGTCTTGCTAACAATGCATCACAAGTCATTCCTCAATTGTTTGACAGAGGTATGATGTTGAATCATATTTGGAAAAGAAGCTTGCTTTGGTTCAACTAGAGGTGTCAAAATCATTCACAGATTTTCATGTATTTGTGCTGGGGTGATGCTAAAAAGTTTAGGGGGGGTGAGCTGGTAAAGAAGTGATGTAGGACCAAGTAAGTTGGGTAGTGCAGCCATAAGATAGTAGTGTAGAAAGTTGTAATAAAATCCAGTGGAGGGGTGGGTTAAAATGTTTTCATAGACAGCTGAGCAATTCATTTCAGGTTAACACCCATTGCACCCCTCAGAAAATTCATTCTTGGTCAAAGTGAATTGACATCCATAACATCCATAATGAATTTGGTCGAATTGACTCGAATGCTGTGAAATTATTTTAGAGACTACCTACCATAGTTTTTCTTATCAATTTCTCTAGATCCTTTGAGAAACTTCGAACGGCTTGTGTTATCTTTACAATCTGGACTTCCCAACGAAGTGGATTTTGCAATGAATATTTGCATGTTGCTATCAAATGTGAATAATTCTGTGTTTAGCTTGGTAAAGGTAAGAACTGCCTTGGTTCAATTTGCCGTTGAAAAATATGACACAGATATTGTCAATTGTGGCATGTACATGCTTCTTATGTATTTTATTATAGGCGCCTTCTGTTATTGACATGATATTGGCTCATGTTGGTATTTTTGATGAAGGTACTACCATGTCGTAATGATAGCTTGAGTTGTTTGTCATTTTCCATGTAATTATGGATTTGATGTTTTTATATATTTCTACAGATCCTTGTGGATCAAGGGATCTCTATCTGCAATGGTACAAAAATTCAGGAAAGGATTTTCTCAAGGTAGATTTAAAAGATCGTTGATTCTGCTGCTTTCTTTGGCGTGCTCTGTTTGTCAACAGTAGTGAAGGGACACCTTGCACCCTGATACTTTTTAATTAATGATGTGCCTTTGTGGACCACAGAGACGAGGAAACATTAGAGCCGCTGCCCCCCACTTTTTCTATGAACCATTTTTTTGGGTAAAATTCCGTGTCCCACATATAAAGTATTTTTCAATTGATTTTAAGGGAACATGACATGGCCAAACATGTATGTTTATTTAAACACACCTCCCTGGCCACTAACAGCATGCAACACACACACCCCCCTGGCCACTAACAGCATGCAACACCCCCATCCCCCTGGCCACTAACAGCATGCACTGCCATATCTATAAAATTTGAACCATTAGATCAATTTTACAAGTTTTTTTAATTTTGTTATTTTTTAGTTTTGGCAACGTGTCTTAAATTGTGAAGAGATCAAACAACTTCTGCCTACATTCAAAGAGGAAACTGCTGTGGAAGATGAAGATAATGATGTGGACAGTTTGTTCAATCTCGAGCAGAGTGTAGCTCACAAAGACTTTGAACTACAGCGTGTGCTACAGGTAATATTTATGAACTTGCATGGTACATACCTATTACATGGATATGGTTGGATCTTGTTTTTCATGAGGAATTTGCGCATTGTGTACGGCAATTTATTGTAAATATGTATATATGTGAACTGTACATCCTGTGTCCCAAGTGCAGGAATCCCCATTATTGCACTTTGGTGATAGCCTGGAGGGCACATTGTTATACTCGTTGTATATAAATTTATACATATATAGGAAGTTTTTGTGTTTTGATTCTCCGTAATAACAGTGCTCGATGTGTGTAGGCAAAACGTAAATATACAGGTAGCAGAAAAAATTCACAAAAGTACAATATTGGGATGAAAATTTAGTTTTGTGAATTTTTTCGTCTACCTTACAAACTTTTTTTTCTTTTTTTATATAAATACATTTTGGTGATCTTCATCTCTTGATGTATTTTAGATATAATCAGTTTCTTGTTCTAGGTTTGCACCATCTTGCATAACTTTTCATTTGACAAAACCGATTCCTCTGTTCTGTCCTCACATCCAATGTGCATAAGGTAAAAATTTTGGTTTTACTCTGTTTTCAATATCTCGACGTTCTCTACGTTCTTAATCGTGTTTTTCTTTGCTTCACAAGGTTCTTGATGCTGTGCCTTCACAGCAAAATTGGTTCGCTGAAGAAACTGGCGACAGATACCATTGCGAACCTCGCTGATAAGATGATTTTAGAGCCGGTCGAATCTTTGAATTCGCAACTGTTGTTCTTCATGATCGACTCCTATCTCAACGGTTGTGATCGCTACAACAGGCTTTGTGGTTAGTTGCATTTGAAACGTCTGAACAATAATAGTGCTTGTTATAGCTACATTTTGTAAAAATTGATGTGGCATCCACAGGACGATGTTCGGTCGTTCAGGATGAGTCATAGGTACATATGGTATTTATGATATTAAAGAATCTGACAATGTATATGGTTATAGTCTTCGAGGTTATTTTTCTTTATTTTTGAATTTTCACACGTTAAGCTATCGCGATTACAATGGCTCCGCCGAGACGAGAGTATGATTAATGACATTTTGGTTTTGTTGTATTTACATTTAGCCATCAACGTTTTACGGAAATTATGCCTCAGGGAAGAGAACCACGAGTTTATATGCAACGCTTTGGACGTGCGAATCTACGAGGTTCTCGTGACTATTTTGCTTCTGGAAGACGTGCAGGTATATACTTCATGTTCCAGATTTCTTTTTCTTTCATGAATAGAATTTTTTGATTATGAGATTCAGAAAAATGTTTACACGGCCCGATGGCTGATTGTTCCCGTTTTGTCTTGCACTCCGGAAACTTTGCCTCCGAGAAATTTTGAATTTTTTGAAAAGTACGAAGGATTTTTTTTAAATTTAGCTATTAATAGCATCACTTGAAGCGCTTTACCAGTTAACTAATCTTGGTCAAGTTCCCTGTGATTATGTCGTAGCTGTGGAAAAGAGTATCGGTATGTGGAAATCATTTGTTTATAGTAGACTGTAGTGCTGATGCTATTAGGCCTTTCATTATCTTTACGACGCATTTGGTTATTAACTATTGCTGTTGTCAGTTGCAAATTATCGAGTAGGTTAGGTACGCTTAAGCCTACAGCCCGAGCTTCGGAGAGGCTCGTAGTATTTAAACATAATTAGTGTTTAGTTTTTGCTATTCCAGACTAGCTAAATGTTCTCAGCGGTCCAACTGTTTATGCTGTTGAAAACTGTACAAGCGATTGAATATTGAGGAAAAATAGCTTTCGTACTATCTACTGTTTAAATGCACAATGCCCAGAAATCATAATATAGTGGGTTTTCCCAGGTTACCCTGGTCATGTAAGTGGTTTTCGAAATTTTGTTTGAACTTTAAAATGAGCTTTTCCATGTTGTTTACACACTATGGGTTATAAACACAAGCCAGGAAATGCAAAGAAACGTTAGGAGCACAAACGTCGTCAGGAGACTAAACTTAGGGTTTGGATTAGTTCATAAATATTTCTTCAAGGCCCACAACTTTGTCTTAGCCTACAGGTCCCGTAACTAGTCATCCTCCACAGGCTGTTGTAGCCCTCTTCATTAAGGAATTTTTTCTGTGATATGGTTACCTTGTTTTTGTGTAGTGTTATTTCAGTTTGATGTTAAATTTCCCAGGGTGGAGGCGAGACTGGGAATATTTAAACGAAATTCAATGATGACTTGTTGGAATTACTACATTGCTGAAGAAATATGATATTGTTCTCTTACGATCAGGCTCTCGAATGTTTGTTTTTACACCACTTCTACATTCACATTGAAAAATAGTACACAGACAGACTAGGTGCCATGTCGTCTTTATTTCAAAGATATGTAAAGACATTTTTGTTGGTTCATGCAATAATGTGTCTTTGTGTCTTTTCATGTACGCTCCCAAAGGTTTGCCACTGTTTGTGTCTAAGACAGTTGAATCACGATGTGATGAAATACTTGGTGTAGCACACAACCAGTTTTTTTCTTTTACATCACTGTTGAGTTGTGGCATGTTTTGTTTCATGAATAGCGCTTTGCGCTTTAAACACGAGAAGTTAATTAGGATTGTTATTTTCACAACGATGTAAAAACCTATTATTGCATACTCCCGTTTCTTGCGTAAAGTAGCCATGAATTCAAGTTAGCACATACTTAAATAGATATGGGAATGTCTTTTTTGAAATGAAGACGAAGTATTACAAACCAAGTCTGTTTTTGAATTTGAATCTCAAGATCAAATTGCTCTTTGATGGTGGAAATTCCCATATTAATCCACCATGTTGCAAGTTCATTAAAGAGAGGATTTAGAAAGGATATTATGTAAAGTGGATACACCAAAAGGGCATTTCTAAGTGGCCTTAACGAGTGCCAGGCAACTTTTTCTCAATAAGCGAACAATTGTTCTGTGTACTTTCTCAAAAGTAAGATTTTGGTGTGGCGAATCGGTGTTTAAATTCTTTGATTGTCAAAACCGAGGTCAACACGAAAGTTGCTGCTTTTTCTGACAAAACTATTTATTATAAAATTAACATATTCAGCTTATAAAGTTATTTGGCCTACAAGATCAAAAGAGATAATGTTCTGAATAAACATCGTTAACATTGAATACTTTAAATATTAGAAATTCTTGTTGCTATACTCCACGTTTGCGTGGAGTCTTTCAATGCCGACATGTTGGCTGAGATGAAAGTGGTGGATAACTACCAAGGGACTGTAGTAGGTGCGTATGTATAAACATGCTCACTTGCAATGCGCTAATGAGAGTTTGATTATAGATCTAGCCTAATGTGACATGCGGTTGTTTTTATAATCTCTAGTTTCATCTACTGCGTCGGCAGGTAAACATTTGCAGCAAAAATCGCTTGCAAGCAGCAGCACAACAGAGGCGAGCCATGTTTCGGATGCTGAGGCCGAGGTTATCGCCCATCATTGGTGAGTACCATTTTCCTATGAATTTTAAAGAATAAAGGATGCATTTGGATTTTGTTGGATTGAAATACAAAAACCGAGAACACCCGTTTTGTGCATGTTTTGAAAGGTTGCCATAAACCTTTTTGAATGGAAGAGACGAACATGTCATGACTCTTACTTTGATCTTACCAAATATGATGATGTGTGGATCATTTATTACATCATCCTCTTGCTTAAGACCAATTTCCACATTAGAGGTAACGCGCACTGAAACTTATCAAAACAGTATGTGTCTTAACAATGTCAGCTATTGTTTATTTGTCTACTGACGTACGTAGCAGCTTTATAGTTGATATTGCATAAACTTTTATTTCAATATGCGAATCGCCCGGAAATGCTGAATATTGCATTTTCAAACTGCGCATGCACAATGATATCTTACGTTTCTGATACCGAAAATGGAAAAGGTGTTAAGTCTGGTCATCACTTAAAAAACACAAGGATAAGCATACGTGTTCTCACCAGCAATAACATTAGCATATAAGCACAAAGAGTTATGTTGATCTTATGCTTATGCTTATGTATATGTCCGTAAGTGTGGAGCAGGCTTTACTGTAATTCAGCGATCTGTGCTGTTACTTACGTTGTGATTTTATAGGCTTCGTAATCTTTATGATGTCGATTCCTCGAGCTCTGTACTTCAACGTGATCTTTATGCGGATTACATGACGTCTTGTGGTAAAACAGCGAAGAATACTCTCAATGTTTCCTCGTTCTTCAAAATTGTCAGGTAAGGAACGCTTCTTTGTTGGATGAGCGGCTCTTTTACACGTGATCGTGGCGTCTAAATCGGTATATATTTTTTCTTTTCTCTTGTCCGAAAAGGTCTCTGTTCCCAAACTTACAAATCGTTAAATTGTCTGGTGGAGGTCAAACTCTTTATGCTCTTGTGGGGATGAGACGTAAGCTGCCCCCTGGTCAATACTTCATGCAAGCGCCTGCAAGTCATCCTGCCCCCTTACCGCAGGCAAGTTTGCCACCTTCAACCCGTACTATGCAGAAAACTGCATCAGCCCCTATGGATCCTAGTCATTTTAGAACATTACCCACATCGCCAGCGGCTGCTAATATTCCCAATCGTCCACAGTCTCCTTTTCGTGGTCAAAGGCATGACGCAATACTCGCAGCCGGTGGACAGTCTGCTAGTTTACAATCGAATGTAAGACCCGTAAACTCTGCCTCTTTGCCTGTTGGTATGAGTGCTTCAGAGTACTTGGGAAGTTTAGCCGGTTCAAAACAAGGTGTTCAAAATAATGTTTCTACGATTTCTTGCTCCATTGTTTCAAACACGGCTTCACGTTTAGCTGCTCCTGCGTCGTTAAGTCATGAACCAATCAGCGTCAACTCGACTTCGAAAGGAAGCCCGGTGGGGGTGACTTCAATTCCTAGTTCCTTTCAATCAGGTGCTGTCTCTAATATTGCTAGCAAAACGAATGGCAATCACGCGAGCAACAACAGTAAAGCCCATGGATACACCATGAACGCATGCAGCAATAGCGTGAAAACACGTGTTCAAACTATTTCGAACGAAAATCGTAACATCATCGATAAAACAGCAACAGTGAATGGGACTGGGGATAAGTCGAAAACTTTAAACTCGTGTTCTCCATTGCAAACAAGCGCTCCCGTTGCAAATGGGTGAGATTTTTTTTTCTATTTATTTAATTACGAGTTCTTCTGTCTTTTCCAGTTTGGATATTTTCTAAGGATGGTTTTGACTGTGATGGATAACGATAGTTTCAGCATAATATCAAGAATTATTCAGACCGAGGTCAATGTTATATGCCGAAGCGAAGCTTCTGTGAAAAACCCTGACTGAGGTCGGAATGATTCTTGATATGCGCAAAACCGAATTCAACAATTATTAATCTTATGATACGTTACCAACAGATGGCAAAACATTGAGATTTATCTGTAGGCTCTTAGCCAATCACAATCCAAATTGCACCGTATAATAATTGTATAATAATCCTAGTTAACGGTGTTTTTTTTTGTTTTGCAGACCCACGGTCAACGGCGCTCTTTACGTTGGTGAAGAAGAATCAGCTGCAAAAGTTTTATCCGAATGCAGCGAAGTAGTTATTTCCGTTGTGGAGAATTCGCGAGCAACTACTAGACGACCGAGTGATGAGGTGTTTCCTGGTGGGTTGGTATCAACTAAGAAAAGACCACCATCCATACTGGGTGATGTCACAGCCAAGGATGGGGAACAAACTTTGCTCATTAATGGCCCATTTGTCGCGAGCGAAATGTTACGGAACGTTGCTAAGCGTCAGCGAAAACAATCGCAAACCACGTCACACTTAAATGGGTCTTCGGAGCAAAAAGGTCTGGGGGCTTGGGACGAAATTGTAAAAACGCAGGCGAAGCCTCCTTTGACTTTGCCAAAGCTGCCGATTGCAGTAAATGGGGTTCGACTGGACGTTTTATCTGAACCTATAAAGAACCATAATCCTGGAACAACTACCAGCAGAGAAGTTGGTAATATGTCACACAGCAATACCAATGCTGGTATTAACCACAACACTGAAATCGCTGGCAATGGTGGTAGCAATGCAAATGTATCTGTCAGTAACTTTGAGAGTACAAAAAGTCGAAGTGCTGCCGGTGACGTTGCGATGAGTGTTGGCAATAGTAGTTCGGTCAATGCTGTTTTAGCGGCAAGAAAAAATGCGGATGTAAGCGAATCTTCTGGAGTCGTAACCGAATCTTTGCCATCTGTGAATTCACGTGAACAAACTTTGATTAGTAATTCTGTAACTACGGTTGCGGATAGTGCTGTTCGTACTACGGTTGGAATCTCAACTCCACAAGATGAGAAACATGAGAGCAATTCCCGGGTGGAGAAATCACCCGCTGGGGTTTCAACATTTAGATGTTTGTGGGCTGGTTGTGATAGGTAAGAAATATGACAGAAGAGAAAACTTCTGGCGCTGTGTACACATTTAGATATCTGTGGGCTCTCTTGTGAATTGTCATAGTTAAGCCTGTTATGCTTTTCTAGCACCTTAGATATCATGGAAACGAAGACTGATCTCACTAATTTATCTTTTCATTGTTAAAAATTAGCATTAAAGTTAGGAATGTAATAATGTGGTCCGTGACAGTATTGTTCTTGTTCCAGTTCATTTTCAAACTCGAAGTTGTTATATAATCATTTGGTCAGCGTTCATGCACCAAAGGAACATATGTTTACTTCATGTCAGTGGGAAGGCTGTAATCATGTTCGGCGATCGAGATCGTCACTGCTCTTCCATTTAAGGGTAAGTAAGACTACTTTGGTGTTATAACAGATGAATCTAAAATTATTTAGTTCAATTGCTTTTCAAGTGTAGTGTTTAATTTTTGGCTTGTAATATCAACTCTTTGAACTATGTATACCGCATCTTCATTGCTGCAAGGCAATTTTCATTTTTACTTTCTTAATTACAATTTGAACATGCAGTAACCTCGCTATAATTACCTTATTGTATTTTCTATTCATTGGAATATCTTATTTCAATCTTTTAGCAACGTCATTTGTCTTGCACACGAGCTAAAGACTTCAAACCCGTTAAGACTACTCCACCTGCCAGTTCCACTAATCAACCCAGTGGATCACAGCCTACACCACCTGCTCCTGCACCTCAAGGGCGTCCAATGTACCATCCACATCCCTCCGTTAACCCGTTGCTATTAAATCTAAAAGAGCAATTGTTACATGTTAGTATATGGATATTAATTCTCTGCAATGTCGATATTTTCACATCCCATTGTCATTTTTTATTGGTAGACGGAACAGGAATCGCCTTTGACCAAATCTGCTCGTCTAACATCGGCTCTTGTGCTACGAAACATAGCCAGATATTCGCAATCGGGGAGAAGGTAATAATTATCATGTTTAATTATTTGATTTCTCGTTCATTGTTTCGTAATACGTGACATGAATGCTAATGTGTAAGACAACCTTAAAGATGCTTGTAGATGTAGATCGTCTAGGTTAGTAAAGTCCTGAGAAGGATTGTTGTTGTTGATGTTGACTGACGTTTCGAAAAAATTAGTGGTAGTCATCTTAAGAGTTAAACGATTGTGCAAGCCGGAAATTGAAACAAAACTTTATAATTGTTTAAATCGAGAATTTGCACTCGAAAAGCAAGTTTAACTTACACGTGTTTTTCCAATATTTTTTGCCAAAAATAATAAACTTTTTTGTAAGTTGTGGTTTGACGACATGAATATATGAATTTCGTTGCTTTCCGAATATTTAGAAGATTAAAGCGTTTCGAGTCGTCATTCGCTGAGATAATCTGCTCAAAAGTCGAGTCAAGTGGTGTAATCGCCGTTTGTCTTCACGAATTAACACGATTGCGCAAGGAAGACACGCTTCCAAAGAGATGACCGTCAGAAACGGGGCTAAAGGGATTTCGGGACCTATATTATTTATTATGTATTATATGAAATATTCAAAACCGTCTATTATAAAAAATTATGAACAACTTACATCTTTTGTTCTGGATGATCTATAATTGCAGCAAATGTTGGTGATCAAGGCGAGCCCTTCTCCTCAATTTCCGATTGATGGGTTTTATAGTATGTGTGAAGCATTTGTGTTTCATGTCACTGTCCAGTTTTAACCACACAAAAAGGATCAATCAAATTTTGAAAATTTTGCTGAAATCATTCAATTCGATATAAAAGTGGAGAATAATCATTAGGCTGAGATTACAATCAAACTCGTCAATCTGTTTTTTTTGCTTCTTGTAGCCAGTTGAAACGCAATCAGAGAAGTGTAAATTTATAAAATGAGATAGTTGATTTATGACTGCAGAGAGGCTCTAAGTCCTGACGTAAATTTATGTTACACCGAACTGAAAAGTCTGAAAGTAACGGCAACTCTCTCGTTTACGCCCAATGCCATTTTCCACACAACGTATATGGTTTGTCTATACAGGTTTTGCTTTCCATAACAATATACCCTCCCTCCCTCCTTTCTCGCCAACACCACCTTCGTTTGTCGCTTGTGTATAAATTATCTCGAATGATAGACCAACGTTGGCTATAAATTGCTCGATTTGTATTGATTTAGGTGAAAGTGTTGTCGATATACCGTAATGTACCTGTACATATATATTTATTTCGAAGAAATTTCTCGCTGTTTCTTTGTATCGTAAACTGTCGTTATAATCTTTTAAATGTTCACGTTTTACTGTTGAAGTATATTTACACGACTGTTGTGTTTTTACTCGGTCATTTTTAGATATTTTCAATGTACCTGCTTCCTTGCTAAATGTGAGAGATATTTATTGCAAGAGTACTTTACTCTAGCTTTTACAATTTGACTTTTTTATGATTGTTTTTTTTTTGCATTCGTACTTAACAGTTTTGTTAGACTCGTGATTTGGTTTTGTACATGTGAGGTGCACGTGCGTCTTTCCGGTGGAAAGTGGCGGAGGGATGGGGCTCATATGATTGTGTTAAACTATTTGGTTTTAGTCACACGTTTTCAAAGTAGTGTCCAATGGGGTTAAAGTTTGATGTAGTCGAGGTCAGCGGTCAACCAACATCAAAGTAAGCATGACATCCGTTACTGGTCGACCCGTTTCATTACCTATTTGAAATAACATACCAAATATCAACTCACGTGTGCACCGGCAGCACAGCAATGACGCACACGCGTTATGACGCACGGCCTTGATGAAAACGCTAAAATAAATATGCAACCTTGGTAAGCTACCTACTGAACTTGCGGCCGTGGTGGAAGGATTGGAACTAGTTGGGCCGTGCATGGAAGGATTGGAACTAGTTGGATTGAAGGCTTTCAACTTTGGCGGGAACTAAAACTAGCCTTCCCACAAGAGTGATAAACATGATGGCGGAGTTTCACTTTCGAAAGACTCGTTAAACTGTTACGTTTGGTCTAACAATAACGTCAACAGTTAAAACATTCTGGGTTGTTTTGCTCCAACGTATAATGTAGAACATTTCGTTACCTGCTGAAGCAGTTTGCCGAGGTAGGAATGTAGAAAATTGAAGAAGTGAACCATTTGCTAATTGCTCAAGACAGTTATCGAAGGATTTCAAAACGAAGACACGATATAAATTTTGTATGTGAAATACTTTTGTTTCTGAATTATTCGTAGATGAAGTGCTTAAATGTTAAGAAAATATTTCTAATATTCATATCATAATGTCTTGTCAGCTTTTCAACTAGCGAAGTAGACGGTAAGTTTTTAATGAAACTACAATCGTACACAGTAATCACTGCCTATTAATACTAGCTGTACATATCAACACAATCAAATTCTTCTAAATCTTGCTGAGGTATGTTAAACGCAGAATTTTGTTGTGTTTTCTTTAACTTTAGTTTTGTGAGGCCTTCCTAAATCATTGTTTGGTTTTCTTTGTTGACTGTGGTTTCACTTTGTGCGCTTTCTTTGTGGTCTCTGTCTTCCTTGGGACTCCCGACTTTTTCTGTACCCCACTCAATCCTCCTGTAATGAAGGAAATACTCCAAGCTTGGTAGTTTGAAAGTCTTCAAGTATGACGCATAAAATTGTAGGTGTTAGTAGCTACACAGTTTTTATATGATTTTTACCTCCCATTGATGTTGTGCCAGGCAATGCAGCACTTATTGCCGCATCTCCACCTAGTCCCCCTCCAAACCTGGATAATCCACCTTGATTCATCATTTCTCCTCCACCTCCCAATGCAGCAGTTAAACCACCTTGGGCTCCTCCTATTGCTCCTCCAGCACTTCCTGTGTTACCCATTAATGCTCCCATGCCACCTCCTAAACCACCTGCATTAACTCCACCAATAGGGAGCCCAGACGGCATTCCACTTGCTAACCCAGGGCTTCCTCCACCAAGAAGTTGTTCTAGTTGACCTGAACCACTTCCCATACTTCCTAATCCTCCCATACCTCCTAATCCTCCCATACCTCCTAATCCTTCCATACCTCCTAATGCTCCCATTCCTCCTAATCCTCCCATCATTCCCATCATGCCTCCACCTAAACCACCGCCACCACCAAGGCCTGCCATACCACCTAGAATTCCCCTGGGTACCAGTATTGGCAAAGCTGGTAGGTTAGACCTACTCCATAAGAACGGAGTTTGAGCCATGCCAGAGGGAACTGCGGCTGATGGCCATCTAAATCTGTAAAAAAGACGTTGGTTAATACTCTACATTTTAAGCTTTCGTAGGCAGTTTTGATCGATCAGATGCTATCGGTAATTCCATCACTGTTAATTGTCTTCTCCTATTTCAAGGCTTGCTATGCCAAAGCCTTCTTAAACTTCTGTATTTTTCACGTACCCAGCACCAAAAGGAAATGGATCAGCAGGTGGCTCTGGATATCTAAAAAACAGTCGTGAAAACGGTTGCAAATGATACCTAAGGAATAGGCTAAGTTTTTATCTGCCATTCCCACCTTTCTTCATCAAACATTCAATTTTACCTTAAATTGGGTACTCCCAATGGCTCGGCTGACACTGGCGTGAATATTGGAGACACTTGTCTTTTTTGCATTTTCAAATCTTTTTCGTCTATGGATCTTCTCTGAAATGTATGAGATAGAAGTACAAAATCAGAGTTTTGTTTTATTCAAGAAACTGCTATTACACAAACAATGTATGACGATAAAGTGTTTTTGTCTTCGCTAATTTACCTTAAAGTATTTTGGTCTATTCACAGACGATCTCCTCGTGGTTTGGACATCTACCTTTACACGTGGGGAACCAACGTGGATATTTCGTGTTGGCGGGACATCCATCGGTGCGTACGCATAGGATATAGGTCGCGGCGGAGAACTGGCTGCAATTCTTGGATCTGTTACCAGTGGAACCTTTAAATTTGTGGAATTTGGCATGATGTCATGATAAGGTACGAGGGTAGTTGGTAGTTGAGTCTTTAACACTTAAAATGTCACGATTTCGATTTGACTTCTCGGTGTTTACTGATGTATTTTTAAAACAACGAGTCCTGATTCCCGTGTGTTTTTGTTGTTGTTTTTAAAAGCATTAAATGTACTTGTTACTGAAAAGCTCATTTAATATGTAAAAGAAATGTTGAACTATTGACCTTCCTGTTAAAATACCGACATGGGATAAATCGTGGACCCTGTTACAACTCGCGCTGAGTTTTAAAAAGAAAAATGAAACAAAAAAAAAGAAACTGTTGTCCTCCAATTTTCATAAAACTGCGCCTTGTGTCTTAAAAATTTCAGCAGCTAGTGTATAGAGTATATGGTATTAAGTTTTTCTACTTGCCGAAAGTGAACCTGCGACAGGTGATGAGTATGGTGCTCCATCAATAAGCGATGATGCTATAGGCATCGGGACTGTTTGCCGTTTGGCGTATTTTGTCTGGTCATTCTTCTTCTTTTTGAGGGATTTACTTTCCTCCGTGCTTTGGTCAGGTAAATTGCCGCTTGAGCTTTCATCTTTATTATCTATTTTATCGACGAGAAAGGATTCATTTTCAACGTGTATGACATTCATAATGTAATTCTGTTGTTATTCATGGCTTCAAGCACAGACAGTAATCAAGACTTTACATAGTGTAAGACTATACATATAGACTATACAAGTAATATATATATATAGACTATACACTATACATATCCCATGGATATGTGTAGTGTATAGTCTATATATATATATATATATATACAAAGTGTATAACAATGAAGTATATTATATATATATATATATAATATACTACACTTTGTATACAGTAAATGGTTTGAACCCTGGAGTATCGTTACATGTTTGTAAATGTCGATCGTCCAGGTTGGTATAGTCCTGAGAAGGACTGTTTTTGTTGTTGTTGACTGACGTTTCGACAACCCTAGCGGTAGTCATCTTCAGAGTCAAATGAGGAGTAAACGTCAGGTTAGCCGTATTTGTTATCTGGTTCTTACGTCATTGTATTGTGTGTACAGGAAATGTTTATTGTCATTGTGAATTAGTATGAAGTGAAATATTTTTATTTTTAGTTGTGATGTGTGATTTAGGTGTGATGTTTTTAGTTACAACTAAAACCACACATTATATATATACAAAGTGTATAACAATGTGCCCTCCCAGCTATCACCATAGTAAAATGGTGACTTCTGCACTTGGGACACAGGATGTACGGTTGTAGTGTATAGTCTTATATAAATGTATTGTCTAAAGTTACCTAATGTAATTTATCTGAAAACATGTGCGACCCACAAAAATTGACATTCTCTTTGGCCTTTTAACAAACGCCACACTCTGCAAACTTTGATACGGCAAAGTAATAAAAAATTCATGAAATACAATGTTCCGCACAGACTCTAACTCTGAGAATCGCCACAACATCTACCTTGACTTGTTCTCATAAAAGTTGCTCTCATCAAATAAGGTCAAAACAATCATTGTTTACAATGTTGTATAGTATTTTGAAAGTCAAACCAATGAATCAATTGTCAATTGAGAAATTCTATACCGTATTTGTGGCGCATCTCATCATTTTCTTTTTGTTTGCTGTCGTGTGCCTTTTGGCTGTTTTTCTCTTCTATATTATTTTGTATACCTTCCAAATTTGTCGTTTGAGAATCCTTTTCCTCGTTATTGCTGCTTTTGTCTGCCCTTACACTCGAGCGATAATGTCCTCCAAATCCTCCTTGGACTAAATTACTCCCAAGCATTGTTGATGAGTCTTGACCCAACCCTAAACCAACTCCAAAACCAGTGCCCCCTAACCCAAAGGGTACCCCACTGTATCCTCCTCCTAAACCGTAATCTCCAAAACCCGGGTAACCCATCCTTGTCCATCTCCGTGAATATTTCCACCTATTGTTGATCCAATCACTTGTCGTCTTTGTGAGTGTCCCGTGTCCTCATCACGAGTCTTCGTGTTCGCTTTATCACGTGTTACCTTAGAACGATATAATCCATTGCGGCCAAATCCTGCACTGTTGGGTAACGGAACACCTGTAGCCAGATTGTAACCGTATGAGTAGCTAGTTGGATATGGTGAAGGATAGAATTTTCCTGTGACGCCTGCATAAGTACTCGGGTGAAAACCTATGATTTGCTTACGATCGATTTTATCAGATGAATTTTTCTTCTTGCGTTTAGGAACTTTAGATCGGTAAAACCCAAATGGATAGCCAAGACCAGGGTAGCCATAGCCATAGCCCAGACCATAGCCATAGCCCAGACCATAACCCAACCCGTACCCTGGTATTCCTGCTCCATTGGCTAAACCATATGAAAGATAAGGAGCATCTAAGTATGATGGAAAACATCTCTTGCCGCTTTTCCTTTTCCTTTCCCTTTTGGTACTTTAGACTTACACAGCCCATAAGGGTAACCGTATGAACCAATGCCGTACCCGAACCCTGGGTAACCAATAAGTTGGCTAAACCCTGGAAAGAGTCCTACTCCAAGCCATGGCGAGACTCCTAATCCACCATAGCCAAAACCGTCTCCAAGCCAGCGTTTTGCTGTTTTTTTAGCAGACTTTTGCCCAGGCGCTGATGCATAGAATGGACGGTCGATGAATCCTGGGAAATAACTCGGGAATCCATGCTCCGGACTTCCATGCCCCGGGTATCCATAACCCGGGTATCCATACCCCGGGAATCCAAACCAGATGCCATATGGTCCTAGTCCTCTGTAGTGACCAAGACCGTAGTCACCACCATCATAACCGAAACAGCGCTTGGCCGAGCGGTTCTTGCCTTTAGGAACCATGCATCGTACAAAATAAGGTGGCATTCTCTGATGGACGTTAATCGGGAAATCATAAATGTAAGGCATCTTGCCACTCATCCATTCCTTACCGAGTCCGTATGGTAACAATTTTTTGGTCGTTCGTACTCTTCCTTTTTTTTTATCTTTATGTCCTTCAATTTTGGAACGCAGTCCTTCAGGCTGTACCGGCGTGACAGATCCAAGATATCCATTGTTACCAAAGTAACCTGGGTCTATTGTGGCTTGTGGTGAGCCAAGGTGAGGTCCAATATGGATTGCGTTGACCATTTGTTTTTTCGCAGCTTTGGCATTCACTTATTAGCGAAATCAAATATGAACGAATTAGTGTCGTATTGAGATTTGTGGTGAAACATACAGCTATCGATATAAATTACACCTCATATTATACACCTCACGCATGCTTAGTTATTTTAGCGCGCACTGTTGTGTTTCAAAGTTTGCTGTCAGGGTTTTTTTAGCAGATGTGCTTTCGTGAACATAGCTGTAAACTATCTACTCTATCATACCGTGGGAAAGTCAAATTTATATTTCGCGTGTATTTTACTGTGAAGACGCAATAGACACTGAATCTTAAGAACTACCCGTTCAAAATACTAACGCATGAAATGCGAAAAGACACATTATACATAACTTCTTGCTGACATTTCTAATCTTCCGTACCTTTGTTATTATAGTTTGTTTCTCTTTTTTGTTTTGGCAAACTATCATCTTTATCGAACAGTTTTTGAAACAATTTTCGAATAAATCGCGGCATCGGTTCACGCGTTTTCATATCTTCAAGCCCCATTGTATTGGCAGCGAGAAAAGTCAGAATCATGGCTGTGAACATTTGGGTCCTTTTCATCATTTTGGCGATTCACTATCGAAAGCGCAGTCGTTAGTTAATTGTAGTTTTTCGACAAGCGAAGTTTTATGGAATCATAGCTTACTTGGCGATGATCAATTTCTGACTTTTGATGCGTAAATCACCTGTAATTTTCCTTTCAAAAGTGCATTTGTGTTTATAGATCTTTAGATGATTCATTAAATATTAACAGCGACGAACGTTGAACTGTATCAATAACTGGACGGCTAACTTTCTGTTAGTAAATTTGTCTTCACTTGCGTTTTCGCTATATATATTAAGTCCTGTATGTTGTATCTAATATTGTTGTTATGAAGTTTTGGACATGCGTGAAAGGACTGGGATTTACCGATTTCTTTTACTGCTGGAATTTCGGCTTCGGTTGGAAATGATCGTTGATTGACATTTCTTTTAGACAGCTAATAAATAATTGAAAATATATCACGAACATTCACATAGCTAAAATGTTGATTGAATACAGAATTCACATGCCAGTCATCCTCTTGATTTGGAAAAAGCTGCGATTGCAATACGTTCGTTAACTTTTACACTCAAACTAGCAACATCGACTCCAATTTACATATCCAAAAACGTTCTGTTTTAAATGCCGGGCTACAGAGCAAGCTGCTGGAATACCGACTGAAGTTACTAAAAAACAAAATGTTAGCAAAATGGTTGAAGTTAGCGAATTGATTATTATCATGATAAGGTGGATGATGAGGATGAGAATGAAGGGGATGGTGATGATGAGAATATTGATGAAGAGGATTAAGATGAGGATAATGATGATCGGAACGAGGATGATAATGATGATGTTGATGATAACGAGGATGATGATGAGGACGATAGTGACGATGACGACGATAATGATGATGTTTATGATAACAAAGAGGATGATGATGAGGATAATAATGATGGTGAAGATGATGATGAGGATAATAATGATGGTGAAGATTATGATGAGGATAATAATGATAATAATGATGGTGAAGAAGATGAAGGGGATGATGGTGATTATTGATTTAATTATCTGCCTTAATTCGTCATTCCTCTGATCATGTTTTACTTACTTGGAAACAGTATATCTTGTTTGTGGGTAGTCATGTTTTTATACATTGGTATGATTTTAAATAAACTAGTTGTCTTGACAACAACTTTCTTGTTGCTTTTGTTTTGTTGCTCTTGCCTACGAAGATAACACACAAGTTTCAGTGTCAGTGTAAGAAAATAGTGACGACAAATTACTTCGCATCATTGTAGCGTGGAAAATAATTCTGTAATCTGATTAAGGAGAATTGCATTCTAATCCAAAATAACCAGATGATCTTGCGCTACGCTCCCAAAGCATGATGTTCAACGAAATATCCATACCAAGCAACATCGTAGTCCTATATTTCTTTCAATTACAGTTCAAAATTCAAAAGGGCAGCATATGCTGCTCATAGCTAGTCGAGTTTTCAATGTTTGTACAATTAGCGTACATAAAATACACACGGACCACCAATTCGGAAACGTAAAGAGTTAAATGTTGAAATTATTAAACTGTTAAATCTCATACATTCAAAATTTTTTTTGTATTCCTTTGTAAGGACTTTAACTCGTTTTCTATTTTTGCTGCAAGTGTAACGTGGTTACCACCACCCCCATGGACGCCAGAACCGGGTGGTTGTGAGGGCTGAAGCTCCCCACTTTTTGCAATAGCAAAACAAAAAAATGTTTAAACTGAGCTGAAGTTGTTGTTTTAAAGTGTGTTTTTTTAAGACACTATAGTAGAATTAGAGACTTAGCCCGCACACCTCATGTGTTGCTCCGCCGTCCCTGACCCCACCCGAAAAAAACTGCTGGTTCCACCTTCTGCGATAGAAAAATCCACAATTGTAACTGAACCGACTTTGTTCGTCCTCTATTCCAGGTGTCACACTCCCAGATCTTTCTAATGTGCGCCCTTCCCTAGAGTCAAGAAAAAATATCTGTTTTCATGCAGTCAATGAGAAATCGAGGCAATTAAAGTGAATATTATTTACTTAAGAAATAACAAATGTTTACTGTGTTTACACAGGCTTATGCAAACCGACGAGACCTTTGGGAGAACTGGAGAGCAGATCAGTGCAAGCCCGAGACCGAAGGTCGAGGGTTACACCTGCTCGAGAGTTCTCACAAACGTCTCCGAGGTTTTCATAAGCCAGTGCAAACACGAAAAACATCTTTTATTTCTTTCATAATAACACTAATGCGAAAAAAACAAATATTTTAATTTTTCCTCTGAAATGTATTCATGATCGATTTGCAAATTCTCTTTGACTGATTGATTGTTTTGATGGATTTGATTGGTTGAGCTCAGATGTGTTTTGCACAGGTAAATGCAACACGGCCTTAGACCAATCAGCGCACGCGTTTTATTGTTTTTATTTTATAAAGTCATTTAGTGAATAAATAAATCGTTTGTGATTTTCTGATGAATTTTTGCACAAATTTTCACTGACTTATTAATGACGAATTAGAAATACAAGCAAATCTCTTTTTTCTACACCTCACGCATGCTTAGTTATTTTAGCGCGCACTGTTGTGTTTCATAGTTTGCTGTCAGGGTTTTTTAGCAGATGTGCTTTCGTGAAAATAGCTGTAAACTATCTACTCTATCATACCGTGGGAAAGTCAAATTTATATTTCGCGTGTATTTTACTGTGAAGACGTAATAGACACTGAATCTTAAGAACTACCCGTTCAAAATACTAACGCATGAAATGCGAAAAGACACATTATACATAACTTCTTGCTGAAATACAAGCAAAGCCATTTTTCTACCCTGTTACACATATATTTTTCAAAGTATACGGTTTTTCACGTTGCTTCATTGCACATATTTTCAAACGAAGTCAAGCGAAAAGAAGTTGGGCCATTTTTACGGGTTGTAATGAAGTGCAATTTGATGCTAAATTTATATTATATTATGTTATCATTATTAGTATTACATTTTGATAATATTTCTCTAAGATGTATACGTAGAAAGCGCGTTAGAAGGCATATAGACCCTCAATAGTTTGGGTGATGTCTTGAAACTTGCACTATTTTTTGGCAATGTGTGAACTCTACCGAGCATTTATCGTGCGTGCCAGTTTTATACGATTTTCCTTCGCTTATGCCAAGGACTTTGCACAGCGTTTGTGTTCGAGTTTTTCATTGTTCGCAATATGACTTTTGGTCAAAGTACTGTAGAAAAAAATTTAAAAATCCTTTAATAAAAAGGTTTCTAAATTATGTGATATTTTTTAAACTTTCAATTCAATGACATTTCTCGAAAAATAGTTTCCAGGGCCACCATCTTCTCTATGTGTCATGCATCTGCGTTATTATACTTTGCAAAATTAGGCAAACTTCTACTAAAGGAACATTTGGCGGCCGTTATTCTACATTTTTGCTAAATCCTCAGGCTGACACTGTCTGCTTTGAACGTGTTTTTACGCTATTTAAACATGCCTTTGTTAACTGCAGTATTGATCAGCAGGTCAATTTTTCGCTTTAAATTTTTTCTTTTGTTTTCTATGACGACATGATCAAAGTTAGCGTGTAAAAGTGCGGGTACCCGTCGCTCGATATGTTAACTTTGAACAAACACATTTGACCTGTGTCGTTGAAAAGTCATTCTTACTATTCAAGCTTCGATACAGCCAAACTGCCTTTGTTCAGAAATGAATTTTTTGTACGTTTTATTCGCTTTGGTTTCGGCGGCTACTTTGTGTGAAGCACTGCCTTTGGGTTATGAAATCTTTCATGGTGACGATAAACTAGACGAAGAAATGGGCAAAGGTACGTGATCTTTTTGACTTCATATTGAGATTATGTTTAATGGCATCAATTATTTGTTGAAACATTTTTCTAGTTTCAGTATTCTCACTTTTTGCCATGTGTTGACCTGGCAAAATAATTGATGATGCTGACTGTTTTTGCCATGTGTTGACCTGCACATACAATTCTAAATTTTGTAGATTTTTACGAGATGCCCAACGCAATCCATAAAGAAAAGACTGCGACTGCTGAGGATAAAGCCAAAGAACAACCACAAAAAAATGTAAACAATAAAAACGTCCACAAAGAGGAAGCACAAGTGAGCAAAGAATCGGAGGAAAGCGATAAGGCCGCTGATGAGAAGACAGATAATAAAGAAGAGGAACAAGGTGCCGAGAAATCGAAGCTAGCTTCTGAAGAAGATAAACCTGAAAAGGAAGAAGAATCAAAAGAAAGTGAAAAGGATGCTGATAAAACTGATGATAAAGAAGTGGAAAAAGATGCCGAGAAATCAAAGAGATCTTCTGAAGATGATAAACCGGAAAAAGAAGAAGAATCAAAGGAAAATGACAAGGATGCTGATGAGAAGAAGGATGATAAAGAAGAGGAAAAAGATGCCAAGAAATCAAAGAGATCTTCTGAAGATGATAAATCTGAAAAGGAAGAAGAATCGAAGCAATGCGATAAGGAGGCTGATGAGAAGGATGACAAAGAAGAAAAAGATGCCAAGAAATCACAGAGAGCTTTTGAAGATGATAAACCTGAAAAGGAAGAAGAATCAAAGGAAAGTGATAAGGAGACTGATGAAAAGAATGATGATAATGAAGAAGAAAAAGATGCCAAGAAATCAAAGAGGTCTTCTGAAGATGATAAACCTGAAAAGGAAGAAGAATCAAAGGAAAGTGATAAAGAGACTGATGAGAAGAAGGATGATAAAGAAGAGGAAAAAGATGCCAAGAAATCAAAGAGATCTTCTGAAGATGATAAACCTGAAAAGGAAGAAGAATCAAAGGAAAATGACAAGGATGCTGATGAGAAGGATGATAAAGAAGAGGCAAACGATGTCAAGAAATCAAAGAAATATTCTGAAGATGATAAACCTGAAAAGGAAGAAGAATCAAAGGAAAATGATAAGGATGCTGATGAGAAGGATGATAAAGAAGAGGAAAAAGATGCCAAGAAATCAAAGAGATCTTCTGAAGATAAACCTGAAAAGGAAGAAGAATCAAAGGAAAGTGACAAGGATGCTGATGAGAAGGATGATAAAGAAGAGGAAAGAGATGCCAAAAATCAAAGAAATCTTCTGAAGATAAACCTGAAAAGGAAGAAGAATCAAAGGAAAGTGACAAGGATGCTGATGAGAAGGATAATAAAGAAGAGGAAAAAGATGCCAAGAAATCAAAGAGATCTTCTGAAGATAAACCTGAAAAGGAAGAAGAATCAAAGGAAAGTGACAAGGATGCTGATGAGAAGGATGATAAAGAAGAGGAAAACGATGTCAAGAAATCAAAGAAATCTTCTGATGATGATAAGCCTGAAAAGGAAGAAGAATCGAAAGAAAGTGATAAGGAGACTGATGAGAAGAAGGATGATAATGAAGAAGAAAAAGATGCCAAGAAATCAAAGAGATCTTCTGAAGATGATAAACCTGAAAAGGAAGAAGAATCAAAGGAAAATGACAAGGATGCTGATGAGAAGAAGGATGATAAAGAAGAGGAAAAAAATGCCAAGAAATCAAAGAGATCTTCTGAAGATGATAAACCTGAAAAAGAAGAAGAATCAAAGCAATGCGATAAGGAAGCTGATGAGGAAGATGATAAAGAAGAAAAAAAAGATTCTGAGAAATCAAAGAGATCTTCTGAAAATGGTGAATCCGAAGAGGAAAATGAGTCAAAGGAAAGTGATTCAAAAAGTCCCCAAAAAGATAGCGAGAAAGATGATGAAAATGATGCGGAAGAACAAGTAAAAGAAAAACATGAGAAGTTGAGCAAACACAGTGATGAAGAACAAGATGATGCCGAGGATGATGATGACGATCAAGCTGATGACGAGCATCATGATGACGATCAAGATGATGACGATCATCACGATGACGACCGTGATGATGAAGAGCATCACGATGACGATCAAGATGATGACGAGTAGTTAAAAACCTTTTTACATTGACATTGCTGTGAAAATTATATTCCTTTGAACAATACATCGGGATTTCTTATAATAAGTAAAAAACAATTTTAATGTTTACTTACATTCAATTCAAATTCTTGTAGATAAATCTAAATTAAAATTACAAATAAATTGTGTTACAAGGTGATCTCCATTTGTGATTATTATAAATTTGCAAAGCTTTTGCTTTTTCTAAGCATACAAGCTTTCACTTGTTCCTCGGCGCTATAGCAATCGAGAAATCGGGCATTTAATTTTTTCCCTCGATTAACAAACATGGCAGTGATCTAATCTTGTGATTTTTTTATTTCATTGCGTTCTGCGTCAACACTCAAGTACATTGTTCAAGTTGCTCTTTTCTGAAAAGGAAATCACTTTATTCTGTACGGGGTCATTGTTTGTGATTTATGCTATTTGGTTTGTCTTTGGCTACTTTAGTGATTTCCATCAACATGAATTCTTCTGTATGTTGCGTCTTGATGTATGGTTTAAATTTAATCATGCAATGGTGGCCTCCATTTCTTTTGTTCCAGTAAGAAAAATTATAACGTATTTCCCGAATTAGAATTCACCTATTCAAATTCGAAGGTTGTATTACTAGCAATACGACCTTGCATGTTCTCTGTACTTGTAGTATTACAAACAATCCCAAATTTTGAGCTTAGAATGATAAAAAACACCACAAAGTATTCTCAAAAACACAAAAAAATTTAATTTACATGATCATTTTCAGTGTGTGAAGCATTAATTAAAACATTTCGGCAATCATAGTATAACAAAGTGAAACCATGATAGCGAGGCTACTAGTCATGAAATGTACTCGAAATCCGAGAGAGGGTAGTTTGGGAAAGTCTCTCGACTTTCGAGTACACTTAATCCTTGGGTAACCTCACTCTCAAATGTCATGGTTTTACATGTAATAAAAATTATAAAGTCAGGCCTAACTACCTTCGTATAAAGTTTTCCTGGCATGGCTTATTTTTCATTACGTTATAGGGGCACTGATGACATTGGATTGACAGATAATACCTAATCTTAACCCTAACCCTAATCTAGACCTATTCAAGGTTACAGCTAGAAAAGGTTTAGCTAAAATCAGTGCGAACCTTTGTGAAACACTCCCATTGACTTTTTTCTACTGCTGTTAGATATTTTTTGTCGAGAGTTTTTCTATCCTTTGTACATGGGGGCACGTGTTGTTTTTTTGTGGGGGTGCTCACACCCCTCTCTCCCCCTTCCATCGAGAGTTTTTCTATCCTTTGTACATGGGTGCACGTGTTTTTTTTGTGGGGGTGCTCACACCCCTCTCCCCCCTTCCATCGAGAGTATTTCTATCCTTTGTACATGGGGGACACGTGTTGTTTTTTTTTGTGGGGGTGCTCACACCCCTCTCCCCCCCTTCCATCGAGAGTTTTTCTATCCTTTGTACATGGGGGCACGTGTTGTATTTTTTTGTGGGGGTGCTCACACCCCTCTCTCCCCCTTCCATCGAGAGTTTTTCTATCCTTTGTACATGGGTGCACGTGTTTTCTGCTCACACCCTCTTTCCATCGAGAGTATTTCTATCCTTTGTACATGGGGGACACGTGTTGTTTTTTTTTGTGGGGGTGCTCACACCTCCTCCATCGAGAGTTTTTCTATCCTTTGTACATGGGGGCACGTGTTGTATTTTTTTGTGGGGGTGCTCACACCCCTCTCCCCCCTTCCCATCTTTAGCGTTAAAAAATAGTCTCCAATTTTTTTATGAGAGAACCTGCTTCCTTATACTTGAGAACACGAGTATTTACTCGTTTAATGTCATTTGTTGAAAATTGCGCACTTCATCCATCGTCGTTTTCTCACGGTTGTTTTACATAAATCAGTTCATAGATCAAAGTTGACATTTTTACTCGGCTGGTACCTGTTCTTCGCTTTGTTAGTCAAAAGAAATTTCTTATTGAAATTATCGCGTTGTTGTACGGTCCCAGCTAAATCGCTTTAATTCGACATGAAATCTCTACTTATTTCGTTGGCTTTTATTGTCGTGATGACTTTGTGTGAAGGACTACCATTAGGTGATAGCTTGACACGGATCGATGAAGAACTGAACGAGCAGATGGGCAAAGGTATGTGATGTTTGATGGAGTTCCTTTTATAAATCCAACTTACGCTGAAGTGAAAAGCCAATGAAATACGACCTAAAGTTATAGCGTTTTCTCTTATGCATGTTGCTTTGCGTTCTGCCTAAGTAATCAATTGTTTGTTTATGTATGTATTAACTTGCTAACAGATGTATAAACATCATTTCAAAGCCTTATATTGCGTAATTGTAACTATATTACTTTTTATGATCCCGAACGTGACTTACGCAAAAAGGGCTGCGATAGCTATGTGTTCAAGTATTAAGACTACACTTGTCAATCTCCATAGATTTCGACGGCATGTCTGTGGCCATGAATGCTGAAAGTTCAGAAAGTGCGGACGTCAGCACGACCAAAAAAACCGAGTATCGTCGAGTCTCGGTCCAAACAAAGGGAATCGAAACAGCAGGAAAACAAACCTGCATCACAGGTCGGTTTGTACGAATCGAAAAAGGAAGATGACTTGACGGAAAAAAGGCCGCAACAAGCGAAAGGCGAGCTTGAAGTCCCCAGTAATGAAGAATCTACCGTTGAGGAATCTTCGAGAGATAATGAAAAGATCCATGGAAAAAACAGTGAGCAAAGAAATGAAAATCAAAAGGACAATGTCGTGGAAAAGGATGGTGAAAACGAGAACGAGAACGATTCTGACGCTAAAAATGACGACGAATTAAAAAGGAAGACTGAGGAAAAGGATGACAGTAAAGAAGATGAAATTGATGAAACACAGAAACAAGATGAGCAAAAAGAAAGCGACGATGAGCAAAAAGACAACGAAGATGAGCAAAAAGACAACGAGAACGAGCAAAAAGACAACGAGGACAAGCAAAATGACAACGAAGATGAGCAAAATGACAACGAGAACGGACAAAAAGACAACGAAGATGAGCCAAAAGACAACGAAGATGTGCAAAAAGACAAAGAGGAAGGGCAAAAGGACAACGAAGAAGGGCAAAAAGACAACGAAGATAGGCGAAAGGACAATGAAAATGTGGAAGAAAAAGAAAGAAAAAACGAAAAGAATGAGAAAGAAAGAAGTAAGTGTTTTTGCATTTTGAACAGATTATTTATACATGTGCCACTGTGTAGTGATTTGTTTGATTTTAGTGTGAATTTTATACATTTTTACGCTTTTTTTGGTGTGAAGTATATATTTTTACAATTTTTGCACATTGTGTAGCATTTCCACCTTAACCAAATAAATGCTACATACTTATTATTAATTTGCTCTCTTTCTTATCTTAAAGAGCTGACCGGTCAGCAACTAAAAAACGAAAAAGCAATGAATGCTAAGCGTTTGGGGAATTTCTACGATATCTATCCTTATCCATTATGGCCCATAGATTACGGCTTAACCTATCCTATGCAATATCCTGGATATCCTTTGTATCCAATATTTGTCGTTCCCAAACCCGATGGTAGGTTGTTCTTGTGTTTTATTGATCGTGTAGAGCAAAGATCCCTTCTCAGACATGTTTCTAGTTTGACTGATTGAATGTTTTATGCCTTTAGACGAAGAAGACAAAGATAAGGAAGAGGAAAAGCCGGTGGCAAATAACGAGAAAGGATCGAAGAGGCATTTTCTTTATGGTTCACCATCTTTATACCGCAATGGTTACGGTTATGCACGCCGTTACGGCTATCTCAATGGACCACATGCTTTTCCTGTTTATTAATTTTCCCTGCACTATTTTTAATCAATTCCGTAACATTAAAGCACACGGCAAGACTTAGTCTATAAACAGTAGCGCGTCGCCTGATTCCTATAGAGAAGCACACTATTAGCGACAAGCATCATGATGATGATGATGATGATGATATAATTAAATTTTATTTCCTAGCTTGTTTCGTGTTTTTTTTTGGGACAGCTGGTTTTTACGTTTATTTCTTCTTTAGGGTAACTTTAAAGATGGCGAAGAACTTATTTTCATATAGTTTCATGATAACACCATAGATATCAAACATTTCAAAATAAAGGATCATTTTTTTACAAGTAAACCTGTTTTCAGGCATGCTTTATGCCCTCTTCAGTGTTGTGAAATGAGCAATTATTTACAAGTATTATCACGAGACTTAACTTGTTTATATCAAATTACTGAAAAGTCTACAACTTGTAAATAGAATTAATCGCTTATTCCACTGTACTGGAGATGACATTAACACGCAGGAACATGTTCACTTTGATAAAAACCATTATCGTTTATTTAAAATTTCTGTTTATTGTTATGTTCACTTGTTCTTCGAGTCATCAAAACTTTTCGTGCATCTTTTCGTCCAGTTTTGCTGACGTTGTTTTTTATGTTCCTCCACGCATCCTGAGAACATTGAAAATTCTGCTATATATTAAGATAAAAAATCTCATTATTTGCAGTTAACATCGTGTTTATCATCCAAACTTTGAGCAACTTGCATTGGAATTTGAAATTCTCTCTTTTTGTCGGGATACCATAGAATTTGTGGCCCAATGAAGAGAATACTACCTGGTACCCATTTGTGCGTATTTTTTTCCATTTTCAGCGAAAAGGACGCGGCCATATATATGGACTTTCATTCGAGAATGTGGTTCATCTTTGAGGTCGACATCTGAAGATTTTCAATGTTTCAAACAACGAAGTTGTAGAAAAATAGGTTTCACTCTCGTCTCATTCCCATCACTCATTTCTTGACTATTTTCATGCACGTATGCTTCTGAAATGCAATTTTGTTTTCAACGCGTATTTCTGTCAATAAATTCTATTTTATTAAGCGTTCTGAATCTTGTATTAAAAACAAATTCATGGTAAACTGATTCTCTTTCCTGCAATGTACATTGGATTACAACCGACGTAAAAAATCTTGGTGTTTTTCCAATCGTGCTCCAAATTTTTTTATCTTTAGTCACCTTAATATTATTTCCATGGTTTTCAACTGTGTTCTGTTGTGAAAGAAGATTCATCACTTCCCCAATAAAGAACATAGACAAATACAAATTGCCTGGAATCCACGGCACTGTAAGACCACCATATCCAATTTTTCCAATGAGGCTTTGTTCATCTTTGTGGAACAGGTATATGCTTCGCTTCATTTATCCTTATCTTTATTCAAAAGGATATTTGACCTTGTGATGTCTTTGATAAATCTTTGAAAATATGGCTCTCAAACTCATTTTGCAAGCGTCAGGTTTATTGATGTTGCTACTCGTGCTAGCTGGAGCTCGTTCGCTCGACCCTGGTCGCAAAAAGAAGAAGTTTCATACAGATGCTTCAAGATGGAAACAAAAGATAGATGGTTGGAGTCCCTGGCCATTTTTACCGAGTCCTGGAAGACGTCATGGTGCTAATAATTTATATCCATTTATGATCATATCACCACCAGGTGAGAGAGTTACGATTCAATGGAGAACATTAACATCAATCTTATTTATTTTCTTTCCTCATATATGTATCCATAATTATCTATTTATTTCTATTTTCCAATCCTTCATTACCGTACGTTATCCATGTTTCAAATTTTTCAAGCCAATTGCCAGTTAGCATGATTCCTTTTTTCATGTGTAGGGAAGTCAAAAAAGAACGAAGATCATTCATTTGATGAAAGAGGAAGCAAGTATTTTTCACGTCGTCACGGTTTGCAAAATACCTCGCGGAAAAACGTTGGTGGCTACCTTCCGCTGTACGACGTTGTTCGGTGCAATTATCCTGTATATCGGCCATTGTTTATAAGCTATTTTAGAAGCCATTTTATGGAAGACCCCAGTTACCCACTTTTCTTACCTCCTTTTCTTCCTAGTAAAAGGTATGTCATTTTCAATGATGTTGTTTTGTCCTTATTCTTACCATGTTTCTTTGATGTTTTATGCATGTGATCACCTTTTAATATGTTCTCCCTTGTAGATCTCACAACAAAAAATTGGGATTCTTACGAAACTTAAATGAAAAAAGACAATTTGTGCCACGTCATCATTGGGCATTCAGCCAATGGCCATTCGACTCGCACGAGTATGCGCAAAATACAGATCCCATCTCCCTCTCAAATCATCCTCATCTTCCAAGATGTGGACCAGTGGAGTGGGGAGGTGCAGGACCTGGCTCTCATTGGGCTAGAAATTGTCAGGGTTTGCTCTCACCTTTTGGTATTGGACTTGCCCCTCAAATGAGTGGTCAAGGTTGTAGTAGTTTTGCCGTGCACCTACCTACAGGTTTTTGATCTCAACTATCGTAAAGATCAAATTAAGGAGAATTTTCCTTGAATATCTATGGAAATCAGCATTCTGTGGACTTAAGCCTCACTTGGATGTCGTGTTCAGTGTTAATGACGGAAAGAATTGTGCAACCGGGTGACGTCATGCTATAATTCGCTTTTTTTGTTCGCCAACATTGAGGCCATGGATGTCTTAACCATTTTCATCGTATATAACGTTTGTCGTTGGATTGACTCTTTTGAGGCTTCCTACATGTAATTTTTTCGATGTCGTAAAGCTTTTATTGCTTTGGTTGAGTTTCATGTAAACACAGTGTTGTATTGGTGGTATGCAACCATTCCCCTGAGAGCAAGAGAAAAACCGAATGTTCACCATGTTGGATGAAATTTGCATTGTAAATAAGGAAAATCCTTCGTTAAAATCATCCAACATAGCGGCTATGACGTAGCTTGCATACCAAGAATTGCCAAAATTATATCAATGGGGGGGGGGGCTCTATTTCATGTATTATAACTACTGCTGGCTCTCTGATACATATTTACCGATATCTGCTACCAATACTCTGCAAATGAAATGATAGTATACAATAGAATATCAAAAACCGCACAAATAAAATGAATTCAAAGAATGCAAAGCAAAACTGATTGAATTGGCAAACTACTGATGACTGAGTGCTTTTTGTTTTTAATATGCTACCCAGACAGTGTGTTCCCCACAAAAATCAATCTATAGGAATCATTTCGTTCTGCTAAACGCACGTGATTACGCGCAAGGAAACTAAAAAGTAAATTATGTTTGTGTAAAGTTGTGTGGACACAAGTTTCCTTGTGTGCAATCACGTGGTTTTAACAGCTGTAAACAATGAGATTATTTCTATTGTGCACTTTACTCGAGGGGAACACCTACAATTAGACAAATCCTCGTATTGATACCCCGCCATCAAGCGCTACGGTCAAACAATATGCAATTGAAATGACCGAAAAGCGTGTCCGCGTGATTTATGAAAGTTAAAAAGCGTTTTTTGTGACACCAGCAGTTTTTGTTAAATCGTAATGACTAACACCAGAAATTATAGCACGCTTGGTTACTCAATAGGAGCGCAATGTCACATAGGCTTATGACTGAGAAAATGCTTACAAGTCCAGGTTTGTTTGCGATTGTTTGATGTGTTTGTTTTAAAACGGCAGACGTTTTTCTTCGATTAAATGAAAGCCCTGGAATGGTTAGTTCTTGTATGCAGTATCTTCTCGAAATGGTGCCATTTGGGTCTATGCATACCCCTAAAAATCGCTTTGAAAAATGAAGGTAAACCGGTTTCATTTGTTTTACCTTAGTGCAAAATTGCTTGCTCTGTAAATGCACATGGTAAATATCTTTTATCTCATTAATAAATACGACAATATGTCGAAAGAATAATCGTGTACTGTACTTAAGTCTGTATTCGAAATTTTTCGGAATAAGAGCAGTAAAGTGAACGATTTGAACTCGGAAGTATTATTAGATGTTTGCTGATGTAGATCGTCCACGTTAGGGGAGACATGACAAGCACTGTTTGTGTAGATTTTGACAGCCTTTCTCATGACTCCACTAACATGGACGATCTACATTTGGTCAGAATGACAGTGTTGTCTTGCTACTCTTAATATTGAAATTATGATGATGGCCTTGTTACTGTTATCTTGAAAAATTTCTGTAAATTGTTTTCCTTTGCCAATATGAACGTTTGATAGCATTTTGAACATATTTGTCAAGATGTGTCTTGAATCACGTGTTTTTGTTTTGTTGCTGTGCCATCAGAGAATTTCACAACATTTCCTAAGCAAAATCATACAAAGCAAGAAAATTTTCCTATGCAAAGCGTAAAGCTTTCGGAGAACATTACCCGAAATGCATCTTCGCGTGCGAATAATTCTGGCGCTTATGCTGAGTTGACAAAAATGCCCAGTAATCCCGTTAAGACCCCCCTGATAAAGACACCTATCAGTGACACCTTAGTCCCTCCCAGTCCAATTGAAGCGTCAAGTTCATCACCAAAGACACGATGTATCTCAAGTTCTTATGAACCAGAACTATGTTTACCTGATATAGTTCAACCCTGTGGCCTGGAAAACAGCGCGGACTGGGGTCTGGGACCTTGTAGCTCTTTTGACACCGGGATGCCAGCTCTCCATCCTCAGACGGGCAGTTCGCCAGTCGGCACTCGATGGAAAATGACCAAAACTGGCTACATTCTTGATTTGCTGAAACAGTGTACGACTAGACCATCGAGTATGTGAGATTAAATTGATCAATGTTTTGTATTTCAAAGTGATATAAACCATTAGTGTGGCAACTGATAAAGTTGTAAAACATGAAATGTTTACCGTCCTCCAAAGTTAAACCCACGTATGAGCATTTCATTACAGACCTAGCAAATTGCCTTATATCAATACGTTTTGTGTCCGTTCTTAGTGCGCTACTTAAACGAACCCACTCTTTGGTATTAATTTCAGTTTTCGTATGAGAAAATTTTTGACGTATTGATTACATTGCCAGTTTAGCCGAAACTTCAACATTACTTGAAGATGATGAAATATTATCTACTAAGTTTCATCAAAAATAGTTTTGAAAAAGTGTTTTGACTATTGTTGAATAACATTTTTATATTTTTCTTCGGTTTCACATGATTGCTATTGTTTAGATGAAGAATGCAGATTCGGGGGATGTGAATCTTTTGGGAACTTCTTTGAGGATGATGAAGGAGGCGGAGGTTTTGGTCTTGGTGGAGGAGTGGCTGGTGGTGGTGGTGGAGGAATGGCTGGTGGTGGTGGTGGAGGAATGGCTGGAGGTGGTGGTGGAGGAATGGCTGGTGGTGGTGGTGGAGGAATGGCTGGTGGTGGTGGTGGAGGAATGGCTGGTGGTGGTGGTGGAGGAATGGCTGGTGGTGGTGGTGGAATGGCTGGAATGGTGGATGATGGTGGTGGAATGGATGGGTGGATGGCTGGTGGTGGTGGAAGACTGGTGGTGGTGGAAGGTGGTGGTGGAATGGTGGTGGTGGATGGTGGTGGTGGCGGTGGATGATGGTGGTGGTGGTGGTGGTGGAGGATGAATGGTGGTGGTGGTGGTGGTGCAGGATGGTGGTGGTGGAATGACTGGAGGAGGTGGTGGATGGATATGGGAGGTGGCGGTGGTATGGCAGGTGGCGGTGGCGGTGGCGGTGGCGGTGGTGGTGGTGGCGGTGGAATGGCAGGTGGAGGTGGCGGTGGAATGGGTGGTGGCGGTGGAAATGGCAGGTGGTGGTGGAATGGCACCCAATTTCCTCAATCATTCGAACCAATATGGAATGTTGGACGTGCGAATATTTTCAATAAAACGAATGTACGACGACAACGCCCTGAACGTTTGTGCGCTTTGCTTCGTAGACATTTAAATCAAGCTGGCGGTAACTTGTGATTAATTTTTTTTTTGTGATTAAAGGTTTTTATTATTCATCTTCAGATTAAAAAGTACGATGAATTTACATTGATTTTCTATATATTAATCATAGTATACTAAGAATTACATGTTAACTTTATTATATATATATTTACAAGATCTAGCAATAAAAGATTGTTTATGACGTTTGGTCCGAGATAAAATACTATAAGTTTTGCTTTTACGCAACTCGTGCGAATTTTCTTTAGGATAAGGTACTAAAAATTGGCATGGATGATCAGGTTCCTCTATAATCCTTTTGATCTCTTGGGTAGTTGCTAGTTCACGTCTGCTTTTCAAGGAGGGCAAGTAGTTTTTATCTAGTTGTAAAATTTTTAAACTTCTTCTTTGTACACGTTCAATTTCTTGCTGTAAAAAATGTGGAAGTCCTGCCCAGACTGCCGATGCATACTCTAATACTGGTCTTATTTTTGATGTATATGTTAATAATCCAACATCTGAAGGTAATTGAGACTTCCTACAAAGTCGAAGATGATATAGTCTTTTATTTGCCTTGCTTGTAATTTGGTGTACATGTTCATTCCATTTAAGATCATTTTGACATGTTACGCCAAGAAGTTTGAAATTAGTAACTCTTTCTATTTCTTCTTCTCCAATAAATAGGAGGGTGGTTCTTGTATTGAGTTCGTAAAGCATATCCACATATCCTTTGTTTTTCGGATTCAGAGCCATTCTGTTATTATCAGCCCATTTCCGTAATTCGTCGATTACTTTTTGCATGGAACTGCATTCACCTCTTTCGACAATCTGGTTCTGAGTGCAATCATCCGCATATTTACATGTATTAGCATCTATTTCTTTAGGAATATTGTCCTCTAAATCATTTATATATACATTAAAGAGCACTGGTGATATGACAGCGCCTTGTGGCACGCCCAAAGGGCAAGGTTGGATGGATGACATGGCTCCTTGTAGGTTGACTTGTTGCGTTCTTCCTGTCAAAAAACTTCGAATCCATTGCCAGAAAGACTTATTAATTTCCATAGATGCTAATTTTGTAGTAATATATTGTGATTCACCATGTCAAACGCCTTTCGAAAATCTATAAATAATACGTGAACTCCTTTCTACCTAATTGAGAATTATCTGTTGCATTATACCAATTTTGTGTCATAGATATTAGAGCAGATACAGTAGATCGGCCATGAGTAAAGGCATGTTGGTTAGTCTTTATTTTGAAATCTGATTTATTCAAATGGAGTTGAAGTTTGTCTATTACTTTAGCCATTTGAGGAAGGACAGATATAGGTCTGAAGTCATTTTCAACATTGCTTGGATTATTAACTTTAGCAACTGGAGTTATTAGTGCATGTTTATATTGGCTGGGGTACTTGCATTGTTTTATACTTGTGGTGACTATATTGTGTACGACTGGTGCAAGATCTTCGCAAAAACGTTTAAGTATCCATGCCGGAATTTTGTCATCACCTGTTGCTTTTCTAGGATTTAGGTGCTGTAGACAGCTCTTGACCTGTCCAATAGATGGTAAAGGAGGTTTAATATCCTTAAGCGTTTGGTTGATCAAGTTATCTTCAATTTCGTAGTTGGGTAATTGGTTTAACCAAGGTTTTGTAAAGACTTGTTGTAATTTTTCAGCTAGTTCCAGTACATTTTCATCGTAAACATTTCTTTTTACATTATTCCCGTTATTAATTCCCAACATTAAGAAGATTGATTTATACCATTTTTGAGGGTTAGTCGTACGAAAGTCTTTTGCTTTTCGTTTGTAATATGAAATTTTGGCGTTGTTTATAAGTTTTGAGACATCAGAACATAGTTTTTCATAACGTGCTTGATTATTACATGAGAAAGCACGTTGTCTGGCTTTGATCTTTGATTTTATAAAGCTTGTCATCCAAGGTTTATCTGAAGTATGCATTCGTACTGTTTTTTCAGGAATAGTTTCATCCATAATACTAAGCATCATTGAGGTAAAAGCATTTACTTTTTCATCTACATCTTGTACATTAAAGACCTCCGACCAATCTTCAAGAATAAGTTTTCTGCATAAGACATTTACTTTTCCAGGTGATAAGAGTCTTACCTTTCTGGGAATTGTTGGTGCTTTTTCTTTCTGTTTTGGCACTAATAGAAGGCAATTGTGATCAGAACGTCCCAATGGTGGTAGATGCTGTGTTGGTTTATACATATCTCGCATATTTGTCAAGACTTGATCCAAAACGTTTTTTCCTCTGGTTGGGTATAGGATAGATTTTTTTAAATTGAAGCAATCAATTACATAGATTAGTCAAGTTTAATTTATTGAAGTCTCCAGCAACTATAATTGCAGAGGATGGACGTTTACATAGCAACTGATCTAAATTTTTGATGAGATATTCAATCATATCATGTTCTTTTTCGGCACTTTGTCCAGGTGGATAATAAATAACGACGATAATAATTGCACTAAATGGGCGAGGCGTTCTTTTTGGTTTAAGCACTAACCATAGCACCTCTTTATCATTGTCTTCATCAAATAACTTACGACTAACAGGTATACTTTGATGTACATAAGTAAGAACTCCTCCGCCAAGGGTGGGTCTGTCTTTGCGAAATATTTTGTATTCATCATTAATCGATATTGCTGTGTCTGGTATATTTGGAGAAAGCCAGGATTCTGTAATCAGTACAACTTCAGGACCATTATTCATGACGACTCCATGTAGTTCATCAATTTTATTAGTTATATGACATGCATTTGTGAGCAAGATTGTTGGGAGAAATGTTTTGACTGGATCATTACTATTAGTTATAATTTCTATACAGTTGCATTTGCCATAATTCGTATTGTATCCCTTATTTATTTTAATATGTTTGATTGGTTTTCTCTGGGTCATACGAACGTCAATGGAGAAGATGTTATCATTGGTTGTGTAATCTGATGCAATTAAGCCACGATGCATTCGATCCATTTTCCTCCCAAGCTTAGCCCCGAAACCAGTCCTATACTGAGAACAAACGTCAACATGCGGTTCAACAGTAGTTATTTTTCGTTCAGTGTTTGATGAACAAAGTGTAGGTATGTTAACCATTCTTTTGCTTTGTTCTTCCTTTTGCAAGATGTCTGACAATCGTAATTCAAAAAAGCTTGTTTGCGAAGATCTTGGTGATGTGAGTGTGTTGGGGGATGATGGTAATACCGAAAAGGGGTACTCTTATCATAAAAATTGTTTTTCTTTGTACTTTTAGAAGGTGTTTGAGATGGTGGATATTTAATGGCGTTAAATTTGACTTGATAATTACCATCCTTGGTGTTGTTTTGCTTTGAGTTTTGGAAAACAGTAGTAGGACTCGGCAGTTGCTCGATGTTAATTGTTGTAAGCGATGTTAAATTTTGTTTTTGATCAGAAAGGACTTCATGAGTTGTATCAACTGGGTTTGATGACTTCTGTTCCAGATGGATAGTAGCAGCAGAGTTGTTTATCTGGAGTTGTTCCATGCCGGCATGATTTGCAGTATACTTGACATGTTGTTTTTCACGATATTTATTCATTTGCATTGAAAACTTGTCATTGAAATTTTGTTTGTTATTAATTGTAGTATAATTTTGTAGGGTAACGGAACAGTTTTTCGCCTTGGTGTAATTATTTTTGTGTTTGGCACGATATATTTCTAGTTGATCATCAAGAGAGTTAAGCGATTGTAATGGAACAAAATTATTGCAAATTTTAAATTCATGTCTATTGTTTCTAGTTTCAATAGCTAGGTCAGTCTTTTTGTTTTCAAATCTGTTTTTTAACATTAATACATCCGTTCTAAGCTCTTTAATTTCCAATTCAAGTTTGATATTTTTATCCTTTTGTACTTGCAACTCTGTTTGCAATGCCCTTATATCATCTATGAGAATTTGAGCCTTTGCTTCGGAGGGAAAAGATTGGGTATTTTCCAAAGTTTGAAGTGCATCGACTCGGCTTTGAAGAATTTCGATATCAAGTTTAATATCTTCGACACACTCTTTAATGTTAACATTCGACGATTTAGGTGTCATTTCACCTGAGGCTTGGGAAGGAATACGTTGTAAACATCTACAACATACCTTTGTATTAGCTTTAAATTCCTCCAAAGTTGTAGATACACACATTTGAATTAGACAATATCTTAGTTGATTACCGCTTTCTCCTTGAAACATCAATGTATTCTGTCTACCACAGTACCAAGTACAAACCAGATCATTGCTTGAACCGACAAACTTTTTTGAACTACCTCCCGGTGATGACCATTTACCTCGTTGATCAAGGCTATTTTCGAAAAAATCCTGCAGTGTTTTTAAACAATTTTGCCATTTTAATCGTTTTCCATCATAAGCAATACATTTAGAAGCTTTAAAACTATAAATTCTTTCTATATCACAATTAAGATTACATTTATCGCGAGACAATAAAACACAACCTTCCGCCATGTTTGAAAGCGTTCTGGCTTCAACTTCAGAAACATTCAGGAAAATTTTTTTAAAGATCTTTCGAAGTTGCCAAATGACGAAATATTTCAGAATATCTGGAAGTCCGATTCTACAGGGCCTTTAACAGATGGAAGGAATCCATATGAAAAAGCTCTTGACTTCAACACTGCAATTCTTTCAAGGCCTTGGGACGAGTACTCATTTCAAGATGTTGATGCACGATTCAAAGAAAACAATGATGGCACAAAAGAACAAATTGGCAGATTATTTACACATCTGGGTGAAGAAGACCAGTCTTTTGACTCGTCTAGATTGTATGAAACTTCCCGTAATATGCGAGATAATTATAGAACCTACTACGAGGCTGCGAGTGATTATGGGATTCCTGTTCAAAACTACCCTTCGGCTCATTTTAACATTTATGACACTGGTAACTCGATGATGCAGGATTATGCAGGATACAGAAGGTCAGTGTGTAAAACTTTATTGGTAAAAGACTAGGATTATGCAGGATACAGAAGGTCAGTGCGTAAAACTTTATTAGTAAAAGACTAGGATTATGCAGGATACAGAAGGTCAGTGCGTAAAACTTTATTAGTAAAAGACTTGTTGAGAGAGCTCATTTTGTGTAAATGAAGTTGAATTACTTAAGTTAAATTCAATGACTAACTTCAATGCATTACACGATTAGTTTTGTTTCGTGAACTAGTCTTCGTATGGAACACAGAGTGTAAAATTTCCTTAAGCATCACATTTTTTTAGATGACTGAAGCATTTGTTAAGTGTGAAAGTATTTGACCAAATAACATAACAGAATGACAGAATTACAATAATTATCGATTTACGTTTGCCCATTCCTTATGCTGCGCTCCAATTACGCCATCATTCAACTCCCCTAATGATCTTGAAAATTACAGGTCGTACATTTTTATAATACTAGCAGTTTTACATTTCCTGCCACACAGTTTAGTTTATAGAAAGTGTGATTTGCGACATAATAATTAGTATGGGAGAGGGAGAGAGGGCGAGTCCATTAAATCGTCTGTGGCACACATATCAGTTTGAGCAAATTTTATTATGAATCGAAATCTGATATTTTGTTGGGTCAAAAACTCCCATTGAATTATGAGACACTTAGTCTGTGTCTATTTGACCATAAGAAATTTTGCAAGGGATAAAACATCTAAGGGAAATCGTAGCCATATGTAAGCTTTAAACAAAGAACATACAATCGTTTATAATATATAAATCCTAACACGGTTTTTAATATGCACATGAAAAACATGTGACTTGGACGAGATTTGAACTCGCACTTTCGGGATACCAGTCCGCCGCTCTACCTGTTGAGCTACCAAGCCCACGATTGAGCTACCAAGCCCACAATCGTTTGGTGGATTATTTTTCCAGTAATCAATCTTTGGTGTGTGTGTGTGTTTGCTCCACATTGATATTATATGATAAAAATAAAATCGCACGTTATCTAGAGGGAAGATAATACGAAAAGGTAACAGGATTACGTCTAGAAATCACAGGAACGACCATTACTCGAACGCAGAAAATGAAAGCAATGGTTTGTTAGATCACGTAAATAGGAAAAAGAAAACTCGCAAATTTTCGAACTTCCTCAAAAAGTTCAATTCACCTGCTTTGAGAAAGGAGAAAATATCTCAAAACAATGGACGTTCTTTTCGGCTTTCATAACATGAATAATCTTTCCACTATCGAATCCGGTCCCTACCCATCGTTTTTCAACGTGAGTTATGGATAATTGATGAATTTACCGCCGATTTTCGGACCACAAGGTATTTTAATGGATATTGCACGCGATACATCATTAAATTAGAGGATAATGAGGTGTTCTGTGTACTTTTACGGTTTGAGACTGTGGAATGGCCACTACATCGTGAATAATTTAACAAGAATAATAAACAACTAAACGTCGTTATTAAAATATTTAAACTTTCTTCAGTTTGCTCAAGAAAATATTAAAACAGTACTGTATTATTAAATTATTATGATCTCATAAACTTAGGCACTTTACGAAGTGATAAAGTGACGGATGTTGATGTATAATATAGGTTTATTGGTTCATTCTATTAAGGATAATGAGGTACATGTGAATTGGCTTTCTGTGTCAATTTGCTCCATTTATAAACTGTTTCCACAGTTTATAGGATCGAATGAACGCTAAATTATCCACGGATCTTTTTCTCTTTACTTTACTGTCATCCTTGGGACATTTTGAAAGCTTAATGTATGAGGGGTCCTTTTCCGCATCCGGGTCTTTTGGTTTCTCATCAAAAGGATCGCAAGGCCACGGGATGCCTGTGATTCGATCATATATCATGGGATAATGTCCGGCTCGGGTAACTTTGTAAGGTGGTATTTTTAACAAATTGTCCTCTTAAATGATAAACAGAAAATATTTCATGAGCTAATAATCAATGCGTGCAAGTTATTGAAACCAAACCAAACATCATAATATTTTAATGAAGAACATATCACAACATTTTTCAATGAAAAATAAAAGCTTTCAAAAAAGCTCCTCATTTGGCCTTCAAGATATTTTCAGTAGCGAAGCCAGCCCGTTTTTTACTCCAACAACTCAAATACTTTTGTGTTCATGTGAAATGGATTATTATTTAGCTGAAAAATTGTCATTGTGGGCCGAGTGATAGTGCGAACTGGCTTTGAGTCACGGAATGTTATATTTTACTAACGAAATCATATTACCATAAGTCACTTCGGCAAGGCTTCTTTGAAAACACATCAACAGAACAAGCAAACGTAAAGCTTTTGAAACCATTTCACCTTTGTTTATGCAAGAAAGACCATTCGACGTTGGCACTAACATGTTGAATTAAACATTCCCTTTGCTTTATTGATCCGAGCGATGTACGGTTCACTTCACTTAAACAAAGAAAAGTCTGCCGTGAACACATAGGAGGCGTTTGAATGACTTTTTTCTTATAATAAACTTGTCTTGGATGTTGATGTGGGTTTTTTTGTGTTGAAATAAAGAGTGGCTAAATGCTGCTGTGTTATTTTGCGGCATTCTTGCTTGTGACTAAATCTTTGTATTTTGCAACTTGTAAAGGTACAGTTTTGAATTTCGCACCTGAAAGTCAGGTGGACGTAATTGACATTTCTTGTCAATTTTTGAGCAAAACCCACTTGCATTCTTTAAATGTTTGCTGTTTATATGTTGAAGAAACTCAGGCAGTATTTCTTCGTTTGGAATTTGAGTTTTTGCACGAAGTAAATAATTCTCGAGGAATGAATGTTGTTGCTCTTGATTTAGCAGTTCTACCTTGATCATTGACCGAATAATTGATGTCTGAATGCGTTTTCTAGGTTTCTAACACTCTTTCATCTTTAAAAATTGCAGAGTTGGAAATAATCGGTAAAAACAGCATGGTTTATGATCCTGTGACAAACCTGCCTTATCCGTGCGAAATCACAGCATCGAAGAAAGAGTTTACAGCAAGGACAAAGATAAAAGGCCTTAAAGGGTTTATGCGATCGAAACGAGCTGACGGGGATAGCATACCGATCAAATTACAGCCTTGTCCTTCTCCAAGTTCAACGCAGGAACATCGTTGGCTTAAAAGTAGGTATATCAATCATGTGATTGATTCACGGGCTAGGGAAGAAATGGGTGCTTAGGTGTTGGGACACCCACAATCTTCGAAGTGTGTGTGTGTGTCCCTTAAAGGAAGGAGACACACAAATTCAGCTTTTCCTGAACGTTAACAATATTTTGAATGCAAGGATTTTACAGTTATAGCAAATTTTCAAAATAATGAACAGGACGTTCATTCCTATACATGAAAGACAAAAATAACTAACATCAAGCTGTTTCATCACCAGTTCAACTTTCTTGAATCGTCACATTGTGAGCATGCGTAATGCGCACAACTTTTAAAAGCTTTCAAAACCCCTGGATTGATAATTGCAGGATTCATTTAGACAAGTCTTGTCAATTTTCTAATCTGTGTCATACATAATATATATGTTTTATTTTATTTTAGCCATGAAAAAATCGGGGGTTTCATTGCTCGCCACACTAAACAACCGCAGCAAACAAAGAAAACTCTCACGGAAGCGAAACGATGTCATTCAAAAAAGTAAATTATTTTGCAAACATCGTGATTATGCTTCTTGACTATTGTAATAAAGCTTTGCATCTTTCTAATATTTCACTATAATTCCTTGCCCAGTCACTCTTTTTAACATAAGTTTATGTTTTTAGTACACGAAAAGGATGCATTGATGCGCGCGCAACTTCATGCTGAAACTGACGTCATTACAGGCCATGGTGTTGGACTATCCGGAGCGTCATTAGGTGTACTAAACATGCTACCTTATGTCCATGCTTTTGATACAAAGACCGGTATGCCTTACGTATGTGATCCTTACAAAAAGGCGCCCGATGATAAGTTTGATAATCGATGGAAAATGGTCGTACCGCCCTGCCCTGATTTTAAGAAATGCTTATTTCCATGGAACGAAGGTGTGTTATTAGTTGGAGGCGGGGTGGGGGGGGGGCAGCGTATATAGAATTCGTGGTTTTGCTCCGTGATCATTTCTACAAAAACTACAGTAAAGAATGAACTTTTTCTATCAACGCATGTAAACAATGGTTTTCGATTGTCTTACCTCTTAAACTGTTCTGATATCATTGTTTTTGTGCGTTTTTGATTTAATTGTTTTTAATAGTTTACGATTTACCTCATTCGTCTTGGAAACAAATCTTAGCTGTCTCTCTGACCTCCATATTCTTTTGAACAACTCTAAGGTTTTCATATGCTTTGGGAGCTTTGATGTAATTCGATGTCGTATGTGAACTTTAAAAATTTTTCAAATATTCCTCCTGCACAGCAAGAACCTAATCACTCATTTGTTAAAATCTTCAGCGAAAGACTGCAAAACATCCGTCGATGATATTTCTCCCGAGTCTCACAAGCGTCGCTGGATTATGAAGAGGGTTGTTTGGCTACCTGTCATGGCATCGACATAAAGACAAGGGTGCTTGAAATATCAGGTACATGTACGTATATAGATAATCGTAGAAATACCCCGATCATCCTTGCGAACCTTTTCAGTAGCATTTTCCATCATCTTGCATGGATTAAGTAATATCTCGTGACTTGAGTTTGCAAAGTGTCCTTGGTAATCGGATTGTGTTTCAAAGCTCAACAAGCTTGCAACATCGTGCCAAGGCTCTTTCCTTTACGCTCTACTTCTCTGCTTTAATTAACGAAGTAATAGCTTTAAGAAAAGGAGCCTGGGTTCGAGATTGAATCAGTCTATTTGGTTACGACGTGCTTGTTGTCTGAAATAACGCCTCGTTTATGTCGAGTTGAACTAAAATGAAAATGAAATGCGTAAAATGTAACAAATAGCTTTGAGAACATGTATATCATTGATAAATTTAAAATAAACAGATAAATTAAATTTACATATTTATACTCTAACAATGAAACATTATTGTGTACATTAAATATTATCATAGATAGAGTTTTAACACTAGTCAAACATTAAACATAGATTGATCACACGCAGATATATAAATTATTGTATATTAATTATGATTAAAATCTTGTGTAGTTTATTCCCCATTCATGCCACGAATGCATGTGTACATTTGTGAGCGATAAAAACCTTGCATCTCTCCTTCCACATGATTATCTCCACATTTATTTGGAAAATTCCCTTTTATTTGTTTTCACATCTTGTTCAAAAAAATCGCATTTAATGTTTGCCCAAAACAGATTGTTTGTTGATGAGTTCATATGAACAGCTGACTTTTTTTGTATCGTTTACGCTTGGCGTTTTCTTCGTTCTGATTAACTTTTTTATTATTGAATAAAAAATTCCACACTTTAATCGAACTGTCGTCACAGGCGCAAATTATCTGAGTGTCACTGACGAAAATTCCATTGACACACGCCTCTCGATCTCCCAAGGTTCTCAAACATGAACCTCTGTTGAAATAAAAAAGGATAGCTGTGATGCTATTTGCTGGATATCAAAGGATCAGCTATCGGAGTGGTCAGAAATGGCATGTAATGGCATTTAGTGAATGATTTGTTTTTGAGTTCATCTTACTTGACTAGGTCCCAGTATTTTATGAGACCATCTTTCCCGGCACTGTAAATGAGCCCTCGTTCCATCTTGCCGCGAACATTTTGAATTCTAAGTTTCACGTCTTCCACTCTACATACATTAAAGAAACTTTCTTTTTTTCCCCATTTCCACGAATGACATGAAGAAATCTCAGTTCTATTTTACGCGTTTTTTACCTTCCTTCATGTCCCCAAAATGTTTTAATCTGTTCGTTATTTTCAATGTCCAACAATAAAACACGATTCCCTACAGCGCAAACTAAAAATCCCTGTGCAGTGAAACGATTGTATTAGTCAATATGACTTGGCGTCATATTCTTTCTTTGTTGACCATTTGCTAACTTTGATCCATCATTACATACTTACTTGGTTGTAGCTCAGACCAGTCACTGCACTTCCTTGTCCCTCGTTCATAATGACCTCTCTGAAGCGTTTCAAACATGTTCCGGTCTGCATATCCCACATTCGTATCATCTGAAATAACGTCACTGTGTATCATGATTTGTTGCATAGAATTGACGTCAGGCTGAGCATGATGTCACTCACTTGATCTCCTGACCCTGTGAAGACTCTGCGATTTTCATTGTCAATGTCAACACAAAGTACGGATGCATTATGACCAATCAATGTTTGCAATAACTGGCATTTACGAATGTTCCATACTTTAGCCTGTGCATTAATAAAATGTTGAGTTAGCTGTCGTATGAACCATCGTGTTGCAAAATGAGGTGTGATTTCCTATTGTGTGCATCGCTCTATTGGACGATGCGCTATTTGCATCATCACGCCTTCCATCCAATTGGACAATGTACGATATTTGTCTTGCTTTGCATCATTCAATTGGATGATGCACTCTATGCATCATGAAGCTTTGCATCATTCTATTGAGCAATGCACTCCATGCATCATCGAGCTTTGCATCATTCTATTGGACGATGCACTCCATGCATCATCAAGCTTTGCATCATTCTATTGGACGATGCACTCTATACATCATCAAGCTTTGCATCATTCTATTGGACGATACACTCTATACATCATCAAGCTTTGCATCATTCTATTCGACGATGCACTCTATACATCATCAAGCTTTGCATCATTCTATTGGACGATGCACTCTATGCATCATCAAGCTTTGCATCATTCTATTGGACGATACACTGCTTTGCATCATTCTATTCGACGATGCACTCTATGCATCATCAAGCTTTGCATCATTCAATTGGATGATGCACTCTATGCATCATCAAGCTTTGCATCATTCTATTGGACGATACACTCTATACATCATCAAGCTTTGCATCATTCTATTCGACGATGCACTCTATGCATCATCAAGCTTTGCATCATTCAATTGCATCAAGCTTTGCATCATTCTATTGGACGATGCACTCTATACATCATCAAGCTTTGCATCATTCTATTGGACGATGCACTCTATGCATCGTCAAGCTTTGCATCATTCTATTGGACGATGCACTCTATGCATCATCAAGCTTTGCATTATTCTATTGGACGATGCACTCTATGCATCATTATGCTTTGCATCATGAGCATCATCCTATTGGTCGATGTACTATGTGAATCACTGTGCTTTGCATTCATTTATTGAGCAATGTGCTATATGCATTGTTTTGCTTTGTATCTTTTGATTGGACGATGTACATTATCATGCTTTGCATCAAGCTTTTGGACTGTGTATTCATGCATCGTTAATTTGAATCATACCGTTTTGTCTCCTGATCCAGAAACTAAAATTTCATCTTTTCTTTGCAAATTCCAAACCGGTCCTCTATGGCTCAGCAATAGTCTATATGATAAAAATAACTTGGCGATAGAAAATCGTGAGAACTTCAAATAGGATGATGTAAAACACGACAAACCTTACACACATTCCAGTTCTAAGATTCCAAACCTGTTTAGTATAAGACACGATTAAAAATCAATGTACGTTTCTGTGTGAATACAAGAAGCACTGGCAAGTATCAAAAAAATAGCATACCCTAATCGAAGCGTCGTGCGAACCACTGATGAGCAATGTTTTCGATAGAAAATTCAAACACCAAACGCCTTTCTACAGCAGGAGAGAAAACGTAAAGTATTGCGATTGAAATTTCATGAAACTTCTTTCCATGTTAGTGGAAGTGGAAATTTAGTTTTGAACTGGAATGGGTAAGTTAGTTAGGTAACTCTAGGGGTCGTATTTCTAAACAAGATTTGCTATCCATGGTGGTTAGAGTGTTGGTCGCTCCAATCTTTTCTAATCGAATATATATTTATGATTACTTGCTTGCTCAATAAAACCTTATTTAATTTTTGCAATAACGCAATCGTAAAGTAAAATGGACTTTTTTCATTTGTGAAAATATCCGGTAAAATAAAGCACCACCACCTACCGAATGACCAGTTAAACGAAAATATCCGGTAAAATAAAGCGCCATTACCTACCGAATGACCAGTTAAACGAAAATATCCGGTAAAATAAAGCACCATCACCTACCGAATGACCAGTTAAACGAAAATATCCGGTAAAATAAAGCACCATCACCTACCGAATGACCAGTTAAACTCTGAATTAAAGTTCCTGTTCTTGAATCCCAGATCCTGTCAACATAAAGTTTTTCATGTCATCTTAAAAGGGAGAGCGTTTACTGCGTCTAAAACAATAATTGTCAAATGCGTAAAAAAAACATCATTATAGAAGACATACTCCAAAACAGAGGCGGATCCAACGGTCGTCAAAATAAATTATAGCTGCTCAATTTCAAAGTATAGAAGACATACTCCAAAACATAAGCGGATCCAACGTTTGTCAAAATAAATCATCCCTGCTCAATTTCAAATTCAAAGTACTTTCAGAAAAACACTGTTGGTTTTGAAATTCTATAGAATACATTTTTACCAATGGACTTGCCTCTAAGTGCTAAGAAATGTATATATATTCCAAAGTGTGCTGCAGTAATTTGTTTTGACGTACCACTGTTCCAAAAAACATCTTTTGTACTCATGATTCAAGTTGCATCAACAAATTAAGAGATAAGATTTACAATCAATATTTCACTCGACTTGATATCGATTTGTAAATCTTGTCTTGAAAATCTTGTTCCTTGTTAATGTAGCTCAAATCTTGAGTTTACAAGATGACGTTTTTTGGGGTATGTTTTCTATTACATTTCTTTAATTTGGCTAATAAAAGTTTTTTAAAGAGAACTTCTCGAGGATCATGAGCATTGTCTTGGGATATTTACTTTATTGTTTTATCATAACCGCCACTTGCAACAAGGTTCTCATACGAGCTCACCGACAGCACTCTGTGGACGATAAAAAATACCGATATAAATGAATGGTTAAGTACTCAAAGTCCCATAAGCCCACGCGACCTGGTGCTCTGTTATTATATACGTAATAATCATACCGTTTAGAATGCCCCGAGAGCTCCTTAAATGTACAACGTCCTCTTGTCCAGTTTGTTTGTAACTCCCGACTTTCTTTGTATATCGTCTTCCAGTGTTTACTATTTGTAAGAGGAACGCCGACGTAAGTGTATGCACATTTTTCTTTCCATATGATGTCGTCACTTGCATTTTCATTCCACGTTCGACAAACCTTACATGCATGGGAAGGTAAATTTACCACATTTAGCCACTGAAGGTATAAAATTTCAAAAACCTCGTGCTGTCCAGGAAACTATTTCCTTGAACACGAAATGACCCAATGGGATGCACTGATACAAGAAGGGCAAAAAGGAAATGATGTGCTGTACATACCTAACAAAATTTCAATTATTTTATTGCAGCTTGTTATATTTGAAAGACTTTTACTTCTTTTTTTTAACTAGCTGATCGATTTTTGGTTTATTACTTACAATATAAGAAATTTCACAAGAATTTGGACTGAATTTAGAAACCATCAACATCATTTCATCCATCTGTATCCATCATTTACCATCCTGATGGTATAAATATGTTTTGCATCTAAATTATATTACATGCTACTTGAATACCTGACTTGCTAGACCCAGTTCCTCAACAGTAAGATGAGAGAGAATCTGACGAGATAAATGACGTGGAAGGAGCGAGATGAAGTCTTTGTACTGCCTTACCTGAAAAGAAACATACCTTTTTTTTTCTTGAATTGCTTAATCAATAGATAAAAGCCATCATGCTTACAGTCATCAATCCTGAGATGTAGATAAGCTCGACTGGCTCCAAAACTTCAAGAAATATGCGGAGAAACTCGTTTTTTTCCCACACTTAGAGAAAAAAGATGAAATTACCTGACTTATTGTTTAAATTAACCTATTTTCCTATCAGTAAAACTGACTGAATCACCATTGCGTGATTGCAAAGATAACTACTATTCTTCTATATTGAATAAGTTTCTACAAATGAACTTTTTCCTCTTTGTAATTAAAAATTTAACTTTTTAGCTTGATAACATCTGTAAATTTAAAAAATTTTCGAACATAATGTATTTAAAGTGTTTTCATAGAGTATAATATCAAACGTTAATATCAAAAGAACAGTTTTTGTTTTGTAATCAAGTTATTTCGGGGAATTGACGAAGTAATAAAAGAAAATGAATCAAAACTAGCTCAAATAGTAAACTTAAAGTTCGAACTTCATTATAGAAAAATATCTTTGGCTTAGCAGTCATATTTCAAGAAAAGTTTGAAAGTAAAGCCATCCGATAGCATGCTTTTTACATGAAAAAACATAATGCTAAAATCTTAAAAACGATGAAATATAGCTTGTAACAATTTTTAACTACCATTTGAATGTTTGGCAAACCATTTTACTGCTGTGCTCATTGAAGCATCATGGGAAGGCTTTCCGTTTTCTTTCTGCAACTTCTTATTGACAACATTTCTATTTGTGTATAATAAATTTCATTGCTCAATTACTGGAAACAGATAAAGTTGTTGATAAAGATAGATTATAGATAAAGGTGACCAGAATGTTGTGATAACCATGACCAGCCGACAATTTAAAAAAATATAGCATAAAGCAAATTCCGAAAAAGCAAGACATCTTGAGATGGCAAAATATGCATCAAAACAAGACGAGAAGTGAACTGTAAATTTTCGACTTTATTTCAAAGTCATCCTCAGACAGAATAAAAGACATCCTCATTCTGTTTGAAGATGACTTTTAAATAAAGTCGAAAAATTACAGTTCACTTCTCGTCTTGTTTTGATTCATATTTTACAATCTCAGTTTCTCAGATGAATCTCTGTAATCAAATGTAATCTCAGGTGAAAGACATCATCATTCTGTCTGAGGATGACTTTGAAATAAAGTCGAAAAATTACAGTTCACTTCTCGTCTTGTTCTGATTCATATTTTGTAATCTCAAGATGTCTTTTTTCTTCGGAATTTGTTTTTTACTATGTTGTGGTAAAGTCTTGGATTTCCTTCACTATAGTGCGAATATGTAACTTATGGAAATTTCTCTACAATATAGCTGAACAAGACTGTTAACTGTAAAGTTTCTACATGTTTGTAAATGTCGATCGTCCAGGTTGGTATAGTCCTGAGAAGGACTGTTTCAACCACAACAAAAACAGTCCTTCTCAGGACTATACCAACCTGGATGATCGACATTTACAAACATGTAACGATACTCCCGGGTTCAAACCATTTACTTTGTAAAATTTCTGATATTCTGTATTTAAATTTTCTCATCCATGGCAAATGTTCACCTGTTACATAAATCCATTGTATTTTTATTTAGCGTATTTCCTCTTATCTCCACGCCACTGGTTTGCATGTGTCTTCGTATCATGTGGTTTGTCAACTGACCCCCAACACATGGCGGGGCAGATTTAACACAAAACACACCTCGACCGTGATGTTTTCTGATGCCAGGAAAGCAGACATCACGAGCACCAGTATGCGATCTCCAAACACCTCTTATAATGTTTCTCTTCTTGATAAAACACCTGCTTTTAAAACACCAAATGGTAAGCACCCTTTAGGTTTGCAATTGCCTCATTCTGCGTTTTGAACGCGCGCTTTTCTTTATTTCCAATTCATGTGAAAACTTGACGTACCTCGATTTGTTTGTTGGCACTGTTTTATCCACAATTGGCAATATAGAGCTCGTTGTCCAGTTTCTAACTTCGTCCTGCGTTTGAGAAATATACTCATTGCCCTGAATGCAATTTCGTCATTTTTTAAAATTATATCGCGCACGTTTTATTGTCTGTAAAAGCTTGCTGTGATTGCAAACGGAATTCATTGCTTGTATTTTTTTGCGTATTTTCAAACTTTATACAAATTAAGCTGCTTATAATGCAGTTAGGTTTTTAGCCAATCACAATAGAGAATGTGTCAGTAACACGAATGTATATATAAAAATTGTCAAATGAATCAAGCGCACTTGATTTTGTATTTGATCTCCTACCTCATTTCTCAAAATTGCGCTTTTGACCAACGGGACTTTTTCTCCCTGGAAAGATTTTGTATGTAGTAACGAATTTGCGAAACATTTTATCGAAATTCTGAGTTTTTTAAGGGTTGAAAATGGGGCTCAATTCAGACTGTACAAATGGTTCGGCTTGTTATTATCCTTGTAAAAACTGTAAAACTTATACTCAGTTATATGTTTCATCATTAAACGAGACAAGGAAAGCAGATAATTCCTTTTTTTTGCCATGAAGTCCATGAATGCATTCCTTCATAACCCATTAAAAAGTAAATGAGGAGATTCGTTTCATGGATTATCCAGTTTGAACTGTAGCTCAGTGACCATTGAAAGATTTTTGTCTAGATCCGTGAGTAGAGGTTGACTGTACATATTCAATCGTTTCGACAACAAACAATAATGTTACCTTTGATCTCAAATATCCTGCACGTCCATGTATTTCCCTTGAAACAGGAATGGAAACGGACTGAAAGCTTGTCTTTAGCAGCTTTGTTTTGAAAAGCGAATTGTACACCAAATCTCGATGAAATGCCGGTTGTAAAACCTTCGAAAAAAACCAATGAATTTTCATTCGACTGAAGCAAGATAATTCGGTCGATGTGCTGTTTTTTTTAAACTTTCGCCCGCCATACATACCGTCCACAAAAATTGAACTTGTTCTTTTTCGCACATTGATAGCAATTTGTCGATGAATGCAAATCTCTGGAAGTATGAACGAATGAAATTGATCTGAATACTGAAAGGTTGAAGATGATGCATGCTTTCGACTTGAGTTGGAAACTTAGTTATTGCAGCTTTGAAAGGTAAGGAGTTTGCACTTTGCATGCAAGGCATTAGATTTGGGATTGTAGTAAAGTGAATGGTTTGAACTCGGGAGTATCGTTACATGTGTGTAGATGCAGATCGTCCATGTTAGTAGAGTCCTGATAAGGACTGTTGGTGTTGATGACTCTGAAGATGATTACCGCTAAGGTTGTCGAAACGTCAGTCAGCACCAACATCAAGAGTCCTTCTCGGGACTCTACTTACCTGGACAGTCTACCTCAAATGAACTTGAAACAGATATTACATCTGTTTCATTATCTCTATGCATCTCGCAGTGTTACATGCAGTTCGATGGTTCACTCAGCAAAATGTAGATAAATTCGTGTGTTGACTGTTGAGGTAGAAAATGGATTTCTAGTGGTTATCAAAAGCCACGAATTTGGTTGACATATGTTCAAACAAAGAAATCGATACATCTACCTCTATTCTTGACCATCTTGCGATCCAACTTCGCAAGTAATCGGTATGTTGCTCAAACTCGACTGTAGATAGCGGCTTGTGCTTCTCAAAAGAAGTAAAACATCCATTGGGAAAAAAATTTTCCTGAACATGTTGTGCTGTCATCATGTTTGGTAGATATGACAGACTCCTTCTTGCGTTACGTTCAAATATTTGAGCAAATGAACTGTCGTGATAACGTTTCCTTATCAATTCGCTCTGTATTGATGTAAATTGTTGCTATTGCATTATAGAAATGTCACAAGCGCTAGGTTTTCATTCATGTTTTATCTTTGGTCAAATAACTAAATCCTCAGTTTTATATGGTTTGATCTTTTGCTTGTGTTGTTAATACGGGAGACTATAATTACACATTGCCTGGCAACACAAGACGCCGAATAAAAGTCGTAGTGATTATAGTGATGTATGTATTATTGTATGAGAAATCAATCAATTATCAATATTGTGCATAGTTTGGTTAATTTTTGTTTGATTATTGTGCGTACGTGAAAACGTTTTCACGGCATTATTTCTGACGTCATATATACTTCGACAAGAGACCAGACCCCCGTCTTTGTTTTGCTTTGATTGCCTCTACTTGATCTTTTGATCTGCTTGTCATTTTTCATGTAATAATGGTCGGGAGTCCGGCGTTACTTTGTGTCATTCACTGATAGAAAGTTCCCTTGCGTTGAGCAAAGCACTGAAAACGCACAACAAAATTTGGCATGAGAGTTGACTGTCTACAATTTTATAGTAATAGAGATTTTGCATGGCATTTTATTTAAATGAATAGAGATCGTTGAATAGTGGTGTGTACTACTGGCTGCAGGGGCTTAAGTGCAATAGCATGTATTTTCCGGTACAGAATGTAATTAAAAACCCAATCAGGAATTTGCCATGATACACAAGGAAAGTATATTTTATTAAGGACCATTAATTACATGTTCAAAAATATTTATGGATAACAACAATGAGAAAAAAGTATCTCATGAAACTGTCCTCGCTCGCAAAGGGTTTTATTATTAGGAACATCGAGATCGGGGCAATCGCGGAAGTTGAAGGAGATTCCAGCACACTTGACGGAGCTTACACCACGTTCACCATAATAGGATCCATTGCCTTGTATAAGAGCAGATATTTCATACCACTGGCCTTTCTTAACAACAACAGGTGATTGCAGGAGCACATCAAAACCGGGAATTAAAGTGTTCTTACGTTCAGAGTAGTATTTTTCATTAATTTTGACGTTAGAGAATGAAAGCTCAACATTGTATCTGCTGTTATGACCAAGTGAGCCAAACAAGCGAACACCATGAAAATATATATCCTTGTCCACACTGAAACTGAGGATATCCGGATGGCCCGAAGTGTATTGCCAACCACCGAGGGTTTTGGAAGTGCGGATCTGGTCCTGGGTAAATCGGGAACATCTCTCGGTTGGTTTAAGCTGACGAGGTTTACCTTGAATGCATCTGCTAAAGGTCTCCTGTAGCTCCTTGTTTGAAGGTGTGACACCACTAAGCATTTGAAAGATTGCTATAACTTCATCTTTGTCGAGAAGGTCCGTTTTTGACACATTATCAGCAAACTCCTTCTGTGTCATGGTCAAGTAACGAACTTGGTAAACTGCATTCCCAAGCACAAGTCTTCTATTCTCGGATGTCGACTCTAAACCTTGCATCTTGCATTGATGATCAGACCATTTCGCCAAAGCCTGAAAAAGGTTGATCTCCTTAACGTTCAATGTCTCAAGTTCTAACATACTTTGCACTATTTCTCGTTCGACATTCAAAAAGGCATCCGATGCAAGGGCTTCTTGACAATGCGAATCAATATAATACCAGCATTTTTTTTGAAGATCCTCCTCGCCAATTCTCAACGACTGGGAGAGCAACGTGAAGGCATTGGATGCCGTTATGCTATTTTGCAAGAAATTATTGCATAACTTTTCCAGATATGGCAAAAGATACTTCTTTGCCAAATACAAAACGTCGATTGCGATATCAACCGACAGTTTACACTCATCGCAATAAAGAAACCGTAAGAATTCAAGAAAACTGGCATACTCCGTGTCGGGTAAGTGAATTTCATTTGATTGCTCCACTAGATTACCGTAAAACATTACGTAGAAAACGGGACTTGACGTGGCCAACACATATTTATGAGCTGGGATGTATCTTTTCCCATCGTCTCTTTCGTCGTCTCGTACAACAAAAGTGATATCACTCATTAGATTCTGGTTAAACATACACCTATTTCTCTCGGAAACGTTCTTCGTTTCGATCTGCCAATCTTCTGAAAGGGAAGATGTCATGTTAAGATTTGAATTTTGTCAACGAAGACTAATGAAAGATGATTTGTAAACAATCATGGCGGATAACGTCAACGGCCACCCGATTCGCTATCGAGCGCTTATCGATAATTTGGTTTTGCAGCAAAACGAGTTAAAGATTAAACAATATGGTTAATATGGTCTTCGACTCGTCAGTCACCATACCTCATTTGGTTTTTAGAGAAATCTTAAGCCAGAATAACAAACTATTTCACGATCAGTAAAAGACTGGCGCAAATTTACCACACAAATCAATAATTTAATAATGAAGAAATTGAGTCTAACGGTAATGGCTTGAATATGGCTTGTTTTCATGTGGCAGAATATGGCTTGTTTTCATGCAAAGGCGCGCTTAGATAGCCATATTCTGATATTCTTGACACTCAAAAATGACGTCAAATTAGGTTATTTACTTCTACAAACAAGTCTGGCTCATCAACGTCAATGTGCGCTGGGCCAAGAAATGAAAAGACGTTATTTCACATTTTGTTAGTTAAAAAGCTACTCCTGAACTCTGTTTTAGATTGCTTTGAGATATCGCAGCAGTTCAATCACAGAAGTAAAGCATTATCACTAGTCTCAATCTTTAATAGCCACTTGCAGAAAGCGTGGGTTGGCAATTCCGAGATAAACCTCAGACGTGTGAAAATCGATTTGCATAAGCTAATGAACCACATGAATGGACTGGCAAAGAATCAAATTGTCTAACGTTATCAAATGTGAGATTTGAAAATCTTATAGGTTCAGGGTGAGAGGTTGATGCAAATCCCTAAAGAAAATTATCCTAGTTGCAGAATTAAGACCAAGTGTTCTGTACCATGAAATATACTGAAATCTTTAAAAAATAGATTCAAACACTTGCTTTCTTTTCACTCTCACTTTACTACTGTGTGTTATTTATAAGCTTCTCAGGCTGACGAGAGCTAATTTACGTATAGACTGCGGTGTGTTTCTTTTTCCAATTTTCCCCTCTTCATATGTTGTCTGAGTTGGTTAAATACTTATTTTGCAGAGCAATTATGATGTCTGTGAGGATTATGTAGCTATAAGTGATGCAATTAGGGGCAAGGCGAGAAATGGCTTGTTTTCATGTGTTCTTTGGTATTATTTTAATGGGTTTACTGAATGTGGGTTTCTTGTGCGGTCATTTGCAGATAATGCACGATGATTCTGGTCATTTGATGAACAGTCGTATACGTGATCTCCATGGTAAATTATTCATCATTGCACGCTGGTAAATTCTTTAAACAATTTTCAAGAAAACGAGATAATTCGTCGACAAAGAAACCGTGCATTCTTTTTATTCTACTCATTATATAATGGCAACTCCAACGTCTCGAAATTTCATTGTGGATAAAGCGAAGAAACAACGTTCGCTAGCTTAAAACTATACATGCAGCATCTTTCTTATCTCAAGTTAAATATTTATGACCCACAAACTAAATTTAAACTTCTTTTCACAAATCCATCCTGTTTTTTACCTCCTAAAGCTCGTCATCTTTGGTTTGTTTTTTTGACATTTTTTTCTTATACGTTTTCAGGCTTTTGCTACATGAGGAGATTGTTTCTTTTTTGTGAAATTATTGGCACGGCGGGATAGAGTCGTGTCCAGCTTGTTTTAAGTTATTTAGATTGTTTTGTATGCATATCTCCCTTGTTTAACCACAGTATGTGGAGAAGAGGCGTGCGTATAAATACGAAAACAAAATTTCATCATTCACTTTTTCTAACGTTTGCTGTCAAGTAAGAAATCTATCTCGATAAACTGAGATAACTGTTAGAGAAAGCTCACACTCGTATATTTATCCAGCTTCGCGCTCTATAATTCCAGGCTGTATAGGCAAAACGTATGTGTTATTCATATCAAATATTATGCTTTATTTCTTTCATAATAGTTTTACATAATAAAGGTGTTTGCCTTTTAAGTATACTACACTTGATATTATATCTCATTTATTTAAGGATGCACGAAGAATAATTTTTATGTTGATTACTTTATAATTGAATGCTCTTTTTTGCAGAGTTGCTCATCAAGATGAAACCGTTATTTCTTTTGTTTCTCGCATCAGGTAAAATTTGCGTGATTTTTTGTTAGCTATTCCCTTAATAGTAAAATTTAGGACTTACAGAACTGGAGAAAGTGAAGCCTCAAGGAATGCAATTGGACGATTCTCGGCAAATGAGTAAGGAGTTCAAAACAGTTGCCGCGGAATAATCAAGTTATGAAGCACTATCCGTGTACCTTTTCTAAAGAGTTTTATAAATTTTGATATTTAAACAAAGCTGTTTTTTTTTAAACGAAGCTTTGAAGCAACTACAAGTTTTGGTGAAATTTTCACATAGATCTATTTCAAAACATATATCAATGTGGAAGTTAGTGGGGGTGGTCTGTTGGCGATTTAGCATGTTCTGTTCATAGTCTGTCGAGATAATTCATTGGTGTCTATATAAATACACACCCATCATGTCTATGTCCCCAATCGGTAAAATGACTTTTCATTCGAACTAAAATCATTATTCATGCCATGTGTGAGTGTTCTTTTAGTTATCACCAGCTGCTTACAAGTTGTGAGGACGCTGAAGAACTTGCAAGAATCTGAATGGATCGAAGATGATGAAAAACGACTTGTGAACTATATTTTTAAAGGATACAACAAGATCGCACGGCCTGTCATCGTAAAGACCGAGGCAGTTCCCGTCGAAGTGGGAATTGGATTAATAAAACTAAGTGATCTGGTCAGTGAGTTCTTTTGAGATTTTTTCGATTGTATAAGAAAACGACGAACGTCATTTTTATTTGTTAAGAATGGTTTCAGTTTTCATGTCAGACAGGGAGATCAAAGGTTGTTAAGGGACAGGGCCGTGAGCTTGATCGTTAATTTGCCGGGGGTATTTATATATTCAGTTGTGCCCCTTTCTGATTCATTTTGAAAGCCAAATCACTTTCAAAGGAAATCAGTGGGTGCACTACTGAATATATTAATAAACACACCCCAAGTAATATTCTGGCTACCGTCCGATAAAAGGGTATGGAACTTTAGCAACTCAATAGTGAATCAGGCAGTTTTTCACTCATACAGTGGAAATACTTTTCTGTACATTCACTGAAAAAACAACGAATCGAATTGATTTTCTAAATGTACAATAGTTGAGCTGGAAAATTAGCATTGTAGGAGTAGAAGTTTGAACTAACGTTGCCATTGGGGCCACTTATCAATTAAATGTGTCTTCAAATTGTTTAAAATGGTGTTATTGTGAAAATTCGACCAATTTGTCGATTCATATCATAAGCCACAAGGATATTTGCTGTAAAAAATTACTTTATGTAATTTTTGTTTATCTTCCCTTTGGATTTGAAGAAATTCATGTTCCTAACAACTCCTAATTTAAGTTTTCGACTTATTTATGTTCGAGGTGAATTTGTTTCGAGTTTGCGACTAAATACGCGCTTTACCCGTGTTTCTTGACTTATTAAAACAATTGTTTCCCCTTTTGAACACACTCAGAATACGCTTGCAGCCTATTTCATTTTTCAGATATTTTAGTTCTTTGCCTTTAGTGCATGTTTTTGAGCACCGATGCTAACGTGAACTCGTTTGCATGCTTTGTTTATGCTTGGCTTGCATGACATGCGCAAGTTTATATGCTAAATTTAGTCGTTGGATAAATGGATCTTCATCAATGCTATGCGGTTAGGCCATTTAAATGCAAATCTATTATGTAAGTAATGAAGACGCCTTTCATTATCGTTGACTTTTACTCTCACAAGAGAATGTCTTACAAACTTGCAAAACTCACAAAAATACGGTTAGGGTCAACTTTCAACAAATATCCAAGGAAGTGCATTTACAGGTTTGTCGTGAACGCCTCGCAAAGGTGTCGTGAGTTATCGTAGAAAATGTCAGCCTATCTTTATGTCATTTACAAAACTATAGGTATTGCACTACCCCATCACATTTTAACAAGTACTTTTTATTTTTCTGGCGTTATTTAACGATTTTTTCATCTCATTGTGCATAGGACTAACTTATTTTCCCCCTTAGATCGAAAAAGATCAAATTCTTGTCAGTCATGTCTGGCTTCGCTTGGTGAGTTGAATTATTATTATCAGGCTTGTATTACTACGCCTTTAATAACCGAGCGCGAGGTCTTTACGGAGAAATAACGGACCGAGGTGTTTTTGTACAGACCGAGCCTGTAGAGCGAGGTTTGTACAAAAAGACAGAGGTCCGATATTTCTCAGTAAAGACCGAGAAAGCGAGGTTATTAAAAGGTTTATTATATGGCATTATTTGACATGACAGGAAGCTTGCTTTCTTTCTCGTCCTTCCTTTTTTCTACCGGTTTTGCTTTCACTTTTTTAGCTCTTGTCAGTAAAAAGAAATCGTTTCAAATTGTATCGTCTGGAAAGTTAAACTGCTTTCCGAGTATTTTTCCTTCGACTCACATTCGTAAATGGTTTTTTGTTTCGTTTGCTGTTTGCATTACGAAGTTTGTTTATATTTGACAGTAAAATTACGCGTTTTGGACCGTGGTCGATTTCGCAAAAATGTTTCTGAGCCAATCAAAGCGCGCCATTTAGCCGGAAGTGACGCTTGCCATATAATAAATATAATTTTATGGCACATTTTGGTTTCACGTAGTTTTTTTGAACTATTAGCGATGGATGAACGATTTTATGAAGTGGAATTCTTCTGATTTCGGAGGCATAAAGTCGATTAACGTCGACCCAGATATGGTTTGGCTTCCTGATATTGAACTATATAATAGGTAATTATTGAATAAACACGCCTTAACATTATATTCACACATGTATGTTTTGCTATATAAGAAAATTCGGTTCACGTGATTGTCAATAATGTCCTTTCGAATTGTTGTATTTTACAATTGCCAATATATCATGTGTCTTGGGGATCTTTTTGAGATGTTCGTGGAATGTTTGTTCATTATGGATACTTGATGTATTTTAGGGATGTTTGTGGAATGTTTGTTCATTGTGGATACCTGATGTATTTTAGGGGTGTTTGTGGGATGTTCGGGGAATGTTTGTGCATTGTGGATATCTGACATATTTTAGGGGTGTTTGTGAGATGTTCGTGAAATGTTTGTTCATTGAGGCTATTTGATGTGTTTTGGGGTATTTGTGGGATGTTTGTGGAATGTTTGCTCATTGAGGCTATTTGATGTGTTTTGGGGTATTTGTGGGATGTTTGTGGAATGTTTGCTCATTGAGGCTATTTGACGTGTTTTGGGGTATTTGTGGGATGTTCGTGGAATGTTTGTTCATTGAGGCTATTTGATGTGTTTTGGGGTGTTTGTGGGATGTTCGTGGAATGTTTGCGCAATATGGCTATTTGATGTGTTTTAAGGGTGTTTGTGGAATGTTTGTTCATTAAGGCTATTTGATGTGTTTTGGGGTATTTGTGGGATGTTCGTGGAATATTTGCGCAATATGGCTATTTGATGTGTTTTAGGGGTGTTTGTGGGATGTTTGTGGAATGTTTTGTTCATTGTGGATATTTAAGGACTTTTGTAGGAGTTTGTGAGCGAGTTAGGACGCATTTTTTGCGAAACCCCTTGTATACCCACGTAATACATAGATCTTTCATTGAGACGATTACTCTGTTGTTTTAACAGTGCAAAAGGTCATATACTAGACAACTTTAAGAAAAAGATCGTCATCAATGACAATGGTTGGCACGTTTGGAATAATCCTGTCCTTATACGGAGTTTTTGTCCAGTCAACATCGAGTACTTCCCTTTCGATGAGCAACAATGTACATTACGTTTTGGAGCATGGACCTATGATAGCTTTTATATTGATTTTTTTATAAGAGACGACAAAACAGATTTGTATAGATATGAACCCAGTGGCGAGTTTGATCTGGTGTCATTTAAGGCGGACAGAGAAATTTTAAAATTCGAGTATGATAGCCTCTAGTTGTTTTATCATTGAAGAATTGCTTATAATTATTTGAGCCATACATGGCGACAGTATAAATTGTGGCAGCATGTCTCTTCATCTTAGGTTTCGTTTTTTGTGTATTTTTGGTGCTCGGATGAATCTGGCGCTCAATTATATTATGCATGATTTTATCAAGGGATATTTTTGTCAACTAGGTATTTAACGAGGCATTATAATACTTCACGGAAACCTATCCGTCAAATGTAGATTATTTTCACATGACATTTCTTTCTTGTAGATGTTGTAAAGAACCGTACGTCAACTTAGTGTTCAACATTCATTTTCGTCGCAAAAGATTATTCTACTTCAACAATCTCATTGTGCCTTGCATCTTGATAACTTTCGCTTCACTTTTAACCTTCATCCTTCCGCCGAACACCGGGGAACGAGTGACGCTCGTTATTACGACGTTGCTGTCACAGACTGTATTTATGCTAATGGTTGCCGAGAATACACCGACTAATTCCGACGTGACACCAATGATTGCTAAGTTCTTTATGGCGTCTATGACACAGATTGGCCTGGCACTAGTGATCACGTGTCTTATACTTAATGTGTATCATTCTACTCGTCATTCGCTCTCACTACCTCATTTCATACGAGTTCTTGCTATTGACATACTTGCTCCATTGCTGTTTATCACGACACCAAACAAGAAAAAAACTTCTAAAGTATTGATGTCGCGTCGTCCATCACGGGAAACTGGGCAAGAGAGTTTTTTGTGTACACAGACAATGCGCGAGTCAAATCAACGTGATCATCAAACTATGAGCGGACATGGCGTTGATGACGTCATACGTCACGAGCGAACCACAGATGAAGACCTGGAAAATTTGGAATCTGAAAACGAGCATCGCGATCAGAAGAAGTTGCTTAGCAACATTAAGTATCTTGCCGACAGGGAATTTGAACGTGAGAAACAAGAGTTTGTTTTGGATGAGTGGGAAATTGTTGCAAAGGTTGCCGACAGGACATTTTTAATCTTGCTTATCATTACTATCGTATTCACGTCGTCTATGATTTTTATTAACGTGCCGAAGCATTTAAATGAAGCAAATTAATGGAAATGTTGTGTTGATGGATACGGGATACTATAGATTTAGCTTTGTTTTCTTTTTGGTTAGAAAGACGGGAAAATTTAAGGTTAATATTCCAGTGGACCATTAATGTTGCGTGTAAAACAACATGAATTATTACTGATGTGTTATCTAAATAAAAAAGTTGTTCACCGATGTACAATGATGCACAACTATATTCAATGATGTTCAATGGTGCTCAATAATGTCCAGTGGTTCTCAATGATGCTCACAACTGTTCATCTATGCTCAATGGTGTTGGAAAATGTTCAATGATGCACAACTGTTTTCAATGATGTTCAATGGTGCTCGATAATGTCCAGTGGTTCTCAATGATGCTCACAAATGTTCATCGATGTTCAATGGTGTTGGAAAATGAGGATGTTTAATGAGGATCTACAATCTGATGTACAATGCAACTTTGCGGTTAAAAATAATCCTTTCTTGACCAAGAACATCATGGAAAGAGAGAAAGAGGTTTTGAAACTGGTATTCAGTTTTTGCCATGATCTATCAATTTTTATGGTGCTAATGAATATGTGGTTGTGAGAAAAAATCAGTGGGAAAATTACTGGACAGCATAAACTCGCAGGAAGCTTGCAGGTAGATTTTTTGAACGAATAGAAAAGACATAAACTACGCATTGATGCTTTGAAAACGTCGTGTAAGCTTGAAGAAGGACTTTGCTGGCGAGGTGTTGCTATCTTAAAACTAAATATTGCCTTCTGTTGATTGACGCTTTTATTGACTGTTTGACGTCACATAGTCTACAACTTTGGTTTAAAGCCAAAATCTAAATTGAATCTACTTGTCAAAGCCATATTAGTCATATTTTAGCTGAGGTATTTTCGGAATTGGGTTTGGAGATTGTAATCTAATACGCTTTCGACCCTATATATCTAATTAAATTTTTGTGTTCAAGTCGTTTGGGACATTGTGTGAGGTGGGTTTTGAAGTCAAAAAGTGTTGTTGTTTACTAGAGACAGGTAACATAAAAAGCAGCTGAGAAGTTGTGCCTTTACGTAGTAGCTTTAAACTTTGTCCAGGTGTAAAACTCCTATCAACGTTATATTTGCATACAAAGTTATATTTGCGGTTTTTTATCTAAGTCGCTCTTGAAATTTGGTAACGAAAGCCTTAAGTAATTTAACTTCATCACAAATTTAAAACTAGACTTTTGTGAATGAGAACTTATGAAATATTTATCTGTCTTTCGAACAGAATTTTTTGCGAAAATCTAATGCATGGGCAACGATTGTTTTTTCAGTAAAGATAAAGGCGAAACTCATTTTCCTCTTATTTTAATTAATTTTACAGATGCATATATGTAGTTTATACACACTATCTGGAAAATGTTCGGTGGGATTTCTTTTCAAAGATATCCTTAAACACTATTTTGTATATAGATGCCTGTTCCACGATCGATTTCTGTTATACATTTTTTGGCGATCATTGCAAGTGTTTAATTTGATTTCAAACGCTCGTTTCATGACAACATATTTCCAATTCATCACGAGCAAACAAAGACGTTAACAGACTTCCTTCGTTTGTTGTATTAAGTCCATATGACACAAGGCTCTCTTTTTGGACTGTTTCGTTAGTTGTTGAATCCGTATAGTTTGTAGAATACACTTCACAAAGCCTTGCGGCTTGCCTCCGTGATGAAAGAAAAACATCTCTATGATTTGCTCCCTGAATGACGCGTATAAGCTTGTTGCAAAAGACCCAAAGTACTGCACGAAACTCTCTATTGAAAACAGTGTAAATGATGGGATTTGCGACAGTGTTTACTCGTGGCAAAGTGAACACAAAGATTATACCGATGATTTGCTGTGCAAGGGAGCTAAGATTTTGTGAAATGCATTTTGGGCACTGTTGGTTAACCAACAATACAACAAACAGCGGAAACCAGCAAATGAGAAACGTTCCTACTACAATCATTAGTGTCTTCGTTGCTTTGAGCTCGCGGATAAGCATTCGCGTTTGCATGGGTTTTTCAGATTTTGAAAAGACACAATGCTCACGATCGCCATTTTGCCATGGGGTTCCGTGAACCTTAATCATCTTAGCTTGGTGAAATGCAAGTTTGAAGACCATGGAATAAGCTACAATAAGTATTACTAATGGCAAAAATATGCCCAAAACAGAAACGACAAGATAATAGTTTTTATCGACTTTCTTACAAGCGGGTTGATGAATTAGTTTTGCGTCATTTGACCAGTTCGTAAAAGATAACGAGCTGAGAATGGCTGCATAACACCACACCAAGCATATTGCCAGCAATGAACGTGGACCATTGATGAATTTTTGGTACACAAAAGGATAGGATAGTACTAACAATCGATCAACTGCTATCAAGGCGACGTTTGTGGTGGATGCAGCCCCGCATAAAAAATCCATAAAAATCCATATCTTGCAGATGCGTGGTCCCAAATCCCAAATCATTGAGTTCAGGTAATGATAAACATGAAATGGCACAATCGTAGTGACAATGAGAATATCGCTGACTGCCAAGGACGTAATAAAGTAGTTCGTTGGCTTCCTGAGTTTACGCGTCGAAATGACAGCAGCAATCACAATCACGTTTCCCACTAGAGCTGTGGTGATTATAATTATATTAAAAGAAGTTTGTCCGATTATGCTAGCCTTGGAGTAGGTTGGTCCGTTCAAACCCTGAGAGGAATTGTTCGTTGACATTTGTATTGTTTTTGTTGAACTATGAGATCCTTTATCTGTCGCGTCTTTGCAAAACTTTTATAGAGTGAACTTCTGCAATCTGCGTGTGTTATCTTGCAATCATCTATCTCTTCCTCCAGAGCCTGTGTCCGCCGAGGAAGTGAAGATCACTATCTATTTCAATAATTAATGAATCCAACACATGCTACGTGGTGTATAGTTTTCGCATTTGCACTCCAAGAAACACCTGTGTACAAATTATACAGCAGCGAGCTTTTTCAACATCAAACCGTTTTTGTCTAATTGTACAAGTCGCAGATCGTATTCTTCATGAGTAAAGAACAATTTGTGTCATCAGCATTTTAAATTTTGAAAGAACAGAAACTTATTCAGGTATCACGAAGTTTGAATATCAAGAGTGTGGTCATAGAGACGATTTTTAATCTTTTAAGTGAGCACTATATTTGACTGTGTAAGCAATCGCAATCGCATCATCTACACCCGCTTATCGAGGGACAATATATTAATGAGGATCAGGGCTTGAAAAAATGATTTATGACTCATAAGTCTTTGCTAATCAACAGCACGATATTTCTTTCTCTTTTTGAATGGCAACAAATCTTTGGTCTGTAGAAGGCTGTAAATTTTCATAGCATCCCTTCGAGGAAAAATGCATGCGAAAAATTCGGTTACGTTCAATTCAAATCATCATGCGAACTGTGTTCATGAAAGTTAGGAAAATGCCGATCGATTTGAAATGTTACGCTGTGATAAATTAATTGCTAAGTGCATAATGTCATAAAACAAGTTAAAATAACATATGTTGTATCAAGTTTGAAGGCCTTGATCAGAATTTTCACAATGACATCTGCTTTATTAAATCGACGACATAATTACTCGTGGTGACGACATTTTCAAGCTGGAATTCATTTTCACATTTTACTATCACTAGATAGGTGATGTTGTTCCACATTTCTGCCAATTTCCAGTTTGTCGCGTTATCACCATTGCTTTATTACTTGAAGAGGAATGAAGTGTGGTGTGCAGCTCATTTATGACATGAATTGTGCCTTATCACTTATCATATCTAATGCCTGGCATGCTTATAGGCATATTTGCTCAATTTAGGCAAATGATTTTATTCATTAAAAATCTTTAAAGTTCGACTTCAAAATTCTAATGCGTCTGTTTGCAAAAGTTAAACTTTGACAAACAAGAAACTTTTCGCAATAGAAAGCCGAAATAACTCTTTCATTTTTAAAACTCATAAAACTTTATAGGTTTCTTTTCAAGAAAATGACGCCTTGATAATTCTGTAGTTTATAGTTTACCCTCTAAATCCCTATTAAATTACGTTCGTATACTGGCATGACAACGGCAGAGGACGCAAAACGTCACGTTTAAGTATGCTCTGATGCTCAGATGCTTTTATCCAATCAGATTACAAATAATTTCACTATAAATAATATTACTTGGTCCTGTCGATTTTTGAGAAACTGCCAGTCATCAGAATAAACAATGACTCTAATAATAATTAAATAACTTTTATTATGTCCCTAGCTACGTCACTGCTTTATGTCTATCTGAAAAATTGTGAACATGCATGAATTATAGTCTTTAACATAAAAATGTGTGAAAATGCATGAACTATAGACTTAAGCATTTTTATGCTATAGTCTTTGGCATGTAAAAGCATGAACTATAGTCTTTAGCATAAAAATATGTGAACTATAGTCTTTGGCATGAAAATGCGTGAACTATAGTCTTTGCATGAAAATGTGTGAAAATGCATGAAATATTGTCTTTGGCATGAAAATCTGTGAAATTGCAGGAAATATAGTCTTTGGGATGAAAATGCGTGAACAATAGTCTTTGTCATAAAAATGCGTGATAATGCAAAGACTATATTCTTTGGTATGAAGTGTGTGAAAATGAAAAGACTATAGTCTTTGGCATGAAAGTGTGTGAAAATGCATGAACTATAGTCTTTAGCATGAAAATATGTGAACTATAGTCTTTGGCATGAAAATGGATGAAAATGCATGAACTATAGTCTTTGCTATAAAAATGTGTGAAAATGCATGAACTATCTAGTCTTTGGCATAAAAATGCGTGAACTATAGTCTTTGCATGAAAATGTGTGAAAACGCATGAAATATTGTCTTTGGCATGAAAATGTGTGAAATTGCAGGAAATATATTGCATGAAAATGTGTTATAATGCATGATACATTTGCATGTCAAAGACTATAGTCTTTGCTTTTCACACATTTTTTCGCTAAAAACTATAGTTCTTTGCGTTTTCACAAATTTCATGCCGAAGACTATAGTCTTTGCATTTTCACACACTTTCATGTCAAAGACTATAGTCTTTGCATTTTCATACATTTTCATACCAAAGACTATATTCTTTCATTTTTACAAATTTTCATCCCAAAGACTATAGACTTTGCTTTTTCATACATTTTCATCCCAAAGACTATAGACTTTGCATTTTCATACATTTTCCTACCATAGACTATAGACTTTGCATTTTCACTTATTTTCATGCCAAAGACTATAGTCTTTGCATTTTCACACTTTTTCATGACAAAGGCTATAGTCTTTACATTTTCACACACTTTCATGCCAAAGACTATAATCTTTGCATTTTGACAAACTTTCATGCCAAAGACTATAGTGTTTGTGTTTTCACAACTTTTATGCTGAAGACTATAAAGCTTACATTTTCACACACTTCATACCAAAGCCTAGTCTTTGCAAGTTAACACACTTCATACCAAAGAGTATAGTCTTTGTATTTTAACCTATTCTCATGCTAATTACCATAGTCTTTGCATTTTCGCAAATTTTCATGCCAAAGACTAAAGCCTTTGCTTTTTCACACACTTTCATGCCAAAGACTATATTCTTTGCATTTTCACACACTTTCATGCCAAAGACTGTAGTCTTTGCATTTTCACACACTTCATACAAAAGACTACAGTTTTTGTATTTTCACATATTCTCATGCCAAAGACTATAGTCTTTGCATTTTCACACATTTTTTCGCCAAAGACTATAGACGTTCATTTTTACATATTTTCATGCCAAAGACTATAGTTTTTGTTTTCACACTTCCATCCAAAACTATATTGCATTTTCACTCATCAAAGACTATAGTCTTTGTATTTTCACATATTTTCATGCCAAAGACTATAGTCTTTGCATTTTCACACATTTTTTCGCCAAAGACTATAGACGTTCATTTTTACATATTTTCATGCCAAAGACTATAGTTTTTGTATTTTCACACCTTTTCATGCCAAAGACTATAGTCTTTGCATTTTCACACTTTCATGTCAAAGACTATAGTCTTTGCATTTTCATACATTTTCATACCAAAGACTATAGTCTTTCATTTTCACAAATTTTCATCCCAAAGACTATAGATTTTGCTTTTCACACACTTCCATCCTAAAAACTATATTGTTTGCATTTTCACACACTTCATACCAAAGACTATAGACTTTGTATTTTCACATATTTTCATGCTAAAGACTATAGTCTTTGCATTTTCACACATTTTTTCATGCCAAAGACTATAGACTTTGCATTTTCACAGACTTTCATGTCAAAGACTATAGTCTTTGCATTTTCACACACTTTCATGCCAAAGACTATAGTCTTTGCATTTTCACACACTTTCATGTCAAAGACTATAGTCTTTGCATTTTAATACATTTTCATATCAAAGACTATAGTCTTTCATTTTCACAAATTTTCATCCCAAAGACTATAGATTTTGCTTTTCACACACTTCCATCCTAAAAACTATATTGTTTGCATTTTCACAAACTTCATACCAAAGACTATAGACTTTGCATTTTCACACATTTTATTGCCAAAGACTATAGTCTTTGCATTTTCACACACTTTCATGCCAAAGACTATAGACTTTGCATTTTCACAGACTTTCATGTCAAAGACTATAGTCTTTGCATTTTCACACACTTTCATGCCAAAGACTATAGTCTTTGCATTTTCATTTCAAAGACTATAGTCTTTGCATTTTCATTTGTCTCAAAGACTATAGTCTTTAATTTTCACAAATTTTGATCCCAAAGACTATAGACTTTGCTTTTCACACACTTTCATCCTAAAAACTATAGTGTTTGCATTTTCACACACTTCATACCAAAAACTATAGACTTTGCATTTTCACACATTTTATTGCCAAAGACTATAGTCTTTGCATTTTCACACACTTTCATGCCAAAGACTATAGACTTGCATTTTCATACATTTTCATGCCAAAGACTATAGTTTTGCATTTTCACTTATTTTCATGACAAAGTCTATAGTCTTTGCATTTTCACTCGCTTTCATGCCAAGGACTATAATCTTTGCATTTTTACACACTTTCATGCCAAATACTATAGTCTTTGCATTTTCACAGACTTTCATGTCAAAGACTATAGTCTTTGCATTTTCATACATTTTCATCTCAAAGACTATAGTCTTTAATTTTCACAAATTTTGATCCCAAAGACTATAGACTTTGCTTTTCACACACTTTCATCCTAAAAACTATAGTGTTTGCATTTTCACACACTTCATACCAAAGACTATAGTCTTTACATTTTCACACACTTTCATGCCAAAGACTATAGTCTTTACATTTTCACACACTTTCATGCCAATGACTATAGTCTTTACATTTTCACACACTTTCATGTCAAAGACTATAGTCTTTACATTTTCAGACACTTTCATGTCAAAGACTATAGTCTTTGCATTTTCATACATTTTCATCCCAAAGGCTATAGACTTTGCAATTTTACACAATTTCATGGCAAAGACTATAGTCTTTGGCATGAAAGTGTGTGAAAATTCAAAAACTATAGTCTTTGGCATGAAAATATGTGAAAATGCAAAGACTATAGTCTTTGGTATGAAATGTGTGAAAATGCAAAAACTATAGTCTTTGTATGAAAATGTGTGAAAATTCAAAGACTACTATAGTCTTCGGCATGAAAGTTGTGAAAACGCAGACTACAGTCTTTGTCGCAAAAATGTGTGAAAATGCAAAGGCTATGCTATGAAAATGTATGAAAATGCGTGAACTATAGTCTTTGGCATGAAAATGTGTGAAAATGCGTGAACAAGTCTTTGGCATGAAAATGTGTGAAAATGCGTGAACTATAGTCTTTGGCATGAAAATGAAAAATGCATGAACTAGTCTTTGGCATGAAAATGTCAAATGAAAATGCAAGACTATAGTCTTGGCATGAAATGTGTGAAAATGCGAACTCTTTGGCATGAATCAAAATACTATAGTCTTCGGCATGAAAATGAAAAGCGAACAGTCTTTGGCGCAAAATGTGTGAAAATGAACTGCATGAAAATGAACTGTGGCATGAAAATGTAAAATGCATGAACAATAGTCTTTGGCATGAAAATGTGAAAATGCGTGAACTTTGGCAGGAAAATGTGAAAATGCATGAACTCTGCATGAAATGGGGCATGAAAATGTGAAAATGCGTGAACTAGTCTTTGGCATGAAATGTCAAATGCATGAACTGGTCTTTAAATGAAATGTGAAAATGGAACATGGAAATGAAAATGTGGCATAATGAATGTGAAAATGGAAAATGCATGAACTATAGTCTTTGGCATGAAAATGTGGATGAACTATAGTTTAAAATGAAAATGTGAAAATGCGTGAACTATAGTTGGCATGAAAATGTGAAAATGCGTGAATGGCATAAAATGGAAAATGCATGAACTATAGTCTTTGAAATGTGTCAAAATGCATGAACTGTAGTCTTTAATAAAATGAACTATTGTCTTTGGCATGAAAATGTGAAAATGCGTGAACTATTGTCTTTGGCATGAAAATGTGAAAATGAAAATCATTGCTGAACTGTCAAATATGAAAATGTGAAAATGTGAAAATGCATGAAGAAAATAGTCTTGGCATGAAAATGTGTGAAAATGTGAACTAAAAGAGAAAATGTGTGAAAATGCGTGAACTAAAGTCTTGGCATGAAAATGTGAAAATGCATGAACTCTAGTGAATGAAAATGTGTGAAATGTTGGCATGAAAATGAAAATGCGTGAATTCTGGCATGAAAATGTGTAAAATGCATGAACAATAGTCTTTGGCATGAAAATGTGAAAAATGAACGTGAAAATGTAGTGTGAAAATGCGTGAACTATAGTCTGGCATGAAAATGTGTGAAAATGCGTGAACTATTGTCTTTGGCATGAAAATGTGTGAAAATGCATGAACTATAGTCTTTGCCTTGAAAATGTGTCAAAATGCATGAACTGTAGTCTTTAATATGAAAATGTGTGAAAATGCGTGAACTATTGTCTTTAGCATGAAAATGTGTGAAAATGCGTGAACTATTGTCTTTAGCATGAAAATGTGTTAATTTGCGTGAATTTTTGTGCTCGTAATGGCGAGAGTCCATAGTACTGGTAGATTCAATGAAAACACCCAAGATAGATAGTAATATGTCATTGTAATGGCTTTCTGCGGTGTTTGTTGTAAATTAATTAGTTCATTTTAAATTACAGGTAGAACTGTAAAACATGCTACCTTTGATTAAAAAATTTTTTGACTTCAGCAATGTGTTCAGTGAATAGCCACGTTCAAGATGTCCGTTGTAATGTAACAATGCGCACGCATTGCGGAAAACATTTTCATTTGTTGAGTACTCCACACAAATTCACATCATCTCTTATCACACTTAATTTTGAGTGATTTTTTCCTCTCAACTCGTCGTATCCATTAGATCTCACGTGCACACGAATGGCACACATTTAGCAACAATCAGATGCCACTAGCAGCCTCATGGCCCAATGTAGCTTTTACATTTGGCCATAATCAGAAGTCACGTGCATACTCATAACACCACTTATAAATGCACCATAGTTAGATGTCACGTGCAAACTCACGACGTGTGGAGCTCATACAAAATAATACTCAGATGTCACGTGCATACTCATGCACAATGGAGCTCATCCTGCTCCAACGGCAATCATGTGAGATACAAACTAGTTTCAGGCTTCTATTTTGCATTCCTTTAGCGTGCCGTAAAATTTATTTTCGAATAAATGGTGCATTTTCACAAAGTCTGAATGAAAATTGAAAAATAAGTTAGTTACATAAAACTGCCAATACTTAACAATAAGAGAGAAATACATTCAGACAGTTGTTGGTGAATAAAGAGTAAACGGTGGACAGTTTTCTTTTTACAAGTGTTCAGATGACAATGAAACTCGAGGCTGAAGTATTATTCAATGGATTTGGCGCTAATGTATGGTCGTCGCGAATCAGAAACGAATGACTTATTTCCGTCTTTTTTTTCGATGACTTAATCTACGATAAAAAGACGGATGCAACTCAGCTTTGACTTCGTTTGGCAAACGGTGTATGGGTAAAGATCTACGCGCATGCGTTCTTGCTTCTTTCTCCGACACCCACTCGTCCGGTAAGCTGAAAGAAAAATCACAGTCCATTAAAAAGAGACAACAGGCAAAATAAATTACCAAAGACCATTAGTCAGGTTTTATTCTTTGGAAATTGATAACCAATGGCAATGTTGTAAAGATATTTTGAATTAATAATTTACTGCTACAATATACAGTGCTTAAACTTTGATCCGCTTTTGAAAAACAGCAATCCGTTATTCATATATAGACGATCGATTAACATAAAATCTCTATATGTTTGTAGATGTAGATCGTCCAGGTTAGTAGAGTACTCCCAGGTTTAAACCATTTACTTTAATATAAAATCTTGTTCGATGAGTAAAGTCCTTTGGACGGCACGAAAACACCTCATTTAAAACACTTCCATTTCGTTGGGAGCTACCGCTTATGTCTGTAGCTAGTTCCCTGGAAGTTCAAATATGTTTCCACATGTTTGAAAGCTAATCTCACGAACATCACAACGGCTCCTCAGGCACCCCCCTTCACCCTATTCTTTACAGATCCAAAAGATCCCAAATGACGTGAAATTGCGCTAATCTAACATCTGCATTATTATGAGGTATTAGATGAACGCGATTCGGTTCATTCGAACGAAGTCAGACATAAGAACACGCAACATGAAGTACAAACGTTTAATTACATTGATTCCGGTATCCAGCGAAGAAGAATTTCTTTGACACCATCTGGTTTCAGTCGTTCACCCAAGGGCTACAAAAAGGATGAGATCATTACGCTGAAAAAGGAACGTTGTTACAATTTAAAAAACTGCCATTGACAAGTCTTGGAAAACGACAGCTCTGCGTAAATGACGTCAACCTCGAAGTCTTCATATAACGACTTCAATGTTTGAATGACGTCATTATATAATGACTTCAATGTTTACATGACGTCATCATTATGTATTAAAACGATTTCAACAGCTATTGAGAAGTATCAGGCAATGTACAATGTTGGAAACTTTATGTTATTTTTGTGAAAAGACTAATCACGTGAGTTTTGTTTTTTGGGATGAAAAATTACAACGATGTTTGTACGTTGCTTATAAGCGTATGTCCTTTGTTATAAAAAATAAAGGACAAATTTCAATCTGAGAGTGTGAGTAAATTAGGAAACTTCGAAGAAACATTTCCCTGTTTCCGAAAACAATTTGTGTTCAATAACTTTAAAGGATTGCAACGCTCGGATCGACTGCTTCACGTAAGAGTAAAAATTTCCCAGGTGTTCCCAGGTGATTTGAAGAATTGAAAATCTATCAGCTATATTATTAAGAATATAGGTTATCGATACAGTTCTGCTTCAGAGAATTTTTGAGCAAGGCAAGTTCAAAGCACAACGAAGTGGTGGAAAACCTATACATTTGATTGAAGGAGAAAGAAAGATCGGGAGAAAGGAGATTGAACTTCCCACTTACTGCTCATAGCAGAGGCTTTGGAAGCTTTCAAAAGTTGTGGATGTTCAATGTTCGCAATTTGATAATGCGAAAAACTTAGAATAGTAATGAAACTGTTTCATATTAGTTATTTTTGATAGTTTTTTTCCTTTTTCGGCCTATATTACAAAAATTGTCAAAAATGCATTACATACAATTGATTTGCATATATCGGCAACGATCGAACAATTTGAAATTTCCAGCTTGCTGGTGCCAGTTCCTTAATTAGAAATTCAGTGTGCTTGCAAAAACTCAGCGTGCAATATGTCATATATTTTCATGCAAGAAGCTAAATTTGTGGGTGTCCTTCCTATATAGAACACCCACACTCTAAAAGTTGTGGGTGTCCTTCCTATATAGAAAACCCACACTCTAAAAGTTGTGGGTGTCCTTCCTATATAGAACACCCACACTCTAAAAGTTGTGGGTGTCCTTCCTATATAGAACACCCACACTCTAAAAGTTGTGGGTGTCCTTCCTATATAGAACACCCACACTCTAAAAGTTGTGGCTGTCCTTCCTATATAAAAAACACACTCTAAAAGTTGTGGGTGTCCTTCCTATATAGAAAACCCACACTCTAAAAGTTGTGGGTGTCCTTCCTATATAGAACACCCACACTCTAAAAGTTGTGGGTGTCCTTCCTATATAGAACACCCACACTCTAAAAGTTGTGGGTGTCCTTCCTATATAGAACACCCACACTCTAAAAGTTGTGGGTGTCCTTCCTATATAGAAAACACACACTCTAAAAGTTGTGGGTGTCCTTCCTATATAGAACACCCACACTCTAAAAGTTGTGGGTGTCCTTCCTATATAGAACACCCACACTCTAAAAGTTGTGGGTGTCCTTCCTATAGAACACCCACACTCTAAAAGTTGTGGGTGTCCTTCCTATATAGAACACCCACACTCTAAAAGTTGTGGGTGTCCTTCCTATATAGAACACCTACACTCTAAAAGTTGTGGGTGTCCTTCCTATATAGAAAACCCACACTCTAAAAGTTGTGGGTGTCCTTCCTATATAGAAAACACACACTCTAAATGTTGTGGGTGTCCTTCCTATATAGAAAACCCACACTCTAAAAGTTGTGGGTGTCCTTCCTATATAGAACCCACACTCTAAAAGTTGTGGGTGTCCTTCCTATATAGAACACCCACACTCTAAATGTTGTGGGTGCACTGACACCGGGACACCCACAGCGTCCCAAGCCCATGGCTCATAATATGTCACAAAACACCATAAAATTTGAACGGAAGAAATTACCTGGCCAACAAAATGTATCTGAGAGCCATCGATGCCAACTGGGTTTGACTCGGTCGAAATCATGTCTTGTAGCCGTGATTTGATGCTATTTACAGAATGTTGATCCACAAAATCTTCAACTTTACCTACAAAGAGAGACTGCATCAAAACCATCCATAGACAGAATAGGAGCTTCAGAAATGCTACGAGAACACACATTGTTAAGACTGCTACAAACTTGTTGTAAAAATCGAAAGAAATTGGCGATTTCAACAGAAGTAATGAAGCCAACAAGCAGATTTGGTCGTTCTATGTAAATATTTACGCAGCTGTTCACTCAATGTGAAAACAATAGATTTCTAAAGAAATGAATACCTAATGCTTATGATTCGAAATTTACACAAAGTGACCAAATCTGCGGGCTGGCTATGCCAATGTTTAACACTCCACAACTTTTATGATAGGTGTGAAAATCAAGTAAATACCAGGGTCATAGCTAGCGCATTAATTGGGAGGAGATGGTGTTTACTCATTGTATATTCAGTTGTGTCCGACTGATTTATTAAGAAAGTCCTTTTATATACACCCCCAAATGAACATTGTAGCTATGACCCTGTAAATACCGCTTAAGTCAGTCTCCAAATTAGAGATTCAAATGATTTGAGCACTGGATCAGAAAATTTCAACATGTAAGAGGCACATACCATGTGATCCAGGTTTCTTGTATCGAATGTACTTTAACCTTTTTTCCTGAGCTGTCTTTTGCTGGGTGATTCATCCTTCTCCATACTACCTATGTTTTTTCTAGTTTGTCGTAAGTTCTCTTTAAAATGACAAGGAACATGCCTTGCAAGACCGGTTTGTGTAGAAAATGACATCTGGCAACCTTCAAATATGCACTTGAAAGGTTTCACGCCAACATGAGATTCCAAATGTTTAGTAAGCCAGCTTAATGAACAACTTGGTCGATTGAACACCTTGCAATGTTGCCAGAGGCAGACAAAAATGTCACAGGATTTCATGGGATCAACATGGGTTTCTTGTGCATGGCTTGCAAGCTGATTAACATCTGTTGCAATGAAATTACAATCCATCCACTTGCACTCAAGGCCATCCTTTTTCTTCTCGTTATCATCCAGTCTAAACATAAATGGTTTCGGTTCAAGTTGCCCTTGTAGTCTAATGCACATACAAATAAAGATATTTTAGATAAAATGCTCATTGTTTGGAAAACATAGATGCAAAACCTGCTAAAGTTCACCCAGTGCTATTTAAACACATATATTGCTATACTGAGGAGGTCAATTAGTTTCGGGTGACTTTTTAATTCTTTCATGTTCAAGAAACAGGATATCAAGAAAAATCAAGTTGCAACTTCCCATAAGCCATTGCAAGCCTCCATCTCTCTTTCTATGAATACTAATAAAAAAGAATGTTGACTGAAAGAAGAATCAATTCAAGCTTCCTTGGTCAAATACTCGAAGCTCTTTGTGCTTTTAAAGTTGGTAAACTTTATAAACAACTTGCTTTTTTACGAGCAACCTGATCTGGTTTAAACTGCATCAGAAGGCTTGATCATGGTAGATTAAAAAACCCTTTACACTTTGTATGTTTCAAATGTCTTGGTTCCTTTCTGACACCTTGCTCCTCAAATATATGATACATCTATACTGCAATATGACATAGTTTCACAGTAAATCCTGATCGCCTAACGCTCGTGAAAATGTCGTGATACTTTCGTGAAAGTCGTAAAAGTTATATCATAGCATTTTTAATAGTAGCAGAAGTGTATAAATCAAAAACACGCATTTTGATATTTTTTTAACTTCGTTGACTTTACATGAAAGTGACGCATTTGATTTGTTTGAAGGAAAAATGTAAAACAAATAGATTCGTCTTTAAAGCGTTTGCAAGAAAATATCAAAATTGGTTAAACATCCACAGTTAGAGAACTCATTGTCCAAAGGTTTTAAGTTGCAAAAAGATTTACACAACAAGTGATAGACCTTTCTAAAAGTTGTAAATTATACCCAAGATTTTAGCTGATATATATATATATTCTATACTAAACTCCTCACTCTCTTCATTCTTACCGATTTTCGTGGTTGTTCTTTGAATTATTCACATACGGAACTGACATGCTTTTATTTCTCACAGGAGATGCTCTCAATGATGAAGCTTTTATGCCATCCCGAACTGCGCTAGCAGTAAACGAGCATTCTGATTTCAAAATGTAATTACTATGAAGTCCATTCAACTTTGGCGGAGCGTCACTGAGACCATTCGTCGTTTTGTTGTCCAGACACGAGGAGATATTAATGTTTTTACCTATCGTGATGCCGTTAACATGCTTCTTTTCATTTTATTTCCTTCGAAGCTTTTGAAGCCGATACTTTCTCTCTGTAGTTGTGTTGTGCTCAAAACAGCATTGTCATCCGCCATCTTGAATGACTTCACGTGTATTGTAACCACGTGATAAGAAAGTAACCAATCATATTACCCGCTGAGCTGCTTTGTGTCATTGTTTCATCTTGCTGGGTCGTTTTAAAGAGCACAATCGTATGGCACAGTTAGACCGGATTTGGTAAAGTAAAAAAATATGGTTCTTTTCGGAATTTTTTGTCTATTTCAGTATTTCAGGCATTAGATTGGCAAATTGAGAAACTTTTCGGTGATTTCACCCTCTAATCTTACGTGCAAAGAATGGTTTTCAAAAAGTATAAATAAAAGTAAAACAAGATATTACAATACTTTGCCAGAACATAAAACAGCGTCGACCGCTTTACAACACACTTTTTTCTTAAAATTTTCTTGTCATTTGGCTTAAATTAAATGGAGGAGTACGTATCAAACTAGTATAAGAACTCAATGTTGGTATAAATATGTGTCTTGCACCTTTTTCTGGCTAATATCACATATAAAGGCACGTTTTCCAAAGTTGACTAAGTTTTATTTCTTTTCCAAAACGACAAACGACTTGAAAAGAAAAAGATAAAGAAGACATGATCAGTCTTGAAACAGGAAGGAATGTTTACACATTACTATAGTTCGCCTCATTTGAGCAATGTCTTTCTACGATCACATATTAAATATACACCGCTTCGCTCGTTCTCACCTACGTCAAAACTTTAAAGGTTTTGCACGCACTACGAGAACTAGCACAATCGTGTGTAATCATTCAGTCAATACCAGTTATATTCTCTTCGCGTTCATGAATCGATAATTGTTCATTCCAAAGGCAGCGGATGGGCAGGGAGAGTTACATGCCATTGGCGGAGGCCCAAGTTGGCAAGATGGCTGTTGTTGGCCTCCACATGGAGATGGTGGTAGTTGGGGACAGCATGGCATGGATCCCATACCCATACCCATTCCCATAGGAAAACCCATACCCGCAGGTGGGGGTCGGACAAGGAAGGTTTCACAATAGCCTCCGGGACAGTCCTCTCGATTAATCATCTCCACTCCATTACCGAGGTCTTTTGGATATTCGGATTTCGAAGTACCTCCAGCGCCTCCATCAGGCGGAGGTGGGGGAGGTTTGCTTGGAGCTGGCGTCGTTTGTGAGGCAGCAGGAAAAGCTAGACTTGCTATAGTGAAAGACAGAGACAATGTATGAAATTCGGGCTGAGATAACCACTGATGGACATATTTGTTTGTTTTTATCTCACATTGGATGAAAAAAACTTTGTAGAAGTTTATACCCGTTTTCGAAGAAAAACACATTACCTCTATTTCATTTTAGTAATACTTGCTCTGAAATATTGATCGTAAAATATTGTGATGTATTTTCTATGGAAATAATTGTCTTTTCAATCAATTTTAAGTTAGCCTTGCTCGACTGCGCATAGTAATTCGAAAAGATCGATTCATTTGTGTAATCTCGCTGGTGGATTACGGCAATCCAGCTTTGAGGATAGGCACATTCGGATGAAAAATTAATTTGCGATAAAGCATTCCACTTTCTGATATCGTTGCAATGTTTTGCACGGCTGTCAGTCTTCAACGAGATTAAAATTACACGGCTGCCACTAGTTTTTGTCAAAGACCTGCTCTCCTCGCAGTACAACAAAACGGATTCATTGGAACACATGCTAAGTTTGCATAAAGCATTGTATGTCTCACCTGACAAGACACCACCAAAGACAATAACGAAAAGTTTCGCTTGCATCTTGCGATCTGAAATCTTAAGAATCAACAGCATTACGATCACTGAAAGACTCAAGTTTTAGGAATGTTCATTTGAAATGAGTTGGCACGGTAGAATTTTTTTCGTAGATGATCAAACGACGGTTGATGAACTACTGGCCGCATCTTCCGTTTCAAGAAAGGAAAACAAGAAACGCCACACAAGCTACTGATGTCTCGCAAACGAAGAAAACGTTGCGAAAAAGTTGGCGAATCATAACATTCACGAGAACTTAGGGCATTTTTTAAAACATTATTCGAGAAGCGTTTTTGTTGTGAGAAAACGTCGAGAGAGAAAAATTACCTATAAAGTAGAACTCTGGTAACTCGTGCTCCTTGAAGGAATTTCAATTTCCACGGGATTTGATAGTATATTTTAAAGTAATTTATCAAGTCAACTCGAACTCGGTTACCGAACTGCAATCTCCTATGGTCAAATAGCTCAGAAAAACGCAAAACTTGAGGGTTAAAAGTCGAAAAGGTAAATTTAATTCAAGCAGTAAGAAATTCATAAATGATGCAATACAAACACAACACAAAAAGAATGTTCCCTCAAAATAAATTGTTATAAAGTCTAAACGAATGAATCCCAAGTTCAGACTTTTAGAAAGGAGGTATAATCTCTTCACTTCAAATTAGCATTAAAAAAATCATGGTAAAATCGGGTTTTCCCACTATTCAGTAACATTATTTGTTTGTAACCGTCATCGTTCATTTAGCACTTTAAAGAATTTATCCATCAAAGTTTCAAAAGCTCATTATGAACAAATTTTCCTCGACAGCAAAACAGCTTTGATGTAACTGATCTAGCTTATATGCACGCAGTTTGTAATTATAAAAAGTACGGATCTTTCAAAGCATTTAATCACACTTCAACTATCTGTATGCTACTTTGTTGCAGTTCACAAATGTAACGAACAGTATGACCACCATTTTATCGTGTCGATCTAATAAACGAAATTCAACAACACCCTCCGTAACTCTAACCATCGCTACTCAAACAATTTTCCGTTTCCCCAAAAGTTCGAGTAATCGGGGTTCTACCGTATTAGCAATCTTATTGTTGCTTATTCCGCGATGAACGAGCCACACAAATTCATCTCCATAGTTTAACAAAATTTGCCCATAAAAACGACACACAAAAAACTTTTTGCAGTCAAATTGAGTCTTCGTAGCTTACCTTGTAAAGTTTTCTTGATCGACAACCGTCTTTTGTTGGATTATGAACCCGGGCGCATTGAACTGTTTATAAATTTATAATTTATGACAAGAGGTGTTCTGGCACAAAACAACCAGCTTTATGACCGGTGCTCGTCCTATGCTTCGCCGATCAAGAGACAACATACAAATGGCCACTGACGATTGACTGTCGTACGCTGGTCAAGTAATCGTGAACGATGTAAAGTAGGGTTGGGTAAGTGCATTGGTATGACGTACCAAGATGTCTTCAACGATGTTCTCGTGGTACTAAAAAGATAATGTTTTCGTGCTTCATATATTGTTATTTATAACGTTATTTCGATAGAGAAAATGGATTAGTAAAAAACTTTATACAATTATCTGGAAGTAGCATCTCGTTCAAACGATATTAATTGATCCAGTGCATATTAGTGCGTGGATTGTTGATGAAAATCTAGAGATATTCTTTACGTCCGACGTATAATGGAGTTTTGATTTTCGCTTTGGTAATTTCTAGAGACTATAAAAGCAATGACAAAATTAGACACTTGAATGCTCGTTACTTGTACGACCAGCTATCAAAACATTGCGTCCATATCAATGCACACGATTAGGATTTACGATTAGTTGGAAGTACATTGAAGTACATACGCTTTAGAAATGATGAATCTAAAGAGCGAATATTTCGTGTTAATCGTTATTCAATCAGAGAGAACGATTCATATAAAGTAAAACTCTGGAGAAAATCTGCGCACTGAAACAATTCTCCACTTTCATGACAACATAGGAGAGAAATCACGCCCTAAAAACAAGATCGGTTTAGGCTTGCAGAAAGATGACTGCTGACCGAAACGAATGCAGCCAACATCATCAATCACAAAATTTCACCATTGTAAAATCCACGATTGTGAAGTGTCTATAACATTAAAATTTTAAACACGGAGTTTTCTGACACTCTGGCCAAGACTGTTCAAAACAACTTAAGGGCAATTTTTACTTCAATTTTGTTAGTTTACACCTTTCAAGAGATATTCAACTTCTTACGACATCATCATATCGCACATTTAGATTCAAAAAATAGTAGTTATCACCCATCGCTTGCTTAAAAATATTCAACTTTTGCAATTATGTTCTTCTGTAAATGTATTCATAAACAATATATGACTAAAATGTTTTCACAAAGGTAAAAAAAAATGTCATCAAAATTTGATGAGAGTTGCACAATGAACGAAGTTTAACGATCTCTAGAAAGAGGCTCACCAACATAAATTTTGAAGAAGTTACTTAACTTATTATTAGTTTAATGAGAAAACTGTACGATAAAATTGTATTTCATAAACTTTACAGCTTCATTCTGATTTATTCAAAAGTGAAAGCGACGAATCGTTTTCATCTTAAGGCATCGAGGATTAGTGATTTCAAAACTAAAGTAAAATCAATAATCAGTCTCGAAGACGGCGAGGCGTAGTTCCCACATTTCTGGACATTGTGCAAGGTGTCAAATGAACATCTGTTACGTGGTTTCCACCATCGTGTTTCTCGATAGGCCACCACCAAGTCGTGATGATCACCCTCAAAATCTTAAAAGCGTGTGAACTAGAAGGATCGATTTTGTGTTCTTACGTATGCAGAATAATTGAAAATCTGCAGGCAAACGTCATTGCAGTTTGGCCTTTCAGCAAATAAATTCGAATCGACTGAACGTTTGGCGGAAATGAAACTTATGATCAGACATATCGTTCCCGTCAAAGAAATGTTTCGGTTAAAGTGTACTTCATGTTTTCGCTGTCTTTTCATGCGTGTAGTTTAATGCGTGAAATCGAAAAGCGTTTCCAAACACCTGCTTTTTCCAACGTCTGGCGTGATCGTTAAAACATTTGACATTTGCTTCAGTTCTTCAAGTCAAAACGATATGAAAGGGAAAAAATGTCGCCCGTATTAATGATACGAAAATAATATTTAATTAAGAAGTATTGCCGATTTATGGGCAAGAGGAAAATCTAACGGAGCGAGACGACAAAAAAGTGCCGGCTCTCTGGTGAGTAGGTAAATCAATGTTTGGTAAATTTTCTATTCGTGAGATTGGCAGGTATTCGAAAGAGAAAGAAACTTTGATAGAAAGTATTAAAGATACATATTGATTCAAAAAGTAAGAATATTTTGAGTGTATTTATTTGACTAAAGGCGTATCCCACTGAGAGTTTTTATAACGCCATAACACAGCCGCTTATTTGGAACTTTAATTTCACAAGAAGGTTAATGAGTTTGATATCGTCTGATACAACGTGTTCAAAAAGAAAAGAGAAAGCGAAATTTCGACAATATAGCTACTCAAGTTTGTTTTAGCTCAGGTTGCTTAAAGTTCAGCAATGAAAGTAGCGATGTTCGAAGATCACCCTCTGCGTAAAATCAAAGTCTGAGCTGCGTGATGTTGAAGATGAAGTAGGTGAATGAAAAAAAGTGGGATCCGTATTTGCTTTCCAATAACTAGACATTAAAATTTTCACAGAAATCCTTTTTAAAACTGGTTTCAAAAAAGGAATAGGCAGTTAAATATGCAACATTAGATTTCAAAAAAGTTGCTTGATCGCTCTACCGAAAGATTTCATCGAATATATCGATGGTCCATTCTGGTGCATCCTTCCCACATGGATATCTGCTTTTTGCCTACAAGTTTTTTCTTTCTGTTACAGGTTTTTAATATAAATCAAAAAATGAACTTTCGTCATTTTTGTTTGGTTCTCTCATTCGTCCACCTCGCCATAGGTACGTATAATTTCACTACTTCCAATTTGAACTGAAGAGAGACCATTTCCCAAAAATATGTACTACAAAGAATGAAACAATGAATATAACAATCCAGGGGGGAGGGTGCTTTTCTTTCACTATTGTATAAGCCAGAAACACAACCAGAAGATATGGAACGAACAAAAAGACACAGAACAGAATACATCTTCTACAATATTCGCATATCACGTGACACAGCAATAACTAATCACAATCGTACTTATTTTGCACTTTTCATAATCAGGCGGTCCAGCAATTCGACATAATGTTCCGCTGACACAAGATATGCCAGCATCCCACCAGAGAACACAAATAGGAACCGAGCAAAGTGCAGAGCAAGATGCTGCTTCCATGACGACAGATACTGCTGGCTCAGCAGTGACCGATGCCACTGACCCAAATATGGGCGGCTCACAAAGTGGTTCCACACCAACAGCCGTGGACGCAAACTCGAACGATACGAGTAGCGAAAATTCTCAAGTCGGGGAGTTGCAAAATACTTTGATCCACCCGGGGGGTGAGATCGAAAAGGTGTACACGGGAAAACCAGAGGAAGTGGAAAATAAACTCAAGGATGGTGCAGAGCAAATTGACACTCTCACAAAATCTGATGGCGAGATAGAAAAGATCTACGTCGGAGAACCTACGAAGAACAATTCAACCAATACAGAAGAAAGTAAAATACAGAAGGAAGGTATATTAGGATTAAGGATTGTGACTAAAGAGAGTAGTATGTAAAGGCTAGGATTAAGGATTTGGATTAGTAGACTAACATGTAGGAATCATTGATGTTTTCACTCAAAACATGTACCAACAGAATCCTACCATGAGGGTAAAACCATGAATATTAGGCAACTGTAGACAGATGTTTTTTGCAGTGCACTGAATAACAAGCATAACCATGCGCACCGGAGAATTTTGGTAAATCGCTCGGAGTGATTATGCGCAAAAGCCAGTAGCTATTTCCTATAACTAAACGATTGTTGTGATTTCAAAAGTGCCGGACAAGTATATATTTTCTCGTTCAGCAAGAGCAGTGAAGAAGTGAGAAATCCAAAATAATCACATTCACATCTCTCCACAACACTGAAACTAGCAATCGCTATGTCCTTTCAGACAGTTCTTGGGTGGAACCTCTACATTTAAATAGTAATTCCTCATTCTGATGAAGGCTCGAAGCAACGAGTCGAAAGCTCAATAAAATATTTTTTTAAAACAATCCAGAGAAACATTCATTTTTTATGTATTAAATGATGATTTCTATTTTTGTGTAGCTACCGCAACACTTGCCCATGACACATTCAACATAAGCATTCCGCTGAAGGAAAAAACCCCGGCTGTGTTCAAATACATTGGCAACGAGACGGAGGGAGTATATCTAAAATCTGCAGGTAGGTGGTAAAATCTTCGCGCGTGTAAAATTCTAGTTCTGTAAAACCTCCAGGGTGTGTAAATGTTCTGCAATGTAATATCCCTAAGTATGGTAAAGTCTTCACGTATGTAAAACTTCGAGACATGTAAAATCCGTAGGTATGTAAAATCTTCACGTATGTAATATTTCGAGATATGTAAAATCCGTAGGTATGTAAAATCTTCACGTATGTAAAATTTCGAGACATATAAAATCCGTAGGTATGTAAAGTCTCACGTATGTAAAATTTCAATACATGTAAAATCCGTAGGTATGTAAAATCTTGAAGCATGTAAAGTCCGAAGTTATGAGGTGAAATCTTTTTTAATTTGCACATATTGTGTTCTAGCATCTGAAAACTTTAAAACAAACTGTGTTTCGGAGCACAACAAGAAGCGATTCATTCACAATGCTCGTCCACTCGTGTGGAGTGACAAAATCGCACAGAGCGCACAAACCTGGGCCGACCATCTGGCAGAGATCGATAGCGACATACAGGACCCAGGCAATAAAAAATACGGAGAAAATATATTCTGGACAAGACCCCAGCTGCCTGAAGATGAGTTGTGTAAGGCAGCCGTAGATGAATGGTGAGAAACTACAGGATTATTGTTTTTTCGAGGTTATCACGACAAGGATGATGATTTCTCTATATCAAAGCTATTGAAATACACATGTCATAACTTCTTATAGAATAATGCACACCATCCATACATGAAATTTTAAAGAAAGGTACATCCATGACATCATAGGAAAATGTACATCCATGACATCTTATGTACATCCATGACATCTTAGGGAAATGTACATCCATGACATCTTATGTATATCCATGACATCTTAGGAACATGTACATCCATGACATCTTATGTACATCCATGCCATCTTAGGAAAATGTACATCCATGACATCTTAGGAACATGTACATCCATGACATACTATGTACATCCATGACATCTTAGGAAAATGTACATCCATGACATCTTAGGACAATGTAGATCCATGACATCTTATGTAGATCCATGACATCTTAGGAAAATGTACATCCATGACATCTTAGGATAATGTACATCCATGACATCTTATGTAGATCCATGACATCTTAGGAAAATGTACACCCATGACATCTTTAGAAAATGAGCACCAAAGAAATTTTATAAAATCGTGCACCTGCCAATATGATGCTCCGAGACACTAATTCCTTTCATATCGACTGGATTACTTAGGTATAACGAAGTAAAGCTGTACGATTTCTCCGCCTCACACAAACGAAATTTTGATCCCCAACCGGTGAATGAGTTCATACAGCTGGTATATGAGGGACAAACACGTGAAGTGGGCGTGGCCTTCTCGCTCAGTCGCACTAACAAGCAATACGTTGTTGCCCGGTATTACAAAAAACGCAACAATATGATGTTGGATTCTGAAGTGCACCCGGCTCATTCAGGTAAAAAATTCTTGTTTTGTAATTTATCGTAGTGCAGCGTAGCGTATCGTACTGTATTGTAATGTAGTGTAGTGCGGTGTATTGTATTGTAGTGTATTGTACTGTAGTCTAGTGAAGTGTAGGGTAGGATAGTGTAGTGTTTTGTGGTGTGGTGTAGAGTGGTGAGGTGTGATGTGGTGTGGTATAGTGTAGTGTGGTGTGGTGTGATGAGGTGTAATGTGGTGTGGTGTAGTGTGGTGTGGTGTGGTGTAGTGTGGTGTATAGACTGTCATTTAATAATCGCACTAAACCCTGTCGTTTTAAATCCATCATATTGTCCATGTTCTCGACAACAATCCCTCTATGTGCTCATTAAAACGACAGCTTTAAAACCTCTCAATAAGTTCTATACAGCTAGTTTGCATTAAATCCACATTTTTCTCGTTTCAGATGGTGCGAAAGTGCGATTTGACAAGCCAGTTTATCAAAGTATGTGTACACTAGACCATGATCAATTCAAAGCCGAACACATAAAGCCATGTCATAGGTTACGTAATCTGATTGGCATGTTCAAAACACGTTATAATACACGTCCTTCATTCTGATAGAAAGCACACATACACCTCCCCTTCTTCTGATCACGCTGACTGCAAATTCGTCGAAAATGCGCTCATTGTTTCAGTAGCTTTAAAATATTCCTTTGATTCAAATAACACTTCAACCATACCTTCATTTCCTGAATGGTGATTTTTCTATCATTCAAGGATACAACATGATCGTGCGCCTTCCGCATATTCCGTGGCTTCCCCAATACGAGCAGCCGAATTCGCCCGTCTCCCAACATCTGGAAAACAAGATGAAGAACGCGGTAAAAACTACGAAATCAATAGATTTGTTTTAAGGTGGCTGTTTAACTAAAAAAAATGGGTATCCAATGTTTATCAAAACACTTAAACAAAAAAGAACTAGTTGCAGTTAATGTCACGATAAAACCCAAAGTTAACAACACATAAAATTATCGCACCTTAAAATTCGACTCTTTATTGGCTAAAGACGATCACGTGGAAATAAGTAGATTCGGACTTTAGTCGACAATGGAATAAGATAGAAGTACCTCACGGTTCTGCTGAGCAAATGGTTCCCAAAATTTAGTGTTTGTGTAGTCAATTCAATAACTCAAAATGCCCATGCAAATTTGTGCATGGGTACTCGAGTTTGTGCATGTATACTTGAGTTTGATTATGGCAGACAAATGAAAGTTGCGAGCTGCCTCATTAAAAAGATTGAATTTCGAAACTCTTTAATTGTGCTGAAACGCAATCCGTTTTCTGTTGCAGTTCAAGGCGACATTCCAGGAAACTCCAACGATAACAAGCCTGGTCGACCTCAAAATGAATTCATTCAAGTATGTGCTCATTTTGTGCTAGCAACTTTTTACTATCAACAAACAAGAAGGCCACAATTAAATTACCTCAGTAATTGCAGGACAACACTGAAAACTTCATTGATTTATGATAGCAAAAAATTATGCATGAAACTTAGTTGTACGACGCAAAACATTTCATACAATTCATGTTTAGATTATCTATAATTTATGCTTGGACTAACCATGATCTATGTGTGGATTACCCCTAATCCATGTTTGGATTGACAAAAATCCATGTATGGATTACCCAGTAGATGAAATCATCTGTTACTTTACTTAAATAATAGTTTAAACGGTTAAAATGTTTGAGGAAATTTTCCTAAAATTCATACATTTTTCAGGTTGGATGACCGACAACCCGAGAGGTAAGTCAAAACGATACAAACAGCAAGGGAAAATCTCTTCATCTGAGCAAAGACTTCACGTTAAATTAAAATATTGCAAGGCTCTGACATGCCTTCTTCTGTCCACGTTTAACTGTAGCGCCATCCTAGCCGACATCGATGTGAAATTTTATCCTTATGTGAAGGATCCGATCCAGAGATTGAAGAATAGTATCTTCCACGGGCAACTGAACGGAATGGCTATGGACGATAACTTCCTGAAAGTTTTCAACAAAACAGGTAAAAAATATACTTATAACACAAATAATACCTGAAATGAATACGTCAAATCAATGAAACAGTACTTACAAATTCGAATGTTAACAATGTTCACGTTGTAACCAATATCTTTAAAACAAAAGTTGTCCGTAGAAATACAACAATTCACCTACGAGAAAGTTGACGACAAATTTAAAAAATCTCGATCGTGTACATTGTTCGCCTCTGATTGCAAACTGTTTTCCTAGGTTTTTACGAGCCCCCGACATCGTGGAAGGAGAAAATGACGAGCACTGACCTTCAAGCTGATCTGAATGCGCCCAACATGGCAATCGATCCTATAACGGGTGCACCAACCAACATCAAATATCCCCAATCGATCTCCGAAGATATAGACCTGGTCGATCGTAAACCTTGCCAGGGCGGGGTCTGTGAGACGTATTTGATTAAAGACAGATGCAATGGAAACTCCGAAAACTGTCCTCCATTATCAGCAATGCAATCGGATTCAACACCGTCCAGTTCCGTTTCGACGCAGCCTACGAACAGTTATACGCCACAGCCATGTTGCGACCAGATGCCAACTCCCACCCCCTGCCTTGCGCTAGCGTGTCCACCGCCACCCGCGTGTAATCCAACCTGCAAATCCCGCGTGCCCGGCAATTGGCCCCCGGAATTTTATAGAAGGGGGAAGATCACAACTAGAAGAAATTCTGATGGTGATAAATGAAAGCTGCAAGTCGTCACGCGTAAATGGATCGGTCCAATGTATATATTTTTAAAGAAATATTCTTGAAACAATACTCGATGGCCATTGTCTAAAGCTAAAACTAAAAGGAATGATCATGACTGTGTTCGGGGTTGTCTACGTTAAGTAAGACTAGCCAATATGAAAGTAAAGTATCGACAAATTCGAGGAAGTTGTGATATTCTTATAATAAATACAATTGGCCAGCACACAAAACATTTGATGTGGCAATAAAATGTTTTTATACATCACATAATTCATGGCATTTTTCGATGTCTGAGCTGCGCAATTGTATTCAATATCAACAATTACCTAGAAAGTTTTCACTGTTTTCTCACTGTTGTATTAATACTTAACCACAGCTAACATCGATTAAATAATTAAATAACCAATCAATAGCGTGCAACACGGTGCTCCAAATTTTATGGATGAAATAACGATCCCCCTTTTATATCTTAACACTCGCAATGATCATCTCATGTCTCAGTGAGTCCCAGCTACCCTGCGGAATCATGCAATGAGCTCTTAACACTCGCAATGATCATCTCATGTCTCAGTGAGTCCCAGCTACCCTGCGGAATCATGCAATGAGCTCTTAACACTCGCAATGATCATCTCACGCCTCAGTGAGTCCCAGCTACCCTGCGGAATCATAACACTCGCAATGAGCATTTATGGCGAAGATTGTAGTACATAAATATACTTTAGTTGTGCGGTATTGTTTTCAAGAGATATTTTGCTGTTTACTGCAACGTCATTGGCTACAGTGGCGAGCGTTTTTTAAAATACTTTAAAGTTCATATCTCCGTTTAATTTTGTTCGATTATGCAAGATGCGTTTTGTTCAAAAAGTTTTACCAAAAGAAACAAAGTCCTCCGAATATTTTGAAATGACTTTTCATGATTCTATCGGCGACAAATCCACCAAGATTCAACATTAACCAAAAAATTGAATATTTACCGTTTTGGTGGTTCAGTAGTACAATTTGGGTAAACGGTGTTGGTTGAATTTTATAGACAGCGTGTAGTAAAGAAATAGCAGGCAATTTCAATATGACAATATTCATTTTAATGTCGCTTTCGAAAGTTTATAATATGAAAATCTAGTTACATTCAATTCGCCGCTTGTTTCCTCTGAGACAGATTAATCTTGTCGCCAAGACTTAGAGCCATCCCCTGAAAATATTAATGAAAGTTAACAATGGCTTTTCGAAAGCCGTTCCTCAAGAAATATTTTATGGACCACAAAAATAGCCTTAAATGGAACCAGACGGAAATGCTTCGATGAATAATATGTGATGCACTCTGATTGATAGTAGAGAAAGTATAGCTAGATTTCCAACTTTATGAGAACGCACCTACGCGCAGGTAAAATTGGAAGTCCGCAGAAGTACTTCTTACGAGAAAATTGTATCATTAATACGACTTAGCTATAGTGGATTATGGTATCTTTCCAAGTCGAACCTTTTAAATTTTCAATGATGCAGATTTACAAACCTGACTTTTTGCTCTGATACGAATGTGACCTGTGACAAAAGCGTCTGGACCTTCGTCAAATGGAAGCTCAATGCTCACGTTGGCTAACGCATCTTCGCCAAAAATACTGCGCGCATAGAGATTAGCCGCCATAAAGCCACAATCACCACACAATGCCTGAAATAGAACAATTGAAAGACTTTACTTCTTTCACACTTATGATGAACACTGTAGCTATGTTTCGGTAACTACACAATTTCTCAGATTCATGTGATGAAATTTTCAGGAAACAGAATGCAATAATATTTTAAAACAAATCCTTTTCATTGTCCATTTGACGTAACACAATGAGTGCATGCACTGTAACGTTCGCCAAAATTAATTCTTTGAAGAAAAGCTGGCGTTATGGCGGCGAATTCAATTCCATACAGAAATCAGAGAAAAAAAACGTGTGTCACTTTTTGAAAATAAAATTTCTACTTTTGTATTTGATGATTTCGTTTATTTCGCCATTATATTTAATGATAGAAGAAATATTGAACATACGTTAACTTATGTTTTAGCTATATAAATAGCTAGAGTTGTTTTATTGTTTTGTGATTTGCCATTGTATAAAATGGTATTAGTACAAAAACACGCCCCCTGTGGAAATCAACTTGACGAGGTTGACGAAGCCAGCGTGTCAAAATACAGATTTTCATTGGGCCCTCACCCCCCGTCTCCAGTCAAGATTACGCCATATCTACCTTGTTCATTGCAGACATTGTTCCACTAACCTTTTCAGGTGTAAGCAGTTTCATGTTTGTACAAGTGATAAGGTGATCGATGTATTCTCGTAGGTTTTTGATGTTTGTGTTCACTGTTACCTAGAGAAATACGCATGCGTTATTGTTACCCAGAGAAATACGCATGCGTTACTGTTACCTAGAGAAATACGCATGCGTTAGAAGCTAGAGCAAAGATACACGATATAAATGACAAAAAGTAATCCAAAAACATCATCTTGTAAACTCAAGATACGAGTTATATTATTTCAAAGGCATTATCAAGTCTTGAAACAAAGTCGAAATATTGCTTTTAAGTCTTGTCTCTTTTTAATACAACTCAAATCTAATGATATTTTTGTGGTGTATTTTATCATTTATTTCTTCAAATCATCGGCTGGAAGAGGTTTTTGATACAAGATATCTCCCTCCCGTTTTTTGAGCACCACAACAAAGATGATGAAATGAAGAAATAAAGCTGATATTTGCATGAAAAGTTTTGGCTGTTTTCTCCAATGTTTTGGGAACGAAACCACCGCCCACATATGCACAGGGTGTATCAAAAAAGGAGACCGTTACAATTTGACGTATTGTGATGACGTATTGTGACGTATTGTGATGATTTCAAGGTCTGTTATTATGTCCACGGGTGCATTAAGTATTGTTATCTATAAGCATATATTTCATATCTTTCTTACAAGCTCAAAAACTTTTTCTGTTCCTGGGAATTTGACATAACTTCTACCAGCAAAATCTGAATGCACGAGTGGGATAAGATAGCGATCAGACAATGAAATTTCACAATATGTTGATTTGAAAAACACGAATCTTGTACAGAAACTTGTACAGAAACTTGTACAGAAAATTTTCCATTTATTCAACAAACTAAGAAGCATCAACTTACAAAAGAATAACGCAAGTGCTAATTCCCTATCTACAAAATCGATTACCTTGTTTTCCCATTCAAATTCAGCCCACATTTGTCTGAATTCAGTGTCGGTACACGAAGCGGGGATTATGTAGTCCATTATATCAATATGAATATCGTTAAGAACAACGCAGTTACGGTCACCAGTTCCGCCAGAGACATCGTAGACTGAAGGTAGAAACATTATTAATGATCGCTCACTGACCAAATGTACCGCAAGCACACAACCAGCAATTGGCCGTATAAAATGGAACCACTAAATGCATTGTGGCCAGATCGTCACATTTAAAAGTTAAGGAGCTAGTGCACGAGACCATCATTTATGTCTATTCCAGATTTGATGTATGTGCACAAGGGGAGGGGGATGAAAACATATGTGTTTGTTGCAAAATCTCTATAGTTCGCTGGATGAAAACCTGGCAGAAATATTTATACATGTACAAGCTGAACCGCTTTAATGTAGTTCGTTTTCATGGAAGTGGATAAACGGATACACATGCAGAACAAGATATTAACAAAATTATTTTAGCACAAAATAGTTTTCTTTTACTAAAATGGCGATCAGTAAAACATTGTAATCAAAACAGCGTGAAAATATATGTATTTTTACTAGTTTGATTACTTACCGATGTTGCCAAATATAATCCCATTCTCTGTCGATGCGACCTTGACGCTAGCCTTAAAGAAATTCAAAACAAATATTCACCGCACAATCAATAAGACACTGGGAACCGACAAAATTTTTAATATACTGCAGGTGAAGAAAACAGTTTTTTACACAGTATTCAATTCACGGTAGACGTTTGATGAGTGCAATTCAACGTTCGGTCACCTTTATGTTCGAGAAGTCGTGAGGGCCAAGCAAAATAGGAGTTGGCTTTTCAACTAATTTCAAATCCCCTGAAAACAAAGAAGGTAACACATATTACAAACAACGTATAATCAAAGAGATACACGCGTGAAAACCACCGGGCAAGTTCACCGTTGTTTTTTCATTACCTAATGTAGCCAGCTCCAAAACCACATTTTGCAATGTATCCGAAGTTTGGTTTACGATGAGGACATCGAGGACTATGTCGTATTGATTGACGTTAACGTAAGCCTCGGCGAACACCGGATCGGAGAATCCCGTCAACTGAGTCACCTATTTGTGCACGATACATAAGTATCTAACTATCAAGTCACTTTTGCCGAACATTATAGGAGAGGCCAACCTTATTCAACTTTGAACTCTTGGCGTCTTCTTCCTGTTTATCTAATCCAACAGCTTGTGATAAAGTAGCATCGTAACGGTCCTAAACAAATAATCCGTTCATCATACCTTCAGCACATGTGTGTGTATTCATATATTCAGTTGTGCTCAACTGACCTCTTTTGAAAAGAAATTTCTTTTCAAAGCTTTCAAAAGAAATCAGAAGGGCACAAGTGAATATATGAATATAGTTACACCCTCCTCCAATAAACATATCAGTTACCCCGGTGATCACTAATCGTTGAATCGAGTAAACCAAACCCAGATAACTAACTCGATAATTAAAATTTATATGAGAGGTCACCTCGAGTATTTCGTTTTCAGCAGTAGCCAGAAGTTGCATGAATGCAATTGGATCGTCTGCTTGGATACTGACAACTTTCCTTTCGTTAACCTAAAATTAACAACATTACATAGAATACTCCATATCACAATGCACTTTCATTATCCTGAGGATGGCTTAACAATAGTCTTAAAGTGAAGATGCACTACTTTAGATTAGATTTTGGTGGCCACTTCTTGCCGTTGCATGTCAGACTTTTTTGTTAAATTCTGCAAAATTTTTATTGACAGAGATATTTTTGAAAGCATCCCCCATTAATTCATCCGTTGTACCTTGTTCATTTCTTCAGAATCTTGTTTATTTGATTCGAGCATGTTGGACAGAGAGCGTCGACATTCCACTGTAAAGATATTTTTCATCAAAGCACTGCGATTCGCCAACACACGAATGCACAGAGTTATACGATCAACATCGTCGTCGGTAATTGTCTATATCAAGATACACAAAAATTATTCATAAAATTAAAAACAACACGCATGCGCTGAGTAGTCAATAGCCATGTTTGCATTAGCCTCTCGAGTAGGTGCAGCCCTCGACTTTCGGTCTCGGGCTTACACTGAAGAGTGATTTCGAAGATGACTATATGAAAGTAAATGGCAACAAAACGGTGAGACGTAAAACAGTTGAACTTATTCATCTACATCTATTTGGGGCCATCAAATTAAACTTAAAAAAGTGTCGTAGATGTTTATACAAAAAACTAGATAAGCGATAGGATCGTCAAACGTCTTTTAAACTATTTCGTAGTGAAATCAGATATTACTATTACAGTCACAAACAATCATGCAGATCAAAACGAACGAGATTACAAGACAAGAGTTGGTAGAATTGTACAGGTAAAAGAAGACACATGAATGTCGAAAAAGATCCATAAGGCAGTTCACTTAAACCCAAGTTACTTTAATTTCTCTACAGCATCTTTCCATCTCAAGCACACAGGTTCACACAGGAGATAAAGCGGCAGTTGTCTTAAATTGTGTTGAATACTGTTATAATTGTATTTCTTATTTTTGAAAGTAGATCGGAGTCTCGTTATTTAAAAGTAAATTTAAATGTTTAAAAATCACTACGAAATCGTCAGTAATGCCTGGCTCTTGCACAGCCGTTGCATAATCAAATGGTTCAACAACTCGTCTTCTACATAATGCTGACAAACATTCCACAATCGCTCTAGAGCGCAAAAACCAGCATTCTAAACTTAAACTTCGATATAACTAAATGCAGAAAAGCATATTTATATTATTGACCTTCTTCGAAAGACCAGACTTCCCAAGGTGAAGGATACTAGCCATGATCAACATGGACTGGGCACAGAATATCTGAAAAGAAGGAAAAAAATTTTTCAATGCAGAATGACGGTATCGTCGTATTCAAAGTTAAGAAGACTAAAAATACGGTTTTTACCTTTTGGCAAAATATTTTAGGGCTTTTCTACGTCAATGAAATTTGGGTGCAAAATAAACAACACAGCACATCCATAGATTCCCCCCTTCCATAGAGCGCTGATGATTCAATGCCCTCAACAATTTTGTATTGCCGTCAAGAAGTAAAAACTACGAGCAAATGTGCTATTTCATAAAACATCTCTTCACAACCAGTGAAAATGAATACGCTTCGACAATTTATAGCAATCCTGGTGTAAACAAGGACTCGGATAACGGGGAGGGAGGGCGGGAGACAAAACTTCTTAGATGCAGGGTATATACACAGATCGGTGCACATGCAATACATACATTTTGTTTCTTTTCATCAGCAACCAACTCAATGTAGCGCAGGGCGACTTTTGTCAGCGTACCCACCAACGCAGCGCCAACAAAGAACTCACCATCCAAAAGATATTGACGAAGAGGAGGCCTGGTAATTAGTCAGCAAAATTGTGATTCACGTGTATATGGTTATTTTCTACGGGCTTCAAAAAGTCTTGTGTAAAGGAAAATCATGATTATTCGTGATGATGAGAGCAAAGCATCGTGCAATAAGCGAAAAGACTCAAAACTTAACAAAGATAGGTGCGTTTGAATCGTCGAATCAAATTCAGCCGCCGCATTAGACGCTTAACAATGTTATAAAATCATAATATATATATTTTCAATCTACAACTTAAGTACGGAAAGATAGTTTGGATGATAGAAAACGCCGTTAGGTTAAGTAAACTCAAATTTCACCATGAGATAACTGACTTGTGAGAAATGAAGTGTAAATCGGTCGAAATGCTTACTTCTCTTCCTTGCGTGATCCGGGGGCGCTCACAAATATACTTTCTGTTGCATATGTACCATCAGCGGTCACTCTTGTCTTAGTAACTGTCGTGCCTTGTTCTTTATTATCTGATGATATAGAAACGTAGCAGATATTGAATTTTTATATTACATTTAAGATTTGCTTTTTTTAATATTACATTACTGCCACAGTATAGCAAATTCTTGGGTTAAAAGCTACGTCATAGCCGCCATGTTGGATGATTTTAACAAAGGATGTTCCTTATTTACAATGCAAATTTCATCCAACATGGCAAGCATTCCATTGTTCTCATACTCCCAGGGGATGGTTGCAATCCACCAATATACAGCAGAGCCACTCCATTGAATTTTTTTGTGTCACGCATATCTTACGCATGTGATTACCATAGTGGCAGCAAGTCAATTGCTTTTTTTGACCAATAGGAATAATGAAATGGCTTAAGGCAGGTGGCCATCTAATTAAATATACAGCAGCCAGTTGCACACGAAGTGGACCTAACTGTATATTTCCTATACATTGTCACTGCACAAGACCGAAAATTTACAATTATGAAGGCATTTGGAAACGTCAAGTCCACAATCATGAAAATGGTGGTGTGAAACAGTCACGTAAAACAATCACAGGAGCACGTCATGTAAAAAATTTATGTAAAAATTCATGTAAAACAGTCACGTAAAACAATCACAGGAGCACGTCATGTAAAAAATTTATGTAAAAATTCATGTAAAACAGTCACGTAAAACAATCACACGAGCACGGCATGCAAAAAATTTATGTAAAAATTCATGTAAAACAGTCACGCAAACGTTATGTAAAAACAGTGTAAAACAATTCATGCAAAACAGTCACGTAAAACAATCACAGGAGCACGGCATGCAAAAATTTATGTAAAATTCATGTAAAACAGTCACGTAAAACAATCACACGAGCACGGCATGCAAAAAATTTATGTAAAAATTCATGTAAAACAGTCACGAAAAGCAATCACAGGAGCACGTTATGCAAAAAATTTATGTAAAAATTCATGTAAAACAGTCACGAAAAACAATCACAGGAGCACGTTATGCAAAAAATTTATGTAAAAATTCATGTAAAACAGTATAAGGTAAAACAATCACAAGAAAAAGTCATGTAAAACAGACATGTTCACAGTCACATAAATTTAATGTAAAACAATCATAAAACAATCATGTAAATTAGTCATGTAAAAAGTCATGTAAAAAAGTCATGTAAAATAGTCATGTAAAAGTAATGTAAAAAGTCATGTAAAAAAAGTCATGTAAAATAGTCATGTAAAAAGTAATGTAAAAAGTCATGTAAAAAAAGTCATGTAAAATAGTCATGTAAAAAGTCATGTAAAATAATCATATAAAGAGTAGTATTTAAAACCAATCCTGCCACTCTAGAATGCTGGACAATGCCGTCATGCATACACGTACATCTAAATTTGAATTCTCGCAATTAAAATTGTAATCGAAAACAAAAACAAAGCATTCATGAAAAGTTAACGTTCCTATAAATTACTAACCCTCCAACGTTTCAACACCAGCAGCCTTTCGAAGTTCATCGTCAACAATGGGAACCTAGAATGAAAACCAATTAAACGCTTCATCACAAACATCATCTTTTACACGTATATATATACACACACAGGTACCTCTCCAAGAGAAGTCTTAACAACATCCATTACATTCATCAAGTCAACTTCGTTTTCACAATATTCACCCAAGATCCACAGTGCATGTCGATGTATTCTAAAGAAGAAACACGATTGGTGGGATTGATACTTTACACTGGCAAACACAGCGCATGTCGATGTATTCTAAAGAAGAAACACGATTGGTGGGATTGATACTTTACACAAGCAAACACAGCGCATGTCGATGTATTCTAAAGAAGAAACACGATTGGTGGGATTGATACTTTACACAAGCAAACACAGCGCATGTCGATGTTTTCTAAAGAAGAAACACGATTGGTGGAATTGATACTTTACACAAGCAAACACAGCGCATGTCGATGTATTCTAAAGAAGAAACACGATTGGTGGGATTGATACTTTACACTAGGAAAAATGGACTTAAAAAATTGCCGGGAGAATATCTATATTTAGGCATTAATATAAGAGATACGAATGATTTTAAGCACCGGTATCAGTTCATTTCTGTGACAAATCTTCTTACGTGTAAATGAATTGAGCGTTTTTATAAAGGACAAGTGGATCTATGTAACTCTTGACATCCGAATTTCCGCCCTTTACGAGGTGAATTCTTCAAAAGCGAATGGTTTGAATTCAGGAGAATCTTACTACATGTTTGTAGATGTAGATCGTCCAAGTTAGTGTAGTTCTGTTGGACTGTTGATATTTATGCCAGATAACTGTAGGTAGTTATCTTCAGAGTCAAGTGAGGCGTAAATGTCACTACGTCTACCTGTAGATGGCTAACGCTAAGGATGTTAAAACGTCAGTCAACATCAACACCAACATTCTCAGGAGTCCACTCGGCTGAAACATCTATTTGCACATCTTCAAATTTGTATTGATACTTCCAGTTAAAGATTCAAAACAACAAAATATATTCCTGCTTTCAGCAAGCCATCCGTTCTATATTCTTTTTAGGCAGCATAAATGTTAATAAAGATTGTTTGAACAAAGCAAATTTTCGCGCTTTCACTCAAATACGCACTGTCATTGGTCGGTGAAACTACCTAATGAGATAGGTTTCACGCTAATCTTGGGTAACAGTTTCCAAAGGAAAACAAAGGCGTATAATTTAGCTAATCAGTAAGGTATAAAATGAAGCATTCTCCGAAAAAGGACATCTTGTAAACTCAAATTTAAGTTGCAAACAAGACAATTAACGGCAATATTTCGGTTTTATTTCAAATCCATCATTCTGTGTGATTACGCAAAGTGAGCTGTTCAGATATTTCGCCACGTTTTGAGGAGAACATTAAGATATTGAGAAGTACATTATATCTTATGAAATTGTCGTGTGGTCGGGGATTGTTAGCTGATCAGTGCTCAATATACATAGATAACTTACTTCAGGCTTTTTATTTGAGAAAACGTCTCAAGAAGTTTGTCCAGAATCACCGGCTTTAAGTTAGGAAAACGTTGTACAGCTTCGCGGACAAAAACCAAAACGTCTAAAGCAGCTTGCTCGTTTGAGTCGCCAAGGAATTCCATGAGTACGGGCGCGACGGATTCGGCTACATCCGGAAATTTAACGCTGCAAGCGTGAAGAGTACGAACGAGTATCTGTCGGTAATTTCCGGAATCATCCGTGGGGCTTTCCTCCGTGTGAGTTTTAGTTATTTCCTTCTTGAGTATCATGACGACTTCGTGGATGTTTCGTGTGTTCACGACTTCGAGAGCGAGATCCAACGTTTTCTTTCTGACTTCCAGATCAGGAGAGGCAAGAACGCGAAGAATGTCCATCACAAGTTCCTATAAACATAGCGAAAACTTGCGTTGCGATTGAGCTCAATCGACATCACAAACATCCAAGGATGTGCGACGCGCAACTAGAATTTTTTCTCGCGCCAAATGACGTCACACACATGGCGTCATAAATGCTCAGAAGGGCAACAACTATGAATTGTGTAGCATTGTTAAAACTTCTATCCCATTTGTTGAGTCGAGAGAAAAAATTGACAGAGCCAAAACATCGACAAGTGAATATTTTAAATTCACATTTGTCTATTATACAACAAGTCCATTACAAAGACAACATTGATATAATTATCGTCACTGTTTTTCCCCAATACAATATCTTGAGGACAGCCATTGACACGCTGCCTTTACGATCAATAAAATCTTATAAATATCAACTGGCCGTCCTCAAGATATAGTGTTTACCATAATAAACTTTAAAGGTAAATGGTTTGAAGCAGGGAGTATCGTTACATGTTTGTAAATGTAGATTGTCCAGGTTGGTATAGTCCTGAGAAGGACTGCTTTTGAAAGGAGGCGCATGAAAGGATCAACTAATTAAATGTTCAGTTAAAAGACGTAGGTTGCCCCCTGGATTTTTCATGATGTAACTGAACATCGTGACACTGACCTGTAAAATTTTCTCATGAGCTGGATTCTGCTGCAGCGCAATCAATCGGTCGAGGACAATCAATTTTACATTATTATCGCTTTCTTTGACGATCAATTCAATGTAGCAAGATGCGGCAGCCTACAAAACCAAATAATTTTGAAATTCAATTCAAATAACTTCCTTTTTCTATTTCATAAGGCAAAACTAATTGAAAACATCACGTGTTATAGTTTTCATTTTGGCCACGAACCTTCACTGCAGTTGGAGCAGATGACAATGTAACTAATGTACCGGCCGCTTCGTAACGTACCGCGGGCGACGATGAGTTCAGAAGATTGTAAATACATCTTATAAATCTTGCGCGCTCGTTTGGATTTCCACGGCATACCTATTTGACGCCAGAAAATTAAATATCGTGATGTTAAATATTATCTACAGAAGTATATTTGATACACTCATATAAAGATAACTTTCAGGGGAGAACTACCAGTTAACTGCATTAGATGAACTGAATGTCAGTATCGTTATTTCAAAATTCAAGACTGCCACTGTTATAACTACCTTACTGCTTATACTACTACTTTTGTGAATCTTGCCCGTCGCCCAGGCAATATTCCTTTGATTATGTCGAATGGATGCAACAACTCAAGCCTGATGAATAACGAAATTTATTCTCTTGCAATGCTTATCTTATAAGATAAACATTGCAATGTATAAATACATATATTGCTAACTCACTCAGACTATATCTTCAACCCATTCACAACAAAACATCACTCAAAATTTTGCTAAGTGTATTGGTTAACACAAATTATAATAATTAAGGAGAACTTGTCTCTCTGTCAGTAGGACAATCAAATAATATAACTTATTTGCAACACTGCAACCACTACTATCTCTTCCATACCAAAGCTACCAATACTATCATCATCACCACTACCATCACCAACACCATCACCACAGCTAACACCATTACCACCACCACAACCATCGCCATCACCACTGTCACCGCTACCATCACCAACACCATCACCACAGCTAACACCATTACCATCACCACAACCATCGCCATCACCACAGGTACCACCACTATCACCACTACCATCATTACCATTACAACAGCTACTGCCATCACCATCACAACAGCTACCACCATCCACCACTACCAGCTTACCTTATAAATCAGTTCAACAATGACCAACTGCAAAATATCGCCAAATCCATTCACTTGGTCAATGCATGTACTCAAGTAGTCAAGTGCTCGATCCTGAAATTATTCATAAAGAACTTTTCAAAAGTGGGAACGTTGAAAGTTGTAAGTAACACAAGGAGCAGTTTTGCCGTTTTGGGATCAAAAAGCATTCTGGGATATTTTGGGCATGCGTAATAAAGCGAACTTGACAAATTTGCACTTAAAGATGAAACAACAGGCGTTCATTGCAGGCTTCAGCAGTGCAAGTTGTTTGAATTTTGTTGTTGCTTCATTCTATTTACCTGATCAACATGAATGAGCATCATGAACGCATTTCGTTTGCACGATGCATCTTGTTCTTGTTCAAGGAACGTGTGAACCAACTCAGGTGCATCGGGAATCAAAATATTAAAATTCCTACCGATTGAAATAGCAGCATATCATATCATATCGTATCGTATCGTTTCATATCATATATTATATCATAACACATATCCTAATGATTCAAAGTAAACATACTTGTAGATAGTGTAAATTGCCATCACTGCGTTGCGTCTGACGTAACTATGACGATGCTCAAGGCATGAACGGATTGTTGGCATCAAGGGTTCGAGTAACTCAGGTTGCTAAGAAAAGGTTGTTTTTGTTAATGAAAGGCCATAAAATTGTCTGTCAAAGCCAGTTACAACAGGAGTTCTACCTTCAGTTTACATAGAAACCTCAAAGTTGATCCACGGATAAACTCGTTGGGATGCTGAAGATCCTTAAATCAAGAAACATTCACTTAAAAAGACACAGAACACAAAAGATGCACATCATGGAAATGATGCAGTTAACATTATCAGTCTTGTCGAGATAAGCAAAATATAATTTGAAATGAAGCAACAAGAAATTTCTGGAACAATCTGTCCGCCTATGTAAAACACAATTTTTGTTTCAGTTTGAAATGATTGCATTGCTAATGTACATATGCCTATGTTGTATAAATAAGCCAGTGAGCAATGGCTGAAAACTTGGAAAACAATGCATGCTTGATAGTGAGTTTTTCAAGCTCAAAGTATCTATTAAAAGCGACCATGAAGCAAATGTCAACTCTTAAGCATTTTTGGTGTCGGAAAAGTCTCTACGCAAAAGATAGCGTTGCTACTGGTCATTGTAAAACCAACCCATTTCCAACACTTCCTGAGTATGAATCGACTTAAAAGTGTTCAAAATACCTTTCTATATGCATCACAGACTAAGATCATCTCTTGCAACAGCTTTCCATCCGGGCCAAGTTTGGGCACAATCTCCCAGAAGATCAACAAGAGTTTCTTAATCATGTGGTTTTGCGATGGAAGGACAAAACGAATGATGATCATTAGGAGAGCTGGCATTTTATCCCCATTGACTATCTGATAGATAACTCGCTTCAAGGCCTCCGTCTTTGCTTTGACGTCCCCCTTTTCTGAAAATAAAATAAGATAATAAAGAATTTGAAACATGTGGGCCAAGATATGGTATAATACCATTGGTACATTCTTTGCTGATGGCACAATGTGAGAAACTTAATGTGAGTAATAGCCTAGTATTTCTCCTTGTTTATATCAAGGAAATACTTGTGCAAATGGTTAATTAATTATTAGCAGTGACAGACATAAGAACTCCCATTCCCTCCTTCAATAACTTTTTCACAAAGTTTCTTTTTGTATGAACTTTTGTAGAATAGTAAATAAACTAATAGATACCAAAGGATTTTTACATCTTATGCAACAAAACTTTGCCAGGTGTCAATCATTGCATGTAAGGATGAAATTATAATGCTTTTATCGTTTGGAAAAATTTTTGCTATTTATCAATATTTGAAATTTGTCCCGAAATCCCCACTTGCAACAAGAGTTGTTGGCAGGCACAGACTATCCAAAACACTTTTGCACTAGTGGATAGATGTTTTATTTTTGTTGCTGTACAGTTTCAGGACCTAGTTACATATATTTTATTCCAAGCAATTTTATTCCAAATATAACATTCATGTACACTTGTTTCACCTAATACAACCTTAAACAACTTTAAATTCATTGCAAAATACCATTTGCATAGCACGGATTATCAGTTAACCATTGGAGTTAACTGATGCTGAAAACAACAAGTCAAAACTAAGCATTGAAATTTGGTATACCTCCATGTGCCACTTTCATAAGTGAAAACTCAAGTCCTTAGCGTTAAAGAAATGTCTCTCAAACGAGAGTATTAAGGCAGAAGCTAAACTGTCCAGAGTTTACCTAGAACAAACTTGCTCTGAACTCTGTTACTCTAAGAAATTGAAAGTTGTGCAGTCCTTCGAAAACCTCCCGTGTGTATGCGAATTGAAAAGAAGTAAAAACGTTGTACTTATTTAAAAGAAGAATGTACTAAATTGCTAATTTATACAAGCATGCTTTCGTTGTGTCCCACGTTTACATCAAATAAATTTGACGGACTTTTCTGGCAAATTTAGATGCTATAAACGAAAGCAACGAAAGGCCAACAAGCTTTAAATCAACGTTTATTTACTTAAAACCCACTGACATTAATTGGGCATAACAAACAAGATTGACTCGATAGCAAAGTGCTGTAATAAGAAAATGTCTACGAAGACTATCAAACTTACCGAGGTCATCCTTGAGTTTTTGCTCCGACCAAGCTTCAACGTCACTAGGAACATTGATGAGAGTGTAGCACGGCATCTCCGCTAAAGTACTCATGATTATCAAACTTTGCAGACCCAAATTTGCGGTGAAAACCTCAAGAAATCTTACACTTGACGAAGTCAACGTGTCAAAACACAAGAACGACTATTGTTTAATTTTTGTCTGAGCTCATTCGTACCCAATACCATAATAACTGGAGAGGCTAAGTGGACTGGGGCGATGATGCCAAAACATGGATGCCAATTGACCTATTTCCGCTGAAATATTCGCTTTGCAGAACAAAAAAATTCTCGACCTCCCCCTGTCGTCTATAGTAAATTATATAGATTGAATATTTAAATGATTTGCTGTGCGCATCATTTTGTTAGAAAAAATAGCAATTAATATACATACAACTAGAAAGATCGGTAATTGGATGGGGAGAGGAGGTACTCATATTCATATATGCATGAATGCCGAACTAAATTCCTTTGAAATACGTTGTTTTTTATCATTATAACATGCACCCCCACCCCCACCCCCAATTATCGATTACCTTACGTCCATGCCGACGGGCACAAAAATCGTGGTGTTCTGTAATATAAGCTAGTGGCTTGCATGTCTGTTGCAGATATTAGTGTAAGTATTGTGTTGTTGAAAAATGGAATATTTTAAAGAAGAGAAATTAATGACTTGAAAATAGGGGAGCTGAAATGATGGCATACATGTAAATAGAAATGGTGGATATTATTGGACTGTAAAGATTTTTTTAAACCAGTAAACCATTGAGTTCTATAAGACCTGGAGGGGAAATGACAACCAAATTACTATAAATTATTAGCGCGCGGCCGCGTGGTCAAAAACATGGCGGATTTTGATTGTCAAAGTCAGCGGAAAGACGCAATGAAGTTGAATGTGGAAGAAGCAAAAATTGATGGCAAAGAACTTTTTATGTCTTATGAAGAATTACGATATTATTTTAAAGAATAAGAATAGCAATCTAGTAAAAGAAGCGACATCTGTCTTCAACATGAGATCTTCCAATTATGTATAGTTTCTTTGTACAAAATACTATTTTAGAAAACTTGATTTTTAAGTCATTCACTGATATTTTTGCCAAAAGACAAAAAGAAAAATTCAAAGGCATAATGTAAAATTCAAACGTTTGTCAAGTTGTTTGAACCTTAGTATAGGTACTAGTAATTTGTAAGGATACAAGAGAAAAGTAGTGCAAGAAGGTTAGTATTTTCGAGAATTAATATGTTCTTCTTGACATACATTACACAAGGCCATAATATTATAAATAATGACTGTACAATAACAATTATACAACCTGCTAAAAATCTTCACCTACACTATAATTATTTAAACAGGTTTGCCTTTATGCAGCAATAAGAAAAGTGCTATGTCAGAGAAACCAATGCACTTTAATTTAAGAAATCGTATTTTCAATGGGAAATTAATGTAGTTCTGTTAGGTAGTAAATTCATGGTTTTCAATGACAATCCAGTTTCTAATATCTTGGCTCAAAACAGAACCAGCAACATGATTATAGAATTCTGAATTTCATTCTTTTGCTCTCCTAGTTCAAGATATTTTCATCATAAGTTCTCAGTAGATTTATCAGAATATCATAATACCTTATAAGACACCCAGAATCAATCCTACCAAAAAAACTCAACATACCTACATACCTACTTATAATATATTTCCAGTCGACTTAATTCGTAGGGGTAAGCTAACTTTTTCTAACTCCTTTTTGGACATTTTAAATAAGATTCACCCATTTATTCAAGAAAGACAGTTGCACCAAGCTGTTCACAAACAGTCAAAAACACAAGTATTGCGCATGGGATTATGCATTAAAGCTTAACGACACATTGACAGTGTAAAGAATGCCGTTTGATATTTATTTCTAACATAGCTAAAGCATTACTTGACAAAATATACGTTATTTTACAGTAGGTTTACCTCATTTAAATGTGTGTGTCTATTTCACAAAAACCTGAAGCACTATATTCAATATTGTATGCTTACGGTATCGTGGTTGTTTTCGCTGGTTGTCATTAATATAAGCAGTAATAGAGTTCCGGATTCGGGAGGGAGCGAATGTTAAAAATTTTTCTCAAAATGGAAGTTTTGACAACCAAAATCCGCCATTACCGCCATGTTTTTGACCACGGGGTCCAGGCCCCTTTTCCCCTCAAGGTCTTATAGAACTCAATGCAGTAAACTGCTATAGTGGCGAGAATCTCTCGTCCATACGCAGTTTAAAAGAGATTTGACTCGTCTCCAATCCCGCTGGGCTTGGTAGCTCAACAGGTAGAGGGGCGGACTAGTATCCCGAAGGTGCGAGTTCAAATCTCGTCCAAGTCACATGTTTTTCATGTGCATATTAAAACCGTGTTAGGATTAATATATTATATATATACTCTGATGATGGCTTTGGAATAAAGTCGAAACACGGTGCCATCCAGTAAACTGCTATAGTGGCGAGAATCTCTCGTCCATACGCAGTTTAAAAGAGATTTGACTCGTCTCCAATCTCTGTGGGCTTGGTGACTTAACAGGTAGAGCGGCGGACTAGTATCCCGAAGGTACGAGTTCAAATCTCGTCCAAGTCACATGTTTTTCATGTGCATATTAAAAAAAACCGTAATAGGATTACATGAGAAGCTGTTTACTACGCCCGTCCCATCATAGCCCATAAATTAGATCGAGACGTCAAAGGATCGGTGACGGTCATTTCTTTCTAGAACCTTCAACCTGAGATTAAAAAAACGCCGCGTTTATTTGCCAACGTGAAGAAACCGGTGACAGCTAGGAAAGTCCGCTATCAATCACGAAACTGGTGGTGGGCAGAGAAAAAGGCGGGAATCCTACAGAACAACAGCAAGAACAATCGCATCGAGCCCACAGGTATTTTACATCGTATGACATACTGTCATTACATATACAGTAGATACGAGATATTTTCATCAAATTACAACAGAAAATGTCGATGGCAAAACAAGCTGAAACAGCCGTTAACAAATACGTAAATAAATTACACGAACTGCTGTCTATAAACACATACGAATTGAACACAGCTAGACTAGTCCATTGAATCTCCTTTCAATTAAAAACTGTGCATCTTACACAGTTGACACTGACGCTCGCGTCAAAGTTTGCCGAAATTCTGTGTCGTGCCTAAATCATGCGAATTTTTTTCTTCGAACGTGCTCAGAAAATTTATCATGATTAAAACTACTTAAACATCGCTCTAAGCAGTTCAATACTAAAGGAACGAAAATACGATTATAACGAGATCCACGGCACCATGAATATACGGACCTGACGTGGGAGGAAGACACGGTGACAATTCCTTGCCAGATGCACTATGTTGCATTAATTAAACTAAACAATAATTTGTTCAGTGCTATTGCGCACGTCGTTAGATCAAAATTTTCACTACCCGTGAAATGTGACAACAAATTGTTGTCTCGACCACAAAGCAACAAAAACGTGAAAAGAACATCTGACTGAACTGTATCAAGTGCCACGCCCATCACAACGATCGGTTGCAGGACACCACACAATTGCATAAGGGCATGCGTAACCATAGCGATGTTTACATCGTGTTTTTCGCATTTAAACAAAATTGCATGCCAGCTAATTAATGATTTTAGCTGATAACAATGCAAGGGGTTAGAGACTTCCTTTTACGATATCAATGTTTAGTGTAAGTTTTGCCGATGGTCGCACGAAGCAGGACTTGACTATAGCATAGCAGGTCAGTGGAATATAGGTACGATTGGCTGCCCTGCGCGTTTGATTTGTTCAGAGAGAGAGAGAGAGGTGCAATACATATCCACGAATAGTTCGTGTTTCGTTCGAGTTTGAAAGTTCAAGTAAATATTTCGTGATTTCACCGCAGTGACTGTGCGTTTGAATGATGGGAGATAATTTCAGGTATGCCAATATTTTGGAAATCGTATTTGGTTTGAAATAGGCATATAATCATTTCGCATTTGTTCAGAGACTTTGTTCGGTGTGATGACATACAGAATTGACAAGTGATTTCATACGATTTTATACGATTTTATATAGAGAGAACATGCTATAAATACTCTTCGTTTCGATTTTCTTGCGCTCTCTCAATTTCCTTTGGACCAATCACATTAGGTGTTCTGTAATTGTTTGAGACTGATAAACCACGAGCGAAAATGCGAAGCAACACTTATCTTATAGACTATCTTACAACATAAGGAACGCTATTAACTTCGGAGAAAGTAAGTATTTCTTTAGGCTCTTTTTTCAGCATTTAAAAAAGTTGGGAAATTGTGAATGTTTTTAGCGCGCTTATAAAAAATGTTCCGGAAGTGTGGTTGTAGACAACGATATCAGCTTTTGGCATTAGTTGAACAGTTCAATCTGAAAATGTGCCTGTTTCACCTTTTCGATTCAGAAAACAACATAAGCAAGAAATGCAAACGTTATGCGCAATCGTGAATCGTTTTCATGAAAAAATAATCGTAATTATTTGGAAAACGTCTATATCTAGCAGCATTAAATAACGTTGAAAGTCTGATTATACGAGATCCCACGTCTGGGAACGGGTTTGTCGATGAAAATATGTAAATGCGAATATATATTACGTTTACAGTATTTTCAAACGAACAGGGGCTACTTTACAGATCATCAATGTTCAAATGCTTTAATTTTGATTGGTCAGAGAAATATATATAGATTAAGATGTATTAATGAAAGAAATTAAAAAGTCTTATTTTAAAAACATCTGTCGACGATTTTCTTTTGTAACAGTCTGTGTACTTTACTCTCAAGTTGATGATTGAAGGATAGTCTTTCAAGAAGTAACAGACTTAGCGTATGAGCAGAGTTAAAATACGTTCACGACAACGACGCCGTCATGTCCTCCCGAAGAATATAATCTTTTACCAATCCGATAACTTTCAATTTTAAATATGTCCAAGAACAAGCAGCCATAATTTATTTGGACTGTGCTAACTGTGCCACTGAATTTAACGAGAACTGACCGAGTGTAATCTTCATTCCTTAAACGATCACAGGACTGATGTTGTTAAATTTCAAAACAATTCCTTGGTAACTTTTACCGTTTTATTTCAAGCTAAAAATTATCAACCGCGACACCTACTTATGCCATAGTGGTTTTCACATCAAGCTCCATTCTTTTGGACAAAATATCAACAGCCACGTGTCGTTTTTGGCTTTTGCAGAGAACTGTTTCAGCAAAAACACGCATGCCCTCGATTTCAATTAGGAGTGCGTGAGGAACATTAATTTATTTCGATGATCTCTAAAACACTCTATTAACTAGAATGTCATTTAATAACGTTTGTACATCAGTAAAGTCAACAAAATAAGTTGGTCAGATTTTTTTGCTTGAAATGTGCAATTGTAAAATACTAATTCTTTTTTCTAGTTTCATTTTCTACGCAATGACGTTGCCACCAAGCAACCAACCAAGTCCAGCACTGACTACCATGAAAACAATAGATTCCCATTCGGACGAAGGCACCGTTGGCTCGGTGATCGCACTTTGCTTCGTTATGTTAATCGCTATCACAGGAAACGTTGCAATAATCGTCATATTTCGCGTCTACAAGCGCCTAAGAAAACAAGTGACGAATCATTTTCTCATAAACTTAGCGATAAGCGAAGTTTATAGTTTCATTTTCTACGCAATGACGTTGCCACCAAGCAACCAACCAAGTCCAGCACTGACTACCATGAAAACAATAGATTCCCATTCGGACGAAGGCACCGTTGGCTCGGTGATCGCACTTTGCTTCGTTATGTTAATCGCTATCACAGGAAACGTTGCAATAATCGTCATATTTCGCGTCTACAAGCGCCTAAGAAAACAAGTGACGAATCATTTTCTCATAAACTTAGCGATAAGCGACTTGACTGTGGTGTTAGTCACCATGCCAATTTGGTTGTTATTCGAGATCGATCGTTGGAAAAGTGTAAGCAAATGGATAGATAGTGAACTTTTGGCGCGCATATGGACATTCACGGATATAGGTATGTTATTAAAGTGCATAAGACAGGGAATTTTACAATTCAAATTGCATTTTCATTCACCAAAACCTTTAAAACGGCAGCGCACTTTCTAGAGCAGTTTACGCATATCTCTTTTCATTCTCAAGATATTGAAGTTTTTCAATGCAATGTACGATTCTTACAAGTTGCGACGTTATTTTGCAAAATATATCGCTGCAAAGTTTTGCACATCCTTAGGTTTCCTCTCAACTTTTGTTTGAAATGAATAAAAAGATTAGGCAGTTTCTTATACTATTAACTCTTCACAATAAAAGGAACTCGGCTCCTTTGACGCATCATACACGCAAAGTATACTTGCATTTGAAATTCTGATTACGCAATGTGACGTCACCGCTTTGCACAAAGCGGACATTTCATAAACTACAATATCTTATGAATGAAAAGCGATGTAAATAAATTGTTTTAGAATACATACCGTCTTTTTCAAAGTTATGTTAAATGAAAATGTACGTCACTCCCCAAACATCAGATTTCACCCCTCTATTGTTCACATCTCTGAAAAACATTTCAGCTCTCCCACTTTATGGTAAAACAAATCAGTAGTACAGATCAAATGAGCAATGTTTCAACTTTTCACACACTACCATCATCACGTGTCAATTTTGTTTAATTTAGCATGTGAAGCGTCAAGTATTGCAAATTTAGCCGTGATAAGCATCGATCGTCTCTACTCGGTAAGCAATCCGTTCAAACATCGTACAACAGTCACGCCATCTCTAGCACATCGGATTATCTTCGCCGTGTGGGGCTACGCAATCGCTGTGGCGTCGGTCTACCTCATAGACACAAAATGGAAGACTATTATCATTTGTGTTTTCGGATTTGCTATACCGCTAGGCGTCATGATCGTGTGCTACAGCAAAATTGTTACAGTTGTGAGGTAATAAGCTTGCCACTAAGTTCTCGTACTCCAGTTGTTTTTAAGCTCAGTTGACTACTAGAACATGCCTAGTCGCTAAGATCATTTCTTTGACATTTCACATAATTTTGTCGATTCACTCATCATATATAGAAATCATAGAAAACTATGTGGAAGTACTACGTATTAGTAATTATATCCTTAGTGGCCAGGCCTGTTCTGGGAGTCCACTTAGCTTATATAACATGATTGCAGTACATAATGCACAACAGTCATCATAATTATCCATCCTCTGTAATTTCATTGAATCATCGGTAATCATTGATAAAATTAATGGAAATGAATCCAATTCTTTGAGTTTAAAAAATAGGGGAAATAGGGATTTAGTCGTGATGTTTTGCTTTTCCTTCCATACACAGACTGTACCGGAAACGATGGTCCCAAAACCCGGAAGTCAACAAACATTTCTTTGGCAGCATTGTAAACGAATACAAGACCGCAAAGAGCCTGGGCGTTGTCATGGTGGCATTCGTTATTTGTTGGTCGCCGTTTTTCGTCTTTTCTTTCTTTTTCAAGTACTGCGAGGTAAAAGTTTTGATAAAATTCTTTCTCTTTGATTGAAAGCGTTCACTCCAGACTAGTGTGGAATTTTTATCTTAAGAAATGTCTTCCTTGGCTTATGGAAAGACCAGCCATACCAGCCGTCACAAAATGGCTTCATTACTTAAACAGCGCGTTAAACCCGATCCTTTACACAATGTTTAATCCGTCTTATCGCGTCGTATTCCGCCGTCTCATAGCGTGTGCCTGCGGAAGGAGTACCAGTGTACCCGTTACGAGGCCTGGTACCTAGGCTCCAGGCGTATCTCCGTGAGCAGCCGAAGATCGAATTCCCTTAATCACCCACTCGCAGGTTACAGAAACTCGAACAGCTCAATCTATCATCGACCGTCTTGCAGCTCTGTCGTACAGACACGACCCGAAAGAAAAGAAATTCCAAAAGATTTTAACGACGCCAATAATGAAGTGTTTATAAACGCAAGCACAAACAATGTAGTATTAAAAGACGTGAACGGCAACACAGATGGCGATGTGTTTAAAAACAATCTCACTGTTCGCCCGTCCGCGAATAAAAACCGAGTTTCTTTTTCTGACAGCGGTGACACCATCTTGTGAAATTAGTAGCGCATGCGTAGTCTGGCCCGTTGATATGACACAGAGCAGCTACAGCTCAATGACGCCGCAAAGGCTTAAAGTGTGGCAGAACTACATTTTCAGCGTCAATTATACCGAATAAAGCAAAGATGTCGAAGTTTTAGAAGCAGTATTTATAAAATTACACCTACAAAAGGACGTAGAAAGACATACAAGCTACATGCAAACTTTAGCTTGATTCAATTCAACTGTATCGACAGCAAATTTGACTCCACCAGATTCAGATATATGGATAAAACATGAGTCACATGACATTCTTCTATGTAAACGATATCATGTCGACGTTAAAGGACAGTAAAAGACAATTAGTTATGTGAAATATGATTTGACTACATACTCACTGCAATGTTTTTGTTCTTAACAAGTCAAATTACTGTCATTCAATGTATATTACATTCCCCATTAGATAAATGTGCCAGAATATGAGAAAAATTTCATAAAAATATACGTTGTAGGACAAACTGACAAAGTAAAATATTGTTCCTGCTCGTCCATGACTGTAGGCTTAGCAACAATAGAGGGCAAAACTGCGACATTCACTTTTATACTTGTTGCGCAGTATATCATTTTGTACGTTTTATATAATTCTTCATGCACTTAAAAAAATACTGTGAACAATCCCAAATGGATTGCCAGCCGATGCAAAAATCATTTAGCACCTCATTGATTTCTTCCTCTAGAGTGTTTTCATAAGTCGCCATGCAGGGAGAAAATCCCAAATAGTGAGAAGAATACATATGCATGTTTTATATATATGCTTGTTTTATATTGACAGTTCCTTTAAAACTACCGATGGGTGTTTTTACTCGTCACGGCATTTACGCTTTTCAAAGCAACATTATCATTATAAAATCATTACTTGATGGAAATTTGTACAACACTATTCCAAAATAGGTGGCAGGTGCCTACTTTGAAATATTTTACCACAGAATTCTTTTCTAAATTAGAGAGCAAGGGAACTCTCAAAGTTATAGTAAAAGAATACGCCAAATACAATAGCGTATCTGTGTTTGTAAAACATTTTTAATCTTTCAAACCCCAAGATTTCTTAAAAATCGTTTGCTAGCTCTGAAAAATCGAAAATAAACGTCGAAAATAATAATTTGACTAACATCTATCCAAAAGAACCTGAAAAAAGACTGAAGTCAGTAAGCTAAAAGTCAGTGGAACAAATAAAAACAAATATTTATACCTTATCTTGTTTGTCCTCCTCGTCGCTCCATCAGCATCCTCCTCGTCGCTCCATCAGCATCCTCCTCGTCCCTCTATCAGCATCCTCCTCGTCCCTCCATCAGCATCCTCCTCGTCGATCCATCAGCATCCTCCTCATCTAAACGAAAAAATTATTAAAAACACGTTAAGATTATGACAGGAAAAAATAGCATACCCTTTGTTATCTTCTTGATGTTCATCCCTTGCATCTAAAAAAGCAAATACTGCTGCTAGGGTTCATGTTCTTTCACTGTCCATAAGCACGACATGTCTACATAAATGCAACACCAATTGATGAATTAAAATCATAGCAAGCAATTATAGAGATCGTGCTTTTACGTTGTAATAGTTATATCATGCTAAAACATTGATATCCATGACTGTACATGATTGACCATGTACGTTAAGTAAAAACTCTTTGAAGATTATTACACTCGAGGAAAACTCGTCGTTTGAACCGTGCATTGTGTTGTAACATCCCTCAATGTTATAACACATGCAGTGTTCTGTAACATTGTCAAACGATTTATTACTTGCGATATAATTAAAAAATGCCTAGATAAAAACAAGATAATTAAAGAATGCCTATGCAATTGCAATATATTCTCTTCTCGACTCTATTTGATTTCATCCAGAAGGCTGTTTAATTATTACGGTAAGGTACGAATGTTTATAAAAGACCATCGAGTTTAAAGATTTTGCAACATTCTGCCCGCATGCTGCAATATGTTGTATATTCTATATTATATATTTGAGGTAATTCATTTAAACTCCTCGTGTCTTCATCTGCATCTTCCTCGTCTTCCCATCAGCATCCTCCTCATATAAACGAAACATCTATAAAACAAGTTAAAATTATGGCATGAAAAAAACATCACATTTCACCCTTGAAAAAAAACTGAAGAAGAAGTTATTTGTTTGATGGAAACAAAAAGTTATAAAGATAGATTTCAAAATAGCAAATACCATGGTGAATGGTGATAATAACAATGTAATAGTTCTTCAAAGAACTGTTTTAACCAAAATATTAAGCAAACAATTCAAAGGAACCGTTATTTACAGTTAGAAAGAGACACTATGCATTTCGGCAGACTACTCATCAGGTGTCAACGTCTGCTAAATGAGAACCTCCAAACCATGCTATATTTATAACGTTAGAAAAGGTCAATGTCATCCCTATTTTTAGAGATGACACTTAAAACAGAGACGTGATTACGTGTTTAATCTGTCTCTGTTTTAAGTGTCATCTCTAAAAATAGGGATGACATTGACCTTTTCTAACGTTATAAAGATAGCATGGTTTGGAGGTTCTCATTTAGCAGACGTTGACACCTGATGAGTAGTCTGCCGAAATGCATAGTGTCTCTTTCTAACTGTAAATAACGGTTCCTTTGAATTGTTTGCTTAATATTTTGGTTAAAACAGTTCTTTTAAGAACTATTACATTGTTATTATCACCATTCACCATGGTATTTGCTATTTTGAAATCTATCTTTAAGTTTGTCACCACGACAAAGTCTCTGTTTCAAAAAGTTATAAGCACATACCACTGTTAGGGTTCTTGTTTTTTCACTGTCAGTGAGCCCGACATGTCTACTAAACTGCAACAATTGTTGAATCAATACCATAGCAAGCAATTGTGGAGATCGCGCTTTCAGGAGACATACAAGTTATCTACAATATTATATCCATTGATCACAAAGACTAAAGGATTGAAATTGATATTTCTAACATTAGCCAGTTGTTAGAAATAAGCAAAATGCAAAATCATCACCTTATGTGAATGATAATGATAAATGCAAATTTAAAATAGTTTCTGGACATGTATTGATAGAGGTCCAATAATTGATGTCAAGAATAGTGGGAAAATTTTGGCAGTTCCGTGTTCTCACTTCAATATAAACCTGGATCTTGACGACAACTTTGTGGTCGAAGATCGAAACATAGAAATACCAAGAAACCAACGAATATGATCATTCCTTTGAACAAATAGGATTCTTAACGATGCTTTGAATATGCTGTATCGCGAATGCCCATCACAATTGGGTTGGTTATACATGTTAATTCATCGATCGTAGACTATCTTTATAGGTTCAACGATGTTTCTGTATTTAATCTGGTGCTTTCAAACATAGATAAAATATCTTAGTATTTTGTTGGCCGTGTCATGTGCTATGTCTTCAGTTGCTCGTCCTTTCCATTGATAAGAGGTCTTGTGGTACTACTCGCATCACAGCCTTCGTTGTTCTCTTAGTCTTTTGCTATTCTGAACTGCTCAAATATTTGAATCATCTGGTTTCAAGGTGAATTTTGCAGCAGGTACTAGTAGTTCCTAAAGGTTGTCTTTGACTTTCATGGAGAACCTTCGTCAGACGAATAGTTCTGTCAAATAGGTTTATCGAAGTGAAAGACCGTAGATTTTATTCTGGTAACTTTCATGTATCACACGAATTACTTTATTAGTTCATTTGTTTTGACGTCAATTTTGTTCAAACCATGATAAAAAGGGATCAAATTCATTGATTGCATGAAAATATATGCAGAGAAAGACAAAAGGAATTAAGCCTGGTTTTAGGTTAACTATCGACATTGGTTAGTAAAAGGAAGCAATGCCTTTTCTCCAGAGGTTTGGGAAAACAAAAGAAATTTTCTTTTCTTTTTTCAGTGAAAAAGTGAAAAAATGTAGGAAAATGCGTGAATTATAGTTTTATGTGAGAATGCGCAAAAATTCGTGAATTATAGTTTTTATGTGAAAATGTGTGAAAATTCGTGAATTATAGACTTTATGTGAAAAAGTGAGAAGATGTATGAAAATGCGTGAATTATAGTCTTTTTGTGAGGATCAGTGAAAATCAATTTGTTATCATCCGCGATTTTTTATATCAACAAGTGCAAACATTGTCGACTCAACAATGCATTAACTACATTATTTTCAGGGGAGTTTTTTAAAAGCAATATTTATATGGCTGCCAACGCTGCTGAAATGGAGAATGAATTCGTGTTTTGTTGAGTTTAATAGAAATATTTCAAGATAATACAAGGTTAATACGACAATAATATAAATACGACTAGAAGTTGCTATCGCAAGGGGAGAGTGTTGCCCCAACCCCTTCTCTGGAAAAAGTTACAGGGTTCAGACCGTAGTCACAGCCATTGGAACCACCTCCGTGTACAGCATTCTAGGTGGTTTAGAATGATAGACAAAGTAATTTTACATTCGAGTCTCTTTAACTTTTAGCTTTGCGTTGGCAAGGGGCAAGGTTTATTTCGCCATGTTTAGAGTTTGCTTTCTATCTGAAGGCAGGTTTACACGTTCCGATTTGTCAGATCCGATTGTTTCGGTTCCGTCTTTTGATTGCTTGTTCAGACGGTCAGATAGTTTTGTTGATATTTAAATACGTTTACATATTTATAATTATGAGAGCAGCCATTTGTGTTGTCCAGTAATTTATCGATTTATTTGCGTACTTTTCTTCTTGTTGCCAAGTCTTTTTCAAATATATATAATTTGACAAGTCGGCTTTCTAATAATGACAGGTGACACAAGCATTTGGCGAAAAGTGCATCAACATAATTCGAATTAAACCTCATCGTGTTCTTACACAGGAATTGTTGAAAAAATAGTTTGATTTTACTCTTGACAGTTCGTTTTTTTGACCTTCGAATGACTTGCTGTGGGCATCATTTTGTTAGAAAATATAGCAACTAATATATATACAAGCTACATGGAAACTTAAATTACAAATTATAAATAAGATCGTGAGTAAACGTTAATTCACGTCATATAAATTAAATCAATAAATAATCAACGGAAAATTGTTGACTCGCACGACACGTGTACACTATTAAGTAGACGATTGTTTAGATGAATGTTATAGGCATCAAAAGAGCTCGACGAGAGCTTTAAGATGAGCTAAAGATCATCGTCGTAGCCCCCCCAGTAGTTTAGGAGACCACTTACTACATTTTATAATTTGTAATTTTTGAAAAGGAAACATTTTTCTACTGATGATGACATGTAACACTTGTCGAAATGTTTAGATTAAATAATGTTTACTATATACAGAGTGTCTATTGTCTTGTGTTTTACTAAAACATGAGCAGTTTCATTCGTAGATTAAATATTGTGCTTATTGTACTTATGAAATACCTACAACCTTTAAAAGTTTCCAAAACTCCTGCTTTTCGTCTACGTTTGTGTCTACCTTTATGTCTACTTTGTGTCTACCTTTATGTCTACCTTCGTGTCTACTTTTATGTTTACCTTTGTGTTTACCTTTATGTCTTTATGTCTACCTTTATGTTTACCTTTATGTCTACCTTTATGTTTACCTTTATGTTTACCTTTATGTGTACCTTTATGTTTACCTTTATGTCTACCTATATGTTTACCTATATGTTTACCTTTATGTCTACCTTTATGTCTACTTTTATGTCTACCTTTATGTCTATCTTTATGTCTACCTTTATGTCTACCTTTACGTCCACCTTTATGTCTACCTTTATGTCTACCTTTATGTCTACCTTTGTGTCTACCTTTGTGTCTACCTTTGTGTCTACCTTTGTGTCTACCTTTGCAACTACCTTTGTATCTTTTTCGTTTCTCTTTTCGTCTAATTTAGTGCAACCTTTTCACAATACCATGATATTTAAATCGAGAAGTCGATTTCTATTGGGCAACTAATTGCATTCTTCAGCAATTTTGCGACGGACGCGTCAGCCCAGAAGTGATTTTGACGTTTTGCACCAATCGTAGTTCTTGAAAGCGATCTTCGTTTCGTTTCCGTTAAAAAAATCGTATCTTAAATTTACTATCATAATGTATTATAATATTTAATCATAAAATTTTGTACAAAAAACGATGACAAAGATTTACTAGACAAATTGATTTATAAATAAACTATGAATGTTTCAATACAACACTGTATCTAATTGCAATACAACCTTTGATGGTCCGCTGCAAATGTAACTCGTACTTAAGAGTGATGTCGGCGTATCGCAGACCTCTTGAAGGACTGTTTTTCACAACTAGTTTTTATCATGTCTTCAATTTGAAATTTGTCCTCCACAGCGTAATTGAACATTTGAAAGTCAGCCAATTCGCCATTTAAATATCGTCCGTCGAAATCGAAGCTCCCAATACACGCCTTGTATCCCCAGTTAACATCAAGTTCCCCGGATGCCGAAGAATGGCCTCTTTCAATGCCATTAACGTAAACCTGCCATTTTGAAATGAAAGAAATTTCAATGGATGTAAATGAAGTGGAGTACCTGCCATTGAAAACAGTTTTACAGCTGTGGGTGTATTGAGTAAGGTCCATTCCTGAAAATTATTTCACAAAATCAGACAATACACATACTATTGAAAGGAACAGAGTTAGCAAAACTTCTCAGCTATTGGAATACCTTGTTTCTCTGTAAAATATTCTAAAAAAGGTAAGTGATTGAGTGAAGGAAGAGGAAAAAAGAAATAAGCCTCAATCATTTGTCTCTAACAATTGTCTCTAACACCCAATTTCCCGATGAAGTCATGCTAAAGATGAAAGAAGTTCTTAAGTTTAATAATTCTAGAATTGGCAAAACTAAAAAACTTTTCTTGTGAGGGACAAAGAAGGCAAAAGCTAGTCCGGCAATGCAAAGTTTAACAATTAATATGTGAAACGAGCAATAAGTGCCTGATTCAAAGACGATTGACTGCAGATTGGCTCAAACTACATTCCAAATACCTAAGGCCAACAAATGATGCTTTCGTTAAGTTGACCTGTTGAGGATAGCATGAAATAAAGGGCATATGACTCAAAATCTAAGAGAAAGAGAAAGAAAATGCTGTTTAGATCATGTTTCGTTGAATATAACTTTGAAAATGACAGTATATCTTCTAAAACAGTTTGTTCATATAACTTTTTATTCTCAAGATACTGTAAGTTTATGTAATGTACGCTTTACACAACTTGTGACGTCCTATTGCACAGTGAAAATTTGAAAGAGCAGCTACTTTTTGCTGACATGTTACTTCAACCGAGCAGAGTTTCCTTCATTGTGAAGAAATAATGGTAAAAAAATCGCTTGATCACGGAAGTAGAAAGGAAACTAATGTATGTTTGAAACTTTGCATCGACGCATTATGCAAAATGACGCCAAAAGTTGGGTAAATCGGACATCACAAAAACTTCAATATCTTGAGAATGAAAAGAAATACGCATAAACTGTTTTAGAAACTGCACTGTCCTTTTCAAAGTTCTGCTGAATGAAAATATAATTTCTATAGTAAAACTTTCGAGTCATATCTTCTTTAAGCTATGCAACAGCTGTCTGTATAATCGGTTATCGATCGTTCCCAGAGAAATGTAAAACTAAAGAGAGAACTTATAAGAAGGTCCAACTCCTTGTCAAGACAAAACAGAATTGCAAAAAGGTTTCTCAGTAATAACCATCCTAGCGACCTTCACCACACGCGAGACTAAAATATATGATCCAAATCGACCATAACATGATGATTTGTATCTGCAAACACTGTCTTGATCACTAAGTTTCTTACTATGTTTCTTCTTACCTTAGCCATAAATGAGGCAGAGTTGTACGTTCCCATCACGTGATACCAGGTGCCAGGCTGTATAATGGGCTCGGAGGTAATCACTTGGAATATCGGTTGATCTTCGTGATTGCGATGAAACCATCGGATCTTGCCGTCGTCGACCTCGAAATGATACCCGCCTATAAAGATAATACAGCTTGTTTAGCTCATGTGTTACGGAAGTATTGATTTTCCTTTTCGTAACAATTATGTAACCACAAGATTGTAAAAAGCAATGTAAAGAAAAATCGGAAACTTTAGTCGAATCAAGCTAGCAACATTCATTGTAGCCTTCTGTTCTACAAATTGATGTCAATGAGGAAGTCAGTCTTCACGTTTGGTCATGCTGCTTAAATTTCAGAACTTTATCGTTCTTTGGGAAAAATCTATTGTATTTACAATTAGTGAATATCGAAGCCCATGCGAACAAAACAGACTGGCTACGTCACTATTTGATCAAAACACCACATAAAAAGAATCCCCCCCCGACGACGAATATTTTTTAAAGTCTAAGTAGATGAATCCGAGATAATTGAACAAAGTTCTAACTAGACATTAGTAATTAGCTAATTGTCACGAGGTCACTCATGCTTTAAAAAAGGAGAGTACCGTCTCTCCTTTTTTAAGTCGAAAATACCAAATTTGAAAATAATCATTAAAAGTATTCAACAAACATTCGTTGGTAACGGACATCGTTTAAAGCAGTTTGAAGATTGTCCAGATTGTCGTATTAAAACAGGGAAATCGAAATTGGGCTTTAAAGGACTGACTAGGTTTCATTCATTTAGCACTTTTAATAATTTATCTAGTGGGAAATTTCTTTTCGTGTCGTGTTTATACAACACTTTGTTACCTCGAATTTCCCCAGATTCAGTGGTCTTTGCAGTACTAAATATCGAATGCCAGCCGACGATATCAAACAATCGCAAACGTGCTGCTACGGTTATCGCTTCCTTCGGTTTATTTTCCAGACGAAGGTCTTCCAATAAGATGTCACCACGCGGGCTCAGTACGGCCTTAAACCCGCACACTTCGCTCGCCTGTTGTATTGTGGCACCATTCTCTAAATATGCGTTGTTGCCGTTGCCTGACACGTCCCGAATGACTTCTTGTGTGGCATCTTTGAAGTCGAAATGCAAAACTAGAAAAACGAAATACGATTGTTTAAAAATATACGTCATAATTTAACTGAAATCCTAAATATCAATAATAAAGCAAAGGAAATTTTACAATCAGGTGCCACCCGTAATCCTTTGTAGCCCCGTAACCGCTTGTAGCCCCCCGTGACCATTGTAGCCGACGTAACCCCCCCTGTAGCTCTTTCTAGCTACCAGGTAAGAAAGATTACACATAGTACTAACAGTACGAAGTGGCGAGTTCAAATCTCGTCCAAGTCACATGTTTTTCATGTGCATATTAAAAACCGTGTTAGGATTAATATATTATGTACTAATAGTGAGAAAGCAAAGTTACCAGGACAACTTGAAATCAAACAAGGTACAGTTTGAACTTCTTTTCCGGACGGGGGGCATGCAACGCGACCTGTGCAAACTCTTGAACGACTCTGGAAACCACCGCCGCATGACGTACTGCACGCACTGTAGGTCGACCAATTACTAGTGACATCTAAAGTAAATCATGTTGAATTGATGAAATGAAGGCAACAGCCGGTGAAGTATGAGAAATTGAGCAATGGTTCGTTGTAAATATTTTGTCATTTCTGTATATTTGTGTTTTTCTTGGCAGGCAGCCGTAAAAATTTGCAGTTGGCCTTGCGCAATATAAAGTTGTAGTGCAAACTGGCAGCGTCAATTCATTGTTTTTATTCATTCAAACCAAATTGGTCAAAATTTAAGGTCGGTAAAAAGTAAAACATGTCATAGTGGAAACTAAATTTCCATACTAACACAAGTTCTCTGACCACAGTTTGTCGTTATTTTCAGGCACTTGCAGGTAGCGAGGCTACCCCAACATCTCACAATCATGTATTCTTTGGAAAAAGAAGTCGAAATTTAGCCCAGCAATGGCAAGTTCAACACTTAATACGTGGAACAAGTAATAAGTTCCAAATCTACAGGTTATTGATGGCAAATTGGTTGAAGATTAATTCCACAAAGCTAAGGCTTTCTTTAAGTTGACCTATTGCAGATGACATGCATTAAACTATGCAACAGCTGTCTCAATAAGCGGGTATCCACTATTTCCAATCGTGCATTTTGTCAATTATTCAGAGCATTTTGATTGCTCCGGACCAATGTCAAAAGTAAATGGTTTTTCTGTACGAGATCTACTTACCATTACATGGAGCATTATAACAAAGCTGAACGTCTTCCTGGAAATTATCCGGACAACGATGTGGGATTTTGCATCGTCGAATTCTTCTCTTATATCCCTGACCACAGGTGGTGGAACACGGAGCAAAACTCGACCAGTCGTAGGTCAATGAAGTATAATCGTTGGATGGTATGGCGTTAGTTGCTTGAAAATCATTATATGCAGACGGGTAACTGAAAGCCGACGGTTGAAATGTATCAGGGGGGTGCACACTCTCGTCGTATGTTGGCGAAAGAGCAGGGTTTGTAGCTTGCATGGTTCCGTCACCAAGATTGGGTATTGGATCTTGGGATACTTGATTCAATAAATCATCATAAGCAATGTCGTGAGCCACTGGCTTTGATGAAAACGTCGAGTCCTGCATCGACTCGTCCGAGAAAGTTGGCGCTAAACATAATTTATGGAAAAAATCAACAAATTCGAAGTGAAAGATTGCTAAGTCATCATTCCTACTCTTTTGACATTTTCACGCGTTGGTGTACGTCAGGGAAAGGCAACTTTAAAACAAATGGTTTGTTTTTCATAAGACAAAAATATTGGAAAACAATTCGTCCACGATTTGTGCTTTTGACAATTCTAGCTATCTAAAGAATTATTGGATACATTGTGTCACGTGAGTGTAATCATTTATAGCTATCTAAAAACTCATTAGATACATTGTGTCACGTGAGGGTAAAATAACTGCTCATTTTACTTAGTTATACAATTCACACAATTACATTCTGGACGCTATAATCTTCATTTGTCCAATTTAAAAATATGAAATCATTATGCGCCCCCCTCCCCCCTCCCCTCCAGAGATTCATCAATATTGTGACATTAGATTTGCAAGGCAGAAAGCGAATTCTCAGTATAAATAAATATATCACATAAGAAGTTAGAAAACATACATACTATAACATATAAAACTATAACATATATAGAGTGCCAATGAAAATTTTGCAAGTTAAATTATGTTTGCAATGACCAGAACTTATGAAATGACAGTGTACTTTCTAAAACAGTTAATGCATATCTGTTGTTATTCTCGTGATATCGACGTTTTTGTTGTTTCCAATTTATCCAACTTGCGACGCCATATTGCATAATGAGTTCCCACAATGTTTCAAATACTCTTCAGTTTCCTTGCAACTTTAGGTTCATACTAGTAGGCAACATTTTTTACCATTAACCATGTCACATTGAAGTCTGTCCTTGTGAAGTAAAGTATCGGTGAATATACCTAACAATTCTAGTCATTATGCAATGTGACGTCATAAGTTAGACAAATCGGACAAAGCAAGAACCTCAATATCCCAAGAATTAAGAGTGATACGCATAAACTGGTTTAGAATTTCCATTGTCATTTTATAGTGCGTTGGGTAATGTATATTTTGTAACTGATCATTCTGTAATCAGTATATTTGTACATCCGTATAATTAGTATATATGTTTTCTAACTTCCTGCCTGTGTGTAATACATTTCAATCTGATGATGTCTTAAGTTAAAGACGAAACGTCATAGTTAATAAAATTATTCATCCATGACCATATTGAAAGTTATATGTTGGGCAACTATACTTATACTAAGAATTCCCAACTGAGAGTTGAAATACTCAACCAAAAATTGAACACAATGACATTTTTCTGTTAAATATCGCCATTGAAATTTAACTTTCGGGAAACAAGGTGTAACAACAATCACAGCTAATGGTTTCGTAACTAGGTATATTTGAGCAGTGGTAAAAGGCTTTGTACCTGGCAGTTTTGTAGGTTCAACATAACCGATACTTTCTGGAGAGGCAACAGTCGCAGGAGGAACCCATTCGAGAAGCGATGCTTCAGGTGTATCATACGATACTGTTGTGGGTGGTGGTGGAGGTGGTGGAGGTGGTGGTGGTGGAGGTGGTGATTGAGAGGAATCAATTGCAGGAGGAACCGATTCGAGGAGCGATGTTTCGGGTGTATCATACGATATTGTTGTGGGTGGTGGTGGTGGTGGTGGTGGTGGAGGTGGTGGTGGTGGAGGTAGTGGTGGTGGAGGTGGTGATTGAGGGAATCAATGCAGGAGGAACCGATTCGAGGCGATGTTTCGGGTGTATCATACGATATTGTGTGGGTGGTGGTGGGGGGTGGTGGAGGTGGTGGTGATGGTGGTGGTGGTGGTGGTGGTGGAGGTGGTGATTGGAGCAGGAGGAACCGATTCGAGGAGCGATGTTTTGGGTGTATCATACGATATTGTTGTGGGTGGTGGTGGTAGTGGTGATGGTGGTGGTGGTGGTGGTAGTAGTGGTGGAGAGGAAACTGTCGCAGGAGGTCGATGTCAGGTGCATCATGGATGGTGTGGTGGTGGTGGTGGTGATGGTGGTGGGTGGAGATGGTGGTGGTGGTGTGTGGTGATGGCGTGGTCAGGGTGGTGGTGGATGGTGGTGGTGGTGGTGGAGGTGGATGGTGGTGGTGATGGTGTGGGTGGTGGTGGTGGAGGTGATGGTGGAGGTGGTGGAGGAGGTGGTGGTGGAGGAGGTGGTGGAGGAGGTGGTGGAGGTGGTGATGGTGGTTGTGGAACAGTAGGTGGTGGTGGTGGTGGGGATGTTGGTGGAGGAGGTGGTGGTGGTGGAAGTAGTGGTGGTGGAGGTAATGGTGGTGGTGGAGGTAATGGCGGAGGGTTTGGTGTGGGAAGAATAGTTGGGGGAAAATGTGATGGCTGATCTTTTTGATTGCCACTCAACTCCAAACGGGTTGCTTTTGCTGGAGATTTGGAAAATGACAGAGAATCTATGAGTAAAACAGAAGTTATGAAGGTATTGCATGTGAAAATATGAATTGCATGAAAGAAAGTATTCAATAATAATACCAAATATATTGAAAATCATCAAAAGACATGTCAGTTAAGATGTAAAAAAAACGCAAAAACTACAACACCTTTATCACTCAAAAGATTTGAAGTTTCGGAGACATCTAGTCGCGTTGCATTGTGTTGTTGAGTTTCATTTGATGTTTTCATCAACTTCATCATTTGATTCTGGTTGGAGCTATTTGAAATTTCCAAAATTCCAGCATCGTTTCCAGTTTCCTGCACTTTCGTCTGCATGATCGCCCTAACCTTGCAGAGATGCCTGGGTACGTCGGCCTTCAGGCAAAGCTCCTTAATTCCGGAGATCGTCGTGTTTACACTGGCGATGAGTGTTGAATTTTTTAACCAATTTTTGCTAGTTGCTTTGTCCCTCATAAAGTGGAATTCCATAGTGTTGTTTAACTCAACGATGACCGGCAGGGGGGTTCCACCTAAGTTGCTTATTTCCTTCTGGGGGAGGGGCTTCAGAACGCGAAGTGGTGACGTCTTATTTGCACAGCAAGGAGCGAGAGTTTTTTTCAATACATTGTCTCCATTCGGCTCCACTGTCTCTAAGAAATACGAGAGAGTTAAGGATATTAGTTAGAAATGCAAAAAAATGTAACGATTAAATTTTGGAAGTTCAAAACAAAACATCAACGAGGCAACAGCAACAACAACATCTAAGACCGCAAAATCTAGTATCTCAACGACAAGATGCTTTCAAAGAAAACATGGCGCGCCAAGAAAGCTCAGCTTACGAAGGCTCCTAATACTTTTATTATTCTCAATCAAAACACCGTGAATATTTATAAAGAGATCGGTGAATTGCCAAGCAATGACCGCTATGCTTTCAACGATTGATTTAATGAGTTTTCAACCATTGTTCCAAAGAAGAGGCACTTATCAGTTTTCCTGTCACACGTGTCGACGTGGCTGCTATCATCGAATGATTCAATCCGTTTGCGATCAGTCAAGATTCAGTCTCTTCCAAAAAGGACGTAAGTCCTGTGAAAAAATGTTTCGTGACGGAGAAATAGACGCACTTAAATTACATCTCACCGTTAGTAGAACATCCGTATAACTCCATACGCATGCAAATCTGAATCGCGTTCCAGGAGAGTGGATGAACTCTGACGAACCTCGCGACGATCTGGCTGTCGAGTACTCTCACAATTTCTGTGGATTTATCATCAGCACCGAGAAACATTGCCTTGAAAAAGGAGAAATAAAAAAATCTTTCTAACACGATGACCTGGTCAGTTACCAGGCTGCATAAAATATTTTATTTTCCTGGACCAAAAAGCCAACGAAAGTATTTTCTGAAAGAGAACGCCTCGTGGGAATTTTCACCTATCCAATACGAATGAAATTTTGCAACACTCAATGCTATTAAATGCAGTAAATGAAGAAATGACATGAATAAGAGCTGCTAAGGTAAGATGTCCCACTATCCTCTGACTTTTTGAGCGCCGAGACTGCACTGTCAGGAAGTTTGCCTGTGTATACCTTCATGAGCTTATTCTTCCTTTCTATTTTTCCTTTCTTCATCTGCCCATTTTTATTCTTTGAGAACTCTAAGTTTTACTACTTTTAACCGAATATTTATTGAAACTCAAGATTTTTCAGATATCAATGGTCCCGCGGTCCACTATGCAGCCCTGATTCAGTAATTTGCTTGACTTAATAACTACTTGTTTAATGAAAGAAATAAAAGATGTTTTCTCTAGTTCTACCGCTGGGTTTCTTAAGCCTATGCAAACACAGTAAACATCTTTTATTTCTTAAATAATTCCAACAGAAAACGCTCACTTCAAATGAAACCGCAAAAGCGTTACCTTCTCTTGCGGAAATCTTTTTCTTATATACGGCATCCATGAAATTCCATCAAGACTAAACGTCACTCTGAAACTCGTCACCCAGTTTTCTTCAAACACTTGTCCTTGGATGCCAATACCTGTGAACGGTAATAACTAAATACGTGAAAACTTTTCAGTCTGAATAGGATATATTTCCATTTCAAAAAAACTAAAAAGTTGTAGTGTTAGTACGATTTTATTCCTAGGAAATTCACTTTTAGCCTTAGCATTAGGAACAGCCATAAAATTAGCAACAAATCTGAAGTTAAATATAATAATAATTCTTATATAATTGTTACCAACGCTATCTGGCTTAAAGCAGATAGATATCCGGAGTCTTTGGCATTGATACATGACGTAAAATTTTAGATGGAAACGTGTGTTACAGACAGCACCCACTGGCTTCATTTGTTACTCGCATGCCTTAGCGGAATTGCACGTGACACCACTTGGCTTTCATTTCATGTTCACAAATAACTGAGAAGACACGGATTACTGACTTTGTCGCGTCGTGTTTCAGTTATTCCAGTTTGTTGCAAGCAACAAGCATGCGCAGTACGTTGCTTAGTATGCGAGCTTTAAGTTTTGGGTTTGAACTATGATTAGACTTTACATCAGATTTAGAATTAGGATAACGGTTAGAGTTAAGATCAGAGACAGAGTGATTATGGTTAGATTTAAGATTAAAGTTAGAGTTAGGATTAAGACTGTAATTGGGATCAGAGTTAAAGTTAAAGTTAAAACGACATCACTCATGATCTAGTGGTCACACAGATCTATTGTCTCTTACCCTTGACGATCATGTCTTGACCCAAGTCCGCTTGCAAAAACTGCGCAGCATCCGTTTTTCTTGCACACCAACAGCCATGCGTGGAGGTTTTGCTGATAGTGCCAGGCTTTAAAACACGACCGTAATACGGTCGCATTGTATCATCCATACTGCTTGATGCGATCATGGCGTTGTCTCGTATGAAGCCGCTCGCAACACCAAGAGCCTTAAAACACACTGTAACAACACAAAAATATAAGGAAAAAGTTCGATATGCTGGACAAGGCATGAAAAACCACTCGTAAATTTGGTAAATCTTCCCTAGTTTCATTGCCGATTCATTTTTAATGAAAACATCGAATGATTCGACAAGAGAAAAATAGACCAGGCTATAAACTATTGCACGGTAAACATTTATCACAGGCATTTTTTCAGCTTGATTGTGTCACTAATTTTGATAGCGTCTTTCATTTTCGACTGTCAAATGCGAGCGACATAAAAACTCAAACTTTTCGATCAAACATAATCAACTCATTTCGGAGAATTGTATGAATATATAGCAGATTTTACACAGTGAAAATGATTAAAGACAATTTTGCTACAAGCTGAAAACCATCACTTCGATTTCAAATAGCCTCCCCCCTCAACAAAACACCTGTTCTGCCTATCACCTACCAGGACATGCAGCTTTTGAACAAGGTACTCTGTCGAAAACATGGTCAGTGCTTGTGGGACATAAGATACCGCTGGCACAAAGACGTTTCCTTTTCTTTGTACCGTGTCCGCAGTCAACACTGCATGTTCCATAGCTCACGAGTCGTTGGATTTCACGATTCGTGTCGCTTCGCTGTTTTCCTTCGGTGTTCACAGAGTTGTGCAGAAGCCCTGTAAACAGCAGTTAATTAAGATGAAGCTTATCACGATGTCAGTTCACTATTTCGAGTAAATTCCACGGCAAGAGTGGAGCACGGTGCTTGTCAATTTATGAGAAAAAAATGATTAAATATACGCAGAGCAAAGCCTTCATTTATGGATGAACATGAAAAAAACATAATGTAAGGCACATCAAGGGCGTGGAGGCAGGGGGAGTTTTAGTAGTGAGGGAGGGGGGTTTTAGTAGTGAGGGACGGAGAGTTTAAGTAGGGAGGGAGGGAGAGTTTAAGTAGGGAGGGAGGAGTTTAAGTAGGGAGGGAGGGAGAAGTAGGGAGAGAGGAGAGTTTAAGTAAAGGGAGGGAGAGTTTAGTGAGGGAGAGTTTAAGTAGGGGAGGGTTTAAGTAGAGGGAGGAGTTTAAGTAGGTTATAGTCCCTGAAAAATTGAATCCCAACACCAGCTGTCTAAATATACGGATGGGATTGGTTGCCTGAGACATCAAAAATCAATCACTGTCGCCAACGACATTTTTGACTCCAGTAAAAGATGTGAGGAAACTGACAAACCCAAAAGAACAACAATAACCTTTTCTACCTCGTCTACAGCCGTAAACTTCAGCCCTCATGCAAATATGGTTGCCATACCACGATAGAGGATAGAACCGTATGTATCTCGCATCTACAGGCTCATCTAGCCACTGCACACGGACAGAATCTTTATCGTCGTTTCCTAAAAAGGCCTGGAAACAAGAATTGTGCTGTTTTAAGCTGACAACATGACAGAAAATACGACTGCAGAGCCACAGAATAAAAACAAACAATAGTCCCACTTCACTTGCAACCTGGTGCTGTATATTTAATTAGATTACTGGCTGCGAATTGCAACGCTCTTATTTGTCAGAAACTGCAATTTACTGGCTGCCACCATGCTAATCACATGCGTAACAAGTTATGCGCTATACAAAAAATTTCAACAGAGTGGGACTATTGATTGTTTCTATACTGTGGCAGAGCTTTCAACTTGGACTACAGATCAGATTCGAAGTGACGGTTACGAGTGCGTGGCGAAACGAAGTTACATACAAGACAAACGTGATGAGCACAAGCAGTTGTAATTTATTTTCACTTATCGTAGATCCGTCATGGCTTTTTTAGACATGTTTATCACATAAAACACTCATCACAAAATCAAGACGCTTACTTTTTCATTCCCTGATTCTTGAACGCATTGAAAGTCGTTTCCATCGTTGCTGTAGCAAAGACGGAAACTCGTTATAAAGTTATCAAACAATGACAGCCCTTGAACTGCAACCCCGGAGATACTCGTATGTTCACCGAACGCAACTTGAAGAAACGGGTCTTTGTCCTCGGACATTGCACACCAGGCGCTACGAGAAGGATCCCCGTGAAACGAAAGAAGATTTAGGCGTCCGTAGTACGGCTTGTGGAGACCGAACACCGAACTTGACGTAATCTGAGCATTGTCAATCTTCATGTTCTCCATCCCAAGAGGGAAATAACATTCTGGTAGAAGATGATAAAGATAAACATGTGGAAGTTGATCAAAGAGTGCTGGGAGCGAGCGAATAGGGACATTTTTAAGTTCATCAATGAGCTCATTATATGAAAATCAAATTTCGTGGTTTTCTATTATGAGACAAATCATCATCATAGGACAGCGGCATCAGTATTTCAAAAATCGACCACAGGGAGGAGGATGCTGGGAAACATCGACTTTCTATCATTGAGATTGACGTAAATCAAGAAAGGTAAAAAAAATATGGACAAGTGCATCACACCATTGAAAAACTGCACAAAGACAGTCCTCAAACAAACAGTGACGTAGCTAGCCCGTTTATTTAATAATGCTCTGCTCCCTCATTGTAAAAACAATACATTTCTAAAGAAATGAATAACGCTAAAGTTCTGAGCTTTACATAGCATGACAAACTTGCGGGGCAAGCTACGCTACTTCGCACAAACTACACCGACGCAATAAAATGAATTTTTCGACGTGTTGAGAAAAGATTTCTGAATGCAAATTCGAGCGATGTGATGATGCTACCTGTGAATGATGCAAAATTCTGCAAAACGAATGCAAACCTGACTTATCCAATGGACGTACCCTTTTCAAATAAACATTGATCCATCAGGCGACTCACTTCCTTTTCATTTAGCGCCGTATCAGCAAGAAAGAACTCGTCCATTCTACCATGCGATCCAGAATTGGCACCATTCCTCCCAATGCTTGCTCGCCCTTCCCAATCCTGTGACAGCAAGCCATTACCTTTGAGTAAACAATATTTATGTATGGTATTTAGTATGAAGATGTTATATACCAGATAAAATTTCCCTTCAACAAGAACAAATAAAAACTACCTCCTCCAATGGCGTCTTGTTTGCCGTTCACGAACAGAGCGCTTTGCTTCAATTGCGAGTCATACGTGCAAGCCACGTGATTCCAAATACGCGGGATCAAAGACTGGTGACTAGCGATATTGAACACCAATTTGCCGTCCTTGTTACGATGCAAGCAAATGATCTTCCCACTTTGAATTTTGAATCCATACTGTTCTGATTTAAACGTTGAACCTGCACCACCAACCGTACTAAACAGGTTCGCATTTCCACTTTTTTCGGGAATGTTTACCCAGGTTGCTATAGTGATTGCGAAAGTAGGTTTCCCCTTGAATGTGTTGCCGGACATGAGCAAAGCCCCGGCACCATTCATCTGTAGACCTTTGCCACAGGTTTCACTAAAACCAGGCGTGGAAGCTGGGGCGAGAAGCTTACCATCGTTTGTATTGCTCGAATCATCGTGAATGATACCATTTCTATCGTCTTCAAACCGAAAGTACGCGACAGCATGCGAGAGAACTACGAATGGAAAGAGTTATGAAATCATGAACACACCGTGAGTTTTGCTCATGTTTGCCACAAAATCTTTGGAGGAAAAACATAAATGACCAATGACATGTACTCTAGTCAAGATAAATTATAGTTTGTGCAATTGAACTTGTCACGATAAAACACGTTTCTTGGATTTTAATTTAGCTGGGGAATAGAAATTGAGCTTGTGATTAAAGAATACTAGCTTTAGGATCACTAATGAACTTGTGATGATAGAGTACTAGCTTTAGGATCACTTATGAGCTTGTGATGATAGAATACTAGTTCTGGGATCACTAATAAGCTTGGCATGTTGGAATCCTACCTTTGGAATCGCTAATGAACTTGTAAAAATAGAATACTAGCTCTAGGGCCTAGTTCAAATGTAGAACTTTACATGAGCAGACCGCATTTAAAACAAAAGATAATGAGGAAGGTCGTTCATTTTCTTTTGTCTTTAATGCGTTCGGTGCATGTAAAGTTCGGCGTTTGAAACAGGACCTAGATGATTATAAACTTTTCATGATAGAAAAATAATTACGTGATTACAAATGAAATTGTTATAGATAGATAAGTATAGATGGAAAACAAGACAGAAAACTGACTCTCAAAATGGTAATTAAAATTACTCTTTGCTAAGAGCTTTTGTTTTAGTTTAAAAAGGTTTTTGTTCTAAAGTAACATTGTTATAAGCTTATACAAGCTTCGCACGTACCTTGTTGTAACAGAGCATCGGGATCATTGTAACTTGATTTGACAGATCCGTTTCCTTTTTCATCAAAAACAATAATATACTTGTAGCAGACCACAAATAAAGATTACAGAATAAGTTCATCATAGAAATTCTATCACCAAATAATAATATTTGGCGAAGAAGCTAAGCAATCCAATGTACATAGTTTCATAGTCCAACAATCCATGTACCAAGTAGAGTAAGCGATCTAATCCGATTAATTAATTAGGTAAGCAATGCAATCCAACTTACTGGTTAGGAATGGAATCCAATCTAGTAACTGGTTAGATATGTAATTCAGTCTAAGTAACTGGTTAGATATGCAATCCAGTCCAACAAAGTGCATAGGTGTGCAATTGAATCCAGCTAACTGGTAGTTAAGGCATGCAATGCAATCGAAATCCAATGCAGACAATTATCTTATTTGCGAATGGGAGAGATATTTGCCCTCCAAATATCTCCAAATTGTGCTCATACTTCCACTCGCTAGAGAATTTTATACAACTCCACATAACTATTTGACTAAATATATGCCACTACCAAGCCAACATACCTGGCTCACACCCGTAAAATTCAAGCCTCAAACAGTTGGTGGAGCCATGCCTAGCTTGAGGAACCAAGCGAACATAACGCGACGTCACGGGGTTTTCTAGCCAATGAGTGACGATGCTGTTTCGATCCACATTACCAGAAAAATTCTGAGAAAATTCAACTGAAACTTGGCATATGACATGCTTGAACTTAACGTATTCAATGTCTTCCGAACAATGGTTGCCCAAATACTGATCTCTATATAACTTAACCTGGATATAGCTAGGATCTACGGAACTGTTATGAAAAACGTGGTAAGTTGTTGAAAAACTACCATTTTAAACGGTCGTAAATGTTTTAAAACACAAAATCTTATTAATTATTAAAAAACGAAAAAATTAAATTTCATAAAAGAGTTTTAAGAAAGTTGTTTATCATAATCTTTAATTCATTATTTTCAATGGCATTGCTGCATCGTTTATGGTTTTATCTTTACTCTAAAAATATAATAATTTGAATAGGATGCTACGTCCAGGTAATTCATATTGAGATCAGTAGACTGTAGACATAACCGATTGGCAAAAAACCTAGTACCTTTATCGATCCGTTCACCGTATATGGTTCGAACAACGTGTTGTTATTGCTGAATTTCAATACGTACAATGTAATCCAGTTGTCGAGTTGCGATGGACCTTGAGTTGATACACCTAGGAATGAAAGGGACTACTGCAGTTTAGCGGACACCTTGGACGCTGACCCAAACCCTACCCTATAATCCTAAGGAAAAACGAGCCTGCGCTCCCCATACAAACGCTTCGGGTGTCCGCTAAACTGCAGTCTAGCCAAATGAAAAACCTGGAAAAACCAGTCAGCCATTAAAACGGTTGATGTGCTAGCGACACAAATTTATTTACTGCCTTGAAAAAGACATTTTATAAACCGCAATGACTTTTTTAACGACCTAAATGTTCGCTTGCTTCATTCTCGAGCTATACGAGAATTGCAACCATTCCCCAAGGAGTCGAAAGACAAAGAGGTATTCGACATGTTGGTTGAAATTTGAATTGCAAACGAAAAAATCCTTTGTTGAATTCAACCAACATGGCGACCATCTAAACTAATAAACATTTTTGCCGGTCCATTATTTTCCCGTAATCGACCACGGTCAAAAACCCGTAATTTTACTGTCAAATGTGAACAAATTTCGTAATGCAAACAGAAAAAACGCAAAGTAAACGAAACAGAAAAACATTTACGAATGCGACTAGAAGGAAAAACACTTGGAAAACAGTTTAATTATTCAGACGATACAATTTGAAACGATTAATTTTTTATGGATGAAAACTAGAAAAATGAAAGCCAGCACGTAAAAACAGCAAGGACGGGAAAGAAAGGAAACTTAGTTTCAGGTCAAATAATACCATATAATAATTCTTTTAATAACCTCGCTTTCTCGGTCTTTACTGAGAAATATCGGACCTCTGTCTTTTTGTACAAACCTCGTACTACGGGCTCGGTCTGTACATAAAGACCTCGGTCCGTTATTTCTCCGTAAAGATCTCGCGCTCGGTTATTAAGGGCTTATTAAAACAATTGTGTACGTACAAACCTGTGACAAGATGAGGTTTCAAGAAATCCACTTCAATGAACTCTGTGTTATCAGAAAATGCCGAGCACCATCCGCCACGGGAGCCTGAGACGGTCTTATTAATCCTCGCATGAAACGGTTGTTCAGTTTCATCGGCGGAGGAGGAAGCAAACAGCTGTATGTTCTTGATTCGACCGTCTGATATACCGAGGGGCTGTCGACATAAGGCTGGACAATGAAAAGAATTCATATATTTTAATACAAACGTGATGAAAAGAAAGCAAGACCTTACGAAGGTGAGTCTTGTCCTGGATGAATGACAGACTCAATTAATTTGGGAGTTATGTTTGAATGCAAGGATTCAAAGTCACGTGACAGCAATGGAATTACTCAGAGCACACAAGGACGCAACTTTAGCACAACCGAATCATTTCAAACATGTAGACATTCTGAAAATCAGCAAGGCTTAACAACCACTCTAGATTGTTGAATAAAACAAATAATGATTTGAATATAAATAACAGGCTTTAGATAAAAAGTTCAAGTAATTCCTAATGAGTATACAAAATCAAGAACTATCGATAGACTTCACACGCACCGCTGTTTTGTTCGTCATTAGTGAAGGTCAAAATAGGAACTAGATTTATCTTCAATTTTCCTTCGCCTTCGTTGCTAGCTAGCCAGCGGTAGCATGGAAATTCATACGTTACGCCTTGCTGTGTTTTAACCGTTATCTACAAGGGATGAATCAGAAAAAACTTAAAGCCGGGCTAGCTAACTTTTTCTAAGTCAAGCATGTAAAAGTTATGGCCACGTTAGGGCTTGAGCAAACCTATGAATGCAAACAACAACAAAAAGACCAACTGCGAAGATTAAAAACACAAACCAATACCTTGTCGAGGAACCAAGCCGCTCCAAGCCAAGTGTTGTCGTGACCAACTGTCAACTTTTTCAGTCTTCCAAGATCAGCAGAATTCACAACAAAAACGTCTTTCCTGTGAATAAAAGGGGAATAAATGTCCTGTACTAAAGAGATAATCTCTCCTCTCAGGAGCAAAGAAAATCTCTTGGTTCATCTGCCGAACGCACAGATATGATACAAAATGAACGCATACGTTTCTTCAAATAACTAGGGAAAGGAAGAGATAGGAAGTTGGATATAATTGTTCGCATTGCGTGTAAAGGGGGTTGAGGAGTAGAATCTTGCTTACGTTAATATCAATGAACTGTTATGAAATTCTGACCTTGCCGCCATCTTTAAAGCCAAAATGGAAGTTGTTTTTTCAATAAAAAAACTTAGATATAAATCTGTCTACATGGCCTATAATACTAGTACAGTTCCAGTTTGTATTACAGTTCAGTGGCTTCATACTCACTGTCCTCGTTCAAAGTCGTTCCTTCCTTTGTGCTCCAAAATCTCTTTTCCAGAGTTGCCATTATCGCCAAACAAGATTACAAAAACATTAGAGTCAGTGCCAGCACCAAACCGATTACCCGTGAAAGTGGAGATTTCATATTTGTATTCTGTGGAAGCAAATCACACAAAAACGAATTTTGGCATGACCAAAGAGCAGCGTAGAAGCTCATTAAGACTTATGATACATCACAGCCAACTACCGTAAATACAAATGGAAAAGTCTGAACTACATAAGGATCTTATCCTGATTGTAAGTACGGATGGGGCTCTTGTGTCAAATGCTACGGGTGTAAGAAGTAGTTCATGCAAACATCAAAACATGATTATTTATATGCATTAATAATCGCTGTGCGGCATTTTTCAACCACTCCATTTATAGCAGTGATAATATGGTTAACTGAAAGACGCACAACCCTAACCCTAAACATTACAGGGACTGTATCAACTTATAGACTGGTGTAAGTCGTTACCTTAACATACAGGCCGTAAGGATTGTTACGCATTTGGGAGAATGAAAAATACGGCTTTAAGCAACTCTCTAAAAAGTCTATAAAAACACTTTCGATAAAAATGCACCTACCATGAGTGCATTGCAAAGTAAACAAAATCAAGATAATTGACCATTGTCTTATCATATCGATGTCCTTCGTGTCTAGAGCAAAGAAAACAGAAAGCAGATATGAAAATTACGACTTTGTGAGCAAATGTTAGATTGTGAGCGTTATAGAACACGTGGACAAGTGAAGAAACTCGTAACGTAGATTAATCACAACTTTATCAGTTCATGACATTGTGAGCAAATGTTAGATTGTGAGCGTTATAGAACACGTGGACAAATGAAGAAACTCGTAACGTAGATTAATCACAACTTTATCAGTTCATGACATTGTGAGCAAATGTTAGATTGTGAGCGTTATAGAACACGTGGACAAGTGAAGAAACTCATAACGTAGATTAATCACAACTTTATCAGTTGAATTTTTCCACTGTTCTTCTAAACTTTAAGCCATGTTGTAACATTCAAGTTTAGCAAGGACTCGTAATGCTTTATATAGTTCGTATGCGGATTACGTTTGCTTCGAATGATTTACCCTTGAATTCCTGAAGTCATCTCTTGTAAAAATTTGCCTCGACTTATTCATTCCTCGTCAAACATCCATGTAATTACGTAGAGTTATCAACATCTTCTCGAACCGTTTGACAAACAAAATCCATCACTCTTAGCATTCACATTGAAGGGCTGTAATTTTGACCGACTATATATATTGAAAATAATATTGTTTTGAATATTGACTTATCACTTAATTTTTTTTTGAATAGTGAAACGACCTGCAAGTCAAGTTTGACCGCTGGCACCAGTTAAAGAAGGAAAGACCTTTGTCACTGCAACTGTTAACATAAAGAGCGATGGTGTTGAAACTTGTGAATAATTAATGATATGGCGAAACTCTATTTAACAACAAAAATGGATGATGAAGCTACTGATTTTATAGAAATAGAAAAGCAAGCAAAAAGAGCCACGCGTTCATGTATTTCTAAATTCCCTTAAGTGTTATTAAGGTAAATATCTGCGTGCGGCGTGCACATGTAGTCCACCTTAAGATATTTATACACGTTCGGGCATAACTGGACCCCCTTTTGTAATAACAAGCCGTCTTTAACGGCAATGCTGCATTCGTTTTCACCGTCGCACAAATTCTGTACTTTCTTCAACACGTTGTCTTCTTCACCTCGGCAATAAGCTTCGTAAGGTAGAACTGGGTGATGACATATTTTCGTATCATCGCGTCCGTAAAATGAGTCGGTTATCACAAGTTTATGAGATCTTTTTTTACACTTTATTGTAAGCTGTTTACTCTCGCAACCGTACGTCGTTTCCTGGTGAAAAGACGATTAAGTTTCAGGGTTTTGGCCTTTTAAATGATGAGAAAAATGGAAGCTCAAGGAATCAAAACTTTTCCTTTCCTGAGATGTATACACACACAGTGGCGTAGCCAGCTCTCAAATTTGTTCCTGCTATGTTAATTTTTTTGTGTTCACTCACTGTAAAAACAAAAGATTTCAAAAGAAATGAATACTGAAATTTACATAGCAGGACCAAAACTTGCGAGCTGGCTACGCCACTGTACACACACACAAAGAAATCAAGGGCAAAAATTTCAAATGTTCGTGTTTCCTTTATACGAATCCATGTCATTTAACTATCAAAGATTAAAACACAAAAGCCAGTACATTTGGTGCTATCAAATATCAACCTAATATTTCTCGTGCTATTGGGTAAGCAATCGGCCCAATACAAACAAAACTCATGGCCGAAACGCTTTCGGCAAGCAAGCAGTGATACAGGCAATGTTTCTAATAAAATTGAGGATTGACGGTACTCAAGAATTGCTGTTTCCATTACACTATGATTATAAGTAAGACCATGGTAGTGAGGTTACTCAGAGATTAAATGTGCTCGAAAGCCTTGGGAGGTTGGACATTTTACTAACAAAACAAGACTTTCGAGTACATTTAAACACTAAATAACCTCATTACAATGGTTTTCCTTGTAATTAAACACAAAATATTATTTTTGTATTACGAGCACGGTAAATTGCCATTCGATTGCAGCTATCTTATAGAAAGAAATGATCTATTGCAAACATTACGTCGTATTGTAGGTAATTCATCAGCATCCAAACAGAACAGAGCTACGACTTTTTATTAGCTCACATCCAAAATATGCATGCTTTTTTCGTATACATGAGAAATTTTGAATGAGATTTTTCGCAAAAGCATGGTATGACAAATTACAGAGACCTGAATGAAATAATTTCACAATCGTGATGTTTTCACATGTGGCAATTCAAGTCAAAATATTCCCCGCATCAAGACCCCGAGTTTTAACCAGATATTTACATAAAAAATGATCGTCTTACTTCGTGTCGTGAAAATCGAAATCAAGCATGATCGACGGTACATATACGCTGAGATGTAGATCGTCCAGGTTTTTGCTGTTGACTGACGTCTGGTTAGACATCATTTGACTCTGAAGATTACTAAGCCCTTAATAACTGAGCGCGAGGTCATTACAGAGTAATAACAGACCGAGCCCGTAGTACGAGGTTTGTACAAAAAGACAGAGGTCCGATATTTCTCAGTAAAGACCGAGAAAGCGAGGTTATTAAAAGAATTACTATATGGCATTATTTGACCTGAAACGAAGCCTGCTTTCTTTCTCGTCCTTGCTGTTTTTACGGGTTGATTTTCACTTTTCTAGTTTTCGTCCATAAAAAATAAATCGTTTCAAATTGCATCATCTGGATAGTTAAACTGTTTTCCAAGTGTTTTTCCTTTGAATCACATTCGTAAATGTTTTTCTGTTTCGTTTATTTTGCGTTTTGCTGTTGGCATTACGAAGTTTGTTTACATTTGACAGTAAAATTACGCGTTTTTGGACCGTGGTCGATTTTGGGAAAATAATGGACAAGCAAAAATGTTTCTGAGCCAATCAAAGCGCGCCATTTTGCCAGAAGTGACGCTTGCAATATAATAATACAGCTAAAGATGTCGAAACGTCAGTCAACACCAACAGGATTCCACCAACCTAGACGATCAACATCTACAAAGATGCAGAAATAACGGGCTTTAGAAATTCACTCTATTCACGGGCACATACTACATACCGTCGGTTCGTGAGAGGGATGAGAAAGTTTTGATCTTCGTCCATAGGTCTGCAACCCATACTCCGGACCATTCGCAGGTAGGTCGTCAAAGTGAGGCAAAGAGCGAGGCGCGTTGTAACAACAGCTCTGAGTGCATGCTGGGGAACATATGGGATTGCAGAGTCCGGGGCAGAACATTTCAACTTGCGGGGGAGCGGGCGGAGCAATAGGATCTAGAAATCCCGCAATATCTGAAAGCGATAAATACATATTGACAAAAACGGTCAACGTGTGCATGCAAGAATATGATTGCGTCAAGATTATCGAGCACCTATACGATAATAGCAGGATTTTACACGAATAGATCGCTTCAAGGCGAGGCTGTTAAAGAGAAAATGTGTTTGCTACCGTTTAAGGTATCTTCTAACGATTTTATTAAAGGGGAAGAGAACAAACTCCCCGGAAACGATTAAAGAATCATTCCTCGACGTACAGCAATTACAAATTAAGTACATAAATTCCTCATATTGCGTCATTCGGAAGTCGCGGTAAGTCCTATGATACAAGTTTACATGATTCAAAATTACAACGACCATGACGTTACAAAATAGAGACAAGCGATTCAACATGAATGTCGATATAACATAAAACAATCTTCATAAAGTATTTGCTGTTATGTCTCACTTAATTTAAACATGTTATCGTAAAAAATATAGATTACCAACCTCTAGGAACGTAAGCAAAATTCACAAACGTTCGTTCGAAGAGCAGAAATAGAGCGAGAAGAACTTTTCCTGACATTTTGATAACGAAAACGCAGATGCTAAACATAAAGACGTCTCTTTCAACATGTAAACACATCCGCAAAGAGCATAACAAAAGTATGAAGAAAATACATGCTCTTCAGGAATATACAACCATTTTCACACTCATTTCTATAAAACTACAGCCACCCGCTTAATACCCGTCCACACAAAACGTAGCTACGAGATTTATTGAGTTTCTATCGTAGCATATAAAAGCATTTATCATCCTAAGTGCTAAACCCCTCCCTCCCCCCCAAAAAAATATTAGAGCTGAATTATAATCAAAAGAAATAGACAATGTCCATCAGCACAAGTTATGATCTGTTGCAGTCGCAACTTTTTCCTATACATTTTCCTGTTCAACGAAGTTAAAACAAATCTGATAAGTAAGAAGCGAATCTTCAACCTGCTTTTTGGAATTCTTCGATGAAAAAACCCTCTCTTGAGTCAATTTTAGTCAGTCCTTTCGTGAAACGTCTCCATCAATTGCTTTCCATCTTCGCCCAAACATCAGAAAGTGTTCACATAATTTTGATGTCATAGCTCCGCACTCCGGTTCTCGCACTGATCTAAAAAAATACATGAAGAGACAGGTCATAAACTGTCAGTCTAGTTATACCGGGTTTTTCCAGTAGAGAAGCCAACCAGCAAGTTTTGGTCATATATGAATATTCATTCCCACCCCAATTAGTGTTCTAGTTCAGCGCTTGCCTGCTGCGTATAAAATTCAATCATTATTAGCGTTCGTTTTCAAAGAAATTATGTTTTCCCAGGACCCAGTTAGAGAGCACAAATAATTTGCACGGTTGGAGTAAATAACATGTGTTTATAATTGAGAATTTCTGAGGTCAAGCAGAGCCCTACAGGACTCAGTTAAACAAAATAATTGTTCTTGTACAATTATGGTGTTGTCATGGTGACGGACACCGCTAAACTACAATGTGCGAAAGTTCACTTATATAACGCGCTTATGATTTTCTAGCTATACACGTTAAACTCTGCCCATCGCTATAAATGATCATGATTTATTCATTTCAATATGTGCTAGGTTGTTAACATATGGTATAGCGAAGACAGTTTGAGCTATTTCTTATTAGAATGGTTTTTTGCGTGAACGAAATCTGTTATAACAGTCAAGACAATTTCACAATGAAAATCAAATTCATTTATCTATGTAACGAGAAATTAAACTTAAATGTCATTGTTGTTTTTGTACGCATAACAAGACATACAACTTAGCTCTGGAACTTAAATTTAGAGCCGATCTTGTAGGACTATGTATTTTCGTGCCAGGTATTTAGCTTGTAGCTGAAGAGAAAACCATATTTAGTGATAAGTAGCGTCACAAGAAGTTGGCTCAGCTAATTTTCCTCTAAACACTTGAAAAATTCCCGTTAATAACCAAACACCCACATGCCTGCTGAACACTTCCATCCAAGCTTGAGGATGTTTTCAGATGGACAAGTAGAAAAGACTTAATTAAATCCATCAATGTCGTTCGAGATATCCGATTACAATCATAATTAAGATAGGAAAGAGAATGCTAAAAACAAACATCTCTTCGAAGTGTTTATCGTAGACAAATAGACTAGTTTAAAGAGACTGCTATGTTAAAAGCTACAGCAACTATATAATTTACTCGCTTGCCAACGAAAGGATTTCGTCAACTTCTAAAAAAATACCACGCTAAATTGTTTGCGTAAAACAATGATAAAACCGAAATGCCGGTTTACGTATGAGCACTCGAGAAGACGAATATTTACTGACTTCATATATATTTATACATAATGAAGTATTGCTCAAACTCAGTACTTTCCTATGTACTATACCACTTCTGAATCAACATGACGATATTAAGCGTAAATATCAACCTTACGGCAAGCTAAAGCAGACAGACAAGTATAATCTTGTTATGATTTGCTTATTTTTTGCATCGTACTAATAGCTCTAGCTTATGCTAATTGCAAAGTTCCGGTTTTTGTAAAATATATTTCATGCATTGACGACATACTGAAGAGTTGGTCTGAAGCCGTGGGAGTTTGATTCGGCACTTTGCTTTCTAGTTCACGGCGAGTTTAAATATTCTAGTACGTATTTTGAATCTTTAAAAGGAAAACTGCTATATGCGTGTTCACTTTCATAGACGATTTTCAAATTTTTCCGCGTAGGTTGCGCTAATACGAAACCAGCCTCCTCACAATGCTAATTCCTATACTTTTACACGGGCTATTTTGAGATGGGCGGCACTCGGGAGAATTATTTTCTAATGTCTTTTTTTTTTAACTTAAGTATAAATTTTTAGCACTTTTTTTTCTTAAGTCGCAAAACTGTAAAGATTTATTCCATAATTCTTCTTCGATCTCCCGTTTCTGCATGGTACATTTATAATTGATGCTACTATTTCTTATTATATTATAGGCGATTTGACTTTATTAATCAAAACCTCATGAAAAGTCTCGCGCGTATTTCTAACTTTAAAATCACAGTTGTTTGCTATATTGTCCAATAATGTCAAGCCTCAACTTATACCTGCTTGTACGTTCAACAAACACACGAAAATATATATTCATCGGTTGTTAGTTTAAAAGATTTTGAAAGGCTTGTAATTAATCTGGTAGCTACAAAAATGATCAAAGTACTTTATTTTCAAGCGTATCTGGACTTGAATATATATTGAATGTTAAATATATTTGAACATCTTAAATAAAATTTCATTACTCCTGTATGGCAAGCTCTATTAAATCGAACGGTTTGATTTTGAGCCCGCCCATTGGTATCGTTATACATGTTTGTACATGTTAATCGTCCGGTTGTATTTGCGTCGTGAGAAGAACTGTTCGTGTTGGTGTTGACTGATGTTTCGACATCCTTTGCGATTGTCCTCTTGAGAGTCAATTGAAGTGACGAACATTGATAAACATCAAACTAAACAAGCTTCTTTAGCTTTATTTTCATTTATGTAAAGTACTTACACTTTTACTGATTAGACTTCTCCAGTAAACACGACTTTCATTACCTGAAAAATGAAGATTTTAAATGAAATATTTCCATACTGCAGTATTTCTCTTATTTTCTGGTCAGCATGCGGCTTGTTTAGCTATATAATAAAACGTAACGAGATAGACCCTTGTGTGAAATGTTATCCTAAACCATCGGTAAATAAGCTAAATCAATAAATCTTTGGATTTTTTATTTCATCCGGTTACCTTCGAAATCTAGGAAAAAAGTAATTCGAAACTCGATAGACAAAACCGAGACAAAAATCACCCACGAAACATGCAGGTTAAAAGGTCAACAGTCTCTTCAATACACGCGTTCTTTGGCAAATGGAGATACCAAAAAACTCAGAACATATTTTGGCTACATGTTTCATTGGATCAAAAATGTGCTGGAAGGGGGTAATTCTCTCTCACTGCTCAATTTGAACAGTATACAAATTCATCATGAGCCCAACTTACAAACTTTAAAATCACACTAAATTACACACGCAAGTCCGTAATTATAAACACCTTACGTCATCAAAATCGCCAAAATTACAAACAGTGATGAAATAGGCAAGCGGGGTAAAAATCGAGTTATAACTGTCGTGTACAAATCTAAAGCGTGACGATTGGGAAGTAATTTACAGACATTATATCGAGTAATAAACACCAGGTGTTTCCCCTAAGTTTCCCTCCCAAAAAAAAACACCAAAACGGCCGAAGTCGCCGATGAAGATTAGATTATAAAAGTTAGAATTTCGCAGCTTGTTGTTGGTAACGAACACCGAGGTCACAAGTGGATGATAATTGACAAACATAATTACATAATACCATGTATGACGACAAAAAATGAACTGTAAAATCTTGTATGCATGCTATGGGGGCACATTTCGACATGAAAAGAGAGTTTACTAAGTTATTACTGCTTGGTCATACAGGAAAATACTTACCGTTAATCGATCACGTTCGGGGAGGGGGATACCAACAGAAAACCGAGACCTTCAAAGTTTGACAATAAAATCGGCCATTGCAGACGATATGCTTTTTCCAAGGGGAACCATGGAACATGAATTTCGAGGTTGTCATAACGAAGTCCATCTCATATCTATAAAATTAACAAACCATCCATAATTTGACAAAAGCAACGCACTTGTAAATCGTCATAAGCTACTTGAGCAAGAAATAAAAAAGTCTTTATAGTTGCTTACGATATCTTACTGCAAGAAAGCTTTGAGATCATTGTTATTAATATTCCATAATATATATGAACGATGTCATTTCTTTCAATCTAAAGTGTTAAAATCAATTCTACACTGCAGTAATCTATAGTAGTAATTATACAGTCCATTACAGAATGCCCTTCTAATAATTATCATTATTAACGATTCTAAAGTGTTAAAATACATTTGACACTACAGTAATCTGCAATACAAACACACGCCAACAAATATAAAACAACACGACGGTCAATCGTTTAGTCTGCGATTGGAGACTTTCGAAATGGAACAAAACGAGCAACGAATCATATGTTGGCTTATTATTTGAGTCAGAAGAAGAGTATTTAAATAATAAACTTTAATAGTAGGTTGTACAAGTATCAATTAGTTAATAAGCATATGTTATTGAGTATGAAATTACTCGATCAGAACAAGGAAGCAGTGTATTTTGATCGTGTTTTCAAAGTACAGTGGCAGCATGCTGATAAATCATCATAAAATCATTAAGAAATGATCGACCAGTCTGCTATCTTAGGAAAACATAAGCTTCGGCGTGTGCGCTGTAGTTCGTGTTTTGACAAAATAATAGCAAACAACGCGCTCAATTAATGGACTCGCTTAAGATGAAGAAAAACTTCAACGTTTTAGTAAAAATTTTACGACCTGTTGTTCGACAGAAAGCTCTATGCCTACATGTATAGCTTTATTCGATGTTCAACGATCACATTGCTCAAATTGTGCGCAATTATAAAATTCAGCACATGGTGAGACTTATCAATTAGCAGGCTATTGACCAATTATCTATATATCAGCATAATTAGAAAACAATATATTAAATATCCGTTCCAGTAACAGATATTAACGTCTTGTCGTATTTGCATCCTCATAATAACGTTTGCTTCTTAGAAAAACGTAAAATGTATAAGCGATGGATAAGCTACATTTACAACGATAACCGAATTTCCGTGGGACATTGGAACAAGGTGACGACAATTTTACTGTAAGCCAATTAAGATGTTATGTCTCACAATGGATGTCACAACGATATTGAAATAATGCGCCAATGTTAAAAAAGACCATACATTGAATAAAACCGAATAGATTCATCTTGGGAAAGTTTTGTGCTAGGATATGAAAATACACGAGAAAATTTACAGAAGTTCATATGAAATTGTGCATTTCAGCAAAGATAGAGGAAGTTTAAGCGACCTCCAACAGGTGTATTAGTGCACGTGTATTCGCAATTGAAATCAAAACAGTTATTAATTATGTACAACACTAGTTATTAGTGTATTGATAAGTCGTAATAAAGTAGTCTGCTCATACAGGTTTACAGCATGAGGAAGCGATCACAAGGGGCACATCCTGACA